GGCTCAACTCCGGAGATGAGGTCATGTTCCAGAAACCTTCAGCGCAGGGGAGGCGGATGCATGGAGACTTGGCGCCTCCGATGGGACACCCATTCTTGAGCGTCTTTTTTTTTCTTTTTGGGAGGGGTTCTCGGGCTCCCTCCACACGGCTTCGGGAGGGGGTGGGAGATGAAAACCGGTGGATCTCGACAAAGTCCGCAAAGCCACATGGGAAACCAGGACAGTTGCCCAGGTTGTCCAAGACCAGGTCCGCAACTGCGTATAGTACCGGTACGAGGGCGTCTGTAATAGTACTTCGTACATAGAGTGCTAGCAGAACTGGAGTGGCCATGGTTATGCCCTTGAGTGGTCTTACGTGCTAATCGAGACAGAGCCCCACAAGAAAGCAGAGATGCATCGCTGATGCCGAGAATGGACCTCGAAACGCAATGGAGGGCCAAAGGGAAGAGGCGGTGACGGACGGGTGAAGACGGGTGAAGGCTGACGAACACTTGATGCTATTCAGTAGTCAGTCTGGGGCAGAGAAATTTCTACTAGCTGTGCCTTGTTAATTAGGCGGTTGGTTGTTGAGAGCTGGTGCCAGCAAGCAACGGCCGCATCAGGCCGGACCAGTCGGTCAGTGTCGAGGGTAGCTGAACGGATGGAGCTCGCTCCGGAGTATGGAGAGTCATGACACCGAAAACTGTGATTGATTGGAACAGTCAACGGTTAGCTGTTGGCCTTGGCGGGTGTCCAGGGTCGTCGTAATTATTAGCAAATTTACGAGCGACATGCCGACGATTCCATGATGCCCCATCGATGGCATCGACGCCCATCTTAGCATATTGCCTGCAACAGAGATTAGTTTCACGAGTGTGCCACCCAGAGGCGCGTGCGTTGTCGTAGGCCATTTGAACAATGACAGCCATGACGCTCAATGACACACAGGGCACTGCAGCTAAGGAAATCCATGATGGGGCTCGAATCGACCATCGACATCGGTCATGGGCGACGGTATTTGCGATGGAGGCGGCTTTGAGCTTCGGTCCCGACCCCGACGCACATCCACCTGCACTGCTATTTGCCCTGTATATACCCTGCACCCTGCAATCAGCGATGGTCCCGTCCGCTGCTTCGGAGAAGCTTCGAAGGCCGCCAGACGCTCGTCATCCCAGCCCACTCGGCGCCCATTGGACCCTCGCGCCAAGGTTGGTCCACCGAAATCTCCCAGTCCTCACTGTATCGTATCAGATTACGCGCAGCCCTTACGGAGTAGTTGGAGGGACTGTCTAGCTTTTCTTCTTTCTTCCTCCCACTCCCGTGGCTATTTCTGGTAACCAGCGGGCGGAGAAGATTGAAAGATTCATCCGGGTTGGGGTCATCGGCCAACCTAATGCAATCTGTCTGAAGTGGTGGTCGTGGCAATCATGACACAAGAGACTTGTAATACCAACTGGCGTTCCGCGCCGAGCGCTTGTACTCTAGTTTGGGGTTAAGGCGGACGGAAGCGATGCAACGCACACCGCATGGTGACCCAACAACGGTGCAGGAACGAGACGAGTTCTGGGCCATTGTCTAGTGAATCTGGTGATTGCGTTGGCTGTCAAAGAGTCGCTGATTGCCGATGATGGGTCGGGATTGCGTTAGGATGCGATGCTAGTAGGCCAGCCATGTACCGATTGGATGACATGAGGCTCACATCTGATCAGGTGCAGCAGGAATGTCAAGGCGTTGAAGGTCCTGCACGTCGGTTATCCACCCGCATGTACGTACCGTACATACGTATCCCATCCCGTGTTAACGGATGGGATCGACAATGCCCGTTTGCTGGGTCGCAGCTAGTAGTTAGCATGGGCTGTGACTTGCGGCCGACCCGACGACGACGTTTTTTTTTTCAGTCGGTCTGGGCCGCTCGGTGCTTGACGTTGGTTGGCTTGCTCGTCCCATTCCTTGAATCTTCTGCGCATGCTCCCGCATGAGCGCGCCTACCACGGCACTGACTCAGGATCTGCGACGTGAATGATTTTACTATGGTAAATTCATTTCGTCATCCATTGATCGGTCTGGTGGTCCATGTTGCGAGGGATGGGCTAGCAGAGGGCTCTGACCGCCTGGTGGCCAGCCTGGCCATGCGTGGCCATGGTCAATGTCGAGACCATGAGACCGATCAAGTAGGTATTTGGTCGCGGCGTTTTCTTGGCTCAGCATGAGGTCAATGCTTCTCATTACATGAGTGGATGAGTGGATGAGGGATGAGGGATGGAAGGATGGATGGATGGTGGGCAGAGAATACGCCAGTACGTATTTTCGGCGGCACGACCGAGGATGAGGCGGATGGCGGCGGACTAAAATGACGGACGGGTACCTGGATTTCAGCTCAAACGGGACGGACTCAATCCCCAAAACGGCCAGAGGGAGAGGGAGGAGGACTGCCTGCCGCCACGCGCGCCGCAAGTTTCTGGTCTGGTCTGTGGCAATTAATGAGGGTTTTCCCGCGGGTGAGGCCGCCTCTGCGCTCCGTGCTCTGTGGCTTGGCTTTGAGACCTGTGTCTCTGCAGCAGTGTCTCTGCAGCAGCTGCAGCAGCTGGTCACTTTTCTTCGCCTGCACGCACTCGGAAACTTTCCCTGTCTTTGGTCTCTTTCCCTCGGCCCCGCTTCTAGCAGTGACCCTACCTGCTGGTACGTACATTGCCATCCCCCCCCAAACCAGCCCCTCACGTGGCACCGCAGCTCACAGCTCCCACCACCAGTCGCCCACCACCACCACCACCACGACCTCCACCTCCGTTCCGCGACACACGGACCCTACACGAAGGAGCGCGCTGATGTGGTGACCTGTACGCTGGCTGGGCTGTCGTACGGAGGTACACATGTATCGGTCGCTATCGAGGTGGGATGTGGGTTGCGGGTTGCGGGTGGTGGGATGGACGATGGCTGATAGCGGAGGGATGGACGTGCCCCCAATCCTTCAGTCAACTATCCGACCACGCTCGCTGTTCCATGTTATCCCGCCGCATCCTGTCCATCGTCCATCCCACCTCCTCCACCCGTAATCACGACGCCTACCTCAACCCCCGGAGGAACAAAGGGTACGCCCATAACCGTACCTTTCGCGCCATAATTCGTCGTGCTACGTACATAGTACAGTACTCACGGCCGGGCTGAATTAGGCCTGGACCTAGACCTGGACCCGGACCTGGAAGGCTGGACAGGCCCAGGATGTCGTCTGTCGCATTTCACACACCCTGGAGGCTTCGCTGACTGAATTGCCTATAATGGGCACCCCAAGCAGCTCCAAGCACAGTCACGCATCCACGAGATCAAATGTACCCACTGTAGTTTCGAAACCCTCCGGACCCGTCGCGCGCTACTCGACGCCCATGGTGCTGCGCGGACTCCACGCCACTTCGGCCTCCTCCTCCACCAGCAGCACCACCACCACCAGCCCTCCAGTCCACCCAGTGTGTCCACCTGGTCCGTGGTCCACCGCGGCGCTGGGCGGGCCACGCTCGCTCGCGACGTTGCACGCTCCTCCTTCCATCTCCCGTTCTCTTTTGCGCGTCTCCGGGGTGCTCTCTGGCTGCTCTGTCTCCTGTGGCCTGGCTCCTGTGGCTAAGCGTACCTAAGGTAACTAGTGGCTGCGGCACCTACTTCGTACAGACTGCTATGGCTGCTCGGATGCATCCACGACCGCGCCGTTGGCTGGTCTCTGCCCTGTCTCGCCTTGTCCGCCACTTTCCAGTCTTTCCTCTGCCTCGTCCTAACTTGCGGTGTTGAGTTGGCGTGCGTCGTCGCATCTCGCGCTTGCTTGCTTGCTTTTTTCCTGTTCTGCACTGCTCTGCTCCCACTTGACCTGACCTGACCTGCTTGTTTGCTTGCTTGCTTGCGCTCCCCAATTCCCTCCTCATACGACTACGACTACGCCCCCCTCCCTCCCTCCCTCCCCAACTCCATCGCATCCATCTCACCTGGCCTGGTGCGGCAGTAACTAACCGGCCGACCGTACTTCTTTGTCATTCATCATGCCCAATATCCACCCCCCGCTGGACCCTTCGCCTCCGCCCAGCCCTCCCAGCAAGGCCTCAGCCGAAGCGCACGACCGTTGCCATTGCCCAGGTCTTACGTAGCGGAGGTACCTTGCGCAAGCACTTACGCTGCAGAAGTACTTCGTACGGCCCTAAGGACCCCCCCTTCTCCGAGTACCTGGCGGCCCTAGCCCAGGCGGTTCCAGGTACAGTGACTTTCGCCCACTCGCATCTCCAACGGCAGGCGTGTGGGTGGCAGAAAAAAACGGGCTCGCAGGGGACCTCCTCGACAACATCATCCCCAGTCGCCGCCAACAGCCAGGTTCTTCCACACCCCTGGGCCCTGCTAGCTTCTCCGACTGTCAAAAGTCGGCAGGGTCGGTTCATCAATTGGTTCCCAGCAGTCTCTAGCTGCTCGCGCACCCCCGGCTCAGACCGTCTTTTTGCTCTTGAGGCTGTTCCGGGTCCCCAGTCCCAGCACCAGCGCCGGTGCGCCAGTCCTGCGTTTGCGCTCGCTCTCAACTCAACGTCGACATCATACTACGACCAACCAGACAGCATCCTAACTCGCCCATCCGTCAAACTCGGGCCTCTCCCAGACTTCCACTCACACCTCACACACCTCCCATTCTTCCTCTTCCGCTTCCGCCCTTCGTCTGCCGCCTCGCTTCGCCTCATCTCGCCCTCTCAGTCTTCCTTGCGGCGTCGCGTCTGCCCCACCGTCGCCCGTCGCCCGTAGCTGGTCGCCCGTAGCTGGTTGCTGGTCGCTGGTCGCTGGTCGCTGGTCGCTGGTCCCTGGACCGAAGAGCTTGTCGAATCTCGTCTCTGCCCAACTGCTGATCCCGCCGCGCCGCCGGGGCCATCTGGGGGCTTGCACTTCACTGACTACTCGACACATCCTTCTCTCTTCAACATCTACCAGTACCATTACATACCGTCTCTGTGTTGACAGTACGGAGTTGCGGTACTTCGTACTTGTCGTCATCCCCAGTTCATTCCGGACACGCCCGCCCCCATGCCGACCCGGTCTTGAACTGCCATTGCTGAAAGGGCCCAATTAACACCCGCCCCTCCAGCTCCCGACTACCAGGACCACCAGGAAGCTTCACTCACTCCCCCGGGACCCTCGCGCCTCGCCTCCGCCAAAGCTCTCCATCCATGGCCACCGCCTCTCTGTGGTCCCAGCTTTTCTCTTCGCACTCCTGATTATGTGTGCAGGTACGACTATACATATATAGCACACCAAGCCAAGCATGGATCCAGGACCCGACAGTAAACGGCCTCGCCTTTCTTCATGGCCGGCCGGCGCACCACAGCAAGGCGTATCGCTTCCACATCCTCATCCTCATCATCATCCACAGTCGAACCAACTGCCGCCGCCTCCGCCCCCTCCTGGGCCTCTTCACCATCCCGCCTCGAACCCATATCCGCATTACCCTCCACGATCCATCGAACACCCATCTGCGCCGCCGACACCAGCTCCCGCCTCTGCTCCTCCGCTGCACCCAGAAGCTGATCGTCGGCATCATGAGCCAGAGCCATATGCGCACATGCAAGACCACTACCGGCAGCCGCCGCCTCAGCAGCAGCAACAACCACCGCCACAGCACCAGCATCCCCACCAGCCTCCTCCCTCACCGGCGCATCCAGCGTACCAACCGTATTCTTCACGGGATCCTCCCATAAAGCGGGACCCTGCCGAAGACCAGCGCCGACCGAGCTCGACAGGTCATGCGCCTGGGCCTGAGGGCTTGCCGTCAACACCGCATCTCGCGCATCCTCCTCCACCTCCACCTCCGGGCCCCTACTCGGAGAGCCAACCGCGACACATGAGTTACGAAAACGCACCCTCGATGCCCCCGACCCCGGGTGGCTACCGGGCTCCCAGCTACCCTCCTCCCACCCCCGTGTCCCATCAGCCATCTTACGAGCAGCATGGAGGTTATTCTTCAAACCACGACTCGGCGTTTTACAATGTCTACACGTCGTCAGCGCCAAAGAAGAAGAACACCCGCGCATCTCAGGTTAGAATCGACCTCGTTCGGTTTGCGAGAAAATTATTGACAGTAGATGCAGGCTTGCGATAGTTGCCGACAACTCAAAGCGAAGTGCGACGAGACGAAACCGTGTAAAACGTGTAAGGAAAAAGGCGTGGAGTGCAAATATAGAGACCCGGTGCCAAAAGCGTATGCCTCAACCCGTGGACCGAAAATCTTCATCACACTAACACAATGGAAATAGCACCGATAAAGCTCAGGCTGACATTCTGGACGGACTCACAGCCGTCCAAGGTACCTTGTCCACCATCATGAACCACCTTGGAAGGTTTGACCAGAGGCTCGTTAAAATGGAGTCATTGTTACCCAAAAACGCCACCCCTCTGGAACTGAAACACGAACCCGTAGCTGAAGAGGAGTACAAACGCCCACCTCCTTCTCCTTATATCACCAACGGTAATTCCGGCGGTGAAGGTTATTACCCCAGCGAAACACCGAGAGACCACCCTTCCTCAGATCATATGCCCCTACGAATGATGGCCGAGGACGAGATGGAGGTTGAGCCAGGCCCACCAGTTCCTCCTGGAGAGCCTGCCATCCCCATTAACCACACGACTCTTGCCGGCTTGCTCCTGGACTGGCCATCAATCCGCGAGCTAACTAAGCATCTCCTCGAACGCGAAGGGATTCGATTTATTAGCGAATACCCCATCAGTCAAGAGCAGAACAGGGGCGTCTTGATTGTCTATGGGCGCGGCGAAGACTCTCACCCATCACGGCATATCCGAGAACCGACCGATCACGGAACTCTTGACATGGCAGACGATTCATCCGACATGGCTTCGCCATCGCCTGCTGCCGATTGGGGCCAGCTCGGCGGTCTTAGCCCACCTGATCAAGTCGAGTACAAGGGCGGTGTTTTGGCAGTCGACGGCAATCCCGACTTCTCGGAAGCGAAGGTGTGGCTGTACGTGGAGAGTTTCAAGGAACATATCTTGAACATGCACCCCATCATCCAGCCCAAGTTCCTCGACGACTGGGTTCGACACTTTTTGGATACCCTCCCCACCTCGCACCCAAGATCATCTAAGCCTCAAACCTCAAAGCCTGCTTTTGCCGTCGGTGGAGGCTCACAGACCCCGGAGACCACAGGCGCGAAGAGAAAGCGATCACCTGGACCTGACGGATCCGAACCTGCCACCCCTGCGCCCCCGCGGGCTGGTCGACCAGACCGATCGATTCATAGCGCACTAGTTCTCAGTGTCCTCGCACTGGGAAAAATATGTCTATATCGGGACAATGTGCCCGACGTTGTGCACTCGTCGGATCCTATGCCCCATGGAAGCCCCATCACACGTAATGGAGGTGTCCCACCGTCGCCTACACAGGGTTCTCCGCCAGCCTACTCATCCCACTCGCACTCCTCCGGGCTGCCGTCTCCGAAGGAACAGGAACGAGGAATACACAGTCGGCGCTCTTCCATCCATGGTGTTGGAGGCTTGCGCTCTGGGTATAGCCTGAAGAAGAACTACGAGGTGATTCCTGGTCTGGAGTACTTTGCATACGCCACCGATATTCTTGGAAACCACACCGGTGCATACAATAACATGAAGAATGTCTATGCCAACATCTTTGCTGGCTTATACCACGGCCAGTTGGGACGGCCAATGGAGAGCTTCGCATTCATTCACAAGGCCAGTCACAAGTTGCAGGTCATTATGAGACCGTAAGTTCATTCCTTTTCTAAGAGCTTGTATCTTTGAACATACCATTAACCGTTAATTCAGGAGCCTGGACAAGTTGCGGAGAATCAAGCGAAACAGCGAATTCATCCAGGAGACAAAGTACAACCAGCTGGCTTTGACTTTCTGGACTTGCCTGCAACTCGAGAGTGATCTCATTGCGGAGCTTCAACTTCCCCCCTCAGGACTCCTATCTTACGAGGACGACATGCCGCATCCGAACATGAGTCTTCTCGAAGGCTACAACCAACGAATCCTGGACAGCTACCCCGGACAGTTGTATCTCCGAACACATCTCAACAGCATCCATCGAATGTTCTATGCCCCCGAAGACCCTAGCAAGATCAAGAAGGACCAGTTCAGAAACGTCAGTGTTGTATCCGATGCGGTTTCGGGGATGCACTGGGTAGCTCCCAGCTTTGCCTTCCGAGAGGACGATCTCCCGGCAGATGATATCCTGGCGGCACGACTACGAGCGAAGTACTGGGGCGCCCAGGTGATCACCTATCGACCCTTTGTTCGGCAGATCCTTCAGTTCTCGCACTCGGTGAAGAACCACCCATCCAGCCCCAACTTCCCCACAGTGACGTCTGAGTTTCGTCAGGACGTCATTGCTCCTGTGATCCACCCCAAAACGAGAACACACGGCGATATTGACCCCAAGGTTGTGGAGCTTGCTAAGAAGGGAATCAAGGCTCTGATTGAAAGCACTCGCGCTTTCCATGGACTTGGTGTAGAGCGACCCATCATTACCAACGTCTTCGGTACAGCACACGCGTAAGTTGTTCCCCTCTGATGCTCGATAATTTAAACTGACCATCTCTTAGTCAATGGGGAAATCTGCTGGTTCTCTCAGCCGCCTTCAAGGATCCTGTTCTTCACACCTATGTTAATGAAGAGCTGTTGAAAAGCCTCTTCCAGAGGACCATCCTTTTCTTGAGACAGTCGGCTACCGGGACGAGCTCTCTGAGAATCGACATGCATATCCTCGAAGGCCTCCAAAGAGATCTCTTCCAGAACCCCGAGGCAAGGGCAAACTCAAGCTTCTCGAGTGGCAGCACCAGCGCGCCGGGATACCAAACCCCCAGGCCTGCACCGATGGCTGCGCCACCGCAGGTGCCTCACCCAATGAACGAGCAGATGCTCGCACGACCGATGCCCCATCACTTGCAGGTCTCGCCACATGGGCAGTGATGAATTTGGTCCACCGCGGCTCTCACCACGGCTCTCACCACACACAATCGGCTGATTGAGGCGTTGAGGACTTTCTTTCCATTAATCATCATGAAAACGGCGTTTGGAAAATGGTTCAACTTGAACCTGACATTATATACTTTTCTTTTTCCCCCCCAGCCAGTGTACGGAGAGTTGCGTGGCCCTTGAGCATTATACGCCACCGAGACGATGAACTCTGAGAATAGAGCAAATACCCCCTGCACACATACGACCCCTCTTCTCGGTGTGGCAAACACGATCCGCATTGTCGACTCAAGGTGGGAGTCATGATCTGGTATGAGCCGATCAGGGCACCTGTTCGACCACTGTACCATCAACGACGGCGTGGCAGAAGACTATTCCCCCTCGGGTGCAAACCCGGCACTCGATATCTCACTTAGTGCATGTACATACATCCATGGATTTAGAGGGCTGTCATTACTTGTGTTTTGTTTATATGGCTTGCATTGCACGGCTTTGTTTTGTGGATCAGCTACGACAGCTTTGAGCAACATGGATATCACATTTGTGATAGTGTGAGGAGGAACAAGGAGGAAGCGGTCGTTGGAATAGCAATTTGGGCCCTGGTAGTGGGCAAACGTTGGGTGGCATGAGTGGAGGACTCTGGAAAGTTCACAATTGGATAGTTCCTGGGTTACGGAGGATGGCAGTCCTGGCTATGCCAGCGCTTAGATGAGAGAATTGAGAAACTTGATTGAATTTTGTTTGGCTCAGTGCCACCTTGGACATGGTTGTCGCAATGTTGTGTGTACAGAGTACTAGCTGGTTGGTGAAGATGCATGATGAAACGATGCCGATCCGAGACATGGACAGATGTTGCGAGTTTGATTGGATTGGTGGAATAATGGCCTTACGAGCGGTCGGAGATGGATGTCCGATGGGATCATGTTTGCAGACGAGATGAAGATCAGAACGGCCGCGTAGCCCTTGTCAGTTGCGTCCCGATGTGGTTGTGCCGATGATGTTAAGCGAGAGATGGATGGAGAGCTGGCCATCCATCCGACAAAGTACTGTGCTACATAGCGCTGCGTACCTTTACCTGGAGCCGTCTTGGCCTGTGCGTGTATACGTGTGTGCTTGTGTACCATTGCATGCCTGTTTTTATTTGTTATTGTTGTTGTTGTATGCCTGTCTATTTGCTGTATCCTTGTCTGATCGCCGGCGTCTCTGCTTGTCGATCGGCCCCTGTTCCCTATCAATGACACCACTTCTCGCCTGTCCGGGGCTGCTCCGAGGTCAGTGCCCCTCGCTGTGCAGCATCTCCGATGATGAACATGAGATGCTCCGAATGCGGAGCGAGAGCGAGGGAGGGGGGTGCCCGTCGTGTAGACATCACCCCACCGGATTCCAGAAGCCTTCTCGGGGAGCCAACGCGAGCATCCTAGCTTGCTTCTAGGCTGTTGGTTGCAGACTGCGATCCCTTGCTTGCTCTAGGGGGAGGGAGCCTGGTCGAGGGCATAGTAAAGCAGGGCTGGTGGGATGCATAACTGGCGAGCTCCACGGCCTGGGGTGCGTTTCTAGATGACGCCGTCCCGAGGAATTGGGAGCCAGACACGTGATGGAGACATGACCTCGGGAGTTGCATACGGCAGGCGGCGATAGAGGCGGCTGGGAGTCGGTGATGTGCGAGCTGGGAGATGTTGCGTGTGAGGAACTGGGCGAGAGAAGGGTTGGCATGGCTGGCATGTCGGGGACCAAGATAGTCTCGGGGTATTTTTTTTTGTATACTAATCTTGACGGCATGGCATTTCGTACAACGCCTGGCAATCATCTTCGCTTCTTCATAGAGCTGTGTCATGTAAACCGTCATGAACCCCGAAGCTCCGAGTTTCTCTTCTTACCGCAGAAAGACAGTTGCCACACAGTTTACCGAGTTGGGACAGCACACTAAAGCCGAAGAGATGGACGACTACAACAGATAGACTATGACAGAGATGCACCAATGTTTCACATCTAATCGACAGATAATCTCTTACGTGCTATTCTTGGCTGAGAGTAACCCTCGTTTTTCGGTTTCATTCCCTCCATCCAACAGCCAGATCAAGCTCCGATCTTCATGAACTTGGCCTCGTAATCTTCCTGCAACAGCTCAAAGGCCTTGAGGACATTCAACAACCCACCGCCAAGGGAACTTTGCGCCGATGAAGGTGGAGGGGTGGAATCCTCCTCATCCGAATCGTCCCATGCTGGCTCTGACTCCGATTCGCTGCTTCCATCATCCCAACTGTCGAGAACCTTGGCCTTCTTCTTCTTCTTGGCAGGATCCTCCTTCTTTTCCTTGGCCGCTACCGGCTTGGCAGCTTCCTGTTTCCCCCCGAGCTCCTCGGTGTCACTCTCGTCCGACCCATCGCTGTCGTCGTCTCCGCTTGTCTCCAAACCAATCAAGTTCTTCAGGCTAGATATGATGGCCTTGAGCGTCATGGAGAAGTCTTTGAGGAAAAACCACACGTCTCCGACTTTGATGCGGTTCTCGCGCACCAAGTCTTCCAAGCTACCATGTTTGTAGAAATCCAGAATGTACGAATTGAGATCAGTACTAGTGTCATTCGGCCAAATCTGGATTTGCGGAATCAGAGACTCCTCGAGGAAGACATCTCCTCGGACTGTAGAGCAGAGATCCTGGACAGTGTCGAAGTCGTCTCCAAATCCAGAGAGGGATACAAACGGAGATCGAATCGTAGTGCCTTCACAACCCAGGGACGCTCCCCCAGTAGCTTCCGATGGTCCAACTGCAGTCTGAGTAAATGGCATCGTACGGTCCGGCTTATCGCCGAGGTATTGGTTGATGTAGGAGTGGACGCAGTCCTTGAAGATGGACAATGTCTCTCCGTTGTGCTGGACGAGCATGGTCTCGGCGGCTTCTGGCAGCTTCGGAAGAATGACAGAGGGAGCCTTTCGAATTTTGTCATTCGACTCCTTGACGCGCCGAACAGGGATTCTGCTAAACAAGTGGCTGAGCACCAGCATCATCTCGAAAAGAACATTCTTGGGATCTTTTTCTATGTCTGCACATAGCTTGTGGAAGTAACCACCACGCAGCAAAGAGTGGAATGCAAACACCGAGTTGTCAGTGAAGTACAGGTGTCCGACGAGGTCAGCAAAGTTCAGTGGTGCTCCGCTTGCAGAAAGGAGGTTTTGTCTTCTCAGATACTCGATGGAGAAGCGCACGTGGTGCCTCACCGACAGATCCGCATCCGGTCCGCCGAGGTACAGTTTGTTCTGCGATAGCAAGGCCTTGACCGAATCCATGGCAAATTCCGAGTTTTTGGTGCCATCCAAAAGACCGAACAAGCGGAGGATCAGAGTCGTTGAGATGGGGAACTGGCCCTTTAGGTCGGGAAGCCGCGAAGCCATGATCTCGTACACACGTTCATGGGGAATACCATTGAAGACAATGTTGCCCAGGAGATCGAATCCTCGTCGTCCGGCACGACCTGAAGCTTGACGATAGTTTTGCGTGTTGAGGAAGACCGAGTCTCCGCTGAAGATGACCGTCTTGCAGGGCATGTTGACTCCCAGAGCGAGAGTCCCGGTGGCAACGACGACTCTGAGGTATCCTCTCCGGAACAAAATTTCAACACTGGTTTGTATGAGTAAGTGTCTCGATCAAAGGAGTCTCTGCACTTACATCTGGCGGTATCGTCTGTTCATACCCGCGTGATGGACTCCTAAACCCCTTTCAAGAGCCTTCATCAACAACGGTGTGACCTTTTCCCGGCGCAAAGTCCGAACCATCTGGTCAAACTCCGACTTTTGCACCTTTGTTGTATCGGCAAAGCTGTATGGGTCCAGCGGAGCATTTATATCAAAGCTCTTCCACTGGCTGATGTCTGCGCTTCCCTCATCGCGAGCAAGGTCTAGCTTGGAGACCTTTGACGCATCGCCAGCTGCATCTTTGACTCGGGCACCAGCCTTGGACTCACGCTGATCTGCCATTAGCTTCTCCCATTGCTTGAAGTCCTGGACCTTTTTGTTCCAAGCAGCATCCCCGTCCTTCCATTCTTGCTCTCTCTCTTCCATTTTTTCGGCCATGTAAGCAACGGCTCTCTCGCACTCCATACGATCGTAGTTGAAGGCAAGCGCTGGCAGCGCGTCCTGTGAGTGAAGCTCACAGACCAGAGAAAAGAGGCTCACAACATGGTCAACCTCTTGGAAGGGTTGCTCAATGTACTTCTCCGTCGTCTCCGTCGACTTCAGAGCGCCGTTTTGCTGCCCCGTTGGGTCAAGGCTAGTCTGGAGCGTCTTGAGAGATGAATCAGATGCCTCCATAACCTGTCGAAGAGCCGCTTTCAGACCCTTCTCCCATCCGACAATGTCGGATTTGGAGACAATGTGTGGCAGGACTTTTTTAGGATCCAAAGCATCATATTTACTCATAAGGTCAGGCGAAAGATGTTCCTTCATCTTTTCCCACAGTGTGAGGCAGTCCCTGGCCTCCAAGGTCAGGTCGTCCAGCGCGGCACGGTTACTGGGACGTGTTAGTATTTTGTGTGGTTTTGAGAATGATTGAGAATGAGCACGTACTGGTCTTTGAGTGCAACAACGGGATGCACAAACTTGAAGTTTGGACTGATAGCGTTACCCTCATCCAATCCGGGGACAGGTAGCCGAGGAGTTTTCGCGAGCTCGCCGAAGGTGAACTCTCCAGGCGGCGGCTGGTATATGAACTTGCGGAGATCGGAGTATCGCACGTCATGGACCACCATGGTCATATCCGAGCCCTTCTTTCCTCTCGCCACTCGTAACCAATCTCGGAATTCATTGGGGTTTCCTACCGTGGCGGATAGTGCGATGATGGGGCATGGTGCCAACAGCAGCAACTGTTCCCAGATGACACCGTCTTCAGCCTGGCCAATACAATGAACTTCATCGAAGATGATTCTCTTGACGCGGCGTGACCAGGAAGTCGGCTGGGCGGCATTTGAAGGCGACAGCAACATGGTCTGCAGGACGTCAGGCACGGTGACCAAGACCTGGCACCCGCTGGGGTTGTTGATACGATAATCTCTGGTATGGATTGCCCAAACAGACTTGCCCGCCTTGTTGTGATAAGACTTCGAGAACCTGGCCTCGACTTCAGCAGCAATCTGGTTGACCAGGGCTTTCGTGGGCGCCACATAAACCAGCACGGCATCATCGTTCTCCTCAAGCACCTTCTTCATGGCGTAAAACGAGATGAAGGTTTTTCCCGCAGAAGTGGGAGCAACGACCAGAAGATTTTCATTGGCGTCAATGGAGTCAAGAACCTTCCGTTGCCAAGCATCCGGCTCGAACGGTACACGCGGGTCGGGCTTTGAGTCAAATCGTCGTTCCATGTAAGGGCCGCCATGTTCAAGTTGGAGAATGCGATAGTCTCGAACAAGCTTCGCCGCATGTTTGGCTGCTTGGACATCGATGAGGAAGGACAGCTTTCGAGCTGGTTCCCCAACGCTAACATCAAGATGAGGCATCCGTAGGCTCGTCGTAATGCCTTGCACGGCATTTGCAATTTCCGGCGTGCAAGTCCCCGACCACGAGATCCCCTGGAGGGAGTGCCACATCATGGAAATGAGGTACAGTCCTAAATAATTCAGTATTTTGCGGGTTGAAGGGACTCCAGAGGGTGCTCGACTAACCTTCGAGAGACATTTCACGCACGTTCTCGCGGGTTTTAAGCCAGATCTTGCCAAGAATCTGGCACAGATAGAGTCGAACCTCGGGACTAAGAGAGCCGTGATCATTCCGAGAGCGTGTAGCCAGGAACTTGTCTGCCTTCAGATATCTGCTGATCATACTCGGGTCCGTCTCGAACTCTGCGCACTTCTCAGCCCAAAACCGGATGACATCGTCACGCTTTGCACGGATCTTTCGATCTTGGATTTCTTGGGCAGCCTTGAGAGCTTTTTCCTTTCCGCCCTTGTTGGCAGACTGCTTCCCACCCTTCTTCTGCGTCTCTTTCGCCGGCGGTTTCCCTGGCTTACTGACTGAGCTTGGAGTATGGCGAGCCCCGACAATAATGGTTTCGGGATCGAGCATCTTTCCGGCCGCACTTTGGAGACTCGCTGCATATGTAATAATCTCTGACATCTGATGTTGCTTGCGTTTCCTAGCAAAGAAGCCGAGTGGGGCGGGGTTCTTGTTGAAAGGAACGACAGGTTTGCTGGTGTTGTTGCTTTTGTTGTTATGCCAGTGTTTCAGGTCTTCAAAAACAATGTTAGCAGCCGGGTTGATGGTCTCTTGAGCTTCGTCGACCTTGATGTTCTCAAGGAATTTGCTGAAGGCCGGGTGGTCAAAGGCTAGGATAGCTGGGGTCTTTTTCTCAGATCCGGTTGGCGGCGACGAGGGAGCGCTTGGGCGTTGAGCAATGTCGAATTCTGGCTTCGAATAAGCGGATTGGATTTGGGCGACTTCCTTCCAGAGACTGCAGGCAGCTTCCATGATCTCTGCAGGTACAGGGCTGTTGGTCTTGACTTTCTTTAACATGAAAGAGAAGACCCGTCCATCGATGAGGTCGAAGAGGTCCCAGGTCAATTCACAATCTTCCGACTCGCTCGCAGCCAAGGATTGAGAGACCTCGGAGAAGAGACGAAGAAAAGGCTTAGCCTCAAAGTCCCCGCTTGTGGCTTCGCATCTTCTGTTCTGTAGGGAACACACTCGGAGTGCGGCCATGTGCAGAAGTAATGCATGAAGCTCGTCCAGAGTATCTTTGGGAATCTCGTCCGATGACAGATTCTCGAGGACGCCAGAACAAAAGTTAACAGCAAACCACTCTCTCAAGGTCAATTCGGAATCGGAGTCGGGCTCAAGATATTCGTCGATGATGCTCTCTTTCTCCGTTGACGACTCAGATGGCTGGCGTGAAGGAGTCTTGATCTCGAGCATGCCAGTCGAGACTTGCGTCCCGCTCAGCAAATGAACAAACACCTAAAAAAAAAATTAGTCTTGCTTCAATGGGTCTGTAAATACTCGGGTGCCATGCCTTTGAGGTCTCCCAGGCGATGAAATTGAAGATGCCAACATGTCTCCCGCGGCTGGCAAACTTCCAGATCAGGTGACGAAGTTGCACGGTCCTCGATCCTTCGTCTCCATCTCCTTCGTGGCAAAGGATGAACTGCAGCGAATGAGTAGATAGAAATTCGGTAAAAGAATCACTCTCGAAGGAATCGAACTCGTGGACTTCGGATCGAATGTCCGATCTCGCAAGGTGCTGGATGAGAATGGCCCTCGTGAGATGGTACTTGTACGCATCGGCAGCGGCTGCTCCCTCTGGGACACAGACATCATCGAGGTCTCGGAAGAAGAAGATGTCAAAGTTACAGCCTCGCTTTTGCAGGTCATTCAGGAAGCTTTCCACTGCGTACACGGCATGGAGGAGCTGGAAGCCGCCTATTACTCGTTCAGCCGCTCGGTCCTCTTTTTTCGTGGGGCTAAGGCGAGTGAGGAGTGAGGACACATACCGTCAAAATCCACTCTAGACTGCTCCAGGCAATACTTGATGAGCGATTCTCCATGAATGGCAAACGGCTCGCCCCCCGCAAAATCCCCGACGATGTCGACTTTGATGGTCTGCTGGGCAGAGTACCACTCGAGGAGGAGCTCCTCGTGGCTCATCTTTTCCGGCACCTGAGACGGCGTATGTCCTGTCTTGTGATGTGAGGCGGGCTTGGGACCGGGTTGTTGATGAAAAGGCGGGTGGAAGGAAAGAAAGAGAGAAGGCGATAAGAAACAGTCAGCAAGGAAACTTAGCCGATTGACAAACAGGACCAGCGTGATTCACTGTCCGCCCGAGTCCACTTCTGTTGGAGGCCCACCAAAAGCGAGTGTTTGGAGTGTGCCAACGCCAGAGACAGCCCTAGTTATGCAGCGCAGGCTCTTTTCCCTTGGGCTCGATTGTTTCAGCCCTCATGCAGACGGTCGCTCTGTTGACCGCCGGTTGACGCCGTGAGGATGCCGTGTAAAGGCGATTCAGGTGAGACGAAAGCCGGATACCCGTTGAACAAATGGCCAATTCCCTCTTTCATGGGACACTTGATTCACTCCTAGGGCAAGGGTGACGTAGTCGCTGGTGGAATACCTAGCATGGCGGTCCATCGAGCATGACTTGCCGATTCTCATGCACGTTGGTTAGGACAATATCGGCCCAAGCGATTGGGGCCACAATTGCAAGCAAGCAAGCACCAATAGATCAGTTCATACACTTCAAGGCCAGCCAGTCGGAACGGCCCATGACGCACAAGACGGATCATGATATTGTGGACAATTGTGTGCTTTATTGGTTTCCATAGCCCCTCTACCACGCTACCGTGCCGACCGATCACCGACTGCACCACCCTGCGACACAGCTTGGTGTTTGATGCCGCTGCATCTGCAAGCCTGATATCACGTCCACGTCCTTGTCCTCGTCCTCGTCCAAAGACTCCCTGTTTTTGAAATCCGCCTGAACGCCACCGCAATGCAAAGCAACCCAACACCCGGGATATACAATTCGCCGAATCCGCCGTTCCTTAGAGGATCCCAACCATCAAGCTCTCGAGCATGCCTCCGGTCTGGCACGCCACCTGCGCTCGTTCGACCTCAACCTTAACTCTACGGTGCAGGGTACGGAAACCTTCGTGAAGTTCCGCCGACCCGCCGACGAGCTCGGCGTACAGGTCAAGCAGGTGGAGGCCAACCTCGACGCACACACTGACGTACCTGGGGTCGAAGATGTGGCTGCAGACCCATTTCAGGATTGGCTGGACTGTGTGTTCGTCCCGTGATTCCAGGGCATCTCGCAACGCGCTGCGATGGCGGAGGGCGAGAAGAAGAGTGAGAACGTTGAGCGGCGAGTGCTCTGGCGAGTACTTGTCGAGGACCTGGTCAAGCGCACGCGCGTACCGGGCATGACGCAGGTCGCTCTGCCATGGCCGTTCTTTCTTCTTAAACGTGCGAGGTTCATTCGCGATGACCACATCGGCTCCCTCGCCGACCATGTCAAGTCGCTTAGCGGCCGTGACGCGACGCTTGCGCTTCTTCTTCTTGGCATCGTGTGACTCGATGGTTCCGGCCACAAGCGCGGACATCTCCTTCTCGCGCTCGGCTTCTCGGTTGGCTTCAAGGCCAGTGAGGCGGGTACGGAGGCTGAGGACACCAGACTGCATACCAACGGCAAGGTGACGGTCGCTGGACTCGGGGTCATCGCTTGAGGGGATGACCTTGACCGACAGGACAGGAGATTGGTACTTGGTGCTCGAAACGACGTTCCAGCCAGTTGTCTCGAAAACTTTTACGTGACCTTCCAGGCCACCACTGACGAGCCGTCGGCCATTGGAAGCAAGGCTCAGCGAGGTAACGGTCTTTTGGTGGTTGGTGATCATGTGCAGAGGCCGGGCAGCAACCAGGTCGAGGACGCTGATAGAGTTCTCGGCCGCGGCCAGGACGGTCGTTCCCGAGGGCATCGACAGCACATCCTCAACCGGCGCGGCATGCTTGAAGGTCATGACAGCGCTGTTGCTTCCTGTCCTAGGATCCCAGAGCTTCACCGTGGAATCGTAGCTACCCGAGATAATCATATTCGACATGGTGCCAGGCATGAAGTTTGCGGATCGGACGTAATCGCCGTGGCCAACGAAAGTCGAGGTAGGATCATTGGTGGTGAGATCCCACAGGCGGACCGTCTTGTCATCGCTCGCGCTCAGGAGAGTGGTAAGTTCGGTCGGCGAGAACTTGGTCGTCCAGACCGGCTGCTTGTGCGTGGCCCACGTCTTGAGAATCGCCCTCGAGTTGACGTCAAAGACCTGCATCTTGCCGGAGTCGTCACCAGCAACCAGCACGCGGCCGTCCTTCCGGATCTCTCCGCTGCGCGCAACATCGCCGAAGCGCGTGATGGTCTTGAGCAGCTTGCGCGTCCGGTTCGAGTAGATCTGGATGCGGGTGCCCGTCGTGACAGCAAACGAGTCGCTGTTGGACGAGATGTGGACGACGGGGTATGCGGTCGGCGACGTGATCAGGAGCTGGTTCTTGAACGTCTTCCAGTAGCGCTGCTCTGCTGTGACCGGCGTCGGCCCCGCGGGCAGCTTGAGCTGTGGGAGAGGGCCCACCTGAGCTGCCATTGTTCGTGATGGTGAAGGCTGGTGTTCGGTGGTGGTTGTTCGAGTTCAATGGGACTTGCAACGGGACTTGGCTGTGATATTTTTTTTTCTCTGCGATAAGATTAGAATGGTTTGGGATGGCTGGCAGCGGAAGTCCACCGCGGGGCACCCAAAAGCATGCACCTTATTGGTTTAGCGCTATGCTCTGCTGCACACCCAGCTCCAACCCAACTGTAATGTGGTGTTCTCCAGGGCAACACAAAAAGAGGATTAAACATGTCAGGCTTGAGAAAAGAAAATGCCAATTGAAGTGACGGATGATGAATTATTTAGGCGATGGTAACCAGCCTATCTATCCGATTGTACAATGCTCCCCTAATCCAGAACCCTCTGTATAGTAATAACGCCATTGAACCGTTCCGTTGATCTATATAATACACTTCACTTCACTTCATCCACTGCTCATTGCTTTCATTTCTTCAATAACCGCCTCTTCGTCGTGATCTACCCGTCCCAATGTCAATGTTTTGCATTTCCTCCATCAATGCGAGCTCGTTGCCACCACCGATTGCTCCGCTCATAAGCGGAAGTGGCACTTTCGCCGGAACCGGGGGCCCAGAGCCATATTGCGGTGCTCGATTCTCATTTTGTTGGTCCCAGGTACTTGCACGTGGCAGACCTCGGGTTGGGGTGTATGAGCTCTGCCTGTGTTGGTAATTATCTGGGGAAATTGGTGCCAGAGGGCTGACCGCCGCCGGAGACGGCCCCGCAGAAGCTGGATTGCGCTTTTGAAGGCGAGTCCGGCCTGCGCTCGCAGGGGGTGTGCGAGGCTCATCGGGAGTACCGTAGGGCAGAGTAGCCGACATCGAATGTCGACCAGATCGAGGAATCCTCCGAGTGCTGGGTGGGAGAGGCTGCGCTCCGGAGAGGGCCGGCCTTGATCGTGGCTCCGGTTGATCCTGCTGCTTCGCCTCCGGCTCCGGCGCCCATGACTCGATAGGTAAGTGGTCAGAAGGGTCAACTTCCCGTCCATCATAAGTAATGATCTTTTTCGGCTCCGTTTTCATGAAATCCGGCGCAGGGCTAGTCCCATCCCTGGAGGATACAAGGCTGGGATTCAGCTCATCGTACGAGTCGGGTCCGAATGGAATTGCAGATAACCTCCTGGCCTCTGTTGGAGGGGGAATGGGACTGACCGACTTCCGTCGGATCGTGTGCTGGGGGTTGGGGCTGGTTCGGGGATCGGGACTGGTCCGAGGATCAGGGGATATGCCTCGAGAGTGCGTCACCGGTTGCTCGGATCCAGTATTGTACGCGATAGCACGTCGATCGTATTTCGTTAGGGCATAGCTCTGAGAAGCGTCCGGGGAATCACCATATCCTTGATCGCCGTATCCTTGGTAGGACTCGGTTCGTGCGCGGCCTCGTGGAGGCGTTGACACACTCTGTGAGTGATGTCGCCCGCGGCGATCTTCGTAGATGAGATCCGTTACCTCCTGCGAGAGGCTTGGGTCTAGCCCTGGGACGAGAGATGCTGGCATCCCAGGCATTCCATGACTGGATGAGCTTTGTATTTGCCGCGTTTCCAGTTCCATTCTGTGACCTGAATGTTGACTCTGGCTGCTATGCGAATTGTACGAGATTTGGCCCGGGCTTTTAGAAATCTCCCGAGCATGGACGGAGGAATGATGAGGGACGATCTGGTACTGATTCTGCTCGTGCCCCGGACTTCGAGAGTAGTCTCGGCCATGCGACGGGGATGCAGCTACCATTTGGTATGAGTTCTGATCCTGACCTGGGCTTCGAGAGTAGTCTCGGCCATGGGATGGAGATGCGGCCACCATTTGATAAGAATTCTGGTCCTGTCCAGGGCTTCGTGAGTAGTCACGACCATGGGATGGAGACGCAGCGACCATTTGATAATCCTGATCATGCCCCGAGCTCCGAGAGAAGCCACGGTCACGGGATTTAGATACAGCAACCATTTGATATGGATTCTGGTCTTGGTATTCATGGGCTTGCTGCGAGGGCGAATAATCCTCTCGGAATGGAGAGCCACCTGGTGATCGACTCAGGTTGAGAGGAGCCGGGCTCGGAACCTTATCAAACAGCTCGTCTTGCTGTTGGATCCGACTTTGCCTGTAGTTATTCGGGTGCTCCGGTACGTCCTCCACGGTGGGTTGCATGGATCGGTAATGAGGATCATAGTTCGCGTCGTAGGAACTATGCCTGGGCGAAGTATCGTAATTCTGAGCCACAAGCGCAGTCGAGGGGGCCGAGTCGTAGCCTCGAAATGTTGGTCGACCCGGGTATGATGGCATCGAGTGTCTGTGAGCTTCGCTCCTCAAAACATCATGCCTCATGGGGTGCGAGGGCTTGGGCGGCGACGCATCGAAGGTGTTTCTAGGCACAAGCTCCTGGCCTCCGCTGTTGTGTCTGCTTCGATGCGCCGGTGGCGGTGGTGGACGTTCCTCTTCCATAGGGGGGAACTGTCTAGGGTCATCCATAGGCGGTGCGTCGTAGACATCTTGCGGAGGGGCAAACTGGCCCCGATGATCCATCTGCTCCGGCTGTTGACTGGGGTATTTTGGGCTGTAATCCCGATCTTCGAGATGTCGTGGGGATGCCTCGTACGAAGGGTTCATCGAACGGCGAGCCCCACGTGGTACCTCTCGAGGCGCCTCATTGCGCGTGGGGGTGACATACTCCTGCGGGGTCCCTCCATGAGGCGACGGGGAGTGATGCTCTGGGTGACGGGTTCGATGCGAGGGTGGTGTGTGATATTCGACCGCCTGCAGCGGCGATTGATTGGCAACGAAATTTCCTTGGGAGGCCTGTTTGGCATGTGCCCGAGGTGGCGGGGTGTTTTGTTCGGGCGCTGGAGGGGCAGCTATTGCGGCTGGGGCAGGAGGCGCTTCGCCGGTGACGGGGTCAGATGGTAGAGGGCGCCTTTTCACAGGGGTCCTCTGCTTGACGGAGCCGTGCTCTGACTCGGCAGAAGCGGACTGCTTGGGCTTCACTGCTACAGGCTTCTCGGGTTTGGGCCGTGAGTCGTAGTAGGTGATTTCGATTCTGATCTCGCCGGCGTATTTTCCTCGGCAGCTGAGGGTCTGCCAAACATCTCTCTGGCCGCCGCCGGGGATGATGATGCCTCTGAGGTCAATCCACGATTCGCCGATCAGGTCGGTCTTCTTATCTTCGGCAAAGACGGAGATCTTGAGCTGGTAGTAATCGGGGGAGTCGTGGACGGTGAACCGGAGTTCCTGGTCCCTAGAGATATGATCAGTTGGAGCTCAGCCAAGTAAGCAAACAACATGAAGCCTTACCATTTCGGCGTCTGTCCGCCGCGGACATCAGTCGTAGTCTTCTTTGCCTCCTTGCCTAGCCTGGCAGCACAGTAGGGGTCCTGCTTGCCGATGGTCTTTCGGTTGGGCAGGTTCTTTGCTCGATCGACGATAGCAACGAGGGTTCCGACAATAGGCCCATCGACGGTCATGTCGGCAAAGATGCCCGCGGTATGAACCCCATTGAGGGGGTTGATCTTGGCTTTGGTCGCCATGATGGTGGTGTTCGCGCGCAGCACGAGTGGAGGGGGGTCGTGGAGTTCAAGGTGGGTTGTTTACATCGGCGGAACCCGTCTATCTCCAACTCGGCCGTTGGCGGTAAAGAACGACAATGGGTTTGTTTGCTGCAGAAGACGGAGAGAAGGACCGTCAGGGCAAACAAAGAATACTAATAAGAACAACAATAATAAACGAAGGGAGCCCAGAAAGGTTGGAAACGGCCAGACAATGAGGGAGGGCGTGGGGAGAGAACGGGACCGGGGAATGGATGCAGGAAAGACAAGACAAGACGAGAGGCGGCGCGGCGACGGGATAGAATGAGCTGCAGTAGTTAGTTAGTACAGGACTGGACCAAAGCCAGCCGTAGGAGGCAATGTTGTTGCGAGAATGAGGGATGAATGGAGGGATGGAGGGGCCTTGTTTCGCGGCCGGCGCGTGCAACGGGTCCGGATGTCGTAGCGTTGTATAGCCCAGGCTTGCGTGTGGTTGGGGGCTGAAAGCGGTATAGAGCGGGATAGAGGCTGCCTGCGCAGCGGTGCAGTGGGCCTTTGCGGGAGGCTGGGCTGAAAACGGGGGGGCTGGCGCGCGGTGCGGCAGGGGTTGCGGCGGGCTGTTGGAACTCTGAGGGAGCCTCCACCTACTGAGCTACAGGGGGAGCTACAGGGAAGCTTCTTAGTCCCAGGGGCGCTGCCAGGGCGTCGACGCGGCGGGTCGCCTTTGGGTGCCCGTTGGCTGTCAGCGTGGCCAGTCGCCAGCGTTGACATCAGGGGATTGGCGAAGATGGGATGGGACGGGCACCACAACAATATCAAGGGCACACCAAGGGCACGCACGCCACGGCACACCACGAGGATCCATCAATAGGAGCCAGGGAAATCGGACATGCCGGGCCCTGATTCGCCCAGCCGAGCCCGGCATTCAGAGCTCGCATCACCCCCCGTGAGCTTAACTTGGGAATAAAGATACGGATGTCACAACCCGAAGGATCCATCCCTCGCGAATGGCGAGACGTGCACCGCCATGCTGCTTCGCAACCCGAGTGCGCGTACAAACCTACAGCGTCTGCGAAGTACACATGGCAGCTGAAAAGCTTGCTCACAGCCACAGCGAATGCGAGAAACGAGCAATTAATAATCCCGAGCCTCCGGGCACTTGCGATTGCCAAGGCCTGCGCTGACGACTCCTCGTAACGGCAACCTGTAGCCTGGCGTCTGGTTTTTTTCTTTCTTCTCTTCGGGCCTTGGACTTAACGCTCAACGGCTATGGACCTGTGGCATCCGAATTGGCGCCAGAGAATGGAGACTGGTCGCGTAGCCTAGGAAACACAACGACACCGACGCTCACAGGCCCGCCATCAGCTGCGAGAGATGACCCGATCTCGATTCTGTGGGGGAGAGTGGATGGGAAGGCTCTGTTCGCACGCAAGTCACCGGGGTCCACGAGCTCCACCGCTGTTGATTAGGCCCCAAGTTTCGAGCTTAGCCGTGTCCTTGGCGACGATGAGTTTGCATGCAAAAAGATCAGACAGACCACAGAGCGAGCGAGTGTCTCTGGACCCTGAGCAGCTGGAGATCGGTTGCAATGCAAAGGACACCAGGGCTCGCAAGACATGATGACAGCCAGCGACCATCAGTATCACCGAGTCAGATCAAAATTGTCATGTCTCCAATCCGCGGGAGAGGAACCATTGGACCGTCGCTCCCGATGACGATTGTTGCTATGGGAGACAGAGCCCCATTCCATGGTATCGGCATCGTTTGAAGCTAGGCACGCCGCAGCTGCAGAGACCCATCCTCAGCTTCGGTAACTGGTCTCACGTTTCGCGGCACATTGTTCTCCAGGGCGCACTTATTATGCAGGTTTCACCTGTGAGGGTTTCCAGAACTAGCGGAACCGGGACACCCTGTTTGCGAACGCAAGCAGTAAAACTGTGTCTCGAGATAGCCTCATCCTGGGTCAGTCACTGTGTTCATGTCCACAGGATTCATCCGAGACACTAACATCACCATGAGTCACTTTAGTCATGGAAGAGACACAAGGCATCCGGAAAGAATGCGAACAGGGATTGATGTGCATTTTGGATAGCCTTCGGCTACCAGTCGCAGCTCTTCGCAAGCAGCGCCGCCAGGTCCTCGAGGTGCGCCTTGTCAACGTCATCAAACCCGTCCAACACGGCACAGTCGATGTCGATGATCGCCACCACCTTCTTCTCGCCGTCGCCCCCGGGCTGCTCGACCAGAATCGGCACTACAATCTCGCTCTTGCTATCCCCATCGCAAGCTATGTGCCCCGGGAAGCTCTCCACGTCCCTGACCAGCTGGGTGGTCCCTGTCTGTGCCGCCGTCCCGCACACTCCTTTCCCGAACTGGATGGTCTGGCAGGCTACCTTGCCGTGGAAGGGTCCAAGGATGAGCTGTGGCTGCTGAGATGACTTGTCTAACACGTAGAAACCTATAAGTGAAGTTGTTGTCTGGTTACCGTCATGTCGAGAGAAGAATTGATATGGTCAGAGTTCGTCACCCACCTGCCCAGTTCACGTTATTGCTCGGTGCACCCAACGATTTGTAAGCATGCCACAAAAGAGATGCAGCGTTTGCGAGGTTGCTAGGGCTTCATCAGACACACCCTTAAGGAGTCATAAATTCGGGCCAAAAATGAACACTCACCAAACCTGGAGAAAAAACGTGTGAGCCAGAAATTCAACAATGACAGTAGGGGAATAAGAAAAAACGAACCCAGTTGCGCTGGCCAATGAAGAGACCCTCGGCCTGCATCAGAACCTGTTCGTAGGCATCCTGCTTTGTGACGCCGTCGGCGAAGTTGGATGCATCCGCGTGAACCTGCATCATCGTGAGCTCTGTGCCCAAGCCTTCCACAGTTGGGGATGTCACAGGCCAGTAGCTCATACCATTGTGTCTCGTCTCAAAACCAGGTAACCTTTTTACAGAAGATGTCAAGCTCTGCTTCTAGCTGCGGCGCTGATGGGTTGCGTTTGGACGATTATGAGAGCTGGCGCATCAGAATCCAATTTTTTGTTGAAATTATGATGGCTTCCTACTCCCTGCTATTAAATTACTAACAGTGACAGAACCACCCCGCAAAGCCCCGGCTGCCATGCCATTTTAGCGGTATTGATGTCAACGTTTATGTCCAAGCGACCCAAATTCGCCGAGAGATTCGACAAAGGACGGAAATATATTCACGTTACCCCAAAACATGTTTCAAGTTCAAAAAGCCATTTGTCACATATGCAAGTTGAGCGGCGAAGTAGTTCGTCTCACACTCAAGCATCCGTCTAAAGCCATCAATTCGGGGTTAGTTACCTAGCATCATAAAGAATTTACAGGCCCCGTGCGGCTCCATATGTTCCTACGAATTCTATCAAATCAGAGATTCCGGTTTGAGAGCCAGCTCTAAGCACTAAGGTCCCAGAACGGCAGTCGTAATTTTCTACAGGGCAAGCCGGAGCCTTTTTCCTGCGACGCTGGTGATGATGGGTCGATTACCCATAATTCCAAGTCTATGATGCATACAAATTCTCCATGTTTCAATAATTCATTCCACTTTGGCACTCTGCAAGTGGCAACCTGCACGGAATAATTGGGTCGAATCAATACATGCCTTCAGTCACTCGCGAGAAGCGTTCGTCGTGAGCACGCCAGTTGACGCTGGCAAGCGGACTTGGGGCGATTCCGGCCCAGGTACCTCCGAGCTTGGCCCCGGGGCGGTTCCCGAAGCTACCGATTCTCCGGAGCCAATGACGCACCTCGCTGGCTTCCATTTGGTGCTGCCAGCATCGAGGTTCTCCTCCATCTCCATCCTCACATCGACCATACCCACCGATGCCATGAGCTGCCGAACGCCATGGAGGCACTTTGCGTACGCTCCGCGCCGACACGGTCATAGCATCGGCAATTGGCCCTCGAGCCTCTATGCGCCGGCCTCGAAACCCCCGCCCATTCTCACCACAGCGCAGTCGCGATTCATCCACAATGACGGCCCCAAGACGTCCAATCCGCTCGTCAACCCGCCTGCCGTGTCCCGACCGCCACCGCTCACGCTGCCGCGCCGCAGAGACTACGAGTCGGCCCCGAAATACTACTTTGAGCTGGGAAAGGGCTACCTGAGGTTCTACAAGGACGGCTTGAAGAATGTCTTGGCGAGCCGCCGCCTTCTCCGCGAGAAGCTCAAGCGGACCCCCGCTGACGACCGACCCTCGATATTCAGACCACACTACGTCCCGCGGACATTTTCGCGAGCCGATTGGGTCCTTCTATGGCGGGTGCGCCACGACATGATCCGTCTCCCCCTCTTCGGACTCATGCTCATCGTCATTGGTGAATTTACTGTCCTGGTGGTTGCCTATGTCGACCACTTGGTGCCATACACCTGCAGGATACCGACGCAAATCTTTGCGGCTCTTGAGAAGGGCGAGCAGCGCCGAAAAGCCGCTTTTGACGAGTTCGAGAGCAAGTACCCCCACGGCGTCCTCAGTCCCCGAGTCACCCAGGACGTGGCTCGCTCTCACGTCCTCAAGAGCCTGCACATCAGCGGTGGAATATGGGACAAGCTAGGCTTCACGCCGCCGGGGATGTGGCAGGCCAAGGGCATATATCGCATGGCATACCTGGAGGGCGACGACAAGAACATTATCGAGGACGGCGGGCCAACAGGGCTCGAGTACGACGAGTTGCGACTTGCCTGCGCGGATCGCGGCATCGATACCCTGGGGAAGAGCGAGACGGAGTTGCGGAGCTGGTTTGGCGACTGGTTGCGATTGACGGCAGCAGAGGATATCGTGGAGAGGAGACGGCGGATGGCGGTGTTGCTCCTGACCAGGTACGTATTTGCGAAGCGAAGACCAGGGGGAGCTCGAAGCTAACTATTTACAGACCCGAGAACTGGCCGCAGCATCGAGACTTTGGCGTGCCTGAGTGGCAGTTGTAAGGAATGAAAAAGGGATAAAGATGTAGTTGACGGTTGGAGCGAAGGGGAGAGCGCCGCCACAGAGATTCTCGCTCTCCAAAATGTGTAACATGATTTGCTGGGTATTCGGTATCCCATCTACTCATCTCCCGGTGATGTAATATCACAATGTATATATAATGCAACTCCCATAAATATGACGCTTTTTTTCTTCTTCCCTAACCATCTTTTACTGTGATTAATGTGATTAATGTGCTGCATGTGCCATTTAAACCCCATTAGGTCCATGTTTCCGAGGTTCGCAAGCGTGCACGTGGACAGCTTCCAGGACAGTTGGGTGGGTTACATGCTCGGCCCTGCACCTGACCAGAGGACCATCAGCCCTGAATAATGAATGCAATAGGCAGGAAAGTACGGACGGTTACGATCCGGGCTGCTGGAGGGGGGTTCCGTTGGTTCAACGTTAATCCGAGCCATGGCGGTCCCTTAGATCCAGTCTCCAGAAGGCGTTTCGGAGTTGTCTTGGGGGCCCTTTGTGGAACAGGTGGGAAAAGGCCGTCGGCCGTCGCACATGATGTCAGCTTCCGTGCTCCGTCGCCGAGGCTCGCATCACATGCAACGACCCCGGAAATCCGCCAACCCGCCAACGGCCAACCCCAGGAAACACGGCTTCTCGCATTTAAACACGGCCAATTCCCCCACACATTTCCCTTTTGCATCCTCATACCGCCCTGTCTGGAACATTACCCCTGTGTGTCCAAATCTCGCATTGCCTATTCCCAGATCTTCGTCTCCGCTCGATCCGCGATCCAGTCCAGCGCCTCTCCAACGCCACCATGTCTCTCAAGAACGGTGCGTACATCCGCCATCATGACTCGGCGCAAACCCGCCCCCGCCTCCCCCCCAAGACTTGACGTGAACTGACGCAATCCTTTCGCTGCGCAGACAGCTTCCCCTCCTCGGCCGCCTTCGACGCCATCAACGCCGCCATCAATGCCAGCGACGCGGACCGCCAGGACGCCATCAAGCAGGGCAAGGGCGTCTACGCCTTCAAGCTCAAGAACAAGGCTGGCGAGGAAGCGAGCTGGCACATCGACCTCAAGGAGTCAGGCAAGGTCGCCGCTGGCCTTGGCGAGAAGCCTACCGGTATGTACGCCCAACTACTCAAGGACAAGGCCGTTTTTCGAGTCCTCATTTGTTTGCGCTCTGCGGCGCATTCCTTGACTTGAAAAGTCCGCTGGCTAACACGCACGTGTCTACGCAGTCACCCTCTCACTCTCTGACGAGAACTTCGGCAAGCTCGTCGCCGGCAAGGCCAACGCCCAGCGTCTCTTCATGTCGGGCAAGTTGAAGGTTGCGGGCGACGTCATGAAGGCGACCAAGCTGGACCCTATCCTGAAGAAGGCTCAGACCAAGGCCAAGTTGTGAGGAGAGTGCCACGTCCTCTTGTATGATATCACTTTGCTGTTTGTCACGGCTGTCATTGCTTGTATGCGAGTACATATAGACGAATACCACGCCTAGGCCGGTTCAAGACTGCTCATGATCCATATTCAACTGTCGATATTCTGTCGCAATGTGAACCAAAGGCAGGATACATAGCCATTCCTTCAATTTTGGTAATTAGATCAAGCCTGCCAGACCCCGAATTGCTGCCAAGGCTTCCTTCTGCACCTCGCGGACAATATCCCCAGCAGGCTGTGCCTTCTTCACAAGTCCAACACCGGCTCCCCTATTCACATCAGTAACCGCAACGACAATATCTTTTGACAGGTGTAACTTACGCCCAAGTACGAGTAATGCGGTCGGCTTCTTCTTCGGAGTAGTCCTCCTTCAAACTCTTCTGGCACTCTTCAAGCGATGCTCCCGCGAGAAACTTCTCATGGATAGACCCGATGATGGCTCGGCCGTCGTAGAGGGGACCCCAAAGGGTGCTTTTGGTGATTTGGTCATTGAATGGTGACCTAAATATCATCAACATTGAGGGTATATGAATTTAGGAAGTAGATGTACTTCAACGTCGACACTCCGCCATCGACGGCTTTAAGAATAGTTTCCTTTCGGAAGTCAGGGTACTTCGACTCAGGGGCAACGGTAAACTATACCCATCAGTTCAGTTCACATTCCATGGTTGAACGCCACTTACCTTTGTCCCCATCACCGCTGCATCCGCGCCTGTGAATAATTAGCAGTCAATTCAGCAGTGCTCACGACTCAGGTACACACCCAAGGCCAAGGCCGCAACCACACCCCTCCCGTCAGCAATACCTCCCGCAGCTACGAGCCCTATATCCTTTCCCTGAAACTCTTCATCAAGCATGCTCCTCACTTCTGGGACCAGTGTGACGATTCCCGTTCCTTGACGGAACTGGTGGCCGCCAGCATCGACTCCCTGAGCCACAAGTACATCTGCGCCATCCTTCACGGCCTCTCTCGCCGCCGCAACGTTTCCCACCTGGACAAATACGACAGGAGGTGGGTCGAGACCCTTGAGTCCCTTGATAATTGCCGGATGAGGCTTCAAGTCACCATCAGGTGCGAACAGCCATACCGCTGCAGGACGGTGCTTTGCAAGAACGGGCAGCGCCGTATCGGCAAAAGCAGTCATGGAGGCATCGCTGGTAATGAAGGCCGCACCGACTTGAATTGGACTGCTTGCCGGTAGGTCATCGCCAAGTAGGCCACGAGCCTCGCTCAGCTCAGCATCGAGCGCCGAGAGCTGGGGAGACTCGGTTCCGAGGTCCGCGATTGCCCCAATAAAACCTCAACGTACCATCAGCTTACATGTCTCTTGCGAAGTGCTTGCAGACTGGAATGGGAATACCTAAGCCACCGGCCTTGCTCACTTCAGTCGCAAGGCGCGGGGTCGCAGCCCCGGCCATGGGCGCGCTGATGATGAGGGGTGACGTGACCCACTGGAACCGACTTAGAAGCTTGGATGCGCTCATGATTGTGATGTGACGAGATGAAATTTGGGTTTGGTATTTTCTGAGCGAGAAAACACATATAAGCTGACGCAGTCGATGATCCCGCCGGATTAGTCGGTTGATGGGAGAGAGTTAAGTACCGGATTCTGATTTGTCATGGAATCGAAAGCTCCCACTTGCTCACTGCCTCTCAACAATTTTCGGTCAACATCCGCGCGTTGCTTGCATAATGGTTTGTGTATCTCCGAGGAGGGGTTTATTTCATATTTAGATATTATTCTAACCCATTTTTATTCTTCATATTCTGTCGTGTCCGGTCTGGAGGGGGCGGTTTAAAATCGCGGAGGCCAGGCCGGAGGCTTGTTGTTCAGAATAACATCAATCTCACTGAGGATCTCGGGAGTCAACTTGTCAACAAGAGCAACAGCCTTGACGTTCTCGTACACCTGCTCGGGGCTGCTGGCACCGGTGATGGCGCAGCTGACGTTCTTGTTGCTGAGCACCCAAGCGAGCGCGAGCTGGCTCTGGGGAACACCAAGCTTCTCGGCAATGGGCTGGAGCTTGTTGACCGTCTCGATGATGCCATCCCACTTCTCCTTGCCGGTGGTCTTCCACCAGCCGTTGATGAACTCGACTTGCGTCTGGGCGAAGCGAGAGTCGTCAGGGATACCGTCCTTGTACTTGCCCGAGAGGATTCCCTGCTTCATGGGCGAGAAGACAGTGAGGCCGAGGCCGACCTCACGGTATAGGTTGTCGTACTCCTTCTCCACCTTCTCACGATCCAGCATGTTGTAGGCCGGCTGCTCCATGACGGGGCCGATCAGGCCAAGTCTGTCGGCGACGCGCCAAGCCTGGGCAATCTCATCGGCGTTCCACTCAGAGGTACCCCAGTAAAAGGCCAGGCCCTGGTCAATGATGTGGTTGAAGCTACGAACAATCTCCTCCATGGGAGTCTGGCGATCGGGTCGGTGGGCGTAGATGAGGTCCACGTACTCGAGGTCGAGTCGCTTGAGGGCGAGCTTAGTACCCTCGACGATGTGCTTTCGCGAGAGGCCCTTGTTGTTGACGGGGTTGTTGCCAAAGGCACCGCCCCAGTAGATCTACCGAGGGAATATTGTCAGTTCGTGATTCCCTTAGATGGACTGAGTTGATATCTCACCTTTGTGGAAATAACCAGGTCGTTGCGCTTCCAGCCGAACTCTCGGATGGCCTCTCCCATGACGACCTCAGACTCTCCTTTGCCATAGACCTCGGCGCAGTCGAAGAAGTTAACACCACAGTCATAGGCGGCTTTCATACACTTGAAGGTGGCCTCTGTTGCAGATTATCAGCACTCGCACGTAAGATCTCTTGAGCTATATCGGGGAAGCCTCACGCTTATCGACGTGGCCACCGTAGGTGAGCCATCCGCCCAGGGCGATGGACGACACCTGGAGACCAGATCGGCCAAGGAACCGATAGGTCATGTCAGGGATACCCTCTGGCTTGGACATGGTGGCGGTGGTTATGTTGGAAGGGCTACTCGGGTGGAAAGTTGGATCACAGGAGAGGAAGAGTAAGAACTGAGCCTGACGAGATGATCAACATGATCCCCTCTCGAGGGCTTTATAGTTACTCCCGAAACAAGCAAATGGGCCGATAGCTTATGAATCTCATACCAGCAGCTCATGCGGGGCAATTGATACCCCTCCCCCACCTCACTCAAAACCGGCGACCGAGCGGTGACAGCAAACGAGTCCAGAGGTTGATGTCATGGTGTGAGCCGGTTGCCCAAAAGGAGCCGGTTTCGAGCCGGTTTCCGGTCGGGGATAACGGAGCGCTTGATTATACTACCCCCAAATCCTGTAAACACCACCTATCCCTACCGCAATTAGTCTCATTCAGTCATCCGGCGAGGAGTAATTCTCGCATTGGCCCCATAGAATATGCGGTAGTCTGCCGGCAGAGTGAGTTAGCTTGCATTGGTAATCCTATTTTCGGTGTTGTATCCCACCGAGCAGGGCGAGGACAGGTGGAGGTTTTGATTCGATACCGAAGTCGGCCGCACGACGCCATCCTGAGATATTATTGTAACCTAGCTTCACTGCTTATGGCTAGATCATCGTCGTGGGATGGGCGGTTGATGTCCTTGATCCAGACAAGGGCTGGTGAGGGGATGCTACCCTATACCAAGGGCTCGGCGTTGGTCGTGGAGCAGTACATCAAAAACCCAGACAACTTCACAATGGCGAGCAGCTACAGCCCGAGCCAATGTAAAATGGGATGTGTCATTCCATGTCTCCTTTGTTGATTTGGTGGTATATTGTCATATGACAAGTCAAGCTTGGTGGCTTGCCTAGGGTGGACTTGTCACTTCGACGAGCTTGAGACGCACTAGCAGCAACGTGGGCAGTAGATGTTGCATCGCAAGTGGTAGGATAATTCACCGCATGTATTTGTCTGATTGATCTACTCCTTTTCATGCTTGGTTTTGTCTTGTAAGCAATCCTATTGACGTTCCTTATTCCTCGCAATTACCACAATGACCAACTCTGCTTACTTGAAGGAGCTCTCACTAAGATGACGTTCATACATGGTTCAGCCCCTCGTACATAAACAATACGATATGGGATAAGCAATCGATGGCGCTTGTTGACATTCACAATTGGCCAGACTTAGACTGCAGTGTTGAATGAGGTGGGAGATGTGGCAATTTATTGGTTAACCATGTTAATGCACGTTGTGAGACAAAAGATTGGCGCTTGCCCCGGATATTACGAACTAAAAATGGGGACCAAATCTCCGAACGCGAAAACTGACCTGGTTCACCTTCTGTCCGAGCAAGGTGACTTCGCTGTAAGGGATATGAGAGTCAAGCACTGGAGTGCGGATGCGATCCGACACCCGAAGCCCTCCAGAGGCTGAATCAGGATTCACAGGTGCAGCTATGAACACACATATGTCTTGCCAATGCGATCGGTCCGTTAGGTTGGTGACTTAGACATGGTCAAGCCGCGCCAGTGTTCACTCTCCCTCATTATTGTTTGCGACAGGCTGCTGGGCAACACGGCCCGGACCAAACCTGACGGAACCCGGCCAAAGGGGATAGACGGCGTTGTACTGATGCAAACTGCACCGAGACGCCGTCCGTACGAGACGGTCGCCTGCGCAAAGACCCGTCAAAGCTTTCTCGGAGTTGCCCCTGGACCGTGGGTGGTTCAGGGTAACGGGATGCAACATGCAAGTAACGGAGCTGAAGTAAACGCCATAATAGCGACTGAGACAACGAGAGTGGGAGGTGTCAAGTGAAAGCTCAAGCCTTGAGTCTGGAAGGAGAGACATCACTCACATCACTGGCGCCACATGAATACGTAATGACGTTTAAGCTGGAGAGAAACATATGCTAGACTGTTGGAGATAAGCAGGGTAGACGGAGGATTTGAAAGTCAAATATCCCCTCTGGAAGGCAATTCCTTCATACCTGATGCCAATTGAATATGCGAATATTGTTGGTTGTCCAGCTGCTGGTTCGTCTTGTGGGGAGGGAGCTCAATGGTGTGTGATCTCCGCTTGTTGGCCGTGCTAGGGGATGCGGGATGGCACACCATATCACCATTTAGGGGGCCTAAAGGAGGGACGGGATCCCGAATAAGGAGGTGGATACGGCCGTACAGCAGCGTCTGTTTAGTGGGCATGAGAATCGTCCCCAGCGACTACTCCAGGGGCTTGAGGAGAGACCCGATTCTGGCGTGGAACCCGGCACGAGGATATCTGTTCTTGGCCGGGTCGGGTGGGCCGGGGGCGCGCTGGGGTGGACGAGGAGCAGGGAAGCGTGCGACTGGTAACCTCCCGTGATTCGATCAGCGCCAGGCGAGGCCTGATGGCAGATGAGGCATCAGGCGATGAGAGTTGAGGCGTTGTAGTATGTGTGACGGGAACTTGTATGATGGCATTGGACACGGTACTGCGCTACAAGCTTGCATTTCGGGTCGTGTACCTCCGTGAACTGCCAGAGATGCTGCGCATGGGCAGATGGAGCCGCCGATTGGGGCTGGAATTCGATGGCCGGGCGGGCGCTAGCAACGTCTTGACTTATCTGGCGCGGCTTGTAGCGCTTGTCGGTCTTCTCGCTTGGCCCCGACCGCCTCAATGCCCTTGTAGGGGAGCGAGTGTCGTCTACTCGTAGTGAGATAGAGAGCCTCATGAGAGGCGTCGGCGGTTGGCGGTGAGAATGGGTCCATATTACCTTTCCGGTCCGTTGGGGAACGAGGACGAGCTCTGCACAAGGGTCTCCGGCTGGCAGATACGAATTCATTCAGTGATTGCGGCGTCGACGACGCATCCTGCAGCTGGACCCGCGGACACCGTCGATCCATCTGCTTGCAAGGAGATTGAAATGTGCTGGCCTGGCCTTGCGTTGCTGCACGATTCCCGGGGCATCCCCAGTTGGCCTGCCCGCTGTGATTCTGGGCTCAGGACGCCCCGACGGAAAGACTCGCGCCTGTTGTCGGGTCTCCGTGGTACCTCCGCAGAGGCTGGGAGATTGCGCCCCGAGCGAGGTACCCCGGGCCTGCCGTTGGGGACTCCACCGGGGGCCGCCTCAGTGGACAGCGCCGAGTCAAGCGGCCGACTAGGGGGCTTCGACGGAAGCGCTGAAGATGGACGGAGGATGGACAGGAGGCGACGGACCGTGGACAGTGCCATTCTTAGCGGACGTCGAGCTGCATTTCATCTCATCCCATCCCCTCTCCATCCTGCCCATCCAGCCCAGGGCTCGATGTCCAGTTGATTCAGGGTGGTCCGTGACCAGAGGCACATCTCGGCTCGGATTGCCCATCCATGCAAATTTCTCAGCCGACCCAGAGATGCGACTTACTGGTTGAGTGTGGTTGAGTGTACCGGTTGAGCGGTGGACAGACAGAAATTGATCGAGGCGAGAGACATACTGAGCGGTGCATTGATTGCTTTTGGCGGAGCGTGAAGCAAGTTTGAGCCTCCGAGGTCCAACAAAACCGTCGGCTCCTCGCGAGTCGTACGGGGCTCCATCATCAACAAATCTACCTGCCCATGGGCCCTGGATGCAACCCCGTCTTCGGCTCTGGAAAGCAGGTACCTGGCGGCAAGATACTTGGCTGCCAGGTACCCGCCAAGCTTGGCGTCTGGATATGTGGATGCGGTATAATTTTCCATGCGCACTGTGGAGGCCGACGTTGCATCGCCGGAAGCCCGCCAGCGGCTCAAACGGCGCAGCCGATGGCAGGCCAATGGGCCAAGAAAGGCAGGCGCCTCAGGCTAGAAGCACAGTGCGCATACGGCCATGCCTGTCGCCAAGTGCGCCGGCTGCGTGGCCCATGGATCCCCAGCCTCTGCGACCTGCGGTACTTCCGAACAGGTACCGGCTAGCTCGCTGCAACCGGCCGTCCTCGTCCTGGAGCGGGTTGGCCTAGGCCCTGGGGCTGGTCAGCGGTGGCCTCTGCATCCAGGCTCTCCACTGGCCGCTGGTCGCTGGCCCGGGCTACGGTGCCTAGGCGACCTTCCCTCTTCCCCTTTCCTCCATCCCATCTCTCCATCTCGCAAATCCGCCTTCAGCCATCTTCATCCGCCTCTCGTCGACTTGCCCGGGGGCTCTGCTTCGACATCCTCCGACTCGAATCGATTCGGCCGTCCTACCTGCTGAGCGTCTGCAGGTGAGTGAATCAAGAACACCCGTCCCGTCCCATTCCCCTTCCCTGGAACTGCGTTGGCGTGCGGAGCGAAGGTGGTGTGGCCCGAGGTGCCTGGATGCGTTGGGAGGTCACGATTCGACCTGCTGTTGTTCGCCGCCGCCATTATTGCTGCCCAGTGTTCGCTGGCGACCGCAGGCCTTCGCCTTGCTTCCGCCCTTGGCGCCCTGCTTCTTCTGCCCGTTGCCAGCGTCTCTCCCCGAGCCTGGCCTATAGGGGCAAGCAGTTGTGTCCGCGTCGTACATCTGCTTCCTGCGGCTACGGCTGCGTCTGCGTCTGCGTCTCGCCTGCACAGAGGCTTTTTGCCGCGCCCCCAAAAATACCACCCAACGCCCTGAGACGCCTGGGCACCTCGCCTCATTCTCTCCCGTCCAACCGCACGCCACGCCACTCGTCCTGCTTGCGTTCTTCCCCTTTTACCCTCGAGTCATTGCAGAATTCTATCCGTTTTCATCAGCGCTGACCGCCGTTTTCTTGACTTTGTTTACAGGCATCGATTTCCTCTTGCAGCCACCGCTTCCCCATCTCTGCATACCTCCCGAATCCCCGTCTCCCTGCCTACGCGTCTCCGAAGGTGGTCCTGCGGTGACCGCCCCACGCCGCCATGGCTTCCAGCTCGTCCAACGTCGTCGGCGTCCACTACAGGGTCGGAAAGAAGATTGGAGAGGGTTCATTTGGTGTCATTTTCGAAGGCACCAACCTGTTGAACAACCAGCAGGTTGCCATCAAATTCGTGAGTGCGCTCTAGCGCGCCGAATACCGACTTCGGCCGGTTCCATGTGCACTACTAATCATCGCCAACAGGAACCCCGAAAGAGTGATGCTCCCCAACTTCGAGATGAGTACCGAACGTACAAGATTCTCGTCGGCTGCCGTAAGAATTCATCAATTCCTGCCTAGCCTATTCTCGTGTGACTGACAATTATTTCTAGCCGGCATTCCCAATGTTTACTACTTCGGACAGGAAGGCCTCCACAACATCCTGGTCATCGACCTCCTCGGCCCCTCGCTTGAGGACCTCTTCGACCACTGTGGTAGACGCTTCTCTATCAAGACTGTGGTGATGGTTGCCAAGCAGATGCTCTCAAGAGTTCAGACCATTCACGAGAAGAACCTGATCTACCGCGACATCAAGCCCGACAACTTCCTCATCGGCCGACCCGGCACCAAGGCATCTAGCGTCATCCACGTCGTCGATTTTGGCATGGCCAAGCAGTACCGTGATCCCAAGACGAAGCAGCACATTCCCTACCGCGAGCGAAAATCCCTTTCTGGAACTGCTCGTTACATGAGCATCAACACCCATTTGGGTCGTGAGCAGTCCCGACGAGACGATCTTGAGGCCCTCGGCCACGTCTTTCTCTACTTCCTCCGGGGTGGTCTCCCCTGGCAGGGCCTGAAGGCTGCTACCAACAAGCAGAAGTACGAGAAGATTGGCGAGAAGAAGCAGACCACCGTTATCAAGGATCTGTGCGAAGGCTTCCCCGAGGAGTTCTCCAAGTACCTCACCTACGTTCGAAACCTCGGTTTCGAGGACACCCCCGACTACGATTACCTCCGAGAGCTCTTCACCCAGTCTCTCAAGAACACCGGCGAGGTAGAGGATGGCGAGTACGACTGGATGAAGATCTCGAAGGATTCGGGAAAGGGATGGGACTCCAAGAACCACAACGCGTACCTCCACAACCCAAACGTGCGCCCCGGGCCGTCTCAGATGGAGCTCCACAGCAACCGCCCCGGGAATACCACCTCTCACCAACAAGCACAAAACCTCACTGTCGGCCGTTTAAACGCCGCGCAACCCCCTCCTCCGTCTCCGATCAAGCAGATGGGCAAGCAGAGAGATCGGCCAAGCGCCCCCGGCGCCTTGTCGGCGCAGCGGAACGGAGCTGGGGGTCTCCGCGATATGGCTACCCCGACTGGCTCGACTCAAGCCCAGTTCCAGAACAGCGCGCAGAACCTGCCCCAGCCGAGGACCTCCCAACAGGGCCCGGCGACCCAGCCAGTCCTGCAAAACGGTCGACCCGTTGATCCTCAGCCCACTGGCTTCCAGAAGCTTATGAAGACGCTCTGCTGTGGTTAGTTGCATCCTGACGGCTGTCGGGACTGTTTGTGTATCTATTGCTGTGGCATTTTGCCTCAGGATCTTTACGTTGATGGTAGCCCGACTCCAAGGAGGATCCCATACCCAGAGGAACGGTTGGGGGCGAGAGCCCAGATGGAACAGATTTGTCGTTTGAAGGAAGCACCTGAGCGGCCAGATTGAGCAACTGCAGTCTCATTCGGCAACAAGAGCTTTTGGAATCTTGAGCGGCGAGGGGAATCTCGAACGATAACACGGTCCTGGGATCTCCATCAGTCGAAATCGGCCCACACCATCTACGTACTATAGAACTCCGGAACTGATCGGAGACCATATCCATTCACGGCCACCTTCAACATGGAGCAACACAACTAGATGGATACAGGTCTTGGAGTCGGGAAAGCTTTCCTTTTTATGTCTGGCATTCCATCACGAAATTATACTAAAACCAGTTTAATCTTCCAGCGCAGCACGGCGCAAGGAGATGGAGCAGGGCAGCATTGGGTTTGGTTCGGTGTTATTTCCTCTCCTCTTTCTCATGATGCTGTCTATAATACTGTCTTTCATCGCGTGCCCAGACGGAATCATTCTGGCCTGGTGAGAGTGAGGGCTCGGTGGAGCGAAGGTCGTGTTGTGATGGGTGTAGATGCAAGAAGCAGTCAGTGTGGGATGGATTCGGGAACGGAAGCTTGGTGATTTGTTTGTGAGATGAGATAGAGCACTATAGGGAGTTTTTTCGTCAGGTACAACTTGTAATGGGAAAAAAAGGCGTTGCCAATATTATCATCGCCCCATATTCTTTTTTAACGGCCACTCTCACTACGTATCATAACATTTATGTAACATTAGAAACGCCCCTCAAAAAGGGACGCCTATTCCAGAGACTCCCATCCTATCCTTGCCAGACCTTGCTGAATTGCTCTATCAACGCTCAAGGCCTACGACAATCCTCTTATGAACCAGGTACATCACGTCCAGCCCCAGAACGATTCCATTAAGTCAGCTTTTGCTTAATGAAGAACGATCGGAGATGCGAAAGCTGCCAGGTGCAAGTAATTCCCAGGACAACCATCTGGATAAGGATCCAGCGAATAACGCGGCCGTTGGTCGACTCGGATTGATCTCGGAACTCAGCCTCTCGCTCCTAGATGGGGTGAGCTGTGATTAGCATTGTACTTGTGACAGCTCATATGACATTCGATCTGGCCTTTAATCGCCGCTCCAGGACCAGCGTTTGAAAAGTCCACGTCATGTGTGATCGCCAAATTGATAAGAATGGACGTGTACTTACTCGCTGGAAGACCTGCTCCCTTCGGATGTCGTTCAATCGAGCATTCAGGTCCTTGACACGTGTCGTGATGTCCTGGATCTTGCTCTTGTCGCTGCTTTCGATCTGGTTGGTCTCACCGATAACGAGGTCAAGCGTCAATTTGATACCGCCGTTCTGGTTCTTGGTCGACAGCCAGCCTGGGCGGCCGGAGGTCGATGAGGGAGTGAAGCAGACCTTGTGGTCACCAGAATCGGCGGCGGAGAAGGTGAAGCGACCGGAGGCCTGGCCACGCTGGGAGACGACGCGGTGATCATTGTCGAAGATTTCCTGGTGGCGAGAGAATTAGCATTGCTTTGTGGTTAACTGTACGAGGTGCATTGGAGCTGATCATGGCTGGGCAGCAGAAAGGGATAGGTGTACATACATCGACGGAGATGTAGATGCTGATGCCATCATGCTTCTGCCATCCTTGCGCTCGGTCGTCCCACTCCTCTGCAGTATAGTGTCCAACAACCAGGGTGTCCTTGGGCAGTTCCTCGTAGAAGCACTTGGGGGTTACTCCATCGATGTAGAAGTATAGCGCGTTCGCAACTGCGCTGAGCGACAGGAGAGGGAGGAGGGACCTCATTTTGGCGGGTTTGGGAAAACGGAATTTGCGCTTATTGGTATGGGAAGCGGCGCTTTCAGCTGGCGCAATTGAAGCCCTCGTCCGTGTTGAGTGTCGTTCGTGGGAGATCCGTCGAGAAGGTCGTGTGTAAGAGTGCGAAGCGCAGCTAGTCAATCTGGCGCTGGTAGCGAAGCTGCCACGTTCGAAAATCGGCCGTCAGGGGTGGAGTCACGTGGTGATAACGCCTTCCGGAATCGAACTTCAGCGCGTCCAACCTCGATGACCTCAAATTTTCGTGTTGGTGAACTCAAACCAGCCTCAACCGGACGCGACTGAACGGATAACGCCCTGATAGTCCGTCAAAATAAATACCAATCCGCGGAGAGCTTAATTTTGATGGTTCATGAGATGAAAACCGCGATTTAGCCACCCCCGACGACTGTTCGCCACCATGACATCCGACGTTCGCGACGTGCTCAACCTCCCCGATGGGACTTCAGGCCCCCGACCTGCGAAGAAACAGAAGATTGCGGCGCCCAGGCCAAACCTGAAGGGCCTCGCGCGTGAGGTGCACAACCTGGGTGGCGACAACCCGATCGCGATCGTCCCCGAAACCACCCATTTCAAGAAGCGACGCTTCGCGAGTCGCAAGCCAGCTTCTCGATGGGAACTACGGAAATTTCGAAACTCTGCACGCGATGACCCAAGCTTGACCCTGCGACATTGGAGGCGGGTAGGCGAGAAGGCAGAAGGCGAGGCGCAGGAGCAGGCACCCGCGACGGCGGACGAGAATATTCAGCCTTCGAAGGACGAGATGGAGGATTCTGCCTTTGCGAAATATAATGTCCAGGTGTCGGTGCCCCAGTACAGTGAAGGCCAATATCAGCAATCACTGCAGAACAACGACTGGACGAAGGAGGAAACGGACTATTTGCTGGAACTGGCGCGTGACTTCGACCTACGATGGCCCTTGATATGGGACCGGTACGAATGGAATCCACCTGCTACGAACGGCGACATGAACGTCGATGGCGACGAGAGTAAGGCCATCGTGCCGGCGACACGATCCCGTTCGATGGAGGACCTGAAGGCGCGGTATTACGAGGTGGCATCCAAGATGATGGCTGCACAGAAGCCCGCCCAGTACATGACGCAACCCGAATTTGCGCTCCACGAACTGATGGCGCACTTCAACCCACAGCAGGAGAGACTCAGGAAGGAATTTGCACTCAACGCCCTGACCCGATCGCGCGAGGAAGCCCGAGAAGAGGAGTCGTTGTTGCTGGAGATCAAGAGGATCCTGGCACGCAGCGAACGTTTCAACGACGAGCGCCGGGAACTGTATAACCGCCTCGACTACCCCCGTGCAGACACAGACATCAACGCCTTCAAGTCTTCTGCTGGTCTCCAGAACCTGCTTCAGAACCTCATGAGTGCTGACAAGACCAAGAAGCGCAAGTCACTCATGCCGACCGAGGTGGCGAGCCCCTCAGCCCCCCAGGCCCTCAACAAGTCGCCGCTGCCCAGGAGGCTGGACGACGCGAGAGCACTGTCACTTCAACAACTGGTCCTCGCGAGCCTGCAACCGCCGCCCCAACACCGACTTCCACTAGCAAGAAGGGTCAACAGGAGAAACCCGAGCGCCGGAAGCTTACCACCCAGGAGGAGGTGGTATATGGTGTTACGCATCACGACCGTCTGGGTTCTGGACCTACCTTCCGTACCGAGAAAATCAACAAGCTCTTCTCGCACAAGTCTAATCAGCAGCAACTACGCATCACCAACGCACTCAACGAGCTGGATGTGCCCAACAAGTTGGCCATGCCTACCGCGGCGACAACTCATCAGTACGAGCTACTCCTTGGAGCTGTGAATAGCCTGCTCGACGCTCGCAAGGTGTCGGACAAGATTGATGCCGAAATCAAGATCGAGCAGGCTAAGAAGGCTGAGCGAGAAAAGGCACTGGCCCCCGCGGAATCCGAGCCTGAGACGAAGGAAGAGACCAAGGATGGTGAGGGGGATGTCGACAAAGCTCCGGAGGCAGCCGATACATCCAAGGAAAAGTCGGAAGGGGATGAGGTCGCCACCACCAACCCCGTCAGTGAGGCGGCCACCAAGGACGCAGTCGACTCAGCAGCCCCCACGAACGAAGCGGCAGAGACCTCGGCAAAGCCAGAAGAAGAGAACGGCGAGGCCGATAAAAACGGTCGGCCAGGAAGTAGTCACAAACGCAGCGCGAGTGTTCTCAGCGGGGCGAGTGACAAGAGCACGAAACGACAGAAGAAGTAGAAAGTACCACCGAAGTACCCCTATACTTACCTGCACGCGCTGGTGACTATCGATGCAAGAGACGAACTAGCATGAAACATGTCGATGAGATGCAGGGTCCCAAGGCAATATGACGACAGGTTCCTGGCGTCGGTAGTTGTTGGGTGCTATCTATAGCACATACGAACCCTAGCATGAACAGGCAGCATGAACAGGGTCTTATCGAGGTGGAGATGATGATGATGGATATGAATCGCCAACACGGCGAATCTGCAACTGAAGCACACCGTCAACTTAAGGAAGCGCCGGCGGCGGCGCAGTACCCGGTAACTGTTGAAACAACGTTTGCAGCACTGGCGGTCCAGACGTGCATATGTTTGGCGGCGAACCCCCCCAACACGAGATGGATGGGTGGGATGGATGATCCCGAAACATGGGCGCTTGGAGATGCCTCCGGGGAAAGTGGGTGGCATGAAACGTCTGCGTTGGTGACAAGGGAAATATCGAAGGCGCTTCAAGAGACTCAAAGGAGGTCCGTTTCGAGGACAGGGATGTCTAATGAAGGGCGGTGGATAGTATATGATGGCAGAGGAAGAACAGACGGTGGGAACGCTTGTGATCGGGCAAGACCTGTAGTCCCATTAAAGAACCTGCAGCTCATCGGCGGCTGCAGTGAGGCTAGGGCTTAATATAGCAACCAGTTCCTAAAAATACCAACCGCATGCGCGCGTGGAAACCAACTCCCAGATGCCCAGATCGGGACGCAACACCCGGTCTGCACTCCCGTAGGCCTCAAGTACCGTGCTTCCCCGTCCACGGAGTTGGGTCCGGACGTGTGGGCGGCACGGTGCCGTGGGGTGGGAGGGAAGCTATACCGGCGTCTCGGGAACGCTCGTGGTCGACGCCAATCGGCTCGACGAGGCCATCTCCAGATATCGCCAGACCCCCTCCCCCCTGAGAGCCCGCGCCGTTGTTGGTTCTCTTGGCGCCCCGATGCCTGGGAGCTCCGAGGGAGGGGGCGTGTGTGGGGGGAGACCTTGCAGGAGGGCGAGGTCACTGGGCGTCAAGATGACGACGAAGATTCGACGAGAGGCGGGTTTGGCTCGTGGTGATAGATTTCTGTCTTGTGCAGACGGCGGCAAGATGCCTGGTGTCGTTTGCATGAGGGATTGAAGACCTGGACGAAGGGGGAGGGCGTGCGCGTTAAGTTGCATATCCAGCCGCCGAGGCCCATCGTGGGAGCCATCTCAACGGCGTAGTTCGTTCGTGCCTTGCATGAGGGCGAAGCCATGACGTCTGGACGCCCCCCCTCCTCTCTCGGGGAGCCGCCATCACTTGCATGGAGGCGACGCCAAAAGACAGGATAAAAATAGCTGCGCCTGCGGCATGTAGATGGGGGGCGTTCTAGAAACTGGGGATGGAAGCGGGATTGTAGGGGTGCGAGACGGTGTAAGGCAGGGCGCTTAACCGGCGGCTACAGGAGAAGCAGGTCTGCCATTGGGCGGTTAGCTGTGACAGGACTTGCGTCGCATGGGTAGTTGGGGTTATTTTTAGGCATGCATACGGAATAAAGGACACGGCGATAGATTCGGGGCAAACACGGGGGCGGAGAGGCGTGAGATTGGAATGCATCTTGGGACGATATCCCGTAGACAATGGCTCCGTTGGGTTGGTGTTGAGGCTCTGAGATGTGACGTCCAGGGGTGCGTGTCAGGGCGGGCGTGTGATTGGCCGGCTGTGCGGAGTGGTTTGGTTTCATGGGTTCTCATCGAGGCAGACCAGTGGCCGAGACGAGTGAAACGCAGATCTAGGCACTTTTGGGGCTCCGGGAAGGAATTGCTTTTATTTTTATTTTTATTACTACGCATGTGTAAGCTGCGACCGCATGCGACACTCGCGCTGACATCATTTCCTTGATCCATTTGACCTTGGGAATCTTCTATCACGCAAACCTCACTGACCTCCCGCTGCGCCGTTGAAAGCGCAAGGATGCGCGCAACGCTCCGAGCCCCCCATGCGGCTGTCAGAAGGAAAAAAAAAAAAAGAAGGGCCAGGCATCTAGAAAAATCCCAGCCGTCTGTTTGGAACCTCGGCACGTCCCCAGTCGATGCTGCGACGGGACGGCTCGGGGGGGGGACAGCGGGCCTCCCCTGTCGCGGCCGCGCTTGATGAGAGGGGCCTAAAGCGCTCCCGGGGCCCTGGTCTCGTGGTATTTCCCTTTTTGCGCCTACTTTGGGCTTCGGACGATTCCTTCGCGTTTCCCTTGCCGGCGACATTTCTCTCGGGTCTCGGGAGGGGGGGAGCAGTCACAGGGATTTGCGCGGGGGGGAGAACGTTGCGCAGAGGGCTTAACCAACCGGCATATCACCAACAACGCCTGAGGGTTGAAAAAGCTACGTGAGGAGCGAGAGGATTAAATCGGAGGGGGGCTTAGATGCGGCGGCATGACGAGGAATCAGAGTTGAGGGTTGAGGGCTGACGGTTGAGGTCGGGAATCTGTTTGGATGGGCGAATTGCGAGTCTAACGACCGGGGATCACCAACCCTTGGCACCAACACCAGCCAACCAACCAACCAACCCTCCCATCCTCCATCCATCCGCCCAACATGGTTGTGTCACACAACGCCGCTTCCTTCCAACTCGCGCGCCCTCCGCCTCCTCTCATCTAAGAGACCAAGACCCATCCAAGACCCATCCAGCGCTGTGGTGCAGGTATTCGTATCTGGCCGAACCGGGTTGGACAAACACGTCGACAGTGGCGAGCTGTCGAGGTACAGCCAGCCCTGCACGGATAGATCCTGCTTTCAATCGAAGCATCGGGGCGCCAGCAACGCCAGCAACGCCAGCAACGCCAGCAACGCCCGTTTCCGACACGCTGGGCAAGCGACGGACGGCGGCGGCACTCCCGGCTGGCCGCTGCGTTGGCTGCCCTCCCCCCGGTCGCTTGGCGCTGGTGTTCAGAGGGAGGGAAGCAAGACGCCACGGCAAAGACCATCCCATGAATACTTCGAAGCGCCTTCAGCGGGTGGAGCGCAGCATGCGGCTGCGGCCAACCGCGTCGCGCCGTCCTCCGCCGTCCTCCCGATGCGCTACCGTTCAACATTCACCTCGCCGCCCGCGGCGTGGGACGGCGCCGACGGCGAGGGATGCGGAAGTAGACCGTGGGAGATGCAGGCATTGTTCTATTGTTGGGCCGTCGTAAAGCACGGAACGCCGGCAGTCGTCGGGATGGCAATCGCTCACCACCGGCCAGCTGACTGCGACTAGGTCCAGTTGGGCCAGACAGACGTAGACGCTCTGCTAGACGCAAACGCTGATGCCGTTGGCGTTGGCGTTGGCGGGGATCGAGCTGCGAGTTGACCATGACCCGATGGGGTTATATGCATTGATCCATCCATGAACATACATGATCCTTCCGGGTTCAGTGCAGCAGCGCTGTACATGGCCCGTCCTGCCTTCATATCTGGCGGACCAGTCATCAACCCAGCCAGTCCTGCGCGCGACGTCAGGCCTCGTGGAGCAGGGAGTAACGAACAGGGAGTCGGCCAGCCAGCCAAAGCCAAAGCCAACTGCCGCGCGAGGCAGTGGTGGAGTGAAGTAATTGCAGTTCCTCGACCGAGAAGGATGTCACGCATGAGAGACCAAGACCCTGGTCCCTAGTCCCTCCCGCGAGGCACCGGCGTTAAGCAGGGCTATCGGGCGACAATTTCAATGGATCGCTTACTTGTTCCAACTGGCCTTCTCGAGTTGGCGGCGGCTTTCCTTTCTTCTGCGGCGCTTCGAAGGAGCGGGCAATTTCAACGACCCCATTCTCATTCTCATCAGCACCTATTCCATGGAGAATCCCTTACAATCTGCCAATCTAGAAGGAATCGAAACTCAAATCAAAGGCCATTTTGGTCCAAGCTGGCCCATGCTGATTCATATTGATCCATGGAACTTTCTCCCTTGCTCAGCGTGCAAAAGAGCCAACTTCGTCTTGGCTCCCAGCCAGCGTCAGTCCATCATCGCCTGGGAGTCGGTCCACATCGTCGCAGAATTGGTAGGAGAGCCGGTCCCTGGTCAGACTACCGTGGGCTACCGTATCATCCGTGATTGCGGCTCTACTGCGTATCTCTCCGTCTCGAAAACTGTCTCATGCCGTCATGTTCACCAAGAAGAGTGTTCGCCCCCCCCCTCCCGGGCGTCAGCAAGGGATCCTCGCTGACGGGTCTGCTGGCGAGCAAAAGGCCCCGCGCGGGTTTCTTCCCCGCGCACCGCGTCGGTGCTAAGAAGACCACCATCCTGATTCAAACATGACTTCTTCGAGCGGGAAGCATCAGTAGTAGCAGTAGTATTCGGTAGTAGCTGCAGTAGCAGCGGTGTGCCGCGAGAGCCATCGCGTGCGTCGGGACAAGCCCTTAAAGGCTTCCGCGTTGGCTGCTGCGATGCCGCTAAACACCTCGTCACGCATATCTTGTGCCTGCTGTCCAGCTGGTTGTGACGGGTTTTACATGACGACTGGGCAGCCCCCTCTTCAGCGAGCAACCAATCACTGTAGAGAGCGGCCTAGCTCCCATCACAGGTTGACTGGGATGCTACCCCAAGGAGAAAAGGTACGGCGGTAAAAGTTCCTCCAAGGGGCACTAATAATTTCTGCCGGGTCAGCATCTGGCGACAAGCGCTCCCATCTTTCTGGGACGGCACTAGACTGCGTGTACCTGAGCCTTGGATGTGACAGGTAGCTACAGACGACAGACGCAACTGGATGTGGCGCGCTGCTCAGACAGAACAGGACTCTGCAACGTCCCACACCAATGCCGGAAACGTCAAGCCGCTGCAGATTTATCGGCTTGATTCGATGTGACTGTGATGTTTCTGTGATATCGATGCCTTTGGTACCTGTGTTGGAGGGACAGGAAAACAAGCCTGTTCTAAATTTATTTAATGTCGCATTGTTGGTGGAGGTTTGCGTGCCTGGGCGTCTCCGACCGAGGATCACGACGGCAGCCGGTCGCTCCCTCGTTTCACCCATGCCGGCCTACATTATTACGTAGGGGGAACCAGACCGTCATGTTTGATCCACGGTGTCCGGATCGGGACCGTTTGGCCGGGAAGGGTCTTCGTATCTCGACTCCTGGTAAGTTTAGCAAGGCCATGCATCCGCGCGCAAACACGCTTTGTCTTCGCAGTGGAATCCCTAAACGGTCAGCAGGTAAGTTAACATGGATAGGTAAGGTTGGATGGCCGTGGCAAGACGGCGATGGTCTCGATCGCGGGCCCCCTGTCTCCGGCCCCAACTCCCAGCTCCGAACTCCCAACTTCCACTGAGAAGTGCGAAGCGCGAATCAGCCTGGGACGCCGCGCCAGCCCGAGCCACTGCGCCGGGGACAAGCCAGGGTGATGGCATACTAAGTTGGGCGGAGTTACTACGTAGTACTTCGTACAGCATCTCAGGCAAGTTGCGCGTCACCGCACCCAACCTAACAGGATGGGCGTCGTCTAGTCGGCGGTCAGTCGCGGGCGCACCTGCGCACCAGTCTCAAGGGCGGCCTGGGACGTGAGTATGTACCTCGGTGCCCCGGTCAGTGACGGGTCCAGAGTCTCCAGCACCTAGCACAGCCGCGGACGGCGGCCGGCGATACGAGACAACGGTCCTAGCGTGCTAGACGCGGCGTTAATGGGCGTTGATGGTGACCTGTCTCGCCTAAAGCTGTGTTATGTCCACGCCCCTTCCCCGTCTGGGATGCGTGATTGGGCGCTGGCACGAGAGGGCGCATTCAACCAACAGCACATCCGCCGGCTTGCCGTGGTCGGTGAAGAGAGGGTCTGTGGTTGGGCGGATGCGCTGCCGACTGGGCTCTTACTACGCAGCAGGACATGGCTCAGAGAGAAAATCTAAGACTTTCCGTCTTTGTCCATGTCTCGTATGCTATGCCCTGGTATTGTTCGGAGTTGGCGAGGCCGCGTGCTCAAGCTGGCGAGGTGCGCGAGGCAGTGCTGGGGAAGGGTGACGAGGAGAGACAGTGTGGGTGATACAGAATAGAGCCATTGGTATTCCGTTGACGGAGAGGACGTACGGCAAGAAATCAGGAGAGGGAGGGAAGAGGAGGGAAGAGGAGGGAGGAGAGCAGAGTAGAGCAGAGCAGGAGAGCTGCCAAGCTTTGGATTGCATGGACAGCCCACCCCGTGATCGTGGTCTGGTGTAAATTAGAGCTGAGCAGGAAGAATGCGCCGCAGTTGCAGCGTGGTGGTGGGCATTAGGCCTTCTCCACTAGCGACAAGAATGCAATAGTAGTATGTAGGGGCAGACGCAGATGCCATGGAATAAAAACACCATCTTCTATTGAGAGCGAATAACAACTTGAGACCATTCGTATCTAAATTTAATTGCTCTACCTGCTGGCTGTCCTATTCAAGGGCTAACCCACCCAGACGTCATGACGAAAGTATGAATTGGCCCACTCTCGGCGGTAGGGAAGCGCGGGACGAGCGACGGCAGACAGGGAAGGGTATGGCATGGCAGGGATAGACAGAGAACAAATGGAAAGGCTCCACGCGAGACGAATCGAGAGTGGCATTCAATACAGACACAGGCCGGTAGTGTAACCTTGGATGAAGAAGCCGGGAGCGTGTGAGTGCGGGTGCTGTCTTAGACAAGACTCCACCACTGGCAATCTTGAAATGAGATGCGCTGCCGACTGCCGCTCGACAGTCGAGACAGTCGAGACATGGGCGCGACTTGACATATCAGGGCAGGCAGAATGAAATTCATTAACTTCAGACAGACGAGATTGCCCTTACACACAAGAGGTGGAGGCGCGCTAGTTTGAATCTCGGTAATGATAGAGCGGCAGCCTGGCAGTGACATGACCCTGGGATGATCTACCAACTCGTTCTTGTGCTTCGGTTGGTATGATGCCATGACACGGACACAATGCGGACTCGGGGGGGGGGCAGACTCGGGGGCAGACTCGGAGGCAGATGTAGAAGATGGAGCCAATTATGCGACTTAGATAGGAGATTGGAAGAGGAGCTTAAGAGGAGCTCTGTTTAAGATGGCTCCTCTGAGTTATGGTTCCGGTGGTAGCTTGCATGGGTCGCTTGATGTTCCATCACCGATCATCAAGTGCGGGAGTGCGCGGCAATGGGATCTATTGCCGGGGCGGAGGGAGTGCAATGCAGAGCTTTTCTCCTATTGGGCACCGCATCGCCTCCTTCTTCCCTCATCGTCTTTCCTTCTCCGATGCTATCTTGGGTGTGCGTTCCACGTGCACTGTGCTGGATCGAGGTGCATCGGAGGAGGATGCCAAGTGCCTGGTTGATACCGCTATGCATGTGGCGGCTACCCATACTCTCGACTGCCAATGGAACTCGGGGGGTTGAGAGTGGACTGACGGATGATGTGCATTCTGCTGTCTGGTTCCCGCGCATGAGATAGACGAGGGTGACTCAGACAGAGACTGGAGAGGAGGCGCACAACCACGGGCCAGACCATGCCAGCCCATCCCACGGCGGCCAGATGGCCATTCTGGTACAATACACAAGGCAGGGCTGGCATGGCGTGGCGACGGCAGTCTGATATGTGGACGGTATGGACTAACTTGGGCATTGAAGACTGACGGACTGAAGAGGAGTGTGGCACGCACTCCGTATGTTGGGGACAGGATCGCATTTACTCGGGCCACACCACCGCGTCCCCTGCTGCCGGACCCATGTCGCTTGTCGACTCGAGCGGACCAGGGCCCCGTAGTAAGCGGCGGAGGTGGTGCAGCCAGTCGCGCGTCGTACCAAAAAGCCACCCACTTGGACATCCGCGCCTGAGTGCGAGGGCGGTAGAGCGTACAAGAGGGCGCTGGAGAGCAGATAGACGAGGGGAAGGGACCTGGCCGCGAACCCCCGAGGCCTGAGCCATTTGCGCCAGCGACGGTGCCGGCGAACGAGGACTTGGGGGCGTGAAGGTGAAGAGGTGAAGAAGGGCGGGAAACGGAGAGGTCGGTCGTACGTAGTAAGGTGAAGCAATAGAAACAAGCGACCACCAGTGACGGCATCCGACTGGCGGGTCAAGGTCCGGGTCGTCCCAGGTACCTTTCCGCTATAAAGTACCGCGCACCATTAAAAGTGACCAGTGACAATACTGATCACAGACCGCAAACCGCAAACCGCGACCAACTGGGCGGCCCCAGTTAGTCCAAGTCCAAGCCCAACCGAGTGGGCAGGCAAAGATGGCACGCCCTGTGATGATGGGCCAAAGGGGGCGTTTGCCTGACACCCGTTTTCTTGTTTAATGCTCCGGCATCTGCGTATCTGGGTTTGTGACAGATCTGGCCAATCCCGCCGAGGGGGTGTGATGGGGTGGGAACGGATGGGATGGGATGGGATGGAACATTTTATTACATGGCAGCAGACTGACTACCTCGACCAGGCAATTGGAAGGAGGCCAACAAGACGCCACCCAGCCGAGGCCGGTCCCCACCGGCGCTGGCACTGCGGACTGGAACCGCAGCTGGAACCACAGGCTGGAACCGCATGCACAACTGCAGAAACTGGAACTGGAACTGGAAGAGGGAGGGAGGGTACGGGCTACCAAGGTAGGGAACGCCGCACCACCGCCGCTGGGTACCGTAGACTGATGAAGACGACACCATGTAGGTGAGGTACCTACTGGGTAGTAGGTAGCTCTGATGTACCCCATGTACCCGGGGTACCAACCATACCTCGACAACTGACGCCGTCCGAAGCGCCATGCCGCCCCAATTTGGGGGGAGGGGAGGGGAGGGATATGGCCGTCCCCGGGCTTAGCGATGGACTGTACAAAGCTCCGCCGGGGCCCTGGTTCTGGCTTCGTTTTCTGGCTGTCGTAGAGTCGAGGCATACTACTACCTTCGTACCTTACTGTACTGTGTTGTCTCTGTTGCCTCTGTCTTGCCTCTTTCTCCTCCCCTCGTTTTGTTTCCCCGTGTCGTCGTCGTCCGTCCGTCTGCCTCGCGCCGGGTCCCTCGTATCTTAATCCAATCCAATCCCATCTCACCTCCGCCAGCTTCTTCCCATCTCACCACCTCTCTCTCTCTCCAGCCGCGGCCTGGCCGCAACCCACACCCAAAATAAGAGGTCCAAGTCCCACGTTTCCAGGATCTTCCAGGATCCCCCCCCGGTCCCCCGTGCTCTTTCCTCTCTCCACGCCTCTTTTCCCACGCCCCCCCAAGCATATCCCCCGTCAGTATCAGGGTCCGCCGAGCCAGCAGCCGTCTGACGCTCTCTCGCCCACGGGCTCACGGTTCACCTCGCGCTCTTGGTCGGGCGTCCTCTCTCTCTCGCCGCTCCTGTGGCCCTTGCTCCCGCGCTTGCTGGTTACGTGCAGAGCCGAGCACCTCGTGTGTGTGTAAGAGAAGTGTGTGCGCGCGCGTCTGTGTGTGTACCTTTACGCAGTACATACATACCTACCTTACCTACTACTTCCCTCCATAGTCCGGTACGGTGCGGCGGTTCCTCAGCCTTGACCAAGTCGCCTAGACCCGGCCATGCCCTCGAGCCCCTTCGTCGCGAGACTCCATTCATTGTCCTTGCCGCCGCCTTCTTTTTTAGCTTGAACCTGGCTCTCGCTCCTCACCTCACCTCACCCTCTTCCTCTTCTCACCCTCACCCCCCCGTCTCCGGCCTCGTCCTCCTCTCTGGTCTTCCTGGTCTTCCTTGGCCTGGTCGTTTTCCATCTTCTTTCCTTTTCTCCTCCACCATCTTTACCTTCCTCTCTCTCGCTCCGCACTTCCTCCGCCCTCGAATCGCCTCTCGCCAGAGCTTCCTGACCTGATCTGAGCTCTCCCCGCCATCACCCCAGCCCAGCCCTTTTTGCCGGCCACAGGCGCATCAGCATAATCGCGCGTCAAACGTGCGCTCCAAGCGCCGCGATACTTACCTCTGTCTTCATCGTCACCACCACAGCGCCCGGATCTATTTTCTGTGCGCACCCGCGCAAAGCTATTAGGCCCTCGAGGACGACCCTCGGTGACCCGGAACGCCAAGGATCGAGAAGCACGAATTCAAGGAACGGGCGCGAGCGCAGTCTGGTCACTGTCTCGCCTTTTGGACGCCAACGTACCCGCGCGCATTCCTCGCAATTCACCAGCTCACCTCAGCTCTGCTCACCCTCACTTGGCTCTCATACTCGACCCCCACGCCGCTGTCATTCAACTTTCGGCATTCTGTCTTGTGTCCGCTTTTCTGCATTCTCGACTCCGTGGATTTGAACAGAGAAACTTTCTGTAGTGGCGTCAACTCCCAAAAACACCGCTTCCCAACGAGCGCCAGCGTGTGTTCACTCTTGCGGCCCGCCCCGCGCAGCGCCTTCCTCAGCCCCACGACAAGTCTTTGAATCGACTTTGTATCGAGTTTCTGCGCCGTCCTTTGGCCCAACTCAATTGTTGTCCGGCTCTATCAATTACTGGGTTCCGACACACACTATTGGTTTCCTTTGGATTTGCGAGACCCGAAACTCAAGAGACCGCCACCTAAGGAACGGAAGCCCCGGAACGCCTTTATTGACTTTTCGACAAGGAATCTGAGCCACCGCTGCGAATTCCCCCCAACCTTGCTGAGTGTTACGTTTGTAACCTCGTAGCGTAGCTCGTTCACGAGTCCGACTCGCGCTACCAAAACCAATCTCTAGTTGGCCCAACATGTCAACTTTCACCGCCCTTAACGGGGGTTCACCCAAAACATCAGATCCGCCCACTCTGAGTGCCGAAAAGAGCACTACCTCAGACGAACGCGCAAACAGCACGGCCCCAGCTCAGCCTCAGCCCACCCCAGAAGCCTCATCGAACCAGAGGTCAGCCCAAATTAGTGATCGACCAGCATTTCAATCGCCAAATTATCCCGATGTTGATGGCTCTCACAAGCGCAAACGCTCAGACTCGTTGGAGCTACGGAGGGAATCCCTTGTTCAGGAGCGAACTCCAGAGACGACAGCTCCCACCACGCAGGTCGATTCCCGTGAGCCATATGGAACCCCCCAGCGAGATTACCGGCATTATGGCGACGAGCAGCGGGACAAGGATGGGTGGTACACTCGGCGCGATGATCAGAGCTATGACTCTCAACAGAACTCAGCTACCACTCCCCATGGTCAGACGGAGGAGCAGATTGGGGATGCGCTGCGAAGAGCTGCTGGTCAGATGGATCACGGCGACTACCCCCAAACCAGCCCTGAGATGGATGACCGGTCCATCAATGTGTATGGTGGCCAATACACTCCTGAGCATAGGCGAGACGGCGTCATGCAACATGATCCCAAGAAGCGGAAGCGAAATTTTAGCAACCGCACCAAGACGGGTTGTCTGACGTGCCGCAAGCGAAAGAAGAAGTGCGACGAGCAGAAGCCCGAGTGTAAGTTTCAAAATTCGAGTTACGTTTTGGACGTGATACTGATGTTCTTGCAGGCGGCAACTGTCTTCGTGGTAGTTTTGTGTGTGCTGGATACCCGCCCCAGAGAGGCCCTGGATGGCAAAAGCCCGATAACAAGGCCTCCGCAGTTCCTCTCGAGTCCAAGGACCCGAGCTACGTGCCCCCAGGTGCATATGGCATGCCGCAGCAAAATCCATATGGGACCCAGCCGGTGAAGCGGGAACCCCTGCCACCCTACCGCGGCCAGGCCTTGAGAATCGACCCGCCACAAGGCCGCCCTTTGGTGACCGACGATGACCGGCCAACAGCGTCAACAATCCCGAGCGCGTCTGTTGCCAGCCCCGATAATAAACTCTCTGCCCTGCCCTACACTCCTGCGAACGTCTTTCCTACACCAGTCAGCGCCAACACTCAACCACCGCCGTTCGGAGAAAGGATGACCAAAGAATACCAGCGAGTGCCTCCGCTGCACGATCTCACCAGGACGGAACCCGAGACTCCTCATCCCGGAAACCAGCTCCCCCAGATCAACATCCTTCACCCGACGAGAACCAACAGCCCCGCGCCTCCCGCGCAGGCTCCGACGTCCAATGTTCAGGTTGCAGCGCAGCTGGCGCTTTCCCATTCGCAGTTCCCCCAGAGGCGGACTCAGAAGGAAGAGATGTTGTCAGGACGGCATTACTATCCCTTTGACAAGGAGCTCTGCTTAGAGCGTGAGCGCTGCGCTGCCGCCTGCTGGAGGTTCAACAACTTGACGACACCTCCAACCAACGGTGTCTCACCCGAAGAGCGCGCCCGCTTGTTCCTCGAGATATTGCAGCCCCGCGATCCTGTTCGAGTATCGCCCACCGAAGCCTCTCCTGTCACTAACATGGGCCGTGTGGGCAGACATGTCGCAGTTGAGACACCCTTTACTTGCGACTACGGTTACAACATCACTATCGGCCACCACGTGGTAATTGGTCGCAACTGCACCATCAACGATGTTTGCGAGGTCAAGATTGGAGATAATTGTGTCATCGGGCCCAACGTCAGCATCTTTACCGCCACCCTGCCCATCGACCCTAAGAAGCGCCAGGGTGGACAAGGTCCTCAGCTTGGCAAGGCTATTACCATTGAGCAAGACTGTTGGATTGGCGGAGGCGCTATTATTCTCCCCGGAAGGACTATTGGCAAGGGAAGCACCGTAGGTGCTGGGTAATTGTGACCAAGGTATGTTGACAAGATTCTTGATGCTGTTGAGACGACAGGCATTAACAGGCTCGAATAGGATGTTCCACCTTTTACTATTGTAGCTGGGAACCCTGCGCGTGTTCTCCGCGGCATCGCGTCTTAGTATCAACCTTTTGCGACGTCACACTTCTCATTTGCTGTCATGATACCCCAGCGTATTTTGCCTGTACATCTGCCTTTGTTTCAGCAAGCTGGTACATGATGTTCGACTGAAACAACTACTAAAAAGAAAAAAAGAAAAAAAAGGTCACTATATCCAAAAGTTCAGGCGTGGTTCATTATTTTCTGGTTAATCAAGAATATGTTTTGGGATATGGGTTATGACCGCGGAAAAGGAGGGACTCCCTTAATGCGCTGGTCGGAGGGATTGGATGCCCTTTGGAGTGGGAATTGGTTCTGGGAGGTAGACGATACAGGAATGATGGGCGGATGGGCTGGGCTAGGATCGGGTTGGGTTGGCGGACTTGTTGTTGCACGTGTTCATGATTCACGAGAGATAAACAAGCCAGGTCGGAGACCTGCAGTGAGATATCCATGTTATTGTTTTGATGCAACCTCGGCCCGCTCTTCTCGTTCGGTGTCTGAAAGTGAAAACATCCGCGTTGGACTAGGGCAAAGTCGGTGTAGACATCCCGAGAGGCCTCGTGCCTTCTTGGCCGCTGTTCTGCGACCTTGGTTTGGTCTACTGCGGTCTACTGCGGCCACTGGCTCGGCCATGCGCGCCGTTAATCTAGCGAAAACACGAAGAGTTTCGAGTTCGGAGACTTTGCAGGTGCGGGGAACGGTTAAGTTGCTCGGACGAGGGAACCATGCGATGCTTTGCCATTATCTTGCCATGTGGTCATACTGGGATATGCTAGCTAAGTACGTACACCGTCCTTGGCCCCCAAACAGTAGCCGGATAGACAGACGGCTATCTCCTCTCCGCGTCTCAAGAAGGTCAAGGGAATGCGAAGCACTTCGTGGCGGAAAACACAACTAAACTGACTTGCAAGTCCTTGGCATTCAAGGAGAAGAGAGGGAACGGCAAGCAGCGATGCCGCCTTGGTATCTCCTTTTCAACACACTGGTCGTTCCTAAAATCTAGCCAGAAACACCCGAGCGAAGTGAGAGCACGAGGACATGAGACAAGCACGCCTCGTCATGGCGTCGTGTCCGGGAAAAGCTGGTCCCACTTTGTTTCATTCGTGCCCCCATGGCGGAGGTACTGGTCGATGGAGTTCTGCCAGGCTTGTTAGGCTAAACTGGAGCTGCGGGCTAAAAATACGACGGAGAGCAAAAGGAAGAGAGGGGACGCAACATACCCAGTCCAGGCCCTCGGTGGCGCCAAAGAAGCTCTCGAGCGGGAGGAGCTCGTCAAAGTTGACGGGATAATCGGTGATCTGCATCGGGGACAGATCCGGAAGCGCGTACGCGTCGCTCATGCTCGGCGTGTCTCCGGCGACGAGGGTGGAGCCGTTGGAGAGGCTCGTATCGGCGGCCGGAGGCGTCTCAACCTTGTTCAAGATGGCGGCGAGGACCTTGGAGGCGTGGCGGGCATCTTGTGACTTGGCGCCGCGCTCCGTCCAGATTGCGTGGGCGCGTTGGAGGATACGGACGCGGTGCTGGCGGTCGTAGAGACTGTAGAGGTGTGAGGAGCGTATTCCCCCGTTGAAGATGTGAGATAGGGGCTGGTTTGACTTACCTGATATCCGTAGACTCGCTAAGATCGAGGCAGATGACCATAGCCGCGACGAGGAAGTCATGTAGCGTCAGGCTCGAAACCATGAAACGGTCCTCGTACATCCTCCCGCCGGGCCGGATCTCCTGGTCGAACTCGAGATGCAGGTCGAGGATGCGCAGCGCAGCGTCGCGGCAGATCTCGCGAGACGCCTTGTACTTGGACTCGTCCTTGTCGACGCTGAGGTACTGGCGGTGCAGCACGCAGAGCGTCTTGCGGTACATGAGCTCGAGGATCAGGCGGTGCATGATGGTGTAGCCCTCGTCGGTGAACGAGGTGCTGCGGATGGAGCGGATGCGGTAGCACGGCGGGATGGTTGCGTAGAAGGCTTCCAGCTCCGCGTTGAGGCCCATGGTCTCCTCGTACGGCGTCTGGTCCACGGCGAGGGCGTGCCGCATGACACGCCGGGTGATGCGACAGAGGAACGACTTGATGCGCCAGGCGAGGAGCGGCGTAGGGTCCGTCGGCGAGCGCGAAGGGGGCACCTCGGTGCCCTCATCGAAGTCGTCGTCGATCAGGTTGCGGGGGTGGTCGGCGTTGCAGACTTCCTGATAGATCATCGGCGGCATGCCGAGCTGGAAGGAGAAGAGCAGGTCGGCCGACTGGATCATGAACCAGGTGCGGCGACGCATCTCGGCCTCGAAAGGCGTGATGTTGGGCGAGACCTTGGCGGCGTCGAGGTGATAGCCCCTGCGCTGGGCGAGGCGGACGGTGAGCCCGTAGAAGGCCCAAATGGTGGGATCCGAGTCCTCCTTTTGCACATTGCGCGAATGGGCGAACATCATGAGGGCCTCGACGGAGAAGGCCTTAGCCTTGAGGTACTGGCCGGTGATGAGGCACTGCGCGGAGCGGACCATGTAGAACTTGGGCTCCGAGACGGAGAGCAGCAAGGGACCAACGAGGCCCTTGACCTTGGCAATCATGGCCCCGACGCTGAGGATGGAGAACATGATGCTCAGCCAGAGGAAGCTGGTGGACTCGGGGTTTTCCCAGAAGGCCTCGTAGCGGCGTCTGAAGTGATGGGCGTGGATGAAAGGCACGGCGAGGAACTTGGCGTTGAAGTAGGTCGTCACCAGCTTGTCGGCGTCTGGGCGAGACGGAAGGCTGCTGATGACCTCTCCCATAGTGAGCGGCGCCATGTCCCCGAGGAAGATGTCCGGCACTGCCAGGTCCTCCGACGCTTCGGGAGGAGGAGGCATGTCCTCTTCGGTATCGAGAACGTTCTGGATATCGCGGATGCTCTCGACCAGGGCCGACCACGACGTGGCGCCGTGATAGTCGGCCTCCGTCCCGTCTCCCAATGCTTCAGGTGGAAACGATCCCCCGTGGCCGGGCTTGACAAGATCATCACTGCCATGGGTAACTAGGGGACCCGACGTAGCCAGATCCTTGACCATCTCCTCAAGCTTCGCCAGCCTCGCCTGGACCTCAAGACGGCCGACGGGGCCCGTGGACATGCCAAAGCGGCATGCGATGGAGTCGCCACGCTTCTCGCAGGCGCCACATGGCTTTTGGCGATCGCACTTGGTCTTGCGGCGCTGGCACGCGGTGCACGAGACAGGCTGGCGGTTGCGTTTGACCCGGTGTGAGTCGGCGGCGCGGAAGACGGTGGTGAACGCCGCAAGCTCCGGGCCGGACGGCGGCATGGTGGATTAGAACGGGGCTGCCGGATCGGGTAATTCGGCGATGGGCGGTGTAAACGACGGCGGCCGCGCGAGGATGGATTCAGACTTGTCCGTCTGAGGGACAGAGCCAACGCCCGGGAACTTGAGAAAGGCTTTCCTAGGTAGCGGCGATGACGCAGAAGGAAGCGATGGGCTCTCTGCGACCGTGCCAGAATGCCACCGTATTGAGGCGGCCTGTCAAAGTGCAAATGTGCGACCACGTCCTGAGTGCTAGCGAGCGCGGGTGGACAGAGACGGCCTGGCTCGGCCAATCAGGGATTCGGGGCTGAAGCTTGGTGGTGTCGCATTCGTTCGATCACAGTCACAGCCGCAGGTGCATAAACGGGAGCAGATGTGAACGGGCTTTGAGGCTGGTGCTGTGAAACCCGAGGACCCTCGATTTTTAACCACAACGGGCTGCCACCAAGAGACTTGAGAGACTGAAAAGGATTGAACAGACGGGGATGCGGGGAAGCTTTGATTGTTGGGCCGAGGGCTGACGACTCTTCGTGTGTTGGTCGCCGAATAGAGTCTGCCTTAGCCTCTCGGTGAGCCTCTCATAATGCGTCCCAATTTCCCGGGACTGGGCCAGAGCGCGGTCCTTTGTCTTGCTCTCATTTCTTGGCATGGTCTGGATCCTGTAAGCAGCACCTTCACCGTGTGAAGCCCGTCGTGTTTGCTAGGGCGTCATCCGTCTATCATACTGTACAGCGCCGGGATATGCCGAGTGAGATGTGACGAGCGTGTGATTAATATACCGGACGCCACCTTCCTACGCGAGCTCCTGTTGGTAGCCCGAACCGGACAACTCTTTGCTTCTTTTCAAATCCCACATGCTCCCGTCTCTTACCGAGACTGGTCCAGCTCCAATCGTTTCTTGTTTGTGTCAATAATCTTCTCCATCGTCTGCAGAGCCCGCGTCTGGTCCTTGAGCCGAGCAAACGCTTTGAATGTGTACATGTCTGGTTTGAAGCCAGCAGCCTCTAGGTCCTGCAGGGTGCCCACTGTCTGAGACAGGTTCTGCATCGAGGCGTACCCTTTCGCCAGCGTGTTCCACGTCACAATATTGGGCTCAAGATTGTGCTCGCGCATAACCTGCAGGACCTGCTCAGCCAACATCTTCTCGCCCCGTATCATTAGGCCGTGGATCAGGATGCTAAACGTGAAGAGATTGGGCGCCGGATGCACTGCAGGCTCTTCCGCGCTCGCTAGCTCATCCTTCCCGTCCTCGTTTGCTCTTGGCCTCATCGAGTCCCGCAACATGTCCCCAAAGACTTGCAGGGCCGGGCGCAGCAGCGATCGACGTTCCAGCATGGCCAAGATAAGCGTGTCGTGAATCACACTCCCTTGTTCCTTGACCAAGTCGGCCGCCCAGTTGTTCCCCGCATCACGCTCCTCCAGTCGAGTCTTGAAGAAGGCGTAAAATGACATAATGTCATACGGGCGGTTTAGACTTTTAATGTATGCACGCAGCATGATGGCCAGAGTCGTCGAGTTTGGTTTTTGTTGAGCGCCGTCGCCTGACTCAAAAAATTCGTCGACGACCGGCATGATCGTGTGCTTGAATTCCCACTCCCTCCGAGGACCGGACCTGAACTTCTCGGGACCATCCTCTTGATCTTGCCCCAAGATGAGGGGCAATGTATCGGGCACCAACCATTGCAGCGGTTTCAGGTCAAACTTCTTCGCGTAGATCTTGAGCATCGGCACGAAGAGGGGGAGAACCCATGGTGCCAAATACTTCTTCTCGCGACACTCCATCTCCGCAAAGTAGAAGATGGAGTGAAGCGTGTTGTTTAGCACTTCCACGTAAGGGGCGTTGGCTGCCTTAGCCACATCCAGAGCCTGGCGCACGTTTGACGCCTTGAGGCTATTTTTGGCTCCCCTGAACACTGTCGTGTAACACCGCAGATCGAGGCTGGCGCCATTTTCCGCAAGTAGGAGCGGGAGCCTGATTGCTTCTGCAATGTCACCCTGCTTGCAAAGGGAGTCGACGAGGGCGGTGAAGCTGACGAGGTTAGGAGAGTAACCGTTTTCGAGGAAGAACTCCATCGCTCGCTGCGGGGAGAAGGAGCTCTCTTCCGACTTGGACCAGCCGTCTCCTGTATGTGTGGAATGCAACAACGTCGTGATAACACTGGCCACAGTGGGGTGGTTTAAGTTGGCGCCGCTTTCAGCGATATCCCGTAAAATCTCGTAGGCCGCTTCCTTGTGAGTGTCGCTCTTCGCCAAAGCACTAGCATATTGTAGCAGCGTGTTTTGATGTAGTTTCAAGCCCGCCTGGACAAGGATGTTGTATATCTCTGCTGCCTGATCGCTGGGCAGCTTCTTGGCAAGCACACCAAGAGTCTCCTGGCGTAGCGGAACGTGATTTGCAGGTAAATCCACGACGACCTTGGCAACCAACTCCACAATCTCGTCCGCTTTTGAACATCGATCTCGAGGGCCGCTAAGCTCTTCCAATCGAAGCATTTTGGTGTAGTAGAACAAAACGTCGGAGATGGCAAACCCCGGAGGTAATGGATCCATGGTGGCCTCGAGGACCTGACCTGCCTTGTCGGGGCAATTATGAAGTGTTGATAACATGACGGTGGGCCACTGTTTGGTTCGAGACTCAATGTCGAGCCCTTCCCATGCATCGCGCATACTAGATGTATCCTCCAGTTTAAACAGCCAATTACCATCGTCGCGCCAGGGCCAGGAACTGGGGTTCTTCGGTTCCATGATATTGTCCAACTTCCGCTTCCAAAAGTTGAATCGTTGCCTGGCTGCCACCATTTGCTCGGGAGGGTATTGATGCCGTAGGTAGCCCCATTGCAAGTATTCTGTCTTTTTCTTATTTAATGCCACCTTGCGCTTGGTCTGGTCCTGGGCCCGCTTAGTGGCAACCTTGGGACTCGCTGGAGTCTTTGGTCGAAAGGTTCGGGTGTCTCGTGACGAGCCGGAGATGGTCTTCTTCGCTTGACCCCTTGAATTCGATGCCCTCTTGGGAGCATTTTCGGGATTGTGACTTTCGTCCAGCGTCGAGTGGTGCTCTTTGTATTCCTTCAACTCTAGTTCTACCTCCGCTTGGCTCGGGGTGGAGGGCTGCGACGAGGCATCTTTGATGCGCAATTGGGTCAATATCTGAGGTTGTTCGGTGGATGGTTGCAGCTGCGACGCAGCATGGTACGGTCTCGTCGCAATCGTTCCGAATCGTGTGTGGTTTTGTCGCAGGGCGAGGAAAGTCGCTCGTTGTGTCCAGCCCAGTGTCACAGAGGACTCGAGCCTGCTGCAGACCCGATACATCTGAGCCGTTGGGATTTCCTCCGCGTCGGTGTCAAATCGAGATCAGCCGTCTGCATAATGGCCGCACGGCGGAATCGGGGGAAGTCGTCACGACGCGAAGACTGTCGCAGGCGGAGCTGTTGGAGTCGTTTGTAAATCTCTGGTGGTTTTTCCGAGGTCGCTGCAGACCGAGACACCCTCAACTATTTTAGCAGGGGCAAGCGTTAGCCCCGGATGTTTTAGTGGCGCTTGTCCCTGCAGCGGCTCTGCTGCGTCTGTCGGGATCCATCCAGCCTAGAGTTCCTTCAACTTTGTTTTGCACCCCACCAAAACTTCAACAACTACAACTTCCAACAACGAAGACCTCGCATTGAAGCAGCTTGGGCGGTCTATTCACGGGTTGCTGCTACCCAATCTTTCTGCACCATGTCCTCCTCTCAGCTCGGCCTCAGCGCCGCATCGGACGATCGAAAAGCTCGACTCGCGAAGCTCAAGAACCTCAAGCGGAAGCAACCCACCGACGAAATCGTCGCGCCCGAGTCAGAGCGGTCCGCATCGCCTCCCGCAGAACCCGACGTCTCCCGATTACACGTGTCCGGCCGCAACTACGACCACGAGACGCGAGGGCCGAAGCTCGGTTTCGAGGCCCCGCCGACCCTCGGCCTCGAGAAGCAGACACTGGAGGAGCAGGCCGCGGCGCTCGAGGCAGAAGTCAAGCAGAAAGCTGTCGAGGAGGCACAAGACGACAAGGGAATCGACTTGTTCAAACTGCAGCCGAAGAAGCCGAATTGGGACCTGAAACGAGAACTGGACAAGAAAATGGAGGTTTTGAACGTCCGAACCGACAATGCGATTGCGCGGTTGGTTCGAGATCGCATCACTGGCGCGCAAAAGGCCGCTGAGAAGTCCAAGACCGCCGGGAGTGGGCAAGGCGACGGAGAGGCCACGGGCATGGATGGTGTGGCTTTGGTGGAGGGACTCAGGGTCAGGGAGAGGGAGGAGGAGGAGGAAGAGCGACGAGAACGGGAAGAGGATGTTGCCCTCGATGTTTGAGAGATTCATCTTGTACGTTGACTTTTCATTTTCCTTCAGCGAATTTGGGTGCTGGCGCCTTGCGCACCACGGTTGATATTAAGTTTACATTGATACCCAACTATCTATCTTCCCCCAGTGTTGAGCGATTGGGTCAGGGCTAACCGTCGACTGAAAGGGCTCAGGCTTCGCTCTCGCGCGCGCTCCTCCGGGGGCGGACCCCTAGACGCCGGCGCATTTCCGTCATTCCGTCCACGTGGACCTCCGTCACGTCCACGCCTCGGATTGTGCTGCTCCGGCCGACGAGGCTGTCTTGCCTTTGGCTCTGGTGACGTCGACTCACGGGCACGCTGGCGTCGAGAGTCGAATGAATCCCTGGATCCCATCGATTCACGTCGCGAACGCCTGGGAGGCGCATCATCGCGCTCAGAATATCGAAGTGCTGCATCACGAGCCCTGTACGACCTCTCGCGGTCATCAATGTCAGGGGAGCGGCTGTCGCGTGACACGGAGCGCCTCCGCCGTTCTTGGGGGCGAGGGCTGCGGCTGCGGCTGCGGCTGCTGCTGTAATCCCGACGACCATCTCGCGAGCCACCCTTCGCCTCTGAATGAGGACTCCGTCCTCGCTGCTGGGGAGGAGGAGATTTAGCCTTTCTCCTCGGGGGTGATGGAGACCTCGAGACTCCAGTGGAGATGGTCGAGACAGAATGCGAAGATACTGATCTCTGGCGTTTTGACGACGACTCCATCAATTCATCTTCACGCTCCTCGCGCTCCCGCTTCCGGGCCCTTTCAGCCTCAGCCTTAGCAAGCTGCTCATCGGCAACTCCTTCCCTAGCAGACTAGTTAATACACACACGGTTTAACGAACATATTTGACATGACTCACTTCTTTTCCAGAGGATTAGGGGAATCGTTGGTGAGCTTTGGGACAAGCTTGGGATTCCGGAGCTGTTGAGAACGAGATGGGCGAGACACGTAGGGACGCTCCTGCGCAGATGCCTTGCACTCGTATGAGTAGTGGCGTTCTAAGACGGTCAGTACCATGGAACAACAGTTCAGATGGTTCCGGGGAACATATCTCTCTTCAGGCATTTCTGGCATTGGACATTTGCGGGCGTAGAGCGAGATGGCCCGCCTCGGCCTCTTTGACCGAACATGTCGTTTGTTTTGGTGGTGGATCAACGCTGAAAATGCGACCTGCAGCGCTGGCGTCAGGATAGCGCGTTGGCGGCGAGGCGTGACGGGATATGCAATGTTGGAAGTTAAGATTAATGAGGGATGGATCCTACGATCTCTTTCATTGGTCGTTGCGGTGTGAGTTTTCCAACAGGCCCCGGTTGTCGGCTTTGGTCGATGCTAGTTACAATGGAGGCGAGTCGGAGTTGGATGGACCTCGAGACTGAACAATGGTGTCACGTGATGTCATACAGTACCACAGGTACATGAATTATGCAACAGCTTCAATTCAGTCGCGTACCAAACCTCCGTGTTAGGCAGCAGGCTGTGAAGGAGGAGCGAGCTGACCGGCGAGAAGAGAGAAAACAGGCCGTTGTTGCCCAACATAATGATGCGTTGTGCACCGGAAGCCATGCCGAAGGCACATCCTGGGCAACAATGAATCCTACCTTGGCCTCTTGGCTCGCATTTTGTTTTGCCACTGAGATGCCGCTGACATGCTTACCCTGAATCCTGGATCCTGGCGGCAGCTGAAAGGGCCTAATTTAGTTGGCCTCAGGCTGGAGCACAGGCTGTCAGGCGCTGAGCATCTGGGATGGTTTTTTCTTGTCTCTTTTGGCTGCAGACGGGCTCTTACCTAATCACACCCGCCACACCGTCTGTTAAGGGCGGTGGAGAGGCTGAGGAATCTGCCGGCACTAGGTCGTTTTTGGGTCAGCTGGTCCCGTCGGGCGATGGCATAACTCTGTACGCTGACACTGACACTGCCTGCACTGTCTGCACTGCACTGCGATTAAGCAGAATTGCAACACAACTCCAAACGACCGACCCAAGGCGCATCGTCGTCGTCGTTGCTGTTGTCAACAACGCACCCCTTCACCGTCACTTTTACTGTTTGGATGGACGCCACGTGAGCGACCAACCCTCCCCTTTGCATCCCCTTGACCGGCGCATGGCCAGCCAACCCCTCTCTCGCCGCGAGAACAGGAGACAGCGAGAGACAGCCAAAGACAGCGAGTTTTCAACCAGCCTAACCGTCCGGCCCGCTACCATCCCACTGTAAGTCTCCGTTCTGTCGTCCCTGTCCCGCCCATAATTTTCTTCCCGCACCCCCCTCCACTGCTGGGCCCTCCACCGTCCACAACCAGACAGCCAGTCCTTGTGACAACGACAACCTCGTCGCCCGCGGTCCCCCTCCAATCCTCCGTCATCGCCCTGACCTCCTCGTGCGCCCCCCGTCTCTCGTCGTCTCTTGCTGTCGCTCATCGTCCTTCGTTTCCGCGCAAATCGACACCCTCTCCCGTTCCGTCGTCTGACCCACGCGTGCAGTCACAGGGCAGTCCCTCACCTCGACCCTGACCTCCAATCCCCCATTCAGCAACCAGGCCAGTCCGACCAGAGAGCAACAGCAGCAGCAGTCAGGCCGTTGAACCAAACGAAGCACCTTCGTCGTCCTACAGAAGCACCCCGTCAGCCGGAGAACAATGACCTTCCCGTCACGACGATGAGCACCGGTACTCCGTTTTCTTTCTGCTGGTCCGCCTCCATCGATTCTGCTTCTTGATTTCCGGTCCTGTCCTTTCCAGTCCTGCCGCCTTGTCGTCACCGCCGCAGCCCTAGTCGCAGCCGCAGCCGCAACTGTAGCCTCACATCGCCTTTGGTCGTCGGGAGCTTTAGTTCTCTCTCTGGATACCCTGGTCCCCATCGACTGTCTGTCTTGCCGACTCATATACCCGTTCGCTGTCTATCATGGCCGCGGCCCACGTATCTCCTGATCTTCCAAAGCCCTCTTTTGCAAAGGTAGCAACCATCTCGGCCTCTCAGCTCCCACTTCTCCTATTCGGACCATGACCCCTCCACTCATTTCCGTATTGCTGACCCTTCCTGTTCGTCTATAGGTTGCCGCATCCATATCTAAAGGTACCGCGTCAACACCATCCGTACGCCGCATCGCTACGCCTTCCAAAGAGCAACCAATGAGTTTGACTACACAACCCATGTCGAGGGGGCCCGTCATTGCTAATGGCGGGCCCGCAAAGGCCCCGCCCCCCCAAGTCGTCTCGTCACAGCCTAGGAATGTCTCAAGAGTTGTTGAGCGGAATGCCTCAGCGGATAATGTTGTAGACTCACTACATGATCTGAGCCTTGGTTCGAAAGCTCCAAGCCTCGTGGTCAATGGCAGCGGTACTCTGGCTGCTGAGAGGACGATCGCCGCGATCGGTAGAGACAGTGGATCGGACGATTCTCAGAGGGCCGATTCAAGCTCCGAACTGGGCACCAAACCTCCCAGCCTGGACGGAAAAAGCATCACCTCGGGTACAACTTTTGCGCTGGACGAGAAGGAATCTCTTCGACCAGATGATAGTGCCAGTGTCAAGGCCGCAGCAGAAGATGACGATACCTTCTCGATGCGCGGATCCCTTGTCGCCGGTTCACGAATGGGTTCAGAAGTTGCGGCAAGAGCGCGAGGAATCCCGCTCGGCGACATACCCGAACGAAGACTGCCACAGGTCATGGCCGGTGCCACGGCCCAGGGCGTTCTCACTCCGCAAAGTTCATCCTCTGAGCAAGCCCCAGGCGTGAACCCTGCCATGCCCCTGGGCGTTGCAGGTTCTGCAGATGCTCTGAATGTCATATATCGACAAGCACCAGACGATAAGCTTCTTGAGGCAATGGCCTCGCCGAAGGACAGGCTGTTCCTTCTACGGCTGGAAAACGAGCTCATCGACTTTGTCCAGGACTCCAAGTTGGTACACATGCCCTAATTTGACCAACTATATACTGACCGCTCACTAGGGAACCATACATGGACCTTCCACCGTCCAACTCGTTCTGCAGGATGTTGACTCACAAATTGGCCGATTATTACCACATGACCCATTCCTATGAACCTCACGTTGGATCCGTACGAATCTTCAGAACCCCTTTTTGTCGAGTTCCAGCCTCTCTGGCCCTCATCAACCCGAACCCAAACGCCTCAAGCAGCAGTACGCCGCCACCTGCGGTTTTACCCAGGAAGATCATGCGCCGTGGGGAAGATAGCGAGGGTGGCCTGAGTGCCGGTCTGTCGAAGGCAACATCCGAGAATGGAAGTGATTCAAAGGACAAACTGACTCTGGCTAATCAAAAGTGAGTTGACCATACTTAACTTTGCGAACTCTAAATGCTCACCAATGTTAGGTTAACGAGAGAGGAACGTGAGGAAATGTATAAGCTGGCACGAGAGCGCATCTTTGGTAGCTCAGAGGAGAGTGTGGCTGGTAGGTACCCCAAAAGCTGAGCACACTTTCAAAGACTAACCTCGATTATTTAGAAAATGATGGCGACAACGGCGTGTCTAGGACCAGCTCCACATCCGTCAAGGACAAATCCAACTTGGGCAAAAGGGGGAAGAATAGCAAACAGAGGCGCGACGACTCGGACAGCTTTGATTCTCGGAATCAATACACCCCATACTGGGGCCCTCAACAACAGACTTGGGTACCACAACCCCAGTATGTGCCGCCGCCGAATCCTCAGTATAACGCCCAGCCTGCAACCCCCGCGTACCAAGGACAGATGGCTCCAGTATATTCTCAGCAACCTCCTGGCTATTCGAACATGCCTAGCAGTATGCCGAACCAGCCGTATCCCCAATACTCTATGTCTCCTGTAAGAGCCAGAATTTGTACCCAACCACGGCTATATGTTAACGCTCACTCGCAGTATCAATCCCAGCCCAGCCAGCCACGGTATCCCGCTGGCGGAAGCCCTATGGCAGCATATGGTGCTCCAGTTCCTCCGGCCGCTCCACAGCAAACCTGGCAACCGGGCTTCACCCCGGCCCAGTTCCAGGCTAGGGGTCCTGGTCCGGTCGGGCCTCCAGTCGGGCCTCAAGTTGGCCCTCAGGTTGGTCCTCAAGCTGGTCCTCCAGCGGGTCCTCCAGGTGGCCCTCAGGGGCAAATAGGAATTCCATACGCGTATGGTCAACTACCGGCCCATCTCAATCCGCATGACCCTAAGAGCCAGCATCCCATCCCGGGCAGCTACAATCGAAACCACGCCTTTAACCCCAAGACGCAGTCATTTGTACCTGGCGGAAACGGCATGTCACCGGTGCAACCTCCTCAACCCCCCTTCACTGCTCCCGGGTCTCACCATGGCAGCCCTCAAGTTGGATCGCCTCACCTGGCGTATCCCGGCTATCCGCAGGCGATGCCCCAACCGTATGGAGGCGGATACGGCATGGTGCGACAAGGATCCAGCAACTCAATGCCAGCATATCACTCCCCGCAGCACGTCAACGTGTCGCATATCCCCCATGGACCGCCGCCGATGATGCAAAACCCCCAGCACATGGCAGTCCAGCCTCTCCCCCAGACCCTCCCAGCGCATATCCCGAACCGCCCCAACGTTCCTCAGGGGCCTAGTCAGCCCTTTACTCACCTCCCTACGTACGGCAACCCGGCGACTCTGCCGCAGAAGCCAGCTACTGGAATTTAAGTGAGCATCAGATGGCGTTTATGACAGGCGGCCCGAAACAGGCGTATACGGCATAATTAGCATCTTGGCGTTACCGGTGGACAGGATGGATGGCATGAATTTTAAAGGCCAAGGCCTATTTACTAGATGAGTCAATACAATTGTGACGTAATTCTCTTGCGTCCCGGAGTGAGGTTTTTTATGTGACGATTGAATTCATTTCTAAGGCCCGAAGTGCCAGAATTCTCAAGCCTACCACAACGCCATGATTTTATTGGAATACAATACCCATGCCTCGTCTCACATTCCTGCCAGGGAATTATCCCCAACTTTTCTTTCGTTGGGATTTCCTTTCTGCCTGGCCGTGCGTCGTCAAAATTCCACAATCTTCCTACTCCACGGGCTCGCGGGGTTCCCGGGGCTCTCGCTGTTGGCCGCCACCACGGCCGCCACCTCGTCCTCCTCGCTTGCCTCCACGCTGGTTGCCGCCCTTCTCGTCGGACTTGCCCTCGCCGTCCTTCTCGGGAGTGGTCAGGTTGGCAACGGCCAACCGCTGGGACAGGTCGATCTGGGTGCGGATGGTGTTCGCTAGGTAACTAACCATGAGAACATCCTGGATGTGGTTGTTGAAGTCGGACTCGATCTGGGAGGGGTCGACCTTGGGGGCCAGGGACAGGGCGTTGATGAGGTACTGGCCGATGGCGTTGTTGGGCTCCTCGTCCTCGTCTAGGACGCCGTTGATCCACTCGCTGGCGCGATCCAGGAGGCTGATGGTCTGCTCGATGGATCGGCCGAGACCCTCAATATCGGACACAAGAGGGGCTGTCCTCGTCTCGGAGTCCTTTGCGCTGGCGATGGTCTCAAGGGCGCTTCGGTCAGCGTCACCGTACAGAAGCTTGTGGGGGACCTGGATGAACAGGCAGCTCTCGGCGGCTCGCTCGGCGTTGACGGCCACGGGGGCGCTGATGTAGCATCGGGTCTGGATATCCTCGCCGGGCTCGGTGGAGATGGTCATGTGGACGGCGGGGTGAGGGAAAGTGCCGGTGTCGGGGCTTCCGAAGAAATTCTGGATGAGGGCGCTGAAGCTGTTGAGCTCGTGAGAGGTGGTGTACCAGCCGAGCAGGGCCTCGCGGGGGTTGGCCTTCAGGGTGAGGGCGAGCATGTTCTTCTGGTACTCGACATCGACCTCGACCTGATCCTCCTCCTCGGTGTGGGGAATGGCGAAGCATGAGCGGACCTCGACTTCGGTGCCATCTTCGGAACGGGTGCCAACGAGGGCGCCGATGACTCGGGTGGACTGGGTGTCTCGGATGTCTCGTCGGACGGCGTGGTCGAGGATGGAGAGAACGGCCTAGAGCAGAGGGAGGGAGATGATGTCAGCCGGGATGGCCTGTTTTTTTTATATTGGAGTTGTGTTTGAAGATTTCAGGATTTCGAGATTTCGAGTGTTCGAGTGTTCGAGTGTTCGAGTTTTCGAGGGGTACCACGCAACGTACCTGAGGCTGGATGTTGACGGTGAGCGGGGCAAGGTTAGTCTGGAGCCCGACGGTGTTCGGCGCCAAAGGGCGCGAGAGGTGGATGAAGCTCTCGGTATCGGTAGCCATGCTGGGCAGGACAGAGGGGGATTGTCGCGTACAGCTGGAAGGAGAGGAGGGAGGGAGGAGGTGGTTCGGGCGAGAAATGCGGCAGCAGGAAGGGGGGGAAGAAAAGAGGGACCAGTCTCGAGGCCGCTTCGCGATGCTGTTCCGCCAATTTTCGTTGCCGATTTTGTGATTTGCGGTTGGCGGGACCGCCTGGGGTTGTGCGCACTAAGATTAGCTGATAGCGCGATAAGCCGCCAGAGCGTGGCGCAAACCGGCACCAGCATCCAAACCCCACCAAGCTGTGGCTTGACCCTGCAAGGCTGAGCGCGAAAGCTTCAACTTTTTTTAACCACCCCGAGACAGACAGCCGCACGCCGCCACGCATCCGTCGCTGTTCGTTTGAGGACATTGACATTTACGAATTGGACTGAATGGCACCTCGCGGGAGAGGAGGCGGTTTTAGGGCGCGCGGGTCCGGAGGCCGGGGAGGCCGAGGCGGACGTGGAGGAGGACGAGGCGGCGCAGGACGAGGCGGCAGAGGACGAGGAAGAGCAACCAGCCGCTTTGGACCCAACCGGCGGTTCGATGGAACCCGACTTGCAGAAAATGAGTATGTTTCCCAACTGCCGATCAATATATTCGATCTATCTCCTTCAACTGTAATACGTACTAACCTGTTGCAGGCAAGAAAGCTCCGGATCTGACGAGGAATCCGGCTCCGAGGACGAGGTCATGGACGATGTCGACTCGGAGGACGAAGACGAGGACGAGGACGACAAGGCCGCCTCCCGCCCATACATGGCCCTCCTGCAAAGCCTCAATGAAAGCAGCGCCCCAACTGCTAAGCGACGAAAGTTGGACCATCGAGCGTCCTCGCCGCAAGCCGAGGACGATGATTCCTCCTCCGACAAGGAGTCTAGCGAGAAGGATGTCGATCGCGCTGAAGATGAGGCCGAGGACGATGCAGACACTGCCGTCGAAGAACAACCAGAGGAAGACTCAGAAGATGAGGGAGACTCCGAAGACCCTTTCGACGTGCACTTCGCTCATCCTAACGACGACATTGTCGGAAAGCGGGTCAAGGCTGTCCAAAAGGGCGAGTGGGCGACCAAGCGAGCCCTGATGCAGTCTTGGAGAGCCACCGTTATGTACCCCAACTCTGATGCTGGGTCTGAAGTCCCGAAGCCTGTGGCAGGGCTCGACGGCCTGAAGCTGAAGCAGAAGCTGAAGGAAATCGCCGACCGCAAGATTGGCTCGTTCGAGGATGTTCACCGGAACTTTAGCCCGTTGCTGTTTGACTACCGCGATGTGTTGCATTGCGACCGCACAGTTCGAAACTCGGATCAGATGAGACAGTTGACTTGTCTCCACGCTCTGAACCACGTCTTTAAGTAAGTCTTGGGTCTGGTATGTCTCGAGCCAGATCACTAACTTGAACCAGGACCCGAGATAGAGTCATCAAGAACAACTACAAGCTGGCAAAGGAAGGAGAGAATACCGAGATGGAGCTCCGAGATCAAGGTTTCACTCGCCCCAAGGTGCTCTTCCTCGTACCAACCCGCAACTCGTGTCTGCGGATGGTCAACATGATCCGGGATTTGTGCGAGCCGGACCAGCAAGAAAACCGCAAGCGCTTTGACGAGAGCTACTTTGATAAGGAGTCCAAATTTGGCGACGACAGACCCGCCGACTTCCGGGACCTCTTTGAAGGCAACGACGACGACATGTTCCGCCTGGGCGTGAAGTTTACGCGAAAGACGGTCAAGTACTTTTCACAGTTCTACAACTCGGACATTCTCTTCGCCAGTCCTCTGGGTCTGCGAATGGCGATTGGCTCGGAAGAGGACACCAAGGTCGACTACGACTTTCTCAGCTCCATCGAAATGGTTGTTGTTGACCAGGCAGATGCGCTCCTGATGCAGAACTGGGAGCACGTCGAGTACATTTTCGAGCACTTGAACCTACAGCCAAAGGATGCCCACGGCTGCGACTTTAGCCGCGTCCGGAACTGGTATCTTGAAGACTGGGCCAAGTATTTCAGACAGACCATTATTCTGTCCGCCTTCAATACCCCCGAGTTGTCTGAGTTGTTCCGAATTCACTGCCACAACTGGGCCGGCAAAGTGCGACTGCAGCCAGAGTATCCTGGTACGCTGCAGCAACTAGGCGTCAAGGCTAAGCAGACATTCTCTCGATTCCAGTCCCCTTCAGTCGACAAGGATCCCGATGCTAGATTCGAGTACTTTACCACCGCCATCGTCCCCTCCCTGGTCAAGCGCGCAAAGGATGCCAGCGGGACTCTCATCTTCATCCCATCATACCTTGATTTCGTCCGTGTGCGCAACTACTTTGCCAACTCCAATGATGTGAACGACGTCACTTTCGGCGCCATATCAGAATACGCGGACGTCCCTGAGGCGTCTCGTGCACGCTCTCACTTCCTCAACGGCCGCCACCGCCTTCTGCTCTACACGGAGCGAGCACATCACTTCCGCCGGTATCAGTTCCGGGGTGTGCGGCGGGTCATCTTCTACGGACTCCCTGACAATCACCTCTTTTATAATGAGATTGCGGGTGGCTACTTGAGCAAGAGTGAGCAGGATATGAAGATTGAGCCTGGCCAAGGCAATGTGAGGGTTGTCTTCTCTAAATATGATGTGATGAAGATGGAGCGTATTGTGGGCTCTAAGAGGGTGGGTAAGATGATTCAGGAGCGCGGTGATACCTTTGAGTTTATATAGAGCAACTATGTACCCGATGGGAAAATTGTGGTCAGATGGAGTCTGTATGCCTGGGATCTTGACATCATATAGAGCGGGATGGAGCACAAAAGTCATTTATCACTTGAAATATCGTCAAATGTTCATTATGTGAAAGTGAAGACGTCGAAAGACTGAATGCGTTATGGTATAATTGGTACAGTTTTTGTACATGTAGTCATGTTACCCACCCATCTAATGATACATCTCGTCTCTATTGTGAGCTCTTTTGGTTCTGGGTCTTCTTGGCCGCCTGCTTCACGCTCTCAGGGACGATGCCCGCCGCCATTTGTGACGCCCTCTGCTGGGTCTTATCCGCCAGCCTCGCGGACTCTTTCTCGGCGGGGGTTTCCTCCTCCAGCGCAGCCTTTCCGCCCTCCTTCTCAGCGTGCAGGGCGATGAACTTCTGCACCATGGCCTCGAAGTCGTCCTTGCCGCGGAACTGCGTCACCTTCTTGATGTTGAGGCGGGTTACGGGGGTGTGGTCGTTGCCGAGCATGCGGTCGCGGGCGACGGTCTTGGCCGTCATCATGAAGCGCGAGTCCTTGGGGCCGTCGACGAACTCGAGGATGGCGCTCTCGCCCTGGTCGTATGTGTTCTTGGACTCGGTGCGGACTACGCGGGTGTAGCCACCTTCGCGGGGTAGGTATCGCTGTCGAAGCTCACCAAAGAGCTTAGGGAGGAGGATATGAGGTGTCTATAGCGGGAAAGTCCAGTTTGGTTAGCAATCCTATCCTGTCTTTTCCTGCCTGCTCTATGCTGCATTCGTGTTGTCCGCCCGTCGTGCTCGTCCGATTGCCCATCCACGCCATCCGTCAATTGGGGCCACATACGTAGAGAATTCCCTGTGCTGACCGCCTGCAGGGCTCGTTATCGCGCTTCGCCAGGGTGATGAGCTTCTCGGCCATGCGCTGGGTCTCCTTGGCCTTGGCGTAGGTGGTCTGGATGTGCTCATACTGGACGAGCTGGGTGACGAGACCACGCAGCAAGGCCATTCGCGCCGAGGAGTTGCGGCTAAGATGCCGGTACTTGACGAGACCGCCAGCCATGTTTGCGGAGGTTGCGCAGCGGCGGGCAACTGTGGAATCGAGGAGGGGTGCTGAAAAGCGGCGGTAGTATCGTCGTCGGCGGCGGCGTGGTGGTTCGGATCCGGGGAAGCGGTTTTGGTGGTTTGGAAATTTTTGGCTTGGCCCGGAGCCGGGATGTTTTCTCTGCCGTCCCGAAGAGGCTCTGCGCAACGCCAACCCACCATCCGCCGCAACCTAACCACGGCACCAACGTGCTCGACGACAATTTCACCCGCGATCCGGGAGCCATTGGAGCTCGCGCGCGCTATGAGACGTTGCTTCTAGGTCAATTGCCGACGGTTGTTTACAAATTGGTCGCCTGCCGACACCCGACACCTGCAAATTACCTCATCCTCGGCCGACCGGGCAAGCTCCAACCATGGGCTTCACCACGGGATTTGTGCGCATGACCTTTCTCTCGAGCTGCTCTGCCTCTCGCCGAATGCTGGACTGACTCTTCGTTTGCTAGACCGGCGGTGTCACCGTCACCCTATCCCTCGCCTACCTCTCAGTCCTCGCCCACCAGCGCACCCGCGAACAGCAGGGCAACATTCTCCGCTCCCAAGCCCTTGTCCTACAGGGCCTCGTCGAACCCTTTCCCCCGCTGCCACCACCTACGCGGTCCGAAGTCGCTGCTGCCCAGCGAGAAACCACCATCGAGGTCGCCAAGGACCGATGGAACCACGAGATCCAGAACGCCGTACGATGGGTACAGAAAACCGACTGGGTCCAGGTGCGAGAAGGCCTGGAAGAGCGCACCTTACAACTGCTGGGCATCACCCCTGCCGAGGCTTCTGAAGCCGTGGCCCAGGCAGAGAAGAAGTTTGCGAAGGAGGGAGCTCAAGTTGCCGCTGTTGCCAAGGAAGCTTTCGAGAAGGCCAAGGTAAAGGGCCAGGAGGTCATTGCTGCTACGTTGGAGAACGGCAAGGACGTTATTAACAAGGCTGAGGGCGGCACTGTGCCAACCCTGAGCCCCGTACAAATGGCTCTGAACCAGCGATTTGAGAAGCCCGAGGTGCAGGTGAATCAGTCAGTGGAAGAGGCCCTGAAGGAGCGGTATACGCCGATGAACAAGAGGGACAACTCGGTGCTGAGGGGAGTGTAGAATGTCTGACGAAGGAGCGTTCCTTGCGTTGAGTGATTACTGTACAGCTGTACATTGATTGTGTACCACCATTCCTAGAGTTGCTCTAATAGATGCGGGCTAGATGACTTCATCGACCACGAGTCGGGACATTGGAGTGAATGCGTGCTGGGCAATTGGCCATGTGTAAATCATTGCTAGGTCATAGTCTATATTTTGAGGACGATGCTGGTCAGAAAAACGCAAATATCAATATGACTATGGACATGTCCACTCCTGCACTCCCTTTTAATTCTAGGACACCACGACCTGACAAAATCGAACATCATGGCTCATGAAGGCCATACTCGCTGCAACGGCAACTGTCGTTGCAGAGGCAAACGCGTCCCTCCCCCAGTTCCCATCATGAACTCAAGCCGTAGCAAGATCGATCTACATCATCATATCGAAACCTTTATGAAGGGGAGGTTGCTCGGGGACAAAGACGCGCTTGCCAAGGGGAAGAAGGAGGAGAAAGAACGACATGAAGCCTGGGCTAACAATGACAAGATATACTTAAAGTCGATCAAGGCGTCGAGAAAGAGCAGGAAGTCGAGGAAAGTATCGAAGGGATCGAGGACCATTTCCTTTATGGCGTTTGCCGCAGGCAACCCACATATTGCTCTTCTACAGAAAAAGCCGAAGCGAAAAAACAAGCGAAGGCCAGGTAAAGTCGTCGACGGGGAAAATGTGTCCACTTAGGTTAGACGCCCTCTTCGGAGAGTTTGCCTGAGAGTAATCCCCCCGGAGAGTCGAAGCTACCTGAAGAATCGCAACCCCTTGCGGATTTGCAGGCCCTTGATGACCAGGACCTGTCTCTTGATGTACTTCATTCGATGATTTGATTCTAATAATAAGAGTACATTTCAAAAGGAGTGTGCCTCCCCAGAAGCTCCAAACAGAGGCGCTGCTTGCTATCAGGCCAAAATAATAAACGTAAACAAACCTAGATTGCTTGTTCTTATACTGGCAAGGATCCACCTCACTCGGTTGTCTTAATTAACTGGTATCTCTATTGTACCCTACACTTTCGAACTGTAGATAGCACAGGGGAGCGATCTTGCGGTGAGATCTAGGTAGACTTGAGAATGTGAAGTGCATTTGACGTTATTTCTTATCTGTGGCTTGAAGGTTGATGCTCAAGTTCTCCCCATACTCTTTTCGGAAGTTGTTGTAAGATATATACGGAGTTTAGCTCTATGCCGGCGAACAAGCCCACTGGAAGCCGCGTCCCAACTATGGAGTTTCGGTGGACTGCACTCACATTCCGTGCTACGATACCCGTGGTAAGTTCTTGACAGAAAACGACCGCATACTTCCCCTGTTATATGCAAGACAGGCTGAGTTTATCCGACGAGTTTGATTGTACATTGGAGGGCAAGTTTGCGCACTAGCGTCATGGGCGCGCCACAGTAGGAGATTGACAAGAAGCCAACGAGCCCTGTAGCTCATCTTCCCAGAAGAGTCGCTTTTAGTCCAGTTTCTCACATACTTTTTCAGAACTGACGCGTGAACCTGACTGGGATAAATCTGACGTTGCCGTCTTCCGTTCCAACTGCACGAAGATGAGAGATAAATGGCCCGGTTTCTGACTAAATCCTTGCATCTCCGGAAATCCTTGTGTTGGGTGGCAACGTAAGCACTTGATTGGGTTGGGACAAAGCATCACAACCTGGCCCTCTGAGCCGGGACTTTTCATGGCATATTGAATGAGACATGACTACATTTTATACATGCACCTGGAAATGAAGCAAATGAGACATGACGTGTGAATCTATCGACCTGTTAGCGTGTCAGCTAATGTTCACGGCAGCACATGTGGCCGAACCCCTCACCGGAAGGGCTCGAAGCCGTCCGGCGATCGGGAAGCCGGCCGGATAGACTGGACTGGCGATAGCTGGGAAAAGACAGGCCGACAGCGACCTGTAAAAAGCCGGCAGAGAAAAGCTGACGGACGCCCGAGAAACAGCGGGCTAGAGCGAGGACTAGAGGGCGACGGGCGGGCACACGACCACACCCAAATTGGCAAACCCGGGGCGGTGATTGGTCTACGAAAGGGGAGAGGAGAATTCTTCATGGTAACTAGGAGCGGAATGGCACCATGACCCCCCAATGGCCCGCGGAGGAAGATGAATCTGCGAGAGGCAATTTGTTCCGCATTCCGAGGTTGACCGAACTTTGTCCCGGTGGGCGGCCACTAACACCGGTACTGTACAGCGGCCACACTGCAGCGGCCACAGCGGGCCACAGCGGGCAGTACAGTACATGGGGCGCGCATGGGGCGCATGCAGGCGCTTCTGTGCCAGTGAGAACTCGTTCATTGGCAAATCGTCCGCTCACGGCTCCTGCGACCGGTACTGTCGCAGAAACCCAATCCATCCTTTCCTTTCCTTTCGTCATTCTTCTTTCTTCCGTCTTCCTCCTTTTCCTCTTCCTTTTTTCAAACTTCTCCTCGTCTTCTTCCCACTCATACTCCTCCCCCTCCCCCGCGTCTTGCTCTATCTCGTCTTTGCTTGGTGCTGCCCCCAGTCACCACCGCCTCGTCTAGTCCCGGCCGATTCCGCTTATCAAAAACCCCCCCTCCCCTCCGAATTTTTGGCCACCCTCGGCATCGTGTCATCGTTCGCCAGCCTCCTCTCGCCGTCCTCGTCTCTCAGCACTCAATCCAGTCCAATTCCTCTCAGCCAGCGTTCAATCAACACAGCGAACATGTCTTTCTCCAGCCTCGTCCAGGACATCAGTCTGCGCGACTCCAATGGCACCGCCCGTCGCCCGCAGGTCCCCGGCCCGCGCTCCACCGTCTCCACCCTCGACGACCGAACCTCGCACATCTCGCGAGCCATGTCCTACGCCAGCACTGCTGCCACCAGCGTGAGCATCTCCGGCGACATCTCCAGCCAGCTTCATGGCGGCTACTTTCACCCTCTCGCTCGCTCGTGGCAGGCCGAGCGCCAGCTCACCAAGGTACGTTCCGAAACCGCAGCCCCTCCGCCTTGAGACGCCGCACATCAAACAGACTCCTAACTTCCGCCTGTTCTAGTCCATGCTCATCTACCCACTCTTTATTACCGACGGCGACGACGACATGAACCTCATTCCGTCTCTCCCCGGCCAGCACCAGTTGAGCATCAGCCGATTGGTGTCCTTCCTCGAGCCCCTCGTCCACAAGGGCCTCAGATCCGTCATGCTCTTTGGTGTCCCCATGAAGCCCGGCTGCAAGGACGCTCTCGGCACCGCCGCCGACGATCCTGAGGGTCCTGTCATCCGCGCCATCCAGCTCATCCGCCGCCGATTCCCCCAGCTGTTCATCTGCGCCGACGTCTGCCTCTGCGAGTACACTTCCCACGGCCACTGCGGTATCCTCCGCGACGACGGCAGCCTGAACAACCAGCTGTCCGTGGACCGCATCTCCGATGTTGCCCTCGCCTATGCCAAGGCCGGTGCCCACTGCGTTGCTCCCTCAGACATGAACGACGGCCGCATTCGCGGGATCAAGCTGAAGCTGATTGAGGACGGCATTGCCCACCGAACCGTCCTCATGTCATACTCGGCCAAATTCTCTGGCTGTCTGTACGGTCCCTTCCGTGATGCCGCTGGCTCCGCCCCTTCGTTTGGTGACCGCAAGTGCTATCAGCTGCCACCTGGTGGCCGCGGTCTGGCCCGACGAGCCATCGTTCGTGATATCAACGAAGGTGCCGATATCATCATGGTGAAGCCCGCCAGCCAGTACCTCGACATTATCAGTGACGCCAAGGACCTCGGCAAGGACTTGCCTGTTGCTGCGTACCAGGTCAGTGGCGAGTTTGCCATGATCCACGCTGGTGCCAAGGCTGGTGTTTTCGACCTCAAGGCCATGGCCTTTGAGTCGACTGAGGGTATCCTCCGTGCGGGCGCGACCATTGTGGTCAGCTACTTTACCCCCCAGTTCCTTGACTGGCTGGAGAACTGAGCAATGAGTATCATGATGTCAGGAGTTTGCAATATGGGCGTTGGCGGTGTTTCTTTTTTCATTCTTTTTTTTCAAAGGAGCCGGAGCTGGGATCATGTCCGGGATGGGATATACGCATAATGGGTCATTCGTTTTCTTCTGCTGAGCAGCCTCTTACGAGAGGGATTTGTAAAATACAAAACACTTGGTTGGTTCTACTTTGGTAGATGGTTGCGCGTACGAAATGTTTGTATGCGCCGATAGAACGCAGGACACAATACAAAACTTACTATCAAAGGATTTTGGCGATGATGACTCTTTTGCATGTAACCAGTGGCGTCATTGCATCACTCAGCGGCTCTGACGGGATTCCTCATGGTAGGGCGGGCCGTGTTGGTGGTTCGAGAGTGAGTTGGGAGGGGCATGAAACTCCATACGGAATGCATAGATTCCAGAAGAGGCATTGACGGATGTTTAGGATATAGTGTGCAGTGAGGCTCTCGCGAGTATATTAACCGCCACGGTCGCTACCGCGAGTGAGGTATACATACGCAGGGGAATCGTCCCTGGGTTGGAACCAGTTTCAGGACAGTCCGCGTATGGCGGGTGGGGCCGAGGCATGGGATTTGACGGGGGAAATAGGGACGAAAAACAAACAAGAACGGGAGATGGCCACGGTGGGCGGGGTTGTAAATCATTGAATACTGCTCCGCACGTAAGAGAGATGCTTTAAGTGAGACGAAGCATGGAATCTCTTGAACTTGGCAGTGATGCTCGTGCCCCGTGGTTCTGTGCTCCGGCCGGTGGAATTGCGTGGCCGCCCCCTGAGCAGCCACGCCGGATCTGGTTGAATTTCTGTGTCGTTCCCGGTCCTCTATGTGGAGAGAGAGTGCGCGATGAACCGTCTTCTTCAGCACGCGACTAGGATGGTCAGCGAAGAACTTTGGTGGGTTGGGCTCCGCGCATCTGTTATCAAACTCTCCTACCCCTGGACAGCATAAAGGTGGATGGCGGATGGTGTGGAGGGGTGGTAAAAGGCCGCTATTGAACGCTATTGCGCGGCATGCCAATAGTACGATGCCCTCCTTAGCTTAGCCTCTTGTGATCTTACGGCATTTGCCTTCAGCTGCGAGTTGGAGAGTGCTGGCTGGTTGGCTGGTTGGCTGGCTGAAGCTGACCAGTGCGACGAACGCCGCGGTTCTTGGCGCGGAAGCCGGCATCTGGGTTTATATAGGTACCAGTCTGCAGTCTCAGTCTGAGTCTTCAATTATCGATTGACTTCTTAACGGGCTGGCTCTGTGGCTGGCATCGACTAGGATGGGAGAGTGAAACAGGAAGCCCGGCAATTGCTTCATAGTGGCATGGCCGCTGCGAGTGGGAGCGAGACCAGCTCTGTACTACATACACAATTCCTACATAGTATGCTGCTCTGGACGACACCTGGAAAAACACCATCCAGACCCTACAACTGAATACGTACGTGGAAATTGTACCGCGCCGAATGGTGGTGGCGGCCCTCCTGTCAGATCGCGCTGGCTGAGACCGCATCCCTTGATTTGATTTGATTCCATTGCTCCGAAGCCGATAAGGATAACCGTGCAGATTACACACACACACACACACACACACCCTGGGCGAAAAGGGGGATTTGTTCCTTGTAAGCTGTGCCTGGCGGGTTGGTTGGTGGGCTGGCAAACCCACTTGCAAGGTTGGTTAGTGGTTTGTTGGCTGGGGAGGATGCCTCGGAGGGCTGAAGCAGGGGGAGAGTTCTGTTTGGTTTGTCTTCTGAAATGATGCTCTACGCCACCAGGTCTTCTGTCCGGTTGGTGGTTGCGTTTGCAGAATGCCGGTTCTGTATTTTGTGTCTCAGCCGTCTCCCTCTTGACGCCACCCAACCAAGACGCCGCTGCAGACTGCTCTCCATACGGCGGCTCTCCGGTTGAAAACCACAACATGATTTGCTCCTTTGTAATACATCAGTAACGAATGATTACACTCTGATTCTATACTCACACTACGGATGCGTAAACAGAACTCACACCCCAATATCTGTCCTCCTTTGGAATTGTGTCTGACAATCACCCCCCCAGGCCCAGCATGTCGAACTAGGACGCATCGGAATGCTGAATTAAGCTACGCCTGCGGCTACGAGGCCGGCGCCAGGGGTAGCCAGTTCTAGCCCAGGGCAGAGGTGGGCCGGCTGAGCGAGTTCCTGGATTGTGGATAACATCTCGAGACCGGATGGTGCGCTCCCTGGCTGCAATGTGGAGAGACCCATGATGAGCGGGAGCTGTCTTGGACCATTCCGGAATAGAGTGTGATGACACTGATATTGATCTAATTATCCTGGCCAGTGCAATAGTGTTGGACCACTCCGCCCTGCTGGCCCGGATACTTTATTCTTTCGGCTCCCCTCCTTTCCGCGTCTTCCCTGCTCCTCCTCCCGGGGCTCGCTCAATCGTCCGTCGCGGCCATCTTGACGACATTGGCGTTTCCGAAATGCCATAGAGGGAGCATTCACTTTTGCTAGATTCTCCTTCTCCTTCTCTACGCTCCTTTACGCCCTCGATCAAGACTCACGTTCTTTCCTGCGCATCCGCCGTCTTCCCGAATACCTCGTCCGCATCGCCGCTTCGACAATGGCCGTCACGCACAACTCTCTCTCCCGCGAGGGGAGGGGGGGCCTTCTCGACATCTCCTCCGACAACTCCGACAGCAGCAATGCCCTGTTAGCACCAGTGGACTACATCCGGCGCGTCCACTGGCGATCTCTCGTGATCCGTCTCGGCTGGTTCCTCGTTCCCAGCTTTCTCCAGGGCCGCCACTTGTCCGACCAGGCCCGGCCCGCCAAACTAGGTCCCACGGCCTATCTCGACGGCATGCGAGGCATCGCTTCGCTGTGTGTCTTTTTCTGCCACTTTGGATACCAGAGTTATTCACTCATGCACGGCTGGGGCGGTGAAGGCGCCAACTTCAACATCATGCGGCTGCCCTTCTTGCGTCTCATCTATGCCGGATCGCCCGCCGTTAGCATCTTTTTCATCATCTCCGGCTACGCCCTCTCCTACAGACCCATGAAACACATCCGGAACCGCAACTTTAAAGAATTCGCTAGCGGTCTGAGTTCCATGGCCTTTCGCCGCGGCATCCGTCTTTACCTCCCCATCGTCGCCTCCACGGCAATGTGTGTCGTCCTCGTCCGGATGGGCGTGTACGAGTGGACCCGGCCCATCACATTAGATCACACGTATTTGCGAAACATTATAGAAAACCATGCCAACATTTTCCCCTCTGCTTATGAGCAGTGGAGGAAGTGGGCCGTTATGATCCTCGACGGCTTTGACCTCTTTAGCTGGCAAGGATTCGACGGATACCGATGTAAGTTGCCAAGTGACGATTGCATATTCCTCCATCATTTCATGCTGACCGAACTCGACAGATTACGATCTTCATTTATGGACCATCCCCACCGAATTCCGCTGCTCGTTCTACCTGTTTGCCGTCATGATCACGACAGCTCGCCTGCAGACCAAGTTTCGATTCCTCACCGTCGCCGTCGTCATGTACTTCACCTACACACGCAGCAGATGGGACTTTTTGCTGTTCCTCTTTGGCATGGTCCTCGTCGAGTGGGACCACATTCGCGGAGCCCATACTTCTCATTCTTCGAGCCCTACCTTACCGCTCGGAGAAAAGGAAGCCGACAAGTCTGCCTCAACGCCCAAGGCAATCTTCTGGCAGGTACTGGCCATCTTTGGCTTATACCTTATGAGCCACCCTGACATTGCCGACACGACCACCCCGGGCTTTGCCTATCTTTCGTCTCTGATCCCTGAGTGGTGGAATGCCGAGCGGTTTCGGTATATGCATGGCATTGGTGCGGCCTTCTTTATTACCGCCGTGGGCTATTTGCCACGGTGGCAGCAATTCTTCAACTACCCTGTTTGCCAGTACTTGGGCAAGATATCATACGCTCTGTATCTCATGCATGGGCCCGTTACAAAGGCAGTTGGCTACCACTGGCAGAAGATGGCTTGGGACATAACGGGCGTTGAGGGCGACGCGTACCACGTCGGCTTCGTTCTGGGCGCCTGTTTTTGCATCCCGACTATTGTCTGGTGTGCCGATATCTTCTGGCGGGCTGTGGATATTCCCACAGTGCAGTTTGCCAAGTGGTATGAGAACCAGCTCATTGTCAAGGCCGACTAGAACCTTGATTGTGCCCAGACTCTTCTGTTTTGTTTGCATGGGTGGCATGGATTAATGATTTCCAGGAATTAGGTGTTAGAACGTGATAGGCCGAGTATTGTTTTATAGAGGGTACTGGAGTTATAATTGGCGAGGGGAACGACTGGACCTATACTCGGGGGTTTCATGATAAGTTTATCCCAGCTGCATCTCATTATCGAATCAGCAAGAAATACCACATTATTCAACACATCCGGTCGCTTTACCGTTGAAAAATTTACCTATATTTCCAAAACTCCTACCCTCCTTCAAGCAAGCTACTCTATCACTCTGGTCGGACATAAACCCTTCTTCCCCCCACCCAGGTCTCCTTGACTGTCAGAGTCCGCAGGTCCTCCACGCCGTAGGAATCAACTGGCTGATCCAAAACTACCCAATCAGCCAGGGCGCCTGTGCGGATGACACCAGCACGGTCTTCGAGGAACGCCCCGTAGGCCGGTGACCGGGTGAACCCCCACAGAGCCTGGTCTTGGCTCAGCGCCTCCTCGGTGTACCAGCCGTCCGGCCCGCCGTCGGCTCCACGACCGGTCGCTGGGCTGCGGCGGGCCACGGCGGCGTAGATGCCCTGGAAGGGGTTGGGCGGCTCGACGGGGAAGTCGGAGCCAAGAATGGGATGGGCGGGCAGCAGGGAGCGCATACGGTAGGCGGAGTTGGCGAGGCGGTCCGGACCGAGGCGATCGAGAGCATACTTCATGTCCGATGTAGCATGGGTGGGCTGGATGGAGGGTAAGATACCGAGGGTGTGGATACGGCGCTGGTCGTGCGGGTGGATGATCTGGGCGTGTTCGATCCGGAAGCGGTAGCGAGCCTGGCATGCAGCGAGGGGATGAGCCTGGCTGTCGTCGTCTTGGTGATGACCGTCTTGGTAGAGCTTTGCCGCAGCGGCCTCGTCAGGGCATTGCTGCGAAAGGGCAGCCTCCAGGGCGTCGACGGCGTTGCGGTTCGCCAGGTCGCCGATGGCGTGGATGTTAACCTGATAGCCGTCGGCGGCCCAGCTCTTGGAGACGTCGGTGAGAGCTGAGGCGTTGATCAGGAGAGAACCTGAGGTCCAGGGGTGGTCGGCGTAAGGCTCGAGCATGGCGCTGCCCCAACTCCCTAAGGCGCCGTCTGAATCCGTCAAGTTAGCATTTACAGTACTGAAGGCAAAATCAAGGGGTCGATGAGACGAACCAGCAAATAGCTTGACGCTCTTGACGGCGAAACGGTCATCGTCACGATCAAACTTGACGGCCACATCGGGGCAGTACGTGTTGCGCTGCGGACACTCGAGCATGGCGTACACACGGAGCGTCCAGTCGTCCTTGTTGGCCAACTCCGAGAACAGCGTCAAGGTCTCGGGCGTAGCACCGGCGTCGTGCATGCCAACGAGGCCGACTTCGTTGAGCTTGCGCATGGCCGACTTGACATGCTGGGCCTTGACGTCCGGGCCGGGCTTGGGCCACAGGTTGATGACGAGGTCCATGGCGTTGTCGCAGAAGACGCCCATTCCGGGCTCGCGGATGATCTCGCCGCCGGGGATGACATCTGGGAGGTCGGCGGGGAGGAGATCGAGAACGGCTTGAGAGACCCAGGTGCAGTGGACATCGATACGGTCCAGCATCATGTACAGGCCGCGGAGGCTTTCGTCGTCCTCGATGTCGGCCTTGGGTTGGAGACGGAGTCAGCCTGAGGAGCCATGCAATGGGAAACATCCAATGGAGAAATAACTTATGACTTACCGCGGTTGGCATCCGGCCGAAGAAGGTCTGATCCCAACCAACACCGCGAACCCAGTTATCCTTGGATCCGGCACCGGGGTTCGCAGCGAGGTAGTCCCTCGTGCGGGATCGCACCTCGTCGAGCGTTTCCGAGCCAAAAAGGTCAACCGAGTGAAGAAACTCGCCATACTGCAACAAATGGCCATGGCCGTCCCAGAGTCCCGGAATGACGTAGCCATCCAGGGCCTCGGCGTTGCGTGGTGCATCGGCATCAAGAGCAGCATCGCCGGCTTCGGCCTGGTTTTCGGCGGTGGACCAGACGGCCGCAAAGGTGCCGTCGACAACGGAGAAGCATTGGGCCGCGGGCTGCTCGTTGTCGTGAGTTCTAACACCCTTGTAGCAGTACGTGACGGCGTCATCATGATTCCCGCTGGACGAACCGAGTAGAGGCTGCTGCTGGAGGCGGTACGCAACGGCCAAGACGACGACAACAATCGGGAGGGTTAGGCCCCATTTCAATACGAGGGCGACAGCGCTCATTTTGGGGGTTTCAGGGGAGCTGCCTCCCGCGGGAAAAGTAACCGAGGAGTCGGAGACAGGCAAAAAGAAGGCAAAGGCACCGAATTGTTTATTTTTGAGGAATCATGATACAGAGTTGAGTCAAAGGAGCTCTAGGGTTGGTGTAGGTGTAGGTAGGTATCTTATCGATAAAGGATCATGGCTGTTGTGTGCATTTTCTCGCGGGGTATTTTCTTATCAGTGGAATGGTCTGGGGAAGGCTTTGTGCTCCTTGCTCCATCATCTACTGGTATGGATGAATTGTGATTGCGAATGTGGACGGATCAAGATGTAAGGCGTAGTTAGACTATGTATTTGCTAAAATACCATGTTCCTAAAAACTCCCGAATTTCGTCTTGGTTCCATTCTCATGACCGTTCATCTCAACAAGGCGGCCGTCGTCCCATGGTGACCGCCATGAATACTCTGGAGTGATAGCAGTGTTGGCAACGAGCAAATCCGCATGCCATCCCGTCTCAATCCACGCCGCCGATGACGGCTCCGTCAGCGTCGAACAGCGAATAGTCCACGAGAGTTGCAACCTGTAGCTCCACCTCGGGTCAACTCTCGTCCGTATTCCAACCGCTGCGATGCGCCGGGAACGAAGAGAAATGCATATTTGGCTTCACAACACGTACTTTAGTTAGGTAGGTACGCCCTTTTCTCGACCTCCGGAGCTGGTCTTCGGCGACGCCGTTTCAACCGTGTCTTGCATCTGAATGGGTCACTGCCATGTGGCATCCCGCCCGCCCAAACCCTAAACACAAACACCATCATCGCGGTTTGTTACTATGACCCCATTCGTTGGCTTGGGCCCAAGTACAGTAATGTGAAATTATCCTCTTCACGCCCTTACTGCGATTGTTTGTCTTGTTTGCTATTGTGAATTGGTTTGATTCTACTGTGCAAACGACCAGGGTCACCACCTTTCAAGTATTTAAATCTTACAACTGCTGGTGTCTTTAACCAAGTGGCCTCATACCAGCACACCACAGAATCCAGCAACATCAGACCAAAACTTCACACAATTTCCCAAGCTGGCACAGAGTCACCATGACTCTTTCCGTCAGCGAGTTCGAGGCGCTCTCCGCCATCCACGTCCGCGAGCCCATTCCCACCAACCTCCTCACTCGCGCCCTTGCCTCTCCACCCTTCATCCCCTCGCGCACCCTCATCAACATCCGTGATCTCGGGGACGTCCCCGGCAGCGCCCTTCCCAAGGGTCGCTTCTACCGCTCCGGCACACTCGACGATGCCGGAGCCGACCCAGAGGCAACCGCCTGGCTCGCCGCACATGTCAAGCGCATCTTCGACCTGCGCAAAGGCTCAGAGCGCACCCGCAACCCTAGCCCCGTCGTGCCGGGTGTCGAGAACGTTTGGCATGAGCAAGATGGCGAGTATACGCAGCCTTCACTAGAGGAGTTTGCAGTCGGAGAGGGGGACGCTGCTTGGAAGCGCCAGTACTTGATCGTGACGCGGGTGTACAAGCCCACCATTCGTTCCGTGCTGGAGCATGTACGAGATCGGCCAACTGAGCCTTTTCTATTTCATTGCACCGGTAAGTTAAGTAGCCTGACACCTGTCCAAATTCCAGAGCATCTGCTGATTAAATCTTGCCTTGGCTATTTTTAGCTGGCCGAGACCGAACCGGCGTCGTCGCCGGCCTTCTGCAGAGTCTCGCCGGCACAGCGACCGACCAAGTCATCTTTGACTACATGCTATCACGCATCGGTATCGAGATTGCTCGAGAGAAGCTCACTGCCTTCGCCGTGGCCAGTGTGGGCATCACAGACCCAGAGACACCTGGTTTTTGGAACCTCACCAACCTAAAGCCGTCGTACTGGATGGCGTTCCTAGAGGGGCTGCAGGAAGAGTATGGCGGCTGGGATGGTTATGTCACCAAAGGCCTGGGGTTCTCCGAGGAGGACTTGGAGACTATCAAGAAGAACCTGCGAGAGTAGGGGATAGTTGGCACCGCTTCACCTAGGGCGATAAGTGATCGATGATGATACTACGTGTGGCATAGGCCATGTTTTACGAGATACCCACTGAAAATTGGCAATGACGGCATGAGCTGCTTCCATCTACAATCATTGGGAGAGTTCTGGAATTGCTACGCTGTTGTAAATTATGGGTCAGATTAAGATATTTTAACAGTCGTTAAGTTAATTCAAGTTACATCCCTTGCCAGGCAACCTTGCCAGAACTCTATCGAACTGCACAGAGATGATGCGCGAACCACAGCCACTTCAGCACCGTCATAGCAACGGCAACCGATCTCGATAGCGCGTTCACACCCGAACTTGGCAACACATCGCCCGTGACGTCGCAACCCTGCCAGCTGTGTTCCCGATTTATCCAACATCATCGCAACCCCCAAGTCTCTTCCCCATGACATCACCCCCCACGACGCCGGCCCTGCAAGGGGTCTGCCCGGGCCCACTTTCTCCGCCAATCCACGGCCCGTGTTCTCCACCCCGGTGACGTTATCCACCCTCCCTCATATCCAAACGGGTTTCTTGGTGTTGCTTCGAGGCAGGTTTTTGGGTGTTTCAAGAGGGCTGGCACTCTCATGATCGACAGCGCAGGGAACCGCGAACCATAGGGCTTGCGTTATGGCATCATTGCGACGGGGACGGCGTCATGGATGATGAACTTGTTGGCTACTCCGTAACATACGGTCCTGCTTGTCTTGTGTTTGCCAAGATACCAAAACTCCCAGATCTAAACCGACGTGTATATATACTCGAGTTCATCCGCAAGACTGTTACAAATCCCAAGCCATCATCAGCATTCACAACCACAATCACCAACAAGTCAAGCATCCAAACTCCTCCAACTTTTAACAATCCACCCTCACCAACTCCAACATGCCTCTCACACGCACCCACGGCCAGACTACCGCCCCCCGCCGCCACTCCATCTTCAGTCGGCGCCGCGCTGCTCCCCGTCGCCAAAAGGTTGTGACAACTACCACCACCACCAGAGAACGCAGTCACGGTCTCTTTGGCAAGCGTGAGAAGGTCCATACCGTTCATCACCAACACCGCAAGCCCACCATGAAGGACAAGGTCAGCGGCGCTCTGCTCAAGCTCAAGGGCAGCCTCACCCACCGCCCCGCCGTCAAGGTACGTGGCCATAAAGCCATTTCCTATACCCGAAATCATTTCAGGCACTGACCTATCAATAGGCTGCTGGCACCCGCCGTATGCATGGCACTGACGGACGTGGTTCCCGACGCGTCCACCGCGTGTAAACCATGAATAATCAAAACATGACACTACCTGAGGGGAAAGAGAAATGATGGAAGGGATGATAGAGATACCCCAAGAATACGAAGCCGGCCTGTTAAATTAACTGTACTATTATGTCGATACCATTGCTAGACGTGGGCAATGAAACGATTTTTTATCTCCATAAAGCAGAATTGTTTTTTATTCCTTGCATCGCCAGCGACCACTATCTATTATACTCATGCAACCCGTTCCAAAGGTCCGAAACTGCAAGTCGGACCTGCCGATTGTTTTACAACCCACAAATTCAGTTCCCTGCTTTGGCTCTCTTCCAAGCTGTCACAATGCTCACTTGACCTTCTCTGCCTCCTAATCCCCAACTCGCCTATTCTCAGTGCCATTTTCATAACTCTCCCTAGCGAGGCAGGCACAGAATTTCGCCGTCGTCGCCTAATGTAGCTCATCTACATCGTCTTCAATACCCGCTGGGCGATATGGTGGTGCGAGGCGTATCTCTCCACAAATTTTGCGCGCGTTGTCAAGGGGGTGAAGGGTTCGCGAAAACTGCATCATTGACGATGATGACAACGGCCGGCTGTGGCCTCTGCGGACCGATGGGCTGGCCAGGTCTTGAATGTTAGATGCGGACAATCGATTGGAAATCAACCGATTTTTGTCGTGCTGGACTAGAGGTGGCGTAACGGAAACAAAACTGGTTGCTAGTTCGTCCATTTCATCTGAATTAGCTCCCGAAATATTAAGATGGGTATACTTTCGGAACGCCATCTCCAGATCCTCCAGAGCCTCCTTGCTGGGAGAAGGATGTTTCTTTACCCTATTACTCCCCCCTGCATCAATATTCGGTGTCATCTCGGCCACGTCGTGGCGGGTTCGTGTAACAGGATTCACAAGCCTTCCCTCGCTTGCTTTCATGGCAATCAGCTCCAACGGTTGAGCTCTCATGAGCTCCTCTCGCCCAAGCCCGAGTTGGACCCCACACAGCATTGAATTGACCTGCAAGAGCGTCGATCTTGAGTGATTCATCGTAGGACTGTCGTCAAGACTAGCCGACGAGACTCTCTCAACTCGAATCCGAGGGGTTGATGATCCAACTGGCGGGGTAATCAAGATCCTATCCTCGATGTCGTTGTCGAATCCTTTCTCGGAATCAAAGGGATTGCGCGGTAGCGGTGGAATTATATCGCTGTCGTTGTCAGACTCCTTTTTTAGTCGGCTCTCAAACGTCGTCGGTGTACGCGCCCTTCCACACTCGGCAAAAGGATCGTCCAAGGATTTTCCACTCCGAAGCGACTTGCCATCATCTGCGACTGGTTTTCGAGCAACTTGGCCACCAACGATCCGTTGCACTTTCTTCTTGTTGAGATTGTCACCTTCATTGAGGCGGATCTCAATGGTGCTGATTGGGGACATGGCTGCAGGAGAAGGAAAGGCCGAGTTGAGAAGGCCATCCCCTAGCTCGTTGCTAACTTGCGCTTCTCCTCTGTCTCGACCTCTTGGGTTCTCGAAGGAACTTTTTGAGTGCAGACGATCCCATGCATGAGAGACTTTGGCAAACATCCTTGAAGAGACCATGCGTGTGAGTTTGGATGCCGATGAGTTTCCCATCTGGGGAGTTGAAGGCTTCAGAGCATTAGTGGCGGCCAGCATAGCATGGAGTTTCTGGTTGATGTCTTCAGGATCGGTTGACGTATCAGCGGGAGCCAGTCGGTCAGCGCCCACCGCTCTTCGATACCTGACATTCCCATCCACATCGCCGAGCGGAACAGAGGTAGATGCCTTCAAATTAGTCGTCGGATGGGACTTGAGAGGGTCAAGAGACAGAGTTTTGGACTGGGGGAGGGGCCGTTGCAAGCCAGTCTCCTTTCGTCTCTGGTTCGAGTCTGCTCGCGATCGAGTACTGGGAGTTTGTCTCAATACCCTTGCTGAACTCTTTGGCGAATGCTTCTCTACTCGTGCAGTCCGAATTCGGGCATCGGGGGACAACGCAGGTCTTTCTAGTCGAGGTGAAAGTCTTCGTGGAGAAATTATCGGCTGAGTTTTGGGGTTTGCAGCGCTCTTAGGCGATTTCGTTGGCAGTGGTGGTTTATCTTGGCCCGATACCCGTTTCGAGGTACGGGGTGTCTCATGCCCTTGAAGAGTTGCAGTAGTATCATCCAAAAGACGGCTGGCCATCTCTTCAATGCTGCTCGTGTGGCGGCCGGTCTTCCTTCGGGGTGGTCGTCGTGGTGTCTCGTTGGAAATGGAGACGGAGACAGCGAGAGGCTCTGTGCATGTCAGTATGGTGTCTTTGAGGAGATTTAGGGCTGGTATGACCTTGTTTCTTAGTTTGGATAGATTCCACCAAATGCTTTTGACGGCGACGGGAGCCCAGAGACCTAAGCAAGCTCCTCTTCTTCCCATAGGTGACGGTTGTCGACGCCATTGCCGGCGCCGAGGTGATTGTAAAACGAGTGACAGAGAAAGAGTGACGGGAAATGAGTGGGAAAAAACGAGCGGACAGTTAGAAGAAAGTAGTTGGGGGGAGATTGACTGTGATGAGAAAAAGGGTCCTCAAGGTGTTCCTATTGTGGGTGCACAGTGAATCAGATGGTGAGCAAATCCTGAGGCGAGGAAAGACGCAAGTCACAACCGACCCCCAGGGTCGTATAGGTGACTTAAAACGAGAGGAAAGAGCTTCTTGGTTTGAAGACTCATCAGTGAGGTTCCAGCTCCCAGAGGAAGCAGAAATAAGGGTGCGTGGACGGGCTTTGACGTAGTTGGGGGAGAGGGCAGAGGGAGAGAGGAAAGAGAGTGAGGCAAAGGCGCAAGGGTAAAGTGCGGAGTGACGCAGGGGAATGACAGACTCACAATTAAGTGACGATGAATCTGAGCAAGTTTTCAAGGCGGCAGCGTATTGGCCTGCGATCTCGGAGGGAGTGGCCGCTGTTGACAGGTGACTGCAGGAAGGAGCAGACTGTCAACCTCAGGATTGACTGACGCTGGCTGGCTCAAGCTCCGAAGCGCTCCGATGTGCGGAAGGCCCTTGAGGATTTGTGACGACTCTCCGGTTTCCCCAAATAACGGGTCTCGTGCAGGACCTAATTCTCGGTATGACAGTAGCCTGGAAGGATTGTGTTGTTCTCGAAGCAAAATCCAAGGACACTAGACCGATCGCGAATTCCAAAGCCAGGTGTAGATGACCACAGCAAATAAATGCCTCTGGCCTCTGGAATCGGGATATGATAGCGAGCTGCTAAAGTCCAAGGGAAGAGGAGCAATTCATGGCTGATCGCCCAGAATACCTTACTTATCAGGAGAATGTTGCGTGAAGCACACGCTTCTGTCGTCCTACCTGAGATCCTGCCTCTGTCCAGTGCTGTGGCAACTGTCTATCGTTGTGCATCTGCGCAAGTATTTGACTGGGAAGTGCCGTTGCTTGTCGCACCGCTGGCCATGTTTTAGATCCGGCTACTTCTCTTGGAGTCTCGGTTGGCTGTCTCTCGTGTCGCATGCACTCAGCCAAGCCGTGAAGCCTTCGGCAGCTGTCCACCGAATTAAAACTTCTCGTCGAGGATGTTATTGAGGTTTCAGACAAAGAACATTGATTGGAGTGCCTCGGATGGTTCCGATGTTCGACATGGGAGTCTACGGCTGCATTTCGCTTTCACAATGACGCCGATCTCCGAACGTGGTCCACGGAAGGCTACATGTGATTCAATGTCATCTTAGTTCTTGGCGTTCTTCATCCCACCTCATTTTAGCATGCTGGATTTATTGCCCACTCCACGCCACTCCATCTGTCTGAGCTGACAATAGAGCAGGGGCCGGTAGAGTATTGGAGGGTCGGGAGACGAGCGAAGCTCCCGAGACTCCCAGAGCTCAACATCGACCCTGGGTGCCGTGGAGCGTGTCGTATTTACGTCTTTGTGGAATATTGCGTGGGAGCGTAGGATTTTGCGTGAACAGCCCGACTCGAGGCAACGACTGCAAACACTCGCACATTCCCGATGGCATTGTCTGATGATTTCCCCAGTCCCTGGGAGTAAACATCTCGAGGATAAAGCGGTCCAGCATCAAGGAAGCCCGGTTTAAGTCAATGTCTTATTTTGTTGTGCCACATTACTCAAAAGGCACCACTTTCGAATTCGTGCATCGTGAGAAGATGTTCACGGGTCTTTGGATGTACGTCGTTGCTCTCGGAGGCACGTGATGCTGCAGCCGGAGGGTATCGGAAGACATGTGTGGCGCAGCATGTTCAAGCCCCGGAAGTCGGACCATCTGTGGCGCTTTTTTTTACATCATGATCTCTCCAAAATTTCCCCAACGTGAGGTCATCGCGCAGGGAGGGATTTCTCAGACGACAGGGAAACGATTGCGTTGCTGAAATTGTATCGGTATCGCGATTCTCCAGTTGTTCCTCTCCGCTGCCAATTGTCGTCCACGACTCCCCGGGGCTGACACGATATCCGAGAGCTCCGGTAACCACATCGCCTCCCTCCGATCTCCGAAACCCGCTCCGAACTCCCAGAAATCGCGAGGCGGTTCATTCCAGACCGACCACGTTTCCGAGAACACCCTGTGAACAGATCGGCTTTTCTGCGAGCGTACAGGCGTAATTCAAACTCCCAAGGACACCAGTCCCGTCGAAAGCCATGTTGCGGCAATCCGTTCGGGGCGTGCGACTTCCTCTGAAGGCGTTCAGCCAGCCGATCGAGCAGGGGGCATGGAACGGTGCCTGGAAGAGGCTCTTCACTTCCCAGACCAAAAGTCGAGTGTCTTCTGAGCTGTGGCGGTGGAAGATAGCCCCGTGGCAGGGCCTATTAGCGAAGCTACGACCAAAAACCTTTACAACGCCCGGTTCGCTCCAGGGTGTATTGAGGCGCGGGTTCCGATTTTCAGCGCGGCGCAAGACGGACAAGGGACCTGCCGTTAAGGAAGGCGTAGAAGCAACGGGATTGAAGGCTCGGCTCAAGAAGCTCATCAAGGAGTATGGCTGGGTCACCCTGGGCGTCTATATCGGTCTGACGATTTTGGATTTCCCCTTCTGCTTCTTGTTCGTTAGGGCTGTCGGGACGGAGGCGATCGGTGAGATGACCCAAACATTGTCGGTGAGGTCTCATGGTGGCTAACACGTGTGGCATCGATTTTAGGCAAGGTTGAGCACTCCATTACGTCCTCCGTTAAGGAGATGATCCCTGAGTCCGTCAAGGAGGCCTGGCATACAGTCTGGCAGTCCTTCAAGAAAGCCGAGACTAAGGCGCTTGGCGATGGCGATATCAGTGATCGTATGGAGATGGCCACCTGGGGCGTCGAGAAGGCTGAAGAGCAGAGCAAAAATGCAGCCAGTATGTTAACTCCTGTTGACGGGCTTATATGGAATCCCAGCCAGCGTTTCTTAAACTGACAACTCCTTTACAGGTCTCGCAACTCAGCTGGCGTTCGCATACGCCATCCACAAGAGTTTCATTTTCCTTCGTGTTCCTCTGACTGCCTGGCTTACACCCCGAGTTGCCAGATACCTCCAATCGTGGGGCTGGAAGATCGGAAAGAAGAAGTCGCCCTAAATAAAAGGCTGATATTGAGATGGTCGACAGCTTGTTGACCAGAGGCTGAGAACATTCCGCTCCATCCCCGACATACATCCAACCAGCCTCACCCTCAGAACTCATTCCCGCCAAACCCTGTTGTAACAGTATTAGATATGTATCAACGTTTCAAGACGCATAGACTTAGTCTTCGTGTAATTTTTTTTTGATAGAATAAATGCCCGAGTAATGATCAAATAGTTCCGTCTGGCAAAGTGTATAGCTTGACATAAGCGCCTAGGTGACAGTAAATTCCAGTGCATCCATTACCATGCTGAGTGTTAGGAACCACCAGGTTACTACCCCTGTTGTTAAAGCTAAGTGTGTCTTTCCACGTCGTCCATGGTCTGCCAAGGGAACCCGAGGTTACGTGCTCTGCTGTCTTTTGACGGTCTCACAATCCAGTGCAATGTTCTCGATTCTTTGATAGTTACCTCCGCAGCAAGCTCAACACACATACACAACCTATGATTCACTTTCCCCGCCCGATTTCCTTTTGTGACGGTCTTTCATTCCCAAATCCTACAGAGTAAATAAATTAGAAACAGGTCGAGGGTAGGGCAAATGCACCGCCCCACCACACACGCCTTCACAAGAACAAAAAGAGACAGTCAACCAACACCCGTCTCCGTCACGATTCAATGGGAACACCTGACCAACGGATATCCTTCGGCGATTTCCATTGTTGGAATCTGCCGCGCGGCCAAGTTTTTCAGCTCCTCAAGTGGATTGTGAAGGTTGAATACGCCGCAGGTGAAGCACAGGTGTGGGAAGTCTGATGCGGGGCAGGACGCATGATGACCGGCAAAATCGTTCCGTTGCTTTGGCGGATTCACAGATAACATCCAACGGTCTGTTGGTGCGGGACGGAGAGACCGAGACCCTGGAAATCCAAGTACCGAACTTTCAATAACTTTCAGCTCCGGAAGAGGGGAAACCGGGGGAGATATGGATCATCGAATACACCCCGTTTCACTCAGAGACACGGGAAAACGTTTTCGCAGACAAAGTCAAAACCGCTGGAACGTTGAATTCTGTAAAGTGGTCCTCTATATACTTCTCCATAACTCAAGGCAACCATGGCCGGGGTCGGAGTCAATACCTGATTATAGGGTATTTGAAGAAGATCTGTTGGTTAACCTGCCTGCCACGCCGGGATCCCATGTGCAATGCACTAGGATAACCCTTCCGGGGTATCGCGTTGAAGCTTCGATAATTGGTTGGAACTTGCTCTCACCGTTGGATCTCTATCCAAGGTCGTATCCCGCTTTAAGTTCATTCGCGCTGCTGTCTTGTTTCAACTAGTCATGCTGCGGACCGGGTCTGTCTCTTCCGTCCTGACACGTAGATACTTTTCCAACAGCCCAGGGACCTTGTTGGCAGTTTGTTGGTTGGTCGAGTTTGCCGTTCGGCAAAATGACCCAATATGGTGATGTACAGGACCAGATTTGACTTTGCATGGACATCGTCATGAGTCGAGCTGTTGGTTCAGTGTTTTATTTCGTCTTTAGCCGATACACCAACCTCCCGACCAATCGATTCCCCTCATGACATTGGGTTTCTGGCACAATGACTCCATTGTCCATATTTTTCTTGGCGGGGCGTTTAAACTTTCTGATTATTTATTAGTTGGCTATTGGAAGATGTCGTCAGTGCCCCCACCCGGCACACATGGAAAGGTTAAGGGATCCAAGAGCCAGGAATATGGCTTCACGGTTCGGCTAGGCCGTGTGGACCGTCCCTTTCGCAGAATTCTAGAAGCCGAAGAGAACCCGTACAGTCATCCTCCCATTGCCGGCCGGGCTGAGAGCAGTTCAAACCTAACCGTCAAGATGAACCGGCATGGCACAGATGACGGTGAGCATGTCATCCCTGGTTTTCTGTTGGTTGATAAATGTCGCAGTCTAGCGCGGGAAAGGGTACGACACCTTGCCTGGGTGACGTGTATTGGAGTTTCGATGGCTCAAGTACACACTGATACTGAAATAAGCGAGCATAGACGTTCCCCCCTGATGCCCATCGCGGGCATGGAAGCGATGCAAACTTTTGACCCAAGACCTCGTTTCTGTTGTGTTTCGCTCTCGGCTTGAAGTGAAGTGGTAGATTTCCTACTCAGAAACCACGGACGCTCGGAGCCGTACATGTCCCCGAGAGATTACGCACCTGAACCCTATACCGAGGCCTAAGAGAACCCTATTCCGCATCTTTTTAGACCCAACAGCTCCCCAATAGTTCGCCGACGGACTGGGGAGGTGGAACAGCGAGGCCCAACTCAAAGGTTGACGGTGGGAGAGGCGTGCAGATAACCCACCCCTTTTCCATGGCGCCAACTGTACTACGTAGTGGTTCGTGAACGACGCTTGCAGAGCGGTTGACATCGTGTTGGGGTTCAGCTGGATGATCTACGCGACTTTAGCTCAGGTCTTGGCAACACGACTAACGGTCTAAACTTGATGATATGTCTCCGAGAGATGACACCAGCCAAGGCCCGGCCGTTCCAACCTTCCCATCACCCGGGTCAGTGCCATACCGGTAACCGGCAACCAGAAGCCCCAGGCTCGATTAAGGCAGGCTTGAACTATGCTAGTGATTTCAAAATCAGGCACGGTTTGTGTTCCGCGATGAACTACGACTGGATTTTTTTTCTCCTATCTTGGCTCCATGTTCCGCGCCTCGTCACCCACATTACTCACTCTCATGATGGGTGTGTAGATTCGGAACATCGGGACTTGCTGAGGTAAATTAGTTCCGAGCATGCTCGGAACAATATTTCCTGAATAGGAAAGAGGACACAGACCAACTCCGAAAGATAGGCAGCTAATCGGGCCTGCCTGTCACGATGGTTCTCAAGCGGCTTCAGTCTTAGTACATGAAACAAATCCTGGGAAACATGGAGACGTCGCATCCGTAATTAGAACGGAAAGAGGGCAAGAAGCAGGCAAGATGGACGAATGACTTTGCGTAAATTCGTAATCGAGATCGGAGGAGATGCCATTTACGGAGGTTGGCGCAGGGCTTTGGCCTTACCAAGAAATGCGTCATCTGGGCGGCGAACCACCAAATACGGGGAAGGGAACCACTCACGGACGTGCAAGACGTGCAAGGACGTGTACGTACGGAATACGGCAAGGTTGGAATCAACTCATGAAGGTTGCGAGTCAGATAATCAGATATGAGCCGTGCTGATGTTAAAAAGATGAGTCGCAAGGTTGTAGCGCTCCGGGGGGGTAAGCGAGTCCAGTGAAGGGATCTACCTTGTTCCAGGGCGAAAAGTCTAAATCCTTCCCTCATTTCAGACTCGATAATCGTTTGTCTCTTTGGACGAGCTGAGAGGGATGCGCCGTAGGTGACGTCGTAATGAGCACACGAGGGAAGGAATCCATGAAACCCATGGTTTTGCAAGTTTACGAAGGAAGGAAGCTGACGGCAAACCTGGAATAGGTGCATCCTGTTGGAAGTGGGTTTGGAGTGAGTTTGGTGTTTTCCCCAGACTGGTCAACCTGACACAGTGACACGTCCACAAAATTATCATTTTTATTTTTTGGCCTGGACGGCCCGACTAGGCGAACTTTGAACCGCTCCATGCCCACAGCCCTCATCGGAGCGCGGGGCGGTGTCTTACTTCTGGAGAGATTACGGCAAATAATGGTGCTTATGCGTTACGCGCGATGAAGCCCTTGACTTATCAAATCTGGGAGTGGTGATGCGTCGTCGCCGCCTTGCAGGTGGGAGCATGGGTGAGGGCTCTCCCGACGGGAATAACGGGTTTATCTGCCGAATTGATTTGTGACGGATGATCAATGACGAAAAGTGACGGAGGGCCCATCGTAAATCTCGCCTTTTGGGGATGGATTACTGAACTTGCAAGGGCTCTCATCAGGATGTCAGTCAAGTGGGTGCCAGGGTTATGATTGCGGCACACAATGACTCGGACTTGTTTATGCGGTTCCGCGACCGACGGGTGGCAACGACGTAACAGTATCCGTACGGGTAGGTAAGGTACGGAGTACGGAGGACGGAGGACGTAGTCACTTGTATTAGTTGGTACGGACGGAGTACGGAGTAGGCGGGAGGAGGGATGATGAGGGAGGGATGAGAGAAGAGGGGATGTGCTATCAGGGATGCTGCCGATGTACTACGTAGTGCAAGCCAAGAGAAGCGGAACGGGTTCAGCGAGTTGAACCAGTTGAACCAGTTGAACGAGTCGATCTCGCCCGCGATTCCGCGATCGCTTGACAGCTCTACAATGGGCTTGTTGACCGATGGACAGCGGCCGACACGCCGCCTGTGGTGACGATTCGCGGGTGACGATGCCCTGTAATGGGCTGGATGTCAGAGTGTCAGAGTGTCAGGATGCGGGCTGGCGGCATCTAGCTGGCCGAAGCAGGCTTGGCGGTTGGTAGAGGAGTGGGCGGGTGGGATTAGAGTTTGGGTGAAGCAGCGGTGGACAGCCCGTTTGGTGCGTCGTGGAAATTACAGAGGCGGCCGTCAGGCGGGTGACCATGTGGAAGCCAAGCCAAGCAGTAGCCAAGCAGCAGCTAAGCAGCAGCCAAGGGGGCAGTTTCCACGAGGCACGAGCACAAGCACCAGCACCAGCACCAGTAGCAATATCAGTATAGTAACAGGATGTAGTAATTATTAGCACCGCCAGCATCAGCACCACCAGCACCACCACCAGCATAACGCACAAGCACAGCCCACACGAGCGCCATTCCGTATAGCGAGGCGAAGCGAAGTGAAGCACACAAGACAAGTGACGGGAAGGATTGGCTGCATCTCCGTCGTCCCGCTGTCCCGCTGTCCCGCACTTCGTACCGCTGCACTGAGTGATGCATCTGCTGTGCTGCACCGCCGTTGCAAGATGCTACCCGGACGGCGGACTGCGGACGGCTGTGCACCGCGGTCTGGACTACGGACTACCTACCTAGCTATCAGCTGTGCCCTCTTAATTGAACATGTCACCAGCCGTGCGCGCGATTGCGACGCAGCGCTCGTCCGTCCGCGAAGGATTCGGACGAACAAAACCCATGCTCCGAGGGCAGGAGGGTAGCATGGACGGAGGCCGCCCCATAATTCCGGGGCCAGTGACTCCCCTTCCGTCTTCCGGGCCCCGGCCACCGGCAATGGAGCGGCGGGTTCAGTGCGCACGGCCAAACAGACTCCCCCACATCCGAACCCCGTTGCCCAATCCCGTCCAGCCAAATCTGGGCGACCAGGAAGCCGACGCATGGCGATCTGCAGTAGCCCCGGGATGGACGTGGATAGCTGGCGAGCCCTTACGGAGATGGGGGGGCGCAAGTCGGAGTTGCGCCCGGCCATAACTCGGTCAGAGCGCGAGGAACGGTCTGGCATGGCCTGGCACGTCCTGGCACGTCCTGGCACGTCCTGGCATGGGGGATCGGAATGGAGCGAGCCGAACGACGGGCGATGGAGGGGGCTTGGCGCTGACGTTGGAAGGACGGGGGAAGTAGTGGGAAGGGTGTGTGCCATCGAAAGGGCCAGGATGATCGGATGTAGGGGACCACGTCGGGAGGACGGGGGTGGACCGCGTGGGAAACGGGTCAAACGGGGGCCAAAAGCAAACAACGGGATGATTAATATTCATTAGGCTTTTTTTACTATTTTTCTTTTTGTTCTTTTTCTTCTTCTGCCCCTCTGCTGCTGTTGATGAATGGGGCCGGATGTATTCCGGAAGACGCTCAGGGTCCAGTGGAGGTGGTAAAAGGGGGCCGCGGGTCCCTTTGGTCCCATTAGTCGTTGCTAAGGGTCTCCACGGGCGAGGAGGCTCTGGAAGCGCGGCTAATGACTTTAGATGCCTCATGGAAGGAATTCTTGGGCCAGACGGGGCTAGTTTTGGAGGGGCCTGGGGGGGCATGGGGGCCTGGCTGACTCGAGGATGGATGGGGACAGACTGCGTGGCAAGCATGGTCGATGATTCGAGTGCGTACGATAGGACACTGTCGGTGGGGACGGACAGAGGTGGGACCGTCAAAGTGGACGCCGAATGCTGGCCTGCTGGGAGGGCGAGAACCGGTGGAGGATGAGCATTTTAGACTTTGTGACGAAACATGTTGGCTCGTCTCGGCGATCTAGGTGCTCTAATTAGGTGCTCAAGGTCGGCCGTCTAGGTCAATAATGCGAGCACAATAATAAGATGGCAATAACAAACCCGGGCAGATTTGACTTTTGTGTGTCCTGCGGCCATGGGTCGCTATCGTCATCCGTCATCCGTCCCCCAGCAGCATTGTTGGTGGAATCCATGGCCCGCAGCCCTGCAGGCGGCACGAAAGGGTTGCATACGCATGCCGTGACAGGTTCATCATCCTGCACCTGCGTGCATCACGCACCCTGCCTGACGTGATTTCCCAGTCGGATCCGAGTGTGGGCGCGCAAGGGAGATGTACCCGCAGCGCGGCAAGATTCGGGGATACCCCTTCACAGGTTGCAACCCGCACGGTTGGCCAGTTATACGTTGCTCAACACGACGACAAACACGAAGTTGTCGTATTGGTGCAGCTGAGCCTCCCCGTCCCAGTCGAGAGGCGCACCCCGGTGAGGGACCCCAGAGAGACAGACCCCAGAGACAGAGAGACAGGGCCAACGGAGGACGGCGACTTCAGGGGACCCAGACGAGAAACGAGAAAGTGTAAAAGAGAGTCCACGGAGAGGCCAGAACCACCCGACCGCCGGAGGACGCCGTTTGCTGTGTCCACAAGTCCACAAGTCCACAACGCACAATATGGCCGACTGGCCGTGTGAACCAAGTCAGGGCCCCATAGCGAGTCAACGGAATGTCTCCTGCCGCCATCGTACGTAACATTGGAGCGAAGCAGAGACGCTGGACCCGAGGACGAGTGTAAGAGAGATGCGCGCGAGACCAGCGCTAGCCTACGTGTGCCCAGGACCAGGTCAAGCCAACCCCGCCCATTGGCATTGCCCACTGTCATTCAGGGCCAGCGCCAAATGTAATGCGACTACCGCGGCGGCATTGATTGATTCATGGGATGGGCCACAAAGGATGAGGCGCCCTATGCTAGGACGAGACGACTATGCCAGATGGAGGACCGCCCCAAACGAAGCCAACGCAAACCAAGTTGCCCAAAGGAGACGAGGGCCTAGAGCAAGGCGCCAGAAACAGAGAAAGCCCCAAAAAGGGAGCAGCCCCAGATGGTACCAAAGTCTGTCGCACCTCCCCCGAGGCGCACCTGGCTGTTGGTTGGTGACGGCTGTGCTGTCGTCGTGGCTTCTGGTGAGGGCGGCTGCTGCGGCGGCGTTGGCGTTCCCTTGTCCCTATTCCCACGGTCTCCGTACGTAGGTCGTACTACGTACTACGTAGTATGGCTGCGCTGCTTCGCTGGCTGCACTCCATACTCCCCCCTCTCCACCTTTTCTCCAAATCTCGCCCTAGGCCGCCGCCATCGCCCACAATCCGCCCCGCGGGGGGGCTTGCTTCTTTGGGATATCAGAACGAAAAAAAGCTTCCACGGGCGTCGTGGTGGCATGCCTCAACCTGACTAGCCTCGCTACTTCAAGCTTGGCTCTGTGGGCGCCATCTGTAGTGTTGCTACGTCGAGTGTAGCATTGTGATGATGCCCTATGGCCCCCCCGATGGGCTCCTCTTGCCGGTGTCCGTCCCTCTGGTTTGCCCTTGGGGCCTGGCGGTGGCTTACCTGCCCATGTTTCCGTGACGATATCATATCACACAAGCACACACAAGTACACACACACACACACACACACACGCACTCACACGACTGTCTCTCGGGCTCACACACACCGAACCAGAGACACCACTGTCCGGCCCGGGCCCCAGGCAGCTGTGACGGGGCGGGAATCGACGCCGCCACAGATGTGACGGGTTGGCCTCGACCACTGCCGTCTCGTCTTTTCAAACAATGCCGTGCTCCGTACCGCGCAGCAATGGCCCAGCAGAGCGCAGCGAGTCCACGCCTTTACACTCCCCCCAAGCCGCCCGAGTTCGCCGCCTCAAACGCAGCCAGTTACGCCACCGGCCAAGGCACGCGGGCTCTTGCACATCCTTCCTGACCTGACTCCTCCAAAACCCAGGCCTCGCTGGGCGTGGGTGGTACAAGGTGTAGGCCTAGGCGCAGGCGTCGGTCGGCGAAGGCGTAGGTGTGCGCTTGGCTGGTGATCCCCACGCAAATAGACTTTGGCATCGTCGCTCTGCTGGCCCCCCCCCCCTCCCTCTCTCATCGCGCGCCTACAGAGGGAACTATGGGACGAGTAGGCATAATTGCCCTGCACTACATGACTTTTGACGACTCTTCCCACCAAAAAGCCAGAGACCCAGAGGGGGCAAACACCCACCCCCCCCGGACGAAAACCCAGCCATGTCTAAGGTACTCCGTACTCGAGACCTTGACTCTTCTCGCACTCATTCTCGTTCGCCGCCTCCCACGCCCTACGCACCCCTCGAACTCTGCTTCGCACCCCCTCCCCATCTGCCCTCTGTTGCCCCAGCTTTACCTGTTTTCCCCTTTGGCTTTCCTGCCTGGACTGCCCGTCCCGGCGGCCACGGCGGCCACGGCGGCAGCCTTGTTCAGGAGAGGGAGGGCAGAAAAGTGGGAGAGTGACAAAGTTGTATTGTCCCGGCACTACGACACGACGGTTGCGAAGCTTGTCGGGCTTGGGCCGAGACCCAGTTCCGCGATGCTGGTTCTCCCTCCCCGTTTCCAGTTTTCCAGTTGCGAGAGAGTTCCTGGGTATAAAGCCGTTGGGTCCGAACTTCTGGGACCCTGGCCATCTCATCCATCACCATCTGTCTCGTCTCGTCTTCACCCCCTTGGACTCGCTGTACGACTCGTTCGTTCCTACACAAACACAACACAGTCGCACAAGACTCGCTGACGTATTTGGATACCCTTTGAAACAACACCCGTACATCCACATCCACATACTACTCTCTGTACGATTCTGTTTTGGCCGCCACCCGCCGCGCCTATCCATTCCCCCATTTATTCACCACATCCTTGTTCAACGACCCCCAGTCGCATCACACAACATCCCGGCCAGCTCGTCTGCCCCAGATCACAATCCCCATCGAGAACAGAAAAATCCGCCTGGACCCAGGATCCCAAGTCCAAGCCCCCCCCTCCCCTCGCAAGCCCCAACCCAAGCAAGCCCACCCACGCAACAAACCTCGTTCGCTCGCTCGCTCTCTCACACACGCACACACACAGGCTCACCACGCACACACGCGTGTCGGTGTAAGACATCGGCCAACTTAAATCCCGGGAACCAGCCATAGCCATCCCAATTATCCCCGTACCCCGATCCACTCGAGTGCCAGATCTCAGAGCAGGGCCACCGCACCGAACAGGGCTTCACACATCAAAGTCGCCCACCCCCCTCCCCATCCCATCTCCCCATCTCGCCATCTCCTAGACTCCTCATCTCCCCACTTCCCTCGCTGCTCGCGCTTTCCAGCCAGCTCCTAGCCTGGAATCTCTGATACATGCGCGAGTCGCCCGCCGCGCCAACATCCCCGTCTCCCTCGTCGCCTCGAGCGTATATTAGACATACAAGTACTACCATGTTGTCCATCACTCCCCAGGACCTCCAGCCCCAGCCCTACTACTATCTCCCCTTCCGCTCCGTGTCGCTGTCGCACCGGCAGCCACAGCCTGAGATTCCCTTCTTCACCTTTACGAGCATGGGAAGCCCGCCCTTCGACACAATGACCGCCGCCGCCGCCGCGGCTGCTGCTGCTGCCGCCTCAGCCAGATCCGCGCAGGACGCCAGTGTCGCCCAGGCGCTCGAAATTGCGCGCGAGAGCCCCGACGGCTCGTCCGACCCAACCATCAGCAAGATCCTCGAAGGCGCGCTGGCCCAGATCTGGGGCAAAGTCCAGGCCCAGCCCAACTCGTATGTCATGACGCGCGACGAGTTTGCCGTTTTCAACTTCTTCCAACACCGGTTCACCGGTGATAAGACGGCGGTGAGCGCCCGGAAACGATACTGGGACAACGCCCGAGCTTGATCGCCCGCCAGGATCATCATCCCGTCCGCCACCCCTTCCCAAATTCCGGGCTTTTCCCCTCATAGACATCTACTCCGATCCGAACCATACCTTATAACGACAGGCCCAGGCGCCCAGGCCAGCCAGCAGCCCAGCACAAACAAACGACGACAAACGACGCCGCCGTCCCATATCCGACACTTTTTATTACTGCGCCATGACAATCTACACCACACCACACGACGTGTACTTGGGCCCTCTCCCGAAGTACTTTCCACTCTCAGAACTCCCTCACACATGCGCTCACACTCACGCGCGCGCGCACGCACAGTCTCTCGGTCCCATGGCCCTGGCACGCACCCTCCTCTCACAGTCTCTCTCTCTCTCCGTTTCTCCCTTGCAGCCCGCCCGCCCGCCTCCCTCCCGTCCCGCCGGCTCTCTCCTTCCGAACCAGTCAGCCAAACGCGTACCTGGGCCGGAGTGGAACTTGGCCCGGGACTTGGCACTGCCTCCAGCTCCAACTCGAGCTCCAGCACGGCCAAGAAACTCGAGCTGAAACCCGAACCCCGGGCTTAGTCTCACGCCGCGAGCCCGTCTCATCATGGCGAGCAAACGGGCTCCACTCCGGCCATGGCCATAACCATCGACCCGGCCGCTGGAGTGGGCCAGGAACAACTCGAGAAAAAAAGTTCCGAGCGCAGGGGAGATATCGTCAACAAGGGAAATCTTGCCAACACCCACTCCCACATCCGCATATCCGTCATGCACACTCGCACCGCGACAACGAGATTACAGACGCCGAGAGAGATCCGTTGCCCCTGTCCCTTGTTCGGTCCCGGGGCTCTCCCCGGTGCGCGCACCCCCTGTGGTGGCCCTGTGGAGCACGGGCACCGCATGGCGCCCCGCCCATCAACGACGGCCCATCGACGGCCCACAGACGGCCCATGAACCATGGACATGCAGCGCGTTCGAAATGGAAATGGAACAAAGTGGACATGGAAAGGCATTGACGCAGTGAGGCTCCTGCGGGCTCGTGCATGCGCCTGATGGCTCCTGGCCACTCCTGCAGGGTGATGAGGCGGCTCCTTTGTGATGGGGCTTGAGGCTGCGTCTTTCCCTGGAACCCGTTGAGCCAGCCCTGTCCTGGGATGGATGCGACAGCTGCTGGCTCTGCACGCACGCGCAGTGCGGTGGCTGGCCTCGTCCTCGTCCTGCATCAAATGATGCATCATCAAAAAAGCCCACTTCCGTTGGCCGAAACCGCGAATCGGCGCCGTCGCTGCTCGTCATGAAGAGCCGCGAGTAGCATGGGTCGTTGACTCGTGGTCGGCAAGTCGGCCCACGAGCCACAGCCTGCAATTGTGTCTTGGCTTGTCTTGGCCCTTCTTGGCATGTCTTGCCCCAGTGCCCCCCGTTCAATCTCCCACACGCCCCCCTCACCGGCCCCGCAGCGCTCAAGGCGCGAGCGCCAGCGCCAGCTCAGAGCCCGCTCCGGCTACAGGGCCCTTCCCACTATACCTCCACTATAACTTGCCTCCGCCATCCACTAATCAGGTGGTGTCGCGCTGCTGGCAGCGCCTTACCTCGGCCCTGTTACGCAACAGTGGCCCGCTCACCCAAGTCCTGCCCCATTCATGCTATCGACGAACTGAATGCCTGCTTTTTGTCATGTAAACCTGACGCACGCGATGACTTTACCCATCGCCTGTTATCAGGGGGAGTGGGCATCCGATTGGGGAGGTTGTATTCTACTTCCCGGTTTTTCCTCTTGCTTCTTTTCGTGTCTTGTCTTTTCATTAGGTTGGTTGGTTGGGTCGGCTGCATTGGGAAATTGCATATTTTCATCCCTGGTTTCTTTCACTTCTCCTGTACTTTTAGACAATACCACCCAGCGTGCTTTATTATTATTATTATTATTTCCATATCCATATAGATTAGGCACCAATGATCATGACACCATGACACTTAAAACCTCATTCATCGTCTCACTACTCTCTGACCGTTCCATCTTCATCCCTCAAGAGCGCCTGGTTCCTCGGAAAGTCATGTACTTACTGTAGCCTCGTCAGCCGTGGGTTACGGTGTAATGACGAAAAATAGTACCCTTTGAACCATGGTGCATACAATATGTTCCGTCGTCAATAACGTAGTTCGGTAGGCCGTCATCCTTCCCACCAATACCAAAAACATCATCTTCATGGCCTCACCTCGACTCGTCACGCATTATTTTGTGCTGTGCTGCTGAGCCTGTTTCAGGCCACATTCCGCTCACACGAGTCAAAAATGCAGATCGATTCCAAAGCCGCGGAAGTTTACATTTATGGACCAGTCCGACTGGACGTCGGCGCGCTCCGTGGTTGAGGCAGGCTGTCCACGGGTCCGCAGAGATACCTGGTTTGCTATTGAGGCTGGACCTTTTGTTGATCAGTAATTAGTCCGGAAATGAAGAACAAGAACCTTTTTTTTGCATGGAACGCTAAACACACTATAGGAAAATACAGGCCCCCTAAGCGCACGACTTCCGCACCCTCGGTGTTGTGGCAGAGGGCATCCGGCCTGCTTCGGGATAGAGCGGGGGTCCGTGTAGCCCGGCGCTCCATCGACGGCCGATCGGTCAAGCGGGCTTGGCAGGCACCGGTCGGCTTTCGTGGGGGCTTCTGCGGTCTCGATTCACCGACCCGCCGCCCCACTTCAAACAGTTGATACCGGGAGTTGGGGATTGGGGAACTGCCGTTTTTGCAACGAGGTATAACTCGACAATTGGGGGCTTTGGAAAACACCATGAAGAACAACAATCTCAACAGTGCCAACATGAAGGCCAACCACTGGCTCATCAACGCCAAGACTGTCCCATCATCACGAGCTCGAGGGATCCACACCACGGCGTCGCCCGCGGCGATGGAAAATTATCTGCGCTGGACATACGAGAATTTCGTAACGGCAAACCTAAATTCATGACGATATCCGCACGGGCTTCGGTCTGCAAGTGTCTCGTTCATTCCATGTCGAAGCCAGGATTAACTTGCAGGACCACAGCGAACCCATCGTGCGCGAGCAGGGGGTCCGGAGAGGAACGGTGTGGCGTATTGGGAACCACATCTGCAACGGCGCACCAATTCAACTACTACTGACTGGGCCAGATGCCATGGTGGATGGGCGGTGGCTTTCTTCAACACGGTTGGCCCAACCACCAAGTCCCCCGCGAACCATGATGGAGGCCTTCGTATCTACACCAAACCCCCAGAATGTGACAAGTCATTCTCATTGGGGAAGTAAGTTTCCCCAGTAACATCAAACCCTCGCACGCGACCTGTATCAAGGGGGGGATGAGCATTGAGCCACTCTGCTGCAGATGCAGGAACCTTCAAGGGGTGGCAGACGTCAACCTGGGAGGGGGACCCCCTGTCCTGGGATAATTAGACCTGGGGTTCGCATCTCAGCCGCAATGTCGTTGGGATAAGCGAGACCCTGCTCCGCAAGGTGGGCTGTGCGTACATACATGATCGACGAAGCGTACGATGATGAGCGCGCCGTGGTATATACTACTGCGCTTGGCAGCATCAAGGGCCTCCACCTGGAAGACGTCGGGATATTTCGGCCGACGGGCCCGGCGAGACCACAGGCCGACAGTAGCACGCACTACGCAGTACGCGGACTCGTTTTTCATGGGGTAGCATCTCTTTACCGTACATTCGTTGGGGACAAGGGTGAGACACACCCCGAGGACGTGTCGCTCGAAGGGGGAAGGTGACAATATTTAAAGTTTGTATGGTAGCGGCTGATGCACGTCGACGGCGGCCTCGGCTTAATAGGTAGGCTATTGCACGCGCTCGTCTACGCACCATGGGCACGCTTTAAAATCGGTAGTCACAGAGCATAATTGCAAATCCCTGTCGGCGGAAACTCCGACGTGGTGTTGGCTGCCGTTTTGACAGACATGTGTTATTGCTGTTTACGAACAATTTCTGGACCTCCACCTGAACCATGACGCCGCCCAGCCCTGAGCCCTCCTGTTTCTGCCTAGTCATGTCCGAATCTATAATTTGTTGTTGTGCTTGGGACGCTTTTCCGGTATTTCGCCGTGTCGTCAGCGGCTGTCCTGAGACATTGCCAGCGAGCCACGGCGCCAGAGCGACGGCCAGTGAAGCGGTCCGGTTGAGATGAGCTAACGCCTAGACGCGACCTTGGTCATGCAAGCAGCAGCCGTTGCCTGTGTAAGTGCATGAAGGACGGACGAAAAAGGAAAGATCGGGACGAAAAGGAAATGGGAGATGCAACCAGAAAACTCAATACGGAACGCGCCTCTGCTAAAATTCAACACTGCCATCATCCCTCCATCAACTAGTTGCTCAGATGACAGGTTGTGGTGCCCTAGCCACCGGGATGAACCTCCGTCATGGTGCATCACGGGGATCCATCATTGAGCGGTGAGAGAGTCCCTGGATGTCGATGGGGCAAAGTGACCTAGCCCTAAACTCTGAAACAAAATAGTTCATCCAGACGAGTAGGACGCCCTCACACCGGGGCGCGTCAAGATCGGGAGGGGCAGCAATGACGCCCTCGAGGTGAGGTGAGTTGGGTTTTTGACTGTCCAGTTGAGCCCTGTGGTGGGGGACCAAAGGTCCCTATTTCCACAACTCAAGGGCGGGCGCGGATCGTCTCCCTCCCGAAGGCGTATGCGGACCCTTGATACCCATCCGAATGGTCATGAGCCAAGAACCCCGACATTTCCCTTTGTCGCTCCCCGGCTGAGGCGTCCCCTTCCCAGCTTCTTGCTCACCGACACGCTCCCGCCAAGCAGGAGGGCCCCGAGATGGCTTCGTTTGCGGAGACGTTGAAGACGTGAAACGTCTCCATCGAAGGGTCTGGATTTCGCCCCGTCCTCTGGTCCCGTCCCCTGGGCGGCGTCCAGCCCAGGGGTTCCTCCGAATGGGATGAGGATCTAGAACTGGTTCCCGGACCCTGTGCAAAGTTTCCTTTGGAGGTGGTGATTGTGGTCAGCCCAGGGCAACGGTAGAGTTGGGCGCCCAGGAGAAACTCAAAAAGATGGAGAGGAGAGGATGCTGAGTCCGGGCGCATTAATAAAGGGCGTGAGAATCAGAATCACAAAGCGGGATGAAGTCGGGCTTCTAGAACACTGCCTGAACGGGAATTGCGAATGCGAGAATTAGTCCAAGTTTGGCTATGTGTCTCAAGAGAAGGTTTGCCGGTGATCCTTCTTTAAGACTGGGCTGGTGATGCAAGAGACAATAGTGTTTCAGTAGGCGAAGGTTGTTTTATTCGGGCGCGTGAGGCTGATGTCTGTCGCCAAAACGAGAGGGGTGTGTAAGTGGGCGCACCACGAAAAAAGCCCATGTACACGGTACATCGACGGCCAACTCTGAGGCTAAAGAGAAGAGGCGCTGCGTAGCAGAAACGATCGAAGCGTAGGTTTGAGCCTGCGGCTTTGGTGGAGATGAGCGTGGTTTCCGCCAACACGCGCGACCCGACGGCGTGGTCGCCCTCGTGTTCGTACAGTATTGGGTTTCGACCAAAGGCGACCCGCGGCTTGCGTGGACAGAGTTTGTGAGAGAACCCGTCAGGCCCCCGGTACGTGGGGGGATATTTTGTGGGAATGGAAGAAGAACTAAGACGACGGATGGCGGCGATGACGTCGAGGCAAGGGCTCTACGGCAAGTTCCCATGAAGACTTGTGAATACGACATGTCGAGAAGCATGGATGGTGTCAATGCTGACGATGAGGCTCCTCGTCATCCCGATCTTGACAGCGGATCTACCCAGTGATCGATTCTGGGGTCTGAGATGAGGAGATTGGCAGCCTTGACAGGGATGGCCGTGTCCAATTGTAGACCAATTGTAGACCAATTCAACTTGGTGTGTGCAGAGAGTGCCAAGGTGGTAGGGGGGCGTCCCAAAAGAGGAGTGTGGGGATGGAAGAGCACATGCTAGGCTAATGCGAGTGCGCATTGTTGGACAATCGAGAATCATAGAGCCGTCATTTGTCTCATTTTGGTCACCTGCGTCTTATTTTGGTCACCTGGCGTCGAGATGTCGTGTCTCTGACGTTTGCTAATTATTAGTCGTTTACTTCTTTCGTCGACACATGAACGCTTCGGGCTCCCTTTGCTCTTGATACTTTTCGTCATCATGATCCATCTCCAGCCACCATGATGAAGCAAGCAACTCTGATCGGGAAGTGGAGGATGAGGGATCGCCGAACATTGGTCCCTTCCAAGAACATTCCACGGCCACGCCTTGTCGTGACTCGGCCGGCGGCCCGTCGGGAGACGGTGGATTCCAAAAGGAGAAATTCAATGTTTCACTTCTCCGCCGCCCACCAGGTTGGGGAAGCCAAGAGTTCCGACCAGTGGGTTGGGTTGGAGGCGGAAGGCTATTTGACGCCCGGCAAGCCCGGCATAGAGAAGCCTGACAGTCACCAGTCGGTAGTTTGGCCAGTTAGCACCGAAGCTTCAGCCGACACCACAGTACCGGTAGATGAGGGGGAGAGTTCTGCCCGTCTTGTCCCGGCATGAGGGTTCCTCGGGAGTGGATGTTGTGGTTCGGCATTGAGATATCAACAACCGAAGGTTCTCGCCGGAGGAGTTGCTCAAGCCTAAACGCACTTGGTAATCATGTCCACACCTGAAAACCCTCGGCACTTGGGTGCCGAGTGGGATGAGCCTTGCGTGTGGACTCTACGGTGGGAAGTGTCTTGAGAACTCTGATCAACGGCGTAGAGATATTCTTGGGATGAGGCGTGTGGGCTGATCATCAACACTCTATCCGGAGAGCTGGTGATGGCTTCGGAGGTTTGCCAGCGGCTTCGTGGATCTCACCAACGGCTTCGTGGCACTGACAGCAGGCGTCAGCAATGGATTCGGCGGTCTCACCATGACCTGTGGGCGGCGGCCTCACGACGATATCGGGCACGTCAGGCGTCACAATGGCTTCGCGGTGGCACATCCATCACGCTCCTGGGTCGCGCCGAGACGTTTGACAATGCCGCATGTGGACATAGAGTTGGTCTCGTCCCTTGAAAGCCTCTGCCGCGGCGAGGCACAAAGCTTGTCGCAAAAAGTCGGTGAAGTCGTCCTTCTAGGCGCGGTCACACGGCCGATGTGTAGGGCGGCCACCTACGCAGCGGCGCCTCGGCAGTTGAAAGAGATTCCGGAAGAGGTGCCACCGCGATGGAGTTGGGGCGTGAGGCTCAGGTCGCCCGTCGATTGGGCAGAGAGGTTTCTGTGCCTGGGGACGACAGTTTTACCGCGGTCGGTCTCGCAGGGCCATGATTGGGCCCTGGCCTCTGAAGCTCCAACAGCCTAGGAGGGGGCTTACAGCGCCTACAGCGCCTCTTCCAGCGCTTCACGCTTCTTCACCGAGCCTGTGGCATGCCGCCACAGAGCCAGCTTTCAGCCTCTAACAGGGTAGGGCACCGACCACCTGCATGAGCAGTGACGCCATCGGGGAATCCGCTAACTCCATTGGACCATCTGTCAACCGCAGCTCCGGTCCACCTGCCAACCGCTATGGAGGGGCAGCTCAACCCAGCAACAACCAGTTCTTGCGCTGAGAACAGCGCGAGTATCAGCGCCCACGCGGTCATGCGTGCGGGCGGCAGAAGAAACACAGTCGCGATGCATCAACAACCTGCCAAGTTGCCGCAAAGCGCCGCGTTTGTTTTTCTGTATTTTTCTGCAGTTGCACACCTGCGCGGATTGTGGAGGTTGGTTCGTTGCCGTTGTCTGGTTGTCGCTCGTAGTTACGACGCAGGTCTGTCTCACAGGCGGCCAGTGAGGCCCTCGACATCCCGCATCGCCCTCAGCAAGACGAAAGGACGTCGAGTCGTCCGATAAAGCAGGCCACCAGGAGGCACCTCCTATGCCGGTTCTCCAAATAGAATGAAGTACATCCAGACAGCAAGAAATTGCAAGTGCAAGGGGTTGCGCGCCTTTTATTAAGAAGGACCCTGAGCCACCTCCACCTCCCCCATGTCAATTAGTTCATCTTGGTTGCTTGGACAATACACAAACATCCATCCACTCCGAGTCTCAACCCCCGATCCCACCCGCCGTCTTGTTCATCCCAACTCCACTCTTCCACTCGAACTCGAACTCGCAGACACTGTAGCTCATCGTCATCCCGTGGGGCATTTCTGTTACAGAACATCAACTATTCGACTCGACTTGCATAGCTCCAGAAGTCTATCCCTCCATCACCATCAACTCCAAATCAGCTCTAGGATCAGCACCCACCCTAGCCAACCAACATCAGCTTCAACCTAGCCTGAGCTCGAGAAATCTATCTCAGCATCCCTCAAACGAAACACCTCGACCAGTCCCAGTCAGCTCCAAGCTCCTCGGCACCGCCGTCAAAATCGCCCAACATGGTGGGAGTCAACATGATCAAGATGATCCTGCGCTGTGTCGCTCTATTCATAACGCTGCTCCTCACAGCCATGATTGGCAACGTCATCGCCACCAACATCGACGGCTACGGGTCTGCCACGGCGGCTATCAACTTCATCATGTTCGTTGCCGTCGTATCATGGATCGTTTGCATAATGGGCATCGCCTCCTTCTTTACCTCGGTCCTCTCCAACCCAATGATCCAAACACCCCTCGATTGTGCCGCCGTTCTCTTCACCTTCATCGCTGCTATCGTCGTCTCAGCCAAGCTACGTATGGTTGACTGCGGCGATATCAATGACAAGAAGATGCCTAGTGACTGGATCGCCTGGGGAGGACCTAACGACGAGAAGCGGTGCCGTGAGCTTCAGGCTGGTGCCGTCTTCTCTTGGTTCCTCCTTACCTGCTTTTCCGCCAGCTTGTTCTTCACCCTCAAGGATGCTCGCGAGCACCTCGGTGGTTCTTTCAGAGCTGCTTCAAGACCCAGCATGTCCCAGCTTCACGTCTGAGCGACAAGCAGGACTGTCGAGAATGACAAGACACGACATAATACGATACGACACGACATGACGCACAATGCAAGCCCAAAGATACCCCCTTCACAGCTGCGATTGTTTGCGTCGTGGCATTCGTATCCAGAGCCCTCCAGCTGGAGCAGAAGCCCATGCTAGTTGGGTTCGTCGCCCCTACGGCGCGCTGGGCAGCGCTGGGCACCTTTGGGACTTTGGCGCAGGAAGACGGTACATGGCATGTTAGCAAGGCGAGGTTTTCTGGGTTGCTTTTCTTCGCAATAGTAATGTTCGAGCATGGGTCATGTTATCATGTGTATAAAAGGTGGTGTAGCAGCAAGGCCAGACCAGGCCACGAGGGAGCCAAAAGAACGGGCTACGACTTATAGTTGATTCAATTCTGCCGCATGCATCGCATGATGGCATTTATCCCAATACCAATGTTGTTCTAATAATATTTTCCGTGCACTCGATCGTTCCCGACTTGTTGGGCGTGTTGCGTCTGTTGCTTCTCACGCAATCTAACAGTTGCATCTTGTTTCAATCATCTATTGTGAGAGGCGCAAACCCAAATCCCTAAACACCATTATGAATCCTTAAATATTCCCGGAGGGGTTGTTCCCCTCTTCTTCCTCTTCCTCTTCCTCTATCGTGCCATCCTTCAGGCAGCCCCATATGCTTGTCATCTTCTCGTCTATAACGTTGCGGCCGCGCCCACTGCTCCGGCGACATTAAATGCCTTCTTGTCGGTCCATCGAACATCGACGTTATGTACCCAGCTCATATACCGCGTCCAACCTGTAACAAGACTGTGTCAGCAACGCTCGTTCTCTCAAACACAAGGCGAAAATAGAGGGTGTCCTACTCCAGTACGCAAATTTCCGACCAAAGAATTTGCCCATCCACGGTACGATCATCATGGTGAGGATGAGCTGCAGCTGCTCTAAGCTGCGCTCCCACTCTTCTTGTGCGTCGGAGTCGGCCTCGGAGTAGATGTCGTCGGTGGACATGGAGGGAAGGGAGTCGACCTCGTCCTTGTCATCTGACACGTCGTGCAGCAGGTCGACGAGGGATTCGGCGCTGGCCATTGCGGCGGCTGGGGGAGGGATAATATATATAGCCCACGGGGGGAGTGTTGGGTGGAACGGCGCGAGCTCGGTGCGGGGAGGTTGAGGATGGTTGGGCGGAGCTCGGAGAGAAGTCGAGGATGGGCGGGATCTCGGATCACGGGTTACGGAGCGGGCTTGGAGGACTGAGGCGCGAATGGCCCGGCGGAGATGCGGCAGCGGATTATGGAGCCGCGTCGGAAGCAAAGGTAACAAATTCTCCTGGGAAGTTCCTCCAGAAAACGAAGCGACAACGGACAACGACCAAGGCGCAACTCCGTCACATAACTATTGCCGAGGAGGGCGTCGTCGGTCGAACTGGCGTCGTCGCCGCACCGGCCCCCGGACTGGCTCTCCGAGCTGGAGAAGCAACGGCGAGCGGTGATTGGCCGGGATGGACGATGTGCGCGCACGTGACCCCGGGCGTGACCAGCACAGCCCCGGGGTTCGGTTCGTCAAGATTGGGCAGGTACCTTAGGTCATCAGTGGTAGCGTCTGAGCTGGCCATGACGTTGGGGCGGATTTCCCTCGCCCCTCGCCAGCATCGCCAACTTCACGACTCCAGCGCAGACCAAGAGGAAAGGAAGCAGCAGCCAGCAGCATCAAACAACCCGAGGCGCCGCCGGACCACCGCATCATCGCCCCCCCGAACACGGCCGAGACACGCAGAGCCCGTACCACTGGAACTGGACCTGGACCTGGAACCGGAACCGGAACTAGACTCGCGCGCGCATCAGTGCCGCATCAGCAGCACGCAAACAAGCAGCAACCATGGAAGGCCAAGTGAGTACCCGACTCGGCACCAGAGCGTCTAGCCCTGTTTACGCCCTGTTTTTTACCCTCCCAGCGCGCACCTCTCCCACCATCTTCCCACACCACAGCACCGCTCCGCACCAAACAGCCCACCAAACAACCCACCAAACAAACGGGCTGCCCCTCCAAAAGCCTTTCTTTTTACCCCACCGCATCCCCTCGACACACGCTGCAATGCACCACCACCCACCACGCTGCGCTGTCCACTCACTGTCCACTCACTGCCCGTTGCCCACTGCCCACACATTTTCCCACTGTCACCTCCGCTGCAACCAATTGTACCACCCCCTTCTCGCCATTTCTGGGACAGTCTCGATTTGACTTCCTGAGTCACATTTTCCGTCCGCCACCATCACCATAACCCTCAATCCTCCACCTCCACCTCCGCCTCAACCTCAACCTCCCCACCCCCGACCCAACTCCATCCGACGACTCTACTAACAACCTCTTCTTTCTTTCATTTGCAGCCTCCTCGCGAACGCAAATCCCGCAAATCCGTTACATTTACCGACGAACAAATCGTAGTTGACGCTGACGGCTCCGTGACCATGGTCAACGCCACCGACGATCCCAAGGAGACAGCCCAGTCCCATACGCCTCGTACGCCGCCGTTGACTGCCGCCCTTGGAGCCTTTACTGACCCCCAGCCCCCAGCCGGTGTGGACGACGCCCCCCCTGCCGAGGAAGGTGGCCTGGACCTGTCCCTCCTCAAGAAGAAGAAGAAGAAGAAGGTCAAGACCGACGACGCCGAAGCCGACGATGCTGCCCCCGCCGAGGACGGTGGCCTCGACCTCTCCATGAAGAAGAAGAAGAAGAAGAAGGTCAAGGATGTCGGACCCGAGGACGACGAGTTCACCGCCAAGCTCAAGGAGCTCGAGGTCAAGGACGAGGAGGGCGAGGAGCCCGCCCAGGAGGACGTGGGCGACATGGATGCCGGCACCGGCATCTGGGCCCACGACGAGACCAAGCCAATTGTCTACACCATGCTCCTGAACCGTTTCTTCAGCCAACTTGCCCAGAAGAACCCCGACCACGCCATCACTGGCAGCAAGAGCTACAAGATTCCCCCACCCCAGTGCATGCGTGAAGGCAACCGAAAGACCGTCTTCGCCAACATTGCCGACATCTGCAAGCGAATGAAGCGAACTGAGGAGCACGTTACTGCCTACCTCTTCGCCGAGTTAGGTACCAGCGGTTCCGTCGACGGTAGCCGAAGATTGGTTATCAAGGGACGTTTCCAGCAAAAGCAGATTGAGAACGTCGTCCGAAAATACATCAGTAAGTCTACCCCACTCACTTCCTTGACCCCCTGCCGGTGACGACCCCAGATGCTAACAACAATCCCAGTCGAGTACGTCACTTGCAAGACCTGTAAATCCCCCGATACCGAGCTCAACAAGGGAGAGAACCGTCTGTACTTCATCACCTGCAACAACTGTGGATCCCGACGAAGTGTCACCGCTATCAAGACTGGTTTCTCTGCCCAGGTTGGCAAGCGAAGAAAGATGCAGGGTTAAGCTGCCATGCCTCTCTTTTTCCGTTTCCCCACGCCTGTGTCCATACAGGCGGCTTCTGTTTGGTCTCGACTAGTGTCTGCAAGCTGATGGCCCTGTCGCGCTGCCTCTTGCGATGCTGTCGTGACTACGTGAGCTTGGGCGGCTCCCGGACTGTCTGCACAGGGGGTCGTCCCGGCTTGGTGCCTTGAATGAGATGAGCGTGGTGTTCGGTTTTGATCGGGCATCGCCAGTAGGAGTCGGCCTCCTCGTGGGATGGTCCCTTAAAAAATGTTTTCGGGCCCGAGGGGAGATGCGTTCGGGTGCCAGGTTATGATGTGGCGCATGGGAGCATGTAAATAATGCCGGAATGACCAAGATTGCACAGCAAAAAAGTGTATTCGCGACAAAAAGTGATGTTTTGGATAGCGAACTGTCGGAGAAGTGGAATGGTGACAATAGAACCGTCAACTCAAGATTTTTCACACAGGTCTCGCCATATACAAGACCGACCGGCTCTCTTAACGAGGCATCTTACGAAATATCGAGGTTTGGAAATATCATTTGAACCGCATGCAGAAAAGCCCGCATGCTCAGCGTAAGTTCTTTATTACCAGCGTAGCGAAATCCGTTTCCTTCCATCTCAAGGGGAAATACCAGTCTCAGCCCCGAGATGTCGAACCCTTCCACTCCCCATCATACATTCCCCGTTTCATCTCACCGCTAGCAACACGAACAACGTAAGAGAAAACAAGTGAAAAGACGGTAAAAGCCATCTCCCTTCGCAGAGCCATCCCATTCCATCTCCAACCGATCCATGAGACCCCTTTTGTGTGTGCGTATGTGTTTGTGTCTGGTTCCAGCGTCACAATCCCCGCGCTGGGGATTGCGCAGGCCGTGTGGTTTATAATACACGCGATTATCAACAAAGAAAAACAAGAGAAACGAAAGAGAACGCCGCCCAATGACGTTGTTGCCTGTCCTTAAAACTTCCCGAACAATGACGCTCCGCCAGCGATACCGTTGGACTTGCTCGCGAAGAGCGATTTGCCAGTGGCATCCTCCTCAACGGCAGCGCCCGCCTTAGTAGCATCGTCCATGAGGCTGTTAACCTCGACCCGGGCCGCCTCGAGAGTAGTGCGCACCCATTCTGCAAGTCGGTTCTTCTCTATGTATTGATGGAGGGTCTTATCCTCGTACTTCATAGCTTCGGTCAACTTCGACTGGAAAGTAGTATCGAAATCGCGGAAACGGCGATCAAGGTGGTCGACAAACGAGCCCAAGGCTTCCTGGGGCGACAAGGGCCGGAAAGGTTCTCGTGCATCTTCTAAATAGGAGTTAGTCAAGTACTTAGCTTCGGAGAACGGGATAACTTACGAAACCTGATGCAATCCGCAAGCATTCCATAGAGTTCGGTATCGGCCAATCGCTCCACCACCTCACGATCGTCCTTGAGTTGTGTATCGTTGATCTTTGCCCAGTCATCACGAATGAATAGCCTTCTCCAGATGAGCCTCTTGGCCTCCTTCTTTTCGTCGTTATGGCAGCTGCTATCTGCCACTTTGAGGGCCAGCCAGAAAGGGTGTGCAATCTCATCTCTTGCCTCTGGCTTGAGGGAGGCGAGCGTCAGGAGGTCGATAAGAGTCATGGCGTCGAGAGCCTCATGCCTCAGCAACCGCTTCATCCCATCCTCGAAGATTTGGTGTTGGGCTTTTTGCCTTCGCGGAATGTTCATGCTATGTGCTTCCATCGCAAAGTTAAGAGCAGCGGCATCATCCACTGCATCGTAGGTGCTGGGGAAAATTTGACTGTAAAGTTGATCCTGAATCTTGATGGCGATCAACTCATCCTCAACCTTCTTCAGCCTCTCGTCGATACGGGCATCATCGGAGACGACTTTGAAGGCGGCAGCGCTGGTTTTCTTCTCCTCAATCTCCGCCAAAAGAGCCAGTTTTCCGAGACTCAACTCAATCTTCTTGTTCCACACCTGCTGCTCCTTGTTGAGAGCAAGTTCGACCAGCGTAGCGGCACTCTGACCAACATCCTTTTCTTGCTGAACGTCATTGATCCATGAGATTCTCGCCAACTCTGGCTTACTTCGGAGGAACTGCGTCTTGAAGCCAAGTTTGTCCAAGTCGAATTCCAAAACTGCCTCGACGCCATGCTTTTGCAGCAAGAATTCGTACACTGGGAATGCGAATGCTTGGCCGTAGTTGGAAAAACTGGTCTCCAGCTTGGTCTTCTTAGCCTGGCGCATAACCTTGAGATTTTGCGACTCGACCAGAGCAAGACCCGGCTCCGAAAGCTGTGTTTCCAGTTCCTCAATGTGGTCTAACAGGATAATTGCCAAAGCGCGAAGGGACTCATGCTTCTCAGCGATGCTAGCTCCTTCCTCCCACTTCCCGGAGCGTGCCAGGGCAATAGGCTTGTCGAATCGATCCGTCTGGTACACTTGGGCAAAGTTTTGTGCCATGGTCTTCTGGTCCGGAGTCGTCATGCCCCAGCGAGCATACTCCAAGACAGATGTGAGCATGCCATCGGTAAGGAGAGGTAGATCTTCAAAAATATTGGTGATCATCTTCAGGTCCGGCTGGTTTGGCGACTTGGATTTCTCGTCTCCCCGTCGGTGCTCGAGTACCCATTGATCCGAGAGGTCAACGAGGCGTTTTACATTATTGGCGACATAATGACAACCAGTCCAGGGCTCAGGAAGTTCCTCATATCCATCACGGAGGATGCCCATGCGGAGTTCTTCGTAGCCAAGCCCATAGAAGTTCAGGTTGTTCTTTCGAAATTCAAGGGCTGCCACGTGCGTGGAGATGTTGACTTGAATGGCCTCGTGTATCATGACGGTGACCTTAGCATCGTCAAGAAGGTGGTCCTTGTACAAGGTCTTGATAACCTCATACGCCCAGGCAACAAAGAGTTCGAGGCGGAAAATATCATTGACAAACCAATGGCGAACCCGGTCAACCTCGCCGATGTTGGCAACAGGGTTGTGCTTCTGGTCCTGGTGGATGAACTCCACGATCGATCCGATCAGGCTCTTCTTGTCGTTGGCGGGGCGTGCTGCGGTAAAGGCCTCATGACGCTTCCAGAGTATGGTAGCTACATACATCTTCTCGGCATTGTACAACAGGTTCCATCGAGTCTTTCGGTCGAGATTGGCTCCTGTCGTTCTCAGATGAGACATTAACCTCTCCAAGGCCTTTGATCGAGCTCGCAGATTATCTTCCAGGGATGCTGGGAGCGTCGAAATGTACGGGGTCGTTGAGCTAAGAATCTCGTGGCTCACTTCCAGCGCAGCCCGGGCCGTCTCCTCCTTGGTGAACTTGATTTCCTGTCGGCCATCGAAAATCAAAGGGTTGTCTTGCTTCACGCCAAAGAAGACGGCTTGCTCAAGCTTGCTCTTAGCGGAAACTTTGGGAGCTTGCTCACTGGCGAACTTGTCCACGTCGGTTGTCACGATCCGCACAGCACCCGCTCCTCGCACCATCAAGACCACTGCGGGGTTCTTAGTCTTGTGTCGGTGCAGGCGGCTGTCCTCATGCCCGTGAATGGCTGCGGTCTCTTCAAAACCAGAGCCAACAATTTCGTGAACATCATCTTCTCGGAAATCAACGACGTCCTCGAAGGCCGCTGGTAGAACGTGACTGTCGGATTGAAGTTGAGAGTCCGGTGACTCGGGAGGAACCGCAATTGACGCGATGACAGTTGCACGATCGAAGACAACATATGCGACGAGAGCCGGGCGGGGGAGGTAGAGGCGAGGTCGTGTAGCCTGAGAGGCCGATGATGAGGAGATTGGAGTCGAAATTGGAGTCGAAATTGGAGTCGAGTAAGATGTAAGGGGGCGGATCATTCCAATCTGACATTCTCTGGAAGTCAAGACAGCTTCGACCAAGGCATAACGTGAAGAGCTTCGAAGTGTTAGGCTGACGAGTAGCAAGAGATGTTGCACCGTGGAGTCATCGGATGACATCGCTTCGCTCAACCGAGTCAGCTCAAGGTATTTGGATTCCAGACCCTTAGGGACATAGGTGAAATCCACAGCTTCGAAGGATTCCACCGGGAAATCTTGGGAGCCGGCATCTGTTTCCTGCAGCGCGGCGACAATATCGTCGCGCACATCCGCCTCCCCAATAATCTCGTTGTGGCCTCCTCGATGGACCTTCCAAGCCTGTAGTCGGCCTTTTGCAGTGAGCGCAACAACATTCCTCTCTCCAACTCTAGCCGATCGATCGGCGCGGACAGCTGCGATGTCTCCTCGAAGCGACAGGTTAGAAAAGGCATGGCGGATGCTGCCAAAGATTCCACTGGTTGAGGCAGAGAGGTTGTTTCGCAAGAATTGGACGGAGATTGATGGTCGGCCATGGCCGTCGCGCACGTTCAAGTAAGCGAGCCGTCCAGAGTTGAACGTCAAGATGAAGCCAGCGGATTCGGCGTTAGTGATGGCCACAACCTTCTCCCCGGATGCCATCCCCGTGATCATGTGCTCGACGCCAGAACGGTCCTTCTTGATGAAGGCGAACGTGGCCGCGCTAGAGATGGACTCCCAATAGACAACTTTTCCGCTGCCTGCCATGACCACAACCAGGCCAGGCTCTGTCGTCGACGCGGAGGGGGAAACGAGGCATCCTACAGGAAGGGGATCGGTCGGTTTTGAAGCTGATGGAAGGGTGAATGTGAAGGTTTCGGGTGATTGTGATGTCGAGGTGTAGGGCCAAACGATGGCGTGTGCGGCGGTCAGGGTGAGAGCATAACCAGAGGTGGAGAAGATGTCGGCAGTTTGGTTACCTGTAGTGCAAACGGTGAGCAGGACTTGAAGGGTGGCAATCATTGAGGAGAGGACACTTACCTGACCAGTCGGAGCGAATCCTGTCTGGCAGAGCTGGGAGCTTGCTCACGGTGTATGCGTTTGTGCTAGTCTAGAAAGAATCAGCGTCTGGTATCAAAACAAGGGCATTCGCATCGCTCCATACCAAAACAAGGCTTCCATCTCCCTTGTTGGCCGCCCGGTCTCCATGTTTCGATTTTTTCGCGCGAACATTCAATTCTTTGCGCAGCGTGGGAGGTGGATTCTCGACGGCTTCGTTGTTGACATGGACGGTCGCGACTTTGTCGGTCTTGACCTCGATCATCTCCTGCTGGGGATCCGGGCTGACAAAAGTCGTCTCAGTCAACGGCAGGCGCAGCCTCTTGGCCTTGGGCTGTTGAACGAGGTGCTCGGAGCTCAAGGGGCGCTGTCGCCGGCGTGAACGGGTTGCCGTCGCCGGGCCACCGTCGGCGACAGTCGTGGAAAACATTTCGGGCGGGTCGCAACGGAATGGCGAGGATCGGTCGTGTCAGCAGCGGCGAGGGACGTGTCGGGCGAGATGGCGATGGATTCGGCCCCGGGAGATCAGAGAGGCATTTCGTCGCAAACGAGATGGTGCGAGCGGTGACTTTTGTTGGGCGTGGTGAAAGAGGCAAGGTAGAAAATGGAATGCAGTAGAGCGAGTGACGAAGCATGCACCTATTGGCTTCCGGCGAAAAAACAAAGGCGAATGGCCCAGCGGGCAGCCTGAGGGACGCCAAGCTACAGGGGCCTCTGGCGCGCTGTGATTGGGCCGCGGAGCCCTGGAAGCGTGAAGGCTGCGCTGGCAACCTGGAGCTGTAGGGGGCGGTACGTACCGAGTTCTGGTACCTGACCACGACCGCTGCGCTGGACAGGCGTGCGACCGTGGCGAAGAGCCGCTACGGGTACGTACCTACCTAAGTCACCTTGGCTCGCTATTTCCGGGTGAGGCGGTTGAGGGGAACCTCTGACGCACAGTGCCTTACCTTAGTAAAGTCAGGTACCCCCGAACGCGGCTCTGGCTCTCAGCGTGCTCACCTTGCACCAAACGCCGAGCTGCGTAGATCTCGCCTCGATGATACTTGCTCTTGCAGTTGGCAGTCGGCAGTCAGCAACCTCCTCCATATGAACCATATCGCGTGTCTTGCAGTCGCACTCATTCTTGTTGTATTTACTATGAATTGATTCTCCCCTTTTCTCTCTTTTCACCGATACTCTCCCGATATCCCTAATAAATTGCGGATCAGATCGTAGCCACAGAGGGTCCTCACCTTGGCACTGACCGAGTGGGTGCTTCCGATACAGGCCACTAACCTCGGACCTCTCTTCAACAATAACACTAAGTGCCTCATCATAAGAGCAATCACCCCTCCACGCAATTCTCGCCACCGTCTCAATTATCTCATCCGGTAATTTATTGATTAATCATACTTCTACCTAATTTACGGAATCTCCGCCGGCGTTGGACCCGAATATTTTGGAGCTGTTTCCTGGCCATTACCCTACGTCATGACTACCCTGTAACCTCGATCTCATCCCATCGCGCAACCATGAGAGTTCCCCGCAACTCTTCTCTGTCATCAACAACTACATGTTGCGTCATGAGGCGGTTCTCGACTGCCGTCATAATCACGGACCCTCTGGTTAGGTACCAGACTCATATAGCGAGCGGCTTTTACTCGCCAGACCCGTCTCAACATCGCCTCGCGAGACACTTACATAAAATCTACATCCGCGTCAAGGATTATTCACCCCAGACCGAATACCGCCAGAGGCTACAGCAGATCACGAGTCTCACAGAGCGCAAGCCAGCGGAAGAAGAAGATGACGATGGTACTATGCTCGCCCGCCGAAACCATTCAATATGGCGGAATCCTCTCTTCAAGCACCTCTTGACTACGCCCGAAGGCAAGGAAAGTGTAGCGCTGACTAGAGTCCTCACCAACCATGAGGCAGCGATTGAGATCAACTCCCCAAAGGGATTGTTCCTGTCGGGCGAAGTTGGTACAGGGAAGTCAATGCTGCTTGACCTGCTCGCTGATGGTCTCCCTACCGGGCGGAAGAGGAGATGGCATTTCAACACTTTCATGCTGTATACACTCTCGCAACTCGAGCAGCATAGGAAATCAAGTGGTGAAACTGCAACTAAAACGTCAGAGTATTCCATTCTGTGGATGGCCAAGAAGCTCGTTGAAGAATCACCCATACTATTTCTGGATGAATTCCAACTTCCTGACAGGGCGGCAAGCAAGATCCTCAGCCATCTTTTCATTGCATTCTTCCAACTCGGTGGCGTGCTAATTGCATCCTCAAACCGCATGCCAGAGGAATTGCAAAAAGCCATCGGTGTGGACTATACCCCTGCGCCCTCTAAGAGTCTGATACGAAGGTTCTTTGGCGGCTCGCTGAGGTCGCGTGGCGAGCTCTACGGCGCGAGCAGCGACTTTGCTAATTTTTTAGAAGTCCTGAAAGCAAGATGCGACTTTTGGCAGATGGAAGGCGCAAAGGATTGGCGAAGAAAGGAAGAAGCGGATACCTCAGAGACTCCTACTGGCAGCGCGGTCGTCCATGGCGCAGTCGGAGCAGGTGAAGAAGTCTTGGAGGAGAAACCTGAGCGGCGACTTCAACCTACCAACTACTACCTCTCATCAGATGACGATGGCCTATGGCGACAACAGATAAACGAGGCGCTTTCGTGGGGCGGTCTTCACCCGCCTCTCTGGGAACCGTCGACTCTCGTCGTGTACGGCCGTCAGGTCCGCACTCCGAAACACTGCAACGGCTTCGTGTGGTGGAAATTTGAAGACCTGGTCGACTCATTCGGTCCTGCCGACTACATCACGATGGCTTCCTCATATCATACGTTTATTGTTGACAATGTCCCGGTCTTGACACATGACAAGAAGAACGAAGCCCGGCGATTTATTACACTTTTGGATGCACTCTATGAGGCGCGTTGCAAACTCATAATTAGAGCTCAGAACCCCCCCGATTCCCTCTTCTTCCCTAAGAAGGGTAAGGCGTCTGGAAAGTCGACCAACTCTGACGAGCCAGACGATGCCACGTACTCCGAAACTATCGCCGAAGTCTACCAGGATCAAATGTCTCCTTTCAGGCCCAATGTCTCCTACTACGACACAGAATCTAGCACATCACAGTACGATCCAGACCAGGACTCGGACTTTAAACTAGAGAAGCCTGTCGACTTTGGAAAAACAAGTGCCTTTACTGGCGAAGATGAACGGTTTGCTTACAAACGAGCCATTTCTCGACTGTGGGAGCTTTGTAGTTCCCAGTGGCATGCTCGGACGGGAGACTGGTGGCAGCCGTTACCTGCCGAAGCACGGCATTGGGAGGGAGGACTCGTCGCGAAACGGGTTGATCCTGAGGTGAATATTCGTCAACGGGATATTAATGAAGTCATGGGGGAGAGTCTGGATATAGAAGAAATAGCCGGGTTATCCAAGTGGAGAGTCGAGCACTTGAAGACGCGAGGCGAGAAGGGTACATAAGAGGCTTAACTGGTTCGTTTGCTGTGTGGGCAACGGCTGGGAGGGTAGAGGCCTTGGATATGTAGTCACAATTATAGCGGGGGAATCAGATAATGAAACGAAATGTGCCATTGCTTGAAAGCGGCTGTCTAAAGGGTGAGCATTAAAGTCTCTGACCGGATATCCTATTATGCCATACTCCAAACGCCATATATGCTGTCATGATCCATCGTGCTTCCGCTCAGAGGTTTGCTACCCCCGGCGTCCAGCCCTCTCCTATCCTCTTCATGTCGTCGGAAAACTTGCGACTCGTAATCTTCTTGCCGCCCATGCTCCCAAGGGGCGCATGCTCGTCCGGGTCGTAGAAGGGGTTCTGCAGGAGATGCACATAGGCGTTCTGCATGGCGCGGAACACGGGCTTGAGCTCCGCGTCGCGCAGGCCGGTGCCCACGCCGCGGGAGCCCGCAGCCGAGCTGTCGACGCGGCGGCCGCGCATGTCGACGACGCAGACCATGCGGACGCCCGTGTTGGTCTCGAAGCCGTACGCGGCGAGGCGGTCGTCGACGGCGTGCAGCAGGCCGAAGTCGCCCGAGAGGCCGACACCCGAGACGGCGTTGTGCTTGGCGCGCAAGTCGAAGACGTCGATGGAGGAGGAGAGGAGGAGGGAGAACTGCAGCGACGTCCGGATCGGGGCGAAGGTGTTGGTCGCTGGGTCGTGCGAGGGGAAGATGGAGATGTGGAGGGGGTTGTTCTGGCGGGGAGCGGTTGGGTTAGCCTGGGCTTGCGTGAGGACAGCGAGGGCGTGCATGTCGGATGGAGGGGATCCTGGCTTACATTGCGGCCGATGATGCCTAAGCAAGCGATTGAGGGTATCGCGGTGGCCATGGTTGCGGGAGGTGGAGGAAGAAGTGTTGTTTCGTGGTGGGAGCTCGGCGCTGGAGTTGTAGTTGGCACTGGAGCTTCCAAATTCACACACCCTGGTCGGGCCAGTCCCCACAGACTAGGTATCTCTTTGAGTGCCGTAAGGTTACGGGACCCACTGCACCCTTTCGGGTCCTATGCGACAGGGAGGGACTTGGAGTGTAAATATAAGCTACTTGGTGAAAGTTCCTATATACCTATGAATTATAACTTGGTGTTTGCGTCTGTTAGCAAGCTGCTGTCAGAGGCTAAATTACCAGTTTTTGGAGTATACTAGTCAGCATATTCTCCACCATACCAACGCAGCGGCGAATATGGTTTATCAATACAAGTTTCTATCTCGTTTTCCCGTTCCCAACTGGATCAGTATCATGAATTTGGCTAATGGTAATAAATATGCTTTTGCTACTCTTGTGAGCTCTCCTTCGAGCATCTGTAACGGAGTCGGCATTACAGAAAGAATGCATGTGTTGGTGTTAGCGGGCCTTGTTTTAGGCCCAGTCGAGCTTTATTTCTACAATATAGAATATATATATTAGAGGTAACTACAAAAGAAACTATGGATATTTTATATAATAGGAATAATATTAAGTTGTGCTTGTACCTTAACTTTCTATACCTTGTGCTCTGAATGCACTGATGTCTTGAATAAAAGTCCACCGTGACGACCCCGCCTCCCAGCCTACCTATAGAAGGTAGGTAGGCGCCGCAACCGCCTAGAAGAGGAGCAGATCCAGACACAGAGGTTCTCTAGGCTCTGGGAAATAATGATGCTCCTCGCTCATCCATCTTTCTCTCATTTACATTTTGCTCCTAGGCTGTCTCTAGCAGGAATATCTGAGCAGAGATGGACGTAGGTTCCTGCAGATATTGTGAAATGGAGTAGATGCGCTGTACGTAACTGTTATTCTATCTGCCTTGATCGACACATCAATCTCGTCAGCTAGCAGCCGCTTACTCTGTCCCTGAACAGCCGCTTCTCGGTGCTAGGGAACTGTTCGTTGACGCATCCATCGAGAGGTAGCAAGAGGGGAGCTTTGAGACCATATTTTCATGTACACAAAGGCAACTTGACGATGGATTGAGACCCCAGAACGAAAGTAAGAATGCTATCAGGTGCATCTTATGCCTCCTTCCTCTCGCGCCATTTACAGGTCTTCGCTCATGTTCTTCGTTCATGTTCTTCTCATCTTTTTCGCATCAGGATAATACTTGTTAGCATTTTGCGGGCGCATAAAACATCATCGCAGCATAAAGAATTCCCTTTGTGCACTTATTCCGCCATATGTAATGCGCAGTCATTCCCATTAGGATACTGCTCATTGGCATTCCTCAGACGCATGATCAATCGCCTTAGTATGAACAATTTTCTCGCCGCCCTAGCTCCGTTGTCCGTAATGCGCAATGCGCAAAACACTTGGATCGTCCGGCCGTGATTGGGTGCCTTGCGCCTTCATAGCTTCGGACAGGCGGGGTATGGCAGTCAGCTCTGCTTCCTCGGAGTTGCGCCTGTGCTCTCACCTCCTCGATCCTTCAGCTTGATAAATAGGAGCCGAGTGCCGTTTCAATCTGGGTCGGGCTGGCGGGAGACATCATGGCTAAATTTCGTAGGTCTACTGACATCCGGCAGGGGCCTAACAGCTCTGCGCTCACGATGGAACCGGACCTGTCCGAATCGTCCAGGCAGCGTCGTTACCGCACCCTACCAGCCATCGCGAAACGGGTCACTGCTAGGTTTCGCTCGATCCTCGGCCGACAGATGGCGTCTAAAGGGTCGGGTATGTCGGATCACCAATCGCCTGCCAAGAGTTCACTCTCTATGCGTAGCAATCTCGTTCAAAAGCCATCCGGGGCTGATATTGCGGAGCCTAATGAACCAAGCGAACTCCTTGCATCAAATGAGACCACCCAGAGGCGCTCTGCTGGACGAGATCGTATGTCTGACGATGGTAGTGAAACCTCGCTCGACATGTCTTGCGAGCCATCCACCGGAACGATAAGGGAGACCATCAACTGGGTTTATCAACAGCCTGCCAGGGAGGATCTCACCCATTCCGTTGTCCACAGCCCCACGCACGCTTTATCAGAATCCAGTGGCGACGCAGCGGAGACTGGAGACGATATCGACGAGGAAGGACTATCTGGCGATGTGTCCCCTCACAAGACGTTTGAAACTCAACGTCGTGGCATCTTTGCGTTCCGAATCCCGACAATGATGTTTGTCCCCGAGAATCACTCTACATCAACCACAGACTTGGACATGACGGTCGGCGTCGGCGTCGAAAACATCTCGACCGCTACCAGCGTTAAGAAACGGTCCAGTCCTGCAACACCGACGACCTTGACATCCCCGGCAAGCCCCAAGGTATTAGATGAACAATCCAAGCGGATCCGATTCAACTCTGCCCGTGCTAGGTTGTCCGTCGCCACAACGAGATCGAACCGACGGAGCTCTATAACCCCGGGTCGCCTATCCACGCATGGATCCCTATCACTCACTGCGCTACAAACGAGCGCTTGCACTGTACAAGACCCTCTCAGTAATTCAATTTCGTCTTGCGGGACCCAGGCATTACTACCATCTGGTATAACGTCTCCTGAGCGGCGTGACAAGCGCGACTCATTTGGCGCTTACATGCCTATCGCGAAGAATGTCCAAAACGCTAGAAAATTCCAGGATCACCTCCTGCTTGAAAGTCAAGAGCCTATGTTCACCATCAACGGGCGTGCATTGGATGCTGGGTCAGCAGAAACTACACCGTTCCGTTCGTCTGGAAACTACCCCTTACTGGGCCATATATCATCCGAGGATAATCGCGGTCAACTGGATAGGCGAGGTTCAGAATCCCAAACCTCAGAAACGCCCTCTGTTTCAGCCTTTTCGAGTGCAGCATCCACATCAGAGTCTGGCTCTCTCATAACATCAATAGAAGATCTTTCAGAAATGGACCAGCCCATACAAGATATAACGGATAATGATGATGGGACGTCAGACATCACAGAACACACGGACCTGTCGCTCATCGAAGCGTTTGAGGCTTCGCCAATGCAGTTCGACCCTATGCTGTTATCGGTCCTGATGTCCCTCAAAGACGAGATTGTTGACCGTGTCAAGCGCAAGCTGGAGCTGATGTGGCTCCAGGCGCACGGAACACGGCAGCACCCTTCAAACCAGGCCAGCTCCAGCCGGCCCTCTTCAGAACAGAACGGGGAGAGCACAGAAAAACCTTCCCCTCGTCGTGATTCAACAACTTACCGGAAGCGCCCGCTCAGTAACGATGAAGACGGTGATACGGCTGGAGGCGGTGACGATGATGATGGAGAAAGGAGGAAGCGGAAGGACACCACATTGAGATCCACAGCTGGGGAGCGTCTTAGGAAATTCGCGTGTCCATTTTGCAAGAGATATCCGAAGAGTGAGAATCTGCAGAAATCATGCCATGGACCAGGATGGAACTCTGTACACAGAGTGAAGTGAGTTTGCATCGAAGCATGTGATGGCTGCTGTCAAGTTTTGTGTGCTAAACCTCTGACTTAGAGAACATATCTATCGGCGCCACCAAAAACCAACTTACCGGTGCAACAGATGTCTGGTCTCCTTCGAAAAGGAGGAAGACCTCATTGGGCACACTCGAGCAGAACAACGATGTGAGAACCAGACAGTATCGACAGAGGAAGAGACTATATATATCAGCCAAACGCAAGAACGAGCCCTGAGAAAACGGCTTAGGAATGTCCCGGAAGAGGAGCGCTGGGTCCTTGTATTCCAGATCCTATTCCCGGATGTCCCAGTCAATCAAATCCCTTCGCCTTGTAAGCTAACCCTTTACAACCTTATCATTTTATTTGGACATGGCTGACGCATGAATTTAGACTACGACATCGACTCGAACAGCCTGGCGCTAGATCTGGCAACCCTGGACGAGTTTCGCACATTCCTTGTACAAGAGCTACCAGCCCGCATCGTTAACGACGTGAACAACCACTTTCGTGTTCTGCCGGAAGGCAGCGTGATGCACAGCGATATGACATGGATCCTTCGTGACACGATCCAAGAGGCCATGGAGGAGTTCTTGCACGGTCCAGCGCCTCACGACGTCGATCGAGTTGTTGACACAGATGGTGCTGCGGCTCCCGAAAGTACTTCCCGAGGAATGAATACACTGACGGCAGGGAACGTTTCGACAATCCCTTCATGCCCTGTTGATATGAGCTACATGTACGCACCGCCTTGGCCTACATCTCAGCCATACTCGGCTCCATGGAGTCTCGCGCTCTACTCCGACCCACCAGGGGCGCCAGCCTTGGATCTCATGCTGGATGGTACTTTTCCAACTGTCAACGGCGTTTCAGCAGTGGCGGCGTCTGGCGCTTTGGTTACTACTCGTAACGTGAGGCCAGGGCCAGAAGATCTAAGAAATGACTTTATGGAGGAGTGTCTCTTTTCCTTCCCTGCCGGTGCAGAAGATGCCCGATTCTCTGGTTGAGAGACTGCCCCATGGCGTATTAGTTCGTATAGACTTCTCATAAAATTACTTGGTAGTATCGTTAGCAATAAAGTGAAAGGGTCAAAGTGTCCGAGTGAAAAAGCCACCTAGATAGCCATCGCAAGCTGTGAGCCTGTTACATAGATATCTAACGGGACTTTGCCATTTGGAAAGCTCGGGCGAGTGTCATCTCATTGTTTGCCGTATGTAGACCGGGCTCTCAGTTATCAGTTAGCAGTTAGCAGTATGCGAACCACGGGCGACCGAAGCGACGGGACGCCTCGCCTCATGCATGACGGCCGGGATCAACGTCCGCCCGAGAGGCCGACAGCGCCCAATGCTGTCTAGGCTCTTGCTAAAGCTGATAATAATGCTCGTGTCATCTTATCGTCCTGCTTGTCAACTTCAATAGTTGACTATCGTCGACAAGCAGAAACCATTTGACCACTATCCACGGTACACCCTTGTCCCCACACCTTACTCTTTACTTGAGTGCCTGTCCACCTAATCGCCAATTTAGCTCCCCCTCACCCGCTTTTCCTGTCCGTAAGATTGCTGCCTTAAGTACTCGGTGGGACGGTTCTGGATCGGAATCGAACGCCACAAGGGCATTGGTGCCTTGCTCGCCCCGCACAGCGAATCTCGCCGAGACCCTGCTCCAGTCATGCACAGCGATGCCCGTGATGCCGACCACGATACCGAGGAGATCGCTCCGCACAGAGCATCCTTAGATAACATTCTGGATGCTAGCGAGGATGCTCTGGAAACAGTTGTGGATTCGTCAGGGCCCGGAGACACAGTCATAACCTCTGGGGACCGGGCAGGTTCAGAGAAACCACCGAACAGCCCTGGACCGCTCAGTGACGAACCGAACACTGGGAGCTTTCACTGCGTTACCGATCATGTAGAAGCTGGCCACATTCTCTCGGCTCGCGCGGGGCATATCGCTGCTCATAACGGACGTCGGCTCTTGCCCCGATGGAAGCCCGGAGCGGTTGTTACGTACAGTATTGCCGTGGAGAGTTTCCCATCCAAAGGATACGCCAACTTCGCGAAGCGCGCCTTAGTCGAGGCGGCGGACGACTGGAACAGCAGAGATGTTGGCGTGCGCTTCCGGCTGGTTAACCAGGGCGAGCCGGCCGTCTTCGCATTGAAGTATTACCGCGCGCCGAGCAGGTTCTTTGCCGACTCTTTCTTCCCCGATTCCAAGGATCGCATCCTGTATATATTCAAGTTCGCCTTCAGGAGAGAACACCGGAAATACATGGCTAACATCTTCCGCCATGAGATCGGCCATGTCCTCGGCCTTCGCCACGAGGAGGCCGAAACCCGCGAATCAGCAGTGCCTTCAGTTGCATTAACACCGCAAAACAGCCTGTCTATCATGAGCTACTTCACAGACCCCAGCAAGATTCGCATTCAAGAGTCGGATATTGCGGCCGTGAGGAAGCTATGCGCGATAAGCGAAGAAACGTTTCACGGCTTTGAAGTCATCACGGTTGATCCTGACACACTGGATCAAGCAAACTTCTATGATTCAGACCGGCTTAGCTCTAGGGGCTCTGATCTTGTGAGCACCAGGACTGGAGGTTCGAACCGTGCTAGTACTGAGGGGGAGCAGCCATATGAGGAGACGGCCGACGCCGAGTCGACACCGACAATTGGTCCTAACAGAGCCCCCCGTATCACAATCGATTTCGAGCCACTCAATATTAAGGAGACCCATGAGCCACTCGAGGAGACCCAGAGACCGGCGAGCCATGCCCTTGAGGGCGAGCCAGCACCTGTCAGCCTGGTACCAGCTAGAGCTGAGACTACAGTGCCGGGCTTTTCAGCAGTGCCAACTCGTACCGAAGGCCCCCCATTTCCTTTTCTCGGTGAAGAGCTGACACGACCAAGCTCGATTGATAGCGACAGGAAACGCAATCCAGACTCCAATGTACCGCAGCTCGACCTACAGGATGCCCTTACCCCAGACCCCGGCACAGAAGATATGTTCATCGTACATGGCAACCCGTTTGCCTTCTCGCCCGGTCAGCTCAACAAGTTGTTCAATCCAAAAAATCACAGCGCCTTCTATGCCCTAGGTGGCCTTCACGGCTTGGAGATAGGCTTAAGAACCGACAGAAACAGCGGCCTCAGCTTGGACGAAACTGGGCTGGATGGGGCCATCACGTTCGAAGAAGCAGCCACCAACGACGTCCCAAAATATGGTATACTAGGGGACAAGGCTCCTGAGGCGGTGCATGACGGGGGTTGGACGCCAGCGGCTCCGTACACTCCAACGGGCAGAGGCGGTTTGGGGAAAACGGATGGCAGCTTCGCCGATCGCAAACGTATTTTCCGAACCAATTGTCTGCCAAAGGTGAAAAGAAAGTCGATTATGAAGTTGGCGCGTGATGTATACTGTAGCGAGTGGCTTTTGATCATTCTTACTGTTGTGGCCGTCGCCTCATCCGCATGGGACATGCATCAGAGCGTCCTTGCATCCTCACATGGGAGGATCGAGCCCAACACAGAATGGTCTCATGGGATTGCCATACTGGTTGGCGTTATCCTCGCCGTTAGTGTAGAGACACTCTACCGATGTAAGAATCCCGCCTATATTGTCAGGCTGAATTAATTTGACCTCATGGCCAGGGAATACACAACGGCAGATTGATCGGCTTGACACAAAGCGCAGCTACCGGATCGCCAATGTCGTTAGATCAGGCCGGACTACTGAGATTATGGGGTTTGAAATCCTCGTTGGCGACGTTGTTTTATTATCTGCAGGGGATATTGTCCCCGCGGACGGGATCCTGATCGACGGACACAGTCTCAGGTGTGACGAATCTTGCTGCACTGGCGAAAGCGATGTGATACCAAAGGTTCCTGGAGACCAAGCTTTTACCGTCTTGGATGATACTATGAACGGCCCAACGTCGGATCATCAGATTCTCACTGCGATGGATCCGTTCATATATTCCGGGAGTACGGTCTTGGAAGGAAGCGGCTCATTTATTGTCACAGCCGTCGGTATCAACTCCAGCCACGGCCGCACGCTGATGGCGCTCAGAGAGGAGCAAGATATTAGCTCGTATATGCGAATGCTGCATGACTTGAGCACCTACACTATACGAAGGCTCGGCATCGGCATCGCTATTCTCCTCTTCACCGTCTGTACGATCAAATTCCTCGCAACCCTACCATCGAGTACTTTAACACCAGAGGAAAAAGGCCGCAACTACCTAAACATGTTTGTCTTGGCTATTGCATTAAGTGTGGTCTCCGCTACACCGTTCCTTTCCAATGTCGGCTCTCTGACAACGACCGCCCTGATGGCAAGAATGACTCGAGACAACAACCTGGCTCGAAATAGCAAAGCCTGCGAATCCGCGGCCGACATAACGACTATTTGCACTAGTAAGACAGGTATCTTGACTCAGGGCAAGATGAAAGTTGTGGCGGCTACTGTTGGAAACTTCAGGGGATTTGGTAATGCGGACTTGGACTTTCCAACTGGGACCGTCGACCTACCAAGCGATGTCAATGAGCAAACCACCCTCACGGCCGACATTTCTCCAACCTGCTTCGCCCAAAGTCTGAACTCAGAGGGAAGGCAGTTGCTGATCAAGTCTATAGCTGTTAACTCGACCGCTTTAGAGGGTGAGGTGTACGGCGAACTCACATTTATCGGTTCCAAAATCGAAACTGCTCTGATGGCTTTTGGTCGTGATTATTTGGGCCTCGGGCCCATCGAGGAAGAGAGGTACAATGCGTCCATCACACAGCAACTCCCATTTGCAGCCTGTAACGGATTCATGGCTACGATAGTGAGGTTGCCGTTCGGGGGGGTTCGGGTGTACGTGAAAGGCGCTCCTGAGATCTTGCTCAGACGATGTGCCAAAGTTGTAACTATTACGGACCCGACCGACAAAACTCTGTCTACTGTCGACCTCACAGACACTGACCGTGAGCTATACCGACTCAGAGCTGCTTCATACGGTTCACGAAGCCACCATCCTATTTGCCTATGCTATCGAGACTTCAGCTACTGGCCTTCTCTCGACAGTTTCGACATGTTATGTCGGGATATGATACTGCTTGCCATCATTGGTATTCAAGACCCTCTTCGAGATGGCGTCGTTGAGGCGGTGAGGAATTGCTATCATGCTGGCATTGTGGTCCGCATGGTTACAGGCGATCACGTCGAAACAGCCAGAGCAGTTGCTAAGGAGGCTGGCATACTCACGACTGGCCTCGTTCTTGAGGGTTCCACCTTTCGAGCCTTGGATGAACAGTCACAACTTGAAGTGCTGCCACGCCTAGCAGTTCTGGCCCGCGCCACTGCGGGAGACAAGAGAATCCTTGTGCGACTGCTCAAGATACTAGGCGATACAGTGGCTTTTGCTGGCGGTAGCGTTGGCGATTGCCCTGCACTGAAGATGGCCCAAGTCGGATTTGTGAAAGGAATTACCGGTACCGATGCCGCAGTCCAGGCTGCCGACATCATTTTGATGGACGACAACTTCGTGTCAGTCACGAAGTGTATCTACTGGGGCCGTGCCGCGAAAGACAGCGTTGCGAAGTTTCTTCAGTACAAATTGGCTGCCATTGCAACTGCTGCAGTTCTTACCTTTGTTTCAGCTGCCGCGTTAGATGCAAGCGACAGCCCGGTACTCAATGCTGCACAGCTCCTATGGGTTGGCCTCATGACCGATCTCGCAGTTCTCGCTCTACTTACAAGTCAGCCGACTGAAACAGTCCGGAAGCGGAAGCCCAGTCCAAGAGCTGCGCCAATTATCACGCTGCCTATGAAGAAGATGATAGTGGGCCAAACTATCTGCCAACTCACTATCACGCTTGTGACATTCTTTGGGTGGTTCAGCATGTTCGGGCATAAAGAAACCTCCCAAACAGCTGATGACAAGACACGGCGCAACACCTTCGTTTTCAACACCTTTGTATGGCTTCAGATCTTCAATATTGTCAATAGCCAACGTCTCGATAACCGTTTCAATGTCTTCGAAGGCACCCTACGCAACCGCCTTTTCCTTTGTGTTGGGTTGCTCCTAGCCGGAGGGCAAGTCCTTATTATGTTCATCGGCGGTAAGGCATTCAAGCTTGCCCGACTCAACAGCAAGGAGTGGGCAGTCTCGGTTGCGATAGGTTGCATGTCTCTACCGTGTGGTGTGATTTTGCGTCTAGTGCCGGATCATCTAATCGACCTGCTTATCCCGGAGGTCATGAAGCGCGGGTATTCTCCGCGTGTTCCCCAGATCACGATTGATTTGGGAGGTTTTAACGAAGACGAAAGGAGGCCAGCATCTCGAGGCTCAGGACTGTGAAGACGGCTTCTACCACTAGATGATTTCTTGCACAATATAACCACACAGTGGCAGGTGTGCTCTGCATCATCTTTAACGGCAACTGCCTGGATGTTGATGAAATCGAGATTTGTGTTGAAGATGGGAGGGAAGTACATTACAAGTTGCTAGCGGACCATTAGACCCGCTTCGCTTTCATATTGCCCGAGCCAAAATACCAGAGGTCAACCGCCATGGAAGTAATATATTCATGAATTCTGGACTCCAGGTCAATCACACGGGCTCCTTGGCTCCTCGAGCCGTAACGAGCATTTCGAGAACCAATTCGTCGAAGCCCAGGGGCTGCAATCTCACGCAGCGGCTCCTAACTTACATGCCATCCTAGTTCCTAGTTCCTGGTTCCCAATCCTATTGCTAATTCCTAATTCCTACAACACTCCATCTCAACTCTTACACAGCGTCCTCGCCAAAAGTGCCACCGTTTTATTCCGAGTACTCGTCATCTTCCATGATGCCGGCCGTGTCCTCCAGCCCCCTCAGCACCTCCTCCACCTCGGACGGGTCCGTAATGGCCCATACTCCTCCGCCCTTGACCAGGTCTTTTCCTCGCATGCCCACCTCCTTGCCCACGAGGTTGCGGCCGACCTTGCCCGGGCCGACGCCGACCCAGCGCCGGATCCGCGCCTCCTGGTCCAGGTACTTGATGCTGTCCCACCAGCGCACCGTGTCGAGGCACCCGCGCGCCAGCAGGTCCTTGAACTCGGCCTTGCTGCAGATTGGGCGCGCAGAGACGTTGCTGACGAGCGGCAGCTGGCCGGGGAAGCTGACCATGTCCTCGTTCTCGCGGCCGGGCACGCGGCTCTTCTGGTTGAGCAGGTCTCTCATGACGGACAGGGCGGGCTTCATGATGGGGCTGTGGAAGGGGCTGTCGCTCTTCAGCCGCACGGCGCGAGGGTCGTAGCCCAGGAACTGCCGCAGGTGCGTAACCAGAGTCTTGATGCGCTCAATGTTGCCGCTCAGCACAATCTGGTTCTTGCTGTTGATGTTGGCAATCAGGACCTGCTCGATGGGCGGGACGTCGTCCATGCTCTCCGCCTTGCTTCCCGTGCTCGTCACGCCTACAAAGTCCCGGATGGCTCCGATCAGGCTGGCCATGTGCTCCGGGTGCGAGATGACGGCCACCATGCCGTACTCGCCGCCGTACTCTTCAATTGCGCGGCGGGTCGCATCGGACATGGCCTCGGCCCGCTTGCGCACCAGGTACAGGCTGTCCTGGAACGAGACGTAGCCGCCGGCGACGACGGCCGCGAACTCGCCGAGGGAGTGGCCGAGGGTGACGTCGAAGTGGTCGGCGACGTTGAAGTCGAACTCGCGCTCGAGGATCCGGAGGATAAAGATGGAGGTGGCCATGATGGCCGGCTGGGCGTTGGGGGTCTCATTGAGGATCCGGGAGGGGCCGTTCTGGATAATATCGGTGAGCTTGTAGCCCATGTGGTGGTCGATCTCGTCGCGGAGTTGCGAAGCCGTCGCGGGGAATGCCTCGAGCCACGGCGTCAACATGCCCACGCGCTGTACACCCTGGCCTGGGGACAACACAAGGAGCCATTGTCAGTCCGTCTGCCAATCTGCTTGTCCATGAATCACAAAAGAGAATCACAACCAACCTGGAAAGAACAGGGCCGTCCTGGTGCCGCCTCGATGCGTGGACCACCGCCGCGACTGCGGGGGCGATGGAGCCAGCACTCGGCGGCCCGGAGCGCCAGAAGATGGATGCAGGCCCGCAGCGAAGCGGCGCCGGAGCAGAGGCGCAGGCGTCGCGAGCCGTTCCATGGCCGTCCGGGGGCGAGGACTCAAGACCGTCGGGATGACGCTTTCAGTCTCATTTCTCGGGTCCCGGCGCGGTGCGAGGGGAGAGGGAATGGGTTGACGGGTAGGTAACTAACGGGTGACGGATGAGGAACGCAAACCGGCCGCGCCCGGGCTGTCGATTGCCTTGGTGTCACGTTCGTCCAGTACCTACGTACCTAATTACTGCACAATACCCAGGTACAATAGGTACAAACAAGGGCCTCCAGAGCTGCAGGTCACGCAGACCGCTTCGGGCGGTACGGACTACGGGACACGTGCCGGAGCTACCCCACGCTTAGAGCCGATGTCCCGAGAGGCGTTCGGCGCTCCGTCTCGGCGCTCCGTCTCGGCGACTCAGATGATCGGCATTACACAGGCTTCACTTGACGTGTTTGGCTTCAACGCACCGGGGATGGACGGATATGCACTGGAAAAATCCCATGGTTTGTATCAATTTATTTGGTATTTCTTGTTGGATTTATTAATACATTTTACCCCCCTCCACCATCCTTTGTCTTAACACCGAATCTCCACGCCACCCTTGCTCACCGTCAAGTACTTGACTCCCTTGAACGGTTTCATCGTCTCTCCCAGGCCCCGACTCTTCCTTGGGTCTATCATCATGCTTTCTACCTTTAACCCACTTGCGAGCCATCCCTTGACTGAGAAACTCACCGATGCCGATGTGGGCATTAGGATCTTGTTTTGCGCAATCTTCTTCACATCCCTGTCGTCGCCTGTGCTCTCTTTCTGCTTCGCGCTCTTGGCTACGGGCACACTCTGGTATGGCTCATTGAAAGAGTAGTCTGTCCCAAACCCGAATCCAGTAGGGTCAAGCTCCTCCTCGTCATCGTCAACCAACGGCCCCACGACGGTGCACCGCAGCCCAAAGTAGCTCGTGCCTCCCGAGAGCTCCTTTGCCGGGATATTCCACTCCAAAACCCTATCTCCGGGATTAAAGCTGGCATCGCCCCGACTTGGTCGAATCTCTGAGAGGTTCCTAACATCTGTTGGTAGTGGGATTGTAATGTTCAGATCATCCACCAAGGGCGATGCAGGCGATCCGGGATGTGGCCCTCCCAGCCGTCCGGAGCCCCCCCTTCCGAGGCCAGACGAGGCCGGTGAGGGCGCTCCGGGAACCTTGTTCACTTGTAACCGGACCTCGAAGTCTGAGCCTGTGGATCCAAGCCCAGTCTTGACTTCCATGTTGACGGGTAGCTTGAGGTTGTTCGCATTCATACTCCCACTTTTGCCACTTGTAAAGGGTAGCAGGTCCACTTCGTAGCCTGCCAGAATGAATCTTCCATCTGGAGGAATGAAGCTCAATTCTCCAGGCCTCTCCTTCCACCGATTCAGGCGCACGCAAGGGTGGAAGACGGGTAGCTCCATAATCCCATTGAGGTTGTGCTTCCCTGACGGACTAGTCAGTGTGAGCATGACATCCGGGATACCTGAGACCTTTGACGTGAATGCAATAGTGCCGTTGGCAAAGGCGGCCAGAGGCCTTCCTGAAGGCGCAAGCGTCACTGATAGAGTCTCGACAATATCTGCGTACATCTCGTTGGACGTGTGCTTCACATTTGCTCTTCTCCATGGCAGGGCCGGTGTGTTGGATGACATCAGGGACGGCGCGCTCGAGTTCGAAAAGTTGGTGGTCAACGGGGATTTTCTGCTGCCAAGTTAGCTGGTGCTACATTCGTCTTGTAATGCGGCGCAGAGGGACACCAACCCAGGGAGACTGAGGCCGCCCAGGAACTTGTCCACCCAGCCTTCTTGCTCCACCACCTCCCGCAAGGCATTGGGTTCCGTCGTGCTGATCGTCCCCGCATCGCACATCTCCGTCAACAGTTGGGCGACGACATCGTAGTTGTTCTCGATCTTGACGGCCAGGATCGGCGCGCCGACGAAGTCCTCGAAGGCATCGATGACGCGGTGTAGGAACTCGAAGACAAGGAGCGGCTCGATCTCGGTGGACGTCGTGATGAGGAACAGTAGGTTCGCGTGAGTCAAGCTGAAGATGAGGGTCGGCGGGTTCGTGTTGGGGAGGTAGATGAGGTTCGGCCGCGGTGCTGGATGCTCGAGATAGAGGGGCAGCAGATGGGCCGCCGATAGAGGCCTGCCCGTGTAGGTGTGGGATAGGATGGGATTCCTGGGTGGGTTAGATGGTGATGAATGCCGCTATTCGCATAGATCCCCGTACCTGTTGTCATCGAAGATGTGCAGCGCTTCAATAACGCCGTTCATCGTGATGACCAACGCCTTGTTGGTGGACACTTGACAGCCCTCAGCTCAGAGCTCTGGTCCCTGCGCCATCGCAGGGCGGAACGTGCAATGACGAAACTCCGACTTGGTGAGCATGACTAAGCCAAATTGGACATCGCATGTCCAATCACCGCTCTCCGTCACGCGACTCTCGAAAGTTGCATCTGCAAGTCGTCGCCGGCAACAGCAGCTTTCACCATGGCAGGAGACAAGATCCCGACGATTCAGTCCCTCGAGCGACCCGAGAAGCTTGAGGATATCCTGCGCAAGGACCGGGGCGACGACTGTCTGCCCTGCAAGGTCGTTGGCAAGTTTTGCGCCTGGACTGCCTCTGTCAAGAAGACGACTAGCTAACTCGTCACAGGCAGCGGTGCATTCTTCGGCCTCGCAGCATACAGCTACTTCTCGGGAATGTCGCAGCTCGAGAAGCAACGAGCGCTGATCCTAAAGAGCAACTCCCTGTTCGGCATGCGCAGCCGCAAGCTCGGCATCACGACCATCTCCGTGGGACTTGTCTGGATGGGTCTCTGGAGAGCTTTCAAGTAATACGCAAACATTTCCTTAATACGATACGAACCCCACTCCGTCCACCGAAATAAACTCGACATCGTTGGCTGTGAAGCTGGCGGCTCTCTTGAAACAACGTTCGACGAAATATATTCGACTTGGCTGTGACGACCCTGCCAAAGCGGGCCTCGCCCATGTACCAAAATAACATATCAAGCCGTGTATGAGGCGTTTGGGGGTTGCATGGAATTCAGCCAAAAGTTATAATATTATGTACTATTTGCACATGACAATAGACGATGCCAACCGTTAGCCGCACGCCACACTGCTTGTGCTCTGCCAGGCTAGGAGCCGAGAGAGACCTAGAATGATTCTACCATAGACGCACTTGACAAGATATAGATGTCGAACTAGATCTGTGAGACCGGGCGATCTCGATGTTTTAATAGCGTGTACTTCGTAGTTGCATGTGAAATTCAGGTGATGCGGTAAATCAATAATAACATGAACCATTTATTCTGGTTCATTAGCAAAATTCCCTATTGAATATATGAATGTTCGCATATTGCATCCTATAATCTGTACTCAAAGGTTCTGATGCTAGTTGGATGTGGTTCATTGTCATTGTATTCACCACCCTTCTAGCCGTTGTTGTACCAGACACTATCCCACCTCTAAAATCTCGACTTCACGGCCCCACCTTGAATCTTCATCCAACTTCACAACCACCAGCACAAACCTCGAGACAGGCACTCAGCACTCCCCGATTTAGATTCAAACCGCGGTCGATTGAAGGGACAGGGCATCTCGGCCACACCTAGACGCCATAGTCTGCCGGCCAGCAGCAACAACCAGACCCCAGCCTCATCTCACATCAACCGCTCATCTCATCTCACAATGCCCATCACAGTCCTCAACCCGCAGGCAGCGGCCAAGCGGCCAGCTGCGGCCATGTCTGTCGACTCAGACTCCGATTCGGACTCCGGCGGCGGCGCTGCTGTCCACGGCGAAGATATCCTCACACCTGGCACCGTCATCACATCAAATCCTCAGTGGATGCGGTAAGTGTCACATTGTCTTTCTCTCGACATGAGTCTTGGTACGAGTGCTGACTGTTCAATTCAAGTGGACATGGAACCTACGTCCTGCCCGGTTCGACGTCCATCACGTCCTCCCTCGCAGGCACTCTCACCAAGACCAACAAACTACTCTCCGTGCGGCCGCTCCGCGCGCGCTACACGCCGGAGATTGGTGACCTGGTCGTCGGCCGCATCGTCGAGGTCCAGGCCAAGCGCTGGCGCGTCGACGTCGCCGCCTCCCAGCTGGCCATCCTGCAGATCTCCGCCATCAACCTCCCCGGCGGCATCCTGCGCAAGCGTACCGAGACGGACGAGCTGCAGATCCGCAGCTTCTTCGCCGAGGGCGACCTCGTCGTCGCCGAGGTCCAGCAGCTGCACCAGGACGGCGCAGCCAGCCTTCACACCCGCAGTCTGAAGTACGGCAAGCTGCGCAACGGCGTCTTCGTCAGCGTCTCGGGCACCGGCGGCGGCAGCGGCGTCGTCCGCGCCAAGCGCCAGGTTTGGACTATGGACGTGGCCAACGCCGGTGGCAAGGTGGATGTCCTTCTGGGCGTCAACGGCTACATTTGGATCAGCAAGCACATAGAAAGCGATACGAGCGCCGAGGCGGCCGGCATCAACCGCATGGAGGAGAGCGTTAGCAGCAAGGTCTATTCAAGCCAGAACGACCCGCTCGATTTGTCGACAATGCGGGAGATCGCTCGGATCCGCAGCGTCATCCTAGCCTTGGTTGAGAACAGGCTAAAGGTGGACGAGGATATGGTCACAAAGGGATACAGCGAGGCTGTGGAGTTGGGCAGAGAGTCAACGGATGACGATTTGTATCTGGGTGGAGAGAAGGGCCAGCGCCTGGCCGCCGCCTTGACTGGTCACTAAAGCGGGATGCGGAGAGACGGCTGGGAAAACTGGAATAAAGGGAAATTTTGACAAAAGATACCAATAGACTACGGCTTGTAAGAAGCCAGTTGAAAAGCCACTATATCAGTTCCATCGCTCCCGTGACTTGTTTCCTCCATTACCTTCCATGATATACACTAGTGAGCATATAACCCACCGCAACTAGATGTGTTATATTACAATACATTATACGGCATTTGCAACCGAGTTAGGAGATCTGCCGATCCATCATCAGCCATAAAATACGTATACATAAGCCGCCGTCTGACGGTATTCAAGCTATTAAACATTCAACGGCAGGACATCATTTCGCCAACCATTGGTTCAGGGAGCCATTCTTCGCGCCGAGGACGGCGGCTATAACGGCAAAAACGGCCCACCTTATCAACGCACGCTTGGAGCTCTTGCCTCCGAGGCTGAAAATTAGTCCGAGATAGTACTTGAGACCCTTGAGTTGCACTCCGTTGCGATCGAAATTGGGGCTCACGCCGTTCATGAGGTGAAGACGCTTCAGATGAGGCCACGAGTAGGGCATGTAGCGTACGCGGAGGAATGAATCGGCCCAGTACGGAGGCTTGGCGATGGTGCGCTGGTGGCTGAAGGCTTTGAAGGAGTAGTAACCGTGGTAGGAACCCGTGCCTGACTGGCCAATGCCACCCATGGGGGCTTGAGGAATCTGGTTGTGGAAGAAGGAGTCGTTAATAGTGGCACCACCAGAAGTGACGCTGTCCAGGACTGAGACGAGTTAGCAGGAGACAGTGCACCAAGTCAGTTTGCAAAGCCTACCTTTCTTGCTCTCCGCATCTGTACCAAAGGTGAATAGGGCTAGGGGTGTAGGATCAACATTATTGGCGATATCGATAGCCTGGTCAAGGGTATCAAAGGCCATGACGGAAAAAATCGGGCCAAACGACTCCTCAACCATCATGCTGTCCTGAATGTCGTCGACAAGCACGGCTGTCGGCTCGATGAAGAGATCAGACTCATCCATGGAACCGCCAAGGACAATCTTGCCCATGGAAGAGTCAAGCATCTTCTTAACACGATCGAAGTGGCGCTTGTTGACGAGGCGCGCAAAGTCGGGGCTATTCCTGGCGCCTTTGGGCATGAAGACGCGGAGCTGGCCGTTTAACTCGCCAAGAAACTGGGAAAGGACGCTGCGCTCTACGAGGATGTAGTTGTGGGAAACGCAGACCTGACCAGCATTGAGGACCTTTTGCCAGAGTAGCCGCCTAGCAGCCATCTTGATATTGGCATTCTTGGTGACAAAGGCTGGGTTCTGACCGCCAAGCTCGAGGAGCACGGGGGTGAGAGTCTCGGCTGCCTTACGGGCAACAATCTTACCGATACCCTTGCCGCCTGTGAAGGCGATCTTGTCGAACTTTTGCTCGAGAAGGAGTTGGGTTTCAGGGACGGCACCATTGACATAGGTGTAGCACTCGGGATCCAGACACTCGTCAAACAGTTTCTTGAGAACCATGGCTGAGTAGGGCGAGGCCTCTGAGGCCTTGAGGACAACACAGTTACCAGCGGCGATGGCGCCAATCAGCGGAGTCAGATTGAGCTGGAAAGGATAGTTGTAAGAACCGATAGCGAGGATGACACCAAGGGGCTCATTGCGGATGCGATGTCCCATGACTTTGAATTCGAGGGGGACGTTGACAACGGGTTCATCCTTGGCCCATTTCTCGATGTTGTTGATCATGTCCATGCATTCCCGCTTGCACCAGTCGATCTCAGAGAGGGTGGACTCGAACTTGCACTTGCGGAGATCCCTCATAAGGGCCTCCTCCATGAGGGGCGTGTTGTCGACGATGCCCCAGTACAGCTTGCGCAGCTGCACGAGACGGAACTGGATGTCCTTGGTGAGGCCAGTCCTGAAGGTGGCGCGCAGCTGGTCAACCTTTGCCGGGATTTCATGGAGAGCCGTGTGCTCCAAGGGAGGAATCGTGGACTGGGTAGAGTCTGAAGCCATGGTGACAGCTTGGTGGGTTATGATTGAGACTGGCGTGATGTGGACAAATACGGTGGACGCCAAGTACACGTCAGGTCGAGACAAGACGCGCCGGACGCAGTTTTGCAAGCGACAACCGCGGAGACGAGGATGATGCGAAAGAGACGAGCTGGTGGGCGATGAGAAAAGCGATGAGAAATGCGATGTGGGAAGAGAGTTGAGGCGAGACGAAGCGAGGCGAGGAGAGATACGCAGAGTGAGAACGGACTCCGAGGCGCGCAATCTGTCAGCGTAGACTCCTAATCCGGTCGCGATACAGTGATTGCACTCGGCCGAGTGGGGAAGGAAGCTTCAAGTAGGGTCGATGGGGTCAGTCGGAAGGAGGCGCTGGATTAAAATGTTGGATAAGGAATACGCCACCGGGAACCGCAATCAGCGCGCATCAAGCAGCATATATCATATATAACCGGAAGAGACGGATCAAGGCCGATCCCGATGTAGGTGCAGAATAGGGAAAGAATGAGGGGTTCGCAGGTTGGCAGAGGAGACACGGATGAATGTCTCAATGTCCGCTCCGTTCTCTGGGTACCGATAATCTACCAATAATTTACAGGCGTCCCATGTGACAATGGTTGTACCTACAAGGCTTGGCAGGCTCACTTCGGTGTGCCGAGGCACAGGCCCAGGGTTCATCTTCAGGTTCGCCGCGGACCCCCGAAGGCCGAAACTCGCACAACCTGAGAGGTAATACCGTAACGCAAAGTGTGTAGCACCTCGCGGGTTGCTCTGATTTGATACCACAATTGCAGAAAGCTTCCGTACGACGCAAATGCGGGGAAAGCTGAGCGTGCTGTTGCATCCGCATCGCCGTACGGGTGAGATCACCAAGCTACCTCTGGTTGTCTGGCTTCATTGGTTGGCATCATGCAATCACACCTCTGTCGTCTCAGTCCATACTTTACATTCTTTCACAATCACACCCTCCCTCCCTTTTTAGCTTCTTGTCGGCTGCACTGCTGGCTACGACACTCTACATCCCTGCATGATTTCCGCCAGTTCCCCCAGGGCGATGGGATCTCAATCACCTCATTAATACAGACACCTTATTTTATCAAGCCCCCTGAGCTATTTGGTAACCAATAGCTAATCAGAGCCTATTTTCATATGCATTTCAGTAAACACGACAACGGGAGCCACTATAGCTCTACGCTAAAAGCAGCTTCAACGCCGGCACCCGCATGCAAGGCTAGCTCTACCCCATTCACCTACATTAGCCCGATCTTAACAACTTCTAAATGAATACCTTTCGATTTAATCGCTACAAGGCAAAAGATAGCGTGGTTGAGATTTCTGGCTTGTAGCAGTATCTGTCCAGGCTTGCTTCACCTACTCTTGCTTTGAGCCAACCAATTTTGACGACCCATCAGCGAATGTATTCAGAGTATCGCTATGGCTCCTCAACTCTGCTAACAAATTCACAGAACTTGAACCCCTATCATCTATGCAAAACAACACAATTTACTCCGCCTCTTACCCCCTGCTGGTTGACCTTCTGCCCTCACCTCGTCATGATTTGCACCCTCACGCTCCAATGCGGCACGGTTCTGCAGTACTTTCGTCGCCAGATCCTCCATCGCCTCTCCCACGCCTTCTCCAGTAACAGACGACGTCACAAAAAAAGGCACCCCGAGCTGGTTCGCAAGCTCCCGTCCCGCCGCCAACCCCTCCTCCCAACCCTCGCCCAACTCCTCTGCGCGATCTGATTTGGTGGCCACCACGACTATTGGGGGGAACGCTGAACCAGTGAAATGAGGTTGGAGATTGTCCTTCGCGGATCGGAGCACGTCAATACTGCTGGGTTTGGTTCCGTCGTACGCAAACACCAGTGCGTCGGCTTCCCGGCCGACGCGGGACGCCACGAAACTGTTTCCGAAAGGGCGTGGATTGTCGACGGTAATCATACATCTGGTTTCTGAGATGACGCACTGATGTCGGTAGCCGTCGCCGTCGTCGGTTGGGTCATACTCGTTAATGAACATGCCGAGACAATACTACGCCGATATGTAAGTTTACGGCCTCTGTCGAGTTTAATATATCATCAAGACTATACGACCCCAGGAGTACAATTTGGTATGGAGCAGTGCAGTATTAAAGAAAGATGCATTCAAAACTAACCCGCCTAACCAAGCATTCCTTCCCTATGCCACTGTCACCTAGGACTGAGATGCGCATCTGCTCAAACGTTTGTTTGAGAGCCATCGTATCAGGAGCCGCCATTTTGTTAAAGCTTGTGCTCGCTGTTTATGCGTTGATTATAGGAACGAGTTAGCACGTGGATGCGGACAAGCGCAAGTGTGGTGGTGATGATGCTGGTATCTAAAAGCGGGTAAAGATGATGAGTTGCCCCCACAAACCGAGGAACATGTTGCTCTATTATATAAATGTAGTCCCGCTGTAAGGAGGGTGTTAGTCAGCACCGTGTTTGAAGTTGTTGCCGTTAGTTGCTGCAAGGACCTGAGCTAATCCGCTGTTTCAAGTTAAGTTGTGGTGTGAGAGCTGTCAGATCGTGTTATTTTCCATCTCGTTGGAGATGTTGCCTTTAATAAGAGGGCGATCCTACTGTTCGATACCTAGGCTGAGTGGGCGTCTGGGATAAGATGAGCTTAAATGAACATACTTTTTTTTTTTTACCGGGGGTGGTCATTCAGAGATAAGTTGTCTGGAGGAGCCCTTCCTCCAACATGCTCGGTTGGGATAGGATAATTTTTCTATCGACATGGCATCTTGAAGTTAGCATTGACATTGAGTCTGAAGTGACCCTTAAATGTATATCCCAACATGACGCAGACTACTGGAGCACGGAGGAAACAGACATCACATCGTAGGGAATAGGAACTCAAGCTTGCTCATTGTGCTTCAATGTACATGCATATCTTGTTGAATGCCTCTTTAACCTACATTGTACAAGCAATCCTCCTGTACATGTCCGCCGTTCTAGCGTATAATACATTTCTCGTGTCAAGAGTGGTTCACGCCAACATCAACTCCTGCAGCATTCACCTCCGCGCGCGGTTGGCGCCCAAGCCCTTGGCGGGCGCGGCCACCAGCTCTGCAACTTTTTGCTTCTTCTCATCTTCGAGAGCCTTCTTCATCAGGAACTCATCGAGAACCTTGCCGCCGTCGACCAGCAGCCCGCTGTCGGCCTTCTTCAGGTCGGCCAGAGCGGCGTTTTGGCGCTGCTCGGCAAGCTCGTTGATGCGCTGGGGGGTGAGACGCCACTCCCTGGGGAACTTGGGCTTCTTCTGGAACTGGTGGTGGCGCAGGTCCAGGGGGATGTCCTCGAAGGTGTCCTTGGCATCCTTGGCGGAGGTGATCAGGTCGTCAATCAGGTTGGACAGGTAGCGCTTGTTCTGCGCCTGGTGCTCGTAGCTCTCGCAGCTCATCTTGATGAGCTTGGTCTCCGGGTTGTAACGGGGTCCGGCGAGCTTCTTGAGCTTCTCGGTTTGCACCGGGGTGAGCTTCAGATCGCGGGGGGCGAACTGCACCACGACCTTCTTCTCGGCGGGGTGGGATTCTCCCATGTACGTGGTGTAGCGCCATCGTAGGACCTGGCCTTCAGCGGGGGGAACGAACGGTTTGGCGATCTCTGCGGTACGGCGTTAGTCCTGCCATAAGATGCATAGACACTTTAATTCACTTACTAGAAAGGAGAGGCATCTCCCAAACGGCCAATCGGGCGTAATGTCGCATCTCTCGCACCTGGTCCAACTTTCCGTGTGCCATAGACGTAATATCATCCTCGTCAAATTCCTCAAGCTCCTCGGTATTGGTTTCCGGATCCTCCTCGTCGAACCAGAAAGATTGCTTGTTCGGCTTCTCGCCCTTGTCGTCCCTCATCAAATCATCCGCCAGAGCTCGGTCCTCCGAGGCCCAGCCAGGCGTGCGTTCCAGAGTTTCCTCGAGGTACTCGTCGATGGTGTTGTACCCATTCTCCTTGGCTAGCTCGTCGAGTTGTTTCATTCCCTCGGGAGTAATGGCCTCCTTGAATGACGCTTCTAGCTTCTTCAATTCAATCGGGGCCATGTTGTCAGCATCATCCTCGCCTTCCTGCTCGCCCTCTCGCGCCCATCGTATCGTTGAGGTGGTGAAAGATCGTGGGGTGATGGGTGATTGCCGGACAATGTGCTGTGCCCGTGGGATTCGTTGGAGGCGAGGGGCCCTACGGCATGCTAGGACACATAGCCTTGCGGCTGCTGAAGCTGAAGCCATTGCGAATTGGTCAAGGAGCAATGGCTGCGCCGGGATATCGTCCGCGTGAGTATGATGCGGGAGCTTTCAAAAATTTGGCCACCAAAAAGCCCACCGCCCGCATGAGCTGGATACCGAGGTTTTGCCAGCCACAAACCACCGATTCCTGCGGTGGCAAATCTTCGGTTAAGTCTCTCTTACAACACCTTGACGTCTCTTTTGAATGAATGACTTCGACACGCCGGAGTTTTCATTTATTCTTCCAAGAAAAAAACCATGAGTGAAAAGAAAGGCCATATTGGCCGCTATTGCCTGGTTACCGTCGGCGCCACCGTTGGCTTCAAAGAGCTAACCGCGGCGGTCCTGCATCCGAGCTTTTGGGAGTTCCTTAGCTCTCGAGGCTTCACCCAACTCCACGTACAGTGTGGGCCAGACGTGCCATGGGCCACCGCGGAGCTGGCTTCCCACAAAGATGAAGTTCCATCGAGCCTTTCCATTTCCGTCTTCGATGTCACGAAGAACCTCATGAAAGATGAGATGACGCTGTGCAAGGCAGTCGACGGGGAGCGACGCCAAGGGCTCGTCATCTCGCATGCAGGTGGGTTCCTCCTCTTTCCGACATCCACCAAGTTAACTCACAAATGTCTAGGCACTGGGACTATACTCGACGCATGGAAACTAGATCTGCCCATAATCGTGGTCCCCAACACCCTACTTCTGGACAACCACCAGACCGAAATGGCCCAGCACCTATCAAAGGAGGGATACGCAATTCAGAGCTCTAGCCAGTAAGTACACATCACCAAGTGTTGTCGCAATCCGACGCAAGCTGACACCTCTACCCCAGGCCCAATGATCTCCAAGGAGCAATCGATAAGGTGGAGCTTCTCTGGGAGGAGAACAAGACACGCTGGCAACCCCACGAACTCTCGCCCCGGAAGAAAGGCAGACTCAGCTTATGGGACATTAGTGCTGGCGAAGTAGCCAAGGAAGAGAACTCACACATGGCCCATGACTAGAGGGCGGACATGTTGAGGAATGTTCTTCAATACTTGGGTTAAAGCACCGGTGTTTAGGCAACGATTCACAAAGATATTTGGCGGGAACTACGAATGACGTTTAACGGCGGGAACATATCCATGGGGTCGGGCGTTCGGTCGATTGATCATCTTCGGGTACAAAACCGCCATATTTTGCTTCCGAATTTTAGGTCTTGATAAATTCAACGTTTTATTCTAGGTAATTGGGAGTCGCTCAAGGCAGGTTCTCAACATTCCACAGCTTGACCGTCACATCACCGCCTGCACTCGCCACCTTTCCACCGTCAACCCAGCAAATTCCATTGACACCGTCTTTGTGGGCATTGGGGGCCTTGATCCGCTTTCCTTGGTTCTTCTTCTCCAGGCACCACACGAAAACATTGGTATCCAGACTACCACTCGCCGCGTAGGCACCGGTGTCGTCCCAGGCAATAGCGGTCACTCGGGCAGTGTGAGCCGACCAGCGGTCCGCCACGAGTTCCCAGGTTCCAGTCTGGTAGACGTAAATCTTGCCAACGCTGTTTCCAGCAGCCAGATGAGCACCATCCTTGGAGAATGCCAGTGCCGAGATGGTGCCGGATGGGTTAGCCAGCGCCTGGGTCTGCTCAAGGTTACCGCTGGAGTCGGTCTTGTAAATGCGCACTGAGTTTTCGTCGGCGCCGATAGCCACATATGAACCGAATGCCGCGATAGCACCGGGGGTATATTCCAGAGAGTGCTCCTTCACGAGCTTGTCGTTGGAGTACACTGACACTCCCGAGTAAGTAGCAACATAGACGAGTCCGCCAGAGGCGCTGATACCCTTGGGTTGCGCGGGTAGCTTGACGGATGTCCCCAGGAAGGTTTTAGCGGACTCGTCAATGATCTTCAGAGTATCATCCCAAGCAGTGCTGTATGCTTTCCCAGAAGCGGTCGCAAACTGTGCGACGTTGTTGGTGTGCGCCTGCCCATCAACCACAGTAGCGACGCCATTCTTCACATCCCAATGGCAAACCCGGCCGTCGAAGCTACCGGACCAAATGTCGGTTCCCTTGCCGTCGGATCCAGCACTAAGCGCAGTGATGGCCTTTCCATGTCCTTGAACCACTTTGATGGGATCTGCCTTGCCCTCGACGAGGTATGAGAGGTTGCCGTCGAGGTTCACGCTAATAATAAGGCCATCAGTTCGACCGTGAGGATACACAACGCCGAGCTGTTGGTCAGGGACACTGACACCGTCTCCAAACTTCCAGGTTTGGATGACGGTACCCGCATCGACATCCCAGAGCTTGACCGTTTGGTCAGCGCTGGCGGTCACAAACTTCTTGCTGTCTTGGGACCACGAGACAGAAAAGATGCTTCCGGTATGTTCCCCTTGGCCAATATCCTTGGTTGGCTCACCAGTCTTTCCGTCGTAGAGCTGTATCCGCTTGTCGGCACCAACCGTAACCAGGGTGCTTCCGTCGGGTGAGTAGGCCGCTCCAAGGACGAAGCCGGTGTGCTGGTTGCTCTTGGTGTTGAACTTGTAAGGGGCTCCGTGATAGAAAACCATGTTGCCGTCGTCGCCGACCGTGGCGGCGCGGAAGGGCCTCTGGGCCTTCATGGCAACAGCATTGACCGACTTGGAGTGTCCGAGGATCTCGCCCACGGAGTTTCCACTATCAGCCGTGATGCAACGTCCAAACTGCTCCCGGCCGTCACCGACGGCAATGATGCGCTGGGACTCGCCATCCCAGGCGATGTCATTAAGGCGACCGCCGATGATGCCGTACTCTCCTCTTGTGTTGCCAATGTTCTCAGGCTCCCACACCTTCAGCATACCGGTGGCATCGCCACTGGCAACCTTGAAGCCGTTGGGAGAGAATCGGGCGATGGTGGTGGGGGCGGTGTGGCCGGTGTACTCTTTGCAGTCGGAGGGGTCGTCGATGGAGCGAACGAAGATGGACTTTCCGCACTAGAGGAGAGAGGAGGCAGAACCGGTGAGCTGGCAAGTCCAAAAGGCGTAGACCTGGGCGGTCGAATGTCGGGCGAGGCAAGACATACAGGGTAAGCTATCCGCTGGCCCTTGGAGTCGACCGACAGCTGCGTAGGCTGGCCCCGGGTGGTGACGGGGACGGGAGCAAGGATGCGGTCAAGAGTGATGGATGGGGGAGCCATGGCGGCAGGTATAGCGTATGGTGGCGGCGGTAGAAAATATGCAGGAGGAGTGCGACTGGCCGCTCACGGAGTGGCGAGGTAAGGGATCGTAGGGATCGTGAGCGTTCGGAGGAGGAGTATTGATTTTGAAACGCGGGGAGGCGGCGGCCGTTGGAGGGGCAGTGAGCTAAGCTGCCCGACGATGTGGGCGGTACGTCAGACCTACCCGACAGCAGGGGAGCTGCCTGAAGAGCGGCGTAAGCGGGGAGTAAGCTCCCGGCCTGAAGAGCGCTGGCGGGGGTTTCTAGATGGATGCCAGAAAGCTGACTTACACGGCCAGTTGTAATAATGTTCAGATCAGGGAATAACTTAGATACTGCCAAGTCGTCAAACCTGGAAGGATACCTGCCTTAGGCACACAGTACTGTGCCCAGACTCCATCTTGTTCACCGCTGGCCGGCCTTTATTCCCGTCCCAAGCCTGTCTGCCTGATTGTGGGCTCTTGACACGTCTGTAGTCCGTTCCACGTCGTCAAGGCAGCATCACCATGTTCAACAAAGGTCTTCTATGGCTGGCTGAACCGGGGCGCACTGCAGGCAACGACGAACGAACGCCCAGAGTCGTCGTCAGCTATTGCAGAACCATCTGCAGTGGGGTGGCAGCCACTATGCAGGCGGCCATGGCCGGCATGGTCGTGTCCCTGCGTTGCAGAGCGAGGTTGTGTCCCGCACAGGGCAGGGAGAAGGAAAAACAATGACTACGGCGAGATGGCTTGATGGTTGGTTGGTGGGTTTACCCATGGAGGCCTTGTATTGGGTCTGCAACTCTTGGCTGTCATATGCAGCGTAGGGAGCTGCTGCAGGAGTGCGGACTGACATCACGGCATTTGCTGCCGCTTGATCTGCTGTAAAAGACTTGGAGTTAATTCATCCACCCAAATGGCAGGGCTACGCTGCTGCATTCATCTGCCGGTTGCCTGTCTCTACGGCATTATAGTCCAGAGGCTCAGGCAATGAACCGAGTTGGAAGATGTGGTCGCGGCTGGCGCGACTCCTCCCGTCCTTACACTCCCCCACCAGCTTATATTTAGATACGACGTGGGTTGGTAGACAAAGGAGTCACCCCAAACACACAATACGAGCCCCAGCGTGTGTCATTCACTTGTCCCTAAAAAGGCTGTCACCGGCCCAACCCCAAACCATAGCCGTGGATCACCATCACCCACTCGAAACTGCGCAATGGACTACGGACACTAATTAACTTACTTGATAGCCCGCTCCAGGACCGAAGCCCGGGCCGACAGCGCGCAATGTAGAAGTGGCGCACGGAGAGACTGTCTCGGTGTGGCAGGCTAACCCGCATCTCGGCGCCATCACGCACGGCCAAAGCAAAAGAAAAAAAGTCTTGGATGGACACACACATGCCGGGGCCAATTGAGTTGGCACGGCTGAATTTTCCTGGCCCCGACGGACGCCCACAGAGACATGACACGACACCACCGCGGCCATGACGCGGGGGATGCAATGCAGGCCGAGCTGGCCACCTCAAACGCACCCAGGAGTAGAGCCTGTTCGTAATGGAAAAGACAAGGTCAAACAAGGTCAAGACACAATCCCAGCAACTGTTCTCGTTCATTTTACAAAACGGTTCATCACAGCAATTAATCCCGTGCAGAGATCGGCTCTGATGTGGGTAATCCGTGTTCATCAGCCACACCAACATCAGGCCAAACTGTGATCAGGTAGGTGGGATTAGCCTGTGGGAGGTACAGGGCGTTGCATCCATCCTACCCCAGCCCGCAGCCAAGCCATTCCCAATCCCCCGTCCAAGCGCTCTGCCATCCCAGAGGGCGCCACGGTCCACACGATGCCCTCAAGATTAGCTGATTTCCCTAGCTTCATCCATCCCTCCTCGGTTGCAATCGAGCGGAGTTGTAACTGAGCCTGCGACCGCAAGGCTTTCGCAATGGTACGGAGGCGGATGCGCTCGCCACCAGGGATCCGCACCGCTCGCACGGAGTGGCCCGCCGAGACGGTGATAATGTCGATAATGTCCATCTCCCGACAGGCCCCAGCAGCCTTGGAAGCCTTAGCCAACAAGCTTCTCCTGCTTTTAAAGTAGCCAAACATGGCGCCAGGGGCAGCAGAGTGGGTTCTGGCCACCCCCCTTCCGAGGCCCAGCTCACTAACGCAGGCGCCGTTGCATCTCCCCATCCACCATCATGAGATGCAGGTGCATCATAGTCGGACCCCGTACATATCGTGATGCACTTCGTATAAAATGTACCACGGCGTAGGCAGAGGCAATGGCGGCATGACCTTGATACAAGTTTTCCCACCGCGACACACGCGAAATGCGACGATCCTGTCCCCATGTTGTTGTTAGTCTCCGGTTGTCCCAGACACTGATTGAAAGCCAACGACAAAACAATAATACAGAGTGACATCCCGCGTAGCACACAAACAAAAACGCACACCCGCAATAACAAAACAACGCCAGGCTGTGAGCACAGGCGCGCCACGCAGTGCATCTCATCACCACAACACGGGACGGACAGACGGGGACGGACAGGGACTGGCACCCCGGCGCCCCTGTGATCTCGGGCGCCAGAGGCCTGGTCCCTGACATGCTGAGCTGCTGGAGGTACCTGCTGGCCGACCAGCCGAGGGGTTCCATCCATAGCACCGAGTCAATTGGCAGTGAGCTGAGTTTTCTCCCTACTACTTAGCCTACTGGGCCTAATTACTGGGTCTGCTAGGCCTTTTGGGCTCGTCCAGGCACCATTCCCCCGTCGACCTGTGACTTGTTGAATGTGGCGGACGGGGCTGCCGGGGGACCTGGGGGTGGACTCTGGGCGGGAACTCGCTGCATAACTTCGCCTACCGAGTAACCTAATGTCCCATCCCATCCAAATAGCAATAAAACTTCCTTCCCCCCCGTCTTCCCTTTCCCTTGCTGGTCCCTTTCCCTCATCTAGACTCCATTCTTTTTTATCTATTTTCTCCACCGAAGCTCCCTTCTTCCAGAAGACATCTTCATCTCACTCGCTACCCAACCTTCGTTCGTTCAACAAACAACCACCAACATGAAGTTCTTCGTTCCTCTCGCTCTCCTTGCCGCCGTTGGCGTCTCCGCCGCGACCACTGTCAGCACTGCTGCCTCTGCCAGCTCCACCGCGTGCGATGCCGACTACATCGTGACCCAGTGCCTCGAGACCGAGGAGAAGAAGCCCGCCCTGTGCGATTCGACCGACTACGGCTGCCTCTGTGCCGCCTACCAGTCCATCGCTACGTATGTCTCCACATCGGAATATCCCCTTTCCCTCGCATCCGAACTAACGCGTCCCAGCTGCTACAACAACTGCCCCAACGACCCCCGTGGTGCTTCCGCCCAGAACCAGGTCACCGTCAACTGCGCGAACGCCTCCATCTACAGCACCACCAGCAAGAAGTCCACCAAGACTGCCGCTGCCGCCTCTGGTGCCTCCGAGACTTCCACCACTGCTGCCGCCGCTGATGCTTCCGCCACTGAGTCTTCCGCCACCGCCATCCAGTCGTCCAGCCCTTCAGCCACCGGCAATGCCGCTGGCGACCTGGCTCGCAACACCGGTGGTGTCCTCCTCGCCGTTGCTGGTGTTGTTGCTGCCCTTCTGTAAATGGATTCAAAACTACCGACCGCATTTGTTGATCCAAATGTGAATCGCGTGGATGCAAGGACTTACGAGTATATAAACAACTACTTAATTAATTAATTCACGTCCACCAATGTTGTAATCCACTGCTCCCCTCGTGATGTAACATATTTGTCGCGAATCCTTGCAAGGAAGATTCTACAGGGGCTGGATCCAATCTTGTCTATGCTGCGACTGAGTCAATTGCATAAACCCCCCTAATAAACCAACCCTCGAGATATGTCCAAATGTTTGTACCTCACTGCTTGTCATTACTGCAATATACCTCGTATCTATCAAGTCAGATACTGAATAAGAGTATCCGTTAACCGTCAACCAGCCCTCATTCACTCAACATTTAACATCACATGATCTCACAAGATATGCTTTGACTTGGCAAGTCATGATACAATGGCACTCAATCCTGAGCCGGTGTGTCTTTTGTATTCATCTTCTCCAGCGTCCGCCACAGGTACTATGATACAACGAGACGCTCTGTATGGGCTGTTTCCCCAATCATACAACACTGATCCCATCCTTTCCTTCTTGAAGGGGCTATTCTGGGTAAAGGAGCAACAAAAAAAATAAAGAGGAAAAGTGCAAACCCCGTTCTCAAGCCGTCATGTCTCCCCAAGCGCCGGAATGATGTAAAAAGACGTGCTTCTCTAAAGGAAACAAAGCGCGCACAGCAAATAACCACACCCATAACCCAGACCTATTTGACGCCCCAGTTTCCAGCGTCCCCGTGTATGACGCACTGAAACCACGCAGCCGTCTTTGCTTCAACCACATAGCCTGCCATAGAGAAAAAAGTTTCATAGTGACTAAAATCGATAAGTTTGAAATGATAGGGGTCCAAGAAGAGAGGTGAATCCAACAATTGGCGAGTTCATCGACGCCTGATGTTGCTGAAAGATATGTGCAAGGGATGAGAGTCGCCCGAGGGGGGGGCGCATCCCATGTATTATCGGTGTTTCTAGACCTTTCGAGGTCGTCGGTCTTTGGTGCTGTTCTTGACGGGGCTCATGAAGGTGACGTGCTTAGGGTCATCCTTACGAAGCCTCACAGTGCCAGACACGCCACTCGATCCGCGACGCAATGACCGAGGATCTTGCTCATCGTCTAGAGTAATCTCTGCCACGTCCGAGACAGATCCACCTTCGAGGTTATCGCTGGCTTCAGAAACAGAGGATCCATCATCCGAGTCATCATACTCCCCGTCGTCACTAACCAGAGAAGGTGCATTGTTGCTGACGAGAGTGTTGGGACTCAAATCGACATCCTCCATATCCATATCTTCGTCAGAGAGTAGGGCATTGGAGCCATGCTTTACACCCAAGCCAATAGCTGAGTTCGGTGGAGTAACGAAGGAGATCGGGGGAGCGCGACCCTTGCTGCTGGTAGGACGGCCAGAGGAGCCGATGGGTACTGGAGAATGGGTGATTCTGGTAGGAACGCGCATAACGACAGGAGTGCGAACCGCTGAAGTTGGCGTTCCATCAATGCCCCTGGGAGGAAATTCGGCGACTTCCGACTCCTCGCCAGGAGTGATATCCTCCAAATCCACCTTTGTTTTTGCATCTGCAACAAGATCACGAAGATTGCCGTTGAACTTCCGGCTCTGCAATAGACGAGAGAGGTGAGGCATATCCGGAGCCAAGTCAAGGGTGCCAGCCTTCTTAGCTTGACTCTTGGGAAGGTCTGCGCTCTCCGCGGGGAGAGAAGGAATGCGAGTGACACCGGGCAGCTTGCCTTGGCGGTAGAGCTCGAGCGAGTCTGCAATTCTGGATCGAAGTGCGACATAAGTTTCCTGATCATTGATGTCGGTGCGCGCCAAGGGGTGCACCGAGGTGGGCGTTGGCGCAGTCACCGGCGGCGCCTTTTCTTCTCCAACAATGGAACCGCCTTCATTCACTTCGATGGGATGGCCACTGTGCACTGCTGCTTCCTCGTGGCTCTTGAAATCACGCTTATGGGCAATACGGCAGTGGTTGATGAAGCCTTGGGTGCTTGAGAAGTTTTCGCGGTTGCAGTCTAGGCAGACCAGCTTGACTGTCAGACCATCTGCACGTTTCAAGACGCAAGGCCCTGCCTTCTCCTTTGGTTGAGGATAGCCGTTGGAGAGGGACTGAAGCTTTTGGCCGGCCGAGCCACGCACAGAACGGCCCTTGAGAACACTTCCAGCATCAGTAAGACTGTTCCTAGTGGTTCGGCCTTCCGTGAAGGAGGACCTAGAGCGCGTCGCCTCGGGAGTGAACTGCCACTCCGGCTGGATCCCATCGAAGGAAGGGTCGGGGATTAGCCACTTGGCATAATGTCGAGCATAGGGTCCGTCAACAACACCGAACGGAGGCGCCCATCGGGGGACTGGTTCTCCGGGATATGACTTCAGGGCAGGACCCTTTCCGGCGCTGACATCGAGCATTTGTTCAGGAGTGGGACAGTTGATGGGGTAGGGAATGAGGTGGCATCGTCGTAGTTGCTCAAGCGCAACTTGGCATTTGGCAAGCTCCTGGTTGATGAGCCTTAACTCTTTATGCTTGAGTAGGATCTCAAGGCCGAACTGGTGGCGGATCTCATCGCGCGCGGTTTCAAGGTCAGCGATTACGGGTGCCGAATGCGCCGATGCGTCGCAAGTCCGGGGAGCATCGCCGAGGATGTCGAAGTCGGTCTTGATCCTTTTAGCAGATGAGGCATAATCCGGCGACTCGTTTCGGTCGTCCAAACTCTCCCGCCTCCTTTTGGGAGGCTGCACGTTGGACGTTATCGTAGCTGTGTTGGGCAAGTTGGACGGATGGTGTGGCTTGACTAGGTCCGCGATCGGCTGTGGCGCATCGAGCCTGTCGCTTCCCCGAGGATCGGATGCCCAGAATCTGAACATAGCATGCCCTGTCAGGGAACCAAAGGGGAAAGTCAAGATGCGTGTTGCGACGGGAGCGCAACAAGGAAGGTGAGGCGCAAAGGCGCAAGGCGGCGATGCGATGCGCGAAGATGCGCGAATGCGACGGAATGGCCGGGCGCACGGACGCAGTGGGCGGTGCAGTGCTGGTTGGTGCTGGGGGCAAGGCTGACGTAACCAGGCTCGCTTGCAGGTCGGACGATCGGAGTCGGGTGCAACAGGCAGGCAAAGGGGTGATGATGTGGCCCCCTCAAACAGGCCAGAAACGGGGGGTTTTGGAGCGGCCAGCGACGGCAGCGACAAGGGCTAGGCAGACAAGAGCCCGGCGAGAAGAGAAAGGGAGGTGATCGAGCGCTAACGAAAGCCTCGGATCGTGATCTCTGGGTCACAGAGAGCTTTGGGTGAGGGAGGGAGAGAGTGTGTGCGAGGCGACGGGAGAAGGGAGCGTGTAAGAGGGAAGAAAGTGAAATGAGGGAGCGAGGGAAAGCAGGAAATGGGAAAATGGGGGGTGCAGGCGCAAGTGCAAGTGCGAGTGTGAGAGTGCAAATGCAGGAGCAGGCGCAACGACGGTGCGAAGGGGAAGGAGGGGAAATGCGTGTTGGGGGCCCGTCAAGTAAAGTCAAAAGGGGATGGAGGGAGGCCGTGGCCGTGGCAGTGGCACCGAGCAGGGAGGCAGACAAACAGACTCGATAGACTGATTGTTTGATGACTGCCAAAACTGCCTTGATTGAGTGATTGATTGACGACCCGTCCGGCCTGAGGCGACGCCGGTCAGCGGGCTGGCGGGTTGGCGGGCCTGGGGAGGGAGATTTGTTTTGGGGTGGTGGACCAGCAGCCAAGGCGCAAGGGGGCCAAGAAGTCCACCAGCTGCCCACTCAGCGCCCTCGGCTCGCCCACTCAGCACCCACTCAGCAGGACCCAGCAGGCTTCTCAGCGCTGGAACACGCTGTACCACACGCTAGAGCCCAGTCCCCCAGCGCCCAATGAGACCAGAGGGGCGTCCCCCCCAGCAGCATGTCCCCAGCGCAGCCCCACGGATTCCTTTGGGTGGTGAGGTGAGAGTGGCACACCCGAGCTGGCAATACCCTCGTTGCCTCGCAGCGGAGGGTGCATCAAGTACCTACCAACTGCAGGCAGGCTGGCAAGCAGGCAAGTGCACAACAGGCAAGCAGCCCGTTGCCGAGGTACGTGCAGTGGCCCGCCAACAGCATGACTGATCAACGTGAATTCATGACATGCACAGTTACAGATCAGACTAGGCGCCGAGCAGGCTACCACTTAACTCGCCAGGTATACCAGGGGCACGCCGGTATCATGGAAAGTATTTTGTACTACGCTATCGACAAGAGCGCCAGGGGTGGCACCCAGGCTGCGCTCGCTCCCTTGGTACGGTACGGGTACCAACTGCCGCATGGTAAGACATGGCGAGGCATGGCGGAACCAGATTATCGGCGACTCGCCCCGAGCGCACGTCCTTTTGCCTTGCGCTATCAAGGTACTGTCATACTTCGTGCAAGTACTAGGAGCGTCGGTGTATTAGTTACCCGCAGTCACCGGCGAAATGAAATCGGGATGTACCCACGACTCTTATGCTTCGACTTCGCAGTTGCCCTAGTGTAAGACAAGAGTCAGTCGGCTGCGGCGAGGGCATGGAACTTGTGGAGGACGCCTACGAGTCGATCGCCTATGAGAGGTCAGAGAGCCAGCCGTGGTGCATTTCCGTCGCGGCCTAATGGCTTGAGGGCAAAGCAAGTTGCGTCTGCTCCGCTCCGATGTACGAAGCATTTGGAAGCAAGGGGACGCAAAAGCATAAAGAGGTTTAGTACTTGGATACCTTCGATTCCATTCCAGATCGCTAGCGAGGTGACATGCCTGGCCATGCGCCCGCCAACAACACCCAAAAGAAGAAAAAATAAACAACAAAATATGCCTCCAAGCGCCGGCTACTGCGCTCCTCTTCCAGCTCATGCAACATTCGCTTCCTGGTCTCATGCCACCCCAATCACTTGTCGCTTGCGTTTGTCAATCATTCCTTCAGTTGGTGCAGGTACGGCGATTGCACGTCTGACAGTGCGACCATGACACACACTCAGCTTCAACTGAGGGTGTGGGCCGCGCCGTGGTGAGTCGCTGCAGCTAACACTATCACGCCCCACTTAGTCGTCACCCATGAATATTGTTAGTACGGTACATTAGCATGAAAAAGCGATCCTCGTCTCCAATCCTTCGTCGGCGTGGCACGGCTCTGGCTGGACGCCTTAACAACGGGAGCAAGCCTTGCGAGGCCCAAGCTCCTTGCTCCCATTGTCGAGCTCGACGGCTGGCCGCCTCGTATCGTGCTATCGCCACCGCCCCACTGGCCGCATAGCCAACTCCGGGGAGCAAACCGGATGGCGAGCCTAGTCTCCCACAATATGCAGCGTCGCCTGGGTTCAACATTAGACTGAGGTTTTGAGCGGGTTTGAGATGCGTCTGACGGAACTTCTCCCCGCCCCACTGCATGTGGCCTTCGACTCGTCATCCATACTGTACTCGTCAAAGCGGGCGTTCCGGGCAACTCGTCGTCTGCAGGCGGCTTGTGCAAGCACGGGGGAGATCTGGTACCGATGAGCCAGGGAAAGCAGGGAGAACAGAGCATGACCGAGGTCATCGGGCCTTTCAATCCATTGAAGTGGTGGGATGCCGTAGATAAGGGACTGATAAAGCCAGCAGCAGCCCTGCCACGGCTTCACACCTAGCCAGGTTCACGCTCAGCAGCCAGGCATTCCGATCAACTAGCGCCAAGCCACGCAGCGAGCTAGCTCCACCTCGCCGAATTTAAAAATCCGAATCACGTGATCTCTAATCGCTCGGGTCCGTCCCACGTGCTTGGCTTTACTGAATCTCTCTGGCAGAGATGCCGAGTGTTCTAACCTCAATGAATGGCTACCAACCATTGCCAGTCAAAATCCTCTTTGCTACCATAAGCCCACACCCAGCCTGATACTTGGATTGGGTAAAGAGCGGCAAAACATGAGGAGCTCCCACTTCAGCCAAGCCTCCCGATAATATCAATGTTTCTTCTATTCATACCCTGATCACGCTTGAAACCCTCAGATCAATTCTCAATGAGTGCATCCATATGCCATTGCGTCTATCTTGTGCATCGAATCTCCATTTCCAGAGACATTGTGACCGGTTGTCAAACTCGTCTATCATTCTACCGGTAATCCCTAAGTTATCTGACATCAGCTGCTATGCATATGCAGTCGGCCGTGCCAAGCCCAACCCCAGACGATCCACAACTTTTCTGCCACCCCACAGTCAACTCGCAACTTTCTTCCTCTCTTGTCAAGCCAAGATGGCCGCCCCAAGACGCGACCATGACTCTAGCAAGAGAAAACATGATGCAGGCTTATCCAAAGATGCCGACACTTCAAAGCGAGCCCGAACGAAATCCGCGCACCCTACGAACCCATCCCTCATAGGCCCCCACGAACCCATCGTCGCCGAACTCGCGCCAAAGTACGACGTCCTCGCCGCCTCCGTCATATCTTCCACCCAGATCCGCAAGCGCGTCACGTACATCGCCAGTCATCTCCTGGCCGAAGCCGAGCAGCCACGAGTAGGATTACTATATGCCCGGACCGCGGACGTGTGCAAGTTGATCACCGTTGTGGAGCATTGCAAAAGGGTCCTCAGCGAGGAGGGCAGAACTTGCTACCAATACAACCAACTGTTTGATCTACCGGAGGAAAACAAGAAGCGAGACGTTGTGGAGGAAACTGTCCTGGAGAAGGGAAACGACGATGACGAGGACAGTGACGACTTCGAAGTTATGCACAGTCGGTTCGAGGATGCCGTGCTCCCCCGGCCTTCGACCCGTTCTGTCAAGTCAATGCGGGTTTTCCTGTCGGTTGCTCCCGTCCCCGAGCTCAGGTCGAAACGGGACATTACATCTCAGTCCTGAGCAGAGAAAAGAGGGGATCACGAGGGATAAAAGGTCTCGGACGTGATGGGAGAGGACCCACGACGTGTGGGCCACAAAATTTCGGTGACCCGATCCAGAGAAGCTTCGGCATAGTTGGCGTTGGAAGGCAATTGCATGGATTGTGGGCAGGATAGCAGAATTTTCGAGATACCCAGGTCAAGGATCAAAACATCCTGTTTTTTGCTTAAAATAAATTGGAATTGAAATACCTGATACCCAAAACTCAAGACACCCCACCAGTGCTAACGCCCATCAGCCACAAATGATGCCATGAACCCATCGACTTGACCCTCCCCTTCCTTTCAATCCAATCTGTCGAACCTCCTACAGTCTCTACTGGCCTACATCTCCCCATCCCAGGCCCCAAATATGAAACTCCTTGGCAAAGCTTCCGTCCAATTTTAGTTCGCATTCTTCTTGGACTGGTCGGTGATGCGCAGGACGAAGTTGACCACCACGGCGAGCAGGAGGATGATAGCCAAGAAGGTAGGACCGAATCGGTCGTCGAAGCCGGCCTGGCCTCTCATTCGGATCGACTTGGCTCGCCAGTGGTAGGTCACTAATGCATACAGCATAGTCAACATGGCGACTCCGGTGAACAGGAACGCTGAGATGAAGGCGACGCGGTCACCAAAGTTGAGCATGCCAATGGCAAGAGCGCCGAGGATAACGGTGAAGTTGAGCCACGACAGGAACGTTCGCTCGTTGGCAAAGAAGACCTTCGGCTCGACGCGGGTGGGCAGGGCGATGCGCTTGCCTGTGACAGGTGTTAGCCAGATCGCGAGTAATATGAATTGACCAATTCGCCAAGTCCGGATGGGGGGTTACGTACCAGGAGCAGTCTGGAGGAGAGGCTGAGAAGACATGATGGCGAGTGGTGATGTGATGTTCGAGCGAGGCGAAGCTAGATACGAGATTGCGCGCAGTCGATAGAGCTTGCGTAAGTTTGCGGAAGCAATAAAGGACAATTCGTCAATTAGATGCGCGATATCCGAGCTTTGATGCCTGCAATTGAAAAGCTGGAGGGTGTGCGTGGGTGTTGGAGGAGTCCGGTGGAGGGAGGGATACTGAGCAAAGTTGTATTGGCAGAGGGAAGAAGAGCTCGTCCCAGTCCCGTGCCAGTTGATGGCCGTTCATCAGTAGCATTGCTCAGGGAGCAGAGATTGCCCCACATACAGCTGCACGGCGCGCACACGTGGGCCGATTGGTTGGTCTCAGGTCACGTGTGGTCGCCCCGCGCTGCGAATGCACCTCCAATGCAGTGCCCGAAAGGGAAAGACACCAGGCACAAACCCGCCCAAGCATCGATAGCACATTGTCGACTGGTCTGGTCCCGAACTGCACGGTTGAACAACGGCGCCGTAAGCTGCACGTGAGTATCGCGAGTCCTGGATCCCTGAGCGCCTGTGCATCCTGTGCATGAACGTAGATTCTTTTTTGGGTGATGCTAAATGGTTTTTTGGTCGTGCCTAGTCTAATCCCGGATAACGACGTGACGATTCGACGCCTCAATCTTGTTTGTTTACCGACTCTTTTCCTGGACCACGCCATCAACTTCAACCTTCCATCTCCATCTCCACCTGACATCCATTCCAACCTTCAAAATGGCTGCTCCTGTACGCACAACAGCAACACGCTCTCTCCGTCTCGACCGCGCTTCATGCTAACGGGACTCGCAGCCTATCCCCTTCAACCGCCTCAAGCAGATTGCCACTGATGTACGTCGCTCCGCATTGTTTGTTTACCGCCTCGGTCGACAACAACACCCGCCATGATGACACGCGCGTGCTAACTATCGATTTCGTGCAGGCCTGCACCAACGCCATCGGCAGCGCCGAGTTCTACGACCATGCGAAGACTGAGCAGTGGAACTCGACCATTATCGTGAGTGGAACACGACTCCCTCACCTCCTTTCTCCCCTCCTCGCAATACATTAATTAACCCTCGATCCAGAGCTCCGTGCTGAAGGCTGTCATCTCCGAGTCGACCCCCCAGGGCGCCGCTTCCCCCTCCTTCAAGTTCGCTTGCAACAGCACCATCGTCCAGCACCTCGTCCCCACATCCGCCTTGAACAAGGCCCGCGGAGGTACCGAGACCCAGTCTGAGGAGCCTCACGTTTCCACCAGCTCCGAGGCCACCGCCACCGACGGCAAGCCCCACGTCGGCCGACGAGGAATGCACAGCGCGACTGGTGCGTACTGGGACGAGAAGAAGGACGGCATGTGGACCTACAAGTTCGACGGCGGCGAGGGCAAGGGCCTCGACGTGGTTGTCATGCTCATCTGGGTTGCCATTTAACCGAATGGCTAAAAATCTGGCGTCAGAACAGACTTGTTCTGCTCTGACCCAGAGCATTCCTTCAAGGCATTGATAGTTCCAGTTCACCTATGGCGTTTAAGGAACCTGGGAAGCGTGGTATTGAGAATGTGAAGGAAATGAACGAGCTTCAGGTCACGCTATCTGCCGACCTTGGTGTTTTTGCAAGCCTTGGATGTACATACTCGCTGGTGTTGTCAAACTGATGCCGCATTCGCTGGCTTGGCCAATCGTTCATTCATCCCATCTATTCGGCGAAAAGTCTCGTGCGACCCTGCAATCACAATGCCATTGTTTCCGTCCCCAGCTCCACATTCCGATTGTGAAATTAGCAAGTGTTGGGAAAGACGGGATGATAATCTCCTCGAAACAAGGCTAGCCAAAGACAACCGGGATAGGATTGCACTGACGTCGCACGTTTGGTAGTGCACTGTTCTCCCTTCAACTTATTATATCGTGAACAATAAGTCGATTTGCAAGCTATTACACGCACCGGTGAACATTTCCAGGCTATTCAGCTATTCGAGTTTCCCCGACTCGGCTCCTATGAAAGCCGTTTGATTAGCGATGTAAAATCGTCAGGCTTGAAACATGTTCCTCTAAGCCCACGTACAAGAGGCACACCATTACCAATATTTCCCGTGTCTAATCTCGAGGTGAGACTTGAAAAGTCGTGGTTTTCATTCGAGGCGATTGTGACCCTCACTCGACATATATGCCCTTTCCCATATCTCTTCTCCGCAAATGCATATGAGGAGCCAGTTGTCAGCTCCTAGTTCATCGGCGATTATAGTGATCTTGTGTAGGGATGTCTGGGTCGACAGTATACGCAAGGTGAAATAGTACGGCTCATTTTACATTTGCGAATTGGGGTTTGATAGCAACGATATTATCTGCAAGGACTCCGGAAGAAAATGCTTTGGTGCCATGTCGTGCCAGAGATTTGAGTTAGTCATATGTCCTCTTAGTGGATGCAAATCGTGGTCTTATATTTTGATGTAGGGTAGCCGAAAACAACCACCACGATGAACTCGAAACTTTTCGATGGTCACTGTCTGGTTGGGTTGTTGGCTTGTAATATGTTACTGGGTGGCTGGCTCTTGGATCCAAATCCTATTCACGTAGTATTTGTGGTTCAGAAAGTGGTTCTGTGGATTTGTGCCTCCTGATCGCCTAATGAGTTGCATATACCCCAGTTGCGAAGATGTTCAAAAACGGCAGAGCTAACAAAATGACATATAGGCTTTATCTCGACTGCCAAGTTAAGTTTAATTTCCAAGACCGAATGGAATACGTTAGAAAGTAAACACACGAATAGAAGGCATTGTCCCCAAACTAGCAATGCACAGAACCTCAAACCAGCACATGGTAGATACACCACTTGCAAGCCAGGCTTAGGCAGATGGCAGCTGGGGGATCTGGTCAAGAGCATCCATGCGATAGACCCAAAATCACTTTACCGAGTCTATACCCGTGAACTCTCACAAAGGAGGTACATGTCTTGCTGAACCCGGTCACCGTTTATCAGAAAGCCGTGTGTAGGCATTGTCAGCCATGACTTCCTAGTGAACATTATCTGCTAGAGTTAAAAGGCCCTGGTATACTACAGGGAAGGTGTATCGTCGGGAAGTCATATCATCCGGGTCAACCTGGTTGGGGGGTGTAAGTCACCATCTAACGAGGGCCTGCATCACAGCAAGCGATATGACGTCCCGGCCTCTCAACGGTTGTCAGCGCATTCCCTCGGGCCTGAGATTACCGACGGACCGGGTCCTGGCAAGCGTTAACCGCCGAGTCCTGTGTTGAGTGATCCGACGCGCAGCACTGAAGTTGATTGAGCAGGGGGCTGCGACTGCTCGATGCAGGCAAATCTGTATGGACCAACCAGGCTCCGAGTCTCGCCTGGTCACTGCGGTGGTTTGATAAAATCCTCGAACCATGGGATGCATCCTGTGGAATTTCCAAACACGGTATCCCGAGAGGCAGGATCAATGCAAGCCCTCCCCCGCATGCATGTCAGAACATGCTTTAGAAACGGGTCAGCCTGGGTGATTCGAACATACGGCAGCGGTTTGGGAATGGAGTCACTCCGAGGGCACCGAGTAAATTTGCAGCCGCTTCTTGTGAATAGACGCCGTGCCTCTCAGATCATTCTAAGTAGGATGACGGTGTACCTCTAGAGGTAGGTAAGGTAGAGACCAGCGTCGGGAGATTCCGCCACGTGACGCTGTTTTGGGACGAGGAAGTCGCCGATGCATTCACATCCCGTCCCCGGACCTGAACCGACAATGTCTTTCCAAGAAATCAACCACAACGACGAGTTTTATCGACGTATGGCACTACTCTCATCACGACGGCCGCAAGATGCAGGATGTCATGCGTATGTGCTGACGGGCCGTCCCTGGTACAACGCCCATCCCGATGACGAGGGCGGTGGCACCTAACTTTCCGTGGCAGCCACCACAGCGACACCTGGGTAACCGGATGCGCTTGGGTCGAGATTGGCCGATACAACAGGGATCAACAGGTTCTCAAATATATTGGCAGTTCACCCGGCGTCATATCTCCAACTAACCTGGATTACCATCCAGGCAGATTTGCTTCAACAGCATCACGAGGAGTCGTGCATCGCCGGAATTACCCCAAAGTGTCACGCCGGAGCCGAATACCTGTTGCAGTAGCAGATGAGGGCATCTCTTACGATTTGGTGGTGGCACCATGTGTACTTGCATGGATGCGGTCCGCTACCTGCCGCGTGGGGGGTTCCGACGCCGCCATCTGCCACATCTCGTCGGATCCGACAGTGATGGACTTGGGCGAAGAGACAACCCGGGCACGGAGAAGGGGATCGAAAAACTAGGTTTATGCACCTGCGGCTGCGGCAAGATTGGATGTGATGTGATGGGAGGGAGGGTAAGAATGGCACGAGGATGGCATGCCATGCACGCACGCACACGCACGACGGGATGGATGGGCGGTTGACTCGCGGAACGACCAGGCCAGGGACCAAATTCAAGTTCTGCAGTCCATTTGCAGCGGCCTCGTGAGTGAAGATTCATCTAGACGTCTATCCTCGGATTCCCGAAAACAAGTCGGGGATCCCGACAGTGTGACTAACCTTATCCGAGGTCTGATGGGTGGATGGTCTTGAAATGTCTCACGGCTCAGCTTGCGCCCCGAGACCGCAGGCGAGAGAGGAGAGACTCGCGGTTGTCGATTTCTCGCAGTCCTCGCAGCTTCCGGTTGAGGAGATCTTCATGCTGTTAACCTGCAGATGGGCATCACATCAGTGGAGTTGGTCGACGGCGCAACAGTTCACAGACAGTTAGACGACTCCGTTCTGAAGATCGGGCCCGCTTTCGGCGGGGCTCACCGGGCCGTTCGCCTTTGTGGTGAGATGATGCGTGGTATCCAGAAAGGCTCCAGAATGACGACTGGCGTGCTTCGCTAACGGCTCCGCAACAAGGAGGGTGCCTGTGTGACCCGGGCCTCGCCGTTGCGTGTGCTGGTCGCCTACGTCTTAGCTGTCCGTTGACTCTTGGGTGCTTCTGTTGAATTGATGCCATGGTGTCATGGCAGCTGGGCCTGAGATGTGTCATCTGGCGGGATTGTCCGACACTTGTTCGGGTCCTGGACGGAGCCGCACTGAGGCTTTGACGACTTGGATGGTTTGTACTACGTTCTTGGGTTTGGGGCGGGCTGACCGGGTTCCCCCACATGACCATCGACACCCGACAATCGACTGGGAGAAGTCCGGCGGCAGCAGTGCATCGTCATACGATGCCGAGCAGCAAACCCGGCCCGGCGAAGCCTGGAGAGTGAGGGTCGAAGCTCTTCCCCAGATGCCCCCGTTGATCGAAGTACCCACCCGCCCTGCGCTGGGCTAGTCCCTGAAAATGCCCCAGGCTGCGTGTTGCCACTGACCGCTGGCTGCCGTTGGCGTTCGAGTCAGGCCCGGCATGCGCGGCAATCAGCGTGGAGGGCTGGAGGGCACCGGAGCGGCCTCGCCATGTCAGATGCTCTGTACAGCCAAGATTGGACCGGGCAAGGACCAACTCAGGGCATCCAGCCCATCTCAGGCTGTCCCAGGCCAAACAAAGAGTGGGCAACTCACTCTTGGCCTCCCACGCGCTCTCACACTCTCTTCCGTGCCTCGCACTAGCGTTTCCCGGCTTATCATGGGTCCTGGCGCAAGGGACTGGGCACCGACCGACCCCTGGTGACGAGATCTCGAATTGGCCCACGATGGGTCCGGACCCATCACACCACCCACCGCCCTCGGTTTCCGACCGGCTCCAGCCCCATCGTCTCGTCAAAGGCTTTATAACCGACTCGCGGTCGCCACTCGCTTCTTTTGACTTCGGTCTTAAATCGTCACTGTCAAACCTGGTTTCGACTTATACCGGCCGACTGCTCATGAGCTTGCTAGTGAGGAACTCACCTCATCAATCATCCACCAACCGACGTCGGTATAACATCGTCAACGTAACTTAACGCCTCGAATCTTGGACCCCAATCGTCACCGCTGGACTCGCCCTTTGAACCAGGCAACTGTTCTACACTCAATCCCTCGCCTACGCCTACAACAGCTGGTGACGGGATACAACTCAATTACACAAGCAAACGAGAATCTACCAATCAGACATCATACTCCGTTACTCAACACCGTAACAACCACAATGGTTCAGGTGTTCTCTGATCCCGCCCTCTCCCCAAATGGAGTCCCCGCACACGAAACCGTCGATGGTTCTCTGGTGAGGCGACCCAGCCTCTCAAGGACCGAATCGCCGGCAATGTCCCGGGAGGAACACGCACAACGCATGCGAGAACTGAATAAGAAGAGGGGGATGATGAAGGCACCGCGGCGAGGATGGTCCATGACGGACTACCAAATCGACAATGCGTCCTCGCAATCCCCTCACTCAACTTCATCACAGGTTGAACGACAGGCTTCTATCCCCGAGCATGCGCCTCTACCAATGCCTTCTCGACCCCAGACCCCGGCGGCAGCCCCTGTTGAGGAACAGATTTCACAGCTTCCCCAACGACCCAAGCTGCCTCCTCCTCGTCGCTCTTACTCCGTGATGGATTACGAACCCATCCCTCCATGCCAGCCCCAGCCTCCCAAGGACTTTACTCTTCTCGATCTCCCCTCAGAGCTCCACTACGCCATTTTCGACTTTCTGGATCCCATCGACAGCGTCTGCTTCGGCCTCACAAACTCCAACTTTTACGATATCCACCGTCGATTGCATGGGACTGTACCTCTCTCTAGTCGGTATTCGGGACCCAATGACTTGGAGTGGGCATGGCGTGGTGCCGGACCTCTGGTCCACCCCAAGGTCCGAACTACTGCTAAAGAAAACGCTATGGACCAGATGCGAGTCAAGGGGCAGGTGTACTGCCGGAAATGCGGCATCTCCCGTTGTGAACTCCACCGGCACATCAAAGGTTGGATGGGCGATGGCTACGAGTACTGCTCCATCAAGGAGGTGTACGGCAAGCCTGCCGGCGAAGATGCGAAGGCCTACTGCTACATGAAGTCACCCAAGAACCCCCACCGGTGCGGACGCCACGGAAGAAAGAGGATGGCGGCCCAATAGACGTCGCCACACTGTGTGCAAGAACAAGATATGAAATGAAGGATATGATGATGAGGGGAGGATAAAAAGTGCGGATGGAATCTGCGTGCGTGCGCGCATTTAGATATGGGCGATTATTACGATTTTTCTTGGATATCCTTTTCGGTAGGCACCGGGGATATGCCAATGGGGACATGTTACGACTACCGGTTTATGAGGGGACAGGACGGATGTCCTTGGGTGGGAACGGCTTGGGATCTGGTCGACGGAAATGCGGAAAAAGGGTCATACGGATGAACCCGATAATTATCCAGCCCGTTGCAATGAATACACTTTAAGATTAATAATTCAAAACCCCCAACTCTTAGTGTATATGACATTGAAACCCTCCACCTCTCAAACTCTTCTCTGGAAGGGCGAGATAATGTTTTTTACTTTACCTTTTAGAAATGAGTACCTGTATAGAGCACGGCGAGGCGGTTCGGATCGTGCTCCCGTCCGCGGGGCATATGCAATCTTGCTGGCTGCAGCAACGTCACGAATTGCGTTTGTGGATGAAAAGAAGCCGAGTTCCCGTGGTTGATTGGGGAGGCCGGGTCGAGCCTTGAGCCTAAAAGTCTGTTTTTGAGATGGGATGAAAGCTAAGGCGTCCCGTCATCATACCACTTATACCGATGAGGCACAGGTCAAGCTTCAGAATTCGAGAAAATCCAATTCTTCTTTTGGGGTGATCAATTCTACGCCTTGTTGCTTGGTTTTGTGCTTAAAGGCGCCGGATATATTCTCGACCCATCCATCACCACACACCTAGCATATAAAACCCAAACCGAGGCTGCCGTAGCCTGTAGCCAAAACGCCGGAGACAAGTACTCTCCAAAACAGTCCTCTATCGTGGTGGTGTACAAAATAGCCAGTATCCAAACGCCGTAATGCGAAAACAACGCTCTCAGCAGCATACAGATGCACCGTATATACTACAATCAGTTGATGTTCTTCCACTCAGGTTCGCACTCGCCCCTGGCATCGATCCAGTGGTTGATGCCCTTCACGAACCACCCGCTGGTCCATTTATCCTCCGGTTGGCTCTCCTTCTTGGGCTTTCCGAGTTTGAAGCTCTTGTGAACGCAACAAACTTTCTTGTGGTATCGCCACTGGAAGCAATGGCGGTCTCGGTTCCAGTTCACATCCTTGGCGCGTTCATCGTACCTCGACTCAACCAGAGCAAAACGTTCGCTGTCGTTATCCATAGCCCAGTAGTCATTCGCAGAGATGTCGAGTCCATCCGCAATGCAGACCTTGGAGCAGAACTCCGCCGAGTGGTGAGCCTGGCGCTCAACGACGTTCTTGTCCTTCTCGGGCTTCTGACGATTCTTTTCACCGTCACTAGCCTCTGCCTGGGCTACTTCATCGGGACCAATGAAACAAACATCATCAGATAAGTTGGTCCAATCTTCCCGCTGTTCGACGAGGTGCGGAGCGAAGAAGGCTTGATACATGTCCTTAATTTGAACAAAACCCTGGTTTGCATGTTAGCCTCAGGCTCGGTAGATAAAACGACTTTGAACGTACAGTTGATTTTCGTTTCTGCTCGTAATCCCATACTTGACTGACTTCCTCAGAATTCATGTGGTGCATCGTCATGAGAGCTTGGCACCAATGTCCTTCTGAAAACGGCAACGTGCTGGGTTTCTCGCCATTGAACATGGGGTGGGCCTGCTTCACCTTGCGGCCAGTGTCGTTGACAGCCAGAGCCATGAGGTAATCACCGCAGCACTCGTGAGGAGCCATCAGATCGTACTTGTCGGCCAGGCCAGGGGTCTCGGCCATCATCTTGACCGTCTCACCGGAGATGACGTAACCGCTACCTCCATGCGCAAATGGAAAGCCCTTGAGCATGGCCACGCTTCCGATGTAAGGGAAATCCTTGGAATTCACCTTGTTGCGAAGCCACCAGATCAGGTTGGGCCAGAAGACGTAGCTGTCGGCTTCGGCGAACACGTACCACTCCATGTTGGGGCGCATCTTCCATGTGCGCTCGATCATGTGCAAGAACTTGTACTTGTCGAGTTCCCAACCACCCTTCATGTCGCTTGTGCAGTCTTCCTGGGCTATGGGGCACCGCTCTTGCTCAGCATAGAGCTTGAATTCCATGAGATCCCCCTTGGCCTCTTGCTTGACGTCTTCCAGGACATTATAGACGTGGTACTTGCCGACCTGCTGCTCCTATTTCTGGCATTAGCCTCGCGTTTTTTACGTTTGCGATGGGGATTGCAATGCGCCAGATGACAGATCTACACGACGACGTAGGTTGACCAAGTGAGTCGAGACCAGTGTCGTGCGCACTTTTCTGGACAGCAAGCTCGGGTGGAGAGAACTGGAATGCTCGAGTGCGCCACAATAGAGCCAACCCATGCGCATTGAAATCGCTGCAATGATGTTACTTACCAAGTCCGAAAAGATGAGAAAATCGTTTATGCATTGGAGACCCGTCAGGAGCTGAGTTGGGAGCTTTGTGAACGCCTCCGTTGCACCTGTCTTCATGACGAGCATAATGCCATCCATGGAAGGGAACCCATCACAGGGCGATTTTCGCGATTCGGGATAGGGTGTGAAGACATTATTGTTTTGCTCTGGGATCTCGACTTTGGGCGTTTGCGGTTCCTCCTCAGATTTGTTCTCGTCGTTCGCGGGTGTGTTTACTTCCTCCTCGGATTTGTTCTCGGTATTCTCAGGCGCGCTGTCAGGTGTTGATTGGCTTTCCGCGGTAGGCGTGGTGAAGGTGCCTTCGGGATTCTCCTCGTTCTCAGGTTTGTTTCCCTCTTCGTATTTGATTTCGTCATCCTCGGGAATGACCTCTCCCTGTGGCTTGCTTCCGTCTTCCTGGCTTCCGTCCTCCTTGTTTTCGTCTTGATATTTAATCTCGTCGTCATCGGGAGTGGCCGCTTCCACGGGTTTGCTTTCCTCTGTGGGCTTGCTTTCCGTTTCCGCGGTAGTCGTGGTGTAGGTGTCCTCGAGCCTATTGTCTTCGCCGTTTTCTGCTTCGTCGACTTTGTTGGAATCGTTGCCTGTGATTACGTCGACAGGCTCGGTGGTGTTGACGTAGACACTGTCCGCAGGGTCGCTGTTGGCATCGCCACCGTGGCCAAGATATTTGGTCAGATGGCTGTAAATGCCGGATGTGTCGTGGTCGCTTAGCTGATAGAGGGGCACGAGAAGGAGCAGGGTTAAGCCGAGAAGTGTGAGAGCAATGAGCTTCCAGCCCCGAGGGGAGCTCCACGCGGAGCTCAGATCGAAACCCATCAGGATGAAATGTGAAGATGGACAAACAAAGGAGTGTGAAGTGGACTGAGCGAGGGAAAAAGGAAGTCGTGGAAGGGGGGGATGGAAAAAGGATTGACGGACGGGCGCGTCGGCGTGCACCAGTGGATTTGCCCGTTGTCATCACGTTTTAAGGCTTCTGTACGAGAGACCTGGCATATCCCGGAGATACGGGCTGACATGTCGATTGGATGTACTCCGTGTAGTACTTTATTTGTACCCACATCAGCTCCCTTCCCCCTGGCAAGGCGAGAAGGCATCCACGGCGCGAAGAACCGACTGAGACTCCGCAGAGGCGCAAAGCGGACAGCTAAGTGGACGCCTGCTGTCTTACGACTCAGGGGTGATGTGCGATAGAACCAAGTGGCCGAGAACTGAGAACAAATGTTGAGCTCCGGCGCAGAAAGGAGGCGAGGGCGATCCCTGGACATTCGGTTTTAGACACCGTCATCCCCAATGTCTTGGTCAACATCTTCGCTTCATATGGTTGTCCACACTGTCCGTTAACTCGAGCCACTGTAGAGCAAAGACGATACCCGAATCATGCGTTTGAATCCTCCATGTGGCTGGCGCCTAGGGATCGAGCGGGTGGAAAGGCAGCCTTGCTGTGCCGTGGAAACGATAGTGTACTTCGTACCCCCAGTGCGAATTATTGAGTTGTCACCTCGATGTATTCTCAAAGGGCAGATCCTTAACATGGCGTTCTCAGCTCATTTGGTCTCAAATTGGCCTAATGCCGCGACGGAGGAAGCTGGCCCGCGCGGTAAACCAGGGAAGACTCCTGCCACTAGATTCCAGACCTCAATAGACTTTGCCAATATTGTTTCGTTTTCGTCGGCAGGTCTAGCCAGGCCCGGATCCTCAATAGTTGCTCTCTGGAGGCAGAGCGTCAAAGAGGCCATGCTTGGATCAAGTGGGGTGGCTTGCTTCCATTTGGTCCATTTGGCCTCTAGCGGCTCGTAAAGGAGGATCCGGACCGGGTCTCCCACCGTCAATCTCCAACTGAATTGAAACACGCTCGGAATTTAGTTAGACGCAAGCCTCGCGCGCTGAAGGCGCTGCCCCTGAGTGTTGCAGCACTCGCAGCTCGCATGTCCCCAGCCACCATCCTGATATTATGGGCCGGATGCTGACAGGATGGCAGGGACTGCGCAAGATAAATGGCCCAATGCACAGTGTCCCATCGTATTAATGCTCGGCCCACTTGCCTTGGTCCCGGCCTGGGAATGCTCTGCGAACTTAATCCCACCAACACGGATTGGCCTTGCACAGTGCTAGCGCCTTACGCTTCGAAGGATTTGAGCTGGAGCGCCAGCACTGCCTCGACCGGGTCCTTCATCCTTGGAAGCACAGTAAAGACCCCAAAGGACCTCCTCCAACTCAATCTTAGCGACTAAGATCAGAGAGGGAATTTGGGTTCCAGCCAGGATTTCTCTCTTTGTCAAGTCGTTGGGCGAGGACGCGCGTCGGCACTGTTGTGTGACATCTTGATGGATCGGTGCAAGGGCACCTGAATCAAGCTCTTGTTGTCTAAAACAGAAACAACTCTGCCTAAAACCGCACCTGGGCCGTTTTGATGGGGCCTTCTGGCGACGTTGATCATAAGTTTGCAGGTAATGTTCTGGTCCATTGAAGTCGGGGTTTGTGGAATGGAGGATTCGCGTCGTCTGGACGGGTCCTGGTCTGAACCTTGCGCTATCGTATTGATGAGTCGTCCACATTGATGGACAACCGACGCCTTCGTATCGAGCGAAGTGTCGTGTTAGCGGTGAAGCCACATATCTCTCGGTTGGCCGGAGGCACCTGAGGCCCACCGTCACTCCCCGGCTGCCGAGAAGCCTTATCGTGCGTCATCTGGGCATGGGTGTCCTGGACTGGTCGATGCTTGATTCGAGGTCTTGAACTTGCGGGGGGTTCGAAATTGCCTGGGTAGTGCATGCACTGCCCGGATTGAGTGACAGATATCGTATTGGAATGTACTGTTGGCGTTGGACTTTGGTGGTACCGGTCTCCATGAAACAAGCACAGCCTGGGAGGTTTGAATCGAGACCATATCAAAGGGAGCGTCATCCATAGTACGAGTCGATCAGACCCGTTTTTTCTTTCTTTTTGAAATTAGTGAGGACGCTTCAGATCAGCGACCTTTTCGACTGTCAACCGGCCGTGCCGAGATGTCGATACGTAGATCAAACTCGTAGCAATTCCAGATTGAGTGCTGAGAACACAATGATTCACTATTAATAAACACATTTCCCCTCTCACTTAGAGTGCTGACGTTGCATTATCGCCGGATGTCTGGGAAAGCTTGTTGGCAAGTTGACGCAACCACTGCCTGAGTTTCGCTCGGGAAGCGCCCCAGCTTTTTTCTGAAACGAGATCTTGGCGGCTTGGCAGTACCGTAGCTTGGCGGCGACCTGGGTGGCAGCGGTAGTACAACACACGATTACGGGCATGAAGACGGCATGGTGATGATAGTTGAAGGTTGCGAGGTGCATCACGATGCGATTTCACTGATGACATATTGAAGGCGACTAGGTGTTGCTAGGCGTGAAAGCCTTAGGCGCTTCGATTCCTTCCCTCGAACCCGCCCCATGCTTCGGCACCTTCCAGAACGGCATGTGCCCCACTTTGATAGACGGAAGGTGCAATGTAATTCAAATGGAAATGCGGCAAAGAAGTCGTCAATCATTCACTCTGGGTGCTCTGTGGATTGTACCTGCCTAGGTATGTAGAGAGATTGTGGTGCTAAGAACTGAGTCCAACACGATGACAGTCTCTTGCTCGCCGATCAGAACGACGAGCTCAAAGGGATTGATAGAGAGAGACCAATTGACGCCTTATCTACGGCTCGATCTGGGCGTCTTTCCCCGCCGATCCTGCATCGCACACACGTGCATTCGTCACGTCACTCAAGCATCTCCCGCAGCAGCGGATACCTCTACCCAGCAGCAACATTGAAGCATCTGCCACAAAGCAGCCACGTTTCCGACACGGGAAATGCCGACTGCGCTTGCACTGTTTTGTCTGAAGAGTCTCGACCTCTATCGGATACGGCGAGGTAGATCGTAGATTTCGCTTCACCGGTCCTTCCACGTGGAAGATAAGATGAATCTTCCATCTTCTCCACCACGCGCGCTTTAACACCCAACCCGTTTGACAAGCGCATTTCGCGGCTTCACCAGCACGGCATTGCCCAGCGCCGCTTGCGCCATCCATCCAAAGTGGCACCAATGCAGGCAGCCGCATGCTCTGGTTCGTCGCGATCAAAGCATCATGAACTTATGTTGCATGCCGAACCGGATCAAAGAGGGGACCTCCCAAAAAACCCCGCCCCCGCCCGCCGCCCGAGTGGCCACCAAGCGGCCTGCGGAAGTCCGAGTCGGGCGTCCGTGAATGAATTGGCCCGAGATTTCGGATCGTAGATGGGGATCCTCCTTCGAAGCAGCGTGGATCGAGGACTGGCTCGGCCATTCTCCAGACATCGATGACGGGCTCGAGTTAAGGGCGTCATATCCCACCCCCTCGCTTGCATCCTCCCCGGACCGTTGACTTTGTCATGCCGATGGCTTGGACGCAAAGGGACAACTGGAGGTTGGACCCCTTATCGCACCCACTTGATTCCGCTACTAGATCCAGATCGGGCTGGTAGTTCTTTCGTCGCAATCGAGCCCACAACCAATTGGCCGTCGACAATGGGCCATCTGTTCCTAAGCTCCTGGGCTTTTTTTTTTCTATATTCGTCAGCCGTCCGTTCACTCCCCCCGGGGCAAGCTGCTCCTTTAAACAAACGTTCCCCTTCGGCTCCAGCGCGAAGAAAGACCCTTCTTGGCCCTTGATTTGATCCCATCTCGTCTTCTCGCCTAGCCCCGCATAGCCGCGGCACTCCGTGAGAAAACGGACCCGAGACTCTCCGACAACGCGACTGTCTATCATTTGTTAATAGTGAACTGCGGCGGTATTGGTTTGAGGACCTACGAAGTGCAGATACGATACTCGGGAACCACACAAACTGTTCCCTAGTGTTCAACCGTCATCTTTCGACCCGGATCCAGTCTGCGTAAGACGTTGTTAGGAAATCAGAAAAAGCACCATCCAACATGGCAGGGTTGCCGCAGTGCGGCGGCCATGGGCCGGTACAAACAAGTGCTGTTGTTGTACTTAGTGGCACCGCTCAATGCTCAGCGATGCCTCCTCCCTCTCCACCAACACCATCCATCTCCCCACCAGAGACTGCATTCTGCGAGCCTATAGACCCCCTTAGTCTTGACCGAGAACTCCGAGAAGAGCGCCAGGCAAAAGACCAAATACTCCGAGATGGAATTCACGTGCTGAACACAGAGTCCCGGGCCCTCAGGAATCTCACCAGATTATACGAGACGGATCTGATAGCTCGAGATGGCTTCTGCAAATCCGTCCAAGCCATCACGCGGCAGGAGGCAACAAAAGGAAAGCTGGTTGTGATCGGGGTGGGTAAGTCGGGACATATCGGTCAGAAGTTGGTGGCCACGTTTAAGAGTCTCGCCATCCATGCAGTCTTCCTTCACCCGACAGAGGCCCTCCATGGAGACCTCGGCATCATCGGACCTCATGACACTCTCATGTTCATCACATATTCCGGAAAGACGCAGGAACTTTTTCTCATGCTGCCCCACCTGGACAAGTCGCTCCCACTTATACTGCTCACATCTCACACGTCCCATGACACATGCGAGTTCATCAAGCATCGACCGGATACCATCCTCCTTCCGGCACCTATCCCGGAGGCTGAGAAGACGACGTTCGGAGTCTCGGCACCAACGACGTCGACGACGGTGGCGCTGGCTCTTGGCGACGCACTCGCCATCGCGGCGGCGAAGGAACTTCACACAAGCGTCTCCGCCGTCTTTGCGAGGAATCATCCGGGAGGGGCCATCGGTGTCGCAGAAAGGAAACCTCAGACGATCAAGGATATCGCAATTCGGTGGGCCGATATTCCACTGCTGGTGGACCAGGGAGAGGAGAGCTTGGGCCTGGACCTTCTCCGCGCGGGATACGACTCCCCCACAGGATGGGTGCGGGTAAGGGATCTTGCTGCGTCCCCCAGCAAGATCCGCGGCCTGGACAGGCAAGACTTCAGCCGCAACTTGCGAGATATTCCCGGGCTCCTCATTCCTAGAGCACAGATGCTCTCCCTGTCGTCAGATACGACCCTCCGTCAGGCGCGAGCTATGCTGAAGAGTCTGCAGTCGTCACCCACCGAAGAAGAGGTGGCCTGTGGGCCGGAGATGGTCGTGGCTGTTATGGAGAAGGGTGAAATTGTTGGCGTTTTGGAGGTTGGCAAGGTGGTGGACCACAGAGCATAGGGAACGGGGCTAGGATGGGTTTTAGGGAGGGGCGTATTGTCTCTTTGTCCCTGGCTAACAAAGGTGTTATAAGGGTCTGGCAGGACTGGACAATTGGCATATGCATGGTCAGCGCATGCTGTCAAGGCTACCTCGATCGATTGAGGCACTCGACTTAGATAAAATAGTACTTGTTAGAGTTAATCCCTCATCGCCATGTACTGATGGGGGATATGGAATCATGAATGTTTATGCTCCCTGGATAAGGGAAACGACCTACCTAAAGAAGGTATCATTTTCCTTGCCAAGGCCATCTTGAAGAATGAACATGGCTCCCATATGCAAATCGGATTAGGCAGGTCGGTTCAGCAACGTAAAGATAAGCTTGGGCTAGGCGGGTTAACGATCGACGGCTGGAAGCCACAGCTTCCAGTAAATTGACGTCTTGGCTTGGGTCGTGTGATTTCTCTTTTACAGAGGGTCGGTGCTTAGGCATGTTTACGTGAGCTGAAATTGGACCCGTCATGTCTTTCATAATATTCGCAGCGTCTGAATTGAGGCTTGACTCGCGCGGCCGCAGGAGATCCGTGACGTGCGCACTGAAGCAGGGGAAACTCTTCCTGGGCGAGGTGACCCCGTCTTGACCCATCTTGGGCTTGGTCAAGTTTAGACATGCTTGTGCCTGGTGGATGAACTTCTGCACAAGACTGCTTTAGGGAACGAAGAAATTTTGAGCCTCGACCGGGGATGGACTCGCGTGGAGGCCATCTTCACTGGTTGGTCACGCGAGCAACCAATATGACCGACTCAGACCGAGGTCTCAACACCGCAGGTGACAGGGGGCCTTGTCCATTGGGCTGTGGTGGCGCCTCTGGGGTTCGCGAGCGATCAGGTTTCACAAATGTGCAAGGCGTGTGCGTTTCATCGCCGAGGTTTTGCGCGCCAGTGTGAGTGGTGTGCTCGGCGCAATCGACTTGCGTGGTTAAAACCATGGACTCGATCGATTGCCATACTGAAGTAGTCGAGATGCCTAGTAAAGTATCCCGCGGAGTCGTATCTTGACAGCTCAGATAACCCATGTACTTCCTAAAATGCCTGTGGCTGTTGTCATTGATGATGCAGCAATTGAGTAAGGGTACTGAGAAAAAAGTTCTCCGCAGCGACATAGGTACCCATGCAACCGGGTGATGGGCCCGGCCGCGCGACATGGTGGCGATGGGTCTCGGAATATTTGCGTTGGATTGGCTAGGTGTTAACAGAATGAAATGGTGGCGATTATATCCCGATGCACAGGTGGAGAGCACTCGGCGACGGGCCGCAACCTATGGAGTTCATTTGTGGATCATACTCTTGTGACTCTTGCGCAGAGTTTTATTAGACTTGCACTTCTCCAGACCGAGAGACCGTTTTCAATCAAGAGGGGGCGTTAGTCGTGGCCAATTAGTTGCTCGCCGTAAGAAAATTTAGCCAGAGGCAAATCGAGACGGTACTGTAGGAGTACCGTCACCGTCCAAATTTTCGTATTCAGCATTCCACATTGGACCCCCTCTGTTTCTGGCCACTGGCCTGTGATTCAAGGCAAACCACCCGGCGTGTTGCCGGCTTCGTACGGTCCTCTCAGTGGATATGTTTATTCGTAGAGTACAGGTGTGTTGTTGCCCACGACGGTGGAGCTGTTGATGTGGATTTGGGTAAGGAAGCGAGGCTCCGCGGAGAATGCCATTTCAATAGTTCGGCGGGTTGAAGACATATCGTATTGTCTTTACCACTGTAGATTCGTAATAGCACCAAAGGTCGTTGGTCGTTTGGCCACGAACTAGTGACCCGATGGAGCATGGCTTGGGATGAGTTGGAATAACGCCGGACGAATCGACTCTTGGCTCTTTGGGGTTGTCTGTGCTTTGAGATGACTCCGCTGGGATCCGCTTGGGGCTCAGGACTCGGCTGCGGAGGGAACCAATTGAAGACATCGTGAGAGGCCCATGTTCGTACTGTTCCTGGAAAAAGACGTGACTGGTTGCTGGACCTGGGTGCCTGTCGCCCCAGGATCCCGATGGGATGCAGAAGAGCGGGACGATGCCAAGTCCTTGTCCGACGTCGACGGCGCTGAGCCAGTCGATCGAGCATGTGCTCATGACTGGCATGGAAGATACGACGTTGGAATTCTATCGTCATAAGATGAGAAGCGGCGCAATCCCGCACCACACTGCACCGGTCAATATAGCAGGATGCGGGCACAAATGCGATGCACACAGGGACAAGGTATTAGAAGCGCAGGAATGACCGTGGACGGTCGCTGGGTGATGGTCAAGCCAGCATGCCCGGCCTGGCGACAACGGCTTGCCAACCAGGAACGGAGGATTTGAGACAGGGTATGTGAGGGTGTCCACCGCTCGGTCAGCGTTCGCGGTAGGTACTCGCGTGCTCTCGTCTGTCTTGTGTCCGTCTTGCGTCCGTCCTTGCCGTTGATCCCTCGACGCCGCTGTGGCTCAGGGCTTGTACAGGTAGGTTGCAACAGGGATAAACAACGGGGACACGTGCTGCAGACCCGGATGTTGGGAATCTGGACGACGCTACGGCAATTCGAGGCTCATTCGGGGCAACGGCCCCTCTTGAAGGGCAGTTGGCATCCTTCTGGGACCCTCTGAATGGTTCCTGGTGCACTTCATAACGTAACACGGCGCCTGTTCCACCGGTTTGGCTGCGACACTAATGCGCCGAAGACGGGAGCAATCGAGGGTCATGTCAAAAGAAGCGGCTTCAGACCCAGTTATCACCACTTGAAATCAGTCCGCAACGGAGCCCGACGGATGGATATTGCCGGACCTGCTGGGGCCGTCCTGGATTGCTTCTGAAAGCTACTGGATTTCATGCTAGCTTCGTCGTGTTTCCGCGCTGCTTGGTTGCTTGCGTTCGAACCTGCATGCATTGGTGCCGTTGGATTGTGGTCAAACTCTTGTTGGTATCGCTCTAGCGTCATCTTGGTGTCGTTGTCGGCGGTATCGTTGTCCCATGGTATCGCCATGTCACGGACGCAACGGGGATTGACCGCTAACCGGCCGGTGCTCGGTGGTCCGCGGGGTTGTCCTAGGTTGCGAGGACCAGCCACAGCGTAGCAAGACAGCGTAGTCGGCAGATAAGAGCTGACGTTGTCAGTGATGGCGACATTGCGTATGTATGTACATAGCATCATGCATGATGCGGTCGTTGATGGGCACACCCGATACGGTACTGTGTTAATCTCTGGACCAGCGCCGAGCCCAGAGTCGCCCTGACAGACCACACACACATGCCGGGCTTCGTATCATGTCGGCTTTCCGTACACATGCACACGCACAAATCAACCATCGGCACATCCCACACCGTCAAATTCCGCCGACTCCGCCGGTTTCGAGACGCTTCTTTCTGCCCGCCACCGCGTGCCCTCCCCTGCTGGCTGGCCAAGTGTGAGGTACATTACCTGTTTGGGGTTGGGATCGAAGCCTCAAGATTGGTCCAAAAAGCTTAACTGAGAGCTTGGACGAAGGGCGAGCTGGAAAGCTTTGGCTAGCGCTGGACTGGCGGCCTGGACTGGGGCACTGGGCTGGCAGTTAGACGGGCTCTTGTTCCGGCGTTCCAGCTGCGGAACAGCGAGAGCGAGCAAGGGCAAAAGCTGCAAGGGCCTGCATGGGCTCCAGGGCGTCCAGGGTGTCCCAGCGGTTGTGGTCCGGGCCCCGGAGGGTTCCTCAGTGATGAGCTGCACAGGGTCCTATCCGGCATGCAAGGACGAGGGATTGGCGATTGCCAATGGGGCTTGGGGGTGAGGGGCGGCGGCGGCGGCGGCGGCGGGCGGCGACGATACGGCGAGTTTGTTGGATGCATTTTCTGGGTACATTTTCTTGGTGCACCCCGGGCCCACGATTAGTTGGCCGAGTTTAGAGACTCGAGCTGCTGAAAATATGCACGACCCGAGATGTGTGGTGCAAGGTGCAAGGGTCCCCCCCCCAAACGCATCTGGCGGGGCACCCTCCACTGCCACTAGCCCATCCATCGGCCAACCAAATGCCCCTGTGGCAGGCGAGCCTAATTGGTTCAATTGGGTCGAGATAGTGAAAATGAGTGGATGCTTGGGTGCTTGGGACCTTGGGAGCGTGCGTGCTAGGGGCGTGCTGGGTGCGTGCTTGTGGATGGATGGATGGACGGATGATGATACATAGTATAATAATACTTAGACTGCCCTGTTTCGCTTCTCCCACATGTCCGCCCCCGATCTGCAAACCTCAATCTAGGCCTCGCTGCTTGGGATCCCGTGGGTTCACTGTCCGTACCCGTGTGCGATCTGATAATCTCGACGGTAATTCTCCCGAGACAACTTCAATTCTCGACTCTTGGTGATCCATCTGGCTGCCGCCACCGCCGCCGCCCGTCGTTTCCGCCCGTCCCCGTCCCCGTCTGTCCCCGTCCCCGTCGTCTCCGTCGTCTCCGTCGTCAATTCCAATCTCAATCCCCACACTGCGTCACTACGTCAATTCCGCAGCTGTGCCACCACTGCTGCAGCTTGCATCGAGCGCCTCCAGTCGCTCCGAGTGACGCGTGATTGATTCCCGATTCTGGGCCTCCCGGAGTGCTGTCACTGGCCTGTCATCTGCCGTCTGCCGTCTGCCGTGCTGCGTGTTGCCGTCTGCGTGCTCCCGTCGCTCATTGCTGCGCCTTGGTGTCTCAGTACGTCATCCCACCCCCCCTGGCAACTCGTCGCACCGCTATCGCACTGCTCCGTGCTTCTTCGCCGCGGCTGCCTCTTGCTACGATTGTCTCAAGCTCACACACCTTATTACCCAGCTGGTCCCTTACCTCTCGGACTGGATCTGCAGACCTCCTGCTTCCTCGGAAGCGTCTCGTCGCCCGCTCGTGCCGCCGCAAGCTCTCCCTCAACCCTCCATCCGCCTCGCCGTCCTTCCCGTTTGTCCTCCGCCCGACGGGAGGATTGCGAGGAGCTCGAGGGAGATTTTAGAAGCTGAAAACTTGCTCCTTCGGCCAGAAACCACGCATTCTTTGGCAATTGACCCTTGCCAGTCGCCATATTAATCCCCCACCATGAAATTCGGCGAGCAACTCGAGCGAGAGTCCGTCCCGGAATGGAGTCTCCGTACGTCACCATTCCCAATTGCCCCAACCACCCATTTGCCTTTTGCCTTTACTGACGGATCGATTCTGCAGACAACCTCGACTACAACTCTCTCAAACATGAAATCAAGGTCCACACCACTCGCCACCAGGCGGTTGCTATGGCCATTCCCGGCCACCGCGACGAGGCCTTGACCAGGTTTGAGGACGGACTATATATGGAGCTCGTCCACCAGCACGAGCGCCTTCATCTTTTCGTCTCCAGCAAAGCCGACGAAATCTCGCGGCGATTAGGTACGTCCCTTCCCGAGGCCTCGTGCCCGACGCCATGTCTCACACGCACCCAATCACCCAAACTTGGCACTGATAAGCCGCCCTAGAACACCTCGCCAAGAGCATTTACCGATGGATTCGCAAGCCGCTGGAAGAGATGACGACGGATGATGCCATCAAGTATCAGAGAAGGTTCGCCAAGTATGAGCGGGAGTTGGTCCGATGTGGTGGCGATATCCAGGCTCTCTCACGTTTCACCAACGCCCAAGTTGTCGCCTTCCGCAAGATTCTCAAGAAGTACAAGGTACGTGTCTCCTACATCAATCGATTTTGTCCTCGAGTCTTGTAGCCGGTTCTAACTCCAATCGCAGAAATGGACTGGCTCGACATCCTTGACCGGCCGCTTCAATGACAACGTCCTCTCGGATCCTAAGAGTTTTACCCGACGCGACTTCTCACCTCTCCAGGACCGCTACGACGAGATCACTTGCACGCTTCGCGCTTCCGCCCCAGTCTTGAGTGAACCCAGCTCCCCGGAATCAGTACCGCAGTCTTTACCCGAACGGGTGTTGTCGCAGTCTTGCAACTTCTCGACGATTTCTGACCGCGGTTCATCATGTCGACCCCAACCCCAATTCGAAGCCCTGCCACCTCCGCAAATACCCTCTCAAATCAAGTATTGGAACGAGTACGACAACGGGAGCGAATGCGGTACGGATGAAGGATATGCTATTTATATTAACCCGGAAGAAAGCATGAACTTCCCAGGGTTCGACTATTTACAGGGTATCTTAAAGGTTCCCTACGAAAAAGCAAGAGGTTGGCTCAGACTGGATCGCTCTGCTGAAGAGCGGCCCCTTCTAACTGCCAACCACTTGCCTCGCGGGTACTCCGCCGCCACCTTCAACAGCGAATCTGACGAAGAGGGAGGCTATGCTAGCTCGGACGGGTTCCCTACAACTGGTTATGCCACTCACTATGCCCTCCCTAGCCTCAACCAACAGGCTACTATCCGTTATCGGGAAGACGTATTTTTTTGGGGCACAATTGGCTGTTTCATGACATCCTTTATTCTCCTTGCCGTTGCTGGTATCCTAATCTTCACCGGAAAACACAAGCTGCGAGCCGAGGTGGATGCGGGCGTCACGGTCGGCGTCGTCGCCAGCTTATTTTCCGCGTGTAGTGCGCTGGGCATGACTATGTACCGGCGAGATCCGCTCCCGCTCACCTATAAGCTCATGGTCTGGGGCTCCTTTGTCGCATCATGTCTTCTCAACGGCATGCTGTTGATCCTTGTTGTGGGGAACGCCCCGTGATGGACCCGCCCATACTATTTGAGGATTATCTGTTATCTGGAGTTTGATCCCCCCAGGCCAAGAAACTGGCTTGATGATTTTCCGGTTGTTATATGGTTGACTTTGGGATTTGGCGTTGAGCGCATACCACGGGTCAAAGTTTTTATTGTTTATTTTTTGGAGGGTCATGGTGCCGAGCGATATCCAGGCTTGTGTGTCCTATGGGCAGGACCAAGGTTGGGGCGCCTTTCTTTTGTAATACGAGGATGATGGTGACGTTTAGACGTGGGGTGGGACCTCGCTGTAGAAGGGTGCGGAGGATAGTCGAGCGATTTGGTCGTGTTGGAGACGTAGCTTTACCCATGCGGTACAATACCAGCGAGGTTTGCGTGCTCATATATCATGTCTCATGTCTTCGTATCTCGTATCTGATGGCTCGTGCCTCGTGCTTCCATTTACTCACTCTTTCATAAAACACCACTGGACGCTTTCGGGAGCTGCTAGGAAGGACTCGACCTTGAGAACCAGTTGCCCTAGATGTACATGTTAGTTCAGCCAATCTTGAAGCTTGGAGGTAGTGTGTACTCACCGGCGACGTTCCAGCGCTTTGCAAAGAAGTGAAGAGAGCTGAAGATTGCGTGGAAGCGGGCGTCGGCGTCGGGGATGACGTGCTCGAAGTTGCTGAGGACCATGAGGCAGTGGTAGGCGGAGTACGGGGTCAGCGGGGAGCAGGATGCGAGGAGGTGCGGGCGGCGGGCGAGCTGGTCGTTGAGGTCGGTGGTGGTGTCGGCGATGATGCGGATGGTGAAGTTGAGGCCGGCAATGGCCTTGAGGGCCCTCACGTCAGTGGTGGCGTGGTGGATGGTTGTGGAGTCGACGGTGCGGAGTTGGCGACAGTAGAGGAAGAGAAGGAGGCTGCAAACAACGTGTTCAGTTAGAAGGTGTCCGAGTTCAAGAGTGTTTGATCATTTTGTATTGCGGAGGTTGTCAAAGGGGAGAGGGGGGTAATCAACGTACCAAGTGCAAGTTGCAAAGCACTCGAAAAAGTCGCCCCAGCGGGAGGCTTGTAGAATCATGGCCTCGACCAAGGAACGGATAGCAATGTCGAGCTCGACAAAGTTGGCAACCATGGCATCTGGAGCTCCAGATTCCGGGCTCGGAGACAGGGCCTTGGTGTAGAGCATGGCACACTGGCAATTTCGCTGGAATGGCCCAACGGGCACCGAGGCCGCCACGCTCGCAGGATTTCGCTGGATCATCCGGTTCTGCAGATGGTTCGTCCACCCGATGTGTGTCGTAGGGAGCAGGTCGTCGGCGGCTGGGGCGGGGACTTGCAGCGGCATGTGGATGAGGCTACAGTCGACGTGGACCAGGCGGTCGAGGACGAGCATGCTCCAGTAGACGCAGCGGCGCTCCTCGTCGTCGTAGGCCACGGGGGCGTCCTTCTCGGCGTCGACGTACTTGCCAGGGCGGATACCCATGGCGAGGGCCATGGTGTTGGCGTCACCGATGGTCACGTAGGCCCGCATGACGTCGCCGTGGCCAAACTCAAAGAGGGCGAGGAGGATGGTACACTGGACGAGCTCGATGCTCGGGGCAGACAGACCACGCAGGATGCCGAGGATGCGCTTGGCGGCCCGATAGGCGGGCAGATCGATCATGTCTCTGTCCTCGAAGATGCGGGGGTCCTCGGCGGCCACGGCCTCGTCGTCGTACTGGGTAGCGAGCTGCATGCAGACGACGAGGAGGGCCACAACGGGGTCGCGAGGCACGGACGACCCGGCCGCGGCGGAGCTGGGCCCGGAGTCCATGTTGTCGACACGGAGGGCGAAGAGCTCCGGGTGGACGATGGTGAGCCAGGGGTTCATGGTCTCGAAGTAGCGTTCGGCGGCCTCCCGCCAGTTGATGTTGCGGGACGAGAGTAGCGTCATGATGGTCTCGCTGGAGATGTCAAAGGCCGGGTCGAGGATGGTGCCCGCGCCGGCGAGGTGGTCCGCGGGCTTGGAGCCGAGCATGTAGCCCGGGTCCACGACGGCGGTGGCCGGAGCCGTGTAGATGAAGTCATAGCAGCAGGTGGTGGTGAGTCTAGGGGAGAGGGTAGGTCAGTACACGACACGGGGTATCTCGGGTTTTGTCGTTGGGGGCGAGGAATCAACCCCCAACAACGTCGTGGCGTACCTGGTACAGCGTGAGCAGGCCGGGAGAGCTTTGTCGCACTTCTTCTTGGTGCGAGTGCACTTCTCGCATGCCCGGTGGGCGCGTTCTGTGTCCATGGGGGATTCGGAGCCCCGCGATGATGATACAGACCGGACCATGGCGTTCTTTCTTTTTTTCATATGATCTTATTTTGATTTTGCTTTCTCGTTTAGGTGTGTCTGCCCTAGAAGACGGCTCTTGTTTCTCTCTTGTGTGGTTTGTCTCAGTCAGATGGATGAATGGCACCCTTTTGCAACAGAAAGCCCCCAAAGGTTGAGGAGGATGACTAGAGGCGGGAGCTAGGCACGGGTAAATAACGGCGATGATAGACAGGTAGAAGGTAACAGTCGAATAGACACAGACGATGATTGATATCAGATCAAGTGTCAGAGAGACGGAACCAAAGCAAGGCTGGGGCAGAGCCGGGGGTATTTGGGGGCGGACCGAAGACGTCGAGACGAAGTCCATCTGCTCTGGAGCTGGAGGTTTGGTGATGCCCAGACGTCCAGAGATGGGCGTCTAAGCTGTTAGTCAGCTGCTGACGGCCAGGGAGATAGAGATGCTGTTAAGCATTACGAGAGCGGAGGGCGAATTTGGAATGGAAGAGACAGGGAAGGACGGGGAAGGATTGGCAGCGACAGGGAGAGAAGGGTCACGGCCATAGTGCCGTACAGTACGAGGTAACTTACGGAGTCCAGAATGCGGTCAGAGGCAAGAATTGCGGGAGGGGGAGGAAGCCTGAAGGAGGGGGGAAAAAGGAAGCAAGGCGAGGCGATGACGAGGCATCATTGCCAATGCGAGGCCCAGGCCGGCCCCAGGACAGGAAAATGTACCCTAGACGAAGGTTGCGTGCGCCTTGTCTGATGATGCATGGATCCCCGTATTATTTGGAACCATCCATGGGTATTTGGGACCATCTCTTGGGGCCATCATTTTGGGGCCGTCATTTTGGGGCCATATTTGGGACCAGCCAGGGGGGAGGGGCAAAGGGACCCGCGCTGGAGCTGGGGTGGGGATGGCGCACTCACTCACTGGGTTGGTACTGGCACTGGGCTGGTACAGTAGGTAGGTACCTACTGGGCTGGCGCTGACAGCAGCTTTTTTGGCTTCCATCCCCCATCTCGACGGGCTTTTTTTGACAGAGGGCTGGCTGCTAGCGGACCCGTCGTGAGACATGTCTAGGAGGTATTTGGATGTGCTGCTGCTGCTGAATGTGGCTATTTTTATAAGGCGCTATAGGCGAATTGATATGCCGAAGGTTTGCCCGCCGGGGGGGGGGTTTCTGCATGCAGCTGCGGTGAACAATTGGATGGCATGATGGCATCTCGAGTTTCCAACTGGGGGAGACGGATTCGCACGATTCGCACCGCCGTCAACGCCGTCACCACTGGCACTGGCACTGGCACAATTGGATACCTACCGCCGGCACGAGACGAGGGCCGGGCTTGCGGTCCTTGGGACGAGGCCCTTGGAACGAGGCAAGAAACGCCGCCGTGATGCCCGAATAAGGTTGGCTCCATCCAGGGCCGTTGAGACTTGCTTTAGCCTCAGCCTGGCGCCCTGATCGCCCCTTGTCGACGCTGGTCGTCCTGGCCTTACCCTCCTTGGAGCAATCCCTCGTCCTTTGTTGCGCGTTTGCCCCTTGTTCCCCTCGTGCCGGGTGTTGCTCTCCACCGATCAGAAAAGTGCCGCTCCTCTCGCAGCCAAGTGCGGCCAAGTGGCCCGCCCCTCCCTCCCCCCCAGCCCAGTGAGGCGCCGGAGGGCTTGCGGGCGAACATCTGTGGTGTGGGACATGGGTTGGGTCGTGATGGGACATGGCGCTAGATCTGCACATGGAAGAGGTCTGACGGAAGATGCCGCGTATCTTTTTTCCCTGTTGGATGTAGGGGGAGGGGCCGGCGCTTTGTTGTTGGGGGGGGGGGCTTGCTTGTTTCCGGAGTTAGACAGGCCGGAGGAGGCTGGGAAACAGTACCGAAGTAGACAGAGCGAGTGTGTCAGTCTGCGTCTGTTTAGTCTGTTAGTCTGTTACTCTGTGCCGTTGTGTGCCACTGTGTGTGCCACTGTGAGTTGCCAGTGTGAGTGGGTGGGTAATCGAGATTCGGAGATGCCGGTGGGAGGGGGATGGGGGTTGATGATGGATGATTCCTAAGCGTCCACGGGACGCCTCTTGGTGGTGAGACACCAAACTGACTTACACTATTACACTAGGCTGACGAGAGCCTTACTACGTACAGTACAATCAAAGGAGGGATTCAGTGGCAGTGTTTCCATTTGCTTCACATTAATTCTCCATCTCGCCTGTTTCTTCCCAAGGCCCATCCATCCATCCACACAAGCCACAAGACCGACCATCCACAAAGTCCATCCACAAAGCCCATCCACAACCTCATCCACAGTCCGTTCTAGACCATGTCAGAACCTTTAATCCTCGTCGACAAATCCATCCCGGACGGGTGGACAGGGCATGCATGCGTGCGTGCCGGGGTTACATGGCCTCCAGGACCGGCCATTTTTGGCACCATTGGGGCATTTTTTGGCACAATTGGGGGCCACCCGGAGAGGCACCTTCAGCGCACCCACAGCACGCCGACAGCACGCCTACATACATAGTGCATGCCTCTGCAGCACAGCGCACTAAATAATTGCGGCACCACTCCGAACCCATGTCGCATCTCCAACATCCATGCCACACACACACAAGCACACCACCAAACCGCCTTGATCCCAACCACAACCAGCCCAGCGCTGCATTTTAGCCTCGCTCTTCCCGAGCTGACGTTGGCCACTGCACTGGTTCCCGGCACTCCGGCCGACGGGACCTGCCACGCTCCCAAGCTGACACGGCAGAAACAGCCGTTTGAGATGAGATGAGATGGGATGGGATGGGATGGGATGGGATGGAATGGAAACTCCTTACGTACGCAGTAACTTACCCCGTACCACGGCTTCTCTATCGGCGCGGCTGACGGCTTTCCACCCCCGTCTCTCGGTCTCGCGCTGCCATCACGGTCCAATGAGACCCTCATCCACCACCACTCATACCTACGACTACTACTCCGTACCGGTACGTACAAAGTGCCAGGGGTTTGCAACCTGCAACCTGCAGCCTGCAGCCTGCAGCAGTCGACCGCTACCGTACACAAACACATCCATACATCATCGTACCGTAGTCATCCCCAAAGATATAAATAACCCGCCCAACTCAAAAAGTCAACACACACCCGTTCTCCCAATCCGGTGCCAATCCGGTGCCTCTCCGGATTCACTGTCCGCGGATCTAGGCCCGTCTCCCCCTGGCACCCTCGCAACCTCCCCCGCAGCGTCGCTATCTAGGCCCGCGGCCTACATACGGGAGAGGTTCGCCATGCCGATACGATACGGTGCATCGAAAACCGCTTCGGCCGGACCGTTGGGCAGTTCGGAGCCGAGCACCACCCCTGGCCATGACGACACGATATCCAGGAGAGTTTGTCATCTCCGACTAATACATGGGCTTGGTAAATTGCCATGCGTTCGCTATGGGGAAATCGGGCCTAGAACCCAGCTGGAGCGACCTCGACTCGCCTCATGGGCAGATTACACATGATGCCATGACCCATTACGCAGCAGGCACAGTAGCAACCACGCCCGCAGCACAATCAAATCAAGTAATTAGGGCACCAAGCGGGAAATATCTCTAGCCATGCGCATCAAGGCGCCAAGGGTTTCCAACCTGGGCAGACAGTGCGTGACTGGTACCGCTAAACTGAGCAGGCCCAGCCTGACTCGACAGAGTCTGGACTAATTAGCCAGCATGAAGCGCCAAACCACCCGGTTGCGGCCAAGGATCAGCGTCCCTGGCGACTATCTCCCCGTATGTCCCGATCACTTGATGCAGCGCAGGTCCATGCCATTGACTTGCCCGAGACATCCATACGAGTCTTGCAGAGCAACACGGCAAACTCACCGACTTGGCACTCATCTATGGAGTAGATGGAATAAATGGAGTAGACCCAAGGAAACAGGGAAACAGGGAAACAGGGAATGGACGGATTCCGCACCGTCCAAGCCCCAATTTGCCGGGGAATACCGGAGAATGCCGCCAACGTACGGAGAAATGCCGGCGATAGACTTGCTCCGTAAAATATATCCCTCCAAGATGTGAGTGACTCTTTTACATACGCTGTATGCCTCTTAAATGCGCAGCTCATCAATGTCGACGATATATCTTCGCCATGAATAGTCTCCCGACTCTCTGGTCACGAACTTAAAGCGTCCCGGAACCTAAAAATGTCCCCGGGCACAAGAAAGGCCCGCCCCCGCAATACTATCGCTTCGAGTCGGGAGCTTGAGTCACCCGGCGTGCGTCTTTCCCTGTTCGGGCAGGTCGTCATCACGCAGCAATAAGCAATGACTCGAAATACTTCAATTGACTTTTGTAATTCATAAACTTTGTATTTTGCGGTTGCTATGACTTCTCCATTGTCAAGAAAGCAATCCAGAGACCTTTGGACGTTAATTCGAAACGAGGGGAACTAGTCACGACCTGCCCCTCAGAACGGCCTCGTCCGGAATATCTCCGACGGAGAGACCTCTAGTTTTGAAGAAACTTGTTTGAACCAAACAGCCTCACAATCATCTCTACTCTGGCTTTGCGACATATTACCGAAGCCCAGGGATTGAATAGAGAGAACCCGAATTCAGCCGCCGGAAAATAACCATCTTAGCCATCCGCCATAGCATCAACGCCAACCTCCACTATCATGGCGCCAACCTACCGCCTCCGCCCGGGCACTTTCTCCGACATCCCAGCCGTCTCGAACCTGTACGTCCAGGGCTTCGACAAAGAGCCGCTTCTCGACTACATGTTTCCTGGACGCCGCGTTAACCGGGCCCCCTTTGATACGTGGATCCTTCGCCGTTTTCGGCTTAGGTACTGGACCTCGGGGTACTTTCTCACCATGGTCTTTGCATGTGACGAGGACGAGGACGGCATTGATGGCGATGATGATGCAGAGGAGAAGGGAGAAATCGAGAAATCTCGACAAAGGCAAGAAAAGGGCCGACCTGTAGGCTTTACCTGGTGGCACCGCCCCGCCGAGTCACTCCCTTTCCGCGAGCGCTGGCTCTCCCCGTGTAAGTCCTCTCCCCATCCGCCTCCTCTTCAACATGCACTTCAACGCCAACTCCAACACCAAACCAACGTCAACTTCGTTCAACCTAACTGAAGCTGCTTGCAGATGCCTGGTTCCGCCCGGTAATCTCCACCATCCTCACCCTTCATTCGCGCCTCTTCCCCATCTCGTCCATTGACCCGTACCCTCTCGGCATCTACGACCGTGTCTTCGCCAAAATCGAACCCGAGATCCTGAACTCCTCGCGCCGTCGCGCCGCTTGGTACCTCGCCACCGTGGCCGTTGACCCGGCTGTCCAGGGCCACGGCGTGGGTGCCTTGCTTGTTCGAGATGGCCTGCGTAAGGCGGACCACGAGGGCGTTGCGACTTGGCTCGTTGGCTTGCGCGGGCTGGAGAGGTTCTACAGCCGGTTTGGATTTTTGGAGGTCGGGAGAGCTAATGTAGGTGAGTTGAAGGATTGGGAAGGGGGGTCTATTATGTTTAGAGGCGAGTGATGATGGTATAGAAAAGGTGTCTCCTCTTAGCGAAGGCGGAGCGTTGATTTTCTTAACGGACATGCGATCAACTTGAAGATTCTAAAACAAGAGATCTGAGACGTCGCTAATAGGCCACTGGATGTGTTCTGTGCAAAACATTTGATTGTGTACTTCTATCGACCACCTGGGTACCGGGAGCTCTTGGCCCCGAACTAAATGCAATCCATGCCAACCGGACCTTGTGTTTCCGCCGCCGTTACTGCCATGAAATCAAACCAGCCATTCCTCTTTTTTTTTTGAGACCTGCTCAACTCCGTACCTCCTAAGACAACCGGCCACCGTATGATTTTCATCGTCCATCAATCGTGATACCGCCACGCCTGTGGTGGTATGAGCCCCGAAAATGCAGCAGACCAAAGTGCAAAAAGAAAAATAAAGTAAAGACAACAAAATCCGTATAAAAGCATCGCACACGAATCATGCGTCCCCTCTAGGAACCTTAAGGGCAAAGCCCAGAGGAAGAGACTAAGAGAGCAACCATGTTTGCATAGGCGTATTGCCAAGCCCTCCCAACATCAGACAGTGCTGCGTGTGTTGCGTATGCTGATGATCAAAAACACAACCTCGGGAAGAACCAGGCAGTAACCCGATGTCCCAGGTTCAAGTAAAACTGAAAGTTGCTTGTCCCATGCGTCTCCTCACGTCTGGTGGGTACCATAGCTTCTGACTCAGTTGCTTCCATGTTGGCCCAACCTCGCATGTCATTTATCCGAAGCTCCCACGTGTTCCTCTTTCAAAAGTCCGTCCGGCTGTTGCCTTGACCAACGCCAAGACCAGTAGGGTTCCCTTGGCCGCCTGTAGCAAGTATTTCGGGGGCTGCGGGCCCTGCGGGAGAGCTCGGGTCAGGGCTGCTGTAACCTCGGGGAGGTAGTTCGACGCCCGTCGACGAAGGAGTGGATGCGGCGACGTTTCCATTCGGGAAGTTGGTTGGGTATGTCTCAGAAACTAACAGGGTATGATGGCTGCCGGCACTGTCTTCGATCCCCTGCCAAGAAGCTTCATGAGCATCCATGGAGGCCGAGACGGGCGCCTTAGACCGGTTCGGTCGAGTGGGGCCGAAGACGTATGAGGATGTCGGGGCGTGCGGGGGCAGGAGAGTCAAGAAATCATGGTGCCGCGTCTGGTTTGGCAAAGATTGTACAGTAGAAAATACATTGCTGAACGCATAGTTCAGTTGATGCTGGCCAAGAGAGGGTTCGAGCCGGGGTATCTCCGCCCGAGAGTCGAACATCAGGGGCGCCGCTTGAACAGAGTGGACCGGGGCCGGACCGTTCGGAGATTCCGAAGCGTATCTGTTAATTGGCGCCAGCTCATTCGAGGCACATGGGTGGGCACCGGGAGATGGGCCCTAGAGGTTGTATGGTTCAAAGACAGGCCCCCGAGGGCCGTCTGCTGTCGACATTACTGACGCCTGTATATGATAATCAATATTGAGCTCGTTCATGAAGGGAGGTGTTGGGTTCTGACTGTCATGTTCCGAATGATGGTTGGGTCGATCATCGGACTGTGTGGGGGCCATCTGCGAGTGAGGCGCATAGACCTGCGAGTCGCTCCGCTGGCGCTGATGGTGAGCAAGTGAAGATGGGAGACGTTCAGTGCCATCAGAGACAATTGAGGAAGTAGGGGAATGCAGGCTCTCTCCAGGGCTCCCGTAGTCACCCCGCTCCTCCTCGACGGGTTCAAGAGGGGAAGTGTCTTTGGAAAAGGGAGACCCTTCATCCTCTCCTGGCTGCTCACCCTGGCCTGCCCGAGAGATGTCCTGCATCTCGACATCGTCAGAACCCTCGCCCGCGGCAACGTAAGGTGATTGGGTGGACCGAAGGGTGTAGGCGTCAACAACTTCGGGGAGGAACTCGACGGGAGGAACATCTCTGAGAATGCCTTGCTGAATGTCGCAGTGAAGTCTCTCAACAATGTTAAGGATGTCGTCGTGGGTCTTGCCCTCTCCTAGGCTCTGGATGATCCATCGAGGGAGAGGATCCTGTCCATTTTGCTCAACAAGTCGTCGCAGCTCGCGCTTGCGAATCGAGAAGGTCCAAGACCGGATGAAGATGCCTTCAACGTTGACTCCGCCGCTCGTCTCAAGGCCCTGGCTCCAAAAGATCATTCGCGCGATCTGCTCGTAGACCAGGTCGATCTGCGTCATGCTGAACTCGGGACCCTTGCGATAGCGGATACGCTGGTAGTGCTTGCGGCACATGCAAACCCAGGCTCGCTCAGGAATCCGACGAGTGCAAACCTTGTTGCGTCCAAAGATGTGGGAGATGACCTTGCGAGGGACAGATCCGGTGTTGCAGTTTTCGACCTGCATGCAGATATCACCACCGCGAAGGGGAGTCTCAACCGAAAGGCCGAAGCGGCCGCAGATGTTGAGGAGGCGAGGTTGGAAGTCGGCCGAAGGAGGAGTAGGAGGAGGGAGGACTATCATGACCATGGTTAGATATGTGAGACCATAGAGAATCGAGTCACGTACCTTGTGGCTGGGGAGCAGGAGATGCCTGTGTGCTAGCCAGGTTCTCGTCCATAGACTCAACAGGTCGGGAGGCAGGATGGGCTGCAGGTGAGACATCGGCTCTGCTGGCTCGGCGCCCTCTGCTGGCACTTCTGCGTCCACGAGGCATAGCGAGATGAGATTGCGATAGCACTGGTTCGAAGCTCTCAGGGGTGATTGGTGGCAAGTAGGAAGGAGCGTGAGCAAAGGTCGAAGACGAGATCTGAGGAGGGTTCGGTGCAGAGATGGTGCGCTTGTGGATGCGTTCCAAGGGATGCAGAACGCTGCTTCTGAGTGCAGAGTGACTTAATCGCAAGAGTTAGTAAGGATCACGACGTTGCCTTCTTTGTAGCCGAGCTGAATGTTTGACAAGGGATGGCGAAGAGCGTTGTGTAAAAGTAAACCACAGTCACCCGAAAGCGTTGTGAGTGCAAGGTCTTCTCTCGTGGGGTTTTAAAGACGTTGGGGAGATGGAGAGGGAAAAATGTCTGGGGAATGGCGCCGTGCCTCATCAATGACAAAGGGACGAGATGGGCAGTGATGCAAGGCCAGATGCCCATATATCCAGGCACCCATAGCGCTACCCGCCACTATCGTGGACGAGGGCTCCCTCTAAAAGATGCACCTGACCAACTATATGCATGCTGTAGGCAATTCACTGATTCCACGGGAGCTTCTGACAACTTTGGCAGGCATCTGGAGACTCGTTTGAAGGCATTGGACGGCACGAGAGTTTCGAGAAAATGTGCAGTGAGTGACTTGGGGAGCGGTAGAAGGCTGTAGCGTCTAGTGCTTGGAGGGGGAACGAATGGAGAGGTGAATTAGGGGTGTTCAGTGCCCTCTTAGGCGTTCAATGGCAGCAGATCTTCACCAACGCAACTTGACCCCGTTTGAGAAGACAATAACAAGAAGAGAAAACAGTCACATACCTCTGATCTACTGACAAACGGGATCGTCTCCGTTTAATGGCCCTCGCTTCTAGGGCAGAATCGTGAGGACTGCCTTGGGGGAAACCGGCAACGAACGTTGAGACAGCGCCATGCTGCGGCAAAGGTGGGAGTCTCGGTGAAGGTTCTCGACGCTCCACGTACTCCGGAGTTGGCGTCAATTTCGGAAGTTGCTCGAGCTTGGATTCCAACATCGGCATCTCCGCAGCCACAGAACTAACATTATGACTGCTGACTGTTGACATAGACGAGAAGCGCGAGTGTCCGCCAGAGAAAGTCGATGAACAATAGGATGAAAAGCTGCCGCGGCTGTCCGAAACCCTGTGCCTTGGGGAGCTTGCAACCCCTGCAGGTAGACCAGCGCCATGTTCGTTCCAAAGAAGACTCGACCTTGATCAATGTCAGCAATGTTCCCTCGCAGGCACACAAGGGTCTTGATCGCTGCTTCTTTATTCGACCACACCTGAAGGGATAAACTAGGCTAGCGGGAAACGCAAGAGGGTACTGACCTCCTTGAATCTGGTGGAGGGCGAGGGTCGCAATAGGAGCTTTTCAGGTCAGTTTCACTGTCTTCTTGAGCAAGTCGAGACGACTGTGTCAAGGTCTTCACCTTGGCAGGCGTTTCTACGACGTACCTTCTCCGCATCCAGGCTTCTTGCTGGAGATCTGATGTGGAATGCATCCGTCTATCAAGATAGTCAGTCCTGACCTAGTCATCTCCATCGATTCAACGCTATGCTGGGACTCACCGAGCTGGTCGGGGGTTTGAGAAGGGAGTAGGAACACTAGGAGCGACCATAGCCATGGTCGACTCCACAGATGCTATAGACGTATGCCTGGAGTGGCCGCCAGGTGCAGGCGCGCTGTATGTGGGCGCTGAATCCATGCGCTCAACTGCTGGGCGGAAGGTGAATGCTGTCCTTGAGAACTGTGGAGCAGCGTCTCGCGGTAGAGAGTAGCCTCCAGCGTCCCAGGGCGTACGAACTCGGTTGTCAGTGGTCCCGGTCGCCTGCTTCGCGGGCATACACTCGGGGGAAGGCGTTGGGAGCGAGGATGGCGCAGCAAAACTTCCTCGAGGGGGCAAAGGCGACGTCTCCTCCTTTGAAACCTGCTCACGGTGGCTTGGCCCCGTTGAGAGGTTGAGCATCGATGCGATATTCATGACGAAGGGTGGAAGACGAGGTGTCGATTGGATGTTGGGTGGCGGGTTAAGGTGTTAAGGCTTGCGTAATTTACGCAATCACCAGATACCGTGCTTGTAGCCCTTCTCAACCGGCTGAGAAGAGTCGGCGGGAATTAGAAGTCGAAAATAATATTAGTACACCGAGATATGATGCCGGTGGTTGAAAGGTGGATTAGTACTAGGCTATCGTCCCATAGCAACGGCCACAATGTCCAATACGCGATGTGAAGCAGGCGGATTTCTCTCCCAAAGGCAATTACTGATTAGATTAGGCAGAGATCCAGGAATCCTGCAGATTGAATGGGACGAGGTGGTCGAGTTCAGGGCGTCCTTGGTGATGCGACAGGAAGACGAGGGCGATTGTGTCCAGTTGGAAGCCGCCCCAGAAGGTCTGGGGATGTCGGGTCGTCGTCTAAGAGACCAGGACGTTTGATTCCACTCCTCCCTGGTATTTCGATTCCAAAGCTGAGTAGGTGCAGGACGTGGTAATGATGTGTGGGTAGAGGTGGTCCTCTTGAGCGATTGAGTTGGTTGGCGATTTTCCCCGGAGACCAGAAGTCTAGCTGGCTATGTTGGCCAAGAGTTCAACGACACCAGGTCGTCGGGCGTCACGCTGCGTCACTGTATCGGGGACGGTCGATGATTGATATTGGACAAATCCAGGTTGAGCAAAAAGCGAGTGACAAAAGATGAAGTCAAACGACCATCGACGTACTTGGGATGAAGGATGGAAAAGGAAGAGATGAGACGAATCTGCCACGAAGAAGAAGCTAATCGCTGGACGCTATGACTGGACTGACAACGCATGAAAGAGACGGTAGGGTTCGAAGACGGTAGTCGTTTGGGGTTGGGGTTGGGGTTGGGGGGGTTGAGGGTTGAGGGCTGAAAGGGGGGGTGGACCAAGTAGACATGGCCTGTCACCAGCTGGGATCCAGGACAGGGTCTTCCCAGCACGCGAATTCAGAGGCCAGAGTTGGCGAGGTCAAGGTGGTTGAAATGGAAGTTGCAAAGAGTTGCGGTATGGGGGAAGGAGAGCAGAGTAGGCTTGCAGCGGGAACCAGCATCTTCACCATGGCAAGGGGCGTGGCCGACCTGTGTCTTTAGCAGGCCGGCCTTGGTCCTCGGAGACACAAGGCACGATACCGAGTTGCATGATGCGTCGATAAGGAGACGAAGGAGAGGAGCAGCTTAACGAAAAGCTGCTCGGGCAGTCTAGGAGTGGCCCGACTGGCTGCCGTAGACGAGACGACGCTGGGCCGACCCCAGCAACCTGGCCTGATGGGCACTGGGAGGCTTGCGAGGCCCGGTGAAGCGGGCGCGGCCCTCGTAACTAGAGCAGTGCGGATTGTGTGGTTGCCGGCAGTTTTCGAGGAACGGAGCACCCCTGCCGGTTAGCATGACGGGTCGCAGATCATGGCGTTGAAGGCCCCGTCCGAACCATGATCTCCACAAGGGAATTGTCCGGGCAGGGTTCAAAACGATGGCATTTTGGAGGGGCCAACCCGACCGTTGTCGCTTAGACCTGGGCAAGACCGGAAGCTAACACCGTGGACAGATCAGAAATGATATTCCAGCATCGGCTGCGCGACCCCTTTGCCCAACGCCGGTACCGTTGAAGGGGAAGGGGTCGTCGAGGCGCAGCAGGCCGTCGATCTGCAAGCTGATACGTGCAATTGGGTGTGAAACATCTCCAGGGACTTGATCCGTTTGACGTCGCCCGGACTGGGGGCCTGGGCGTGGACTTCAGCCAGGGTTACAATACAGGGATGCAGAGCAGAGAGCAAAGGAACGGCAGCACAGCAGCAGCGCAGAAGCATTGCAACGCAACAGACCCGGGATCGACCCACCAACAGGCCCATGTGCTGGTCGACAGTTGGTCGGGAGATGCCGAGGCCAGGTGTTGGGAATGGCCCGTTCTGGCTGTTGGCGACGTTTCTGCGACCAGGCCGGATGATCTAGGCTAAACGGGACGGAAGCTGGCGGGGAGCTTGAAGCTGGAGGTTGGAAGCTGGAAATTGGAAGCTGCACGGCCAAACCATAACCTCCAGAGATGCTTCGTACACATCCGAGAGGCCGTATTTGGCGGCCATATCTCGCGGCCAAGTGCGTTTTCTTTCTCTTACCTACCAATTGCATCACATCGTGCAATATGTGGGCGGCCGCACCAATAGGTGCTTGAGCCGGACCCATCTGTGCGATCATCCACCGCTTTCTAATCTTGTTGTACCGCCTGATCCTGAGTGGCCGTCGTAGCAAGCCACCGTCAGTCAGTTCAGCTTGTCGCCAAGCAGTGCCGCAGGTAAAAACCCAGTGTCGTGCCCCCTACTGGCCTTGGTGGTGCCAAGTGTATTTGGGACTAGCCCGTCCGGAAGCCGCAACGACTAGGGCAGCTGCTGGGAGAGATCTGTGGGACGCTTTTAGGATGGTCGCAGGCCACTCTGGGTGGCTTTAATTTCCCGAAGACGATCGCGTTGCAACACACCGCATTGTCAGTGCGGGCTTGCCTGGGTCTGAGTGAAGCCTTTATTATTAGTGGAGCGAAAGCTGACTGACAAGACGACACGATCGAAGCTTGACATGGTCTTGGTACGTCAATGCCCCTCAACCTCTCGTCAGTTTGACGGTCAGGGCTAGCGAGGGGAAGACAACGGCCAGGGCAGCGAGTTAGAAGAGGACGCGTCGAGGTGGAGCCTCTCGGACGGAGGGACGGAGGGACCAGGGCGACGCATTGTCGCCAGTGTCCAGTATGTGTTGTAGGTATGGGAAGGGCCCTTGGGGTCTCCACGATCATCTCAGTGGTGTTGAAAGTCGCGGGCAATGGAGTCGCCAGCGTCTCCCTACCAGGGTAGCTTGCCCCATGTTTCATGCGTGCGGTGCCGCAGGCCAGAATAATGCCGACGGAGGACGGGCATGGTTTCTATGTGTGATAGATACAGGAAACTCGAGTAATTCGAGGTCGGCCGGGGCCAAGCGAGACAAAGAAAAGCGAGAGCCGGAAAAGGAAGCTAACACATCTTCGGCCGATTCAACGGGAAGCTCTAGCAATTGCGCAAGGATGATACATGCGCGTACTCTTGCGGTAAGCCGCCGTAGGGCCTAACGTCGTGGGTGGCGACTCGCAGGGAGGTGACATCTCGCAAAGCAAACACTGGTAGGGCAGAGAAGATGCCTGAGAGTCCATCATGGTCGAATACCGGTCGTCATTACCGTCAGGTGAAGCGAGCCCCGAAAACGGCTTAGAGGCGAACGGAGTCAATCCCCGGACACCAGACGGGACCGGGTAAGGAAGCCGTTAATAGTCCGGCGGTCATAAGCTTCGGTTCCTGCAGACGACGACCAACTGGAATTACTGAGAAGTGTGTGTGTGCCTCTCCGTCACAGGCACACCTTCTCTCGCTATCTCTCTCGGCATGTGGATGTGCATCCCCGAGACGGTGTATGCGTCCGTGTCCTTCTATGTCTATCCGTTTCTTAGAGGCGGCAAGTGGGCGGCGGTGGCAGAAACGGTCGCGGTAATGAGGTGTGGTGACGCGTGAAGCTTGGATGGGGTGGATACGCGGAGGGGACAATCGTCGAACAAGTCACAGCGGAGAAGCGGCGGGGACAGGATGGAAACACTCAAGAGGCAATTGGTTGGACAGAAGACAGCGGATGAGAGGGCGAGTGGTTGAGTGAGGATAACTGGATGATGGATGATGGCTGAGTGGATCATTGCAAAATAGTTCAGGTAATAAAGTGGGAATGATGAAAGGATGGGCGGGCCTCGTTGGAGCGAAAATGCACCTTCCATTCTGCTTGTGGAAAGCGAAGGAAAAAGGAAAGAAAGGAAAGAAAGAAGGAAAATTCTCCGAGACAAGCACCGCCGCACCTACCTCTGGTCGCACCCGGCATCGGTGCTCAAACATCGGCCAGGCGGTTTCAACTGCTGGAGATGGGACGGATTAGCACGGACTGCTCCCAAATATCCATAAATATTCCATAAATATCCCTGGCCTAACCCTGATCCATCCCTGATTGACGTTGCTGATACTCTAGCCCATGCACCGATTCGCGTCAGATCCGGGCGTCGTGTCGCCTTTCGCGGGTTTCGTCTCATGTGTCCCAGGTCCCAGGCCCCCCCCAGCCGAGCCCTGAGGTGCCCTGTCGCAACCGTCCCAGCGTCCCAACGTCCCAGCGTCCCAGCCGTCCGCGCAGGGGTGGGAGGCTACCGAGGGGGGATAAGTCAGGGATGCTGGTCCAACTGGCTACAATCCCCTGCCGCTGCACTCTTCGTCATGGATGGAGGATTGGTGGGTTGGTGGTTGGTGGTTCCTCGAAATAGAAATAGAAATAGAACAGCCGGAACGGTTAATTTATCAACTAACTAACTTACGTGCCCTGCTACTGTGGGCTTCTGCTCCAGGCTGTCTCAATCAGCTGGGGAGGGCACGTGAACTACTTACGGCGGCGTCCCAGAACGTCGTCATTCCCTGTCTCATCTATCTTGCATGGCGCTACATAAATGTGCCGACTAATTATGTAGGTATGATATATCTATACATGCCACTCACTGTCTTATCGCTGAGGCCCCTCCGCTGGTGGCGCCACGATTCAGCACTTGTCAAGGCGGCCGCGTTGGCTAATGCAAAGCAGAGCAAGTTGCTTTTCTCTATCTCATTGACTTTCTCTCTCGCTGTAAATCGAAGTATGTCTCTGCAACAACATCCACAGCGACGGGACGATGGGGCAGACGGTGTTTTAGTGAGGTAGATCTCATGTGCGTTTGCATTGGTGTCGTCCACATTATGCATCAGATAGCAGGATCGCTTGCGTCGTGTGCTGTGCTGTCGACAGTGCCGGCAGCAGCGTCGGAATGGGGTCGAGGCCCGCCAGTTTGACAAGCAAGATCCCTCTTGTGATGCGCATCATAGGGCAGATCCTCCAATCTCCCAGCTTCCCAGTAGGACGGCGTTCTGGCTCTGTTTTTAGCAACACCTTGTGTGTTCTAGACAGCTGCATAGGTTGTTCCTGTTTCCCCCCCTCCCTGATGCCCTCGTCCCTCATCCCTCGTCCCTCCGTCCCTCTATCCCTCCGTCCCTCTATCCCTCCGTCCACCCCATCCACCTACTCCGCTCCAGCCCTCACAGGGGACATGCTGGAAAAGCATGACGGTGACCTGCAATGCTCGCCCGGAAACCCAATGGCCGTGCGCAGACCGCATAACTCGGGCCCATTCTGCCAGTTTGCAGCATGCCATTTGCCCACCGTGAGTCGACCTGACACTAGTGCAGGTCCATCCACCCACCGTCTTGGGGCGTCCACGGGCATCGCGTCCAGCCCCCAGGCGGCCTCCACAGGTCACCCACAGGCGACTCCAGGCGTCCACAGGCGTCTGCAGGCGTCTGCAGGGCGCCACCTACAGGCATCGATCCCCTCCAACTGCCCCTCCAACTGCTAGGGTGCATCAAAATAAATGCTTCTCGACGCGGACGGACCCAACGCTAGCCATGAACTTGCAGATTGAATGAAGACTCTTGTTTCAGGTGAGTCGATGTATCAAGAGCTTCGTATGTATGCCCTTCGTCGCCCAGGCCACAGAGAGGCACGCCCAGGATCCTGTATGTACGACATTGACAGTCACCCGCCAGTATTGTCATTTGGCTAGGAAAAGAAAACATGCAGCCAAGCTACTCTAAAGTCACCACAACTGCGGCCCTCAATGCAAGCGTACGCCAACGCAAGCCAAACAAAAATAAGTGCAGATCTTATCAAGAAAAAACAATGGCCATAAACATTGCCAAGTGTCCATTGGTTTGTTTGTTTCAATCCTTCCTGCTCGTTTCTCTCTGGCGCCTGTTGTCCGCGGACACCCACACATCCCCCTCTACCCTAACCCCATACTCAAAAAGTCGCCTATCTAGGTGCCGTCCGGTAGCCGCTGGCGTGCCGTTCCCCGGGGCTCCTCGTATTCACCAATCGAGGGCATCCTTGTTCAGTCCTTGCTCTGCAGTAGTAGTGTAGTGAGAGGGTCTCATTTGGACAGGCGGATGCACCTCGAGATGGAGTCTTTTCTTGGCAAATCGTGATCGCTCTCACGCAGCAGCCGCTGCCCACCTTGGGAAGCGCTGCGAGCGCTCCACAATCACCTCACTATGCAGTTGGTCTGAATAGGATCAGCCTACCTGTACTTTAGACATGGTCCGGTCAGTGTGTAAGACGAGAGAAGGGCCGGAACTTTGTTCGTGGGTTTCATTCGGGTTGTCCCGGCATGTGCAAGACATGTTTCCCAGTTGAGAAACTCGACCACTTCTCTCATGATCTGATCTTAAGTTCTTCCGCGCACTCATTCCGTGCTAAAACATGCAAGGGGCTATGAGCTCCATATCGAAAATTTTCTCAGTTGTATTGCAGTGGCAACTGATCACTTTCCAATATGATCACCGGAAAGTGGCGGATGGCGGTTTAGAGGAAATCATCTTGTTGAGAGCCCACCATAGCGGTGTGTCAACGCCCTCGAACCCCGGATTTGCCAAAGAAAGCAATTAAAAGTGACCATAGAATGCCCCTGGGCGTACCCTCCCCCCTTTCCGTGGTCTTTCCTAGCAAGCCCACATCCCCATCGCCGTCCGGCGCAATATATGGCTCTAGCTCTCTTGCTCAGCTAGCCGGGCAACATCTAGCAACTCTTGAAACAGTCTACCGGCTCTAATGCTGCGCTTTAATGCACCTAACATCATCCTAATTCGAGTCGACGAGCTTCCTCTTCGGGAGGCCTTCACCTGTAGCTGAGCAGAGCATTACACCAACACCCACCCTCCGCACCTGAGCAAATTCTTCACAACGGCGGATTTGGGGCTTACAGAGATGGTTTTCATTGGACATATCACGGTATCATCATCTCCGTCGGGAAATAGTGCATGCGATCTAAGGATGGCTAGAACTCAACCCATGCCATGACCAATCATCCACCGGGTAACGTCCTGTAGAAGGACACACCCTGACATAGAAAGGGGGCGAATGGCTCATCCCTTGCAGTAGTATCACTGTCGGTCAAGAGTATGTGCCCCATGGCTGGAGACTTGGTGGAATAGCGTGTGGTCAAACTGCAAATGTACAGGGTAGGCCATTCAGAATACAACACCTTATACAAGACGCCATCAGCCTCTTGCACAATCCAGAAGGAGAGTTCATAGTATAGAGTGTTTAAATTTTAGATTAATTTCGACATTTTTAATCGCGTGGGGACTTTGTTTCTCATTGTATTGTGATGCTTAAACGTGTTTCTAGGAGTGGAATTGGAGGTGGTCTGGGGAAACCGTGTGCGTATGCCGTGAAAATAGCGACTTTATGTCGTGGACCAAATAGTCTTTACGGCAAATTAGCCGAATGAGGTATTAATTTAACCCCTGGCACAGAGAAGTTAACCAAACATGATGCCACGGTAGCCGAGGCTTTCTTGCTCTTTGATCCCAGCTCTTAGCTCCTCGCCTGGCAAGGACCTCTCACTCGCGATGCATTTGTGAAATAGTAAGATAGTAGTAAACGTCTCTCTAAAATTTGAACACGCAGTAGGCTCGTTATAGATAAGAGGATTGGTTAGAAAACCAAATCTGCATCCAATTGAGGCGGGATGCCCGTGGTTCAAGATTTGTTGAGGGCAACAACAATGGCAATTTGGTCTGAAGTAAAGACACCTCGCCGAATTTTATGTGAAAATAATTGTCAAGGCCACAGCAAGTTGGAACATAGATACATACACTTACGTATTGCGTGAAGATCAACTTGTCGAAGATATAGCAAAATGGAGGACGCCCAAGTTGCCCAACGCGACCAGGAAGCATCTCAGCACCAATTGTCGCTGTTGTGTAACGGGGTATACATATATGTTGAATTCCCCTTTGAATTTATAGCTGACACTTGCTCCGGAGGCTCATTTAGCATTATTTGTATCGATATAAAAACACGCTGGTCAAGATACGCTCCAGTCACACGACACTGTCCACACCTCGCCGTCTAATTCCACATCCCACACTGGCTGTCCCACGACAACCACACTCCCCACGCCCACAACCGCCCGGCGTCCCAGCCCCGTTAACTTTCCCTCACCGGCGAGCAAAAACCGCTTTGAAGCCGTCCCTGTAGCCTCTTCAACTCGCCCCTTGGCCAAGTACATTCTCCGACCAGGGCGTATCTCCTCGATTGTCACTCTTACCACAGCCTCGACCACTTGGTCTACTCCTTCCCAACCCTTGATATCGGAGAGCCAGCCCTGCAAGTCTGCGGCGAGTCCACCCGCGAGATACTTTGCGCCTCGGCGCTGAGGGGAGAACGCGGTTGGGAGCCCCTCGGTTATGATATCGACCTCGGCGGGTTTGAAGCGTGGCGGCGGGTGAAAGGTAGGTTGCTGAGGGGCCTTTGCCTCATCGTGCAAGGTTCTGGCCTCGTGAACGACCTCCATGATGCTGGCTGTTGGTGTATGACCACCAGCAAATGATTCGCCTTCTGAGTTACCATCCACGTCGTAATCTTGTTTGTACTGTGGAGGCGAATCCGGCATTGGCGAGATGGATACTCTTCGTCGCTTAGGCTCTCGCTCATCAAGGGGTGAACTATCATCCAAAACCCCGAAATGCCCAAGAGAATCAGGCTCTATAGAATCTCGAGGTTCGGCCTCTGGGTCACCGCCTGACATGTCAGCGCTGCCATCCTGAGAGGTTGTCATGCCATCTGACTCAATCTCGATAGAATCGTTAAGCGCGTCACCCTTCCTCCGTTCCCCCTCTTCGTTCTCATCATCCCCGGGACTCTCCTCAATTTGGTCTTCTACCTCTTCCACATCCTCAATATCGCGCCCACTACGTCCCTGAGTCGGCTTGGGTACAGACGAGGAGCCGAACCACGGCGTGGACTGGAAGCGCGGAGGCCCCGTTGGCGTCTGTGAGGAGTGAGGGCCCCGCTTTGCGAGGAGGAATCTCCGGGGGGTTGGTGTCTATGATAACCGTGAGTGGATAGGTCTTACTGGTGATGCATAGATGAAGTTCACTTACGCTTGGGGGATGGCTCATGGTGTAGTATTCGACTGCATGGCGCTCGGCGCCTTGCTCATGCAATCACCCAGCACACTGGAGATATCCGAGGTAGTGTCGAATTGGACGACCGAGTGTCGTTACGGAACAGGACTTCTCCATGCGGAACTAGGCGTTACAACAGGCGGGTATAAGCCGCGAACGCGCGAGTGTGTGAGTGTGTAAGAATGACGTTCGCGATAGAAGGACATTGGTAATTCGCGGCAGAATCCGGGCGGTGTGCCTAATTGGATTTGCTCGAACCAACCCAAGTTATGCTACCACCTAAGTTACACTGCGTCCCCCATCGACACTATTGGACGAACCATCGACAAATAGCCATGGAGTAGTGGACGAATGGATTAACGCAGAGTTGCATTTTCGAGAGATTCATCGAATTTCAAATACCATCTATCCTTCGTACAGTAAAAATGTCCCCGAAATAGACCTCGTCGATGGTTCTAATAAAAAGGCACTCCCTTGTACCGGCTTTTCCTGTCTCCCCGCAGGTAAACACAACGTTTAGAAAGTCACTATATATTCCTACAAAACGCCGGATTGTGTTGTGCGCCCGCAAGCTTCCTTCTAACCACTATGCATTGTGACGACCGCTTCCACCATGTTAACACACTCTTGCCCCGAGAACAAGAATATTCAAACCATCGCAGCAGGCTGCCGCGAATCCACGACATGTCACATCGAGTTTAAACAGGAGGGTGTGCAAAAACCGTCTCTGGAAACGGACCAATGTTGATGGCTTGGTGAGTAGGACCGGACCAGGATTACTGAGGCTGGCTGGAGCGAATGGTTGACCCAAGAGCTTGTAATAGCTGGTTGTGTTAACCATAGGCAAGCTCAAAGGTGGTCTTGTAGCTGCTCTTTGTTGCTTCGGTATTCTTGACATGGTGCAGCATCACCGGCGGCAAACACGGCCGGCCATGCTTCTCCTCCCATCTCTTACCGCCGATGCCCGTATCCGCCCAGCCCATCCAGTTGTTGAACAGGCGGTTAGGAGGTACTGCGCGGTAGTACCAGGTCGTGCCTTGGTATCTGCGTTCACGGCCCCAGCCCATGGGGCTACCACGGCCACCACTTTCACCATTCTCTCCGGGGTTGAACCACTTGGCAAGAAACTTGCCGTTCCAGTCTCTATCCATGAAGATGGGATGAGGGGCAAATACAGCCTTCAAGCCATGGAGGAGGGCAACGGTCTGAGGAGTCATCTCGGAGGCAACGTGGTTACCCCGTAGGTTTTCCACGTGCATGATGTTTAGCAACTTCTTGGAAATACGCGATTGCGTGACAATAGTGGTTCGGCGAGGGAGGTCTTTCGACCTGTGAGTCAAGTCGCTGTAGCCCCAAATGTGGTCCGCAATGACCCAGTTACTTCCGACGGGGTTGAAGATGGGTCCCACAGTAATGACATCCGCCTCCTCACCAACGCCCCATTTGTAGTTGTCATCATCAGGATTCGAGACTGGAGGTTTGGGTCCAATGGGGTTGATGAAGGGTAGGTTAATCGGTCCCCAAATGGTGTTGTTGCCGTAGCGCTGCTCGATATCCTGGCGAAACTCAACATCATATCGACCGTGATGTTCTGGAATGTACCATCGCTCGTTTCTCTCCCACAAGCCCTTTCGTGGTTGCTTTGTCGAGAAGTCCGCCAGCTTCTCCAGAAGTTCGTAATGGTGCCCCGTGAAACGGAAGTCCATCTCCCAGTTCCAAACATAGTCAAACTGGGGGTGATCTTGGCTGAACTTCTGGACGGAGAGCCACTGCGCAGTGTGCACGCTGCGCTCTTCCTCATCCTTCAGCTCCGTGTAGATATCCCAGACAAGTTGATCATTCCACAGAATAGTAATGCCTTGGAATTCGGCAGGCACGTACCGCTTCAGGACGCTTTGATAAGTGTCGGCGTCCTCAAAGATGCGGAGACTGTTGTCCTTGACTTGAACTAGAAGGAAAACCTCGTATTCGCCGCCAGACCTCAGAGACAGCTCACTGATGAGAGCCCGGATGGTTTGCTTATCGTTATCGGTGTACACCTTGCCAGTGTAAGATCGCAAGAGGATGGCTGTGCGAGATTCTGAAATGAAGGTATTGGGGGTGTTTCGGTTCTCCTTGGTGTGAAATTCCTTGTCGTCTTCAACAGCCTCTTCAGTGATGGGCGATGTCGCTGCGTTGGGCTCCTCCGTCTTACCTCGCTGGGATAACCAAGACTCTGGCGTTTTAGATCCCGCGGAAGCTGACGATGTCTCTGGGTAGATGTTTAGGTATTCGTTCTTTCGATCCTTGTTCATGTCGTATCGCTGGGCGTTTTTGTGCACACATGCTCGCTGGAGATCGCCCCAGTTGACCTTGGCCCACTCCAAGGGCTCCGGCTTGCCACTTTCGCCAATCTTGTTCTGAGGAGTCAAACCGTAAGGACCCAGTCGTGTCTCCCGCTCCCAGCACAGATTTCCATCCATATTCATAACATCATAGCCACCCATCCTTGGCGTCGGCCACTCGTGAGGTTGGCCTTTGAAAACAAGGAGATCTTCAATGTAATCATTGGTAGCGCCCTTGCATGGAACGTAGGGTGCGTAGCCCTTCTTCTTCCACTCTCGAGTGTTGTAGTTGGGGTAAGGATCGTAACGAACGGGCTTCTCGACACTGAATTCGACGTCGGCTTCTGGGTCATATCGCAGGTCGGAGCTAAACTCTTCGGTGCGAGCGTCCTGGTGCTCGAGTGTGGCGAGAGTGTTGCCGTAGATGAGGTTGGACGTCGGAAGGCTACGATGACAGTGTAAGCAAGGGATACGGGACTGGCTATATCGCAAAGTAGCGATAAAATACTCACTTTTCAGTGACGGCATAGGCGTGCCTCCACTCCTTCCTCATATCCTTCTCGTGCTGGAGCCTGGCAAGGGCGCCAAATCCACGTTCCTTGCCATCTAGCTCGTAGCCCAGCTCAATGTCATTGGGATCCTCTTCGTCAGTCGGATCGTCCCAGTCCTCAAGGTGCTCGGCGGTGAGCTCCCACAATTCCTTCCGATTTTGAGGTGTTTGCCCATCGGTCTGGCCCTCTAAAGGATGGCCCTTGGAGCCTCCTGGAAAATAAGGCGGTACGGCTGGAGCATTGGAACCCGAGCCACTGAAGAGGATATAGTAGGCCGATAGCATGGCGATGACAATGAGAAACGTCGACTTGGGCCGCAGCTTGCCGGAAAACAAGTGCCGCCCATGACTAGGCCACCTCTTCATGATGGGCGACGTTCACCTAGCCCAAGCGGAGTCGTCGGGGGCGGGTAGCGAGGGCGGTGGTGTCGAGATCGATCGCGACGAGCGTCGCAACGGAGTAGGGATCAAACTGCAGGGCCAATTTGAATCATAAGTATGCGACGTGGTCTCCGGCGAGGAGCTTGAGTGCCAGCAGCAGGCGGCGCAAGGTCGAAAGCTTGTCGCCACAGGGAGAGTCAAGGGTGGAATGGGCGAGGCCCGAGGCGAGACACAGCCTTGCAGTCTGGCGTCCTCCTGGTTCGGGGCCGAGCGCTTTGCCAAGGGAGCGTCGTGGCCTCTGTCAAAGAAAGCCGGCGGGAGGGAATGTGAAAAGGCGGCGCGATAAGAAAAATGGTGGCTCGAAATGCAAGTGAAGGGAGGGAGGGAGGGAGGCGGATGGGAGAGACCTGGTCACCAACCAGGAGGTTTGAAGGAACAGGACACACAATCAAGGCTCGACCAGGAGAGCAGGAACGGGATGTCGCTGCTTCCTGATTAGGGGAACCCAGGTGTGATGAATGTGGCGTCAAAAAGAGTGGGATAGGCGGGACTGCACGAGTCTTCACAATCCATGTAACACGCAGACTTTCCCTTTTCCTCTACAAAGTAGGTACGAAGTACGGGGTCCAATACTGGTGGTATCGCTGGAGCGTCCCCTAAACCAGACCTCGTCCAAGCGCCTTTAGGGGACTTGCCCCTGCGTTTAGTGGAGGTCAGCTCAAGGGACTAGGCCGCTAGGTGCGTTAGTGACGAGCCACCTCAACCTAGCAATGCAATGGTTTGCTCTGGCAGTGGATGGCAGTGATAACCGAAGTACCATTTAGTCTGTAGCTTTGCATTGGGATATTGGCTGAGTGAGACTATGTGTAAGGGGTATGCGGCTGGATTCCGCAATCTTACCAGCCATCATCCGTCACGATGTACGGAGTTCCCAATCCGTGGAACCTGCCACCCGGTACAACACAAGCACCGGCAGCACTGGACGGTATATCAGACGGCCTTCATGGGTCGCTTTGGGGAGTTTGGTGGGACCCATGTTCGCGTGTTCGTGGACAGCCGCCATCGTCCCGTCGCGGGTGGGTGTCGTGGCTCTAGTGGATGGTAGGTATTCTCTGTGGTGTGGTACGTGGAACTCTGCAGCTGTGGCAAGCCCCTGACGAGAATTCTCCAAATTTCAAGCTGCAGCGAACTATTACCACGTACAATCGAGGAGCAGTCTCCCTGGAATGCCTCGTGCTCCAAGAGATCTCCAGTTGGGGAGCGAGCTTCTGTAACACGTCACACCTCTTCCCGGTCCTTTGTCGTCCAAAACGCTCCGCTTCGTTTGCTCCATCGCCCTCGCTCATGCGACGTGTCTTATTGTTGCTCGCTCTCGCTCCCAATCCCTTTCCTGGCTTGTTTATTAGTTACCAGTGGAGCCGCCCCCGGCCATCTGCTGTCGTCATCAGCGTCGCAACGCCAGAACGGTCGCAAGGATGTTGCTGAGTACCTAGCGGGCATGCGTCAACATTAACGCTGCTGGTCTTTATCCTTAGTGACGCTCTTGTTTTCTCCGACTGGTTGGTTTCGGCGAGAATCAAGAACATTCGGGAATACCCATATGAGTGGCTTGGAAAGTGCGACGAGGCTGCTAACTGTCTTTCCCCTGGTGGAGAACCAATATTTAGAGTGAGCGATGCCAAGATTTCTTAAATGATTGCCGTTGAAGATCTTCTTCGGCCTGATTGTCCCTGCTCGTACCCCCCCGTCTTCTCCGGCGAAATATGACCCGCTCCGCTCATACACCAACGCCCTTGAGCGTGGTGACTCCTGGTAGGATTGTTGCCTTGCGACAGGAATAAGTATCCGATTCGCTTGAAACTGCAGTTTCCTATTCTTGAATCCAACCGGATATCTGAGTGCACGGAGCGTCGATTTCGCTGACGCATGTATAAATAGTTGTGGCAGTGTCGAAACCTACACTAGTGTTGGGGAAAAAGCCAAATGTCATGGTAATTCTCCGCACCTCAACATCAAGCATATGAAGTATGAGGATGTAGTCCCTTAGCCAGCGAATTTGATGTTTGGGGTTTTCTGGCAGACGTTAGATCAAGGAGGACGCTAAAACACAGCCATGGGAAATAACAGTTGCCATGTGGCGCCCGTGATTCAACCAAGACGTAGCTTAGAGTACGCCCCTAACGCGGCAGATTCGACAGGTATTGATTTTAGTCGACGGCATAGTATAAGCTTCCGTACCATTGATTCGCTGCTGAGAGATGCATGCCGACAATGCTGTCCAATATTGATAATGCTGTCCATCATTATCTAACAGTGGATGAGGGTTTAATCAACGGGCGGGATTGGGATGGGCTCGGAATCAGAGCAACCTTAAGTTACAACACAATCACCATCATCGTAGACACAAAAGTTTTACAATTGAATGCGAATTTTATTAAGACAAAGCCTTCCAGGGGTCTCCAATGCCATGCACAATCCAATGCAAGAGTTCCCATCTCACGCCGTCCCCAAAGCTGACGCTTCCCGGCACAAGACATGCAATACCACCTTCGCCCCAATATGCGTGCACGATGCCATAAAACTCCCCGCGACGCAAAAAACCGCACCAACATGATACATAAATGGCCGACCAACGCTGATGCATTGGCCCCTTTTATGTAGAAAACAAAAATCTTGCAAAACAAAGTGCCCGATTTTCCACGGGTCCAGGTATATCGGGGAGCCAAAATCCAAACCAGGGGGTATAATGAAGCAGAAAAAAAAACATCCCAACTCCTGCGTCAAAGGAGAGTAAAATCGACCGTGTAGAACCGTAATGGTGCGTCAAGGTCGGATTACAAATCGGGGTAGGTCCATTAGGAGTCGTAACGTCAAAAAGTGGAGGAATTAGGTCGGTTATCATCACATCATGCCGAGGCGGGTGTTGCGCTTGTTCATCCGCGGTCGTGAGCCAGGGCCGCCAGCAACGGGGCCAGGGCCGAGCCGGTTTCCAGTTGGAAGCCCGTACGGAGGACGTGGAAGTCCCATGCCGGGAGGAGGTCGCTGTCCGGGCGAGGGTCGGCCAGGGAGGCCGGGCTTGCCTCGAGGACCGGGAGGTCCCAGGAACCCAGGAGGACCAGGAGGGCCGGGAGGGCCGGGAGGGCCAGGAGGTCCAAGAGGCCCTCGGGGAGTTTGCGGTCCCTTCATGGTCCGATCTGGTTCGGGCCCCTGGTCGTTGCCGGCAAGCCACGGCTGCTGGACCCGTCGCCAGGCGTCTCGTTCGCAGTATGACTTGCCGTCCACCTCGAAGTAGCCCTCGGAGAGCGATCGCCCACAGTCAAGGCAACGGAAGCAGCCCACATGGTACTTGATTTGGAACTCGTCCTGCAGATACTGTCCCTCTATGCCCTTCTGGCAGCTACCGCACAAGCTACCATTTAGCTTATGGTAGTGCTGTTCGCAATAAGGCTTGTCCTCGTGAACATAAAATTCAGCAGAGGTAAATGGCTCAGAGCAGGTTGTACACACAAAGCACGCCTTGTGGTACTTGCCCGTCAACCTCCCGTCCGCGGATGAAATGCTCTTTCCCGTGATTTCAAGCTTACAGGCCTTGCAGGAGCCTCTGCTCGCGGTTGGGTCGCGTGACATTTTTCGAGGAGGTTGTGATAGCGGCGCGGGTGCGACGTAGGGACGATAGGGCTGGATAGCCGGGTCGACAGGCTGTAGGTCTCGGGGGGAGGTGCTGTAAGGACCGGGCGTGACCGGGGCATCGAATCGGCGGCCGCTTTGGATGGCTGGGTCGAGCCTGTCTCCCGGAGAAGTCTCGTAGGGTGACTCGGCCAGTGGTGACCTGGCCCGAGGTGGTTGTAGAGCAGGGTCGATTCGCAGGTCCTGTGGCCGCAAGCTATCCACCGAGCTCTGCATATCGCTCATTCCGCCGTTCATAGTTGACGGATCGGAAGGCTGGCGTCGGGTGTGGGATCTCGCCGGGCTGGTCTGGGAACTCGTTTGACTGGGGTGGCTGAAGGTTGAATATCCTGAGGATGTTGAGTCGGAGGGTGTGTGATAGGGGTTGCTGGTGCCGAATTCGGCAGCTAGATCTACAGATCCCGTATTCTTCTGCGGGCGTAGGAGGCTCTTCCGGGGCGGAGGACGTCTTGAGGTATCCGGGCCCATGGATGGTCTGCTTCTATGACCCGGAGCGAACTCGGGCTTGTGGCTATCGGGTCGAGAACCGGGTGCTGAAGGTGCTCGATATGGTTGGATGTCTTGAGGATGCGATGCCTTGGGAAAGGTGTCCGAACGGGTCATGAACCCGAGAGGCTTCGGCTCGAGCTCGGGGTCAAAGCCTGGCGATGGCGGGCCAAATCCCTCATAGTCACCTCTTTTTGGTATGCTAGGAGCAGTAGTACCAGCGCTGCTGGTGCTGGTTGCACTGGCTGCGCTGGCGGTGTGATAATGAAGGGGCGCCGTTGCTGATCGTTTCGGAGCCATGGGGTCTTTCGGCGCTGACAGAAAATCGATCGGCTTGTCAAATTGCTTGTCAAAAGAGGCGCTGCGCGGAGGAGGGAACGAAGGCGAGGAAGGACTCCTGCTCGTGTCAAATGGCCCCGGCGCGATTGTCTCCATTCGCGCCATCAGAGTAGAGTTGACTTGAGAGCCTGGGCTCACAGAGAGATGCATTTCCACTTCGGACCCAGACAACGCAGAGGCCCCAGACTTCCTATCACTAAAGCTCGGGAAGAAACTGGGACTCTCCATCGGGCGGGACGAAGGAATCAGGTCATCCTCGAGCGCAGGAGATGAGATAAAAAAGTCGTCTCCTCGAGGGGGCGACAGACTTCGAGATTCGCCAACGAGGCTGTTTGGGGTCAACTGGGATTGTCGCATCCACGGATCATCTAAGTCCATGTTAGTGAATCTAGTCGCTCTGTCCGACACTCCGTCCACTCACTTGCTACGTTAATATCGACGGCGGGCGGAATGCGCCCAAATTTGTCTTGCGCCTTGGACGCATTGTATGGGGTGTAGGGTTCATATTCATCTTCTTCTGGAGGCGGTGACACTGTTGACCTGGTTAGTCTGGTGGGATGGAAGTTCCTGGTGGTCGCCTTACGCTCAGCTGTCGGTCCGGTGCAGATGTGCTCTCCCATGAGAGAGATTTCGACTTGTCGGCCACATGATGAACACTTGATGGTGGGAAGCATCATAGACTCCCGCAGCATCGCCATGGTGAAGGTTGAGGCGGTGGCCGCAGATCCGAGGGGTTAGAGTCGGTGATGGGCGACCAAAGTCCTACGATTCATTGGGGTTCGATTGTTCAACGCCGACTGGGACAGCGACGTTGAAGTTCGCTGGTCGGAAGCCCAATATGGGTCGATGTGTGCGCAAAAAAGTGGTGGAAAATGGGCGCAGGTTTTCGCGGTGAAGTCGTATCAGCGGCCAGGGCGGTGACGACGGATGTGTTTCGTCCCCCCAGGCCAGCCAGTGTCCTGTTACCGGTATCCCTGGGGTCGCTGGCGAAAACCGGCAGTGGTGATGCCAGAAAAGCAAAGCTTGCGGTTGGGCAAAGAAAGCAAACGGCGGAGGAGATGTTTGGAACGGCGATCACCTCAGCCAGGCTGCAGGGTCGCTCGAATATGGGGGATATCGCGAGAGTTTGGGGCGAGTTTGTTCGGCTGCACGCACGTCGTGATCCGAGGCCGGGATTGAATCAAGGCGAGGAAACGGGCAGGCCACACCAGACGAGACGACGTCTGCAACAGAACGACTCAGCGCAAACACGTCCCAGACACGAAAGGACAGAGGGAAGTTCCGAGAGACGGCTCGCGGTCAGAGGAAGCGCCGGGCGTGGTGTCTCGAAGTGTGGAAGTGTGGAGGACGGGGCCCTGGAGACTGTGGGCTTGTTGCTAAGGGGGACCCTAGGCCCATCCTGGACCTCATCCTGGCCGTATCCTGGCGCGCTGGCGCTCTTGTTAAGTTGGGTTGGTCTCTGCGCGAAGCTGCACACCCCTGTACCCCTGGCCGGCGACTGCAACGAGACGGCGGGCGAGCAGACGGGTCTGCGGTGGGCGCGGTGTGGAAGAGCCCATCGTGGGCTCTTAGTCCGCTTTGCTTCAGGTTTGCCGTGGTTGTGGGTTGAAGATCTTGGAACGGGTATACGACCGCATAGGCAAACGACGTGCAGCTCTTTGCACCGTTGCGTGTGTAAAAACTATTCTTAGCCGCTTCCAATGGCAAAATCCATTAATACCGTGCTAGACAGCGAGCACTGAGACACGGCTTAACTTACACTGGGGAACCAGAACCACATCTTCACCTTCCCCCCCACAACGACAAGTAGCCCCTCATTTCATCTCACTTGGCAACTTATTAACAGTACGAACCCCATTGCGTCCATCCATTCGGAGCACAAGGAAGCCATCGTTGGCTCCTGTTCTCGGCTTCGGTTGGCCTCGCTTGCTCAGGATTTCATGCCTCCTATCCTCGGACGAATACCCTGCCTGCCCTGGTGCCCCGAATGGCCCTGTAAACGGAGCTTGCAGATGGAGCCTGCAAATGCAACTGGGATGCATTGTTGCATCCAAGCGAGAGTTTACCAGCCATGGAGGACGGAGTACGGAGTACGGGCTCCTCCGTCCAAGACCCCAGTGATCGGTCACCACCTTGGGTTTGGACGGATGGGATGGATGCCACCTCGACTGCACAACAACCGCATCAACAGTCCAAGGAGCCATCGGCCGACCCGATCAGAGAGAGCCACACTCTCCACACACACTTGACCGCCCTACGCCTCCATCAAGTGCTACCAGTGGTCGGGACGTCATTGCCATCATCTCTAGTTCATCAAAGCGGCATCGTGACCAGAGCCAGTGACAGCGCCGCAGAGTTCACGACTGAGGCTTCCTCCGGCTAGGACCGCTTCAGTCATACGACGCCCCAGAGCACTGTCCAACAGCCGCTCAGAGTCGGATCGCAACGTTCTCACGGCCTCGTGCACGGAGTCTCGTACCTTGCAGGAGCTCTGTGCAAGTGGCCTAGGACCCTAGCGCAAGCAACGCTCCCCAGCGGCCCCTGTGGTCCGCTAAACCGCGCTGGGAGGTCACCCGGCCGAAAAGGGAGCTGTCTCATCAAACGTCCCTTATTGCCCTCATGGTGTGGTCCGAAGGCCGTGGGGAACAACCTGTCAACGCTCAGGGTTGGATTGCGGCACCAATTAATGGCAAATCACTAATACGGACGGTGGTCCTCGTCCGCCCGGATTGGTCAGGGAAAAGGGCGAGTCTAAACCAAAGCCAAGCTGGCCTGGCCAACACGATGTCGGACGCCATTTTTGCCTGCCCGCCATCTGTGGGCTTCCTTGTGGGTTCCATAACGGACTCCCAAATTCGGACAAGCCTCGCTGGTTGAACAGGGCTGAGGGGAAGTTTCCAATCTCTCGATAGCGGCGCGGGTGGCCGTGTTGATTGGTGGGTGCAGGCGGCGGAAGGATAAAGGTGATTGCTTAATTGGGGCTCTACTGCTGGCCCAGCGACCCTTCCACCTTCAACTTGTCCAACTGCCCTTTTCAGTGGCTGCCCTGGACGAGTGTGGCTGATCTTCATCTCTCCCACCCAGCAGTGAGAGCCTAGTCGCTCGTGATGCTACAACAATGCGTGTGATGGAACGTTAGATTTGAGTACCGGCAGGTTGATTTCCCGTACTACCCAACCATCGTGCGGCGTTTCGTGACGGCCAAGATGTAGCAGATATCGAAACCATCCGTCCAGCGATCTGAAAGCTCGACTCCACGGCTGCCGACCAATAGGTCGGCACTTGAGGGCTGCATCTTGTCTGAGGAGCCACCTCGGCCATGGGACTCCACTGTCCCAGGTACCAACGGGAGCGCTGTTCTGGGATTCCATTAAACCTCCGCGCGTAAATGGAGACTAAATGGAGATGGGCAATTCAAAAACGCGACTCATCTGACCGCTTCTAAATCGATAACCTGTGACTAAGGAACGCCACGCGGAGGAGACGGGACTCTTCACGTGTACTACACGACCATCTCCAATTTCAAAAGCTCCCCTTTCCCTCAGTTACACGATTCATGCCCATCCGAGTTAATTCAACTGCGGTTAGGAATGGAAGGTTGCAAGCTTCCACTAGGAGCTGTGGTTTCCTGAGGCTGAACAACGGCGTGCGCTCGACCAAGAAGCTAGGAGACATCGAAGCTTCCCGGATGAAGCCCTCTCCGGTTCTCTGGGGAACAAATCACGCGCTGGTCAGCCTGTACACAGTACCAAAATCTTCTTTCTACGGTTGGCAGCAATAAGGGCAAATATAGCTAGGGGGTACGCGAAAAGGGCCGTGAGAAACACTGAAGCACGCACAAGGGGAAATAATAGCATTGTTCTTAATTCCCGGGGTTCTCCAACCCCAACGCTCGCTTCGAATTCCGACATCTGAGTCTTATCTTCAAGGAATTGATCATCCGAGACGCCAGTGCCGCGGCGGGGAAATCATTTGATGAAGGTGAATTTAGCGTGGAGTACTAGCGGTGTCTCGATGCTCAGCGCGCCCCAACACCAAGACGCCATGAAGATGGCGCACGTCATTCGGACCCTAGCCCAAATCGCATTCATCCAGGGGGAGGACACCCGATGTCTGTGGTTTCACTTGGCCGGTATTGTGGGCGTGATCGCCAATCGGCTATCTGACACCTGCTCAGTCTCAAGTGCACGGAGATAATTGCAGCTTACAGTCAGCGTTGCGGGCCGCATGGAAACGATAGTTGGAGGTGGCTAGTAATAGTGAGAGTGTTCGATTTGACTTCTAGACCAGGAGTTGCTTATGGCCAAAGTCCAGCGCCTCGTTTGGGAGATAGTGTCGTGACGATAAGAGGACGCCCGCCCGAGTTCAACTACCGACGCAAGGCGGATGAAGACCAATGAAACATGATCTCAAGTTATCAGCCCCTCGATGTTTGAGAGATGGTCACGATAGGGTCCTTGATCGACAACTCTGTTTCGGGTGACAAGCTCCGGGCAGGGGGGAACGTTTCTGCATCTGTTTGATGTTGTAGTTTAGATAGGAAACAGTGAACAGTCAGAGGAAGTTTCCCGATGAACACGCGTATCCCCAACCCGCGGGCGGCCTCCACGTCACCTCCGCCTGTCCGTCAGGCTCATGCATGGGCCATTTGCTCCGATGTTGGTGGACGGTGAGCCGGAGGCAATGGCCGATTTGCCGACCGGTGTCGGCAGCGGTGGAGTCCTCGGGGCGGGCATGGTGAGCAGAGTCCCATTGAAAAGGCGGAGAGGCTGGATCTGCAAGAAGAGAGCGACGGTGCGACCTGAGGCATGATCAAGGGCACCAACGGGAATCCTTGTCGAATTGGCTGGAGTTGCTGCTTGGCTCGACAAATGGCAAAATGTCATAACAGCCGCTGGAGCCGTTGAGGTAATTCCGTGCTAGCGCTCGCAGAGTTGAGATCGCCGAAGGATGCGGCAGGCCAGCACACCTCCTCTGCATCCTCAAGCGACGGACCTGATCGGACCAGGCAACGAAGCTGCATCCAATTGTTTCGAGGTTGGCAATATGTCGTGACCTGATTAGATAACAACTGCAGTTGCACTGCACTGCTACTGCGCCATGTGTGAGCGCTCACCGTGTTCCACCAACTACACCGTCTCTGTGCCTGCGTATCGTCGCTGCAATCATGGCCGAGAACCCAGCCAAGGAAGACCAGGATTCCAAGCACTACAGATATGCAGGATGCAGGACGCAGCCAACAAAAAGATGAGCATGAGCATCAAAGCGTGCATATTCACGCATTCTTAGCAGAGCAGAGTCCCGTGTTAACCCTATCAGTGCTGTCTAACGTATGGCCGCAGAACGAGTACGGAGGGCCGGAGCACGGAAGGCCGGAGGGGAAGGATTCGGATTCGGCGTGCTCTCAACAAGGTAAGACTACGCATCGATCTCGGGTTACCGTGTAGGCTCGCGCCGAGATTGGGCGCAACTGTATACATTACGTACTCTGCATCCTATGCAGGACAGCTCTCTACATACGCGGAACCAAGTGCGCACGCTCAGGAGAGACACCGGGACGAGGGACGCACAAGACATGTTACCCCTCCAGGTCTCAGTGGTCTTGGGTCCTCCCGGGTCCCGCACTCTGCCGAAGTCCCAGGGACAGCGCCAATCACAGACTTGGCGCCTTGGTAGTGAGGAAGCCTCCTGCACGACTTTATTGGTGGCACATAGATTAAGGCCAAATCGCATCTTCGCCGCCCAATGGCACGAGCTAGCGAGGGAGAGACTCGCGGGATGCTGCTCTGGAATGATGCCAGGGGCATAGGGGGCTCAGGCCACGGGTTCGGCAACACACGCACAACTACTGGATGGAGCCCGATGATCCATTGATACCGAGAGCCGAGAGCAGCCAGGCACGCACCAGACAGGCAGACGCAGACCGAAGCGGACAGATAAGCCGCTGACTGGGCTGGCGTCATCCCGTGAGTGCCCGAAGCACATGCTCTGTTCGAGTTGAGAAGTTAGTTGAGAAAGCCGGATGAAAGCGAGCGTCTGTCTTCGATACGGCCTCCAACCACGGGCCAAACCACCAGCAAAATCACTCTCAATTCCTCTCATCGTCGTCCACTGTAAAAAACACCCGAAAACGGATCTGTAGCCCCCCCTCCCCCGCCCCCTCCGCAGCATCCGAATCAGCCCACAGCGCTCCGGTGCTGGGTCGTGGCTGTGGGACGGCCCACAAGTTGCAGTCTCCAGCGTGCATCAGCGCCTCAACAGGCCTAACTCTTCTGTGCCCACGACCGCTAGATTATCGCGACCCCACTAGTGCCGCGTCTTCACCGCCCACGCTCGACGTGGCAGCCAACTCGTGTTCGCCTTTTGCACCATATTTGAACCCCTTCGTCTCCGTCGCTTTTTCCGTTTCTGACTTTTCGCTCTCAACCACAGAAAATCCAAATCATTCCAACCTTCAGCTTCCAGCTTCACCCTCAACCCTTTCATCAGTCTCTTGTAGTCCACCAGCTACTGAGTTCTGCTCGGCTACCCCGCCAAACAACAACCACCCCGCCAAAGTCACCTTATCACAAAGATCGAGGCTTGATCTCGATCACTCCAGTCGTCAAGACGTTTTCCAATCTCCTCAACTCGTATGTGCCCTCTCCCCGATGCTCTGGCTGCTGGACGCCCAGAGACCACCAAACCACCGCAACACGCAATGCTAACCTCCTCTCAGGATCCACCACCCGTTCGCAGGAGCCCGCTGCTCTCCCTCTGGAGGTATAGCGGACTCGATCTTTGAACAGTAAAGATCTCAATTGCTCTGAACCCATACTGCACTCCACCAACTTCCCACGAAAAGCCATAATCGTCAAAATGGCTCCTCACGCGGAAGTCGGCTTGGGCTCCTCGAACGGGGCGGCTTACACCAACGGCCAAGGCTCCTCGGCTCCCCAGGACCTTTTCACCGTCAACTCCCCCAACGTCACCTACACCGATGCGGAAATCCAATCCAAGTACACCTACCGCACCACCAAGGTTGAGACTACTTCCGATGGTAAGTATGTTGCTACTCCCCAGGAGACCCTCTACGACTTCAAGGTCGACCGCAAGGTCCCCAAGGTCGGTATGATGTTGGTCGGCTGGGGTGGTAACAACGGTACCACTGTCACCGCCGGTATTCTCGCCAACCGCCGTCAGCTCGCCTGGGAGACAAAGGAAGGTCCCCAGGAGGCCAACTACTACGGCTCCGTTGTTATGGGCTCGACCCTCAAGCTCGGTACTGATGCCAAGACTAACCGGGAGGTCAACATCCCCTTCCACAACATCTTGCCCATGGTCCACCCCAATGACCTCGTCATTGGCGGCTGGGACATTAGCAAGATGAACCTGTCCCAGGCCATGGACCGCGCTCAGGTCCTCGAGCCGGCTCTCAAGGCCCAGGTCAAGAAGGAGATGGCCGAGATGGTTCCCCTGCCCTCGGTCTACTACCCCGACTTCATTGCTGCCAACCAGGAGGATCGCGCCGACAACGTCCTCGAGGGCTCCAAGGCCTCGATGGCTCACGTTGAGAAGCTTCGCCAGGACATCCGCGACTTCAAGGCCAAGAACAACCTCGACAAGATCATCGTCATGTGGACTGCCAACACTGAGCGATACGCCGACCTGATTGAGGGCGTCAACGACACCGCCGACAACCTTCTCAAGTCCATTGAGCAGGGCCACGAGGAGGTAGCTCCCTCTACCGTCTTCGCCGTCGCCTGTATCCTCGAGAAGACCCCCTTCATCAACGGCTCTCCCCAGAACACCTTTGTTCCTGGTGCCATTGAGCTGGCCGAGCGCCACAACGCCTTCATCGGCGGTGACGACTTCAAGTCCGGCCAGACCAAGATGAAGTCTGCTCTCGTTGACTTCCTCATCAACGCCGGTATCAAGTTGACTTCCATTGCCAGCTACAACCATCTTGGCAACAACGACGGCAAGAACCTGAGCTCCCAGAAGCAGTTCCGCTCCAAGGAGATCTCCAAGTCTAACGTCGTTGACGACATGGTCGAGGCCAACCACGTCCTCTACAAGAAGGGCGAGCACCCTGATCACTGCGTCGTCATCAAGTACATGCCTTCTGTCGCTGACAACAAGCGTGCTCTCGATGAGTACTACGCCGAGATTTTCCTCGGTGGCCACCAGACCATCTCGTAAGTTGATCTGATTATTCTGCGCAGAATTCTTAGCTAACCAGCCACCAGCATGTTCAACATCTGCGAGGACTCTCTCCTGGCCTCGCCTTTGATCATTGATCTGGTTGTCATCGCCGAGATGATGTCTCGTATCCAGTGGAAGTCCGCTTCTACCGATGGTGCTGCCACCACCGAGTACAAGAACTTCCACAGTGTCCTGAGTGTCCTGAGCTACATGCTCAAGGCTCCCTTGACCCCTCCCGGCACTCCTGTCGTTAACGCTCTCGCCAAGCAACGTGCCGCTCTGACCAACATCTTCCGCGCCTGTGTTGGTCTGCAGCCCGAGTCTGATATGACTCTGGAGCACAAGCTATTCTAAGCACAAGACGCTCTGTTTAGTTGGCAATATGCCGTAAAATGCGATTGCGTTAAACAAAGGAGGAGGAGGACTTTACGACATCATTTACCAGCTGAGAAAAACAATTAAAAAGGAAAAAAACATGGGAAAATAAAATTAAAAAAGAAGGAAGGGAGACAATTATCTACATAGTCATAGGATCTGAATTGATTATGTCCCACCTCCTCACCACATATGACCCCGACCCTCCCAGTGAATACGGTTTGACACAAGTATTTCCCGTCTCGTTGTTTGTTTTTCTGAGTCGTATCTACAACTGTCAAGCGAACTGCAGAGGAATACCGACGTCAGTGCAGCGTCTTCGTATCCTGAAGAAAGAATCGTTTCCGTTACCCATTGATCCAGACCATTTAGCCGAACAGCCTTCTTGGCGCAACAAGGAAAATGTAATTACGGTCACTGCCGTGAAGACCAGGGACGACTTGAATATCTTGCCTAGATTGTGAATGTCAGACTTAATGACAAGATGGTAAAGCCGGACGTCGAGTTCAGCGTCGGTTTATTAGTACAGTCGGGCATCTCTACCGAGGAGGAAAGCTTCAATCATTCTCCTGAATGTCGAGTAAGGTCATAATGTTCTTCCACTCGTAGGGGGTAGTCTCGTGGACAGAGCAGGAGACGGCAAGGCGGCGGTGTGGCGCATAAAAGGTATCTCGTCTCTTGCTGGGTGTGTCGTTACGGTAAGTTTGACCGCCATGTCCACAAGGGCAGAGGTTGCAAGTACTACATCCAGCGAGAGCACCCCCTTCTACTCTAGTTGGTCTCTTGTTTCTCGGCGAGGGACTTGCATCTTTGGAATCGACTCGTGTACGACTCGGCTTGACTCCCTCTCCTTCGCGACTATCACGGCTCATCACGGCTCTTAGTCGAATTCCTTCGGCACTTCCATAGCCTCACGTCACTTCCCCCAGTACCTCACTAGTCAGTACTCCTCTCAGCCACTCTTGCAAGTTTGTGTTCCAGCTCACATTCATCAGACGGTCGCCTGTGTCAAGACTTTCTCAAGATGCCATTTTTCTCCACTCCGGCAGTGGCACCCCCTTCTGCTCTATGGGAGTTCATATCGACAGCCGACGCACATTGCACCCTCTTCTGCTCTATGGGATGTTCCATATCGGCGACCGATACATCTTCCTCTCAAGCAGTCGCACCCCCTTCTGCTCTATAGGGCGTTCACATCGACAGTGGCACCTCTTCTCCTCAGCAGATAGCACCCCTTTCTATGAGACGTTCATATCGACAGATGCACCTCTTCTTCTCGGCGGCCGCACCCCCTTCTGCTCTATGGGATGTTCACATCGACAGCTGCACCTCTTCTCCTCAGGCGGTTGCACCTCCTTATGGTCGATAAGCTGTTCTCGGTGACGATCGGCACATCTTTGCCTCAATACTCTCCTCAGCGCTATACTGCTTTCTCATCAACAATTGTTATCATTTCTAGGAGATTTCAGCGCTGCCATACGAACTTCCGTTTCGAACTTGGTAACTCTTCCGCTCTACGGGACGTTCTTCGCAATAGTCTACACCTCATCTACTCGGCGGACAACATCACCGTCTACTCCGGAGATGCTCTATCCAGCTGTCGATATTCCATTCATATATGGGCTCTCTGCTCAGCCACCCATATGCTCCTTTGGATGATCTCAACGCTGCTGTGCCTCTTCTCCTTCAAAACTTGTATTCGATCCAGTTCTACCAAGAGGTTTTATGGGAAGTGAGCTCACTACTATTGTCACTCCCAGTAATGAGCTCACCTTCTTGTCGTGAATCAACAACGCACGCCCGAATATTTTAGTCAATTTCTGGAACTACTCTTTTTTTCGGGCCTTTGTGGAAAGGCTCGATCAAGTTTGCACCGTCGGCACACCCTTGTGCTCTATCCAGAGGTCCTCAGCATACCCACCATCAGGCCTCCGGTCAGCAACACGCTCCTCTCATTGACAGCTGGCACCCACTTGAGCTCTATGGAACGTTCTCGTTGGTTGATATATCTATTCTGCTCGAATAGGGCTCCCCATGGCAACCAGGGCTGGCTTTACCCCTCCCCCTGTTCCAGTCGAAAATTGGCTTGTTCAGTCTTAATATGCCCTTCCCACGGGGCGTTCTCACGAGCGGCCGTTATTCCAACCCGGGCTCTCATAATCCCATCACTTCCTTCGATACCAATTTCAGCGCCATGAAGCCGTCCACCTCTCTCGTTGACGTCTCGTTATCTACCACGCCCCCAGCTATTACAATGCCGGTCTTACCAGTGATAAGTACCCTCTTCCGGTCAGCATCCTTGTCTGTTCAACAGTCAGTACTCCTATTCAACAAAATACGAACTTGTCAATCAGCACTACCTTCTGCTCAGTTGGGCTCTTGTCGACACTGGCACTCTCCATCCCAGCTTCGCTTGACCGTGTCGATACCCTTTACTCCGCGGTGCGTTCCCATTAACAACCGAGCTTCAGCGAAATATCCCCTTTTACTTCAACGAGTGCTAAAATTTCCCGCCTTGTACCCTTCTACTTGGGGGCTTTTCTCAATGTCAACTGGAAACAGGCAAATAGCGTCGCCTGACGATCTGCGCACACACCTACCAACTTAGATGCAGTCACTATCAAGCAGCCCGGCGATTGATTCTTCTTGCATGGCACCAAATCATCATTCTGGTATTTAAATAAATGGAAAAAGATGTACAGCAGTGGAATGGGATTTTGGGACGGCGGTAGTGGATTGTTCAAACCAAAGAGAGCTTTTGGAATTAGTAGAGAGCGATTGGGCTTGTCATTTACGAGTTAAGAAGGATAATCGCTGCATGAATTTATTAGACCCCAACCTAATGTACCCTTAAATCTTTTTAGTCTTCATTAGGCTTTAGTCCAGAATCAATCATCTCCAGTACTAAATAACAGTCAGTGTTCAGTCAAACGAATTTCCATGCCTACGTGTGTACCACAACTTTACTTTCAAGGCTTTTACAAGGTTTTGGGACCAAATTCAAATAATGCATGGGTGGCTTTGGCGTTTCACCACCAAGGTTGCCTTGCAGAGACACTCAACATGATTGGCCTCCTCAATTCTTTAATATATGTTGGTTGAACAAGAGCGTGGTTGGGGCAATGTTAACTAAGGAGTATGAGCTCCGCTCGCTCTGGAACGGAACGGCACCAGCCAAGATGTCGACAACGCCTCGGGTCAGAGAAAAAAGAAATTTGTTGAACGTCCAGGTTTCACTGTGCTTAGACCAGTAGGGAGTTATGTGAGGATATCCAAATTATTGGGCAAAGGAATGGCTCAGTGTCGCCACGGAACCCAGAGAGTAAGCTCAAGCTTAGGTGTGGATGCATCCTAGACTCCCAAATACGAGGGAGAGAGCATTTGGGGCTCATGATGTTCTATCAAGGTTGCAGGATTCGAGGCTAGATATTAGGTAGGTTGTAGAACCCATGGCATTGTCACCCTTTTGTGCTCAGAACATGGTTCTTATAGCGGAACCAAAAGACACCACCAAGGTTCACTTTCCGATTTTTTTTAACTTAATTTTATGGTATCAAATAGATACTTAGGTATATAAAGATGACCCATCCCCTAGACCTTTTATTCTATTCTAGCCACAGCGAAAACCCATCATCTTCACCCCCTCAGACTCAATTTCCTTCGAATGCACTCTACTTCATCACGTCACCACCTTCTGAAGTGCTGAAACAGCGGCCATGGATCCTATAACAAGCGCATTCGAGCGTCTCGGCGCGATTTATACCTTCTTTATCACCGACCCGATCGAATTCGGCATCATCACTATGTGTTATGTCATGATATATAAGCTTCCTCCTATTGTGTATTACAACTTCATGTTCTATGTTCGTATAGAGGAATTTCCCCATAAATTCGGTTTCATGGATGCACCCAGACCTCGTCAGCGGAATGTGCAGAGGAACAACAACGAGATCGAGGCGGATCAGCCGGATGATCGATTCACAGAGAACGGAATCCGTCAGCTTTTCAGGACATGGTACGGCCCGGTCTTTTACAGCACTATCGTGGACTTCTACCACGCAGGGAGTATGGATGGAGACCTAGTATCGGTGTTGTTAGGCAGTCTGCCTCTTCTGATCCCCTTGCGTGTGTACGTTGACTATCGCCGAAGCTCCCTTTTTGGAATGTGCTTGTGGGTGCGCGTTGGGCGTATGACCGCCCACTGGGTGATATCACGAGCTTTAGAGTGGGTTGTGAGCTGGTCGAGTCTCGCCCATGAGGTGTACAACCATCAAAGTGAAACTCGTACAATAGATTTCGTTATTTTTTGGTTGGAACTGTGGGCAATCTTCATACGGTTACGATGATGAGAGAAACTTTCGTGGGGGATTGTCGGGAAAATCTTCCATGAAGACGGCATCGATATAGCTGGGCTGCTCGAAAACCGGCATCGAGTATACCGAACAATCAAGGAAGAAAGGACAAAAAAACGAAAACACAGGTTGTGAAGTCAAGTTAGCGCACAATGCGTCGGTGGAGAGTTCATTCGCATAAAAAATCACTTCTTTAGCAGAGCGTATTGCCTTGAAGGGTATCTAAACATATTTCAAGGATTCTACGAAAATCTTAAATCATCACATCGCTCGCAATGCGATAGGGAACAAAAAGCCTTGCCCGTCTCATCCTTCGGCTACTCTTCAATCGCGTGTATTCCATGCCGATTATATCCTCAGGGTATCCATCTGGACTCAGTCCCCTCCAGTCTCTACCAAAAAATGTCGCTACGCATCAAGGCGCCTCGTATAATCCACCAGGACCTTGTGTACGGGGCTCACCTTGTGGAGGATGGATCCAATCTGCGCCCGCCAACTCAGGCTTGTTGTCCTCAGGTGGAACTTGCTGGCCCTGTGTGTATTGACCACTGGGATCTCGTTTTCGGATGAAGTACTTCCAGATCAGGAATCCCAAACCACCAAGCGCCAGAACTCCGCCCAGGGTAGCGCCGACGGCGATGCCAGCAACAGCTCCGGTTGACAGTCCTGAGTCAGAATTTGAATCGGAAGTTGATTCTGAGTTCGATGTTGAGGTTTTTGTCGATGATTCTGTTGTTGTCGTTTCAGATTCTGGGGTCGGTTTCCCAGTGCTCACGTTCGTCGATACAGTCGTTGCAGTCGATGCCGTCGTCGTTTCTGCGGTAGGTACGGTGACATTGAAGTAGTGGCAAGTGATATCGATCGTATTGGTTCCGCCCTCGTACAGGGCCAGGTAGAATATGGCGCTTTCGCCGTCCGCAACGTCCGTCGAGAAGCCATTGAAGCTCACCGTCCATATCAGGCTTGTTGATCTTGTGTCCACTGTGTTTCCGGTCAGCTCAGTCGCGAGAATGAGTCCCACGGTTCTATCAGCTCCTTACCTAGAAGTCTATCAAAGAAGGACGACGAGTCTCCTGCGCCGGGATACTCCTGCCACAGGAGAAGGTCCATGGTTTCGAGGTCCGAACTCCATTGGATGTCAATTTTCTCTCCGACCTCGTAAGTTGGATTGTCGCGGTAATTTCCTGCGGGGCCGGGGCCGGGAGGCTGGGAGAAAGAACTCTCCGATCGCACAGTCGGGATAAAGGCGGCGAGGGAGAGGCCGAGCAGCACGAGGGAATGCATGACGAGTTCGAGATGTGGCAGGAAGCCAGCTTCGATCGTATTCGATCCGCGTAAACGGGAGTGTTGTTCAAGACATGAAAGATGAAACCCGGGCAGGAATCCAGGAACGCCCCCTCGGGCTGGGGGATTCTCGTCCCTTGTATCCGAACACCTTAGTGCTCCGTCCAGGGCCTGTCGTCTGGGCTATAACGATATGCCGGACACAGCCATCCTAGGCTCTGTATTTCTATAATAAGACTACTGAAACAGGAATGACAGGATTGATCGGTGGCTGTCCATGGCAGGGAGTGGCAGCGCCACGATGCCAGCCTTCTTTAAGTGGTCCTACTCGGCTCTCCGGCGGGACGGCCAAGGCTGATAGTTAATTTGGCAGTAAGCCGTAGTCAATAAGTAAGGGTTAGGGGTATCCACTGCTTCCAATGAAAATCAAGCCTTTGCCATGTTAGGACACTACGTAGTACTTCGCATGCTAGAGTGCGGTGTCGCCATGTCCTCAGCTCGTTCTGTTAGTCCCCGCAAACTTGGAACAGAACTGGGTCAGCCACAGGTAATTCGACAATCAGCTACCATTGTTGGCTTCGGAGACATAAGTCGAACACAAGTTCCGTTGGGTTAGTTGTGTTCAATCCAAATTATCCCTGGTTGGACACAGGCATCATGGCGTGACATGGCTGTGCATGCTAGCACAGCGTTATCTCCTCCCACTGGCTTGTCAGCAGGTCTAGGATGCAGAGCACAGCCTGCCAATGGAGCCCAATATTGGTCGAGTCCTGACCCGGAATAAGCATAAACAAACAGACCCAGATGAGACGGGGCCTAACTTGAAATTAGACCATGTAGGTGATGACCAGGTTCTTGACGGAGTGGGGTTACTGTTGATTGTAAGCTTACCAATAGGGCTACCGTTGCGAGTTGAGACGGCCAGCATCGTAACCTCATTGGACTCAATACGAGCGGTGGAATCTTGGTATTCGATAACTTGTGTGGAAAGCCAGACCCCCTGCCAGCTCTCCATTCATCCATTCATCCCCTGGCAACTGGCCACCATCCAGAGTCACCTTGTTATTTGTCACAATCCTTCCGTCACCAGCTAGGTAGGTACAGTAGCAGTGCACAACTCAGTTATTGCTTTATATCATGACTTGATGCACCACACTGTAGTGATACTGGTATCGATGAAGCGAATTTTCCACAAACCCTCCCTCTGTTACATCAGTTGACACCAGTCCTGGTCCGTTTAGCCCCCAACCGCAGACAGACACTAAAAACCCACATCAGGTGTGGCATCCTACCTCAAGCAACCCTGAAGAGGAGGGGGGAAAGGAGAAAAAATGAGAGAAAAAGAGAGATGAAAGACTCAAAGTCGGGTAATAAACATGTTAATTCGCCTCTCTTAGGAAATGGTTATTGTGAGTTGTGGCGTTGAGAGCCAAGGGTGCGCCACATTGTGAGAGGCGCCTCAGTCCATCCCGTCGCCATTTACGCGGGGTGAGGCGTCGCGCTCGCGCATCACCAAAATCGCGTGTCGCGTCAAGCTGGGTCCACACACCACTTAAACCTCCAGCCCAGGCCACCCGCAACAATCCCTCTCCTCTCCAATTCTACATCCACAACACACACCTCTCAAACCCAACCATTTTTTGATTAATTGTTCTTCCTCTTGAGATACCCGCTGTTTTACATATTCCCCATCATTTTTTTTATCCATTGCAACTCACCATGTCTTCTCGCGCCTCGTCCCCCGTGTCGGGTGGCTCTCCCGAGCTTCTGACGCCGCGGTCCAAGATCCGAGCAACTCTTGCAGCCGTGGAGAGCAGCGACGAGGAGGCTTCTCCCTCAACCAACATCACAAAGAACAAAACCCCCCAAACGACACAATCAGCACCTCGAGCCATCGGCCTACCACGATTGCCTACACATGACACCGAGTCGGACGAGTCAGACGAAGAGATCCGACCAAGGGGGCGGCTCGCGTCCAGGATGCAGGGCATCACCCGACCTTCAGAACCAGCAAAGAACAACACCGCGGAAACCGCACGTGAACGTCTCAAGAAGCAGTTTGGACTCGGGGAGCAGGAGGCCGAAAAGACGCCCGATGTCGAGATGGCAGACGCGGAAGACGAAGACAACCAGCTCCCTGTAGCGCCGCGGAGGCTGGTGCGCAAGATCACCCAAGCAACCACAACCGATGACACCACACGAGCATCCAGGTCACCCAGCCCAGGCCTTTTCGTATCTTCTCCCGCTCGTCCGTCCCCCTCGAAATCCGCCCACAGTGCCTCCGGTTCCGAAGATGATCTGCCAACTCTCAAGTCAGATCGATTCAAGGCTCTTGTTGAGCGTAAACGAAAAGAACGCTTGGCTCTGGAAGCCGCCGAGGAGGCCCACAATGCAGAGAAACGTGCTCAGCAAGAGAAGCTTGCCTCCGAACTCGACCAATTGGCGTCCGACGACAATGACTCCGGTATCACAGATGACGAGGGTGGTCGAAAACTCACCCAGGGTCCCCGACCTTCAGCCCGCAAGGCAAGCCGGAAGGCCATTGAGGAGATGAACCGAGAAACCCAGAGGATGGCGAGAAACATGCAGCTTGCCCACCAAGCCAAGACGCGAAAGAAGATCACCAAGAGCAGCTTATTCCAGCGCTTCAACTTCCGACCTGCCGGCGAGCCCGAACCCGAGCCCAAAACGGCGAGCTCAAGCCGACCCACCAGCCCTCATTCAGATGCTGAGATGGAGGATACCGACACACCACCGAGTTCTCCCCCTGTTGAGAAATTACCCGCCCTGGTACAGCCAGAGGCCAATGATGAGGAAGCGGATCTACCAACAGTAGAAGAATTGGCCTCGTCCCCGAAGCGACGTCTTGACAAGGGCAAGGGCAGGGCCATTGACGTTCCAGAACTGCCCAAATCGTCCCCCAAGGCCAAGCGTCAGGTTCGCATCAAGCTGCCACCAGTAACGGCCAATGTTACCTTAATCGACTCGGATGATGAGCTCGAAATCACCACGACAACTAAAGATAAGGTCCTCGCCGTCTTCGACAGCATGCCAGCCAGGAAGGCTCAGGAGTCTCACTCTCTGCAAGCTCTGCGAGCACTTGCCCAGGTAGGATCTCCGGGTAGGGAGCCCCGACGACGACGAACCGATACCCATGAAATGACAGCTGGCGAGCTTCAGGCTTCCCTCCAGCAAAAGGCCAGGCAACAGGCCAAGCTGGAGCGTGAACGCCGAATTGAAATGCTCAAGGCTCAGGGAGTGGTCATCCAAACTGCTGAGGAGCGCGAGCGTGAGATGCAAGAGGTCGAAGACATCGTGGCCAAGGCACGGGACGAAGCACATAAGCTCATGCAACAAGAGCGAGCGGAGGTGAAAAAGGAGAGGATGGAGAGTGGAGAAGTTGACCCGCTGGCCTGGGATGACAGCGATGACGAGGAGTATCAAGCCTCTGGCGATGATGCTGATGCGGAACTCTCTGCCGTTGAGTTGTCTGGTTCTGAGGAGGAGGAGGAGGATGAAGAGGCTGGCGGCAATCCAATGTTCGAGGACGAGGCCGAGGATGCGGACTCCCAGGCTTCTGTCGAGGATGCCCAGGATGAGACCCCTGTGGCCAGTCAAGACCTGGATGAAGACGCCGACGACCTGCCAGTCCTGAACAAGCGACGCTCACGGAAGCAAGTCGCCATCATCTCCGACGACGAGGACGAAATCGAGGCCACGCCAAAGCCAAAGTCGAAGACGATGTTCAAATCACCTACCGTTCCCGGCACCCAGTCTCCTGCAGCCCCTACCTCAGTGCTGCGATCAGCAAAGAAGACCTTCATCCCTGGATTACCTGTCCAGGGCCCAGCCGGCCTTGGCCTCACTCAAATCTTTGCTGGAACCATGGATGACAGCCAAATGTCTGCCGGCGGCCCGACACAGTCCATGATGCCTGACTTTGACAATTTCCCTGATTCAAACTTCTCAGCTACCATGGACGAACCCGAAGACATGATTGTGGATAGCCAGAAGGAGGAGACTCAGGGTGTTACCCAAGGGATTCAGCTGAATTTCTCCCAATCCCAGATGCGAGGCCTGGACAGTTTGCTACGCGAGGAGTCGATCACTCAGTTCTCTGACATGGTTGAACTTTCCCAAGACGGCGGGTTCCAAGCGCACACCCCTCTGAAGGAGAGATTCGTCGAACCCCCCATCTCCACCGTCGAGACGGTCATGGTCGATCAAAATGAGGAGCCTGGCCAAGACTCGCCTCTTGTTCGTCGAGGTCGACTCCGACGGAGAATGGAAACCCCGCTAGTTGAGGAGACTCCTGAGCCAGCCACCGTGGAGAAGCCTGAGACAGCCTTCAACATGCTGAACGAGGGCGCCAAAGAGGAGAAGAAGCGCCAGCTCAAGGAGACCTTCAACCTGAAGAAGAGCAAGGCCAAGGAAATGATTGAGGAACAGGCTGAGGAGTCCGAAGATGAATATGCTGGTCTGGGTGGTGTCGACGGCGAGGACAGTGACAATGAGTCTATTGCTTCAGTCAAGGAGATGATTGACGATGCTGCTGGAAACAATGTCGACGAGGCCAAGCTGGCAGCATTTTATGCGTAAGTTGAATCTTGTTTGAATCATGAAGCAGCCCAAGCTAACATTTACAGGGACCGCGAGCGTGCAGATGATGAGAAGCAGGTTGAGAAGCTTTTCAAGGACATCACAACCGGAATGCTTCGACGCAAGCGCGGAGCAGACTACGACCTCTCCGACTCGGATGACGACGGCGAGGCTCGCCGGCGCATGAAGCGTCGCCAGTTCGCCAAGATGCAGAAGGCCCTCTTTTCTGACGAGCGCGTCAAGAAGATTGCTGAGAACCCTGGCAACCAGGCGTTCCTCCGAACCATCGAGGACCACGGCAGTGATGACGAGATGGACTTCCTGGGAGGTATCGACCAGCCCATAGAGGAGTCGCAGTCTCAGTCCCAGGACGACGAGGGTGCAAAGCCGCAGACCATCCCTGACAGCCAGCCCCGCAAGCCTTTGGGCTCTGCAGGGGACAACAGGCCATCCGCCCACATAAGGAAAACCAGGGAGGGCAAGAAGCCGTCCAACATTGGCGAGCTCCGCGAGACGCTCTCCAATCTGTTGGAGGAGCCCCATGGCACCACCATTCCTGCCACCGACGCTGGGTCTGACAGCGAGGATGACGAGCCGTCGTCCCCAACTCGTAGCGACAAGGAGAACCACGAGCCGAACCCTCGCCGTGGTCGTGTTGCCGTGGTCGACCGCATCAGCCTCAAGCGAAATAACTCATCTGCCTCGAATGCATCGGCTCGCCTTGCCTTCGCAACCGCAGCATCATCCACCTTCAAGGTCCCCGCACTGCTTCGCCGCGCGACCACCAACTCGCTCATGTCGGGTTCCTCGGCGTCCACGACTAGCTCCGGGGTGTCGACACCCTCGAGCGGGTTTGGCGAGGATGCCAAGATCAAGAAGAATGCTGGAAAGAAGAGCGGCGTGAACGCGTTCGCACGAGATAGCGAGAGGAGGGCTCGTCTTGAGCAGAGCGAGCGGAGGAGAGAGGAGAGAAAGATCCAGGGCGCGGAGAAGAGAATTGGTCTTGTGGGTGGATTATTGGGCAAAGGAACGTTTGAGTAAGGATTGCATTTCAACGGTGTTGGGGGTATTATATAGGAGAAGGACTTTGGGGCTCTGGACTAAATGATTTGGCATGGCGTTCACGGTCGAGTAACAACCAGAGTATTTGTGTTACTCAATTTGAGGCAACTTGGGCATATCCATTTGGTGGAGTTTGTTATTTCAAGGCAAGCAAATCATGACAAACAAATCATACCTATTCAACCAAGCAAGCCGTGATTGACCTCGAGTGAACCGGTTTTCTCATAAGCCTGAGACCTGAAGACTAAATATGCCAACCACACCGTCGCACTCAATAACCCATGCAATATACCCCACAAGTCTCCACATCTCCCACCTCCTCGAATGGCAAAAAAGGAGGTCATCACCAACAACCCATCCACGTTCAGATGAGGTCATGGGCCTCAGGAGACAAAAATATTGATTCCGCCCGGGCTCGAACCGGGGACCTTCTCGGTGTTAACGAGATGCCATAACCAGCTAGACCACGGAACCAAAGGTGTTGTTGTTGTGTGTCCCAGAGGGAAGTGATTCCGCCCGGGCTTGAACCGGGGACCTTCTCGGTGTTAACGAGATGCCATAACCAACTAGACCACGGAACCTAGAGTTGCTTGTCCTGCGAGGGGAGTGATTCCGCCCGGGCTCGAACCGGGGACCTTCTCGGTGTTAACGAGATGCCATGACCAGCTAGACCACGGAACCCAAGCTTCTTTTGGTTGATGGAAACCGGCCGGCCGTATGTGCCTCATCTGCTGCGGCGTTTCTGTTGAAAGAGAGTGCAAAAAATGAAGGGGAAAAGCGGAGCATCTAGTCCTGTTTTGCCCTAAACAGTGTGGGCTTGTGGGTTGCTCGCGTGTAAGTGGTGATGTGGTTCGCGATGGTGTTTTGTCCAGGAGGGCAAAAATGTGATTCCGCCCGGGCTCGAACCGGGGACCTTCTCGGTGTTAACGAGATGCCATAACCAGCTAGACCACGGAACCAATGGTATTTGTTGAAGATCGTGGTCGTTAATGAGATTCATTCATGGTGTGAGGAGTGGTGGTTGAGGGATTTTGTGTAGTCGTCCGAAAAGGGAAATCGGGTCGCTGTGGACCGCTGGTCTAACTGACATGTGAAGCACGACACAGGCTAGGAAACAGTCAGCATTGATAACAATAAAAATCAAGGGCCTTTAATTGAATTACAAAAGTTCATCGGTGTTCGCGGTCTATACTGTTTTTTCGATTCATTGGATACATCCGGTTAGGAACTACTTATGGTTGTGGTCCCCCACATTGGGACTGGATGTATATCTGACGGTATGTTAATTCAACGTTGTTTCTGGAACAGAAACTGAACAAATAGAGCAAAAAATAACTGACTCCACCAGTCTGAATCCTCGGGATTTGCATAGGGGGGTAGATATAATTTGTCTGTAATGCGTTACTGATAATTGTAAGCCTGGGGACATTTGATCGGTGCTTTCGGAGTAAGAGTGCTCGGCACATCAGTCCAACGTCGACATAAACCAGATTTAAACAACAGCTCGCGAGAAGTGTGCGAACCAGGTGCAGAGCAAAGGGCAGAGAATCACAAACAAATGGAATTGAAATCGAAATCTAAAAGTTCAAGCATGCATGATGCAACGACGCGAATTTCGTAATGACCAAAAGGTACAGGGTAGGTGCATTGGGGGAGAAAACCCTCGACTGAAGATGGGATTGACCGTATTGGGCATGCGATTATGTACGATTCTATATAGATATGTAACTCTAAGTGTCATTCTTTAGAAGAGGATTGGAAAAATCAACCCCTTTTAAACCCATCATACGCTTCACACCAAGCCACAACTCAAAAGCCTCTAACTTGACCTCGACTCGCAGATAACCTATCCATGCCGCAAACACCCGCAGGGCGTTGGGCGGCCACAGCAATGATCCGCGACTGCGAATCTCGTCTAGCTGCTCGTGGAAGACGGTGCGGGTGCAGTACCGCGCGAGAATCATGAAGTTGCGGATTGGGCCCTGCTGCGTTTGCAGGTTCTCGTCCAGGCTGCGGGTCAGGTCGTTTGTCTTGAGGATCAGGAGGATGATGCGCGGCACGCGGCCGAGTAGCCCGACCAGGTCGACGATGAGACCGTCTTGAAGCGAGGCGCTCATCGACTTTTCTTCATCCGTGGTGCGGGTTTGGAGGATGGAGCCTTCCTGGCTGATGATACTATAGTCTCGACCAGTAATGGCCGAGGCGAAAAGGGGGAAGTCCTTGTCGGTGATGCCAGCGACCTCGTGTGCGTATTTCTTCATTCGGCCCATATCTCCGTCAATGACCGCGAGCCACATTTTGGCATAGGACCGGCGGAGGGGAAGGTCAATATCCCGGTATAGGCCGTGATCATACAGAATCACATCAAAGTTCGGGCCGCGACCTAGGCTCCGACGAGACGAGTTCTTGCGAATGGCGATGTTCCCGCCGTGAGGGTCGCAGTGCAAGGGTGCATCGTTGCCGAAGATCATCTCATTGAAAATACGGGCGAGCGTTGCGGAAACCTCGTCACGGTCAATACCGTTCTTGTCAAGATACTCGAGGTCATCGAGGCGGTGCCCAGACTCGCAAGCCATGACGAGGATGCGCTTCTTCGCCCAGATAACGTCGGGGATAACGAGGGGCAACACGGGAATCTTGGCAAAGTGTTTCTTCATGCGACCGGCATTATGAGCCTCCTCCTGAAAGTCCAGTTCCTTTGGTAGGGAAACGTCCATTTCGGCGGAGAGCCACTCAAGGTCGTACTCCGGGAAGAACCGCTTCAGGGTCGAAAACGTATACCTGGTCAGGGCAAGATCCAACGGAGCCCATGCCTCCAATTCCGGGTGTTGGACCTTGACGGCAACTTTGCGACCAGACTCCTTGATGGTCGCCAAGTGCACCTGCGCCAGCGAGGCAGCGCCAATGGGCTCGCTCGAGAACTCGGAGAAGTAGTCCCAAAGACCCTCCCCTGTATCCCGGAGGAACATATTCTCGATAGACTCGAACGATGACACAGGGCATTTGTCTTGCAGCGGGATGAAGGTCGTGGTCCATTCGGGCGGGAGGAGGTAGTTCATGGCGCTCTAGAGTTCTGGGTTAGTTACAGCCACAGACAAATGGGGGATCTAGTCACATACAAGGTGCTGTCCGAGTTTGATAAAGATGCCGCCATTCTTCTCCAGAACTACCAGAGTCCGCTCAGCGCATCGCTTGTGACACGAATTCAGCAACTCGGCTTGCTCGCCCGTGTCCTCGATGGTCGCTCGCGCATTCAACGTCGTCCGGTAGCTGCCACCTCATTAGCCCAAAGTCCATGCGCCGAATGGCTGATCGACGGCGTACTCGTTGATGCAGATCGCCAGGGCGGCCGCCACCCTCCCTGTTCTCTCGGCGGCCTCATATCCGTTCTTGATGTCCTCCGTGAACGCAAGCGCTCCTGCGGCTATTGTCGCCGTGCCCGTCGAGGCGTAGAGCACGACCCGGCCGGGGCGTCCCCCGCGGCCATTGCCCCCGCGCGACCCCCGCCCCGAGGCGAAACGCCGTGCGCCGACGTGCTGGAAGGGTTTACTGCGAACCAATTGGTTTCGGCAGGTCGAGCAGGTCCATGGTCGAGCGCCAATGCGGGTGGCGAAGGCAGAGACCGAGGCGGAAAAGACGTTCATCTGGCTGCCGGAGCTCTCAACTGCGGGAACAAGTGTGCGACAGAACGCGATTCCTCATTCTAAGTCGACAGAAAAGCCAGCGGATCGAGGTATCGGAATCGAACAAGTTAGCCTGGCTTCATGTCGTCAATGTCGCCAGTTTTTCCTTTCGGTGTGCCGATTCACCGAAGGCCTCCGTCCGTCCAGTCGCCAATTCGGCTGGGGCCGGACCTCGGAGCCCCACTAGCACTTTATGGTACGTACCCCCGTACAGGGGACATACCCTGAAATACCCGCACTATTTACCGCTTTCACGTGACCACGCGCGCGTGGCAGGACCGCGTCAAGTAGGCGTCGCCCATCTAACTCCAGTCCCTCCCCCTCCGCTCCTTCTCCCAGTTCCTCCTTATTACATCGCAGCTTTCCCTCTAGACAACTTGCAACAAAGTGCTTTATTCCTCGATCCACGGTCTATGAAACACTCAGACAACAACAAACACACACCGGACAAGATGATGTCCTTCGCCCCTGCACCTATCTTCTCTTGGGATCATCGACCTGCGGTGCCCTCACCACTTTCATCCTCTCCCGTTCGCGCGTCATCGCCACTTTCGCCAATTGATAGGAATACGCTCCCACAGCGACAAATCCAGTCATCGCCCATTCAACAACCCAAGTTCAAATATTCTTCCCGCCAGACGCGCCCGAACCCTGTCGTTCGGAAGCGTGAAGAAGTTCAGGAGAGCAGGCGGAAGCTCTTTCTCCAGAATGTCCGCCAAAAGAGTGACGAAAAGTCATGGCAAAGGAGAGACATCGAGGGACAGGTGAGATCATCGCAAATCAATAGCAACGACCAATGATACTAACGCCGATGACAGTTATTAAAAACAAGCTGGTTGGCGAACCAGGGCCAACTGTCTCGCGACGCGCCCGAGTTCTCCGACGCAGATATCGAAGATGCTATGGCGTTTCAGCAAGAAGAGTTCGACATTCCAGACGAGGACGACATGATGGTTGACGACACTACGGAGGATCAAGAACTCGAAGCCATGTTTGCGTCTTATGAGGATCTACCGACATCTTCATCACAACGGCCACCCTCCACAATAATGTCAGACGATGATTATGACGATATCTTCGCCGAGCTTATTTCCCAAGAACAACACCAACAGAGCTTTTATCAAGAATCATCAAATCAGATGGATCTCACCGGCGACGACGACGTTATGCGGTCTTGAGCGATGATTTGGTTTATGGTTCTAACTTATGGGATTGATATTCTGGTGTTGCGGTTACAACATCAAGGGACTTGGCGTTGGGGCAATACCCGGGCTAGCCATATATTGGCTGTGTATAGATAGTAACCACGTGAAAGGGTATATAAACGTGGAAAAATATCCAGCCTCCGTATTTACTGAGGGTTACATGCTTCATCTCCTGGGTTCAAGGCTTCCTGTGCTGATGCCATGTCTCCGACCAGATCCGAGGGAGGGGATCCTGCCGCTTGCATCTGTGATTCGAGTTAACTTTGAAATCCTTTATAGGATATTTGGGGACGAAGGAGCATACCCTTTGCATCTTGTCTACGATGAACTCCCTATCCGCAGCATTCGAGTCCGAGTATGTCTTCTCCTCAAACTTGGCCACGATCTCGCGCACCACAGTCTGCTGCTCCTCGTACCGCTTCAGGTCCTCCTTGGGCGTGGTTCCGCTGTTCTTGGCGAGCCACGCGGGAAACTTGTCGTCGAGCTCCTTCATGGGCTCGTAGAGGATTTCCTTGTTAGTGAGCTGCTCCATCATGCCCATGAGCATCTTGGAGAACTCCTCTTCGCTGCCGTCGCCGCCAAGTGCGCCGAGATCGCCCGAAGATAGTTGCTTGAGCATCTCCGACATGAAGTCGTCGCCGCCACCTGAGGCGGCCGCCGCAGTGGCCTGCTCGCCCGAAGTCTGCATGCGCTCCATGGTCCGTCGGATGGTGTCTTGGAACGAGGCGTCCTCGGTGGAGGCCTGGGGAGCGGTGTTGGCCGAGCCGCTGGGCACAACAGGGTCTGAGGTTCCTTCTGAAGCTGCAATTTGCTTAAAAATGTCTTCAAATTGCGCCTGCATGTCGGGCTGTGAAGATGTGAGTTTGTTACTCGTGGATGACTGCTTATTCCTGAAGGATATGGACGTACCGATTTTTCAAGCTCGCCCAACAGATCAGCCATGCCAGCTTGCAACTGCTTGGCAAAATCCTCTTCCGTGAAAGCATCGTCAAGATCTGGCTGCTTCCCGGAGGCAGCATCCTTGGGCACCTCTGATTTCCCGGGACTGGGAGGCTCAACCGACTGCTTTGGGTCTATCTTGACTGTCGAGAAGTCATCGAGCATGTCTGGCGGAGATGGTTAACAAGAGAGGGTAGATTATATGAGGTCACATGTAACATACCATCCAAGTCATCCAGGTCATCCGAGTCTGGATCTGAGAAATCCTCAACTTCTTCGACGGGTGCAACCACGACTGGTGTTTGTTCAACGGGTTTCGTCTCAACAGACCTGGCTTCGATAGGTGTCTCTTCCACTGGCTTTATCTCGGCAGGCGTAGCATCAACGGCCTTTTGTTCGACAGTGGTCTCATCAACAGACTTCGCTTCCGTAGGCGTCTCTACAACTGGTTTCTCCTCAACAGGTGCAGCTTCCACGGGCTTTGTATCGACAGGCATCTCCTCGGCAGCCTTAGTCTCGACAGGTGGTGGTGCCTCAACCGACGTCGTCTCGACGGCCTTGATTTCAACCGGCGGGACCTCCTCAGATGTCGTCTCGACTGGTTTTGACTCCACAGGCTCTGTCTCAACCGGCGTAACTTCGACAGGGTTTACTTCGACAGGCGTTGTCTCAGCAGGGCTGGCCTCGGTCGGCTTTGACTCAACGGGGATTGCCGTCTCAGTCGGAGGTACTGGAGCCTCTGATTCCGAAGCAGCAGCAGTTTCTGGAGGCGGAGGCGTAGTAGCAGCCGCTGGGGCATCCACGATAGCGGCAGCGGTCTCCTCCACCACAGGCTTGACCTCCTCCTTCTTTGCGCCGTCTGGCGCGTCCTTGGTTGCGTCCATTATAGCAACTCCCTCACCGGCTCACAGCCCACATGCACAAACCAGACACCGACAAACGCACACCGATGAACCGTAGAAGACGCCGGACAGGACGCAAGGTGGGCAAGGGAAAGAAACACACCGAGCTTCGGTAGGCAGCGGCGTCAGAGACAGGATGTAAGACAGGTGTCGGCGCGGTAGTGTGAGGACGAAATAAAGGAAGCTGTTCTCAAGGTGCGGTGGTGGATGACCACATCATCCCGACTCAGGGAGCCGAGGCCCTACCCAGGTACCTAGGCTCGGTAGGTAGCGTGGTGGCAGCCCCTCACTGGACCTGGCCACGATCAGTGATCACCCCGCCAAAATAATCGGCCTGGAGAGGACAGGGCAGCCCTGGCACTGGGGCTGCGCGTGGTCTGTCCAGGGCCTTCAGGCGGCTCTGGCGGGGTTTCCCGGGGCCTGGTGGCGCCGACGGTGGCGGTGGGCGCTGGTTGGTGCTTGCTCCAGGCGGTTGGTGCTGGCGCCACTTTTCGCCCAACGATGGCCGCCTCGTTTTGGCGGGTGGATCGAATCATTCACAGGCGTCGTGAACCCATGCGTAATCGGCCTCAGGCCTCAGCTTTGCTTCGATCTGATTCTCTCACGCTCGCGGTCTCACCTGCGCCGCCCCTCCCCACTGCCAAACACCACAAGTCTCTTTGTTGCACCGTAGCAACGGCTTCCGACTTGCTTCCATCACCAGCGCCTGCTTACGCCACGACCCCTCGTTTCGCGCGCCCTCGTGACGCTCTTCAGCTTGCGATTGATCTCCGTTCAGCCTCAGCGTGACGCCCCAACCGACGAAGAATCCGCACGACCAACATGGCTCTGTGCCAGAACCGCTTACAAGAGGAGAGGTAAGCCTTGTGTGACCGCTCGCTCTTTGTTGATGGCATGCTGACCCCAGCAGGAAGCAGTGGCGCCGGGATCATCCCTTTGGGTTCTTCGCGAAGCCCGCGCGCACCAAGGAGGGTGTGTTGGACGTCAAGAACTGGGAGTGCGGAATCCCAGGAAAGGACAAGACGATTTGGGAGGGCGGCCTGTTCAAGCTGACGATTGCGTTCCCCGATGGTGAGTGCCCGCGGGAGACCGCCTTTCCCGCCCAACGAGCTGCCGCTGACCGATATTCGCAGAGTACCCCACGAAGCCTCCCAAATGTGAGTATCATGATCCCTTCTGAACCGAATCCCCACGGAGGCCATAATACTGATTTGTGTCTTAGGCAAATTTGTCCCCCCGCTGTTCCACCCCAACGTCTATCCCTCCGGCACCGTCTGCCTCTCGATTCTCAACGAGGAGGAGGCATGGAAGCCCGCCATTACGGTAAAGCAGATCCTCCTGGGCATCCAGGACCTGCTCAACGACCCGAACCCCGAGTCTCCCGCCCAGGCGGATGCATACAACCTCTTCAAGAGGGACCGCGCCGAGTACGAGAAGCGGATCCGTCGTGTGGTCCGTGATAACCCCGCCCCTTGAGGGGAGCGGCGAGCTTCAGGGTGGCACGACTTTAGACACTTTATTAGGGATGTCTGGCTACGGCGTTTAAGGGGATACCAAGGCGAAAATTACTGCTTGATATGTGGCCGAAGGAAATCGAGATGCCTGCATGAACTGGGATTCGCGACGATAATGGTCGACTCTCAGGGCATGACATGGCGGGGATTGATGCGGGTTAAGCTCCTCCCTGACTATCAGAGAGCAAGACCGCGAGATGAGACCAGTGTCCTGAATATGAAACGCATCTCGATGCATCCTTTTTTGTCAGTTGGAGGGGAGGTACATTTCCGGTTCCGGCCATCTGGGTTGAATCATTCGAGCTGCGTTGTCGGAACCTTGGCGAGTTTGCTTTTGACGTTTCCGCCCCACCGCGCTACCTATGCGATGATTGCAACAGTTGCTTGGGACCTGAGTGCCGTGGGGTGGATATGGACATGGACACGAACACGCACACGCACCTGCGCGTAGGTCCATAGCACATACAACGCATGTTTTTGTCATCGGCGAGGGTCCGAATAGAGTATCCCCGCGTCTCAAGTCACATTTTCCTTTAGCACGCAGCTGGTGGCGGCTTCACCCCACGGTTCATGGCTCCTCGTGAGACGGACAGCAGCATGTCAAGACACACGGAATTAGGTACGCAGCGGCCGGTAACAGCAAGGCACGTAGAACCGTCCCGTCTCAGCTGCATTGCCCGTGCCCCCAAGCTCCCTCCCCAACGGAGTCATAGCATGGACGGTCAACGGAGCTCTTATCGATGGCCAGGGTGATTAATTCCATGACAGGCGGACTCAGGGTTTTCCAGACAGCCGCCAATAGAGTTGGGCGAATTACCAGCCGAAGTCGGCCGGCCCTGTTGCCTCCACGGATCTGAGACGGGATGGCCTGGGAGCATTAGCGGATTTTGGGGCCCTGAGACCGGACGGGAGGCCACCCCATGGCTCATGGGCCGGAGCCGGGCCACAGCTGCTATCTCGAACGTCCACAATCAGCTGCGTCCGCTATCAGCAGGGAGCCAGCCAGTCGCCAGGGAACCGGTGAGCAACGCGCACCATGTACTCGATAGGTAGTGAACAGCGGTAAAGGAGCCACGTCCAGCGCGGCCGGGAGCGCATCTGGTGTGTCTCTGGTGGATAGCTGAACTTGTTTGTGACTGTCCGGCGGTAGCCTTCCACTTTTTTTTTTTTTTGCCTGTGCCGGGCCATCTTCTTGGGTGGAGTTCTGGATGACTCCTCTTTTCTTCACTTAAGCACTTGCGGCGCCCTCTACTTATCTTCCCTCCCCTTTCCCTCCCTCTCCTCCATAAGACCGTTATTCCAGATTTGTGGTGTTGATCCTCAGTCTCTCCGCAAAACCGCAATCATGTGTGGCATCTTTGCTTGTCATCGGTAAGTCTAAGCCTACATCTTTCCGTCCCCCTCTGCCGCGAGCCTGTGCGATGCGCCGCGCTCGGCCAACGCGACATGGATCTGGAGGGGCATCACCCCGCCATCAAATCGTCCCGCGCGCACACACCCCGCCGAAAACCGTCGCTGAGACTGAGACTGACGCTGCACGCGACGAAGTCATCCCGACGTCCAGAAGTTCAAGCCGACTGCGCTTCGTCTCTCGAAAGCGTAAGTATCTCCCTCATCTGTCCCCCCACCGCCGTCTCAGTCATTGACCCCATTGTCGCAGGATTCGGCACCGTGGCCCCGATTGGAGTAAGTTGCTGCTGCGCCGACGATGCCCCTCGTACGAGCGTAAATGCTGAATTGCGTCCCAGGTGGAAGCGTCATCTCCAACAACACTAGTAAGTCAATTGGTCTCCAGACTGCGGCATAATGCCTTGCTGATCTTCGACTGTAGTCCTTTGCCATGAGCGTCTGAGCATTGTTGGTGTCGGTAAGTCACCTCCCCGTCCGCTTTTCGCCGTCTCCGGTTTCGCCTCCTAACCGTCCGATCCAGAGTCTGGTGCTCAGCCCCTGACCAACGCCGATGACTCTATTATCCTCGCCGTCAACGGTGAGATCTATAACCACCGTTCTATCCGAAAGAACCTCAAGGGAAAATACCACTTCAAGACCACCTCGGATTGCGAGGTCATCATCCCTCTGGTAAGACCCCCCTGTCCTCAAGTGACTCACGATACGTGGGTGGAACATGAAGCTCACAACAATCCCTCGCAGTACACCCAGTACGACACCGACGCTCCCAACCACCTCGATGGCATGTTCTCGTTCGTCCTGTACGATAAGAAGCAGGACCGCACTATCGCTGCCCGCGACCCGATCGGCATCACCACCTTCTACCAGGGTTGGTCCTCCAAGGAGCCCGACACCGTCTACTTCGCCTCCGAGCTGAAGTCCCTGCACCCAGTCTGCGACAAGATCGAGGCTTTCCCTCCTGGCCATGTCTTCGATTCCAAGACCGGCAAGACCACCCGCTACTTCAACCCCTCGTGGTGGGATGAAGCCAAGGTCCCCCAGTCCCCCGTCGACTACAAGGTCCTCCGAGAGGCCCTCGAGAAGGCCGTCCGCAAGCGTCTCATGGCCGAGGTTCCTTACGGTGTCCTGCTTTCCGGTGGCCTGGACTCTAGCCTGGTGGCCTCAATCGCCCAGCGTGAGATGTTGAGGCTGCGCCAGCAAGCCGCCGACAACGATGCCACCGCTGATATGCAGAGCAACCCCGACATTGGCGAGGGTCTGGTTGGTATCGACCCTGAGGATGACCACCTCGACACTGTCACCTACCTTCCCCAGCTCAACTCTTTCTCCATTGGCCTGCCCGGCTCCCCTGACAACAAGGCTGCCCTCGAGGTCGCCAAGTTCCTCGGCACCCGCCACCACGTCATGACATTTACCATTGAGGACGGTCTCAACGCTCTTTCCGACGTCATCTACCACCTGGAGACCTACGATGTCACCACCATCCGAGCCTCAACCCCCATGTACCTGCTGTCACGCAAGATCAAGGCCATGGGTATCAAGATGGTCCTCAGTGGTGAGGGTAGCGACGAGATTTTCGGCGGCTACCTCTACTTCCACGCCGCCCCCAACAAGGAGGAGTTCCACGAGGAGACTGTCCGTCGTGTCAAGAACCTCCACTATGCCGACTGCCTGCGAGCCAACAAGTCGACCTCTGCCTGGGGTCTCGAGGCCCGTGTGCCCTTCCTGGACAAGGAGGTAAGTTGAAAATGCGGTAGAAAGAGGTAAAATAATTGTGCTAATGAAACATGGCAGTTCCTCGAGACTTCCATGAACGTCGACCCCGCGGACAAGATGATCACCAAGGAGAGAATCGAGAAGTACATTATCCGAAAGGCCTTTGACACGACCGGCGACCCCGATGCCAAGCCCTACCTCCCCGACAACATCCTGTGGAGGCAGAAGGAGCAGTTCTCTGATGGTGTTGGATACGGGTGGATTGATTCACTCAAGGACAACGCCGAGCTCCAAGTTACCGACGAGATGATGAAGAACCCCAAGCCGGAATGGGGCGACGATATTCCCGACACCAAGGAGGCGTACGTTCTTTTCCACCATGATAGACGCTGTGAACTAAACTAACATTTGAATGATAGTTACTGGTACCGCTGCATGTTCGACGAGCACTTCCCCCCGACTTGCGCCGGAACTGTCCAGCGCTGGGCCCCGACCTGGTCCCAGCAGTCGGACCCCAGTGGCCGGTACGTTTATTTTTGTCTTGTTGTTGAGGATATTCATGGTGCTAACATCTGGACACAGAGCCATCAAAACCCACAACGCAAAATACGAGTCTGCGGTTTAGAGCAGCAACTTGGTTGCACGCATGTTTTCCCCCGTATCTTACGTTGGCTACCTCTACCTGCCTGTGGGCTAAATAAAACCATCTCTGGAGCCGTTTTCCTTGGATGAAGAGAAAAGGCGTCTTTGGGTACTGCTTGGAATGATGATGATGGAAGAAGAAGAAGTAGGAAAAAAGAAGGCGTATTTTAGTTTCTAGAATTGCCGTTTATTATTGACTTGAGTTTCTTCCAACTGAGGGGACGCATTGAATGTGTTGTCACGCCGTTCTGGCGTGAGATGAGCGAGATGAGAGATTGCCATGCCCCAGCCCGTTCGGGGTTGATGCAATGCAAGTAGGGGTCGATGTGACGGTAGCACAGATGGTTGGGATGGACCAATGAGCGGGCGAGTTTGGTTGACGTGGGCTTCGATCCAGTTCGTGAGTCAGGCTGAAAGGATGTCTCAGTGGTGTCAAAGTGGCCAGGAGAAGAAGCAGGACTACCCAAGGTGGGTGGAGTGGAGAGAGACCACGGCCTAAGAGTGAAGTCGAGCGAATAGACGATGACGGCTGCGCTACGGACGAGAGGGACGGACGTGACAACTGGACGTGACAACTGGCCGTGACACTTGGGCTGGGCTGAATGGTGTCACGGGGCGCTGTGGGTGTTAGTGTTAGTGTAGACTCATTTGGGGAGTTTATGCGGTGACGGAACGAGGGTTGGAGAGGATATGGCCATTGTGCGAGCACTCGAGCGGCTTGGCCCTGCTTTCTTTTGCATGACCGAGGGTAATATGAGAGTTTATGGCTGTTGTCATTGGAGATTACCCGCGTTATGGCATGGAGAGTCGTTGGTGGGAAGCGAGTCTACTGTTCAGCAGTGGTGACGATGTGTTGGTGTGTTGTTGCGTTCTTTTCGAGTTGATGGGGATTGGATCATATCGCAGGCCTCAGGGTCGTCGCCTACTTCGGCAAGTCGGGCTCGTACCTGTCAGGTACCTTGCCTTACGGGCTGCGGGATGAGAGCGAAGAGTTGTATTCGTGCCACCACACCACTCCCACGCTTTCACACTCTTGCAGCATTCAAAAAAAAGAAAAGAACAGAAAAACAACAGGCAGAGGCTGCTGTACCTCGACGGTACCCGGGCTTGACACGGCCAGGCAACGCCTCAGCTCGTACCATCTCCTGGGCCTCGCTTTGCAGAGCGCAACCATCACCAAAGGCATCTTTGGGGGGTGAAGGCCCATGAAAAGTCGGGACAGGGGAAGTACTGCGCACGCAAGAGGACCCTGCAGGTTCCAATGCGGCACGTCGCAAATTCCCACCCGGGCAGGCCAACAACCGCCGCCGCCATGCACGCGTCCTCGATGCACAATTAATACCGGTGTGCCTAATTCATTTCCCGCTCCGGCGTGTGTCCCGCGTGAGTCTCCCGCTGGCCAATTTGCTCCTCCACGTGGGCCTGCCTCTGGGGCTAACGAGGGGCACCGTCGCCTCCCGCAGGACGTGCCAATTGCCGCCTGGTAGCTGTACGTCACAATTGTCGGGGCTGCGCCGAACATGATGGTAAGTTGCGAAGTCGAGTCGAGCACCAAAAAGCCGGACTCGGGTGGGTTGACCCGACATCAGCCGACGTCCACGGCCGGCCCTCCAGGCGCCGGCGCACAGGGCAGCTGTCCCCGTGGCCCTGAGTTTCAGTGGGCTCGCACCCCCCTTCCAGCAGTCTTAGCGCCTGGCCTGGCCCAACCAGCCAAGCACAGGGGCCGCACAAGCAACAGGCCCCCAAGTTGCCCCAGAATCCCCTAGAAAGAAGCAAGCTGCCCGCCCCTGTGCCAATCTGTGCCCTGTGCTAATTGAGCGCGAGAGCCGTGTGCCCCAAACAATTTCTCCCGTCCTCACCCTCTCCCGCTTGCCCTTGCTTCTCCTCCCTCCTCCCCCCCCCATTCAGCCGTTTTGTCCTTCATCATCCATCTTCAACTGCCTCTTTTCCCGTTCAATCTTCTCATCTAACCCCAAGACACCGCAAAAATGTCTGTCCCTGCCTTCTCCGATATCGCCAAGCCGGCCAACGATGTAAGCCATTGCTCAGAATCCATTTCTCGCCGCTTCTCGCCGTGCTACAAAGCTTGCGCGCGGGACCGCGAGACAGCTCCGTTGTGTTGTTGTTCCGATCTGCTGACCTCGGGCCTCTTTTTTTCGCGCCGCTTTATAGCTCCTCAACAAGGATTTCTACCACCTCTCCGCCACCACCTTCGAATTCAAGGACACCGCCCCCAACGGCGTTGCCTTCAAGGTCACTGGCAAGTCCAGCCACGAGAAGGCCACCTCTGCTGCCGTGAGTACCATCTTCCCCTCCAGCCTCGGGGCATCGGGAGCTTGACCGGGCGGCGGTCGATGGCTCTGGCAGTCTCAGCCCAGCTCTCCGCGAGCCCACCCGAGTCCCAATGCCTCGATATCTGATCTCTATTTGTTCTTTGGCTAACCTGAGCCCCATTGGGGCCATATTAGATTGAGGGAAAATACACCGACAAGCCTACCGGTACGGCCTCACCATCATCACATTCCTCTTCTTCCTCAACATCACCGTCACCATCACCATCACAATCGTCTCTGTCGTCAAGACCCAGACCCAGACCCAAATACCCCCATCGCAGAAAACCCAACCTCCCAGCTCTCAGCCTCTCTCGAATTCTCGGTCCTGGCTCTGGCTGGCCGATCGGTTTTGCGACAGTGCTTCAACCTGGCTACGCTCAAGTGCTAATGATCTACTCGCGCACAGGCCTGACCCTCACCCAAACTTGGAACACCGCCAACGCCCTCGACACCAAGCTCGAGGTCAGCGACTCCCTCGCCAAGGGCCTCAAGCTTGAGGGTCTCTTTAACTTCCTTCCCGCCACCGCTGCCAAGGGTGCCAAGTTCAACCTGCACTTCAAGCAGCCCGGCTTCCACGGCCGTGCCTTCTTCGACCTCCTCAAGGGTCCCGTCGCCAACGTCGATGCCGTTGTCGGCCACGAGGGTTTCCTCGCCGGTGCCTCTGCTGGCTATGACGCCAACAAGGCTGCCCTGACCGCCTACAGCGCCGCCGTCGGCTACGCTGCTCCCCAGTACAGCGCTGCCATCACCGCCTCTGACAACCTCAGCGTCTTCGCTGCCTCCTACTACCACAAGGTCAACAGCCAGGTCGAGGCTGGTGCCAAGGCTAGCTGGAACTCCAAGACCGGCAACACTGTCGGCCTCGAGGTCGCCAGCAAGTACCGCATCGACCCCGTCTCCTTCGCCAAGGTTCGTAAACTTCGTCAATTCAATGCCATCAGAATTCCTGTGTCTAACCGGCTCCGTGCTATAGGTCAAGATCAACGACCGTGGTATTGCTGCCCTCGCCTACAACGTCCTCCTCCGCGAGGGCGTCACCCTGGGTCTCGGTGGCTCTTTCGATACCCAGAAGCTCGACCAGGCCACCCACAAGCTCGGTGCCAGCTTCACCTTCGAGGGTTAAGCTCCTCCTATCTCTAGCCTCACTCACCCGCTAGATACATCCCTTCCAGGGCTGTCCACCCATGACAGCTCTTGTACCTTACAGGCTTGCATTGCAGTGGTCTCGGATGTAGATTATCTCTCATAAAAAAAATCTTGAAGATAATGTTTTTTCGGCGATTATTTATTTCCACATCTCGCTCCCGTGTTTCTCGATGTTACCATGTTTGTATTTGTAGGAACCAAATTTCCGGCCCGAAAAAACTCCTACGACAAGGTCTAACTTGTACGCCGGCCAGTTCTATGTCCATTTGTCCAAACACCTTTGAATACTTTCATCTGCAGCTTTCATCGTTTAACTTATCAGTCTCGTTCTTTGCTCTTACGACCTAGCTGCATGAACTGAATGTACACGAGCGGTGCGAGGATGGTGGTAGCTAGAATACCCGAGATGATGAAGAAGTGGCCTGCCATGCTCGTTTGCGGTTCAAACTCAATGTCATCGTCACCCACAGCTCGCCGGTCCCGTTGCCACCGCCGCCGGTCCTCGCGCTGGTGAGTCCGTGTGTGCCCGTGCTTGTCAAAGTGCGGCACCTCTTCCTGGTGTCCGAATGGATCGTCGCCAGGGCCCATGCCCCCGTGCCGCGAATACTGCGCGTAAGGGTGTGCGTGAGCATGGGTATGGGAGTGGGTATGGGTGTGATTATGGTTGTGCGTGTGCGTGTGAGTCTGCTGGTATGCAAAAGGGTCGGCCCACGGCCCCCGGTTGGCGCCGGGGCTCGCAGCGCCGGAGTCCGGTTCGGCGCCCTGCCCCGTGCCGGTTGACTCCTCGTGGGCATTGCGGCGCTTCTCCGTCTGGCCGCCCCAGCCGCCGCTGCGGTAGAAGCTGGGCGGCGGCCCGCGGAAGGTCCCGCGGCGCCGGCTCAGACCGGAGGGCGACCGGCCGCCGGCGGGGTTGTTGGTGCTGTGGTACGAGGCGCGCGGGTTTCCGGGGTGGGCGTGGCCGGGAGCGTGGTGCTGGAGGCGGAGGACGTCGCGGTCGTAGGCGGCGCGGCGGGACGTGTCCGAGAGCACCGAGTAGGACTCCGAAATGAGCGAGAATGTGTGCGAGGCATTGGGATCGGACGGGTTGGCGTCGGGGTGGTGACTCTTGGAGAGGGAGTAGAAGGATCTGCGCTCGTATTAGCTCTCAGTCCCCCCTCATGGCATGTAATCCATTGCGCCGCTACCACTCGATGTCCAGGACGAAACACGAGGACGGGAAAACAACTGACTTCTTTATCTCAGCCGGCGTGGCATCGAGCCGGACATTCAGCCGGTCGTAGTGATTCCTACGCGCAACATCGTCGTGCAACGCGCGCCTCGCCTGAGCCCGACACCGGAGAAGCAGCGCGGCCGCATCACCGGCGATGGCGGCGGCGGGCCGGGCAATTGGCGCGCGCAGCCGGGCGAAGCGGCTACGGAGGGAGGCGGGACGCACCAGCATGCCTCATCACGAAGTTGCGTCGCAGGGCAAATAAGGTGCGCGGGATTGTGTCGCTACGGGGGTTTTTTTTTTTGCGTGGCAGCGAGGGCGTTCGGCGGGAAGCGGGAAAGGTGGTCGAGGCGAGCAAGGGTTTGGGTGGTGATGTAATAAATCCATCTGGGGTGAGGAACCGTTGGTGCGTACTTGGTATGCAACTGGGCGGGGCGATGCGCGTAGCGGGAGAGAAGGCATGATGAGGGATGCCATGAGCCATGAGGCTCAGCGCCAGATACAGCATCGACGCTATTACAAGCGCATGGATATTATGGGGGAAATGTATATGCGAATTCCGGACAGAGGTTTTTGGAGCCTGTATATTACTCTCCCGGTATAATGTTACCATGGATTTGGGCCTCGACGTCACATCTTAAATGCTCAGTGATCATGTAAACCGCACATCATCTGTGGGGGAGTTTATAGCAGCACTGCAACTGCTGGTCATGACTCAACAGACATTCAAAAACTCATGAGCTACAGTGCTTCTCGGTCCGGAATGATTTAGGTGAACGTCGGAAAGGTTTCTCACATTTACACGTCGGCTTGTTCTTATGCGTGTGCTTCTAACTCTTGGATATTCCCACCACATCTTGTCTGGGACATGCCCAGGAAATAACCACTGCCTCAGCGCTCAGCGCCGCTCCATGCCAGGGCATCCCAAAACTCGCCTTCATTCCCACGATAGTGCTGAATCTAATGCAAGCCGCCCATGCGACTGACAACTCCCTGGGTATCCAAAACAAGGGGTCAATGCCCATCCCGGGGACCCCACCTTATGCTCCTCTATAGTGTTGCGAACTTAGGATCTGGGACGCTTAAGGGGGTGCGCCTCTGTGTTGAGGACCCAATCATCCAGGTTCAACACGTTGTGATCCTCAAAGATCAACCAGAAGTATTTGAGAGTCTCCGACATCCAAAACGTCTGTTAAGTATGTTAGATTTTACTCAGAAGCGGGAGACAAGTGAATAAAAGAAGGGGAAGCGAGCTTACCTCCATGGAATCCTCCTGGTCGCTGCCCTCTTGGCGCACATCAGCTATAGAGGCGAACGCCAGGGAATTCTCTGTCTCTTTGACGATACCCTCCCACATGCGCCACGCTGCATCCCGCCAGATCTCGTCTCCAGTGATGCGCCACATGTAGAAGACGCTCTCTATCGCCTCCGGTCGCAGGAGATATCGCGGGTCCCGCACGCGAATAAAACCAGGTGGCAGCCTAGTTGATGCGGTCTTGAGGTCCTCGTAGCTACACTCCCCATCGATAGAGGGGCAGGGCTTGAGTTCTGAGATCTCGGGCATGATGTTAGTTGGGAAGGAGTCATACGCCCAGACGCAGCCTGCTGTCAGGCGGGAGCCGAGGGCCACAAAGTCTTCCCGTGACAAAAGTTTGCCAGCGAGGCCGTATGTGCCACCAACGAAGCAAGTCAAGTGCTGCATTTCAGTCGTGAGTTCAATCTGGCCATTGTTTGCCAAAGCGTTGCCCGCCATCAATATATTTTCGTCCTTGGGGTTGACGGGTCGGTACAGGAGATGCTTCGTCGCCGTATCGAGAGCCAATGTCGTCATCTGGACGTATTCGGGGTCCAGGCCGCCGAGGATGGCATGCATCTTGGGTAGATACTCGTACATGGAGTCAGCACCTGCTCCTAGGGTGAACATGGTGTTCTTGACAGTTTCTGTTTGGTAGTTCATGGTGTGCGGCCACAGCCCGGGAAGCTTGGTGCTATTCTGGTTGCGGTAGATGAATTGCTTGACTCTCTCAGTGGCGTCGTAGTACTTGGGATCGCCTGTGATCTGTGATAGACGGGTAAACTCTAGACCCATGGAGCAGCCGGCAGCTCCGGACATGCTGTCATCGGCCGTTTGCTCGCCTTTTTTGGCCTTGTTGAAGTAAAGCCAGTGTGAGGGTAGTCGGTTCGGGGTGTCGAAGGTGGCATACAGCATGTCGCCCAGCTCCACGGCCTTGGAGAGCAGGACATGTTCCCCTGAGAGGTCGTAGGCTGCCAGCAGCCCACCGAGGTGACGGATCGTCACCTCAAACAAGTTAAGAAATTCGTCACTGGTCCTGGCCCAGTCGATCAGGGCTATCTGCTGAACGGCCAGGTGGAAATCCTCCTTCATGTCGAGGAGCCAGAGGGTGTCGAGCGCATCAACTATCTGAGCGGACCAGCCAGAGAAGGTCTGCCTGCCCTTGCGGGAGAGGGGCTTGAGCTCGTCCTGGGGCCAGGCATACTTCTTGTAGGCATCCCAACTCTTGACGAAGGCCTTTTTGACGGCCGTCTTGCGGGCCAGCGAGACATGGGTCTCGCTGGACTCTTTCCAATCACGCTGGACGGCGGGGAGCTTCTTGGGCTGGGCCGCGGGCGGGCTTTTCATGTCCTCAACGGGGTACTTGACGGGATTCTTGCTCCAGTCATAGCTGCTGGGGAGGTACTTGACAGCGCCGACCTTGGTGGCTCGGATGAAGTCCTGGGGATGGAAGCTGTGATACAGGAAGTAGCCGACGCCGACGAAGATGACGAGAGCGATGTAACGACGACTCAGTCGTCCCTGGCATTGAGCAATCATGGCCGGCGCATACTATGGTGAAGAGCAAGAGCAAGAGCAAGAGCAAGAGCAAGTTGATGACACGCGACCTCGCAATGCGGCATGCTATGACGGTTGGCGGTGTCGGACCGGATCGGACGGAGTGGACGAAACGGGAGGAAGTAAGTGGTCCCGAATCAACCAACGCAGCCAAGATAGAGTAGAAAGAAGCAGGGAAACCGGCTCGATGTCGAGGTCGAGACCGTGTCGATAAAAAAAGTGAAGAGGAAGAAGAAGAACAAAGTCCCAACAGCGCGCACAACCTGCTTTGACGCCCGCGTGGGAATTAAAGAGGGAGCCGCCTGTCTTGGCTCCCGTGCTATTGGGGAGGGGAGAATGGTCGGCGTCATGTCTGCCAGGCCTCGAAAATAGTTGCTCCATTGGACGCGTCCTCCTGCCTTCTCCTGCCTTCTCTCTGCCCAGGTGTCCACGAGTCCCCTGTAACGCTCCCCGCCACAGGCCCGGCAACACCCCTGCGTCTCCCTGCGAGTCCCTATAAATGGTACGCCACGGGCCTCTCGGCAGGTGGGACAGGGCGGTCACAGGGGGGGTCAGTCTTGGCTGATTGGCCGATTTCCCGGTTCGCTCTTGGCGGAAAGATGGGGACTTCCGTCGCTGCCGCCGGGGTGGTACCTGCCTCTCTCGGGGGCTCGGGGGTGGTGCTGACAGGCTGACAGCGGCAACAAGCTTGCGACTAGCCTAATATCCAGAGGGTCGGTACATCGGGTACGCGGATAATTCCTAGATTGATCGTCCCATCGTACGTATCGAGATTGGGTGCACACGAACATGTGGACGGCCCCGATTCATTGCCATCTGCTATGTACTTATCGAATCCAATACGCGGCTTCTTGGGAGCGAAGTCCGGAGAGATGCGGGACGCAATGAGAACATGTATTCTAACCCAGGTCAACCATATAACACTTAACGTGTCTCATGATATCGTTAGAATGCGACCATGCAAGACCTGACTCGCTTTTGTGGGTTACCCCGACGTAGCTATTCTCAGGTTCATACGTATCACCCACCACTCATCTCTACACCTCGATCTCAATGTTAAAAGAATGGCTAAAGTTTGTTATCTGCGTCCAAATGAGTGACTAAGGTCAGACTAAAAATCACAGCTCTGAAAGCACCCCCGTCCGAAGGCTCGAGAGGAATCCTGCGGCCTGGCATCGCGAAACTGCCTGCTTTGCGTCTCTGCCAGCACCACGCTCGACGAAGCTCCCTAGACCAAGCTTGCTGGATGAAGCCCCCGAGAGGAAGCCATCGAGAGAAGCACCGTCGTTATCGTTCTTCGCCGTCCCATCTCCGGACCCTCACAACTACCTCATCTCTGCTCCTTGCTACTGCAATACTGTGAATATCAAGACAATCTGCATCTGGCGGGCCGATACGACCCCGATGGCCGTCGTGGGTTGGGCCGCTGGCACGCGACATCGGTGTCTCCCTGTCCGGATACATCCAGTCAGGCGGCGTCCAAGATCGGACACGAGACGGTCTCCGCGGTTCAGTCTGGCTTGACCGCGTTGGCCTTGACGACAAGGCGCTTGGGGGACAGCAGACCTCTTGCCGGCCGCGCTCGGTGATCCGGCGGGAGCAAGTCCTGCTGCAGAGCCCGTGGGATGCAAAATATGTGTCATCGCCTACTCGTAGCGCTCACCTTGTCATTCAGTCGTATCCTCCGCCGATCTGGCTGTGGAAGGCCGTGCTAACGCTCTTCTCGTCGTCGTCGTACCGGCGTCCGAATCCGAGTCCAGGCGGAATCCGGCCACTGCTTTCCACGTATTGCTTGAGCCTGTCGCTCTGGCTGTAAGAAACAGGACGCATCCCCGTCACCGCGTCGTGTAGTCCAGCTCCAAGGCTGACGCCGCCTTGTCCCACACCCTTGCCGCCGATCACGCTCGCCGATGCATCTGTAAACTCTGAGTTCGCAACGCTCTCGCCGGCGATGCTCTCCGTAGCACGGCCGCGGCTCTTCCCTCCACGTCCTGGACCAGCGACTCCAGGGAGTCCAGGCCACTGTTCAGGGGTGAAGCTTGCGAACATGGGCGGGAAAGCGCTGTTGAGAGAAGCACCTCCAAAGGCGGAGCCGTGAATTGAGGACACATCATCGGGGATGTAAGAAACCATCGAGCCCAGGTCAAAGTCGCGGCCCGAAGAAGGGGCATTAAAGCGTCCGTTGGAGAAGCTATTGTTGCTATTGTTGGTGCTGGGGGTGTTATTGCTGCTGTTGGCACTGAACGGCGACTGCTGGTTCTGGTTCTTCTGGCGGTAGCTGACCTTGGGGCGGCTGAACTGTAACAAGCAGGCCTGCAGGTTGGTCAAGGGGCCCTCAACAAAACACTTGCGATCCTTGAAATGAACGAGTAAGTTGTGCCACAGCTCGTGTTTGGACAGAACCTTGGGGTTTCCGAGAATGACCAGACCATACTTGGCTCGGGTCAGGGCGACATTGAGACGCCGAGGATCAGACAAGAAACCGATTCCCTGGTTGTCGTTGGATCGGACACAAGAAAGGACGATGAAATCCTTCTCACGTCCCTGGAAGGCGTCAACTGACGCAACCTCGACTTCCTTGTAAAATTCCTTCTTGTACGTTCCCGAGTTCTGCATTGTAGTCACAATGTAGCTCCTCTGGCCCTCGTACGGAGTAATGACACCGATGTCTGCTGGCTTTACTCCGGCCTTGAAGAACCTGGTGACGGCTTTTTCAACATTGGACGCTTCAGTTCGGTTGAGGTATGAAGTTCCAGAAGCCGAGATTTCCTCATGGCCTAGGTTAGACCAGAACATCATAGGCATTTCCGCGACGGGCCAGGGGAAGTCGACATCCTTCCTCAGACGGTTCTCATGAGTGACACCATTCTGCAAAGTTCCCTCGTAAAACATGTTTGAGGGAAACTCAGAGAGGCAGGGGTGCATACGGTACTGGATGTTGAGTCGGATGGGGGAGAGCTTCAGGTTAACGAGACGCTCGAAGAGTGACTGGTTTAGACCGGCCTTGGCAGCCTTCTTGTTCATGATAACCGGGCCAAGCTGCTTGTGATCACCAACGAGAACGACTTGTTTGCACCCAAGGACAAGAGGAATCATGCACTCGGGTTCGGCAGATTGAGTCGACTCGTCAATCAGGACGTTGCGGAACTTCATCTTGGACAGTCGCGGGTCACCTGCACCAACGCAAGTACAGCAAACAACATCAGCGTTGTTGAGAATATCTCGCTCGGCGACCTTGGTGAGTTGCTTGAACTTCTTCTCGTCCTGGCTGGACAATTCGCCCAACTCATTCTTCAACTGAGAAAGCTTGACCAACTCGCTATTGTGCTCCGACATGCGAACCTGCTCATGCAGGGCTAGGAAGCTGACCGAGGACTCGACATCCTCACGAGACTTGGCAGTCAAACGAACAACCTTGAGACCGGTGCGGTGAACACGTTCACACAGCTGGTCAACAGCAACGTTGGATGGGGCACAAACCAAGACTTGGCCGTTGCTCATCTTGGCAAGGTGATAGATGATGGTGGCGGAAGTCACAGTCTTTCCGGTTCCGGGAGGACCCTGAATGAGACTCAGGGGCTTCTGGAGGACTGCCTTAATGGCACCGACCTGGCTTGGGTTGAGGTCGGGGAGGCCAGGAACTGACCACTTCTTAGGGAGGCTTGTCTTCATCGGCTGCAGTTGGACTTCGTGACCCAGCAGGGTGTGGAAAATGTACCCGGACACGCTCATATCATCGACAGCAAAGGTCTTCATGGCCAGCTGCATGCGGTCGTAAGAGGTGGCCTTCCAGACGTAGTCGGCGGAGAAGTTGTGTGAGAGATCGGTTGGCACCGATTTCTCGTTTCCGGTCTTGCGCAACTCTAGAGTAACCTCGTCGGACTGGTTGTTGGGAATCTTGATAACGTATCCAACGCCCTCCCAAGGTGATCGGAGCTCTCCCTTGTAGCGGAGTCGCATCTCATCGCCAACAGCGAGCTTGACGTCTCCGGACTCAATCTTGTGCAAGTTGAAGCTGACGAGGTGCTTGTTGTTCAGACCGTAATCCCAGCGCACGGTAAGCCCATCCTCGGACTGGGCCTCCTTGAGTTTCTTATCGTAGTCGGATTCCATCTTAACCAAGGGCCCAAAAATGTTCTGGTAATGGTAAGGGTCGTCGTATTGCAGCAGGACAGGGTGAGGATCGTCGTCGATGTTTGAGGCCTTCTCCAAGTCAACCACAGTGGCCTTGGAGTCTATCTTCCACATCTCCTCCAGCTTCGCAATCATATTTGGGGTCAAGTGACGAGCCCGGAGCTGTTCGGCATCGGACGGGGTAGCGACGAGCCACGGCAAGAAGGCTCGTTCTTCGATAAGTGGCTGCCATCTCGATGTATCCCAGTTCATGTCCTTGTTGGAGGTGTTCGCGGCACATGGCTGTCGGCAGAGGAGAACAACGACCGTGTCTGACTTGGCAGGGATGAAACCGAGAAGGAATGCGTTTTTCGTTCCGCAGTTGTAACACTCGAGCACGGTATCGCCTAGGGTGGACTCGGGGTGAAGTTGAACCTCCTTGTGGCGAGCTCGTACGAGATGGTTCACGATGTGGGTTGAGGTGCCGTTACCACGAGCGCTGCAAAACCACTTGTTGCAGGTGAGGCACTTCACCACGCAGCCAGGCGAGTGGATTCCGCAGTATCTGTCGGCCAACGTCAGCGAGCTTCGCGCGGTTTCTGACTTGTACCACCTACGCGCAAGCATGAGCCGGAAGCTCCTTCTCCTCCTCTGGACCCTTCAACTTCAGCCCAGTCAGTCCATCGACCGGCACACTGTTCAAGCTATCATTCTCGTCCTCTTCATAGGCCTCAGTTTGGTTGTCGTCGTCATCGGCTCGGCGACGGCCACTCCGTTCTGCGTATTTGCCGTAGAGCAAGCTCTCATCAGGGTCGATCGCGGAAAGGTCGTCGGCTCCGGCTTTAATGGCGGCGGCAGAATCGGATATCAGGTGGTTCCCGACATGGGTAAAAGCGCCCTCCATGTTGGTGTGTTGTAATAGAAATTCGCGTCGTAGGTAGGGTTTTCCTGCACGTACTATCAGCATTTGGATGCCCCGCGCGCCAAGGTGGCGGTGACGCTCGGGGTGAGGGCAGCCCTCAAGAAGGTTCCGGACCGCCGCAAAAGGGAGTGCGACTCACCTACAACTATTGGTCTTTCGAAATAGACCCGTTTGTGAAGCCTTGTGGCGACTCGGATCGGATTGGGAAAGTGATTGGGGGTTGCAAGTCGCTGGTGAGGCTCACATCATCGCGAAGAAGGATGCGCCGGGGAGAAAGCGTGGCAGGCTGCGAGGGGAGGTTGGGCGAGAAAGAACGGTAGTACGGTGGCCTCTCAAGGTCATAGCACGAGAGTTGGCAGTCAGAATTTGTTTTTCTCGTGAACCAGAGATATCGATGGGTGAGCAACTGGACCCTCTCGTTGGCGGAGTTTGGTGGGACATTTTGCGCCCACGTGATAGGCAGCCATCGAATCGATACGCGTCTGAACACCGGCAAAACCGATAAGGGAACTTTTTTTCTGGTGGTAGCGCTCCGAAAAATTCAAGACTATTGTAACCATCGAAGTCTCAAGTTCTTTACAGCGGGCATCTTTCTTGCATTAATCATGATTGTGAGTCTCGAATGAAATCACCCCCTCTCAGGCTTATGTGTACTAATATTTCTTTGCGCAGCGCAAACAAGCGCGTCAACGGCGCGACTATCTGTACCGACGAGCTCTCTTGTTGCGAGATGCCGAGATCAGTGAGAAGAGGGCCAAGCTGAGATCGTCTCTGGCATCTGGAAAGCCATTGGACCCGACCATCGCAAACGACAAGACTCTGCGCAAAGACTACCAGTACGACGAGTCACGACCCGACCTCTCCACAAACGAGGAGCTTGACCTTGATGACGAGTACGCTCAGCTGTCCGGCATTGTCGACCCCCGAGTTCTTGTGACGACCTCCCGCGACCCCTCTGCCAGATTGGCTGCTTTCGCAAAGGAAATCAGACTTCTCCTGCCCACAGCCGTTCGTCTCAACCGTGGAAACCTCATTCTGCCCGACCTGGTGCGATCCGCCCAGTCTGCTGGCCTGTCCGATATCGTCCTCCTCCACGAGCATCGAGGTACACCTACCGCACTCACGTTGTCGCACTTTCCTCACGGCCCGACGGTTTCTTTTTCGTTACACAATGTTGTCTTGCGCCACGATATCCCAGGAAGCGTTCGAGGAACTGTGAGCGAGTCGTACCCTCACCTTATCTTTGATGGGTTTACTTCTCGACTGGGAGAGCGAATTGTCAAGGTGCTGAAGCACACCTTCCCTCCCAGAGAGGCCATCACCAGCAAGAACAAGGTCGGCAACCGAGTCGTGACATTCAAGAACATTGAGGATAGCATTGAAGTGCGGCACCACGTCTTTGTAAGGACGGGCTATGACAGTGTTGAGCTAGCCGAGGTTGGCCCGCGAATGACGATGCGGCCGTTCGAAATCCGAAGTGGCACGCTGGAGAACAAGAATGGTGATGTTGAGTGGCATCTAACGCAGTACACGCGAACCGCTAAGAAGAAGAATTACCTTTGAGCGGGTTGTGCTTAATTTCGGGAACAATCCAGCCTCGACAAGAGGGGATTGCGATTTTTTGTCGGCCTTACATGTGGTGGAATCAGCCGATTTGAGAGGAGGGCTCGCTATGTGCAGGATCCTTTGCTACTATCTCTCCACTTCACATGAAAGAGTAGTGAGGATTCTGTGCCTTGCCAGTTCCTAGCTCCAAGAATCTGCGTCAGACCTCTACGCTGTTACTTGTTGCGCCGAATGCTCCGCCCTCAACCGGACCAGAGATCCGTACCGGCGTACCGGATGACGCGGCGGACCACGGCATAGAAGGTGGGGGAGTTTGGAGTTTGGATGCGTGGGATTACGACCTGTGATTTGAACCCGGCGGTGACTGTCAGACGGGGGAGATGGCTAAGCCTCACAGGGAATTGAGGACCGTTATTGGGCAAGAGACGACGATTGGCTCATGGCGATGAACGTCAACCTTAGCCTGGAAATACTGCGTCGAAATATTTGGATGATGGGACCTCCCCGAAAATTCAGGTTCCCCACGGCAAAGACGAATAAGATATCGGTGGCTGTAGGCATCCATATTAGCTACAGGTAATGGTTGGCAGATAGTTCTAGGACTCTTTGTACGACTACCGCAACCATAGATCGGATGTAAATTGAAACCCGGTGACCTCGCCCCATATTTTGGCGTTCTTCGATGAATGACGTATGTTTTCAAGATACTAGTGGTAGGTAGATACTAGTGGTACCGTGCTCGTTCCTCGTACTCCGTAAAGCTAACGACGAATCATGGCCGCAGGATATTGAGGTTGGATTGGGAACGAGGAAGCAAGGACTAAGTAATACGCAGGCAAGAGACAGGGGGAAACGAGAACTGATTTAGCCTCCCAATTGAAAGCTATACGGATCATCTCACTTGCATTCAAATTCCGTGAATCTTGGACAACTTTTTACCTGGCTTTGACTTCTGCGAGCTAACTGGATTCTTTTTTGGTCTGCATTTGGGTTGGGGGCGGAGGCTGGCTCGGCTGGGGTTGCGAGGTTAGGGCCGCAGTCAACATGTCACACAGCCGCGAAATAGACGATGGAAGCCACCTGATAGCCGTCAGGGTGTTCACGGGCCATTGGACGCGAGAGCATGTCATTGCCGCACTCCGAGTTGACGTGATGTCGTGCTGGCTGTGGGGATACAAACAAGTTGGTCTGTGTAAGTCGATGTTCGAAGGTCCGCTACGGGAGCGGGGGAACCGGGACCCCCAAAAACTCCGGGGGCAAAGCCCGTCTCCAGGCGCGCAAACGCAAGGCAGCAGCAGCTAGAGAGAACGAGATGAGCTGCGAAAGTGACGATGGTCATTGTGGCTGACCAGAGAAATGCACTTTTTTCCCCAAGTGTCTGTACGCCGGGCAATGCAACCCACAAGCAATGTGCGGTGTGTAGAGAGCACGCGGCAAGACAGCCCGTATAGACATTCGCCGTTACGCGGACGACATGGCGGGCCCCCTGGGAATCTTGCGAACGAGGAGGCGCATGTCGCATCCGCTTCTCGCATCTGAGTCCGATTTCCGTCTCTACGTCCGCGTTTCGCCTCTGTGCCCGCATTTCGCACCAGGACCCGCGACGATGCCGCACAGCCTCACAGCAATGGCTGACGTCTCGAGCTGCCTGCCCGCAACAGAGAACGATTGCTTCGCGCCGGGGAGGGGAGGGGCTTGTGGGCGAAACGGCGGGCGTGGTTTGCCGGGGCAGTGAGGTGCTTATTTTTGGGCGAGGCGACCCCTACTGCCGCTGCTGCTGCTCCCCGCCACTTTGCGTACGCATCGTGTTTCTGCAGGCAGGGGTTCTACATACGTGCTGCGGCCCCGCCGACTCCAGCGCCGTGCTGCTGCTCACAGCGCCGGAGCGAGCTAGGACAGCTTAGAGCTTGGACGAACCCGAGGCTGCCGAGGGTCCCATCAAAGTAAGCCTGGGGGCCCGGCCAGAACTTGGCAGCCTTGCGCGATGCTTCATAAGCCAGACAATCCCTCGTTTGCCAATGCCATTTCTTTTTTTCTTCTTCTCATGTACTCTGCCGTCTTTTCTTCTGGTTACTCTCGACCCTGTCTCAGCCCTGCCAAGCCATCCCGGGCCCTTCGCTCGGCTGTCAAAATCGCGCCCGCCGGCCTCTGTTTTGTGTTCCATTGTTTCCAGAACCGAGCACAGACGGTTTTCTTAGTGGCTCGACTGGGTCGTTGGCTCGCCCCTCCGCCATCCCGCCGCCACCGACGCCTGTAAAACGTCGTTTTCGCGCTGTCGCTGACGCTGTCGGGCGCTGTTTCGGCCCTTGCCACCCCTCCGTCCGCTATAGTGACGTACTGCGTACTGCGTACCACGCAAAACCCCGGCCAAAATCCTGCACCGAATCCTCCACGACGGCCGTCCGGTTGAGTCGTCCGATCCATCCATCCTCCAATCCCGGCCAACCACCGACATTTCAGAGGATCCGCGCCATTGTGGTTTAGCGTTCAACTTGGCACAGCCCAGCTCCCGGCGCTTCATCCTCGTCTGGCTCATCCTCATCTCCTACATCATCTCACCCTCCCCGACCCCATTGCTGCTTTCTGAGTATCGCTGTCCACCATGTCCTACGGCCAGTACAATCAGAATCCTTACCAGGAGGGTCCTCCTCAGGAGGCCGGCTACGGCGGCTACGGCCAGGTAAGCATCTCGCTCAAATGCGCACCCTCGTCAAATTCAGGGCGGCACAGCTAATAACAAACCATCAGGCCAACCCGTACGCTCAGGACCAGCAGGACCAGCAGGGCCAGAACCAATACGAGATGCAGGACTACAATCAGCAGCAGCAGCCCCCGTCTTCTGCCACCCTCTCTCAAAATGACTTCCTCAACCGCGTCCAGGGCCTGCGCAATGACATCAAGGCCCTCACTACTGACATTGACTACATCGGCCAGCTACACCAGCGCGCCCTCGGCAGCACCGACAGCGCCGTCAAGGAGCAGCTCGAGCAGTATGTCGCGCAGACCCAGATCCGCAACACCGCCATCAAGGACGGCATCAAGGGCCTCGAGCGCGATCTCGCAAAGACGACAGACTCCACCCGCAACACCAAGAACACCCAGCTGCAGTCCCTAAAGACCTTCTTCAAGTCCGAGCTCGACAAGTACCAGAGCATCGAGCGCGATTACAGGCAGCGCTACCGTGACCAAATTGCCCGCCAGTACCGCATCGTGAAGCCGGATGCCTCGGAGGAAGAGGTCCAGGAGGCGTCCGAGGCTGATTGGGGCAACGAGGGTGTCTTCCAGACCGCTGTGAGTTTGTCAGACTCCGGAATTATGCAGGATACAGCGCTGACGTGAACTTTCAACTAGCTCCGGACGAACCGCACCGGCCACGCCAGCTCTGTGCTGGGCAATGTGCGCGCCCGCCACAGCGAGCTGCAGCGCATTGAGCAGACCCTCTCCGAGCTTGCTCTCCTCTACCAGGAGCTCGCCGCCGTTGTTGAGCAGCAGGAGCCCGTCATCCAGGCCGCCGAGACCAACGCCATCAACACCGTCGAGAACATCGAAAAGGGCAACGAGCAGGTCAAGGTCGCCAACGAGCACGCCCGCCGCCGCCGCAAGCTCAAGTGGTGGTGCGCCCTCGTCGTATTCCTCATCATCCTCGCCATCGCCCTCGGTGTCGGTCTTGGTGTCGCCCTGACCAAGAATTAATCAGGAGGCCCAACCGCCGCCGTTGTCGTCGCGCGTAATGATGTTGGTGTGTGTATACGACGTCTGATAGACCCTCGATGATGTTTCCCTCCTCTTTTTCGCCTTAGTTCGCGATATCAACCAGCGGCGTATGCGCCAACCCGTCGCATACGCTCTTACTTAATTCTCTCATTTCCCCGAAGCGTCGGAACGCTGGGGAAGTACATTTTTTGGAGGTGGGCAGATGGGAACAAAGAGTTCATGAAAATGGGTTATGAAGGCTTATTTCGTTGGTATTGGTAGTGTTTTTGTTTCCCTGCATCCTTTTCGCTTCTTCTGTAGGAATACTTGTTCTGCTTGGGTGGCATGGGAAACGCAGTGGGTTCTGGAGTTGTATCTATTGATGATCCAGAACGGTTTGGATGGCTTGGAGAGTATCTCCCACGTAGCAGGAAATAATATCCCCCTCCGAACCGGGGTTTCCATGAGTCGGACCACCAGAAAGTTGATAGCAAGTGTTTGAATAATGACAGTTCTGTCCATCAGAAACCACTATTTTTCCAATTGTTCGAGTGAGCGTCGTGTGGTGCTCACTTGTGTCGGGGGATCCTTGAAACAAGATGAGAGAAGTACTATTATATACACGTACAACAGGGTTCTCAATTGTGCATTACAAGTCCCCCGACTCCAAAGCATTGGGCCTCACTTCCCTGTGAGACAAGACCTTTGCCGGATGAGCTCGCAGGCGGGCAGAATCGTAACCCATCCAAGATCCGACAGACACCTCTCGTTCTCCAAATTCGTACACGTTACACGCCCAACTTTGTTCGTCAACTCTCTCTCGCCGCCTTTATTTCGTACAAATGCTTAAGGGCCCATGCGTAGGCCGCCGGGGCCACCAGCACCGCCAGCCAGCTTGGCAGCCAGCTTGGGGTACTTCTCGGTGACCTGAACTTGTGTTCGCGTCGCCTCGGCGTAAGAAAGGGCGTTAACGATCTCTCCCTCGGTGCGGGCGAGCTCCGCAGCGCGCTCAAAGTACTTGAGGGCCGCGGGGACGTTGTTCTGCTGGAGGAGGAGCTGAGCCATGGTGGCAACGGCAATATCACACTCGGGGTCAACTGTAGTCAATGATTAGCAACAGGGATCTATGATGTTGCCACGAGGGCACTTACTAATGAGAGCCTTCTGGCAGAGCTTCTCCGCCTCCTTGAAGTCCTGCTTCCACTGGAACAGGGCAAGGGCCTTGTTAATAAGGGGCAGAACGTTCATCGACATGGGCTTAGTCTGCTTCTCCATCTCCATGGCGGTATCGAACTTCTCAATGGCCTCAGAGAAGTTGCCCTGGTCGAGCAACAGCTCACCGTAGTAGTTGTAGACGTCGGGCACCTTGGGGAAGTTCTTGATGCATCGTCGGAAGGTGGCCATGGAGGAAGCGATGGAGCCCATCTTGTACTGTGTCACTCCAAGCTGGATGTGAGAGAAGATGAAGTCCTTGTCCAGGTCAATAGACTTCTGGTAGTCCTTCTGGGCATCAGCCAGGTCGCCCTTGATGAAGTGGGCCTGAGCGCGGTGGTAGTAAACATCGGGATCGTTGTTGTCCTGCTCCAGCGCCTTGGCAAACTCCTCCTCGGCCTTGTCGGGCTCACCAAGCTCGAGGCTGATGCTGGCACGCTTGATATAGCTCTGGGTCATGGAGGGGTCAAGCTCAATGCTCTTATCGAAGTCCTGGGTGGCCTCGGCGTGGTTACCCAGCAGGGTTCGGAAGGTACCCCTCATGTTATAAGCCAGAGCCTCGTACTCTTCCAAGCCACCGATCTGAATAGCCTGCTCGAAAGCCTGTCGTGCCTCCTCATAGCCGTCACCAGTCTTCTTTTCCAAAGACTGGAGACCAAGCTGCATCTGACCCTTGCCACTGTCGGAAGCCAGCTCAACCGAGTCCTCGAGCCCCTCCGGTCGGTCCTTGGGTCGGAAGCTCTGGAGGTAGTTGCCCACGAAGATCGGGCTGGGCAGCTTGGGTGGTCGGTTTGCCATCATCTCCTTGGCCTTCTGCTCGGCGAAAGTCTTGAGTAGTCGCTCGACGGCTTGGGCGGTCGACTCGCTCTTGAAGTTATCGATGATGCATGAGGCGGTGAAGTCGAGAAGAGCTTCGGAGTACTTCTTCTGGTGCTCGTAGGCAGTGGCGCGGCGGTTGATGGCCTTGACGTATTCGGGGTCCATGTTGATGGCGGCGGTGGTGTCCTCAATAACCTCATCCCATTCGCTCATGGCGCTGTGGCAGGCTGCTCGGTTGGAGTAGAAGACGGGGTCGGGCTTGCAGAGAATGGCCTTGGAATACAGCTCAATGGCACGGTTGTATGCCTTGTCTCCGTAGGCCTTGTTACCGGCCTGCTTCAGCTTCGCAGCAAATTCTTCGCGCTGGGGCTGGGACAGGGTAGTGACGGTCTGCTCATCGATCTCTGGCAGCTCGGATTCGCTCTGGACCGAGGCGGTTTGGGGCTGCGAGGGGCCAGTAGTGGCGGTATCCTTGGACTCGGCAACCTTACGGTCTGCCTCTTTTCGCTTTCTCCTCTCCTTCTTGCTCAATTTAGGAGCTGAGCTGGACTTCTGCAAGGGGCCGAAATGGATTAGTCGGAGCTCGCGGCAATAGGGCATGGTTCGATGCAGCAGCCCAGTCCGCAATAACGGATGGCGGGGACAGCAGCAAGCAAATGCAGGATGGTGGGACGTACGGAATCATTGAGGTAGTAGACGACACCGGCGCCGGTGACAACCACGGCGACACCAGCAATGGTGTAGGCCACGGCCTTGTTTTCAGAGGTCCAGTTCGTTAGCCGGTCCCAGAGGCCAGATGACGAGTCGACGGGAACGGCAGCAGTGGGCATGCCCGGAGGCATTGAGGGGGCGGGGGCCGACATGGTGAGGCCGATATATAATTAGAGGAGCCGGGAGGAGCGGGGGATCGAATCGAGGCCGTCGAGGCGGATTGCACAAGTCGAGTCGGAGAGCCGATGATGTAGGGGCGCAGTAATGGCTGCGACGAGCTGGGCACGCGCAAAAAAAGCTGACGGCCTTCTTCGAAATTTGGCGCGCCAGCTCGGCCGGATCCACTGCAAGTTTTTCCGATTGTGCCTGAGGCAGTGCCTGAGGCATTCGGGCGAAACCGCTCTGCACCGCTAACGCCCACCGCTTGCGTAGAAACCGCTGGCCAGACGTGGAACATAGACAACACCCACCTTTTGCGGACGGCCGGGGTACCTCCCTTCACCAGCGGAATCCCTACGGTCCTGCGGTTTGTGGTGGTCTGTGGGCCGCTGAGGGTCTGACGGAATTAGGCTGCCGATAGGTCAAATGCCTGTGGTAGTTTACGCGGGCCTTGTCGCTGAGGACTAGCGACATTTACCGGTCTGGCGATTTCCATGTAGAATGAGGTGACTTTGTTGCGGGGTTGTTGGAGGGCGCTGCTAATCTCCAGGCCAGCTTCAGAGCAATGACCATCACATATCAATTCAGCGGCCTGCTTCTCCTAAAACACCCCGAGTCAATTGCTCTATCCGTTACACGGCATCGTGCCAGGGAAATGCAAACGGTTCCAATGCCGGCCTGTACTACCCCATGCAAGGTGCCCGACTTACATGAACCCAATGCTGAGATGAAAGCTCACAAATCACCATTTTGCTGATGCTGCAAGTCCAAATCTAGCCCTAATACCCCAACTGTACCTCGCGTTCCGAATAACCCGCTGTTCATTGGCCAATCCTCATGATGGCTTTGTGGTGGTGCGATTCTATTCTTGTCGTTGCTCCCTCCCTGCCTTCAATGATGACTAATGTCGAATCCAGGCGACCAATGCCGGAGAGCTGGCCGACATCGAAGTCCGAGCCTTTGCTTGTTAGGCCCCAATCTCTTGATCGTCGGCTCCGTCGCTGGGACCGCCAATATGAACAACGAGTTTTCTTTATTCACTTCACTTAGATACGATTCTCGTCTTCGGGAGGTCCCGAGCAAGGGCCTCATCGGCGAGGGTTGGAACTTTGAAAACGAGTCATCGCTCTATATGCTCGACTTCCACCGGGATCGGATGTTAAGGGCCGCAACACATTGGAAATGGCAAGCCGCTATTGATGCATTGGCCGGCGATGATGGGCTTCAGAAATTAGCTCGGCTAACTGAAGAAGTCATTGGGTCGACTCAAACGAGTCCCTTGCGGGTCAGAATCCTCGTCTCCCGTGAAGGTGAGATCGAGGCCCAGAAGTTCGACACACCCGAACTTCCCCTAGAAAATTTGTTTCCCGAACGACTACCTCCTCCGGGGTCCTCCAACTCTCCAGGCGATCCAAAAAGAGAAGGCCCGTTCGCTCTGCTTGTGGATCATGCCGTGACCCCAAGGTCGGAGTATACCCACTACAAGACCACGAAGAGAGAAATGTACGACTCTGCTCGACAGCGGGCCAACATCTCCCCGACAGACCCAAAAGAGCTTCTTATTATCAACAAGGATGATGGGTCAGTTATGGAAGGAACCATTACAACACCCTATTTTTGGAGGCATGGTCAATGGGTAACGCCAACGGTTGCCGCCAATTTTAGCTGGGAAGATGGGAGTGGTGGCCAAGACGGAACTTCTAGGCGATGGTCATTGGAGAGGTGAGTCGACTTGTTTGAAAATTACACTCACCGGCTGACAAAGGATCTCACAGGGGACTTGCCACGGAACAAGTTGTCAAAGCTGACTCCCTCGTTGACGGGGAGGAGTGCTGGATTAGCAATGGTGTAAGGGGGTTTGTATGGACCAAGATCAGCCTTAAGGATCAACAGCAATAAACATGGTGACCTCAACTGTCAAAAATTCCCTCATAGAATGGCTTCCTCGACACGATTAATCTACCCATGTACAAGAGTAACTCAAGAGGCCGGAGTTTCTAGCGTTTGCAATCATGTCCAAACTCTCCACTTCCAAAACGGGTGTATTGACGTGCCTACTTCGAATATTAGAGGTTAATGGAACCTGGAAGAAATTTAAGAGTAGTGTATGGGATTAGTATTGCGAGAGTAATCTGTCGACACTTTTAGAGCAAGGAGCGCGTGGCGTCGTGCTGCTATCCAACGCGGGGCACACTGCGAACATTGACTCCCGAGATCGGCCAGTGGAAGATTTCTACTCAACTGAATGAAGACTATTCCTAATTAAATACGAACGTTAAAATAGAACAGGCGAATGCTTGGCTGATGCATACACATATCCGGTGCGGCCATGGTCAATTGCCCTCAAAACTGTTTCGAACCCCGAGGCCTAGGGTCGAGTCTGCCTCGGTGCCTTACTTCCGCAAGTGGGTGATACGTTTGAGGTGGCAGTGTTGGCCACAAAATCGGCCGGTTATAATTCTTCTCAAACGAATTGAATATGGCGTTCAGTTTTATGAAACCAAGCTTGGGAATTGCAGTACGTACCTAAGATACTGCTTTTCGGCCCAACATACCACTGCAGGTGTGTAAGGCTGTGGTGGTGGCTGTGACCAACACATAAAATCAGCCCTGCAGGTTCAGCCTCAAAGGTGAACCTGCGAGACTCGTCCGCACACTTGCTTTCTCCATCCTAGAAACCACACTCGAGCACCCACCTCTAAGATCGCAGCCTGCCCCTAGAGATTACTGCCGCGACCGTTCCTCGATGCAGCGTGGCCGAAAGCTCTGAGGTCGGATACATCCTTTGAAGCCTAAGTATGCGTCCTACAAAGATCGGCGCCTTCGATGATGGAAAGAGAGACTGGAGCGGTACTGATGGCGAGGAGCCATTACCCGGCGATTCGAAACGACGGAGAACAACCCACGGAAGCGGCGATGGCGGCTGGGGCCACAGACAAAGCTGGATCCCGAGAATGCTCTCGCAACACGACTACACTGTTGGTTGGATCTGCGCGCTTCCCATCGAGATGGCTGCTGCAAGAGCCATGTTGGACAATGTTCACAAAAGCGTTCCTACCAGCCCAGATGATACCAACGCGTATACCTTGGGGCACATGGGCATGCACAATATCGTCATTGCGTGTCTTCCATCAGGTCAGTATGGCCTAAACAACGCAGCGACTGTTGCGAGTAACATGCGCCGGAGCTTCCCTTCTATTCGCTTCGGCCTGATGGTTGGTATTGGTGGCGGAGTCCCTGGAAAAGTCGATTTACGACTCGGCGATATCGTGGTTAGCAAAGAAGTGGTGCAGTATGATTTCGGGAAGACTGTTCAGGACGGCCATTTTCAGCGAACAGGCACTCTGAACAAACCCCCACAGGCACTCATGACTGCCGTCGCCAAACTACAAGCGGATCATATATCAGAGCCCAGCAAAGTACCCTCTATCCTCTTCCAGATGCTGGAAATGCACCCATCTATGATCGGATATACCCATCCTGGCACGCTTCAAGATCAGCTATTTGACGGTAAATACGACCATATCGAATCCATGGATAGCTGCGAGCATTGCGATGTATCTAGGTTGGTGAGCAGACGTGCCCGAAGTAGCACTGATCCGAAGATTCACTACGGAGTCATTGCCTCTGGAAACCGAGTTATGAAGCACGGCAGGACAAGGGACCAGCTGGCACAAGAGCTCGATATCCTATGCTTTGAGATGGAGGCGGCAGGATTGATGGATAGCCTTCCATGCCTAGTCATCCGAGGGATTTGTGATTATTCGGATTCTCACAAGAACAAGCAATGGCAAGAGTATGCAGCAGCAACGGCGGCGGCATATGCCAAGGAACTCCTCTCTGTCATATCGGCGAGTAGCATCAATCAGACACAAAGCGCCATGGTGTCATCAGATGCTGGTATGAAAAACTTCACGTACATACCCTATCCTTCACTAACATCGTCCTAGACCGAAAACTATTACAAGAGCGCCGAATCAGGTTACTTGGTTTGCTGGAATTCGACCAAATCCATGCCCGCCGCATAGGTGTGAAAGCTGCTCATGAAAAAACGTGCACATGGTTGCTTGAAGATCCTGTGTATCAACGTTGGCTAGACCCCGCAAAACTTGTCGAACACCACGGATTCTTGTGGATCAAAGGGAAACCTGGTGCCGGAAAGTCGACAATCATGAAGTTTGCATATTCGCATGAGACACGAACCTTGGGGAACACAGCTGTTATTTCGTTCTTCTTCGATGCGAGAGGAGAAGATCTGGAGAAGTCGACCGCAGGGATGTATCGCTCCTTGCTATGGCAGCTATTAAGGGAAGTTCCGAAGCTTCAGGAAGTTCTCGATGATCCGGATCTCATTCCTCTAAGCCATAGTGATTGTCCAACGTGGGAAACTGAAGTTCTTCGGTCTCTCTTCTCTCTTTCAATCGCCAAACTTGGCCAGCAACGCCTAGTCTGCTTTGTCGACGCCCTCGACGAATGTGACCGGGAAGAGGTCTACGAAATGGTTGAGGATTTTCAAAGTCTTGGAAAAGACGCTGTTTCGAAGGGATCATCGCTTTACATCTGTTTTTCCAGTCGTCATTATCCATTTATTGACATAGCAGATGGTCGGCAACTTATTTTGGAACACCAGCCTGGTCACGAGCATGATCTCGAAGCTTACATATCCAACAAGTTAAAACTTGGAAAGGGTAGCAAGACTCAAGCTGATGAGCTAAGAAACGAGATCCGTGATAGGGCAAGTGGAGTTTTTCTGTGGGTTAAGTTGGTTGTTCAGATGCTGAACAAGGAATTCGGGAGGGCCAGTACCCTTGCCATTCGGAAGAGGAGGCTTCAGGAGATCCCAACCGAGCTGAGTGAGCTGTTCAGGGACATTTTGAAAAGGGACAACGAGCACCCGGAGAACTTACTCCTATCCATCGAGTGGGTTCTCTATGCTAAGCGACCGTTGAAGTGGGAAGAGCTCTACTTTGCACTCATTTCTGGACTGCATCCGGATACTCTGACCGCATGGGACCCGGAGGAAATCACCGTCCAAGACATCAAGAAATTCGTTCTGAGTTCCTCAAAAGGCCTGGCGGAGATAACGAAGCCCAACGCTCACACGGTTCAGTTCATCCACGAGTCTGTGAGAGATTTTCTGTTGAAAGAAAATGGTCTACGCGACCTGAGGCGCGAGCTGGGGCTTGAAGAAGAAAATTTCCAGAGCTTGGCCCACGATCAACTAAAGCAATGCTGTCATGTCTACATTAAGCTCGACATCTCGGACCATGTGCCCTCTGACACACCACTTCCAAAGGCATCATCAGTTGCGGCAAAAGATTTGCGAGGCTCCGTGTCAGACAAGTTTCCATTTCTTGAATACGCAACCCGCAATGTTCTCTATCATGCCAATAGTGCTGGGAACGTACTTCCATGGGATACTTTCATCAAAGACTTCGCTCTCGAGGCCTGGATTAGTCTCAATAACCTCTTTGAGAAGTATGAAATCCGCCGATACACGTCAAGTGCAAGTCTTCTGTACATTCTTGCAGAGAATAACTTGGCAAGTCTCATCAGATCAGTGCTTCGCCTCGATTCAAGGATCGATATACAAGGAGAGCGGTATCGATATCCTCTTTTCGCTGCCTTGGCTAATGGTCATCGAGGTGCGGTCAAAGCACTCTTGCAACAGGAGGAAAACGTTGCACAAGAGGCTGATATCTCCGCACAGCTCGAGTATGGAAAGGATTTTGCGACTCCCAAGGGCCAAACGCCGCTTCAATGGGCTGCTTCAATGGGGCACGTGGGTATGGTGAAGCTACTACTCGCGACTGAAAGCGTCGATGCCAATTTTAGAGGTGACTACGGCCGGACGCCGCTATCATGGGCTACTGATATGGGGCATGAGGGGATCGTGAAGCTGCTACTGGCGACTGAAGGCGTCGATGTTAATTCAAAGGAGAACTTCGGCCGGACACCGCTATTACGGGCTGCTGAGACAGGGCATGAGGGTATAGTGAAGCTACTACTCGCGACTGAAAGCGTCGATGCCAATTTTAGAGATAACTACGGCCGGACGCCGCTATCATGGGCTGTTGAGAGAGGGTATGAGGGTGTTGTGACACTACTCCTGGCGGCCGAAGGTATCGGCGTCAACTCAAAGGATAACTCCGGCCGGACGCCGCTATTATGGGCTGTTGAGATGAGGCATGAGGGTATTGTGACACTACTGTTAGCGGCCGTGGGCGTCGACGTCAATTCGAAGGATGACGGCGGCCGGACGCCGCTATTATGGGCTGTTGAGAGAGGGTATGAGGGTGTTGTGACACTACTCCTGGCGGCCGAAGGCATCGACGTCAACTCAAAGGATAACTCCGGCCGGACGCCGCTATTATGCACTACTTTAAATCAGCGTGGGGGTATGGTGAAGTTGCTACTGGCGGTTGGAGGCGTCGACGTCAATTCGAAGGACAACTCCGACCGGACGCCACTATTATGGGCTGCTATGCTGGGGTATAAGGGTATTGTGACACTACTGTTGGCGGCCGAAGGTATCGACGTCAACTCAAAGGATAACTCCGGCCGGACGCCGCTATTATGGGCTGTTGAGAGAGGGTATGAGGGTGTTGTGACACTACTCCTGGCGGCCGAAGGCATCGACGTCAACTCAGAGGATAACTCTGGCCAGACGCCGCTATCATGGGCAGTAGAGAACGAACGTGCTGGGAAAGACGACAAGGACACCCAAGAAGGACCAATTGGAGAGATCAGCTAGAATGCAGTAATAAGATTGAATAACCCTTGCATCGTATGGTGGCTAACGCAGCACATCGCAGAACCTGGGACTAAGACGGGCAATGAAGCCAAGATTAATTGAGGAGATGTCCATCAATACAAACCGCAGCCATTGTTATTTAACAATATTAACTTGCTAACCAGCCCAATTTATATCTATTGAAAATTTAAGAATGATAGATCGAGAATTTGGTGAGGTTGCAAAGATGTGATTCGGTGTGGCCTGAGGTCAACGACTCTATTGATGCAAGGCGGCCAACCGGGTCCTATGCATACCTACCTAGGCATCTAAGCATCAAAATTCAAGTATCCTAAATTAGCGAGGGAGCAATCGAGGTCAATTTGATTGTCGAGTGTGAATCAAAAGCCAGCTGGTTCAAGCTCAAGAAATTAGTAGTGACGCCCCGATTTGTGAAAGCGGGGCTCATTGCCAAGCGCGTCGCTATTGACTGCCATACAATCGCTGCGTCCCTGTAACTTGCATCTATTCCCACTCCCGCGCGTGCAGCGGCCCGACTAGCTGCAAGATACATTATCGACAGTCGGCATCCAGTATCCAAGTTGCGCAGCGAAGGCCGACTAGCAGCGAGCTCGGGGGGCGTCTCGAGGGTCATGCCGCAATAAACTCGCCTGAAAACAGGTGTTTGCTTGGGTGAGCCACACCCCTCCTTTCCTGGCTTTCTTCACCTCCAACCTCCAACCTCACTTCCATCACCATTATCGTCGCCAATCGAGATCCAGCTATCCACCGGTGGCATATGGCCATCAGCAGTTTGCGAGAACCTAATGAGCCGGAATTAGGACGACGACCGGCACGTTTCTGGCCGTCCTTTTGGGTATCAAATCGAGCACACACGCCTTAGAGCTGCTGTGCATGCAGCCGACGCGATCAAGCACTTTTAGTGGCGGGCCCCCAAATTATGATCCCTGCCTTCTCACTTCAACAAGGCTGAGAATAAACCCGACTTTTGAGCCTCTTCAACCTTTCAACCACTCTTGGAACCATGTCTTCGCAGACCCCCAAGTCTGCCGAGTCTGCCATCCAGGAAGCTCGCCGGCACTATGCGGAAAAGCGCTTCAAGCCTGCCCTTGAGCATTTCACCAGGGTATGTCCTTTATTCCACCCCCTCCGTCCACGCAATGACGCATTATTAACACGTTTAAGGCCATGAAACTCTGCCCCTGTGCTCGTGGCATGAAGCGGGAACGATGCACCTGCAAGAACTTCGAGAAGGTTGCACTCGAAGGCGGCTCTATCTTCAACGAGGCAATGTACACTTGCCAATGTTCGGTGGGCAAGACTTTCAACAAGTGCGAAAACCTATTGCATATCCAGGCCTTGGACTACCGTGCAGCAACGTTTGAGGCGCTTCAGGAACTTGCCCGTGCTCAGAGGGACGCCGAATGGATTCTGGAGCTGGCTCCCCGACTGCTCGAGGTATGTGGCCCTCATGTTGGAGGAGATCAACCGTCTCACATGCCTAGGGATATCTCCGCCTTGGAAAAGTTGCTCGACTCCAGAAGAAATACGAGTTTGCGTGGAATGTTTACAATGCCGGCATCGAAGTCGGCAAACACCACGGGCTAGTCGCGAACCCCAAGATGCAGGTCAGTCGGAAAAGCCATCGCTTTGTGTCCATCTACCAACCATGATATAGACCCTCTACACCTTGAGGCAACCTCTGCATCGCCGATTCTCTCGTCGAGATCCTCTTAAAAATCCCCAGGAAATTGTTCAGCGCATCTTCCACTTCGTTGACTTTTCCAGTCTCGTGTATGTCTCCCAGAGCTCTCCTCAAGCCCCCAACTAACAATCATCCACTCCAGACGATGTCTCCGTGTTTCTAAGGCCTGGAGACAATATCTCAGCGGCCGTGGGAACGGGCGCCTGTGGCGGTCGTTGGAGTTCACGAAGCCATTTCCGCATCGATTCGCTCCGAGTACTGCTACCATAAAAAAGCTGCTGTCGTATTCCGGCAACGACGCTCGGGAACTAGTCATTAGCAGTACGATGCGATTTCGGCTCAACCAACCGAAATTCCTTGCCATATTGCAAGGCTCCTGGAATCTAGAGCGGCTGAGTCTGAGTGGTGTCGCCGACGAGGAAATCGAGATTCCTCAACGGCCTGGCGTTCTCGGTAAGCTCACTCACGTCTACCTCGAGGAGTTCGTTTCTGCAAGGCCCAAGTTATTAGGGCCTTTAATGAGCAAGTCTGCAGAGACCCTACAGTCTCTGCATATCGCTGGCCTGCCCCAATTCGGTAGCAGAACGGACCTAGGGATGCCCAACATGCCTCAGCTCAAATACCTTCGGCTGGAAGAACATAGCAGGCCCTACCCTCTGAGGCTTGAGATTGTAAGATACATTCCGCAATAAGCAACTGATCTAACAATACATAGTTCGTCGTCGCTGCTAAAACCCCACATCTGCAACAACTTTGGCTTGGTGATGTGCAACTCGGCTCTGGTGGCCTCCATGGCGACCAAAACGGCCGAATCAGCACAATCTGGAGAGACCTCAGGACCGTAATAGTCACGGGCACTACGGATTACGACCCGGAGACCTCAGAAAACATCCAAAGATTGGTCTCAATACGACGAGGGGCCAACTTACATCACATAGACTTCAACTTTCGCTGGAAATACGACGATCATGGGCCATTGGCGCTCAGAACGTTATCCGATACCTTTGACCAGGGTCCAGGATCAGTCTCAGCCGACGACTTCGACCAGAGCAACCACTACGACGACCTCCGCTCCCTGCGCCTGACTCGAGCATTGATCGCCCCGGCAAAGCTCCAGCAAGTCCTTGGCAACACCATCCTCGCCGGCAACCTCCACACACTGGACCTCGTCTTCCCACTCGAATCCTTTGGCAGCACTGAGGGCGTAACCAGCGCACAGCACCTCCGCGAGCACGAGTGGCTGCGTGGCGCTGCCTCAATCCGCTGTCTTGGCGTCTTCGAGTTCCGGTTTCGCTCACATCCTAGGGATGACGAAGACCTGCCACTGCCCGCGTTTCTCGCCAGCTTTCCAAACCTGGAGACGCTCGAGATCAACTCGGGCCACTACGAAGGTCCCGAGTTCTGCACCGTCATTCAAGCCATCCTAAAGGTCACCAAGCTTCGCACCATCTACCAAACAGTCGTGCAGGGCGTCATGCTAGATAAACTCAGGACATTGACGACCAAGGCAGGGGTGACTTTGGTGTCAGGAGAGAGGCAACGAACATGGCCCATGCCTATAGAGAACTGAACCTCTGTATCTAGGATCACTAGTCTTGCAACGGTGCAACCAGAGACAGGCGCGGTCCTTGCTTGGTGGTTTGGTACAATGCGTTCTTATATTCGCGATGATCGTGGGATTTGGAAGTGTGTTTTGTATCCATGAGTCGGTTTATATCAGCCTCTCAAGGCAGCCTATGCGTAGGTAGGTGCCTAGCTAAGTCTGTCATGTATCCTAAATAGACTACGACTAGTTCGTTGGGTGCCGTTTTAGGTAGAGTATTGCTATTCGCACAGGCAAGCTCCTTTGCTAAAGCCTCCTACCTAAGCAGGACTAAAGTACCTACGGCACAAATGACTAAAGAGTAGGCTAAATACTTACTTAGCTTTTTATTAAATGAGACCTAATCAATAAAATAAAATGTTATCATTGTGAAAGATACACCATAAAATTTAGCTAAGGTATATACTGCATTCTTTCTTAATTTCCAGATTTGGTGTGCTCGACACAAAATACACAGGGTATATACATATTCAACAAGGTAACAAACTTCAGGAATGGAAAGGTTTCCGTATCAGGGTTCCGTTCCAATGTTAACTTTAATATGTCAAAATCACCTATAAAACAGACACCGCATGCCATATCACTCAATCACGCGTCATCTTTTTCCCTCTCCCTTAATTTAACCCAGTACCATCGCCATGACCACCTTTTTCCAGCTCCCAGCTGAGATCCATCTCATGGTTATACAATACTTCGACTCTGCTCAAGACTTTCAACAAATGATCTCGGTGTCGCCACTGCTTTTGCAATTTTTCAACAAGTATCGAACCCATATTTTCAGAGCCCTCCATAAGGTAATGAAAGCCAAGATGAGTGACAAATTGATACCCCTTGCAGTGACTACGGCACGCCTGCGAGATATCCGTCACAAGCACGACAAGGTCGGGACGACTGAACTAGAGCGCAGGATACGGCCTGTTTTGGAAGCCTTTCCACCTCAAGATGTGAGTGAATTTCAAGAACAATGGCTCACTAGTTTAGCTACATTTCGCGCACTTTCAAGTCTTATTCAAGACATTGATCACGTCGTTGCCAGATATGCACCCAGAGCTTTGAAGTCGCCACCTGGGTGCCCCTCTGTACTTGAGTTGAAGCGGATTCATAGAGACCCCTGTCTTGCTTCCCTGGAAGACTCAGAGAGCGAAAGATGCAGGCTTCAAGAAGCTGTATTCAGCTTTGAGATTTACTGCCTGGGGTTCTTCTACGACGAAGCCCCTTTATTTCTCCGAAATTCCAACATAGGGATGCGAGTTGCCCAACCCTTGCCAGGCAATATTGAGATATCAAGCAGCAAAATTGCTAAGAGAGTTCAATCGGTTTGGAACTATGTCTACGGTCAGCACTCTATAGTCTTGGCCAATATTGAGGACCAATTTAGAGCCGCAGAAACACAGTCTTCTCTTGGAGTCTCAAGTTCCCCTGGTGACACCCAAGAGTTCACCGAAGCGACAGCGATCTTGGCAACCACTAGCACAGTGTCAAGCAGCCTTATCAAACACCGTCTTCGCGTTTGCCGCCTCCGCCACGGAACAACTCTTGAAGTCCAAATGTTCATTCATTATCTTTGCAGCCAGGGGATTCGTCTGATACGCAAGATGGAGCGGATGAACGGTAGGGAAGAGGATGAATTTATACTTGAGACATTTTTCCGAGTTTCGATAAAACATCCTGGCCCCCTATTGCGCCCAGGACTTGGCTCTTGTCCGTTAACTACTCGGTCACTACGGATGCCGTGGGAGGAACTTGTGCACCATAACTAGCCGATAGCGCGCATTCTAAAGTAAGTTCTCGGGTTTAAGGCTAACCTTCAATACAATACAAAATAATGTCAAGTTCGTTTTAAAGGTGCTAAATACTAGGAACTAGTCTTATTCACATACCTCTAGTAAATACTATCTGGTTGTTCGTTAGCTTTACTCAATATCAGATAAATCAAATCCATGCAGTATTTGCAAACAGTAGAGACAAACATTCAGTACTAAACCCGGTACGAAGATCTAGTATTGTATACAGTGGGCTATTGTACATCTATCTTTGCCTTCAGCTTCAATTAAACTCTGCTATCTTCAACCTTTGCAGACAGGAACCTTGCTGCCTGTAGAAAATGACCTCGGTAAAGGTAGACAATAACCTTATCCTGAGCCATAATATACATTGGTGATCTTGGGGCGCTCTGGAGATTGGGTCGTGGGACCTGTGACTCTTGGTTCGTAAAGGTTAGAATGGCTGCAGAGTGAAAAGTTTGTATAGGATTCAGGTAGATGGAAAAGAATGAGCTTGGACCCAAACGTGGGCTATGGCAACTGCGACATTCACAACGAAAACGCAGTAGATGCATATGTTAGGTTACCTCATCGAGGGATCTTTACGCTATGTAAGTAGAGATAAAAGCCTAGAATACTAGTGACCTAACAGTTGCAGGTAAAATGAGATCGTTAAGTAGGCCGTTGAGTGCCGTTTTATCTAAACCAAGCCAGTGTGATTCTATGTCCTTCTGGAGATTGACACCAAAGCCATTGCTAGCAGTTTGAACCAGCCTGGTAAATCTGCAATACTCTTCAGTATATTGAGGGGTCAATCTATCCATAGATGACGGGCACGAGAGCGCCAAATGATGTATTTGACATACAAATGGAAGGCTCAGCCTCTGCCGACTTTGAATGATAAAATCTATAACATATTAGCAGATGCAGAGGGCGAATAAGTTATAGGACTTACGTCGTTCTTCCCTACAGCCACAAAGTCATCCTCGGCCACGCGGACGTTTCCAACGCCCTCCACAAACGCAATCGGCGCATCACCCATGATCTTCCTGGCAACGTCACCAACGGTCGAGCCCTTCTTCACAAGGACGCAGTCTCGGAACACAACTTTGGATTCTGCGGCGCCGGAGCTGAATGTGGTGGCGTTTCGGACTGGGAAAACCGGCACGAGACCGAGAATCTCGGCTGCCTTTGAGAGGACTTGGACGACACCCGTAGAGCCAAATCTGTAGAGCACCATATCCTTGAGGTTCTCTATCCGATTTCGGTTCTTCTCGTCGAGATCCTTCAGACCGCCGCCAGTTGGATCGCCCTGCTCTATCAGGTCCTCCTTGGTATCGACGAATTCGCTGCCCTCGACATACTTGATATAACCTTGCTTTGCCATTTTGCGAAGGAAAATCTCCGAAATGGCGGAGCATAGCACGATGGTACTGGGGTCCTGCTGCTTAGCGATCTTGGAGATGTTCTTGTCAGCATCCGGGTGGTCAATCTTATTCAGCGCGATGACGGTCGGGAACTTCTCGTCGACAAAGGCGTGGACAACGTTCTTGACGGTCTCGTCGCTCCATTCTTCCAACGGCTCCTTTACACCACTCCGATCCAGTGCGCGGTTAATGACGGTAGTCGTAGCACCGTATCCGGAAAACTGCCCCTGCAGTGTTTCTACTGCAGTGGCCTTGATGGCTTGGTGTCTTCGGCGAATCGAGCCCCATCGCTGCATAAGGTTGCCAAGAATCCACGCGACGATCTCGCTCCGTAGCCATGCGATATCCACAGACGGATCGTACCCTCTCGTCTCCTTGCCCTCAGCATCGACGGTTCCCGAGGCATCGACAACGTGTATCAGCGCATCGGCATGGCGCAAGTCATCCAAGAACTTGTTCCCCAGGCCACGGCCCTGATGCGCTCCAGGGACCAAACCGGCGACGTCGAGGAGCTCGATGGGAACGGATCGTCGGCCTTGGTCGCATGAGCCATAGTTGGGCTTGCATCGGTCTTGGAGGTTATGTCGGGCGCAGGCGCATTCGATTTGGAGATAGCCAATCGCTCGCTGGGGGTCAATGGTGGTGAACCTAGCGAGGAACGGTCAGCTCCGCGACGCTCAGCCTGCAATAGACGAGACAAAGACAAAGGCAAAGGCACGAGCTGGTTTAGCAACGGAGGGCGCATACGGAAAGTTGCCTATGGAGAACTGCGATCAGCGCCCGCGCGGCGACTTCGGCCAGGATCTTTGTACCAACCAACTTTGGAGGAGGCGTCGGTCAGGCTGTTGAGCGTAGAGCTCTTCCCTGCCGAGGGCTTGCCCACGAGGCCGATAAGCGGATCGCGAGGCATGGTGGAGGAATCTTGGGGCGCCTTTTTGGAGAACCGGAGAGATTATAAGCAGCTTAAACCGCGAGAGCAGAGAGCTGCTTCACGATCGGCTGAAGTCGCTAGATCTGCCCGAGATAATGCAGCTATATGTTATGGGCCTTGACCTGCGCCGGAACTGGAGTAATATGGTGGGCGGCACAGTGGAATGTTGTTGCGACGATGCCATCGAACCGAAGGCTCTTGGGTCTTGAAGGACAAATTTAGTATCGTAGTGGGGTCGTAAACCTCTGTCGGGCCTTCCTTGCAGGACCCCCCCATCTGCCAACGTCTGCGAAAAGGCGCCCTGTAAATGGAAGGCAACTCTGATGCGCCAATGCATGACAGTCCCGGAGATTTCCCGGCCAGATGGATTGTTGCATCTGATGTTTCGGAAGATCCTGCGCCGGGCTCCGTCACCAGCTCAGACTCATGATGGTTCAGCAGACAAGAGAATGGAGCCCTGCCCCATGTACTAAGGATGCAATGATGATTTGTTTCTGGAAGACAACAGACAGAAGAAGTATCCCGGAAAAGGGAAATTTTAACCAAAGAACCAAAAGATCGTATAATAAAGTGCTGTTGCAGCACATTCAGTCAGGGGTCGACGCCGCCAACACAGCGCCGGATTGATGGTTGAGACTGAGTGAAGTCTCCAGCCCGTGCAACATAACTGTGCTGCACGTGACTAAGATCTGCTCTCTCTCAACCGCCTACAATTTGAGCCTCCGTCAAGACTAATCCGGGCATAATTTGGCCATGTCAGGTCCTCGGTTAAGACGTAGAACATTTCAATTACACGCCAGAACCGCTCGGCACTGGGCCATGCACGGATTTGTCCTCGGCTATGGGGTGCAGTGCGGGACAAGAGGGCCGCTAAGACTCCACTGTAGGAATCAGATTCCAGTGGGTCAGGCCACTGGCGCACCTCCGGAAATCGATGTCCTCGAATGCGTAACCCAGTCGGCTCTCTGAAAAGGCCTCATCCTCAAGCACCGCTGCATAACCGCCGGACATCAATCTCCTCTACGTACCAGCAAAGGTCAGCAAGAGCACGAGAAGACGGTTCCCTTTTAAAAGGCCTCGCTCATCGTTTTCCCCTACCTACGTCTCCGATTCCACTATGTCGACGACGACTTCTCCATTGTCAATTAACGCGTTTCCCGCTTGGGCACGCCTCAACGATGTGCAGTTCGATACAACCCAGCTCGACGAGACGGAGGGGAAGGGTCTCGGTTTGGTTGCAAAAGACAGCCTAACGACGAGAACGACTACAACGACGACTACTACTACAGCTACTACAGCTCCTGCGACGACGACTGCCACTGCTCCTACCGATGTGGCCAACGTCAGCACCCAGGGAAATGGAGACGTCGGCGAGAATCCGAGGACGCTTCTGCGCATCCCACACGACCTAGTGCTGTCGGCAGCAGCCGTCAAGGAATATGCAAATGTCGACCAAAATTTCCGCCAACTGCTCGAAGTTGCCGGCCAACAGGTACGGCACGCACAACGAAACGACATGGCCACTGAAGTGGCAGCCGGCGAGCTCGCTAACATTCACTCAAGTCCACCAGGCACGACATCATGCTGTACCTCATGACGCATCTCATCATGTCAACCCGCGGTCATACTGGTCCCAGAGGGTGCGCCTCATCGCCTTGGACCGAGTATGTCAAGTTTCTACCACGTTTCATCCCTATTCCCACGATGTGGGCGGAAGATGAGCGAGCTCTGCTCCAGGGTACTTCCTTAGAGGTAAGAGTCCTTCCCCGAGTTTATGAATTGTCTTAGACCCCATCATATCATTGCGGAACCGCAACTTCCCCATGGTGGATATGATGAAGGCCGGGGATTCTCTGGGGAAATGGACAAAAGGACAAAAGGACCCTAACCATGGACGACAGGCTGCATTGGAGGCTAAGCTATCCACTCTGACGAGGGAGTTTGATGACTTGCGCGAAAAGTCCTCGGCACTGGCATTTTGGAACTCGCTCTTTTGGGAGAAGGATACGGCAACTAGGCAGGACTGGATCTTGGCTGACGCCTGGTACCGATCTCGATGTCTGGAACTTCCCCGAGCTGGGGACGCCATGGTTCCTGCACTCGACATGGTTAACCACTCACATCGACCAACGGCCTACTACGAGGAGGATGACCAGGATGGCGTCGTGCTAATCCTGCGGCCCGGCGTGGAGGTGACGGGTGGAGAAGAGGTGACCATCACCTACGGAGAAGCGAAGTCGGCCGCCGAGATGCTCTTCAGCTATGGCTTCATCGATCCCGACTCCGCCGCGCACGAACTAGTTCTTCCCCTGGATTCCATGCCCGACGATCCGCTGGGAAAGGCCAAACTCCACGCATTTGAAGGACGGCCAACATTGAAGCTATCTCGGACAGATGCGAGCCTGCAATGGTCAAGCCCGTTCGCTTACTTCATGTGCCTCAATGAGGAAGACGGTCTGGACTTCGGGGTGTTACAAGACACCGATGGGGAACGGCAGCTAAGGCTGTTTTGGCAAGAGGAGGATGTGACAGGACGCGCACACGAATTCGAAACTCTCATCGAGGGACACCCCCTCCAGCAGGTGTTTAAGCTCCGGGTGGTGGCCGTTCTCCACGAGTTGGTGTCGACGCAGTTAATGCACCTCGGCTCCGACTTTTCCCTTGATCAACTGGAGCCGCTGCGCCGGTCGGGACAGGTGAGGGAGGAGTGCATCCGAGCAGCTGGAGCTCTCAGGCAGCTCGAGGCTAGTGTTCTGGAGATCGCCGCCGAGAGACTGGACGAACAGGTGCGTGAAGACGTTTTTTTCTCAATCAGGTTTCTTTGGTTTCCCCGCATAGGCTCTTTTTCGTCAACATTGCCAAGTGGCCGATCAACTGATGACATCAAGATGGCATTTGTAAACCGGGATCGACTTGCTGAGTTTCCCCATCGGATGGCTGCGACCCCGGCAGATGCTTGGCAACTTCCCCAGATTCCTCACCCCCAGCATTCCCCTCAAACTTACCGAGCGCCTCCGCATTTGACAGTGGCCCACGGGAATGGCCAAGCCAAAAACCGGGGAGGCAGGGAACAGTACCTTTCGCTCAGCCGTTTTGCACGTTTTGCACACCTTCTGCTCTCCTGAGAACGTTGTCAGAGGTATCGCGACTAACTACGCCATTGCCGAGTTTAGAAGACCCACCTTTTAGCGGACGACCACGTGGTGGCATATCTCGGATCGATGGAAGTTGCCGAAAGCAGACAAGCGCCAGACCAGGCGACCAATGACGAGGACGAGTTTAGCTGACCGAACACACCTTAATGCAGCCTTCGGTCTCGTCGAATTCACTTCCTCGGTTACGTGGGGCAGCACTCACTAGACCTCGCTGGACCCTTCGGACTCTCCCCGGACCCTCCCACCCACGCTCCCGCCAAGTCGTTCGAGAGCGTCGCAAGTCCCCGTTCATTATTGCCAACATTTACGCCAATTGATTACGTCCCTGTTGTCCTTCTGTTGGGGACATGTTGCCGCGAAGGATTGGATGCACCCTCTCACACCAGAGGAGCCGAATCGGACGCTACATCTGCATCAATACTCCGAAGCATTCTCGTCCCCTAAGGATTTTCTGTCTACCTGGCCTCCCACCCATCACATACAACGCCGAAATAGGAAAGGCCCACGTCCGAAATCGCTCTGCGGCCATGGTTTCGGCCAGGTTCCGTTGCCTTTGAATTGACCTGCAACGGCGTGAATTTGCGCCTGTTGGGTGGGCATCTGATGCGGAACTGCTGTACTCCGTACCGACACGCGACATCTCCAAGCATCCCTCGAAAGTCGGTACGGCAGTTATCTCAGGCGGGCCGTTCTATAGAGAGCGCACACGCACAGAAATTAGGATGCGCACACAGGCCCTAAGCTCCAACGAAACAAAACAACCAATGCTCAGCGCAAGACAGGGACAAGGGTGATAAGCCGCTCTTGATATCTGACACAACGTGGCCTGTCGCTTCGGTGCCTTCGGAAAGGACCTCAGGGTTATTGGCCAAAGTGGAGGGAGGACATTCTGGCTATGCTAGAAACGAAGCAACACAACGGGCAAGTCAAAAAGTTCATGGATCTCACTCCCAGGGCTGGGGCTGAGGCGTCAGCAAATGCATCAGAACATGGTCCAGGGTTGATGCCACCGGTACGAGACCGGAGACGATGCATTATTCTGGTGCCATGCGGGGGACTCTTGTTGGGGTTTCGTTGGTCACACATCCTCCCCGGGCCGTTCTCGTGAGGAGAAAAGACCCCAAGCCCACCCCGGCGCGGTGGACATTCCGGGCTCAGAAACACCAACTTAGTCGCAGCGCCCCATTCGTTGCCATTGTGAGCAATGCAACACCTTGTATTACTTGAATTTGCAACTGGGCTCTGCGACTGGATTTGCAACACCATTGGAACTATGAGAGGTTGCGGAAGTGTCGAGTCACGGCGCGCTAAATCTCCACCAAGGAACATTGGTCACAGACCCCTTCGTCAGTCGCGGATCGCACATACTGCGCATGTCGAGATTGCATCAAAAACGGAGCCGTAACCCTTGCGACGCCGCACTAGATGCTGACCGATGGCCTTGCTGAGATGGAACTCAGGTAATTTGGTGGGTTTGTTGGATACCGCAATGTTTGACTCGGTCGAAACTCCACACCAGACGACGGCCCCATCGCAGGGGTGCAGATTTGACGCGGGTCCAGCACGATGCGCCGTAGGCGGGGAGGCTGGATAGTTCGCCCCTGGAACGCACATCAGATGGGCCATGCGCCAGGCCCTTTGCGCATCGTCATGGGACTAGAATAGGAGTCAGTTCGTCGAAATGATGGACGAGGCTCGAGAGTTGAGACAGTGAATTGCCCATTCCAGGCCCCAGACAGCCTAGCTGCGGATCAGTGATCTGCATCCGCAATTGTTGCGGCTCCGAAGTGGGGCTGCGGCTCCCCCGGGTCTCGATGGCCGCTTGAGTGGCACTGAACAAGCCTTGACACGGCGCCAAACCTCCTAGCATGGCACGGACGGGCTCTCGAGGGCGGCGTCGAGACGCGGGCACGATACCAGGCCGACGCTATGGCTCGCGTGAGCGAATCTGCGAATCGACGCCATGTAAATGAAGGTTAGACCGAGTCTGCAGTTGCTTTCCTTGAACCATCAGCCCGTCATCCCAATGCCACCGCGGTGAGCATCCTGACCTCCACGACAGGTGCATAGTTATACAGTGCCATACTGTACGGTTCCATGTAGCTGGATTCCAACAAAGGAGGTGCCAGTAAACCTAATTGAGACAAACCTCAGGAATTAGGGTGGCTTCGACGCAGCATAGCTTGAACAGCGGCAGCCTTCTCATGATGGAACCCCATGAATGAACCCCAGACTATGTACAAGTCGATCCCCAGATTCACGCGGCCTGCGGGGTGGGTGAACTTTAGGCCCCAGATGGCTTTCTGGGGGAATCTGGGGATGGGCTGCTCAAGGAAGGGGTCTCGGTTCATGTTAAATGGGACAATCGAGGATCTCGGATGTTGTTCCTGGGGTATCTGTATCTGCACGTACCGCAGTGGCATCACCCCGCGTACGATCTGTTGTTGGCGCTCGTGGCATGCAGGGGATCCAGACCCAAAACATGGACGTGGGAATCTACAGTGATGTCAATCTTTTCGATGACCAGGCGGGAGACTTATTACGGACGATGCCCGGGTGAGGGTCTTGGAGTGCGGCTCCGGGGTAGATGGAAGCTTGGAAGGAGGATGCGGGCCCGTTGATTGGCAACCGAGCTGTGTTAGTGCCAGCATAATGAGAATCGTCAAGACGAGTGTAGACTCCAGGACCCCAGATCTCACGGGACGGCCTGACCTAGTGAGCCATGTGCTGGACAACCATCAGTGGCCAGGGTGTGGAGGAGAGTACGTAGTATGGTGGCGTGTAGAAGACGCGGAGGTGGCCTGTGGAGGGGTGCAAGGTGGAGCGACGTGACGGTATGGCGAGCAGACGGACGGCGCCATGATGCAGGCAAAGAGGAGCCGGGGGACGCGAACGCCGTGCCTGTTGGATGGACTCGTGAGATTGGGCTTGCCTGGGCTGGGCAACGGGCAACTCAAGGTTGAGTTGTGCCCCGGGCTTCCCCGCATCTGGGGGACTGGGCAATCCGGGGTATCTCGCGACGATGTTGATAGTCAAGAGGACGGTGGGCTGTTGCGAGAGCGCAGGAGTTGCGCTGGTGGTGCCATCAACTTCGGCTTGTCGTTCGGGGTACGTGGTACATCGCGGCTGTGGTCTCGTTTTGGAGAGTGTAGAGATAGGCTATAGCCTCGACACGGGCTGCGTGAGGAGATTGGGGGAGACGCTCTCGCTCTGCGCAATATGCAGCCCGCAGTTTACAGACTCTGGACCCTTGTGAGCACACGACAAGGGACGAAGAGGCGAGGGGCGAGGGCTTGACTGGATGGGATGGGAATCTGCTATGGGACTTGTGCAGTCGATTGCAACTGTGACTCTGGCTTGGCCCTGGACCAGGGACGATAGACAAACTCCTCCCCGAAATCAGCCGACCCCCCCTTGAGCTTATGACAAGGCGCTATTCCCTTTGAGTGCCTCCATTTAGCCAGAGCAGAACAGGCCGATGGTTTGCTCGCCGTCTTGTGTCGAATGCGGCGTCGTCGTATATGTTGCCGAAGCGCGGTTCTTTGGCCACGCCGCGGTCTTCCATCGGCATGTGGTGATCTGGGGTCATCCGTGAAGCGCTCTACCTACGGCATCCCCCGGAAACGCAGAAAAAGAAAGGAAAATTCCCCCACGGCAAGGACACGACAATCGACATGGACACGGGGGAAAAGCCGACCCGACCTGACGATGATTCCCACACCCTCGTTGCACATTTGCGCTTCCACATTCACGCCCAGACCGCACCCATCCACGGGCTCCCAGACACACTCCCCGGCCCGGCCAGGCTTAGAGCATGCCACACTGACACCGGCTGCGGCTGTACGTACCTGAGGTACCGCCCCGACCCAGCGCTGGAGGGCCCCACTCGGCGCTAGTGCTGGCGGGGGGGGGGCCTGCTGCAGCGGCGGCGGCCTGGGGTGGCTGCCTGTGGTACTTGGCCTTTCGTACTGTACCGGCCTGGACTCGCCTGGCCGCCTTCACCGCGCGGGTAAGTAACTAGGTAGCTGCGACAGCCCTGGGCTGAGCTGGGTCGCCTACAGCGCACGCCTGCGTCCCCAGATTTCTGCAGATTTCTGCAGCGGAGGGCACCTGTAGCGAGCCAGGCAGCCCACCATAGCCCGCTGTACTGGAGGTCCCCGGCTGCTGTTGGCACGAGCGTCTCCCCCCAGAGACTGCCCCAGGATTTTCCATTTGTACTCCACACTCGCGCCTTGGGCTTCACCCCCCAATTCTTCATTTCTTCCTTCTCTTTCCCACCCCCGACTTCTTAAAACTAAAATCTGCCGCTGTTCCTGATTCCCTCTCCCCCCTGCTTCTGTTCCCTCGGTTCTTGTTATCATATCTATCTATATCTTTCCCGCCCTCCCCCATCCATATCTATCCCACTCACCATATACCCTCGAAGCTATTTTTTTCCCCTGCCGTGTTACTGGACCCCCTCACCCGGCCCTCGGCGCTGATTCAACACTACCACCCGATAAGACCTCGGCCTGGAAAACAACTCGACTGTGACCTTGGCATGAGTGTGAACTAGCTGGTGGACAAAGGACGACACCCGGCCCCAAAGGACCTGGAACCGCTCCCTCTTTCCAAGCGACTCTCACGAATTTCCTCTTTTCGGCAACTCCGCCGTTTCCGCATACACCACCGCCAAAATGCCCGGAATCCTACCCATGAAGGTCATCAAGGTCGGCACCAGCTCCCAGAGCCGGATCGCCCAGGCCTGCGACCGCTGCCGAAGTAAGAAGATCCGCTGTGACGGAATCCGCCCAACCTGCTCGCAATGCTCCAACGTCGGCTTCGAGTGCCGGACAAGCGACAAGCTCAGCCGCCGCGCATTCCCCCGCGGCTACACTGAGTCTCTAGAGGAGCGAGTGCGCCAACTTGAGGCCGAGACACGAGAGCTCAAGGACTTGCTGGACGAGAAGGATGAGAAGATCGACATGCTTTCCAAGATGCACGGCAACCGGAGACGCCCCTCAATCACCTCCAGCCCAGCTCCCGTCTCCCCGGAGGCCCGGGCCGAAGCCCACGCTGCAAAGGAGGATACGTTCCGCGTCCAGGCCGCGCCGCTGCTGCTAGGTGTTGAGAACTCGGACTCATACTTCATGGGCGCCTCCAGCGGCCGCACATTTATCGGTGAGTTTTCCGTCTCAATTTTGACATATTTTTGTTGTTCCGCCTTCTAACCGACGTTGCAGAGGCCTTCAAGCGCAAGATCCAAGAGGCGGGCAAGCCCACCACGGATTTCAATCCCGAGGCATTTTTGCATATTCAGGGCTGTGAATCCCTCGGTCCCAAGAGTTCCGACCACTCCATGCGGATACCTCCTCGCCTGTTCTCTGACCGCTGTGTCAACGTCTACTTCCAGGAGTGGGCGCCTCTCTTCCCCATCCTCCACAAGCCCACATTCCTCCACATCTATGAGGAATTCGTCGCCGACCCCGAGAAGGTCAAGAGCAACCACAAGCTCGCTCAACTCTACCTCGTCTTCAACATCGCAGGCCTCTCATCCGATAACCCTGATCTCCCCCAGCTGGCCATCTGTGAGCAGCAATGGCGCAAGGCGCTCGACGCTGTTCTCATGGAGAACACCATGAACACTCTCCAGTGCCTCACCCTGGCCCTCCTCTACTGCACAATGCGCTCCGACTACAAGCGACTCCAACACTACAAGGGCATCGCCATCGGTCTTTCGCACCGCCTAGGCCTGCACCAGAGCCAGAAGCGCTTTTCTTTCGGCGCCTTGACCATCGAGACGCGAAAGAAGGTCTTCTGGACTCTATACACCCTTGACTGGTATGACTCATGCGATCTCAACTCATAATGCGAACTCACAACTGACTCTTCAATAGCTTCTCTGCTGCCATTCTGGGACTTCCTAAGCTCCTCAGGGAGGAGGACATTCAGGCTGAGTACCCCGCCGACACTGATGACGAGTACGTCACCGAGAAAGGCTTCCAGCCAACTCTCCCTGGCGAGTACACTCGGCTGTCCAGTGCCCTAGCTCTGTTCCGTGGCACGCGCATCCTCGCCAAGGTCTTGGAGAAGAACTATCCTGCCTCGTCGTCCCATGACCTGTCGCTGCAGCAGATGTCGTCCCTTGACGCCGAGCTCGACGCTTGGTACGACAACCTGCCGACGCATCTGAGACTCACCTTTGCGCAGGACAAGCCCTCCACAGATGTCACTGGCAGCCGATCGCCCCTCTTGGTACGTCGACTAAGCGTTGAGGTATTTGAGATTTGTGTGCTAACGAATTGCAGGCGCTGGCTTACTACTACATCCGCACCCTTATTTACCGCCCCGCTGTGGGTTCCAGCCTGGGACAGAAGGCGGCGCACGCATTGATCTCCATCGGCACATCCAGCAAGCATATCGTGCAGATCATCCAGCTGCTCGAGGAGCGTGGCATGACCTTCTCCTTCTGCCTGAACAAGACCGACCTCCTTGTTGTTTGTGGCATGACCCTGCTGTACCAGTCCATCGACCTCAAGCATGACAGCAAGCTGATGCTCGATGACGAGCGCCTGGTCAACTCTGTCATCAAGATCCTCGGCAAGACCAAGGCCTCTAGTGCTCTCGACTTCAAGCGCGTGGCTAGCACTCTTGTTTCGGTCGAGGAGCCTATCGGCTCGCCTACCATGGCATCTTCACGTGAGGCTTCCATGCCGGTCCCCTCCAACCGAGGATCCCCACCTGCGGGAGTCGCCCCCAAGAAGAAGACCGCCCCCTACCCCTTCGGTCAGCTTCCTGGTGCCGCCTCCAGCGAGAGCGACCTGATCCAGCAGCAGGAGAAGTTGCGGCGCATGACAATGCCGAGCGGAGTGGGTCAGCGGCCAGACTTCTACCGATCTCGGTCGCGCCAGTCATTCGACAATCTCCAGGCCGAGGCTCCCATGGCACACCGAGACCACCGCATGTCCATGTCGCAAATCTCCAACGCCGCCAACCACAAGAGCTCGCCACTATCACGACCCAATCTGGACTTCATGTCGTTCGGAACGCCTTCCGGATCTCAGCCCTCGTCGCCTCAACAGAACCGCCTCCACCCTCAGCAGGCCCAGCCCCCGCATGGCCACCCTGCAATGGCGCAGTCGCCCATGGCTGCTGGCAAGATGACGAATGTGTCGAGCACTGAGTGGGAGACCCTGCTTGGCTCTCTGGATGGTGGGCTGAACAATGTGTACGACGCCATCTATGGTGGCCAAGCCCTGGTCAACGAGGCGTCCATTGCCGTCAGCAACTGCAGCGACTGGCCTCCGGATACGTGGGACCTCAGTGGCTTCAGCATCGACAACCCTGAACCCCCACAGAGCGTCCTGAGCATGAGCGACGAGAGCCTCAGCTCGGGCGAGGAGGTCGGCCCCTCGGAGATGGGTCTGAGCGTGAGTAGCGTCGACTACCGCAATCAGATGATGCCGCAGAACTGCCAGAATGGTGACAGGTACATGATGGATCGCATGGAGGCGTCGTTTCCTATGTAAGGGCCAAAACTTTGATACCTCTGGGTGGCAGGTGTTTTATTTGGGAAACTCTTATGGCTTCGGGGTGGCTTATTTGAAATGATTTGTGTTTTGAACATGCGATGTTCACGGCGCCCGAGTTGGGATGGTTGATTTGATGGGACACGTTTCTGGCAGGGCCTTGAATTCTTTCACGAGATGGCAACTGTCGCTACTATGACGGAGCGAGTCGGTTTGGTTGGTTCTACTTGATATGTAATGTGATGTTGGGAGTCAAGGTATGGGATTGGGACTACCCAGCAGTTTCTGCTTTTTAACGCTTATTTTCAAATCTTGGATGGTTTGCTGGAAGTGCGATAGTCACAATGACAATCGATTGTCAAGGGCAGCCTAGCAGCGCCGCGAATGGCTGGCTACGACTGGCCAAGTATATAGTTCAGAGTTATAGCATAGCATAGCTCAAAACAGACCGGTTTGGAAACGTGAAGCCTTTACTGTCTCGTCGTGTCTTTGTGTCATGTTTCTTACTGTGGGGTGGTCCCGGCGACATGGCCCTGCCTGCATGCCACGCAATGCTGCACAAGCCTCGCATGACATATTGGCTATATTGGGGGTCTTGGGGTATTGAGGGTCTGAGGGTCATGTAGCTAGGATGAGGGATTGGGCCGGCCAGATGCGGAACCATAGATGGCCAGCGCAGTCAAGCCCTGTTTTCAATCTAGGTCGTATAAGAGACCCTATATCTCTTTCCCAGACAGCCAGGGAAAGCCCAGTCACTGGCTTTGATTTCCGCCAGGGATCAGGGTTGAGAGGGGTGTCAAATTAAAAAGAAATGCCTACACGGTACGTACTCGCATGCAGACCAATCCCTCCTGCTGCAGAATGGGGAAGAAATTGACAAAGCATCCAGGCAACGGTGGACAGGGGGTGATTGGTCGGCGGGGACCGGTGGCGGATGAGGTGCATGCAGAGGTCGCGTGAGGTTGAAAAAAAGGGCAGAAATGGCACAAAAACATTGGCGGTTCGACGCCGGGACCGGCCATGACCGGCGCTGTGGTCGAGGCGGATCGAGATGGTGGAGACTGTTGGTTGGGGCGCGGCTTCGAGATGTGTGGTCTGGTGAGTTTGAGTCTAGGGAGCAGCCGAAGCGGGCGAGTTTCGGTTCCGAAGTGTGGTTTGTGTCGTGTGGGACTGTGACTGGCTGGCTGGTTCATTGGTCGACGGTGGATGTGAGGGAAAACTCGAGATATAGAGCGAGGTAAATAATTGTCTTGATTGTCATGGCGGATGCCGGCTCCCTACCACCCAGACGATTTGAGGATATACGGATACCGGTAGAGTGGTGGTTGTCGACACCAGGTGTGGCTGTGGCTGTGGCTGTGGCTGAGGACGATACCCCCACCGAAAACACCCGAACGGGCCGGCCGGCGGGATGATGCCACCTGTGGCTGATAAATCTGGGGAATACGTCGATCTTCCGATCAAGCACGCGCCGGATCCGTCGACGATGGTTGGCTGGAATACGGCCGCGGGCTTGGGACGATGCATCACAACTTGTGATTCCCAGGGGTCGAGTTTCGCAGTTTATTTCTGTTATCTCCGAGTCCGAGTCCGCGTTCGTGTAAGGCTGGGAAACCGTGAAGCCGCAGGGGAGGGGGAAAAAAGACTGCTTCTACATCGTGGCTCGCTGAATGAATGCTCTGCGTCGTCAAGCGACCGCTCGAACGGATCCTCAGAACGTGGATCCCCCGACGACTCGCTGACCGCCGTACCCGGTACATCCGCGCCGCGTCTCCAGCGCCCAGCCGTCCGTCTGTGTCTGTGTCACCGCAGGGCATCGGCATCAGCATCGGCATCATGGCCGGCGAAACAACGTCTCTGCTCGCGCAGTCCAAGGGCGAGATCCCGCTAGGTAGTTCACCTATAGCATGGGGCATTCCCGCATTGCCTGCCCCCTGTAACGCCGTCAGCATCGCGCTGACCACCAGAGAAAGCTCCCTGGGCCACTGCCCTCACGTCACCGCGGGATCCTACTCGCCGCCTGCCGCAGGCCATCGCTCACCGCGGCGCCAAGGCCTCATGGCCTGAAAACACCATGGCGGCCTTCCGCGGCGCTGTCGCTGTCGGGGCCCATGCCCTCGAGACGGATGTGCACCTCTCCGCCGACGGTGTAGTCGTCTTGTCACATGTAAGTCTGCTCACTGCGACTCGGAAGCTACCCGTTCCAAGATAGCGCTGGGGCTATTGCACGAGGGACACCGGGGGCACTTACACGATAACGGCACTCACATGGGATTTTGCAGGACCCGTCACTCAAACGCTGCTACGGCGTCGACAAGAAGATTGCCAACTGTGACTGGGAGTTCCTCCAGACGCTCCGGACAGTGAGAGAGCCAAAGGAGCCGCTGCCGAGGTTCAAGGAGCTACTGGAGTGGTTGGCCACGCCCGGGCTGCAGAAGATATGGGTCGTTTTGGATATCAAGGTACGGGAGTAGTCTCAAGACTTGACCCGTGGAAACGAGACGCTAGGGGTGTGTAGTGCTGATGGCTGATGGTGTGTACAGATCGACGATGATCCAGAGGAGCTGATAAGCGCCATCGTAAGAACCCTGGAGGAGGTACAGAGTCCAGTCCCATGGGACCAACGCATCGTTTTGGGATGCTGGAACGTAAGTCTCGTCCTCGGCACATTTCCATGACCCGTCCAGTGAACTACCACACGAGCACGTCACTAGTTCACGAGTGACATTCAAGCCCCTTGCATCTGACATGCGACGCCTAGGCAACATTCCTCAAGACATCCCGCCGGCTGCTCCCGACATATCCCCTTGCGCACATCAGCGCCTCGCTGCTCTACTCTCACCACTTCCTCCCCGTGCCCAACCTCGGCTTCAACCTCCACCACAAGGCCCTCCTCGGCTTCCCGGGCGCCCTCTTCCTGCGCGAGATCCAGCGCACCGACAAGCTGCTCGTGACATGGACCGTCAACGAGCCGCGCTGGATGGAGTGGTGCATCCGGCAGAACCTGCGCCGCCCGCGGAAGGATTGCGCCAACGGCGGGCCCAAGGAGCTCAAGGACGAGGGGGGTCTTGCTCCGGCGCTCATCGACGGCGTGATTACAGATGACCCGAAGCTGTATCTAGAAGTGTGTGAGCGGCTCGAGGATGAGCTTGACGGGCGTAGGGTAAGACCCCCGAGGGGACTGCTAGGGTGGGTATCTGACGGGGTGAGCACCGCGTGGACGTCCGTCACGTTCCAGCTGCTGGTGATGGGATTCTATTTCGTAAGAAGGGCCCAAGGCAAGTTTGACTACCTAAAGGATCGAAGGAGCCTGGAAGGAGGGTCAAGATAGACGCGTTCAGTGTACTTGCGTAGAGGAGCCGGGACGTCATGATAGATCATGACAAGAAGGAGGGAAAGAAGGGCAATAGGCTAGATCATCTCACTTCAACCTTTGAGACGGATATTTCTGGTCTTGATGGTAGGAAACAAAAGCAGTCGCAAAGCACAGTTGCCAGTTGGCATCAATGACATTCTTTGTCTTGCTGCTATAGACTTGGGAACATGACATCGAGTTCTCGTTGGCCAACTCTCATCAAACCGCTTCCCTATTGCATCGAGGCCATGGTACCTAATTGGCTGGCCAGGTCTCATGAGCGCAGCAATCCTCTTACACCCGGAAATCCATCTCAACTCCGAGTGTTAAGTAAGTATTTACGCCATAAAATAAATAAAATAAAATAAAATAAAATAAATTCGTGAGCATAATTATCCTTATTAACCTCGCAGTTATGGTTACTTAGCCTGTTCCTAACTCCACCACCCTCCTCGGCTACACGCAAAATCCGCGCTGGATCCACCGGCTGCCAAGGAAGCTTGATGATTTCTCAGCCGCCTACATATACATACGTACGCAGTAGGAAGCTCCATGACGGCAACTTGCAGGTCCAAGGAAGGATCCGAGACTAGCTCTGCCGCTCGCCGCTTGTTCCTTGCTAGAATGTGGGGAGCTCGCGGCGTGGTGGAGTCGTTGCAACTGCTTCTTCCCCTTATTACAGCCTTGCTCGGCGAGCTGGCCCGACGCCTCCGCCTCTGCATCCGGGACAATTTGCAGAGGCTTCTCGCGTTTATTGTGTGCAGTGATTTTTTTTTTAAATTGATAGAGACAAACGAGAATTCGAATATTCGCTTGATGCTCTCTCTCTTCCAGATCCCTAGATAAATAAAGTAGCCCAGCAAAGTTGAAACGGACTTTTCGTAGTTAAAAACTCTAGAATGCCGACATCTTTGCTCCACGGCTGACCTCATTTTTGGTCAGTCTCACCTCATCCTAGTCAAAAAAGCTGCCCCCTGACAGCGGCCGAATCAACTCCCGTCGCTTGCTGACTCTTCCCTCGCTAGGAACATTACTGATCTCCTGCAGCGGCCGTATGCCAGACGGCCCGGTGCTGGACCTGCGGCAAGCCCATTTATAAGCGCCAAACAGGATCGCCTCTGGGGGATGGTGATGAATAACGTCGATTTGCTCCGTGGAGACGGGCAGAGATGGCGTTCTTTGTCATTCATCGTAATTCCTCGTCATTCATTGTCAGCGGAGATTTCAGCAACTAAACAGGGTTTGGCCATGGATGAACAATCCTGCGTACGTGCGGTATATGCCTCCGTGGATGGAGATACCATGGTATAATCCGAGTGTGTCCATCCAAGGCCGAATACACGATATACGGCGACGATGATATAAAGAGATCGCCTAGACTCTAGTCTTGGCTTCTATCTAACCCACTCACTCCTCACCTCTTCTCCTCTCCTCTCTCTGCGGTGACCCAACTCCAAAAGAGCCGAAACAGAACCATCGCCATGTTCTGCAAGTCCCTCCTCGCCACCGCCGCCTTCGCTGCCGCCGCGCTGGCCAAGACGCTCCCCTCGGAGACTCTCGACCAGCTCCAGCTCGGCGCGTGGCTCGAGAACATCGCCGTCCGCCCCAACGGCGACCTCCTGGTGACGCAGCTGGCCCCCTCGGCGTCCATCTACACCGTCAAGAACCCGGCCAAGAAGCCGCACGCCCTCGAGGAGCTCGTCAACATCCCCGTCATCCAGAACCTCTACGGCATCGCCCAGGTTCCCGGCGGCGGCGACTCGGAGAAGTACGTCGTCGTCGGCGGCAACTCGTCGGCGTTCGCCACCCCCGTCGCCGGCAGCTTCAGCAGCTGGACCATCGAGCTCAAGCGCGACTCCCGCTGCGACAAGGTCAAGGTCAAGAAGATCAGCTCCATGAGCAAGGACAGCCAGTTCCTCAACGGCGTCGCCGAGATCCCCGGCGTGTCTTCCGCCGTCTTGATCTGCGACTCGGCCAACGGCTTGGTCGGCTACCTCGACCTGAAGACCGGCAAGTTCGACACTTCGGCCTTTGTCTACCCTGAGATGGCTCCCACCAAGGACGCGAAGCTGCCCATTGGCATCAACGGAATCCGCATCCGCAATGGCTACCTGTACTTCACCAACTCTGCCCTCGTCTCCATCTTCCGCATTGCCGTGACTCCCCGCGGTCTCCCTGCAAAGGGTGCCGAGGTTGAGCTCATCAGCGACCTCTCCAGCCAAGCCACCTTCCTCGACGACTTCACCTTTGACGCTGATGGCAACATCTACGTCGTCACCAACTTCGACAACTCCGTCATATTCGTCAACGTCAAGTCGGGCAAGGGCGAGACCGCCGTCGGAGGCCTCAAGGAGATGACCGTCGCTGGCTCCACCGCCGTCGCTTTCGGCCGTGGCAAGCATGACAAGGAGACTCTGTACGTCGCAACTGGCGGTGCTCTCGGTGCTCCCGTTGACGGAACCAAGACCGAGGGTGGCAAGGTCGTTGCTGTCGACACTGATGCGTATTGAACGCTACCATCGTGTGAAATGGTTGAAAACTGGGTTGTAACTGTGGGGCAAAGATATCCAAGGAAGGATGGATAGGTGGATGATGTTGGGTCCTGCGATCTTGTTCGTCCTAAAGTAGAAAATTATCAATAAACATATTACAGACTTGCAACCCACTATGCCGTCGTAGAATAATCTGAACCACGGTCGTGTGTTCGGAATCGCTCAGCAAAAGGTCCAATATACCTGTCGATTTTGAGCAATTGTTGTGTGTTGTCTAGACCTCCCACCTATGAGCTCTATCTACCAAGCCATTCCCGAACTTCCCGCACCGTGAGACCAATGTATCCCAGCGCAAAACCGTATGATAATACAAACGCCCGCCTTTTTGTCGCTCTAGCACATAAATCTGCCCTTTAATCAATGTCTGCTCCCAGGTAGCTTCAGCTGAAACAGCCACCTCAAATCTCAATGTCAATGTCCAGATCCAACGACCCAATGACGTCGTCATCCATCAGGGGCTTATGAATGGTCGGAATACCCTTCTTCTCCAGGTACTTCTCCTCCTGGAGCTTCGCCAGATGTGGCAGCAACTGGGACTTGGACGGAGTGGCCTTAGGCGTGCCGTTCGCCGGCGTGCTGGTGCCAGTTCCGTCGGCCGCCTTATCCTTCACCTTGTCGTTCACATCGTACACAAACTTGGCCTTTGTCCTCAGTCGTCGGGACATGTCCCCCTCGTATGCTTCACCCCGCTTAAGGGCCATCTCAATCTCGCGGGACTTTGCCTTCTCCTTCAGCTGTGCCTTTCGCACCGCCTCACCGTTGAGGCGTCGGTTCTCTCGGTTGCGCTCAGCCAGTCGGTCTTGCTCACTCTTGCCCTTGGGAGCATCCGGGTTTTTGGACGCCCCGAGGCTGGTCTTGAAGGCTAGACGCTGGGTGCCGAGCTTGTCAAGCTCCTCTTGCAGCTCCTCGACCTTGTGGTCATCGCCACGCTCTCTGGCCTCCTCCTGCAGACGAGCCACTCGCTCTCGCTCTGCGGGATCGAATCGGCGGCGCAGGTCGTTCTTTCGCTTGAGTCGGGCCTTGATCTCCTCGTTCGTCCACTTATGGGTGATCAACGAGTTGATGTCATCAATTTTGTCAGAGAGGAAGTTCTTGGTAGGGAGAGTAACGCCTTCATTGTGACAGGTAACCTTGTATCGGTTCAGTTCGCTCTATAATCGACATTAGTACATGACATAAACCAAATCAGTCATGTCAAACTCACATCGACAAACTTTCCGCTTGAGGCAGCAATGAAGGGGAACTCTTTGACCGCCTTGCCATGCGCTGCCTTGACGTACTGGTCGGTAACAAACGAGCCGTTAGGGCCGCTAAGCGCGTAAGGTCGGCTGGTAGTAAAGCCTAGACAAGTTAGGACTGGCTGATGACCCATCTTGCGCTCTCAAACATACCTTTAATGACAGCCATGCGATATTGTTCCACTCCTGTCTCAGGGTGTGGGCCCAAAGCAATGCGTATGTAGCAGCCGAGGATGGATTGCTCAAACCCAGGAGTAAAGCAAACCTGGGCGAACTCGTTTCGGCCAAGGCGAACACGCTCGTAATCGCGAAGCTCGGGTGGTGGCAGATCTCGAGGTGCCTCAGCTTCAGGCGTGCGAGAGCGCCCACGGCCAAACTCATCGTCGCTCTCGGGCTCCCGAGAGTCTCGTCCTCGAGGGGAATAGCCATCCTTTCGCCTCTCGTGGTCCTCCCGCCGCCGGGCTTTCTCGGCCCTAGCACGTCGCAAGGAGTCCATCGCAGACTCGCCCTTGCCACTAGTTCGCTGTCGCGACGCCTTACGCTCACCATCTTCCAGTTCAGCTGTGTCGGCACTGCGCTTCTTCTTAACCTGCTTGCGCTCCTCATTCTCCACATTGCTGACCATTTGGCGAAGCAGGCGGTTCTGACGCTGACGCTCAATCTCAGAGATTCGGTCGGCGATAATCTGTTCTCGTTCGACTTCTCGCATGGCCATGATTTCTGTCTTCTCCGCCTGGCTCACGTACATGCCATCGACCGGGTACTTGTCATCTTCGGCGGCAGCAGCAGGGCGACCTCGCGAGGGCTCTGCATCAGAGTCGGATTCGTCCATTGGCGCTGATTCTAGGGAGTTTGGCGTGCCAGGGGTAGAGGATCTGATAAAAGAAACTCAATATTAGCAAAATTCCATCTCGGTGGCGATTCGTGGGCAGTTCTGAGCCCAAAGTGAAGGTCAAGTGAAACTGACGCGACACCTCAGGCAAAGGGAATCATAGGAGGCAAAGGTGAGAATTAAACCACTTACGCCTCGCCTTCCTCCTCGGAATCGTCGTCTCGACCTCCTCTCCGCTTCGCCTTCTTTGTCGCCTTCTTCTTAGGGGGTGGCGACGCCGACAGCTCCCTGCCCTCGTTGCCAGATCCCTCATCCTCAGAATCTCCGCCCGCAAGGGCGAGAAGCTCATCGTCGACGTCAGACATGGCGATTGCGGTATTTTGCGCGCCTCGCAATCTCTGGCTTTTCAGCTCTCAGGGGTTGTTGCGCTCGCGACGCGATGTCGAACGGCTACCGAGCGTCGTACCGCGTTAAGTCGAGCCGTTGGGGAGGTTCGGGAGTGGTGAATGGCGCAAGGACGTTCGGGAGATGGCGCAGGCGCGAGCAAGAGATGGAGTGAAGCTGGGATGGATGAAAGAATATGTAAGTGTAAAGAGAAAAGTGAGAGTCCTCGCACTCAACAACCTGTTCGGAATTCGTCGTCCTGCAGCCAACGCGTGATTGGCCAAGGCTATGTCATCCAAATCCACTTGTAGAGTGGGCCCTATTCGGCGAAGCTTTAGTCCGGCCAAGGTGAGAGCTCGGTGATCTCTCGGTGTACTCACCGAAAGCGCGGGACGGCTTCCGCACCGGAGTAGTCGCTGTGGTTCGATTTCGGGAAATAGAAGGCACCACTTTAGTTTGCGATCTCAATTGACGATACAGGTCGGCCATCTCAACGCCATACGCCAGTCGACAACAATGGTACCGACACGAGCTCTCGCCCGCCCTCTGCGCGCCCTCTGCGCGAGGCCAATCGTCCCTTATTGCCAGCCGTACATCCGTGCTATAACTACATCATCGACTGCGCAAGCCTCCGTCTCGACCGGGTCCACCGAAGCTCCCAAGAAGCGCAAGCCGCTCACAAAGGACCAACGCGAGTTCCTCGACTCTGCCGTACGATTCCCGCTACAATTGCTTCCGCTGCACCGCTGACGTTCCCTTCCAGCTCCGAGTAAACCAAGCCGGCGAACTGGCTGCCGTCCTCATCTACGCCGCTCAAACCCCGGTTCTCCTCCGCAACCGCCCGCACCTCCGGAAGCTGATGGGGCACATGTACGACCAGGAGGTAGGCCACTTTGACACCTTCAACAGCCTTATCCACAAGCATCGCGTCCGACCAACCGCAATGTACCCCCTCTGGTCCGTCATGGCTACCGGTCTTGGCTGGTCCACCGCCATGATGGGCTACGAAGCCGCCATGGCCTGCACCGAAGCGGTAGAAACTGAGATCGGTGGCCACTACAACGAGCAGATCCGCAGTCTGCTCGAGATGATCACGCAATGGGAAGCCGAGGGCTACGAAGTGGGGGAGGAGCTGTCAGGGTTGGTCAAGACGCTGAGGAGGATTCGTGATGAAGAGCTGGAGCATCTGGATCACGCTGTTGAGCACGACGCCAGAAAGGCAGAGCCACACTGGCTCCTGACTGGAGTGATTCGAGCCGGTTGCCGAGGAGCTATCTGGGTGAGTGAAAAGGTTTGAAATGACAACTTGATTGATTGTATTATACATGTAAGAAGGATATGCGTGGCTGGCTTGATAAAAAATTATATATATAGGCCACAAAAGAAACCAGGCGCGATTTGTTCGTTGGCATCAGGCGCCCAGCGAATACCTCTCTGACCCTCTTGGAATGCGAACTCCATTGAACTCCGTTGCGATGCTTTGTACATATTTCATGTGCGCTTGGGGTTTTCGACCACTTCACCAGGGCCAGTACATATTAATTGCTGCAAAATGTTAGCATGTGTTCATCATACAGCTTCCAGCAGGTTACTTACTAAATTGCCAAGGGGGCGACACCATCCACTTGGTAACCCCAATTGCCGTTCTGCTCTTCCGTAAGGAGCCAGTCGTAGGGGAACTGCACCAAATTTCCCTGAACCAAGTTCAACAAATCCTCGGCGTGCTCGCGCGTAGGCATGTCCTCAATGGTAAACCCACGACGGCTGTTCTTCGTCGTGGCTCGGCGGCGGCGCTTAACCGACCCGATACCGCCAGGGGGGTTATTCGTTTCCCTTGAGGAGGGCTTCTCGAGAGTCGAGAAGGTTGTTCGTCGATCTCTATCCCTAGTGCTAAGCTGGGGCTCCAGGAACTTGCTCTGGTTGTTCTCAAAGGCAGGGAACGGAGTGTCTCCAATCGAATAAACTGGAGAGGGCGCCTCGACCAGACGCGGGTTGTTGCTGGTATGGCCGGTATCTGGCCTTGCCTGAGAAGTATTGGAGCCGTCATCATGAGCGAGCTGCTTTTCTTTCAACTCCTTCTCTCCTTCATTTGGAATGATGATTTTGATTCTCTCATCGTCATGTGTATGAATATGCAGCTTCTCAGTAAGCTTCCCTGCGACTTCGTGCTCGGCGGCCTTTGCCAAAACTTCTGGTCCTGGTGCTGCTATCCCAGCTCCAGCAGATGTCGAGCCACGATGGCTGGGTTCGGGTTTAACCTCAGAATCCTGTCGCGAACGACCCTCCATGCTTGCGCGGAATCGCTTTCCATAGTTATCATACTCTCGGTACTCAGCCCAGGTGCTCACCTCAGAGTCAGGCATGCAGCGGAAGACTCTGCGGTACAGCTTGGTATTGTTCGCTGCAACACGGTTCCAAATTTCGTCGAGGAAGTCGGTGCTAATAGGATCTCGCATGCAATCCTTGTCGATCTGAGCAGCTTGAATATCTGCTGCCATGGGATGAACAAAGCCGACCATGGGTCGCCCAGACTCGGGGTCCAAGTGCATTGGGGGGCCGCCGATATCAGTGTCATCTACCACTGGGAGTGACGGCAACTGAGCAGCTCTTGGTAGCCCCAACTGATCCGTAGTCCGTCGATCCAAAGCAGGCATAGGGGGCAGGGGCTCGTTTTGCAACTTGCTGGGGTCAGGATACTTGTTCTCCCGGGCCGGGAGTGAGGAGTTTGGTCCTCTCGGTGTCTGTAATGTTCCCTTGCCCTCGTTGCCGATACTGCTGACGAGGACCTCACGGCCGTTGATGATGACTGAATCCCGGCCAGTGTCCAAGCCAGACTTCTCGGCATTCTTCCAGCCATCGGGACCATACCCAGTCACGTCTAGGTGATGCTTTCTCTTGCCCTCGGCCATGGCGCTTGATTCGGGCTCGTCGGACGATGAAGAGGAGCTGGAGCTGGAGCTCGCGGACTCGTCCATTCGCTCGGCTGCCTCGAGATCAAGCTCGTGATTGAAGCTCGGAATGTGGTGAGGGTCGGGTCGTTTGCTGTCCTTAGATCCAGATGGATCATCTTCCTTGTAGATTTCCTCCATCTCTTGCTCGAAGTCCTGGCGGTCCATCTCCGTCTGCCTTTCTTCTTCGAGGATCTCGTCCACATCCAGTCCCAGATGCTCCCGCATCAGACGGAGGCGGAGTGTATGCGCAAAGCGGCCGACTTGATAAGGTTTCCCACCCATTGTCGACATAATCATGTCCGTGTCTCGCACAATAGCGGCACACTCGGAGTCACGGTTGCCCAACATCGATCGCTCATTGATGTTGGCCGATCCTATAAGGGCCACTCGGTCGTCCACAATGATGGTCTTCGCGTGAATGTAAAGTTGTTCCGTCACAATGATATCAGTGCTCATGATGCCCCACTGCCGCAGGGAATAGAAGCTGATGTAGTCCTCCGGTTCAATGCCAACAGCGCGAAGTCGACCAAAGATTGACTGTTCTCCTCTGCAGATGCTTCGGAACTGACACATCAGGATGAGTCGGACACTAGTGCCTTCCTGCTCATCAACTGTATTCTGGAAACCGGGCATCAAGGGGATAACGATAACGCATCGCCAGTCCTCATCATTCTCGTGAGCCCGAAGGATTCGTTCAACCAGGGCATCTCCAATGCGGTTGGTAATTTGGGTGTTATACGCCTCAGTGCTAGTGATAAAGAACTGGTTCTCAATATAGACAAAATGGTCAGAATCCTCAATCATCTTGATGTAGGCGTTCTGGATGCTGTGCTCTGTTTCCTCGATGCCAAGGGACCAGGTGGTCGCTGATCGGAGGATCTGCACCTCACAGGTACCAGTGAGACCCAGGGCCTCGAGTTCTTCCGCATTGGCATCGGGAGCGGGGAGTAGGAACGGGAGAGGGCGGGTCGGCTTTCGTCCTCGGCGCAGGTAATTCCATCGCTGTACGAAATGGCGCGTCAGATCTCGAGCTGGCTGTCCAACAACTTGCATCGAAATGTCATGCCACGGCATGCGAGGGACCTTGCTGCGGTCGTACATCTCTTCGTACGGCTCGTTGAGTCTGAAGAAATCCTGCACTCGCGGGTTCGAGTAGTCCTTGCCCGGAAACAGTTGACAGTGTTCAGCATCCTTGGGCGTCTCAGAAACCTCGAATCCAGTGGGTTTGTCGTCGGCAACGGGATGCTGAGGACAATCCCAACGGCCAAAGCAAAGATCAATACCTCCAACAAATGCAACGTCATGATCCACGACGCAAATCTTCTCGTGGTGCGCGAAGAAGAATTGGTTTTTCTTGAACTGGTTTGGCGATCTCTGGACGAAGATGTTGGGGTGGAGGTTGAGCAACGAAAACTTGGTGTACTCCGAGTCGATTGGAACCGCGGCCTCGACGTTGCGATAGACGATGACGAAAATCTTCACACCTTCTCTAGCCTTCTTCTGTAGAAGTCTATCCAGACGCCATTTCTGGCTAATGGCCGCCGGTCTTCGCATGTAGAGTTCAGGACTCAGCCACCAATCATGGATGTAAATGACATCCTTGGCCATGTTGATGGCTCTCGAAACGTTCCACATGTAGTCACGCCCATCAACGAGCCATTGGGCGAACACGCCAGTTCGCACAGGAGAGAAACTGTCAAACCGCTTCTTCTGATACCAGAGGGTTTGCTTCAACATCTCATTGATCGAGTCTTCAAACTGCCTCATGACGGACTGGTTGCGCGAGAAGAGGCGCACCTTGCGTTCGGAAGTGTGCAAGGTCAGGGTGTGATGTTTCTCTGGAGCCGCCTCGACCGTCAAGTCGATTTCCGATGCCTTCTCGCTAGAGCCAATTTGATTCATCTTATGTCGCTTAGACACAATTCTGAACTTAGAATCGACTAGGTAGACATCATAAATGTTCATGTTCTCAGGCGACTCGACACACACGATGTAGCTCCCTCGAACAAGGAACCACTTGCGACTATGCCGAGCAATCACCTTGGCAGGAGTCAAGACGCGACGGAAGTCGAGACCCTTAGATGACTGGATGTGAAGGTAACCCTCTTTGCCATGATAACTACCCTCGGCAGCAAGTCGAACGCCGAGGGCTGAAAGCTCGAGGAAGCGACAGAGTCGATTGCTATCCGCCCTGAACATGAGCCATCGGATCATCTCGGAAAGATATTTCTCCAGAATGCGGCGCTGCTTCTCCACGTAACGTTGTCTCCGTGTCGCCAGGTCTACTACTGGTCCGCCCGGGCCTTCTGGTTGTGACATCTCGCCTGGATCGGTGATTCCCGTAGATCTCCGTCTCATCCCCAAGATGCTGCGACCGCCCTTCCTCCTCGGCGTCATGGTCGGCATGTCCAGGTCGCTCATGATAGCATCAGCTGCTTCGGTAGCGGTGGCGTCGCCGGCTGTGTCCTCGCCACGGCCGCTGGCGAGCTCTTCCTCGTCACTATCGTCGCCCTTCTCACCCTTCTTGCGAGCTCCACGCAGATAGGGAAAAGCCGAGTAAGGGAACTTGGGCTGCTTTGGACGGCCACCCAGATCCAGTCGGCCCGGCATATATTTCTCATTGCCGATGGCGAACTTGTATCGCAGATGAAGATTGTAGATGTCTCTCAGAGTTCGGGACACTGTCCAGCCCATCCTGCTTGGCCCACTGCCATACTCCAGTTCGATAGTGAAAAACCAATGACGGTCTTTGTCGTCGTCAGGAGCCGGGCTACTATCAGTGATGCGTAGCTTCAGCTGCTCCATGAGAACTGGGATCCTCTTGTTCCCGTGTTCATCTCGTTGAATCATGCTAGCAAGCATTAGAACGGCAGGGGCACCGGCTCTCAGCTCAGCCATCAACTCTGCTGATTTGAAGTAGTCGAATCGATCTTCCTTCTTTTGTCGGAGAAGCTTTAGGGTGTTCTTGACTTGCTTCCATTTCTGAGCACCAAAAGTCGAGGCTCGTTCAGAGTTGAAGAATGGGCGTCGAGGAGTCATGGCATCGCCATCCGATACGCCGCCACCTCCGAATACGGTAATTCGACGCAAGTGGCCCATTCGTCGTCCTACAACGGCTGTGCTCTCGCCCTCGTCTCCCTCCTCTCCCGATTGTCGTACAGCCGGGTTCACCCAGGAGTGACCTCTCCGAAATGTCATACCTAACCGATCACGACCTTCGCCTTCAGAAACTCCATATTCGGCTCCAGTTGCGTCCGGCATGCTGGCGCGACGTCTGAGGAGCCGATCATAGGTGCCCGGCATGTCCGTCTCAAGAGGAAAACGTTTCGAAGTCGACGGGTTTGGCGCATGTGTCTTCTTAGGACGACGCATCCTTCTCTTCTTTTTCTTTTTGGACTTGTCGTTCTCTGCGCCATTGGCCTCGTCTGCCGTCTCCTCCGCATCGGCATCCGCGTTCGTGTCTTCTTCAGTCAGAGTATCCGGGATACCACGGCCTGGCCGCATACCAGTCGGTGAGTTCGTCATGGACTGCGGAGTCAAGTCGGCAGGTGTCCCTGGAGACTTTGGCGTCTGGAGGCCACTGGTAGCAGCCAAGGCCTTGAGCTTCGACATCAAAGAAGCTCCTCGGGATTTGCCAGGGGTATCGGGTTCGTCCAATGAGTCGTTGCGTGTATGGACGGCCGGAGGATCGAGGGCGTCGGGTCGAACAAATTGGACACTTCGTCTGGGCACAGCACTTCCATCTTGAGCATCCTGGTCATCACCAGCAATCCGCTCCTTCTGTGACTTTGTTGATGCCGCCGTGGACTTGGGTTTCAGTGACGGTGCAGCTGAGGTCGGCTTGGGGGCGGGGGCCTCCCTCGGGGGCTCTTTGAGTTCCATTTTCGAAGCTTGGTTGTCGGAGGAGGGGGTTACTTCGAGGTCAAGGGGAGGCAGGAAGTTGTTGGAGTTTCGCTTCGGCGGCGCCGGGGAGAGTTGGAAATCGGGGAGGGATGGTGGGACCGACTGTGGACTTCCATCCTTAGGAGGATGCAATTCCTCTTTGGTCTTTTCGGCCATGACGGCTTGTCGCAGTCAATCGCAGCGGCAAAGGGTGGTTCTTAGATTCGAGCGAGCGTGTCGGACGCAACGGCGCAAGGGAGACGGTAACTATTCAGACAAGCGGCCTCCCAAACGCAACATGCTGGAACGACAGCAAGCAAGGCAAAGGAGCTATCTTTGGGTCGAATCGGGTGAGTCGGTCGTTCAGTTGGAGCAAGGTAAAGGGGGTTGTTCGATTCGAGGTTGCAGGTGCACGTCCGTCTGCGGAGCGTTAGTTCGAGCGAGTCGTTGAGGCACTCGACGTTGAGATGCCAGGAGTATCGTCAGTGGCTGTCAACGTAACGCGTAGACCAGGGGAGCTGGAGAGGCCACAACGCCAGCGAGCTAAAAGTTTGCAGCGGGAAAGAAGCTCTGTAGATCTTCTGCGGGATGGATGATCAGTCCGCTCAGCCTCAAGAGTCAAGACGGCTGCTCGCAGTTCGCGTTCGGCAAGGATGGAATTGGATGAGAAGGTGCAGGCGCTCTACAGACGGTGAGGTGACATCCAATCTGTCGAGTACGAGACCCTGTGGACAGCTGCAGGCTGGACGCCCAGCGGTGCGCTCGGGGGTGATTAGACATTAGACTGCGGTGGGTTCCGCTTGATTGATTGCAGGGGAGGGAGCCCCTGTCCTCCAGGTCTCCAGGAGTCTAGCACGCTCTGGCCTCCACTGGAACCGCCCTGCGTCGGGGATTAGCTCGTTCTTCGAAGTTAGTGGGCCCCTTACTGCCAAGCATCGCTGAAACGCTCCCACAGAACCACACCGTTGGGGCTCTCCTGTCAATGCTAGGACTAGGTTTCTCTGACAGGCCAGCTTACACGTCAAACCCATCAATGAATATCCAATAATTCTGCCAGCAAGGCCTTGGCCCAGTAATCCATGGGCTCGGAGACGGCTTCGTCATGAAGGCGCTCGCCCTGCTTTCATTCATCCAATTACGCTTGAAAGGGCTGCGGGCCGGAGGTCGTTGGTTTAATTAGGTCCTCTGGTTCAAACACAGAGGCGTATTTCCACTGCCAAGGTTGAACAGCGTAAAGGGGGAAACACACGATTGAATATGAGTCCGTAAGAGTCCGCAGGAAGCCGAGGCCCTCGACTAATAAGTCGTGTTCAAATGCAGATCAGGGATGACTCTTTTGGCCTTGTTCCGCCCCTGCATCCTTTCGTCGGTGCTTTTGGCTTTTCTGCAACGCCCTGAGAACCTCTAACGTCTGTACCCCTAGCTTCCATCCTCAATGTGGCATCCAATACGGCGATCATGCGGTCACAAATCACCTGTAAATATCTCTCAAGGCAACGTCAAAAACAAACACCGGGTTGTCATTCATCGCATTTGTCAAGAGGCTCATCAAATAACCACAATCCAAAAGCGAGAAATGATATAGGGTAGGCGATAATCCGTCCGAGTCTGACCACATCAGTTTAATATCAGCCCACCAATGCCAGATGCAGGATTGTGCATGCATGCTGTTACTAATCTGTGAATCTATCCTCACTATCGAGGAACACGATAAACTTCCGATGGAGAAAACCAAGGTCTTGTCTACTACGCAGTGGGACTGGGCAGCAAAGCTACGGAGCACTATTTACCTAGACTGCATTCCAGCTAAAATAACCCTTGCAACTTAGAAGTACGGCGCTATGTCGAACACGAATAAGCCAATGCCAAAGCCGCTGTTTGGGCTTGTTCCACATTCGAAACGGACCCGGACTTGTTGGTCGAGACCCCTGTCCGGATGCCTCCAGCCCGTAAGCCTACCATGAGTGAGCAAGCTGTCAGCGATAACTAGCTTGGCAACCCGACCAACACGCAGTCAGATTTGAGGCCAACTTTCCCAATCGTGTTTCCACCCGCTAAAACTCTGCTTCTCTTCCTCTGTATTCATTGCTACCCAGTCGCTTGTACCTTTATTCCCAAAGACCGTGCTGCGTTCATCTCTCTGTTTTGCATGTGATATTCTATCCCGAGGTAGCTCAACGGGCAACGGGATCCAGTCGTCTCGCTCGTGGAAAATCTCAAGATGCAGTCAATGCTGGCTCTCATCGGGCTTGTCCTCGCCTATTCCATATACTCATATATTTCCAAGTTACGATATAACACAGCCGAGGCCAAAAGAAGTGGCTTACCCTACATTGTTGCCCGTGAGCCTCTCACCCGCCCGCACGACGGCACCATCGCAGACCAACTGCTAACACACTGGCTGGGTAGCATGTTCGCCTATTTTCCTACCATGGCAAATGACACACAAGTTCTGGCTCCCCATCATCAGGTCTTTCCCCAAGTCATGGTGGGAGGAATGGCTCGAGTATGTCCATGTCCCACCTCTAAGTATCGTCCACCTTGGATGTCACTGACAGCCATATCACCCTGCTAGCCCACTAATTCCGGGCTTCTCGTATCGCACCCGCCATGAGCGATTCGCTCGTCACGGAGATGTATTCATAATCGTCTCTCCGGGCATGCTTTTTGTCATGGTCTGTAATGCCGAAGCCATCCGCCAGATCACCTCACGACGAGAGCACTTCCCGAAGCTTACCGAGACTTACGAGATCCTGCGCCAGTTTGGCGACAATGTACTGACATCGGAAGGTGCTGTTTGGCGCATGCACCGCAAAGTCACGTCTGCCTCGTTCAACGAGAAGAACGCCGCCATCGTCTTCAAAGAGGCTATCCGACAAGCCCAATGCTTGTTAAAGACCTGGACAGGGCCGACAGGCGAGCGGAAAGAGACTATCAATTCTCTTGACCGCGATACCATGAGACTTGCGCTCAACATCATCGCCTACGTTGGATTCGGTCTTACCCTATTGTGGCCAGATGAGAAGTTGCCAGCAGAGGCCAATCTCAAGTTTGCCAAGTACGGGTCACTAGAGCCTGCTATTGGTCATAAACTGAGCTTTGTTGATACAATCGCAACAATGCTGGAATACATCCTCATGCTACTACTAGTACCCCGATGGGTGTTAAGTAAGTCGCTTTTAACAGTTTGGCTTCATCAAAATGTTCGCTGACCAATGTCTCAGGACTCGTACCATCCAAGAAGGCTCAGCTTGCAGCAGACTCCCACGAAGACTGGACCAAATATATGCGGGAGCTCCTCGACGAGAAGATTGAGGAGGCCGGACGTGGAGATCGTGTAGAGGGGATGGACTTGATGGGGCAGTTGGTGAGATCGAGTTACGGAGCTGGACAGAAGACCGGCGAGGCCGTCCCCAAAGAGGGGACCCTTTCACGAGAAGACATCCTCGGAAACGCATTCATCATGCTCGTCGCAGGACACGAAACCACGGCCAATGCTATGCACTTCATCCTAATTGAACTGGCGACCAACCCGGCCTCTCAGCGGAGACTCCACAAGGACATTGATGAGATATTTGGAGACGCAGACCCAAGCTCATGGGACTACGAGAGCTTGATCAACCCGATGATGGCCAGCATGCTAGGGGCATGCCTGAATGAGACACTGCGGATGATGCCTGCAGTTGTGGAAATACCCAAAAAGGTAACGCCTGACCAGGACCAGGTCATTACCGTGGATGGGCAGAAATACGTCATGCCCAGGCGCACCATGATATCCTTAGTTGCCGTATCTGTCCATCGAAACCCACGATATTGGCCAGCACGGCCAAGCAAGATCCACACAGACAGGGACGACATCAACGACTGGGTACCGGAGCGTTGGTTCCGTAACAGTCAAGATGCCACCAAGTCGCCAGAGAAGGAAGATGACAGCGCGGAGATGGAAGACTTTGGCGGGGATGGGGGGCCAGTGACAAGCGCCCAGCTCTTCCGACCGGAGAGGGGATCCTACATTCCATTCAGTGACGGCCCGCGGTCCTGCCTGGGGCGACGGATTGCGCAAGTCGAGATCATTGTGGCGCTGGCGGTGCTGTTCCGAAGCCACAGCCTGGAACTCGCGGTAGATGAATGGTCGAGTGACGACGAGATTAGCAGCATGACCCGAGAGGAGAAAGCGAGCGTGTACAAGATGGCACAGAACAGCAGTCGGGCGAAGATGGGAAGAGCTATGTCGGTGTTGACGCTGAAGTTAGATGGGGAGCATGTTCCGGTGAGACTGGTCAGGAGGGGTGAAGAGAGGTTTATCAATTGGGTGGAGGAGTGATGGCCGCGCAAAATGGTGACCTGAGAGACGGCATAGAGTCGGTGTGTACGGCAAGATGTAGACTTGGAGTTCTGATTGGACTAGAGGAAATGTTAGTCAAATGACGATGATGGGCTATTTGACCATGATGTGTCTTAGATGTTGACAGAAATGAGCCAGAGAACAGTGCGAGCTTATTGGACACTGGGAAGTCAGAAATGTAAACAAGAGAATGGACATAATGCATCGCATGGATTGATGATCGCGTTGTTTGAAAGCTGTGGTGGATACCCTGGAGCACATACATGTACGTGGAGCTGGTGTGAGCTTGAGAAGCCCACCACCCTTCTGCTGCGTATTGAATAGACCGGAGTGAGTGCCAGTGACGCATTCCCTCTTCAATCGTGGAGTACGACTTGGCTACTTATAGATTTCCGCATTTATTCTCAACAAGTGACCTGGGCATGATGGCATGGGCTACATGAAGCATGAAGGGGAAGTGGGATGGAGGGGAAGCTTGAAGGAGGGGGTTTGTTTACATTGGAGATTGGAGCCCTCTCCCCGCAAGTTCATTGGTACCAGCCAGCTCAGCGCATCATAGCGCAGATCGTAAGTACCACTGCAATTAGCGGCGGCGGCTCCAGATTTCTAGGGACCTTCCACCCCCAAGGCCGCTGGAGCTCCAGTGGACCCCGCCTGCTTCGCCTTGTTAGGTACCCCTGTCGTCCACCACAACACGTCCGCTCTCCCCCAAAAGCGTAACCTAAGCCCAAAGGAAAAAAAAACATAAACAACGCCGCGGCCGCCTACGCGGAACACGGGCCTCTCCCTCCCGCGCCATCACCCACGCAACCACCGACACCACCAAGACCTCATCATCGTCATCAACCAGCATCGCCCCATCGCCGCCCGGCCGCTCCAAAAAGACGCCCACATCATCGCTGTCTCGCTGCGTCAATTGACGCCCTTTTCTCACATCGTTTGCATCGCCTGCTTCCTGCGACCCTAGCTACAACCCCGCCACTATGTCTTCCTCCAACAGCTGGCTGCGCGCCCAGCGCAAGACCGAGCTTATCGAGCTCGCCGAGAACGTCGGCCTGCAAAAGTACGTTGCCTTTTGCCCAACCTGCTCCTTTGTTGGGTCCTGTGCGCGCAATGGCCCGCACAGAAGCGATTAGAAGCGCCTTTGCTGGAGTTGCTGTGTTTGCTTTGCGCCGCGCGCTTCCTATGTCGCCATGTTAGATATGCCATCTAAGCGACTTGCGACGCGCCGGCGCCACCACCTGCGCTTCGGCCCTGACGCCCATCACTCTTGTTCGATAGAAAGAGCTCGCGCTGACTTGTATGCTTTAGCTACGAGAGCTTCAAGAAGCTCGAGCTCGAGGTCGCACTCGATTCCTTCCTCGCCGAGAATCAGTCGCGCTTCGCCGCGAACCCAGACCTGACAGGCTACTTCAACAGCCGCTCCAAGGCCTTGGGCTCCCCCGTTAAGAGGGAGACGCGCAAAGACGACGAGGACAAGGGCCTGAAGGTCGCCCGCCGAAGACCTAGCAAGTTGTCTGAAGAGATCACGCCTGAGTGAGTTGCCTGGACCCCTCGTTTCTCGCGCATCCCCACGCGTTGTGCACAATACGCGTGAAGCGCAGAGAGACCCTGTCTTCAAGAGCACCCCAAGCTGACGAGAGTTCCTATGCGCAAACAGGAGCGATGAGCCTCGTGCATCTACTACTGCCCTCATCCAAACGCCTGGTCGCAGCCTCTCCCAGGTCGCCGCGCGCATTCCTCTACCCGCTACGCCCGCCGACGTGGCTCTGGCCGTCGACCGTTCGACCCAGGTCGTGCGCGAGCGCGTTTCCTCCATGTATCAGGAGAGCGGCATCACTGAGGTCAGCAACGCGACGCGCGAGACCCTCAGCACCGTCACCAGCATCCTCTTCTGTGTTGCCGCCTTCGAGCTGTGGAACGTTCGTCGCGAGATCCTCTCCAACACGTTTGCCTTCACCATCCCGGCCATTAGCTTCATCGGTTCTCCCGATTACCCTGTTTACGTTCCTGACATGTTCCTGCTTCTCACATCAGGCTTCTGGTCTCCGGCTCTGACCTGGGCCTTGACCAGTGGTGTCATTCCCTGCTTCGTTGGCTACTTCTTCAACTTGAGCGCCAACAGCGCCCCTTCCAACCGTCGCCGCTCTAGCAGCCACAACGCCGAGTATGTCGTTGACCCCTTGACTTTCAGCATCGTCAAGGCTCTCGTGTCGTACGTCGTCTACGCTCAGGGCGTTAACTTTGGTGGTCTGTTGTCCGAGAGCTCCATCTTGCGTTTAAACGAAGCTGTCTACGGCGGCTACAAGGGTATGCTGGTCGGCACTGCCATCACTGGTCTAGTCAGCATCTACGATGCTGTGCTGAGGAAATGAGCCCTCTACGTCGTGGTCACTGGGAAAGCATCCTTGAAACCCCTTTCCTCATCCCGCGTTAGCAGGATGCTACCTCCATCAACAACTACCTTGCCACGAACCTCACATGACTACACGCACCAAAACCGCTTAATCACCTACTCTCTACCCAACTCGCATTCTTCGAATTATCCTTCTGGGGGCGTTGACGGCGTCGTGAGGCTTTTGATACCTAGGGAGGTTTTTGCTCTTCACCACCGTGTTGTTTCAGCCTTCAGTCTAGTCTTGGTTTACTTTCGTTGTATGCGGAGTCGCGTGTTTGAGCGGTGGTGACTCGTGGGTTTGATACTCTCGTTGACATTGCTTGTCTACCTGCTTCACATAGCGAAGTATGCTTTCCCATGACGCTCTGAAAATGAGCAACTCGGAGAACAAACTTGACTGGGGAAATGGCTGGGTGGATTCCTTGGTTATGAGACGATTTTGATGTCCCCGTTGCGTTTTTGTTGGTTACTTTTTCGTGTTCTTTTTATCGGGACCCGGGGACGAATATATAGTCCCAACCCAGGTCGATTGGATCGGGGTAACATGGGATAGGCGCCTTGAATGAGTGAACGAAGGATGGATGGATGGGACTGGAGGATCGGTGGGCGGATGGCTGGGTTCGTATATTGGAAATGAATTTATCGCGTTTGTGCTTTCTGTGTTAAAAAATGCTGTTGTTGTGCGTTGATACTGTCCGTTGCGACGTCTCTTGATGGGACACTTGAGATGCAATAGAGACTGCTTATAAGTTAGCTAACCCAAAAGTATTCACCCTAGCTCGTATTAGGACGGTATTATACCTTGGCCCTAGCTGTATCTGCAACTCTTAGGACTCATTCATTTCAAAGACTGATAGATAAGCTATTGCGAACCGGCCCTATGGCACCAATGCTCCAACTTGGCCTAATACCCTTTCCATCTTAAGTCGTTATCGCCAGCCTCTCTATCAACCCAGCCTCTCGCTTCCACACCAGCACGCCATCAGCCTAACGAGAACCCCCCCACCGCTCTTTCGCGCCCCCAGCTTCGTTCCCCCCAATCTGGCCCATTCCCCACGCATGCAGCAGCCTTGCGGCGGTGTTCGCTCGGATCCCGGCGAGATCTCAAACGCTAGATAAGGGCGTTGGCGGCTACCGCGGGCCGCGACCCAAGTCCGGACAACGACCGACGTCATTGAAGAGTTTTCCCGCGACATCGTCGAGCTCGGTTGCGGCGCTTTCGCTACAATGGTGTTTTCGCGTATCCAAGCGGATTGTAAACTCACCGGAAGCGGCAACGGCGGTACCGGCCAATTCCCCACTTCACCTCGGCGTTGCATTGAACACCCCGTCCGAAAACCTGGCCTTTCTCGAGACTCCACCGACGAGGCCACGCAAGCAAGATTCGCAGCCAAAATCCACATCACCTCACAAACCGAGGCTCACGACCCATGGCCTCCCGGATATTGCATTTCGGATGTCGCCTCTCATCTGACGCTCCTGGCCTCATTGAAGAGCCTGCTCTACATAGCACGTAAGGCGACGAGGGTCATCTTTCGAAGCTGTTTGAATTCCACACCTACTTACGACCTATTCTAATACTAGATCGAATCTATACAAGCGCACCGTGTTCACATTTGTCTTCCCAAAATCCCCCCCAGCCCAAAACGCCCCGTAGCATGGGCGGAGAATCCTTTCCGCCCCTGGTCCCGGATGCCTCGTACCCAGAAACAGCATGCCACACAGATAAAAGACAACAGAATCGAAGTTTGGCAAATGAAGAAAAAGAAATAAAAGGGAGGTGTTAAAAACCGCAGACGTCCTGCTTCCCTGCTGAGGGTTGGATTAAGATGGTGTCCCGACCTCTTGGCGAATGTACCCAAACTTGAGAAGGAAAATAAGGTTAAAAAGTAATAAACGGTCTAGGTAGGTCGGGGTCGAGCTCGCTGGTCTGCGACGGAAGCAATCGGCGGGTGAATGAATTGGAATGGATGCAGATGCGCGTCGAGTCCCTCATAGCGGTTGAATGTGTTGCGTGGTTCGGTGGTCGTTGGGTATATTTGTACAGATGCCCCCCTGTGAGATGCATATGTGCGTGAGGTGATTGTTGTCGTGTTCGAGATGATTTGCCTTGATCATATCGGCGAGACGGAGAATAGCATTTACGGCTTCTCGGAAGGATGCTCAAACTTGATGGGATGAACCAGCACTCCACGCATACAAAGTCGGCCGCTGCTTGTCGTGTCCAGCTCCTCCGTCTTACCACCTCGCTCGCGGCCCTCATTGGCACGACCACCGCCCCTGCCACGTCCATCCATTTGCGCATAACCCAACCACCGGCGCCATAGGAGACCGGCGAACTCGCTGTTGAAGTACCAGCTGGTTCCCTTGTGGTTGTGCTCGTTGAGCTGGTCGAAGGGGCTGCCGGGTCCTGACGTCGAGTGATCGCGACCGGCGTTGAAGGCCGCGTCGATCTCGCTGAAGGGATACCAGGCACGGTCGAGGAACACGGGGTGGGGAGCGAAGACACCCTTCATTCCGTGGTGCAGAGCGACGGTGGGAGGGAACATTTCTGAGAACGCAGTGTGGTGGAATCGCCAAACCTCCTCGTGCATGGCCATGAGTAGACGACGGCTCAGACGTGAGGCAGTGATAATGGCGCAGCGGCGGGGAGGAGGAGTCTTGTAGCCTGTTGCGTCGTCGGAGAAAACCCAACCAGACTGCTCGGTGTCGAAGAGTGGGTTGAGAGTGATGATGTCGGCTTCCTCGCCAACACCACACTTAGATCGGTCGGCGTCCACACCACACGAGGCGGGCATCATAGTCTGGCCCCACTCATCGTGTCGCAGCTGTGCCTTGCCCTCGAATGACAGGGGACCAAAGATGGGGGCGCGGCCAGAGGCAATTGTGTCCTTCTGGACCGTGTCCGTAAAGTTCTCCCAAGAACCATGGAACGCCGGGATGTAGTAACGCGCACTGCGCTCCCAGAGAAGGGTTCGGGGCTGCTTAGCGGCCCACTTGCCCAGGCGATCGAAGAACTCGTAGTAGCTGCCAAGATAACGCATGTCCATCTCCCAATTCCAGAAGTGCGCGTACTCGGGATGCTGCAGGGCGAAAACCTGGAGGGGGAAATGGGCGCTGCGGTAGATGCCATGGATGTCGGCACCACTAGGGTTCTCGATGGTCTCTCCGAATCGTCCGGGATACATCAACCTCATTTGAGGTTCGCTCCAGAGCGAAACCAAGCCACGGAACTCGGCGGGAACATTGTCGTTGATGATTCGCTGCACTGTCCACTTGTCGGACCAGATGGGCTCGTCGATGTTGCGGACCTGCATCAGAAAGTGGACCTGGTACTCACCACCGGATTTCAGAGAGAGCTCGTTGATCAGGGCACGGAAGTTGAGAACAGCCAGTTCTGTCCACTTGAAGCCGGTGTAGGTACGGATGACAACGGCGATCCGGCCCTTCTTACCGTTGTTTTGCAGCTCACCGGTCGAGGCGTCGACTTGAGGGAAGCGGTGGATGTTTGCTTGGTAACAAGCGTCCTGGGCCTCAGCCCAGTTCACCTCAGTATAATCGATCTTGCCAGTCTCAGCCCACACCGTCTCGCTTCCGACACTCTCGGTATCGAGACCTGTGTCCAATCCACCGTGGGCCCTGCTGTAGCCCAGGCCATAGGGACCGTAGCGACTAAATCGGTCGAAGCAAATATCATCCCTGATGCCCAATAGCTTGAAAGAACCCATGCCGGGGTCGGGCATGTGCTGAGGAACACCGTTGTAGGCGTACAGATCCGGAGCTGGGACAGTCTTCTTGGCATCGAGATAACAGGTCTTGACATCGCTGTCATGATTGTAGGGGCTGTAGCGCTGTGGCTTAGGTACATGATCACTCATGGCAGGCGAGGGAAGAGGAGCCTTGTCGGTGGTGTTGGGGTATTCGGGCTGGAGGTTGACCTTGCTGACTATGGTTCGGAGACCATGGAAGTATCCATCAAGGCTGGGCAGGAGGTTAGCGAGGTTTCAACCAAGTGTCAAGATTTTCGGGGCCACAAACTGAGGGAACTTGAGCCAGGGCATTTTCTGGAGTTGCTCAAGACGCTCCTTCTTCTCATCGTCGGTAACGTACTCGTCCTCGGGGACAGTCTCGAGCTTTCCATCACCGTCCATATCGCCAGTGAGCATGACAACGGTCTCGCCATTGGAATTCACGACCGTCGCGGTCGCGATGGGAGCCTGTGTCCTGGAGCCCTTGGACAGGTAGCCACCGACATTGTATCCAGAGTTTCTCGACTTGACGAAGACGAGGGTTACAAGGAAGCCAGCGGCGAGGAGCCAAGTCAGTACTCTGCGATAGTGGCAATGGCCGAGCAGAGAGCGCATGCGAAGTCGGGGCTTCTTCGTCTTTTCCGACATGATTGAATATGGCAACAACGGGTCGATTTTCCGGCCGATGGGAACACGCGAGTTTGAATTGCGGGCGGCCATGGTGACTGACTGGCGCCGCTGCATCCTAGATGGGGCAGGCCGTTGAGAGCAGAGGTTGTTCCTGTCGGATTGTACAAGATCCCGCGTTTGTTGTGTGTGGGTTGATGTACGATGGTTTTCTTTTTTCCAAGTGAAAATGAACCTAGGTGGACAGAGCGAGTGTCGTTTGGGGGCCGGCCGTCATCGAGGAATTATGTCGAGGCGTAGGTGAACGGAGTGGCGGATTCAACCGAAAGCAAATCAAAGTAACGACTGGCAGTCGTCGAGACAACCTGGAAAGGGAACCGACGAAAGAGGAACCGGCGTGAGGCGGAACGGGAGGTTAACGCTGCTACCTTGTCATCCGACGTAGGTAGAGGGAGCTGGTGAGAGATGACGCGACGCAACGCAAATGCAGGACAAGGCGAAGCAAAGAAGCAGCGCGATGCCGGTCGAGTTCAGAGGACGGCTGCGGAGGAGGTTGAACAGACCGAAGAGCGAAAGTGCGTGGACGGGGGGTGAAAAGGAGGGGAGGGGAAAAGAAGAGGGCGACCAAGAGGATGGGAGGGAAAAAAAAGAGAGGCGAGGCCAGGAGAGGCGAGGAGCAGGGGAATAGGGACACGGGACAAGGGATTGGTATCCCGGGGGGGGGCAGGGACCTGGCAGTGGGCGATAGGGGGATGTGCCCCGCTACGGGGTCCGCTCAACGGGGGGAGTATGTACTGTAGGGGAGTACCTAGGGGGGAGGGTAGGGGGGGTTCCAGAACCGGTACGATTAGGGGGGTGCTGTACGGTGTCGGGGCGACCAGGACGGTATTCGTACTGTACTCTACCAGCCTGCAGAGCGCGCAGCAGCGTCCGCGTTCGCCCAAAGCCACTTCGGCGCCGACGCTGGGAGGGAACCTACCACAGGCGTGCGGCTGCTGAGAGTGCAGCGCAGTGCCTCTCCCGGGCTGGCAGGATGGCTGGGATAGGCTGGACTGGGACGGGGAGCGAAGCGGGCTTGAGGCCGGGCGTGTTTATCGTTGGAACTTTGGTGTTACTACGGAGTACGTAGTACATACAAGTACGTTGACGATTACCTTTGGTTGTCGAGGCATCGGGCATTTGACTCCCTGGAAGAGAGTTCCGTCCGCTGCTGTTTGGCGGCCGGGACCAGCCCAGGGCGACCAACGTCGAAGGCATGCACCCAACGCACTGTGGTACGCACGTACGTACGAGCCCTGTGTTGCTGCGAGGCGCGCTGGGGACAAGACGGCCCTCGCTCGCTCGCCCACGCGTCAGGACAGTGGCCAAATGGGCCAAACACGACACGGCAGCAAGTCAAAGCCACCCCAGACGAGCAAATAGTGGAGGCTGGATAGGGCGTTGGCGCCCCAAACCCGCCCCCCCTGAGCCGCCAATCCGCCATCGTTCCCTCATTCCCTCGTTCCTCGAGATGCCCTGGCGGCCACACTGGCGACGGCCGATGGGACGGCGCCGCCGCGTGGGGCCGGCCAGGGCCAATCACGATGGCTCCACCGGGCGTTCTGGTGCTGGACGGTGGACTGTGGCATGTATGAAGTATCAATACGGCACTGTGCCAGGGGCGAGCGGCGGCCAACGAGCGACGACGAGTCTGAGTGCCTGGGACGCCTGGGACTGCTCGCATTGCTAGGATTCGCTGGGATGACTGGCCCAGGCGACAAGGGTCAACGCCTAACGAGGCAATTGGGGATACCAACCTAGTCCCTAGTCCATGCTGATCTGACATGCTGTAGCCGTCTAACTTTGTGGCTTCCGGCGCCTGTGGTCTTGCTGCTGGCAGCTGGCTCATCTATCGGGTTTCTGACTGGCAGTCGGGTAATCAATAGTCCTCGCAGCGGCTGGCCGAGCCTTGCAGGCCCTCTCTTGCGCCATATCCCAGCCGCATCCCTGGCGAAAAGGCGCGCCCGCCGGGGGGGACCCGTGGGCCCGTGGACCCAGGGCTGGGGTTCCTCCCACTCGCCAGGCTTCTGGGCCAGAGAGGCGGCTCCATTGAGCGTCGTCGCTCTCTCACTGCGGAACTGGACGCTTGCGTGTCCTGATCGGCGTATTACATGTATGGAGTAGAAGATCAGGAGCCGAGTGTAGCAGCTTCGCACACCCACAAGCCAGTGAGAGTGCCGTTGGGGGCGCTCGCCACTTTCAGCTCTTTAGCGGCGGGGGGCGAACCCTCTGGGGCTGCGGTACGAGCGTGGTGCAGTTATGGTGCAGTGCGAGCATGTCCTGTATTCCCAAGAAATCGATGTACTCGGCTGGTCAACGTACTAGATTGTGCCTACATGCTAACGTCAACTTGGGATGGAAGCACGCCCTGCAACACAGTCAAGCCGACGTTGGGGGTGGACGAATGAACTCTCGGCGCGACCCTCCCCTTCTGCGTTCCCTTGGATGCTTCCCTCGACGTTCCCTTGGCCTGGAGACACCCCCTTTGGACGCGGCCAGCCCCTTGCCCGCACCCCTCCCTTTGCCCAGTCAATAATGATGAGAGGCGGAGGCTTTGGGCGGAGGACCACCAGGAAGCCACCTCCACCGCGCATCATCAGCCCGGGGGACCTGCTCGGCATGGAGACAGAGGGTCGTCCCCCGCCACGCGTCCACCGTCTCACATTGCTTCCAGCAGCCTGTCCTGTGACGCGGATGTTGCTGGTCTCTGGTGCCGGCGCTGGGCATTGATGTTGGCGTTCTTGGTGATGCTTCCCGCTGCGTGGTCGGTCTCAACTCCTGCAGCACACTTGCTGACAAGCAATTTCGGGTCTGCGATAATATCCTCACCGAAGGCCACCACCCCCTGGTTCTCACCGTTGATCAAAAGAATTATCTATTGGCAAAGGGACGAAGCCTACTGCCCTTTCCCGTCTAGTCTCAGCCGTTGGCTCTAATCCAACTACCGGCCCTCTTTCCTAGGCTGGTTGCCCATCCCAATCGCTTCGTGTTTTCCCACCCTAGTCTTCAGCCCCGACCTGATTCTCCAAGTAGAGCAGTCTCAGTCACACTGTGGCTGGTGCTAGCTCGTAAGGTATCCCGCCAACAGTCCTCCTCGTCTTCTTCAACCCGCCGCCCCAGACGGCTTTCGTAGGAGTATGAGCTGCAAGGCGAGAGACAGACCCACGAGCTTGACATTAATAAACATCACGTTGCTCGTCGTCGACAGCAGATGGAACTCGGTGGAGCGAGATTGCCAAGGGGTCCGCTCTGTCGCTGACACGAACTAGACAGGGGGGAAGGGTGTGCCAGGCTGCGGGCCCATGCGGAATCGCCAGACTGGCGCTGATTGAACGCTGCAGGCTCGTCAACTCATCACTGTGGTAAATCACGACCGACATTTGTCGTCTAGAATACGATACCTGATGCAACCTCAGAATCAGTTATCTTGCTTGTTTGGGACAAACGGGACCTAATCGTCGACCACCAGCGTCTCCAATCGGCCGCCAACCCTAAGCGGCGATTGTCCTTTCTGGCCTTCTCTCGTCTAGCTGCGGGAATCCCAGTCCCGAACGCCTGCCGTCCCGTGTCTTGCTGCTGGTGTAACTCGACCCAGTCTATCCTTGCTGCTCGAGATGTCTTCGTCATCCTCTTCGTGGCTCTCAATACTCCCAGCAGAAGAGGCTTGCCGTTGTCGTGCCCGCCCCCGTCGTAGGAGGCTCCCACCGGGCTTCAACAGATGAGCCGCCGGTGCCCCGGCCGTCTCGCTGATCTTCTGCTGGCCTTTGCTGGCTCTTAGACTCCCGCACCGGCCCTTCCGATGGGGCTTCATTTCCTGACCGATCGTCTTCCCTTGGCGTCCGCCGGGATCCCAGCTCAAAGGCAGAGCTAGACGGACATGTGGGCGCCCACCAACCTGGGTTCTTAATCTCCATGTTGGGGACAGCTCCAGCGTCATTTTGATAGAGCGGGTCCCGCGGCAACGCCAATGCCCGTTTCCACCATTCATCACCCACTTGGTTCTAGCCCTGTACCCTTTTCTTCCCAGAGTGCATCCCTCCCTGGCCAGGAATCTTCATCTCATTCCCTCAAGATTCCCGGCATGGACTCTCCCGATCCCACTCCAATCCCACTCCATGTGGCCCATCCCAGGCCCATCCTAGACCTATCCTAGGCCCATCCCACGCGAGCCATCCTATCCCGTTGCGTGCGCTCTGCACCTTAGCTCGTCTTACTGTGCGTAGTACCTAACTACATCGCAGCAGTCTACATCACACAGAGGAGCGAGTTCCAGGAACCGGCTGAGAGACGCAGCCTCAATGTTTCTTCGGGCGTCGGCAGCGCGGCGACGGTAACCCATGACTAGGCACCGTATCACCCATCGCCCATCGCGCAACCTGTCATGTTTCGATGGCGGTGGCGAGGCGACTTTGGTCCCGTCGGCCACGTCTTTATTTAGCAGCATATCGGCACAGTCATCGCCGACTCTCCACCCGCCGCCCACTTCTCGCTCGTACTTCTCGCTCGTGTCCGTGGCCCAGCAGCCCAAGCGCCAAATAACATGCCCCGTCATTGGTCTGACCAGCCACGGCCCGCGAGGCTCTGCACGCCATAAACCTCGTCTGAGGTCAGAGTCAGACCCGAGGCTGGTGACGCCTGTCATCTGAAGCCCCAGCGATCAGTGATCAGTGTGATCAGTGCTCAAACGCTGAGAGGTTTCGCCTTCCCCGTCTCGCATACAGTACACAGTACATTTTTGCCATCGACCCAGAGTTCTAATAATAAGGGACCCATCATCCTCGTACGTGACATGGCCCTAACCTAAAACGGGACATGTTTAATGCCCGACAGCTGATGACGGACGTCACTCGTTGGTTGGTATGATCTAGACTCTCACATGTCGAAACAGCGATGCCCTCAACACAAATTGATGCGACACATGCACGAAACAGAAAAGGGAATTCCATTCCAACGCGGCAAAACCTAAAATCACGTCAAAATTGTTTGTCTTCTCCGGTGCACAAACACTCTCCTCGGCCAATCTACTACATCGAGGTGCCACCAGCCGGACGGCCGGATTCGTTTTCAGATCGTCTCGCTCCCGGTGTCTCGCTCTCTGTCCCTTGGACGGACCGACTCCTTCTCCTTCCCTTTCTCGTCTCTCGCTTCCAGATCTGCCCTTACCATCTCCGTTGCCGGTGTTTCCCTCTTAAGCTGATGCTCCTTGTGCGCCCGCTTCCGCTGCTTTCGCACCTCCAGCTTTGCCGCAGTGGCCTCTCGCCATCCCTTCCCCCACCGGATGGCGGCCACAGTCCCCAGTGCCGACGCAACCATATACGCGGCCGTGACGGTAGAGAACCAGCCGATGCCGATGGATTGCACTGCCGGGAGCACTACCGCCGACGCCACACAGCCCATGAGGTAGCGGACAAAGAAGTTGGTCGCCGCCACCTCGGCGCCGTGGCCCGGCATCACGTCGATGCAGTACGTATTGTACGATGGGAAGCAGAACAGCTGTGCGACGCCCTGTACGAACATGGCGATGACCGGCACCGGGATCCCGCCGACTTCCTGGTCCACAGTCCAGCCGTAGACGAGCATGCTCCCCGGGATGATTACTCCTATAAACGGGACCGCTGACCGAAGCCGGTCCTCTGGTACCCGCACGCCGCCGCGTTTCTTGATCCACCGCTTCACCGTGTAGTCGGCCCAGCGGCCGCCCACGAACGTCCCGAGCAGGTATCCAAAACCGGGGGCCAGGTAGAAGAGACCTGACAGAAGCGGTGTTTCGAGGTGGAATCGCGGGTTGAGCACGTATCGGATCGGTGTCAGCAGGCTGTACATGTTCCAGGTCAGGGAGGCACTGCCCCCGGCAACCATGACAATGTTCCAGTACCGGAACAGCAGCAGGACTCGCACGGGACTGATCATTTTCAGGATTGCCTTTGTCTTTTTCCGTCGGGAGTATCCTTCGAGCTCCGTGATCCTTTTGTGGTGTGCCGTCTCAAGCACCACGAAGTAGAGACCCAGTACGCCCACACCGGCCAGCGCTGTTTGAAGCCAGAAGATCGCCCTCCACGATGTGTATGTCACAATGATGCCTCCTAGGAACGGCCCAAATGCGGGTCCGACAAGTGTTCCAGTTAAGAACCATCCCATGGCTGTTCCGCGTTCGGTCGGGCGATATATGTCGCTGCTCTGGTGTTAGTGGAGGCTGTTCTGTTTCCGAACTTAATTTATCCGACATTGGGCCCGAGCTTTCTCCAATATGGTTTGAGAACTAGAGTCAGATTGATTGGATAAAGTGAACAAAGTTGTTTCCTTGGAAAACTCCTATATCAAGACTTCACTGGCGCACCTATCCACTTGGACCAGGAAACGTGACGTCTTATCCAAACTAGATGGTGGGAAGAGGCCATGAAGAGCAAATGCTGAAGAAACAAATTACTCAATACATACCCAACACAAGCAGGCCCGATGAGGATAGGGACTGTGCCTCCAAATGCGGAGGCAGCTCTGAAAAATATGAAGGAGGCGAGATTTGGAGCGAGGGCAGTAGCAATGCTGAGAACGAAGAACATGATGGCGGTGACTAAAGCTACCTACACAGTTTGGTTAGCGAGTTGAGCCATGTTGTTTCCATCAAACTCTCCTCCGTCGAGATGGACCCCATGTTGAACCTGACAACGCGACTTCATCCCTATATACAATAGCACGAACGAGGAAAGAGACCACTTCAAGATATAATGATTGGTGGTTGTAAACATACCGGCCTTCTACCAAACACCTGGCTCGTCGGCCCCCATATCACAGGCGATATAGCCATGACAACCATGTATGCGGCGTTGCTCACATTGATGACACTTCCGGTCGTGTTGTAAGTAGCCGCCACCTCAGGAGTCGCCGCGAGTACCGTTGTACTCGAGATGGGCGACAGCAGAGCCATAAAGGACAGAACCGCCACGACGGCTCTCTTGCGGCCCCGTGATAGTCGGTCGTATATCTCGTCGCCCGCCTCGCGGTACGGTTCGTCCCGCCCCGGTGGCGCCGAGGACGGAGGTGGCTCCAATGCATCTGGGCCAGAGATGTGGGATGTTGCGTGTTGGATTTCGTTCAAACTTGCCGTGCGGCCGATCCTGTCGGAGGAAGATTCCGCGGTGCTTGACGATGACGACGAAGAGCGTCGGCCCTCTGAAGGCGTTTCGTTGGCAGTCTTCATGATGGTCGCTGTCTCATAGGATCGGCACGACTTTTGGTAGAATCCTCGGCTTCTTTAAAACGATACCGCTTGTTGAATAGCCGAATCTTTTGCACATCTCACTCCGGAAAAGAAAGGTTTTGTCAACGATAGGGGTCATCACGCCTCGATGGACATGGAGAGGAAGCAAGTTCACCACCCTACAAGAGAGGATAAGCAGCCTCTTTTGACTAAACGACTACCCGCCCTCCATAATCTGTACCCCAGCACTTGATTTTTCCCTCCGCCTAACGTCCTCCGATCTTCATCAAATCCTTCTCCTTACATTGGTGTGTTTTGCCTGCGGGAACCCACTACCGCCTCCGCGCTATCTCCGGCGAGTGGATACCCCGACACCGGAACCTCGGAATCACCAGGATAATGAACCGGGATAATGAAGCAATTGATTGACGTTCTTTTCGACTGGATTAGGACTGCATGTATGTATTTGGCCCTACGATCTGGAGTAATTGTATGCGAACTGCGAGTTGATTAAAGGTGACGGAATAGTCCGAGCCGTCGGGGTGGAACTCGATTCCGAGGAGCTTCGGCGTCGGGGGCCGAGTTCCACCTTTTTTATCGGCCAATGGCTCTAAGTAGCCGGCCGACCAGATATCCGGTCAAGGGTGGTTATCCGTGAGGTATCCGTGAGGCCGACTTAGGAGCTTAGGTAGCAGAGAAGAGTCATTGAGTTACTAATCCATTATGTTTCTATCCACAACTGTAACTCTTTGGTCAGGTTCTAATAAATATGGCATGTTTAAACGCCAGACGCCTTGCCTATGCTCTGTAAATGCAACACAACACAATGCTATGCAATAATACCATGCCACAACGCCCACTTCTCCAGAATACAAAATACAGTCTTTCCATCACGGGTATCCATAGATCCAACCAACATGCGCTCGAACTCCACAATGCATTTGGTTCAAGCCAACAACTTGTGCACCCGTTCCTGAATGATCCTGTCCACGGGTTGCGAGTTCCGTTGGACTACGACATTTTCCCTGCCGCCAATGGCGACAATTCGTAGCCACTCAGGAGCTACCTCGGTTGCAATGAGCCGAATACAGGCAGTTCCCTCCTGGGTGGACATCGGCGTTCGGAGTGAGTCCTTGAGCTTCTCCAAGATACCGGCCATTGTGAATGCCTGACGGGGCAGAGACATCGGGTTCGAGAGACTAAGCATCGAGATCGTGGCAGCCACATCTGAGACTCGGTTGAGTGCTGCACGGCGCTGGAGCTCGGGGCCAGAGGGGGGGAGGGGCCCGTTGGCCTTGGCGAGTTGCTTCATGCGGAGCCGGTCGAGAAGGCTCATTTTAGTGCCGTCGGGGTTTAGAAGAGGATTGTTGGCGATCGCCGCCTGCTTGGCCTCCTTCTCCTGCTGTTTTGCGGCAATGCCGTTCTTGAGCTCTGACAGTGCCTGCTGTCCTTTGGCTAGCAGAGGGTTCGCCTTGGTATACGTCGTCATGTTTTTGATGGCAACCTGGGGGAGATCACTGAGCGAAAGGCTCCCGAGGGGAATATCAACATCGGTCATCTCATCGGTAGCCTTCTCTGTGCAGAGAGCCTGCAAGTTTTCCCCAAACTGCCTGTAAAGACGCTCTTCGTTGATGGGTGTGGCATCTTCGCGAGGGGCTAGTTCGACGCAGACTCTTCCTCGACCATAGTCGGAAACTATAAAGGGGGAGACTGTGTTGTGCTTGGTGGATGATTGGATGGCGATACATCTTCGAATGTCCTCGACTGTGACCTGTCGCTTTCCCCAGGAGCGAGAAATATGGGGACTCAGAGTGCGGATGTCAATTGGTACCGCGGTGCCGTTGTGAGCAAATTGAATCATGATAGTCTTGACAAACGCCCGGTGCAAATCGACCAGCTCGGCCAGATGAGGAGGAAGAGCATTTTCATCTCCATCCGCTTTGTTTAGTTTCTTGAAGACGCCATCGAGTTTAGTTTGAACCGTCTTGCCTTGCCGTCTCGTCTTGGAAATGATGGTTGATTCACTGGGCTTGTGGGCAGTAGTGGCTCTTGACGGCGTGGTCTTGGCTGTGCGCTTGCCTTTGATGATGGCTCGAACTGATGACGGAGTCGTAGACTGGGGTTCCTGACGGCGACAGGCACGTTTGGTGGGAGCACCCTCATCGTCGCTGCTGGGAGCGAAGGAGGTGGTTCGGGGTGCGACTCGGGGATGGGCGTCCTCCTTGACAGTGGCGGCCTTTCTCTTCCTCGTCGTAACCGTGGTTGTCGGGGCAGGCTCAACGGCAATCTTCTTGATGGCAGCATCAGGGAAGGCCTGGCCCTTGGATACACGTGCGAAGCTGTTGATGCGCTGGCTTGTCGCAGCCGTGGCGGCGTGGTTGCGCTTTGCCGGTCGAGGCATCTCGAGAATTTTCTCGGGTCGGGGTGGGACTAATCAGAGAAGGAAGCGAGCCGGTTGTAACTGTTGTTGCGATGAGAGACGGAGGCGGCTGTGCGTGCAATGCGGAAAGTGACGACTGAGGTTGAAGAGAGACAAGGAAATGGTGACCGAATGCGACAGTTGAGGGGAAGATGGAAATTGGAAAGTGGGAGAAAGGTGGAGGTTTGGCGTTGGAGGGGAGATGAGGTTGTCTTTCCAGGCGCGTTCTTGCGTGTAGGTAGCGCGTAAAGTAAACGGCACGACAAAAGAACGCGCACGAGCCTCCCCTCTAACGCGATAGTCCCAGAGCATCGCATTGGTGCGTTTGTACTCTGCGGCATGCATATAACAGGTCTATTCTACCACTACGTCGACCGACCCAGCATGTGGTTGAGCTGGGATGAGGAGACGTCCTTTCCCCCACACATGCTACATAATGCCATGTTATCAAGTGTGACTCCGCGGTTCGAGGAGTCGCTGATTAGGGGAACAATTGTCCTGTGACACAAGAAACCCTAAGTCTTGCTTGGCCGTGCGTGATGTGACACACCTGAAAGGCATCGTCTAGCGATGCTTGAGCCTTCCAATCGCGTCGTACCTCGGTTCGGTCGAACTCCACATTTCTTTTGAGTATTGCTATTCGCACCCGTTCAAAATGCTAATTGCCCACAAGTACACAGTTTTACACCTAATCTTAGTGCAAGAGAATGTACCCTACTATACGCCTGTCTTAAGGTATCTTATTCTGAAGAATTTCCAGTTTCTGCCCTAAAATAAATTAAAAGATAAAATTTAAAATATAAATTTTAGAAAATAAATACTAAGAATAAAGCTTATTTAATTTCTTAGGTTTACTTATGAATAGATATATTATTGAGACTTCCTGGTAAAATTAGTTGATATCCTTGAGTGTGCGGGTAGCAATGCTCTTTCTTTTTCACCAGGACTTCCGTCACAGGCCACGACAAAACCTAAGGGCTTCCAGTTTCCGTTAGTCTCGTTCCCGTCGCTTTTCGTTGCACCGGTCGTCCATTCATCTCCGGGGGCACGGCCTGCGATTAGGGTCTGATCGCTTGGGAGTTGGTTACACAAGACCCTAGCGGTAGCCACTCTCTGAGCTGCCCTCTCGAGTACCTTGGAAGTAAGTACTCCACAGACCAAAACTCACGTCACGGCAAGTTGCCTCGAATGTCAAGAGCTCACAAACCCATTTTACCTTTACCTGGGAAGAAAACTGTGACGAAGGATTTTGTCATAAGCACATGATATTGTAAAAACTTTGCCAGGTGTGATTTTACGAACTATCCGGGCGTAATGTCATCCCCGAGGATTGACCATCATGCTACCTAGTCCCCGAGAAGAGAAAGGAGAAAAAAACAAACAGAAAAAAGCAGAAAAGAAACAGCCATATTATTTTCTGTATCCCTTGTACCATACGCCCTCTCCCAAATGTGTGGCTGAGATGTTTGTGTAGTATGCTTTGTCAAGGTGCCCTTTCGCCCTGCATACTAGCCGTGCGCTTCCGTTATTGCCCCAGACTCCAGATAGGTCCAAGACGGACCCCCAATTTAAACTTCAGTTGTACAAGAAAAACGTGGACACAATCGTCGTCTTCCCAGCCAGCCCTAAACCTCTTGCAGGTTGCATGCGGCGGCGGGGTATGGTCAACGTTGTGCGACACCTCGTCGGGGAGACTCGCAGCTCAACGGCGAATAGACGTGGGCCAATGTTCGGGCCTGAAGCTGACAGGGCTAGGCGGGGGAGGCGCGGGGACAGCATATTCGTCCGCTTTGATGTGATGCCCTGGAGTCGAAGGACGGTTGTCCTTGGAGGCGAGAGTAGCGTTGATGCTGGTGTAAAGATCTTGCGAAGTGACCAACCGCATGTTTCTGGGAGATGGCGGGATTGCCAGAGGCGAAACTGCGTGAGGGGCGGGCATTGTGAAATTGGTGAAATTGGTGAAATTGGCGAATTTGAGCAGTGAGGAGCTGTGTTTGCTGTTGTGAGCCGACGAGTTCGACTGGGTAGGATAGAATGTCGTAATATACGTACGAAGACCAAGGGCTTGCGTAAACTGTGGGTAATGTATGGAGACTAGCCTGGTGGCGGTGTTCTGATGATGAAGCGTTGGGGACGGTAGTTGTTCGTAGAGGCAGGTGGGGAAGAAGAAGTCTAATAGGCGTCGCTTGTCGTCCGAGCCGAGTTGTTGGGGATGGATGTCGACCAAGTGGGAGAAGAAGGACTGGGTGGGGAGGAGGTTTGGGAGATGCAATAATGGCCCGATGGTTGGTGTGAGTAGGAGGGTGAGTCGGCAGTGGTAAGCGAGAGAAGGGAGAAGGGAAAAGATGAAGTCCACGACGAGGAAGAGTGCGGCACGGCCGGAGGGTATCAGAGCTCAAGGTAGGATCGAGGGAGAGGCAGGTGTGGAAAGTCCGGGGAAAGGGAAGGAAGGATGGACGGAGCGAAGGGGATGAAATAGCTTATTTATGAAAGGAAGGCAGGCAGGCAGTGACCGTGACAGTCTCAGTTAGAACCACTCATGGCTGGCTAGGGCAAACGACGACAATGGCGGCCGCGGAGACCACAACCCAGCCCAACCACGACCTGCCAAGGCCAATGACGGGGCGAGAGGCGACTTGCAAGGCACAAGGCACGAGAGCAAAACCTGGGGAACGGAACGGAAAGCCCCCTTCGCCCTGGTACCAGCAACGGAAGTACCGGCCTCGACCAGATACGTACTCGCACACTCCCGTAGGTACCTACCTAGGTACGTTGCACGCCGAGACTGGTGGTCTCCGTCCCATGCCAGCCGGATCCTTGTTCTGTTTGACTGCATTGGATCCCGGGCTCGGCAGGCGGGCCAGGGACGCATTGCATTTCCCAGCACGATACTGGGACGACGTGCGTACCTCGGACGCATACCCAGTGTCCCTGCTCTAAGGCTGTGTGGATGGTGTGGGCGCCAGCCAAGACAAGTTGATCCTACCTAGTGAATCCCAAGCACTACGGTCAACAGAAACGCCTCTGGGGTACCGACACTAGCCCCGATTAGAGCCAGGCCAATAACATCCTGTCCCTTGATATTGCGACCCCGATGAGGCGATGCCGAGGCGACATGATTGGAAGGGACACGGCCGCTGGTTGCTGTATCACTAACGTTGGGCAGAGATTATCCAGTCGGACGGAGTAGGACACCTCAGCTCAACTCCCGAAGGAAGCCTCGGGTTCTGACACGTCGTGAACGAGGCAGAGGCAAGGGGATGCTGATAGGAAAGGGGGGTGTGGAGTTGACCCGGTTCTGGCCTGCCCTGGCTTGGGGAAACGTGAAATGTGGTAGTCCGGAGACAACCAAGCCAAAGTTGGGACTAGGCAGCCCCAGGTTCGAAAGCCAGGCTAGACAGCCTACACGCAGTAGGCTAGGGGTGTGGGTTTAGGACTTGGCTTCTCTCCCAACGACGGACACGGAAAGCAACGACAGAGTGGATGAGGGTAAGTGGTGAGCGTTGAGAGACGAGGGCTGACGGCAACGAGACAAGCGAGCAATTGGGTGCACAAGAACAGGGACACGCACATTAGGCAGATTCAAGTCGGTCAGGCCGTCGAAATCCTGTATCACGCTCACACCCAAGCACACGTACTATGTACATCACATCCACAGGATAGTCGCAGGCACCGACGCCAGCAATCTCCCCCGGTGTGGTGCCGCCTTGAACAAGCAAGTATGAGGCAAGCAGCAACGCGCCGCGCCGCGCCGCACCGCAGAATGAGGAAACAAGCACCAGCACGCCAGAAAAAGAACTGAGGGCGTGGGGGGACAAGGATAAGGAGAGGGACCCAGAGAATTTGGTGGGTATGAAGCATGGGGTTGCTGGGCCATGGATGGCGACTTTCCTTCTGGAACATCACGTCTGCCAGGGCCCCCGTCACCCATCGGATCCATCATTCATCCTGCCCACTCGCCTGCTAGGCTAATGCCACCTCTTGTCGGCTGGAGACGAAAAAATCACCAGCTTTCTGAGGGTCCGGCTCCGCTAAACAATCAGACCTGTCTGAAGACGATAAGAAGCAAAGAAGGTGGCGAGCTCCGGCAGTCGCCTGTTGGTATAAGCTCTTGGGATTGATGGCCTGATGTCTAACTCATGTCCACCTCTCTCCCTCTGGAACGAGACCACCGGGACTGGTACATACTGCTGGGCTCTTATCTCTGGCTTTTCTTACGGCAATCAAACTCTTACGCTATACCGGCCCTGTCCAACACCTGCTTCTTTTGTCTAATTCGGGCTACGTTTCTCGTCTCGACTCTGACTCTGACGTGCGCGTGTCGGGGCCGATTAAGCCACGACTCGGGACGATGTAAGCTAAGCACATGGCACCCTCCAACTCCTTCATTAAGCTCTCGCCTTATTATGCGCCTCAACGATAATCCCGTCGGCCACCCACCTTTGCATCTGAAGTAGCATGCAGCTCGGCTGCTGCATACGCCCATCCAAACATTTCAGTACTTCAGGAGAGTGGAAAGAGACAGCGTCTCTGTTTGTCTGCTGTGCGCGCCCCTTGCATTGGCGCTTCCCTTGTGCACACCGATGTTGTGAAAAGCCCTAAGAATACGTGTGCTTCGCGTACACTAACCACCTTGGCGGCTCCTCCTGCCAAATCAGGGAGGCAGGGAAGGCTAGTGATGAAGGTGTGAGATGGTGATCAAGGCGTCCACGCTGCCGGAGAAGGGAAATTGATGCCGGGGCAGGGAAATGCGGGAGAGCAACTGTTTCGACCGAGTCACGCACTATGGAGTACTATTACGTCCAAGTTTCGAAAGGCCAAGGTGCCTAGCGGTGCTTGACTCGGTGCAGCCGTCCGTGGAGTTTCTTCCAGAAAGGCGAGATGAGGCCGGGGGGTTACAAAATTATGCCGGGGCTATCGATGCTGGGGCGGGATGTCCACCCACTGACCAACAAGCGGCTGGAAGGCCCGGATGAATGATTCCCAAAGGGGATCCTTCTAGCAGTGTACCAAGCAGTCCCAGGTCCAGGGCGCTTTTGGTAACCGAAGGTCAGCAACCGAAAGTTCAAGCGGCTACGGCCAAAACATCGCACAACACAGCACCAGCACACACATCAAACCACAGGGGAGGGATGCCGTATGCTATTTCCCGCCGAAAGCCGGGCCACAGGGGAGTGAAGTGGATGAAAAGAAAACGCACGTACTTTGGACGAGACGGCACCCGCGGGTACAAGCCGGCTTTGTACTTCGTATCAAGTACACTTACAGTTTTCGTTTCTTTTGTTTGTGACAATGGCACTGGTAACGACGGGTGTGATTGTTGCGGTGTTGGCTGTGTGGAATGGACCAAGCCTACGAATAGAGCAACGACTAATCGTCTTACGGACGTGACGTCTGGCTTTGTTATCCTGAGCATGGTAGTGGTCGCGATGCCGACCCTGCCTACCAATCCGAGCATTCATCACCTCCAGCCGCAGCGTCAGCTTCCGCCAACTCCGTGTCATTCGTCTTTCCCGACATACCAGCCGCACTCTCCCCTAGGTCCAGGTAATGGCGACCAGCGGACGGTGACGATAGGAGAAGCAAGCAAGCAGCAAGGGGACGGATCGCTCTGGTTGGCACGCAACCCGTCTCACCGTTTCTTTCTTTTTCCTCGCCATCATCACGCCCCCTGTTTCTGATTTCCTCGCTCTGCCACCCCCGCACAGCTCATTCCAAGTGCCTGCCCGGCATCCCGCCCTTCCCCGGTGCCAGATCAGAGACGAGGCGTCGCGGGCACAGGCGTCAGGGCCTTTCTGGCGCCTTCGGTCAGGGACTTTTCCCGGCTGCTGCCCATGTTCTAACCTGCTGTGGGGGGAGTGTAGCTTGCCCGGCCCCTACCGGGCGTAGCTGAGTAGCACCGGAGAGCTGCAGAGTGAGACCCGGAAGATGATTTTGTGTGGGGAATTCTTCGTTTTTGCGGAGAATGGGACGGGGGTGAACGCCATGTCCACGTTCCTGGATTTCACTACCCGATAACACTGCCGTTGCCCCTGGACGCCTGGAGGATGCCCTGCTCTATTAGCCGACTGATGCAAGAGAGCTCGGGAGTCTGTACGACATGAAGAAGAAGCACAGCTGATGGCCTGGAATCATACCATACAGTGTGCGGAGGGGGCAGAGACTATCGACCAGAGCATAGGGGCGACGTGACGAGTCATTCGTCAATTCCGCGCATAGCTCAGGTGTCAGCATCCTCAGTGAAGAACGGATGGAGCCCATGGCTGGCTGGGCTGAGCTGAGCTGAGCTGGATTGGGCTGGACGAGGCGAGTGTCGCGTGGGGACGCCAACAAAAAGGAACGCACCTTATTCTACTGCAAGTTATCTTCACTAGCTCGCCTTCATGCCGGCAAGCAAGGGTAAAACTAGGTGAGACCTGCGTAAGGTCCTTTGGCTCTGCCTCTTGCCAGGGAGCTAACAACTTCAACCAAAGTATCAGCCCGATGCATGACTCAGGAGAATAAGCAAACAAGCAAACACAAACGCAATTAATAGGAAGCCATTCCGGATCGAAATACAGCACACCATATGAATCATTGGGCCACTCTCAGGAAGTGGGCGCATCAAACATATTTGCTGCCGTATCTCCTGCATAGCCCAATATTGGCCGCAGCAAGCCGACCGACTCAGTCCAGTCTCCGAGGCAGGTCTTGGTGGCCATTCTCATGTAGCTATACCAAAAAATGCCCGACTATCAGCATGGCCAGCCGACTGAAGGGTGCCTGGCGCTGCTAGGATACTAAGGCGTTACCCGCAGAGCTGTTGCCACGTTCCAATTCTCGGGCGAGCGGTGGTGTTGTTGACAGGTTTTACAGCAGGTATCCGGAGCGGTGTGCGCGTGTCTTGACAAAGGACAGTGATCTCGGAGAATGAAGTCCTCAACTTTATATCTTGCCACGCCACGGGATGGAGGGTATTCCCATATTGGGCCATATCCCGCCGGACTTTGTTCTGCTGACCGCCATTGATCCGGACATGTTAATCGCCCCGGTGGTCCAACCATCACGATACCAGCTTGCTCCCCAAGTGTCAACGACAAGACAGATCGATTCGCACTCCCTACACTCCTCAGACAGACCCCAAAATACACATCAATGCCACACGTCCGCATCGCCGGCCTCCGGTCGTCCCGGACCAAAACCAGGTCTGAAGTACACACGTCCCTCTCGGCGTTTCCTTTGGGGCCGGGATGCGATGCGATCGAGCCTCTCATTCCTCCCCCACAAAACACGCAAGACATGACATCAGCGCCCGGGACCTGGTCTCCCGCATTACATTGCTGACCGAGAGGGGCGTAATGCTTGGTATATGCAAGCTCTCTGCTATGGATCCGCTGTGCCACCGGGGACTCTTCCGGGCTTCGTTGCTCCACTTGGTGAACGGGACTGTTTTACGTATGAAGACACGGTCTTTTATACCAAGTTTAGAGCCGTTGCTGGGACGTGCTTTGGTATGTGGCTCGAATGTTTATGACACGCTTTCTTCTCATGCAACGACACACCGACCGGGGACAAAATCAAAGCATTCAAATCAGTCATGTCATCATTTGACCCGGGCGGGTTGGTATCTGAATCCGAGATATAGTAACTACGCAAATTCGGTGTATCTTGGTTCACCGCCAACGATTACGCCCAGCGCTTGCCCGTCGCCCTGTCGTCCTTTCCATTCATCCCTTGGAGGCACTCGCCGCAACAGCGCCCCCTGATGGCGCGACCTTGGTCTTCTTTCTCGTGGGCTGGTAAACGTCGTTGAAGTTCATGGCCACACCCAAGAAACGCATATCCACGTCCGGTTGGTACGCCAAGTCGCCCAATAGAATTTGGAGCCTTTGGCGGAACCACGAGCCGAGCTGCCGTAGCCGCTCTTGCAGCACGGGAAACTCGGACGCCACCTGGTCGGCGGGCGGAATGGCGGCGTCGTCGTCGTGCCGTGTCGTGCTACGGACGTCGGCCTCTTGGCGCCGCGTAAAGTCCGACACGCTCCAGCTGTACAATCCATCGACCGATTCCCGGTACCTGAGCATCAGCCGCAGGATCTCGCCGAGCTGGACCATGTAAGAGGTGCGATCATCTTGCTTGGCGCCGAGGAGGCCCTTGTGCGTGATATCGTTGAGATAACGAGTGTGAGCCTTGATGAGATCGTCCAGCGTGCAGTCCTCCTTTTGGATCCGTTTCTGGAGCTCACCCCAAGACGACTCGATGACTTCGAAAAGGATGTAGTACTGCAGTTGGCCCACAAAGTGTATCATCTCGGCCAGCACTCCGCGGGTCGATTTCCACGTCTGGGCCACCGCAGGGTCGGAGTTCTGCAACACGCCGCGGGCACCCGTCATGCACTTGCGCCAAGTAGACAAGACGGCAAACTCAACACGCTTGATACGCCATAGGAAGTTGAAAACCTTTAGGTACTGCCTGTTGCCCCATTCCGTGACCACGACATCGACGGGGGCGTCAATCTTGTACTCGAGCGTGAAGCAGTCCCAGCCGATATCGCCGTGGGAGAGCTGCAGCATGCGCGCATCCAACCGTCGAAGGACCTCTGGGGAATCATACTGGGCATTGGATCCCCGGATTGCGTGCTCTAGCTGTGCTGTCAGGGTGTGCCTGTACTGCGCGCCTGCTGGACGATCCAGGTTGGCGGCGAGTGATTCCATCAACAGAGCGATGAAGTCGCCCTGGCCAAGAAGGATGTAATTCTTCAATGCCTGCAGATGCTCAAACAGGTGGAACTTGTTTGCCATCAGCTCAATGAGACGCTTCATGGTAGTCTTGTAAGCTTCATCGATCCATGTCTCTAGCGTGGCCGTATCGCCATACGTCAACTCCTTGGATGCAGCTTTCGAGTAGTCTTCCACCCAGAGCGAGTCGCCGCAGCTATGTCGGATAAAGTTCAACGACTTGCCAATCAGGAAGACCTTTTGGGCAAAGTCCTGGGTGATGATGCTGGGTATCATGTCCTTGTCAATCTCAAACTTGTCTTCCCAGACGTTGCCCTTGGAGGAATCTTTGCTCGGTGCCTTCTCTCTTACAAAGAATTCCTCGTAAGGATCCGAGAGTTCACCGTCGTAGATCCAGTGTCGCAGAATATCGTAGAATGGTCTTGTGAAGCTCGCGAGTAGTCTTTCGGCAAAGGCAGCCACTACAGGATCTCCGTGTGATGAGGAGAAACTGTGTATCAAGGATACGAGTTGTCCACCCTTCTTCTTCTCAGACTCTTCCGCAATAAGACTCATCAACCTCAGTCCCATTGTCGCCTCTCGCGTCCATACCACACACCTTTTCAAGGTGACGCCTGCCTTTCCAATACCCGCACGCGGTGCGTCCTCGTCAAGCGACGCCAAGGCCCTGCGTATTTGACCTTCCAAGGTGGCGATCAAGGTAAGATAGGATCGTAACTCGGCACCGATGGCAGCGCGTAGGCTCTGGGCTAGTAGTCCCTTGGCGGGGCTCTTGCAGAATTCATCCAGACCACGGAAAAGCAACGAGGGCTCTGCCAAGGTGTGGAGAAGAGAAACGAGCGGTAAGGGAAGAGTAGGGGGGAGTTTTAGGGTATATTGTTTCGCAAAGGGTAATGTTGTGGAGGAAAGTCCTTGGAGGGTGAACGGGAGGTCTCGGAGGATGACTGATTCTGGCGGATCGATCTCCGAGTAGTTGTTCGCCAAGAGTGTTGACTTCAAGGAAACGTCTCTTTTGGGGGCTTCAGGCCGCGGTTCTCCATCCTCATCAACCTGCTTCCCCTCCTTGACCTTGGGTGGAAGACTCTTCAGGCCTTCGGGCTGGAATGCCTCCTTGAACTGGTCCTCCTCATGTTTGGTTGTTTTTGATGACCGTTCTCGACCTTGCCGTTTGATCACGTCCCGACTGATTGCGTCTCGGTAGTTAGGCGCCGATGGCTTCACAGGGCTAAGCGGGAGGGGCTCATTTGGGTCCGGGGAGTCGGCAAGCTGGTAGAGTAGGTAGAGGATTGCCCACTTGTGCTCGAGGACGGGTAAGGATAGGAGTCTGGAGTAGAGATTCGAGAATCGGAGGGCCTGGCTCGGGTTGCTTTGAATGAGCTTCCGCTTTATGAGGTCGGAGGCATGGTTGACGTCGGACGAAATGGCGGGGGAGGATGGGCTGGGACTCGATCAGCAAGTGCCCGGGCGAGGCGAGGCGAGGCGGAGCGAGGGAGGAGCAGGAGTAGCAAATGCAGCAACTTACCTGTCTAAAATAGACTTGACAAGTTCGAAGCAGGTGTCGTGGCGCTCTTGTGCGGCTTCTTCGCTATCGTTGGGATCGCTAGGGACGATGTGGGTTATCAAGCTGTCGATAGCATTGGTGATGCGGTCAGGAGCCATGGCGGCATTGTCGCAAGCGACCAGCGATTGCGAGGGGCGCGGGGGCAGGTCGTAGTTTCCGATTCACTCCAGCAGCGAAGGCTGCACTTAATCCCGAGACCTGGCCAGGTTGAGGCAGCGAGCGAGAGTGTCGATGTTTGTGATATTGTGTCGACTCGGGAGAGACGCGCCAGACGCGACAGGTGGGAGCTGGTAGTGGTGGTGGGATAGGGCGGTGCCACATTGGGCAGGTAGCGGGAACCTTGGTGACCAGCTTGCGGCGGTGCGCCCCAAAGTAGAGGCTACCTTGGCCGTGCGCTGTCCTCGGTGTCCGTAGGCTTCGCGGCAAAATTTCCGACGACACTTCATCTGTCGACGTATTTCCATCATACCGTCAACCGCGGACCAGCTCGCCATCACACCGCTTGCCTCACAATGCCTATTTCATCGGGCTGACTCCGAATCCGTGATCGCACCACCACCGCCGTTCGTTTCAATCAACTCATGCGTCTTTTCTCCGCGTCGCGCCGCGCTACACTGCCGCACGCGACGCCGTCGCTGATTCCCCCCGTATCAAGATGCCCGACATCGACCCCGCGGCTCTGCTGAGCCGCTCATCAGTCAGCCTCTCGACTCCTATTCTATCAACAAAGACCCTCGCGGGCTCGACTCCTGGCGCGCCCAAAGTCCCCAAGTCAAGCCAAATTATCCCCGCCCGAATTGACCTCGAGCCGCTGTACGCCGCGCTCAAAGCCGCCATCGGTCCGGAACAATGGGTGGTCTATAAGGAGGCAACCACCGAGTTCTTGATCGGTAGGCATCGCGCGCATGCCGTCCCGAGGTGCGCCTGCTAACCTGTGCGACAGGCCGTCTGAACCAGACCGAGTACTCGGAGCGTATCGATCCCATCCTCGCCGGACCCGGGGACAAGGACCATCTTCACAACAACCTCACCGCCGCCATATATGGAAATGTCACCCGCGAGATGCCTGACCAGGGCCTGGCGCCCTGGGTCAGTGCAAACGATAAACCCGCAGCGACTGCAGGAAGCAAACCGATATCAGGTGATGCCGCTGAGCGCAGGTTGAAGGGAGATGTGATGCAGCTACCCGCGCGGGACCGGAGACGTGTCAAGGATCTGGCCCACAATGAGGTTTGTGCCCTCCGACCGTTGTTTTCATCAATACTAACATGCTGCAAAGTGGGATCCGCACGAGAGTATATCAAATGTGTTTACAGAGACGCATCGCAAGCCATCAGTCGTTGCAGACGCGCCTCCAAGTGCCGTGGGAGGGATTAACAATATGAGTAAGGTGCATGCTAACCTACTTCTAATCTATCTCTAATAAATCAATAGACTTCGACCTAGAGATTCGAAAGCGATTCGCCCAACCACTGGCTATCGAGTCAGGCGAGTTTCCCGACATCGGTATGATAAGTGGTCGAATGCTGCCATTCTGCTACGAAGCCGGACTTGTCAGTGGCCACACGGCAGAAGCTCCACAGTTCTTGTCGGTTGCCGTGGAGACTTTTATAAAGGAAATCTTGACGCAAGTGTTTAGTCGTACACGGAGTAATGGCCCTGGCGACTCCGGTAGCGCAGGGTTCGGGATTGGAACAACTTGGATTCAAACCAACAAGTACCGACAGCAACTCGGATATGAAGAGGATGCTGCCCAGCGTGGTGAGATTGCCCGCGACAAGAGCGGCTTCCTCCCGATCGAGTCCAAGGCTGCTAGTGAGCGTGGGCCTTTGGGGATGTCAGATTTGCGCCTCTCCTTGGAGATGGCGGATACCGGAATGGCCCAATTCCCTGTTCTTATGACCCAGGTGCTATACGGGTATCGGGAGGGCGAGTTGGAGAACTGGGACGACTATACTTGGGTCCACGATTACGAGCCCACAGGGCGAGTTGAAGAGATTATCCCTGTTGGAATAAATGGCGGCAAAAGCCACGACTTGGTCAACGGACACGTGGATGCTATGGATATTGACAACGATATGTGGTGGGAGGGCGCAGAAAGCGAAGACATGGACATGCTGGACGGTGTTCTAGACTCGTGCTTCGCGGTAGGGTCCTAGGAGAACTCGGCGAGAGCCTATCGCCCCGCATAACACCAAAGGCAAAGACATGACAACAGGATTACGGGAAGCGAACGGCGAGGGCAGGAGCAAGGAGCCGGCGTTTGACAGGCACCTAGGCCGCGTTGCCGGCGTGGAATTTTCGGAGATCGAATGCATTTGTGTCGGCAAGCATCATTTGGCGCAAGGGGTTCGGCATTTTTTTTTATCATTTTCCGTCAAGGTTTCCGGTTGATTAATTTCTTTTTTCGTCACTGTACTCTATGGTCGCTAGGAGGGGTCTGAGCGGCGTCTTGGATGAGGGACGAGCAGCAGGAGGATCGAAGGATTGGGGCTTCGTGTACTTTATCATGCCAGGAACGATACCCGAGAGGCTCGTAAGGAGCAACTCCGTACAACCGTAGGTGGAGGCCAAGGGGATGGAGGTTAGGTACTTGAATAATTGTTGATGCAAGAGAATTCGGGTGACGGGAGTAATGCGGTTTGTGTGACACTGCAGCTTGACTACTGCACATGACGACGGATCTAGAATCCAGGGGACGGGTAAGTGCAGGTGGAGGACAGGTTTGTCCATGACGGCGGATGGCTACGGGGTTTGTGATTGCCGTGCAAAACAGACAGCGGAAGTGACAGCACTGGGAGAGTCTCAGGGGCAACAGGATGGTGAATGTTGTGAATGTAGGTGCACATCTGCGCGGAGTCGGGGCTCGAAGGCGTGAGGCTAAAGGAAACAGTGACGAGTTGCCTGGCCATACAGGGCGTCGCTGGCAGCCACTAGACGTCACTGGGCTGGCGTTCCAGCAGCCGGGCGGGGGGTAGCTTAGGGGAGCTCGCGTAGGGAGGTACCTAGCTGTAACCTAGGGCTGGGGACGGAGCTCGCATGGCGGCTGGGGCACCCTAGAGCTCGAGCGGCGCGGAGACTGCAAGCAGCCTGCGATGCAAAGGCAGCACTGGCAGACCAACCCAAGGTAGAGAAGGCAGCAGCAGCAAATAGGAGAAGATGACGGGAAGCTCAGCACACGCACAGCACGCGGCGGCACCGCTAAGCCAGCAGGCAGACAGCTGGAGCCGGCGGCCTGGCACCTAAGATCTGGCGGCGCGTCCCCAAGGGCGAACGCCGGGACGCACTGATCACGATGCGGCCTGGCCCCTGTACCCATGGCCGCCTTGAGCTTCGGGAAAAAAAGGTGGCGACAGGCTAACGATGGGCCAGCACATACCTTATTGGGCTGGGCTGGCTTTGCGCCTTTGGCTTATTCCGGCGGGCGCACGGAGGACGTGGACAGGAAACGCATAAGGGGGGGTTTGGCGAGTCCCGTTCCGGTAGAGGCCCAGGCTGGGCGACGAGATGCTGGGCGGCTAAGTCGATGCTGGGCGGCGAGATGCAGGCCCAACTTGCAAGTGCCGATAATAGCGTTGCGTGAAATCCAAGCAGCGTCGATGGCACGCCTCTGGGGCTGCACCGCATCGCTGCGGATGTGCGTCTGGAAGAAACGCACTGATCGGCTGTGGGCCCGTGCGCGGCGTTCTAGAAAGCTTCCCCGGCGGCACCTCTGGAACTCTTTCACCTCTCCTCTCCTCTTCCCCCACTCTGCTCCCATTCCGTCCCTCGTCCCCTCGTCTCGTCCCCTCGTCTCGTCCCGCCCGCGCCTTTCAGCTTTCGGGCCTGCTGCTCTTCTTCTTCTCTTCCTTTTCTTCTACTACTTCTTCTTCTATCTCCCATCCCATCCCTTTGCAACCCCGGGGTCTTTCCAGCGTCTCCCTGGCTCCCCCTCCGCAGACCGAGTCGACGGCTTGCTGACCCAGCATCCACCCATCTATCCCTCCATCCATCTACTTTTCCCCTCCTCCCTCGCCTCTCCCATCTCACCCCTTCGCCCTCGCTCGCCGCCGAGGCTGCCCTGGTCTGTTCGGCCTGGCCTGACCGTCTGATCCGTGTCCGCGCTACTGCCCTCTTGGACGCTCTAAGACCTCACCGGGAATACGGTCATCGGTCAATCCGACTCGCAGGGTCACCTTTGCCAGGATCCCAAGTGAGTCAACCCTGTCCGCAGCTGCCCTGTGCTGGGTGCTACCGGCGCCCATTCCCTCCCGTCCACCACCACGTCTCCAACGACGCAAGCACTCAAACGCGTCTTCCGGATGCCCTGTCCAAGGGCGTCCATATCCCATATCCCATATCCCATACCCCCAGACGACAAACACCGTCTTCGATAGCTCGTCGACTGTCCGCTTGTCCATCTTGCCACAACGTCACGCCTCCGTTACGCCTGTCACACTCCCCTCCATGCTCCCTCCCATCGCCTGCCATACCTTGTCTATCTGGCGGGGCCCCGCCCACGCCACATCATGCCCAAGCGCGGATTGCAGCCCGTTTCCCGCTTCACTTTCCTTTGGCCAACGCCTCCCCGGTTCAGCTTTGGCCAGGCACCTCCACAGCTCCTTTCCCGCTTGATGCCTCCTTTGTCTTCTTCAATTGCATTTGATTTCCGCACAAGCGTCTAATCACGGTCTTTACTAGTCTTGGGCCAGCTCGCCGGTCTTCAACTTCCGCATTAAAGGCGCCTAGGCAGCTGTATGTCAAACTCCCATCGTCTGCATCTACATGTTACTCACCCTTCCCGCCCGTCTTTCCACTTCCTTCTTCCCCTCCAACAAATTTCACCCCACCTGCACTTTCCCAGACATCTTCCACATCTTCCCCATGACACTGGTGCAACATGTCTCTACCTGAAGCTTACCAGAGCGAGATCCAGGCGCTCAATCAACAGGTCCTCCAGGCTCGCCCCCCCGATATCCTCCAATTTTGTGCCGACTACTTCGCAAACCGACTCGCGAACCAACGGGCCGCGTCTCATGCCACTGCCGGCAATACCTATCCAAATAGCAACCCCTCTAGCCCTCCGACTTGGAACACCATGGCCGGTCCATTCACGAGTCCCTTTGGGGATAATAGCAACCCTTTCGGTAGCAACGCCGCAGCCAACAACTTGATGCACCGCGTCATTGAGGAGGAAGAGAACGATACCATCGCTTCTCCCACGGACAGACACTTTGGCAACGGCCCCGTGTCCATGTTCTCTGGCCCTTTTGGTGGCGACGCATCCTCCGACGTCCCTCTCACCTCCAGGAGCCCACCGAACCCAGATAGCTACCCAGCTCAGTACAACTTTGCCCGTCGAACTTCAGTGTCGGCAGAGTCCCTCAAACCCACTGCCGACAGTTCTGATAACTGGACCCCCCCATATCATGAGAAGTCCGCGGAGCAGATAGAGCGGCTCACGCGCGCCATTGAGGGCAACTTTTTGTTCAGCCATCTCGAGGATGAACAGAGCGCCCAAATCTTGGGCGCCTTGGTCGAGAAGCCGATACCTGCCAAGGGAATCAAGGTACGTCACTCTCTCGCATAACATGTAAGTGGTGGTACTGACAGGGATCTTTAGGTAATCAGCCAAGGAGATGCTGGCGACTACTTTTACGTCGTGGAGAAGGGTTCATTTGACGTACATGTCAACCCGAGTGGAGCCCTCCAACCCGGTGCCGACGGCATGGGAGACAAGGTTGGCGATATCCAGGCCGGCGGTTCTTTCGGCGAGCTAGCGCTCATGTACAATGCCCCGCGAGCCGCCACCGTCGTCTCGGCCGAAGCTGGGTGTACCGTGTGGGCTCTCGATCGTCTGACCTTCCGGCGCATCTTGATGGAATCGACGTTTGCTCGCAGACGGATGTACGAGAGTTTCCTTGAGGAGGTCCCTATCCTCAAGACCATCACACCCTACGAGCGTTCCAAGATTGCCGACGCATTGGAGACGAAGAAATTTGCCCCGGGAGAGCTCATCATCAAGGAGGGCGATCCAGGACATGCATTCTACCTCCTATCGAGTGGCGAGGCAGACGCCTACAAGGGCGACCCGTCGAACAAGGTGCTCCACTACAGCAAGGGAGACTACTTTGGCGAGTTGGCTCTGCTGAATGACGCGCCGCGAGCCGCTAGCGTCGTAGCCGCGTCGGATGTAAAGGTGGCCAGCCTAGGCAAGAACGCATTCCAGCGGTTGCTGGGACCCGTGGAGGGAATCATGCGACGGACCAAGTACGAGGGTGTCAAGTCGGGCGTCGAGGAGATGGACCCCCTGCATACGGGCTAGACTGGATAAAACAGGTAGGGTTACATGGTACAAAGTTGGAGACAGTGAGGCAAAGCGGTGGCCGAGGTTTACAATCAGATGAAGACGGATAATGAAGGTTTGGGTGGATAGGCCACGTCCACAATCTCGTGCTGCTGTTGTGTGTTGGTGTCTTTTATGCTTGTCGGGACCGGCAACAACTGGAGGAAAGGCTTGTGTCGGCGTTTAAGAGGTTCTACTCCCACCTTCGCTTCCTATGATAACATGGCTAGTGATCAGATACCTCGGTTGATATTGTCATTATCATTCACATTGGCCAGTCTGCTGCTGCTGCTATTTCCACCGTGACGATGTGAGGTAGCTGTGCTGCAGGCTACAGATTGTATCACGGCCAGTGAAGCAGTGAAGTGATTTATGGTACTTTTTCCCTTTGTTTTTCATTATTCTAGCGTCTAGTTATAGTACTCGCCATAAAAGAAACCTCCATGGTATCAATACGCCCATCTCGATAAGATGCTCTCAAGTTTCGTGTGCATTTCCGCACTGCAGATCCCGCACCTAGTTCCTCTATCACTCTACTTGGGCGTCTGTGTCTTTACTGTCCCTGCTGGACACCCTCGGCCGCCTTGCGCGCCAGCTCCTCACGGATCCTGCTCCGCAGTTCCTCAACCGCCACCTCAGTCTCGAGGACGCGGCCTACGCCGGCGCGCCAGGTCTCGTCGAGCGTCGTGACCTCGGCAGCGACGGCGTCCTGGCGGTTGCGGCGCTCCAGGTTGACCAGGTCGACCTCGCGCTTGGTGGCGGCCAGGTCTCGCTCGAGGCTCTGCAGCTCCGCCTCGAGCCCATGGTTACCCAGCAGCCAAGCGTTCTTGCCCCAGCGGTCCAGCAGGGCCAGGTTGGTGAGGCGCGCCGCGAGGTAGCTGTGGGCGACGGCGGCGGCGGGCAGGGCGGTCGCCGGCGGGGCGGAGTCGGAGGGCGCCTCGTAGCGGGCGAGGTCGAGGGGCGTTTGCGGCGCCGAGGCGGCGATGCGGGCCAGCTCGGCCTGGATCGCGGGGGAGAAGGACGGCTCGGCGGAGGCGGCGGGCGGTGCTTGCGCGGAGGAGGATGCCTCGGCGGCGATGAGGGCGCGGGCCGCGGAGAGGGCGTCGGGGGTGGGCTCCGGGTCGATGTCTGGACGGCGGCTGTTAGTAGGTTGGAGCGGTGGGCGGACGGCATCAGAACGCACAAGGGAGGGATTCGTGGTAGGCTGGTTGGACGGCCATGGCTGCGGCTGCGGTGGTGATGCTGTGAATAAAGGACGTGGTGTTTTGGTGATGCGGCTCCCCCGTCTTTCGCTCCTCGTTGCAGGACGGGTTCTCCGGGCGCAGAGTTGCCACTGTGCAGGTTAAGAGTTCCGTGCTATCTCGGCACGTTGGATATCGTCGCAATTGCTTCCTCGTCTTTGTCGTCGCTGGTCGCTACTCCGCCGGTTTGCTTTTCCACAGCCTCGAGTCCCCGGGGGAAATTTTACCAGTACGTCCAGCGGCTGGGCGCACGGGCCACACGCAGCCTCACGTCCCCAATCTCAGCCTGGCCCCAACCGGCGGGGGGCGTGTCGGTGGCCCCCAACCCCTGTAACCCTTTGGCGTGTTCAGTGGGTGCAGCGGTCGCTTCTCGCCCCCCCACCCTCCCGCTGCAGGACACACCTACGACCCCCGGCGCGCGCGTGTTGTGCCGTCTGGGGGCGGAGGAGGTCCACTGCGATAGCGATAAGATGGGTTGAACGCCGACGACGGGCGTGTCGGTGTCGCTGTGTAAGTGCGCGCTCTGGCTGAGGGATGGAACAGAAACACGACCACCAGCGTCAATTGCATGCCATTCACCGTCCAATTCCCACGAGCCTGCAATTGCCCCGCGACACCCGAGCTCCACCGCGAGGCAAGAGGTTGTCCCCGTGCGTCATCCGTCGGAGTACCCCCCGCGTACAATCCAGCACAGCACGACGTGGAGGCGAGAGGGGAAGAGGGGGGCGGGCGCCGTCGGTTCCAGCATGTCACTCATGGACTTGTAAGTTACTTAGTGCTACGGCTGTACTTGGTGCTACGGGGAATCCTATCTGGCCTACGAAGGGGCGAGGTGGTGACGGGCGAGTGATCGACGCCCGTAGTCCTGCACGCTGGAGCGGGGTATCATCTGCCCATTGTGAGGCGCCTCCTCCGCGTCTCTTCTCCGTTTGGAGTGTATGCAGGTGTAGGGATTTCTCGCTCTATTACGTGTTGGCTTTCTAGAACCGAACAGCCCCGGTGGCATTTCGGATTGGATCGAGATGAGCGATTTGAGACTGCCTCCGCTGCGGCTTGTTGTTGATGGATGCGAACGCTGGTGTCTGGCTATCGTGAGCGAGCGAGCGAGTCAGTCGACAAGATCCTCGACATTAGTACCAGATAGATTATCTACCGCCTTTAGTCACCCCTCAATCCAGGCACCGCACGATCCGGAACAGACACAATGAAGACAAGTGTGGTACAAGTGGATGATCGATTTCGACTCTCTGGATTCCGCTATCGGAATCTCTAGTAGTCTACTACCCCATCCATCAAATAGTAAAGCTAGTTATTGATACAGTAATACATCTCCTCCCGCCAGGACACCGTGTCCGGCGAGCGTGGTGATAAACCGTCATCCACTTCGAGATCTGCAAATAGTCACGAGGGTCCGTCAACTCCGCCCATATCCCATCCGATGACCCTGCCGGCTGGCCCAGAATGTTCTCATCCCTCTCCAAAAAAAGTTATGTTGTGTTTGTGTGTTTCCCATTTCATATCATTCCAGCTCGTTTCATGGCGTCAAAAATAAACTCCCCGCCGAGCAAGCCAAAGCAAACGAACCTCAGTACAGTTGGACCCCCAATAATGTCATTGCCGACTCCGGCAATGAGCATATGACCGCTGATCTGATGACAACGATTCATATTAAGTCATCTAAGTCGATGAGCGGCCGCTCTCGGACGAGTCGGTCTTGGAGAGGTCAATGTCCTCCTCGTCTTCCTGGGGGCCGTGAACGGACTCCTCGAAGACAGGTTCCTGCTCATTGACCTCAAACTTTGTCTTGAAGTCGGTGATGTGGTGAGAGAAGTTGCTGCTGTTGGAGCGGCGGCGGGCATTGGTGAAGCGGAATTCATCTTCCACAACATCATCGCCAAAGGATCCCCTGTTACGCTGTGTTAGCCACTGGTTTGTAGTCACTCGAAGTGTAGAGCACATACCAATTGCCTCGGCCAGATCCGTCCTTCTTGATCTTCTTGGGGTCGGTGTCCGCGTGACCGTGCTTGGCAAAGAAACGAGGAAGATGCTCAGAGGGAGGGGCACTGCCATCGGCAAGACCCTTGTGGTCACGGTCGTTGGCCTTGTGAGAGCGAGTCACTGGAGAGGACGCATATTAGCATTCAGGTCAACAAGAATGGTGATAGAGCAAGTCTAACTGATTGAGAGAGTGCGGAGATGGAAGTGATGGTGGTGTTGATGTTGAGATTGATGGAATGCAGATAATGAAAGATGGAGATGGGGAGATGATGATGAGAATGGATTGAAGTGATGAGGGGCCGGTTGGCTTTTAAATGGAGGCCGGCCGAACGTCACCAGACGGAAACCGCCCAGTGAGCGAGCGGTGCGGGGCACTGGGGCGTAACGACGAGTGCCTCCACTCAGAAGGGGCGAGGGTGGGAGAAACAGAAGCAAAACTTACTTTTGGTGGAGGGGGTGTGGTTTGGAGTGTGGTGTGTTTGGGAGCGTTTGGTGTTTGGTAGTAGTCAGGGAGTAGTTGTGCGGTACACTCAGTACGTATCTGTCGATGAAAGGTACAAGCTTGTGGTTGATCGAGGTGGGCAGATGTGGTGTAGAGAGCTGCTGATGGGACGAGCTGTGAGTGTGTATGCAGGCGTCCTTTGTTCAGCGGTCGGTTTCCAACGGGGAGCGGCAGCGGTGTTGCACGGGACGGGCTCAGGTCAAGTCAATTCCGGGATGGCGTTGGAGGGCGGGAGGCGTAAGGCAGGTTGAGAGGGGTTGGTTGATGTTGGATTGGGTCGATTCGTGAGAGTTGGATATTTGAGTGTCTGAGTGCCTGAGTGTGAACTGGGTGAACAGTGTACAGTGAGGATGGAATGAGGAAACCCAATGCATGTCTGAGGAAGGGGAGCTTTATATGTCACCGGGTCACGCGAGTGTTGCTGGACGATGGCATCACCTTGCACCCAATCAGGTCATGGCCTCCTCAACAAGCGACGCATCGAGTGCCGGACCCCGGAGGCGGAAGGAACGAGAGCGCGATGCCGCCTGCACCTGCACCTGCACCGGTGCATTCACCTGCGAATACGGAAGGCACTGGGGCAAACGGGCTCCGCTGGAGGAGTCATCGGGTCGATTCGATTGTGCATGCTGCTCACTTGTCCAGGCTCCATTGGCATCCAGCACGGTATCCATCGTCACAATCTTGCCATGATCGGGGCTCCATCTCTCTCCACGCCGTCTCGGACTCACAGCCTAATTGCAGAAGGCAGTTCCCTACAGGCTACATGCTACAAGTAGTACAGGCCACCGCTGCATGCTGCTGCTGCTCCTGTTGCTGTTCTAAAGGTCGGGTGGGGCGCCATGTCCGGGTCTCGGTCGGGGGCGGGGCTTCTACGGTCCCACAGTTCCACAGTTCCACTCACTCCACTCCTCTCCACTTTGCACTGTCCGCTCCACTCTGCATGTCCCATCCCGTCCGTCTATCGCGTGACCTGACGCAAGCAGCCGCCGCCGGAACTCTACGCCAGGAGGCAATGCCATTACTCGTAGAGAGGGCACCGAGAAGCCCAACAAAGATACCATACCTAGTGCCTGTCCAGTGAAGACAGCCGCGGCTGGGAAAGTCAACGCCCGCTAGATCGAATTGTGCCATCCGTCAGTCAATTCGAGCAATTGCTGCCCTCATGGCATCACCGCCCCTTTGTCAATGTCAGCTCAGAGCTGCCCGTCATGGGGCTCAATTGATCTCGGTTCCCCCTGGCATGTTGGCCAGGGGGACATGGCCCTCCGCTCTGTACCACCTTGCGGAGTACACGGGCACCACTATGTACACGGACGCAGCACTGTATACTGGACTTTGAGAAGCATGCCAAAGGCACCAGTTGTAAAGGTCTCCCTACCAAATCCACAGGCAACTGTACCGGAACCCCCCTTCCCTTCCCCGCCCCAACAAGCTGTCCTACCAACGATTTCCAGTATTCCGGCAACCTACATAGTACAGATCACGGGTGCTGTTGGCTGGAGTTCTCACCGACCTCCTGGAGTGTCTGGGAGAAGGGCGCTGCGCCTTCGCCACCCCTTACCACCCCCGCCTACCATAATGACGGACCGTACCTTTGGACCTGGCCTTTTACTCCAAGCCCTGGCAGTTGGCTAATTAGTTGCTGACCGTCAGGGACATCTCACCAGCTCGTCTTCGGCGCTTGCCTGTGCGCAACACACGTGCGAGTCCGTCCAGCAGTACGTGCGTGCGTGCATGCGCAAGTGAGTGATGGTGACGAGCAGGTGACCCGGCTGGGAGCTACTGACGTAGGCGGGCTCCAAGTACCTCGACAGGGAGTGCAGTGGGCGTTTCTTAGCACTGTTCGTGGGTCAACAGGGGTTCACTGCAGGTGTCTTTCGCCTCCAAAACGACCACTGTCGGCGGCGGGCGGTGGCTTGCCCGGCGCAACAGCACCACAAACACAAGGCTAAGGACAACAAGCAGCACGCCTCAATTGCGGGGTCCGGGGTACGCAGGTACCGGCGTCACGCCAACAAGCTCCCCGACCTCTCATCTCAAGCTACCATGACGAAGACGAGGCTGGAAGACGCAGCAACTCACGGATTTCAGATTGTGCAAAGTACCAGGTGCTGTCTCGTCTCTTGCCCGTCATCCTCTGACCAATTGCAAAGCCATTGCGGGCGGCCGAGGCGGGTTCCCGTTCCTGTTACCTACGACGCAAGGCCTAAGGCGTGGTCCCAGCTGGATCTGCCGGTGACGTACCGAACGATAAACCTCCTATCGTCCGCCAGTGGGTCACCGAGACTCAAATCCACCTACGGATGACGAAACGAGATCCAGAATCAAAGAGATAACTTGCCAGGCCTGGAGACAAGCCAAACGCACTGTACCCGTCTCCATCCATCAGTTCGCCCCCTTCCGATGCCGCTCGCTCCCGTCCGCCCCCGGGTGGTGTGGTGGTGTTAGTCCGCCCCGACACAACTGACTCAGCGGGCATCTTGTGTCGCAGCACATGACCTCATCGGCCCATCAACACACGACACCGCACAAGTAAATCCGCCAGAAGCAAGGCACCTCGTGGAAACGTCTCACCGACACCGAGGTAATTGCCCAATCATGTGAGTGAATTGGCTTTTGACTCGACCCAAACTCGCATCAATTGCAACTCCAATTCCTTCTCCCCCGTTACTGTTCCGCCATGCACCACCCGCCAAAGCCGCTGTAACCTCTCCCTCCCGGCGCTGAGCCACAGTTGCCACGGCGCCTAATCTCGCCACTAAACCCCCGCCACTACCACCCCGCCACGCCCCAACAGATCCTGTACCCGCTTCGTTCCAGAAACAGCACCTCGGGTCTCATGATCACACAGGACCCAGTCGCTCCCTCGGCACTCCACCGCGTTACTCAATGCTATCGCGAGCTCCGATGACTCTATCGTGTCTTTCTCATGCAATTGACAAGTGTTCACTTCTCTTCGGCCCACGTATCTCGGTTGCCTCATACCCAGCGGGGCATACTTATCCCATTGTTAGCGGCCCCTCTCAAGCGGCTAAGCATTCCCATGATAGACTCACAGCCTCCATCAACCAACCAATCCTCGTAGTTGCAAATAGCCTTCTCAAGGCGTGCTCAAGCCATGTCATGGCCCTTTTGCTTCGATAAGAAACCCCACAGTAGCTTTATCAACTCCCCTCGCCAACTTGTCCCTGCCGACGGCGCAAAATAGACTTTAATTTCCACTTGAGGTGAACTCCACCGAGGGATTGCTCCAGCTCTGCGGTTTGATTGTCACCGTGAGTCATGAGACACAGCCGCAAGGATAGAGTGGCACATTGCTTCCTGTATCGGAGTTGACGAGAGGCAACTTTTGGGTTACACGGCTTCCGGTATCATGGCTGCCTCCGGTGTCATGAGAGCGCGTGCCTCCAGTCTCCCAGAAGCCATGAGGAGCCAATCTCGGCCACTTGCCAATTGGAACTAATCACACATTAAACTTGGTCACAAAGTAAAAGCTGCTGCAGAATAATTTCATTTCAATAATCTTTGGCCATTTTGGTTTTCTCCTCTCAACTTGCTTCTATCCCCGCATGGCAACAGCGCCCTTCCCCTTGGTAGAATGATTCAATCCTGCGCCGGAATTATGTACACGCATCCTCTCCCCCATCCCAAGAATTCTTACTCAAACACATCAACTATGCATATCCCGAATCTTTTTGCCACATCCGGTGCCAAATGCCCAAGTCCTAAAGCCTCTCATCGCTTGCCCATCTTGGAAAACTCATTCTGGTATCGCAGCTTGAAGCCATTGCACAGGGCTCGCATGTCAGGGTACTGATAGCCCTTGAGCTCAAAGCCCTGCGGAATGGCTCGCACAGGGATCGCAATGACTCTAGCAGAGCGACTCGCCTTGAAGCAGAGCCAGAAGTAGCCCGGGTGCTTGGGGTCGATACAGAATGCATATGCCGATCGGTTGGGGTTGGCGTCAATGTATGTCGTCAACCATTTCTCTGTCCTCGTCGTTAGTATCCCATCCCAACATGGTTGATCGTCCGAGTATGCTTACCTGTCTCGCCTCGGGACCGCTTCTGGTACTTGTCGTGTCGGATCAGTTCATCCACCTTGCGAGCCATAGCCTTGACGTGCTCCACAATCAACTCGTCCAGATCGGTGTATGTGTACTTGCCGCCCACACGCAGCAACTTGCCCACCGAGAACTCGGTATCCTTTTGCATTTCCAGCACATCAATGTGCTGGTACACGCCGTCCGCCACCTTCCATGTGATGGCGAGGTGATCATTACCCTTGGAGGACGGTCGGATAATGACCTCACCCGGAGCCTGTGATCCCAAGAACTCCTCGGCCTGGATCGAGTTGAAGGGTTTGAAGTTGGGATGTTTGACAACACGTTGCGTACGTCCTGTAGTCTTGTCCTTCTCCTGTAACTCCTCCTTATCTGCCGTCTCCAGAGCATAATCCCATCCATCGCGGCCGTAGTTGATCGGTCGCTTGTATGGGACCCGAAGGGAATCTTCTCGCATCGACATCTTAGCCATGAAGTCCTTGTAATTGATGTCCAAGATCTTGGCCTGTGCCGTCTGTCCCACACTTAGCACCTCCTTGATGGACCCGCGTTGGTTGATCTCGTGGGCGTCGACTCGGCCTTCTATGCCACAGTCGAGTTTCACAATCGCAAAGTCGTCCTTGACCATACGCACGTTGACGGGTACAATCATGCCGTCGCACAGCGTGTCCTTGGTTTCACCTGAGAAAATTGTGAAGATCTCAGAAGCAGACAGCATGCCAAAGTTCCTCCGTAGCTCCTCGTAGGGGGCCTGCAGTTCAGCGCGAATCGTCTCTAGAGTAGCTCGCTTGCGCTGGCTGTAGTTCCTCAACAGCTGCTCAGCATACTCCTCCAGGACAAGTTCGTTGACCTTGTCCTGTTCATCCTGCTTGAAAAGTTTTCGGACGATGGCGCCAGGACCGTTTTCGTCCGTCTCAGCCTTGACATCCTCTTCGTCCAGCTCCAGAGCGTCGGCTGCCATCTTGCGACCAAGCTCATAGTCCTCGGGGTGAACACGAGTGTTGTCCAGAGGATCCGAGGATGGGTTGGTCGGCTCGTATTCGATGAACAGGAAACTGGCGCAGTTGTTCCAAACCCTCGGGCCTACAACAGGAAGCTTGCCACTGTCAGGGTCACCAACCAGTTCATCTCGAGTGTTGACGGCACCACCATTGGCATTGATTGCCTTGATGACGCTTGTAGCTTTTCGTGGACCGAGACCAGACACGAACGGGAGGAGGTTGGCAGTGTACGTATCCGTCATGGCTTCGTTGATGTCGACACCACAGAGGTTAACCATGTCAACCATGGCAGAATCGAGGTACTTGGCGAGCTTGTCCGCGGGAAGGAGGTTCTGGCAGGGGTGGTAGGAAAGGGACGCCACATCTTTGCCAAGCGCAGCGTACTCTTTCATAGGGTTCTGCATGTATCGAGCCAGGGCAACACAGTACCTCGTAACAGGGTTGAGAGATGGGTGTTCGGCATGAGCGCGGGGGCTGTCCTTGTACAGGCGAGCCACTTCGTCATTAACCACCACCACTTCCAGCGGCTCTGTCCGGTAGTCATTGGTCTCGGGGTCATCAAACTCCGGTCCCATGAGGCCCTTCTCGCTGACGATGGTCTCCAGGTCCCGGACCAGCCTGTTCGTGTCGGCAGACCAACCACTGACACCAATCACGTCTGGTCGACGGCGCTGGACAAGGTCCACAAAGTCCTCTCGCTGTCGCTCATCCCGGGCGAGATTTCCAAATCTTCCTTGCTCCAGCACGCGACCGTCCTCCTCCACCCAGGCCCAGCAGATGGGTTCACGGGCAGGGTCGCCCATACCATTGGAAAGTACCAGCACTCGAGGGGTCGTACCCAGGATCATACCCTTGGGCTTGTATGGAGCCTGGTCCAATCGCTTGGCATACTCCTCACGGCACGTCTTCAGCACCTCATCCTGGCAGAAGGTGCGGATGACCTCCTTGACGTTCTTGGCGATAATTTTCTCCAGCTTGGGGTAGGCCACATCCAGAACCTTCTTGCGCTCCTCTCGCCACTGTTCGGCTCGATCACTGAAGTTTTCAGACTCAAACTCTTGGTAGAGTTGTCGTCGGAAGTCGTATCGAAGTGGCATGTCGAGCTTGATCTCAACCAGGCCTTCCTCCTCTGCCTTCATCATCTTTAGGAACAGCTCAGGTTGGTGCACCAAGTCGGCGATTGCCTGGTTCTGTAAATATTTGATCTCGTAGTACGGATGGGTGTCGTCGATCCTGCGCAGTCCCTTATCGGTTCGACGACAGCTGATCTCCGCTGCCTGATAGTACGAGTTTCTGAAGTGCTTGCGCATACGCGGACTGGCAAAAAGCTCTTCTGAGTACATCTGGCGCGCTGCACTGATGACCTGGTCGCCTGTGGTGAAGTTGCCGTCAAGAAGGGTGTCAGCAAGATCCATAGGATACTGGGCATCATCATCCGGTGAAACCTTCTTGCCTTGACGCAAGGCATTCTTGGCGAGCTGGTCGGCAGTGACACCGTAGGCTCGAACAAAGGTGTAAGCTTTGCCCTGGCGAACTCGCTCAAGCAAGGTCGACTTGGACCCAGGACGCTTCGTCTGCGATACGTTGCCCGAAATAGCAGCCAAGTCCTTCAGCTGGGGTCCGTACTGGAATTGCAGGTAATCCTGCAAATCCTGCAGCTCTTCCATAGTGGCTGCCTCAGGGATCATTTCTTCGATGATGGAATCCTGGATCCCGAGCGACTTGAGGTTATCATACGTCTTCTCAAGGGAGTTCCTCTTATCCACGAAAGATCGAAATTTGATATCAAGTTCCAAAATTCTCCACAGATCATCCTGGTTCAGGAGTTTTTCGGCACTGATGACGTATTCCGGGGCATCGGGGTCGTCGCGGTTTGTGTTTCTGGTCTTGCGAGTATGAAGGAGGTAGTCCTTACGGTGCTGGAACACGTAGGGAACCTCCACTTCATCAACGATGAAGAACTCGAGGACCTTGCCAACAGCCTTGCCAAAGGGCGTCTGCAAATCAGGCGCCAGGCCCTTCTTCGGCCACAGTTGGTTGGTGATCCATCGAGCCTCTTCTTTGAACTGATCGGGCGAAAGCTGCAGATTCTTGAACGCCTTGCGATCGAGTTGGAATCGTTCGGGTTCGTCGGTGAAGCGGATCTCGTTATCTTCGTCGGTCAGGAGCTTCTCCTTCAGCTGCGATGGCTCGAACACGTCCTTGAGCTCAATGGCCTGTTCCTCTCGCTCGCGGTCCTCTTCCTCTTCCTCCATCTGCAGGGCCCAGTCGTAGTCTTCGCCGTTACCGAAGATGGCTTCCATGTCATCGAGGGCATCCTTATCAAGCCCAGTTGTATCGACAATACTTCCAACACCGCGGTCTCTCGGTCGGGCGACTTCGGCGTCCTCCATTTGGCGGATTCGGTCCTCCTCGTCTTCGGGGAAATCTTCCTCGATGAAGTCTTCAAACTCGTCGGCCTGTGGTCGTCGTCCGTATGGTCGTTGATCGGCCACTTCCTCATCGTCATCCGAGAATATTTCTTCGAGGCCGCGTCGTTCGTTCCCGCGATCATCCTCGTCGCGATGGCCGCGCTTCAGACGTTTGAACTTGGACTTGATGGCGCGTGTCAGTATTGCCTACGAAGCAGAAAATTGTCGGGTTTTGTTTATCAGAACTCACCTGAGTTGGAGGCTTTGGCCGCTCGCCAAATTGCTCTCCGATGAGTTCCAAGTCGTCTTCATCGAGGGCTTCTTCTTGTTCGCGGTCGCGATGCTCGCGCTTCCTCTTGACTACGGGGCGCACATCGCCATCGGAGTCGCCACCGTCTTCTTCCTCGTCCTCGTCCTCATCGACAATGAAACCTTCGCGAATCTGCGCAAAAAACGTGTCAGTTTCAAATGGGTGGTTGGTAAACCGCAACCAGGCGACAAACCTTTCGCGCTTCCTCTTCGTCGTCATCATCCTCCTCCTCTTCACTCGAATCTTCGACTCGGCTAGCTCTGCCTCTGCGGCGACTATCACCGGTCTCTTCATCAAAGGACTCTTCATCCTCGTCATCGTCCAACTCGGCTTCTCCAGAGATCAAATCGCGCATGCTGGTGCTCATCTTGACGATCTGTGGATGCTGCCGCGCAGCAAACAACACCAGGTCTTGTCGGCTCGGGTCGTCGGTTGTCCAGGGACTGGATTAGCGACAAGGTCGCCAAAGAGAGCTTCTTCCAGCAAGTTCAAGCTACTGGAAGAAAGAATAAGGCAAAATAATTGAAGGGGCGTGGAAGAAGGACTTTTCAGGAGCCTCCTGCTCTCACGGAATTTTTGGAGGAGCGCAGCTCAAGACACACGTTCAGCCTCGTCGCGCCTGACCGGGGTGGCGGATGGAAACATTTTCCGCTTCCGAGCAACCTGTGCCGTATTATGTAATCAATCCCAGATCTCACTGGCGGGTACTCTTGGAAACAGTACCTCCATCCATGCATGAGCTTACTCGATGTAGATCAACTTGGAAACGGCATAAAGATTTTTTTGTTTCCTATCATGCCACTTGTAGTCTATGCAGGTTAGCAACCGTTACAGTTTGCGCGTTCATGTAACGGCGCCCCAGGAGACCTCCCCGCTACCAGAACTTCATGCACACGACGGCCTCTCGTGCAGTATGCCGTGCAGTAGCCCATATAAACTTGTCAAAATCAGGGTCGAAAGGGCTTCAAAAAATCTCATCTGGCGATAGAATCGGAATACGGTTCACCATTATTAAGCAGGCTTGGCACGGAGCAATTATTTCGTCCCAACTTACAATGAGTACCTACGCGAGTTGTTCCCACAGCCCCTCCTCTCCCCTAGCCATCTACCTGACGCATGTTTGGAACTGTCTAAGCGCCTAGGTAGCGAAGTACAGCCCTGGGCGCCTCTCCGGTGAGGCTCCATACCCATCATAGGGGGTGCATTCGTGCTTTGGGCATCTGTGCCGAATCGATAGGCCAACCGAGTGGCCAATCAGGGGAGTAATGGTGCCCTTTGAGACAGGTAGGCCACCACATGGTGTCGGGGAGATATGACGCTTGAACGAGACCCAGCATCCATGGTGCCTGAGTGGTGTGTCCGGCTCACACGGCCAAGCGTCCCAAGAAGCAAGCCACAGGGCCCGGAATATCTGCATCTCCTTCCCCTGGAGTAGTCTACGGCCTGGAATAGTCTGCGGGAGTGCAGGAAAGTGAGGGACTGAGCTGTCGAGTCTCACATCAATAATGGAAATTCAGAGCCCTGCCAACCTGAGACGGTCGCGCCCCAGTGGTCCGCCGCCAGCCCCGAGCGCCATCGCTGGTGGCCAGCGACAAGGGCCATCGATCATCTCCTTGGGCCTCAACTCGCCGCGATTCTGCGTTGAGTCTCGCCGGCTGTGTACTTCGTAGGTAGGTGCTTTGATGAATCCCTCAAAAAGGAGCCAGGAGCGCGGCCCACTCGCGATCCCAACCGAGCCAGTGACTTCCCCTCTGGTACATTGAGTCTTCCTTTTAAAAAGGCTGCCGGACAAACCCTCTCCCTCTGCTACTCCCAACTGTGGCGCCCGGCCTTGTCTTCTGATTGTTCTGTTGCATCGTTCCGTTGCGTGTGTTGCGGTACAGCGCGACTCCAGCCACTCCCATCACGTTATCGTCTGCGAACCCCGCCTTGGCCCGAACAAGCGCGCAACACCATTCGTGATAGACGACAGCCACTGTGCATCCACTGCATCGTTCAGCGACGCTCCGCTCCGACCAGACAACAACTCTGCAACCAACCTGGCCTCAGTACAACGTCCCTGGCCCCTCTGTCTCGCATCTGAGATTCTCCACCGACGGCCGCTGGTCCATCCCCGCTGCAACCCAACCGACGCGCTGCCCCGACCTGACGCTGCAGCACGCCTCGCCTGCCCTATAACCGCATCGTCCGCCCGCCGCCCCCGAACAGCAACTCGACCCAGCGACTCACCCTGATCGTCCCGGTGTCAGTCCCACCGGCCATAGAAGCCGGCCAGCCTTCTGTGCATCACAGCACTCGCTTCCTGGCTCTTTCGAGCTGCCGTGCTCCGTCCTTCGTCGTCGTTCATCGTCGCCCTTCTCCCCGCGGGGAACGCCCCCCCACCACCTTTTTGGTCTGACCCTGAATCGAGCCCCAGGTCTCACGACGCCTGATTACCTACTTCCATCCACCTTGCGAAGCGAGCGTCGTCTCTCCCGTTGCCCGTCATGGCTGATCCATTTGCTCCGCGCTCGATGAAGCGCAAGAACGTCAAGGGCCTCGCACTCAAGGCCGCCCCTAAGCCCCCACCAACCGCCGAGAACAACCAACACGATTTCGACTCAGGTAGAGAGGATACAGGAAAGGATGGCCAGCTGGAGATCGGAATCGAATACAAGTTGGACCTGAAACCTGAGGATCTCGAGATTCTGAAGGAGTTGGGCTCCGGCAATGGAGGCACCGTCAGCAAGGTCAAGCACCTCACAACTGGAACCGTCATGGCCCGCAAGGTGCGTCTTGTCCCTCACGCTTCTCGACTTCTCGCATACTGACCAGCAGCTAGGTGATTCATGTCGAGGCGAAGAGAGAGATGCGAAAGCGAATCGTTCGAGAGCTGCAGATCATGCACGGATGTCATTCGGACAACATTGTAACATTCTACGGCGCTTTCCTGAATCCCAACAACGACGTTATTATGTGCATGGAGTACATGGATGTTGGGTTCGTCCTCTTAAGTGTGGCTTTTGAAACGCAAGATTTGGCTAACCTTGCAATAGCTCTCTTGATCGAGTTTCGAGAGTCTTCGGTCCCGTTCGTGTCGATGTCCTGGGCAAAATCGCAGAGGCGACTCTCGGAGGCCTGACATACCTCTACACAAAGCACCACATCATGCACAGAGATATCAAGCCGTCGAACATCCTGGTCAACTCCAGAGGCCACATTAAGCTCTGCGATTTTGGTGTCTCGGGTGAACTTGTCAACTCCATCGCCGACACATTTGTTGGCACGTCTACTTACATGGCTCCCGAGAGAATCCAGGGAGAGAGGTACACCGTCAAATCGGATGTCTGGAGTTACGGTCTCAGCATTATGGAGCTCGCAATTGGCAAGTTCCCTTTCGCCGCAAGCGAGCAGCTTTCGGACGGGGAATGTGCGCCTGCTGGTATCCTGGACCTTCTTCAGCAGATCGTCCACGAGCCTGCCCCTAGCCTGCCCAAGAGCGATGCCTTTCCCAGCATCCTTGAGGACATGATTCAAAAGTGTCTGTACAAGGAGCCTGAACGGCGGCCAACTCCACAGGAACTCTTTGTAAGTGATCAATACAACTGGCATACGTCAATATCATTGCTAATAAGTGTAGGACCGTGATCCTTTCGTCCAGGCAGCCAAGAGGACACCAGTCGATCTTAGAGAGTGGGCTGTAGGCCTCATGGAACGAGAGTACCGAAAATCCCACCTTGCGCCGCAACTCTCACCGTCCACCCAGGACCTGCTTCGCTCAAGCGACTCCCCAACCTACCAGACACAAGCTGACGACAGAGCCGTCCACACCCCCACGTCTGGCGAGATCCCCATCGCCGGGGCTGGAATCGTCTCGCCTCGAGACCAGTACGCGTCTAACCAGAACCGCTCGCCTACCCGTAACGGCCTCGGCTCCAGCCGCACGCCAGGTTCCGCACACCCTGGTCTCGGAGCCAGAGTTGTCACGACGAACTCGATACCCAAGATGTCCGGCCATCCGGAGAGCGCGGGTCCCGTCAGTGCAAATGCCACTACCTTCAGTTTACCCGTACGACCCGCTCCCGGAGGCGGAGGCCTCCCCCCTCCACCACCCCGGAAGGAGACGCCGGACGAGCTGCGAAGGGAGAACCGGAGGCAGGCAACCTTTGGGCTACCGCCAAACCCCGGTTATGGTGTATAGAGCTATCCATCATGCCAACATCAGAGTGTCTTCCAAAAGTTCTTACCTTCTCTGACACGTCACCGCACGCATTGAGCCAGCGGTTTGATCCTCTGATATTCCTTTTGCATATCTCGGCGCAATGTTTGAGTTGTTTATCGTGGTCGTTACCGAGATGATCGGATTCGAATCACTGCACATTTGGTCCTGGCCCATGACCTGGGCTTGTACACACCCCTGATGCTCTGGGAGACAGTGGTCTGCTCCATTCCCAATTATGGAGCTGTGTGTCTTGTCTAGTGGGACATGGCCTCGGATAGTAACTGGACCCATGTAGGAAAGGTAGATGAAATGAGTCTGTGTAAAAGTCACATCTAGTGTCGATATCTTGCCCTTGTACTTGTACCATGCTTCACGAAACGTCATTCACCCCCATTTCATTTTTGGAAACCTGTATAAAGTCGTACGAGACTAGTCAGTTGCTCTAGTTGACATTTCGTCCCACGAACCCATGCTCCAGAATATCAACCAGTTCATCCAGCGTACGGATCACCAAGTCTGTGTGCGCATGCTCCGCCAGCTCTCGGTTCACGTCATTCACCAACAAGACCGTGGCTGCGCCCGCACTCCTGCCCGCCGTCATGTCATCAATCGAGTCTCCCACCATAATGAGTCCAGTGGCATCCACAGTACCGGCGTGGTCCTCAAATCCCCAGTTCTTGGCGATGTGCAGGATACCTGCAGGGGATGGCTTCGGTGGACGAAACTCGCGTGTGATGACGGGGTGGAACTTGGTACCTTCAAGAAACTTGTCAAGCAGGTTTTGGACTGGGACGTCGAAGTTGCGAGTGCAGATGGCCTTGGGGATGCCCTTGGAGTCGAGGTAGGACATGAGGATCATGAGGCCCGGCTGGGGCGTCTGCGACTCCATGGCTTTGCGCTCGATGGATCGGATGGACTCGATGGCAGCTGGTTTCTGGTGATCTGGAAGTGCATCGATGTGTTCGAGAATGTCGACTCCCTTGGTAATACCAAGTGCGGCTCTCATCTCGCCGAACATGTAGGTTTGAGGAATACTAGGGACGGTTAGGACATGACCAAACGACAGTACAACACCCTATCTGCAATCCACACGACGCTGAATAAAAGCGGCATAATATATCAATAACAGTTGCCATCAACTTGTTCTATCCCTTGGTAGGAAGCTCATAATAGCTTCATTTGGGTTGCGGTCTAGGGTAGGCGAGATGACGCCCAGGTGACTCAGAATCTGACCAACAACCATGAACGAAACGGTTTAAAAAAAAAATTAGGACTTACCAAAGCGTACCGTCCATATCAAATACGACGCCCCTGAGCTTGGGGGTTTCAGCGGGTAACTGATGAGCCCCCTGCTTCAGGGGCACGAATCGTTTGGGAGCAGAAGAAGCCATGGTGGAGAGGAAGCGGCGCATGAGGAGCCGAAGCGGGGGAGAGGATATCAGAAACCTGAGTTATGATAGTTAGTTACCGAGAGCACAGTTATTGCAAGCAGGACATGTAACCCTGAACTGGAATACACCGATGGATGTAGGGATTGTCTTGTGTCTTGGCCGGTTGAGGAGAGAGATAATATGTTAAGTTGCTCGTTGACGTGCGCGATCCGCGCCTTTGCGTTTGGGAGTGGAGACCGTCGAGATTTGGGCCAAGCCGACAAGCCACCGTCCTGATTATTCACTTGCGAGTGGTTGCCCTAGACTTAGAGCGGCGCGGAATTTCGGGGCCTCTTCGCCAACCCGTATGCTCTAAAATAAATAGGATCCTCTATGACGAGTAGGAAATACGATGGCGAATAGTTAGATAGAACATAAAAGTTCGGTAAAGTCTGCCATTTCGACATGCGGCTAATCGCTACCGCTAAGCCTAGGCATGATTATTCAAAGAGGATGATTACAAAAAAGCGAATCGACTACATTGGTATTGTTTGTATGATTAGTATGTAAGTCACAAGTGCATGCTATCACACATGTTGGAGATGGCTCTCCCTTGTCAATCAACAACTAATCGCTGTACTCCAACTGGTGGATGAATGAGCTGCGACCAGGTCAAGACCAACCGACTTCGCCCAACCCAACAAGCCTCCGAGATGTACCAACTAAATCACTAAAATTGGTAGAGCTTGACATATTATACGAAGGAGACAGACGACTTAGACTAAAAATGAAGCAAATGACCATCCCTGGAGGAGGATACCCCATGACATTCGACGTGGTGCTGCAGGTCAGATGCAGCAACTTACAAGGGCTAGTGAATGCAGGTGACGACTGCTTCCACATATCATTTTTTCGTCCAACATATGCCATGTCATATTCTGACAACTTAACGGGTACATGTGGTACCTGAGTGACGTTTCTCGCAACGGGTTACCGCATTCAGGGATGGAAGCGAATGAGGCCCAGGGCCCTGGACACGGGAGTGCCGTAATGTACGACGCAGTGACGCCCCGAAGCATGGGTCAGGTTCCCTGCAACAGGAAAGCCGCCTTCCATAGCGGCGTTATTGTGGCTGCTGGTCTACGTAGTAGACGAATATTGTGTATATAGTGTTGATATTCTCTCTGGAGCGAATACAACTGATCGGTCAAAGCACCAAGTACCTACCTAAGCAGTGCCCAAGCGACGGGCCGTTATTGCTTGGCAGGGCCGCTCAAGCCTCCAGGTTGCCCAGCTCCCTGCACCGACTCCACCTAAGCTCAGCCAGCATCAGGCGCCTACCTACATCTACCACGAATTGTGAGACACCCGCCATTTGCACCCACCGCCATTGCTGCTGACAGGCCTCGAGGCCAATTCTCCAGTCGCATCCCGGCAGCCGACTCCCACTGCGACCGCTATTTCCCTCTATGGAGCTGTGAGGCGCAGAGAATGAAGCACGCTGGAGTCTACGACACCAGAGGCGAGGACGTTGACGCGCAACAGCCATGAGCCCCATCGCGAGCTCTTCCACCGCCGCCTGGCCACCCAAGCGGCCATCGCAGCGAACGGTACGGATGCCCGGTATATACGGTTGCCTTTGCGCAATTGCAACGTCCCCTAGAGACGCGGTTGCTGACGCCTGGGAGTAGAAATTAAGGAACGGAACCTTTATCGTCCCCAGAACCGGCGAACGATCGAGACAGGAGTTTTCCTTGCGCACTTCAACCAACCTCAATACCAATTCATCCTCCCGCTACGAATCCCTCGAGTTCGCCGATACGATCCAAGAACGCCTAAAGATCATCGCGCATAACATCAAGATTGCCGCCATCGCAGCTTGGGCATGGCTGCAGACCGACGAAGGCCATGGCGTCCTCAAGTGCACCCTCGCCTATGTCTTGGGTAGCATGGGCACTTTCTTCCCACCGCTGTCGAATTTCCTGGGCAACAGAGATGGAAAACACGTCACGGCGACCTTGACTGTTTACTTCCACCCCGCTCGGACGGTCGGCTCAATGCTTGAGGCCGTTCTCATTGCCATTGTCGCCGTGATATATGCTGAGGTGGTTTCGCTCCTCTCCATGGGGATTGCCATTCTATTTCGAGCCCAACTCGGCATCACAGCGGCTGCCCATGCCCTCGTACTGATCGTTTGCATTGGCGCAGGGCTCGGTTTCGTGGGTTGGGTTAAACAGAAGCTCAACAACCCCTTGGTCAACGTGGGTACGACGTTGTGCTCGATTGCCATAATCTCCGTCATCACCAAAGAGGAATCTGTCCAAGGCGGATACTTCTCCGCTGACAAGATTGTTCAAATGGTCAAGATGCTTGGTATTGGAATTACCTTCACTGTTGCCGTCAATGTGCTCGTCTGGCGGATATCAGCAAGACATGTGCTGCGAAAATCCATCATGACGGCAGCAACATCCTTAGGCGACAAGTTGTCGTCCATCACGAAAGGTTTCCTCTCTGGAGCTGAGGACGAACTCTGGTCCTCCGAATACTCGCGCGTATCATCGCGGTACAACGGCGCATACGCCACAATGAGCAGAGTTCTACGAGAGGCAAAATTCGAGCATTACTTTTTTGGTCGAGAATCGACATATCGACTTGATAGGCGCCTTGTCAGATCTATAGAAGGACTCTCTCAAGCTGTTGGTGGTTTGCGAAGTTCCCTCGAGACCCAGTTCGCCCTGCTGAGGGAGGTCCCACATTTTGGGGACCATGTAGGAACCCTCTCATCTTCTTCCTCAATGATTTCTCCTACTTTCACCCGCGGAACCGTTTCTTTCTTCGATGACTCCTCAGACAGGCTGGCTGTGATCGAGGAGTCCGGCGAGAGCGAGGAAGAACGTCGGATGAAAGCCAATAAGTCCGATTCTGCTTTGGATAGGGGTCCTGTTTTCCAGGCGCCATCGGACATCTTTGCCGTTTTCATTGAACTTTTGGGACCATCTATCAAGTCTCTTGTTCATACCTTGTCAGAGATCCTCCGAGAGCCTGCATTCGGTAAGGATCCTAATGCAGATATTACCGTCAATGAGCAATTGCGAGAGAGCCTTCGGGATGCACTCAATCTCTACAACAGTGCTAGAGCCGACTCTTTGCAGGAGCTGTACCGCATCATCGAACTGGGATGGGCAAGATCCGAGAAGATTCAAGCTGATATCGAAGAGGTAGCGGCTGCTTGCGGGCACTTCTCGTTCAGCTTACAGGCCGTCGCTGAAGAGACAGACGCCTACCTGGATGTCCTGGAGGATTTGAAATATACCACAGAGACCAGTTCAAGATCTTGGTGCTGGCTTAAGTTCTGGCAGTATCTACCGTCTAGAGGAGCCAAAAACTACCCCCTGGATGACCCAGAAACCGAGAGCCTGATTCCGAAGCCACCTGTGCCAAGGCTTCGCAAATCACAAGTACCCAAGGGCATTCCCGATACAATGGTCAAGCGGAGGGACACGTTCAGCTGGGACGCAGCGCCGCAAGCTAGCAAATTCAAGCGAGCATTTTCCCAAAAGTTGCTCAACGCTTCGCGATTTGTGGTTCGAGAGGACATTCTGTTCGGTATCAAGGTTGGAATTGGCGCTCTTCTCTGGGCAATGCTCGCCTTTATCCCCTCCACAAGGCCCATTTATCAGACATGGAGAGGCGAGTGGGGTCTCCTTTCCTTCATGATTGTCGCCGGTATGACAACCGGCGCTGCGAACACTACAGGGACAGCCAGATTCAAGGGAACGCTTGTCGGTGCTGCCTGTGCCATCACGGCGTGGACTGTCAGCCAGGGAAATGCGATTGCTCTCATATTTTTGGGCGGTCTCGTCGCTTTCTGCAACTTCTACTGGATCCTGGCTATAAAAAATGCGCCCCTTGGAAGGATTGCCCAACTGTCGTATAATGTGAGCACTCTGTATGCCTACAGCTTATCGCAGTCAGTTGACGACGATGACGATGATGAAGGTGGTTCGAATCCTTTGATCTTCGATATTGCCTTCCATCGAGTTGTGGCAGTGACGCTTGGTATCCTTTGGGGTGTGATATTCTGCAGGCTCTTGTGGCCCATCTCAGGCCGGCGGAAGTTCCGAGAAGGTCTTTCCGTCCTCTATTTGCAAATGGGTCTTATTTGGAAGCGAGGGCCTCTTACAGTCTCCCTCCAGAGCAACAATACGGTGGATTACATGCGAGAAGGCGAGCAAGCTGCCCTGCAGCGCTATGGTAAGTCACAATTTTGACCGACTCGAGTATCGAGAACAATACTAACAAAAATTCCCAGCCTTCAAGCTCGACTCTCTACGAACCTCGGCAAATTCCGAATTCGAGCTTAGGGGCCCCTTTCCGGATGCTTCCTACGCCCGTATTATGCGCTCTACTAAGCATATCCTCGACGGCTTCTACGCCATGCGTCTGATCACACAAAAACGCAGCACGCTTTCTGAGGGCGAGCGAGCTTTGCTTGAGTTCACATCCATCGAGAGGAAGCGCCTCTGCGAGCGCATTAGCCACGTTTTCCAAGTCCTGGCCTCGTGTATCATGCTCGAATACCCCCTGACTGACGCCATCCCAACCGTCGAAAACAACAAGGATCGCCTCCTGGGCAAGATCTACCAGTTCCGCAAGGACCACATGGGAGCGGAGCTCCATGGAATTGGCCCCGTCGTTGTGGTTGAGGAGAAGGATTATGCACTGCTGTACGCGTACACGCTTGTGACGCTCCAGGTTGCGGCGGAGTTGAACAAGGTGCGGAATGAGATTGAGGGATTGTTTGGTGTTCTACACGAAGAGTCTCTGTTGTTACAATAAACGAATGACCCTCATTGCTGGTTTGGAGTTTTTGCATTTTCTTTCGGTCTTTATTCGTATCTGGAGGATATTCAGGGCAAGGGAGCTCGACCCTTGAGTTGAGAAAGGCAAGGCACACATAGGATTTACCATGAACACGGAAGGCACGGTGAAAATGAAGAGCAATATATTTCACCATCTATATACTATACACGCTGTGGCTCTTATATAACCATATGTTGGTCTCATGTCTGTCATTAACTAGGATCCCACCGATCGCGCCCTGTAACCATTTTACCAGCCAGCCCATGCTCTTCGCTTGGAAACTAGAATGCGCACTCCCTCAACTTGCCCGTGCCGCCAACCTCGTACTCGACCCAACGCCCGACGCCCTTGCGGCCTGGAACGAGCACGCTGCCAGGATTCATGACGTGGCAACCCTCGTAGGTAACACAGAAGGGCGGCGCCGTCGTGTCGACTAGCACCATGGCCGTGGGTAGCGGGTACAGGTGCAAGGCGGACGCGTAATCCCAGTGGACGGGGCGGATGGACTGGCGGAAGGGAGCCAGGTAGCCCTGATCCAGGATCGTCTTGACGAGCTTGTGGGCAGTGTGAAGGTCCTGAGGGAGTGTCGTGGATGACGAAGCGGTGGTCTGCTCAGGGGCGTCGGCGTCGACATCCATGGGTTCAGAGGCGGGGGTTTCTTCAGGGGAGTTAGGTTGTTGGGTTGGTGCTTCTTCGCTGGGTTCTGGGTCGGCGGCTGTGTGTTTTAGGCGGACCGAGGTACGGGAGAGACGCGCAGAGAGGTCGTCCCTGAACAAGACGAGTTCGTGGTTGGGGCCGAAGAGGGTGAGTCTGCCAGGGTTGGAGGTCCAGATGGCCGCACCGTCGGATTTGCCTCCGGCCTCGGCGTTGGCGGTGGCAAAGGCGCGACGGATGCGGGATGTGAACATGTCCGGGACGGGTTTTCGGGGCAGCGGGACGGAGGCGCCGGCCGTGAAGGCCGAAACCCAGCCGTCGTTGTCTCCGGGGACGAAGACGAATGTGGACGACTGGAGGAGGGTGGGAAAGTCGCTGAGAGTCGACGCCAGGGCGTCAAAGTATTCCTTGTACTCGATGCTGCCACCACTGCCGCCGCGAGCCATGACGGCTTGCTGGGTGAAGTTGCCCGTGAGGACGAATGTCAAGGGGCTGGACCCTTCGGGCTCGGCAGCGTAAAGGGCGAGGATCTTGCGGAGCGCTTGCATGGTGCGCGGCTGGTCGAGGTTGAGCTCGCCGAGGATGACGATGCGGTTACGAGAGGGAACATCGTCGTCTTGAGAGGGGGCGAGGAGGCGGTTCTCGAGCCTGCGCATCTTGGCGCCGACGGCTCGCTCGCTGCCAACCCCGAGGAAGTCGATCCAGCCGAAGCCGCCGCCGATGGTTTGTTCGTGCCCCCCATCACCGCCACTGATACCCAGCGTCTCCTTGCGCTTCTCACACGGCGGTTGGCCGATGTAGAAGCCCTGAAAGCGACCACCGAGTGTTCCACCGACACCGCTGCTTCCGCTGAGCCCCCTTCCAATGGATTCGTCCTCCTCCTCGTACACGCCGTCCACTAGGACGATCATGCCAGGGCAGAACCAGGCAGAGTCTGAAGGAATGGCGACAGCCTGAGCGAGGTCGAGGGCAATGGTGCCCGTCAGGTCACTGATAGCAAGGTCGCCGGTGGGGAGGATGACGAGCTGGCCCAGCAGCATGTGGTTGCTGCCGTGGCGACCAAGCAGGTTGGCGATGGGGGTAAGTTTGAGGGATTGTTGCGTAGAGAGTGAGCGTTGTAGGGTGCGCTTCCGAGAGGAGGCGACGGCGGAGGTCTGGAAGGATTCGTTGCGGAGGAGTCGTTGGTGGATGACATTGTAGCGGTTGCGGTAAACGGTGGTTTTGTGTGATGCGGGAGGTAATAGCGAGGGGGCCGACGTTTCTCTGTGATATGGTTAGTCTGACTGTTCGACAACTCGTGGGTGAACATCTTACCTCTCAAAATGCTTCTTGCCAACGTTGTAGATTAACCTTGGCTGCTCGTATGCGTCGATGACCTTGAGCCAGGCTCTGGGGTCGTTGTGCTTCTCCTCGTCTTCGGTTTCCTCCTGAACACCCAACCCAGACATGCCAAAACTGGTATTGCTGTCTTCTCTCGTGAGAAGGGCTGGGCGTATTCCTAGTCTGGTGTTCATGACATCGCCGTCTTTGATATCGAGCATGCTGTCTCCCCGCGGCAGTCCCCTTCCCGGGCCAGTGATTTTACCACCACTCATGTTTCCCTCCAATGTCTTGATGATCTCCTGCAGCTCCTTGCTACTACCCTCGACAATGACGCCGCCATTGCGATTCTTCCAACTTCGGGCAATCTCCTCCAACACCCGCTCCGCCAAGCCTTCTTCGCGCCATCCTGACCCGCAATGCCGACCGATGAAGGCGGCGAGTTCTTGGAGGGCGGACGAGGTGAGGGTCAGGGAGTGCTTCTTGGTGAATGTTCGGAACGCGAGAGGTCGGAGCGTCGCAGGAGGAAGTATGATGGGGAGAATGGCGGCTTTCGGGGCGTTGACGGCGAAGGGTCTGAGAGGATGGACGGGGGTGCCGAAGGCGGGAGAGGACGAAGGGATCGCGGCCGACGAGGACGGGATGAGAGGGCGCTGTCGGCGGAAGATGGGGGCGGGCGTCTGGTCCATTGTGGCGGCTTCTGATTATATCCTCGTCATGATATGTCTGCAGGCCAACAAGGAGTAATCAATAGGCGTTGCAAAGTTGCAAAGCCGCCTCGTCGATTTGGTCGATTTGGGATTCGTGCCCTGGATGCGGTCCCGCAATTGTCCAGCGGTCGCATCTGATCTGCACCGCGTCGACGCGTCTTAATTGATTTCGTATTGTTGCATACCATCGGTAGACGCATATTTCGCGTCACTGCTCCAGACCAGTGACCTCATCCATCGTGGGGCCGCTTTGAGAAGCTTGGAGCTCCGGATCGGCGAACCGACGACACAATCAAAATCAATTGAACCAATTATTGGGATTTGCGATTGACTCCAAAATGTTGGCAGCTACCTTTCGCTTCGCTGCTCGGAATAGGGTCATGTCCTACCGGGCATTGTCAAGCCTCTCAAGCAACCCGTCCATCGTCAGTTGATCGAATCGCGGGGAAAGCTTAAGCAAAGCTGATTGCAGTCCAGAAAGTCCTCGACAACCCCAACTCTCCCTTTACCCACGTCCTCAGCTACCTCGAGACCGAGCCTCCGTCTGAACGCCTAGCGATTGGGACTACGGCAGCGAATCCTCCTACTCCCCAGTCCTTCACCGAGAACCCGGAATTTATCTCAATCCTCAACGAGGTTGTGTCCGAGTACGGCCATGAGGACGACGACTTGGTCAGCCAGGCGCGAGCCTTTGCTAGCCCTGGCGCATTCAACCTGGGCGCAGGTGGGGGTGTGTTCTTCTCTGCGGCGAAGCGACCGAACAAGCGGCTCCGGCGACAAGGTGGCAGCGGTGCTGGAGAGTCGAGCGCAAGTGACGCAAGTGCGGAGCCGAAACCCGCAGGCACAGGACGGGGAGGATGGGTGCATCTTAGTGACCGACGGAACCCGCCAGACTTTGGGCGTATAGCGTGGCCGGAGGATATCCTGGGCAGCGTGGAGGTGGATGATACCGGGACCATCATAGGCAAGGTGCAGCCTAGCGGGACGTACCGCATTTTGACGAACGCGGGAATGTGAGTCACTACGGGAGGATGCCGTGGCAATTCTTACTGATTACTTGGCAGTTTGGGACTGAGCCCATTTTTGCAGGGAAAGCTGGTGGATCGGTTGAGGCAGGAGGAAGCAAAGGATCGCCGCCGGGGTTGAGGTTTCGTCGAATGAAGGGTAGCTATTTTGCTTGTTCTGGAGCTTGATGCAAGTGGGACAAGGGCGTTTACATGACACAGGATGAAAAAGTAGGTGTGTGAACAAAGTGTACCATATGGGTAAAAATCCCTAGCTGTATGATTAGAAAACGAAGGGCTAGGGGTCCGAACAGCCTGGATGAAAGATCTTTCTCAAGTTCGCATTCGGTTTACGTGAGTGAGTCCTTAGTTACAAGACGACTCGGGAGATAGGGCATTGTGAGTGTACAGACGGGGCAGATGGAAATCGGTAGCAAGTAAAACAGACCCGTAGATTCCAGGTCAATTTTAAGGCAAGTAAATGATCATCCAAGAAAAATCTACTACATATTTAGCAGTGTCTCAGACCTCACCGTCGCTGGCGTTGATAGCCTCGAGTCAGAGGTCGATGGCATGTTTTTGTGTCCGAGGATAACCATGACCATTGTGGCAACTTGAAAGCAAACGAGAGCTCGATACGTTGGCGATATATTGGCAGCTTTGCGGGAGGGAATCGCTCGGGCGTTGTTGTTGAGCCAAGGGTGTCGGCTGTTGAATGAGGCGCTGCAAACAGATGGTCGACGCCCGAGTCCCAAGCTAGAAATGAATGAGGCCAGAAGTGCATGTCGCGAATGGGCCGACGACGGCTGATTTGCCAGGCGACAGACGGCCCAACAAAAGAGCTGCGCCGCCTCATTGTTTCAAATGGAAAAAGAAACGAGATTCTGACATGCAGACGAGGGCCATTGTCTGATGAATGTGATACGCTGCGTGCACTGGGAGGCGTTCTGAATGTCTCTCCCAACGAGGGCCACGTACTGTGCAATAAGAAATATTCCGCCCAGACATTGGTTAGTTGGGGCCAACCATTAGTGGCGCTTGTTTAGGCATGGCGCTGTACCTGTAGGCTGTAGGCTGTAGGCCTCGAGTCCTAGCGGGCGACCCCTCCACCGGAAGAACCCAACCCAACCCACCTTGGTCGTCATGCGGGCGTCCCCTCCAGAATCGACAGTGGGTGACTGACAGATGCAGATGCAGCGGCAGGCCTAATAACAAGGTAAGTTACAGACGTAACGAAGTAGAGAGAGTCGATAGTTGTTCGACAAGACACACCCACTGACACGTTTGTCCACCGCCGATCGTCTCGTCTGATTCCATCTCTTTTCTCTTTTCCCCCATTTTCCTCCCGCCTCACCCAAGTTATCTACCACTCTCCTCCTCCTCCCGCCTCCGCCTCCGCATTCTCTCGTCCGTCTCCACCAACCAGCCGCTTCAACCAAACCCTCACCCCTCCTCCTCGCCGACTCGCCGTTGCCGTCATCGTCGCCGACACTTATCGTTCCCTGGCCGAGGCCCCGGTTCTCACCACTCCCTCCATCTCTCCCTCTCCCGCTCACCCTCCGCACATCTCCGCCATCATGGTGCCCCGAGGCTTCGAGGACGAGGACCTCACCATGTCCCTCTCCTCGTCCCACATCCGCCGACCCCAGCAGCCGCCCCAACCCCCACAACAACAACATGGCCGTCCCGACGATGCTCGCGGTCCCCAGCCGCCGCCCCTCAAGGAGAGGATCAAGACGGAACAGCGCATCGGCGCCTACAAGGTCCTCCGCACCCTCGGCGAGGGCTCCTTCGGCAAGGTCAAGCTCGCCATCCACAATGGCACCGGCCAGCAGGTCGCCCTCAAGATCATCGCCCGGAAGAAGCTCATTAGCCGCGACATGGCCGGTCGCGTCGAGCGCGAGATTGAATACCTGCAGCTCCTGCGCCATCCTCACATCATCAAGCTGTACGTTCTCTCTTGGACAGAGATGCAATCCCTGTGAATACCCAGCGCTAACCTCCATTTCCTAGCTTCACCGTTATCAAAACCCCCAACGAGATCATCATGGTCCTGGAGTATGCCGGCGGAGAACTCTTCGACTACATTGTCCAGCACGGTCGCATGAAAGAGCCCGAGGCTCGCCGCTTCTTCCAGCAGATGCTGTGCGCTGTCGAGTACTGCCATCGTCATAAGATTGTCCATCGCGACCTCAAGCCGGAGAACCTGCTCCTCGACGAGAACCTCAATGTCAAGATTGCCGATTTTGGTCTCAGTAATATCATGACGGATGGTAATTTCCTCAAGACCAGTTGCGGAAGCCCCAACTATGCCGCTCCCGAAGTCATCGGCGGAAAGCTATACGCAGGTCCCGAAGTCGATGTCTGGAGTTGTGGTGTTATCCTCTACGTTCTCCTCGTCGGACGACTTCCCTTCGACGACGAGCACATCCCCAGCCTGTTCGCCAAGATAGCGAAGGGTACCTACAGCATCCCCCAGTGGATGCCCGTCGGTGCCGCTACCCTAATCAAGAAAATGCTCGTCGTCAACCCCGTGCAGCGAGCCAGTATCGATGACATCCGACAAGATCCCTGGTTCATGACTGAACTGCCGGCCTACTTACAGCCCCCCGTCGAGGAGTTCTACAACACCGGTGTTGACCCCAACAAGGCCATTCAGAAGAGCGATATTGCCCCCAACGCCCCCGAGAAGGTCCAGGAGAGGTTGCACAATGAAGTTACCGAGAAGATTAGTAAAACCATGGGATACGGCAAGACTGATGTCGAAGAGGCGCTGCAGGCAACCGAGCCGTCAGCCATCAAGGATGCCTACATGATTGTGAGAGAGAATAAGATGATGCAAGTTAACCGTAAGTCAACTTCCGCCAGCCAAAGCTGGACGTAGCGTTTTGACCCTGGCTAGAAAATCCTGACGCACTGCTAGCAGAGCCAGAGGGCTCAAGTCCAATGCTGAGCATGTCGTCGGCTCGCTCAGGGATTTCGCCCATGGCGGGTTCTCCTCGGCCATATGTTAGCAAGGTTGGTATCTTGCCTTCGAGTTTACCGGCCTACCACAAAGACTACATCGAGAGGGAAAAAGCCGGCAACTTCAAGAACTCGCCACCGAAGGTGTTTGTTAACGACGAGCCTTCCATGGACCGAACCGATGCCGAGAAGGAGGAAACCGCGCGCCGTCTGAAGCCGCACTCGAGAAGTCAGCTCCGCCTGGACGAAGCCAATAAGCGCCCCCAAGGCATGACTCCCATCCACCCTCCCAAGAAGAACAAGCCAGTGCGATGGCAGTTTGGCATTCGATCGCGAAATTCTCCCTGGGAGGCGCTGTTGTGTATTCACAAGGCGCTGAACAAGCTGGGCGCCACCTACATCCCTGACGAGGATTACGAGGCGAAAAACGAAGAGGAGCGTATTGCGAGGGCAATGGACTCCGATTTCGATTCCTATGAGGAAGACTCAGGCATCAGTCGCGCCATTGATCCCATGAGGCGATACAAGCTGCCTGCTGACCCATGGCACATCAATGTTCGTTGGGACACTGCAAGTACGTATTGGCGTTTTCGTATGTAGCTCTGCCACAGATATGCTGACAACCACTGTAGCACTCAAGAAGAAGTCAGGGAACCTACCAGAAGGCGCAGTCGACGGATATCATACTCTGCAGGACGACGCTAAACGGCCGTTTGCCGCCTTGCATTTGGACATCCAGATCTATGAGATGGAGCACGGTGTCTACTTGGTCGACTTTAAGTGCTCAGGGTACGAGAATGCGCAGGGACGGCTGCTTGAGGAGAAGGATGTGACCAGCCCGTTCCCGTTCTTGGACATGGCTGCCAAGCTGATCATGCAGCTGGCCGAGGCGGACTAAAAGAATGACTGGGGTCACTGGCACACAATCTTTGCACAATTATCGCACACACTCAACACCCGCGCCTGTGTTTCCCACCGCGTGCGCATTCCTGTGCCCTCTGCCGCCGGGCAACCTCCGAAATGCAAGGCCCATACCGAGCAGCGTAGCCGGTGAAGAAAACTGGACCCATTGGCCGTTTTCAGGGGTGGAGCGAAGGGGGCTTCCTATGGTATTAGGCCAATGGACCGAAATCCGCCTCCCGGGCGGACGGACAGACAGATAAGGCGGGTCTTGGGATGGAGTCGGATCCGCAAATGGAGGGCGTTTTGGAAGTATCGAATGCAGAGCAATGTCCCGACCCTAGCTCTCAGTATGCCGTGGTAATGCAGGGACGAGCGTCTTGGTGCGGCTTTTAGTTTGGGGCTGCCTGATAAGCATCTTGACATGAAGAGATACCACAGATTTTCCGTTTCGGGGAGTAGGACATGGCATTACATAGACGTCTTGGGTCTGGTTTTAGTTTGAACAGCGGCTGCGGCTTTGCTAGCAGAGTTATGAGATGATGCTTCAGCACTTTTGACTTGATATCAAAGTTTTGTTTAAATGATGCAAGTTTAAATTCTTCTACTGATCAAGGCAGATGTATTGCCGCCGTTCAAGTATATGAGACATGACGACGTGATGTGACAGATGAAAGAGAAACCAGAGACTCCATGCCCGGTATGATGCTGCATGTCCAAAACAGAAAATGGCTGCGTAAAGCACATTATGCGCGCCTCCGTTTAAAAACAAAAAAGGCCGTTCACTTTTTTGATACTTCTACACCGACAACCTCAACTCGGCGATGCTTCGTCTAGTGGAACTGGTCCTCGGTGACGCCCGCGCCCATGGCGGCCGTGGAGCTGATGCCGCCGGTGACCATCTTCTGCAGCTCGTCGACGTAGGTGGCGCCGCTCCACTTCTGGTGCTTGACGACGTCGACCTTCTCCTCCATCTCGGGCTCCTGGACGAGCTCGCCGTACGCGCGCATGCCGATGGTGCTGTAGGCGCGGGCGAACTGGTCGCTGATGAGCGCCGTTGTGTGCAGGCCGGCCAGCGTGATGAACTGCCAGCAGTAGCCGAGCTTGGCCAGGCGGCGGATGTACGTCTCCTGCTCGTCGCGGGGCATGGCCGTCTTCCAGTTGAACGAGGGCGAGAGGTTGTAGGCGAGCCTGGAGGAGGTGGATGTTAGTGTGTGTATCAATAGGGGCAAGGGGGAGGTTGTCGACTCACTTCTTCTCGGGCCACACGGCGTGGACTCCGTCGGCAAACTCCTGGGCCTGCGCGTAGTCGGGCAGCTTGCTCTCCATCCAGATGGCATCGGCGTACGGCGCATAGGCAATGGCGCGGTTGACGGCGCAGTCACAGCCGCCCTTGAGGCGGAAGTAGCCCTCGCGAGTCCGCGGCGCGTCCCAGTCGAAGAAGATGTCCTTGCCGAGCAGCTTGCGGGAGAGCGCGCGGGCCTCGTTGTTGCTGAGGCCCTTGGCGGCAGCCTTGTACTCGGCCTTGAGGCCGTCCTTGTTGGAGTAGGAGCCGGCGTCGATGGCGGCAGCGACGGCCTCGTCGTAGCGCTTCAGGCTGGCGGCGACGAGCCACTCGTCCTCGATGCGCTGCAGCTCGGCGCCGACCTTGCCCTCGCGCTCGGCGGCGATCATGAGGTCGTTGAGGGGCTGGAGGGAAGCGTTGGTGCTGCCGATGATGAAGGCGTGGTCGCGGGGGTCGATGGTGGTGGTGATGAGGGTGGCGGCTTCGGCGTCGGTACGAGCGATGGCGAGGAGATCGGAGCCTGGGTTTGTTAGTCTTGGATGATTCGTTCCAGTGAGAAATTGAAATGTTTATAAGAAAAAAACATACCCATGATATCAGCCTGGGCGCGGATGGCAACCAGGCGGTTGATGTGCTCGCTGATGGGGACGAGCACCTTGCCGGCCATGTGGCCGCACTTCTTGGTACCGGGGGCCTGGTCCTCAATGTGAATACCGGCGGCGCCCTTCTCGACGAAGAGCTTGGTGAGCTTCATGACGGCGGTGAGGCCGCCGTGGCCGGTGTCGGCGTCGGCGACAATGGGCCGCAGGTAGTCGACGTTGGCGAGGCCGGCGCGCTGGGCCTTGGGCACGCTGAGGCGCTCCTGGCGCTGCTTGCGGTCGTGGAAGAGCTGGGCCATGAAGAGGTGGCCGACCTTGTTGGGGACGGTGGTCTGGATGAGAGGAGTTGGTGTTAGTTGTGGACTTGTTTTTGAAATTCGTCATGATGGTGGTTATGACACTGGGGACTCACGTAGGGGTAATCAGCCAGATCAGGACCGGGCTCATCTGATGCCGAGGCGGTCGATGATGATTGCCAGCCAGAGACGTAGACGGTATCGAGGTACTTGGCCATTTGGGTGACCATGGTGGGTTCTAAGCAGCCGTATGTGTAGCTAGCATCGCGAGTCTGTCACGCCGTTAGCAACCTCTCTCATCCCAACTCATTTTCCGTTCCCGGGAAAGCTCACCTCGAAGCGGTTCTCGAGAATGTTCCACAGCTTCTTGGCCTGGGCGTTGCTGGGGTAGTTGACGGGCAGGTATCCGCGCTTGGAGACGATCTGCTCGGCCGTGAAGGGCCGCTTGGTGTGTCGCCAGCGGGAGTCGCTCCACCAGGCCTTGACCTGGGCGACCTCCTTCTGGAAGAGCTCGTCCTCGACGTCGGGGTTGACCGAGGGGTTCACCATGTTGCTTGCGGCCATGGTGGGCGAGGTTTGTGTTTTGATTTTGGGGGAGAGGAGAGGAGAGAGAGGAGGGAAGAGAGAGGAGGGAAGAGAGAGGAGGGAAGAGGAGGGAAGAGTGTGCTCGCGTGTAAGTGAAGCTTTCGCGTGTCAGACTGGAGAGTATCGCAGTAAGAGAAGTGAGAGGAGTGAGAGCAGAATGAGCAAGATGAATGGCTTGAATAGAAAGATGAATCTCAAAATATCAAACTCGGGAATGGAGGTGGGAGAGGCTGATAATAAGTACAAGCCAGACCGGGAATGCCAACTTCCATCCATCCATCCACCCACCAAAAAAGGAAGCCCTGTGGGCAAGCTCGCAGGCTCCATCCATCCCTCCGCACCGAGGGGACCAGGGCGCCGCGGCTCCCCAATGAAGAGACGCCAATGCCACCGGGCGTCGCTTCTCTTCTGACTTCTGACTCCTTTAGTCCCGGAACCGAAAAAGAAGAGCTAGCGGCGAGTCGCAGCGAAGTGGTCGCCCCCCATGACTTGGTTGAACTTTTTTGCGGGAGCCGGACCCGCCGCGCACGAGGGCGTCCGCCCGCACCGCCACCCGCACCGGCCGCGGCTGTGGAGGTGGAGAATGAGGGAGGCAGACGGATCTTGGAGATGGGACTCGAGCTGCTCGTTCTGCTTGTGGCCAATTGTCTATTTTATTTTATGGGTTTTACTTTTCTAGAATAAAGCAATTCATCCTCTTCACCTGAATGAAGCCCAGTACAAAGACATATACCGCAGGCCCGTCACCTCAGCTACTTCAGATCCCCCCGTTCGGAATCACCCCGAGCAGCAATACCAAGTGCAAAGTGAAACCGCCCCTGCTGGCCCATTTTCTGGGTGCAAGGTACCGCTTTAGCTTCACCTCGGAAGTAGCCCAGATTCCCACAGATCCAATCCCAGACAGAACATGGACGTCAGTCAACTAAGTCACAAGCCGTGCGTGTCCTGGCCCGGCCATGGTCCGTCGCGTCGCAAGCCCGTCTGCGGGAGTACGTACCTCCGGACACTCGCCGAGCGGCGTTTGCCCTGGCATCTGCAACTCCAGCGGCTGTACGGAGTACGTACGGTACATGATTGTATCCCAAAGCCCGGAAATGCATGTCCAGCGTCGAATCAGCTGCCGCATTGTGATCGCGATGGGCAATGCTTGGCCAGCAGGTCAGGTGGAGAGTTCCATGTTGTACAGAGCACCGCCGCGCAATGACCGAGGGCATTCGCACGCGAGCATCTGATTTTCCATACCACCGCACCTGAAGCAGCATGGCCATTGAATTGAATCCCTCTCCTCAGCTACTCCTCATTACTCAAAATTGAAGTTCCTCCGCGGGGCCAAAATCAATATCCAGGACCGATGACACATGACGTCGCCGGGTTCCTCTTTCGGCTCAAAGGGGACCCGCCGCTCCAAGTACTTAGAGCCAGCCCCAGCTTTTACCGCCATTGGCCGAGGTGCCGAACTTGGGACGAACATCACAGGCTCAGCGACTCGGCAGCCTCAAACATGCGGCTCAGTTCTCCCTCCCCTTCCTCCCCTTTCTCCCCGCATCTCCGAAACGACTCCGGAGAAGGGTCGAAAAAGTGGGATTCAGAACCCCGAGTCGGAGTCAGAGGGACACTGCACTCGCGGCAGAGTGTCCCAAGTTGGGGAACAAGACGCCAACCGATGCTCCCCAAAATCTTACTCATGTACATGCTATCTATCTACTGCATCTACTGCATCTAGACAACCTGTGAGGTCCATCCCTGCATGATGCTTGATGCGGCGGATTCCCGAACTTATTCACCTGGCTCACCTCGTTTCTTCACCGTGTCTGATTTAACAACTACCTTTTCTTGCGTCCCTAAAATTAACGTCTACGCCTTTGACGTCGTCTAGCATGAGCCATTACATCTGTAATCCGTTTGCTCGTCCTCCTCTCTCTCCCATCTCCCATCTCCCATCTCCCACTTCTCCCATCGCCCCAAATCTCAACCATGTTCTATTCTTACCGCACTTTCTCTGCGCACCGCCGCAATATCAGAGTCTCGGCCTACCTCCGTGCCTCCAAAAACGCCATTCCCCATCATGCCCCGTACCCGCCCCCGGGACGCGGAACTTGCCCGAGTGCCGCCCTGTCCGGGGCAGCGGAGGTCGTTGGCATGTGAACCCGCACCAAAGCGACCAAATCTACACCCAGATCTGACCTTTCATTTTCAGATCATGTTACTCTCTCGCCTTGTTTCTTTCTTTATTTCTTGGTTCGGTCCTCCGAGCATGAGCCTTCGCCACCGCCGAATCTAGCATGTCATCCTCCGAGCCCCAGTCCCGTCGCCTAGACCGCCGCAGCCAGCCCACATGCATTTGCTTCCCCTGCGCTGTACTCCGTAGAGAATCTCCCTGATAGCTACCTACCCTTGCCATCATACGTGTACACGCACTCCGTACTTAGACACACAGCACAATGCTCGTACAATACAATCCTGTTTTGGGCCGTAGGATAGTCCAAGGTCTCATGTTTATCTGTATTCGTGGATGTAATCCACCTGGCCATGAACGTGACGTTTACATCTTCAGTCATAACGCCTTGTTGAAACTTACCTCGGCCAGCCCCACGCCCATGCCGAAAATCCCAATGCTGTCCCTTTGTCTTGCTTGTGCTGTTGCTTTTGTTATTCTTCGTCTCACGCGCCGTTTCAGCTCGCTAGGTTCCCGATTGCTTCTTCTGGCTCGGCCAATTCCCGAGCTTGTTTCCTATCGTCATCTCACAATCTTCAGTACTATACGCATCCCACATGCATCTATCCACAGACGTCACATGCAACAACGCAGGCTTCACTACACCAGCCATACATGGCATCGCATGTGCTGTTGATAATCCATACGCGCGCGCAAGTTCATGACTCTACATTCGTTACCAGGCCTTCTACATACCTCCGCCGTCCCTCATTCGTAAGTAGGCCAACCATCAAGTATCCACCGCCATGGCCCTCGGCTCATGCAGCCCAGATGCCGTTGTCATATCGGCATTGCCACTCTTGCATCCCGGCATCTCGAGCCCCACCGCAAGTCCCCGATTCCGTGCCGTGCTACTTGCGCCCTCTTCCAAGTCGAAACCATTTATCCGATCCCCTGAGAAACCTCCCTCCTCCATCTCTCCTCATCCAGTAACCAAGCCCGGGTCACCTTCTGTTTCCACGCACATTGTCATCCTCGTTGTCACTACTACCAAGCGCCCAAACCATGACATCCTCTTGCACACCCAATCTCAACCAGAACATGTCATGAACCGTTGTTACCCCACGACCATCCCCTAGACGTCCTCACATGCTCGCACGTCCCTGTCTCCATTATCCATCCATCCGCGCCGGCCTATCTCTCGAGAGCACCCTTACGGACCCATCAACCCTGCCAACGCCTTCTCGTTGTTCTGCTCAATCGCCTTGATAAACGTTGGGTACGGGGTCAGCGTCCCCAGCGCACGCCGCATGTGCGCGTTGACGATCTGCAGGCCATACACGTAGCTGGCATTGACCCAGCCGAATCTATCATGATGTTAGCTGTCTGCCTCGGCAAACTCTGGGCAACATGAGATCACAACATACCCTTCTTTGGCAACGCCCTTAAAGTCGAGGCCCTGGTTACCGTACTCGGCATCCACCCGGTGCGGGTCGACGGGTCGAGTCACGTCGTACTTTTCCACCACGACGCCGTTGAAGTCCACAAATGCCTTGGACATCATAAACAACCACTTGTAAGCCAGTCGCTCTGCTTCATCCGTGAAGCTGTATCGCAGCAGGCCAGTCCACGCCAGAATCTGCTGTGGCGCCCAGCCGTAGGGGAAATCCCACTGTCGGTTGGGACGCTCGAGTCCAATCTCGCCTCGTGACTCCTTCGTGCCAGACAAGAGACCGCCGTACGCTTCAAACTTTGGAAGTCCCTTTCGAACCATGTCGGCTGCCTGCTTGGGCGTCGCAATTCCAGCCCAAAGCGCCCAGAACGTGGTGCACGACTCGTATGTGCAGCGCTTCTGCGTCGCCGTGTTGTAGTCAAAGAACATACCCTCCTCCTCGTTCCACATCAACTTGTCCATGGTAAGCTTACGTCGCTTGGCACGACGATCCCAGGCAGCCGACGCCAGTACCTCTCCAGGCTTGTAGGGCGTTCCCGCACAGAACTCCTCGGGGATGATGAGCTTGTCGTTGAACACATTCCGGATTGTTCGCGCGATATCAGTCTCGTATTTGAAGAGCAGCGAGTTGAGGTCAATGGTGGCCAGGCTGGCACAGATACCCTCAAGTCTATACGATGTGTCGTGGCCTGACTCTCGTACCGCTCGGTCATGCATAAAGTAATCGTCAAGTTCCGGCTCATCCACCTCACGGTAGTTGTAGGCTCGCACGAACTCCTTGAATGTCATGTTGTGTTTATCGCAGTAAGGCTGGAGGATGTGCACAAAGTGACTGGCCTCAGTCTCGGGGGGGACTCCGAGTCCTTCCGGGCGATACCTCGACAATCCTGTGACGGGGTCCAACCGAGGCTCCGAGGTCCAAACGCTGTGGTACTCCTTGATGGCGGCGAGGATGGCTCGTCGCAGGAACTCCTTCGCATCTGGCTCGTGCTTGATTTTTTCGTACACCCGCAGGGCCATGTCAGTAAGGAAGGGCGGCTGTGACCGACACAGGTAGTACGAGCGGGTGGCATTGAGGATCTTGCCGTAGTGTTGGATGCAGAAGCAAAAGTTGAGTACCATGGACTTGGCCAAGTCGACGCGATCGTTGACGAGGAGTCCAAGTGACTCCATGTAGCTGTCCCACCCGTAAAGCTCGTTGAATCGACCGCCCGGGACGACAAACGGTAAGCCCTTCAGAGACTTGCCAGTGCTGCTCTTGGGGTCATCATATTCTTCCACCTCGACGGCCAAAAGACCGGGCTTCTCGTTCATGTCCCGGACAAGCTCGGGAGTGATCTTCTCAGGCAATAACTGAACATCCAGACGCATCTCAGGTCTGTCCTCGGCCACCTTCTTGTAGAATTCGTACTGGTGGGGGGCTCCGACGGGCACGTAGATTCTCGGGCGTGGGTCATCCGTCCAATCCTTGGGGTCACGGGCCGCTACGTCAATGCTGGAGGCATCAATGCGTCTTGTCAAGCCATCCCAGAAGTGGTCTTTGATAAGACGAGACAGTCGGTCAACGGGATTCTCGTTGAGTCGACCCTCGTCCAGAACAATCTGCTTTCGTCCGTATTCCTTGGCAAGAGTCAACTCCTGGAGGAGGTTCGACAACATGTATGTGCCGCGAACATCAAAGCGGTTGTAGCCTTCCGAAGCAGCTGTACGCAGCGATATGACTTTGGGTCCATTGTCCTCGATCGTGATTTGCATGTTTCCGTCGGTATCCTCTTGGGCTTGGAGACTCTCCAGGGTTGGCTCTACCTGGATAAGGAACCGGCGGCTCTGTTGGGTGTTTTCATCTGGAATTGAATCTGTTAGCAACGGTATGAAGTGTGAGTTTCTGATTGGGGTCCCTACCATGACTTCCTCTTCGAAACGGTTCTCGTAGTCCGATTCGTTCAAACTGCTTCATTAAGCTATTCTATTGCGATTGTGTCAGACTTCGTTAGATACGGGTAGATCCCAGCTCCACTCACCTGAGAGTATGTTCTCGTACGAGGGCCAACATTACGGTTGTGGCGTTCTTCGGAGTAGTATGTCTTGGCATCATCGTAGACGCCTTGATCCTCGGAACCAGAACCGCGAGAGCGGTGGCCAGACGGGGTGGTCATGACGATGGTGGCTTGCAGGGGACTTGCAGGAGACTTTGCAGGAGACTTTCCAGTAGATAGGCGAGGGGGGAACGAAGTAGAATGGCGAAACTGTAAAGAGAACAGATAGGTAGGTGCGAGGAAGCGAGGGAGCAAGGGAGTGAGCTTTGTTGCCACTCTCTCGTATTATAGCCACGTTCTGGTATGCTCGAATGCTGCCTGTACGACGCAAAGGGCACCAGCCGGTCAAGACGCAAAAAGGATATGGTCACGAGGATCAAAAAGCAAAACAAGGTCTGCAGGAGGTGCAAGGGGTGATGGGTAATGACGGGTGGGAGCAGGGAGGAGAGGGAGGAGTAAGGTGGGAAGTGGGAAGAGGCGGAGAGAGCTTGGACGGCTGGAATGGAGACCTGGTTCCAGGCTGACCGAGCTTCCCAGACAGCGCGGTGAGCGGTCAGTCAGGGCGACGACGTGGGGGGTAGGCCGGCCAATTGTGGTTGAATGGCACGGTTCGGTGAAGCCGGGATGTTTGCTGCGAGGATGGAAAAAATTGCAGTTTGGCGGAGTTGGTGGTGGTGGTGTAATGGTGGTAGTAATGGTGGTGGTTGTTTGTCTGGTCGGCGTTTCGTTCCCCTCCTTCCCAAATGCAGATGCTCCCCTCCCCTAGTAGCCTACCGCGCAGTGCAGAGTGCAGGAGCGAGTTGGTGTGACGATATCACTCTGCAGCTCGGCTCCACCCTCCCACTCTCTCTGCCGTGGGGAGGGCATTACCCCCACTAAAGGCCCTGTTGGTTAGAGGGTCTCGGCCACTAGGGGATCGCCGTCCGCTGTGACTGCTCGTCGTTCTGGGCGGCCACCTGCTGGAGAACGTGCTGCACCTCCCACTCCAACCCCACCATGGCATCCCGCGCCCAGCTACTCCCAACCACACCCTCCCCCAGCAAATCTGAACCCTGGAGCCAACGGGCTGGGATATTTGCCCGATTCATCATTCGACGCTTGGGAACCACGATTTCCGGTGCCTGCTTGCTGCAGCTCGCAGCCATCTCCAACATCATTCTCGGCCGTCCTAAGGAACCGAATCCCCCTGAGCTGGTGCATGTCGCACATGCTGAGATCCCAGGACCCCTCGTCCGATGCCTCCCACCGAGATGTGTATAAATAGAGACCTCCAGTAGGCCAGAAACCCAGCAAGGATGCTGTGCATGGTCAGACCACCAAACACGATTTCAAGATCGACGTCCGAGCACATGTACTCTTTGACAGGCAGGGGAAAATTGTCACGCTCAGCTGGTGCTTGGCCCTTTGTCAAACCATGTCTTGGTGCACGAGACCTCGACGCCGCTGGTGGGAGACTGTGCCTCTCGCCATCACTCTCCACATCGAAGTTCATTTGTGTCACTATGCTCAGGTTTTCAAGGACAACTCATTCTACCTTCACCGCGGTGAACCCAGCGTATCGGAACCAAAGGATATGACTTTGGAGACTCGCATCGAGGAATGCCAGAATAGGATACTCCGCAACGCAGGCGACATCAATCCCAAGACCATTTACCGCTTCTCCTTAACTCCGGCTCAACTCCACCATATCCCGGGATATGGGTTGATACGATCAAACATGGTGATAAATGTGACATCATTATATTCATGCCTAGGGTATAGTAACAATAATCAAAGTCTCGCCAGTCTGTCATGGCGCAAATGAGTCGCGTTAGAAATTCAGGCCCGTCGTGTATCGTATGCCTCCTATCAGGGTATTTGTGCAGTCCAAATGCAGCCCAAATCAAGTCCAAATCAACGGTTCCCAGTATTAATCCTTGGCGCCAAATCCAGTGCATGTCCTGAGGTTCCACGCCCATATCCCGTTGTTGCCCTGGCTCTTCAAATGCCGAAGACAGGTGATGGACCAGCAACACCCATGCTATGTAGATGCCCAGTCCTAGGACTGGCTCCTGCGTGAAACCATGGCACTCCTCCTTCTTCCAACAACCTCAGGATCCCAAGTGCCAGCAAACACATCCTCACACTCGTCGTCATCCTCGGAGTCGAAATGAATATCCCCGTCGTCCTGCTTGTCTGGGACGACAGTCTCTCCCTCGCCCATCGGAACGTCCTCCCAGCTTCGGTGAGTCACCACCCTCTCTGTCTCCAAGATGAACTTGCCCACCTTGTACTTCTGCCCTTGTTCCTTGGCGTCCACATACTTCCACCCCAACTTGGTCGTGCATGACCCGCATGTGATGTCGGCCACGACGTGCCACCCTGTTACGAGCTGGCGGTTCTCGCTCCTACCAACGCGTATGTTCACCAGCGTCTGCGGGGCTGGGGGCGGTGGTGGCGCAACTAGAAAAGCCCGACCGTAGCGCCCGGTGAAGCCCTTGGAGATGATCTGTGACGCCAAGGCGAGGTCGGCCGAGCATGTTGAACAGCGCAAGGTATTGGGGGCGGTGCTGGACAGCCGAGTGCTGGCCGCGCGCTTCGTCAACGGAGTATTATTGGGAGGTGAGCTCGCTGGAGTGGTCACCGCGGATGACGCGGGCGAGTCGGCCGAGGACGAGGACGAGGACGAGGCTGAGTGGCGACGGGAGAAGGGGAGCTTGAAACTCGGTAGCAGGTAGGTGGGAAAGACGGGCTTGGTAGCCGAGATGCCACTCTCGCGAACCATGTTGGCGGTTGCTATCGAATGTCTTTGTGTGCCCCGGGTTCTCGTTTGCGACTTATGGGGGTTGTCGTTTGTTCTGTTTCGTGAGTGGATCACCGGAGGCCGATAACGTGTGACGATGACAGCGACGGTGACGCACGGTTCTCAAATATTCGCAGAGTTCGAGGCGGGCCGGAGCGCGACAGAGCAAGACCACAGTGCCACGATTCACAAATAACAAAGAGTAAGAAATCCTCTCCGTGAGAGCCGGCCTGGGAGAGGCTCCGTCTTCTTCCGGATGATAGCTAAGGCATCGGTCACTTGGTCACGTCCACGGCACAGCCGGGCAGCGATCACCGGACTTCCTGTGTAATCGATAAGGGGCGGTGGAGGGGTAAAGGGTGGAGCCAAGGAGACCAGGGTCGGCACTTTGGTTGGTGGCGGGGTTACAGGGACCGTCAAGTACATGTCACCATTGGGGGGGCCTTCAAGGTTCCTTAGCGAGTTTATCTATTACTTTTATTCCTAGGAAATTGGAACGAGAACTGTTGTTATGTGCTTGTACTTGATTTTTAGGACCCTGAACCTGGTGGAGAGAGTCTGCGAATCATGGCCTAGCATACCGTCAACTTCTGTATACCCAACCCTTAGGTTTCCTGGCGAGCACTGTTTGGCCAAGTGTCGCATGTTGAACTACGGTGTATATCGCAAAATTCGGTAGTAAGTGGGTGGTAACGCGCAGTCGCTCAGGCAGAGCTTGGCCAGTCTAAGTCGTGTTTGAGTCTTGGTCGGCAGGTCGACGCCAATAGCCCTTCAACAGACGAAGCCATTGAGATCTTCCGGGGCTTGTCTCTTTCTTCTGTCATAGGCAAGCCGGCTCACCTATGTTCCTTGACCACACAAAGGTACCGAGATTGTCCAGGGTGAATCCGTCATCTATCATGTGCCGTCAGAGGCCCGGCTCATTTATATTCTTCCAGCAGGCAAAGCCAGTGATGTTGTCTGGGTGGAGACGGACCCTGGTCTGTTGTCTGCTTTTGGCAAACCTTCTTGTCAAGTGGACGAAGTTATTGAAAATGTATGGGGTTGGACCCTATCGCCTGCTGTCTTTCGTCGAAAGGCCGGCTTTTTATATTCCTCGACCAGGAAAACCACTGAGATTGTCTGGGGGTGCCTACTGTAGGTGCTTACCCAACCGCAAGACGTCTTTCTATGACTGGTAGTTAGTGATTGAGCGTCGACGCATTTTCTCCGCTGCTGCAATGCAGCTTTCAGGAACTTTCCTCCCATTTTAAGAAGACAGAAAGAGCTGCAGCAGAAATTTCATCATTCTGAAAGGGACAAACTTAGGCAGGCAATGGCTTCCCAGTTAGTACCTTAGTAATGTACCTACCAGGCAGGAGTACTAGGTTTCGTGGCCTCAAAGGCCTGTGGGTTGAAGGTATATCGTGTCCTGCTTATTCAATACGCGAGGTAATCAATCAAGGTTTGTGACCGATGTCCTCTATCCTTTCCCGACCTAATTTTTCTCATTCACCCGATCTCTCTGACTGGTTTCTCTCACTTTGCCTTCGCCATCACAGCACAAATTCGCCATAAAAGTACCTAGGAAGCAATGCTGTCCGTAAAGTACCACCTCTCTTACTGGGTCATTTCCGCTGCGGCAGCCGTCGTCTATCATGCACTTGTCGCAGCGGTTGGATGGAATGAAGCCAACTTTCAAAAGCTCCTGATTCCCCTGGCAGCTTACACCCTCTACCTCGTGTACACTGGCCCTCGTATTCGCTCAAAAGCATGGCACATCTGCCATTTTGCTGCTACCGGGTGCCTCATGGTGTCTTTAGGAGCTATTGCAGAGTATTTATTCATCCCAGGAGTCAGTGTAACCCCAATCAAAGGGGCCATCCATACCATTTTGGCTTTTTCAGCCATTGGCGCCCTTGAGCCTCTCAGGCAGAACGTACGTCCATCTATTACACTTGACACTAGCCACGATGAACACGCCTTGCTGACGTATGATAGCGGAAAGATATTGAACCCTGTGGGGCTGTAGGAAGCATGATGATCTCGGGTGCTCGTATTGAGACGCAGCTGCCGCACAGCTGGAAATCCGGTCTCAGCTTTCTCTCCACGCAACTTTATACGAATGGTATTTTATACGTCATATCTAGAGTCACCATGCGTGTTATTGATCAGGGCCTTGGATACACCTATGGTCCCGAGACTTCCTGTATGTCCATCTGGAACGCGCACAAGAGCGTAGAGGTGCCTTTCAGCAGTGTCATCATGATATTTTTTGTCGTGGGACCTTTGTTAGACGTGTCAGAGACTGTAAGACATCTTCGGCCGTTTTCTTCTGGAGTAGAATTTCTAATAAGTGTGGAATCTACAGATCTTCTACCTCGCTCATAGGCACATGTCACCCAAATGGATGCCAAAGCCAAGGCATCTTGTCCGCCCCAACGCCTCCTGGCGTCCAATGAGCCACGGCACTATGGGACCATTTTTTGGATGGATGCTTTACCTTGTATGGAGATACCGTAGCGGATTTTCTTCTGGCCGGGATGCATTGTCTGCTGGGGGTGATCTATAGTCTGTCTGGATACCAATAACAATAGCGCATTATTTGTGGCTCCTCATCCGACGTATTCGATAGCAATTTCTAATTTAAACAATTCCTGTTCGAACATATTGGAGGATGTTCCCAAAATATGGAGGCAGAGATAAGTTCATGTCAAGAAGCCGAGGTAGGTATTTATTCATTTGTATCGTACAACCTGGCTATCCTTTCAGACTTGATTAGGTCTGGGGCTCCTCCGCAACATAGTGGAGGTACGCTCCTAGCAACTTGATACCCTCAATGTAGTTGCGCTTGTCCAACTTCTCGTTAATGGAGTGTGCCCCGTCTGTGGAGCTACCCATGGGTAGCAATAGGACGTTCTTGCCAGTGGCCTCCTCAAAGGTCAGAGTGACGGGGATACTGGCATAGCGGTTAGCATAGGTACCCACAGAGTTCATCGCAGTCTTGGCTAGCTTACCTTCCACCCTCACGAGTGAAGTCGGGCTCGACGCCCCACACGCGCTCAACAGCCCTAGCCGCGGCGCTGAAGTTCCAGTGCTTAGGCGAGGCTACCCACCACTTTCCGGTGTGCTGAGCGTACACCTTCATGGTGTTCTTGCTCTTCAACTTGGCAAACTGCTCCTCGACAAACTTGTAAACGCAAGCGTTGGTGGTGTCAATGTCCATGTCAGGAACAGTTCGGATAGAGAACTTTCCAATGACCTTGGCAGGGATAACAGTCTTGGCCCCAGGGGCGGAGAAAGCACCCTCGATGCCGTGGAGGGACAGAGACGGGTATCGCCATCGGCCCATCAGAGTTGACTTCTTGTCCTCGAAGATGGTCGTCGTGCTACCCAGCGACTCGTGCAAAGTCTCCATGGTGAAGGAAATGCCGTCATAAAGACCCTCCTCGTCGGCAGTAACAGGGGCAACCTGCTCCATGATCCCGGGGATCTGGATCTTGCCGTCAGTATCAACCAAAGACCCCAGAACTCTGACGAGGTCAGTCATGGGCTCTTGGGCGGTGCCGCCAAAGACTCCACTGTGCAGGTCGGCACCAGGGCCGGAGACCTCCACTGAGTAATAGTTGCACCCACGCAGACCGTAGGTCAGGCAAGGCTTCTCGGTGCCCAGCCAGTAGTTGTCTGAAATGCAGACGGCCTCGGCATCGGCGAAGTACTTCTTAGCCTCCTCCTTGATGAGGTCATCGAGACCCTCAGAGCCGTACTCTTCCATACCCTCGAAGCACATCAGCAGGTTGACAGGGAAGTCAACACCCGCCTTCTGGTGGGCCTCGATGGCATTGAGCCAGCCCAGGACAGGGCCCTTATCATCGGTGGATCCACGACCAAACATACGGCCCTTCTCGTCGACAGTGAGGTCAAAGGGGTCGGTAGCCCAGCCGTCACTCTTCTCAGCAGGCTGGACATCGTAGTGGCCATAGACCAAGATGGTTCGCTTGCTCTTGTCGCTGCCGTATCGTGCGAGCACAACGGGGGGGAGGTCCAGGTGCTCCTTGCCGGGCTGCTTGCCCAATGGTCGAAGCTCGACGGAGGCACCAAGGCTCTTCAGCTCATCGGCAAGGAACTCTCCCATGCGGACGACATCTGGGCGGCGGGCATCTTCGGCAGAGATGGAGGGAATGGCAACGGCCTTTCGCAGACGCTCGATGAAGTCATCAGCAGAGCTGTCGACCTGCTTGAAGAAGCCGTCGAGCTGGGGAGCCATCTTTTTTGCCTGGTGGGAACGAATGGAGTCTGTGAGGTATGACCGAGAGGGAGTGGGATGCGGTTGGCTTCGTACACGGGCGACGCTCGGGGATATAAAAGGTCTTCTGAGAAGCAAATTGTTTGTACGAGGACAACAAACAGCTGCCCGTTGCAGGAAGAAGGTGCGGGGCATTACGTGCGACTTGCTCTATCGGGCGGGCGAGTGAGGCAACGCAGCTCCGGACTCACCTTATGGCGGGGCAAGTGTACTTCGTACAATCAGTGAAACAACAGCGCAACGAGCTAGTTGCGAGGCGGCCGGCTATTGACGGCAACCAATGAAGCAAACCCGCGTGATGATTAGTCAGGGAAGTCAGCAAGCGTTCGTTTGGAGAGGTGCCCCTCATCCTGCAAGCTCGGTGCCGTGATTTGGGGTGGGTACCTCAGCTTGGTCACATGTCACATGTCTCATGTCTCACATGGCTGGTGCCTAAGGCATCGAGTCATAATCGCCTGCGGAAAAATACTTAATCACATCTCCGGCCTCGCCTTCTCCGCTTCGGAGGCTCCCATGGCGCAGGCACCCCCCGTTGATTAGTAACTGCGCCAGAGACGCTTTTCTGCCCCTTGCAGGTTCTTCCTCTCTCCATCTCTATCCTTCCCCATACATTGTCGCTGCTCTTCGCCATCGCCCGCCCAACAACGCCATCAAACGCCCGTGTGTCCTCTGCTTCTGCTTGTAAACAACGCGCCTGCCCTTGGCCACACCGTCGCAACGTGCTATCCGATTTCCCCGCTCTCCCGATCGCGAGCGATTTCCTCGACTCATCGACGTCACGGCGATCCGACCATTTCTCCCCCGTTGCTTGCAAGCTTCAAGTCTTGCGCGCGTCGCTAGCCTGCTCTCGAAAGGGTGTGGTTGCTAGGACTGGCTAACTCTAAATTTCGCGGGTACAGTGGTTGTCAAGTCGTGGTGACTGGGAAGTGAGGTGGAGCTTCAGGGTTGTTTTTCCTTCCGGCTTTGGCCAACTGTACTCCTTATTCGTTGCGCCCATTGACCCTATTGCCGCTATTGTTCCCTCCAAGTACAATCAGAATTGATTATTTCCATTCATCTTGAGAGTTGAGAGGCACGCAAGTGCAAGAAAGAAACGAAACAAACACAGTCCCCTCATTTACAAACACAAAACAAACAATCATTACTCACTTAGTGCTTTGTGCGGACGAGTCGCTGCGACACCAATATCATCATCGCGACTCTCGGTATTCTGATCCTCGGCATCCTCCTGCTGCCGCTTGTTGTGCTGTCCTCGTATCCCGTAGGAAGCAGTTAGCACATTTCGATCACAATGACTTCTTCAGTCTTCTTCAAGTTCAAGTCTCAGAGGGAGCCTACCCGTGTTGAATTCGATGGCACAGGTATCTCCGTGTTTGAGCTCAAGCGGGAAATTATCACCAAAAGTGGATTGGGTGATGGCACCGACTTCGACCTCTTCATTTACACCGATGATAACAGTGAAGGTAAGATACATCGCCAGTCAATGAACCAAGTAAACACTAACCCTTCCTTAGAATATGACGATGACACAACCATCATTCCCAGATCGACAACAGTAATTGCTCGGCGCCAACCAGCCCTCAAGTCCGGTGCTGGTCGCGCTGCTCGTTATGTCACTGGAAAGATGCCCGTGACGGCTAAAAATGCTGGCCGTAAAGAACAAGCGGCGAAAGCGTCTTCATCAAAGCCCAGTTCTAATGCGATCAACCAAATGAACAACGCCATGACTGAGGAGGAGAAGATGGCTGCCATGTTTGCAGCACAGACCGAGCAGTGGTCCGCTCAGCAAGAGGAGATGTCACAGTGAGTTGAACCCCCAAGACAGGTTTAAAAGTAAATACTAACATTGTCCCAGTCAAACGCCAGTGTTCAAACCTGGTTCCAAGCGGCCGGCGAATGTGCCCGACCACGACCCGCCAAATGGCTACATTTGCTATCGATGTGGCAACAAAGGGCACTGGATCCAGTTGTGTCCCACTAATGACGACCCCGAGTTCGACAACCGACCCCGTGTCAAGCGTACTACCGGTATCCCTCGCTCATTCCTACAGAAGGTCGACAAGTCCGTTGTTCTGGCTCAGACTGAGGGAGATGAGTCAAAGCGCCCTTCTGGCATTATGGTTAACGCTGAAGGAGACTTCGTCATCGCCGAACCGGATAAGGCGTCTTGGGAACAGTTCCAAGCCAAGACCAAGACTTCGTCCACGGCCAAGGCACCCTTGGCTGAGGACAAGGAGATTCAGGAGCGGGGCTTCGTGTGCTCAATTGACAAGAAGATGTTCATAGAACCAATGAAGACCCCGTGCTGCCAGAAGACCTTTTGTAATGATTGCATCACCAATGCTCTCATCGAAAGCGACTTCATCTGCCCTGCGTGCCAGACGGAAGGCGTGCTGATCGATGACCTGCAGTCGGATGAGGAGACGTCAAAGAAGATTCAGGAGTACCTAAAGGAGAAAGAAGCCACAAAGACTCCTCCACCAACATCACCGAAGGCCTCGGGAGAAGGGAAGAGTGAGGAGAAGCCAGAGGAGACGCTAATCGAAGCCTCTGAAGCCAAGTCTGATGACAAGGCTGAAGGAGACGCGGCAGAGAAGCCGGATTCCCCAAAGAAAGATAGCAGCAAATCGCCAGTCTCGCAAGCTGCGGCGGTGAAGTCCCCACCCACAGGCCCCAAGAGTCTCATTGCCGCCCAGGACGCACTTGAAAAACAAGCAAGTGGTGTTAAGCCAGATGAGGCAAACTCCAAGAAGCGTCCCGCTGACGACATCCTGGATAACCCGAGAATCCCTAAGGGCCCTAAGGCAATGCAAAATCAACAGGCACAGAACATGATGCCCAACATGATGAACGGCATGCCTGGAATGAACATGGGAATGAACAACATGATGTTCAACGGCATGCCCATGATGCCAAACATGATGGGTATGCCCAACATGGGGAACATGAACATGGGAAACATGAACATGGGGATGCCGATGATGGGTATGCCTAACATGATGGGCATGCCCGGGTTCCCAGGGATGAATGGAGGATTTGGGGGAATGAACGGCTGGGATATGGGAATGAATGGCAACGGCATGAATGGTAACATGGGAGGCATGAATGGAGGCATGCATGGAGGCATGAATGGCGGTATGGGTGGAGGCATGAATGGTGGCATGAACGGTGGCATGAACGGAGGCATGGGTGGAGGCATGGGCGGCGGTATGGGTGGAGGTATGAATCCAGGCATGAATGGCTTCCAGAACGACAACTTCACGCACGGTGGCAACGCCAACGAGGAGGACGCATACTTCCGCAAGCCTGTGAACCCCCATCGCCACCAGAACAAGCAACGACGAGTACGACCTAGCGATTACCGCGAGCTATGAGCCAAGAGCTGGCTATGGCTGCGTACGACTTGATTTCTTGACAGTGCTGCACTTGCTCTCACGACCTATACTTCTCAGGGCCGGGATATGCTCACATGGCGTCGACTTTACGCATTCTACAAGGGGACTGGCTTTCTGGATCGGGGTTCACGAGGGCGTTGCTTTCTTCTTTCTCTTTTTGCTGCATGATGCCCGTCAGGGTGGACAAGGCGTTTGGGGGAACTTTAGGGGTGGCGAACTAGCCTTCTGATTTCCTGTGTTATCTAGGGTTCTGGAACAAAGAGGTTGCTTGAACGGTTCATACCGTCAATGCGAGGTTGACGGATATACCTGCGAGAAGAAGCATGAGCGACTCGCATAGTTAAAACACAAACAACTAGGCAAATGAAGAACCGATTATGTGACAAAGTTGGGTATTGCTCTCATGTGACTGTATATATGTGTAATGTCTCGTAAAAATGATCAATCCCCCAAAATCAACTCCACGCCTCAAGCCGACTCCCTCCCTTTGTGGTGATTTTGTATCTTCTTGTGATCCCAAATGTTGTCTTGTCGTCATGTTTATCGCGATATGCCTTTATTTCTTATTTACTCCGGGGGAACATAGGGTGTGACGAGCATCTCGCTAAACTTCTCGAGCTTCTCCTTGCCACGGACCTCCTCGACCAGCAGGGGCATCTTGACGACGTTGAAGTCCTCGGCGTACAGCTCCTCGTATTGGTCGAGGTACTTGCGCTGCATCTTGCGGCGAGCGCCACACTGTTCACAGTTGCTCTCGTTCTTGGGGAAGAGGAGTTGGTTGACGACAATGGAGTGGGTATCGATGCCGTAGCCGGCGAGCTCCTGGATCATTCGCTCCGTCTCGTAGAGACTGAGGAACTCGGCGATACAGACGCAGACAAAAGTAGTGAGGTCGGCGTCTTGGAACTGTGTGTTGACCTCGGCGATGGTCTCGCGCAGGGACTCGAGCTTCTCCGTCATCTCGCTGAGGTTCTGGCCGTTGGGCAGGGCTCCGTTGCTACCGAGGAAGCCGTTGAGGAGGGGTCCGTATTGCGAGGACAGCTGGGTGATCTTGGCGAGGGCCTTTTCGAGGACCGAGGGGAACTGGAGGAAGCGGAGGGTGTGGCCGGTGGGGGCGGTGTCGAAGATGATGGTCTCGTAGGAGAGGGACTTGACCTGCTTGAGGACTTCGGCGAATGACATGGCCTCGTCAATACCGGGGATCTGGTGCGCAAAAGTCAGTAACCCAGGTCAGGTTGGCAGCCATTGGAAAAACGAACCGCAAAGGCGAGGTCCTGGACCATTCCACCAAGCCCACCACCCATAGCATTGACATCGTCCGCCTCGGCCTGGCCAGCCAGGAGGTCCTGCATGCTACCGTTGGGGTCGATCTCCATGGCGCTGAGGTTGTCGAAGCCGTTGATGAGGCGGGCCTCCTTGCCGAACTTCTGGGAGAATGCATCGGAGAGGTTGTGGGCAGGGTCGGTGGAGATGAGGAGGACGGAGCGGCGGACGCGGGCGAGCTGGATGGCGAGGGAGCACGAGGTGGTGGTCTTGCCGACGCCGCCCTTGCCGCCGACGAAGATCCAGCGGAGGCTGCGCTGGTCGAGGAGCGACTGGAGCGAGGGCTCGAGGGCGTCGTCGGCGGAGATGACGGCGGTGGACATGATGGCGGGAGGAGTGCGGCGGGAGGAGTGCGGCGGGAGGAGTGCGGCGGGGAGGAGACGGAGGAGGTGGAGGAGTAGCGGAAAGGGAAAGGCGGAGACGGGAGATGGAGGGCGTCGAATGAGTTGGACGACGAGCAGCAGGCGACTAGTAACGGGCAGGGTTGAGATGTCGCTTGTGTGGTGTTGTCGTCTTCAACCTAGCCCAGTATGTTCTAGAAGCTCGCGGTTCTTGGTGGAGTTGGCAAAAGCGGGTTGGCTGGTTGGTACGTTGGAGACTTGGAGGGGTCGAGCAGTCACAAATACCACGTCACATGTCTCGATGATGTCACCGGTATTCCGTCCGGTTATTTCTGTCCATGCACCCCGCCATTGACAACACATCCGCCACAGTTCGCAGTTGCAATCACACACCTGTCAAATCCATTCAGCGTAGGACTTTAGGGACCTTAGCTCTCGTTCGGGGGGGGGGGGGGGGAGATGCTGTACGACGGCTGAAAATAAGTTGGTCCAGGTCCTGCAGGTCCCCCGACAATAGGACCTTCCCCCTGGAACCCGCCTAGTCCTACGCCGTCAGCTCCTATCCGCTATCTCGTCCTTGGGGACTGACTGTCCCTCCTCCGGCCAGCGGGTCTAGGCGCCAGGCCGGCCCCGTCCACGGAGGCGGCGAGCGGCGTCCAGCGTCGTCGGGCGGCTGCGATAGGACGGGAACGCGTGCTGGGCGTGACGTTGGCGACTGACGAAGGACCATGGGCCGGAGCTGAATTGGGCTGGGCCGCAGAGCTGAACTGCAGAGCTGACCTGGGCACCGCTGCACCGCTGCACTGCGCCCAAGTTATTAACTGCAGTGGGCTGCTCTGCCGGGCTGAGCAGGACTGGACTGGGGTTCACTGCCAGCTGCCAACTGCCAACTTTTGGAGAAGACGCTCGCTCACTCGCTGCCTCAGCCCTACAACTACGTATACATCGCCTCCGTTGGCCCTCCGTTCCCTTCTCCTCTCTTCTCTTTCGTTTCCATGAACCAAATGCCAACACACGCAGCAAACGGTTGACCATTGTCCTCTACTTTTAAGCACTCCTCCCCTGGCAATCCCCTGCCGTAGCCAGACTACACTCTCCCGAAACCTACTCGCCCGTCGCTCCAGCGATCCAACCTCCCTCCCCCACCTTTGACGTCAACTCCTGCGTCGCACCACCACCACCAACACCCACCACAACACCAAAACCTGCACCGCTTTCAAACCCAAAACGACCAGCCCAACATGGCCGCCTCCTCCGACAAAGACCCCATCACCTGTCACGTCCTCGACACCACGAACGGCCGCCCGGCCAAGGGCGTCCGCGTGCGCCTGGTCGGCGGCGCCGTCTCGGCCACGGCTCAGCCCAAGACGTTCGAGTCCGTCACCAACGACGACGGCCGCATCCTCGTCTGGCTGCCCTACAGCTCCGACCTCTCTGCCGGCGAGGTCCCCGTCTACACCCTCCTGGACGTCCTCGGCGAGGCCAGCGGCGCCTCCCGTTGGACCCTGCGCTTCGACACGGCTGCTTACTTTGGCGAGGACAAGACTTTCTTCCCCGAGGTCACCGTCACCTTCCGCGTCGACGAAGGGCAGACTTACCATGTGCCCTTGTTGCTGAGCCCTCACAGCTACACCACCTACCGGGGCAGCTAGATTTCTACCAAGATGGCCAAGGGCCTTGTTATAAACGGTCTGTTGTGAAGGAACATATGGAGAGTAACGAGTTCAGTTACAGAGTGGTTGAAACCTAGTTATGGCTGCTCATGGTATTTACCATCGGGAAGATGACGATTTTCATACGATAGCGATGATGGTGGTTTATTTATTTCATCAAAGAATGTCTTAAACAGGCACTACCTAGCCTCTTGTCCCAGTATGTCCATGTCCAAGCTCTGTTCCCTCCAGAGGGACAGTGATGCCAACCTTTTATTCCCTTGAATGCCCGGGAAATCCAACGAAAAGTCCCCTGCTTCCTTGCCATAAACTCCGCGCTTTCCAAGATGGATAAAAGAGAGGGTAAAGTAATCCCGTATTCCGTTTAATGATGCAGTCGTTTCAGGTCGTTGGCCGTGACGTCTCGGCCGTGTAGTCGTAATATTGAGTGTCCTCACTCAGGGTGTCCGTAATGTTCAGTTCTTTCGCCATTTCTTTAGCAGTCCCCCCTTCCTGGAACGATGTGAGGGCACGTCGGGCGAGGTCGGTGGGGTTTCTTCGTCTCTCTGTGACACGATGCTCTCAGTTCCGTCCTTGGAGTACCGCACACTTGACATGGATGGGCTAACGAGCTTGATGCTTTCTGAATCGGTGACGTCGGTGTTGACAAGGGAGAGGACGCTGTAGAGGGCTTCGGACTGTGGTGAGATTCGGCCATGCTTGCTGGTGTGTCGCTTCTTCTTCAGGAACGAGCGTCGGCTTCGTGAGAGCGCCATCTCAGGGCTGAAGTCTTCTTGGCTGATGCAGGCGTTTGGAGACAGGTCTGCGTCAGGATGAGGAAGCGTGGTGTTGCGGACTGGTGAGCAGATTAGAATAGATTCGTCATGGTGAGCCTGGCAGGTTGACAAACCGTCGTTAAAGGGTTCAGGGAAGCCCGTGTCTCGGGGCTCCCGTCGTCGGGACTTGACGGTAGGACTCGGCGACATGATGTTGATCTGAGGTACGGTTTTAGAGGTGGTCGTCATTGAGTTGGTGACTCGGTTTGTGTTGCTTGTGATGAGAAGAATGAATCAAGGAGAAGATGATGGGTTGACGGAGGCAGCGAGTCGAGGGCACTTTCAACGCGCCGAATGGGGCAAGTACATGTGAGGTGGGCGGGTGTAAGCGCGAGGCCGCTTCTGTCACGAAGAGCAAAGCCCCAATGGCTGCAACAGAGTTCGGTAGGGATGATGAGGAATAACAAATGGAATCAAGTCACTTGATGATCAGAGGAGGATTGGTTTTTTTTTCCAGTGGGAAAAAAGAGGCGCAAGGTAGGTAGGTTGGAGGTTTGTTCGTCTCGCAGAAATTAAAAGATGCTCCGGGGGGAATGAGCAGTGATGGGTAGCAAAACAGGGTCCGGGCGAGGGGGGCAAAAGGGTCACGCCAGGGTTATTATGATGGTAGGCTCTGGTAGCAGCGATGCGATCAGCAGGGCATGGGTTTGTTGACTCCGCTTGGGACTTGGGACTTGGGACTTGGGACTTGGGACTTGCATTGGCACTTGCACTGGCGCTGGCGACCCCGATGCGGCATCGTGGTCGGATCTTCGGAACCCAAGAGGCTTGGGGCGATGCGGGTTGGCGAGAAAGCAGCCGAGCCAAGGGCGATTAGCCACTGGGCGAGGCTTGGCTCTCGCCATCCGGCACAGCGGCCAAGAGGTCAAACGTGGAACGCCTGCTTCTGGCTGCGTGGCCCTGTGCCGCAGCCCGAGAAATCGAAATGCCAACTACGAGCCAGGGGGGTATGGAAGGGTATTGGAGGGTATGACGAGCGGTGGAGTCTAGCGACGCCAGCACCATCAAGCTGGGACGATCCGAGGCGAGAGGCAACAAGAAAGATCCAGACTCACCTTGAAATAGCCAGGGGAAGCCTGCAATGACGCCCTGGGCTTGGAGACTTGGAGACTTGGAGACTTAGTTAAGTTAGGTCCTTCAGCGCCCCAACGGACCTGGGGTCGACCGACGACCGCAGTAATCGCCCAAGCGCTCGGATTGGAATTTGCCCGTTGAGTTTCGGAAATGCTGCCTCTCCACGGTTTGGACGGCAGCCAGGGTCAGCCCAGCGAGGGCGAGTGGCTGATGAGGCTCGGCGCTGTGCCCAGGATTGGAGTTGAATGGAGCTCACTGGCGTCGTAAGCTGGGCGAGCCGCTTGGCGACTCGTTCTGTTGGGCGGCCGATGGCGCGAGCGCGAAACAGCGACAGCGACAACGACGGGCGACGGGCGACAGGCAACGAAATACTTCTGCGCCTCTTCAAACGAGCTGAGAGGTTTCAAGTGCAACTGCAGGATACGTCATCACAGCACAAGAGGATCGCGGAAAGTTTATGCCTGGTCCGGGGTGGGTTGTGATATTTATACTGCGAGGCATTCACACGCACACGCTGACCGGCTGCCGCAGGACGGGATGAAAGCGACCAGGTGGAAACCAGTTCCCCAACAGTCTGGGAATGGTGCAGCAATCGCTACAGTAACTTGCTTTAGGCGGTACAGTACTCCGTAGTGGTGACCCAGTAAAAGAGCAGCCCCGGGCAGGGACGCCGGCAAACGGCCACCGAATGCCCCAGAAAACAGCCAGCGGACGACCTTCAGCAGCGTCCAGGTGATGATCATTTCCCAGCAGGCCCCTGGACACATGACGACAGGCCTGGGCGTGCAGGCCGGTGTCTCGCAGACGGGAGTGCTAGTGGCTGGCCGGGCTGTCGAAGCTGACCTCTGACCTCGAGGGCGCCCCAGCGCTACACACACATCTAAAACCTGGACAATGAGGGCGCGGTTCGGCAGGCCGCCGTTCGCAGTGACCTCCCGGCGTGGTTGTCTGCCGAGTTCGACCGGTGCTGGATCCCGTTGTTCGATTCGCTCCCTCGGAGGAGGGGAACTGCATCCGAGCGGGGAATTCGCCGTGGCATGCGCAGCTGGGCGCTTGCACGGCAAAGCCGGTTGCGACCCGGACTGCATTGATGGACTTGAATTGGTGTTGTCGTATTCATTGACGGGCGGTGTCGCCGACGGAGAATGGAACAGGACGCCCAGCGACTCGGAGGATCGTCACGTGCACGGCTTCAGCCCAGACTCTCAGTGCGTTCATCACTTCGCCGGTGTGTCACCTTGGGTCGATCGGTCGGAGTCCATCATTATAGGCTCCATCGTAGTACCCTCGAATTCTTACCATATCGACTTAGTAAATAAATTGGCCCTGTTTTTAGGGACGATAGCTAAGCTACATAAGGCTCAGATTTCCTAAGTCATCAAGTATAAAAAAGCCCAAGGGCAATAGGTGGCAGAAGGACTCAGAGCCAATTTACTGAGTCGATACGGTCCTCAAATTCTTACTCCCCCGGTATGACCTACCCCTGGTTTTCTCGACCATTGGTGCTAGTGCCTACCGGACTGTCTAGGTATCACTACGGGCAGATTGCAGCGGCGCTCCAGGACCTTTCCCGCTACAAAGCCTTCCGCCCGTAGTCCAGTTAGTAGAAATCCCCTAAATTTCGTCTTACCCTCCTTCATTTCCACACCCCAGCCCCCAGCTTCCAGCTCCTCGACGGCCTGATGCCAGAGGCCTCTTGTCGTCCGCGAGAGATCCGTAGAAGCCGAGACATGTTGCATGCTCGTACGTGCTACACCTGTATCCGCACATACACGTGTTTCCTGGGCGAGGCCAGAAGAAGCAAGGCCTCCGCTGTGCCTCTGCGCAATTGGCAGGTCGGTCGAAGTCGTCTGAGACCTATCCTTGGCTGCATGGCGGTGAAGGGCTTGACAACTCCAGCACCAGCTGTTCTCTCGCTTCTGCGGACGCCTGAGCCGTCGCCTTTACCCGTCTGCAGTGGTTGATTGGTTGCTCAATTGGCGCATGGCGTCGTGGGATAGCTGTCTATGTTGACTATGGGTCGCGAGGGGCTGGGGAGGCCCTCATTCTCTTTCGCATGGTAAGTACACCAGCCGGTGGTAGCATTAAGAGCATCAACCAGGTGATCGACTGTGGTCATAGATGCCTCGTCGTTTTAGCCACCTAATCGCCTCATATTCCATCGTCAATTCCCCTTTCCAACCCCATCGATCGATGTTATCTCAATCCTGCCGGGGGCAGTTCAGAGACTTGTCTTAAGCCTTGTCAACTTGTCCTCCTCCTACTTGCCATCCCGTCATGCGGGTGGACTTCCCGCTTCTCAGCCGCGAATTTGCAAGCCTATCGTAGTAGTTGTAGCCCGCGTCATGGCCCATCGCTGTGGCCGGTTGCCGTAGCCCATCGCCCAACTGAATCGATCAAGACATGCATATCCAATCCCAATCAACAGCGTCTTTACTCTCCCACTGAATAGTCCCACCCACAAACCACCCAGTTGGGAAAAGATCACCTAAAAGACTGCTCGCGTCTGAGCGTACATTACACGTTCGTTTTAGACTCAAGCACCTTGTTATGATCTTGGTAAGGGTCCATGTATGGGGGTCGGTGCTTGTTCAGCCCTAGGCTTTTCCCAGCCATGTCATTGCGCCGGTCTGGTCCTATCAAGACAGGATATAACCGTCGCAATCGATCTGGCTGCTCCGGCTGACCGCCAATACATGTAGCATGACCCGATTCAATAAAGTCTTCCCCTGAACGAATGGGCAAACTGATATCGGACATGCAACAGATGCGGGGGCTAATAAGAGGGTCTCGGCCCTGGTGGACACCACCGCGTGTAGCCTGTTTAGTCCACATCAAGGAGCCATTCTTCCATCAAAAACAAGGCACAGTGGCAGAGTGGTCTAATGCGTATGACTAGAAATCATATCTCTTCGGAGGCGTCTGTTCAAATCAGGCCTGTGTCGAATCAACTTCACTTTTTACCTTCTCATCCATTGAGATGTTGTGTAAGTTCACTTCTTTTTGGAGTTTTGCTATGACTAGGGAACATGTGATCGATGCCCAGCCATAAATTCATGACTAAGTCTAACGTTGAAATTAAAGACACCAGGAGCTTCATTTCATTGTGACATGAATTCCGTCATCCACCGTTCAATGCATCAAATTTCACTGCGATTCGATTTGGTTACAGAGGGCAAAGCCAATTTCAACCCCGACATGTGGTGTTGCATCAGACATGCTCACATCCTAGTCATCAATGGAGTATCGAAGATTCAAGCTTTTGCATAGTTGTAAACTGCGCATCATTTTGCGATTTGATCCCAGTTCAACTTAAATTTATTAATAGACGGCGCGGCCGGACATGGGGTGCCAGAACGACTTCGTATACGGACAAAAGAATAGCCGGGCACTCACTCTAACACAGCCCCACCAATGCACGGTGCACAGCCACGCCGCAGCGAGTCCAACACGTAATGCTACACGAGCCACATCGCGACGCTCCAATCCTCCCGCCTTCGACAACGCCCCTGGGACAGGAACATCGCAACATTCCCACAGTCCCGCCACTCCTACGGCATCATCGCGCAGCGCATATCGACGAACGTGTGCACAATGGCCGATTCACCCCGTGGCATGGACCACACCGACTCGATGGACTCCAACGACGGAGGTCCGAAGCAGCCGGAGAAGAAGAAGAGCCGCCGACCTGCGAGTGAGTGCTCTGGAAGCTTCGGAACCGACGCGCCGCCCTGAAGAACTCGCAACTGATATTATCGCGACAGATACCGCGTTCCGACAACAGCGCTTGAAGGCGTGGCAGTATGTACAAGACTTTCCGCGCTGACCGGATACAATGCTGACAGGTATAGACCCATCCTGACGCCCAAGACCGTTCTGCCCTTGTTCTTCATCATCGGCATCATCTTCGCGCCCATCGGTGGCCTTCTCCTCTATGCCAGCGCCCAGGTACTACCATTCACCACTTCTGTCAGCTATCTTCAAGGACTTCTCTAACGGGCAAGCTAGGTTAAAGAGATTCGTCTCGAATACACCGACTGCAAAGCCGACGCCCCAACCCTTAGGTCAGGCGATGGCTTCGGCGACATGCCTGACGGTACCGTCTCGACCGCATTCAAGAACAACACCGGGGGCGTCAACGCCCAGTGGGGTCGCGAGGTCGGCGTCAATGTCACCGATAAAATGAGCGGAACCGTCATCAAAACCACCCGCTGCCACCTACGCTTCACCATCCCTGAGAACATGGGATCGCCCGTTCTCTTCTACTACCACCTCACAAACTTCTACCAGAACCACAGACGTTATGTTGAGTCGTTTGACAACTCGCAGCTAAAGGGTAACAAGCGTTCTTACGACCAGATTAAGGGTTCTGACTGTAGTCCGCTGGAGGGGGATAAGAACCTGAAGAAGCCCTACTACCCTTGCGGTCTCATCGCCAACTCGATGTTCAACGATACATTCTCCAATCCTGTGCTTCTAAACCCCCCGAACGGAAAGGGCAACGAGACTCAGACCTACTTCATGACGGACTCTGATGAGATATCTTGGGGCAGCGATAGGGATCTGTACGGCAAGACTGAATCCACCTTCGAAGAAGTAATCCCCCCGCCTAACTGGGCTGAGCGCTACCCCGACGGATACACTAAGAACGCTCCGCCACCAAACCTGAAGGAGTGGCCGGCCTTCCAGGTCTGGATGCGAACCGCAGGTCTGCCAGTCTTCAGCAAGCTGTACCAGCGCAACAACTCTGCCTCGATGACGGCTGGTCGCTACGAGGTCATCATTGATGATTGTAGGTCTACAAACGCTCTAGCTCCAACACGTGCTAACTCTTGATAGATTTCCCTACGACTCTTTACAAGGGCACCAAGTCCATCATCATCACTACGCGTACCGTCATGGGCGGTCGCAACCCCTTCCTCGGCATCGCCTATGTCGTCGTTGGTGGTGTCTGCATTCTGCTCGGCACCATTTTCACTGTCACCCACCTGGTCCGCCCAAGGTCCGTTACCCCTATTCCATACTCACCGATGCCCGTTGCTGACCCCAAACAGGAAGCTTGGTGACCACACGTACCTCTCGTGGAACAACGCCCCAGGCGCCAAGTCTGGCCCTAGCACAGCTACGGCTTCTGGTCGTGAACTTCGCCCTGGCGAGGCTTAGGCAGCTCGCGAAGGTTCCAGAGCACTCCTCCGAGCCACCACCACCACCGATACCACGAATCCCTCGTTTGCATCATCTAATGTCCAGCTTTGATCTCCCGATGACACCAGAAACCAACGTCCCACCTTGTCTTGCTTCACGGCTCCACTCGTGACGTTAGATCTGACCTGATGTAAGCGGATAAGACCCAAACTCGGTGACTGGTGGAAATGGGGAGAACTCGGCATTGGATTTCGTTTTTGTTCCCTCGGCATGGCTTCCTTGCTTTTTATGTACGACTATTCCGAGCAGTAGCTTTCTTGCTTGCTCTTTTTTTCCAAGAGGTAGTTTCTGGGCATCTTGGCCGCGACGACGCCTGCTCTTTTACGCACGCGAGTTCGTGCTCACCCGCCTGCCTGTCTTGCGCAGACCGAAAACGGGGTGATTTAGAGGCAGTGCGGATAATGTTTCTGAGTATCGTTAACAGGGTCGGGAGTTTGGGCGTGTTATCCAATCGGCAGTGCGAATAGAATGATATGGCCTCGTGTTTCTCGTTCCCTTGCACAAGTGACGTTTGCGTAAGATGAGGCTGTGCTCGTAGTAAGGGATGCCTACGTGTTCGTTCGTATACATGGTATCACAGCACTGAGCAAAGCCAAGATCGTAGTATGTAATGATTAAGAGAAACAGTCATTCAATTAACTAGACGGGACGACCCAAAATTTGCTCTCCACCTATCCATGCCACAGGAGACCACAAGACAAAAAAGAAAAGGACGGGAAAGCCGTCGTACCTAAGCACCCTGCCTGAACAACAACCATTCGACGATTGCTTTCGCTCTGTCTTCAACAAGAAGATCCCAAACGCAAAGGGAAGACCAGTAAGGAGAGGCCAGCCATGCGCACGCAAGCTAGATTTCGATTTTTTAGTACAAGGTAGAAGAGGAAGAAAAAAACCATGCCCGTGCCTCCCCTTCACGCCATCGTATCCCTCTGGAAATGGCCAAAGTCGCGGGGTGGTTGCTCTGACATTTATCGCTTGCGCTTCTTCTTGCTGCCGCGGTCTTCTTCTTCCATGGCGCTTTCGCGGTCTCGCTTCTTGGCCTTGCGCTCCAGCTCATCCCAGTCTTCGCCTTCATCCTCGCTGTCCAGTTCGTCATCCTCGTCATCATCGTCACTAGCGTTGCTGCCGAAGTCGGAATCCTCTTCACTAGACTCAGAAGCCTCGTCAAGCTCCTCGTCGTCAAGCTCGAAGGCCGACTCCTGTTCAGACTCGGCATCGCCACCCTCGTCGTCTGAGTCGGCCTGTAGGAAGGACCAACCTCCGTCGACGAAGAACTGATGTGTGTCGGCGGTGACAGTCTTCATGATGGTAGGCCAGTTGAGGTTAAGGGGACCCTCGGTAAAGGCAATGTCAGAGGAGTCGAGATAGTCCTTGACCTGATCCAGGAATTCCACAGGGATAGTGTTAATGTGGTAAGGTGCTCGAGTAAAGTCTTTGAAGACAAAGACCATATCGAAGTTCTTCAAGCCGAACTGGACACGTTCCAAATGGGCAACTTCAACCTCTTCGATGGTAATAACCATAAACGGAGGCTCCACAACCTGGATAAGACAGTCTGTACTTGGTTGGACGAAAACGTTGCTTCGGAACGGCACACCGTGGAAACCAAGGTCGCGGATGGGCATGTCGACCTCGATACCCTCGTTTCGGCCAGCTTCGGCAATCTTCTGGGCGAAGCCTTGGAACAGGCGATCGAGCTCGGCTCTCCGACGTCGCTCTTCCTGCTCGGCCTCAAACTCGTCCTCATCGCCATACCGGTACTTCCGCTTTCGGTTGCCTGTCTCATCGAACTGAATGTCGGTTGCTTCGCGGTAGAACTGGACATCCTTGGTCTTCTTCTTGTTGCCCACGATAATGGGATCCTTGAGGTGAATGTGAATAATGACAATCAACTCATGCTGGCAGGGCTGGAAGAAGAGGTGCTTGACGTTCGAGAAAAGAATATCAACACGGTGCTGGGCGTTGAGGGGAGACTGGTAACGAATACCATTCTGGTGAATCTCCACCTTTCCGGGAACTCGCTTTCCTTCCATGGCAGGTCGGATGTACACGTTGTCCAATACAGCAGGGCGGCGGTCTGGCAAATTGTTAGCATCACTCCAGCGAGTGTGTTGAATCAGAGACTTACTTCTAATCTCCACCAGCTTGTCCTGCTCCACAACATCCTCCATGTCCTTCTTCTCTTGCTCCTTCTTAACCACATCTCGCTTCATGTTCGAGATTTGCGTCGCAATCTCGTTGTATCTGTCACCATCAGACGAACGGAACGTCAAGCTTCGAACAAAGTGAGCCGAGGCGTCCTCAAACGGCTGGTCATCCTTCCTTCCTACACCTTGGCCAGGGGATAGGAAGTTGATTCGCAAGAAAGCGAAGTCATTCTCGTCGCTCTTGCTAGCGTTCTTGATGGTGTTGATGTGGAAAGGAACCGGTCGACCCATAATGGGGAGAACGACGGTGCTGTTCTTGCTGTCCACGATAATTTCGAGGTTCTTGCTTCGCAGAGGAAACTGGTTGTCTCTCTTGTACGACTCGAACCGCTTGAACTTCTTTATTTCACCGCCATTTTGGTCATTCGTGGACTCGGCAAATCTTGCCATACCTTCCTTCTGCTTCTTGGTAGCAAGCTCCTTTTGATGGTCGCGTCGCCTCTTGTCCGAGTCATCTTCAACTTGCGTCGTACGTTCAGATCGGAGTCTTGTCGATGTGATATTCTTGGTAGCGACAGCGCCAACGCGGGAGTCCTTCTTCTCCTTCTTAGGGGCAGGCTCGGCTTCCTCATCATCCTTGAAAAAGAACGAGTTGGCGTCCGCGCTTGTGGGCGCTTCAGCCGTAAAGATCACCGGCTCGGTAGACGTCACTCGAATGGTGTCGGTGAGGACAAGGGCGTAGACCTTGCTGTTCTTGTCTTGAGGCTGGGGATTTTCAATATCATGGAACCCAGTGTTTATGATCAGGGTCATGCCGTCCTTCAAGCTTCTCTGATTCTTGGCATTGAGAACAAGAGTCGGGTCCTTGTTCTCCAATCCAATTCCCCAGCCGACATTCTTGAGGAAATGCTTCTCCATGTCCGGCTTCTTGCTCTTGATGATGCCGATAGCCTTGGCGTAGACTTCCTTTGCCAGCATGCCGTCTCGGATTTCCTTCATGATCGTGTTGTGGATGAGGGTGAGGAGCTTGTAGTTGCTCTCTTGGGACTTGTTCGGATCAACCAGGTACGTACGTGCGATGGTAGAGCAGTACGACTTGTATCGAAGTCCCATGGCAGCAATGATGATGCCGGCATGCAGGTTTTCGTCGTTGGGTTCGCCCGAAAATCTCAAATCGTACTTGCCGCCACTCTGGATAGAGGGACCCAAGATCCAGTCCAGCTGAGTCGGGTCGAGATCCGAGGGCAGTTTTCCTTTGCTAGGGAGCTGCACGGTCTGCCAAAATTTGTTGTCGTCGAGCTTCTTGTCGACCTTTTCGGCAAGCGCGGAATGCTTAACCTTCTTCTCCGCATCGAGGATACTGGACATTTCGTCGAGGAAATAGGGAGTCATCAAAGCCACGCAGGCCTTGGAGGCGGTTCGCATCGCTCGAAGCTCGTTCTCGTCCTTGACAGCAAAGGCGTGCGCTGAGAGTGCCGCAGAGACGTCGACCTGCTCAACATCCTTGCACTTGTCTGCCAGCACCTTCTTCCACTCGTCGACAAACGGTCCTCTCGAGGTATCTCTGGCGATCGTACCGACTTTATCCTAAGAGCGAGTATTGTTAGAAATGTCGAGCGCGTGCGCAAAATGGAACCTACTCCGGCCTCCTTAATCTTGTCGGTAACTTTGATAAACAGCTTCTCGTTCTCGGCCGCATCCTTGCCTCGCACGAGCACTTCGATCGGGAATCGGCCGCCCTTGAGCTGATCAAGATGTTTCGCTAAAAAAATGGTAAGCCCTAATTGAATCGCACAGCCTAAACAGTTTATCTTACCCTTCTTCGCCGTCGTGAGGATGTACACGGTGTCCAGAGTGAACAGCATCAAAGTCGTCGGGAACTCGTATCCAAGAAGCCAAAACTATCATTATCGTCAGTATTTCTAGTCGCCATGTAGCTTATAAGGCTACAGAGAGGGTCGCATACGTGAATGGCGTTGTTCTTGTGGAGCTCGGGAATCTCCTCGACCTTGCCCATCATGACGACCATGGACGAGGCACCACCGAACAGCCCATCTTTGGTTCGGAGGTCGTTCTTCCAGGCCGTCACGAAGTGCGAGATGCGCTCCTGGAAGAGCTTGCTGTCAATCTTGATCTCCGCCATCTTGACTGATGAGCGCGCGAACGAAAGGGACGGGGATAGAAGGGGGGATGAGCTTGATGCGTTCGGGGAGACGCGAAAAAAGTGATGTCGCGTTAATGATCCAGGTTGGAGCTCCCTGTCACGTGACTGCCGCAACGCGTTATGCGATCAAAGCTTGGGATGCGCCAAGGTCCGCAGTGGAGTGGCGTAGCTAAAGCAACCACGGATGTAAGAGCCAGGCGCAAACAATTTGATGTCGCGAAATAGGTGTAACTTACTATTTCTTTCGCATTCTTATAATTCAATGTGTTTGTATGTATGCGCTAGTCCCTTAGGGTTTTACACGGTTCAAAGCGCAAACATAATGACTGATGAATTCATGAAATTGCGTGGAAGCCATCCAACTCTCATGTTCAAGTCTGAGTTCGGAGTTGCACCACTACCGTTGCAGCGTGTTACAGAGCTTTAGCCTCGGCCTAATGCTAGTGAGGCATCATAGGTATGGGACCTACCCTCTCCCATCCAGTGATCCGCCTAGGCCCAGACAATACTACACAATCTCTAAACTTTGAGCATCGTAGACCAACTAGCGCAACTTTGTCTGGTACTTCTCCTAATCACATCACACTCGTGAAGCAATCAACTCTGATCATAGCCGAATCCGAAATTCCGGGTTTGACTCCAGACGAGTGAACTATTCCGCGACCCACACGCTGCTTCTATTCGGCGCCGGGTCCGATTCTCGGGAAGTGGAGTCGGGAGTTGGATTTGAGAGCCGACCCCGCGCATCGCCGGGAGAATATATAACCAGACAACATGCCTCGAATCAACCAGAATCTAATATTTAGAAGAGTTTGTCCTCTGCGTCCAATCCAACACTCTGCACATATACTCTCTACTCTCAAACCAACCTTCAATACACCGAGCCTCGTTATACGAAAACCGGCAATCAGAACCCTGATTTACCCTACACCATCGCTCAACATGAGACTCCCCTACGTCACCGATCCTGTCCCGACCAAGACCGAGGAAGAAGCCGGAATTGTCGAGCGCATCAGGGCACGAAGAGAGCCTCGCCCCCTGCAGGCTCTCGACCTCACTCTCCTGCACGCACCTCCGATTGCCGATGGTTGGAACTCGTTCCTCGGCGCAGTGCGCACCAAGAATTCGCTGCCGGATGACGTGAGGGAGCTCGCCATTTCGCGAATTGCGGTCTGCAACAAGGCGTGGTACGAGTGGACGCACCACGCACCCCTGGCGGTCAAGGGAGGCGTCTCTGAGGCCGGCATGGAGGCCATTAAGCAGGAGACTCTCGGCGAGCGGCCGGCGGAGTTGACGGAGAAGTTGTGGGCTGTGGTGTTGTACACCGAAGAGATGACGAGGAACGTGCAGGTCAAGGATGAGACATTTGACGCTCTTCGAACCTTCTTTAGCGAGAAGGAGATTGTTGAGCTGACCGCAACTGTAAGCCCACATATTCTGCACTCAACGAGTCTAAGCTGACGCCCATGTTAGGTCGCCTGCTACAACTGTGTGAGTCGCTTCCTCGTGGCGCTCGATGGTAAGTCTAAACACACCAGTCATATTCATGTTAACTAGTTCTAACATCCATGCAGTCGGGGAGAGGAATGCGACCGGCCCCGATGCTGCGTATCACTAATGGTCGGGCGGTGCCCCGTCGGACTACCGAAGAAGAACAATAAATGTCCATGAAATTGGGTATGCGAACGGAAAACAGGAAACGTGGAACCAAGCAAAACCAACTGAACCAAAGAAAAAACAAGAAGAGGACGAATATGAACGACGAAAAGAAGAAAGAAAAAAGCAGAAAACCGGGGCTTAAGGCCGCGCAGTAGGGTATCCCATCTAAGTAAAGTGAAGCGAAGAAACCCTAACTCCTCTGGACCTTCGTCATGCTCAGTCTTCATACAGTCATGTCATCCCTCATAAGAATCCAGCCCCCCTACCTCGTAATAAATGAACCTGTAGTTTATCTCAGATTGTGCTGTTCGTAAATGATGCCGGACAGTCCGCCGTGCCAGAACGCCGCTCAATGCCTGATGCTTGTGTGCTGTCGCACAACCAAGCAAGCCGTGTGAAATGATGCCATGCCAGAAACCGAATGCCAACAAATAAAAGTGTGCCCAAGACTGGGACTTTGGAACCTTTTTCGATCAAGGCGTCTTCGATGCTCTTGACATGTGGCGCTCGATTGAGGCATGGCGCTTGTGCATCAGGGGTGACGTCTGAAGCTCCTCCACGACGCCGGCCCAACCTTTCTTGGGAGGGGTCATGATATGCTCATTGTGACCGGTTACCTGGGTCGTCAACCTACGAAGCGGAGGACGATTGATAATGCCGTCTGTCAGGGCCCTGGGAAGAGCTGGTGCTCGGGGTGGTGGCCGGGGTGGTGTCCGGAAGGCGGAGATGGACTTCTCCGGCTCCTTGGGAGTAGTGGGGGGATGATGTTTCTCTGAGTTGGAGGCGATGACGCCCATATAGACGACGAGGAAGCGCATGCGCAGCAAGTCCAGCCTCCGCACCCGATCTGCCAGTTGTGATCGCTTCGATGCCCACAGCAGCCGCGCGCCGGCCCTCAGCTTGGTAGTGCCCTCTTCAATCATCATTCCGTTGAGGTCCTCGCGCAAGTCGTCGCCAGCCTTCTGGATTTCGCGGAGCAACTGGCCCAGACGGATCTTGTCCTCGAGGCGCTGCGTCTTGGCGACGTCACGATCGTAGCTTTCATTTTCCTGGATGGAAAAGTCGGCCGTGTCGATGAAGGTGGCAATCTCCTGAGGCGCGGCAAGGTATGCGGCCGTGTAGACGGAGGCGATCTGGCCGAGGACGACCGCGGACAGCAAAAGAGCGGTCAGGACGAGTATAATGGTCCACTGGAGGGAGCCTGACTCGGCCATGATGTAGCGGAGCGTCTGGATGGCAGGTCGAGGCGGAGGGTGAGGCTATCATGCATGGTCTGGTCGTTGGGGGGAAGAAGAGAAGCAGGATGGCCCACGGGCGGCAAACAGTGACGAAGTAGGCGGCGAAAGCGAAAGCGCAATCGCGTTTGTGTGCGCCGTTGGGGCCGGTCTGCCATAGGTCCCGTCGTGCAAGCCGACTACCACATTCGTCGCCAGCAGCGGTGGTCGGCCACTGGGATGAGTGGGATGGCTGGGAATGGGCCCTGGAAGCTGCAGCTAACGCGCAGTGTCACATGGACCGGGACACTTGAGTGAGTCGGCCGGGTGCTTTAACCAGGGCGAATGCGAGAGGCTGGTGGCGACCAGGACCGGGACTCAACTGAGAGGGGCGCGCCATTGCGGAAGCGGAAGGCCCGGGAGGGGCGAAGAGGGGAGAAGAAGAGAGGGGTAATAAAGGGAGATGAGATGAAAGAAGATGCGCCAAGGGGGGATGGCAGTTTGGTGAGTGGTGATGTAATTCCCTGGAGAGGGTTGGTGGTTTAAGTTGGTACCTAGTTTGGGTGTGTTTTTAGGTTCGGTTCAGAAGGAGTGTGATAAGTAAGTCTGCGCGATAGTTCATTGCCACATTGCCAGTGGAGAGAGCCCTGAGAGAAGCGCATTCCGAGCCTCTCATAACCAGCTTCTGTTGGCTGGCTTCCGGGCCATCCTGCACTGCGACGGCTTCTGCACTTTTTTGCTGCACTACAGTGGACTACACCAGCGGCCTGGGCCGTGGGATTGGGCTAGATTTCTCGATCGTTCGTCGCGCAGGAAAAAAGCCTTGCGCGATTCGTTTCCCTGTCATTTTGCCATTTATCTCCCTGTCGCCAAAATCTCAGGCCGCACCGCAGGCCGCCTCGTGGTCCCAATCATCGTCACCTCCTCACCCGCCACGGTACCTGCGCCCGCTTCGCAGAATATCCAAGTCACCCGGCCGGTCTGTTCCACTCTCGACCCGTCGACCTCTCCTCTCCTAGCGATCGCACCGCTGGACGCATATCTCCTCGCGACCATGGCGACGCCGTCTGCAGAGCCGGCCGCGGCGCAAACGCACCAGTTCCCCCTCCCAAAGATTCTCGAATACCCCGCCTCGACCCCGCCAACCCTCGTCACCCAAGGCGCCGAGGGTCGCCTCTACCGAAGCACCTACTTGCTGCCCGATCTCCCCTGCGCCGTCAAATACCGCCCGCCCAAGCCCTGGCGACACCCTACTCTCGACCAGCGACTAACGAAACACCGCATCCTTTCCGAGGCGCGAATCTTGGCCAAGTGCCGTCGCGATGGCGTGAGGGTGCCTGCCATCTATGCCGTCGACGAGAGCGCCGGCTGGATGATGCTGGAATGGATACATGGTGGGCCGGTCCGGGCGAGGATCAACGAGCGGTTGGGTACGCGCACAGAGGGCATCGCCGAGGATGCTGAATTGAAGGACTTGATGAGGCGGATGGGGACAGCCGTGGGCAAGCTGCACCAGATTGGTATCGTCCACGGCGACCTGACCACGAGCAACCTGATGCTGAATCCTCCGCCGGTGAGCGGCGACTCAGACAGCCATAATATACTGGATGGGGAAGTTGTCATAATTGACCTGGGACTGGCAAGTGGCAGTTCTTCTGAGGAAGACCGGGCGGTTGATCTCTACGTGCTTGAAAGAGCATTTGGTAGTACGCATCCACGAGCAGAGTGCGTCTTCTCCGAGTTGCTAGATGCCTACCGAGGGACATTCAAGCAAGCACCGGGCGTTTTAAAGAAGCTAGAAGATGTCCGGATGAGAGGCCGGAAAAGAAGCATGCTGGGTTAAAAATAAAAAAGCCGTCATGCAGTCAATTCCCTGCCATACTGTCTAAAACTCCGTGTGTCTGATGCTCGCTATTTGAAAACAAATGGACAAAAGTTTCTAACACCATCGTCATGCTGCACCCGAGATGCTCGCCTGGATATCTTTCCTCCCATTTCCCTCCCCCACTCCCGGTGTCCTCGTCGATATCACGACTATATGAGCTGAGCACCTGCAAAGTACCCCTTGTTTTCGATGATACCTCGGTCTTTGATAAATGCAGTGTACCTCACCACCCACTGGGGGTAAATCTCACCCGGAAGACCGCAACCCTTGTGTGCTGCATCAGCGAGCACGCCTGCACCTTGAGGGCCGTGGCCGAGGAGCTCCCGGAAGGTTCCGCGGGGGAGGATGTCAGTACAGTCGCTATGGACATGGAGCTCGATGCCTTGCTCCTCAGCTAGCTTCTTGAGCGGCGGTGGGACGTCGCAGCAGTTGCGCAGGTTGATTTGGTCGATGACGGGAGGGACCGTCGTACGCTTGATGAAAGCGCCGAGCTTCGCGCTGCCAAACTCGGCCACACCCAGTCGCTTGACCAGGCCCTGTTTGTGCAGGCTCTCTACCGCGTGCCATGTGACAATTTGCTCCTCCAGGTTGCCCTGTTGGGCATTGGCCTTGTCTGCCTCCCACTCACAGTTGCCCTCAAAGGACATTCCGGGAAAAGAGACGACGAGCAGGTCAACAGTCTGAATGCCTAGTTCCTTCTGGACCAACTCCAGCGCCTCAGACGCGTATTGCTCACGCTCAGACACCGGGCAGCCCGGGAGGAAAAATAGCTTGAGGGTGATCTCATACTGGCTCGGCTCCTCATGCAGGCCCGCGGCATGCCAATTGATGCGGGGGATGTACAGGGTCCGGTCCTCTCGCTCCGTCCAGACGTCGATGGCGTTGGCGGTGCCGGGGCCTTTCACGAAGCCATTTGTAACGGGCGCGAGCGTCGCGTAGTCGCGCTGAGCCTCGGCGAAGTTTTCGCGGAGCGAGTTGACGAGTTCGAGGTTGGATCTGGTGGCGGCACCGGGTTTGCGAATGATGGAGGGGCCTGCGGACATGACATTGCTGTGATGGAGTTTGTCAGCACCGGTCAAATGCGCGCATGAGCATCAAGTACGCACCCCGTTGATAGAATGAGTTTCGTCATGGCGAATACGAGATTATTGGTAACCGATGTTCCAGAAGGATGGCAGAAGAAAAGAAGAAGAAGAGGAAGGGCCGATCTCTGGGAGGAGAGTGAGGGCAAAGAAAAATTTCGGCGTCTTCCAGGCGCACACTTCACAGGCGCATGCGGCCGACGCAATAGTCTTTATCAGAGCAGCGGGCCAAACTAGCTCCCACCCTCCGGTGGTTCGGGGCGGGCTTGGGAACCCGGAAACGTGGGGGAAGGCGATGGGGGAATTACTAATCGTTCTGATTTCTCATATGAGGAATGTCATCATACGAAATGAGAATTAGCCGCATAAGATTGTCTGGTTGTGATGCGATGCACGGCGTCGGCAATGGGGCGGACGAGCTGGCGAGTGGAGCAGAAATTGGGACTCGAAAGGAATTTGATAGGGAGCCCGTGTCGCGTGGTGGGCAGCCATGGTGATGCTATATCCAGGCGGGGTAACGCCTTTTGGGGGTAGACCCAGGCCCAATATTGGGAATGTTTGGCAATGTCGAGCAGTTCCGGGCGGGCCGTCGTGGCAGACCAGCAGCGGACTAGGATCTTGTGATAGATCCTTGGTGTCGTGTCTGTATGCCGAGCTGTCATTTGAGGCTGTTCGGCAGTCTGTTGGGCGGCTGACTGCGCTGGGAGCTGAGCCGAACCCACTGTAGTAAAAGGTTCTATGGTCCAGGCGGCGGTCGATCACTGTATCGTAGGCATTTTGTAGGGCGTCGCCCACTGAGGTGCCGGCAGGCAGGTCGCTGCCGAGCCCCGCTAGGGACCGCTTGTGCGGGCTCCACCCGCTTCCGACCCGTGGACCTGGACCATTTTGGAAGGCTGCCTGCCTGGGCCAGCTCGGACGTGGTTACTGACTGCAGTGGCTGCGTTGCCAGTCCCGCTCGTCACCAACCAGCCAAAATTGCTCCGTGTCCAGAATTGCATCTTCAACTCGCCGCTTACCCGCCCACCACGCCAAACTTCTCCTCTCTCACTCTGCTGCACGTCTCCAAGCCGGCTCGGTGACGTGAAATCGCTTTACAATGGCGATCCAGTACGCTCCTTCACGTCTGCCCGCCCGAAACAGCCACTGACGCCGAGCCCCCAGTTACCTCATTCTCCTATCCCGCCAGGGCAAAGTGGTGCGTCAACTCTGGCATGCGACTTGAGCTAGGCTCCGACTGACCTCGACTGCAGCGTCTTGCGAAGTGGTTTACCACATTGTCCCCCAAGGACAAGGCCAAGATTGTCAAGGACGTCTCCCAGCTTGTCCTCGCCCGGCGAACGCGCATGTGCAATTTCCTCGAATATAAGGGTTCGGTTCCCCGCGTCTGACGGACAACTGCTTCGATGGGATAGGAGAAGTGCTGACAGCTTGAGGACAGATACCAAGATCGTATACCGTCGCTATGCGTCCCTTTTCTTCATTGCTGGTTGCTCCTCGGATGACAACGAGCTGATTACCCTCGAAATCATCCACCGATACGTCGAGCAGATGGACAAGTACTACGGCAACGTGTGCGAGCTGGATATCATCTTCTCCTTCACCAAGGCATACTATATCCTGGATGAGCTGCTGCTTGCTGGCGAGCTCCAGGAGAGCAGCAAGAAGAACGTGTTGCGGTGCATTGGACAGCAAGACTCTCTCGAAGATATGGAGGTACGTATCGATGGGTTATGTCCTACCAACTGATGTGCTTGTCGGTGACGGCTCTGAGTGGCCAATTCGACAGCAATTCTCATGCATCTGCTAACGCGAAGCCCCAACCTAGGTCGAAGACGAAGTCACCAAGCTCATGTAGAGTCCCCCCGACCCGAGATGGCTGCCTGGGACAATTCGACAGGGGCCGCCAACCGACCGAGCGATAAGCCAGAGGATTCCGCAGAATGACGCTCGTCTCACTCGTATGTGCTGATCGAGCATTGACTTTGGAAATAATAGGTCTCGGATGAAGTCAAGGAGTCGCTCGAGGAGGCGCTCAAGGATGGAGGGCTGTTACAATGGACAAGTCTCAGGCGGCTGAGCAATCTCTTCGATGTGAAGAGAGGACACGTATGATTACAGCGTGGGAACCGGCGCAGGCGGTGTTTGGGAGTTTTAGGTCGATGAGGCCTTGTTTGTATATCTTGGACGGTGGAAAACCACCCTCTTTCATATCAAGAGACGAGGCTAGGGGGCTCCAGGAGACAGCCATGAGCGAGCGACGCGAGGGAAGCGCCAGGCACGGGATGGGCCGGCACTCACCAGCCAAACCATCAGATCGGCCATGACGCCCTACGGACGAGAGAGGTGATGATGGACGACGACACCCAAGCTGTCCCATCGCGCATCTACTCCAATCCAACTCATGCCACTGAGGCCCACGAAGACCAGCACGTTGGCCTCCCTCGCACGCTCATCCAACCCGACCCATCCGCTGGGGGAGCCCCGCCACAGAAATCAACAGAGACGATTCTAATTGCCCACACGTTCCTTGCCAACGGATTTTGGATGCTGATGACTGAATCAATTCTAGTGCGCAGAGTGTACGACGAGAGGACAAGCAGAGGATGCACGACGAGAGAGCAACGTGATGGCTCGTGGTGGCACGATTCCGTCCCATTCGTTGCCACCTCGTCACTGGAGCTTGAGAGGCGGTGTCCCCAAGTCCACAATCCTCACCCCTTTTAGCTTCGGCCCCAGCTGGGAGCTATCGATTGGACTGGAGGCGGCTGCAGGACCTAGACCCAGGGGCGAGTGGAAAGTCAGCCATTTACCACCTGGCATCAAGCATGGGGCATGGCGTCGTCCGTCGTCCGTTCGCGGGATGGAATGGATCCCATGCCTACTTAGGCGCCTCCAGTCCGACCTCGATCCGATTGCGAATCCCGAGCCAGGCGCAGCAGCTGCAATCAAGCGATAGCGGCCCCAGTTGTTCGGCTCCCCAGGCGCCAGGTCACCCCAAGCAAGGGCGAGCCGGCCGAGTGCGACACTGCGTGTCTGCATCTTGGTACGGTGCAGGTGGCTATTTCGTGGTTCTCGAGACCCCGTGCCAGCCAAACCAGTTCACTCACACGTTGTTGCGTTGTTGAGCAAGGCCACAGCCAAAGCCGCTCCCGCTTCGCCTCTGTCGCTCGCTGACCTCATACAATTCGCAGCCCGGGTGATTCCCATCGCTCCATCCTTTCATCACCCGTCTGGCCGCCCACCCCTCATCATCCCCTCATTCTCCCTGCTTCTCTCATCTGCCCTCGACGCATCCATTGCATCCGTCGCAAGCATCACCTGTCGCCCCCAATCTCCTCCTCGCATCCAACCATCCCTCCCTCCCTCTCCTCACCGTCTCCAATTCAACGCACTGCCCGCTGGCTCTCGGCTCACCTCTCGGCTCCTTCACCCGCATCTCGCTTTCGTCATCAATCCAGATTCACCAGATTCACCAGGGTCGTGCACCATTCCCGACACCCCCCGCGACCCGGCTAGGCTCCGGCGATCTACTTCCCGATAATCAAAGCTCCCCATCCAATCCAACTCAATCCCCCTCAAACACCAACTTTCCACCATCGTGGCCTTCCGTGCGCCCGCGACTTGAACCCGACAATCCGCAACCCCATCCATCCCCGCGCCACCACCTCCTCCTTCCGCATCGCATCGCATCGCGACACATTTCGCCTTGTCCTTCTACCTGGCCCACCTGTCTCCACGCTGACGCAATCCGCTCCCTCCCGACTGCGCTCAATCCGCCTCACCGTCACCATCCGCCATCCGCCATCTGGAGCGCAATCGCCACCGCGCCATCGCGTTATCTGAGCTAGATTGCTCACCCACAGCCAAGATGAAGGTATGCGACACCGGTAATCTGCTTCGCGAGCCTGCCCGACGCTGACACCTCACCAGTATCTACCCGTACAAGATTTCGAGGCCGTAACTGGCGCCCTGAACTTCAACACCCCCGACTGCAACGTTACTGGCGGATGCGATCTCTACACGACCAAATCGACAGGTTCCGACAAGAAGCTGTACAAGAACATCGACAAGGATCTCAACTCACAACATGAGGCGCTGCTCAAGCTCGGCGCAAGCCTATCACCACCCGAGCGAGAGCATATGCTGGCAACATCACCGAGTATGCAGCTGTTTTCCCACTCTAGCGCCTTTGGTCCCCTCTCAGACCTTTCAAGTCGCCGGACGTTTGCCTATCTGATCGCGACGCTAAATGCGAGTCACCCGCACTACGACTTTTCCCACGTTCTGCGGCCAAACGATTTTAAGCGTGAACGGAATCTGCGTCGCGTCATGGTCAACCTCGATTCAATCCTTCAAAACGTCCGGCCAAGCTTCGAGCCCAAGTCGCTCGGTTCATCCATCGGCAGTGAGACGACTTCCATTTGGGGTACCCAATGCTGGTCATTGATCGACAAGGAGATGCACCTCAACGAGTGCACCATCTTTAGTTATCGCCCCGATACGGACCCATTTGAGGAGGATGAGAGTGCCATCTGGGCTGCGCATTACTTTTTCTTCAACCGAACCTTGAAACGCGTCGCCTACCTTTACGTCCGCGTCGTTCCCGTCATCTCATCACACAGCCCAACGCTGCGACCGATGAACCTGGCACGGAATCAGCAGCGAGAGATGGAGTCCGCAGGCGCACAAAAACGTGCAAACTACTGGCTCGGCGACAGAGATGCCGAGTTGGTACCTTTCGATGAGGGCGACGACTTGAACGATGATGGCCTCTACTGGAATCGTGGAGAAGATGGCGATCTCGTGGCCTTTTCCGATGACGACTACCTTGAAGATGATGACCTTGACGACGTCGACATGCTCGACAAGCCTTTGGATAGGTACATGAGCGAGGACATTGCAGGTCGCATGGAGATCTAGTTTACCCTCTATCATCGCGGCCCAGACTACTCTTTTCCCCCAGGGCCTTGACGGCTTTAGCGGGTTCTACATGATCATTGCTACGACGCGAATGTACTTGGCTTGCTTTCTGCACGACATTTTCAACAAATCATCATCTTACTCTCAACGGTTACAGAGGGGTTATGGGGCAACCATCTCCCAGGTTGGATCTCTACCTGGCACGGACCGGATGGAGGCCACCAAGCACATGACTTTCTTATCCCGCAACCCCTTTATTGTTTCAACTTTGTCTTTTCTTTAACTCTGATAATTTTGAACGCGCGGCGCCTGGGCTGGCTTCTGGTCGGTGAGAGCGGCTGGGATTCCGCTGGAGTGGCGTTTCCGGGGCCGCATGCGGTACACGGCGGCATATTATGCTTTTTTGGTATTTTTCTACTTTTTGGTTCTGGAGTTTCCTTGAATCGCTATTCGGCTTCTTTACTCTATTGCTATCGCGAGTCACTTTCGCAGCCGTTGTCCTGTACTTTTTTATATTGTTTTGGCTTATGCCTGGAATGGGTTGCCTGGGTTGGGGTGAGCATGGGACGGTTGGGACGGGATGCATCAACCCGTGGGTAACGGAGGAGCTACTGAGTGGAAATGAAACGACTCACTGACTGGGAATGACGGCAGAGATTTCATCGGCTGGCCAGGCTGCGGCTGCTTGCTTTGACATTGATCCCGATACTGAATGATGATTACAACTTGACTGCCACTGTGGTGTGTCTTTTGCCCATTGGCGTTGTACCTCTTGATGAATATGTAATCAGTATTTATGTCTTCAAGGAGGGAAAGGCGAAGGCCAATGATTGTTCGCAGGGCTGATTTTGGGGGGTCTAGAGGGCGGTGGCACGGCGAGTCGAACAACATCTGTCTTGGAATTCGGTGTTTGGCACTTAGATGGCGTTATATGTGCAAACAACCCTACGCGATTCACTTGTCTAGAGCTTCATAATAGCAATTCATCTGGGATCAAACCCCGTATTCTCATCTCGCGATTATGCGTATCCATCTGATTACATGTATATATGTATGTAAATACGCCTAGCACGTCTTCTCTCAACTCCCGCGTCGCTCGTTCTCTTTTCAACCCGACCGTCCTGTGTTCCCTCCGTATATGGACATGTATATGCATACCGGCCTTGTCTCGCATATGTACGTAGGCCTCGAACCAGATGATGAAATAATCAAAGTGCAAAGACGATAAACACTGAGATAGCCAGTGAAGCCCGGGACTCCAAAATAAATATTTAAGAACGGTCGTACCGGAACCCCGTGACACCGGGGGCGTTTCCTAGCCCCAAAAACCAAGGATGAAGCCAACAGCCAAAAAAAAAAAAAAAAAAGACAGATTTCGCCCTCCGTCGGACTTTTGCCGTAAAAAAAAGAGATGTTGGTAAAGGAAAGGGGGTGCCAATTTCCCCATGCAAAATGTGTCTGTATCGGGACTTCGTCACTGAGGTGACTTGGCGTGTGTGTGGCGGATGCTCTCCGCGGTTGGATGTTCTCGCTTTTCGTGTGTAGCGAAGCTCGATGGCAATGCTGAGCAAGCGATGGAAGCAATAGGATAAAGAAAATAGACGTAAATAAATAATGTAGAGAAGGAATTGTTGTATCGTGTAGAAACACTGGAATGGAAAAGTGTTTGACATTGTATGTATCGCGTAAGGAAGATCATCTTTCTCGAAGCAGGATGCTGTGGAGGAGTATATATTCGTTGGGTTGGCGTTTAACCCTCCTTAGGAGCGCCGTTGGAACCCTCTTTGTGCGCTGGATTTCGAGGCGGATGGGCATCGCCATTCATCTCCCTGGCAGGCTTTTCAGACTCGACATGATTCACCATTTTGATAGGTTCATCCAACTTCTTCTTTTTGGCCACGGTACCAACAGTCTCAGGCTCCTCTGGAATGGTAGCAAACTTCTTAAGTACCTGTTTGAGAGCGGGTCGTCGGATGGGCTTGGAGAGGAACTCGTCCATGCCAGAGTCGATGCACTCCTTGACATTGCTCTCCTCAGAGAATGCTGTGAGGGCGACAATGGGCGATGTGTAGCCCATCTCGCGGATTAGGCGGGTACTTTGGAGACCGTCGAGGTTGGGCATCTGGACGTCCATGAATATGACATCGAAGGACTGGTTCTTCTCCATGGTCGCCTTGACAAGGTCGTATGCCTCTTGGCCATCCTTGGCGATCGTGACGTCGTATATAGCCTCGAGCTTTAGCATCCTACTTACAACCTCGATGTTGGTCGAATTGTCGTCGGCAACGAGGACGCGAAGCTTGCCCTGGCTAGTCTTATTCGCCATGGCCCGGTCGATTGCCGCCATCTTCTGGTCCGCGCTCCTGGGCACAGGAGGATCCGCAGCGAAAAACGGTAAGCTCAAGCCGACCAGCCTAGGTTGCGGGTTGAGGGCATTGACAGTTTTGGTATCCGCAGCAGCTTTGGGGGTGCCGGAGTTGCGATGTGAGTCGGCGTCTGTGTTATCTACACTGACGGGTCGAGATTTTATACTGCTAGAGGCAGTGCTGGATGCCCTAGATACGGAATAAGAATGAATTCATGTGAGGGTCAAGGGGACACTTACCGGTCCTTGACATATTTGAGGGGGATTTGCATCGTGAATTTCGTGCCAACTCCAGGGGTACTCGTCAGCCCTATTGAGCCTCCCATCAGACCGGCGAGTTGATGGCAGATGCTCAATCCCAGCCCGGTTCCACCAAACTTCTTGCTGAGGCCCAAATCTCCTTGGACAAACGGCTCGAACACCTTCTGCTGCATGTGTTCTGCGATACCGGGGCCAGTGTCCTCGACTTCGAACTCAAAGATGTACGACTTGGCTCCTGGTGGCGGCGGAGTGGGTGACCTCTCGCGGATACGGATGTGTGCTGCTGCTTTGGGATCCATCGGGTTGATGGAGAGGGCGGTGCCAGTGCCGTTGAAGCGGGTGCCATTTCCAACAGGTCCCGAGCTGCTCGAGTGTGTTGGGCTGGCTCCTCCACGGTCTCGATTGCGGGTGCGGCCTGTACGAGAGTTGTTCCGGGAATTCTTTGATAGAGAGGATGTGCGGCTCTCGTCCTCATTCGGCGTCTCCATCTCGCCCAAACACTTGATGCGAACCTCGACCCTTCCGTTCGGGGGCGTGAACTTCAGGCTGTTGCTGACAAGGTTGATGATGACTTGCAGGATGCGGTGCTGGTCGCCCCAGAGGCACATATCCTTGAGACGACCTGTTCCGTGCGGACCTAAGGCTGGAAGCCTCGTCTCAACTCCGGACCGGTCTGGACTCGTGGCAAGTTCGACGCTGTCTGAGCTCATAAACTGGACCGAGAAGTTAATCTTTCCTTCTCGCACCTGCTTGTCAAAGATGGTCAGAATCTGAGACCGAATGTCAGCTAGTCGGAACTCTTTTAGTTCGAGACTGAGTTGGTTGCCAATCTGATTTTTAGAGAAGCTCAACAGATCCTCCAAAAGATGCAGCAGCAAGTCTCCTGACTTGTACAGCGTCTTCAAAGATTGCTTGATCCTCGTCATATCAGTGTCTTCCATACACACGGCACACATGCCAAGGATACCGTTGAGTGGTGTCTTCAGCTCGTGTGAGATGTTTGCAATGAAAAGAGTTTTGCTCTCGTTTGCAGCTTCGGCAGCTTTCTTGCTCTCCTCCAACTCCCTCGTTCGCTCCGCCACCTTTACCTCCAACGACATGTACTGTTTTACCAACTCGTCGCTCATGTCGTTGAATGTTCCCGTAAGCTCGGTCAATTCATCGGTAATGTAGTGCTTTCGGTCGTCGACTTTTCCGGGAATCTTGAACATGCGGCGGGCAGCGTCGTAACCTGATGCTGGCTTCTTGGGTTTCCCCTTGGCCCACCGAACCATGGTGCCAATGACACCCCTTTTGGATTTTTGGGAAATGCCTCCAGAACTTGGCAGCTCCTCGAGGTCAGAGTCAATAAAAGACTCCTCGTATCCGGGCGGGTTAACTGTCTTCTCGGTGGCAGCCTTGAGTTTGCTAATTGGCATGACGCTAAGATGAGCGCAAGGAACAATCAACAACATGATGAAGCCGACGGTCCCAAACACGGTACCAAGGAGTATATTTCGGAGGGTGTCGATGGGTTCGTAGGCCTCCCGCCTGGCCTTCTCGACAAGGACTGTCCAGTTAACGAGGGGTGTTTGGGTGCGGGCGAAGCCAACAGCTACGCGGACGTTCTCTTCATTGCGCGTGTTGAGCAGAGAGCTAGCGTTATTCACGGCATTGTAATGATTAGTAAAAGAGTCCAAGGCCGCAGGATACTTCTTAACAGGGAAGGCCTTGTTGTCACGCTGGCTCGAGAACTGGTACTCCTTGTGGCGATCTTCGTGGGAGGAGGGTGTTTCCGGGGGAAGGAGGAACTTGACCAAAACGTTGGCAAAGGTTTCTCGGTCTGGGGTGTAGGTGGCGTTGCTGGCCGGGTTGGTCGAGTTGAACCGATTATAGGGTTCGTCAGGACCAATAACGAGGACGGAACCGGATTTTCCCAATCCTTCGCGGGATTCCTGGATTTGGGTGAGCGAGGACAGGGCGACAACGGTCATGTAGCCCAGGATAAACCTGTCTTTGTTGTCTCTAACCGGCACGGTGATGGACAGGAGTGCAGTCGTCGCGTTCAAAACGAGGGGCCCGAGCAGGAGACCGCCGTCGCGATAAATGCGGACACCCGGGAATGCCTCAGCGGCGAAGGCAGTGGTGTTCACCCGGATGGGGTTCGCGTGTCCGAGATCGATGTAGGTAATGTTGGGATAGAGTGATGGAGGGTAGCCCATGCCATCGTCGCCAAGTCGGACTGGTTCGCCAGATGAGTTCGTGTAAGGTAGGATAATGTCAGGAACGCTGCTGGCGGTAACATTGAAGAAGCCGCCATCAGATGCGCCAGTCTTGTTCCTCGAATAGAGCCTGACCTGCATCAGGCCTGTGTCGGCGCTTACGGCCAGAGCGCTCTCAATGTCCTCGGTGGCATCCGCCCAGTTGCCCTGGCCGGTGTCGTAATAGTTTGTGAGGGCATCCTGGAGGAGGATGCGTGAGGTGATGGTGTAGCAACTGGTCTGAACGAGGTCGAGCTCGGCGGAGATGCGTGAGGCCTTGAGGGAGGCCGTGAGCATCAAGCCATCGCGCTCGACATTGATGACGAATCGGTTGACATAGATCCAGGTCGGGATGGAGACAACGGCAAGGGCGACGAGGACGGCGAAGAGGACGAGGACGGCGAGCTGCTCGCGGATGGCGATCCTCATGGTAGGCAGCTTAGAACGTAAGGACTGAGGGTCGAGTGCGGCGACACGGCATCGTTGGCTCGTCGGAGGATTGGGCGATGGGACGGTCGATGGGTGGGTTAGGGAATGGAAGGGAATCGGAGGATTCGGGAGGAGAGTTGAGGCTCAAATCGACGATGGAGAATTTGGGATCGACGATGGAAAACCCACTCAGGCGGCGGCCGTGTCGACTGGGAGAGGAAGGCGGCGGGCCTGTGTCCCGTAGCTGTTGCGTCGCGTCTCGCAGTATCGAGCGGATACCGATGGGTTGAACGACGAGGGCTGGACGCTGGTACCGGTGTTTTGGGACTCTGATGGAGGGACGCGGGATCGGCGATCAGCAGAAAGCGCGCCAGCAGGGAGTGTGACGGAGAGCGCCTCGTGGGCGGTGGCCCAGCTGGAAGATGCCGGGGGGATCGACGGTCCAGTCGACAGGCCGGGCGTGGTGGAGAGAAAAAAAAATACTTGGGAAAATGGGGAATGGGTAATAGGGAATGGGGAATGAGGAAACGGGGGGTCCGGAAACGGGGAATGGACGAAAAAGAGAGCGGGAGGGGGGTGTTGGTTGTCGTTGTGGCCGTGGTGGTGAGCCAAGTAGGTACTCGATGCAACGGGGAAGCCGGAGGATTTGCGCAAACGAAGCGTATTGTCGATCCACGCCGAGTCGGGCTGGCGCGGCGTGGGACCCGAGCCGTGACAGCGAAAGCTTAACGCACACTCGAGAAATAAATGGACCGAGAGAGCTGCACGGAATTGTCTACTTGCTCCATCCAAGATGCGTTTGATTGTTTCGTTCCGAGGAGCTGGTAAGGGCGATGTGAATGCGATTTTCCGTCCAGTCTGGCGGTAGCGGTGCTTCGCCAAGTGGGAGCATGCAGACAATTGGCGCTGTGCCGCGGGTGCTAAGGTGACAATGGCAGTGGGATACGGCCAGAGTGGGACGGACTCGCGTCGTCAATGCTGATGGCCCTGGAGAGGAGATGAACCTGCCGTACTGGATCTACCCCTTGTACCGTTCAGGTATGGGGCAAATTACCTTAGTTTTTAGCTCACCTCGCTTTCGTTATGGCGAAACGCGGATTCCAATACGATCCAAAACCTCCTTCAACACGAATCGCGAATCGCTACCGACCACGGGACACTTCCGGAGATGCTGCCATCTCCCCGGGCTGCCGTCCTCGCCTGCATCGCCCTCGCCTCGCTACCAAATAGACAATGATGGTCGGAGAGACGGTCGAAAACAGCCGTCGAGTCTTGGTCGAATTTGAGGAGAAACATCCACAGGGCTGTCTTGGCATCCCAGCTAGCGGCCAATCCACCCAGTCCACCCAATGCGAGGCCCCATTCAGCGTTGCTGAGTGGGCTCCTCGCAGCGGATTGCGCAGCTTATCCTGCACGCCAGAACGACGATTGGCATTATGGACCACCATTGGCATCATGGAACCATTGACACCATCGACAATTGACGCTATCGAGTGCGTGGCGCTCCCGCTCGGAGATGGGCAACTTTTTCGCCCATCCGCCCCCCGGGACCACCCCAGGACACAAGTTCCAGGTGGTCCAGGGGCCAAGTTTAGGGCACTTCACGTCGCCTATAGGCCCTTCTAGGCCCTGCACCAGTCCCGATGCGACATCAGACCGTGGGCGGGGCCGGCGCAAAACGCCCGGCCAAGACGGGATTCAGCTGCCTTGGTGCATTTCTCGACATGCATTTCCCATGTGCTTAACATCCCAGATAAAGCGCCGTCTGAACCTATAGTATACCCTATATACAGATGGCTGGCGTGTGCGATTTCGATCTTGGCGATTCAAGTTGTCTAGGTCGGTATGATTGGACAGTTGCAAGAGTCCATCCTGATCCTCCAAAGACGCTCGACAGTTCTTCCCCCGGCGATGTGATACATCCTCCCGCGTTGACGGCCAAAGATCAACATGAACAAGCCAAGCCCAAGACGACAATCTGCTGCAAGGTGACAAGATAGGCACCGTCAAAAGCAATGCACGCTGCACTGCACTGCATCAGTCCAAGTCCAATCCAACCCATCCCATGCAATGACAGACAAGTCTGCAGGCGCACAAGGCAGGCGAGACAGCAAAAGGAATGAAGAGACGAAAGAAAAGAGACTAAAATGCGGAAATCGCCTCACTTACACTTTCCGAAGAAATGGCCGTCGACCGAGCTGCGACATAGACGAAGTATAGTACACGATCAGATCATCCCAGAAGTCTAATTGTCTCTGGATCACCAACCCATCCATCCTGCCCCTTGCAGAAATACACACATGAGCACATCATCACAACATCAACATTCGCCCGCTGATTCCAACCCGCTCCCTAGCGCCCTTCGAGCAAGCCTCCTCAAGCTCGGTTATCATAGTGTAGGTACTTACCTACGTACCTGGGTAGGTTGGGAGGGAGGAGCTGTTTGGTGGTCTCAAGCTCAGACGACGAGGCTCGGCCAATTGGCAATGTCCAGGCTCGTCACACTGTCTTACAACCTGTCACTTCATGGCTTGGTCTAGCAATCTAGCTGCATACTATGCTCACTTGTCAGTTCCTCTTCTGCAGTCGATATATTACTCCAGGTCTAGGACCACCGTGGTTGGCCAGACTTGACAGCACGATCTGCGGGTGAGTCCTATACACATACTCGCACATTGCTGCTTTCTTGTATTCACCCCATTAATCCTCCTCTAATGGAATACCTGCAAGGATTGAGTCCCCGTGTCCTATCAGTATCGCTCCATGACCCATTGACTGCGGATCTCGTCCGTTGCCATCGACTCAAGCATCTTCGTCTCAGCCATCTTGACAGCCACATAGCGCCCTACGAGGTCTCGCCCCAGCAGCTCGCACATTTCACCGTCATCCTGAAGCGCCTTGAGCGCCTCGCCAATGCTCCTGGGCAACCTCGTTTGCACGTTGAGCCGAACCCGATCATCGGCCGACAGCGTCGCTGGGTCATCCTCGCAGTCCACCCATACCAGCTTCTCCTGTCTCGCGACGCCCTCGATACCTGCCAGAAACACCGCTGACAACGCCAGGTATGGGTTGGCCATGCCGTCCATGCACTTCATCTCCCAGTGGCTCCCCTCAATCTTCCGCAGTGGCGTCTCGCGGTTCTGCGTGCCCCATGCAACCCAGGTTCCTCCGGCCCAGCACCCGTCCTGCACACGTTCGTAACTGGCCGAGCTGCTGTACGTGAAAGCCGCAACAGCTCGGAGATGCTTGAGGATCCCTGCGTAAAACGGCTCGTAGACATCCTTGTCAGACCCGTTTGGCGTCGAGATGGACATGTGGACGTGAGCCGCCGTGCCACATGCCATTGCGAATGGCTTCGGATGGAGGGTCATCTTGAATCCCTTCGCCGTAGCGTAGTTGCTGAGGACGTCCCTTGCGTATAGCAGTGTATCCACGGCCTCTAGGGCTGGTGCCTTGGGGAGAATCACTTCATACTGCCCGTCTGCGCTCTCCGGATGCATCATGTCAATGTAGACGCCGGCCGCATCGAGTTGTTCTATCGCGTCTTCAAGAACTGCGGCTGCCCCCTCATGTTCCATTGCCCTCCCGGTGGACCATGCATGTCCATCTCCATCCAATGACTTGTACTTATCCCCGACCTCCATGCGCCGCATCAAGACCAGCTCAACCTCAAACCCGAGGATGAATGCCAATCCATTCCGGGCTGCCTTTTCCAACGTTCTTTTGAGGAGGGTTCGTGGACATATCGACACGGCAGAGCCATCTTTCTCCTTAAAGTCCCCATTCGCGGTGACATGTCCCTTTCGCGGGCCAGGACGAAGCGTCCCTAGGTCGGGGTGCAGTCTGTACTCTCCAGCCGACGAAACACCAGGCGCGGGCACATCATTCTGGAGCAAGCCGAGACTGGCCTTGGCCACTCCAAAGGAGAACTCCTCGCCACTGCGCAGCATCGACCAGACCCGCCGGATCGGAATGGCTCTCATCCGCGGCATTGCCGTCATATCGTTCCAGTAAACTCGCAAGAAGCGAGGCTGCTCGTTGTCTTTGAGGAACTTGGTCAAGGCCTGGAGGTTTCCAGATCCAGAAACCACGGCATCAGTCCCAGCCTTGGGGATCAGAGGTCGCAAGTCCAAGCCAAGCTTATAGAGCTTGTTAGAGTTGTTGAAGAAAATATCCTCAACCAAGTGAGCTCCCTGCGTCCATGTCAAGTCCCCCTTGTGCACATAGTCGGAGAGAACGCTGTGAAGGACCTCTCGCACCTGTTCCACCGCCAGAAGATATGTCTCGGGGAACCAGTGCCCATCGGTACTCCAGAGGATCTTGGAATATGGACAGAGTTCCAATACCTGCCGAATCACCGCATCCTGACCATCCCGGCTGACTGCGGGAAAGACTTCGCCAATGTCGGCATAGACATTGGCATAGACCGTTGCCAGGTAACCGGCCTCGCGCATGTAAGGGTAGCTGGCGTGTAAGAGAACAATAGGAACTGTCGAGTACTCTCGGATGAACTCCTGGAGGTGCGCGGGAGAGGACTTGGTGAGGGTTATCTCGTTGTCCCCAAGCCCAGTATGGAACTGGATGGGCTTTTTATGAGGACTTCGGCTGTCCCGAATCAACGTTGCCAGGTGGTGGACGAATAGCTCATTGAGGCCAGGGTGGTCCACCCTGGTGAACTTCTTCACAATGCCTGCCTCTCTCTGTTCAAAGATTCGGAAGAAGGCCTCGCTTGCGGCCCTTATATCCATCTTTCTGGGTATGTCTAGGCCGGTCCGGTAGCAGATGACCGACTTGAACCCAACCACCTCCGGGTCTTCGATGCTGTGCAGAATCGCTTTGTCGAAGCCCTCAATGACGGCTCTGAAGGCGTCGTTGGCATTCTTGAATTTGGAGCCTGTCTGGTCGATTATTTCCGCAGCGACATGCTCGATGCGGACAATGCGTTTGCTCGGGCTTCTCGTAAAGTTGTCAAAGTGGTTGTATCGCTCAACCTCTGCCGCGTTACTGAAGCCATCGTCCACAAGGATGCTTTCGATTCCAGAGAGACATCTTCTCACCCATGCATCGTAGTCTCCCGCCTGCTTTGACTCCAGAGCCGCGGAGACTGCCTCCCACGTGGCGTCACAGCCGAGGATAGCAGAAAGTTGCTTGACAGCTCGGATATGCGCCAAGCTAGTCTGGGTGGCATTGATGGCGTCGCCATGAGCCTCAGTCGAGATTGATAAGAGAGGGTACTTGGTGATGGAGCCTGAATTGAGGAGTGGATGAGCGTGGTGATCGATGATCGGGGTTGAATAGATGGTGCGACGAAGAGCTTCCTCTGTTTCGATCTTGATAAGCGTCATCTTGAGCCGCCTGAGATGAGAATTGAGTCGAGTTCAAACAATGACTCTACAACGGTCGGAGATAAAGCTCTGGCTGTCAAGACCTGGCTGAGTGGACGAGGTTACACCGCCAGCAGCAGCAACACCGAAGAAGTTCCTGTAATGCGACGCCCGTGTTTCACGAGGAGGGGATAATATTCATCAAATGAAAGTGTTGGCAAGATGGAAATCCGTATTTCCAAGCCAACGTCGCACACAGTCTGGCGGCTTTCGGTAGGTGAGGTCAGCGAGCGGCAGTAACTCGGTAGGTGCATGACAAACGCGGGAGAATTGTTGCATCATCGCTCGAGGGTTGTCCCTTATCACCCGGCCTCGGGTGAGACAAAAAACACCGCCCCAACAAGGAATACAGTGCCACTTCAACGAAAACAGCCAAAGAATTATGTACCATACATGCCCAGCGCTTGCTGTCTCGTCTATGGCTGTCACTGGTTGATCCAGGCCCCTAGGGTGGTAATTTCGGCGCCTTTCTTTTCTTTTCTTCTGAGACATGCTTGGGCCGCTTCTGCCGATCAATACTAGCACACACGGGACGCAGCCACGTCAACTTGCCGCCTTTCCAATTTGGATACAGACATTTAAGCGGTCTGGCCCTGTGGAGCAGCTGACACGGTACGGTTCGTCAGTTGTGGTAGCAGATGAGTTATGAGGCAACCGCTTACGGAGCTTGCTGGGACACGTAGAAGGTCCTGGTTTGCCGCATCTATGCCGCCTAAATCATGGCAATGACATTTAAAGACGACGACTACAAGCATCTTGCCGATATATGGTCATTATCAAGTACTTTGTAGATAGCCAGGCAGTCAGAGGATCAAAATCTCGGCCCGATTGAGGTAAACAATTCCCAAGTTAAAGTTGCGACTCTCCGTGTCCAAGTGGTGGTATAACGCCAAAGAGAGAAGCGTATTCCTTTGGGACTCTAAATATATTGTCATGTCTCATGTCCCTAGCTCCTCATGCTCTTCAGTTGCGGAACCGGAGCCCTCCACGTCGTCAGGCTAATCCCCAACGCAAAGACCATCCCCAGGCAGAACGGCAACGCCATCCACGTCCGAAGCCCAACGCCAAATAGAGTCCCCATGCTCAGCTCGAAAGCTAGGAACCCCATCACCTCTCCCACAGCCAACATGCCGAAAATACTCCCGGTTCTCTCGCCTCTCAAAGAGCTCACCAGCATTGCTCTGCAGAGCGTGGGTAAGCCCGACCCCAGTGCCGAAATGGTGAGACCCGCGATGATTAATGTTTCGTTGGTGATCATCATCAGGCACAGAGATCCGGCAACAAATAGCAGGGCGCTGCCGCGGGCGAGCACATGATCAAGGCGATGTGACTTGCCGCTGGCGAACTTGTTGCAGAGAACGGTGATCCCGGGAAGTACTAGACACAGCGTGATGAGGGTAATTAAACTCCTCAGAGATATCAGAATCGCAGAATGGCGAAGGGACCAGTCAAACTGGATCGGCATCAGGCGTAAAAGGAGATCCGACTGTATGGTTGCGAGCGGTATTGTCAACGCCGCCCCAGGGATATACCATATAGTCGGTGCTGAGAAGACAAGTTTGAGGGTTTGTAGTGTAGAAGAGGTCGCTTTCGAACCCCCGGGGTTGAAAGGCCCTTTGTCCAGTTTAGGGGGCAATGTCTCTGGCGTGAAAATGGCGAGGGTGAATCCTCCAGCAAACACAAGCCCCAGTGAGAGGAACAGCGGCGTCCATATCGAGGATGGTATGATTCTTCCTGCTATGACAGGACCCAGTAACTGTGCAGAGAGGATAGCGGCAACAACACATTGAAACCAATTTGCCCTGCATCGCGTAAATTCTTAGCTCGATGTTCCCACGGAAGACTCAACTCGAACTGACCTTTTGGCACCAGGCACCACATCTGAGAGGATAGTGAAGACCATGGCCTCCGCAACACTTCGGCCACCTCCGAGTAACAGAAGCACCCCGAGACCCCAGACTGCTCTGGAAGGTAGAGATTTCCACTGCCAGCAGACGTACATGACGTAGGCCTGCGAGAGACACATGCTGAGGATACTCATGGTGAGAACAGGGACGCGGCCGACCCTGTCTGCAAGGACGCCCAACGGGAATGAGACGAGCGCACCTGGTGACGAGTCAGATTCGGTCATTTCCGCTGCCCCAAAAGCCAAGCCACGGAGTTTTCTTTGTACTTGCCTCCAAGCGTAGCTGAAACCAGAATGCCCATGAAGATGACGTTGAGCTCCTGCTGCACAGCCTGCATGCGACAATCTTCTTCCGGGAGCAGCTCGTCAGTCGTCACATTGTAGTGGCGCTTGCAGACAATGTCCTGCATTAACTTGACGGACGGCAGGTCGCTCAAAGAGAGTCCAAGTTGGGTAACGAAGAGAGTGACGACGAGAAAGGGAAGCAGAAGTCCTCTGGGGACTGTCACTGACGGGAACCTCATCCTCCGGAGTGGTGAAGAGAGTGTACGAGAGATGAAGTGGTCAGCCAAAGCAGAAGTTGATTACTAGAAAATATGCACAGATGAATAAAAATCGTGCATCGTCTGCGGTTGAGGGCGCGCCAGCAGTGATTCACGCTATTGTGACAATGAAACAAACAACAAGGCAATCGGAGCCTGTCAGAGCGAACACAACTATGGCTGGCATCTTCCAATCAGGCGCTCCAAATTCCCCTCACCGGCTCAGCGCAATCTCCTCCATTTCGACTTTTAGAAGCGAAAAGTCCAGCGATTGTTTTGCCAAGCCTTCGCTAATCACTGATCCAAGAACACATGCCACCATCTAGGATGTTCTTCATAACCACTAAATACGCATCCTTGTACCACAGCGACGCCTCCAACGCCCAAATTCAGAGTCCCGGAGCTTTTAGCATCGTTGCTCCCATGTCGGCTGAGAATCCCTTGTCATTTCGTACGCAGAAGGGGCATAATTCGCCAAGAAATACGTTCTAGTGTTCTATTTGAAGATTCTGTCACTTCTCAATGTTTCTCCCTGAAAACGCCCCAGGGTCTAACCCCTGCTGCCACGCCTTTATAGCGTGGCCATTTCCTGAAACGTGGAAGTCTACGGCCTAGCAGGAGACTAGTTTGTTAAACAAAGAACAACCCTCCAGAGGCTTGACGAACAAGTTGAGGCGCACGATATCGCGGGCTCAACCCCTGGCTCTATGAAGTCATCGTGGAAATTTCCAGGCGTAATTTCAACCGCACGGACTGAATTCCGGTGAGGCTGTCAGGGAAATGATCTAGAATGGCAGTTGTCACCATGTCATCCAGTTTCAGGACTCATCCCCCAGCCTGTGCTAGACTGACTGTTCAAGGGACAGTGTTTTGGTGAACATGGCCAATATGAATCCCCTCTTCTGCTCATTTATTAAGGTCAGTGGCTCATGTCCTCTCTCTGTTCTCGCTGTATATACACGTCCTTCCCATCCAGCAATTGATCATCCACATAATTCCAACAACCCGTTCCAAAATATCGCACATTCCACAGCTTCTCCTCATCTCCAGTTCAATAAACAACATGTGCATCGGCGAGTCGGTCCAATGTCCAGAATGCCAGTATTTGCGAGACCAAATCCTCTCCTACTGTCCCATTGCCGAAATGACGGGGGTGTGTCCAACCGGTCCCAACTTTCAGGGAGTGAGGCAAGGCAACATGCCATGCGCCGTTTGTAGGGGAACTGAAAGCAAAGGTGTGATTGTGACCCATTTCCTGCGATGCCTTTAGCTAATAGATGTGGCCAAGGCTACAGAGGGGCCTGAATGGACGACTTGCGAGCTCAGCTCCTCGACTCGGATGAGAACATGGACCCAGTCAGTCTACGGGTTGGACTAAGCGAAGGAAGCCAGTCTTTCGGTCGCCTAGTCAGTCTTTTGAGATGAAAACGCTTTCCAGGCTGAAGGCATCATCAAATGTCCGAGCTTACACGAGTCACTTGGGACCGGGACCCAGGACCTGGATGCATACCAGAAGACGGTTGAACCGCCTATCACCAGTGATCAGTCCAGACATGTCATGCAGGAGGCGTTGATTGTGGGTTGTGTCGGGGAGACAAGTTAATGATTGTTGGATGAATGGGCCAGTGTCCGTGGCCACGTTGCCACTTACACGAGGGCGAAGGAAACGGTGCTGGAAGCGCACGTTCGCAGGTCGAACAATATTAATTGTAATTAGAGCCTCGAAACCAAGCTACTGACTCTGTAGCTCTTTATGAATGGTGTGCTTTTTGTTCGCAATCGCCCACCATTAACTGGGTTGCCAGCTGTTGCCGAATACAACTCCCCTCATCCCCTCCAATCCCAACATGTGAAGATGTAGCTTAGGCCAAACTCCGTGCACGAAATTACGCGTAGATGTTAGTGATGAGCATCATTTGGTATCTGATTGGGCATTGGGTTATTGTCGTGTTGTCAAACCGTAAATAGTGTGTTAGATGTTCAGTTTGTCATCCAGGTTCAAACATCAACCTCACTCTTGCAAGTGTACTCAAATAAGACAATACCCAGAAAAGAGGACTCGACGACTAGAGGCCACGAAGCAAAGCCATACGTTGAGAATCACATCGATTGCTTGTTGCCCAAGAAGAAAAGCTGAGAGCAAGGATTGAAGGATCAAAAGCAAAGAGCATGGTAAGCCTAGGGTGGGGGCCACGGCGAGCAAAGCTGTAATGTCGGCATCTGTTCAAGGCGCGGACCACAATACCAAAACACGTAGCAATTGCGTATGGATGTGGCCTGCAGGAAGTATGTGACCATTCATGCGCCAGGCCCGGAGGCCGATCAACACGTAGGGGTGATGCGCTGCCTCTCCAAAATCCTTCAGCCTTCTGTTATTGAAGGACTACTGTCCGTCACAATGGCTGTCTCCATCACTGCTACAAAAGACAGATGTTCTGAGACCTCCCTCCCTGACGCATATTTCTGTCCTTTGTTCCTTAGCAACAAGGATTACCGCTGCCCAACCTTTGTCTCGGGTGAACCGTCGGGCGGGACCGTGGAGAGTCATCCATGCGCTGGAATAGGCACGTTGAAATGGGGGCTTTGGTTGAGAACAGACGGAAGCTTGCATGGACAAACAAACCAGTAAAGTAAAGTTGGTGCTCAACAGACCGTGAGTCCTCCCACTTCGTCGTGACAATTCAAGGGTCCCAAGAGTTCCACGCACGTCAACTCAGTGTTGGCCACGGCGAGGCTGGGGCACCCTTGCCTCTGGATAAAGACCTTGCATCAGTCCCGCCAGTTAGTGTGGTGGCATCATCTCCACTAGCCCACCCGATTCAGAACAGTGACTGGCTGCGGGCAATTTACATGTGTCCACTGTTCTAGAAGTGGATATTGTACGTAGTGGTGTAGAAATGAGAAGCCGGAGGGGAAGCAAGTGGAGAGCTGAACGGCGATCGGGTGACGAAAGGGCGAAGATGATGTGCCAACTCACAGCCAACCAAACATCGCCGTTGTTCAGCTGCGGCGGTTGGCCCAGGTGAGACCTTCGGAATTAGCATCATAGTGTCTGAGACACAATCCTTCGATGAACACACCGTGTGTCGGCGCATCAAGCAGTTGTGCTGTACTCTGACCCGTCGGGACGGGGAGACATCACGTACAAGGAAGCGACTCCGTTATCCGGCACTGGGAAAATACCCGACCTGTGACCAGTCGTGCAGGATCGCAGATTAAGCAACCTGGCCATGGGCAATCTAAGCCGAATCACTTGCTCCTGTCGAAGGGACGGGCGCTGCATGAGAGTCAATTAAGCGGCATCGCCGATCTGACTTTCGGTGGCCGCCACCCAAGATCTAGAGGAAGAACCCTTGGGTGTGGAGGAAGACCTGGAGGAGGCGAGGTGTCAGCCCACGAGGACTGGTGCAACCTGACGATATATGCCTATCCCGACTGGACGGGACGGGAGTCATCATTGCCTTGGAGATGGCTGTGTTACGGCCCAGACTAAACTGCGGCCAACCAATCTCCGGTTCCGTCCTCCACTTCGCTGCGGATCATCTCGGTCCATCACCTCTGGGCCGTCATGGCAGCGCCACCAGTGCAGACGGTCGTGGTGGTTGAGACACCAATGGCGGACAAAGATTATGCAGGTACGATGTCTGTAGGTTAGATAGCAACCTGCATATGTTGGATGGGAATAATTCCTGTATCGCTCGCCGCCATCGAGATAGCGGAGCCACTGTAGTCGACGAGCACTATCATGGTGGTTCGGCCGAGCCCCTGACGGATTGCTTGGGTAAGGTGCTGGGCAACTAGGCCATGTTTGGTAACTTACGTGCAGGCAGCACAACCCTCCCAAGGAACATTGAGCGACGATTTACCCATAGCACTGTGCCGCAGAAGTGCCGTTGTTGCGTGTGGGATTCGCCTCCATTCCATTATGCAGACAACCGGGCGGCTCATTCTTGCGCTCTCATGGCCACCGGGCAACGACCGACGTACAACCCGAGGTAGCAAGCCCAACAAGTGCCCACAAGCGTCCGCAACGCAAGAGGCCGGACTGCGTGCCCGACTGCTCATATCCGCTTCCTCCTCCCGTCCGCACCTGGCACTTCTGGCCTAGCGGAGCTTGTCCCCCCGTCTGCCTTTCAGGTGGGCCGTGGCTAGCATTCCATTTCCATTGCTTCCGCGTGGCTTGTGGAGTAGATCACGGACTGGGCTCCGGGGCTGGAAGGAGAGTTCTGCCACGCCGCGGGTGGTCTTGGCTCGCCGATGCGAGAACTGGCGAGCGCGGCGCTCGACGGCGTTAGTCTGTGCGAGGCTTCAATCAAACAACCGACCAACCAAGCGGTCAGTCGACTCAGCCCAGGCGCTCGTGGCACACATGCTCGATACATGGGATGTACAAGCGGACCAGTGCTCAGGGCGTGTGGTGCTATGTACAATGTTGAAAGAAAGGAGGGGATGCAGATGAATCCTGCCGCGGCCGTGGCCGTCCGGGTGGGCCGTAGAGTTGACGAACCCCGGCCAGGGGAGCCCGCCCGTCCAGGATGTAACCGTACCGTGGGAACGGAGCATTGTTGGATTCATCTACTCCGTACCGTCTCAGCACGATGGGGTCGCTTAGAGAAGTAGCTGGGATTAGACCCTAAGAAGATGGAATGGCATGTTTGTAGATGGAGAAGAAGAATCCAGAAGAAGCAAAAAAAGCTAGCATGAAGGAAAGGAAAAGCTGCCTAAAAGCCTCGTTTGGTCCGTGTACGCCTGTCAAAAATCGCCTGACAGTCCGAGAAAAGGCGACGGTCGGTGCGAAGAAGCTAGAAATGGGTGGACGAACGGATGAAGCCTCCTGCACGGATCTTGAAGAAACCAGAGGTGAACTGTGTGGGGCAGGCGAAGCCACACTGTACGAATATGCATATGCTCTAAACACCACAAGCGTCGGTCCTCAATGGCGAGACTATTCAGACGGTGCAGCACACACCGGCGAGCCAAAACGACCGGGGCGACCCGCGCTTTGATCTGCCATTCAGGTGGTGCAACCGGTAGAGACAATAGCGGCGATAGTGTCGACGCCGCATTGGCAAACATCAATAGCTGAACTGCATGGCACTGTGCGTTGCTGCACCCTAATGCGTACCTTACCTAGTACCTAGGCACCCGGCTGTAGGCACTACCGGCAGCCTGAGGTAAGAACTCGCTGGTTCCGACACGACGATCCCCACGCTGCAGCTGAATCGCATCGCAATCAACGCACAACACCGCCGAAACTCCTGATTCGAGTTGGCCCAGTCCACCCATCCCGGTTGCGAGCGAACCCTGTTGGAAACGACACTATCGGTAACTGCCCTGACTCGAGCCTGCAGCCCTTGTCCAGGAACGGAGACACAGGGAGACACAGCGGCCCCGCTCCTGGCACTGTGGCCCAGTTGCAGCTATCCTACCCTGGCCGCGGGACTGGAAACATCCCATTCATCCACCAGAGTGCATCGCGCTTCGATTATCCCCGTCAGGGACTAACCCTCTTCTGGGCCTCGTAGGGAGGGCCCGGTGCAATCCCACACCTTCCGTCGTCTCCTTGCCCACTGCAACCACACAGAGGATCCATTGACCAGCCAGCGGGAGCCCACGCCGACTCCACGACAGTGTGTGAACTAGAAGGTCCTTGAAGAGAGACAGACACCCACTACAGAAGCTCAGACACGGGGATCAAGGGGGCCACGGACGGACACAGACCAGACTACGGGCCACGAGTGGAGGAGATCCAATCCTAATCCCAATCCCACCAACTCCACCGTTCTCCGTTCTCTTGCCAGTCGACGACCTTACCAAACCCGACGAGCCAGGGGGCGAGCGAAACGAGGTCAACCGCCTGCTCCTCGAGGAGACCGCCGGCGAGCCGTCTTTCGCTTCACCCATTCTATTCTAACCTTTCATCTTCATCGTGTCCGCCCCTTGGTGTGCTTGTTTGCTTTTGCGGCGCGTCGACGAAATTCAGGCGGCGTTGCTTCTTTTCGCCGTCATTGTAATAGGTGCGTTCACAATTGTCTATCCCTCCCCAGTATCCCTCAACCCATCATTCCTGCATCCGCGCATCCGCCCGGGTGCTTTGTGCTTTGGTTTTGTGCTCTCTGGTGGCTGTCCAACGCACGCGCAATCACCAATACGGACGTACACAACGTACACGGACATACGCACGCCCAAGACGCACGTCGCAATCCTCTCCTACGAGGCAATACCGTGATTGGCACGCCCCAGAGATCTTGGTGACGTCTTGAGCTCGCGTGGTCCAGCATCTGCTGTGTCTCAATGGTCGCACCATCTGCGAGTCGTGGTTACGCATGAGCTTCGCTCCGTTCCCGGCATCCGTCCTGCTTCCGTACGCCAGACAGCCATCCAGTTATACAGCCATACACAGCCCTGAACAATGCGACCCTCATCTTGCCGTTTCAGCCTTCTTTCTGCTGGCATAGTCCACTAATAGCAACCAGCAACCACCCGTCCACCAAGCGACTTGCCGCGCAGCCACCGTGTACAGTGCCCTCGCCACCTCTTCGCCAACTCGCAGAGAAACCTCGACCCCCGAACCCGCGCCTGCGCTTGTCCGGGAACCCTCCGGCTCACTTCGTACAAGCCGACCAAAGAATTACTCGCCAGCGATCGCTCCCGTCGTACATTTCGCACTGGGAGACCTGCGGAGGTCTACCCGCATATAGAAGCCACCATGACAACCCCGATCCCCGAGGTGACCATGTCGCGACCTTCGTCCGGCATCGTTCCTCCCGCCCGCGGTATAAGGTCAAGGACACAGAGCATGTCCAGCGACAGACCTTCTACAATCGCCCTCAGCCTGATGTCGCCCCCTTTATCCGTGTCACCAGAGGCGGCCTTCATTGCCGCCTCCGCTGCCTCTCAGATTGTCACCAACGACCATGACAGCCATGCTGAGACCTGGTACGATCAGCATGGCATTGAGCCTGCCGGCGAAACTGCCTTGGTGTCGCAAGAGGCTCTCCTCCTTGTGAACAACTTCCTCGACCAGCTTCTTTTCAACTTCCTCTCTGTTGCCCGAGCCACGACACTTTCCGCCCTGCGACCAGCTGTCGCCGAGGTCCTCAAGCCCAAGCTCGCCAAGGACGCCGTAAACAACGCCGACGAGGAATTGCGAGAGTATCTCGGTGAGGGCGACGAAGATGATTACGTTCAACCTCAAGGTGGCGACCCGTCCCGCGACTGGGACCTCGAGCTGGTTTGGAAGCGCACTCGATTGCGATGTATGGTCTACTCGTCCCTGGGAGACATGGAGGAGGAAGACGAAGACTTGCACATGGAGCAAGAGAACTTGGAGATTGGCGCCGACGAGCAGATTTCAGCCGTCATCTCGCCTGCGGTCGCCATCTTTTTGACGTCTGTTCTGGAATACATGGGCGAGCTCACCCTCACTGTGGCCGGACAGGCTGCATACCACAGGTTGCGAACCAGGTTCCAGAAGGAAATCAACGAAGGGGCCAAGAATCCCACAGATATTGCTGATCGAATCGTCGTCGAAGACCAGGACATGGAGAGAGTTGCTCTCGACAGAACTCTGGGACGACTATGGAGAGGCTGGAAGAAGAGAATTCGCTCCCCAACCTTCGACATGAGTGGCCGACCCTTTTCAAGGTCGTCCATTGGTCATCTGAGGCATGACAGCAACCTTACCGAGCTGGGCCGAATTGCCACTCATAGCGATGAAGAAAACGATGCCAACAAGGACGAAAAGAAAACCGATCTCGCTGGGCTTGGGCCCGCAGAGATTGCCCTGCCCATGGGCGATAATGATGTGTATGAGATCGAAGTACCTGGTCTCGCAGCTTACAGCGATGACGAGGATGAAGAGGACGAAGAGGAAGATGAAACTACTAGCGGGCGCCGGCCAAAGAGCTTGTTGATTATCCCTTTCGGAGGTCCTGCTGGACTCCCAACTCCCATTTTGTCTCAGCCAAACACGCCCGACTTCGCGGGGCGTAAGAGATCCAACTCTCTTCCTACCCCCGGGGCCTCGCCATATCGTCCAGTCGTAAAGCGATCCAAGGAGACAGCACCAGCGGAGACTAGCGCAGTCATTGAAGAACAAACCACGAAGGAAGCTGCCAAGGACGACCAGGCGGTGGAAGAGACCAAGGTTGCTCAGGAAATCAAGCCAGTAGATGAGCCATCATCTAAAGCTTCAACGTCTAAGCGGCTGTCGAAAATCGTTACAGACCCATCAGCCGCTGCAGCCTTCCGCAACCGATCCCGGCGAGTATCTGGCGAAGGAGAAGAGGGAAAGGTAGCCTACGAGAAGGCTGAAATTCTTACCACGTCCAGGATATCAGTTTCCGGTAGCGCATCGCCTGCTCTCTCTGACTCCGGAGGCCCATTCACGCTGAAGAGATCCAACAGCGTTCATTCGGCTCGAATCATTGATGTTACAGGGCCTAAGAGTCCCAGCGGATCTCGCTCGCCATCCGTGGATACGACTGATCGGGCTCGCCCCGCCAGCATCAACATGTCTGCTCAAAGCAGCGTTTACTCTACTCCTGAAGAATCGCTCGTACCGAAGACCCTTGGTGCAGTGCCTCGCTCGGCGGTCGCGCCCCCTAAGAGTCGGTCCCCTGTTGATAGAATGAGGGGATCCATGCCCAGCGCTGCCACCATATCCGAGTCCGAAGAGGAGGCGGAGCACGATGTTCCTAAGGACCAGAACACAAAGAACACCTTCCAATCTTCTCCACTAACCCATTCCGTGCCGGAAAGCCTTCCCGTACAGCGCAGGAGGCCGCAGCCCCTTATTGGGCTCCCCCCTCAGCCTCAGCCGTCATCCCACCGGAAAACGTCCTCTGGAACTAAGGTGACGATTCTGCGGGCGCCAAGCGCGCCGTCCCCTCTGCCTGAAGATAGGCAGGCCGAGATCTCACGAAAGACTGGTGGCCAGGGTAACTGGCAAGGATCGCGTGATAAGGTCCCAACATCCCCGACTCACAGCATCGGAATGGTCTCTATTGAACGGTCGAAGACGAGGGACGACGAAGATGACGCTGGTGTGGGCTCGTCTGCTCCTCGTCCTATTCACACCTCTGGCTCTTCTGCTTCATCAGGCACGTCCCGCTTGAAGGCTGTTCGCACTTCCGAAGAGAACGCCTCGCGCTCTGAGAATGTTGCACGCAACTTTGAGGAGCTGATCCAGAGCAACCAGACTATTACTTACACGCTGACACCCGAGAACATGCGTGATATTGACGTGAGTGAATCCAAACCCCGCCCTTTCTGGTATATACTAATTAATCAATTTTAGCATAAGCGATCTCTGGATCAGACTCCTGTTGTTACGAAGGCATCTTGGAAGACCGATGACGCTCGAAGTCACAACCGATCTCGATCTTCATCGGCCGCTACCGAACTCAAGGTGCACCACCGGGCAACTGGTCTGAGCGATGACAAGTCTAAGACCGGCCTACACTCTCCTACCATGGCCTCTGCGAAGGCTGCACGCGGCTCCGGAGCTGCTCGAGAGGCGCGGGTTCCTAGCGAATCTACTGCAGATTTTGCGGAGTTCATCAAGTCAACAGGCCCCCCGGGACAAGGACAGACTCGACCTGCCCCCCTACGGAGCAATCCACCTGGCGCAACATCATCATCTGCCAACCCTGCCCTTGAAGCTCGCCGCGTCTCTTCCACCAGCAACCGTAATCGTTACATGCCCCGGGAAGCCTTGCCAGAGGGCAGCAGAACGGGCAACTCGGATTTGATTGATTTCATCCGACAAGGTCCTCCCGGTGCTTCCAACAACCGTATCCCGCGTACTGTTGCCCCCTTCCGAGACACTCTCGACTCGGATGAAATGTCAGGTGCCGTTGGCGGAAAAGCTGTGGATGCCACTATCCCAGACATCCGATATAGTCAAGCTTCGACACATGCAACCGACACGTCAATGCCTTCAATACACTCTTCAGTCAACTCCCATACTGCTCTCTTGAAGAACAAGGGCGGGTCTGGTCCTGCTAGCAAAATGTTCGACGACGAGGACATGATGCCCAAACGCAAGACCAGGCGTGTGAAGGATCCTTACGCAATCGACTTCAGTGATGAAGATGACGACGACGATTTTATCTCGACTCCCAAGCCCCCGGTTAAGAAGGAGGAGAGCCTAGCGGAGTTCTTGAAGAACTACGACCCGCCACCGGAGCCCGTCGCCCCCCCGATCTCACACAAGATGCCCAAGAAGAAGGCGAGCGCACCCAGCCTTATCGGCAGGTTCACGCGCAGCAGCAGCAACGCCCACAGTAGCAACGCGCCGCACTCGCCCGTCGTGGACTCGCGATCTCTGAGCAGCCGAAGCAGCGGCAAGGGTTATATCCCGATCCAGGTTAACATCCCCCCGGGCTACGACAAGTATGGACCTATTGACAAACCCGCTGCCCGGCCTTCGATGCCTCCTTCGGGCGGGTCCATGGGCCGTGTCCCGATGAAGAGGTTCGAGCCCCGAGAAGCTGTGTCAAATGTCAGCCGCACCTCTGACCTGGCGGCCTTCCTTCGTGACTCGGAGCCACCGCCAGAACCCGTTGCGCCACCTCCCCCCCGACAGGAGGAGGGGAGCAGCCTGTCCAAGATGTTCAGCAGGCGAAAGAAGTCTTCAATGGCTTAAAGAATCCATGTTTACGACCCGATCTACCACCTGCAGATGCTCAGCTGCCGCTTCGACGACGACTTATTCCGCTTACGAACTCATGTACCTAATCCTTAGTTTTCCAACTGCAGATACTTAGTCATGGCCTGGGGTCTAGCCAGAGCTCCCGGACCATGACCCATTTCCCTTTCATCTTATTCTCAGGCAGTCGTTTGGGCTGCCACCCGTTGTATTTCGATACCGCCGGCCCGGGTTGCCGATTTTCACTCACAAGGCTTTTGATGTCTACTTACGTTTGGTTTTTATTGGTTTGCGTCGTTTATTTTTGAATGGGATTCATTTTTGGCGGGTTTTGTGAAGACGGTGGATCTAGCGACTGCAATGTTGGTTGATTGCGGAGGAACAGTTAAAAGAAGATGCTTTTTACAACAAGATCTACAGCGCAACGCGTGAAGTTGCGCAAGGGTTGGCCGGTTGATAGAAAACCAGAGTGTATTTGATGATTGAATTGTTCGTATTGATGAGCCACTCCATTGCATTCATTGTCTTGCTTGTCTCGGTTTCTCCCACTGAGAGGTCTCCTTTGAGTTGATTCCGCCATGGATCTGGCAAAATACGACACCCCCCTGCCCCTGTAAGTTAACCCACGGCGAGAAGCGACCAAATGGGACGTCAACCCGAAGTCGCATTCCACAAGCCCTGTCCAAAGTACACAGCCTAGAGCTAAACGAATAACCATGCCTATATCAGTTGTTCAGCCCTGGGCGCCAGCCATTGATGCAGGTAAGCGGCGTATACTTGATCCAGGGCTTTCCTCGCTCGCGGGTCACGTAACGGAGTTAAGCCAAGCCAACTGGGCAGGTGGTTATCTGGCGAGGCAGAGGAGGGGAAGAATGTGCCTTTTAGAACGAGCATATGCGCTCTTCCACAATTCGACGACCTTGTCGTGGGCCATTCGGTTTGTGCATGAGCGCATTCTCGCACCATGTACTGTGAGCTTGTCGTTGCAATAGCCTACTTGGTTGCGCTCGCCGCCTCGACATCGACGCTTGGCCTCACGACTGGCCGTCTCGCGCGCGGCGACACTGCCAAACTCCGCTGGGCCGGCGTGTCGGAGGAACATTACCCGCTCAGTCTGCAGGCCCGGTTCTTCAACGAAACCGGCGACGGCGTCTTCTCCATCCGGAGCACCATCGCGAGTAAGTCCAAGTCTCCGATATGAGCAACCCGCTGGGGCAAGAGACACGCACACAATGCTGAATCATGGGTCCTAGATGGCTTGACGCGGGATCGGTTCGACTGGAAGGACGTGCCGGCGCCGCTAGACCACGTCCCTAATGCACGGTACGAACTGATACTCGTGCCAGAGGGAGAGAGCGGGCCGCGAGTAGGATACGAGGGTTTGTTTCGGGTCGTTGAAGAAGGAGACGGCTCCGATGAGACGGATGGCGGTTCACCCGGAGGAGACTCGCCGGGAGGGGACTCTGGGTCGGACTCAGAACACGATGGCGACGACAAGCACAACATCGCCATTGGAACGGGTGTGGGCTTGGGATTGGGCCTGCCGCTTGTAATAGGGGCAGCGTGGTGGTTCAGAAGGAGGAGAAAGGGCAGGATGGGAAGAAGGAAGAAAGGGGCAGAAGAATGATTTGAATATGTCACTGCAAGACGACTACTTCACCAAACAGAAAGCTAACATGAAAGGCATGAACCGACTACGATATCAAACAAGTCTTATGTCAAACCACGACATCACCATGAAATGCAAGTGCTAGTACAATAGTGCTTTGAATAAGCATATCTTTATCATAATGTACATCCTCGCCATCCATTCGTTCCGCGTTTTAGGGTATCAAATCAACATCGTCGCCTGCGAGTCCCCCCGTGGGCTTTCTAGCACTGCCGCACGACATTCTTTCGGGAATGCTTTACTGTTTGTGCTCTGCCTCGGCCTGTTTCTGAAGGTCGGCCTCCACGCCACGCTGCTTCGTCTTGCCTTCGTCATGGAGCGAGTTGTAGTGAGCCTGGCCTTCCTTGTCACCTGTGAGTCCGGCAACGGCACCGCCGAGAGTGCCCTGGACACGGTCGCCGATGCCAGAGCCAAGGTCGCTCAGCTGGCCACGAGCCTCCTGCTGCTGACCCTCGAGGTTCTGCTGACGGCCAGCGTTCTTAAGGGACTGAAGTGTTTGTTAGCATCTGGATGACTTAACTTGACTGGATTTAACGTACCTGGTTGCCGATGAGGCCACCAACAGTCTCTTTCGCGGCGCCCACGGTCTGGTTCCAGGATCCCTCGGTGCGGTTGGGGTCGTCGCGGGCAACGCCAGAGGTCGAGACGGTGCCGCCGGGGACCTTGACGGCCGCGTGAGAGGCTTCGTTCTCGAGCTCGGCCTTGTCCTTGCGGGCCTCGCCTTCAGTCTTGTCGCCGGTGCTGCCAGTGATGCTCCCGAGGGCGCTCTGGAGGGTGCCGGTGGCCGAGTCGACGTACGACTGGAGGGTCGAGGGCTTGTCGTTGGGGGCAGACATGATGGATGATTGGGGTTAAGGTATGAACTTTTGGAAGTGTTTGGTGAAGTGGTTGGTGTGTGGTTTTCAGGTCTTGATGCTTTGGATGGTGTTGTATTGAAAGAAAGGTTTGGTATAGAACGGGGAACAGCCAGCTTTATACCTATGGCGGAGGCATTCTTGACGAGGCAAGAGCGTGCAACATCCCAGTGACGAACAATGGTTCTAGCACCAGGCGGCAGCTGTCAAAAGCCAAATGATGTCATGATGCTCATCAAGATCCATCAAGAGGCTCCATGGAAACGGCTGTGACTTGCACCGTGGTGGGGTGTGGCGTAAGGGCGAGCTGGGTTAATGACGTCAACTAATTCGTCCACGTTCTTACACCCGCTATTGCACACTCAGGCGCAACGTGCTCAACGTCACTCGAGTCTCGGATGCACAGTAGTTTGTACAGTAGTGACGGGAAATTAAGACGGTGGTGGGGAAGGCAACGTAATATGATACAATCGCCCTGATTGTTGTTGCACATGTCTCCATCCGTGATGGAAGTTTCCATCCTTGAGAGACGCGCAACATTCGGCTGTTCGGCAGTTTATGCAGGAAATCATGGACGAGCACATGTACGAAGTGCTACTAAAGACGCTGTCATAACGCGACACAGTGAATGGTCATGCTTCATTCTGTCAAGTGCCGTCCATGATGGACACTGGCTGGACTGTCATCCACGACCTGTGGATGAACAACGTCCCAAGTGCTAGCTGCGTGGATACGGAGGAGATTCTCGTGTTAATCCGAACTGAGCCCAGGTCCCGTGCATTGGAATTCCATCCTTTGACCATGACTCCCACATCATCCCCACAGCCCAAGAGAAAGAGAGGTATCTTGTTGTTACAGTGCTGTACAGACACAACTGGGCCGCCCCCAGTCGGTCGACCTCCGCCGATAATCCCCAACTCCTTTTCCCCCAGGATAACGAACGTCCCTAGGGAGCTTCACACATCGCAAGGTTGATATCTGCTTTTAGTGCTGGCTCCACTGGATGGTGTTCAGGTCGATACCCTCCTGCACCAGCTCCCACAAGGGGCTGAGCTCTCGCAGGAAGGTGACGCGCTCTTGCACAGCCTTCAGGACGTAGTCAATCTCAGCCTCGGTGGTGAAACGGCCGATACCAAAGCGGATACTGCTGTGAGCGCTCTCGTCGCTATTTCCAAGGGCTCGGAGGACGTAACTGGGCTCCAGCGAGGCCGAAGTACAGGCACTGCCGGAAGACAGCGCAATGTCCTTGAGGGCCATCAGGAGGGACTCGCCCTCAACGTAGGCAAACGACACGTTGACGCAGCCGGGGTAGAAGGAGTTGGCCGCACCGTTCTGGGTGGTGTGCTCCATGGCAAGAAGGCCGTTGAGCAGACGGTCCGAGAGGTACTTGACACGCTTGGTGTCGTACTATCACATCGTTAGTCATATTGCTAAACAAAGGGCTGGGTAGAGTAAGGGAATTTAGACGTACTTCCATCTCCAGTTTGGCGATGCGGCAAGCCTCGCCGAAGCCAGCAACCAGCGGCGGGGCGAGGGTTCCGCTTCGGAGACCTCGCTCCTGGCCACCACCAGTGATGAGGGGGTCGAGTCTGACCCTAGGCCGTCTTCGGACATAGCAGGCGCCAATGCCCTTGGGACCATAAATCTTGTGCGAGGAAATCGACATGAGATCAATGTTCATGGCGTTGACGTCGAGGGGAATCTTGCCCACAGCCTGGGCAGCATCAGTGTGGAAGAAGATCTTCTTCTTGCGGCACAGCTTGCCGATCTCAGCGATAGGCTGGATGACACCGATCTCGTTGTTGACGGCCATGACACTGACGAGAGCAGTCTCGGGTCGAATAGCCGCCTCTAGGTCTTCCATCCGGATGAGGCCGTTGTTCTGCACAGGGAGGTAGGTGATCTCGAAGCCCTCATCCTGGAGATGGCGACAACTGTCGAGAACGCACTTGTGCTCGGTCTGGGTGGTGATGATGTGCTTCTTCTTGCCCGAACGGCCGAAGAAGCGGGCGACACCCTTGATGCTCATGTTGTTGCTCTCGGTGGCACCGCTGGTGAAGATGATTTCCTTGGGGTCGGCGCCGATAAGAGCGGCGATGTGCTCACGGGCCTCCTCGACGGCCTTCTCACTCTCCCAGCCGTAGGCGTGTGTTCGAGAATGGGGGTTGCCGTAGATGCTGACGTAGAAGGGCATCATGGCATCGAGGACTCGAGGATCGACGGGAGTGGTGGCTTGCATGTCGAGGTAGATTGGTCGTTGGCCCTCTTCCATGACAGCGGCCTGCTTCAATACCTCTGCGTTGAATGAGTTAGCTAAAGCTGGCTCGAAATGATATAGGGCCAGCTCGGGGCCCTAAGGAGCGGATTTCACTCACCAGCCATCGGGCTGACCTTGGCATTGGCGGGAGAGTCCATGGACGGAGGGGGAATGTCTATGAAGTCCTTCTTGTCGAGCTTGATGGCCGTCTCGACCTGGGCGTTGTCCCTCTTGGACTCGGAGACATATCCGCGGCCCTGCTGGCGACTGGCGATGACGGTGGCGCGGGACAGGCCGCGCAGGGAAGCGACAGTAACGCGCGGGTTGGAGCCCAGGCGGCCTGCCGACCTTACGGCGCACGATGTGAAGCTGCTGGCCATGGTGTTGAGCGAGCTGACGGTTGCACGGACAGACCCAGCGGAGAGCGGAGAGGAGACTTTTTGGTAGTTCTAGCTCGATGTCGAGAATTTGTCATTCGCCGTCGGCTCGGTCACTCGGTGATAAGAATCCGGCAGATCCGGCGCCGCTATTGGCTGAAAGCCCGGCGCTGGCAACCGGACCTCCATAAAATGACGACGTGCATTCTGGGATGTCGAGCAGCGAGCCGGAGGGGAAAGTGAGTGCGGAGGTAACGGGGAATTAATTCAGCGACTGGCCTTTCCCATTTCTACTGTGTAAGGAAGGCGTGGCGATTTGCAAATGCACGATCCCGAGAGCTGTCGGCGAGGGGCAGGCTGGCTGCAGCAGGCAACTGGTTAAGAGATTGGTCCGACTGGTCAAGCCGAAGCCCTGTCGCAACCGAGCAGGTTGGTGCTGTAGGCAGCATTTATTATCCCCAAGTGTCTTTTCCTGGTGCCTGCTCCTTGTGCGAGGAATCGGTTACGCGGCGCGGGAATCGGTCCTTATTACCGTGTAGGCGCTGACGGCTGGGAAGCATCGCGATTCAGTGCGAGGCGGCGGCGCGGTACGTACTGTGTGCCTCCCTAACCCGGACCAGACATTTTCCCCAGTCTCACATCCCTACGGCGAATCCTGGGCCCTGTAGCGTAGCGAGCAGTGACGCAACCGGGCCGTGTGGTGGCTCCAGGTGCGGCTTGGCCTTGCGGTGACGCAGTGTGTTGATGTTTGCCAGCCGCGGAGTCTTGGTAGAAGCCGGATGCGAAAAAACAGGGCCTGCGCCACAATCTCGGCGCGGGCAGCAGTGCACAGCGGGCAGTCAGCACAGCCACGGCCAAGTCGTCACCGGTCGACATGTGCCTTAATTAAGGTTGATGCCCTCGTCCAACCTGGCGGCCTCGCGATTTGCGATTCCCGGCGACACTTCTGTCTCTCACTTGCTCGCTCCCTGTCGACAACCCCAACACCGCGTCTGCGCATACTTACGGGCGCTCACCCGCTCTCCTTTCTTTCTCTCGCCTTCTCGCCCAAAATGAGCTTCAAGGGCTTTCAGAAAAGCGTCATCCGGGTAAGCCGTGCTGTGCCCCTCACCTGGCTGGTTGGCCGTGGTGGAGGTGGAGTGGCAGAGCGCGCAAAACCGCGCCTCGTGTTTCTGCGCCTGGTGACGAGCTACAGATGATCGGATGGAATACTGATGCTTTCCGTTCTCCTTCTAGGCACCGCAACAAATCAAGGCCAAATTCAACGTCGGCGAACACACCAAAGACGCTGTGTACATCGACTCCGAGCGCCGCTTCCAGGAACTCGAGACCGAAACAAAGAAGCTCCACGATGAATCCAAAAAGTACTTTGAGGCCATCAATGGCATGCTCTCTCACCAGATCGAGTTCAGCAAGGCCATGACCGAAATCTACAAGCCCATCTCTGGTCGCGTATCCGATCCAGACTCGCTCGAGGTCCAGGGCAACCCGGAAGGCATCCGCGCCTGCGAGGAATACGAGGCCGTCGTCAAGGAGTTGCAGGAAACGCTTTCCCCAGAGCTGGAGATGATAGAGACTAGGGTTATTCGCCCAGCTACCGAGCTGCTCGATGTCATCAAAGTGATACGTAAGACGGCCCTCAAGCGAGAACACAAAAAGATCGACTATGATCGCCACCGCACCAACCTCAAGAAGTTGCAGGACAAGAAGGAACGTAGTGCAAAGGATGAGAAGGCCATGTGGAAGGCTGAAGGCGATGTCGAGACGGCCACCCAGGACTTCAACTACTTCAACGACTTGCTGAAGGATGAGCTCCCCAAGCTGTTTGAGCTTGAGCGCCAGTTTATCCAACCCCTCTTCCAGTCATTCTACTATATGCAGCTCAACATCTTCTACACACTACACGAAAAGATGCAGCATTGCGACATTGGCTATTTCGACCTGACGCTGGATATCGAGGACGCCTTTAACGAGAAGCGTGGCGACATCCAAGAGCAAGCAGAAGCCTTATCAATCGTCCGCTTCAAGACGACAGGCCAACGGAGACCCGTCAAGTACCAACCCCGTCCGACTCTCGAGGGCCCCAAGACCCAAGCGCTTCTCACCCAAGGCGAGGACGAGAAGGCCACCATCTCCCCAAGCGCTCCCAGCCCGAGCCTTAAAGTGGGCACCTTCCAGAGGCAATCCGAGAAGGCTGAGCCGAGCCCTCCACCGCCGTATTCTCCTCCTGCTGGAGGTAAAGCCGGTTTTGCTGCTGCCATCGCCGCTAAGAAGTCGAAGCCGCCGCCACCAAAGCCAAAGCCGAAGCCGAAGGGCCTGATCGCGGCCTCGGCTGCCGAGACTGTCACAGCCCTTTACGACTACGCGGCGCAAGCCGAGGGCGATTTGAGCTTCCGGGCGGGCGACGTAATTGAGATTGTGCAACGAACGCAGAATGACAATGAGTGGTGGACGGGAAAGCTCCAAGGCAGAGAGGGCCAATTCCCAGGTATGTGATGGTGATTGCGCATCTGTTTTGATCTGCGAAATTAATCAGTCTTTGCAGGCAATTATGTGCAACTTAGCGGATGAAGAACGGGAGACTTGGAGTCAACGAAACTGCATCTGGCTCGATTACCGCCCTATACCTCGATAGTGGCACGCAATCAACAACCGACTAATTCATCGCGTCCATGATAAATGCCCATAGACGCAAGGAACCTCGGCGTTAGAATTGTTTTGGCAGAGGCCGGTGTGCTTTGAGAAGACAAGGAGACAAAGAAGCCACGGGGTGATGGATGTAGCGGGACTGGTTTGAGCATTATTTCTGGAGACAGGCCTGTTGTGGCCGGGGTAAGGCATACCTGGCGTTGTGTGGCAGGCTCCTCTAAAGGCATATAATACGAGAGTCTTTTTTGGAAAATCTCGGACCGTGTGTCGTTTCCTCCTCGGACCGTGTCGTTCCCCGCGTGCAATATGCAGTTCTAGCATGTGGGTGAGGTCTCACGATGCCCCAGCCTCGGCTTTCCAGAAGTCGTATACTACTCGCCGTCGGCATACTCCTCTCGGAGCACATGGGCTTTGCACTTTTCTCACAAGCTATGGCATTCGAAGAAGTGCGTTAAAGTGCCTCATACTCATTCATGTACGATGAGCTGTCAAAGCCAACGCCCATGTACACGGGGGGTGTCGTGCAGATCCGAGATGTTGCCTCGCAGATCTGCATGCTTCTCGAATGTGTATTCCTTCCCTGCCGAGTTATCTCGCTTGTGGAATCTGATATTCTGTCTTGCCGCCCTGCTTTGGTTGCCTCCCTGCTTTGGCAATGGCTTGCATTGAGGGGTAAGTTGTCTCGCCATGGAGGCTCGCAGTCGTTTCCTGATGGAGGTCCAACATGTACAACAATGGAAATGGAAAATATTTTCTTAGACTAGAGGTGCAGTACAGTACATGTGCAGTGGACCTAGGCCATATTCTCTAATGCTTTCTATGGTACGTATAGTGCTTGTTGTAGGGATGGTGTCTGTTTAGTGTGCCCGTCAGCCTGCGGTTGCCTTAGACCGGCGTGCGAACCATCTCGACATGCCATCCCGAGGCTTGATTTTTTTTCTCTAATTCCCCCCCCTCCCTCCCGCTTACCAACTGGGAAATAATAGCAGGTCGTCAATCAAGGCTAGATCCCCTCCTCTCCTATCCCCCACATGTGCCATTTCATATACTCTTGATGCATTGCCAGGTCATCAACTTGTCAGCTGGTCTCCCTCGGTATCAGGAAAGACTAAGGCGGTTTTGCATAAGGCCCAATGGTAGCGGCGGCTTAGAACAGTCGACGCGACCCGATTAAGCCGAGTCCACGTGTTCACGGGGGGGCCTCAGTGTTTGTCGGATGGTCTTGCTAGGGCAATGGCATCATCTCGAGGAACAAGAGGGGAAGGCCGAGTCAGTAGGACAAGTCGAAACCGCACGGCGATGTTTCGGTCTTGGGCATGCTCATGTAAAGAGCCTGATATGTCTTGGCCCATGGCTGAGCCGTTGGGATTGGCGTTACATCGGGCGCCGTGAGATCCTTCTGGCACGGGGTATCTGAGGTAGCCAGAGCGGAAGACACGCCAGACACGCCATGGGGGTTCACGGAGCCCGCCGGAGTCTCTGGTATAATGCGAGCATGCTCTGCCGCCGGGCGGGGTCCGTTGGGCGGCAGGATATTCGATCCATCTGAATCTGCAGAGCCGAGCTGCAGCTTTGGGTAGCCAGGGAGCCGAATCGCGGAATCAAAAGATATGAGGACTAGCGGCCTGGACCGGCCTCTAACCGCGTGCCCTGGCGCATAGATTAGAGTCCGGTCGTCCATGGCCCAGTCAACTTCGCCCAGCGGCATCTGGGGATAGAGGATATTGTGAAGTTGGGCTAGCTCGGGGTTGGGCCGTGAAGACTGATCCGGTGGCCAGAACTTGACCCCGTGATGCAGTCCCTTGCGTCCTTCCTTGGAAGTGTTGAGTTGCGTCTTTGATAATTGGCCGGTCCGCGTATCATCTGCAGTCCCGTGAGCGGGATCAAGCTTGGGTCGAACCCGCAGGCGCAAGCGCTGGGACTCGTCGATCAAATCGACAAAGGTCTCGCACGACGAGTTATAAAACCGGACAAAACATTCTCCTATTGTGAACGTGGGCCCCAAAGCTCCGTTGTCACCGACGTGTACATTTTCCGGGAGCCTAGTCTCGATGTGAGTCTCACTATCCCATGCGTTGGGATCGTGGCCCTCTTCGTCCGGCGACGATTGCGCTATGGGGAGAGTATCCCTGAGGATATCCGACATCGGATGGCGAACCGGGTCGACGTTTTCGTCGTCTTTATCGAAGCGAATCTCCTTTTTATAGCAGCTGCGTTGGCTTTGGGCGTTCGTCGGAAGGCATTCTCGACGAGAATCGAAAATAAACAGCTTTCCCGTGCCTTCATCTCTTGTGAGTTGCAGCGCGTCCCAACGTTGATCGACCGGGCCCTCGGCCGCATGCCGCCGCCAAAGATTTCGCATTGGCGGCGACTCGCAGCTCTCGCGGGTTGCCTCGCAGAGAGGGAACCGCACGACGTGGTAGTAAGAGTTCCATTTCCCGTGTTCTGGATGGAGCTTGTTTTTATTGGACAGGCAGTAAAAGTAATCGTCAAAGATCTCAAAACAGATGTTCTGGCCTAGGTTCGAGCCGGCGAAGTTCCACAGAGTCAGATCCGAGGGCGTCCACTCTTTAGTCCGAAGATCGAGCCGCTGAAGAGCCCATCGCTTAAAGCCATCGAATGCTAGCTGGGATTTCGTGCCGTAGACGAGGTAATCGGCATTATTTCGAACAAACAGCTTGTTCGTCGAACGCAGGGGGTAAAAGGCGAGGACTTTAAGGTCTTTGGTGCGGAAGACGACTAGCCAGCTCACCGTAATGCCCTCGCAATCCTGGTGGCTATATAATGACGATACGATGCCGTGCGAGTAGTGCACGGGGCGGAAGTGGTAGAGACTTGACCACTGAAACCCGGGCATCAAGGAATGCAGCAACCGAGGGATGCTCACAACCAGCTCTTCCTGAGCTGATCGGTGCACGTCGAGAACACGGAGATTATCGCGGTTAGCGGTATAGCACAGGACACCGTTTGTGTAGATGAAGTTTTCGGCCATGGCCACGACGGCGACCAAGTATGGCTCTGCATATCGAACTGCATTCCGCCTCTTGACAAGCCTCCGCAGGCCCCTCGCGTAAGCATGCGCCGTCTGCGCCTCGAGGGTCTCAGGTGAGAACTTGACCCTCTATGTATGAATCTCGTCAGCCAGGTGGTCAGCGGGCAATTGGAAGCAAAGAACCGGCTCACCTGAAGAGCCACCCGGCAGATGCTCTCGCTGAGCAGGATATAGTGGAAATGGCGGCACGTCTGTCCAAAGTCGAAGAGGTCGTCAATATGAAGAAGCTCAGCAATGAGAGAAATTATCTCAATGGGAAGCTTAAGAAGGCTCATGACTATTGCACCCTAAAGGCTCTGGCGCCGCCGTAGAAAGACCTCCCAAAGACGAATTGACGATGGCAAGGCATGTGTTGCAACTCTACAGCAGAAGGCACGAGAGCACAACTCGATTGAGAGAGGACCGCGACATTATTATATTTGGCGAGGACAAAGGGCAGTGAAGAGAGGATATTTTCCATACCACTCACCACAGCCTTACTTGCGTCCCTGACAAAAGCCAGGGGCGGGCTCAAGTCCCCGACAGCTCGAGCAGAGCCGCATGACCCATGGGCCATGGCCTGGGTTCCAATCGGTCGGCTCGGCCTGTGTTATGTGGACGGTAGCATCACATCGCTGTTCGAGGTTCTGTGTCACGTCGTTCGGGCGCACAGACGCGGCTCTTCATGCCACCGGAATGGAGCAGACGCCTCCATCGCATACGTCTCCTACGCCCTCCTGTGCTGAGGTTAGGCTCGGATGCTGGAGCGTCGGGGTTGCGAATCATGGCACGAAGGAGCACACGAAGGGGGGTGCCTCATTCCGGTGGCATCGACTGCTAATGTGCGCACGCAGGTGCAGCGCAACACCGTGGGGAGGATTCTCGGCGGCCGTGAGAGTGAAAGGAGAGCATGGGGCTTCGAACGAGACTCAGCCTGCACAGTGCCTGCTACGTAGTAAACCCTGTCCACAGGGGCCCTCAAGTCCGGAGGAGGCTCCAATCGACTCTAGTGGACAGAGGAGAGTTTTCTTCTCTCCATGGCACTTTGAAGTCCCGTTTCCCTTTCGGGAGAGCGCCGGGGTCGAGAACCACAGGAGACTCTAGGAGTATCAGTTCCGGCTGCACAACCTAACTGAGACGGGGGGCACTACGGGAGCTGCGGGCGCCGGCTACGATGGAACTGATGTGGCTATGCAAAAACGGAACGCCCAAGTTTCCCGATGGGCCGCCAATAGGAAAAGAATACCTACCTTATTATTGACGCAAATCTCTGCCGTTGAGGCTCTGCTCTGCTCCGCTACTGTACCTCCTGCTCCCGCCATTTGCCGGTGGGCCACCTAAATAATTAGCAGCAAAGCCCCAACGCAGAGTTGAGGCTCTGCAAGGGTAGGTTCCAGCATGAGCATCGTCAGCCGAGGCCATCACCTGTTGCTCTCCTGATCACGCAAAAAAAGGCCTCGAGTCGGGCTTGGGGATCCAGGCCGACCGACTAGGGCTTTGCTGCGCTAATTGGACGCCTTCTACCATTTGAGTTGGTTGACTGCTGGCTCAACGCGGTCGGTAGTGTCACGCATGCAGAATCCGCTGGTCCTCGTCGCGTTGATGAGCAGACCAACCGCATTGGAAAAGAATATGCTGCGCTGGCAAGCTGCGGGCCCCCATGGTGCGTGGTGTTTGATGTATAACCTGCCGAAGCTTCCCTGAATGGGATACACTGCATGTCGGTGTCATCGCCGCATGGCTAGCTGCTCCATGAACCGCGGCGTGCATCCCAATGAGACATGGAGGGTTGAGGCTCAACTGGGTCCCTCAGCAAGATCCTGCTCTCTCAAGTCCGCAGCCTGATCTTGTTTCCTCTTCCCCCTATTCTCGAAGCCCGTGGCTGTGCTCGGTAGATGAGGTGTCTCAGCTACCCAAAACCTCGTGTTTACTGCATTCTGCAATGTTCTTCAACACTATTCACACCACCACCCACCACACTTCTACGTCCACACCTCCACCTCCACGCCCATCCATCACACTCATACTCTGCAGAGCCTCAAACTTGAGCCTCATCGCGCACACGGCTTAGTGGCTCAATAGGCGGGGTAGATAATGCATAATCTACTCTACCTAAATGAATTGTACGCAGCCATCCACACCACTTCCTCGTCCATCATGGCTTCGCCGCGCCACGGATTAGGGCCGGCTGAAGATTACTAGACCTGTTCCATGTTTTGAGAGACACATGACACAAGTACCATGCCAGGTACATTTTACGACTGCCCAATCAGCTAGATCTCGATGGAAATCAAGCCGATGCCCCTGCTGACGCAGGCCAACATGGCCGTTTCCTTCTCCTCCGGCTGAAGAGCTGAGCCCCTGTGGTCGACGCGGCCACTCTTGAGCGTGGTTTTGCACGTTCCGCAGTTTCCCACTTCGCAACTTGATGGAACGTCGCCGAACTCCCGTCGGAGCACCTCGAGGAGGCTCTCCTCCTCTCCCACCTGGACCACTTCGTCACCTCGGTTGACTACTTTCGCCTGGAAAGGGTCGCCCGAGACGTCAGCCGCAAACGCCTCAAAATGAATTTCATTGGGCGGGATGCAGCATTCTTCGACGGCTTCCTTGGCAGCCTCCATCATTCTGTTGGGTCCACAGACGTAGAGATGGCTATTCCATGGCAGTGTCTTTACGATGTTTTTGATGTCCATCCTCTCACCCTTGGATTTGTCGTATATGGTAACGCTCTCACGCATGGGCTCCAAGCGATCTAGGAATGCCGCCTCCTCAGCTGAGCGCACAGCGTAGTGGAGATCGCAGGCCAAATGGATGGAATGGTACCGCTTGAGCAAGGCTAAGAAGGCTGTGATCCCTATCCCACCCGCAATGAAGACTTGTACGCTCGCAGATGCCGCATGAGCCACATCTGTCGTGATCCTGCCAACCTGTATAATGTCGCCGACTTTGGCAGATTCATGTAGGTATCGGGACCCTCCACGGCTGTGGTCGTCGAGAGCGATGCCGAGTTCAAACATGTTGCCAATGTTATCTTTGTCGCTCTTTTCCGCTGTAGAGACCATCGAGTAGGTCCTAAGCAACCCGTTCGGAAGCTTCAACTTCACATGTGACCCTGGAAGATACTTGTCGGCCTCCAGGTCCGGGTTTACCGCCTTGAAAATCAGGGACACGATGCTCGGGGCCTCCATCTTGCGGTCGATGATCCTAAAGTCCTTCCACGCGTCTTCTTTCTGGCTTTTCCGCTTCGCCTTGGCCACTCTCTTTCTGAACTGCCCTCTGCTCTCCTCGCCGAGCGCTTCAACAGCCGCAAGCTCCTCGTTCATGGCAAGATTCCCAGTATCGCGATGGAGGTACTCTTGCACCCGCTCGACTGTCCACCTGGGCCACTTTCGCTCCACGAGTCTCAGCTCGTCTCCCACATTGACGCTGCCTTCACGTATCACTCGGTAGTACCAACCCGTACGGCTCGTCTGGTAGGTCTGGGGTGCAAAATTTTTGAGAGAGAACCGGTGATTTAGTTTGAAGCATGGCTGGCGAGGGAGGGACACCTGGAGGAGAACCTCGGGGCCAACTGAGATGATGTCGCCGATGCACACGTTTCGCTCGTTCATGGAGGCTGTGACGAAGTTCTCTCCGAAGCCACCTGGGACAAACCGGTCTACTCGCTCTGGGTAAGAGGCTTGCCAGTCGCGGTAATGGGATGAGCAGTCTTATATATTGGTTACCACGTGCACGCTTGACGAACTCTAGTCGTACTTACAGCCCAAAATTGCCTTGTCGGGTCCTCCGTGAAATGTTGGATCGTGCTCATCTCCTTCGAGGCCCAGCTTCGTGAGTTTCATCGGGCCGCGGCAAATCTTTTTGTCGATTCCCGATGTGATTTCCAACCCAGGCATTTTTTTCATCCTCGAGGTCCGTATTTCCAGCAGCCTGTCTACCCCGAATGGGCTGCACAGGTCGGCAGTAAGAGAGATGCCCATCTTGATGAGGTGGGTCGACGAGATGGTGGCGACGTCGGGAATATTGAGAGGAGTCTCGTGAGAAATAAGGACGAAGTTATTACATCACAGTCGGGGAATTTATTGCCGAGATTTTGCTTTCCTAATCGAAGCCAATCCGTCGAAGCTGATAGGACAATTGTAAGCCGCTCTTCGTAGCCCGGCCGGAATTATTACCGTCCTGCTTACATCCCCAACTCTTAAATAACTGATGCGAATATTGTCCGCGTTAATTCAAATCAGCTATGAACCTAGTTAATTCGGGATCTTGGCTTGATCTGAGTCACATGCAATGCGAGATGCTTCGGATTTGGTGCATGGCTGGTAGCAAAGAGCGGCAACAGACACTAATTGTACAGTACATGGCGACGCTAAAGTTACAAATATCCCTAAACTGACACCTCCTTTGAGATGACTTCGAGTTCACGACTTTCCGACTGGTCACTGTTTCCCGCCTCTGACGCATCAATCTCTTTTCTTTTCATGCCAAAACGACCGCCGGGACCTTTTTTGCCGGTCCACAACGCAACCGGCACAACAGCAAGCAAGCAGCATCCCGCCAGCGAATACATGGCAGCACTCCAGCCATACTCTAACTTGAGAAACGGAGGAGAGCCTGCACTCGCCGTCACAGACCCCAGCGAAAACACCGTCATGAACAAGCCGTACGCCAATCCGTAGCCACCTGAGTTCCGGCGAAGCGAGGGATACCGATCCTGCTTGCCCATCAGAGCGTAGACAATTTCAGCCATGACTGGAGTGTTGGCAAAAGACAGCGATATGCCTGCACAAGCCATCAGAACCCAGATGATCGGGGGGGCGTCGTCGTCAGAAAACATCTCCACGGTGGTCAAGCCGAGAAAAGATGGGATGCAGCCTAGAAACCCGCCGATTGCGAGCCATTTTCCCCCATGTCGGTCTGCGAGTCTCCCGGTGAGGATGCAGAGCAGGGATGGGCCGTAGAAGGTAAAGAGCAATAGGCCAACTCTCAAAGGACCCCATCCGTACCTTTCCTCGCAAAAGATAGGAACCACGACATCGATTGAGATTCTAAATTCAATTAGCACATGTGGTAAAATTTTGGGGAGGTTGCTTGCAAGATGTGAGCCACAGCCCAGGTTCCAATAAGTGCACCGAGTATCCTCCAAGACCTGAAGAGCACCGAAGCGTACTCCCAATAGCTAGAATCTTCGTCTTTCTCTTCGGGATCTTCTGAGCTGCCACCCTCACCCTCCGATGAATCCTGTCGACCAAGTACGGAGGCATGCTCAAACTTTTCTGCGACCCTCCGTTCGACGAGGAAGAGTCGCATGAAAACATCCAGGACAATCAAGCCTAGAACCAAAGCGTAGACTGCATCCTTGCCATATTTCTTGAGGACAGACCCGGATATCGGAGGGGCGGAGGCGAGGCCGAAGCAGAGGGAGATGTCGGCATGAGCCAGCACTTCGCCGACCTCGTCGTATCCAACCGTGTCCGCGATTAGAGCCAGTCCAATACTCCATACGAAACCAGCACTGATGCCTTGTAGAAAACGACCAAAGAGAAGGACAGCGATGCTGGATGCAACCCAGAGGCAGATACAGCCGGCGAGTAAGAACAGCAGACCCAAAAGGAGTGGTCCTCGGCGATTTTGTGCTTTGTCGGCGAGAAATCCTGCAATTGGGCTGCTAATCAGGGAGGCCAGGCTGTAAGTGAGCATCGAGTAGCCGGTCCATTTTCCAATCTCATCATGGTCGACGCCTGCTTGGCTTTCGAGAACGAAGGGAAGAACAACAACAGTACTTCCGTAGAGAAATATGTCGACGTATATTCCTAGAACCACTGTGGCGATGATGACGAACTTCGAAGCCCTCCATTTCAAGAGCCTGGGCTTCCTTTCCGGCTGATCATCTTTGCCATAGCCGATAATAAAGCGTTTCAAAGAATTGCTAGCGGACTGGCCGAGGGATGACATTTCAAGGGTAATAAAGACTGAACAAAGGCGAGATTTTCCATTGGTGTTGAACGAAGGCGATAAAGCAGGGAATGAGAAGAGCACTGAGGGTGACTGTCGGAGGGTTTTGTTGGGGGGCAAGGCAAATGTTATTCTATTTGTAGTGAGGCCATAATTTACGAATAAAATACAAACACGACATGGAATATGAACCTTGAGAAACGCGTTTAAACGCTTTGCCTACATACGAAAGAAGTCAATGCTATTGCTGTGGTGGATGGGTTAGCATTGACAACCTGCGGCTCGAAGTTTGGAGAGGCGCGGAAGGCTATCATCAGGGATGCTATGCTTCTGACCTGCAGGAATACCGAGAAAACAGATCCATTGGATTTAAAGCTTGGAAAATTTAGGAAACATGCCCATTGATATGAGTTGTAAAAGGTGGCGAGGACATGGAAGCATCAATACTGTTGGACATACAGTGCGAATGGTGCACTGATAACGGCGTGTAATTACTGTGGAACCAGACTTTTTTCTCTCTTATCGCTCACCTCTCCGAATCTTTTTTCCGAGTTCATGATCAACTCGACATCTTCCATTTAGCTCTCTCCACGACAGTCTGCCCGACGTGCAGTTGGCTGGGGATATTTAATCATGGCGCCTATCGAAGAGGCCAGCGACCAATTCGCGGTCCTCCCTATCAAAATCCCTGGGACGTCGTCATACCCAGAGACGGCCATCCACGAAGTTCGCGTGCGACGCAATGCGCCCAAGATCCCGACTGCAAACGACTCCCGAAGCTTGTTCTTGAAGAATATCCCAGCAGACAGCACTGAGCCTCACTTCCGGGGCGTGTTTACCGAGCTTGTCGGGGCTGGACGGTTCGAATCCATTACCTTCGAGGACGAGACAAAGACATCCCTGGCGATTGATCCTGCGCAAGCCACGAAACTCACGGCACTCGCGCGCAAGAGAAAGCGCGGAGAAGTGGAGGCGGAGGAGCAAAAACGCGAGGAAGAGGCCGTGCAGCTGCCGCAGATCTGGTCGCGGCGCCTGCAGAGGAGCAGCAGCACAGCCGTCGTTCTCCTGGCCGACGAGAAGAGCGTGCAGCAGGTCCTCAAAGCCATTACCAAGGTTCACAAGTCGAAGAAATATCCCTCATGGGGCAGTAACCTAGCTGACGAGGTGCCCGCTCTTGGATCCGCATGGATTGCATCACACCTGCAGCTCTCACGCGTCGACAAGCAAGCCACCCAGAAGGCTGTCCATGCCTTCTTCAATGCCTTCAACCGCAAGGAGAAGGAAGCCGCCGAACTTTCTAAGCGACTGCGCAACGAGCCTGATGACGATGGCTTCGTGACCGTCGTCCGCGGAGGAAGAGTGGCGCCAGCCAGCCGCAACGAGGCCGAGGAGGCGAAGCGCAAGATGACCGAGAGGGACACGAAGAAGAAATCCGAGACGCAGGACTTCTACAGGTTCCAGCTCAGAGAGAAGCGAAAGGCAGAGCAGGCTGCACTACTGAGGAGATTCGAGGAGGACAGGCGGAAGGTCAACGCCATGCGCGAGAAGCGGGGAAAGTTTAGACCGGAGACATGAAGTCAATATTTGCCGAAAAGCAAACACTGCTGTAAGTTCCATCACCCTCTCCATTTCTCTGTCCAAGGATGACGTCGCGGGGCCATCGAAACACGACGGGAGGCCTGAGTCTACTCGGGTCTTCCTGGTTGGATGCCGAAAAAAACCGCGTTACCAAACTCTTCTCAAATTTGTCTGAACAATTGACTTTGCCTCAACTCTTGTGCTGTGATTACTGGTCGGAGTGGATGCTGACCGCAACAACAGAGTGCCTGGGTATGCGAGGAGCAACCTTGACTTCAACTTTCAAGTTACCGGCGAATTCATCAGAGTCAAACTGCCACGAGGAATCTTGGTGAGGATAAGAGAATTCTCAGTATGGCCTGGGTCGAGAAGGAAATCTGGGCGGGGCAATGGCTCGGCAGTTTGACAAGCTGAGGAAGCTGAAGCAGACGACATCTAGCACCCCTGGCAAGACATGCAGTCGCATTATCGACTCCCGCATAGATGGCGGTCAATGGGATGCTGGGGTGCCTCAGGTGAAGATGTCCGCCGCGTCCGCCCTATGTAATGCCGGTGGTTTACCAGGATGATCCAGGATCACCACGAAGTGATCCCGATCATTTTCGACGCCTCTTATTGAACAAAATGCTTGATTGACACTTGCACGTGGAATACTACATAAAACTATTGGCTGGTATCGAATTGGATGCCGGATGAAAGGTCACCTGTGGGTTATACCCGTACCATACCGCAAATAGGAATACAACACCCATGAATCGATCAAACACAGTCCCACATTTTCGTGATAGATCGGGTTGATTGCAAAACAAACGAGATTCGGCAGTCAACTGGATGACTTGTCGGTTTGCACAGTCTGCGGCGATATGCTGGTCCCTGCCGTTGACCCGTGATCATCTCTGCGGTTGCTCGGCATCGTGCAGCCCACTCTGGAACACTGAATGGGGTTAGGTATTGAAGTTTCTGCAAAGTGGTATCCATGACAGGGGAATGTTTCTTTTTGGCTTAAGGGGATGCTGTATTATCGGGGCTTGCGTGAGAGATTTTGACGGCGGGGTGGAGGTTACGATATCAGTAAAGTTATTCATCGAATTCAGGTCTTCGACCACGCATCTGGAATGGAACTACATGGGTCAATTCGGCTTACATGACTTAGTGCCCGTCCAGACATGTAATTAGGCCCAGGTCAAGACCCTGGAGACGCAGGTCAAGACCCAGGCCCCCACAGAGCCCACAGAGGCCTTTTTCTCGACTTGTTCTGAGCATGTCTTCAGGGCCCAATGCTCGAAGTGCGGAGTTGATGCAGGTGTAGTGCTGTCGACCTGTCAACCAAAGCGAAGGCCCAAAAAAAGGCCCAAACATGGCCAGCCATTGCTTCTCCTCGTACAGCGCATGGGGTACCCGCAGCCTTAGGAGCACCGTCGGATGATGCGTTTCTGCTGCAATGCCAGTTGGCGAGACATGTCTTGTCGAAGCAATGCTGGTCGCCCGCTTTCGCCCTTGCTTCGCCGGGCGTTGGGCATGGATTGGCGACGGGTTGGGGACGAGCGGTCGGGACACCGGCCGCCTTAGTCATCCCACGCCGGCTTGTTTACTTTCCCCCACATAGCAACCAACCCAAACAAAGTCGCAGCGCCGCCATCTATATGCGCCATCCACACCACCATCAGCTGGCTCTGCAAAAATCCATCCGCGCGCTCTCGATGACGTGAATGTTCATGCTCTATTTGGGTTTTGAATTTCCAGCCCAGCATGATCGACACCGAAAACCTGCGTACAGCGTCGCTGTACATCAACAACCAGCTGCTCTCCAGAGGCCTTCTGCGCGATGGCCAAAGCATTGACTTCGCCAGTCCGGCGATGAACCATGGCGAGGATGCCGCCACAATGGGGCGCATCGTGAGCGTTCTCAACGACCTGATCATCCGACGCGATGTGAGCTTGGTTTCCCGCCATCGCTGTGACGCCGCTAACTCGAACAGCGGGATGCGGAGCACCGTGAGTCGCTCTCAGCGACGATGCGGACCCTTCGAGCCGAGAACCTGAAGCACGCAAACGACATTTCACGATTAACCGAAAAAAACATTGAATCGAAGAGGAAAGTTGAGATTGCCGAGGCCTCTGAGACTGCCCTGAAGACGCAGATGAAGTCGGCTGACGCAGCAATCCGCAGTCTGAAAGAGGAGGTTGCCCGCACGAAAGGATTGGTGGCACAGGCTCGTGCAACATGTGCGACCGACGTGCGCCGACGCGATCGTCAGATTGACACGCTCAAGAAGCAGCTCGGAGAAGCTGGACGAGCGCGTGGATCTCGCGGAAGCTCCGCGGTCATGTCCATCACCGTCACCGGGGATATTGGTGGAGAGAAGGGCTCTACCATCCGGGGGGCCAGCTCGACCACGGACGACTACGAACTACGAAACGAAACAAACTCTTTCCTGGCGAAGCTGGCTCAGGACCTGAGCGAGGAAAACACGGCTATCCTAAACGTGATGCGCCGGACGATGCAACAACTACGAGAAATGAGCGGCTGGAACAATGAGCAAACCAGTCTGGCGATTAAGGAGGAGAGTTGGGAGGATATGGGAACTGAGCTAGACTCCGTGCTCCACCACATGCGCACAATCTTAACGAACCCATCCTTCGTGCCAATTGAGGAGGTTGTGGTTCGCGAAGAGGAGATTGCCCACCTCAAGGATGGCTGGGTCAAGATGGAAAGTCGCTGGACTGAGGCTGTCCACCTCATTGATGGCTGGCGTAAGCGAATGGCTGCCAGCGGAAGGCCAGTCAACGACGAGGAGTTGCAGATGGGGTTGCGACTCAGTCCTGTGCGTGTTAAGAATGTGGAGGAAACCAGGCAAGCCGCTGCACCACGACTGTCCGCCGTGGCAGAAGAGCTCGAAGAGGATTTCGAAGATGGCCTCGAGGCGTTGCAGTCATCACCATGCCCCTCGGCCCATGTCTCCCCAAGCTTACGATTGGTTGACGATTTCGACCAAGAGAGCGATGCGGAGTCTGAATTTGACGACCATGTGCCGGTGGAGGAATACGACGTTGACGAGCCCAACGTTCAGATTCTCCAGCAGTCAACAGCAGCACCGCTCTTCCAATCCAGCTTAGGCTCGTCGCCCTTGCCGGAGCCACCCAAGTTGAGTCCCTTGAAGGATTCAGCATCCGCGGGCAACCGGGGTCCCCTGCGACTCGGTAAACCTCTTCAGCGACCTGGAGACTTTACCACAATTGTTGAGGAAAACACCTGGGACCTGGCAGTTGAGGCTGGCAGGGCCGTCGCCAACGCGACCATGGGTAACGATGTCGGCCGAGATCGCGCCTCGTCGACGTCGTCCCTCGACGAAATACTCCTTGTCAAGTCCCCTTTGGAACCAGCGCCTAAAGTCCAGCCCATGTCTTCAAGGCCAACATCTCGCCACCAGAGCCCTGAGCGTAGTTCTACCGATTCGGGTAGACTCTCTGGGCCTCTTGGATCCCCCAACCGGTCCCCACGTCGCAACAACGCCTCGCGCCTCCCTCTACCGCGCAACGCAGAGCCAGCGCCCCAACAGAGCCCTCTCACCATGGCAACCATTGCCGCGAAATTGGCGGCGTCCGAGCGTGAAGCCGACGCCGCACGAGTTCGCGCCAAACTACGCGCCGCCCGCGGACCTCGCGGTGTCAAGAAGCCCACCATTGCACCCTCCCAACCAGAACCTCAAGTGCCTCAAGCCTCCCAACCGGTGGCCCAGGAGAAGGAGACCAAGAGCACAGGGAGGGGACACGTGGACCCTATCAAGCGCGACCGTGGCGCGGTGCCAGTGGATGATCAGCTGAAGCCGGAGAAGAGGCGGCGGGATCGGAGGACAAGCAAGACTGCGTCGCGACGGAGGAGTACACTGAGTCCGTGGGAACTCGAGAGCCTGATTACGGGCAACGTGCAATGATGATGTGGAATTAGGCGGCATGTTGTAGATATTGGATGGGAAGCTTGCATGTAAAGCGAGGAGCTGGTTCTGGCGTTTTGGGGTATTGGAGAGGCTAAAGCAAGGTCTCAAGGGTCTAAGGCAGCGCGTTCTAAAGCACGGCCTATGTATGTACGAAGTCTTCCTAATTCACACGAGAATATTATGACCGATTATGAATGAGTATTTATGTTGTGTGTCCACCAATATGGCATCCTGGCTCTTGTAAGTGGACAAGTTCGATGCCAGCAACTAACCTACTAACACACGTCCTGCCCACTTGAGACTGACAGTAAAAGACAGCGCAAACAATGACACATATTAGCTTTACCTCCATCACGAAGAAGATTGAGTAGCAACAAAAAGAAGGGTCCTGGGCAACAAGTGTGTACGACAAAAAGGGAACGCGGGCTTTACTGCCCCGTACTGGAATCGAACCAGTGATCTTGTCATTACTAGTGACACGCTATACCACTTAGCCAACGGGGCTTGTTTTACTTGGCGAAATGAGACTCTAATGAGCTACTTAGACCTAACCTGTCCTTCTGCTTGAATCCCTGCTTCACTGAACCACTTCAAACATCAAAACCCACCGCTGGCACTTAGTGAGGATAGTGCAAGTGAGAAATAAATTGACTGCTTGAAATTGGTAGGGGAATAATTGTTACCATCTTTCTTAATAGTGCGCTTGTGGTGACACCATGTTCCAGGGTCGAGAAACACGATTTTGTTTAGCTAGGATCAGGTCGCGACGGGACGGCGCCTACAGATAATTCTTGAACAAATGACAACGACTAAGTAATCCACTGACATTTCTCTTAAATATGCGATAATCAAATCAAGTCTTTGGCTCTCGGGGAAATGCACAGTATCTTTTTATAGAAGCCCGAGGCTTCCTGATTCTAGGATGAATGAGCCTAGGGCCTGTGTCCTTGATGGTTGACATGCTTGTCTTGTTATCACCTTGCACCTATGGCTCTCCGTTTGAAAGAAATCGCCATAACTAACAGCAATCTCTTTAGCATTTCCCGCTATAGCCGCGTCTTTGCTTGGGCCGTCTAGTACCTCTCTCAATGCCAGGCGTTTCTACTCCATTGAACGATCACCCTGAGGAGTAACGTCGACAAGAATTTTGAGCCAGATCGGAAACATAGCTAGTCCTTACGGCGCGCTATAGACAGTGTCACCCCAAGCTGTACGTATTCGTACAGCGCTATGGTAGACCTACCAAGCCTATGGCGTGCCCGAGACCGTTACCAGAGCATTGGTCGAGAAGAATAAACATGACTAGCAAATGTTGGGATTGCCCCTCGATACGATCTTTAAATTGCCGAAAATTGGTCAAAGCATGATACGACGCTCGAACATTCTCTCAGTGTCGCCGAATAATTAATTGCCGTGACTGCGGTCCGGACAAAGACATCGGTTACCTACATCGATATTTAGAAGACTCGAATTTCCAACCAACCAAGAGAAAGGGTCGATATCTGTAGCAAAGAGTCTCAGAATGCAGTTGTCCATTGATTGATGCTCTTTTTACCAGCTTATTCCAGTGGCTATGCAACCTACTGAAGTAAAAAAAAAAAAAAAAGGTAGTCCTCGCAACCATGCTGACGATTGGACTGCCCCAAGTTGGGGCACGGATTTGACATTGGAGAGCCATCCAATCCACCGGTAGCATATGACATACTTACCATTTGGCATAAAAACCATTAGCTAGGAGAGAGTTTCTAGATTTTGCGCCAGAGACCGAGGGCGGTGTCATGAAACCTTCGCGGCTAAAATGGAGATAGATGTCGAATGTCTTTGGCTTTTCGTGGATGAGACGAGCAGCCAGGAATGGGCCTGCAATCCCAGATATCCCGGACCTATTGAAAGTGTATGAAGGAGGAATGGTGTATGAATATATCCGGTGAATTAAGAGATAATCCATCCTCCTTTTAACTCCTTGATTGAACATGTTATACTAAGAAGGACTAAAACATTGCAGTGGTCGTGACGCAAAGCGAGAACATAGAACCAATTAAGGTGCCCGAATTGGATGGTACATTAAATAAGGGCAATATGGTTAACGTATATTAACCCTCACTCAAGTCCTCTCTCTTTGCTAGATGGCTGAGTTCTTGACTCCAGTCTTGCAGCCCGCCAAGTTCAAACGACGTTTCGATTATCTTTTATACTGATACACACGGAGTTGGCACACCTGCACGGACACCTCAATATGTGTCACTCGTTAACATAGTGGGTACATGGGGTCCCAGGACCGCCAATTCATGATGCACCTTCCAAATTAGGGACTCTTCAGGTCCCAGTCCTTGATGTGGGTCATCCGGCTAATTAAGTGGGCCTCTCCGGACCGGGTCCGGGTGCAGCATGTCCCGGACGACACTTCGACATCGCCTAGTTGGATGGGTGAGGGAGAAAAATGATGATAAGAAAATTTGAATGATATTTTTAGACAGTGGCTCTGGCAGTTTCTGTTATAATAAACATAAACGTCTCACCTTGATATCGGCATTGGACTCGAGAAACTAGAAGTCACAATGATGGCAATTAACAACTTTATCGAAGACAAACCGAGGGTGGTCTTGAAAGTTACATAGAATCTTGCTTCTAAAATTGGTGCTATTGTACTCTCAACTAAAAGAAGAGAACCTTTCTCCAGGCATCGATCCCAAAGGATGCCCTGGCGTTTGGTCTTGATTTTGTACATAATTCCTAAGGGAAATATTATAAACAGCTAAATCATAATACGCAATACCCTTCAATGAATGATGCTTTGTGATATGTCTACGGAAAACCATCGCACGCGGCGGTCAGGTCCAGGTGGGTGAGACCTCCAACTAGGCTTACATGGCCATGACCGGTTTTGCGCAAAATAAGTCAAGACCTAAGAGGATACACTAAAACGACTCAACAGAGGGGACCCTGGCTATGAGTTTATGAGGACAATTGGTCGGAAAGTACCGCAATGATCGAGGCATTCGCATACAATTACTGCATTGTGTCAACCAAATCACAATACGCAGACTGCGTACGCCCTCTGTCTCTGGGCCAGGAAAAAGCAACATGGTCTGCTGGGAAGTAACGACTGGAGTTTGACAACGATTGCATATTGGTAATTTACAGTATTCACCGAGATAGTCAATTGAGCTCGTTTGTTCAATATCCGTCAGTAGATATGTCGTTGCTGACCCCAACCCCGAGACGAGGTGGGTTGGGACGAGGTGTTGGCCGTCCGCATGAGAGAAACCCCAATCATTTATACCGAACATTTCTGTCTCGAGACATAACAGGTCGCTTTTACAATCACATGCAATTACATGTGGAGTACAATTCATAAATAATTAGTTCGTCATAAGTCAGTGATCGTGTTAAATTACTGGGTCTCGTTGGACCAGTGTCATGCTATCTATGAAATAGACTATCCCATACCCTCACGCCGGAAACCATGTGAACGAACCCCTTAGGATTGACTAAATCTTTTACAAAACGCTTAAGACAAAGAGAACTGAAGGAGAACCTTGGTGACACGGTATGGGTCGGCGTTGGAGGCGGGTCGTCGATCCTCGAAGTATCCGTAGCCCTTGGCGGCGCACTCCCGGGGGATTCGGATGCTGCTGCCACGGTTGGCAACACCCCAGGTGAACTGATCGATAGAGCCAGTCTCGTGTCGGCCAGTGAGACGGAGCTCGTTGTCCTCGCCGTACTCGGCAATGCACTCGGCGTGGTGGGGGGCGAGCTTCTTGAGGGCCTCCTCAATGTGCTTCATGCCACCCTCCTCACGCATGGCCTTGGTGGAGAAGTTACTGCACGAATGTTAGTTTGTCTCCGTTAAGAGTGGCTTCAATTAGACTCACGAGTGCAGACCGGCACCATTCCAATCTCCGGCAACCGGCTTGGGGTGAACTGAGACCTTGGCACCGAAGTCCTCAGCAATGCGGGCGAGGAAGAATCGGGCGATCCAGAGGTGGTCACCCACTGCAGGTTTTGGTGGTTAGCGACTGCTTTTCGGGGGACAATTGCGGGGTAGTGATGACTTACTCTCAATGCCCAGGCAAGGGCCAACCTGGTACTCCCACTGGGCGGGCATGACCTCGGCGTTGGTGCCAGAGATCTTGATTCCGGCGTCTAGAAGGTGTCAGCGACTTGACTCACGGTAATGCAATTTGGGCGCCATTGCGACCACGCCTGATATCAGGAACACAACCCCAAGCTTGGTGATTGGCCCGTCAAGGATGTGGTAACACAATTTAGCACTGATTGGGTCAGGGAAAACGTACACAAGCAAGCCTTGTAGTGGGACTCGACGATGTCACGCTGGACAACCTTGCCGGTTCCAACACCGCAGTAGTACTCGCCCTGGCTTTAAGGGGGTTAGTTCACATTCGATATCTGATAGAAAGTGGGCGAGGGTCGACTTACGGAGCAGGGAAACCGCCAACGGGCCAGCCATAGGGGCGGCCGTCACCACCGAGGAGGGTGTACTCCTGCTCGAGACCGAACCAAGGCTCCTGGTCGGCGAAGGTGTCCATGACCTTCACGCAGTCATGTCGGTAGTTGTACTTGTTGGGAGTACCATCGGCGTTCCAGCACTCGGCGAGAACGATGATGTTGGGGGAGCCACGGAAGGGATCGGGGAAGACGGCGCAAGGGCGGAGGTAGACGTCGGAGTTGTCGCCGGGGGCCTGGTTGGTGGAAGAACCATCAAAGTTCCAGACGGGGAGGTCCTCGGGCTTGTACTCCTTCTCGGGGAGAGTCTAGAGAGTCATTGTCAGCCTGGGCATTCAGAGCAATCAGATGCACGGAATGTGTCATTGGCGCTGCTCCGGCCGGTTCGGGCACCGCCGGCTCTACCACGCCGATGGCTCGGGGGTCCACCCAGCACCCCACATTTGGTGGGGGGCGGTACGGCTATTTTTGGATCCCATTGGCCACAGGCCTCCGGAGGCGCGACACCGGAGCCGGCGACAGCAGACTCAGCCTCGGAGGACCCTGCGAGCGATGACGCTGAGACCGGCGGTGGCGAACAATGGACAATGGGTCGGAGCAGGAACCGGTTGACGGTTGACGGAAAGGGGGAAGGGAAAGAGAGAGAGACTCACTCGGGACTTGGATCGAGTCTCACCGTCGGCGTCGATCCAGACGTACTCAGCCATGATCTGGCCCTTCTGATCAAGGGCGAGATACTTGGCGAGCTGTATAAAGAGTCAGCATCGTGTGAATTGGCAGCAGTTCGCCGCGGGGGAAGGGCATCGCGTCGCGTACGGTCTCAGTCCTCGAGATGACGGGGGCGCCGGTGGCCTGCGATAGCATGTTAGTGGGCTGCTGATAGACGATAGAGGGGTACACGCTGGGCGCATGACGACTCACCATGTTTGTGGTTTGGTTGTGGAGGAGGAGGGGAGAAAGAAGGACGAACTCGGGCGAGATCTAGGTGCAGAAAACGGTGAATTGATGCAACGATCAAAAGATCTGACGGGATTGTGTAGGTTGACCGGAGCAGAGCGATTGCAAGCTCGGGGCGGGTGAGGGTTTTATGTTGTCGGCTTCGAGCCCGTCTGAAAGGTGCTGGAGTCTCGCGCCCACCAGAGATAAGACTTCTGTGGCCGGATGCAGGGGTGTGGCTGCTACCGGCTGCGATTCTGGTGGGAGGCCAGTGGGGTACAGCCCAGCGAGGCGTGCGATTGGAGTTGGGGGGCGTCACCAAGTAGCCAAGTACAGTAACGAAGGGGGGGGGGGGGGGGGGCGTTAAGTGAGTCTTCTCGCACGCGGTTGTGCGGCCATTGGCACCCACACAAGGTACGTCGTGGAGTACAGAGTACGGAGTACTGGATGTACAAGGTCTACAAGGTCTGCAAGGTCTGCAGAGGGAGAGGAGGACCTGGAGTGAGTCGCCCTCGCTCTCGCCGTGCCCCTCGTACGCTCTCGCCACACCGGGGGCGGCCCCTCCCCCCATGGTCGTCCATCGCAGGCTATCCCAGACAGGTGTTGCATCCCACGATGCCCACGGCTTCCCACCGCGGGCGGCGTGGGCATCCGGTCCAGCGGGGTTCCGCCCACTTCCAGCGCCCGGTCCAGAGCGGGCTGCTATCACGGATCGATGTTCCAGCAACAGCAACAGCGACGCAGTGCCAGTGCCCGCCTCCTGGTGCGCTGGGGGTCCTAGAGCAGGGGGGGGGGGGGGGGCAGTCAGCGGCTCCATAGCCCGCCAAATGACATAAACGGCGGGCGGCCTCGGCGGAGCCCTTTGCTCACGGGGGGCGTGTGGTGCGGTTGCGCGCCGGCCGTACCCAGCAGCCAGCGCCCAAGTACCCTCCGTTCGACACAGCCGCTCGGCGGAGATGGCCCACGGCGGCATCTGATGCTTCGCGGTGCCCCTCCCCAGCCACCACCGGCCCGGGTTGGCTCAGCGACCTGGGCGCGGTGAGGACGGTTCCAGAGGTGAAGCTTTCTGAAGCTTCCGAGCAACTCCCCACGACCCCTCGCCGTCGAGATGTCGTCGACCTTCCACCTGGACGGCATCGCGCCCCCGGCCATGGATAGCAACTGCAAGCCAACCAACGCCCAACCGCCCCATTCGGAGAGCCGTGGCTAGGTCCTTATCGCCAGTGTGCGCCGCGAGGCCACAAGGGGCAAGGTGGGGTGAAGAATCGAGAGAGTCTTCCCGTCAACTGGACCAACCCGGCCACTCGGCGTGTGCCAATTACTGTTCCTCCAGACCGAGCCCGTGGCCATCGCGGGCGGTCGTCCGCAAAGGCGATGCGGCCTTGACAGGTTGCGATTACACTTCATTCGAGCCATTAGATAGAGCCCGGCCTGGGCTGAAGCTGGCAATCTTTTCCCCCCCGTTCCCCCATCATCCAGTTCCCCCCAACCCATCCCACTGGCGTCGAGACTCCGGGGTTTAGGCCCTCAACTAAGACGAGCGCAGGACGGACATGAGCAACTGATCCACATTTCCGAGCTCAGAACGAAGCGTACGTAGCAAGGTATTTTTCGCAAACCCAGTTCCGTCCGTCCTTGGCTCAAGTTGGCGACGGCGTTGCGAATAACACCCGAGCCTGGGCTAGATATAGCACGTCGGCCTCGGTGTGGGCGAGTCCGACGAAAACGTGGGGCCTCGAAAGTGGCAGCCAGCCAGCAGCCAGCGTGGGACCGAGTTTTGCGGGTGATGGTTATTCCCCTGGGCGGGACAGGACTAGCACTACGGAGCACAACTTACAACCGTTCCATGCGACCACTCCGGCCGACCAGAGCTCGCATGGCGTGTGCGTCAGAGGGGTAAAACAAGCGACGCGCGTGAGGAAAAGGAGAATTGCGAAGAATGCACTCGGCTGGACCAGCTGGACCAGCCAAAGTACGAAAGTTGTGGCCCAGAGTGGAGGTGATGTGTGATATTCCGGTCCTGGATGCCATGCCGCCGTCGCGGACGCGCCCTTGAGCTTCCATTGCCTTGCCCCTCCCCCTCCCCCTCCCCCCCGGAAGCGTCCCCTGTATTGTACATGTACTGCGTCATGTACTATACTGTACCGAAGAGGCCCCCCCCGGGCATGCTGCCAGGGCAACTCCAGGGCCAGCCAGCGAACCCTCCGCCGTGCATCCAGAACGGATCGCCCACCCCCAGGACTTTGAAAATTTGCATCCCGGCAGCAGCTATTTCGAGGCCTCTCTCCCAGGCTCGCAGGCCGTGACTCTTGGGTCCAGCGACGGGGGCTCCGGTTTAACCCTTGGCTGTTACCAAATCGTTTGGTGATGCCGAGCACGGCTTAACTCGTTCGGGTAAGAGGACCCTCTACTCTGTTTGACCTGCGCCGCAGGACGGCCCTTCGAGAGTACAGTACATGGCACGCTGTACATTGTACAGTACGCAGTACCTAGGCCGACACCCATTTTTGCTTTGCAGGCTGCGTGTTCTGGCCTTCCGCCGCCGGGTTTGCGCAGCGCAGCGCAGGGCGCATCCGCATCCGCATCCGCAGGACGACCGACGACGAGTCGGTGTCGCCCCAAGACGCCACCCCAAGAGGCCTGGCACGGCATTGGGCGCATCTCTCCAGCCTCTAGAGGGAATCTTATCGTAGGCCCGCCATTGGCTGCGCGCGATGTTCTGCATAATGCTGTTTATCCCACCGTGGAGCTTCAGACGTCGAGAGCCAGTGTCGAGCCGTTGCGGCGGGAGCCCTGGTTGGTAAATCGCTCAGGCGGTGCCCATTGCCATGCGCAAATCTGAGTTTGAAACTGTCTTGTTCCATTTCCCCAGACCGACTTGCTAATTGTTGCGTAACTACTTTGTACCTCTCCAGTCCTCCAGCCAGCTCCAACTTCAGTCCTCGGAATGGGTTGTTTTATTTCATTCCCGAGCCAAACGCGCCCTCCCTCCCTCCCTTCCCCAACAAACAAAGATATCTCTATTCCGTCACCGCTTGTTTGGTTAATTACTACTCGTTCTTCCTCTCGGCCGCCCGTTTTCCCCGGCCTGGTAGTTATTCCCCAACTGAAAAACTAGACTCTGTCTCTGACTGAACCTGTTGGTATGTAACCCAACGAACGGTTCATCTAGGCTCGCTGAATATGTGGGCACAGGGCCCCCAGGTACAGGCCCAGGTTCAGGCACACGCGACCAGCATATTCTGCGGCCCCGGTTAATAAACCAGGGTGTGTGATGCGATGCCGTCCAGTGACTTGGTGGCTCGCACAATTCGTGCTTGTGCGTGACCCGGAAATGAGGTGCTGGGCTGCGGGCAGAGAGATAAGAGAAGTCAGCCGACGATAGCTGCAAACACCAGGGAATGGCGCAGAGCAACGACGATGGCCTCACAGGCTCGGGATCGGCCAGAACCGCGGCTGCATACGTAACTTGAGTCAAACAAGCTCGTGTAGACGCCTCGATGACTCGGCAAGCAAAAGAAAAGCACGGAGCAAAAGCACGGAGCACTGGAGAAGCCCTTCGCCCCAGGCCCAGGCGGCCAGGTCCCTCGTCACGGGCACCAGGGCGATCTGCGGCTCCCCGCAATCTGTTGCGACCCTCGCTGAGCCCGGTCGGTCCAGCAGCCAGCAGCCAGCAGCCATTCGTCGGCACGCTCTTTATTAGCATGCCCCCAAAATATATCCAGCTGTGACACCGCGAAATGATCAATGGAAACTCGCAGGCCCGCTCCTTCTTACCCCAGGTTTCTGCTGATATCAGCCTATCTCTCATTTGTTGCCGCCGGGCCACCGACCGCCATCAGTAAAACCTTTTGGTTTATTGGGCTTTCGGCAAAGACACGGTCATGAAGCGTCGAGCACTGCCGTGCCGACTGCGGAGGGGTCGTTTTCGTGGCATGCCCCGTGCGCCGGGAGAAGGGACCTGGCAGAAAGCTGGGGGTCATTCGATCATCTAGGAGCGTCCCCGGAATCTGGTCGCGAATGAGCTCGGGGCAGTTTTCGGCGTCATAGTCCGCCGCTTGGAAATGGCAATCCGCTGCCGGCGCATTGGGCCCCGTTTCCCAGCACTTATCAGCATTTATCCGCACTTATCGACCATGCCGATATCTATCTTACCAGCATGGCCTCCTCCTTCCTCCGACCGTGGTGCGTCGGCGCCGGCGTGTTTCCCGACGGCCACTCCCGACGGCTTCGGCTGGTGTCCTCTGTCACGGCGAGAATCGGGTGTCGCCCTATTCAGAGGCCGTTCGCTAGTTTTGGCTACTTCGAGGAAAATCACCCGTGCAAGCAATTCATGCAAAATGGACCCTCCTCGTCTTGGCGCCCAAGAACGGGTTTTGGACTAAGACATGCACGGAAGCATCATATGAAGTCATTTCTTTTCCCTGCTTCTAAACACCCATGACGCTTTGGATCGGGACGTCCCAGTACCAGCTTGCTACTGCCATGCCTCCAACGCTCATCATGACCGCCATCAGGAAGTTGACATCATTGTTGTCGAGCAGATCCCAACCGCTCTCCACCACCCGAGATGGGCGCTCGTTGCCGAAGCTAGGCTTGCGGTGCTTATCCTTGGGATCGTAGACATCCGTCTCGGCCTCGTCGTCGACGATGGCAGACCCACTCATCTTCTCAGCGGCTCCCGCGCCTTCACCACGCAAAATAGCCGCCTTGATAGCGGCGCGCTTCTTCGAGTGCGCCGCAACCTGATCAGCAGATTCCGAGACCAGGACGCGGTTGCCTCCCTCGCCTTCCACAATCTTGCCAGACCGCACGTCCTTCACTGATCTCTGAAACAGGCCACCCAGGAAGCTGTCCAATAAGCTACCCATCGCACCCCAGATGACCATGAACCCCATAAACTGCCGTCGCTCAAGGGTGGACCACGGTAGACCACCCCCGGGCAGGCCCGCCGACTCAGAATTGCACGACGGCAAGAAGATCATGGATGAACTGACGATAATCATCGACCCCAACAACCCCGCACCAAGGCCCATGAGCGTGACTCCTCCATTCGTTCCGCGAGGGACCTTGCGCAAAGTCAAGGATGTGATGAGGCGGGGTTCGCTCTTGGAGAGGATCCCAAGCTCCGAGCTGAACGTGTCAGCCGCCACCGCGGCATAGTTTGCAATGATTCCGACAACAAGGAGGTCGCCGCCCCAAGAATAGCAAAGTGTACCTTCGGGGTCCGGGACGTCGGGATTCGTGAGGGCGGCAGCTCGAGAGCGTAATTGGATCGCGTGGAGGATCGTGAGAACGGAGGCCATCAGAGAATTTGCGAGGACTTGCGCGCGTTAGTCACATATCGCCAGCTTTGTTCGTAGATGCACACCTTGGACATGCGATCTAGGTCCTTCTCCGCCGGAAGTCCCTTTAGAGCCAACCGTCAAGTGCGATTTGACGTCTTCCTTGATCTAGTAGTCGCCATGTCAGCACTTCCCCGGAAACACGATGGCAACGGGCGCAAAGACTTACGTGCGTCACGCGAGTCCCCGCCAGAAAGAAGATACATAGCAGGGCGAATGGGAGATTCCAGGGGTGGTACGCATGGGCAACGGCAGTCAAGGCCGCAACGACGATGCCGGCGGGGGTCAGCGAGTTCCGGCTCCAAGCCCGGTAGACAAGCGCGCAAGTCGCGGGCACGGCAATGAGCGGCCTCATGGTGAGTTGCGCGATGTGTCGACGGCACGGAGGAGCTTCGTGTCAGCGCGTAAGAGGATAATGAAGGCGCAGCAGAGCGTGGTGAAACACAAACGTTGAGCTGTCTTGAAGTTGCTAACCTGACCACCCACCCATGGCCAAATATGGTGTTGAGCTTGGCAAAGATCAGCTGACGTCAGCGGTTGGGCAGCTCCACTGCACCGCCACACGCACGTCTTCACGCCTTCGCCCACAGCCGCCTGGGACATAGAATGACATGCCAGGCACAGGGTGCTAATCTTAAAAATGAAGTACAGTACCTATGCCAGGGGCAATATATCTTCAAAGCTTAAATAGTACTATGTAACGCTCCAAATAGACCGCGAAATGGCGGTGGGGAAAGTTAACTTGTTCGGACGTCCGAGGATACCGAAACCCTCCGTGGTGTAAGTCCTTCGGTACAACCCCGAGCCAAGAGAAGTTGGTACATACGACCATAACATTACGTTAAAACTTTTAGCCTATTACCAATGATAATTTCAGTCTTCTACGGGATATTAACTTCTCCAATGTGATAGACTAGGATGTTGCACTGCATTAAACCAGGGAACTTGTTTCTCAGCTCGTGTTAATCATTAAGGATCTCTCTATAGGCAATTTGTTCTAAAAAGGAAAAAAGGAAACTCCAACAAATCCAAACCGAAGTCAACCAAAATACCAAAGGAAATGAGTGTCAACCCAATATATGAAATAGCACAATCCAACGCTACGCTTAGCAGTCTCGCCGTCCCCCTAAATCTCCTTCATCCTCCTCCACAAGTCGCCCAAGAAGTTCGCATCCACTGCGGGGCACTTGTCTTCGGCGTTGGGACTCAACGTCTCCAAAAGGTCCATTGTTCGCCTGTTGTCCAGGCTGAACATGACATATCCAGTGGTGAGGTACTGCTTCAGGACCTCGTTCCTGACAGTCTCTCCCGCAGAGTCCTCTCCCCCAGCTGGCTCCATAGCCTTCATCCATTCCTCGAGGGTGACGATTTCCGCCTTTTGATGATCCGATCGAATGTCCGCGATGACTTGCGGAAGATCCTTGAGCATGAGCGGGCGAGGGTTGGTGATGTGGTAGATTTGAGGCATCGTGTACAGATCGGGGGGGTTGATGGCCGAAAGAGCCGTCTTCTCCGAAGTGAGAGTGAAGAAGCTGGAAGCAAGCCAATCGACCGGGATCACATCGACGGCGAAGCTAGGTTGCTCAGGAGTGCCAATTTGAGGGACCATTCCAGACTCAATCATACTCAGGATGACCCGCATCGTAAACTCGTCACCAGCGTCGAGCGTACCGTTGCCCCGAGATGCCGCAGTCAGTGCTGAAGCACGGGTGATGGTGACGGGGAATCCACGCTCGGCGGCCTTGACAAGGATGTTCTCTGCCACCCATCGAGTCTTAAAGTAGCCTGCCTCATCTTCGGTCGGGGGAGAGAAGTGTCGGCTATCTTCCTCCGCGGTGACATAGTCTTCTCGGGATCGCTTCGAGGCGGTCCAGGTTTGCAGGTGGGCAACCGACCAGGTCGAAAGATAGTGAATGTCGGAGAGGTAGGATCCAATGCCAGACAGTCGAATGATGTCGAAGATGGGTGTAACGTTGACTGGCTTCAAGGAGGTGTAGGTCTTCAAGAGAGAGACATGGCCACCGAGATGGTAGATGGCCTGGACCTTCTCACCAAGCTCTCGGAACGCCGACTTGGACAAACCAAAGTTGGTCTGGCTGAGCGTTCCTGGAACACACTGGACTTGGGAATGGATCGTGGATGCGGGAAGCTTGCTGTTGAGGAGGCCATACTTCTCAAGCAGGTCGACAATAAGGGGGACTTCGAGCTTCTCCATCGAGCCAAGCACATAGACGGTCGCCTCAGGCTTTGAGAGAAGGATTTCAGACAGCAGGTGTAGACCGATGAAAGAATCCCCTCCGGTCAGGAGGAAAGTGTTCAACTCATCGCGATCAACACGGGGGGTGCCGTAGCGAGGGATGTACTGGCTGGTGTTGGGCAGGTTCGTCTCCACGTTCCAGCTGAGGACGTTCTCGAATCCGCGCTTCTTGCCAGGGCTACCACCCTTTGAGCGCCGAATGAAGGCACAGACAGCAGCAGCCGTGGGCTCTCGGATCAAGGCGGGGAGAGGAGGCGCAATCTTGAACTGTTTCTTGACCTTTGCCTGGAGTCTCACGAGGAGGATGCTGTTCCCACCCTTTTCGAAGAAAGAGTCGTCGAGGCCAATGTCAGCGCCGAGGGTAGTCCGGAACAAGGCAAGAATGGAAGTCTCAAGTTCGTTTCCATCTCCGTTTGTCACGGTTTTGTTGGCCTTGTTTGCGATCACTGCAGAGCCGGGATGGAAGAGGTCCAGGGATCGGCTGAGGAGGTTGCGTCGGTCAACCTTTCCGCCGATGGTGACAGGAAGCTTTTCGAGGAACTCATATCCGCTAGGCAGCATGTAGTCATTGAGGAAAGCCTTGACTCGTCGGTGAAGCTGAGACACGATCGTGGCCTTGTCATCTCGGCTGACTCGAGTCTTGGGCACCAAGTAGGCAACCAGCTTCTGCTCATCGGAATCCACAGTTCGGGCCACGACAGCAATGTCAATTAGGCCCCAGCCTTTCTTCAGGGACTGGGACTCTTTGAAGATGGCCTGCTCGACCTCTCCAAGATCGAGGCGGAATCCTCGAAGCTTGATCTGCTTGTCGCCGGCAATTCGGCCATGAAACTCAAGCTGGCCATCAGGGCGGAATCTACCGCGGTCTCCAGTCTTGAACATTTTGGTCCATCCGCTCTTGCGATCCTCGTCCGAAGCAAAGGGGTTTTCGACAAAGGATTTGGCATTGACACTCGGGCGGTTGCGATAACCGGCACCGACTTGAGCACCACCAACCACGAGCTCGCCAATCATACCAGTAGGGACAGGGTTTCCTTTAGTGTCGAGTAGGTAATGGCGGCAGTTGTCCATGGGATAACCGATAGGCAGGCTGACGGTACTGTCATCAGGGCAGTCAATCTTAGCAATGGAAGTCTGGACAACCAATTCGGAGGGAGACCATGTGTTGTACAAGGTAGCTGGCGTTCCAAGATCGTAGAAGGCCTTGACGACTCGAACTGGGAGACGCTCGCCCGCAGAGTATGCAACTCGGTAGTTGTTGCACTTCTTCAGGGCGTCAGTGTTGAGCTCCATGAGCAGGGAGAATTGAGTGGGTGTGAAGTATGTGACGGAGACACCTTCGTTCATCATGAAGTTGGCTAGTTCGGCCGGGTCCTTGCGAATCTCCCACGATGCGATCGAAACAGTCGCGCCAGCGGTAAGGGCAGAGAAGATCTGAACGATGGAAAGGTCAAATGACATGGAAGATTGATGGAGGAAGTTGTCGTTGGAGGTGAAAGCGTAGTCCTTGTTCAGCGTACTGAGCATAGCTTGCGTGTTGGCCTCGGTCAGGACTACCCCCTTAGGAGTACCGGTACTGCCCTAAAGAATTGTAAGAAACTGGGATATGAGATACAGCCATGGATTGTTTCCAACTTACCGAAGTGTAGATCATGTAGAACGGGTCATTCATTTGTCGTGTGCGTTGCTGGGTAATTGATCGACCGGCGGCGGCAGCATCTTCAATCATGATGACTCTTGGAGGAGTAATGGCCCTGGCAGCCAAATCAGAGGCGAGAGAATACTGGCCTGGACCAGCAAGGATAACCCTGGCAGATGCGTCCGAAATCATAAAGGAGAGACGATCGGGTGCGAAGTCGGTATCCAGGGCGACATAGCAAGATCCCGTCATCAATGCGCCGAGCATGCCGGTGACGGCTTCAATACCGGGAAGCGCGAGCAGTGCGATGCGGTCACGGGGCTTTACCCCGGACTTGACGAGGATAGAGGCAACGCTCTCAGAGTTCTCGATCAGTTGTCTGTAGCTGATGCTTTGGCAGTCAGAGGTTTTAATCGCCAGGGCTTGGGGGTGTTGGCTTGCCATCTGAACAACCCTGTCAAGAACGTTCTGTCCTTGCCAGTGGTTCTCCTTGGTCTCAGTGTTCCAATAGGACGTCTTCAGAGTCTCAATCTCCAGAGGTCCGCACATGTTGATCTCTTCCACAGGCTGGCGGTGGTCCTTGATGCAGCTCGTGAGGAATGCGAGGAAGTTCTCGATGAACCGGTCCATGTCGGGTTGGTTGTAAAGTGCGGTGGAGTACTCAATCTTGAGATCAAGGCTGTGCTCGGAGGTCTCCAGGGCCTCGAGTTGCATGTCGGCAGCGGTGGGGATGTCATCCGACTCAATGCTCTCGACAACGAAGTCGGAGGTCTGGTAGGTAGGAACGGGGCCGTGAATCTGGTAGTTGACGGCAATCTGACCGACAGGCATGTGGCGACTGGTCTTCTTGACGTTCATGATATCCACGATAGTATCGAAAGGCACACCGCTGTGGGCCATGGCGTCCAGTGCCCGGGTCTTGGTCGACTGGAAGAGCTGGTCAAATGGAACCTCGCAATCATCTAGGTCAAAGGGTCAATCATGCTTTCTAAAGAAGGGGATGTGGTTCGTCAAGGAGATCTTACCATTGCAGCGAACCGGGGCCAGGTTGACAAAGAAACCCATGAGGGCATCAGTATCAGGGTGAGGTCGGTTGCCATCTACCATAAGCAGAACGACATCCTTCTCCTCAGTATATCGGTAGATGAAGGCACGGAATGCAGCCAGGATGAAGTGGAAAGGGGTACCGTTCGACTGCGCAGCAACTCGCTTCATGCGGCTGAACAACTTGGCGTCGAGGTTGGCGTGGACCTTCTCGCGGCGGGGATCGCTCCTCACGGGTCGGTCGCATTTGGCAAATGGAAGTACCTTGCTGCAAGTAGGCAATTCCTTCAGGGTAGATCGCCACCAGTCCAAGTCAGGCTTCATAAGGTCCGAAGAGAGACGGGCGTTGTGCCAGAGAGTAAAGTCGACATAGTCAAACTCAGGAGCCGAGACCGTGGTGAGATCCTTGCCGGTACGGAAGGCATCGTAGAGTCCAACAAATTGGGACATCATGGGGAATAGACTGGCTCGGTCGATGGAGATGTGGTGGGTCATTCCAACCACAGCCCAATCCTCTTCTCCCAGCTTGGCCAAGGAGTATGTGGCAACCTCTCCCTCCTCAACGTTCATCTCGATGTTGCGGTTGTACTTGATGAGTTCCTGGAGTGAGTTCTCTGCGTTTGCCTCAGAGCTCAGATCACGGTAGTCGAGGCTGAGATCGAAGTCCTCCAGAGGCTGCTGGACTGCGAAGTCGTCACCCTCATAGTATGCGGTGCGCAGAGCAGGGTTGCGAACGGCCATCTCTTGAATGGTCTTCTGCATGGCGGGGAAATCCGGCTTTCCCTTGATGCGAAGGATGATGGGGAGGTTGAGGAACGACTTGTCCTCAAGGAAGCTGTGGACAAACCAAAGACGAGACTGGAAGGTTGACAAGGGGACAATGTCTGTTGAATCGGACTTGGTCAGCTGCCCCGAGGCCATGACAGAGGACTGGCCGTCACTCTTGGTGTTCTCAACCTCAACATCGGTCTTCTTGGCTGACTTATCAGTGTCTTCCTTCTTGGCAGCTGCGCTCGAGGTAACCATCTTGGCCGTCTTGACCACCAAGGCCATGATAGAGGCTGCACCAAGAATGTCAAAGAGGGCGATGTCAACTTGAATCTCCTTTCGGAACCACTTTCGGAACTCAACTGCGACGATAGAGTCAAGACCGTAGGCTGAAAGGGGGTTGCTGGGAAGAATGGACTCCAGCGGTGTCGCAAGAACGTTGGCAATCTTCTCCAAGAAGCCATCGAGGAGAATCTGCGTCCTCTTTTCGATATCCTGCTCCTCGCGAAGGGCTGCAAGAATGTTCTTGGCTTGTTGGTCGTTGTTGCCGGCCTCGAAGTCGTGGTTGGAGTAAAGGTTTCTCATGATGGGCTTGCTTGCCCAGTAAACGTCTGGCTTGATGAGGCCAACGCCGCTGATGATTTGGTGTGCTGTGCAACCTCGGGGGGACATCGAGTTCGTTGACTTATCAACCGAGACCGCCTCTTCAAGCTGGTAGAGTAGCTCCTCCTCGTTGATGGTATCCATGCCCATTCTGAGCATGATCTTCTGAAGCTCCTCGTTTTCGGCGACGACACCAACACCAGTGACTGCTCCCACATTCATGGTCGCACCACTGAGGCCCATCTCGCGACGCTTCCTCATGAGGGCATCGAGGAAGCAGTTGGCGGCTGAGTAGTTGGCCTGAGCCTTGGAGCCAACAATGGCCGCGACCGACGAGAAGCAGACGAAGAAGTCCAGGCCCATATCGAGGGTGGCCTCATGGAGGTTCTGAGCTCCTTGGACCTTTGGCTGGCAGCATCGCTGCCACTGGGCAAAGCTCATGGTTTCGAGAGGCACATCCTGAAGAACCATGGCTGCTTGGAACAGGCCACCGAGAGAGGCGCCGATGCTGTCAACGCACTCCTTGACATCGGAATACTTGGAGACATCGCCACGGTACACCTGGGTGTGAACGCCGCGCTGCTCAAGCCACTCGACAGTTGCCTTGGCTTCGGGCTTATCCGCTCCAGAGCGAGAAAGGAAAGCCAACTTCATGGCTCCCTTGCGCACCATCCACTGTGAGAGTGTTCGACCCAAACCTCCCAGACCGCCAACAAGAAGATACGTCTTGGAGGGACTGAAGAGCTTGGTGTTGCGGTATCCGCTTCGCATGACAGGAACAAGATCATCGGCATGAGGCACAAGGACGACCTAAACGCAATCGTTAGGTAAGTTGTTCACAATAGGAGGAGAGGAGAGGTGCGAGGGGAATATATGATGGTTTGTGAAGTCATACCTTGCCAGTGTGTTTGCCCATCTGCAAAAGTCGGAAGCCTTTGACAACGTCGGCGTAAGAGACTTCCTTGACGGTGGCTGGAACTCGGATCTCTCCGTTCGCAATGAGTGAGAAGCACTCCTTGAAGAGTCGCTCTCCCAGGGCTTCGTTCTTCTCAAACATGGTCTAGGAACTATCAGTATCTTTTTGTAGCGGGATAGTAGGTGCCTTGACTTACCACCAGATCAATAGAGGCGAAAAGAACGTTCTTGCGGAAAGGATCCATTCCGATCTTGCTGTTCTCGTGAATGTCGCGCTTTCCGATCTCCAAGAAGCGACCGAAAGGTGCGACACAGCTCCAAGAGGCGTGTAGAAGAGGACCAGCCAAGCTGTTCAGGACGATGTCGACTCCCTTGCCATTGGTGGCAGCCATCACGCCCTTGGCGAACGAGGCATCACGGGAAGAGAACATCTGATCTTCAGTAAGACCATACTGCTCCTTCAAAAGCTGTCGCTTGGCGGGAGAGCCAACAGTGGCGAGGACATGAGCGCCAGCACGCTGCGCGATCTGGACGGCCATTTGGCCAACACCACCGGCTGCGGCGTGGATAAGGACGCTCTCGCCCTTTCGAATTCGAGCAATATCCGACAGAGCATACCATGCAGTTCCCAGGATGAGAGGCATGGCGGCAGCATCAGAAAAGGACATGCTATCTGGGAGCTTGTAGCACCAAGAAGCTGGGTTTCGGACCAAGGTACGATGAGCACCTTGACCAGGGCGCAAGGCCACAATTCGGTCACCGACCTTGAAGCCAGTGACGGCAGATCCTACATTAGTGACGATACCAGCACATTCATCTCCAAGCTTGAAATCCTCAATGATTCCCATGCTGGCAGCAACATCTCCTAGAGGGTGGTTAGATCGCGGATTCTCTGCTGTGACACCACTCCAAGTATGGATAGAAGGCACTTACTGAAGTTAATGGAGGAGGCTTTTGTCTCGACCTCGACCTCGTTCTCATTGAGGTCGGTATCCATGATCTCCTCATCCTCGCCGAAGTACAGAGTCTCCAGCAGACCTACCTTTCCGATCTTCAGTGCAAGGGGCGACCTCTTGCCAAGCTCGCCAAAGGCCTCGAGATGAGGCTCCTGGTTCGGGCCATTTCTGAGCTTGCAGTTGCGGTCATCATCTGCCTCGACACGAGGGATGTAGATGACACCATCACGCTCTGTGAGCTCGTCTTCTTCGATATTCTGGCCCAGCATGCCGATAGCGTGTGAGGCAACAAGCTCTGCGGGAGAGTCACAGCCAAAGTCAAAGGTGACGGCACGAATGGTGTCGTTCTCAGAGCGAGCAGCTCGCACAAGTCCAATGAACATGGCAGACTCTGGTCGTGCAGCCTCGAGCGTAGCACCCTCAGTCAACCAAACGATGTTCTTTTGCAGAGAAATGAGCAAGCTCTGAGTTCCCTTGAAGGTTGTCTCATCAGAGATTGGCTCGTCCAATCCAGCAAGAACAACGACATTCTCGGAGAGCAAAGAAGCACCGTCCTCGGCAACTTCGGAGAAAGTGGTCAGGCTCATCTTAGCACCAACCCTCGACTCCAAGGCACCGAGAATGGCGAGGGTCCGGGGTGAAGTATCGCCAGTTGGCATGATGACCGAGATCTCATCAATCGCTGCAGGTGAACCGGAAACCTTGCGGAACGCGCTGAACTTGGGCGAGGCGAAGATTTCCTCAAGATCAGCAGGGACGAGTTCCTTGTGACCATCGAACAGGATGCGACCATTGTCCTTCAAGAAAGCAGAAGCATCAGCTCCAGTCTCACTAACAATGACGAGGTCATATGAGCCTAGCTCAGGCTCTGCGTAGTGGACCAAGCCGTTTGAAGAGCTGACCAAACTGGTGTAAGCGTCTTCGGGAATGCTGCCGCTTGGGGACCAAAGGTCCAGTTGCTTGAAGCGGCGGCGCTCACCCTTTGCAGCTCCAAGAGTGTGAAGCACCTGGGTTGTGCGATCAACGTCCGCTGCAAGGTGAAGAATCTTGGTGTCAGGGAATTGGTGGGCAAAGATGTCGACAACCTCTGAGATGCTCTTTTCCTGTGCGTTGGAGAGCATCTCGAAGCATGGCTGCCATCGCTGGCGGTAGAACAGAGTGCGAGGTCCCTGTCCCTCCGGAGCTTCTCGGCCGAGAGCAGTGACCTCGAGTCCGTTGATCTCCATCATGAGATCTCCGTCCCGGTTCCTCATGAGCAGGTCATTGATGGCGACACGAGGAGAAGGAAGCTTGGTGAAAGAGGCAACCAAGAAATCCTTGACATCGGTGGATGATCGCCAGTCAACGAAGTTGCCTGCGATTCTCAAAGTCTTCAGGAACGTTGGCACATAGGGCTCATCAAGGGGTCGGCCAAGCCGCTGCTCGACAGCATGGAAGATGACATGGAAGAACGAGTCCAAGAGCGTGGGATGCATAATAGTCTCGTCACCAGGAGCCGAGGGCAAAGCCGAAGGGTCGTAAATCAGGTCTGAGACGGCGAAGCCAAGGCCACTCTCAATGTTTCCCTTGAGAAGACGGAATTTCTCTCCGTATCCCAAGCCAAGGTCTGCCATGTTCTTGTAGAAAGTCCCAGCAGGCATAGATCGGTTTGTCTTGGTGCGGAGATCAGAGAGCATGGACTGAGTGCTGGAAGAAGCCGAGTATTCAAGGGGCCCGGCATTTCCTCTCTCCAGGCTAATGGTACCATGACAGTGGCTGGTGCAGTTGTTGTTCTCGTCGTAGGAAAAGACGTTGAACTCGTACCAGGTCTCAGAGTGGCTCTTGGCAGACAGAGTCACCGGCTTGAGCTCAAGTAGAACCTCGATACCCTCATCAGTGTTCGGGATGAGAAGGGCATTCTTGACGACAATGTCCTTCATGTTGATCGTCTTGATTTCGTCAACTGAATCAGTCCTGTATACGGCTTCAATGGCCATGGTCATGTAGCCTGCGCCTGGGAAGACAATCTTCCCTTCCACCACGTGCTCGTTCAGCCAAGGCAATTCGCTGATGCGGAGATAGTTTCGGAAGAGAGGGTGCTTGTTGACTGATCCAGGGACTCTGTGTCCAAGAACTGAGTGGCGGAAGGGACGTTGGCGATGGTCCCTGATCACACGGGTCTCCGACCAATAACGTCGATGATCCCAGCTGTAAGTAGGAAGGTCACTCAGCTTGGCCCCAGTGGATGAAGCAATCAACGAGCCATCGGTGTCCCGGCTAAGGTTCTGGTTGGCCGTAACAAGGTCAACAGGATAGCCCAGGCTGAAGAGAGTTCCAGCCATGCTCAGCAGACCCTCGAAATCGGGAACACCACGCGTCAGAGAAGCAACATAAGGGAGGTCGAGCTTCAAGGCCTTTGTGGTCTGTCGAGATGGTCCCTTCAAGGCTGGGTGGGGACCAATCTCAACCAGGATATCCACATTCTGATCATCCTGCTCGTCCAGAAGGATTCCCGTGAGAGCATCAGAAAAGCGAACAGCCTGGACCATGTTTGACGCCCAGTAAGAAGCGTTCATGTTCTCGGGGTCGGCGAGACGAGCCGTCACACTCGAGAACATTCTGCACTTCGCCTCCTGGGTCTTGAAGCCCTTGTTGGCTTTCAGGGCGTTCTCGTAGGCCGGAGCCAAGGGGAACATGTGGTGCGAGTGGAACGCCTGCTTGACGATGAGCTGGCGGACGAAGATCTTTCGCTCGGTCAACTTGTCCTTAAGTTCGAGGATAGCGTCTTCGTCACCAGACACGGTCATGGTGGAAGGGCTGTTCACAGCAGCGATGTTTAGGCGCCCAGCGTATGGCTTCAGCTCCTCGAGACACTCACTCTCAGGGAGGCCAACTGCCATCATGCCTCCAGGGACACCGTCTTCATTGCTTTCAGACATGTATCGACCACGGTAGTAAGCCGCAATGAGGGCATTCTCGAAGGACAGGATGCCTGCTGCGTATGAAGCACCCATCTCGCCGGAGGAGTGGCCGACAACAGCGCTGGCCTTGATACCCCAACACTCAAGCAGATCAATGATTGCAAGCTGGAGAGCTGTGCATATGGTCTGAGAGTAGAGCGTCTCTCCGAGCAGAGTAGTCTCCTTGGTCTTCTTGAGCTCTGCGAGAATGGACCATTCCGGTGCGTCGGGAAGCGCCTTCAGAACAGAGTCACATCGCTGGATGCTCTGTCTGAAATGAGGGCACTGCTCGAGGAGCTGTCGACCCATGGCGTGCCACTGCGCTCCCTGGCCGGTGAAGATGAAGCCAAGTCGGGGAGTGGACTTCTGAGTGGGAGTCCAAGGAGCAGCAGGGCGAGGGGTTGACAGCTGCTCGACCAGAGCAGCAGAGTCCTCGGCCACAACGAAGGAGCGCTGTGAATGCATCGTACGCCTTGTAGAGAGGCTGTAAGCCAGGTCCTCGATGTTGGAGCCATTACCGTCTTCGATGTATGTGGCCAGAGTCTGCTCGGCAAGCTCTCCAGCCTTAGCTGAGTGAGAAGTCAAAGGAACGAGGTAGGGTCTCGAGTGCACCCCATTGGCAATGGGCTCAATGATCTTGATTTGCGGAGTTGTTTGAGCAAACTCCTCGAGAATGATGTGCGCATTGGTACCTCCGTAGCCGAAGGAGTTGATGCTAGCACGGCGGGGGACACCCTCAGGGACCTTCCATTCCACAAGGCTTGTTGGAACAGCAATCTTCCAGTTCTCAAAGTCGATGTTGGGGTTCGGGTTCTTGAAGTGCATGTTTGGCGGGATCATTCCGTTCTCAAGAGCCATGGTGGTCTTGATGATACCAGCCAAACCCGAGGCACCTTCAAGATGGCCAATGTTGGTCTTGACTGAGCCAACGTAGAGGGGATCCTCGCGGCCTGGAGCAAAGACAGCCCCGATCGCGCGGGTCTCGATAGGATCACCAGCAGCAGTGCCGGTTCCGTGAGCCTCGAAGTACTGAGTGTCTCGAGGGTCCAGGCCAGCATTCTTGTAGGTCGTTCGGATGAGGTCCTCCTGAGCGACAGAGTTGGGGAGGGTAATTCCGTTCTTCCTGCCATCGTGGTTCGAGCCAGTGGCGCGAACAACAGCTCGAATGTTGTCACCATGGGCGATAGCATCACTCTTGCGCTTGAGAATGGCGCAAGTGATACCCTCGCCTCGGACATAACCACTGCCAGATGCATCAAAGGCCGCGCAGCGACCATTGGTGGAGAGCATACCAAGATCAGTCATCGTGACGAACACGTTGCTGTCATAGTGCAGCGCCGAGCCGACGATGATAGAGATCTCAGACTCCCGGTTCTGGAGGGTCTGGTTGCCCAGATGGAAGCAAACGAGAGACGAAGAGCAAGCGGTGTCAATGGTCACGCTTGTTCCATGGAGGTTGTAGAAGTACGAGATACGGTTGCTGAGAATCGCATCGCCAGTGCCAGTGACCTGCAATAGTTAGAACATTGTTCTCAGTGTCGACAGTCCCATGTCTGACGCCGAAGTAAGACTTACAGTGTACTTGGGGTAGTATTCCAAGTCCTTGGTCAACATGGCGTTGTAGTCGTTGGTGAAACTACCACAGAAGACAGAGGCACCAGACCCGCTGACTTCCTGGAGGGTAATTCCAGCATTCTCCAGAGCCTCGTAGACGACTTCGAGGAGGAGACGCTGCTGAGGGTCCATGGCCTCTGCCTCCTTTCCGGAGATACCAAAGAAACTCGCGTCGAAGTTTCCGATATCCTGGTCAAGGAAGTATCCAAACCGAGCGTTGGTCTAAATGTTTAGATTAGCGCATGTCGTGCCTGTAACATTGGATGACTTACAGTTCCCTTGTGGGAAGACTCTGGGTGGTAGAAGCTGTCAATCTTCAACCGATCCTCTGGCATCTTTCGCTGAACATCCCGCTGTTCGGAGATGTTCTGCCAGAGCTTGCTTGGAGTGCTGGCGCCCGGAACTCGACAAGCGAGACCGACGATGACACTGGGGTCTTGGACTTGATCCTCGACTCGAGCCATTTCGATGATTTATATGGTCTAGCAGCGTAAAAGATCAAGTAATTTTGTTGATAGTTTAGAGCTGAAGAGAATCAAGCTGAGTCCGTATGTTCAGTTTAGGTTGTTGGTTTGTTCTAAAGGGTGTCTCGGATTGGAAATCCGAAGTCGTTAATTATCGAAGAGTGGAAATCCAATGTCTGAGATCGTGGTATCTAGAAGAGTTCTATCCGAGTTGTCTGAGATGTTGCCTAAGAAAGAGCTGAGAAAGGCCGGTAGGAGATAACAAATAGGAGAGAGCTGAGAGAGCTGAGATCAGATGGCTGAGATGAGAGAGAACAAAGAACGATGCGATGAGGTGAAAAAAAAAGATTCGTTTCTTGGAGGCGATGGGATGTATTTGATTAAAACATTGTGAGTAGCCTTGTCGTAAACTTGACGCCCATCTACACGAGAAGCTGCCACTATGCGTTGTCTGACATGGCTAGAAGAGCTCCGGCATGCCACGGAAAGGCACTGCCAGCCGTGGCCGAACGGCCTCGGAGCCTCATCCACGGCTAAGCCGGCACCCTGTATCCCAAGATAGGGGCAATTCGGCCGTGTGCCGGGCATTCAGGCAAAGTCGGACAGCAAGCTTTGTGGCTGCGCTGGAGGGCCTTCTCATCGTGGAGTATACCGTCAAGCAGGTCGAGGTGGTGAGCGGTCACTCCGCCACCAGCCCCCATGCTCACCAGGGACTGCCCCATATTGGTGAGTGCCGCGGATGGCAATGCAGAAGCCATCTACGAACGGTACTTTGGATTAGGAAATCTTCGTATCGCTTGTGTACCTGTACCTTCTGGTGGGGACAGACACAAGTGCCGAGCTTGTGATTGAGATATCAGTAGATCGACCACTCATTGGATGACCAGGTGGTAGTGGCCTTGTAGGGACGGAAAGGAGAACATAGCCTCCACGGCGGGATCTCCCCAGTGTAAGCACATACCCGTAGGTCTTAGGTCATGAAAGCCGATCTTACAATACGATCTGACTGGGCGCCGTTAGTGCGGGATAATACACCGAGTTGTGTGTTTACCTCCGTCTCGGTCCGACCTTTGATGCACTCTAACGCCTTCTTTCACCGTTTTCCATCATCACCATCATCAATCAGGAAGTCAGAGAGCAGGAAAATCGGTGACTGACTAGGCACGTCGGTCAGCAACACATCCAGCGAGGCCGCATTAGGTGCGGATCGCTGTGCATCGCTTACCCTTGCTGTACCACAAAATTATCTGTAGCGGGGCACTATTCCTGGGTCAATATTAGCAACATTGACACTGAGGCGTGGCTAGACTGGCGTTATATGCACTGTAACTTTGGCCAGGACAATGCAGTGAGCAAGGCTGAGCTTGGAAGGAATGCTGAGGGGAGGAGATCTCTTCAGGACGTGGCTGAGGCGATGGAGACGTGGGGCGTCGATCTGGATTCCTGATCCATGCATAACGTTTAGTCGAACTAGGAATGAGACGAATCTGTTTTGCAAAAACGACGAGTATTCTGCCAATGCATATGTCGAAGTGAGTCTATTCAGAGCAGCAGCATTTCCAGACTTCGAGCCCAGTGATGGCAAACATAGACCTCCGTCCCTAGCCCTCTAAGCTGCGTCATTCTATATTTAATTGCCTTTTTGATCCCAAAATTTTACAAAATTAGTCACGGCTTGTTTCCTAGTGGCATAAATGACATGGACTAGATTAAAGAGAGAATCCTACATTCCGCAAGAAAAAGGCCTTTCGCTCGTGCCTGGCAAGGCATTTTTTGGAGGCCCGCATAGACGATTCCCAATTCAGCAGCGAACCCGCACCCAGACGGAAGGATTGTCACGATACGACGAGAACAACCAACGCCCGCTGTCCGTTTATCCGAAACCGGAAGGCAAGCACAGCCACGAGTGCTCGTAGATTCAACCAAACAATCGAGTCCTTTTCATGTTGCTCTGCATCGAAGAAGTGGGTCATCGCGGAGTAATTGCACCGCAATCCGGGGTTCCTTGCAGGCGACTTACATCCGATTTTACACCCGATCTGGACCTACCCTAGAGCACCGACGAAATTGTTGAGGATGCCAGCCATGTTGCAATGATGACCGGGTCACTTTTTTCTTCTTGAAATTCTGAAGTGTATTAAAATCCAGTCTGGTGATTACAAAATTACAATGGAAGTAATAATACTGGCAAAGAGTAACCAGTGAGTGAAGATAGGAAACGGCATCATGTTGGGCATATTGGGAGCACAACATTTTGCCCCAGACAGGGACTCCAGAGCGTAACGTTCCAACCTCCTCACGGTTCTCATCTCGGACTGTGGCTTTCCCTCAATCAACGGATACCGGATAACTAGACCAACACGAAAGGGCGCTACGGCGCTATTATTGACCGACCTTATCTCTACTCGAATCACCTGTAGAATCCAGAATCGCGTCAAGCCCGTCCGCGCGGCTGTGCTTGCCCCCGTCAGCCGCGTCTTTCGGCGGCGCTTGACCTCTGACACGAGACAGGTCAGCCGCAGGCGATGGCCACAAATCAGAATCCTCTTCACGGCCTCCACAAGGACGAAACATCGGTGGGGGGAACGCGGCTGGGGCAAGGGCCGGGTCGGTGGCGGACGCCATGGCCAGGAATATGCCAGACAGCACATCCGCGGGAATGGGCGAGACAGGCCGGCCGGGGATGACAGGGATGGAGTCGCTGAGGCCCCATGTAGCTTGTACGCGGTACGTGGTCCCAGTGCTACTACCTCTGGGGATAAGCTCTGCCGCTGGCAAGTTGACACGTTCATGGCGCCAAATTGAAGCCATTCCACTTGTCCTGGCTGGCGCAGCTCGCGTCAGCTTAGGGTGACGGTAGCGCGGTGCTTTTCTTAAAGGACTATTTCGGAGGCGCCTCTTTCATGGTAGACATTATCGTCCTGAGGTGTCCATGCCACGTCGAGATGAGAGAGAAGAGAGGTGGAGAGTTGGTGTGCCATCGTCTCCCTAGTCAGACTCCGGCACCTATGATGTATCGGGCTGTTCTTGGAGATCGGCATTGCTGACCCCCGCTACTGACTGCCGGTATTACTCAGTGCAGAGCCAACCACCAAAAGCCAGTTTGCTGCTGGCCATGTTGCAGACGCTCAGGGTGCGGTAAGCCCGACTGTTATCAAGAGGGGAGTCATGGGTCCAAACCATTGCCAAGATGTCTTGGATCAGCCGCTGCTGGAGCACAACCCTGAGCTCAAGATAGCCCAAGGTATCGCGGACCTATGATCCCAGGCGGTGGAAGGCAAGGACACCGGGCATCAGCGATTCGACGACGGGTTTGCCATTGGTCGTCTTGGCATCGTCCATGCTTCAACAGCAGAGGGGAAGGTTTTTACAGATTTGTCCAAATTGCTCCATCGTGACGTCTGGGTAACACGGTGTATCACCATCATCACAGTCGGGCTGAGAGACACAGCACCAAGGGCGTTACTCCTCGCATCTGCCCAATTATGACCAACAGTTCCGAGTATTATCGCAATCGCACTCGTGTGGACCACCGCACAACTATTGGTCCGGCGAAGGTGTTTGCTTATTCTCGCCGCTCACCGTGTCACAACTTTGCCAGACCTTGAAGGGAGAGCCAGCCGCAAAGTGAGGGGTCAACAGGTGGCGCGGGACAAAAATACCAACGGCCGCCTTGGGGCTTGAAGCTTCGCCTCTTTTGGCTCGGTATATCCCGGTCCCATAGCACTGGCGCACGCTCGAGATTGGATAGCTGACCTTTTGGCTTGCGGGCCTCCTCCCTGTGTAGGTGGTGTGTAGTCGAGACATTTACGTAGACTTGCATGTGGGCCTGGGCCGTTTCGATGTTGCGGGATCTGCTCCCTTGGCCTGGAGAGTGGAGGGCATTTCCTTTCACTGCCCGGAGTGCGGAGTGAGTGAGTGTGCTATCACGGAGGGATCAGAGATCAGAGATCCGAGATCCACAGTGCGTTGGTCGAACAATCAATATCGCGGCGTCGTGGATCCATCTCCCCGACTTCCATCTCTCTCTCATTGTTTGCAAGTTGATGGACAAGTCACTCAAGGCATCCGGCGGGGTGCGTTCAGCTGAGGGGTTCCAAGACACGCGGGATGATGGCACTCGTGAGTCGTGATTCGTCATCTAATTCTAGCCACTGAAAGCCGATACTGCTCAGCCCGACGTCAACACCACCGCCAAACCCAATCGCACTGCACCCCCAAATGGGGCTCCTTTCTTCTTTGACCCACCCGGCCACCGTTTGCAAGCCCAGGGAAAAGGAAAAGGCATGGCGCCATAAGGGAAGAATGACATATCTACCGTAGCGACAGTGGGCGTATGCAGGGAAGCCCTCATCGCCACCGACCAAGCAAAAGCAAGTAGTAGCTAGAACACCGTAGCCAGCCAGTGCGCCTCCACACAACTTGCTGCACAGTGCAACCTCCACACAGTGTACATATTCCCCTGAGGTTGATCGGGGCCTTGTTGGCGGTTGTTGCCTGCCCCTGCAAGCCAGAATCCGCCTGATCCAACGACCAAAAGAAACCCTGGCCAATATCAAACGCCAGCAATTCAAACACCATCGCTCGAAGACACCAAAGAAAATTCGCCACCATCTCTGTGGTTATGCATGTTGACAAGGGCCTACTTACACGGGCCGCTTGCCGTTTGGTCGATCGAAATAGTAGTAGACCGAATCCATGTCCGGCCCACCAGTAGCTCCATCAGCATTTGCATCCGCCCAGTCCCACTGCCCACATGGAACAGGGATGGGCCCCCCCATGTCAAAGTCCATCATTGTAGGCATCTGAGGGCACCATGAATTCTGAAAGTCCACCAAATCCGCTATGCTCATGTGCTCTGCAGGTGCAGTGCCTAGAGAGTTCACGTCTAGAACATCGTGAAACAGAGCATCTGAAGGCTGCCATTCAGGCTTGCTCACATCTTCAAACGGCGTGTACGAGTTGGTAGAGGCTCCAGAGGATGATCTTGATGATGACGGCATAGATGACGGCATGGTGGAGGTGTCCCCGACACAGCCATAGGGCGATGCGGAATCGATTGCAATCCTGGGGATAGCTGACAGCCGGCCTGGATCAGAAGCCGGGAAGCCTCGGGGACTTCGACGTGGGGAATCAGGGATAGAGGCCATTCGAGCGTTATCAGGAGACGGCGCTCCAGAGGAGTTTGTGGCTGATGAGCAAAACATTCGCACACATGTCTTCAAATTCTTCCGTACCGGTCGGATTGACGCCCCCTGGTTGAGGAAATCGTTCTGGCTCATATCATAGAGGCGTCGAGTAAGCATCTGAAGTCTACCCTCGTAGACCTGGATCAGGGATGCGTCGCTAGGGTTGAACCTTGCATGGATGGATTTCAAGGCCCGGGCGCAGGTGTCCAGTGACATGCAGAAGACGTCGGGGAATGAGCCACGGAGGGATGGTGTGAGGCCAAAGAGATCCTGCGGTTGGTCCGAGATGGATCCAAACAGCTGAAGGATGTCCTCCGACGAGGAGCAAAACCGCTCCACAATATCTCCCGTGACTGGCTCTTCGAGTTGCATTGGTTGTGGCTCCGGAAATAGGAAGTGTATCGCCATGGCATGGTAGACAACAAGCACGAGGCTTCGTGAAGACGCTTCTGTGACTTGACGGTTGAGGATATGGATGCTCTCCATCAGAACCCGGTTAATCTCTCGGCAAACGCTTCCAATGTCCTTCGAGGGCTTTCCTTGCTGTATTCTCTGCAGGGCGAGTAGTGGAGCCTCTTGCCAGAACCCTGTTGTGGGCGATTCGGATGGGTCTGAGTCTTGAGGGTACAGGGCGAAGATGTAGGCGACGACACTGGCAATGTGCGCCAGCGGCCACATCTCCCTGATGACGCTCTTTTGTTTTTGTAAAGTGCTGAAGTTTTCGGAGACGAGATCCAGCTGGATCATGACAGATGAGGCCTCTGTCACTGGGAGGAAGATGGAGCTTAATGAAGTCGGCAATAGAGCTGAGAAGTGCCCGTTGCCCATTTGGATAAAGGCCCACAGGCTAAGAGAATATGTTGTCCAGTAGAGATAGGCGATGATTTCCTTTTCGACATCAAAGACATCGATGCCGTTGATGCGGCTGGATGTCATGGGGGCAGACGTATTCGATATCTGGTCCTTGATCTCCGAAGCCATCCTACCGGCGAGGCCGATGTAGCAGATGGCTCGGCGCAGCTGGAAAGAGCAAAGAGCATTCCATGCCAGCAACATGAGAGCCTGCGCCGTGGAGATACCACTATATATTCTTGTCGATATTCCAGAGGACATGCCGCCACCGGTGGAAGAGCTTTGGGTTGGTCGAAGGGGCCTCGAGTGGAGTTGGGAAATGGCCCATCGGAGGAGAACATGGCCACGGGCGATGGAAACCTCGTCCCCGATGCTGAAGTTGGCGTCGGCCAGCATGGTGGCCAGCAAGATCTCGTCATGGGTGCCGTCGCGAAGCTCTCGCAGAAGCAGGGTCTTGGAGACCAGGAACGACAAGGGGTGGACCGAATACCAGACGTCGATGAGTTGCGTTTGTTGTCGTTGGCCATACTCGGATAGGGGGTTGCTGCCAAGCGGAGGGTTGTCGAACATGGTTTGGGTATCGTCACTGGCCAAGCCAGACAGGAAGAAACGGGCACCGCCTTCCTCGACGTGATGACAGCCCAAGGAGCCAAACTGATCTGTGACGAGACCGACCAGGTCGTGTGTTAACAGGGAGAGGATCCCGGTGTACCTAACGTTCTTGGGGCTGAACTTGGTGGCCGCGATCTCGGGTCGGTCACGGAGACTAGTCTGAAGCGTGCGGTGGTACGCTGCGATGCGTTCCTGCCACGGACTGCTCCTTGGTCCGTCGGCATCCTGGGAGAAGTTTTCAAAAAACCTCTGCTCAAGGGCCATGGCAACGCTCTCGCCGACGTCGCCCTGGGGCCCGACCTCCTCCATGACAGTGCTAGGCGGGGTGGAATTTGGGGAGCCAACAGAGATGGACCGCTGGCGAGTGTGGCCTACGGGGGCGTCTCCATTGCGGAAAACCGACAGGGTCGACTTGGTGCTGTCCTGGCTTAGATTCCTCGTCTTGGGGCGCGAGGGCTCGAAGTCGTAGATGCAGTCGGCACCCTGCCTTCGACACGCCTCGCAGATGGTCTCGTTTGAGCACTTGATCTTCCTCGCCCGGCAGAAGGCACATGACCGCCTTAGGGGATGCTTCGACGACATGATATCAGACAAGTGGCGATGGCAGGCGGTGTGGGAGCCTATATAGGTGGCCGTCGACTGGTGAAGGTGAAGGTGAAGGTGAAGGCTGGTGACGGAAGGTGGAGCCAGCCGGAAAGCGAGAATCAGGATATAAAGTCCCTATAAGTAAAAGACGGTTGTCAAAGCAAGCCACAGCCTGGGCTTTATCTGGTCTTTGTAGAATGGGATGGAGCTTGTTGCCTGGGTCTGCACGGCGGGAGGCGGGAGTAATGTAGCCGCGAGAATAGACGGCGGTTCCCACACTGTACGGGACATGGGCCTAAGGTTTTGGTCTGGAAGTCGCCCAGCCAATCCTACTGGGCAATAATCTTAGAATCCGAAAAGCCCCTCAAGCCCCTCAAGCCCGCTCCTTCGTGGAACTTCGTATGCCTGCCCGGTTTTAGGGCTGAGGGCTAGACAGTGGCGGTGTTGGGAGGGCGGTACCGGGTACTCCGTGAAATGATGGGGAGCGACTTGCGAGGTCACTGCGGGAGGAGAGTCCTGGGGAGTCCTGGCGCAAGGACTTCCGGCGCTCCTGGGGCTTTCGGGGAGTGCTAGGGGAGTGCTGGGAGCCCTAAAATCCCTGGAGCCACGGGGCATGCATGCGCTGGATCCCGCCGACGCTCCTCTAGCCAGCCAGCGTAGCAGCCCGTGAAGAATGCGGAGTGCAGTAATCTACGTGCCGCGAGGCTGTGTCGCATTGCCGGAGACGGATATTTCGAGGACGGCGCAGGGCGCTCTGAGGTTGTAGATCTCGAAGCTTGGGGCCGTTCTGACATGGAGAACCGGAGATCTTCTGGCTGGGGCCATGCAAGGCACGCGCTAACAGCACCGCTAGCCAGCGAGCAGAGGTTGCAGCAACGGCCGCTTCTATTATTGCGACGTAGGTTCTTTGATAAGACGAGTGATTTATTATTATGAGGTCCGTCTATTTACCAAACTTACGTAGTACACCCCCCTCATAGGATCTTTGGAGTCGGGCTCAAGTCGGGTTCGAGTCGGGTCATGCAAACCTCACAGCGGCAATCGAGTTGAAGCTAGTTTGGTGGCTGCTTGCTATCCGTTTTAATTCGCACTAATAATATCTAGGAAATCATCTATCGCTGCTATTTCGGGCGTTTCTATCACCGCTCTATCTAGAAGCCGTTCGCGACTGAACTATCCTGTCGCTTTGACTTCTGCGTGTCTTAGAAAGCAAGGAAACGAGAAACACGACCCGGTCTCCGCCGCAAAAAGGAAAAAAAAAAACAAGACAAGTACTAATCCAATCTAAAACAGTCGCAAATCAGAGCATAGAACCCTTATCCCCCTTTCGCTTCATGATAGCGCCGGCCTCGACAAAGGGCTGGTAGCCATACAGCCACTTCAGGTAGCTAATCCAGAACCACGTAGGCACCAGTGTGTACAGCAGCCAGCGCAAAAAGGGGCCCAAGCCATAAGGCATTCGGGCCGTGTGCAGCATGGCGAAGTTGTCACTAAACTTCGACAACCTCTGGACTCTTCCCTCTCGCGTCGTAGCATATGCCGTGAGGATACGAGCCGGGTTCTCGAGATCCCGCGAGTTCACGGCGAGCAGGTTGCCCAGCACTGCGGCGTCCTCAATGGCCTGGCAGCCGCCCCTAGTAAATTGTGAGCCTCCTATCGGTCACTGCGAGGGCTATGGCGACTTACTGTCCGAAAAAGCTGGTCATGCTGTGAGCAGCTAAGAGTCGGCCCGAGTTAGGCCGTGTAAACGAGGGGAGCGAAGGGGATACACTTACCGTCACCGAGTAGCGCAACTCGGCCTTGGACCATTGATGGGAATTCGACTTCCTGGAAGACATTGCTAGCAATGACTCGCTCCGACTTGTCAATTACTATCAGCCACATGTCAGCTCATCTCTCGTGTGCATTCCTGAGGAGTCAGCAAGGTACGCACTCTGCCCGAATTCGCCGTTCTCGGAAAACGGATGGTAAGCCTTCCCATAGATCTTCTTGATGTCACCCGGCGTTGTCGAACCCCACACGGATCGGTTCGAATCCACATCTCCGTCTGCTTTCTAAAAGGGGATCAGCAAAATCTAGCGTAGGTGTCTGACCGGGAGGCAGTGCCAACCTTGACTCCGATGTACCACTGGCGGTTCTCGGGGCACGGCCAGGTCGTCAGAATGGCCTGGTCGTATAGCATCCAGTTCGCAACGCCTAGCTCACCGGCACCGCAGTTCTCGAGAGGAGACGTCATTCCAGAGAAGTGCACGCGGCCGGTGAATTTGATGGTGTTCGCCTCCTTCATACCCGCCTGCCGGGCGAGGGAGCGTCGAATGGCGGATCTGATGCCATCGGCACCAACAACAATCTTGCCGCGGAATTTCTTGCCGCCCTCGAGCTCGACACAGACCGGCTCACCCGGGGAATCAATGACATCCACCACCTTGCAACCCAATACTACCGTCTCCTCGGCCCCCGCGGCATCGTACAACAGGCGGTGAAAGTGATGACGCTCGACTGACATAAGAGGATAGTTGAATGTGCTCTCAAAGTTGGCCAAATCCAGCGTGTTCCATCGCTGATTGTTACGCCAAATCTGAATCTTCTTGAGTTTCTGGCCCGACTCCAACAGCTGGTCATAGATGCCAAGCTGGTCCAGGAGCTTCAACGCGTTGGGGGCGAGAGAGATTCCCGCTCCCACGGGCTGAAGAACATCCGTACGCTCCAGAACTTTGCAAGAGATGTCTAACTGCTTGCAGATCGCTGCGAGCGTCAGGCCTCCGATGCCGGCTCCGACGATGATGACTTCGGCATCGATAGAGTCCATGGTGGATTTGATGAGTGGCTGGCTGGTATAGTGAGAAAAGAGATGAAAGAGAGGCGGTAATGGCAAAGGGGCAATAGTTCGTGTAATTGATGGCTTGCGTTCTGACTGAGGTGATCCGCTAAGGATTCAAAAGCAGCTGGCAAAGCCTTTTAAGGAACTTTGTACGAGAAATTCGGTCAAATTCGGTCGTGTTTCTTCGGACTGACGAATCCGAAGGGGGACGGAGCGCCGGAGGTGGATGCATCATCGCCGACTCGGAGCAGGCCGCTCACCGGCGCTCCTAACGGAGAAGGAATTTTGGAGGAGTCGCAAGCCACATTATGTGGCCATATCCTTTTCTTAGGCGGCCGTGCATACTGATAAGCCGCCACGGGGGCAAGCTCCGGCATCTGACTCCCGGCATTTTGCGCTGATGGATGCGCTAGCAAATGGATGCGCCAGCAAGCGGCTGCGTCCATTCACAAGAGGCAAGTTGGAATGTATTTAGATACTAGGCGCAATAGACTAGTTCATCTGTCCAGATTATTGTAGATCTACTTGGCCCCGCTGATTTATCCCCGAGTGTCACCGCACTCCATCGGATCACGGCTAACCATCATGCAGCGTGTAAGCAACTCTGGCGAGTTGGCCAGCAACAACACTTCAAAAGGTGCCGCTACCGGTCTTAGCTTGGCGGTACTTTGTCAGGATGGGCTGAGCCTTGCAGCGGCTTTTTGTCCATAGGCTTTTTGGTGGCTTGGGAGCACTTAGAATGAACAGGTCAATCATTGAAGATTCATAGATGAAGAGGATTTCACAGAAATTGTCTGTCGCGTGTTTAATTGCCTGAATTGACCCCATTTCGAACTCCGCTGTGCGCACTATGAATTACCGAATCTAGCACCCAACCCCTGTTCTGATTGGACCAACGCCGGCTCCATTTCTTCGGTCCCAAAAAACCCCAGATAAAGAAAGCCCTTCACTAACGACTACCTAGGAATTACAACTAAGCTGTGATACGACATGAAACATTACTCCTCCATTCCCTGTCTGCTGGCATAGTCTATCCCCCCCAGTCGGGCGCTGGCCGGTTTCACCAAGCAATCTCACTGATCCCAACCCGCATCTTCTGAAAGTCAAAGATGATGTACTTGTCCTTGGCAAAAGTCTCACCAAAGTTGCCAATGCTACGGTACCTTCTGTCAGCGATCGATTCTGTGTTAATTTTGGCCGCCACTTACAATTCATCATCGGTAGCCATCGTGCGGACATTCAAGACGCAAGTGTTTTCGTCGACCTTCTCGACGTAATTCTCCGGGGTGACGATCCACTCCTTTTGGTGACCTTGGAATGAGTACTTGATAGGCGGCAGGGCGGAGATCTCGGTACAGTTGACAGAGTAGAAGCCTTGCGCCCCATTGTTGGGAGGGAAGGACAAATCTATGGGAACGGCATGTGCCAAGTCAACCAAGCGATCGTAGGCGTTCGCAGTCAGCGGTGTTCCGCGACCGTAGCTGGCATGGTCAAAGATGGCAGCCTTGCCCGACTTCTTCGAGGTACGCTTAATTGGCTGGACCTCGTCGCCGATCTTTAAGCTTTCGAGCTCAATTCCCCAGTAGTTGTAAATCGGAGGATCGTAGACGAAGTCAAGCTCGTTCACGTCCAGGAAAGTTTGGTGCTTGTACCACCAGATCTTGTTGTGCTTGATGAGGTCGTTGCGGATGCCTCCAAGGGATTGAAGTCCGTCGTTACCGTTGCACACGTACTTCTTGGACTCATCGTAGCAGTATACGAACCCAATCAGTGGGCTCTTCCAAAGATCTTTGTTCCACTGCTGGTAGAATGGCGACTGATAATCCTCTTCGAGTGTGTCAGTTCCACGCGTCATGAATCAAGCTTATTACGAGACTCACTATCGTCACCCTTGTAGACTGGGGCCAGGCCGAACACTCCACCAAACGGGAATGCGGTCCCGTAGGTAGCAGAGGCATTAAATTCCAGGTCCGATACTTGAACAACGATTTCGCTGGTAACGGGGCCGATCTCAATGCGATCGGCGCCATACTCGGCATTAAGAGGATGTTGGAAGAAGAAGTGATTTGGCTTCCAGCCTCGGTCAGGGTACTTTGCAGTCAGATTCTTGAATGTGGGCGAGTTGCGCGGGTCCCAGAAGGTCTGGCCGGGGCTCAGGCATGCATCTGCATCGTATTCCCCGAAACACTTCGGGGACACGATGAACTGACTGATCCACGTCCAGTCGACGAAAACCGGCAGTTGGGTCTTCGGGGTTCCGAATTCGATGGTCGATAAGAATCCTCCTTGTCCCCAAGTGAGAGGCATGTCGTATCTGCCCGCCTTGGCCATGCCCTTGGACACGTTGTAGCGTGGGACAAGGCCAGGCCCAGCGTGGGCTATGCCCAGCATCAAGGTAAATGCAAATAAGAAATTAGGTAGCATTATGATCTGTGGGATTATTTTAGCTCAAATCTGATGAAGGTCGTACAATATTCTTCGAGAGGCGACTCACTCGTCTATATTGTTTTGCTGATCCTGGGGCGGTTCAAGGGCAAGTGTAACAGAACGCTGTCTAAGTTCCAAAATAAGAGTGTGTCGGTCACATTCGATGACTGAATTGAGCAGACGGAGGTCATCCGCGTCCCTTCTTGTATTCTTCTCCGTCTCCGCATTAAGGCTTCCATAGTATTGCCGTGAGCCCCGAAACACTCTCCGCCTCCGCGACCTCGCGGAGGGGTCGGAATGCTGGTGAGCTTATGGCGACGGCGAACACAGCCGTGGCTATTTTCGTCCCACCGCCGCTCGGAGTATCTGACATCACTTCAAGCCAGTCATCTGCGGGCTAATTTCTAGAACTATACACGAAATCGTATGGCGTTGGGCTTGCCGTAGCCATTATCGTCGCGTAACATTCACCTCCACCTCCAAGAAAAGGAGCTTGGCACGCCTCATGTGGCTAAGAAAAATCACCTCCGCCTCGTCTCTCACGTTTTCCCGTAGTGTAAGGAGAACCTCCGCGGCCAAACTAAGCGCTCCCGGCGTAAACAACCACCCCTTAGTTGAGCGCACATGGGCGCAGGAGGTACGGAGACTGAGATGTCTCTACCGGAGTTCACAGGCACTCGAATACTCGGACAAGAATGATTAGCTTCCCTACTGATGGCTTAATATATTCCCATAATCTTCAATTATTTTCGGCAACATTAATCTGTCACGCTCAAGTTTCAGGGTCCAGTACTGGATATTGGCTTTCTTTTTCCTTTTAGTCCTCCCCTGCGTTGATCTTGATTCAAATCCTCAACAAATCCCAGCACTTGTTTTACCAGAATCCGCCAGTTTTGTATCGGGCCACCGTCCTTTCTAAGCCCATCTGCACCATTCCAAGCGAGAGTTGCATCAATACGCGAGAATCACATCACTTACACAAAGTATCTTCAACCCTCTCACTGTCAACCTATTGTCACCTCAGGCGCCGGAGGAAAAATATTAACTGGACTTGGCCAGGATTATTCCGTGTTCATTCACTGGTGGGTTGCAAAGCTCATCGGACTTCCGCCATGGAGGTCATCACCCTCATTCAAGGCAATGAAGAGTCCAGCCTGACTCCTTTCTTTCTGGTCCATGCAATCTCTGGCATAGCACTCCCCTTTCTTCGTCTCGATTCCTTGGGAGAAAATGATCGTCCCGTCTACGGCATCACGAATCATATCCATTGCCCTGGCCATGAGCATTTGGAGCATCCTTCCAGTCTCTCCGAACTTGCTAAAAGATATCTCAGAGAAGTCCAGAAGGTTCAACCTCATGGTCCATACCTATTGGGAGGTTGGTCTATGGGTGGCATGATTGCCATGTTCATGGCTCAGATTCTTGAGTCTCAGGACCAAGAAGTTCTCAAAGTCATAATGATCGACTCTGCCAATCCAGAGGCATTCCCTAACTTCCTCAACAATGAAGAGCATAGAGCATTCTCCAAGGCCACTTACACCAAAATCAGCCAACAGCTCGATCCAAATAACCTTGACAACCCCACCCCTGAATCGCCGCTGGACGAAAGACCTTCGATCGATTATCATACAACCTCCCGTCAAAACGAATGGGATACAATGGATTCTGGAGACACACCTAGCTCTCGCGCCTCGAGCGTGTTTGACTTCAATACTCCTGACGAAAGGCCAGGGACGCCCATATCTCTGCCCTGTAGCAGCGAGGGACCTTCTGCATTCTGCTCTGACGACGAGAGTGTCTGTGATGCGCAAGACGAAGAATATTGGGACGAATTTGACGAGCACTTTGAGATGGCACAATTGAAGGAGCTTCTGCTCAACATCAGCCTCCACGTCCATCACGGGTTGGGTCTCATTACATCTGTTGCACCTGGCGACCTCTTTCGGCCGGGGACCAAGTCCGACTTCGATGTATTGCTCATCAAATGTCAACCCGAGCCTCTTGAGGTGTACCAAACCCACCATGACACTAAAGGAGCTACGTTTCTTTGGTCAGTCATGCGGGAGAAGAGCATGCTGTGGAACTCCTCCCAATTTCGCAGCTTTGAGACGGTTCCTTTCAGTGGGGACCACGACGGCGCATTTGAGCCCCAGTTTGTCGGGGAATTAAGCATGATCCTTCGGGATAGTTTGGAAACTATCGGGTGAACGGGGTTACGGTTTAGAATTGTTTTTCATTTGGGGCATCAAATGTCATATTTCTCTCCTTGAAGGTGGTCGAGCAGTGCTCAAACGGGCCCCTTGTTATTCAGTTTGGTTGCATTTACACGGTTGCGATAGTTTACTTCAATACCTACGCTCTGCGGTGGCAGACTTTTCGAGCTTAGCAAGTCATCATTATTATCATGTTTCACCATTCCGTCCGATTCATGCAATCCCATCCATAGCAGAGTAAAGTTGTGATGCCTTGGACACCAATAGATTGATGCATGCATGCGTGGCTAGCGAGGTGAAAAGAATAGAGTGGAGCCTCCAAGTGAACGAAGAAGAACACCATCCGCTCTGGCGGAGTACTATGTTTAGGAAGAAACAAGGCGGCTGTAGGAGTGAGCTGGCAATGGATGGCGCCCGAACAGGGAACGTGTCCCATACAGATGCGCCAAACGTTTTGAGGAGTGTCACTGAGGCGCAGAATGACCGTGGCGCTCCAAATTGTCCCGGCTTACTACGGACGAATCTATTCCGGTTGTACAGTAGCTCCGCCCCATTGTGCATGGCCTCACTGACTAAATTTGTCTACCGACATACTCCTCATACGTCGTAGAGACCCGTCACTAAAATTTCACGTCTGAGACAGGAAATCACAGAATAGCGTCAGGTGTCACGGTTTATGGGGATTGCTGTTCACAGTGTCCTGCGCTAGAAACAACTTAGGATGGTCGGGGTGGGTGCATATCTGAGTATTATATCGAGGAATTCTAACACATTTGTATTTAAATGCCGCCTATGACAACATTATGCGGCTTCTTCCGGCCCGGTTGCTCTCCTATCTCCTGAAACGCTGACTGCTCCAATAAAAACAAAACCCGAGATCATGTTCGTCACACCTTCTTCACCATTATCCCCACATCTCCCTTCAACCAAGGTGACCCTATCTTACCGAAATCAAGAGCGGAGAAATCCGTGACGCGCAGCGCCTCAGGGTTTGCCCACTCTACGTCGTAGTCCTTCAGCAACGAAGCCAGCGTCTTCGACACCATGATACTGGCCATTTTCTCTCCAACACAGCGGTGACAACCGGCTCCGAAGGGGAGGAACTTTACGCCTGCTTCGGAACGGTTGTCTATCAGCACGAGATCCCCTGAGCCTGTAATCCAGCGCTCCGGGTCCCACTCTTCAGGGTTGGGGAAGTTGGCTGGATCGTGATGGGTCGAGTAAGGGCTAATCGAGACAACAGCGCCCTTCGGAACCGAGACCTTTGTTGTCGGGATAACCACTTCCTTCCTAGCAAGCCTCAGCATCTGAAATCCCGAGTAGAGACGCGAACTCTCTTTGATGCAAGCCTGCAAAAGAATCGAGTCCTCATCGGGATTAGCCCGCAACTCGGCGGTGACACGCTTCAACATCTCGGGGTGACGCAACAACTACCATGCTGTTAGTAGGAGTTTTGGCGATGGATGATGGAAGCTCACCGAAATTAGAGACCAGCTAATACTGGCGGCAGTACTGGTATGAGCGGCAAACATAAGTAGAGTGTGATGGCTCGGCATCAGATCACTGAGCGGAGCAGTCGACTTGTCTTCCATCGTGAATGCAATGTAGTCGGGCAGATCCCTGGAAGACTCAGTGCCGATGACTTCTCTTTGATGCAGGCGCTCGAGGAAAATTTCTTTCACTCGCTGCCGCGCCCGCTTCAATCGCTGTGCTGGTGGATGGGGGACCCAGTCCGGTAGGACAAAGGAGAACAAGCTGCCAATATCGGCTTCCATGGCGTGCAACAGGTCTACCAGCTCCCGCATATTGTTCTCGTAGAAGTCTTGGCCCATGAGTGTTCTCACAATGATCTTGTGAACAAGGAAGGAAACCGCCTCGAAAAGCGGCAGATCCGCTTGCATTTGCCATTCTGCAGCTGACTTTTGCGTCTCCTCGATAGAAACAGTCCTTGTGTACTCCTGAGCAGCGCCACGATTGACATATCTGCTGAGGGATGAAAGAAGTGTTCTGTAATGGTTCCAGTAGCCAGGATCAATGATTTTGTTGAGAAAGATTCCCTGTGGCTTCGTCAGTCGAGGTGGTGCTAGGTAGGACGAGGGGAAATACCATGCCGCCGGTGAAAGACCAAACATCTTCTCTTGTCTCCAGATAGACCTTATTCAGAGCGTTCCCCCGAAGCCAGACGATGTAAACGGTCAAAACCTGGAGACTGAAGATGTTGCCACACTGGGCCGTGGCCTTCGTGATGAGGTCGACTGGTCGCATGGCATAGTCGAGAGCATCGCCGAGAAAAGAAAAGGTGCTTTCGCCCTTGTAGGAGGGGACCCTTTTCCGCCATGGATTTGCGACGTAGATGAGAAAAGCGCCCATCAGCAGGACGGCCGACTGAAGAGGCGACATGACGATGGTGGGTCAAGCCGCTACACTCGAGTGGAAAGAAACGAGAGCAATCTAAGCACGAAGCTAAGGATGACTGTAAAGACCGGAAATATCTCGATGTGTAAATCTCCACTTGGTAGCTGGTACGTTTAATGTCGTGGGTTATTCGCCGATTAAGTATCGATTCCGTGGGTGGGTACGCTGAGTGCTACAAGCCTGACAGGCTCCCGCTCGTAATAGGCAACAAGACAGGAGAAATCCATCCCTGGATCTGCCAAGACCTGGGCTTTTTGGGCGATTATCTGTCGTCCGCTCGTCGTCGTGTGGCTGAGGTGGAGGTTCCGTCGTGGGTCGGAACGTGTCCGGGTGTGGGACATTATTAGCCCACGGGGCTTGATGTAGTCTCGGTCATACTGTCTAATCACTCTAAATCCATTAGCCCTCGCCTTCATGATCGTATATTCCCTGTATCTTTACGGGGCTGATTCTGTCTCTCGTAAAAAGCACCGAAAAGCCACACTTGGCGAAAGTCCTGGCTGAAGGCGGTGATGATGCCAAGAGACTGGTCACACGTGGTAGCTGAGTTCCAGACCAACGCGGTCCCCGGGCTAAGAATAATATTGACGTACCCACTAAACGCAAAAGAACTGTGTTTTGTTATGGGTAGACTTGAACTGCCTGGCCCGCACGGTACTAAGATTGGGCAGTGTTATTTCCAAGGCGTCGCCGATGTGTATGATGCCGGGAGTGTCGCATTGCAGCAGACCTTGCCCTCCCCTTGACGGTTTCAATGCAAGAGAGATGACTCTTTTTCGATTTTTGCCCAGCGTGTGTGTTCAGCCTGTTTCTGTTGTGTTCAGTGTACTCTTGTGTGTTAATCGATGCTGTAACCTTGATGGTCCCGGAACAAGGCCGTAGCGAGAACAGGGAACAAGCTTTGGAGCAAGATGTTCGACAAGCATCAGATATTACACCCGGTATATTTGGTGCAGCAATTCAAGCTATGAGTTCACGGAAGTCTAGAAACCTCAGTTACACTCGTTATATCTGTTGCAGCAAGACCAGGTCGTGAATACTCTGCTGCTCGCCCTATCGTTGCCGTGACAGCCGTACCGATCCGTCGCCTCTTGCTTGATTCACCAGGCCTTCAGCATGAGTGCCCTATATACAGTACCGCTGCCACTTTCTCATTTGATTGCCTCCGGGCTTCCTCGCCGGGCCGTCAGGTGACTCCCAACTCCATTCTTGTTTATCGAACGCGTTCTCTAACACACAAACCACGAATGTGCACATCCCATCTCCGCCAACCTGGCTCCCTGCTAAACGATTTCCCTCCTTGCAACCTTCGCTTTACGACTTTCATCTCGATCATTACGCTACAATAGCTTTACAGACCCGAACTCAGAGAATCGTCGAACTCACAGTCAGCTTTCGACGACACCTCCCACCATTGCGATGCAGGCGCCCGGTAGGTCTCGACTCCTGACTCATGCCGGGGATCCTTCTTCGCGATCATCGCACAGCACCGACCTTGAAAACGACCTGACTCCTTACGAACACCATAACCACCCTCCGAATTGGATAGAGATGCTGAGCCCTCCAACCTCCACCTCCAACACCCCTGACCAACCCAAGGAGGAGGAAGAGCGCATCGTTGCGGAGGTCAGGATCCCCGATGGAGGACTACGCGCCTGGTCTGTTGTTTTGGGAGGGTTTTTGAACTTCATCACGGCTTTCGGTATGTATCGTCTTGACTTCTCTCTCTTGTCCCGTCGCCATGGCCCAGTCCCAAGGAAAGGCAGAGTGCGCTTACACATGCAGGTATCATGAACTCCTTTGGTGTTTTCCAGTGGCATTATGGAGTGGCTGTTCTCGAAAATGAAGCTGTTTCGACAGTGGCTTGGATTGGTAGTGTTCAAGTATGATTCGTGAACTGACCCCGAACTTAGCCAGCGATGCTGATATTGAAATAGCTCTTCTTGATGTTTGTCGGTGGTCTCTTTGTTGGCCCAGCATTCGACAGATGGGGAGCACGACGCATCATGATTCCAGGTGCTATCATCTGCGTCATGTCCCACATCTGCACCAGCTTCGCCTCCAAGTACTATCAGATTCTTCTGTCTCAAGGATTCCTTTTTGGCATTAGAAACGCCATGTTGTAAGTTCCCATCGCGCCATGGATGAAAGGATGTGTTGCTAACCCCACTCAAAGGTATTATCCTACCGCCGGCGCAATCACCGAATGGTTTAATAAACGACGAGCCCTCGCTCTTGGGTTGGCCATATCCGGCTCTTCCATTGGTGGCATCGTTTGGCCCCTCTTGATCTCGAGGCTTCTTATCTCCGTCGGATTTTCCTGGACGCATCGCATCATCGCTTTTTCTTCACTGCCGGTTCTTGCCATCGCTTGCTTCCTCGTCAAGGAACGAAAGGGTGCCGTGGGGCATGACATCCATGGGCACAGACTTCGATCGCCTCCGAGGCTCTTCAAAGAGATCTTTCAGCGCCAATTCCTCGCTCTCTGCGCGTCTCTCTTCTTCGTCTTCATGGGGATGCTTGTGCCTTTCAACTACATAGGGCTTTACGCTGGTGCAGTAGGTCTACCTGACAATATGGGGAGCAGACTCCTAGCAATCTGCTACGCTGGGTCGGTGGTTGGAAGAATTCTGAACGGTTGGATTGCCGACAGACTTGGCCGGTAAGATGCATGACTCCTTTTGGCTATTTTGTGCTGCGCTAACCAATCACGCGAAGATTCAACGTCCTCATCGCGATATCGCTTGCGACCGGCGTGCTGATTCTCGGCTGGACCAGAATGGCTACCCTGGCCGGCCAGGTTATCTTTGCCCTCTTCTACGGATTTTTCTCTGGGGGTCTTGTGCCCCTCGGATCTGCATGCGTTGCTCAAACGACCACCGACATAGGACACCTTGGTCTTCGCATCGGCGTCATGATGGCGTTGTGCTCACCGGGCACGCTCACTGGAAATCCCATTGCCGGGGTACTTTTGGCTAAACTGTCGAAGTGGGAAGCCGTCCACGTCTTCGCTGGCTCAACCGTTCTCTTGGGTACGATCGTCCTTCTCTAGGCGAGAATGCTTTGGGCTCGTAAGTGGAAGGTGATTGTGTGACGAGCATCAGCATGTTGGCGACAACCAACAAAACTACCTTGTACGAGTACAGTAATGCATTAGTGGACATGAATAGTAGAAATTCTTTGTGAGAGTACATTTATGCTTAACGCATATTGTTGCGTCCATCCTGCAGGAATTCGGGTCTGTTCGCAGGGGACCAGTAGGCTTAGACATGCCTGTTGGTTCTCCTGCAACCGGATCGCGGCGGCACTACGTACTTCTATTTTAGATCATACAGCCCACAACCCGCTCGCCCCGTCAACGACGAACATATTGGCGATAGTCAAGCCCTTACGATCCAGACCGCGGCGGTCTGCGGTGCGACGATGCCGCACTCCGGCGGAGATCGGGATAGCCAACCGCTCGCTGACGGAGGTCAGCCCGGGCGTCAACGTCTGGCGGGTTCCGACGAGTATGGCAAGGTTGAGCTTGCATCACAACAGCTCAGCACTCGGCAAGGGACGAACAGCAGGTTTGGAAATTTCAAATGGGTATTCAAAAACTAAAAAAAAAAAAATCTGTCTATGCTGTGTAATAAATGCACCCGACTGTCCGGGGCTGTTTTAGTCTACTCGAGAAATGAGAGACATGTCGGTGCCCACATGAAATAGAAGTACGATGAATTACAGAAGGGCTACACCGTTTGCTCGCCCGTGACAATTTACACCAGACTTGAAAGCAAAGCGAAAACTCCATAATATACCATCCCTCCCAAACACAAGGTGTCTATCTCTTGCCACCCTTGGCGATGAGGTGCTTTGTACCCTTCTTGACAGCGTTGTTCTTGGTGAAGTCGGCGTCGCTGAGACACTCGGTGACAACAGGGTTGACAAACATGTGCTTCTGGAGGTGGCCGCCAAAGATGAGCTTTAGCATATCCACCCGCGAAGACAGAGACCACGAGTCGATGGGTGCGACACTATTCCCGAGGCGAAGTTTCAAGCGATAGCCGAACTCGACGACGCCATCATCGTTGGCATCGGCAGTAGCAAGTCGGTTCCTCTTGTCCGGCGCAAAGCCAGCTGCAGAGTAACCAGGGCCAACACCCCGTTCCAGAGAGGTAACGACGCTGGTTAGGCTTTCTCGCAACCCTTTGCGATCCTTCTTCGAGACGGACTTTGAACTTTGTTTGGCCAACTCGGTCATGCGGCCAGTCAACCTCTGTGGGTCGTACGGCAGCTGGAAGGGCTCGCCGGTTTCCATTTCATGATTCCGGGATGCTTCGAAAATGAGCGCAATGCAGGCAGCAGCATGGGACTGGACCCTCATGTCGGTGCTGTCGAGTTGGTCCACGAATGCGTCCAGGGCCAGGTCAGCGGTATCCGAAAGATCTTCCACATGACTGGCAACAAAGGCCCATCCTTGCAGGGCGCCGGCAACGATGAGGCCGTTATCGTGGGCCTCGACGCTCTCTCCGTCAGTCTGTACGATGTCGACGAGGTAATCAAGAAGTTCTTGTGCGGCATCTTCGGAACCTCCACCGTAGAGAACGGCGAAGCACAAAGCGTAAATGGCGAAGACTTCGCACTCCTCATCGTCGTCATCGTAGATGATCTGTCTCAGGGTATTCTGACCATGTTCAAAGACGTCGGCTTCCTCGGAGGTGGAGACAGTCAAGATAAAGGCCTGGAGGCTAAGCATGCGTTCCCGGGCTGTCATTCCACGGTTTGCGGCCCGGAGGAAAAGTTCCCCAAGTTCGGTGGCGGCTTCGTCGAGCCACTCGTGGGTCTGGGGGCTGTAACGAGACCGCACAATCTTGATATAGAGTTCCAACAGCTGCTCTCGGGTGTCGCTGTTGTTGTGCTTGCGGTCCTGGAGCTCTTCGATGAGCTGCTTTGCGTCGAAAGTGCTGATGCCCTCCTCTCCAACGTCGATCGACGAGGATCCCGAAGTGGTACTCATCGTCATCGCATCGAAGTCATCATCGTCGTCGCTTATGTCGGAACCCACTCGGCTCGGGGCCGCGGAATGGGCAGGTGACGTCAGAAGCGAAGCCATGGGAGAGTCGCGAGGGGTCGTGCTAAGAGAGGCGCGGCCAGATTTGATGGCCTTTTTGGAAACGGTCTTTCCGTCGGCTTTGAGGGCCTTGACTCGTGCGTGATTCATAGTGATCTGAGAAGGGGTGTCGTCGTTAGGTGGGAATGCGAACGTCCGGTTGAGAATATGGATCAAATGGCGTGTGGTGTCGCAAAAGAGCTTGGGGCTGTGGGTCGAGTTTTCGATGGCAACCCGGATGTGACGAGAGTGTGACGAGGAAAACTTGCTCAGGGCGTGAAAACAAGATCAGTGAGATCCTGTCCGGCAGGCGATCCTCGTCGTGTTGGCGCAGCGGCTGGTCAGGTTGGTATGGTTTTTGGTTTAGGTCGATTGAGATGGGACGAGCAGGCGGCGATGTCTGTGATTTTGAAGGCGTGGCGGAACATAAAATCCATGGGTGAAATCGTAGATAGGTAAATGGAACAAGGGGTGGGTCAGAGAGGTTGTTGCAAAGAACAAGAGAGAAAGGGTGAAGAAGGAGAAGGAAATGGATGGCGGATGAATAATAAATCGACGTGGACTGGGTTGTGGTGTGGCGTGGCGGAGGAACGTGAGGTGTGGCCTGGGCCTCGGACCAACCAGCGACCCTCGTGGCCTGGAAATGACGACCCTTTCATGCTTTGCAGTGGCCGAACCCTTTTTTGTGTGCGAATTGCCAGGGCCAGCACTCAATACACTCCCTCCAATAGCCAACCGGATGGCTTGCCAGGGTCGGGCATTGGATTAGCCGGCAATGATCAGCTCAATGACAGAGCTCCGGTGGCGAGCAAGTGACACTCTCGTCCCATGAAAGAGGCTGCTGAGGAGCTGCCCAGGCCACTACGTAGTGGAAATCCACCAGAACAGTGACGGACAGTGCTAGAGAGACCCCCATCAGGCACTAACCAAGATATCCCCCGGGTCCCCCGCTGTGTCGTCCCACAGGCGACAGCCCGCTAAACGACTCCACCGTGGATCCTGGTCCAGGTGAGCGTCATAGATTCACTTTACGCGCTGGGCCGCGTCCCACAGCTGTTCGCCCGTTCTTATCGCTGGCGCTGCGATGGACCCCAGGTGCCCAGAGCATCATCTACGCCGTTGCGTATCGAAAGGCCAAGGTGGACTCGACCACTCGCCATGCAAGCGAATGGGCTTAAAGAGGAGACCCTTTGTACGAGGGAATCGGCATCTCTCCAAAGTTCTTTCAGGCCGCTGAGCGCCGCGCACAGTCTGAAACCACACCATGCACCGTCAGGCGGCACTGTATCTTCCGATCCTACGCCTCAGCCAGGTCAGCAGGACGCCCAGATGCTCCTCTGCCTATCGCCCATCCCTTTCTGAGGACCGTGAAGCCGCCCCCAGGTGCGCTGGCAGCCAACCCGACCAGAAGATGACCGAGATTGTCTCAGGCCGAGACCAAATCACTTTGTCTGGCACGGATATTCGAGCAAACAGACTCGAGCGAGATCAAGTATGGACCCAACGGCATGGAAGATTGGCGAGGCATGAACGTTGGCTGTGATTCGAAACGACGGTACCACCACGTCAGCATGTATCGGTACCAACCTTCGCACGGTTGAGACACAAGACTTTACACGTGCACGAGGTGTGACTCCGAGCCAAAAGGCTTTTGGCGGAAACTTGCGGGACATTAGGCAAGCCGTCATGCAGTTCACCCATTATCCAGCGAGAAGCACGGAGTACGCAGGTAGGCTCGCGAAAGTGCAGTTGAGCGCCTGACCGGGCGTCCCGTCTCCCCCTGGCTGAAATCTCCGCCCCGGGGTAGGTACAACGCTGCGTAGGTACTCGAAGAGGAAGAGGATTGCAGCACTTTGCCATGAGATTGCGCAAATGGGCAGCCGATACGTGGGACTTGGTCGCCTCGAAACCGACGGCGGACGGTCCTCGGAGTGGGAGGCCAGCCTGGGCGGGCGATTGCGAACCAGAACCAGGCGAGGAAAGTCCCGGGTAAAGCGCCATCAATCAAAGTTGGCGGGGAGGGGACTGCACTCTTCAGCTAGTCTCGAACTTGGAGCAGGTGATATGGAGTGACGAGAAGCGAGGTACAGGTGGCGCCAGAATGTGAGACGAGATACCAGCGCAGGCCCGGCGATAATCACGTCGCAAGTCCAGCTCAAACGATGTTACTCGGTGCACTACATCCCGCTCGTGAGTTGGCTTAGCGGCTCGCTCCCCCTCATCTGCCGCCTTGCCTATCGTCTGGGTCCCATCCCACCGTGAACTCTTCCATCCCTCATCCGCTGCTGGCGTTGGGGATTGCACGGCCGGTGCTGGTCCAGAGCTTGGTTGCCTTGTTTACCTGCCGTTTTCTCTCCTTGCAGTGCACTTTTGAATGCGGTTTCCTGGCGTTCCCTGGCGTTCCCTTGCACGCCTTCGTCTTACCGTCATTTGCCAGGTAGCGATCCTGGGGGCTTGGGGACCGTATGAAGGGCGAACTGTGAATGGGAGGGTGCGGCGCCGAGTGGGACCTCCCGCAGCCCGAGCTCACTGAACTGTCGGCACTGTAAGAGCCTACTTACGTACCTCCCAACTGAAGCCTTCCATCTCGCCCTCCCGCGCAGTGAATAAACCCTCAAGTCATTTTCCACGTCGCCTCCGAGCCTTTTCATCTCTGCATCTCCATTTCTCGCGTTTTTCGTCCTGGATCGCAGAGAGCGAGAGTCCTCCAGCATCCATCGAATAATCCCCTCCCCCTCCAACTGCTATCCAGGCCTCCTCCGCCCCCACTAATTTTTAGTGGCCAAGCTCCCAAAGGCAACTAAACGTCCCCGCCAAGGTCCGATAAGCGGCTTATCGCTGCCTGCTCTCTGCCTGATACGGGAGCGACCTCATCCACAGTTGCCCCACCTCCGCCTTCACCTTCCGGGTCACCCAGCACCTCACCAACCGTACTTCCATCTCTCCCTCCTCTCCTTCGCATTTCTTTGCCCTTCTTCGCTTTCTTTCTTCCTCGACCTGTGGTTTTGTTTGATCTCCCTCGCCATCCACCTCGACCTTTTTGTCCCAAACTCGACGCTGCAGAGCAACACACCTTCCGGATCTCCCTGACGCCTTTGGCTCGCTGACGTCGCTGCCGCGGGTCCCAAAGGGTGTATGTGAGACAACCGCACAGCCGTACAACCCCTCACCTCGCCGGCAACCTTGAGAGCGGCGGCCCTTTGGAGTTTTGCATCTATCCAGCACTGCCTCAACATTCGGATCAATATGGCCGTGCCTCAGTATCGCGACGAGGGTAAGTTTGCCGTCTTAGTCGTCAACGTCGCACGCTAACACTGCTCCAGTTGTCGTCACCCTGACCAGCCTCGATGCTCCCTCCTCGTTTGCCTTCCCCGATCGCCGATTCTTTCTCACCAGAGAGAAACCCGTCATGGATATCGGACGCACGAGCAAACGGAACTCCTCCTTCGAAGCAGCTAAGAATAATGCTTGGTTTGACTCGCCCGTCATGTCTCGTGATCATGCACACTTGAAGTTGGATGCCGAGAAGCAGGTACGAGCTTTCTGCTTTGACTTCTTCATCTTCGTGCACCTTACTGACCCGAGCCTATAGAAAGTGTATATCAAGGACATCGGTTCTCTTCACGGCACCTTCAAAAACGAACAACGTCTTTCCAAAAACGTCCCTTCTTCAGTAGGAACTGGTGATATAATCCGTTTCGGAATATCCATCGACAGAGGCGCCGACAGATATCCGCCTTGCACCATGGAAGCACGCTTTAAGTTTGGGACCGCTAGGTAAGGCCCCATTGCTATCCTCCTTGACGTCTCGGCAGCTAACCTCGTCAGCAGTCCCGAAGATCGACCCAAGGTCTTCCGAGTCCCCGATGACTCCGATGTCGAAGACTCGAGCAGCGATGATGACCAAAGTATCCGCAACAGCTCGGACATCTTGCGCAACGCCAATATCCGACCCGCTGGATACCCTTCTTCGTCGCCCAGTCCAGCCATCGAGGTCATTTCCATCGACCAATACCCCATCTCCAACGTCAGAGGAGACGACGACTACACCACCAACGCCCTTCCGCCTGTAGCTTCCGCTGCAAAGCCCGTTCAAGAAGTGGCATACGTCGACTTATCCTCATCTTCTCCAGAGCAGGTGCCACAATACAACGGCTTCTCTCCCATTTCACCAGAGGCCGGTTGGATGTTGGGCGCGGAAATGGAAGACTGCGATATTAACCTTTCAGAATCCACCGATATGGATACAGACAGCTCCCAAGAAGCGGATTCTTCACCCAGCCCGAGCCGAAGCCCCAGTCCTTCTCTCCATCCCAGCAACACTCCCAATGACTATGACAACCAAGATGATCTGGACATGGAGGAGGACTTTGGAGAGCACGATGAATTTGAGGACCAAGACTGTAAGCTTCCCCCAATCACCAATATCCCCAAACCGACGCTAACACTACGCAGATGGATCTGAACTCGAGGAGCCGGCTAGCGGAGAAGGCGACAATGTCCCAGACCAGGTTATCCCGGCCGAGTTGCCTAGTGATATCGGAGACGAGGTTTCCCAAGGCATCACCATCAACATTCACGAGATGACTGACGCCTGTGATATGGGCGTCGAACCCCCAGCATGTGAGAATGTGGAGCAAGACATTCATGAGAATGAAGGACCCCCTCTGGGTGACCTAAGTTACATGCACCTACCGCCCCTCGAGCAACCGAAGGTGGTTTTGCCACCTTGGGTCCAGCCATGCTACACCCAGCCACTGAGACTTCCTTCCATCTCGGAAGCAATGCCTGCTTATACACCAAGCCAAAGCACATACACCAAGACGGGGGCTGAGTTGCTAGGGGCCAAGACAGGGAAGTACGAGTACTTTGCGGCCAGGGCTGAGAATAAGATGCATGCCCTTCCAAGCAGCATGACCGTCAGTGGTACTTCGATTCCAGTCATCCATTCAGGGCCCTCGGAGCAGACGGCCGTTTCAAACGTTGTGCCTCAGCGTGGTACCGCAGCAGATTCATCAACTCCCGAGCAATCAGCGACAAAGCCTACCGAAGCCATGAAGACTCGGACTGATCCATCTGGTCGCCTCGCTCCTTCAGATTGGACCGCATCCGGTGTCCAATTCTTGAACTCTCCCCTTGAGGAGACACGAGAACCGCCCCAAGATGAAGCACCCGTGTTCGATGACACTTCGGCTTACCAATTCGAGCTAAGCAAGAAGGCTGCCATTAGCCCTCCCGCCGAAGGCCCGATTATCGACACCCAGTTGCAGACCCTATCAGCCAAGAGAACTCACATGGAAATCAGCGATATTCTTGAAGCTTCAAGTGAGACCCGCGACCAACCAACGCCTCCTGATCGCCCATCGAAGAGGAAGGCCGAAGAAATCTCCGAGCTCGCGCCAGAGGATCACGCCACTGAAAATGCTCCCCGTGTCGTCCAGAAACGAATCCGATCTGTGTCGTCCCAGAGACGATTCCGCACTTTCATGAAGCCGACTCGTCATGCTCCTGTCGCCAACATGGTTACCCCTACAGCATCAGAGTCTCCAAGCCAGCCACCAGCCAAGCGTCTCCGGCGTGTCGCAGAAATGGTCGGCATTGCGGCTCTTGGCGGGGTTGCCGTCATGTCAGCGCTGATCGCAACAGCTCCTACGTTTTGAGCGTACAATGCATCCCTTCGCCATGACCCTCCTGGAAAGTTGTGAAGAAACCAGCAGCAAAGGATCATCCAAACCCTTTGCGGGAATATTCAATTTGCTCATGTTTTGCTTGTCTTTTTATCCCGGCCGAGATGGGCCTACAACGGTCATGCTTTGGCAACGGAGTTTACAGGTTTTTGGAATTGGACGACGTGGAATGAGCAAGCAGGGCAGATGATTCGCTACGTGCTGGCCTGCATTCGAAACACTCACAACCGCAATGGTCTCAGAACCCCAATACAGACCACAGCCGAGTGGCTGCTTACAAAATACAAATTTTGCTGAGGGCGAAGGACGAGAAGGGGGTTTTCAGATGTCTCATTCACGGGGGGTGGTTTAATAGGATGCTGAGTTTAGCTTAGTCTACTTTCTTCTCCTCGTCTTTCTCTATTATTGTCGGTCTCTAGTTGGCTTGGTGCACGGTATCTCTGTCGATTAGGAATCTTAGGAATTGATGAATCAACGAACTCATTGGACTTGGCATAGAAGTGACGACCCCTCCCCCTTTCTTTTCCTTACGTAGCAGTTTTGGTAAAAGATAAGAAGCCATGGTCACCTGCCACCGTTTATCATGACCCCGACTGAGTGAATTCCGAGTGAAGGGCCTCAACCCTGGGGAATGATAAGAAAGGTAAGCCGGATAGGTGATGGAGTAATTCGGCCTCTCAGACGGATAGCGCTTTATGGACTAGGCCGGACTGGATCTTTCAAGATGTGAGCAAGGTTGGCCTTGACCGGTGTCATCAGCGTATCTGATAGCGCCGCAACAAAGGTAATTTCCGTCGCATTGGTGTTGAGTCGCCAATGGGCCTCTGACAGCTGGACAAAGATGGATGTGACGATCCGCAATGAAGGATCGGACGATATCCGGTTGGCGGGCTTATCAATCATCAGCCGTACAACGAGTCTAGGACGGTGTGCGATGCCCGTGTTCGAACAACCACCAGAGGCTGGCACACGCCTCCAACGTTCCAGGGTTTTGGCTACTTCATCTGAGATATGCGGACACAGGCTCACGCGAGCCCTCCCACCCACGGCTTAGCTGAGACCGGTCAGGACTCGAGAGGTTCGGCCCGCGAATAGCCTCTCCCGCCAATTCCGAGGCGGCAGCGCGGCGGCAGAGGCAGCTAGTCAGAATGCGCCGAGCAGCGCGGTGCCAGCGCTGACCGGTGAACCCTTCTCGGGCTAGGTCCGCAACGAATGCCGAAGGAGCAAGTGACGCGGCGCGTGACTTGGGCCGCAGGTTGTGTAACACGCCTTGGGCCGGACGTAGGAAATCACAACGCCCGTCGATGCTGACTCTAATGGGGATTCCCGGGGAGAGTGAGGTTATGACGCCATGTAACGACTAAGAGGTTGAGATTCGACGGGTTGGTGGTGGATAGGACGCACAGGAGAAGTCGTCCCTGTCCTTGATTTGAGAATGAGGCTTCCTGCCTAGATTGGGGATGGAGGTGAGGGTCCGGAAGGCTATGGGATGGAACCCAAGGACACAAGAAAAACCGGGTTGTTGGTGTGATATCCATGCTGACCTAGCCTAGGAGCACTTGTTGGGGAGATGTAATAGGTCGTTGGAAATAGCAGGAGGATGGGGCGTAGCAGCCGATACAACACCCACTATCACTGTGTTGGGTCTCTGTTTGATATCGCCATATTCCAAAGCAGGCTGAACCGGCCAGATAGAGCCAGACATGCAAGGCAAGCTGAAGGCCGGCTGTCGTCTTTGGCGCAAGGCTGGAGGCTGGATACTGGAGGCTGCCACGCAGATCTCTGCATCCGGCTTTCTCCTTCTCGTTTAAGCCCCACGGGTCGCACAGAATGTCGCCAATATCCCGCCGCAGGGCGCGGGTGATTGCGAAATGACGACAAAGGCTGCTCCCCCAGCGTCCTGCAGCGTCCCTCTCGGTCTGCGCATCGTGCGCCTCGCGGACCACGTCGTCGGTGCTCTGCTGGAGGGGTAACTGCGTCGACGTTCTGACCGGTTGCTGTGGTTGGCAAATGAGAAGAGCCAACTGGCCAAGCCCGGCGGGATGCCGCATGATCGCAAGGTTGCGTCTCCGGCGCGACCACCGAGTCCGAGAGTCCGCGGGGGGGGCCAGCGTGCATCGACGCCGTCGAAACGACGGGACCAACTCGTGCTGAGAAGATGCGGCTTTGCGGTAGTCGGTGAAAAACGGCGGCCATTGCCAGAAGCATCACCGGGGTTGGCTCTCAGAGGTGGAAGCCATGCAGCCCGCTTGCTGGCTGACGTCGGGGCACAGGAGCCCTGCAGCTCGCGTGTGGGCAAAGGATGGCCTTGGGCATTCTAGAACCGGGTTTTCAGCTGAGTCCCAGAGGAACTTTGAGGAACGTTTTCAGCTTGGCGCGTTTCTTGGTTGGGCTGGAATGAGTATCACGGCCAGCTGGCTTGGGGGTTGAGCCCAAACAAGGCAACCACGGATCCCCGGGCCACGGTGATCATCACAAGACCCCGGTGCAGCGGATGACATGAAGGCATCCAGCCTGAAAGTCGACCCGGCTTGTAATCTTCCCGTTTCAAATTTACCCGCGCGAGGCGGTGAGGTTGGCCGTCGTGGTGGTTCTAGCGACAGCATCCTATCCACTCTCTCCGCTGGTTGTCATACTCGTTGGCGGTGGTGTGGTTGATATCGTCCGGTTCCAAGTATATAAGTTAGTGTATCCAGCTGCTCGCGGTCCTTCTCGACTCGAGCAGAGCAAACTCGAGCAGACCTCCACACGCGCACAATCTCAAACAGTCCTCCCTAAACTGCATCTCAACCCGCCTCGAACCCTCCTCCGCCGCCATGAGCACTCCGATATCCGCCTACACCTTCGACGCCGAGGGAATGACCTGGATCACTTGTGATCTATGCAGCGGCTCCTTTCAACGTGGCTCGTAAGTCATCTTTCTTTCAAATCCCCTCAACGGCCGTGTGTTGAAAGAGAAGCCTCTAGTCAACTGTGTGTTCTCTGCGGTGGCTCCAAGCTTCGCAGGGTGTCGTACGACTACCTCGTCAAGGCAATAGGTCCGCCGAAAAACTCGAGTCAGCAGTCGATGCCTCCCAAGGACAGCGATAGCAGCAGCAACCTTGGCAATGGCCGTGGACCGACCAATGGTAACAAAGTCTAGGACTGCCGGTCCTGACCGGCTACCGTGAGCATTCCGGTGTCGGTTCTGTAAATGTCTTCCAGTACATTCTCAAGAGGATTCAGCCATCCGTGGCTACAAGTGTGCGGCTGTAAACATCATTCCATTCTTTTCAATTCTTGATTCTTTGATTTCAGTATTTCGTGCCATAAACATGGTGGATGTGACGGTTGGTGCCGTGGTATCGTTTCCGGAACAACCGTGGAGGTGACTCGCAAGGTCCACCCGTTCTGTCTGGGTCCCAATCGTTACATGATGCTTGTTCCATTTCGGATAGTCATTCGTTCTATTAGAATATTTGATGATTTTCTTGAACCTTTATGCGTGTGATGTTCCCTATCGCTTGTGAGCTCCGTGAATGGCTTATCACTTGTCAATGACTTTGGTCGGCCCAACTCTGTGTGTCGTACTCTATAGTAAGGGTTCGAGCCCAGGAGCGGTCAACGCTAATTGTACTTTTTACTTTCGCAATTGCAATGGCATTGAAAGGATACATGGATCGGCGGTGTTGATTCGTGTTCACGAGATCGCTTGATCTGAGAATAGGTTCTAACAACGCAACCCATTGACTTATGGGCAGGGGGCGTTGGCGAGAGCTACAGTGCCTGGGATGCAGAGACGGAACCGAAGCGTAATCGTACAGCCTATGGCTACATCCGTGGGAGCATCATGGTAGTATCCGGTAGCGTCGTGTTAGTCAATCCAAACTTGAGGGTTGTTATTACCCTGACCGCACTGGTGGCAGTGCAATTTTCAGTGCATTCCGCACAAGAAACGCAGGTAGCCGGTCATGCGACGAGCTTTTTGCTTGTCCAATCGCTGCTGATCCCATCGGGATGTTTCCGCATGGCTATGTGCTTAGTGTCAGTCGGGGATGCTGATGGTTGGCTCCCACTCGCTCGTGCAGGGGTCACAGATGGATTCCGCGGCTGATGGCATGTCTCTTAGATGATACCGGACGGGGAACCGCATAGATTGAGAAACAATGCATGGCACCTAGGGTCAATCAACTTCGGTCGTACAAATGGCAAGCTTCCTGGCTCCCATGTTGATGATGGGCTGAGACCAGGCACACGTAGGTACAAGCCAGAGCTGGTTGGATAAGCGAAGAAATGCTGCAGCTTCCAGGAGAAACTTCGCCTGCTTGCTGAATTGCATAGGCAGATACATGTGTATCTCTGGCTCCAAACCGTGTCGAGTCCCGGCCGCTAGCTGTTGTGTGTCCAGTTCCACGCCCGAGTGCAACGAACCTAAGCCGAGGCCAAGTGGCGGGCCACAGTTGTGAGCCATGCAACATCACCCACGAGTTTCAGTTTCAGTAGCCTAGTACCGCGGAAACTGGGAGACGGTGAGAGACGGTCAGACAGAAGACACAATGCCGCCAATCCTGATTTGTCGGTGTCCTTGACTATCACCATGCAGGGTGTAGCCATGCGGGTCTAGAATCAGCCACCAGGAATCAAGGCCATGTTCACCGTCATAGTCAAGCATCAAAATAGCCAGTCCAATTTGTTGACTGAAAAGAAACAATACCACATAGATTATTTGAGGGTGATTAAAATTCGTAACAAATCATTGGCGCAGTGAGCGTTGGAGCGAGACCTTACCGTGGACGAGGTCCGTGACAGAGGAAGCACGCGGCCCACCCCGGCTAGACCCTCGATTCTAACATAACCTGCTTATATGCATCCCCGATACTGGCTTGTGTGTGGAGGCCGAATTTAGGAATGGGGAGCTACCTCATTCACGTCAGCCTTGCAGACTAACGATCGGGTCCGTTGAGGACCTCGCGACAATCTCCTTTGCGCCCTCCACATCTTTCTACACTCTACCATGAGCTGAGACCCCAGTGATTTAATTTCTGTCTTCACCATGTCTGTCATTCTCTGCACAGGTAAATCGCCTCCACCACGATTCCCCCCGCGCTCCCCAAACTGACCTCCTCGCAGCTGGATACGACCATACCATCAGGTTCGATGCGCCGCGCCCGCTGAGCTGAGGCCTCGCTGCTAACACTCTCGGTCGCAGGTTCTGGGAAGCCCTGTCCGGAATCTGCTCGCGCACCATCCAGCACCCGGATTCCCAGGTCAATCGTCTATGCATCTCGCCCGACAAGCGCTATCTCGCCGCGGCGGGACACCACACCGTCAAGCTCTACGACATTAAGTCGACGAACCCAAACCCGCTGCTGACTTTCGAGGGCCACACGGGCAACATCACCGGCGTTGCCTTCCACTGCGAGGGCAAGTGGATGGTTACAAGCTCCGAGGATGGCACCGTCAAGATCTGGGAGACGCGAACCGGAACGATCCAGCGTAGTTACAACCACGGCTGCCCGGCGAACGATGTCGTGATCCATCCCAACCAAGGCGAAATCATCAGCTGCGACAGATCAGGAAGCGTCAGAGTGTGGGATTTGGCAGAGAACAACTGCTCGCACGAGCTCATCCCTGAGGAAGACGTCTCGGTGTCGAGCGTGACGGTGGCGAGCGACGGCTCCCTGCTCTGCGCTGCAAACAACGCGGTATGTCCTGGTTTGGCTAACAGTCTTCCTCTCCAAAGCTAACCGACTTGTCTAGGGCAATGTCTTTGTGTGGAACCTTATCCAGAGCTTCGACCGCACCCAACTCGTCCCTGTGACGCACTTCAGCGCCCACAAGGAGTACATCACGCGCATCCTCCTCTCCCCGGACGTCAAGAAGCTCGCAACCTGTAGCGCTGACCACACGGCCAAGATCTGGGAGGTCAAGAACGTCGAGCCCGCCCCAGACGAGGAGCCGCGGCCGTATCCGCTCGAGGCAACCTTGACGGGCCACCAGCGCTGGGTCTGGGACTGCGCCTTCAGCGCCGACTCGGCGTACCTGGTAACAGCCTGCTCGGATCACTATGCGCGGCTGTGGGAGCTCCACAGCCAGCAGATCATCCGCCAGTACAACGGGCACCACCGAGGAGCAGTTTGCGTGGCGCTCAATGATTATTCGGAGACACGATAATTACATGAAGGACTGGTGTCAAATAGTCGTGCTCTTGATATGAAGGACGCGATGGAAAGGTGACGAACATGACGTGGCGTGGCGTTCGTTGGATCTGGATCAATTGCTTTAGGGACTGAACTTGGGATACGTTGCTCGAACGTCGAACTCGGCTCACGAATCGTAAACTGTATATATACTATTTTCACAATAAACTGCTGAGGCATCTTAACCACGCGATCACTTTGAGGCACTTTGCAAACAAAGTGTCAATGCAATGCGCATGTTTGCACTATTTTGTTCCACGAACTGTACCCGACACAGAGCTAGAAAGGCCACGGTGTGCCCAGTTTGTTATTCAACAATCAAGCACCCATCTCCTCCAGGCGTTCTTTTGCAGACTCCTTTGTTTCATCAGATACGCTCGGGTTGGTAATAGCGCTGGCATTTCATTAGCACGGCTCTCGTGATGGACCACGACGGGGAAGTGACATACGCCTTGAGGCCCCCAGCGACGTTACCGGGGTGTTTGCCATCTTTGTAAGAAACTAGATGGGTCGTCAGAAAAGAATTGTCAGGAGAGAAGAGACGGGGCCAGTACCATCTTCGCCGAACTCCTCCTTGAGCACTTCCTTGGAGTGCACTTTGGACTCGACGGAAGTGTGGGGGTTGTTGAGGTTGGCCTTGTGGCCGGCTGCGACTCGAGTGCTGTCAGCCATGGTGATAATTGCAGGTGGTATGGTTTTGATTCAGGACTTGAATATGGGAGATGATTGGAATGTTTGTAAGATGCTGCAAGTGATGGTGGTTGGAAGATGGAGGGACTATCGTCCAAGAAGAATGGCATCTTTGTCCATTTAAACCTATTCATTTCCTCTTGACGGTCGTCTGATGACGTCGGAGAGTCGCTTAACCGACCGCTTCGATCTGCCAAGCATCACTTCTCACTTGAGATGACGGAAGAAGAGCAAGGATTATCTCCACATCCCCGCGTCTCCAGGGGAATGTTCAAGTGATTGAGGCTATCGCGATCACCCTTGTGGCCAAGTGCCGAACAATCCCCGTTATGGGGTTGGATCTGCCATCTGTTGCCTAGACCTGATCACTAGATCGGGCGAAGAATCAAGGTTGGGCGCCGGCGCCGCTGAGCTTGGAAATAATTGAGAGCGAATGGGAGGTGTGAAAAATGACAATCACATCACGAAGGCCACTTGGTTTGAAATGAGGCGTCACAGACGCAATTGCTGGCCATCAATGACCTCATCCATAATTTGGTCAGAGCTTTGGTGGTTGGGGCTTCCCGGATGATCTGCGCCTCTAGTGTCACCTCGACATCAGCGGCATGAGAAATGATGAATTAGTTAATGCACAAACAGCCATGTCGTCGATCAGTAAGATATGTATGGCTCTGGGACCAAAGGTCCTCACGTTGAGAAGAGGCAGCTGTCAAAAAGCAAAAACATTTGGCACCTAACTTAGTGCCAGGAGAGGCGGGTTGGCTCGGGCCGCAAATCATATAAGTCTATGACATCAGAATGTCTGAATCGTGTGACGGGGGCGCATCTGGTGATGTAGCCGGGGCTGGCTGAGAAACCAAAGAAATGAAGGGGAAAAACAAAAGGAAAAAAAGAAAGGGGAAGGGGAAGAAGGCATGTACGAGACCAAGTTTCGATCGTGATGGAGGTTGGGCAGGTCAGGAGACGAAGGCCTGCTCGGCTCAAGTCAGCCTCGCGAGACAGAGTTTTTTATCCAAGCAAACGTCACCGGTCGTTTCCGGATCGAGACGATGTGACACAATCAAGGGAGAAACAAAACGTGGACCCAACCATGGTACGTTATATCGACCTCGTCGAGGCCTCACACTCGCATGCTCGCCCCGTTCTAGGAATAGGGCTGGGTCGAGAACTCGGTCCAGAGGCTAGCTGGAGCTCCGTCAGACCAAAGCAAAGGGCTGCGAAACAGCCGAAAATGCGAGTCAGGGCCCCGGGGTCGTCATGGCCGTCATCATCAATTGAGTTGTCATCGGTTGTCACCGCATGCGCGTCTCGGCGGGAGCGCAGCAAATCAGCAGCGCGCGCCAGGCTGTCTCGTCTCACAAGACGCACAAGACGATGTGCGTCTATTGGCGCCCCCTTAGTGCGAAGGTGTTGCACGACTGCATTCCCGCCTCCGTCAACGTCGGAGGCCAACCGTAGAGGCCACGGCGGGGCGGCGAGCGACGGGCGGTGGTTGGCTGGCGGCCAGATGACGTCCAGATCGGGCAAAAAGAAAAGCCAAAATGTCGCAAACCCATGTCCAGCTGAGCAGGGGTCGTTTAAAAGCCCCGACTGACACACGCTGGCGGCGGCCGGCGAGAGGTTGCGAGCGTTTCGTTGGCAGAGAGTCAGAGCCCCAAGAGACGGACGGCTTTGGGCGGGTGGAGCCAGGCGGGATGCGGCTACCATCGTGCACGCGCAACCTCCCACGCGGCGTGTGGGGAGCAAGGCTCCTGTCCAGCAAGGCTCTTGTCGTGCAGGAGGGGGGGGCTCCAGCGAGGCACTGACCAGCCACTGGCCCAAGCCCCCTCCCCCGTCCCCTGAAATAACACCCCGATGCCCCCTAAGGCCGCTGGAAAAAGTCCCCTGCGAAGCCCCGACCCTCCTGTCCCACAGGCGCCCCGGCAGTCCAAGCCCCCTGACTATCGATTCCAGATGGCGGCTGAGGCTATGCCCACGCCGCCAGCCACCATCTGCGCCTCACCTCCAATAATAGCACGACGTGAGGCATTGAGTCCATGGCGTCGGATCTTCCCTAAGCTCGAAACATCCAAACCATCCACCACGACAAAATCCACAGTCGATGACGATTCCCCATTCGCTCGCACCATCCACGCCGCACTCCCGCGAGTCCGCCGTCGGTATTCCATAGTCCACCGTCCATTTCACAGACCCACGAATTGCCACGGCCCTGCAGGGCTGTCCTGTCAGAACCAGGGGACTAGCACCCACGCACGAGCCGCCTGTTCTCCTGTTCCCAGCGTTCCCATTGTCCCAATTCACTCCTAAACCTGCTACCTACACGCTACACGCTGCACGCTTCACACCCACCGTCACCACCTCCACCGCCATCATGGCCGCCGCCGACAAGCCCCCGGTCTTCAACTATGTCTTGAGCTTCATCCTCGTCGGCCTTGCGTGGGGCTTCACCACCCCCTTCATCCGCCGGGCCGCCCGGTCTCACAACCCGCCCGCGCACCCGCTCCTCGATAGTCCCGCCGTCAAAGCCAGCTGGCTCCGGTCCAAAGTCTACGGCGCCCTGTTCGCCGTCGTTGACCTGCTGAGGAACCCACGATACGCTATCCCTCTAGTCTTGAATCTTTCCGGCAGCATCTGGTTCTTCCTGCTCATTGGGCAGGCCGGTAAGTCCGTTTTCTTTTGGTATCATGTTGCTGAACCCCCTCGATACGAGGTTGCAGCCATCCAATGGCTTGCATTTACAAGGCGTTTTGCTGACGGGTGACCATCACGCCTCCCCAGAACTGAGTTTGACGGTGCCCATTGTCAACACCATGGCTTTTCTATTCACCGTCCTCGGCGAGTGGTTCGTCGAGGGTAAGGTCATCAGCAGAGGTAAGCACGGCCCTGTCCAGCTCATGTGCCATCCTCATTCTAAACGCCCCCCATGCAGACACCGGCATTGGTATGGGCCTGATGTTGGCTGGTATTGCCTTGTGCGTCCAGAGTAAGGCTTGATAGTGTTAGTTTACCACATCCATGTAGCACAATAGATGATATGCATCAACCCCGACTTGGTTCCCTCGGATTGGCTCCCAGCTATTGCCCTCAAGACGCTTGTGACTCCACTTCTGACGGCTGGCCTGGATCCAGCAGACACCCTGCCATGCCAAATCCCAGCAACAATGCAGCCCTGTTGCTCGGGCCTCGAATTCGGATCTTCACCGACACGGTCCAAAAAAGTAAGCTTGTTTGAAAAATTGTCTGCACTTGGCAGTTTGTTTGTATTAGATGGAATCCAGCTCCATGCTCACAAATTCTTGCCCCGACAAAATCCGGGGCAAAATCCTCCTCTATGTATGATGCCCATGCCAGGGCCAATGCCGAGTCACCCTTGGACTGGGGAATGATGCCGCCTAGTCGTACAAATGAAAATAGAGAAAAAGAAATAGAAGAAAAGAAATATAGAAAAAATAAAGAAATCCTTGCTTGTATTTTGCCAGCCACTGGAGGTTCGTCCCAAACTCCGTCCTATTCATTGCTTGCGGCCGTGGGCGTCATGTTGATTCGTAGACGTTCAAAGAAGAGTAAAAGTCGTCGCTGATTTCGCCGGTTCGCTTGTTTTGCTCGTTCCATTTCGTTCAGAGTTCACTTCGATCCTTCGAGAGGGTGGTTTCGGGTTCGTCGCTCCTCCTCCTCTACTGGCGTGCTCGCAGCCAGCGCAGCACGCTCCGAAGACTGGGATCCTCGGCCGTCCAGCGGCCCATGTTGATATCCGAGGTCTGAAGCTCGGTGTAGATGGCATCGTCAGTGATTGCTGCCAGTTCCTGGTGCAAATAGTTAGCTTGGGAAGTCTCTTCGATGAATCCCTCAGAGTCGAGAGAGTGACGGGGTCGTTCGTACTGTTCGAAGTTGGCGATCACACGCTCGCAGTTGGGATTCGGTCTTCGAGGCTGATCGGCCGGCCGTCAAGGCTTGCATGCGGTACTCGATCCATCGCTGCGCTGCAGCTTGTCGAAGGTAGATCTTCTGTCCCTCGTGCCGTCTTGAGTAGGCGTCCAACAAGACCCTTTCCTCGCCGTTAGCCATCCATCCATCATCCATCACGGTTTAACCAAGGGTGTCGAAGAGTAGGGGCAGAACATACTGCTTGAGTTCGGCCTTCATCTGCTCCTCCTCGCCGCCAGCGGCGCTAGGCACGCTCGTGTCCGCCGCACACTCCAGAATGTGCTGTCCATCCAGTGAACATTGACGTAGTGCAGCCCAGCCCTCGGTGTAGTACTCTGCGGAGTCCTGGGGGTCGACGGGAGCTGCGGCGATGTAGTATTGCAGCGTTCGAAAGTCGGAGAGAACCTCAGCAACCCGTCCTGTGCGAAACTCGTTGTCTAAGGGGGGGAGGGGCAGATGCGCGTTAGTCAGGGAGTTGCCAGCGGGGCTACCCGGACATTAAGAAGACCCAGTCTGATCCCGCGGAGCCTTGTCTGGGGGTGGGAAGGAGGGGGGGTGGGTGGACAATACTTACAGCCGTCCATTGTTGAGTGTGAAGAGTGAAGAGTGAAGATGGAAGAAATTGGAAAGTTGGATTGTCGATCACCGTTGAGGGGCAGTAGTTATTCGTGGGTAAGGCGGCAAATAGAAAGTCAGGTGGATATATCTTGCAAATGCAAACCAGGAATGACAATGGTAGATGGGCGAGATGAGAAGCGTACAAAGGAATATGGGTTGGATTAGTCAAGGCGGTAATAGTCGATCACTGGAGAAGCCTGTCTCTTGATGCTGATGCCGAAATGAAACTATTCGCGGCTGGGCATCCTTTTTGTATATCGTGATGGTCCTCGAAGGCCTCCCAATCCCCATCCCCATCCGTATCCCCATCGGCCAACGCCAATGACGCCGGTCCAACCCTATCAAAGGGACGAGTCTCAACGTGACAAACTCACCAACGACCATGCTCCCCACCGGCGGGAGCGAACGGCTACTAGGGGCAGCCCACCCACACGCTCACACGACGCACGCCAGTGACACCACCGGGTGCTCTGCGGTGCTGTGCGGAGCAGTGGTGCTGGGGCCCGCCGACAAGGCCGGCAATTGCAACGAGAGGCTGCAAGGCTCTGGGCAGCTGCGACAGAGCGTTAGGTTGGGCGACCAACGAGAGCGGGTGTGGAAGCCTCCACTCGCTCAGCAAGACCCTTTCCAAGCTGGAGCTCGAGACTGACACTACCCCGGGCGAGCTGTGGCGAAATGCCCGGCGTCGAACCGACATCCAGAGTCTTGCCCTCAGCCCTATCCCCTGGCTGCGGCTTGCAGGACCGGCACGTCATGGCATGGAGGTCGTGGGGCCTATCCCCTGGCCGTGCCCCTCTCCTGAGGCTCGCTGAGGCTCCCTGGAACGCTTGATGGTGGTCTCGATGGCTAATTGAGGCGCTCCCGGGGCCTGCTGGGAGGGGGTTTTGCCTGGTCTGCCGGCATATGTCCCGCCCAAAGCCGCAATTCGCCCTCCCAGTGGCCCAGCGGATGATGCAGAGGCGCCCAGACGCCGTGCTGCTTGTCTGAGCCGCGTGGGGTCGGCCATCTGCGAGAAGCCCCGGCCCTGGCTCCCCTTATCCTGGCGGTCTAACCCCCCGGTCGACTTGGGCGTGGCTGAATATGGAAGCCGAAGGTGATATCGAAGTCGTTCGACCGGTCGGGGGCGCGGATTGCAAGCCGCATGCCGCAGACAGATAGTGTGTAGGCGCGTAGTCAGTACATGTGGTGGACATGCAGCGGGTGGACACTGGAGGGTTGTGGCGCCGGCTCAGCTAAGGATGGGCAGCCACTAGTCACTCCCGAAGCGGAAAGGCCCTGGGGCTTGTATGCGGGATGGTCGGGGCGGTGGGACCAATAGGCGCGCGGATGTGGTTAAGAGCAACGGTTTGGGGCGAGCTGAGGAGACTCTCCTTCTGGAAGCAGATTGGCGGGCCATGGTCGCATCGCTGCATCTGGTAAAGGCCGTCCGCGAGAATGAACCTGAAAGAAAGCACGAGCCTCACGACGTAACCCTAGGGGAGACCTTTAGGGAGACATTGTTAGGGCGGAGATTTCCGACGCAGCTGATTCTCGACACGGGACAGGATACGCGATGGTCAAGTCCGAAAGTCTGTTGTCTCTGGAATGGAATGAGACTGTCGCCATTGTGTCCGCTGTAGCTAAGTTTAGGTATCACAAACCAGGCCAGAGCCGGCCAAAAGCAAGCCCCATGAAGAAGTAGACCCAGAGGCCAATGCCAAGTGCCACTATTCACACGAGAGCCTTGTCTGGATACCTCCCCCCCGCCAAGTATGCCCACACTACACCCCCTTGTCCACTCAGTGACAGCGGTCCACGGACCACAGCCGAATCTATTCCCCCCGAGCACAAACCATGTCCATCTTCGTCTGACATCGATCAAGCTCATTTATCGATCCATCAATCAATCAATCCTCCGACCGGGCTGACGCACCCGCCCCCCCGCCTCCAGCTCTGCCAGGTCCCAGCCCAGCCAGCCCAAAACCGAGACGCAAGGCTGCGGCTGCGGGTCGTGAGGTGCGGTACGGACGGAGTAACGTAGACGGTGTTTCTGGTGGTGTGGCGCATACGTCATACCGTTTCTTGCATGGTGTTTGAGGCCGCTCAATGTCTCCCGCCAACGGCGTAGGGCAATAGGCGGTGGCTGGAACTGCGCTGCTATTCGCGGCCATCCGCCGCCGCTCAGTTTTTTTCCCCGTTAGTTCTGCCAACCGTCACTTCACTACCCACTAACTACCTACTAACCGATACCTTGCGTAGACGGTTCACGCGCAGTAGACAGCAGACTTGAGCCTTTAGGGCATTCAGTCCGATCATGATTGCCCATGACTCCATCAACATTATTGTGGCGCCGCTCAAAAGTTCAATACGGCGCTTACCCGGACTAAGCCAAACACACCCTGCCAGGATTCCCAGCCCCCCAGGCCCTTGCAGCAAGATCCGATCGTCTGGAAGCCATTTTCTGGGTCTCGCGCCCTCTCAAAGGTCAAACAGACACGTTGGCCTCCTCCGCGCCATCTCCGGTGCAGACTACGCAAGCCATCGTCCACGGCACGGACCCACCCGGACCCGGATCTGGGCTCTCTCGCTCTGGCACAAGGCATACTTCACCACGATTGGACCACCAGGCGCGTCAAATTCATTCCCGAAAACTCAGATGAAATCTATTGCACATGGTCAGGATGACTAGTGAGACATAGAACGGGACCCACGACCGCTTGCGGGATCTTGGTCTCGACCCCCTTCTCCCTCCCCTGCATGACCCACGTTCTTGGGAGCAGACCGTTCTTACAGTCCGCGAATCAAGGCTCTACAACCTCGCAACAAGAACCGTCTCTTCGTCTACCGTTATTGTTGCATCTCCATATCTCTGCTCAGTCCTTCTCCGCAATGGCTTGTAATCGGTCATCGATCTCCTCTTCAGTCAAAGTTCTGAAGCTTGGGTCGGTTCCCTCCTCACCGTCCGCTCGAGGACCACCGACAATGCCAATCTCAATCTCCCCCTTCTTGAAGTCCATGCTGAGGACCGTGCTCAGCGTAGTAATGGCCAGCTCAACCACATCCTCCCACGAACCCTCGGCATGATCCTTGTTCCGCAACTTCTTCTCCAGGTGGTTCAACGCCTCCTGTTGCTTCGGGCCTGCCGCGGTACCCTTGTAGCCAATGTAGTATCCTGCGGGATCACACTTGAACAGCTGAGGGCCGAATTCCGAATCGAGGGAGATCAGTGTGGTGGCAACGCCGTATGGTCGCATGTAAGCCTAGGGATGATGTCAGCACGTCCCCGCCTCCGACATTTCGTTTAACCTTTGCAGCTGAAATTTGCTTACCCGCTGAGTATAAACCTGGCTGATGTTGGCGAGTCGCTTCGCCAGAGCATCAGCTGGCATCTCATATCCAAATTTGTATCGGAATTCAGCTGCCTCGCCCTGGGCTCGTTGAGCGAACGCTCTGGCGTCGGCGATCGATCCCGTGATGACACAGCCGACCGAGGGGGAGATCTGGAAGATGTGGGACACGGAAGCAGGGTCGATCAGCTTATCCTACGTTGCGAGTATCAGCATCTGGCAAAACAGGTCCTCCCTTCAGTCCCCAGAAACCAGCATGACCTACCGGAACCTTCTTCTGTGACAGAACAACTGCACAATCCTTGCCCCTCACACCAACGGACATGATGTTGGCTGCGGTAATGGCCTTGAAGGCATACTCTATCCAGGCGGGTCAGTATTCGTGGGAGCCAAGAGGGCGGTTCAACGTCATCGGCTCAGCGTCATTGTGGAGGGATGGTGTATGGTCGTCGGCCGTGGGGTGGGAGGGGTCGGGAAAGAAGCATACCAACTTGGTACAAGCGACCATTGTCGGCAAAGATGGTAATGTGTCGGTCGTAGGCGCCGGCTATGGAAGTCCAGGGTTAGCTCAAGCTGCAAGCAAGTGGCGGTTAGAGGTTGGTTGGCTATAGCCTGACATACCCGACATCTTGGAGGACTGGCGGTTCTGAGAGGTAGGGTGTCGATGAAATGAGGGGGCGGTAGCTCAAATACAGCTCGTGGTGTTCGAGTTGGGAACTTTCGGAGCAGGAATCGAGGTTGTGGTGGTTGAGGGTAGCTGTTGTATGGGGAGGTCGACGCGTTAGCACAAGCTTGCCTAGAGCACACGAGGCAACGGAAGCTCAATGGGAAGGCTGAGTTGATGCCTCGCGGGGATTACCTAAGCCTGAGGCAGGAACCAGCTTCAGGGTGTCACAAATAATTGAACACTACGTCAACGCAAATTGCAGGTGCATCATGGTCTCTAGCTTGCTCTTTCCATGTTAAAAATGAATCTAAAGCAGCCTTTGTTTATTTTAAACGGGCATTTATCCATCTACCGACATATTCTAGCCAGATTTCGCATGTCGCAGACCGATACTGCACTACGATGGCTACCGCAGTATTTATGTCCCCTAGCCTTATCGGCCTATCAATCGAGGGGCATCCCTGCTCATCTACCACGATAATCGTCAAGACCCGGAAAAAAAAGTTGCAGCCAACATCGAAGAATTCCGGTCCGCCCCATATGCCAACAACACACAGCATCAACCTTGCTGTTCTCCGCTAAGAACCTGCAGCATTTCCATCCCATTCCCTGATCTGCAAGCCGTTATTCGTTCTGATAGGCCAGCGGTCGTCACAATTGCGGGAGCCAGAAGGTCCAGACCCCAGACGACGGAAGAGAAAAAAAAACACGAAGCACGCGGGTGGTTAAGAAACTCCGACTTACCTGGCTCTCCCAGATATACCTCTCCCACTCATCATGTTCTCGTCCAAGGGAAACGCGCCAGCGCAGCAGGTGCCTTCCTGGAAGAAATCGGGTTCCAAGCACCAGCAATCGGCTGCATCTGAGTCCGCAACTGCGACTGGTAGCCCAACCGTTGGGCACCGAAGCAGCACGCATCAGGGCACACCCAGCAAACGAAAACTCGACGCCCACGCCCCGCCACAGTCCAATTCCTCCCACGTTGCTAAGCGACCACGTAAGGATGAGACCACCGGCGACCGGAATGAACAAATAAAGAAACGAAAATCGGTCACATTTGCTGATGCTACCTCGAAGAACGACAAGACCAAAAACACCAAGCCTGACCCAACGGATACGCCCCAGAAAAAGAGCAAGGGCCCCGCGAAGAAGCAGAAAGCCCCTGCCCCGACGGACCTCAAGCCGGCATTGGAGTACCTGCGGCTATGGAAGACGGCCCGGACCAGCTGGAAGTTCAACAAGAATCATCAATCCACCCTTATCAAACACGTCTTCGATGCCGACGGAATCCCCACTGCCGACATTGACGCTTTCTACGAATACATTAAAGACCTGAAGGGATTGGTGAGGATGCGGTTACGGGAATCGGCCCTGGAGATCAGGACAAAGGATCGGTCGCAAGGCGGCGCTGTGTTCCCTGAGGGGACCGCGGATTTGGATGCCACCCAGGAACGATATGAAACCATTCTCACCAAGTTTCTGCAATCCCAGCAGGTAGGCTCCAAGAGGAAGCTGTTCGAGGAGGCCGAATACCTTTCGGACTCGGACTCAGAGGATGAGATCATCATCCGGCGACTCGTCAAGCGCATGCGCGCCGAACTGGTCATTGAGGAGCTCTCCGACGGCGCAGACACCGAGATGAGCACTACATCGTCGTCATCGTCCAGGACCATTGCCGCCAGTGACAATGCCACTCCCAATGTCGACAAGAGGATGAAGCTCAACGATGGTACCGGTAAGCGCCGGCGGAAGCTCCGAACAAACCAGGAAGACAGCGACAGCAGCAGCAGCGACAGTAGCTCGGATTCAGAGTCGGATTCAGACAGCGACTCTGACACGAGCGACAGCGGCAGCTCCTCCTCGTCTTCGGATGAGTCGTCTGACAATGACGATGCAGGTGATCGGCAGGATGAGGATGAGACTTCAAGCAGCTCGTCCTCGTCCTCTGACGAGGCAGATTCGGAAGATAGTAGCAGCGGTGAGGACTCGGACGACGAGGATGAAGGTAATGCGGTGGCGACGCGATCATGAGAGACGATGCCGAGATGGATACATTGTAACACCTCTGTTCGGATACCAGCTGCATGTTAGATACCCGCGGAGCCTGTTGTCACTCCGCTTTGAAGCGCGACTACAGTTTTTGTTAGATAGCAATGGAATAGGATATAGACAACCCCATCACATGGATTCACAGTTAAGCACATGCCTTGATTTACACTCGTGACAATAGTCGTATCATATATGTCCTAGGCGAACAACCTCGTAAAGCCCTCATTGGGCGGTTGGAGCCAGTTCCTCTTGTCGTACTCCCTGCCATCTCCCTCGATGATATGAAACGTGTAGATGATTCTCCCTTTCTGGCTTGTGTTCTTTTCACTCTTGTGCAGCAAGTTGCCGTGGATCAACACCAAGTCACCCGCCTTGACCTCGCCGGGGACATAGTCGCCGCCCTCGGGCCGCGAAACGCCATACTCGGGGCCCCCGGGGAACCGGGGCCCGTCATTGTCCACCATCTCCGTGCCCGTGTCCCCGGGCTTCCGCACCAGCCGCTGCTCCACGGCGGCCCAGCGGTGCGACCCGGGCAGGAAGCTCAGGCAGCCGTTCTCGAGCGTGGCGTCCTCGAGGGCGTACCAGAAGCCCACGGCGGACGGCGGGTCGGTGTACAGAAAGGTCGAGTCCTGGTGCGGCGGCACGGCGCCGCCAATCTCGGGCTGCTTGCAGATGACCATGCTCTGCAGGCACCGCGGGTCCGCGAAGCCGATGGACCGCGCCACGGCCGCGGGGCTCACCTCGCCGGCGGCGCGGACGGCGGCGTCGTCGATGAGGTGTGCGAACGGCGGCGACAGCACGTGCAGGTAGTGGCCGATCTTGTTGACGGCGCGGGCCTTGGGCTTGGTGAGCGAGCCGGCGTCGTCAAAGGCGTCCTCCTCGAAGAAGAAGCGGACCTTGTCGCCCGAGGTGAGGAAGTAGTCGTCGCCGACGTGCTCGGACTTTTGGCCCGTGGAGAAGCGCGTGAGGGGGTGGTCGTCGAGGGAGAATGAGTCCAGGAGTTGGTTGGTCTCGGCGAGGAGCGACGAGACAGTGGCCGGGGTGAGGGCGTTCGGGATGATGAGGTAGCCGTCGCAGTTGAAGGCGGCGAGTTGCTCGGGCGTGAGGCCGCCTGAAGAGTCCACGGCCATGATGATTTAAGTAAATGCTGGATGGGAGGTATGCCGCAGCGTGAGTGAGATGGACACTTGTCACTCAGATTCCGATGATTTCCAGGAGTCCCGGTCCTTGGTATTTATATGTCGGAGTTGGCGTTGAGTTGGACTTGACTTGTTCCAAGGTGGGGTTGCCTTATCCCCCGCCTACGTTATCGCTTTGAACCGGCTTCGTCGCAGCGCGGAGACCGGAGACTGCCGGTCTGGCATGTTTATGGTAAAGCATGCAGTCTGCAGCTTTTTGCCTCTCTTTACGTGGTTAATGGGCGTAGTATGGAGTTCATGAGAGTCTCGAAGATAACAGGGACTGTGACGGATCGACCGTTTCTCGACAGAGCCATCTCCGTGTTCTACGTTCAACAACCAGGGCCAATCAGGGCATTTCGAGTCTTGTAACAGGTTTATCCTCTTTACGCTGTTTTTTGTCCATATATAATAAGCCTTTCATTACTGCAGGTGCGTTGTCTATGCACAGCATTGGTCCCTCTCAGAGCATTATCGTATACTCGCACTTGAACACGCCCAATATCTACATCCCGTACCCAAGAAAATCAAAAACAACCCATAACTCCTTGCCCTTCTGACACGATGCAATTATGCGGGGCCTAGTTGAGAATGATGAATGAGAAAGACCCGATTTCCAGTGGTGAAGTCGTAAAATCCCGCCTAGGCATCCAGAGGATCCTCCAGGAAGTCGTATCCCTCTTCCGGAGGGAGCAGGTAAGCCGACAACACGAGTCCAGCTGCGGTGAGAATTGATATGACTGCGCTAGTGGTGCCGAGGTAGAATGAGACGTCGAGGTTCCATCCAGGAATGGTGAACTGATCATCGTTTTCGAAGAGATATGCCTGGCCGATGAGTTAGTGTCATGAACTGAGGCTCATCATACATGTCTAGATGGAGGAGAGCGATGGGATACTAACCACGATGGAAATGGTGGCGAATTCAACAACGGAAACGAGAGTCAACATGGCTCCTACGAAAGGCCATCCCGTCTCGCGCTTGTACTTGCCACCGCTGAGAATGACGGCGAACGACACTAGGCCAGCCAGACACAGGATGGTGGCAAAGGACGCCATAAATCCAACGGTCCTCCACATGGAACAGAAGTAGCGCTCCCCATCCTGGCACAGCTCTTTATAGGGGAAGTTTCGACAGTGCGGATCATCAAGGTTTGAGCAGCTCCTGTGTAGGCCAATGTGCTTCTCGACCGTCTCGCCAGAGGTCGTCGTGACCGAGTAGGAGACCCAGTTAGGAATCCATATGGACACCACGATCATAATAGTCGCTGTCGCATGTTAGCCGTGATGTCTTCGCATGATGGCGCCCGTTGCGTTGATGCCGCCTCTCGGTCGCTAGACGTCTACAGGCGTCGTCGACGTCATTGCGACGGCGAGACATTGAGTGTGGCTGGAGGGGAAAGCAGGCTGCGAGGCTCGAGAGGACACGTACCGGCGGCAAAGGCCACCAGGGCCGATGTGTAGACGGAAACGCGTGTCATGGCAAACACGCGATCGAGCGGACAAGTTGTAGGAGAGATGGATTTGGTGGTTGGAGGAGGGAGGGACAGATAAATGTCGATGCCTGTCTGCCTGTGGTTGTGCCTTGGCCTCTGCGGGCAGGTGAGCGGCAAGTGTGGCTGAGGCCAGCGGCAAGGTGGCTTCGGGCTGCCGTAAATAGTAAAGGCCCTGCCAGGCAACAACTTGAGCAAATCAAGTTGCAATATCAAGTCCATCCTTGACCTTGATGTCCAGCGACCGTTGATCCCGCTCACACCACTGGCGATCTTGTGCATCAGCCATCGAGTCACGCGAGCCCTGGTGCTGATAAGCTGGTTCTGGAGCCATTCAGAAGTGCATCCTGGGGTAGCGCCTTGTCCTTTTCCGCGGGGTATGATTGTAGCACCGCTTCTCACACTCGATAAAATCCAACCTTCCTTAAACGGTATCACGATGCGTTTCATCGCCATAAAATAGCCACACTGTCCCCTGTTTATCCCCTGTTTGTCGATTGGTTGTCTTCATGGCATCCTTGATTCAATATCGGCCCTCGCTCATGTTATCGTCTTGTCACCCCACCTAAAATGGCCCTACCCTACACTGTGGGTTGGGGCATCCCTGGGTGCAAGACTTGGAGGAAGAGCTTGAATGGTCGGTCATTCAAGGTCGAGTCTATGAACCAACTAACACTGCCCTCTTGTAAATGGGTCCGTGATTTCTGCTGGCCTGGTTGCTTTCTAAATCCCATCTTAGAGCGCTTGTCGGACAAGCCGGGCTCCCATGTCCGACACGTATCGGACTCCCACCCCGATAGCCACGTCGGCTTAGTGACGATAGCTTCCCAGCCCGCTTAGAAACGGAACCGGCCCCATTCTTCGCCTTCGACGATGCCAATTGCCTCACGAGAAACCCACTCAACGTTCGTGAAATTCCAATTACGCATTACACAGAGCTTTCATCCCGAAGCTGTCAGCCCTCTCAAAACGGCTGCCCCGCCCCCACTTCTACAGCGCGCCCTCCGCCCTCCGTCCTCGGCCTGCGCCGTCACCAGTCCCGACGGTTCGCTCCGGTATCAACACCACCTCCATCTTAAACCTCGTCTTCCCCCTCCCCGTTTCTTCCTGAACAATGCGAACCGCAGTGCGAGTATTTGCCAGCCTGTCCAGATCCCGTCTTCAGCCACGTTCCGCCCTCGCCCCCATTCTGCGCAGCCCGTTCTTCTCCCGCACCATGTCATCCACCGCCGGCCCCGTCCTGAAGCAGTCCGTCAAGCTAGCTTGTATCCAGCTCGCTTCGGGCGCCGACAAGCAAGCCAACCTCCAGCGCGCGGCCGAGCACGTCGAAAAGGCCGCCGCCCAGGGCAATAAGATCGTCATCCTGCCCGAGTGCTTCAACTCCCCCTATGGCACCAAATACTTCCCCCAGTATGCCGAGACACTGCTCCCCTCCCCACCACCCGCCGACCAGGCGCCTTCGTTCCATGCCCTCGCCAAGATGGCCTCCGATAATAAAGTCTACCTCGTCGGCGGATCCATCCCCGAGTTCAACCCGGACACCAAGAAGCACTACAACACGAGCCTGATCTTCGGGCCCGACGGCTCCCTTCTGGCCAGCCACCGCAAGGTACACCTCTTTGACATCGACATCCCCGGAAAGGTCACGTTCCGCGAGTCTGATGTCCTCAGCCCCGGAAACAAGGTGACGCTCATCGACCTGCCAGAGTACGGCAAGATCGCCGTCGCCATCTGTTACGACCTGCGCTTCCCGGAGCTGGCCACCATCGCCACCCGCGAGGGGGCATTCGCCCTCATCTACCCGGGTGCTTTTAACACCACCACTGGTGACCTGCATTGGCGCCTACTCGGCCAGGCCCGCGCTGTCGACAACCAGATCTACGTCGCCCTATGTAGCCCCGCCCGAGACGTCAACTCCGACTACGTCGCATGGGGCCACAGCCTTATCGTTGACCCCATGGCCAAGGTCCTGGTCGAGGCCGATGAGAACGAGACCATTGTCGAGTGGGAACTGGAGGCCGACAAGATTGCTGAGCCGAGGAGGAATATCCCTCTCAACACGCAGCGGAGGTTTGATGTATACCCCGATGTGAGCAAGGGCAAGATTCAGTTTGAGGAGCCTTGATAGATCTGCGACCTCAAAGACAAAAAAGTAAAACGCATGTACGATGCCTATAAATGGGCATGATAATTTCATGGACACTGCTTAATTCTTCATGCTTGCGAATTGGTATAAAGGGGTATAGACATATGACCGGGGAAATGACTTGGAAGGCACTCTTCATCCTGAGACAACGTAACAAGACCTTACTTTGCAGTATGACCATAGTCTTTTCATTTCTTCATATCTGGAGTTTGTGCGCGACACGCGCTAACAAGTAATTCTATGTGACCACCATGGTCTTTCCTTTCGTTTTCCGTTTGAAAATCAAATGCAATACCACCCCGTCAACCCCGTGCTCGCTCCCGTATTGCCTTGCACTTATTGCAGAGCCTTCTTGGCGAAGTTGGGGAGGATGAAGCTAGCCTTGTGGATGTCGGCAGAGTAGTATTGGCACTTCTCCATCTCCTCCTCTTCGGTCCAAGATCGGAGAGGGGTCTTGACGTCGCGGGTGGCGTCCTTGCAGCAGATCATGAAGCCGATCTGGCCGGAGGGGTAGGTGGGAATGGTGGTGTAGGCGTACTCAGCGACGGGGAAGATCTCCTTGCAGTCCTTCTTGAGCTGGGTGATGAGGGGCAGGTGAAGCCACTGGTTCTCAGCTGTTGGTGAGAACGGACCCGTTAGCGGGTGCACTCTTAAAAACACACGATAACTGGCAGGTAAGGAGTGGAACAGCAGAACCGGCAATCAATAAAAGCAAGCAAGCATGCAACGCGGGACTACCGGAAGCAGAGCCGGGAAAGCAGCACTTGCTTCTGGCAGCCCCTAGGATTGGAAGGGTACCAAAGTACCAATCGAGCCGATCATGATGACCGGTTTACCCGATGCCGCCGTTCCTAGGGACTCCATGCCTTTCCTCAAGAAAAATAGGGAACATACAACCTTGGGTAGAAATGACACCGCCCTCACGGAGGGCAGCGTTGAGGAGAGCGAAGTAGGACTTCTCGAAAAGGGCTTGGGCGGGACCCTCGGGGTCGGAGGAGTCGGTGATGATGACGTCGAACTCGTTCTTGTAGTCGTCGAGGAACTTGAAGCCGTCGCCAACGTGGACCTTGACCTTGGGGTGGTTGAAGCCAGCGGACAAGGTGGGGAGGTACTCCTTGGAGAGGCGAATGACGGCCTGGCGGGAGGAGTTAGCAAGAGGGTTGGGCTACTTGACTTGAGTATGTGGACACATACCTCGTCGATGTCGCAGAGGATGGCCTCCTCGACGCAGTCGTGCTTGACAATCTCTCGGAGAACACCACCGTCACCGCCACCGATGACGAGGACCTTCTTGGGGTTGGGGTGGGAGTTCATGGCCAAGTGGCAGATCATCTCCTGGTAGGAGAACTCGTCGCGCTCAGTAACCTGAACGACGTTGTCCAAGACCAGGACGTTGCCGTAGTCGGTGGACTTGAAGATGAGGACATCCTGGTACTTGCTCTTCTCGTGGTGGAGAACCTTGTCAACGCGAAGGGTCATAGCCTGGCCTGTAGAGAGAATGAGATTGGTTGTAGGGTAAATGGGAGGTGAGGAAGCTTACCGGGCCACATCTCCGAGATCTCTCGGAACCAGCCATCTACAAGGTAGGTGGGTTAGCAATTGGGTCAAGAAAAAGGCGCCCTAAGGCCAACGCCTCAGATATGTCATGGCGCGACAAAGAATAAAGGAATTCTGGTCATTGTGGGGAGGGGAAGTGAATGCCCGAGCCAGCAAGGTGCAAAAATTCTCCAGATGCGACATTGCGCGTGCGCCTGGCTGTTGTCTGAGTGGAAAACAGCTAGAGCAACTATCGCACCTCATCACTGAGAAGCTGCAAATGCAGAACTCAAGGACGAAACCTGGAGAATTGCTCCTTATTGTGCTTTGTGGGCCGTCGGCTGGGAGCTCGAGTTCTGGTGGTATGGCGGGGTGACGATGGCTTATCATGGAGGAGGGGCAGGACAGTGGATGCGCGGGGTTGGCCAAGACAGGTAGCAGGCAAACATACCCTTGATGGTCTCGTGGGTGATCTCGTTGGACATTTTGGTAGAGGTTACGACGGAGCGTGAGAAGACGATTGAAGGAGCAAAGATACGATGGCGAGGCGAGTCGAATCGAGCGAGTAGGAGAGTCGAGTGGGAGCGCGTCGGCGATGGAGGAGGGAAGCGGCGCCTCTTATTAGCTTTGCAGGCGAAGCTGCAAGGTGGGGTGAAAATTTTCGACGCCCACCGCCGGGTTGGAGCCGCCAAAACTTGCGATGTGCCAGCCATGGTTGTGGTCGGGCAGCGACGGCCGTGCAAGTGCCAGCCGCCCGTCTCAGCTTCTGAATGTTGCACAGTTGCATGTAAATTTACCTACTGCTGGCCTTCCTCGCAGCTCCCGGCAGCTTGCCGCGGCGGTGGCCCTCGCTCGACCGGTCAGATCAGTTCTGGTGCGAGCCTGGAGGACGGCCTGGATGGACCTTGTACCCAGGCCTGGCCGATGCGGACCTGGCGGGAGGCCACTGATGACCTGGCACCAGTGACGGCGCAGCAGCTTGCGGGTTCTGGCGCAATGCTGGTGCTCTGCCGTGCTGCTGGTCTGCAGATTCGAGCTTGGCCTCTCTCTGGTTTTTTCCGTTCTTGGTAGTGCGGACGTCACTGCGAAGCTTAGGCGTGGGGTGGTGGAGACTGGACGATGCGCATGATGAGAGTAAACATCCGCTTCTCTAGGACAACATGGGGGGATGCATTGCGAATGCCAACAACATGAGCCAGACCGCTTAATGAGGAGTGATGATAGTTAGATTAAAGACGATGTCATTGGATTTCCATTGCGTTCCCACTGAAGCTCAGGGTCTGTCTGCCCTTGGTTGTTATCGATCTTCTTCCAGCCCTCTGGCGATTTTCGAAATTCCCATAGAGCTCATGAGATCAGCGAAGTATAGGTAGTCTACTTATACTGTGCTAGTACAGAAGGTGTAAGCAGGCATGACAAGGCCAAAACATCTGTCCTTCCTCTTGCAGCAAGCTCTCTTTGCCATTACTGGCACGTAGCGTGCATCCCTTCGGTCTGATCTTTTTTTTTCGCTGGCCTGGGGTGGTCCCGCAGACTGGGGCAGCGTGGAAAGAAAACACTCATAACCAATTGGGCATCGACCCTCTCTTACCAAAATCTTCCCCGTCCCTCCTGTGCATTAGAAGTGTGTAAGTGCATTTTCAGTAGCAGCCTGCATGGTTTTCCTGGGTCTACAGCGATGGCCGTATATGGGCCCGGTAATAAGGTCTAATTACGTCGGAGGCGGTTCTTACGTCAGTCCATTGACTTCATCGATGGGTCCCTTCCTCTCTACCCACATCCTGCTCTCTCTCGCCTTAGCACTATATGTACCTCCTTGTGAACTCGAATCATGTCCACGATGTCTGGTGGAGAGACAGCCGGCAACGGGTGGATGCCGGGAGCCATCTTCGGGAATGAACCGGTCCAAAAACGACCTGGATTTAGTTTAGTTAGCTCGGCATCCGTCAGTTTAGGGGAAGCTGGCTCTAGGTCCGGCGGTTGGCAACTGGCAGAATTACGGTACGTTGTACCCTCGGGTTTTCGGTCTCTGGGGGCCCTCTGGTTGTTTTCTCTGCCCATCCATGTCTGGCATCCCGGTATTTTTCCTACCCAACATCCCATTTCCTACTGGCCTGGTCCGCTTCCGCCCTCGCTTCGCTCGCGGTTGCGGAGTCAAAACGTGGCCCGTCGGTTGAGAATTTGCTTTGTTTTTCTCTCCACGCTGCACGATGCGAAGGCCCAATATTAACCTTGCTTCGGCCGTGGTAGCAACCGGCAGGAGCTGAGAACGAAAAAGAAAACATAACATCCACTCGAAGAGCGGAACTCGAATCCTCGGACCTTGAACCACTGGGGTGGCTCAGCTGGCTGTCTTGTCTAGAATTAGGAGACCCCTAAGACACGGGTCGACCGCTGTCGTTTGCATCACCCGGGATGATACTGTGTGTGTGTGTGACGAAGTCGACGCTTCCATCGTCTTTAAGACCGGCTTGGCCCGTCGCCCGCCTTCTAAACCACAAGGAGGAATTGCCATGGTACCCCTAGGAGACTGGATAGCGTCTCCGGGCTTGGCTACGACTTGAAACGACTGCGGGCACTAAGCTCGCGCCGTCAACGCAGGCCGAATCCGGGCCTGACAACTCTGATGTTGCAGAGGATTTCCCATCCCGGCATTCATCAGGGATACCGTCTGCTCGGAGACCCCGCTACGGGCTTCCGGCCTAGCAAGTGTGTATGGCGATCGCCACTGAAGGCCACGAGTATCCAGGAGAGTCCGTTATTTGATCATCCTCGTTAGGGTCTTCGCTGAACCTCGTGCTTGTCAAGTGCTAATGTAGCCCCTTCGCTGCCTTTACCACTTGCTGTCGGTACCTGCATTCGCCAATTAACCACCCATGTCCCGCGACGATCCCCGACGACCGTTGTATTCTGGGGCAAGGATGGCGAGATGGCGAGGTTGTCCCCCCCCGTTCGCCCCCCTGACCACATGGAGGCATGGACCGATGCACCGACCACAGCCCATTCATTCATTGCCTGCATTAGTACTGTGGTGAGTCGCTACGGCCATGCGCAGCACTTCCCCGGCGTCCCGTCATTTCTCCCGGAGTGAGGCCCCGACCAGAAGACTCTGAAATACATTGGCCCAAGGTCAGGGCTGAATGCGCTTTTGCCAGGGCCGGCCCTTAGCTTTGTTGACTCGTTTGGGTTGATGACAGGTCTTTTACTGAATGGTCCAGTGACCCAATTCGCGCTCTTAGTCCTCTTGGCCCAAAAATCCCAGTCGCAGGGTTTTCCTTGACAAATGCTGGATCTAGCGCCCTCCCAAAGTCGCTGGCATAGGATGCCACAGATTCCTACATGAGCGCTTGTTTAGATGAGGGTTGCAGCGCGTCGATTAAGCTCGCACTTCTGGACTTCAACATGCGACGACGCTGTGCGAACGAGGTAGTTTTCCCGCTCACAGCTGCGGAGGGTGTAGCTTGACGCCATCCGACTGTCCATGTTTTAGCGCAATCTCATTTTCTGTGGTGCCCTGCTATCGATTATGTAGGCGCAAGGCACAATAGAATGCAAACCCACTTTCAACCAGTGTCTCAGACATCAACTGACAAGCAATCTACCGAAATTGGGAGAAACATGGACGATGCAACCTGTCAGGTCCCGGAATAGTCTAGGATGTGTTCAGTGGTTGGAGCCTTAACATGATCGGGCCTGGATGGAGGGAGGGTTGGCTTGGTGGTGTCAAACCTTGAGCGCTCGACTACCGTGTGTAGTGCATGTGCCTACGGGGAATTCCTGTGGCCGTTGGGTCGAGCCAGCCTGTTGGGATTCCTTGAACGTCTTTGGATGACGCGATTTGGTTAAATTCTTGGGTTTCCTCCTAACGCACCTCGAGAGCTTGGTCATGACGATGTTGAGATGGGGGCTTCGACGGCTTCGAGGACTTAGAGGGACTGGAGGGCCGTGAGAGTTTAGAGCAGACGCTGCGAAGGTGTGTAGAGTTTCCAAGCCTCACGGGACCCAAAGGGGCGAGAATCTAGAGCAGGAGCGGCGACTCATAAGAGACATTCCGCACCGGAGGTTGAAGGCAACTCTGCTTCTGGGTCGTCGCGCAGCTGCAGTGGCGCACCTGGCGCGTCAACCTCCATCATCCAGGACGACGGATTCAGTTTAGCTGGGAATCTTCTGTAGGAGGATGGATGGACCCCACCGCGGACGGCACAAGAGGCACAAACTCCTCCGCTCGAGTCGCTGCACTTCCAGAGGCGGGTGCAGGCATACGTAGTACATAGTATGCAGCCCCCCGGGAGGCCAGGCCATGCCAGGCAAGGGAACTGATTGATGGCGGCCGAAGATTCCGGCGCGGCCTAGAGAGGGAGGGAGGGAGGATTTGCAGCGTGTAGGTAGGTTCGAGATGGCTGTGGCTGCTGTCTGTCACCCATTGTAGGAGAACGAAGGGCGGGATGCGACGCCTACATCACACCACGGCTTGACACACGGACGGCTCGCTGACAGACAGTGACAACTTGGCTCGCCACAAGTGCGGCATGGCCACCACATGGCGCTGAAGCCCTACATAGTAGACGTGCCGACGATAGCGGCGGTAGTGGTAAGGGATCGCGGCGGACGAGCGTGCATACAGACAAGCCGCTCTCCCGCGGGCTGGGTCCGCCGGTTCCTGGTCATGGCAGAGGAGCACAAGCTGGACAAGGTGCAGCATCCATTTCCAGGATGGACGGCGTTTTAAGGGGCCATTGGGGCCATTAGGGCCCCTGGGTTCCCCTCGGGCGGGCACCTGCTCGTGGTGAACCCAGGGGGCGCTGGATACGGGTCACTGGCTACTGGCCACTGGCCACTGGGGGGGCCGCTGGACTGCCTAGGGCGCGGCAGGAAGAGACAGACAGATGCAGGTGTCGCAGGTCCCTGGTGTGTACCTGATCCGGCGAGCTTGGCCGAAGCAGTAACCCCGAGGCTACCTGGCCACCTTACACGGACAGGCCTCGGGCGGCCGGGGCCCACTGAAGCCGGCTACGCTTAGGGCCGTCTTCCTAGCCCCAATGCCCTGCAAGCTCCTCTTGGGTCTTCTGGGTCTCCCTCACAAGTTCCCATGCTCCCACGCTCTTACTACGTACTACGTAGTACGCTCTCACGCTACCGCGTTCCCACGCCCGTCGTCGTCGTCGTCGACTCCACTCTCACGCCAACGCCAAATGCCCCTGTAACCTGGAACCGATGCTGGCGCCTGCGCCGCTGCTGCAAGCAAAAGGCAAACCCATATTAATAAAGGCCTTCTTGCCCATGCTGTATCGGGGCGGCCTCTTGCGAAGGGGAATGCTTTTTGCGCCATCGCCCAAGCCTGTCAATCCTGCCATCGTGGTGCTCCTTCCTTTCTTCCTTCCATCAACTTGGCCCTCCGCGTCGCCCGTCTCGCCTTCCATACCTGTCGTTGTTCGAGAACATCCGCCAACCTTCCTTCCCCGTCGCCCACGCGCCATCCCTGAATCCGGCCGAACTTCGAGCTCCGGTGAACCGATCAGCGCCGCGTCCAGTCGACAACCGTTAGCACGAGCACCGGGACTTGGGACGACTTGGGATTCCGAATCTCTCCTCCGTGACGATTCGACTTGATATCTGTGCCCCTGTGCCGCCGTCCCTTCTTACTTCGCCATCGACTTCTCCTCCACCACGAGCTCCCGTCTCTACACCTACCCGATCCGCTTCGACGCCCCTATCGTTGGGACCCCCCCCGCTCGCCCACTAAAATGTGTTTTGGCGGCCGAGACAAGGGCGATCACGGTGAAGCTCGCTCCCGCGAGCTCGACCGACAGATTCGCCAGGATGAGAAGCGACTGTCTAAGGAGGTCAAGCTTCTCCTGCTGGGTATGTTGAAGGAACAATGTATCACAACTGACTGGCACTGACGCGCTATGCGCTTGATAGGAGCTGGAGAGTCCGGAAAATCGACCGTGCTGAAGCAGATGAAGCTCATCTACTCCCAAGGTTTTAGTAAGAACGAGAAGCTCGAATGGAAACCTGTCGTATTCAACAACATTGTACAGTCCTTCAAGGTCATCTTTGAGGCCATGGAGGAGCTGCATATCCCATTCGAGAACCCAGATAACGAGGTATGCTTTCCTCCATTCCCTTCCGTGCTCCATTACCACCGCGTCTACGCGGGGGAGCTCCAAAATGATAGCGCGACAGTGTGAGACACTCAGGTTGCTAACGACAGGATAGAAACACATGGCACACATCCTTGTAGACCATGAGATCAGCCCCCAGGAGCGAATGCCTGAAGATTATCTGGAGCCCGTCAAGTCGTTGTGGGCTGATAGTGGTGTCCGAACTGCCATTTCCAAGGGCAATGAGTATGCCCTACACGATAACCTCTCTTAGTAAATGCCCCTCGATATCCTGACTTGATAACAGTGGGCTAATTGGATTCAAGCTTCATCGACGATATCGACAGACTTTGGGCCGAGGACTATGTACCAAACGACCAGGACTTGCTTCGGTCTCGACTAAGGACAACGGGTATCACAGAGACCATCTTTGATCTTGGCCAATTGACCTACCGAATGTTTGACGTAGGTGGCCAGCGATCGGAGCGGAAGAAGTGGATCCACTGCTTCGAAAATGTCAACTGCCTGCTGTTCCTCGTGGCTATCAGCGGGTATGACCAGTGTCTAGTCGAAGATAAGGATGGTGTAAGTTTTATTCCCCTTGCCAATCAAACTGGTTATCGAAGCTGACATTATCCTACAGAACCAAATGAACGAGGCCCTGATGCTGTGGGAGTCGATTGCCAACTCACACTGGTTCGTCAAGTCTGCACTCATTCTATTCTTGAACAAGATGGACTTGTTCAAGGAGAAACTGCCCAAGAGCCCAATCACCAACCACGGATTCACCGATTACCACGGCCCCAAGGACGATTTCAAGGCTGCCAGCAAATATTTCCTGGACAAGTTCCGTGCTTTGAACCGGAATACCGACAAGGAGATCTATGGTCACTTTACCAACGCTACCGATACGAACCTGCTGAAGATTACCATGGCCTCCGTCCAGGACATGATCATTCAGCGAAACCTGAAGCAATTAATACTATAAGGACCCATTGGCCATACTTAGTACCCTTTCGTGGGCACAGACACCGCGCACTTACCGCGCACACTTACACAAATTCTCGACACGTTCGACCATTACCTCCGATTTCCTATACATAATCGAGAGGCTGTCCACTTCTGTTTGAGCCAAACGGCATTTTTTTCTATAACCACGACTTCTTCATTCTGGTGGTACAAACCATTGGCAACATGGAGTGAGGTGTCAGGCGGCCTCTTTCACTGTACATGTACGATTTCGGAGCGGTAGCTGGGTAATAGACCAGCTGAGAACGATTGCATATCTTATATACCCTTTACCAATCATAGGGTTGCGGCATGGGACTTGTCACGCAGTGCCACTTGGAGGCGCTTGTCGGTTTGTGAATGGCGAAACGCGAGGACCTCTGAGGTCTCTTGGGATGAAAGAGCTTATAGGGCTGGTGCCTTGAAGACGAGATGAGAGATGTGGAGGATAGAGTTGCACATTGGATTTTTGCATGATACCTAGGTGGATATGTTTTCAGTGCCCTGCAATGTTTTGGCAGGGGAGGCACACTTGTTTATGACAAGACGTCTCCGATTTTACGATAAAGCATACATAAGATGAATCGATTACTGGAAACGATATTATCTACCACGATGTCTGAATGAACAATAATCTGATGGATACCCCGGAAGTCCCGGAAGTCCCGGATTCCGTGGTAGTCACGATGGTGGCTTGGGTCCCCACGAAGGAAGTACCCGACGTCTGGGTGTTCATGCAGCTCAATCGTGTGGCGTGCTGATCAACTCGTGATGCTCGGACCACTTGCGGCACTTGTGGGAACCAGGATGATGGAGCTGAAAATGTTGTGGATATGGTCGAAACTGTGAATTTTGTTGCATCCGATTATGGGCATTGAATAAGAGCGTTCCGGCATGAGACAAGCCAGGAGCTGTTCAAGTGGTCAGTGTGGCCCTTGGCCAGGGACGAGCCCGACGGTGAGCCTTGGGACAATTGGAAAGAGATGGGATTGTGGGTATTTCGCATAGTTTTCATGACGCATTGAACGAAGCAACACCTGTGTCAGAGGCGTCTCCATCTCGTCCGCCATCCTGGTGTTGGCCGTGATGCTTGGCGATGTTGGCGGTGTAGTGGGGCTGGGCTGCGCTTTCAGGTGAAGCACCATGTCTGAGACGCGGACGGGGCTATCATGTTACGGCTCGCATGGAGGGAATATGGACTGTCGCTCGGAGCAGTATCCCTATAAAGATTTTACACTTTTGCATCTGTATCGCTTATGAATTGGGTGGTTTGGGTCCTTGACGTGTGGTTGGCCGTTGGTCTGTAGCCACAGAGGGCTTGACCCTGTAACATTTAGGATTTTGGGGTTTGGACAGGCGCCTGAAATAGCAGCATGCAATAGATGCTAGGAGACGTGACACCTCAACTTTGAGCCGTTGTTGCGGCCATTATTCCGTCCCGCAGGTTAGTGAAATTACAGAAGGATATTTTTGCTTCAATCTTTCTCGTCTCTGGGGAGAGGAGGTCTACACTCGACACGTCGCAACCCATTCAATTCCTCCCCATTGTGATTCCCCGATTCTCCATATACAAAAAGCAGCTCATGATATAATTCTCTACACTCTGGAATCCATATACGCTTGTAGATTCTTTGCAATAGACAACTTGCACACAGATCTCGAGATAGAAAGCGAGGTCGTTGACAATCAACGATGGCGGCAAACTGACGTACAAAGCGGGCCCCGTCACCCGTAATCCACGGGACCTCATTGGCCCAAAAGACCTTCTCACCACCAAAAGTTCTGCGCAAGCTCAGCTCCAGCAGTTCCCTCAGCGCCCGCCCTCTTCGCCCACAACCTCTCCGCTTTCCCTCCTGCAACTCTCCTGCAACCCGTTTCCCCGTACATGTTCCGCCGCTTCATCACAACCATGGCTGAATCCGCATCCAAGCGCCTCAAGACCTCCGGTCCTCTGATCGGCACCCACAGCGGCCACTTCCACGCCGACGAGGCCCTCGCCGTCCACATGCTCCGCCTGCTCCCCGCCTACGCCGACTCCGGCCTCGTCCGCACCCGCGACCCGGCCGTGCTCGAGACCTGCCACACCGTCGTCGACGTCGGCGGCGAGTATGACGCCGACCGCCGCCGCTTCGACCACCACCAGCGTGGCTTCGCCGCCAACTTCCCCGGCCGCCCGACCAAGCTGTCCAGCGCGGGGCTCGTCTTCCTGCACTACGGCCGCGCCATCGTCGCCCAGCGCCTGGGACAGGCTGAGGATGCGCCCGACGTCGATCTGCTATACCGCCGCCTGTACGAGAATTTCGTCGAGGCGCTGGACGCCCACGACAATGGCATCTCCGTCTACGACCCCAAGGCCATCGCTGCGGCGGGGCTCGAGAAGAACTACAGTGAGGGCGGCTTCGGCCTGGGCGCCATTGTCGGCCGTCTGAACCCCAAGTGGAACGACACTGTCCCCGCCGACCGCGCCGAGGCTCAGGCTGCTGAGGACGCCAGGTTCCTCCAGGCCAGCCGCCGCATCGGTGAGGAGTTTGACGCCGAGCTCGAAAACTACGCCGGCGCCTGGCTCCCGGCGCGATCCATCGTCCAGGACGCCTTCGCAAAGCGCTCCCAGTACGACGAGCAGGGCCGCATCCTGGTGCTCGAGGGTCAGTCCGTGCCGTGGAAGGACCACCTGTACGCGCTCGAGGACGGCACGCCTTCCGTGCTGTACGTGCTGTATCCCGAGAACCCCCAGCCCGGTGCCAAGTGGCGCATCCAGTGTGTGCCCGAGAGCAAGGACTCGTTCGTCAGCCGCAAGCCCCTGCCGGAGGCTTGGAGGGGCTTCCGGGATGAGGAGTTGGACGGCATCAGCTCCATCCCTGGCTGCGTCTTCGTTCACGCCGCTGGCTTCATTGGTGGTAACAAAACGTTTGAAGGCGCCAAGGAGATGGCCACCAAGGCCCTAGCTTAGGCGTGTGGTGGACACGCATGAAAGTAACGTGCAAATGATATGCAAACACTTGGGATTCCGGTATGGGGCATCATGGGTAGGGATTAGGAGTTGAGAAACCCCATAAGGAGGGAAAAAAAAAGAACGATAGAAAGGTGCTTCAGGAACCGAAGCTGGCAGCTAAACGACCAAATACATGATGATAATTCATGGGGGCCAGACAAGGAAATTGTCGAACCCTAGAAAGCAACCCATCCGAGATTACGGATCGAAACATGTCCCTCCGTGCGTGCAAACCACATTGTTTGTCCTTCCTAAACGCCAACAGTGCGATCCTCGTAAGTCATCAAAAGCAAATCCTGCAATCCACAGAAAGCTCTTTCTCTCCCTCCGGCTTCGTACAAATCGTACCTTCCACCATTCGCACTGATTGTCCGCACCGACTCACACGGCATAACTCACCTCCGGATGGGGATGGACTCGCCGACCGGGGCGGGGGGAGCGGCGGCGGGGTCCTTGGGTTTGTCGGCGTCCTCGCCGTTCTCCTGCTGGGCCTCGTCGGCGTTGGTCTCGCTCTTGAGGAAGCTGCTCTCCTTGATAGGGCTGCCGGCCTGGATGCCGGGAATGGAGGCGTGCACGTGCTTGGGGCCGTTGCTGGAGCCGTTGGGCGAGGAGAGGTGGGGGATGTTCTCGGGGACGGGGTGCTGGGAGCCGACGGCACCGGCGTCGACGCCGTCGCCCTTGCCGGCCTTGGACATGGCGTAGTCACCGGAGTCGAAGTACTTGCGGTCCTTGAGATGCTTGGCGAAGTGGTCGGAGCGGGAGGGCAGCTTGCCGTAGAGGCGGAAGAGGCGCTGCTCCTCGGGGGAGAGCGACTAGAGAGCGGGGGAACAGGGCGTCAGCATTTTGTCGAGGAAGCGGAGAGAAGGTCGGTGCATGTGAACAGGAGGTAGGGGAGAGAGGAAGAGAGGAAGAGAGGTGCGTATTTCAGGCGAGGGTGAGGGTTGCAGGTGCCGTGGGAATATGTGGCGGTCGGTCGAGGTCGAGATGGAAGCAGGGAGGAGGGGTAGCTGAGGTGGTTTTCCCAATGGCCTGTGGCGTGCAGTGTTGGGCTGAGATGCTTACCTTGACGTCGACCTTGTTCTTCTGGTGAGGGTTCATGGTTGAGGGTGGAAGTCGAGCTGAGTTGTGTGGTTATGGCCGCAAAAGCGAGGGAGTTGTCGAGCCGTTTCGGGTTATGTCGTTGTATGCTGCAGGCGATCGGCTGAGGGAGGGTTGAGGTTGGAAGGTTGTCTCGAGCCTGGGGAATTTTGGAGGAGCCAGAGCGAGCCAGAGCCAGAGCGAGCCAGAGCCAGAGGGGCCGTGGTAGGTGGGGGACAGTGCCTGATTGGGCTGGGCTGGGCTGGCGGTGATGTAACCAGCTCAGCGCTGGAGTACGGAGCAAGTTAGGTTATAGGGGCTATAGGGGCGCTGGCCGAGGGCTACAGCGGGCGGCGGGTGCAGGTAGCGGGGCGGGATCGCTGTGTCGGGGCTGCGAAGTGAGACAACGGAGCCAGCGTGGGTGCGGTTGTAGTTTGGTAAGTACTGGTTGGCGTTAACAGCGATCGAGACCGGCCGTGAGTTGCGGTTGAACGTGGGTGCGACTGTCTATCAGGTACGTATGGCGAGTACGTATGCCCTTGCTCGTGATATGACGATTTCTTGTGTGTTTTAGTGTTTCGTGAGTGCATGAGTGAGGGCATGGAGGGTCCGATCTAAGGGGGCTGTGAGGGCTGTGAGGGAGGGTGATGATATATGTAACACGGTGTATTGCTGATCTATGGCTCATGTGTTTATCTTTTTTTTGCTTTGTGCAGCGTATTGCTCTTGTCGATCCCTTGAACCGCCGCCTGGGTGCCTAGATTGCACTGTATATATCACGGTTCTGATAATCGACGCCCGTCCTTACTCCTGTCGCTGCATTGCGAAGCAGAATTGATACAAACATGGCCCCACCGGGATGGGAGTAGAGACCTGGACCACCTGCCGAGCAACGAAGGCGCCAATCTCGGTCGTATATGGTTTTGCATGAAGAATGCACCCATCCCGAGCAAGTTGAAAATGCTCGGTTGGCTGTCCTCGGTCCCCGTGGCTCCCTGCGCACCCTTGTCCCTGTCGCCGCGACGCCGGTTGGGCTGACGGACCTGTCCCACGGCCATGGCAACAGGACGCCGAGACGCCAGGGCGCATGGTTGGGATGGGCCGACTTCGATCACGGCCCAGATGGTGGATGGGTGGTTGTGACGGCCCTGGAGCAGCTAGCTACGTACTACATAGTACGTGGTAGAGCAGAGCCCGGTGGGTGGGTACACCATCGCCAACAGACGTCAGGGTCCTCCAGTGGCCTACCGAACTGCGACGAGAGAACGGATACGATACGAACGATACTATGACTCCCGTCTCGCTCTGTGGGTGGGCTACGTCTGCTTCCGGCTCGCCTCGGCTGCGTGCGAGCCCACCCCCGAGTCGAACGCCGGGGCCCGTTCGGGGGGGGACCACTTTAGGCATCCGGGTGCCAGAAGGTTTCCAGGTTTCCACGTTTCCAGGTTTCCACGTTTCCACGTTTCCTTTGTTGTTGGGCACGCATGGCATGCCAGAAGCCGTGATCAGAACAACACACAATCAGTCATTGCCGGCGGCATGGCGTAATGCGGGTTGGACACCTGACGTTGTTGAGCTGGGCCTGGGTCTTCTCTGTCCGGTTGCCGGGCGATGGCTTGGTGTTTATTTTGTCCTCTGCGCCTTGCTGCCAGCCACGCAGCTGTCGCCAACCAACGTGATGCCAAGGTGCAATACCTCGATAAGCACCCTCCAACCAGTAGCCGCCTCGTTAACAACATGAGACGGTCGAGCTTCTTTAGAGTGTCGACCGCTGGTTGGTCTGGCTCGCATGGCAATCTTGGGGTGCTATCAACCACGAACGAGGCGGCACCGCCCAACACCATCAACAACTGCCGCCAGCACCATCCAGCCATTCACCCATCACCCAATTGTGCGCAAGTGACATTCCTCGCAAAGCCCATTCCTGCCCGCCATTCAGAGACGCCAGCCCTATCGTCACCGCCCTTCTATCCCGACCGTTCTTGGCTCGGTCCTCTCGTCTCGTCGTGTTCCCCTTCTTGCATCTTTCTCTCCCCCGCTTACACCAGCAGATAGATGATAAGTCTCTGGCTGCCGAAGTCATACGACCCTGTCGATCCCGTAAACTCGACCAAGATAGATAAAGGACCACGGCGAGACGCCCTGGGCCTGGAAAATATCCGCGGGACGTTGGACGTTCAACTCTGACCTCTCCGTAGAGTTCGCCGTGGGTGTGTGCGCGCGCTCATGCACCCCGCAGCCCGCCAGCGACCCTCACGTAGCGGCTGAGTGGGAAGATCGGTAAGTCGAGTCTCGGCAAGGTGTCATTCCCATGTGTTGTCGGTGCTTTGACGCTGGCGCAATCGGCGGACGGGCGGGCTTGCGGGCTTGCGAATGCATGCTCGATGTCCTCGGGGTCAATGTCTGGAGTGGTGGGCATCGTGTTGGCGTTGGCGATGGCGTCGTCAAGGTTTGACTGGTTCGAAAGTCAATTCCGCATGGCCAATCTTGAAATGCCATCGGCAATTCTCAATATATTTTGCTTCGATCCGTGTTCCATGGAAGCTGGCCGGAAGCCGTCTCCGAGGGTGCCATTCCAGAACACTGGATAAACCACGAGCCCGGGATGGTGCTGCTCGCTCCCGGATGGCCGAGACCTTCCCCAGTCGAGTTACTCTGGACCAATGCAGCTGTGCATCCAATACCGTCGAGATTGACCAATGGTAATGAGAAGCTAGAGTGATTAGCTCTGAGTCGCATTACTCGCGTGAGTTGCGTCTGCCCTCCTCCCGGGATTCACACCCATCCGCTCGCTATTTCCAAGGCGAACCCTTCAGACCAATAAGATCGCTTCTGCGCGCGGCCATTTGGAAAAGGCTCTGACCAAAAGTTTCCATCCAGCTGATCCTCCAACCCCTGTCTCCCTTTAGATCGACGATATAGATCACGGATGCTTTGGGAGAGATGCATCTAGTCAGTCATGCGTCACTGGGCTTCCAAGAGGTCTCTGTAATCTCCATGCTCCCCACGCCCCGCAACATCAAAAAGGCTCGGTAGTAGCATAATATCTCTCGGCCTCGTCTATCCGGTCTGCATGATGCACGCTTACTGTACCCCCATGCGTTGAGCCAGCGAGAGATGCAGGGTGGTTTCTTCCGGGCTTGGTGGAAAGGCGGTTGCAACGCTCTTGGCCACTCATAAGTTGTTTTGACTATTCATGCCTTCATTCTGCTTGGTGCGAATCCGAGCATTGTTCCCTCTCTCCTCTTTTGCCTCCGCACCATTTTCGAGGTGCTTGGGATTATGTCGGCTGAAGCCGGGGGGATTCCTCCGCACTGGGCTCATCATTAGGTGCGTTACTCGACATGTCGTCTACTTGTACTCTGGTGGAGAAGGCCAATGCAAGTCTCCTATGTAATGTTTGGGCTTTATAATTTGGCTTTTGTCAGCATGAAATCGACACTCCTGACAAATTGCCCAAGAGACTTGCAGGGGATAGAGGACAGCGGCTTATCTGCAGCAGACTAGTGCAGTTGCTCGCAGCGAAGCGAGTTGCATCGAGTCTAAGCGACCATTGACAATTTGACATGGCTTGTATCACGTTGCCTGAATACTATTGCTGGTTGGCGTGATAACTGCAGTCTTTGCGGTCTCCTCTCTGGAAATGATTCTTAACAAGCCTAGTGAACCAGCGGCCCTCTCGTCATCGGACTAGTTTCCGAGTAGAAGCGGGTAGACCAACTCGGTTTACAGTTGCGGCTGCCCTGGTCTTGTCACATCCGCAGCTCAACTGCTGACAGGCGGATACTACAACGGGTCGCGTTTCCGAGCGCTCAAAATAGCTTCTGCAACGACGGCTGTACCGATCAGGGGGGGGGGGGGGGGGGGGGGCTTATTTGGGGACTCTATCTTAGTTGATAATCACAGTGGACACAAGGCGCGCGGGCTTCTCCACCGCGCGGGGGCATCTCGGCTTCTGGCGTTGGTGGTGTGTTCCGGGAGGGGTTTCCGAAGGAGGAGGAAGAGGAGGAGGAGGATGAGTATTGGCGTCGACTGTGATGTGTATTTCGGGCTTTGGGAGCGTCTCATCTAAGATTCAATGCCGCCTTGCTAATACATGGGCTCAACCGCCACATAGAAGCCGGATGAGAGTGGCAAGAATCAGCACATTTATTACCATTACCACTCCCTCGTCACAACCGAATCCAACGGCTCCCACGTCTCTCCCAACCACCCGTTGGAGCTAGCGCCGCTGGTGCTACCCTCGGGCTCGAAACGACTCGTCGAATGCTGCCGCATCGGGCATGAGATGCCGATGATGCAATACCGGAGCCGATTTCTAAGCAGGAAAAAAAAAAGACGCGCCGCGCCGGGACCCTGGGAAACTGGACCAACAAGTCCGTGAATATTCCGCCTCGAGACAACAGGGTCGTCGTTAGGTACTGTATTAGGTACTGTATTAGGTACTGTGTTAGGTACTGTAGAAGTAGTTTTAGGTGATGGAGCAGAGGCTGGATCCACTACGGACGGACGATGGATCATGACCTTTCCTTTGACCCACGCAGCAGCACGCAACTCTCTCTCAGTCCCAGTCTCACAGTCCTGGTCTCAGTCTTGGTCTTGGTCCTCTGAACGGCGTCGGGTTAATAAGCTTTTGCTGCTTTCTGTTCCATCTGGCTCGTTCCCGTTCTCGCGCTTCTCCAAAGTCCAGATCCAGATTTCAGGTCCAGATCCGAGCGAGACTCGATCCTCACGTGCAAAAAAAAAGAAGTCGGAAAGGCGCAGAGCGACAATCCGCCAGAGGTCGCTCCGGGTCGTCGCCCACATCTCCGCCCACGCGACCCCCGCGACAGTTGCGACTTCGTGCGCCGCTCTTTCTGGGATACGCCAGGCAAAGGGACTCGCAGGCAGAGGGACTCGTAGCCGTGACGCCCATTGAGCTCGTTTCGCTGTCCCCGAAAACTGAGTCGTTGGCGGATATACGTCTACGCCTCCGAGCGCGGCATTTCCCTGGTGGGCTTTCGCATATCTGCTGCTTCGCTCTGCTCGGTCTGCATCCCATCGCAGTCGCATAATTGCACCGACCAGACAGACAGACGCCAATCCCACCCGTCAAGCGCCCCATCCCGCGTTCCGTGGGGATCGTCTCATTCAGGCACGGCATCACTTGACGTTGAGGCTTCGTTCCCCTCCCACTCCCACTCGGGCAAACTCCGCCGAGTCTCTCTCTCATCAACACATCTCACTCACCCAAGTCGCGCAACTGCCTCATCTCAAGGGCCGTCTCATCCACTGCGCGCTCACACTCACCTCATATTCCTGGAACAACACCGACTCTCACCATGGGTTTGTTGTAAGTCGTCTTTGCATCACACGCAACTTTTTCTCTGCGCTAAACAAGAGGGATATCCAGAGCCTTGGGAACAGCCCTCGACTGGCCCGACGTCAAAAAGCGCGCGCCGCAAGTCAGGGAATGGGGCATCAAGGTAACGTCTTGCAATCTTCCGCTGGTTGTTGCCGTCATGATATAACGTACTGACGTCGATGGCGCGAATAGCAACTCTTGGAGATCTGGAACAAGGCCAAGGGCAAGGAGCGTGATGCCTTGTTGTGGGGGGATGAGGTCAGCTCTCCCTAGTAGCACGACATACACACCCCAGCTAACTCATACTCAGGTCGAGTACCTGGTCGTGACTTACTCCGACCATGACCCCAAGGTTCTTCTCTCTCTCAGACAGGCCGAGATTCTCGAGGCGCTGGCCGCGGACAAGGAGCTCAAAAAGAAGGGCGGATGCGTCCCCGACCTTCAAGATGGAGAGCAAGGTGTTGCCGACAAGTATGAACAATGAACAACTCGACTTCCTGCCCTTCTTTTCCACATTTGCTGACGAACCGCCAGGGAGCATCCCATCCCCGTGTTCCACCCCGAGTTTGGTCGCTTTATGCTTGAGACAACCCCCGGGAAGCCATGGGGAATCGGCTTCAAGGAGCTGCTCGACGTCGAGCCTGACATGAAGCTGCGGAGGAAGATTGCCAAGGCGCACATGCTGTCCACCGAGTATCCCATCACGCTGACGACGTTCCCGCGCATCGGCGCTCCGGGCCAGTTCACTGACCCGTACTACCCGGTCTCAGGTCCCCGGCTGCGCTCTCAGTTTGTCCCGGACGAGATCGCCAACCCTCACATCAGATTCCCGACGCTGGCGGCTAACATCCGGTCTCGTCGAGGCCGCAAGGTCCAGGTCAACGTGCCCATCTTTCACGACAAGGACACGCCCAATCCCTGGAAAGACCCGACCGTCAACTACGACCTGCACGACTGGCCCGAGGACGACGATGTGCGAAACGGAGCCGCACCCGACAACTTTATCCACATGGATGCCATGGCCTTTGGTATGGGCAGCTGCTGTCTGCAAATCACCTTCCAGGCCAAGAACATCATCGAGGGAAGACAGCTATACGACCAGCTGAGCCCCCTAGGCCCCATCATGCTGGCTTTGACGGCGGCCACGCCCATCTACAAGGGATTCCTCGCCAACACAGACGTGCGGTGGAACCAAATCAGCCGCGCAGTGGACTGCAGAACCCCACAGGAGTTGGGTGAAGAGGTACGGATGCTTCCTCCGCTTGGAGCAGGCAATCATATTAACTGTGTGCAGCCCCTGACGGATGGCGTTCGGAGGATACCCAAGTCGCGCTATGCATCCAACTCGACTTACATCTCCACTGACTCCCGGTTGCGGAAGGAGTATCTCGATCCCGACCTAGTGTTTGACGCGGACATCAAGCAGCAACTTATGAATGGCGGAATGGACGACCGACTTGCAACTCACTTTGCCCATCTTTTTATCCGGGACCCCATTGTAGTCTTCGAGGAAGACCTCCAGGAATTGGACTTGAACAAGACGGACCATTTCGAGAACATCCAGTCGACTAACTGGCAGCACATGCGGTTCAAGCCTCCACCCGCAGACAACAGCATCGGCTGGCGAGTTGAGTTCCGGTCCATGGAGATCCAGATCACCGACTTTGAAAACGCCGCCTTCTCAGTCTTCATGGTTCTCGTCACGCGAGCTATTCTGTCTTTCGACCTCAACTTCTACATCCCCATTAAAAAGGTGGACGAGAACATGGAGCGGGCTCATGCCGTTGACGGCGTCCTCAAGGAGAAGTTTTTCTTCCGCAGAAATCCATTCCCTAGCCGTCCTTCTCGAGCGAACACCGTCATGGGCGACGAGAGCCGGCCCGGATCGGCGTATCCCAGCCGGCCTGCAACTCCCTCTGGACCGGTCGAAGACGAGTACGAAGAGATGACGGCCAACGACATCATCAACGGATCGGCCGACGGGGACTTCCCCGGCCTCATCCCCATTGTCGAGAGCTACCTCGACAGCGTCAACGTCGACGTCTCGACCCGATGCCAACTCGCCACCTACCTGGACCTGATCGGTAAGCGTGCGCGCGGCGACCTTGATACCACAGCCCGCTGGATCCGCAACTTTGTGGACACACACCCGCGGTATAAGCACGACAGCGTTGTGGATGAGGAGTTGAACCACGACCTCATCGGCGCCGTCATTGCCATCGGCGAGCGCGAGAGCGCCGGCCAGAACTTCGCGGGGCTGAACATTCACGGGTTATCGCGACTGCTCAACGGGTTCCGGGGAGGCTGCGGCGGCAACGGCAACGGGACGAACGGGACGAACGGACACGCGTACGGCAACGGCAACGGATCCCTGAAGCGGAAGAGCGATTGGATCGATGGGGCCGAGCCGGCGCGGAAGGCATGAAGACAGGAGAAGCCTGATCCAGTTTGCAATGACTACGGGGGGCGGGCATTTCGTACATACAGCGGCCTGATTACGGCCTTGGCGACTGCGAGTCGCAGCGCTTTGACATTGATATGCGGAGGAAGATGCACAGCTAATAGATGGATCGACGCAAAGCTGCATACGCCAATGCGGGCGATGCTGCCAGCAGGAAGCGGTCCCCATAGAGGCTTACCTCTATCAGAATGAATGAATTACATGTCACAACCGCCCAGCAGCTCGCCGCTCGCCGCTTGCCGCTTGCCGCTCTCTCTTCTTACACGAGCGGCCGATGCATTCGTAGATTGAGACACTAAAGCTAGCACATCGCCGGACCGGGCCCCGGATCTGGCTCCGATGCCGTGGTTGACTCTCACCTGTTCCGTCCCTTGTCTCTCAGCCCGCCACCCTCAGCTCAGTCAGATCTAGGCAAGCCATTATAAGCTATTGTACGCCATTATACGCCATCCAAGTCACCTTCCCAAAATCCCACGCGAGGCATGCCAGCCCCCCATCTGCCAACTCAACAACGCGAAGGCATGTCTCACCGAGTAAAAGGGATGTGGGGGTGGTCGGATGGAGGGGGGGGCTTGAGACAGCCCCTTACAGCTAGGCAAAATGCACAAACGCGTCTTTCCAGTTCTGCCCCAGTGTCTGAGACAACCTCATCTTAGACTCCAAAAAAAGAAAAAGCTACTAGTTCTGTCATCTATCCGCAATGGGGCGAAGGGAGACAGGCGGCGTGCGGTGCCACTAGTGAAAAGAGAAAGAAAAAAAGAAGTGGTCGGGATAGAACACGCCCCTTTCGCGGAGGCGGCTTCCAGACCCGTGATGAGACACAGACACAGACGACTCCGACTCCGACTCCGACTCAGATGATGACGACTCAGAAATCGGGTCGGGATGATGCCGTCGGGGGTCTGGACCGTCTCCTCAAGGCGGTCAGGCAGAGAGTGGCTTCGCCCATTCCGCGCTTATGTCTGTGGCGGCCCTCCCAAGCTTCAAAAGGCGATGGCGATTGATGCAAGCAGTGTCTCGCGAGACAAGAAAAAAGCGTGGGGATCCAAATGGGGCGAGCCACCGACGCCAGCTCACCGGTGGCAACTTGGCACGACCGGTGAAGCAGACAGGCGCAGATGCAGAATACTCGTCTTTTTTTTTCCTCCCTCGACCATCCCGCCACCTCTTTGTCGGGTTACGTATCGAATCTGTCTCTCTTCGCCTCTCTCTCGCTCTGCATCGGACTGGCTGCGCCACTAGTGGGCTACTAGGTTTATGTATATTTGCTTTTTCTTTGAGGCCCTCATGGGGGCGCAACGGATAGTGTCATGATGTGATAATGGCGATGGGATTACCCATCCGGGAATCTGACTTCTCAACAGAGTGGAGACTGGGGTGGCAGCCGACAAGAGACTATGAGATGCATGTCTCTCATCGTCCCGCCTCGGATGGACGCAGAAACTGCATAACCTGTCAGTGCCATGCGCGCCGTAACGTCAGAGGCAGCCAAGGGCCGAGATCTGGAGACACCGCGGCGGCGGACGCCGTGGGATTTAAGCGAGGTCGACGTCCGGGACAATGTTTCTCTCTCATCAAAGCTGAAAGGTGAACACCGAGATATGGAACCGCTGGCTGGAGCCGTTGCGAAGACATGTTGCCGTGGCCAGACGGGGTAGCGATCGGCGCTGGTGAGAAGGGGGGCGGGACCGGACATGGAGATGGGAGATGGGAATTGTGAGATTCGACATGCGAAATCCGACATGCGAAATCCGATATGCGACATGTGAGATGAGAGATGGACAAGGACAGGGGAGTGAGGAAGCGGGATGGAGAGGGGGGGGAGGGCGTGAAGCCATCTGCCACGACCCCTTCCTAGTCGCTGGATGGGATTGCGGCCGCAAATTGACCCAAGATGCGACGATCAGAAAGGGATGGCAGGCAAGGAGGCACGCCGCTAACATCGAACTAGTTGTCTAGTTGGATCTCGTTGACAATCGTTAACTCGGTGCGGGCGTGAGAACATACTTCGTTTTTCGTTTTCGGAGGTAGGCAAGGCGGGCTAGGGCTGGCTGACTAGTGACACTAGCCCAGTCAGCTTAGGACGAGGCTCACCAACCTAATTTGAACGCGATGAAACCCCTCCTGTCTTGAATGGTGGAGATGAAGTGACAGTCGAGAAGTGACTGGTAGGATGTGTTTCCCAGAATAGTCTTCGGACCCTCCCCGAGATGGCTGGGCGAGACTCGCCCAAGACGGAGAATTACGAGCGACGTTCCGCACTTGCATGGCAGAGACTTGCAGAAGAAACAGGCAACTAGCTAGCTAGCGTGGAATAAGGCCATTGGAACGCGTTGGCATTTGAGAAAGCGGGCCAGCTCTTGTCTCAGTTGTTGTTTAGTTGTGAGTTCTGGTCGGTCTTGCGAGAAAGGTTAGAGTTGCTGATCGGAAGGGTGTACTAGATGTGGTTATGGGACAGGGAAGAACACCTGGGAAAGTCTCCGAAAGTCTTGAGATCCCCGAGAGGCCCTGAAGGTTCGCTGCTTCATCTGCGAGTTCCGGGGATGATGTGTCTGTCTGCCTGTCTGTTTGTCTGAGATGAATGACGGGCCAATGGTGCCATGCTGTCTTAGACGTAGTCGCGGACAGCACCTAAACCGTTGGGTGGAGTGATCCCACTGGGGATTGGTTAAAACCTGTCCCAAATAGGTAAGCCTTGACTCGGAGTGAGACCGGCGGACCGAGACAGGACTACGCAGCAACCCATTCCGTCTCATGATTCCTGTTTTGAAATCTCGATCCCAGACTTGAGAATCCGGTCATGGTGGTCGAGAGTCTCCCTCTCCCTCTCGCCCTCTTGCTCAGAGGCCCGCCCGGGAGAAACACCCGGCCATCAGCCGCGCACAGACGGGAACCGCGTGGCTCGCGCCCCGGCCGCCAAGTCCGATCCGGGAAGCCCCGCCGCCGATCACTCCGGTCTAGACGGTCCAGACCGGCCCTCTCCATAACTCCCGTCTTCCGACAGGCGGTCACACACAATCGCATATGTCGTCCCGCGAGCATGCGACCGCACGAGAAAAGAGTGAGCCGTCCGACCTCCGGCATAAAGAGGAGGATGCCAAGACATGGGTGAGCCGTATGCTGGTTGACAAGACACGACACTACAAGGCACGGATACCTCAACCCGCGGCCGCGACACGGCAGTCTGCCTTGCCAGTTCAGCTGAAAGCTTTCGGATCATTACTGAGTACACTTCCAGCCGTGTCCCAGATCGTGAATTTTTCTCCCTTTCAAACTCAATCTCCATTGTAGCGGCTCGGGTTTCGAATTTGAAGACATAGGCCTCACACTCGCCCCAATAACTCAAGTCCCGAAACGAGGCTACCAACCTGTGGAATGGTGTTGTCTGTAGGAGTTTAAGAGTCTAGGGTCCTCATCCACCACGGCGTTGCCTTGGCTGTTTCATTCCCTTCTCGTCGGTCAGGCAAAGCGTCGATAGTCGACGGGGTCGTGGTATGAGGCGCCAAAGCCCACGAGGCAAAGCCTCTATCTCTGTGGAACTTCGTGGCCCGGGCCATTTCTTCCGCGAAGTGTCGACGCAAGGGATCTGCTGCAACTGCTGCAATGGTGCTTCCAGTCAAGGACATCCCTGTCTCCGGCCACGAGGACGGCTGTCACATTCCTAGACGCCCCCGCCGCAGTTGCTTTTCCCCACGGCGACGCTATTTCGCTCCCTACATAACGTCGACGCCCATTTCACCCCTCACACATCCCGCCTGTGTGGACGTACGTAATATGTGCGGTACAGCCCATGGCTCCACACCTAGACGCCAGGGCGCGACATGGCTGCTGCCGTAGGAACTGGCCCAAAGGCTCGATCCAAAGGGAGGCAGGGCGACTCACAATCTCATTCTTGAGCCTTCCTCCACGTGGCCGGCACAACATGGGATGTGGGCCGGCGGATTCGTTCGTTCGCTCTAGGAATGAGGGCAGCGGGCGATGGCTTAAGACAAACAGACGTTTACCCATAATGGGCATGGAGTCGTCTCGTCGTCGGAGTCTGGGAGTTTGTGTGTCTCTGCGCAAGAAGGACGACGAGGACGGCACTCGCAGTGTTGGCTTCAAGCGACAGAATGACGTCGATGATGGAGACGAGGCGGCACAGAACAACGTGGACTTGACGATGGGTGTGGGAACGCGGGCGAGGGAAAGCGATATGTGACGAGAATGAGCGCCCTAGCTCAAACGGGGAGGAGCCCATTGACCCCCAACGTTTGTGTTGGACCCTCTCAATATTGGTTGGTTGGTTGTCTCATCTTCCTGACTGATCACTTTGATCAGTGAGGGCCGGTTTCCATCATGTTAGTCTCTCGGGGTGACTTTGATGCCCTCGTACTGCCCATCAATGCCATTGACGCAAAAAGGAAGCAGGTAGCGACGGACCCGAAGCTGGCAGTGCACCGAGTCCTATTCCTCTCCAATTAGCATGCCATTGGCGTGTCAAAGCGAGCGAACCGACCAACTGTTCAACACCAATGCACGCATGCATCAAAGTCATACATGATGCATTCGCCCCCAAAAAATAATCCACCCGACGGACGGTTCAGCCACAAACGCAAGGGTGGGACTGAGCCGACCAAGCACTTACAAACACGCGGCACCAGCAGCGCAAGGCACGGCAGCGCAAGGCACGGCAGCCGCCCTTGTGATACGGTGGCGAGATGGCGAGGTGGCACGGTGGCACAGTGACGCGAACCAGCATCCATCGGCAGGGAAGATCTCGAAAGAGGTGCAGATTCGCGTGCTTGCAGAGCCGGTCTCTGATGGAGTAGCACACGCGCGCAGCCATGACCCACGGTGGAGGCACAGCGCATACGAGGAGTTGTCCTCCGTCTGAGGTGGTGGTGGCTTGTTGACCGGTTGTAGTTGTTGCTGTTGTGGATGTTGTAGTGGACTTTAGATGGTGGGTGAATTGTAAATGGGTGTATGGGCATATGGGCGTATCGCCAGCGTGACTCGTGCCTGCTGCGTAGGTACCTACCTTATGCTTCGCACTGACCGTAGTAGGAAGGTATAAACGTGGGGTGGACGAGCATCTGGCCAGCACCTTCCAACACAGCCAAGGCTATTCGGGGTGCGCGCACGACAGAGGTGCACACGAGTTGGGCCAGAACCAGGCGCCACGGGTGTAAGTGCATCTGCAGCGTACGTGGTTCAGGCATCAAGACAGCTAGATAGCTTCACTGCCCATCTGCTGTGCTCACCATCACGGACCCCGTCTCGCGAGTCACGGCGTCATTCCCTCCAGCGCCCCAGAATGCACCAGCAAGCAATTCTCCAATCCCCTGCAATTCCCCGGTTCCCTGCAATTCTCATCCCCCTTCGCCTCCCAAACACCCGCCACCCCCGATGCGAAAGCGATCCCGATGCACGAGCCCATGTCGCACATCCAAAAGCAAAAGAAGGAAACGTCGTCCAAGGCAAAAGAAGTGAAAAAGAAAAGAGAAACCAGCCATTCATTGCATGCCAGCCAGCTCGAATCTGAGCCATGTCCCGTCTCCCCGTCACACACTCTACTCCGTGCTGAGCGAACTACTCCCGCCCACAGCTTTGTACGCCGTGTGAAGTACTGTCCAAGACACCAACATCACAGCAGAACCGCGCTCGCTCTCTCGTTGTAGCACCCACGGCACCACGGCAGCAGCGCAGCGGAGCAGCGGAGCAACACCCTCCTGCGCAACGCACGTTCCCGTGTCCGATGAGCTGAAGCATGCTACCCGTTCGTCAGATCTCCCCCCAGTCCGCGGGCTCGTGCTCAAATGCTTGTACTCCATCGAGCCAGCCTTGTGCTCTGACCTCCAGCCCGCTCAGCTGCTCCTCATCCTCGTCCCGCTCCCAAGTGTCACCTTGTCCGTGTCACCGGAGACTCAGAGAGCAAGAGAGAGAGCCAGAGGGAATCACCGGGGCCAGACCATTCACACTCCGTGACAACCGCGCTTCCGACATCACATCACAACTTGTCCCCGCTCATGGCCTCATCCTCCTCCACACCGGGCGTGGGATGGCACTAATGCTGCTTGAGTGCAAAGGTTTTGCTTTTTTCCAACGCCCTACTCGGTTGCTTCTCCGTTAGGCTTCCTCTCCCCCCCCCCTCCTTGTCACTTGCATTCGATGTGCAAAATATCGACAAGTCGTTTCTCACTCCCCCATGCGGGACCGGTGAAGACTGCCCCAGCAAGTTGAAAATCGACTAATAGAAAACCGGTAGAATACACTGTGAGAAATAACGCCGTGTCTGGAGGCTAGCTGCTGGATTCGTCGGCCAGCTGCGGTAGTAAGACCTAGAGTCACTCCCAGACACATCTGCTTCATCGGTCGAGTCCATGGCCTGATGTGGCGTTGGTTGTTCTACCCACCCGCCCTCGCCAGCCTGCTCGACATGCGGGGGATCGGGAACCCTAAGGACCCCATCGACCCCATAGAAGCCCTACTAATGTCCCAATCAGCCAGATAGACTGGCGTTAGCCGCTCGTGATTGTTCTTGAGGCGTCCCTGAAGTCCTTCCTCTTCCATGACTCTCCAGTGCAGCTTATACACACACCTGACTCGGACCCTCATAACATGCTGGCAAGCTAGTTTTGTCTTGAGACAACAGGGTACAGAGTGGAAGTCACATAGCACACAGAGATCGAACAGGACTCCAGAGCACGCGGCCCTGGACAAGATATTGTCATGTTGTTTCAATTCCATCATTTCGGATTGCTGAACCTAGCCCTCGCTCTTCGGCTCAAACACCCAGCCCCGTAGCCCCCAACTTGTACACTTGTCCGAAACATGAAATGAAATCCCTCCAGAGGCAGTACCCGAGTACTTCGTATGATGCACGCCCATGCTGTCCGCCTGTTTCCCTCGACGTCTGGCGCACAACCGATCCTTTCTAGCCGGGCGCCTGTCACAGCCATCTCATCTCCCTCTGCCACGCATTCAATCTGCCCCTGTTGTGAGAGTCCTGAATCGTCCTCCCACAGCTGCCGTCGCTGTCCTGCGTCAAACCCATGTCCCAGGGAGTGGTTGAGACGTTCCCAGCCCAGCTTCCAGCCCAGCTTCCAGTGTCTCCGTCTACCCTCTCCGCATCCACACCTGGCTCAAAGCCGTGCAATTTTCCACCTGCCCCACAACACCGCCACATGTGAAGGAACACTCCAAAAGAGAACCGAGGCCAAAGCCTCGTTGAGCATCTGCCATGATTGCTTTCAATTGCTCCACCTTCCCTGGTGGCTTCTCTTTTTGTCTAGGAACCCGAATATCCTACTATCCACGCCCAAACTCAGAAAACTATACCCCAACAACCCGTAGATAAATAAACGCCTGCAATGCTGTGGATCCATCCACCTAGACCGAGGTATCCTTGGTGTAAAAACATATATACAAAGAACGATTTCGTTTGTCGCTCAGAAAATCGGGTATTAATAAACGTCGAATGTTGTGCTGCCTCCACCGTGCAGCAACCATGAGCTTGCGTTGGCTCTCGGGCATCGAACGGTTAACCGTGTGAAGCTGGGTTCATCTAGAACCGGGCCGGGAAGAGACTCATCTAGAGCTCGTGAATGATGACCAAAAAAAAAGGCCGCTCTATGGTCGGAGTCCCTCTTCGGGTTTCGGTCGAATCGATCTCGCTTCCAGCTGTCGTTTCCGCTCCAACTTGGCATAGTGAAGGCCGCAGGCATTGCAAAGAGTCCGAGCGCCGTCCGGTCCGCGTCTCCACTCGGGGGTGTCAATTCTGTTGCAGCTGTGGCATCTGCCGGGTGGTGCCGCTCGCTGAGAAAAGTGTGAGCTGTGCGTTTCCTCCAAGTTCTGGGGTACACTTACACCTCGTCGCTTCTTGACCTCCGTAATTCCATACTGGGGCTTCATTCCATCTCCGTACATTGACACATCATGGTCCTCATCGTATGGACCCTTCATCTTAGCTCCCTCACGAGCTCGCTCGTTTTGAATGGATGTCTGGACCAAGTCCCTCACTTGCTCCAGAGATCGCTTGATAAGCTCAATGTTGCTGAGCATGTCGCTGACCTCACGTTCCGTTGGCAGTCGCTCGGGAATCGGGTGTGCTCCGTGCTGCTCCTGGGCAATTCGACTATAAGCTTCCGCAAAGTTGAAAATCGTTCGGGATGAAGATCCAATCTAATCATGGTCAGAAATGTCTTACGTGAATAGTTAATATTAATACTCACTCTGCTCAATGAGTCTTGGTAACTCCAGCTCTCGAAGTGTCTGTTCACCGTAGTATCGTATCTAGCCCGAGCAGAGTATTCGGCCTCTTCCGGATGCGGTGGGCCTCGAGGGTCGTAGGGTCCTGAAAGATGAGGCGGGACACCGTGTCTAGGAGAAATGGGATAGGCCGGCAGCGGCATTTGGCCTGGAGGCATTTGGCCTGGCTGGTATGAGCCAGGCGGAGGAGGTGGATGCGCATACCCTCCGTTGAGAGGGTGGTGAGACTCAGGCTTTTGTTGTTCAGGATGATGGTGCTGAGGGGCCATGTCAGGCTTGGACGTGGGGCTCGGGCGACGATCAGAGACTGGAGGGAGTGGTGGTCGGCTGTTGAAAGGGGGCCTTGGTGAGTCGGAAAAGGAGGGTAAGGCATCCTGTCGAGGAGGGAATGATGTAGGATGCAAAGGCTGCGGAGGTGAGTGCTTGTCGGCATCTGAAAATGATCGAGGTCCCGATGAGAAAGGTGAGGGCAGGCTGGAGCCAGGCTGCATACTGGGGGGTGCTGGAGGATATGAGCCTGGCTTGGCTCCTTGAATGACCTCGGAGATGGAGGGCAGTGACTGGCGGTTTGAGGGCTCGTTGTCGTCAACCGACTTTCGGGGCTCCACGGAAGAAATCATGTTGGAAATGCTCGCAGCCGAGGAATGCGGGTATGCCGAGGGGAAGGATGGTTGAGGTTGATAGTGGGAGCTCGGTGTGATGAGAGTTGCCGTGGCCATGGCGGGTGGTTCCCGATACGAAGTGTCGAGAGGATCCCGCGAGAAGGACGAGTGTTGGCGGTGGTGTTTGTACGGCTGCTGTAGTTGGTGCAAGTGGTGGAGAGGGTGTTCAGAGTTAGGAGCAGAGTGACGACTGTGAGAGCAAGGGGATGTTAATATGGGAGGGGCAGATAGAAGTATGAGAACGCTGGTGTGGCAGCGCTCTGCGTTTAAGGAATTCAGACGGACCTTTGTCTGGCTCCAGGGTCAGCCGCTTCCATAGCGGGTCTTGCAATTACCAATGATGATTTGGCGCAATTTAAGGCCGTCGATACATCTGGCCTGGCTAGATCCGGCTGGGGGGTCTGGTGGTAGAGACGATGGGACGGGGTGTGCGAGAGATGGAGGAGGAAGAGGTTCAGTGGTTCGGTGGTGGAGGAGCCAGGAATGGGGTCGAGACACGGGACCAGGACTAGATGTGACGGCGGACTCTCAGGTGAGGATCGGGGGGGTGGGGGGGGCCGAGGAACGAAATAAGAGGCGAAGAAGGAAAGAAACAAATAATACCGGGCAAGCCACGAGGAGTGGGTAGATCTGACGCGCGATGGCGAAGGGACCCTCGTGGGTGGCGCTGGGGCGGGACGATGGCAGGGACGTCTGGGTCTTGGGAATCTGGGACTTGGGTCTTGGGTCTTGGGGGGGGTCTTGGTCGGCGCACCGCTAGAGATGGGCGAAGACTAGACTGGGGGAGGGGAGTGTGCGCTGTAAGTGCACTGGGAGTGTGTTCTGGGTGCCCTGGGACTAGGGAGATGAGGAGCGTAGCGCAAACTCAACCCAGCGGCCGCCTGTCGCGGAGCTGGTCCAATGGCCGGGGTCTGGGGACGTAGCTTTCAGGTCAGTCCAAGACAGCGAGATGGGCGGGTGGAGCCAGAAACCACGGCACTGGATTGCACTTGTCTCTGGCTGGGGGCTGACAAGACGGTCGAGGCTAGCGACGCTTTTGGCTTTTGGCTCCTAGCGACGAGGGGGCAGATCGCCCGCTACAACGTGGGCAACGGCGTCGGGCGGCGTGGGCCGGAGGGAAAGCCTCGTGTTGGAATGCACCAGTTGTCGGTACTGAACCTTGCCTTTGGCGGAGTCGTCGAAATCCTCGGGTTCTTGAAGCTTGACTGGGTTGCGACCCGGCGTTTGGGCAACGAACCGACAATGACACGGGAGCCGGGGCAGCACAGCGCCACTAGAATGGCGGGCAAGACGATTCCTTGCTGCTGCCAACGCGATGGCGGCGTCTGGTAGTGTCTTATTCGGTGTGATGGCTGACTCGAGGCAAGACCGAGGAACCGACAGCGAAGGACCAGCGGTGAGAGGGAAGGGGGCTGGGTGGGTAAGAGGGTAGAGAGATATGGAAGGCGGATCGAGGATGAGGTTTGCTGTGGAGTTGGTGATGTTGGTTCAAGGCGGCAAGGAAGCAGCAGGAAGCCGGAGGGAAGTAAAAGGGAAGGAAAGGGCGGGAAGGCGAAAGCGGAGGAGGAAAGAGAAGAGGGATCGGGAGAAAAATCAGCGAAATGTGGTGCAGCCCGGTCGGTACGAGGCCGAATGTGAGATCAGCAGTCATTCATCCATCCATGGGATGGGGATGGACAACAGCTACGGAAGGGCCTGAGCCTACGGGGAACCTGCAAGCCAGCCCTGAAAGACGGAGAGAGACAGCAGACATCATATTTGCATCCATCCCTTGTGCCTTAGCATGGAGAGAGCCAGCAGCAGCTCAGCAGCCCAGGCAAGCCCCAGCCAGCCCCGGCCGGGGTTTACGATGTCAACTATTGTCAGTCCAGTTCGGAGGCCTGAGCATGGATCAGCCGGTTCCAAATTATGGGTACTTCGCATCGTCTTGTTCCTCCCGCCGGCAAACAATGTACCAGACCGTATGGATGAATGCAAATGTGACAGAAGGGGTGGGAGGCAGGAAGAGGCGTGCATGCTCTGGCGGCTTGGAGCACTTCGCCGCGCAGTTGGTGCAAGGCGTTGGTGGAGGGCGTGCTGCGGCCAGAGAGCCTGGTGTGCTACACCGCGCTGCACGTTTTCGCAAGAGGGGGGTTACCCTCGATGAAGGCTGCGGCTGGCAGTACTCGGTACCCTACCAGGGGACAAGGGGGCGTGTAGTTCGCTTCCAGAGGAATCTGGTAGGGATGCCGGGGTGCAGAGACAGTTGCTACGTACAGCGCCGTACGGTGGAGGAAAGAAGAGGGGGAGTGCGATGTCAGGATTCGGGGAGCCATGGAACGGAACAAGGATGTGCGGACCGGGGGAGGGACGCGGGCAATCGCGAGCCATGGAAGGTCATGAACAAAAGCCCATGTTGAGCAAAAGCGGTTTTTTTTCATTGTCTTGCAGAGACAAGGCGGTGTCATCTCTTCCGCTCGATTTGTTCTCCCTAATCTCTTTTCTCACGTCTCTCCGGCGCCGGCTTAAAGACATTGGGTGTGGAAGGGGGGCTTTAGGCGCGGCCGCCTAAGTTAGTAGGTGACGAAGGCGAGACATTCGGGGGGGCCTCATCAACATCATCGACACGGTTGTGACAGTTCTGCACCGACAGACAGGGTCGTGACGATAGCTTCGTGCAGTAGCGCCTAGGCTTGGAGATCTCCAATCTCGAGCACCGGAAAATGGTACGACTTGACAGGGGCGCTCGCCTCTGGGGGGGAGCGGCGGTCTGGCTGGGCGGCCCACAACCACCACCAGCAATCCCCGGACCGCCTCCAATGCCACTCAACTGGGAGCCGACAGCGTATTGTGTTTTAGTTGCCAGGGTGGCATGGGCTTTGGAGGCGCTGCTGGACGGGCTGCATGCGGCTGCTCGATTTGTTTGGGCGAGTGAGGCTTGGAGCTTGTCGACTCGGGGACGTGCCTCAGCAGCAGTCTACGGGGAGGGTAGCAGATCAGAATCTGATGGATGGGATGGGGTGGACAGGCAAATCGACAGGCGACGGCTGCAGCGCTTGGTCGCCCGCATGCACAGTTGTTGCTTTTGGCGCTGCTGGGCCTCTCTCGTGGCCCGCCAGGGCACCATTCCGTCGGCAGTCCGTCGCGGGGGCCTGGGTCGGCCTCCTGTCGATACATCACACCTCGATCCAGCAGGACAGCGGCGCTCACACTCTACCCTGCCCCATCCTGTCCACCCGCCTGCTTGCCGGGGTGTGGGAATGGGAGCGAAGGAATACCAGGGGTGACTGCTCGGCTGCTCGACTGCTCGACTGCTCGAGAGGATGCGAGATATGGATAGACGAGAAGGATATGGCATCGGGAAATGGATCATGGCCCGTCACTGTATCGGACATGGAACATGACCGTCGGAAGTGGACAGTTGGGAGGGCATGGAAGCTCGACGGGTACCAGCCGCGGGAAAGCCTGACTTGTGCTGGGCGTCGACATAGCAGAACGATGACCGATGGTCGATGAGCGAGATGGGGTCTAGATTGGGGGGGCACCCAAGCGGATGGGCAGTACCTTCGCCAGGTACGTCAGCGAGCTGGGATCACTCCCCGACTTCAGGTCGCGGCATGTACCTGCGGACAGCCCAGTTAGCCTGGGAGAGTTCCAGGTCTCAAAGGGGAGAGGTACATGCTGGCGTTCCCATGGCGTCGTTCCCACACACCACACCCCAGAGGGGCAGGGATCGCAGACGGCCCATCCGCCACCACGCGAAGTTGTCGACGGCGCCGGGCTGGCGGGTGCCCATTGCCCAGATGCCCGTCGACCTAATCTCGCCCAGATCAGACACGCCCTCGATTAGTGCGTCGCCCGTGCCCCTTCCATCGAGCATGGAGACGAGGAGCCCCAAAGAGCGTGGACCAGCCCCCAGTAGGCACCACTTCCTCCCGAAGCGCCGTGGTTGCGGAATTCCCCGCCAGCTACCGACGACGTACAACAGGTACCATCACGGCCGTTCAAGGAGATTTTGTGCGTGTCATTACTACTTGACGTGTGGACGATCAGAACGATCAGCGCGATCATATCCTCATCATCGGCCATGATCATCGCCGCCGCCTCCGCTGTTGCCGCCGCCTCTTTCCAGCGCCTTCGATCGTAGATGGACTACCGAGATGAGATGCAGTGCACACCTTGCCACAGGCCTACCATCTCAAACCTTGCCGTCTATGGGAGACAATGGTTGGTGGCGAGCCAGGTTGTGGTTGAACTCGTGGTGGTGCACGACGATCTGGTGATGGCTTCCAGCGACCTTCCACTCTGGACATAAAACATCCCGACAAGCACCTGATGCCCATGCACCTCCACCCTCATCCCGTCCAGGAGCCCTCACACAAACCTTGTCAGTCCATCTTCTGTCACTCCCGCATTAATCCACCCGTCCAACGGCAACAAAAAAAAAAAAAAAACCGCTCTGCTCCACTAACGCATCGTCCTGGCGAAAGAACCAATGTTCCTCCGTCCGGGCTGTAGCGGAATAGGAGGCAGAAAGTCAACCGCAGCCTCAGTCCAGGGGGCGCGCGCAAGAAAATGATCCATCACATCGTGGTACCTCAAGCACCAGGAGAAGTCTCCAAGGATGACCCCAGCGCCATCGCCCGTACCAATCTCCGCCGCCAAAACCATTCCACTGGGCGGCTTCCAGAATGCAATAGCTCGCAAGAAACCCTTGACGCATCTTCTCGCAAGGCCACACTGACTCCGCTAGTAACCTACTAACCAGCAGACTTTGGGGCGATATGTGCTACTTGGTAACCATTCGCATGTGCGCCCAGTGCTTGCTGGTCCAGTCGCCTAGCCGAACCATCAAGGCTGTCTCCAAAGTGCAGAGTAGCATCTCTCCCCAGCCAGTCATGGGCACTCTCACACGCCATGCAACAGACCAGAACGCACTGGGCTGCCATCGCATCTCTGGAGGAGCGGCAAGATCACGCAGCGCGTCGGACCGAAATCGTCCACAGAAGCCCCGATGTTCCTTGCCGCTACTCGCCCGTCTTGGGGGTTTGGAATCCCATCCCCTTAGGGTCCTGTCCTTTGGGACAAGCCATGCGCCACGGGGATGGGAGACTATGCTGCTCGGAAGTCAAGGGTTCCCTGCTAGCGACTCCGCTGCCGCCCTTCCGCGTCATTCACGACCAGTTTCCAATCGCCTGGGAACCGGATGCTTTGTTGGGGTCGAGGCTAACCGCGACCCTGCCCTAGTCGGTCATCGCTCACTGTAACAACACCATGCGACGTCGGTCTATTTCTCTCCAGTACCGCGGCGACCGGTCTCCCACTGTCTCTCGTGTGTAGACGACCGGACGTAGCTCTCTCAAGAGCCATAGAAACTCCAGCTCCTCCAGCTCCTGCTGCTCTCTCCGCACAGCGCTCAGAGCAGCGCAAGTCTCTGCGTACGACGTAGTATTCAGCAGTGTGTCCGTGATGGGTCCGTGTGAGTGTGACTTTGGGAGGGACCGCCAACCGGACCCTCCACAGCGAATTAGCCTCGATCTGCGGCCCAGCAGCGGCCACCTCCCTGCAGGGCCTGCCGAAGGCTGCTAGACGGTTAGACGGTTGCTGGACGGCTGTGGGACGGTTGAAGATGGCAAGAAAATGGTTGGCCACTAGCTGCTCCTGAAGTATCCGCTAAATCTTTCCAGATCTCACACTCAAGCTCATGGCTCGGTCCCCAAATCTGACCATTCATCATTCCGTGCTTTTGAGTTTTGCCCGAGACCTGAACTAACTGCAGCAACTATGTAGATGCTTTTGACAGCACAAGCCCAGCACGTCAGAATTTTACCATCGGGTTATGTCGCGGCCCCATAGGAATAGATGCCTGAGGGCTTCCGCGGATAAAGTCATGTCGCTCACGATGCCATGGCACAACTCGGAGAATTCTGCCAGCTCAAATCTTGTGCTTTGTGCCATGGGGCATCGCGTTCCCACCCGAGCCCCCCCCCCGATACATTAGACTTGTTGCTGCGGCCAAATCCATCACCTTCTGACCTGTGACAAGGCTTCCCGTCCATCTTTCTTGGGCTTCTTGTGTTCCCCACTGCCCAACTGCTGGTCTCGGTTGCGGCTAGCGGGAGGCGACGCCTGTTGACCACAGCCTTTCAGATCCTTCTCGTCTCCGCCTTCGAGCCGTTAGTTGAAGCTCCGCCAGTGGTGAGGCTCTCCCGACAATGCCTGTTCAACGGGCCATAAGCTATGCAAACCCGGATATGTCGTTACTTTTTCCCACTCCGGTCCGCGTCGAAGAACCGGCAATAGACGCGGCTCCATGGGGCCCCCTTCCGATGCGGCCATCTGTCAGTCATGTGTGCACTCATCGAAATCCCGGGTCATACGTTTTTTCTCGCCCAAGTCCATCCGGACCATCCCCGAGCGAGTTTCCAACGGTGGACCCACTCGCGATCCGGTGCCAATGGTCGCGATGTGACTGCACGTAATGCTTGCTCTACCGCTCCAGACCCTGCCTGCTGCGGCTGCTGCGTGGGCGAGCAAAAGAAAAAGTCTCCATGTCTACAGGCAAGGAAGCCCCAGAAACGGTCGGCAGGCGTGAAACAGCTGCCGGTCGGGCTTGGGGACTTCACACGGCGCACGACTTTGATCCAACCTCAGCTAATACGAGAAATACTCGGATGGGTGTCATGACGCACCCGGCCGAACCACCGGATGATGGACGGTGGACGGCGCTGCGCCAGTCTTTTTGGTGTGTCTCATGCTCTGAGTTGTGCTTGAGCTGCATTGTACTTCCATGTGCTGTGTGCTGTGCTCTGCTGTGCCGTAGCACGCGCTCTGCTGTGCGATGCCGTCCCTACGTACGTAGCAGCTGTCATCAACGGCTTTTCCCCTCGGCCCGCACCCCCCCCCCCCCCTTTCTCTTCGACGGGTTGACGGGTCACTCCCGATTTCGTCGGACCATGCCCTCTCCCGCGCACTCTAGGTGTCATCCCGACACGTCCTCCCTCACAACTTGCGCTCACCTATGCCTGATCCTGTTTCCTGCATGACCGTCATATGTCAATAATGTCCAGAATAACCGTCCTGCTCCCCGGATAGACGCACTGGGCGTAGAAAGACAGATCACATCTCCTCTCGATAGGCCTCGGCAGTCAAGCCGCATTTGACCGCCAGCAGCAGCAAACCACACCATTGACGTTGCTTCTTGAGGACTCCCTGGGCGAAATCGGATCAGGGATGTGACTCTCGGGAATAGACAGGGGCCAGGGTCTTGGGGTCGAGCGCCGGACTCTCTCTCCCATGGCAATGCGCAAATGATGTCTTCTTGCGGTAAGCCCACTGGTTGATGGGGAATGAAAATTGTGATGACAGGCCGTTTCCCAAGCGCTGGGTCGCGGGCGGGTCCCCATGTTTGGGACAGTTGACTTCGATGGCACCCAGTGCTCTTCCAAGTCGTCAAGATGGCTGGGTCGCTGGTGCTTGACACGTTCAATGAGCGAGTCAGAAGCTCCTCCAACGCCCAGGCAAACTACTGTATGTCTAGGACGCATGCGGCTGCTGCGTGTCAGCAGCATTCCTAGTACCTTAAAATTGCGTCTGTGTGACGACCTGTCGTCCATCGACGCTGCATTGCCGCGAATGCTCCCTTGCCTTGAATCCAATGCCTTGCAGCAACCCAGCGACATAATGGTGCGTACTATGTACGGACTACATGTGTGCAGTGCAATGCCCAGTCCCCGACGGAGAGGCCGCCTTGAAAGCGGGCATGAAGACAAATAACAACGAACGAGCACCCACTCGTTGGTCATCTAGAACCCCTATGGAAGCAAGTCGGTAATGAGGTTCTCCACGAAATGGCGTCAACACACGGTCCATCTTCGATTACACCAAACAAAAACAACAAGCCCAATTTCGTAAACGTCCCGATCTCACCACGGGCATCGTCTCAAGGGGTCTTCCCAGTAGGCCGAGCGTTGAGGCGGACGAGATCATGAGATCCCCACGATGCGGCGCCGGTGCGTGCACGGTGAGCCCAAACCTAGGCCACTTGGGCCCATTCCCTGCTGCCACAGCGTGCTTTGGTGCGCGCGGCATGTAACTTACGGGGCACGCCAAAGCTATCCTAGGACAGGGAGTGTGAGTGCTTGCACAACGTGATAGTACCTCTCCAAGATGGCGATGGCTGTGGCCCGTAGTGGTGGGGCAGCCGATTTGGTCAGCCTGGGTTCTGCCATAGATGCAGACCTGGAACATGCAGGCGCTGGGAGACTAGACCATGCTTCCCTGCAACGGAGGCTTGCGAGGTGGTCTGATGTCGATCGCCTTGTGCAACTTACTCGCGGAGGCTGTGGCCGGAAGGTAGGGCAAAGAATTGGCTACTCAACGCATCGATGGCCCTTGGGACCTAGATTTTACTGCATTTCCAGCGTTGCAGCAAAAAATGAGGATGGGCGTGTCACCTGCCCCGGCAACGCCCGGCTTGCTGCTGCTGAAGGCGACAGTGACACCAGACGCATAGGCAGCAACCATCACCACCATCACCGTCGCCACAGCCACTAACACCAGAGAGCCAGGCGATGGGTCAGACCAACTCAGCATTCGGGCATTGTTGCACCGTGACGCTAGGAGGGAATCGTGGATATCCGCTAACTTGCTCAAACCCCCGATGCAATGTGTACTGTCCGGGGCAGTGTAGCGCCCTGTGGCTTCAAGGGACACCAGGGGAACGCCGGGACGACGCCGGAGGGTTACGGGCCACAAGCCCGCAGCAATAGACCCATGAGGCGGAGGTCGGCGGTGGGAGGGGCGCGCAAAGGGTGGTTGTGAGCCCGGTGCGCGTGTGTCTGCGCGTATGTGTGTGTGTGTGTGTGTGTGTGATGGGATATGCGAGGAGCCGTGATGGGAGAGTTGGCTGATCGGCTCCGTGGCGGTGGTGACACAGCCAACTCATCAACACATCGAGCAACCACGGCGGCTGGCTACTTCCCGACAACCCTAGTCAGCAATATGTTTTACCGTGGCTGCAATCGCTTTGCCGTATTTCGTACGGGTTGCCCTTGCCCACCTCCATGAAGACAAGAGAGTGTTTCTTTGACGCCACATGCCGTCCAAAATGGAAACTGCGTTGGCTGAGGCAAGACAAGGCAAGGCAAGACAAGGCAAGTCAAGGCATAGCCAAGTCTTGCTGAATTCTAGCTTGACCAGCTCTAGTTGCGATTTGGGTGTGCCACCAGAGCATATGGCTACCCACTCGAATGCAATTTAGTCGCCACGACATTGAGACACAGGAGACACGTCTGTCTGCCTCCCTTCCCCCAATCCCACCTCGATCTGCTGCTAATTTTATCCACACTAGCGCTTTGTTCGTCCTAATGCATGCTCTCTAGCACGTACGGATGCCGTTACACCACCACGGTACCGCCGTAACAATGGCATGCAGCACGGTATATGGAGGCCAACTTCATGTAGGTTATCATATGCGGTATCTGGTCTCCATGCTCCGCAACGGTGTCTCGTGCTGGCACATTTACCTCGACTGTGCTTGGCCGGGGCCGGAGAGCGGCTTTCCGGCTATTCGCAGTGGACGGAGCGCCACCACCAGAAATTTTACACTACCATCCGCAAGAGGCCGAGCCGGCGGAGAGCCTCAGACCATCAAAAGAAACTTGATCGAACGTTTTTACTGGAGAATTTCCCCTCACCCCGAATTGAGCAATTGACGGTACGTCACCGTGCTGTTATTTGCTGCTTGATGGCGTTTCCTGTTCAGGCTTTGCCGGCGGCGTGGATCAAGGTTTGGTTTTTCCCTACTGAGCCCCCTTCGGATTCTCCTCCCCTTCCTTGAGCCTGGGCACAGGCTGTTTTGGTTGAGGTGGTGCTGGTAACCCGGAGCCCTGGGCACCCCATCGCGATTCTCCAAGAAACTAACTCTACTGGTACGGCCCCTAAAAGGCGAGCAAGCTGGGTCCTCCACCGGGACCACACGTGGTGGGCTCAGGATGCAGGGCGGCGGACGAACTGCGTCTCGAATCCCACCAACCCCCGATTCACATACCCCTTTCGGACAGCCATCCCGGCGGTCTCGCGGGGTTCTGGTGACCCGTGAGAAGCGTGGGAAGCTGGGAAGATCGTGGTGGTCCAGGGAAGGCTCAGGGAAGGCCCTGGGAGGCCACGAAAATGACGGGCAATTGGTCTTCTGTCTGCCCTCGGCAGCCAAGAACGGCCAAGGGCGGGCAAAAGGCTGCTGGGAGACGCACGGGTAATTGATGGCGGGAGTCCCTTGTTCCCGTTGATAGCGATCCGCCCAATTATCTGCTATGCCATCTGATCACGTCCCATCCTGTCCCGTTTGACAGAGCATCGTAACCTGTCTCATGCCCTGGCCCTTGTCCGGGGCTCTCTTGAGCGTGCCGCCGTGCGAGGCTCAATTGCCATGGGGCGTACGGCGGACGGGCGCCAATGCTTTCCGGTCTAGGAAACCTCAAAGCCTGGAAACATTACGGTGACATGCCTGAGCTATCACGCAGTAGGCCAAGTCGAGCCTGCTCAAGCCTGCCCCAGTATGATGCTATGAACCAAAACCGTGACCGACCTGTCAGAATGAGGAACGGGCCATGGGGTATTAGCTCCACTACCTTCCATGAGCCGTTTTCGGATGCAGGAGCGGGGCCTTCGTCCGTTTCGACGAAGGTTGGCGCTGGAAGTTATCAAACTTCCCAACCTAAGGTAGGTATACCTAGGTAGGTAGGAACGTACCAGCTTACAGTGTAGCACAGTGCAAGAGCGGTGTCATTCGGTGATTATTGCTTCGTTGATCGCACCATATCGTACTGTGTGGGGGCTGGCAAGATACCCGCCACCTACTATTGAAGTTGTCAAAGCTCCTGCGCCGCCCTTCGTCCCTCCCCGTTAGTCACACCAGGCCTAAACCGAACCAGTGTCAACGCTCTGTTTCGCACCAACAAGGCCAGGGCATCGTCGACAGTGCGTCAAGGGCTCAAGGCAAGGGCAGAGCGACGACAGGCAAGAATGACAGGGTATGCAAGGTGGAAGTAGCCTGCGACGATGAACCTTGGGTTCGGCATCATGGATTCAACGGTCCATCTTCCACCTTTCTCGACCCATGCTTCGCTCCTCAACCTCGGCCACAACCACGGTAACGGTCACGGCCAAGCTTGCGGTGCGGTGCGGACGCGGATGCGGATACGATGACATTGACACTATGGCAAAGTCCCATGCGCTCAATCCATCATCCCTGACCGCCTCACTTACCCACGTCTCCAGTTCCACGTTGCTGGTGTTGACTGCGCCTCCTCGCTCCAAGCTCGGGATCGATCCATCGACGATTGCGGCCCTTTGAGTGCAGTACCATCTAGATGACCCCCGTCGCCGTCATTCGCTGTCCGTTGGGGGGCCGTCCGTATAACGAGACTTCCCACTGGAAGACAACATGGACACACCATCTTTGGCTTCCCTCTCCTACTTCACAATCCGGGGCCCCGCCACTGTGCCATCACGAACGCTCGACAACGCAGTCCACACCATTACCACCACACCAGGTACCAACTGCGTCACCTCACCCGCGGCGTCATTGTTCCAGACCCCGCAACGGTGTAGAATTCCATGATATTTGCGGGATAATTATCCGGCTCCGGGTTGGCCTTGGACCAAGAGCCACTGTCAGCAGACACCACCAGGATCGGAAGTGACAGAGTGGGGACGTCGGCGGCCAGTTCTGAAAAGGTCTTTTTTCTGTTCCATCCCGACCGATCTCATGCAATCGTCAATAGCCCCCGACTCGTCAGTTGCAATTCCCTATGGCCCAAGGAACCCTGGTCATCGACCCTACTTCGATCATCTTTCGCAAATCGGCTGCGTCAATAAATGGATGCGCCGCTTTACGACGGCTATCCATCCCTCCGACTCGAGCAGCCCCCTCATCAGATGTTCTGACCAAGGGCCTGTCGCCCAAAGAGGTTGTCTTCCACACCCTAACTTAGTGGGAACCTGGGCATCATCTCAACTCACCCCCTCCTAAGCCTCCTCAGCCTCCAAAGCACGGTCAAATGGGCTAGCCAGATATAGGCAGACACCTTTGGCTGCTGGCACAACAGCAACCTCATATCCGCAAGTCACCCCCATATTACGCTCATCCCGTGACCCCTGCAATGGCGAAGGGTTGATGATGTTGGGATGCTCTCACGCAAACCGGTTTGGGGAGACCACTTGGGGATCGAGTGCATCATCACCATGTGATGGATCACGCAGATGACCTACCTAGACATCGATTAACGCCTTGTACATTTTGGACACTGCACCAATCCCCAAACTTGCTCACATTCACACTATGAACAGCCCAAAGGATTTCGAAGCGAGATTCACCAATTTCACAGCGGCTCCGGGGTTCCGCTACGAGATCTGACAGAGCGAGTGTTGGATTGCGCATCCTTACTATTTTTGCATCCCAGCCGCCCACCCAAATGTATCAGATCTCCCCTGCAGTCTGTCAACTCTCAACGGTCTAGACAATGCAGCGAGCCGAAAACGACACTTGGGCGATGACGCTGTCAGATCTTGCGCCTTTGCTGGTCGCCCATAATTGATTGATGGGCATCCGTTCATCCATGCCCAAAGGTACATGTCACTCATCCAACCACCAATGGTTTTGAGGGACAGTTGGAGGTCCAAACCCCCCATCAACAGAGCCTTTCCTAGACCGTTCCGACACCCTACTCTGCAGGCGCCACCAAACTCATAGCCCCTATCAGGCAGCTCCTCACTACAACTGTGAGCCGTTTGCGGCCTGTCCACGGAGTTTGGATCTCACCCCAGCCGAAACATGAGAAACAACCCCGTGCTCCGACCGATCTCGACCTGCCCCTCAACCTGGCTCAAATAGCCGCCACCCGCTAGGTTGGAAATTTAGAATCACCGGCGATCTTTCTGATCATTCAACTGCCGCTGCCCAGCTGCCCCATTATGTTAGGAGCGTGGAGGTCCTTGCGCGCCATCTCCGTTTCCGACTCGATCAACAAGCCATCTGTCTTCTTTAGTCATGTGTCTAGACCGTTTTGTAAAGACTGTTGCATTTAAGACCCGGCATCAGGTGATGGAGCTTCCTAGTGTGGATTCACAACGATTATCCCCTGACACACCCTCTCGACGCTATAGGCTGTCGATGAATGCTTGAAGGGGTTATCCTGGTCCTAGATCGCAGAGGGACTGCAGCCGAGATTCGTGTGGAAGCAACCTCCGGCCGGCATGGCCCCCAAGTAAGCATGCCAAAAGCCAGCCGATCGGGTCACGATACTATGACGTGGTCGCCCTTCTTTACGCTCCGGCCGGTTCAGCCCCCAGATCCTACCCGACCCCTGGGGTCACCTGCACCCACATGCAGAATCAGGACTCTACTTCAGAGCAATACCGAGGCGCTCGCCGAGATGCAGATGAGATGCCTCTTAAGCTGACGAATCCTGCTAGGTCTCATCCCGTCCACCGACTAGTTAGGAGGGTTACGCCCGAGGCGATCGGTGAGGATCCCCGGATGGGACTCACTTAGCTCCTTTCGACGCCATAGGAGGCATCGGGGCTGGCTCCGACATCCGATCTGACCTGACCGCCAACGAGTCGTGGGCAAATTTGGTCGCATTTTGGGGCCGACATTGGCGAATTCAGCCTGAAGCAGGCGCTGAACCAGCACAGGCCGCACACGTCTGAATTGTTCAAGGGTGCCGTTATGAAGGCTAGGGTCTGTGAAAGGGCGGAACCCTGGGATCTGGCTGCGGTGGGGCGGCCTCGACAGGACGATCGTCTGATCCCAGGTCGGCGCCCACTAGCAAGATCCTGCCCGTCCCGCGAACACACCACCACCAGGCATGGCGGCTCACACCTCACCTCGCTCGCCTCACCCCCCTCCACATATCCTGGCCTCTCCCAATTCACAATTGTATCGCACAGGTACGTACCGGGTACCAAGGTACGTACATGGATCGGTGGCTGCTGGAGTCTCCCACAAGTGCAGAGTGACCCCGGATGGCCTCGTTCTAGATGCCTCCATAGTCAGTAGCGCCCATCTGGATAATTACCCAGTGTCGGGCGAGCGAGGACGGGCCAGCCCTCCAAACAGCGACGACACCCACCCTCAGTTATGCTGGCTTTGCTGACGTTGGACTCGGTGGGAAGTTGGTATTGGATGAAACCGAGGCCATCCTTCGAGTGGTCTCGATCTCGGGCTTGCAGATGAATCGATCGCGATGATGTAGCTGCCTGTCATGGTCCGGCTCATGCAACAGGGAGGATCCTCCCTCCGGCCAGCCTCACAGCTTCCTGTCTTAGTTAGCCATCCACTTTACCCAGGCATTTTTTTGGCACCTTGCGGTGGGAGCAGGCGATTGAATGAGACAGCACACCCCTCCAAGCCGCAGCGAGTGCAAACTCAGGTGCATCAATCGGGCGGTCGCTGATCGCTGAACCATCGGCAAACCTCGAGCCGTCCATCCCTGATGATCAACTCCATACGGCGGTAATTCCATGCTTCGTCAACGCGAACCCCAGCACGGGAAAGTCGACGGGGGATGCAGAGCAAGCATCCTTGTAGCATGCGATTCTCAAACGGGGAATTGTCGGTCAAGATGCGGGATGCAAGCGCAAGCCACACCACGCCGGTCAATGATTCAGCGGCTTGGATCCGCTTCTTGGCGTCTTCAAGTGGCCTGATGTTGCGGAATGTCATGGCCGGGCGTCTAGACGGCGCATCCTGCTCCTCACATGCCCAACCGAGTCATTTACCCGCACGTCGGCTTGCCTTCGTCTCAGCTGTTCAGCTTCGGGGTGGCAGGAAGACGTTGCGTGAGGCTGAGCGCATACCCATTATAGAGAATATCGCCTCAGCACCAGTTCTCCAGGACAAATATCCCCATCGATCCCCGCTGGAACACATGGGAGGGAGCCAGTGGCAACACTGCCAGAGTTCGCCAGAGGAAAGGCACGCGACAGCGGCCTTGATGCCGGGACTTTGGTTCGTCTATGCATCCAACGGCGGCGGGGGGGCGCAGGCTCTGCCGGTGGACTCTGAAGTGTCACTGCGAAGTTGAGCGCCACGACCCCGAGACGCTGTCGACACCGAGGCCATCTAGCGGCGCACCACGGGCGAGGACGGAGTCATGCCAGCTCATCGAGATCCTGGGGACAAGCACCCGCCAGATTTACCAAAATCAACAAAATGCCGACCGAGTGCCTGAGGCGGATCGAACTCTATCAAAACACTAAAATCAATAGCCGCCTGGTCCATCGATCTAGCTTCGTGACCGAGCATGCGGATCCTGTCCTCGCTCGTGCCAAAATTTCGCATTCATACCCCCAGTTCTGAACCCGTCGTCTCAGCCTTACCACCGAACAGCACCGCTAGGCGTGCGTGCGACATGAAATGCCCTGCTAGCCTCAGGCCGCCCGAGGCGTTGCTTGCCTGTTTGTTGCTTGCTTCTTCTACCACGGCCCCTGAGCGGCGGACGTCCTATCACCCCCGCCGCACTGGCCTGATGCATCGTATGATGTCCTCAAGTCTGGCTAACCAGCCTTCCTGTTTTGGCCGTATTCGAGTCTCCTCTGGTAACCGTCGAGATGCCGGCCGGATCGGAACCGATCTTTGCATGGAGCACCCAAGAGAACGGAGCAAGGGAAGTTGATGGACGAGAGGAGGCTTCAAACCCCAGGTCAGCGAAGCATGGCCCTAAGATGCGGGCATTGTCCTGGCGCTTCGCCCAGGCGATCATCATGGTCGGCATTGAAGCCATTTCCCCGTGTGTGCCAGTCAGCCATCGCATCGCATCTCATCGTATCGCATCTCATCTCGCCAGCATCGTGGCGGGGACCCATCCCGGCGGCTCGTGCTCCCGCTAGGGCGCCCCCTGACTCAAAGGGCCGTAGGCGTCGTTCGCCTCCATCCTCTCATTTACAGACAGGAGTGAAAGCGTCCGCACCATAAGAAGCTCTAGGGGATTAGCCGAGGCATCTCCAGATCGGGCCACGAGGCCACTTCCCCAATAGTGCCATGCCATTGCTCGATCGTGCAGCTGCTAGGCTTTTGGCCCGTGGAGATGATGCTGCCCAGCCTTCGGAGACGCAGATGTGGGCATAAGGTTGTCACGTACGTGAAGTGGTACATCCTTCCAGGCCCAGAGCAATCCACGGGCATGGTTGCGATGGATCCAAAGTCTAATAAGCTCCTGCCCCGAGTCAAGTTGATTGCTCTTCGGCACTTGTCGACGGGCGCTTGTTGGCGAATACTTCCAGAAGCTCCTAGGAGGGTTAATCTAAATGAGACGGTACGTAACCGACATGTTCACTTTGCTTTTTTCTTTCCGCACCCGTATGGTTTCCAAATACCCCGGACGGAGCTGGCCGGGAAATGGGGGATACGGAATTGCGAATTTTCGCCAGCCTCGTAAGGGCTGGCGCACGACTCGCAGTTTGAGGCGTGGTAACTGGCTGGGCCCCCCCTGATGCAGATCCTCAACTCCATGCAGCCCGGACTTATATCAAGTCCGACTATAGTCTGTTGCCAGGTTTGTTTCTAGTTTCGTTTCAGTCCACTTGCCTGCATTCCTTGGTGCTTGCTCACCTTTCTTTTTCACGTACGTTTCGCGTCCAAATCATCCCACCGGAGCCGCCCTAGTGTGGGCTAGAATTGCTTTTTCTCGCCGCCGCGAACTCCTTCCGCATGCTCCCTCTCATTTTGGCTTTCTGGGAGGATTCCGACCCGGTCGAAATATCCCCGGCGCTTTCGATCTCGGCTATGAAGAGGGCGGCGCCCCTGTCGTCATGGGTGGGGAATTGGGTATGGGGGATCCTCGATGGGTGTCTGGTTAATCGCTCACCAGGCACTATTTGGGTGTGCATGTCCATACGACAGGGGGGTAGAGAGGCGCTACTATGCAAAAGGATCCCATTTCTCACCACAAGACGTACGGAGGGTCCCATCCTACTTCGCAGTCTGCATGCCAAGGGCATAATTGCTTTGTCCTCTGACATTTACCAGGGGGGGTTGACCAACAAGCAAACAAAATCGGGGTGGAAAGGTGAACTATCGCATTCTAACGGACGATGGCAAATGGAAATGGCATCATGGCCGTGGTTGTCTCTCCTATGAGACCCGACCCCGGGGGGCCGGGGGCGGAGGGGCTTGGCTAGACAACCAATCACACATGGCGGAGTAGGCTCCGGTGGAGGCTTCGGAGGATGAGACCAGCCGTAGCAAGCTCGTCATTCTCCGGGACACTTCCTCTGCCGAGATGCTGGTGCTGGAGTTAGTTGGTGTTAGCTGCTGTGGTGTTGGTGTTTGTGCTGGCGCGGCCCGCGGCGGACTGTGTTCTAATCCCCTTTGAGACCCAGTCCATGGCGCCGGACACTGGATCGCGGATCGGTACTTCGGGTTTCGTACTGGCATCAGGCCCAGGACCCTGGATTTGTTGTTGGTGTCTCTTTTGGTGCTTGTCGATCCCCCGGTCTGGACCTCCACGCCTCTGTTCCCGCTCAGGCCGCAGCACATTGAACCAGAGAGTATTGGTTCTAAGGCCGCACTACTCCGTACCCGCCATCGGGTTATCTACCTTCTAGCTGCGTGCATAGCGCAGCGGCCGTGCTTGAAGCGAGATGCGGCAACACGGAGATGCCGACAATCGGGGAAAGGTGCTGTCAGTAGTGGTGCTTGGTATCAACGGATGGGAATGCGGAGATAAGTTTAAGACATGCCGGGGCTCGAATGCAGACCCATGGAGGAAGGAAACTCTGGTGTGTTTGGGTATCGGTTTGAGAGGCTCCAAGTTAAGCGCAAGAGATTAAGGCAAGCCACCAGATGGCGGTGCAGCTAACATAGTATGTGCAGCTATTGGGATCCCGCTCCGAAGCGAAAGAGTAAGATCGACGAAGGGCCGCTGTCCACCTCCCCGAAGAGGTCTTGAGTCAGCCACCATCCGAGACAACGAGGCTTGGCCATTCGCTACTACGTAGTCAGTTACCGTCGGCGACAAGAGACGAGATGGCGTGGGATGGAGTGGAATGAATCAGTCGGGAGCAAAAAATGCTTGTCAGGTGGGCCAGATCCATCCCCGCAAGGGGCACATCAACAAGCCGGCGAAATCAGATGCGGATGAGATGCGAATGCGATGCCGGGCTCCTAGACAGGAGTTCCTTGTCGCACGTCATTCCCGTCCCCCCCACACAGCATTTCCATCGACAACTAGGCTAATTATCACCAGCATGTTGACATACTGCGTATGTAGCACCTAGTAACATCTCTCTCTGGAGCGCTAGACGCGCCCGTCGGCCGCCTGAGCTTGCGGCGCCGCCTCCGTGTCTCTTCTGGATGATCAAGAATCGACAGCAGGTTAGCCAGAAGCGGTGAGCGTACTGGGAAGCAAAACCCTGGTTGCTCAATGGCACGCAATCCGGACGAGGCGTCAATGGAGAGAGGTACCGAACTGACTTGGGTATGCGAGATTGTCACGGAGATTGTCACCAAAGCACTGCCCAGACTAGCGGTGCGTGTTAGTCTGGGTTGTGTTGGTCCAAGTGTTGGTCCAGGTCGGGCGGTGTTAGTGATCGGCGGGGAAGCGGATGTTGGGCTGCATAGTTTCAGGATCCCATGGTAAGTTGGTTAGGCACGTCAGGGGTTAATTGGCTGCTTTTGCTTGGATGTGTTGGTGGTGATGGTGTTGGTGATGGTGTTGGTGATGGTGTTGGTGATGGTGTTGGTGATGGTGTTGGTGATGGTCATGTTTGTTGCTTGCTTGGTTGCTTGCCCAGTCTCCGCCGCAGTTAAGCCCGTGTGCAGGTGCAGGGTAGGTGGTGCACCATCGACATCTCAACCCAGAACAACACTCTTGCGCGATACTCTGAGGAGTGCAGATAAATCCGGCACCTTTGATTGTGAATATAATATATCAATTGAATTTAGTACAATGTCCTTGCCTTACAGCCAAAGGAGAGTTCGTGATGAGCTTGTTGATGTTGTTGTTCGTATTCACAACACCAATCCCATGTCGACTCCTCTTGACACAGTTCCACGACAAAAGCACTCACCGAATCAGATAAAGATAACTCTGAATTCGTATGTTCTACAGGATATCCACCAATATGACTCGGGCCTCATCCCCGAAAATTCTCGCGTCCTCTCCAATTTTCACGCAGAAAGTCTTGGGGATGGGCATACTCACACAGTATCCCTCCATGAGTTTGCTCCAGCTGGTTCCAGAGTTTCAACTCCAAGCTGAGTGTTTCTTCACATAAAGTTAGAGCATCGACCAAAAGCCACACCAAGCAAACTCGAAATGATATATTCTTCAACCTGTTGCGTGAGCTTGGGTGTCCACTAGGTCTTGTGCATCATGCCTGACCTGGATGTCTCGATAATAGGTTTTTATCGATCAAGCGAATAAAATAGATTGATGGAAATAAACCAAACCAATGGCTCTATAAAATGCCGCTGGGTGTCCTCACCTGGAAGACGATCAGTAGACGAGGTTGCACGCCATGGATTATTGTCGAGCTTGGGAGAGACTGTGGGCTTAACAGGATTGCGACGACCAGGACCTCTATTACTAGAGCTAATCAAAGCACACTCCTGCCTCAAGAAAACCGCCCCCGAGATTAACTGTAGCAATCCCCAGCACTGTCTCCGTGACAGTTAACCCTCATATCCGTTGGAAGAACGTGAGGCTCTAGTACTCGCCCATATTGAGGTATACGGGCCGAGACAGGTTCGCCCAGGTGTCGTTAGTCTCCTGATCCTTGAACCGAACCAGTATTTAGTATTGGGGAGTTGGTGAGCTGAGACAGAGGCCGTATCGTAAGGGATACCGAGGGCGTCATGTTATGCGGTGTTCAGTTGGGGATTGCCATGTTGGAACTGGAGGTTTCGTTTCGAGGAACAAGAATGTATCTCCAACGACGAAGACTGGATGAAAAGAACCACTGTGTCTAGTAATAGATACAATCTAAGTACTATACCGTCCCTGTCGGCCACAGTCATAAACATCAAATCGTTGCAGTCTGTAACGTCACTAGAGATTCGCCAACAGCCCCAGAGGCGCTGGCCGGATTTCACCCATCACATCACTAGGAACCCTGCTAGCTTTGAACACTGGGATGGTGTGTCAATGCAGTACATGGTGATGATGAACACATCCTACCCCTTTATCATTCGGCTACCTACCTAACCTGGGCAGTAGCCGCAGGTTTCTATCAAGTTTCAAAGGAGTTTGTCGCCCAAAACGCCACTGAGAACCATGCCCCATGCCCATCCTCTTGCTGCTGCAAATATCGAAAGATCAAACGCACTTACTCACTCACAATTCCTCTAACTTGGTCATTCCTGACCTCTTATGCCATACGCCCATCTGTCTCCGCCGATGTGGCCTTCTCCCCTGCATCTGGGTTGAGGTAATCTGCGCCCTCGGCGGCCTCGTACTCGCCAATGAGGTCCCCAACGACCTGCCGCGCCTCGTCGAACTCGTCGAGATTCTCCGAAAACGGGGCGGTTTTCTTGTAACTCTCCATGAAGGCGTTGCGCTTGCGCATGCCGTCGTACTGTCTTACGATTCTCTTGAAGAGCTACATGTGGGGAAACCGTCGTTAGTCTACAGATGATGAGGTTCAGGAACATGGGGACGTACCGTCGCAATGCTGGTGTGGTTGGCCAGCATCAAACCGCTCACACGATGGCTCATGGGGATGTAGGGACTTCGTTTCGTCAAGGCGACCTGAATACTGGCAGGGCCCCAGGGGATGAAGGTGGCGAGGCGACGCTCACGGATACGGAGCAGACTCTTGTGGACATCGGTAGGATCGACTTCACCCTGGATGACGTTGAGGATGGAGATATAGCAGCTCTTCTTCCCAGGAACCGTCGACACCATGCGGTTCTTGGGCTGGAGCAACCGTCGCATAACGTCTAGCACCGTCGTCTTGCGCACCGTCTTGGCTTGCTCGACCTGGTCGCCGGTGAATGGAGTGTAGGCTGTCATGAGGAAGTGGCACCTTGGGGTCGGGATTAGAGAGGCCAGGATGCTGACGAGATCGTTGTGCATGTAGCCAGGGTATCGTAGAGTGGTGGTGCTCGCCGACATGACGGTGGCGACCTATGGGTTGGAGTTGAATTAGTATCAACTTCGCTTATCGGGTGTGGGTGCTATTGACGTACCAGCTGGTTCGTCTGTTGGAACGAAGGTTCCTGAACATGGAGTCGGTCAGCAGCAATGTGAGAGAGGGCGCCATTGTCGAGGACGACGACGGAGTCAGCGTTCTGGGTTAGTCGGCGCATGGAAAGAATGCTGTTGTAGGGGTGGACGACGACGTCGCCGGCGCTGGTGGTGTCGGGGAAGACTGAGTACGTCTGGATAATCTTCTTGGGGAAGCGGTCGTTGAGTTTCTCGAGGAGGAACGAACCCAGACCGGAACCGGTTCCGCCGGCGATGGAGTGCAGCATCATGAATCCCTTTGTCACGCTGTTAGGAGCCGCAATGCGTGGTTGTACACCGAGCGCCTACCTCGAGGGAGTCGCTCCCGTCGGCCTCTCGGTCAATCATCTCCATAATGTCCTCGCATACGGCCTCGCCGCTCTGGTATCCGTCACCCCAGTTGTTCGCAGCACCCATGCCATTCTTGCCGACGTAGAAGTTCTCGGGGTTGTAGATGTTCTTGTAGGGGCCGGTCTGGATGCCGTTGAGGACCTGTCCGAGCTGTCTTTAGCACATGCCTCCCAGCTGCCAACAGCCGCATCACGTCGTCATCGTCGTCAGCAATACGCACCCTGGGCTCCAGGTCGATCAGGATCGCGCGGGGGATGTATCGGGTGTCGTCGCTCTGGTAGTAGAAGACGTCCTTGCGGTCACCGCCCTCGGTCGCAAAGTCCTCGAGGTTGCCATCCTGGCTGATGCCGTGTTCCTGGCAGAGCTGCTGCCAGAACTGGCTTCCGACTGTGACGCGAGAGCCGGAGTTAGCAGTCTCGACTTGGGTTGTGGGTGGGAAGCTATCGGCGGTATGTGGTGCGAGGTGGGGGAGGGGGACTAACTGCTGTTGCCGCACTGCCCGGCCTGGATGGTGATGATTTCCCTGAGAAAGAGCGCAGAGAGGTGAGCAAATGACAGGGTAGGAGAGAGAGAGACAGAGAGAGAGGCTCGCAAAGGGGTGACGGTACCTGGGCATCTTGATCGGCTTGGTGTTGTGCGTGCTGATGCAAGTGCAAGATGGGAGCTTGAGCTGTGCGGGTATGGCCCAGTGCATTGGCTCTTGGTGCTTGACGCGACGCGCTGTTGCTTCCGCCCCCGCGTTGCACTTTAACATTTTTTTTTTGGGCACAACCACCAAGTTACTCCAAACTCAGCGTCGAATGAATAGAAGACAATCTTCACTCTCCCTCAACTGGTTTTGCACAAGTGCATTGCAATCGCGCCCCAGAGTCACGCGGAATACATGGAATTTAACCAAAAATGCTTATGGGGACTTGAGTCCTTCTTCGTGAATGTTACTTCCAACACAGCCCGTCTCCATCTCCGTCTCCTCTCTTTTCATCTTACACACCACCAAAACACCACTCGACATACATGTACTCTCGGCCACATACGGCCAGGTCTCTCCGCCTTTCGTTTTGTTCCAACAGCTATTTTTCATTCCTTAGAATAGACAATCTCGGCTGGCTCAAGTCCTTCCAATAAACTTGCTTGACACACCCAGAAAATAAAGTGCCAAAAAACACCAACAATACCAAAAAGGCTCAATGCTCTGCAACGCCCGCAATGCTCCCTATTCCTTCCTTACCTGTCTATATCAGCATCCCGCCGATGCATCTAATATACTTGATTTGTCCTCCACATTACTTCTTGTTCAGCGTCTTGTGCTTTTCAAGTGCCTCTGCCAACTCCTTTGCCAGGTCCTTCGTCTTGACCTGGATCATCCACGTCTCCAGACCATCTCCCTTCTCGTTCGAAGTTGTCATCCTGACATACTTCTCGTCTGCCTTGTACGACATGTCCGGCAGAACAGTTCGGTTCATGGCCACATTGCCGCGGGGCTCTGCCCGCATAAGGAGTCGCACCGCATTTGTCTCCTTGTGCTTCAACAGCCGGAGCGGACCCACGCCTTGAGTCGACCACGGGCTCTTCGACTTGGGCTTGTCGTCTGATTTCTCTGCAGCCGAGACAAACTTCAACACCTTGGCCCGCACATCGTGTAGGACCTCTTCATCCGCCTCCAGCCCCTCCGTCAAGTTGATCTGCTCGTGCTTTTCCCCATCCTCGTCGTTACCGCCGGCAGCTCCCTGGGTTGGCGCAGATGGTTCCGGGGTCCCTCCAGCGGGTGTCGTAGCCAGGCTGGAGCCTCCTCCAAGACTGAATGGTGTGTCTACGACCGTCGCTTTAGCGGGAGGATTTTCCGGCGCGGAAAAGGAGACTTACTTGTCCCGGTGGTAGACGCCCCACCAGCCGGCGGCTGGAGGTTGCCGAAGGCAGCTGCTGGCTGGTTGGATCCAAACATGCCGCCAGAAGTTGCAGGTTGAGCGGGGGCTCCGGTGAAGTTGAACCCTGGGGCACTTCCGGCAGAAGCACCGCCGAACAGAGACGGGGCGGCGTTGGCCTGGCTCGCTTCAAAGGTAGGGGGCGGCGCACTGGTGCTGCCGCTTCCAAACTGGAACGTGCTAGAGGCAGAACCGGTGGTCGACGGAGCCGCGTTTCCGCTAAAGTTGAATATGCCTCCTGAGGCCGGGGTCGAGGACGAGGTCGAGCCAAATGTAGGGGCAGCCCCACTGCTTCCAGCGAAGGGGTTGTTGATTCCGGACCCGGAAGTTCCAAAGCTGAATCCAGAGTTCGAAGAGGAGCCCGCACCGAAGCTTGGGGTAGTGGTGTTGGCACCGTTGGCTGGGGTTGAAGAAGCACCGCTAAAAATAGGAGCAGGAGCGGGAGTAGTTGATGCAGCGCTGAAGCTGAAGATGGGAGCAGCCGGAGCCGCAGCAGCGTCTCCGCCGGTGAACGACCTCTTTGCGGGAGAGGGACCATCCTGCTTCATGGGGCTTCCGTCAAAGTTAGGAGCAGACGATGTCGGTGACTTGGGTACGCTAAAGAGGGGCTTGGATGCAAGCTCCGAGGCTCCGTTAGGCTTACTGGCACCGGCTGCAAAGCTGAAAGCGGGAGCAGCCGCAGGAGCAGAGGCATCGCTGGAGCTAGGAGCACCGAACAAGGGCTTGGTCGCAGGGGTTGTGGAAACGGCTGCAAACATGTTGCCCGGGGTTGTGGTTGCGGCGCTGGCCGGCTTAGCTCCAAACAGAGAGCTCGTGGCCGCGGCATCAGTGCTGGCCGAGCTCGTGCTGGGAGCATTAAACAAGGAGGTAGCATTGGCAGCCCCGACGGGCTTCGTTCCGAATAGGGTCGAGGACTGCAGGTCAGGGGCCGCAGGGGTAGAGGCGGGCTCTGCCGGTTTGCTGACGGAGCCGAACATGTTGGACGTAGAAGGTGTCGCGGGCTTGTCATCGGACTTGGGAGCTCCAAACAAGCTGGGGGTAGGCTTGACAGGCTCGGCGGCCTTGAAAGTCTCCGTTGCCGGCTTCTGCTGGAAGAGGGAAGTTCCCAAGCTGGGTTGCATGGTGGGGGTCTTGGTCTCGAACAGAGATTTCTTAGGAGCCTCGTCATTTTCCTTATCAGATTCGCCTCCAGACTTGTCTTTGTGTTCGGCGGCAGGCTCCGAGGATTCCTTATCGGCAGGCTTGGATGTTCCAAAGAAGTTGGAGGTGGCAGTGGCCTTGGAACCAAAAATGGAACTGGACGGCGCGGTTGTGGTGTTGCCGAACAGTGTATTAGGCTGGCTTGCAGAGGCTGTCGGCGCGAACTTGATAGGGGTAGTATTGGGGTTCCACGTCTGGTCAGCAGGCTTGGATGCAGTCTTCTCAGACGTTGCTGCTTCAGGCTTGTCCTCCAATCGCACTGGTTGACCGTCATGACTCTTGCTTACACGATCAAACAGACTTCGACCAGGTGTGCTTTCTCTTGTTCCAGGGGCACTGAACTCGCCAGCTGCAGGAGCGCTGGTTGGAGCAGGCTTGGTGCCAAAGAGGCCAGAGCCGATTTGAGAGGCCGTGTCGGCGCCACTAGCAGCTGCGCTTGGCTCATCGCTTTGCCCAGTTTCCTGACTGGCCTCGGCATCAGAGTCACTCTCGCTCTCTGCATCGGCGTCCATTCCACTGTTCTTGGCAGAGCTCGCATCGGAGAGGTATCCGAAAATGTTGCCACCCTGAGCATTGCCAGGCTTCAGGTTTTGGAAGACGGAACGGGCCAAGCTGGCGCTGCCGCCGTTGGTCTTGTTCGATCCGAAGGGGTTTGGCTTGGCAGCCAGGCTGTCGCCCGCCGGCTTGGGTGTAGCCTTCACAGGGGAACCAGCTGGAGTAGACGACTTGTTCGCAATCTTCTCCAAGAGAGCCTTCGCGGCCGAGGGAGTAGACTTTTGCATCTTGGAAGGCTGGCTCTCAGCCTCTCCGCTAAGAGATGCCTTTCTCTTATTCTTGTTGTTGAGAGCTGGTGTGGCAACAGGTGCTGACTGCTCCTGCTCCTCCTCGTCTCTGTCCGCAGCTCGTCGCTTGTTCTTGTTGGTAGCGGCCAGGTCTGTGTCCTTAGAGAGGTCATCGTCGGCCTTGCGCTTCTTTGAGGCTGTGGCCTTGGTGGGAGTTGGTTCGACATCCTCCTCCTCAGGCTCAGGCAGACCGTGCTCTCGTCGCCACCTCTTCAAGATATCCTTCGACGGCTTGACATTCTGGAATTCGTATAGACCGTATCGCAGAAGAATGATGCTTCGGCTCTTCTCAAACTCCTTGGCGAAGTTGACAACATTCATCTTCCAATCTTTCTTTGAGAAAATCTCGTTGGCCGCGTACTTGAGGCGTCGGAGATCGAGGATGCAGAAGAACTGTCGTCGCTGCTCGTCGTCGAAGTCAGGAGGGCAGAGGTGCGCGAGGAACTGGTCGGCGTAGATGGAACCCTTGGAGTTCCAATCCTTGGGGATCTTCCTGGTCAGAGCCTCGCCAGATAGCTCGGGATCAGGATCTTCAATTCGCATGGGGAACAATTCTTTAGACGTAGCCTTGGCGGCCATTCCTCGAGGAGTGGCCTGGGCAGTAGATTCTCGGAACATGCGGTTCGGTTCGGGGGTGGCACCAGGGGCGAAGACTTTCTTCATGGTGCTCTGAGGCAGACTCGGGGAGAAGGGAGCGACGGGGGGACTGTCGCTGATGGTGGACGCCCTAAAGATGTTGCGAGCAGTAGCAATCGAGTTCTTGTTGAGGCTGCTCGATGGAACTTCATCGCGGGTCATCAAAAGCTTCCGCGATGGGGCACTCTGAGGAGTGCCCAGGCGCTTGCTTGCGAAAGGCGACGAAACGTAGGCGCGCTTCGCGAAGGGCAGAGGGGGACGCGGACGGGGCGTGCTCCTGTTCGACTCAGCGAGCTCGCCGTCGCCGGGGATGGAAAAGGTGACCATATTGAGCGGTGGTCGATGGTAGGGGTGAAGCGGAAAGAGATATGTGAGAAGGGAGATAAAGTAAAGGACCCAAGGTCGAGGGCGCGTCGAGAAATCTTAGGCCTTGCAGGTGTGATTCGAAGGCGAAAGGGGAAAAAAATATGGGCCAGGCAGCCGCGGGTAGCGGAGCTGAGCGATCGAGTCGCAGTTATTCGAGCGTCGGACGACGTTGGGCGATGCGGCGGAGATGGTAGCGCAGTCGCATCGAGTCCGGGTCGCCCTGGGAAACGAACGACACGAAAATGCGAGTGTGGTGTTTTGGTGTGGGAGCGGGAGCACAGGGTGATGGGCGGCTGATGACCCTTTCAAAAAAAAAAAAGCGGGCCCGCTTTTCAGCAGCTCTTAAAGTCCTTAGGTCCTCAGGCATCAAGCGCCCATTCAAGGGAGGCCTGGTCAGCGGAGCAAGGTGCAGATCCCGTGACTTGGGGTCGCGTCATTGTCTGCTGAGTCCAGGTCAACACCATCCCCAGGACCCCAGCTACGCATACTGTACGAGGATTAAATCACCAAATGCATTCAAAGTAGCTGCAGCAATTAAACCGGGCCAATCATGTCGAGGCCTTGGCTGATGGCGACGTGGCATGAACCTTGCCAGGCGGCCGAGTTCCTCCATGGTGCCATCCTACCCAGTGGCAGAGCCGGCGGGCCTCGACATTCACACGAGATTGAGACTGTCTGAGATATCCAGTGACATGCTAGTACATTTATTGAGAGCTACTGACAAAACACTTCAATTTGCTTCCGTCCCTATTGTCCAGTCCGAAATAAACGAGCGTGGGCACCCCTCCCTAGTTCAATCACGAAACCACGATCCAAGCCAATTGGCGCATCGCCTTTTGTTTTGTCCCGGCCGGCGGCAGCTGCCCGTGAAGGAACAATCGCAAATTCGCTGGGCCAGGCAAGGAGAAAGACAGAGGAAATAATACAGAGATAACAGGAGGGGGCAGCAGCATACAAAAGATCAAATTCCGGAACCCCATATCCCCAGCCCAACCGTGGTAGAACGCGCGATGCTTACTTGGCAACAACCTTCTTCTTTTGCTCCTCCAGGTACTCCTCGTCAGAAGCGTCCAGGATGTCGTACTCCTCATCTGTCATGAAGCCGTCGTCGGAGAGATCCCAGTCACCTTCGCCATCCTCCTCAGCCTCCATCTGCTGTTGAGCGGGGGCGGGCGAAGACTGGGTGGCCTCGTGAATGCTAGCCACGGGAGACTCCTTCTCAAGCTTGGGGAAGATCATCTGGCTGGAGGCTTGGCTCTCTTCAGCCTCGGTCGTCTTGATATCCTCAACATGGGTCTCGGCCTTGATCTCCTCAACGGGGGTCTCGGCCTTGCTCTCGAGCTCAGGCTTGGGCTCGGGTTTGACCTCGGGCTTGACCATTCGGACGCTGACGTCGCACCAGAGGCGGTGACCGAACTTATCGCCGGAGGGGGCAGTCAGACGCCAGTACGAGACGACCTTGCCAGGGCGGGCGGGGGTGCGGAGCAACACCGTGAATGGGAACTCCTGGCCAGGAGCCAGAGGAGTATAGCAGACGGTCGACTCGGAAGCGGAGACGAGCTCAGAGATGCCGGCGGGATGGTTGGGGTCGACATGTCCCATATAGTCACCACCGACAAACTTGACCGAGCAGCCGGGGGGCCAGGCAGTCTTGCCCTCATTTCGGAGGACCCAGGTCTGCTCAAAGACGTGGTTGGGAGGGAGGACAGTGCCATCGATGACAGTGTCCTTCACAAAGACGGCGCTCAAAAGGGCGGGCTTCTGAACAGGGGCGGGAGCGGGAATCTCCTTCTTCTGCTTGACCACCTCCTTCTTCGTAACCAGAGGAGCCTTGAAGGGGTCAGAAGGCTGCACATCCACGACAGTCAGAACCGGGTTGATCGTGTTGGTTCCAGTAACGGCGGTGGTCTCAGTGGCCTTGGAGTTTGTGGCGGCGCGGTCACCCATAGACGGCATACGCTGGCCATCCTGGTGCTCGCCCGTGGTGGTAACACTCACGTGGCGTACTGGAGTCTTGAACATGATCATGGGGTGAGTCTTGTTGTGAGTGTTACCAGGGTTAGCCTCGCAGTTGGCGCAGAAGTCAGTGTCGTTGCAGACGGCGCACTTGTAACGAATGCCGCGGATGTAGGCAGGGTACGCTTCATTGCCTGCACAGAGGGGCCCGTCGCAGCAGATGCCGACGTGGACCGGGGTGGGGGACCGGGCGCGGATATCCACAAGCTGGTCGTAGATCGGGACAAACCGATGGTTGGGGTGAGCGATCTTGGTGTGCTTGATGCAGTTGGCACAGTAGTCCCAGTCGGGGCAGTCGAGGCACTTATGGCGAACACCGGCAATGTACTGGACGCGGTTAGTCAGATGCTTGGGAGGAGGGACAGACTATCGTAGTACCTTATCGCAGCCATCGCAGATGGCATGGTGCATCTGGTTGCGGCCAGGCGCCATCTTGACCTTGATGTGCTGAGGCATCTCAGTGCCCTTGACCGCAGGGACGAAGCCATGCTGGGGGTGATGGCCATGGGCGTTCTTGTTGAAGCAGGGCTGGCACAGGTCATAGTCTTCGCAAGTGTTGCAGTGAAGGAACTCATACTCGGGAAGTTCTAGCCAGTCGTCAGTATTAGTGTCACTGTAAAGTGTGTAAGCTCTTCCAAACATACCCTGAACACAGCAGTTGCAAGTGCGCATAATACCCAGAGAGGTCCACCGAGCAAGCAGAGGCTCAAATGTGGGCTGGGGCAGCGATGGAGCCTCGTCTCTGGGCTCGATCTTGGTCTCGATCTTAGTCTCAACCCTGAACACAGGCTTCTTAACATCGAGATCGACAACAGGCGAATGCTCCAGTTTCAACACAGCGGGCTTAGGCTTGGGAGCAATGGTCTCGGTGACGCTCTGGACCAGTCGGCCCTCAACGGTGGTGCGCTTGATCAACCAGTGATCGCCGCCGTGGCAAGTGATGCCCTGCTCGACGCAAGACTGGCAGAGATCAAAGTCACCATCATCGCAAGTAGAGCAGTGGTAGTGGACGTCAGGAATGGTCTTCTCGCAGCTGTTGCAGCAGATGGCGAAGGCGGTGCGGGCGGTGTGGGCGGGGCAGGCGCCAGGTTGAGACACGGGAAGAGGGGCTTGGAGCGAGCCGGACCACATGCTCTGCTGAGGCTCAGCATCTCTACAGCAACCGGTGGTGGTCTGCTGGGCACGGCGAGCGCGATGCTCGGCCTGCTGGGTAGCCAGACGGCTGGCAAGACCGGACTGGTGGTCCATCAAGTTGGCAAGTCGGGTCTCAAAATCGCGACGAGCGTCCTGGCGATCCCCGATGAATCTGGCAGCCTCGTTCAGCAGAGCCGAGTTGTAGGTTTTGGAGAGAGGGTTGGTTCGATAAGGTAGGGTAGTTTCCGAAAGGGTAGCAGTGGCCGAAGGGGTAGCAGTAACCGAAGGGGTAGGCTCGGAAGCATCGACAGTGGGCGTCGGGGCAGGGCTGGTGTTGACCTGGCTCTCCTGGGGGCTGTCCTGGGGGCTGTCCTGGGGGCTGTCCTGGGGGATCTCCTGAGGGCCCTCAATAGTCGAGGGAGCGATGGCGGCCTCAGGTTCGTCCTCGACAGTGACTGGCTTGGGGAGGGTCTTCTGGGCCTGTTCTCGGAGGGTGACACGGATCTTAAGCTTAGACTTGGCCTTGGCGGCACGGTAGAGTTGCTTGTAGATGGGGACATTGTCGGGTTCGAGATGGAGGTAGGCCGCAGCAGAGTCGGAGTACCGCTCGAAGATGACATCGGCTTCAGCGGGGAGGTGGAGGAAGGTTCGGATCTACCGTAAAGTCAATACCACTGCCTAAGAACGTGGTTTCACGACCTATGTACGCAAACGGAAGGCCGGGGCAACGGGGGATGAAATGAAAAAGGCGAGAGGGGTGAGAGGAATTGATGGCTGGGGGAAGTGATTCACGTACGTTGCCTTCGAGAGTCTTGGGGACCATGTCCCGAAGCGGCATCTTGGTTCGGCGGGTGACGCCGTCAAACTGGACCTTGACGGTGATCATGGTGTCGAGGCCGACGGAGGGCGTTCCGGAAGCCATGGTTGCGATATTGACTGGGATTGTCAGAGCGAAATCCGACACACATATATCGATCGTCAAACCTCAACTCCACGATGGAGAAGATGAAGGGGAATGAAGAAGGAGGAATGACGATGATGACGGTGGAGCCTTACCTGCCTACTTGGGGCGGTGACGAAGTGCTGTTATCGGGGCGAGATAAGGAATCGGCGGTGCAGGACGGCCGTCGCCCGTTAATGATGGAGGCCAGGAGGGGATTCCGGGCGGGAGAGATGAAGAAGAAAAAGACAAAGTGTGAAGTGCGAAGTGGAAGAAGAGGAGGAGGTCGAATGATGATGGAGGTGAGAAGAAGGAGGGTGAGAGTTTGGTGGTGGGAGGAGAAGAAGTAGAAGAAGAGCTCTGACGGCCGGCTGGCAGCTGCTGGAGGGCGGCGAGCGTCAAAAGGTAGGTGCCCTGCCGCAAGCCGCTGGGACCGGGAACCGTATCGTATCTCAGGCGGACTGTGGGCTGGCCTGCGGACACTGGGGTACCAGCTGACGGAGAACCTGGCTGCCTTCGGCACTGGCTGGGCGTTGGCTGGCGACCGGTCACTGGCTGGTAGCTGGCTAGTAACTGGCTGGTCATTGACCGGTCACTTGTCGCCGGCTGGCCACTGGCCGGTCACCGGCTGGGGACCAACGGGGGACCAGAGCCAACTGGCGCGGCCCACTGGAGCCAGCCTGAGCCGCGGGAGGGCGATCCAGGTACCTATCCGTCCGCACTGTAAGATGGGACACGCTCTGTAGCACAGCGCGTCTCCGCAGGCCGTATCCGTACGTGGTATTATGGGGCCCGGCACGAAGCACATCCAGGTGATGATAGGTTTTGGCCAAGGCCCGTGTGGCGCTGAGCAAATCGGGCTTGGTGCCGGCGCCGCTGTAACACGCGCTTGCCTCACCCCCGCTGCCTGTACGCTGTCAGATGACTGACTCCGATTTATGCCAAGGTGTGAAGATAACGAATGCAGACCAGGGAAGACGGTGTGTGCCTTGTGTGCCATGTGTACCGTTTTTAGGAGCTACCGTTCCGGGCGTGCCTACTGTCAGATACTAGGCGTAGTAGGGGCGTAGTAGCAGCATAGCAGGCCATGCCAAAACACCAAGCGTGCACCGAGTAAGCCGCCAGCCTTCTTCAGTCTTCCAGCACTACGTCCACTTTGGTTGACCTTGAATTCTCCATGTCGTCGACTCGCTGCAGCCTGAACTCGCCGTCTTATTTGCCACCTGGCTATGTAATATTCGACCTCGCCATGTCAAACGCCACCTTTCCTTTCGAGTCATTCAACGAGTCAACCCAAACCATCGATTTTAACACTTTCCGGGCCTCCGCCCAAGAAGCCAAAGGAATCAGCTCGACTACCTCACTGAACCAGCCCACATGTCGCCCCTCGGCATCAGTGGCAAACGAAGTGTTCAGCACCGTAAGCAGCCAGAATAACACCGGAGGCGGAACATCAATGAAAGATTCTCGCAGTTCCAACAAGGCATTGCTAAGCGATTCCTTGAGGTGGCCTTCCCCCATCTTGAAATACTGCCATTGCAAGAAAATTGCCGTGGTATACGCAACCATGCCAACACGAAGAACCTCGTTCACAGGGCACTGCTTAAAAGACATGTGAAGAAGCCGATACAGGACTGACACCATGATCTCGCTAAAGGTGGTTTGGGTGAGCTTGTGTCCTGTCTGAGAGGCAAGGTTGCAAATGTCTGAAAACCGTTTCAAGTCCGTCCACACATTTACGAGTTTCCAATCTAGGGACTGGACGAATGACGGAATTTGGTCTCCAGGGTCAAGACTGGCAGGTCGCTTTGCTTTATTGTCAACGACATAGCAGTCCCAAGATATCGCATCCCGGAAGAAAGCAGGGCGGTGGCCGGATGTCAATGCGTGCACAAGATCTACCCTACGCAGAATGAAGTTAGTTTCTAAACAAAGGGTTAGAGCTTGCAGTAGGTACCTGCATATTTTGGACGGCAATTCATGGGTTGATGTCTTCAGCGTCCCGAAGCCGCCTCGTAGATTCACCATCCTTATCAAACCCTCCATATGATTCTCGAAACCAGCCTGATCGCCAAAGATTTGTGCAGCCAACGCTAGGGTCACAACTGTCATGATGGTCTGGTCAGAGATGGCGAGAGGGTCATTGGGAATGGATATCCTTTCTTGGAGCAGCCGGAGCGTCTTGACAAGATGGAACTGTGTCAACACACTACGGCCTCGGCCCAAGCTCTCGTCCTGGATGGCTTCACTTGAGAACAGCATGGAATGGAGATAGACGGGATCGGTCATTAGCGATCCGACCCATTCACTGTCCTCTGGTTCGGTTTCAAGGCACATTCCGGTGGGATACAGTCCGCCCTGGACGACTGTCAGAACTAAAGGTGGCATCATGCAATCAGTACACGGATCCATAGTGGACGCAGCAGCAGAATAGGGCTGTGGGGCGGGCGAACATGTCAATATGTCCTGAAGCATGTATGGCTGCATGACTTCAGGAAACTGGACCCAAGCGAATTCAGAGCCAACACGATTCGGGATTGGAATTAGACGGCTGCCGAGGTCCTGTCGTTGGTTGGGCTGGGGATGGGGTTGAGGTTGCTCCTCTGCGCCCTTGTTCATCCAGGATGGCAGCGGGTGATGACCCTTGCGCCGACCTCTCCCGCGAGTGACATGGCTTCGAACGAGTCGTTGATGGTCTTGGCTGCGTCTCTGTGACGGTGTGCTGACGATGAACTTGAATCGGTCGGGTTTGGAGCCTACATGCCTCGTGGTCAGCACCATCCAGGGCCACGACGCTGGGGCGTCCGTACTGATGGGCGCCTTCGCCCTGTCACACCTCGAATCTGGGGTTGATGTCATCAGGGAGGCAGCCTTGAGGCAGCTGTGGCGACGAGCTGGGAGGAAACGTCTAGATTTTAGGCAATCATAGGCAGCGTCATGAAGTTGGCGGGGTCGATGAATCGAATGGAGGGGGGGCGGGGTTGGAGTCGGAACGATGACACCACAGCAATCGTTTGAAGCATTTACGTGGCATGGACCATCATTCGAATATAACAATTAATACCAAGTTTGTTCAATCTGCTAGTCGTACCGTTACACTGCTTCGCCCATGACCCTCCCGCCCCAGTGCTTGAATTGTGCACGCCAATAGTCCGCCGCCCCAAATCCACCGCCTCGAACCTTGGCCCCGCGCCCCAGACCCCTGACTGCTCCTCTGCCGTTCTCATCATGGTGAGGGACACTTTATCAAGGTACCCGTCTGTAGTCTGTAGCCGGTGCTAAGCGACGAATCGGTTGATAGACTTCGATGGAATTCGAGTTCGAACCCAGAGCCAAAATTCCTTTTGGTCAGCCCACGTGAACGTCACGCGTCGACTGGTGCGGTGCGGTGCCAAGGAACTCCCAGAGGAGAAAAAAAGTACCCGACCTTCCTCCCCCAAACATCGTCCCTCAGATGGATGACACTTGTCTGCAACAACACGCCTGAAGCTTTAAGGTGCGTGTTCTAAGTAAATTGGCTGCTTCTTCACCGGAACTCCGCCAGGATCACTGAAAAGGTCCGCACCTTTTATATCGTCAATGATGACAGCTAAACCGCCAAGCCATCTGTTGATGAGGGTCTTCGGATCTGGTTCAGAGTTGGAAGCGGGTGAGGGCTCTGAGACGACCTGCATCACGAACATCATTAATTAGTCACCAGCAACCGTCCCGGGATTCTCTAGCACTAACCTTTGGCAGAAGACCGTTGAGGACTCGAACTGGAATTGCCCCATTTCTCTCGTCTGGAGGCTGGGTCTTCCGGTATTGATGGAGCGGTGGACTGCCAAGAGGTGGAGGAGAGTAGAAGAGAGGCCCGGAGAGAGTCCATGAGAAAGAGTCAGGCATGGGCATAGAGATGTGCGGCCTGGCAGGCGAACCGGGCTGGACACAGAAATCAGAGACGCGTTGGAGATGAATGAATGATGGGAAAAGAGGGAAGAAGACAGACAGCAGAGACGGTTTTATTTAAATCCCCTTGAAGCCTTCATTGCTACTTCCGTAAGTTATCTACAAGACTCAGTCTCGGGCTTATGTAGGTTCTACTGGCGAGGTGGTCCTCCTCGAAGAGGTAGGCGCTCATGAGTCCTTCCCATGTTCGCCAATACTCTCATTTACAGTACGAAATTTGATTTATCGGCACCCAGCGAAATCACCACCATCGCAGAAATCGTCAAGCAGGTCCTCCACGGCTGCTCGTGTGACAGAAAGCTGTCTGTCACTGCACGGGTCCCTGAAATCAGGTCGCAGGCAGAGGACAGAGCAGAGGCCCACTTATGGCGCTTAGGATTATTGATAGAGATCATTTGGTGCTCGTGGAAGGCAGGGTCTGGATTTGGGCAAGCACCACGTCACCTCAGGACGAAAGCACCGACTCCTCAGCCAGGAGGCAAAAGTTGTTCTCCGCCCCGAAAGCCTCAAGACACGGCTGCAAGTGCCGTATTCACATGGCGAAGGAGACACTTCCCATCGGACCCTCGTACGGGCTCGCGAACTCGGGCCTGACTTGCTGGCATCACAGACGAGCACCAAGCAGCGCTTTCCATTTATTGGGGGCACTACCTGTGCAACTGCCCTAATTTTCCAGAATATTTACTTGCGCACTTCGATACCGACAGGGTACAACCGACCAATACTGGGGCGTTTGGAGAAAACTTAGTCGAAAGCTTTGCGGTACTGCCGAATTAAAAACAGAGCAGATGCAGCCGGAGGGGCCCTACTAGACCAATGTGCCGACGTTGAGCGCAGCTTTGAGAACTTCGACAAGAAGCTCATCCACTATTATCAACTGTGCATGGTGATTCAGACGGCCCCAGTCGCCTTGTCCAACCACGAGCACAGAAACCATGCCAAGACTTTAGCATTTTCCAGTTTAGGACTAGCCATGCCTTATCCCAGTTCCCTCGAAGGATCGCCCCACGTTTTCTGGCCTGTCGACCTGCAATCCCATCGTGCGAATGCGAATTGCGGCATCCAGAAGCACCGCCCTTGTAACAGCCTCCATCCGTGATGAATGACACAAGAAAATGCCGGGTACGCCGTTCCATATCACCTTGCTGTGTAATCAACTTTGAACTATTCCCATAATGGTTTGTGAGCTTGGCTTGGCACCGGAGTCCCCACTATGTCCGTGTCCATCGTGATTCAACACAGCAGACTTATAAAGGATCGATGTCCAGCCCAACATGAGAGAGGTGGAAGGATATCGACAAAAAGACAGACATTCACAGCAACATATACTTTATTACATTTACTTGTTCGTCCAAATTTTACTTTTCATCTTCCTTCCAAGTCCAACCCAAAGCAACAACCGCAGCCAAAGATGGTTTCGTCCAAGGACATGGCGCCAGTGACATCCGGCCGGGCCTCCTCGTTCATCAAGGGCCAATTTTTGACCAAATTTCCAAAACTCCCCAAGGAGACCGACTTGAGCGGCAAGGTTGCCATCGTCACCGGCGCCAGCAGTGGCCTCGGTTTCGAAAGCGCCAAGCGAATGCTCGCCCTCGGGCTATCACACGTGGTCGTCGCCGTCCGCTCCCTGGAGCGAGGCAAAGCTGCCGTCCCGCAATTGCAGACTGCGAACCCCGGTGCGAAGATCGACGTCTGGCCTTTGGAGATGGAGTCATATCAATCCATTCAGGCGTTTGTCCAACGGTGCGAGACAGAGCTCCCTAGGATCGACATGGCCATCTTGAACGCAGGTCTCGCCGAGGTGGAATTTAGCTTGGCTCCCACGGGACACGAGAAGGTAATACAGGTCAACTATCTGAGCACAGTGCTGCTTGTGATACTCCTCTTGCCTATCCTCAAGGCCAAGTCAACCGCCGGAGTTGCACCTCAAATTACGGTTGTGAACTCGATGATGTCCACGTTTGCCAAGTTTCCCAACCGGGACAAGAGGCCACTGCTAGCGTCATTTGACGACACCAAAGTCACGGCTTGGGATCCCAGCGAACGCTACAATGTGTCCAAGTTGCTTGGGCAGTTGTTTCTCAGCCGACTGGCCGACCACGTCAATCCGGAGGACGTCGTCATCAACATGGTCGAGCCGGGGCTGACCAAGACCGGTCTATTCCGCAATATCAACGGCGTGGTTGGTGCCGTCTTCAACTTGGTCCAGTTTATCTCGGCAAGGACCGCAGAGGAAAGCTCCGTGACGTACATTGACGCTGCCGCGGTGAAAGGGAAGGAATCGCATGGTAGTTTTCTTGTTGCCTGCAGGATTCATCCGTAAGTGCCGTCGGCCGGAAAACCCAGCCCTATCGTGACCAGGGCGCTCAGCTAACACGAACATGCAGGCTTGCCACCAGTACGTACGAGCGAGGGGCCAAAGCCATTGCGGATCAGCTGTGGGAGGAAACGCTGGATGAATTCGGCTTTGTGGATGCACGGGGAATTCTGCAGACTCTCTCTCAGCCGGCTTAGGTCTAGGGCGTGGTACAAGCCAAGGCGGAAGTCAAGAGTTCTTGAGCAACCCAAGGACGCGCCAAGCAAGGTACAGGAGAGAGGATGACGACGCATTATGGGGAGTGTAATACGGAGACCAAATGTGACTACCGTGTAAGACGGTAGCGGAATTAATGAATACGGAAGCCGGAGTTATGCAAGCTTGCGTGGACCTGGGAGTGTGTTTTGAAGTTCTGACTGTCGGTCTTGGCTTGCGCAGGCTGGACGCCGCCTAAAAGCGGCCATGTGCAGCAAGTGTCCGAGGAGGCGATAGACGCAACCAAGCGTGCGAGTTTGGTGCACCTTTTGGCTCGGTGCGACTCATGGATGGGTCATGGATGCGCAGGGGAGGGGGTGTGCGTGGTGCGTGTCGTGGGTGTCGAGTGTGGCATTTCAGACAATTGGAAATCAGTCCAGGCAGTCTAGGCAGTCGCTTAACAGTTGATTTTGTCGTTGTTTTTATTTTAATTCCTTTTTTCGTTTTTGCCATTGACAGCTGTTCGGCCCTGGGTCTCGCCGAGCAGGAGAAACAGGCAGCGGGTCGGGAGATGCCGAGGCGTCGCAATTGGCGGCGCCTTGAGCGAGCAGGCAAACAAACACACGACGCTCCCGTCATAGTTCTCTCTGCCTGGGACGCCCCGACCGCCATTCTTCGCAGCTGCTAGCCTGAGAGGAGAGACTCCAACTATCGCTGCGAGGCGTTCAACCTTCCCCGGCTGTGGTGGAGTGGAGTCTGGGCTTGCTTGGAGCAGGCAGTCAGAAGAAGCAAAGAGTGGAGGTGGTGGAGGTGGGTGGAGAGGTGAGACCGAAGGTGCATGTACACGGCGGGCGATAGGCTGCTGGCCGTCACCGCAACCTCCGACGTTATCGGGATGGGGGTATGGAGTACCGCCGCCGAAGTTGCTGATGCGTGCCCGTGACTTGGCTTCCGGCGCAGGCCCACGCAGCGCCGCCTCACCCTCACCGATGCCGCCATCCATGCTCATGCTGGTCACAGGTCACGGACTCGCGGTCACGATCCCGCGAGGGCTCCAGGGGACATTTCCCCGCTTCCAGCTCGTCTCTAGGGGCTACTTGGGGGGCGTGTGCTGTGGTGTGGTGTTGTGTGTTTGGTGGTGTTTGTGTGTGACTCTCGGTTCTGCCTATCTGTACAGTACGCGGTACATGATGATTCTTGCCCGTCGTTGGTGGCTGGCTTCATAGGACTTTGTCTTGGATCCTCCTCTCCTCAGCCGAGGGCGCTTCCTCGAAGCACTGTCCCCTGTCTCCGAGACCTCACTAAACCACCTCGGGCATTCAGCTGCTAACAAGGAACCAAAACGCCGGGACTTGAACTTGGGGACTTGGGGAGGGAAGTCTGTGATGATGCCCACGCCCAAGCAAGGGGGCCACGGTTAAGCCACTCAGATTCCTTCTGCTTAGGAATCAGAATCAGACACAACACCAACGCATCCCAGCCTGGCAGAAGCAAAGTGCAAGGTACCTGGTTGTCCTACCACCGAGTCCGTAGCTATCCGGCATCTGGCTCGCTGCTTTTTCTATCAGCACCAGCACAAGCACAAGCGGTCCAGGCTCCCAGCCCTCCACGCATCCATCCATCCATCATCCTCCTGTGGTTTGCCCCCCGAAGGCGAGACATGCAATTATCCGTTCAGCTCACCACCCGCTGCTCCGCTTCCGCTTCCGCCTCCGCTGATTATGACTGCCAAGTTGAGCAGTGTTTGTTGTTGTTGTGCAAGACAAAATAGCTCCCACCTAATTCCATCCCTTGCGTCCCCTGTGGTCAATCGTCCCTCCGCCCGCCCATGCGCCCCCAGTCACACATGGCGGTTTGAGCCCATGCAGATAGAGCTCTGGGTATCATATCTCACGACCCTAGACCCTGGACATGTCCATCATCAGTCCCCCAAGGGCGGGGCTATTATTTGCACTTTCTTTCCCTTGCTTGCCCTCCGTCTTCCGTCTGTCCTATCCATCCGACTCAATCCATCTCGCGTGACGCACGTCGTCGAGTTGTGCAACCACACCCACTCACACCCCCTCGCCTCTCCCTCCTCTCTCCCTCCTCTCTCTCCTCGCTCCTTGCTCCTCTCCAATCGGGCACCGTCAACTCGGACCTCGGGCGAGCATTTCAGCACAGTTGACAGGTATACGTGTGTGGGTTACCTAGACTGGCCCTGGATTGGCAGTGAGAAAGATCCATCTGAGCTTTGCACTTTGTTATTTGCCCAAAGGCCTTCCTCTTTAGTTACTTTGTACATCCGTATTATGTACGTACTGGCCTCGTACAACCACGCCGAGCCCAAACTACCTCTCTCACCTATAGAGTCAAAATACAATATGCAGCTGTGCCAAGTATAGGGGCACCGTACCTTGCCGAATAAACGCTGATCGAGCTTGCCCCAGTCTCACTGGCTTGGCCTCGGCCGACTGGCTTCTTCTCCTCACTCCGGATGACACTACGCTGACGCTCATGACCTAGCTCCCAATCCGACCTTACAACGTCAACAACACGACAGAGTCAATTGCAAACCTAACCTTGTCTTCTCTACCCAGCACCTCATCCCCTGGTTTCATCACCCCTGATTCTCGGCTGCATACTTCGTACGTAAGAAACTTCGAGTGCTGTGTTTGCAGGTCATCTGACGGCCATCATCAACCTTGGTCGTTTATGCGTCACTAGGGTAGCTCTCTTGATTTATTTCCCTTGGCAATGTATGTACCTGAAGCTATCAAGTAAAAATGGGCACAGACATTGACGAATTCGAGGCCTTACCTGGTCCCGCACGTCAGATGGTCTATCCTGGGGCTGAATGTCGTCTTCCGGTTGGTCAATGTCAACAACAGTACCTCACATGGCTCACTAGGTGGCTCCGTCCTGACTCTTCACATATCCGCCATCGCGGAGCTATCATACCCATGTGGAGGGCAACGTGAAGGTTAAGTGGACCCAAGACGTAGACCATCTCTGATGCATCTTGGCCCAGTTCAGTTGCACATGTCACCAGCGTCGGGCCTGGCGTTGATGGGAGAGATCGGCGGATAAACGGAGGCATCAAGGGTCAATCGGTTGCCGACCAGACCCGTGTCAGCGACCCTGACACCCACATACCTATCCTCGACATATGGCAATATACTTCACTTTTTGGCATTGTTGCGGGTTTGGTTCACCAATGTCCACCCTGGCACTTGAATTCAGGTATATATAATGCACCAGACACCCAACGCCATTGCCATGAAAGCACAACACCACGCATGGGTTCGCAACAAATACAAATCCTCAGGGTACAAGAACTGGATTGGCAAAGCAAGCAGTGCAACACCGCAGCAGAACCATGCCGTCCACATCCCCGTCTCCCCCAATTTTTTTTTGTGGCGAAAAAGGAAACGTCCACCCCCCAAGCAAAGACAAACAGTACCTCAGTCATGATCCTTTCCACTGGGAACGCAATCCCATCAGTCCGTCCATCCCAAAAGTAATGTGCCAAGTCGCTCGAGAGAAGCAGGAGATAATGATATTGCCACCAACATAGTGGCCGGGTGCCATCCAATGCAAACATGCATCTGAACCATCCTCCAAAGCAAGGCGGGACTCTCCGAACAGGTCCACCAAGAAGACCTCCGTCCATCCAACGCAATAGGGCCATCTCAGAAACGAGGATGCCAACGACTAATAAGTATGCCGTCTCGCCAAGGCTTCCGAAGCCCCCAATGCCCATCCATACACCCCCGAAAGGTTCCCAGCAATAAGTGTCGCGTGTGCTTTTGTTGTTTTTTAGGTCTGAGGTCGTAGTTGTAGTAATTAAATCGAATACGGGTAATAAGCAGAAGGATAGGCGAAGTACGAGGGGTCTAACGCCTCACAACTCTACTGCGGGTAGTAGACCATGCCGGGTGCTTGTTGGGCATAATAGAAGCCGTCTGGGCTAGGTGTTACCATACCCCCCATGCCCATGACGTTGGGCTGGTAAGCCGGAGGTGCAGAGTAGGTTGGGTAGTTGTTCACTGGAGGTAGCTGAGAGGCATCATAGTAGTAGACCATGCCATTGACCTCCTGCGCTACGAGATTCGGATTAGGCGCAGGGGGTTGGCCGTTGCCTTGCACAGGCTGTTCGTGTTGGGCCTGAGGCGTGAAGCTACCAGGGGCACCTTGCTGTCCAGGAACAAATGAAGGAGCCGCCACGGATGGACCCATGTTAGAGTTGTTGTAGTTGGGCGGATAGTAGTACCCTTGCTGCTGCTGCTGCTGCTGCATTTGGTAGGGTTGCTGCTGGTTGTAGAAAGGCTGCTGTTGCTGGCCAAAGGTGTTGGGTTGGAATGGTGCCGCATGGATTGCCCTCTCGGGGATCTGCGACAATGGAGTGCCAGTAGAGTGCTGTGACGGATAGGAAGACTGGCGAGTGTGGGACTCATGAGGGAGGCCATTTGACATCTGGACAGGGACTTGCTGATGGAAGGGCTGTTGGAAGGCTTGAGGGCCCTGCGAGAGCGTGGGAGACTCAATATCAGCAACCGAGATGTTCTTCTGGGGACGCGGCTGATGCATAGGGAGTGCCGATGTAGGCCGATTCTCCTGGAAAGCAGGCTTCTGTGGCAGCGGATACGTCTGTGGCTGGGGGAGATCGTTAATAGAGGTCTCCAGCCCCATCGGCCCCTCGAAATGACCGGTCGGGTCCATAGGGATCTGTGCCATGGGGACCTGTGCCATGGGGATTTGTGCCATAGGGATGTGTGCCATAGGAATCTGCGCCATAGGCATATCGGGTCGAGGGGCGGGAGGCAGTCTAACGATAGGCCGGGAGTTCTCAACTGGGATTGGCGGCCGCGAGATGACGGAGCCTGTCGGGGAGAACATGTAATCCCTCTCAACAATGGACGACCGCCGACTAAGTCCGCCAATGCTGGGCGAGTATACGCTGCCGTAGAAGCTGCCTCCGTAGACGCTGGTTCTCCTCGAAAAGCCACCCACCGAGCCAAAGGCGGATCGAGGCTTACCGCGCATCCGTTGTTGATTAGGCCGCATCGCACGGGGGATAAAGATGAAAGACCTGTCGGCGGCGGGGAAGATGTAGCGTGGCGGGTTGTCGGGAAGGGAGATCCGGACGGGTTTGTCTCGTCGCAGAGGTGGGCGGTGGTCAGGTAGCTTCGTATACTGCTTAACGGGGACACCCGAGAAGACGGCGGGGGCCTTCATGTTGGGAAGGAAGACCCGGACTTGCGCGTTGCCAATGTGCTTCTCCGTGGAGAGGGTACGGTTGATCGGGGTCGGGTGGGGATCGCATGTCGGGATGAAGCCGTTGCCGTTTGGCGGTCCCTCCTCCTCCTGCATGTGTCTAGGCCGTACCGGAGGCCGATGCGGCTCTGTGACAGCCTCGTGCATATCGTGGGTCCATGGGGAATTAGTTGTTGGGTCAGCTGGGTGGTGTAATTGGCTGTCTTGGTCAGTAAAAGAGAGAGAACTGGGCGGGAGGTTGAACACGTACTGAACAGGAGCGAAAGGCCCCCCAATGCCACCTCCACGACCACCGCCTCTACCACCGCGACCCCGTCCGAAAGGTCGAAAACCATTTGCCGCAGGGCCAGCATGACGATGGTCGTGCATGAAGAAAGCACCTCGGTTAGGCACAAAGGCTGGGTCCTCGTCCCTTCGTTTCTTGTAGTCCTCATGTTCCTGACGTCGGCGGTTTGCAGCGGCGCCCTGGGGCTGTCGGGTGGCAGAGGCGGAGCTGACCACGATGGGGGCGGCAGGAGACTTGGCCGGAGAAGGGGCGGCAACCTCATCGAAATGCATCTCCTGGACGGGGGGCGACGGGTCGGTGATGGACAGACCGTGGAGCATCATATCGGTATCCGAGACGGGCTTGCCATCGGCCCCAGCATCGGTGCCCAACCTGGCGGCGTGGCCAGGGTGCTTGGGTGCGCCATTGGCCGTCTTCCGGGCATTCGGGGACGTCGGGGAGGTCTCGTCGATGTTGCTAGTATCGCTGTCGTTGGCCAAGTCGTTGTCGTCGGTGGCAAGGGAGCCATCGGTGATGGAATCGTCATCGAGGTCGAGGGCCTCCGGGCCGCCCTCGTCGTCGCCCTCGTCTTCAACGCGGCGACGATGGCCGATGAGCTTTCTGCGTCGGGGAGCGGCAGCCATGGTTGAGCGGCGATGGAGGCGATGGAGAAGTCGACGGAGGGGGCTTCGGGGACGACGGGAGGTTGAGGATGCGACGGGCCTGGCGGATCATGCGGCGACGGCCGAGGACAGGAGCCGAGAGGGAGAGGAGCCGCGGACGAGAGGCGAACCGGCGGGATGAAGCGAGACCCAGGAACCGCCCGGCGGTAGTGGCGCAAAAGCAAGAAACAAGAAAAACCCCCAACAACCCGATACCTGATATAGATTCCAAGAAGCAAGAGCAACCGCTGGACAACCGACCCAAGAGAGAAAACAAAGCGAGACAGGAAGGGGGGAAGGGGGGGGAGGAGACTCGAAGATGCTCGCTTGCCTGTGTTCAAGGGCAGTGCGTTGCAGAGCAGGCGGTGGTCGAGAGCGAGAGACGTGGGGAGAGGTGAGGAAGCGGGAGGAGGGAGACGAGAGAGTGGGAGTGGGAGAGCGAGATGTGGTGATGGTGGTTCCGAGAGAAGATTTGGCAAGGTCAATCGGATCGCCAAAAAGTGTCTGGCCCCCCCGGCCCTTGGGCTTTAGGTGGTCCGCTAGCCCCATGTTACTGGAGGTGCCGGGCCGCCAGGAGCACAGGTACCCCGCCCGCGACATTGGTGTGCAAAGTGACAAGCAGCGGTGGTGTCTCGTCCGCCGCCTCGACCTCCGGCTAGCAGGCGAAACCGCCCCAAGGCCGCTGGGCCGCCCGCCAGCCCAAGGAACAAAGCACCCCGAAGTCCGCTGAAGAAACGAGAGCGTGGCTGTCCGCGGCCATCCAGACCTCCATCCAGACCTCCATCCGTTGATTGATTGATTCATCATCATCACCCCAGCACCCAGACCCAGTGCCATCGGCATCCACATCCAACTCCACCACGTGCGAAGGTCCGAAGGGGAAGAAGCAAAAAAAATAATAAACACACATTATCCACCTGCTTCTTACTGTGACGGGATCACAGCCCCTTCCGCGTCCTTCCTTTGGGCTCCGTCACCCAAACACTGCACAGAGACGGAAACACATCCCAATCACTACTAACACCAACACTGCAAAAGCACACGACAGAGGGGCACCCATTGATGGGCATCGCATTGTTGCTGCACGGCACTGCGCGGCACACCACTCGGGGCTGCAGCGTCTGGCCTCGACTATACATATCACTGCGCTTCCTCCGCGTCGGCACCTGTGCGGTGGTTGTTATTGTTGTTGATTCCGCTGCTGCTATTTGACCCAATCTACTGCGTCCGATGCAGGACATCCATCTCAACGCGTGAATGCGCTTCCGTGAAGGGCCGTCGCTCACACAACTGGCACATACATCCACACACATACACACACCACGCTTGGCCAGTTGACCACACTACCTCTTCGCAGACTACCGAACTTTCCATGCCTGCCTTGCTACCTTAGCATCTGCCTACCTTCCTGCAGCGATATCGCGACCCCATGGCGCTCTCCTTCCCTTTGGGGTCGGGTTGACGGGCTTTCCAATGACGGTTCTAGCTCCCACATGTCAGGCCATGCCACCACTGTCGCCTCCCTTTACTCTACCCATCTCGAGCATGCCATGAATCGCTGTGTCCAGACATCAAACCCCAACAAGTCGCGGTCCCGCGCCCGCACTCTGGGTTGGGGAAAGGTAAGCCGAGGTGGTAGTAGCTGACAAGCTCCACCTCGTCGCCCTCTCGTACTCGGCATGCCTCTCTCTCTCTCTCTCTCCATCAGCCACCTCCTCTTCAGCATTCGTACCGGGCCTTGATGAATCGAAGCAGTGAATGAATGCTTTCGTCGTTGGGGGTGACGGCCGACAGCCTGGGGCCACAGACTCCCAAAGGCCACGTTTCGACCCAAGCCTGCATGCCTCGCAGGAAACCAGGTCAGCGCGCGCCTCGTTTACTGGGCGGCGTGCGGCGGACAGTGGGCACGGTGGGCATATCTCTCCGGACGTGCGAATGTGCGAAGATGGTATGTACGTGGTATGTATCTCTGCGCTGGCTCGCCAGCAGATCCACGACAGCCGAGCCAACACCCCGCATCGTCCATCCAGACCATGAGCGGACAACAAAGGCAGAGAGGGAGGGTGTGTTTGGTAGGACTGAGGCGAACACCAGGGCGGACTAGCAAAAGTCGCATGCACAACATCAGCGAGAGGGAGCTCCATGTTAGCTAGTTCCAAACAGCCACTTCCGGGATGCAACAATATTCCTCCTACCGCTCTCGCCTCTCTGCATTCCTGTGTCTGAGCAGACTCCGATTCCTCAAATCGCGTCAGGCTGCAGGCGGAGCATCTGCCAGTCCGTCCCCTATCCACGGACGTGGGATATCGCCATCGTCAGCGGTCCCCCTTCCGCCCCTCCACACCTGCTACCCCGGACATGATACATGACGGCCGGCTAGTTCCTATGGGGGACCACGAAAAGAGGCTCTGAAGGGTGTGTCTCGAACCTGGCACGTCGACGCCGTGTGGTTGGAGGTCCAACGCCGCGGCACATGTCAGGCTGCACTGGGACTGTGTCTGATTTTGCGGCGCGTTGTCGCCAATCAATGAGCTGAACGTCCGCCCGAATGTTTGCGTGTTGTGTCTGTGTCTGTGTCGTGTCAAGGGTGGGATCATCGGCCGAAGCCGAATTACCACCAAACCCATCCCTCTCTTACTTACCATTCCATGCACAGTCAAAGCGGGATGGAATTTAGTCGCAGGCCTGCAATACGAAATGAGCCTCAAAGAGTTTTCCTTGAATCTTCCCATAACTCCTATTGTCCGATGCGGAGATTACGTGATCAATCGCTCTGCGGCATCACATCATCACAGCCCGGCATCATCATGAGGGAACCTGCCATGGCAGCCGGGCGAGACTTTTCACCCCCACGACGAGCCCTTTCTCGCGCCAATCACGACAAGCCCTGCCGTGCTCGCATGCCCAACGTTGATCCTGGGGTGCTTTGCCTTTTTCTTTCTGTGTCTCTGGCGGGTTTGCCTCTTTGCTTTACTGGGGACATGATATGACACGGTCCTCTGAGCAGACTGACGTAGGACGGAGGAGGCAGGGTTACCTAGTGCCGCCGCGGTATCTTTGCCATGACTCCGGAGGGCCGGTTCAAAAGTCTTGTCCATAAGAAGTAAGTCCTACTTATTAGGTTAGATAATAAGTACACTAAGTACTTCCTGATTTCTATAGGCCCTAAAGGATAGCAGGCTACAGCACACAGCAACCGCTATATCCTGATCAGCAGCGTACTACTACTGAAGTTACAGCGGCTGTTTAACGAGACTGTGACAGCTTTATGTATCTCAGGTAACCGACAGGGATAAATGGATATGATGTTACTAGCGCTTGGACAAGATTTTTGAAAGAGCCCTCCGTAAAAAGTACGAATTCGATGGGGTGTATTAAGTAGTGCCTCTAGCCTGTCAACTAAGGTGCGTAGGCGACATACTACGGCATACAGACAGCTCTAGCATAGCTCCCCGAGATGCTTGCCCATGTGGGTGCATTGCCGATAACAAGGAGACTCGGTGTGGGCGGGGTTCAGTTGAGCTTTGGTTGAAGCAGCGGTGCTGTGTCGTCACTCAGTCTCTCTCCCGCCTCCAGAGTCTCAACAGCGTCTCCTGCAAACGCCTGACTCAACACGTATTGTCTCTCGACACCTTTCGACAGCACCGTTCGATCCATGAAACTCGTCCCTTTGCCTCGTACGTCACCATCAAACCACGTCGCCAATTGACCCCTCTCCGACCGCCGTGTGTGCTTTGCATCGGTTGTGCGTAATGGTACCAGCCGCGGTGGGGTTCCCAAGAAAGCGGCGGTTTTCAGCGGGGTTGGATAATGCACCAAAATGCACCAGAAATGCACCAACGGCACCCCAACCCCAGCCAAGCCTTGTCCCAATCCCAATCCATGTGATCATTCAAGCTGCCTCTCACGTCAATCCCGGTTCTGGTCTACCATCCTACCATCCCACTTCCACAGAACGAACCCCTCATCCAATTCCTCCCTCTCTCTGCTTGTCGCCGTGTCTTCCATTCCTTGACAAAGAAGTCCTTGCCGCCAATTCGACCTCGACGACCTGTATTGCAGCAAGAGAGAGGACCAGCCAGGACCCTCACAGCCGAAAGAGACGAGGCTCCGCGCGCCGCGATACCGACACCATCATGGCCAGCCTCCCCTCCCAACACCCCTCTCTCTCCCTCCACCTGTCCGACGTCACCCTCACTCCGCTCATCACCTCGGCCGCCTCCCAATCCCATCTCGAGTCCCTCACCTCGCTCACCTCCAGCGCCCTCGCCTCCCAGACGGCCGCGCTGCGCCTAGGCCTGGGCCGCCCAACCCGCCTCATGGTCGAGTACCCGGACCGCGGGCCCGTCGTCCTCCACTCCTACCTCGACCCGCGCGACGCCCCCGACGCCCCCGGCTCCGGTGCCGGTAGCGCCGCCCACTTGAGCTCCGCAGTCACCACTCCCGGGGCCGCCCCCTCCGAGCCCCCGAACCCCAAAGACGACCCGCGATCTGAGGACGCCGCGCCCATGCTCATAGGCGTAGTCGTCGCAGGGTCTGCTGATGAGGCTAGAGAGGCTCGCCGCGCAGCTGCGAGACTAGAGCACGTCGGTAGGGAGTTTCAAAGGGAATGGGTCACCGAGAGCCAAGGACATGAAGACGGATCTGAATGAGATCATGAGCGGTACGCTTGTGGACGTGGTCAACGTGCGCTATGACATTACGATTATGATGTGATGCGATAAGACCAAGGGATACAACTAGGCGGGCATTGGCCCCGGGAGGAGCCCCCCATCATGTCCTCACAGAGTACACAAACTTGGCTTCTTCTACAAGGAGAGCGAGGCGTCACGGTGTCTGGATCTAATATAGCTACTGGGTTGGTTGAGTAGGATCGGGACCGGCAACCGGATGGAGGGATACGGAGTTTAGGACCTGGGGATATAGGATGGCACTCTGTTTTAAGCGTCACGGAGCGCACTCAAGTATCCGCAAGAGTATTCATAGCAAGTAGGGACTGTTCTAAAAGGCCTTTGAATTCATTTCGAGACGTCTATTTAACCATTACCCTGCTCCAAAAACCATCATCACGGCATAAACATTCCCGCCATCTCCAGCGTATCCATCCCTTGTTCCTTATCTTAATTTTTCTTATTCGCTTACTTGAGCTGCTCGAAGGCACGGTTGATGGTGGAGCGGACGGGGACGCCCTTCCAGAAGTCAATGGTAGCAACAGCGCGCTTGGCAATGCCCTCAGGAGTGAACTCGAACTTCTGCAGCGGGGGTTAGCAAGGGTTTGAGCGGGGAAGTCTGGGGTTTAGGCTTAGCCTAGCCAGGGGGGTCGCTTGCCTTGTAGACATCCTTGTAGGGACCGGAGGCACCGAAGCGGGTGAGACCGAACTGCTCGTGAGTGTAGCGTTCCCAGCCGATGGTGGTCATGACCTCAATGGACAGGGCGGGGATGCCGTCGGGAAGGACAGAAAGGCGGTACTCCTTGGACTGGAGGTCGAAGACCTCGCAGCAAGGCATGGAGACGATACGAGCCTTGACGCCCTGCTCCGAGAGGAGCTTGGCGGCGTCGACGGCAATGCCCACCTCGGAACCGGTGGAGACGAGGGTGACGTTGGCACCCTCAACCTCGTGCAGGACGTAGCCACCCTTGCTGGCCTTCTCGATGGTCGAGCCGTCAAGCTGGGGAAGGTTCTGGCGGGAGAGAGCAATGATGCTGGGGGTGTTCTTGGAGGTCAGGGCGACGTAGTAGGCACCGCTGGTCTCGTTACCGTCGGCAGGGCGCCAGACCATGCAGTTAGGAAGGGCACGGAAGTGAGCGAGGGTCTCAATAGGCTGGTGGGTAGGGCCGTCCTCGCCCAGACCGATGGAGTCGTGGGTGGCAACCCAGATGTTGCGGACCTGGGACAGAGCCGACAGACGGACGGCACCGGCAGCGTAGGAGACGAAGTTGAGGAAGGTACCGCTGTAGGGCAGGATGGTGCCGTAGGCAGACAGACCGTTCATGATGGCACCCATGGCGTGCTCACGGACACCGTATCGGATGTATCGGCCGGAGTAGTCACCGAGACCAGTGTTCTCGGGCTGGAAATCGACGGCATTCTTCCATCGGGTCAGGTTGGAGCCAGTCAGATCGGCGGAACCACCGACAAGCTCGGGGATGACAGCCTCGACCTTGCTGAGGACAGTCTCAGACAGCTTTCGCGAAGCGATGGCAGGGTCGGAGGTGGTGTAGACGGGGAGAGCCTTCTCCCAGCCCTCGGGGAGGTCGCCAGTCTGTCGTCGCAGAAGGTCGGCGTGCTCAGTAGCGAAGGTCTCGCCGTACTTGGCGAGCAGCTGGTTCCACTCCTCCTCAGCGGCGGCACCCTCGGAAGAGTGCTTGCCGTAGAGGTCGTAGACCTCCTGGGGGACGGCGAAGCTCTCGGCGGGGTTGAAGCCGAACTTCTCCTTGAGCTGCTTGATATCATCGGTCTTGAGAGGAGAGCCGTGGACACCGTGGGTGCCCTGGTTGACGGAGCCGTAGCCAATGGTGGTCTTGAGCTTGATAATGGAGGGCTTGTCCGTGACGGACTGAGCCTCCTTGATGGCGGCCTCAATGGCAGCCAGGTCGTTGTCACCGTCCTCGACGGTGACGACATGCCAGCCATAAGCCTCGTAGCGCTTGGCAACGTCCTCAGTGAAGGCAACGTTGGTGTTGCCGTCAATGGAGATGTGGTTGTCATCCCAGACGGCAATCAGGTTGCCGAGCTGGAGGTGACCGGCGAGGGAGCTGGCCTCGCTGGAGACACCCTCCATGAGGCAGCCATCGCCAAGGAAGCAGTATGTGTAGTTGTTGATGAGCTCGAAGCCGGGCTTGTTGAAGCAGGCTGCGGTGTGAGCCTGGGCAATGGCGAGACCGACAGCATTGCAGATACCCTGACCGAGAGGGCCAGTGGTGACCTCAATGCCGGGGGTGTCATGGGCCTCGGGATGGCCGGGGGTCTTGCTGCCGACAGTCTACAAGGGGAGGAAATCGGGCCGTCAGTCAAAAGGCTCAGGCGGTGGCGAAGAGTTACACCGAAGTACTTACTCGGAAGCCCTTGAGGTCATCGATGCTCAGATCATAACCGAAGAGGTGGAGGAGAGCATACTGGAGCATGCAGCCGTGTCCGTTGCTAGGGGTTTAGTGGGTTAGCTTGGGACGTCATGTTGCGGCGCACGGTGGAGTGACGACTCACGAGAGAACGAAGCGGTCACGGTTCAGCCACTTGGGGTTCTTGGGGTTGAACTTCATGAACTTGTTGAAGAGGACGTGGGAGACCGGGGCCATTCCCCTGTTCGAGAATCGTCAGCATCTTTCCTCTTATCGTTTGTGGTTTTTCGGCGTCGTCGGCGACGGGGAGAACTCACATGGGCGCACCGGGGTGTCCCGAGTTGCTGTTGAAGGTGGCATCAGCCTGTAACGCGAGGGTTCATCAGTACTCATTGATCTTTCGACGACTCATTTTGCTCATCCCACGCATCAAGAGAGTAGCGACACGATCTCCAGGTGGAATCGGTCGTGCGCTCGTCCTCTCTTGCTTGCGTCCTCGCAGCTCCCACAGCTCCCTCACCAAAAAACCGCCCCTGCATGCCACGCTTTCGCGTTGAATGGCGGGGCATTTTTGGCGGTGGTGGCGGGGTAATTGTCGAGTGCTGAGGATCTGGAGGGGGAATGCAGAGACGGAGGCGAGAGGCGACTTACCGCGAGCACGCGGATGGTGTTGATGGCCTTCTTGTCAAGCTCGCCGTAACCCATTTTTGCCGGATGTATCTGGAACTGGTTCTATGAAGAGGGAAGAAGGAGGAGAGAAGGAGGAATGGAAAGAAGGAGAAGAAGAGGAAAGGTAGAAGTCCTGATGCCGCTGGAGGGGTCGTGTCATGTATTTGGTAGCAGTCCCCAGTTTTAAATATGGCTGGGCAACTGTATGTACCGAGCGCGCTGTACATGTGGGTGCGCTCCGTACCACTCTTGCTAAACTTGCCTTACTAGGTACCTTGGGTAGCCCGACAACTAACTTATAGCAGCTGTTCCGGTGGGAAGCTGCCCGCCTGGGAAGTTGGAGCGACGGCCTGGACGGGAGGCCGGTTTACGTTGGGAGGCGTTCCAGGTACTAAACCCACTGAAGGCCATAGCCGCTCACCTCAGTGACCGCGCGGGGGACGCCAGTTTGGGGGCAAGGTACCCCGGCGAGGGCGCTGTGAGTGGGGTCCCGGTGGGGGGCTTGCAGAGCGCTGGGGCCAGTGACGCCAGGGACGCCCCTCCTTCGCTGGCGCTCGCCGCACTTTGTTGCACCTCAATCGTTAGCATCCTTACCAAGCGTCCCCATCGCATGTAGTCGCCCGCCACTGGAGGCGGCTGTCGACCACGTTGAGACGGCTGCTCCAGTCAAGATCGTCGAGATGAGCGCTTGCGAGCACAAAAACCCTGCGCATGCCTGTCCTTGACGCAATTCCCCTCAATCCTCCATCCCGTTCCGCCCGTTCGTTGCTCAGACCAGCTCGGCAGTGGAGCCCCTTGAGCGTGTCTGCATCGCCAAGGGGCCTTATGAGTTGCTTAGTTCAGCGACATCCTCGCCGTCTCTGACGTCGGTTGCTGGTTGCTCCGTGGCTCCCGTCGCTGCCCCGAGGAAGCTTCCCTTCCATGTCACGGATAAGTTGCATTGCCAGAGTGCTCCTGGGCATTGCGGCTTTTTTCCGTGTCTCCGAGGACTACACTAGGCTGCGTGGTGTATCTCCGCGCTGGGACTGGTGTATGGGGAAGATATTTCGCTCAACCATCCGCATAGACTCTAGAAGGCTCTCTCGACGTGCTGTCGCCTCACCAAATTACCCGGAGGGAGGGGCAGACAGCGAAGCCCCCGCGGGGGGGTCACGGATCACTGTGCTCCGCGAGCCGGTGCCCGAGTCGGACAGCACTCCGTCGTCGCCGTGTGCTTGGTCCGTCGCAGGTCGAGTTGGAGAAGTGTGGGTTGACGCAGTTCGACGGCCTCAACCACGCAACGATTCATGACGAAGCTTGCTGGTTGGTTCGGCTGAGCCAGCTATTGGGCTGGGCATCCGCACCAATCCAGGCCGGAGACAGGCCATTGGCTGCGTGGGCAGAAGAGCACTGGAGCACTGAGCAGTAGCGCACCGTCTCGAGGGGGTTGAGGTTGGAAATGCCATGGTCGGAGCCATGCTTCAGCCGTAGTCGGAGACGGGGTACCGATGTAACAGGCGGCGGCGAATCGCCATGCGCCGGCGGAGGGTGTCTACGCTCGGCAGATTCGGCGGCGCTGCCCTACCTGCCCAGGTCAGGCCGACAGAATACTGCTTTAGGTGGTACCTAAGCCAGCGCAAGTTGAGGGAAGCTCCCGCACCTCGTACCTCGTAAGCAGTTATCAAGGGATTGGTAAAACCTGGTTGTTGGCCACCCATCATCACCCGTCATCACGTACGCGCCCTGTCAGCAGCTCACTGTGGTGTGCTCCGAGGCGTCAGATCATGGGAGCTGCCAGATGCGGCATAAGTATAACATCATGTTTCCGCGGTCCGGTCTGTCGGTGAGCGAGAATCCCTCACCTTGGTCGATAAGTTGGTACGTGGTGTTGCGTACCCCCAACGCGATTGGGGAGTTTTCAATGGATCATAGTAATAGAATTTTCCGATTTGGCAACCTCCACCAAGCGACGAACCACCACCTCACATTTCACGAGATTCTTATCAAAAATTCTGTCAGCCCAGCCAGCACGCCCCCAACCAAGTTCCCCGTTTCATTTCCTGTTCCATTTCCCGTCCAGTTCCCGTTCCAGAACAGGGTCCCTGTTTAACTACCCTGTTTAACTACCCAGTAAGAGCAATGGTCAAGAAGCCCTGTCTCTCCAAAAAGGCAGCAGCTAAGAAGGCGTCCAAAATTGCCGCCAAGGCCGAAGTGCCCTCGCCCTCGCCCTCACCATCCACCGCTCTCCAAACCCCCGCGGAACAGCAGCGCCTGCTCGACATCTTCGCCGACGCCTTTGGAAATGTCCTGGTCTCGGACAACTTCCCCACGCTGCTGCAGGAGTTGAAGCGGGCGCTCTTTAACCGTGATTTTGCCACTGCCTTTGGACGCGAGGACTACCTCGAGGCGTATGCCGCGAGATGGAGCCCCACGCGTGCGCTCGGCTACGCAACCGTCTTCCTGAGCATTCGGGCGCATCTGAAAACGATGGTTGATGCTGATGCTGAAGATCCTGTTGAGGTGGAGGGCTCGACAAGTGGAGAGCAGGCAAAGGTCGCCGCGGCGGGGAAAAGCGGCACGCTGCGAATGGTCTGCATTGGCGGTTGCGCCGCGGAGCACCTCGCCTTCGGGTCTTATATCCAGTCCCAAGACCTCACGGGCCGCCTCACTCTCGTTGACTCCGGCCCTTGGTCCTCGGTCAACGACCTCCTCGAGGCCAAAACCACCTCGCCGCCGCCGCTGTCCAAGTACGCCTCCACCGCTGCCAAAGCCTCCAACCAGTCCGCTCTGCTCCGGGACGGCCAGCTCTCGCTCAACTATTCCCAGCAGGATATCCTCGCTCTGGATGCCCCGGCACTGGCCGCCATGTTTGGCGAGGAACCCATCGCCCTGACGCTCATGTTCACGCTCAATGAGCTGTACACGAGAGGCGGCATCGCAAAGACGACGACGCTGCTCAAGACCCTTGGGCAGGTCCTCGCAGCGGGCAGCTTGGTGCTGGTCGTGGATAGCCCCGGCAGCTACTCAGAGGCTGCTGTAGGAAAGGAGCAAAAGAAGTATCCCATGCAGTGGCTGCTTGATCACACACTTCTGGAGACTGTCTCACCAGGCTACAACTGGGATAAGATCGAGTCTCAAGAGTCCAGCTGGTTCCGGCTCCCCGAGGAACTCCACTATCCCATCCAGCTCGAAAACATGCGTTACCAGCTACACCTGTACCGCTTAGAAAAATCGTCTTGATTAAAGCATGCTGCGTTCGAGTAATAATGGTATCTACGTGTATCTGCGTTTCTATGCTGGTCTTGCTGGTTATTATGCAACGGCTCACGCCCACACAAGCTTCTTGATCGAGTGCCCAAGTTGCTCGAGTAACCCTGTGTTCCGCCGCGCTTCGTCTACCGATATTATGTCCCCATTTTCTAGTATGCTCTCTTGCTCTTCATCCGGCTTGGTCAACTTGTGGTCCAGCGCCAGCCGTTCAATATCGGCACAGATAGTCACCACCTGCTGCAGCTCGGTTTGCTGTGGACCGTCTGTCCCCGAAACGGCCATGGACGAGTCTGTATCCGGTGCCTTGAATACAAGTCGGCGCAGGTCGGGCGACTGCGGCGGCTTCCCAGACAGAAGGCTGGCCAGGCTGGCGGGAATGCTGGCATCCTTTTCGTCTCCGGGGCCGTTGGGTTTGCCCGCAATGTCACCTCGGCTTGAGAAAGTCCGCGTGTTGGTGCGCATAATGTCGCTCTTCCCAGGGTGGTATGAGACAATGAAACCGACGTTCTTGGTCTCATCAAGGTGTGACATGGAAATAGTTGAGGTGATGTAGGTTCCGAACTTGATACCGGTGACGTTTCCAAGTTGTATCCGCTCAAACGATGAGACCTTGTCCGACTTCCAGTCGAACCGACAGAGGTAAAGTGCCGCATCAGTGAGGAGGAGGACAACTTCTTCAAGGGGGAAAGCCTTAACTGTGTCGGGTGTGTTGGGGCTCAAGAGCACCCATCCGCCGTGAAATTCCTCCTTTTCATCGGCGACGACTCTCTTCTGGCAGAGCTCGATGGCCATCTGCCTCATCTTAACCGCAGACATGGCCGGATCCTTGGTCATCATATCGCTCTCAAATTCCTCAAAAACCTTGGCAGTCACGTTGCCAAGTAGGAAGTCTATCGCTGCCTGACTGAAATAGTCGTTCACCATTCTGCGCAACTGTTAGCATATGAGTAGAATGAAACCAATTGTGGACAACATACCCGCTGTAAAATCGTGCAACGGACAGTCCCAAGTCATTCAGAGCACCACGATAGTCTCTCTTCCGCGTCCTTGTGTAGTCTCCCTTCATGGCTGCCGTGGACGTATACTGCTTAGAGACTGCGTCTCCGTTATCCGCCCAGAGCGTGTTGAACCAGGATGTTTGTTGATCCACCTGGGCGCTCATGTCAATTCCCTCCTCCTTGAGCTGTACCTCTAGTATGTGCTTCCCAAAAGAACTTTGGCAAACATTGGTACGGTCTAGGCAATCCATGCAGTTGGTTCGCAAAACACCTTTCTGCTGAACGACTTGAGCTCCATCCTGATGCACAGTGCTTCCAAACTCTTCCAGCTTTCCCCTCATGCGTTCCAGCAAGTAGCTCACATTTTCAAATTTCATACCCCTACACGCAGCATGAAAGTCGAACCATTCGAAGGGTATCCTCTTGTCTTGATCAATCTCTTCGTTGAGTTGCTCGATGTATGTTTCGTACGAAGCGCCGACGGGCTTTTCAATGCCGCGCTTCTCAACGAGATTGACAATCTGCAGTGATCCGTAGTTTCTCAACAGCATTTCGAAATGTTTCCGGCAGGCGTTAAAGTTGGATTCTTTAGAGTGTTGCAATGTCGGGATGGGTTTGAAGGAATACGGCGACTGCGTAAAGAATAGAGGAATGCTGCCTCTGATCTGCAAAAAGGAGTAGACTTTTGACGACGGGTCCCAGGTCGAAGATGACAAAAGTTGCTCAGTTTCAACCATGTTTGCGACAAATCCGTCCTGATTGATACCGCGCCGGAGATATCTCAAACCGGCCCTCTTAGTAGACCTTCGAGATATTAGCGTTATGAGATACTTTCTTTCTGTAGGCCGAAGATCAATCGATGCTCTCATACTCTCGACTGGTGGAGACCCGGGTGGCGACTTTGAAGGCGAAAGGTTGGACAGCTCAACAGAGTCCTGTGCAGCCTCGTCCATCTGAGGAGGGTGGCTGTCCACCACAAACGACCTCTGTCCAATAAACCCCTGCATCAAAGGCAACGCAAGGGAATCATGTCCTGCATTCACGAAGGGTTGAAGAAGATGTCGGTTCCAGAAGAAAATAGGGTCCACCTGAGAGTAGAGAGGTGTTTCGGCGTTGATAGGTGACTCCCGCTTGGAAAGAGACTTGGTGATGTCGAAGTCGTAGGAGAAGTAGAAGCTCTGTGATGAACCGAAGAGGACTTGAACTGTCCGAAGCAGCTTTGGTAGCAACTCTGGTTCGTTCAGATTGTCACTCGGGTCCTCTTCCAGTGGCACCTTGTTTACTATGATCTCAGGCACGGGTTGCGCTGATTCCTCCGGGACGGTTTGCGAGTTGCTCAAGCCCATGTTTCTCTTCTGGTCGAGAGTCCACCCGCTCCGGCTGAACCATCGCTGGGCAAATCTCCCATAGCTGCCTCTCCGGCGTATGACATCCTCGGCTACACTGCTTCTAGCAGAGTCTGGCTGAGCGTCTCCATCCTCAATAACGGCATCATCGACCTCGTCGGAAGTCCGGGAAGGGAGCTCTACTTCTTCCTCACTGCTATCGCTGCCGTCACTCAGGTCGCGAGCCTGCCGGGATAGGTGATGAGACGTCCTACGAACAGATTCCTCGGCACCGGCCTTGGAGGTGCATGGCGTGACGGCGACTTCGGTCACGACGTAGATCGGATAGCCACATATCTGCGCAACCTGCTGACGGCGAGTGATTGTGACAAGATAGTGCAATCTCGACACGGTGATCAGGCCTGGAGAAGGTAGCGAGTTAGATATCTAGACAGCGGCCCGGTGCTGGACAGGACGGTGAAGCCGGTCAAGGTGATGACGCGCGGAGGCGGGGGAGGCTCATACCGATGACGCCGAAGGCCTCAAAGGAGGAATCAGGCTTGGAGGCGTCAGGGACCTGCTCGCGGGGGGCCGACGACAGGGTTGCATCGCCGTACTTAATCCTCACGGGCTGGAATGGCCGCTGACCCTTGGAGGAGAGCGGCTGGAGGATGAGCCCGTCGATGGCTGCGCATACAATGATCTTCCGAGCGACGCCTGGCATTGTTCGCGCGGTGCCCGTCAACTACGCATGAAGCGAAACGAGCAACGGCAACAATCAATTCCTCCAGAGATAGGGGCCCAGTCAACAAATGCCCACGCAAATATGAAGGAAGCAGCAAGTGGTCAGCTCCATCGCCAGCTCCAGAAAATGCCCAATGCGACTGCGGCGCTTAATGACCGACCGACCATATTGGTGGAGCAGACGTCATCGCTAGACCTATCAGGCCGAGGGACGCAGCCCACGCCCTCTACACTCGCCGCCAAGTCCGAGTTCGCAAGGGCTGTATTTATACGGAGGACACTGCATGCTTCCAGATGCGCGGTCGGTGGGCAAAGACATGGCCATATTTCATCTTGATATATATTTTTTGGGTTGCATCCGGACGGCTTCAGTCTACAAAATTACCAAAATCGCCCCATTTGCGGACACCGTCGAACCAAAAACAGATCAAATGGCAACCAGGAGCGCCGCCCATGCATCGCATCTTTTTCCTCCACTGCGCTGGGTATCTTAGATGGCGAGGCGCTCGACCTTGTCGCGCATGGCCCGGATCTGGCCGGCCAACTCGCTGGCATCGTTGCTGGTGATGCTGGCCGCAATGACGGCGCGGCTGACACCGCAAGCTCGGCCAAGGTGCATCTTGCTGCTGACGTAGACGTAGGGGACTATGAAGAACGAATTAGCATGCTGGGCCATCTGCGACAGGGTGGATGCGATTGTGCTTACCGTTCTTGTCCTCGCAGAGAAGAGGCAGGTGGAGGAGAATAGCCAAAGGCTGGGTATCGGCGGCGAGGATGACAATCTCAGAGACACCTCGGTTCAGGGTCTTGGTGGCCTCGTTGGCGCCCTTCTTCAGCTGACGGGCGTCTGTTGGAAACGTGAGTCAGTCCGTGTCCAAATGGCATACCAGTCGTCGGAGGGTTGGGACATACGCTGAGAGGACTGGACAAGATCGAGAAGCTCCTGCTCGAGCTTCTGGTCGGCCAGAGGCCAGGCTGCAAAGACATTAGCCACGCGAACCAATCGTCAACAAGAATACTTCGCGTACCGGCGCTAGAATCGGCAGACATTGTCGAGGATAACGGGAGTTTCGTCGGAGGATAAAAGACTGTCGGCGGGGTTAGCAAACTGCTGGCGGCGGTGACATGAGAAACACGGGATTGCAGGCAGAGCGCCGCAGACTGGGGGGAAGCTGGCATAGCAGACATACCGGTGAAGATGGATGTTTCAGGGTTCCTTGCGTTGGCTCGCCCTGAGGACTATGGGATAGCGATGTTGGCGGGTTTGTTGCTGGCGAATTCCTTGACGGTCAGAACGAGAAAAAGCTCCAGAAAATTCCCAGGCCAAAAATTTCACATGGGCCCGCCGTGGCTGGCCTGTGCACGGCTGCGTGTGTGGTTCATGAGAGACCCACCCTACCGCCCCTGGAATCGGACGGCGGGTTAACCTTTGTCCGCCGCCCCCGTGTTAGATTATGTAATGTCAGCTCCCTCTCCAGTCAGTGCAGCAAAACCTTCCCGCCAACCAGACGCCAACCTGGAATGAGACCTTAACAAGCACACCTCGCAACCACCGATCTCTCTCATCGACGGCCATCACCCGACGACTCTTGTCAACTAGCTTCTGCCGCCAGCTTCTCGTCGCGTCTCCAGCTTCGATTTCTCCAGTAGCTCCATCTCTCCCCAGTCTCGACTCGTCAATACCGCCAACATGGTGTCCGAATACTGGTACGTGCTGCGCGCCTCCTTGCCCCGTCATCACCAAGCTCCCCTACCATCCGCCGGAGCTCCTGGCATCACCCAGCTTCGCCCGCCATCGCCGGAATCAATTGCCATCAGCTCCCATGGCCTCCCTTTCAATGATTGAAGCTAACTTACGCGTTTCTACAGCCCCGTCTACGCGGTTAGTCCTCCACGTCATCCGTTTAGCGACGTCACAGGGATGACCTCGAGTCGCCCTTGACCCCGTCCAAAACACCGACCTATCATCGACCTGTACAAAGCTAACCATCTCGTAGCCTTTCTTCGGTGCCATGGGCTGCACCTGCGCCATCGTCTTCACCTGCCTGGGTGCCTCTTATGGTACTGCCAAGTCTGGTGTCGGCATCGCCGCCATGGGTGTCCTCCGCCCTGACCTTATCGTGAAGAGTAGGCGATCTCAACAACGCGAATCGAAATCCATCAAACGCTGACTCTACTAGACATTGTTCCCGTCATTATGGCTGGTATCATTGGTATTTACGGTCTCGTCGTCTCTGTCCTTATCTCCGATGGTCTCAAGCAGGACCTCCCTCTGTACACCGGTTTCATTCAGTTCGGTGCCGGTCTCTCCGTCGGTCTTGCTGGTCTCGCTGCTGGTTTCGCTATTGGTATTGTCGGTGATGCTGGTGTACGAGGAACTGCTCAGCAACCCCGTCTCTTCGTCGGAATGATTCTGATTCTCATTTTCGCCGAAGTCTTGGGTAAGTCAACAACACTCAATGCGAACTTGGTGCATTATCCTCGTTACTAACCAAACCACACAGGTCTTTACGGTCTCATTGTTGCGCTGCTCATGAACTCCAAGGCTACCCTCAACGCCACCTGCGGTTAAATCGATGCGATTCGACGCGACGTGTTCGGAGACAGCTTGACAACTTGTACCTCCCCGCATGGGCTGGTTTCTCTAGCATGGCATAACCTTGAGACATGACGACAGCACTGAAGCACTGCTATTGCAGCTCAATGCGGGACGGAGCGTGAGATTTAGGACGTGGGCGCTGGGATTTGGTATGGTTATTGCCCCCCATGCGCTGGCCGGGTAATCGATTGGTGGAGGATCGGACGGACGGTTTTATGTAAAATAGTGCCAACATGCGTGTTTTCCTTTGGGTGGCTTCTCAGCATAGACGGTGAAGGGGAACCGAGCATCTAGTGTACGCTGTCGCTAATCATTTCTTCCGCAACCTGATGAGAACCTGACAAGACCAATTTACCCCTTCACTGAGATTGAGACACGATATGTACTACTGGAATCCAATTAAACCGAGCCATTCGATAAGGGAACACCTTGATCTCTGTTCAAGCTCTCCTTCCTTCAATCCAAAGCTCCTCACTGGTGTGGTATTGTCATGACACTCATTGCCTGCATGCATTTACTCCGTGGGATCTTTCAGCAGGTATTAGAACGAATAGTTAAGCGGGTATTACAAAACATAGTTACCTGCTTCTCGCAGGCAATGTATATAATATTAGAAGGCGTTTAAATTCCGCAATTACAACATTCCCACCTCTTTGCTCTCAAGCATCATGCATTATTATTTCCTTCGTTTCGTGGACCTCGACCGCCGTTCCCCATGCACTTTTAATTACCCCTTGATTCACAAACAGAGCATTTTCTCCTCTACGCTTTGCCGTTTAACAGCGTGAGAGCTGATATGTACAAACGAAGGACCGAGGACTTGTCGTTGAGATAAAGAATTGAGACAAGCCCTCGGTTTAGGGTAGATTCCCTTAGATGACGTACTATGTACATGTTAGAGATCATGGTTTATTCCGCGAGGTGAAAATGGGAGTGACTTACAGGGATGAAGAGGTAGGGCACTCTTCGCTCATACTCCAACCAGCCCTCACCGTACTTCTTGCGGCAGCGGGTGATGTCTCGAATGGCGCGGTGCGCAATCATGCAGCAGAAGAAGAAGGGGTAGAACCAGGGGAAGGGGCTCCTATTTTAATCATTAGCCTTGCTCTCAAGTTCAAGATCAAGGAGCCCAGGGATAACTTACTGGAAGCCGGTAATCAGACCCCAAGAGATGGCAAACCAGGCGTCGGCCGTGTAGTGAATCTTCCGGGCAAGGCCATACCAACCATCGACGAGGATGACTCCCTGAGGGGTCACAATCGTCTTGGGGTTGTGGACTGTCTGCCAGGGAAGCTGGGGAAAGGTCTTGCGATAAATGAGATTGCCCTTCTCCATGGCACGGAAGCGGTTCTTCTGGCTGTTGCACGTGTCCCAGACCCAGTACCAGAAGAGGTAGGCGGCGAAGAGGGCCGTAAGACCCCATTTGTTCCAGCGGTACTCCTCAGGGGCGTGGTTGGCGAGGTAGATGGTGCAGTGGCAGTAGGACAGAGGAACACCAGCTAGGTTCCAGAAGATGAGCATGAAACCCCACTTCTCGTAGTACATGTCCCTGTGTCATGTTAGCAGATAGTCCCCCGCGGCAACGCAAAGTGATGTGGCGAATACAACTTACCAAGTAGTAATGATGAGCTCCTCGCCCTTGGCGCAAGCGTTGGCGTAAAGGAAGTGGGCCATGACAAGGAACCAGACTTCGCCGGAGACGTAGCCATAGTTCTCGTACTGGCGGGCAGCAGTGCCAAGGCTCAGGATAAGAAGAATGTACCAGGGCATGCGGACCTCGAAGAACATCTTGAAGTCCAGGATGCCAAACATGCGGGGGTTCAGCTCAGCACCCATGAAGAAGTCGTAGATGGGGTAGCCAGTCATGCGGTGCTGCTTTCCACGCCAAAGCGCAGAGAAGTAGGCGACAAAGCTGACGATGAAACCACTCAAGATAGCGACGGACAGCAGGGGGCCAAACTCATCGAGGACAGTATACAGGGGCCAAGCACCCGAGAAGTGCAGACCAGCGAGGACAACAAGGGTAACATAAAGGCTGACGTAGGCATTGCAGAAGTAGGGCAACTGCTTGTCATCCATATGAGGCAGAGGCTTGCCCTTACCCCAGACACCGGGGAGGAGGCAGTAGCAAGCACCCGCGTAAACGAGATAGACCCAGTACCAGGCCCAGGCGCGGGCGTGAGGGAACGCGCCGGTGTAGACGAGGTTGACGAGGTGAGCACCAAAGTCGGCCCAAGACTGACCGGGGGCCCGGGAGGGGAATTTGCCGTCGTAGTAGGTCGCTCCAATCCACATGTACCACATGAGGACAGGGAACAGGGTCATCATGGCGAGGGTGCCGATAGAGCCACCAAACTCGAATTCTCCCGAGTAGTCGATCTTCGGATCCTGACCGGGCCTCCAGCCGTCAACGACGTGGTCCTCATTGGACTCTGCCTTGGTTTCGGTGGCCTTGACGGGGGTGGAAAAACCGTTGGTGTGGCCGTTACCGTTACCACTGACGTGACCGTTGGTGTGGCCGTTGGTGTGGCCGTTGGTGTGGCCGTTGGTGTGGCCATTGGTGAGGCGGCTGGTGGGAGCCATGGTGTCGTTGTCGTCCTCGGAGAGGTCTTCGATGAACTTTCCGGTGCGACGGCGGACAGGACGAGCGCGAGCGGTGCTCTCAGCGGCACTGGAGTCGTTGTCGGGGTCTGAAAGCTCGGATGGGACAGATGATTGGCGACGATTTGAGCGACGAGTCGGACCAGGGGTTTCTACCATGCCCTCGAAGAGTTCCTTCTTTCTGGATGCAGAGACACGTTATTAGTTTGTGATACTAGGGAGGGGCTAAGGGAGGGCATTGGGGTCGAGGAGAGTGGGATTGACTCGGCTGAGGGGCGGTAGGAGGCAATGGGGCATCAATGAGATAGGATTGAGGCTTACCTGGGTGTCTGGCGCAAAGAGTATCTCGACGACATGATGGCGACGAGTTGGGCTCGAGATGAGCCTTTATATAAATTAGGGGTCGGGCAGCGTATAAGGCGAATGCAGAAAATGAGGGCCGGAGCCAAGCAGCCAGGGCTCGGGCAGATTGTTGGGAAAACGAGTGGACGAGACAGAGGAGCTCAGGCCCAAGGAGCGGGGGGTGAATGCAAAGAGCAACCTCACTGCAATGCCAGCAGAAACTAGCAGGAACAGGAACAGCAGCCACCAACGCGGAGGCGGACGCGGAGACGGCAGAGGACGGGATCGCAGAGATGGTGTGGACGGCTGGACGGCGGCTGGACGGCGGCTGGACGGCTGCAGGCTGGAGAAGCGGTGACGGTCCGAGTGTGACACGTCTCCAGGACCGGGCTGCGGCTGCGGCTGCGGCTGCGGCGACGGCGTGTACCGAGGCGTTCGAAGGAGTGTGGCGACGACGTGCAAAGAGGCTGGCGATGTCGAGAGGAGCGAACAAGAGAGAGAGAGAGAGACAGCTCGAGGGAGAAGAGAGCGAGTGAAGGCCCGGCCAGGGGGGGGAGGGGCGCCAGAGGGGGGGTGAAGCCGGGTGCAGGCGTGTCTTGGAGATTGCCCCAGGCTTGATTTTGTGGGTTAGTGGAAGTGGAAGCTGAAGTGGTGGTGATGGTGCTCCGTAGTATGGGCGCGAAAAACAAGGGTGTTGTGCGATTGGCCCAGCCGGACGCCGCTTTGTTGACTTTCCGCACTCCTCGGGACGGAGGGTTTTAACCGGACGACGAGCGAAAATCAGGGGTTGCGGCGGGCCTATCACGGCGCGCGAGGGCCCGGGAGTGCCAATTCCAGGGCATGCGTTACAGGGGATGCGGGCCATTGTAAATTACAGTAGGTCCCTGCGCCGGGCTTGCTGGCCTCGCTGGGCTTCCGAAGGCGCGTGCTGGGTCTGCTGAGTCGGTACTTGCGCCTTTGCGGGTCGGCCCAGCGTGGACGCGGGTACTGCCCCGTCCCGACAGAACTTTTTTGGCCGGTCCCCACCCAGGCCCACAGGGCACGGAGAAACGGGCCGCGCTGATTGGCCGCCTTGGCGCAGCTGCAAGATTCGTATAGCGATCTGCCAGGGTCCCACCGCCAGTGCGAATCGTCTGCGCCGTACATGTCATTCGCCTTCGTGAAGCGACATCACCATGTTCGCTCCGCAAACCTGGTGATGGAGCCCTTGGCAATGTCCGTTGAGCCTCACCTGCTAACCGCGATCGATGGTGCGCATGCTCCCTTGTCTTTCCACCGTGATCCACTTGCTATACGAATCGTGCAGCAACATAAACCCCGGGCCCGAACCACGAGGAGCTGGAGCAACCCTCGCCATCGTCTTGACGTCTTGAGCCTCATGCCCGCTTGCTATACGAATCGTGCAGCACGCTAGGCCTCGTCTCGAAACATCTTCAATCGCTTCAGATCGACTTTGCGATGCCGCGAATGATGCCACTCACGATGTCCCTCGTTCGTCTTGGCCCTCGTCCCCCTCTACGCATACCCCATCCCCTCCTTGACACTCTCTGTCTTGCTCCACCAGACTGCTATACGAATCGTGCAGCGCGCTAAGCCCGGACTCTACCGGCAGAATCAACCTCGGATCTCCAACAGTACATCAACGTCGTGATGTTATCGACATCCTGAGCCCCATGCCCTTCCCCAGATTGAGTCTTCTACCCGCTCGCTATACGAATCGTGCAGCACGCTAAGCCCCGACCTTAAACTACACGCTCGAGAAACTACTCTACCGCAGACATTATTCCAGCCTCCAGTTGCTGCATTGTACCTAGTATGACCTCGGCGTTGGTGATATCACACGTCTGACGGCACGTCGTGTTCGTATCCGTTCAGAAACTTTTCTCGGAAGCATCGGCGTCATCATCAACACCACGTCCCGGATCCCTCTCCCGGACAATCAATCCTCATGTTTAGTCCGGTTTCGACCTGCACTCTATACTGGACCGACCGGACTGACCTCGGTTGCCGATCTCCACCCCGAAGGCGCAGTCGAGTGGACATATTCCCCGTCGGGAGCAAGCTTGGCAGACTACCTTAGGAATTGAGGCCATTGTCACCTCTCACGGTGATGCCGATTCGGGTCAAAGACGTTCCACCTTCATGGAGTCTTCGATGACGGTCAGATTGTTGGCGGTAGACGAAGTTTGCGTCAAGTGACACAGCTGAGCCCCCGGTTTGTTCATTCTTGGAAGAGGGGGCCGTGATAATTCAGGGTCAATGGGGGTCCCATCCAACTCGCAGACAATTTGTGACTGACGACCTCCTTTTTACATCTTTCCCACTGCGACCTTCCTTTGGATGGCTCCATTTCAGACGAGGGCTCAAGATCACCCAGAGGCTCCAACTCTTCGATCTTCCTAATCATACCGCTGGTGCCATCAACGCAATCAACCCCTATCAAGCAGACCTCTCACTCTGATTCCTCCCTTCTGTATTTCGTCCATCACCTCCTCTTCGATTCCACGTCTCCGGATGACCTTGGTTCTAGACTCTGTCCAAATCGCCCACTTTGTCTCCCCCTTTCTGAATTTCGTTTCGTTTTCATTCTCGCCCCCTTCTCCTCCCCCCTCCTCTCTTTCTCTCTCGCTGCCTCCTCACATTTTTCTCTCTCGCTGCCTCCTCACATTTTTCTCTGTCTCTCATCCTCAGCAATCCTCAGCCGCTTGCACTCCTGTTAGTTTTAGCCATAACAATAGCCTTAATCATAACCCCACCAATCTTCGTCATGGGATGTCATTCCCATCAATCAACTACGAATTCTTTCGGAAGTCGAAGACATAAACTCAGCTGTGACTGAAAGACCTCCTGGTATCGGACCGCAACCTGCATGCAAGCAAGCCATCTAATCCACTTGAACTGATACATGTCTCAGTGGCAAGGCTATAGGGACGATCGAACGATTATATATTCCTACGCAAGAACCACGACATCATGGCTTCAAAACGAGCAAGAGCAGGAGCGAGAAGTCTCAGGAGAACAACGCTCAAGTTTTCAGAGTCTCAGCGGCCAAACAAACCATAGATGTCTACACAAACCCTCCATCAAACACCTACAAGGTGACTGAAAGGTTCATCGTCTCCTTCAACGGCAAATCTGTCGATGCCATCGCCGTCATTGCCCATGTATTCCTGCTGGTCGCTGCGACCTACGCTATCTTTATTCAGTTGCTTTTCGCAGCTGCGTGGAACATAGTCTTCAACATTTTATTATGGAATTTGCATGACGGCGATCGCATTAAGATTCTCGGTCTCGTCACCTTTTGGAACTACCCCGATCCGTTCTCCGCCGTCTTTTCAAGTTTCGGCTATCTGACCATGCTGTTACGTGGTGAAGACTCGCACAATCGAAAACCACAATACTTAATTCCAGCCGTCATCATCAGCTTTTGCTCAACTACAATTGCGGTCACGAGCCTCGTGATTGGCATTTACTATCCCATCTGGCTTAACATCCAAATGTCGCCCCCCGCGCATCCTGCCGAAGTGTACTTCCCTGATCTGGGGCAACCGACTGCTGGTGCTGCCATCAATTTTGGCACCTTCGATCGGCCGAGCATCCTTCGTGCGCTCGGTAGCGCGGAGGCTGGCGAACTCAACACACAACTGTCAATAGTGTCCGTTGAGCTCTTCGATCATCCCGGTGGCACCGTCGCTCGCCCACAACAAGCTGTTCAGTGGCACTACACCCTTACGACAGGAGAATTGAATATGCAGATCATGCTAGATCTAGAGCTCCGGGTAAACAGGAGCTGTGCGACTGAATGTGGCTGGCTTCAACCTCATCCCTACATCAACAAGGCCGATGTATATGTACCCTGGGACTCAATACCGAACGCTATTACAGTGTCGACCGATGAAGGAGATGGCCCGATACTTCTTGGCTTCACTTCTCTACTTCACCCCGAGATAGGTACCAAGAAACAGGATTTAATCGATCGTTTCCCTTCCTGGCGCTCACATCACAAGCGAGGAGCTACTCAGAAGGCAACAATCCTTGGTATCTGACAACGAACAAAACCGGGAGCCTAAATTCCTCTACTCCCTACAAAGTGAAGGACGGTCGGCCAGCTCTCTCCTGCTGGGAAACCACCTATATTTGCATGGAGAGATACTGTTATACCGTTGGTCAGCTGGGTCAGTCCCTGTTGCCATTGGGATTGCAGGTCATCCTTACTTCCCTTCTCAGCCAGCCAGCGGGCTCTCGCGTCGGTATGCGAGCAGGTGTTGCAAGCCTCAAGTCTTATACTGGATCCCTCAGGGGCACTGTAATAGACGCCGGGTCTGCTTCCAACGGGGGCGACACGACCCGCCTCATTCTCTCGGGCTACCTATGGACTCGGGAGATCATGAGAGATCCAGTGCTGTCCACGGATCCCAGTGCCAGAAACCTCTTAAAAAAGCCTATTAGGGTATTGATACCCGGTGCTGCCGCCTTCATCATCCGCTCGAGCGATGTTGTCACACTTAGCTATGCCGCAGTCTTGGCCGCTCCCATTGTCACTGTCGTGTTAACTATATTTGCTATGGGATTCCATACAACGCCGCGGTTTCCCAGTGTATTTGGAAAGCTAGCTCGTCGCGCGGCTGCCTTGAGAGCTATGCAACTCTTTCGTGCCGTGGACGAGCTTTCGATTACCGATCCGTCGTTACGGGGCGGGCTGGTATCATCTATGCCCCGACCGACGGGCACGCAAGGGTGGACGACTACCCTGCACCATGAGGAGCCCACGGGAGGTGGGAATGAGCGTCCAAGAATTCAATTTACCCTCGATGGTTGAGCGGACAATGAACTAGCTCCGCTACATTCGAACACGGAAAGGATATCAGTGGAGGGCCAGGAGGCTATTATTCAATCATGAGAGTCCGTAACACTAGAATATATCTGATTGCCTATATATCGACGCTTCCCTTATCCTCTTTGAAATGTTTGATGGGAGTGTTCGAATTGCTAGTTGGGCTGCAATCAAATGGAGGCAGAATAGACGCCTCTCTCTTACCATCTCATTAACAGGCATACTTGACATTGAAGGATATAGGGAATTGATTTGCAGCACCTCGGAACCACAAAAGGATCTAGGGGTATCAATAATTGAGTATCGTTATTCGCACACACACCTATTGCTACTTGCACACGTAACTGCATGCTTCAATCGTGCTAGTAATTATCTATTATCCTAATAAGTTTAGAAGACTAATTTTTAGTATTTATTTCTTCAAAAACTTTTATTATAATCTTTTTAATTAAATCGAATTTCTTTATAAATATCAGTCTAAGGTCTAAGAATTCCAATTCACATAGTAGATATATTGGTTTGCCCTGAGTTTTAGCTTAAGGGGAATGTCTAATATTCATGAAACTACAGAGGAAGTACGACAGAGAGAATGGTTGAATATATGAAGATTCGTGTTTTTAGATTATCTATTTCCTAGTCCTCATTGCTCTCCACTCTCTGTCTAAGATATCTAATCACAGCCAAGAGGACGGTTGTCCGCTATACATCTCGACCACTGCATCACCAATGCCTTAAAACAGGCATTCTTGACCTCGCGTGAAGGAAAATCCATGAGTGAATTGTGTTGAATTAGAATATCACTGATAATGACACAACAGAGTGTAAAATTCGCCAGCCGGAACCCCTATCCGTTTCCTGCACCATGTGTTGAAATGCCACGTCCGATTTTCGCCTCCCCGGTCCATAATCCCACGTTGAGTTGAGGGTATACATCTATCTAGCCTGGAATCCAGCCAGTAGAGAAAAGCAGCGTATATAGTTTAGAAGAGGCCGTCAATCTCACCGGTCTCGGTGTCGACATCGACATTGAGGTAGCCGGGAGCAGTAGGCAGACCAGGGATAGTCTGGATATCCGCTGCCAGTGCATACCTAAACGTTGTTAGTATTTCTCTTTTTATATTGTTGAAACAGAGGGAACTTACAGATATCCAGCACCGGCAGCCATCCGAACATCGCGGATGGGGATCGTGAAGCCGGTCGGGGCACCCTTCAGATCAGGGTTGTGAGACAGCGAGTACTGCGTCTTGGCCACACAGATAGGGAGGTTTCCGTACCCTTGGCGGGTGTAGGTGTCAACCTTCTTCTGCGCCAGCTCGCTGAACTCGACAGCTGCGGCGCCGTACATCTTCTGGCCGATGGCCTCGAGGCGGCTCTGCACGGTGCCCTCAAGATCATACGTTAGAGACAAATCCTTGGGCTTCGCACTGGCAGCGATGACGCCTCGAGCCAAGTCTACAGCACCCTTGCCACCCTCGGCCCAGTGGTTAGCCAGAATAGCATCCTCAGCACCAGCAGCGATAGCTTCCTCGCGGAGCACGGCGATCTCGGCATCGGTATCGGTCGAGAACTTGTTGATGGCGACAACAACGGGGATGCCGAACGACTTGGCGTTGGAAATCTGCTTCTTGAGGTTGACGCAGCCAGCGCGGAGGATATCGACGTTCTCCTCCTTATAGACGGCGCTAAGGGCAGCGCCAGGGGCAATCGGGGGAGCACCGCCGTGGACCTTCAGGGCTCTGACGGTTGCAACAACGACGACAACGTCAGGGACCAGGCCAGAGGTACGGCACTTGATGTTGAAGAAACGCTCACCACCCATGGTGAAGTCGAAGCCCGCCTCGGTAACGACGAAACCAGCCTTCGTGTCGTGGTCCTCATCAGGCTCAGTGCCTGCAAGCTTGAGTGCGAGCTTGTCGGCCAGAATAGAGCTCTGTCCGATGCTGATGTTGGCAAAAGGTCCAGCGTGGACGAACACGGGGGTACCTTCGAGAGTCTGCATCAGGTTGGGCTTAATGGCATCCTTCATCAGGGCGGTCAAGGAACCACCGGCACCGATATCGTCGCAGGTAACAGGGTCGCCACCGCGAGAAGTAGCAACAACCATGCGGCCGAGGCGTTCCCGCATATCATCCAGGCTGGTGCTAAGGGCAAGAATAGCCATGCACTCGCTAGCAACGGAAATATCGAAGCCAGTTTCGCGAGTCTGGCCCTTCTCAGTCGGGGCAGTGCCGACGGTAATGCCTCGAAGGTGACGGTCGTTGACATCAAGCACGCGTCTCCAGGTAATGGTCTCAGGGTCAATGTCAAGGCGAGCAAATCGGTGGATCTCATCTTCGGTTAGATCATCAGGGTTCGTCTTGTCAATGCCGAGCTTCTTCAGTCGGCGGAACATGATAGGGGCGAACTGTCTCTTGCCATTCTTAACAGGCACTAATCGCTTGTATAGGGGGCCATCCTTCTGGGTGTTCTCGTGGAAGATTCGAGTCTCAATGGCAGCCGCGAGAAGGTTGTTGGCGGCAGTAATGGCGTGGATGTCACCTGTCAGATGCAGGTTGAATTCGTCCATGGGAATGACCTGGCTGTAACCTCCACCGGCAGCACCACCCTTGATTCCGAAGGTAGGACCTTGGCTGGGCTGTCGAACGTTGGCGAAGGTCAACCGTCCAAGATGAGCGCCCAAGGCTTGGGCCAGGCCCATAGTCGTGGTAGACTTGCCCTCACCCAGGGGAGTGGGGGTGATGCCAGTCACGACAACATAGCGGCCATTGCGTCGGTGCTCGAGTCTCTTGAGCAGGCTGAGATCGACCTTGGCCTTGTATGCGCCATAAGGCTCCAACTCGTTGGGAGCAATTCCTACCTCGGCTGCAATGCTGGTAATCTGCTTGGGGGTCTGACCTCGCGACACAGCAATGTCTGAGGGGACAGGGTCTTGAAGCTTCAGGGGAAGGGGAATAGTCTTCCTGAGTTTCTGAGCATCAAAGTAGAGGGTTGTAGCATCAACCACGTTCTGCATCAGCATGGCCACAGTCATAGGACCAACACCGCCAGGCACGGGAGTGATGGCGGAAGCAACTTCAACGGCGGAGTCGAAGTCGACGTCACCGACGAGTCTAGATCCAGACTTCCTGCTCGCGTCAGGAATGAAGTTTGTTCCGACGTCGATAACGACGGCACCGGGCTTCAGCCACTCGCCCTTGATGAACCTAGGAACACCAATGGCGGCGACAACAACGTCGGCGCCCTTGACAAAGTCCTGGAGGCCGACAGTCTTGGAATGGCAGACAGTGACGGTAGCGTCGGCATTACGCAACAGGTAGCTCACGGGGCTTCCAACAATGTCGCTTCTACCAACAACAACGGCATTCTTTTCCTTCAGGTCAACGCCAGACTCCTTGAGCAGGAACATGACGCCCTTGGGAGTGCAGGGGACAAAAAGGGGGTTTCCTCCTCGCTTAGCGAGCTCTCCGATGTTCTTGGTGCCGAAGCCATCGACATCCTTCTCATCTGCCACGGCGGATGTAATAACATACTCAGAGATGTGTTTAGGGACGGGGAGCTGGACCAGGATACCGTTGACTGAAGGGTCATTGTTCAGGCGGTAGATCTGGTCCAGGAGCTCAGGCTCGCTGATAGATTCAGGAAGATGAATCAATTCGCTAGCAATACCAGCCTTAGAAGGGAATAGGTCAGTAACCAAGTTCCCAGTAGCAATAGTTTGAAAAAAAGAGCGAGGAAAAAAAGGTCGTCTCACCTCTTGGGCGGCCTTGGTCTTCATGCGAACATAGGTGGCTACGGGTGGGTTAGTGGGTTATCATGATGGAGGGGAAGCCTCACGAAATGGCGGGGCAGAATTTCACGAACAAGAGTCAGAGCGATCACCAACTGCGAGTAGATTGAGTTAGTTACGGATGCGCACACATGATTATAGGGTAGCACGAGTCCGGCGCACCTTGGATGATCTTGAGGCAGGGCTTGAATCGAGGGTTGAGCTTCTGCTTCTCGACAATTTCAGCACCGAGACGCTCGCGAATCGCCTTGGCAATGGCAGTGCCGTCAAGCTTAATGGCGCCCATGATTGCAGTCGTCGAGGAGAAGTGCCGCTTCTGGGTGAGGACCGATGAGAGCACCGAGCAGACTCGGGGCGCAGAGCGTAGAAGTAGTAAAGAGCCAGCGACAACAGACGACGAAGGTGAGGATGATTGACAACGGTACGAGCCTGAGGAGGCGTCGAAGGCGTCGAAGGCGTCGTAGTAGTCGGAATAGTTGGAGTCTGTGAGGTGGGCCACAGTGGGAGGAGGGGCAGCCCAACCGGACACGGCAGCCACGGCAGATACGGCCGACGTAGGAGATTCGCACAAGCGGAAGCCAAGCGATGTCGTGTGCAATTGCCTAACCCAGTGCGTGTGTGCGCGTGTGTGCGAGCGTGTGTGTGAGGGCGTAGGCGCGGTTGCTTCTGAGTGGGCTTGTGAGTGGCGCGGCGACTGGATCCCGGCCACCGCAGTCGGTCCGCGACGGCCTTGGAGAGGGCATTTACGGAGCGCGCTGCCGACGGTGCACGGCGAAAACTGCCGACGAACTGCTAACATGTGCAATGGCATATTAGGCCCCGAGACGCCATAGACGCAAGCCGCCAGGGCCATGGTGCTTCCTTCGGGGGTTCGGTATTCGAGGATCAACAGTGTGTGCACCGTATGACCTTGCATGCGCCGCCTTGGGCGCCTCCAACGTCGCTGGTTCGTCCTGTGGAGACTGCCGTCGACGAGCTACCGACAGACTGCAAGAGGTAAAGGCGACGGATGTGAATGGATCGTCGTGTTCAATGCTGTATCCAGAAGGAGATTCCGCGAGGAGAACGGGGTCTAAACGGACAAACGGACAACGAAATGGCAGCGGAACAACTGCCGCAAATTGAAAGTGGTGACAACAATATCGTACAGCATCCGCATCATTGATTCCAAGGACAGCGAGTACAGTCGACAGAATCTCAGTCTGGGTACTCGTCCATTCTCCCAATGAACCAAACCCAACTAGGACACAGATCGAGGTATCATTCCTTGAGGAGAGAAGCTTTCCTCGTGGCGTGTCGAATGCTCCAATGATGATGACGCACCATGGGCAGTGTCGAGGGAAGTCAGATGAGTCAATCAGTAGCGTGGCCCCTTTCCTGGAGTCAATTACAGCGACGAAGAGTGACTGGGGAGATGGCTTCAATGCTGACCTCTTACACCAAAAGCCAAGATCAAGATCAAGTTGTGCGCCCAAAAACAGCTGATAGGGGAAGAAGAGCATTGATGCCTCAGGATGGTCGCCTCCGCTGAATGGCTTGATGAGCCACGAATAATGAGGCGATTTTGGCCTGACTCTCTCTCTGCACATGCTATGACTGTCTATTCCTTGATTGTGACTCAAATAATAAATTACACCATCCTTTACAATCAAAGTGAGCGGAAGCCTCCCTGGTGATGATCCTTCAAGGCAGAAGCCTCGCTTGTGAGGGGATGAAGCAAGCCCAAATTCGCACCGACACCGACATGTCAGCAATATCCACACTGACACTAGCCCGTTTTGGAAATATGAGTCTCCCCTCCCCGCGAGGGGGATTCTGTGCCCCACCAAAACGCACAACCGCCAAAAATTCCATCGCGAAAGCCCTCGCCATATAGCCAGCCTTTCCCGAACCTGCCACCTCCATCGACCCCTCCAGCCCACACCAATAACGACACCATGCGGCCCATTCTTCTTGCCGGGCACGAGCGTGCCCTCACTCAGATCCGGTACGTCGACTTCACCTATTGCTCGATGCGCGCGGCGGTTGCAGTCGACATCAACGCCCGAACCTCTCTCTGTCCGTTTAACAAGCAGCCACCTCAATGTCCCACGAATAGAACACCCCGCCCCTGGAACTCCCGGCTAACCCCGCCGTCCGCAGATACAACCTCGATGGCGACTTGATCTTCTCCGTCGCCAAGGATCAGCAGATCTGTGTCTGGTTCTCTCACAACGGCGAGCGTCTCGGCACGTACCACGGCCATGTCGGTGCCATCTGGACCGTCGATGTCGACCCCACCTCGACCATGATCGCCTCCGGCTCTGCCGACAACACCATCCGCCTCTGGGAGGTCAAGACCGGCCGCTGCCTCAAGGTCTGGGAGTTCCCCACGGCCGTCAAGCGCGTCGAGTTCAACGAGGACGGCACCAAGCTGCTGGGCGTCACCGAGAAGCGCATGGGATTCCTGAGCAACATCGTCGTCATGGACATCAACCCCGACGTCGACGCCGAGCAGAGCGACGAGAAGGTCCTCACCATCGTCTGCGACGAGAGCAAGGCCACCGTTGCTGGCTGGAGCAACCTCAGCAAGTACATCATTGCCGGCCACGAGGACGGCAGTGTCAGCCAGTTCGATGCCAAGACTGGCGATGTGCTCGACAACTTTCCCATCCACGAACTCAACAACCCCATCGTAGATCTCCAGTGGTCCAGCGACCGCACCTATTTCATCACCGCTAGCAAGGACAAGACCGCCAAGGTATGTTCATATTATCCCCACCCGCTCGTCTGTCCCCACGCTGACCCCATCTCCCTCAGCTCATCTCGGCCGCGGACCTCGAAGTCTTCAAGACCTACCCCAGTGACACCCCCCTCAACAGTGCTTGCATCACCCCCAAGAAGGATTTCGTCATCCTCGGTGGTGGTCAGGCCGCCATGGACGTCACCCGTACCTCTGCCCGTCAGGGTAAGTTCGAGGCTCGTTTCTACCACAAGATCTTCGAGGACGAGATCGGCCGCGTGCGTGGCCATTTCGGTCCCCTCAACACCGTCGCCGCCGACCCCACTGGCAAGAGCTACGCCAGCGGCGGAGAGGACGGCTACGTGCGAGTTCACCACTTCGACAAGGGATACTTCGATTTCCTGTACGAGGTCGAGAGGGAACGGTTGAACCGCTTGAAGTAGACGTTCTTTTCCTGTGGGCTTGCATAGTTCGGCGTTGGGGGACAACAAATCTTTGTTCAAGGGCAAAAGGGGGACGGAGGGGAGAGGGACGGGCTTGTAATACATACCATCTCTCCGGGGCTTAGGGAAAGGTCGAAGTTGGACGATATGAAACGTTTCAGCTCGGGTTGAATACCAGCCATTTCAGACAGACATGCTTTATTTTATGCAATCACGATATGGGTCCACATGACAAGGGGAATCCAGACGGGCATCTAGATCTAGAGTCGTTCTCATGCTCAAACATCTGTTTACACCTGTACCAAACAGCGCCCACCACCGTCGAGGTCGCCCGTGACTCTACCTGCCTCCCCTCATGGTACACAGATTATCCTGCCATAATGAACCTACCCGCGATAGAACATTCCCACCTGCCGATGAAGCAAAAGCCAAACGCCGAATCTACCCTCCTTCAACCGTGACCAACCAAAGCCATCGTAGCTCTGGATACTTTTATGGCTTTACTTCTTCCTGCCCTTCTTGCCTCTGATCGAGCCGCCAGCGTTGGAGTTTGTTGATGCCACACTTGATGCTCGAGACGGCGTGGCCGAACTGGCTTTACTCGACTTGACAGACTTAACATTATCCAGTGCCTTATTCTGCAAGATGTTAGCACATGATCACACAGAGGTTGTTGATGTGTTTTAGTTTACATACCTTGACGCCATTCTTGGCCTTCTTCTTAGCAGGAGCCATGCCCAAGATGCTGTCCTCGTCGTTCTCGTCGTCAGGCTCTCTCTTGGCCTTGCCGTTCACTCCATTCGCCCCACGACCTGGAACATCCTCGAACTCCTTTACGATAGTTGTGATCAAGGTGTTGCAGCGGCGAGACAGCTCAATAGGGGTGCGGCTCAGGAAGAACCAGTCGAAACGGAAAAGAGGTGACTTGCGGATATCGTCACGCATCTTTTCGTAAAGATTCTCCGAGTCGATGCCATATCGGTCCAGCATGACCAGCAAGAATCGGTCCTCTTCTTCAGTATAGACCTTCTTGTTGGTCGTAGACACTGAGTAGTTGATTTTGAGCTGCTGTAGGGGGACGCGATACTGCTGCATCTTCTTCCTAAGGAGCTTTCGCTGGTGTTCGATGCGTCGGGTCCGCTCCTCGCCATCCTCGATGGTCTTGATGTACTTGGAATAATCCGAGATCTCCGTGAAGCGCTGCCAGAAGACCTTTGCGTAAGCCTTAATTTCCGCAGGAGCCTTGCTATCAATCTCGTTGGAAATTCCCTCAAAATCCGAACGGCCGTACTTTCCAGACCCATTGACAAACTGCTGGAAGTCTCGTTTATTCCAGTCACCAAATCCTTGGTTAGAGAGTTTGTCCTTCTCTTCGCGCTCTTCATCATTCAAGGCAGTGGCATCATCGATCTCTTGCTGGTCGAGGGCTCTCTCGGCCTCCCGGTCAGACAAGGTGTCTTCCTCGCCATCTGGCAGGGGAACCTTATACCCAATCTCCTTCCGATAGAATGCAGTCTCCCTGTCCTGGAGATCACGCAGGCGTGATGGGTAGAATTGGTAATCATGAACTGGCACCTGCTTGGGAGCCCGAGGAGCCTTGGGTTTGGCGTCCGCCTTTGGGTTGGGGTACATCGTCTGTCTGAAGTACTTATCCATAGAGTACGACTGCTCCTTGCGTTCTCGCTTAGCAGGGTTAATCCAAGTCATGTTGATGTTTTTCTTCTCTTTTGCAAAGTTCTCTCCGTTCCATTCGTAAGCTGACTCTGAAGTAAACTTTTGCAAGTCATCGATGCCCAGCTTTTCGTACTTGGCATTCAGCTCCTTGGTTCGGTTCTCACCCCGAGACAGAATATCGTCAATGTCGTCATCATCGATTTCAGCGCCCTTTGAGGCCATGTCGCCGGTGGGTCTTTTTGACTGGAAGACCTTCTCGGCACCATGCTGGATCATGGACAGAAGTTCACCCTTGTTCGCAGCCGCCTTAGCAGCGGTTTGAGCACGGCCCTGCTGGATAACAAGCTGGTCAAGTCGGAGCTTTTGAGCGGCTCGTTCGAGAACCTTTTCTTCGATAGCATTGTCGGTAACAAATCTGTAAACGACAACTTGCTTCGTCTGACCGATACGATGGGCTCGGTCCATAGCTTGAAGATCCGCCTGGGGGTTCCAGTCACTGTCGTAGAGAATGACAATGTCTGCAGTGGTAAGGTTGATTCCCAAACCACCGGCCCTGGTGGTTAACAAGAAGACGAACTTCTCTGAACCAGGTTTGTTGTACTCGTCAATGGCTGCAATGCGATCCTCGTGTGCAGTTCCACCGTCGATACGGCAATACTTGTATTCCCGGAAGACACAGTAATCCTCGAGAATGTCAAGCAGACGACTCATTTGAGAGAAGATGAGAACTCTGCTGCCCTGTTTCTGCAATCGGTTGAGGAGCTTGTCAAGGACAGCCATCTTCCCCGCGTTGTAGACGAGATGCTCATCAGTCGTGTAAGGCGGACCCGGCTCGGCTCCTTCAAACAGATACGGGTGGTTACAGCACTTTCGAAGTTGCATAACAATGTTAAGAAGTCGAGTCTTGGACTCTCGCTTGCCACCAGCTCCGTTGACGGCGTCGATATCCTTTTCAAGGATTTTCTGGTACCATTTGATCTGCATGTCAGACATGCCCAGATAAACGTTGACTTCTTTTTTCGGTAGCAAACTCTTCTCCACGTCGCTCTTCACACGACGGAGCAAGAAAGGTCGCAGAACTCGGTGGAGTTGCTGCACAACAGTATCCTGATCACGGTCTTGGCCCGAGAACCACTGATCGAATGCCTCTGAATCGCCAAAGACATCGGGGAGGAGGAAGTTGAGGAGGGCCCACAGCTCGTGCAGGTTGTTTTGCAGTGGCGTGCCGGTAATGAGGAGTCGGTTTCGGGAAGAAAAGAGTCGGATAACTTGCGACAGGGAGGACTCCTCGTTCTTGATTCGGTGGGCCTGGACACAAGTTAGCGATGCCATAATCCGTCTTCAAGAAGCCCATACCTCATCAATAATGATGTACTCCCAAGCAAATTTCTTCAAATGCGCCTTCTCACGGAGAATCATCTCATAACTAGTGATGCAGACATCAAACTTCTCATCAACGAGTCGTTCATTTATAAGGGTATTGCGCTCCTCCTTAGCACCCTGAAGCACCAAGACATTGACCTCTGGTGTCCACCTGGCAAACTCTCGCTTCCAGTTGTCAAGGGTGGACTTTGGTACGATGACCAGGTGTGGGCCGGTGATGTCAACGATGTGCCGCAGGTAGCCAAGGAAGGAAATGGTTTGGAGCGTCTTTCCGAGACCCATCTCATCGGCGAGAATGCCTGAGATACCATTCTCATGGAGAGAAATCAACCAATTGAGACCAGCTACCTGGTAGTCGCGCATGGTGCCCTGGATGAATGTGGGTGACTCTCGGAAGACAGTCTCCGCCGAACCGCCATGCTTCTCATCCTTGAGAAGCTCAGCATCTTCCTCGGCCTCGGTCCGTCGACGACGCTCGCTAGTGGCACCGCCTTGCCTTCCGGCACCCTTCTTGCCTCGAGCGGCTTCTTCATTCTGACGGTCGATTTCGGTCATGATGTCGCGGATCTTAGGATCGGGGTTCGTCTCGATAAAGTGTCGAAACAGGTCGGTGAGGCCTAGCAGGTAGCGAAATCGACGGATAGTGTCATCCTCCTATTCACGGAGGGTCAGTATTTCCAAACTCGCGACTAGGGCATTCTTGGCTTGACAAACCTTGGATTCGCCAAGGCGATCATGCTTCTTGCCAAAGATACTTCGGCGCAATTGGTTCACCTCAGTGCGGCGCTTGCGGCCATCTCCAAGGGGCTCTCCTGCAACACTGCTAGCCGTGGTGTTGGGGTTCGTGTCGGAGTCAGTGTAGTCTGGGGTTTCATCGACTTCCTACGACCACAAGTCATCAGTAAGACGTCCTCGTGTCAAGCGCGGGGGGGCAAAACGAGATCAGAGGCCCAAACTTACCATCTCTTCTGCTTGGCGGTGTTCGGGCGCGTCAGACATAGACGCGTCAGTGTCCGCGGCGTTGGCTCGAGATCGGGGCGCCATTGCGAACGAAGTGTAAGATGAACCTCTTTACGCGACTGGCGTCCTGGAGACGCGTTCCAAGATGGGCGAGACCGGGTCGCAGAGTATTTTGAGCTATCCGCAGCTATTAGATCAAATTTGTGGATGCAAGATTTAGCTCGAGGCTGAAAGTCGAAGGTTATTGCGCCTTCTCACAATACCGTAAGGTGTAGATGTTTTTTCGAAGGTGTCGGCAAGTGGAATCTAGACGGGCAGGTTGAAGGGGGCCAGTTTGGGGCTAGTGCCGCGGTGCGGTCCCCTGTCTTTCTTCACATTAAACAGCCCCACGCTCCTGCAAGGAATAAATGATATTCCGAGCTGACTGCAACGACGTCACCTCCAGTGGATTCAACCAAAATGCAGCAACAGAACATGGAGTAATAAAGTTACATGGGCAACCGCGTGGTTTCTAGCACAACGGCATCATCTCTGTAGAGACCCAATAATCGACATGCGGACGCATTTGGGTAACTCCAGCTACGTTTTCCTCATTGTTCCAGCCAATGCATCACGTGACTTACTGGTCCCCGCTCCACGTGCCAACCCCTCGGTTAGTGCCGCCCAACAGGCTCTGTGCAGCAGCAAGTTGGATGACTGGTCAAACCACCATTGACCGTCGAACCAGGCTTGAACCAGCTCCAGCGACCAGTGTTCGGAGAGGATAGCTTCTCCAGAAGACGTCTGGAACTGTTTGTTTTTGTCTTTGCTTTGGCATTTTGTCTGTTCTTTTCGGCCTGTGGCCTCCCCTGAAGGTAGGGACAGACCCTTGTGACCAGCTCATGGCACATATCAAACTGGAGCCAGGTGATATCCCGCGCCAGGGCAAGCGTCAGCTAACCTTATCGACCTCCAGACACATTCACCCTTTCCACTTTCGCTTTTTCCACGATGGATCCGATGAGAGGCGTGTCTGCGGGTGCTGGAAAGCAGCCCGCCCAGACAGAGTCGCCCGAACAGTTGCTCGACGTGTTCAAGGCGGCCGCGCTCTCTGTCACAAAGCTGTACAAGACTTCAGCTGCAGCCCAGTCAAAGGCACGAGCCGAGGGATACCAAGACTGCCTTGATGACCTGTTATCTTTCCTGGACAAAGCGGGCATGGGTCTTGGCGACGGAGAGGGATGGAGGATTCGACGATGGGCGACAGAGAGGCTCGATGGGCGTGACACCGGTTCCCAGAGCCTCGAGAGTGAAGACGAAGTCGAAAAAGCCGAGACTGCTTCGTCCCCAGAAATCACTCGATCGAACAGCGCATCACAACTTTCGACACAGGTGCGCACCGACTCAGCTCCCCCGAGCATCCCTCCCATTGCCGAAGAACCAACCCCTATCGTCGTACCGACTCAAGATACCTTTACGTTTCAGTCGACACACGCCTACCCTAATATCGCCACGCTTGACCTGTCAGATTCAAGGCCTCACGATGGACCATCGCTAGCAACAGCCAGGGCGTCGAAAGCCCGCATGAACGCCAACGCTACCCGACCGCTGCCAAGACCAGGTGCCCATCTAACACAAAGGGCCGGATCCAAGCGGAAACTGAATTTTGACGAGATATTTGATCTTGGAAGTCTTGGAGGAAAGGATCCATTCGGCAGTGGGGGCAAGCGGAACCGACATGCTTGATAGGTTGACATCAACCATGAGCCATTTCATTCGACCACGATTATTACGGTGCAGCGGGTTTCAATAGACTGGGTAGGACGACGCATGGATTACGGACGGACGCATGGACTAGCATATAGCATGAGCGGCGTTTGGAGGACGTAACGACTACATTTTGTGGGATGTCTAGGTTGAGACTTCTAACCAATATTTCCCGGTACAGCGACATACTCTGCTGGGGCAGATACAATAAACATGAATTTTCCGTGAACATGTGCCATTTTTTCCCCAAGAATTGTGACACTTCGTCATCTACAAACTTGCACCCCGAGACTGACGTGACAATTCCTACGCGGTGTGACAAGGACAATGTATCATGCAACCTGCATGTCGTGCGTGAATTGTCTACATTTATCATGACGACCATAGTGTTCGTTGGATATAAATGTGACGGTTCATGCTCCCGGCCCAACTCCCGACCCGTCTCGTGCATGCGCATTGAAGATCATCGCGCATTGTCGCTATCTCTCGGTTCAACCTCGGCTCCCCACACAAGCTTGCCGGGAACAGGTCCTTTTCTCGAAAGCTACTTACCTCAAGCCTTGTAACTCGCCTCCGTCAATTTTCCAACACAGGATTGTTCACGGTCTTCTTTGTTTCGGTGCGTTCAGGATTTCGATACATTGTCTATTGCGCAATAAGGCGTGCCCTGCCGTAAGTCTACTTTGCCTCCAAAGAGCACCACCTATTTTCGGCACCTGCGTCTCCCACTCGCGTTTATGCGACGCGAGGTTGATAACGTGGTTGAACCCTTTTGTCTATTCGGGTTCTTTTTTTGGCCACCTTGGCAACAGCTACTAACCTCTCGCGCACAGATTCCACCTCGAGGACATTTATCTTTGCTACACAAGTTTGATCGAAATGTCGGACTCAGGCAAACCAGACGAGACGCCGGTGGCCCAGCACGAGCACGAGCACGAGCCGGAGAACGAAATGTCGGCAACAGAGGAGGTGCGTGAGGCGCGAAAAGAGGAGGACTAAATAAGGAGCTGACAAGGCGCCACTAGGAAGAAATAACTGCCATGAAGCGCCGCGTGGCAGAGATGGAAGAGGAGGCCAAGAAGCTCCGCGAGATGCAAGCGACTCTGGAGCAGCAGTCGGCGGACCTCGCGGATGACAAGGAGTCGGTTGATTCGCGCAGCATCTTTGTGGGCAATGTGGATTATTCAGCCTCGCCCGAGGATATCCAGGCGCACTTCCAGAGCTGCGGCTCGATTAACCGCGTCACCATTCTCTTGGATAAGTTTACCGGCCAGCCCAAGGGGTACGTCTTCAGCCCCCTGCAGGAACGCTGCCTTTACGAGGGCGAGTTGCGCTAACCAGTGAGCTTACAGCTATGCCTACGTTGAGTTTACGGAGCCCAGCTTGGTGGCTCAGGCACTTGTCCTGAACGAGAGCCTCTTCAAAGGCCGCAACATCAAGGTCACCCCGAAGCGCACCAACGTGCCAGGGATGAGCCGTGGCCGTGGTGGCCGTGGACGCGGCGGCCGAGGTGGCTTCGGAAGGGGTGGTGGTGGTTCATTCCCCCGGGGCGGGTACCGGGGTGGTTATCGAGGCCGTGGCCGGGGATTCACTCCCTACTAGGAGCAGGGCAGCTCCCATCCTAGGACGGGCCACCAAGCTTATCATGCCTCTGGGCAGCAGCCTGATGCATTCAAGATTGAGGTGGATGATCACGCCGGGTTTGATGGAGGGTCTAACTGGTGATGATTGCCAGTCGTGGGATCCTCCAGTTTATTTTCGCATTTAGGGAATCCGGTCGCAAACAAGGGGGAAAGAAGTCTGGTCAGGGAAGTGCGATGTATAATATCGGATCCGGGGAGGGACAAAACAGCACATCGTGCTTCGAGGACAGGACAAGGAGTTTTGGACTGATTTGGTTGTTTTTATTTCGTATCTACGGTAACATGCACTTTCGAGAATAGTAACCTCCGAGCCACGCTCGACCAGGGGGGGCTCTGCTGGTTGGCTTGGTGTGAACCAATGTTGTCCGTGGATAGGATGGTGACACCTTCGCCACGCAATCAGTGTGAGGCCGCCCGTTTCGCCCCCCCCCCCCCCCCACATCCGTCCCTTCCGGTGGCTGAGAGGACTGCATGGGGTATGAAAGAGACGAGAAGGATCGGCAGTATGTTCCGAGCCAGGATGGCAAATGGATCTCAAGATCTGGTTCTGGTCAAGGTCTAGTGGGCTTCTAGGAGGTCTGGGCATGGATGAGATACCACGTCTCGTCTGTATTTCGTGTTGCACGCGTCGAGCCACTCATGTATGTTATCGAAAGGCCCGTCTTTGTTCGGCCTGCACGTGACAGTTGGATCTGCAGGGTGTTGCCAATCAGGATGCGTAGAGGGTGCTTGGAGGTTGCGATCAGACAGGAGTGGTGTCAGCGCGCTTGGTTGTTTATCTACGTACTTGCACAACATGGTGAAGGAGTCTCAACTCTGGAGCACTCAACCGTGAAGCTCGCATGCACCTCTTGGGTAACTTCGCGACCCGAAACAAATGCTATGCCCGGATATACCAATAGCGTTCATACACGGGCCAAGCCGTCATCATTCAGAGTCGCCAGCCGAATGAGCCACTGTTCAAGTCAAGTTGCCCTGCCCTGCCCATCTTAGACCACTGATGGAGCTTTGAATACGCGGGCGGGCTGCTTGCCATCCCAGTACCTATGTACGCTAAGTTTAGACATTTAGGGCTTTGGGCCATCGCCGTGCGAGCTGGATGATCAATGACAGATGCGAGCCGAAAGCGAATGGTTTGGCGTGGGAGGGCCAAGGGCGGCGGCGGATGCGGACTGCTTTACGTTGAAAACGGCCGAAAATTCAAGGGAGTTGGGCGATGCCAAGATGTATTGATGAAGCCGCACGCATCCTGGTCCTTGGCTTGTACCCCGTGGGTGCGTTCGCCAGCTGTGGCGCACTACGCGCTGCAGAGCGGGGCATCGGATCGAGGCTGGTTGGCAAGGTGTTGACGTCCGCTTGAGTGGCTCAGCGACCGGCCAGCGCCTCTGCTCTTGGCATCTAGAAGCAACCCTGGACGGTGGTCGGCGGGAGCACGAAACAGCAGCAAGTAGCGAGCTAGGCGCGTTGGTCACATTGTTATTGTTTGCTGCAGCAAATCCTGTGCGTATCAACATGGTTTCATGCCACGCCAAGTCTATGCCGGTCTGGGACAGCCATTTGGGGTCTTGGGTGCAGGTGAGCCGACTGCGTCGGATTCCCTCACTGGCGTGTGCCCGCTGCGGTGCTGATGCAGCTGGGACCAGGACGGAGTAAGCAACGGGTAAGTACCCATGTGTTACTTTTTGGACTCGGCTCCATGACGGGAGCTTATACTGAGTCTAGTAATGATTACATAGTACTTCTGGGAGTAGGGAGCAGAGCCATGGAAAGCACCACTACATTCTGTCATCTTGGCGAACCTAGCTGAGAGTCCCAGCCTCCCTTGGCAAGCAAGCAAAGTAAGCAGCGAGCAGAATAGCAGAACGGAACGCCCAGAGGATTCATGGAAGCGCCTGTGTCATGCTCCAGGACAGGCCAAGCGCTCCATGGCTACTGGATTTGGCCTGGGGTGAGGATGGCCCCTGGTGCCGGCCACCCGGTCCCCTCCAGCTTGCCGCTTTTAGGCTGCCAGAAGTTCTGGGAGGATTGGATGGCTGCTTAGGTAGCTGCTTGGCTGTTTGGCTGCTTGGCTTCTGCTGGTGGGCTGTGGTTCCCGGGGACCCAGGTACCTTTGCATTTGACCATGAATCAACTGGGGGGCACGAGACACCCGACGACAAACCATCGCCCACCCATCCGACTATCCATCATCCATGGCGTGCGAAAACGACGGGGGACTAGTTTTGGGCACTGAAGGGGAACAATGAGATACATAGAATATTCGGCGCCTGCAGAGTGTCCCCCCGCTCGCTCTCGTGAAGCTCAGAGACTGGCTCCCCAAGAGGTACCTTAAACAACCTGGAAGGGAAAAAAAGGTACAGCGAGGTACTTGGCCCCTCCTGCTCTCGGTCTCGGTCTCCCCACTTTAGTCCAGGCCGGTAGGTACCTGGAAAACCACCTCAGCTCACTGAGCCCAGCTCTTGGGAGAGACGCTGCCCGCCAAACACCCCTCTGTGGCCCACACTGCACACAGTTCACGGCGGGCTAGCATCATCCTACAGGGCTAACGTAGGTACTTTGCCTCCCTCGCTACCTCTACCCGCTACCGCCCTCCGCTGGGCTGTCCCGCCCGCTGCTCCAAGAACGCTGCCTGCACGCCCAAGTCCCCAGAGGTAACTTCGCCCAGCAAGGTCTGTCGGCGGCTGTCCACCCAAATCCACGCCTGCGCACGCCCGCGCACGCACGCCTCCCACCCCCAAAGCCCCATTCCCATCCCATCGCCCTCTTTCGCTCGCATCCTCCCATTACCCATTTCCCATCATCACCTCCTCCACCACCTCCGCCGTTCCTCGATTCCCGGCCCCCCGCTGCGCTTCTCGTCTGCGTCTGCGTCTGCCGCCTCTCGTCGTCGTCTTCAACCCGCCGTTTCTCCGCCGCCGCCCCGTCGTTGCGTGCATCGTTGCGACCTGCGTCTTCCCGTTCCGGCCACCACCTCCTCGCCTTGGAAGCGGGGAGCCCGTGTCTGGTCTTTTGGGCCGCCGCCCGTGCACAGCCTCAACCTCCCTCAGCGTCTTTCCGGGGGCGTCGTCAACCTCGCCATTTGAACTTCTTTCGAGCTGGTTCTTAAATCTCCCAGCTCTCCCCTGGTGCTTCCGTTTACACCTTCGGCCCCGACTGCGCGCGGCCTGTCCCACCAGATACTCTCCTGCGTCGTGGTGTTTTAGTCACTCGCTGCGCTGCGCAAGAGGCGAGACATCATGAGCAATCGCACCGACGCTGGGCAGCCCAAGTAAGCCCATCCCCTCTGGCCCATCCTTGCTGCTCTGCATTCGCCTTTCATCCAAGACATGGCCGCTAACCATCATCACAGCAAGCCCAACCTTCGGGTTACCAGTACGTCTTCGTTTGCCGACCCCCCTCCGCCCGAATCCTGATATTGACATCATCTAGTCATTGCTGCCGATGGCCTCTATAAGCGAGATGTCTTCCGTACGTTGAACCATGCCGCCTGACAAATCGACCGTTTTGTTAACACCCATCCAGGTTTTCCCGACCCCTTCGCTGTCGCGACCATCAACGGCGAGCAGACCAAGACAACTACGGTCAGCAAGCGAACTCTGAACCCATACTGGAACGAAAGCTTTGACTTGTGAGCATTGCCCCGCCGCCCCAACCACGGAACCTTCCAAACTGACGCATGGCAGCCGTACAAACGAAGATGGTATCCTCGCGGTGCAAGTATTTGACCAGAAGAAGTTTAAGAAGAAGGATCAGGGTTTCCTGGGCGTCATTAACATCCGTGTCGGAGATGTCATGCCCGAGATCGGGGCGGACGCTGATGGTTGGTTTGCCCGCGCCGCATGCTCAAGGTCATGGGACCCTGCTAACCAAACTTGCAACCCTTTAGATCAGATGCTTACACGGGACCTCAAGAAGTCAACCGACAACCTCGTCGTCCACGGAAAACTCATCATCAACCTTTCTTGTAACCTCGCTGCTCCAGTTAGAGGCGGCCAAGCATCGTCGTCGAGTCGTCCCTCGTTAGGTACCGGTCCCTCCAACATGTCGACACTTTCAGCACCTGCGGGAGACCGCCCTGGCTCCTCCATGTCAGGACCCAACGGCGCTGGTGGATCGCAGGTTACCCTGCCGCACCGTCCCTCCAGTATCAACTCAGCCGGCGGTGCTGCGAACCCCCCTGGTATTAATGGTTCCTCGCAAAACCGCCAGTCTAGTCAGCTTAGCCCATTCGAGGATGCCCAAGGACGCTTGCCAGCTGGGTGGGAAAGACGGGAGGATAATCTGGGTCGCACATACTATGTCGACCATAACACGCGAACCACCAACTGGAACCGCCCTACCGCGGGCGGTGCCGCCGAATCACGGAACGATAGAGAGGCGGCGACTCAAGTCGAGCGACAGAGACATCAGAACCGAACGCTGCCCGAAGACCGGACTGGATCTAGTTCACCGACAATGCATCAACAGCAACCCCAGCAACCATCTGGGTCTCCCCCCCCTGCTAATAACGCCATGATGCATACCGGTGCTACGAGCCCGGGCACGGGCGAACTCCCTCCTGGCTGGGAGCAGCGGTGGACACCAGAAGGCCGCCCTTACTTTGTGGACCACAACACACGAACGACGACCTGGGTTGACCCTCGTCGACAGCAGTATATCCGCATGTATGGCGGCCAGAACAGCGCCAACGGCCAGATTCAGCAGCAGCCCGTTTCCCAGCTCGGTCCTCTTCCCAGCGGTTGGGAGATGCGTCTCACCAACACTGCCCGTGTTTACTTCGTCGACCACAACACGAAGACCACCACTTGGGACGATCCTCGACTACCCTCTTCGTTGGATCAGAACGTACCCCAGTACAAGCGAGATTTCCGCCGAAAGCTCATTTACTTCCGATCTCAACCCGCTATGCGTATTCTCAGCGGACAGTGCCACATCAAGGTTCGGCGATCACACATTTTCGAAGACTCTTTCGCAGAGATTACTCGCCAGTCGGCTACGGATTTGAAGAAGCGACTTATGATCAAATTCGACGGCGAGGATGGTCTCGATTATGGTGGTCTCTCCCGAGAATTCTTCTTCCTCCTCTCCCACGAAATGTTCAACCCCTTCTACTGCCTGTTTGAGTACTCGGCCCACGACAACTACACCCTCCAGATCAACCCCCACTCTGGAATCAACCCCGAGCATCTCAACTACTTCAAGTTTATTGGACGAGTTGTTGGTTTGGCCATCTTCCACCGACGTTTCCTGGATGCATTCTTCATCGGTGCGTTGTACAAGATGATGCTTGGAAAGGCGGTCGCCTTGGCGGATATGGAGGGTGTGGATGCCGACTTCCATCGATCATTGCAGTGGATGTTGGACAATGACATTTCAGGCGGAATTCTGGAGCAGACGTTCTCGACCGAGGATGAGCGTTTCGGAGTTCTGACTACTGAGGATCTCATCCCCGACGGTCGAAACATCGATGTGACGAACGAGAACAAGAAGGAGTATGTTGACCTCATGGTCAAGTGGCGCATTGAGAAGCGCATCGCAGAGCAGTTCCAGGCCTTCAAGGAGGGGTTCCAGGAGCTCATCCCTCATGAGCTTATCAACGTCTTCGACGAGCGCGAGCTAGAGTTGCTCATTGGTGGTATTGCCGAGATCGATGTCGACGACTGGAAGAAGCACACCGACTACCGTGGATACACCGAGTCCGATGAGGTCGTACAGAACTTTTGGTCGACGGTTCGGTCGTGGGATGGCGAGCAGAAGTCTCGACTACTGCAATTCACGACAGGAACCTCCCGAATCCCCGTCAACGGATTCAAGGATCTCCAGGGAAGTGATGGTCCTCGACGATTTACCATCGAGAAGGCAGGCGAGATTAACAACTTGCCCAAGGCGCACACCTGGTTAGCTTTACCTAATTCCCCCCCCCCCCCCCCCAAGACCAATTACTAATTGACGTGCTCAACAGCTTTAACCGACTTGACCTGCCTCCTTACAAGAATATGGAGATGCTCCAAGGGAAGCTTACGATTGCTGTGGAGGAGACCATGGGCTTCGGCCAGGAGTAGACGACGAAGGTGTACCACTCTAGCGGGGATGGCGAGGTCGAGCTCCCACCTGACAGCTGTGTATTCTTCTGAGAGTCCGACCTCTCTCCCCACCCTCCTCTCGCTTACACGCACGAAACTGTTTTGGGTAATTGCTTTGGTTGAAAGAGTGGAACAGACCTGGGTCGTTTGGCGCTGGTGGATTGATTGTCATTCGAAATGCGATGCAAGAACTGTTTGTTTGTCTTTCTGTCGGCCACCCTCGCGGATAAAAAACAAGAGACGGAATCCTCGTCTCGTCTCTCCCCCTCCTGATAAAGCACCCACGCACCACCCTCCAGAGAAAAATGACTTTGCACCGTTAGAACTGTTCCGTCGAATGCCTTGGCGGTCTTGTGGTATTATTACTCTTCGGCTTGGGGGCATATGCTGGGAGCTCTCGGGGCCGCGGCGATCCTGCTTGACAAAAAGGCTGTATTACGTATCATGTCGGGCAGGTGAGGCAAGGCCTATTGTTCAAGCGGGCTCGGGTCGATAAGACAGGATTCCTACAAGATTTGCATTCCGGCATACATATACACACAAGGACACTTTCTCTCTCTACTTTTCTTGATGGTTGAATTAGGTTGTGCTCAATATTAGAAGTGATTGATAGATTATGATTGCCTCCGGTCTCAACATCTCTAACTACGCCATCGCCGAGCTCGTTAGGGCGTGCGAGTAGTGTGGATATGTGAATCTAGTTGAAACAAGACCGACCAGGCAGGTTGCGGTCGTGAAGGTTTGTGAATTATGTCAATCCGTGGTTTGTCAGTTACGGGCCCTGGCAAGACAAGCTGTGGGCAAAAGTTTCAAGGACCGAGGTTGTGGTGTTGTACAGAATTGCATTCCTTCTACCCTTCTACCGGTGGGATCCCCAGTATGTACACCTTGTGATAACAAAAGAAAGACGTTGTTTGGCGCGACATCCTCATCATGCTTGTCGTCCTCGCGGCCACGTCAATTGCCATCCCATCCGATCCCATCCATTCCTTCGCTGAGTGATTTGTCGAGTATCCATCCATTGCCACAAGCCTCCCACGGCATCCATTTGCTCTCCTTCATGTTCGGTCCCCCCATTATCTCTTTATCGTCGATACCACATGCGGGTGATCTTGGTGTTGCGCATCTTGCGCTGGAGCTGGAAGATGCCGTACATGAGGGCCTCGGAGGTGGGGGGGCAACCGGGAACGTAGATGTCGACGGGGACGATGCGGTCGCATCCGCGGACCACGCTGTAACTATAGTGGTAGTAGCCGCCACCGTTGGCGCAGCTGCCCATGGAGACGACCCAGCGGGGGTCGGGCATCTGATCGTAGACCTGGCGCAGGGCGGGGGCCATCTTGTTGGTGAGGGTGCCGGCGACAATCATGACGTCGGACTGACGGGGAGAGGCACGGAAAATGATACCGAGACGATCCTGATCGTATCGCGGCGTGGAGAGGTGCATCATCTCGACGGCACAGCAGGCGAGACCGAAGGTCATAGGCCACAGGGAGGACTGGCGGGCCCAGTTGGCTATCACGTCGAGGGAAGTACTATCGTGGGAAAGAGCGGCAATGGTCAGCAGGGTTTCGTTGATGGGGCATTGGCAGTGTAAATTGGGGAGCATCGCTGTCTCGAGGGCGGTGGCGATGGTGATGGCGGATGCGGGACATACAGAGCATATTGAATGACGCCCTTGTTGCCCTCCTCACTGGGAAGAGGCACCTCCTTGCGAGCCTTGGCCAGACCAGCGGCGCCCGAGTGGGCCGTCAGCGCACTCGCATCACGTCGAGAGCCAGTTGAGAAGGCAGCAACGGTTCGGAAGGGGAGGATAGCGGTCGAGGGTCGGACTAAATTGTGTGGTTTTGGTGTCAGCTACACATCCGGTGCGAGACAACGACGATGACATTGCGAGCAAAAAAAAACCCGCCGGTCCGAAGGGGGATTGCGAGCCTCGCAATTGAAGAGCACATACCTCGCAGGGCCATTGCGGCCGCAGATCGTGAGGCGGGGAGCATCTCGAGGTGTCGAATTGACGGGCGGGAGGGGCTCGACGCAGAGAGAGGGGAGAGGGTCGTGGGAAGACGGGGAAGTTGGACAAGCTGGAGTTGACGATTTGGGTGAGGATTGGAGAACGCCTCGTTGGTAACCGGCGACTGGGAATTACCGCGATTATGATTGGTCGGCCGGCCAGAGCTGTGGCCGGCGATTACCCGGTCGCGGAGTGGTGGCCCGAGGACTCGTGACTTGCAAGTTGACCCATATTGACGAACCCGAACGAATAGCCACGACCATGGCGAGGCGGATAAGTTTGAGTTTGATCTACCAGAAGCATAGAGAGATAATCGCCACCACTGTAAGGTCAGGAATTGAGCCAATCATAATTTCGCGATTACTTAATGAATCATCAATTTTGACACTATGAGGACGTCGTTGAGGCTACTCTGCACTGGGATGGTGGTGTTACTGGACGTCTCACTCCGGGGGAAATCACACATTGCTGTGACGTACATATAGGATACTCGTGCATTTCCCTAGAATGTCGTCCGGTTTGAACCTCTTCCTGTGCTGGAAAAGTCGTGAGTAGAAGTTGTCGTCCAACGCGTTACTCGAGCTGCACAGGTGGGCATTCTGACCACGACGGTAACCAGCATACATATGTTCTACACTAGTGAGCTAGAGATCGTCAACCGGCCTCTACATCGAGAACATACTCTAGTCATGGTACAGTCATGGAAAATTTAAAACTGAGGCTGCAATTCCGGCAGAATTCGATCCCCTCTGTCGGTACAGGGTAAGCGGAATGCCAGCGGATAACTCTAAGTGACAAGACCCGACTGACCCCTCCAGTCCAAAGCTCAGCTCATATAAGGCAGAGGAGCTACATGTGAAGTAAAGCCTGGGTGATGCTAGAGGGGGCACCTACGATACGTGAATTCCTTTTTTTCAACATCAACAGTTGTTATTTACTGACGATCTTATGCCTCCAGGCCAATAGTCATCGAGAACGCAGACTAGAAGCCCCAGTCACCTCCCACAGAGATTCACTTTGTCATTCCAGAGATCAATTTATCTCGAAAGTGGTGCACGGAGTGCTGGGTGACCCGGAGTTTGGTCATGGGCTAGGCTTGCTAGGCTGGCATCTGAACTGCTTGTCTACGTGGGGAGCATTGTCATCGCGAGCCTGGAACTGATACGGCATCGTTGGGACAATGGGTCGGGGGATTGCCGATGAAATGATATCATAATGGGAGGGAAGCAAGAAAAGGTTTCAACCTCGTGTCCTCACTATCTCCCCAGACTGGATTGCGTGTGCATTACAGCCCTGGAACCAGTAGAAACGTGGATCCACACCCGGATGGTAACATTGATGCAGGTATCCTGATAAGATGTTACGTGGTTATCTAGAAAGTCACGGCACTTGTCGCCTTGGCATCCGGGTGTTCCCTTGATACGCGGAGTTTGGAGCAGGACCACGATCGCGATTGACGGCCCAGCTGGCACGGGGGCGTTGGCAGCGGCGTTGTCTGGAAGCCGGTGCTGGATTGTTGGAAAGCAGAGCACTGGGACAGTGTCTCGAATAAGAGGGTTAGAGCGGCGTTTTAGCAGTTGGAACCCCGTCCATCCACAATCTCGGATGTCCATTTTTGGACGCTTTCTTAGTACAGACAGCAACTCGGTGCACTTTGTCCGGGGGATCAAGAGGAGAGCGCTGGGCCAGTTCATCTGAGCGGCGTGGCTTGTTTCTGATTGGGGTTTTGAAGACAATTAGCTTCATGGTGGCCGTGTTTGGCTGAGACAAACGGCGACTGGACACAATGTAATTTCGACTCAGATCACTGGATGTCGATTCATCTCAACGGGGCTTGAGTTTTATTTAGAACAGGAACCGCTACCGAATTAGTTCAGGGATGAGAGCCAACAAAGAGAGGATAGGGGATTAGGCATGGCGTGTTAGTGGTTTTGCGTCCCCCTAGGCCCGTCTGTTCCATGGTCTTTAATTTCCTAGCCCGGTTGACGCGTGCGAAGCGGCTTTGAGCTTTGCGTTAGTGCCGCCAGTGAGTTAGTATTGTGCATGTGCCTACGCAATGCAGCTACGCAGACGGGGGCTTCTGCTAGGAGATGTGGAAAATCACGTTGTTCAAGCAGAAAACCGGGTAAAATGAAACTGGCTGCATCGGATGCCCACACTTGTGATTTAGAGGCCACACCAACGGATCACCTGGAAGGCCTCGGCTGCCGCGGGCCCGCAGACGGGAGCGTTGAAGGATCTGACGATTGGCTTCCCAGGGGCGTGGAAGCTCTCGCGTGCCGTCCTCTTCAGTGTCTAGGGGAACCCTTCCAGGGCATCCCAGGACCTACCCACCCAGAACTAGCGCCCCGGGATCTCGTCAGGGTTCTGGGGCAGACAGACTTCTGCTTGGCTAAGGTAGGTTCCGCTTGGCTTCCGCTTGGCTTTCGCTTGGCTTTTGCTGGGGAAGACGGCGGTTCCTGGGTAGTGTGCGGTGGGCTCACCGGAGTTCTCGATGGGTAGAGGGCGGCTTGTAGTGGGACAACTTCCTTACTGACGTCCGGTCCAGATTGCCTATCGCCTAATTACTGGGGATGTAATATGAGATGTCGACTGGTAACAAGAAACGGTTTAACATTCTGGGCTCCCCGGGCCGCTGTGTCCGATTTGGGATGGAGGTGGGAAAACCGGGGGGTCAGTGGTTGAATTTTGCTGCCCCCCCCCGGCGCTACCACCAAACAGCCAGCAATGACCACCAACAGAAAACCGGCCATGGACGATCGAGGCTATTTATTTCATGTGGCACTTTTAACAGGCCGAACTCGGGCAGAAGCAGGTTTTTGGCAGGAGCTCGACGAGTGAGCACACAGAGTCGTAGACAGGGGGGGGGGAGACACATTCAAGATCCCTCGCCCCTCTCTCCCTTGGGACATGACATATTCATGCCGGACGCACAGAGACAGGGCAGGGAACGGAGTGAGTGACTAGTCACGCACCCAGAAAATGGAAAACGGAGAGAATAGAAGTCCCGGACAGAGAGTGACCTGAGCAGAGAGACAAGACATTCCAGGTGACGTGCTGCGACAGGGAGTCAGTTAAGCAGAGTTGCCAAGCCGTTGCCACCAGCCACGCCACCGTCGCAGCCGCGAGGCGCTCGACATTTTGCATCCCCTATCTTGGTCGTTGTTACATGGACAGTCGAGTCAGTGCTACGGAGTACCTGCAAACGGTTTCTGTACAGGGCAGTGCTGTTGGGATTTACTCCAGGGCAGGGCAGGGCAGGGCATGCCTTGCCATCCATGCCATGGATAGCATCCCATGGCAGACTGCGGCGCAGGAAATAGCCGGTACATGCTCCGTACCGTATGTACCACAGCATCCATCCCATCCCATCCCATCCCATCCTATCCGTTATTTGCTTCAATCGCTGGGGCAGGGGTTGGCCACCGCCACGGACGACAGGGCGCGAGATCCGTTGCAAAGCAGCACTGAGCACGCGCGCGAAGTCCGTTTTAATGGGCTCAGTGCTGGAGTAGCGCTGCGTAGCGTTGTGGTAGCGTGCTACCTGGGAGTGCTGCAGGTGTAGCGTGCGTACCTAGCAGCCGCGCTCTCGATATGTCTCGACGCCCGGCCCCGGCCCCGGCTTGCTTGGTTGATTGTTGGCTTTTGGGCGCTTTCACAACTCTTGCCAAAGGGGCTCCGCAGTGCTTCTCCACGCTCGCTCCACTCCCAGTCCGCTTGCGCTCTCTCCGGAGTGCACACATGGCCCGCTGGCCGTTGGCCGTAGCCCGTAGCCCGTAGCAGTGTAGGTAGGTAGTGGAGGGTCCGGGTACAGTATGAATGCGTACCTGCCTTGATTAGCACCTGCCAACCCAGGGAACCCACAATCCATATCCTTCCTTCCCTGCTCCGCCTGACCTCACCTCACCTCACCACACCCTACTACAACCTTTCCGGCTTCACCCTCCTCACCTCGCCTCGACTCACCCTCTCCCGCTCTCCCGGTCACGCACGATCCTCCTCCTCCAACAATGCTCTGCTGTCGCGTCCGTTGAGCCCTCCTCTCGATGCGACTGCTGCCCACTCCCCCGTGGCGCGCATAACCTCCCCGACGACTCGTCCGCTCCGCCGCAGGCTGCCGTCGCAAGCCGCAGGCTGCAACGCACGCTGCTATGTGGCTGAGGGCCAAGCATTGGTTCTGGCACTGGCCCTCGCGCCTCGTTCTCCGCTACATCACCATCCTCTTCCTCTTCGGCTTCCTCATCACAAACTACGTGCTATGGACGAGCAGCCAGGGCTGGGACGTCGCCGAGCCGAACGGCCCTGTAACCTTTGGCCCCAAGCACCCCATTAAGAAGTTGATGGTTGATGCCCGCGCCCGCCACGAAGCCCTCCTCGCCAAGCGCAGTTACGACCTCAACGATGCCGCTGCGCGATACCGCGCCCGCCGAGGCCGTCACCCGCCCCCCGGCTTCGACAAGTGGACTGAGGCCGCTCTCGGCTCCGACGCCATTCTCGTCGAGGACTTTTTCGATCGCATCTACAAGGACCTGACTCCCTACTGGGCCCTCGATCCCCAAACCCTCGCCCAGCGTGCCGCCTCCTGGCACTGGGTTGTCCGGGTCCGCGACGGCCAGGCCACCGGCCAGGGAAACACTACTAACCGAGTTCCCTGGCTACAGCTATGGACTGAGCTCGTCACTGAATTCTCCGTCCACCTGCCCGATGTTGACATGCCCATTAACTACATGGATGAGCCTCGAATCCTCGTCCCCTTTGACGAAGTCTCAAAGCTCGTCGAACGAGAGCGCAACGACCGGCGCATGCCCCCTGCTCACGAGGTCGTCACCAGCTTCAAGGGCCTGTCCCAGATCGATGCCATGAACCCTCAACTATACGAACCGCATTGGTTCAACCGCTCTGACAATTACTGGGACCTCACTCGTGTGACGTGTGGTCCCAACGCTCCCTCGCGCAACGTCGAACAGATCTCCGACTTCAGTACGCCCATTGACTACCCATCCGGCTGGACCCCCGACTATGCATACAAGGGATACATCAAGAACTGGACCGCCGCCATGGACCCATGCACTCAACCGCAGCTACGACAGATGCACGGCAGCTTTGTCAACCCCCTTAGTTTGTCTACTACCAAGGAGCTAATCCCCATGTTTGGCGGTTCCAAGCTTCCTATGAACAACGAGATCCTCATACCTGGCGCCATGTATCTCACCGTTGACGAGTTCTACTCCGGGGGTGAGAACCAGCGCGGCCCGGCTTGGCACAAGAAGAAGAATGGTATTGTTTGGCGCGGTGTTGCGTCCGGTGGCAAAGCCAAGAGCTATAACTGGCATCGTTTCCACCGCCACCGCCTCGTACAGATGCTCAACGGTACCACCGTCAACGCCATGGAGCACCAGGGTTTCAAGGCCCAGACCTTTGACCTCCCAGATGCCGAACTCTACAAGAGCCTGCACCGTGACGAAAACAGCTTTGGCAAATGGCTGACCAAATTCGCCAATGCCGGCTTCATCAGCCGACAATGCCAGGTCGAGCCCTGTGAATATCTCGACCCTTACTACGCCGAGGTGGACGGTATGCCGATGAAGGACCAGTACAAATACAAGTTCCTCCCAGACGTTGACGGCAACTCTTTCAGCGCCCGCTTTCGCGGCTTTATGCGCTCTAGCAGCACTCCGCTCAAGGCTACCATCTACGCGGAGTGGCATGACGACCGACTTACTCCGTGGGTTCATTTTGTGCCCCTCGACAACTCATTTCAGGATCTTTACTCCGTCCTCGAGTACTTCACCGACGACGAAGTTGCTGGCGATACCGCAGCTCGGTACATCGCTGAACGTGGCAAGGAATGGTCCGAGCAGGTCCTACGTCGTGAGGACATGCGTCTCTACGTTTGGCGCTTACTGCTCGAGTGGGCCCGCGTTTGTGATGAGAACCGACAGAACCTAGGGTTTATCAAAGACTTGACCGACTCGCAACGATGATGCGCAGGGGAAGATGACCCATATATCAACCAGCATATGTACGAGCGGGACGGTGTTTGGGAGGCTATAATATCATTGCATGAACGCGGTTGTACTGAACCGCACCCTGCCTGCGCAGGAAGGCCCACGTCTCCAACGGACGTTTGGGTTTCACCTATACATTAATTCTCACGGCCTGGAGTTTGGGAGTTGGATCTTCCCACCTGCATCACGGGGGTAGATTTTGATTTGGAAGGGCTTGTTTTTATATTTGGGCGGGAATCACATCCAATAGCTCTCTATTGGTGTCAGTCTTGTCCATGAGATTATATCTTTTCCATGGAGCCATATGTAATACACATGTAAGGTGGATCGAAAAGGGAAGAAAGACATGAGAGGATGAGAGAGATGAAAGGGGAAGAGAACGACCCTCGCTGTTAATACGTAACCCTAGTTAATCTTGGTCAAGTCCCCAACTCAAGCGGGTGACAAATGTGCCAAACATGAGTAGTAGTATTCATAGCCAACAGTCGCTATCTGCACAATGTAGATAAAATTACGAATAACACGCCAACATGATCCCTTCTGCCCTGCATTGCAATCTAAGGAGACGTACCAAGACTCACTTCTTATGACATATATGATCCTCTAAAACCCCGTTTGAATAGAATATATTACTAAAGGTGCTTAGGGTCGGGCACACATGTTAGGTACCTATATAGTAGGACATGTAGTCAAAATCGCCTTTACTCGTTGTGCGGATAACAATTCCTGCCTATACCAACAGCAATGCTCCCAGATATTCTCACGAACCAACATCGCCCTTTCAACCTCCTGTATACTGTGACTCGAAATATTTGACTCCGTGAAATGCAAGCAAGAACCGTTCAAACAGACACGCCTTGTTCTTGTTCTCGTGCTCATAATTATGCAGGTTTCTATCCCCCCTTGGCGTCTGTTGTGCAACACCTCTGTCGTCTTCACTGGGAACCCATTCACGCGACTCCTCAGCAGCCGACCGCCCTTCCCATCGTCGCAAAAACACGAACAACCCCATATTATTGGGGGAGCGTGGGCCGAGCAGTTCTACAGCTGCAGGTTCGTGACTGGCTCACGGGTGGGCTGGCCCTTGAGGTGGGCGGCAGAACCCTTGAAGAGACTCTGCCAGATGAAGGCCTCACTGAGGAGTAGCTCGATGTCCTTCTCGGTCCAATCTTTAGTTGGTAGGGATTGCAGGAACATCATGACTTCTTGGAAGTCCATATGGACGAGCTTGTCGGACCACTTCACGAGGAAGGCGGCGCAGACGTATAGGTGGAACTCGGAAAAGCCCTGTTCTTCGGCCTAGAAGACAAGAATTGGTTAGAAAGACAATATGGGGGGGGGGGAAGGGGGAACGCACCAAGTATGTGTCCCACATGCGAATAGTATTCTTCACACTGATCTCTCGCATCAACAGGCAATTCATCCATCGGAAACTGAACTGGATGAACTCGACACCCTCCTTTTCTAAGTGCTTGGACAGAGTCGCATCGATGCGGGCGGTGAGGTCGCGTAGGGCGGTCACCTGGCGCTGGATGCCCGGCTGTGCGACAATGTAGTGATCCTGAATACCATCGAGAAGCTTGGTGAGGCACCAAAAGGAGTCAGCTTCGACGGCGTCGAGGACTGACTTGGGCAGCTGCCCCGGGTCCATGCCGGATTCGATATTGGGGTCGCCGATATAGATGCTCAGGAAGACCTGCCAGAATGGAGTTACCAAGTCGTTGATGCCCTGAACGTATCCGCTAGCAGGATGCCGGACGGCCCAGACGTAGAGAATGCGCTCGAGCGACCGCTGGGTAGCCTCGTAACTATACAGCTCGATGTGTGGGTTAGTCCGTGGGACGTCGATGCTGATCTGGTGCCATATGGCCTCGTCTAGACCCCGAGTCCTTCCGGTAGGTGCTGTGTTGGCCGAGTTAGCCGTATTGGTGCCGCTCCTCTCAAAGGCCTGGCGGACACCGTCTAGATACTCTTTGCGTTTCCGTTCAAGGGTAGTAACTCGACGTTCGCTGTTGGTGGGGAGGTAGCTGAGGAGGAGCTGCCAAGTCATGGCGCGGACCTCTCCGGGTACGCCAGACCAAGCCAGCGACCTCAGGTCGGGGAGGGAGATGGAGGACGTCTGGAGGAGTTTCTTGAACTTGTTGATGCGGGTGATTCGGGAGTTGATGGCGTCGGCTTCCTTGGGGGTGGCGTTGGCAGGTACGGAGGGATAGTTGATGAGGTGGAGGGCGTTGGCGGGGTCTTGGAGGAGACGTCAGTTATAGTATGAGGAAGGGAAAGACATATGGACGAACCTCTGAGGATCTCCTTATACTGGGGTCGAAGTATCTTGCCCTCGCTCTTCTTGGGCATGGGGTATGTAGGCGCCGGACGCTCAACCGCGATGTCGGCGCTGTTGGAGTAACGCCTGGAGTGGAGAGCATCGAAATGATCCTCTCCAAATGGCGACAACGGCGACAGCGTGCTATGATCGACCTTGCTCTGCGTAGCCATCCGCCTAGACCTCCTCTTCATATTCGACAGGCTGGGCAGACCGAAGTCATCGCCGTCATCGTCCTCATATCCCATCATCTCGTCTTCATCGGCCTTCCAGTCATCGTTGGTGTTGGAGAGGAAATTGATGTAGGTCTTGAATGGGGGCGAGGACTTGCCGCCTGGGGCGTTTCGTACTGGAGGGGAGGCATCGTGGATTCGGATTCTGGTTGAGGAGGTAGAGGGGGGCGTCTTGGGGCGAGAGGAGCTCGAGGGGTTCCTGGAGGTTACGATGAGGTCAGTGGATGAGCTGGTGGAGGGGCTGAGCTGCGCATTCGACACGTACAGGTTATCGAACTTGAGCATGTCGGCATGGGAGTATGATGCGCCGACCACCAGGCCGGACCCATGACCCCCAGGTGCGGTAACACTCCTCTGAGGCGTCGTGTTGTCTCGCGGAGGCGGTCTCCAGAAAGGCGATGCGGAACTAGACGAGATGCTTCAGCGCGGGGTTTCACCGAGTGGGCGACGAGGACACAACGTACTCTGATCGATCTGATAGACGACAATTGGACTTCGGTCAGCAAAACTCGGCTTCAACGCGAACCACTTTCAACGGGCAACTCGTCTCAACTGCCCAGGACGGGATATATCCCACGTACCAACTTGGACCATCTCCTGCGGCGGTGGGGCTGTTAGCATGATGGTCGAGTACTGCGAGTCAAGACGGGTCTCGTGAGCAAGACCGCTGGGGCTCGGGGACCTACCGACTGCGCGGGCTTCTTGCCGCTTCCCGAGGACGGCCACATTGTGTTCGCAGAGGGGCCGGCTTCACATACTGCGGGCGACGTTGGTGATGGGGGCAAGTTTCGGGCTGGGGGGCGGGTTGACAGAGAGCCTCAGACGGCTTTCGACGGCAACTGGGAGGCTTTGTTGGGGCTTAGGCGGCGATCTCCTGCTAACAATGGCTATAGCGTAAGGTTTCGGCCGCGGTGGCTAGGCGGGTGCGTAGGCGGGTGCACCGCTGTGAGCGGGTGCACCGCTGTGAACATCACCGCTGTACGTAGTGCTATTACAGCGGGGTTCCAGCGGGAAAGCCCGCTATGGCCCAGTGTTCCAAGTGCAATATCAGGGCACGCGCACGGTGGCCCAAGAGGTAGCAAACCGCGCCACGGAGACAGCTCCCGGCGGGGCACCTGTTGGACTTGCGCCGCCTCCTCATTGGTGCAACTCGAGCTTAGTCATTTCTCTAACTTCGCGAGGGAAAGGCGTGAAAACATCCCTCCAAGACTTCCTCTTCTCGGTTTGCGCAGTCCCTACCTATCTTCGCCATTTCACCATCTCCATTCTGCGCCATCCATTTCATCTTTTCTGTCTTTTCCAACCCGCGGTTTCTTGTCGCCGAGACCCAGTGATTGTGCCTGGGATAACTGCGCAGTGCGTGCCGCAGCACCCGGACCGCGTCTCCTTGGAACCAGGACAAATCCCAGGAAAAACCCCAGGACCCAACCTTCATCATGACGGAGCCGGAGAACTTTGAGGAGGACCTCTTTGCCGACCTGTAAGATATCTTCGAGAATGAGCCGTTCCCCGACTCGCACGCGTCAAACCATTTGCTGACGCCTGGCCCCTACAGTTACGAGGACAACGATGCTTCCAAGGCCGCGCCTCCCCCCAAGGCCGCAGCCCCAGCCATTCCGGAACCTCAACCCATCCACCCCGGCGCTAATGACCAGCCCGGGACGTCGTACGACCATGATATAGGAGGCGATGAAAACATGAATCAAGATCTGGACGATGATGACGATGATGTCGATTTCAACCTTGGTGGAGGAGGTATGAGTAACAGTATGAACCATGCTTCTGCTCCAGAAGACGTCCCGACGCCCCCTCCTTACGGGACGGTCCACAAGGCAAGTGCCAAAGAAGACGGGTAAGTTTCTGCCATTCCTACTAGATGTGAATTGTATCCCTCGAATCCCATACCCTAGCCCATGTGTTTTTACGTTTGCGCTGCTTGCTGGAAGCGCTGGGTCGTGATGGCAATCGACACGTGGCCATTTGTGAGTTGGTATTGTGTGCGGCATCGCCGAATTCTCGGAGCACTGGCTTGGCTGGAAGGATCGCGGTCAGGTTGAGAGGAGTGAGGTGTGGCAGACATGCCACCCGCGCGCCGACGAAACTCAGACGGAGGAGCCATGATCAACCGAAAAACATTGGATATGAGGGCCAAGAGCAAGAGCAAGAGCAGCGATCAGATGAGACAAGGTTTCGACGATCAGTCTGAGAGAACATCAAAGTAAGAGGAGGATACCAATATCTGAACTGAGAACTCTCACCCTGTGGATACTCCGATAAAGAATCAGCCGACCTAGTCAAGACGGGAGACACAACTCCCGGCTTCCATAGCCCAGAGTCGCAGAGATCTTAAAAGCCCGACGAGAATGGTAACAGTTCTCCGGTGGCTATAGCAAGATTTGCAGCGAATAGCGCGAGGCCAGTACCTAGCAAGAGAGACAGAGAGAAGAGTCAAGACGATAGCACAAGACGAAGAAATATTCGACCAAGCTGATCTGGCATCTCTCACTGCACTGTCTTCGCCATGTTACGCGCATCATGGTGCATTATCGTCGACTTCTCGCCCGCCCCTGCAACAGGCCTCCGGCGACAATCAACACCACATCCATCACCCCCGACAATGCTCATTTTGTGGAGGGACTTAGACATGTGGACTCTCTCTACCCACCGCCACCTGAATCTGGCTCGAGGACTTGCCCTTTTGGTCATCTACCAGTCTCTGCGGTCTGACGTATCGGAGAGGAGGAGAACCAACCGTTGTCGCCAAATTTGGTCATGCATCCTGCTGCGACCCGAGAAGCTTGTTGCGCGAGTTTGAAGCAACCTGCTCTCAGTGTGCGCGACAAATACCGCCGGCTTTGCCCTCAGCCTGACTGCGACATTACCTGCAGCAAGCCACCAACCATGCCACCCACCCCTGGGATCCCAGCGCTCTGCCACAATCTGCATCTTCCCGCTGTTTCCAAGTTGCTCTCATGCTGCTCACTCTGTTTAAGCGCTGTTAATTATGACTGGAAGTTTAATGCTAATTTGTTGATACAGTAAAATGTTTATTGGCGGCCTGAACTGGGAAACTACCGATCGTAAGTTGCGAAAGCTGTGTCCAACCAGATTACGTCCTAACCATGGCAGAATCCCTACGCGACTACTTTTCCCAATTTGGCGAGGTCGTCGAGTGCACCGTCATGCGAGACAACAGCACTGGAAGGTCACGAGGCTTTGGCTTCCTTACTTTCAAGGACGCTAAGACGGTCAATATTGTCATGGTCAAGGAGCACTTCCTTGATGGCAAGATTGTGAGTTGGATCCCGTTTTGGTAATAGTTTTCATCGATGCTGATACTCCTCTAGATCGACCCCAAACGAGCCATCCCTCGTGATGAGCAAGAGAAGACCAGCAAGATTTTTGTTGGTGGCGTTAGCCAAGAGACCACGGATCAAGAGTTCAAGGACTACTTTGCTCAATTCGGCCGGGTGGTCGATGCCACTCTGATGATGGACAAGGATACCGGCCGACCACGAGGATTTGGGTTCGTCACCTTTGAGAGTGAGGCTGGCGTCGACGCCTGCATCAACGTGCCCCTTGAGATCCACGGCAAGCCCATCGAGGTCAAGAAGGCACAACCTAGAGGTAACCTTCGAGAGGAGGAAGAGGCTTCGAGGCGCGGGAAGTTTAGAAAGGGCGATGAGCAGTCGACCCAGAACTCCATGGGCCAGCAGATGGCCGGCAACAATGGCATGACGCCCCAGGTCATGGCTCAGTACTTCCAGCGGATGCAGCAGTACTTCGCCGTGATGCAGTCCCAGATGGCCATGAGCCGGGGCATGCCCATGAACCCAGCCATGTGGCAGAATATGATGCAGATGCAGCAAATGCAGCAGATGATGGGACGAGGCGGTGCTGGTGCCAATGGCCAGAACATGACGCCCCAGATGATGCAACAAATGCAGCAGATGCAACAGATGCAACAGCAGATGATGCAACAACAGGGTCAACAGGGCGACCAAGGCAACGCCGCCGGTGGTGGTGGAGGCGGCGGCGGCCGAGGTTTTAACAACTACGACCAGTATCAACAGCAGCCCCAGGGTCGCCGAGGCGGTCGAGGCGGCGGCGGCGGAGGTTACGGGGGTCAGGGAGGATACGGCATGGGCGGAGGCGGAGGTAACGGAGGCGGGGCCGGAGGTGGCGGCGGAGCTCCGACCTCGTGGGAGGGCATGTATGATGACGTTCCCCAACCCAACCCCAGCCAGGGCTCCGGGAGCTTTCGAGGTAGTGCCCAGGGCTCTCCCGATCCGCAACACGCACCTCCGGCCAACGCGCCTACCGGACCCAAGAACGCCGGCAAGCCGGGCGCCAACTACCGCGGCGGCGGCCGTGGAGGCAGCCGTGGCTTCCACCCCTACTCCCGATAAGCGCGGCGGCCATGGAAACGACAACGCCGCTGAATTTGCGCGCGTGATGGAGGCGCTGGCGGCTTACACGTCGCCCCCCAGGTCCTTGCAGAGGACGAACGGCTTCGCTCATGAGGGGTGACGCGAAGGACGGAGGGCGGAGGGAAACAGGCACTTCTGTATTACTACTTACTGCAATCGGCACTTTCTCTATTTGGCACCTTTGGCTCTTTGTTTTTGCCAGGCCCAGGGCTTCGGGTCTTCTTGCTACGGCCGGCTTGGGCAGGCATGCACGGGAGGGGGAGAAAGGGGCAGCAAAAAGCGGCGCGGGTGCGAAGCGCTTAGGGGTTGGGAAGCGAAGTAATTTGAGCAATCCGATTCAGACCATAAATATTACTTGCGGTATTTACCACCTTGGCGTCACATGTGCATCGCGTGTAGGAACTTGTAGTGTAGGACAATATTATTATATGGTTGGACAAACTAGGTTGGGAACAGTACTCCTGCCTGTGCCTCTTCAGCTAGTGGTCTCAAACCGTGCTGTTATACATCTCTTATACACATTCGCATCTTTTGCTTTCAAATATATACACGCAATAGGGGGAACAAAAACAAGCTCGCACCCCTTAGCAAGTATCAGAGAAGGTGTCGGCGACGCAGTACGTGCCGTCGGGGCCCTCGCTGAGCTTGGTGGGCTCATCGCCGGTGTCGTTGCCGGTGTAGAGGGTGCAGCTCTCGCCGCTGTCCTGGCAGGAGTTGGTGATGGTGCAGGTGTCGCCGTAGTTGGTGTTTATGCCGCAGAGCGGGCCACCGTCGACGGCCGCGACGTTGTCGATGACGAAGTTGCGGGGGCCGGTATTGCCGTCGCAGTTACCGCAGCTACGGGCTAGCTTGCCGTAGTCCTCGACGTAGAAGTTGGAGATCTCGACTGTGCCCTTGCCGTTGAACTGAACAACCTTGTCGGAGGCGTGGAACGCGCCGCCGCCAATGATCTGAGAGGTGCCTGACTCCTGAAGGAACGTGACGGCGTCCTCGCAGACATCCTCCCACCATACGTTGATCAGGGTGCAAGTACCCTGGCAGTGGACACCCTCAGCCTGGCCGGCGCCGATGATGACATTCTTGAGGGTAGCACCGTCCTCGAGGATGAACATGGCGTCGTCCTCACCGGTCTCCGTCTGGTCTTGACAGACAGAAGCTGCATTCAGGGTTAGTTGATGCGGAATGGAGAGGAGGAGGGATTATCTTACGTGATCGATCGTAGTTGTACATCTCACCGTCGAAGGTGCCGCTCACGACGATGGCAGTGGAAGAGGCAACGGCACCGCTTGAGGCAGGCAGAGTGCGAGTGATTCCAGTAGGAGTGGCATCACTGTCAGAGCTTCCATTGCCAGTGCTGGGAGTGGAAGAGGCAGCCGGGGTGGTGACGACGGTCTCATCATCATTGCTCGAGTTGGTCTCGACGGGGGTGCTGCTGTCATCGGTCTCGGTCTCGTCGTCGTCATCCACAGAAGAGCTGGGGGACTCAGTGGCCTGGCCGCCGTTGCCAAAGTCAGGGGCGCTTATAGCACCGCCATTGCCAAAGGCAGGAGTTTCTGCAGCACTGCTATCGGTGCTGGGAACACACTGACTGTACCAATCATTGATAACAGTGCAGGTCGAGTCGGAGGGACACTCGGTGTCACCATTGTAGAGGCTACCGCCACACTGGGAGAAGAGCTCGACAGAGGCGAGGGCAACGGCACCAGCGTTGGCAAGAGCAAAAAGTTGTGCGGTTCTCATCTTGACGAGCAGGTATTAACGAAGGCTGAAAGTAAAGATGGCGATATGCAGAGAATAAACGAAAGAATTGCGGGCCTGCCCGGGTATAGAGAGAATCAAAGAAGGTTGCAAAGAAGGTCGTAGAGAGAGTAGAATCGGTATTTGCCCTGAGGAAAGCCATTTCTTATATCTAAAAAACCTATACCCGGGCGAACCACCTTCTCCTCGAGGAACGCGTACGCACACACATGGCTCCTGGGCAGGGCCGCCATCAAGTCGAGGAATACCCCGGAAAGAATGGCTGAAACGGCTATCCTAGCAACGGTAAACGGTGATGATCGGGGTAGTATCCAATGGGGGCGTTCTAGTGAGTTCACCCGACTCCGTTCGATCAGTCGATGATGGATCCAACTTCAATGATCTCCAGGTGCCATCCCATCTTGGCTCGAGCTTGTTTGAAGTCCTCGTCACATAGACGCCGCGATTGGCGGATTATTCCAGACCCATGAGCTCTCAAAAGCTGGTCAAGGGGCTGTGACCTGGGTGGATGAAACAACAGGAGAGCTTTGGGTCCATCTTGCACGGTACATAGTTAAGCTCGGCGTTTAACCTTCTCCAGTTCATTTGTAGCCCAGGCACGTTACGTAGTTGCGAATCATGCGGGGAGAATGTTCTACGTTTCGATGCCGAAATCCGATCGCGCTTGGTATGTAATACGAGGATGATGGCTACCGAGCCGCTGCCCTTGTTGCTGCTGTACGCGCAGCATCGATACGATAACTACTGGTTTGCTTTCTCTCAACTTCAGAACTGAGTTAGGAGTGAAGCAGAGGAAAATGCCACATCTTCCCCCAATGAGTCGGTAGGCACCTGTTGTCGTATCCATGGGTTTCTTGGTAGTATGCGTGTTGGTTGACCTGAGACGTGAAGTGTTGCAGTCGGAGAAACAGTGGGACGTTGTCAACCGAAGACTGTAAACAGCCCGAAGAGGCGAAACGCGAGCGAGGATCTGGAAGGGAACAGCTCGTCGTGGTGCTAGACAGGGGAAACGACAGGGGACGCCAAGGAGGCATGGCAAGGGTCGCATGGGACGAAATGAGAAGATTCTATTCAACGGATTTTCGTATGCATAACTGGGATATTGGATCCACTCAGGGGCCGGTACTCGGCAGCCCAGCGTCAAGCCCGTAATAAGCTGTGGCTTTAGCCTTGGACGTTTGCCCGGAATAGGTCCTAGTCGAGAATAAGTGGTGTGACTCTGGCGGTTGACTCTGGCGGTCAGCAATCTTCACGTGAGGTATCATGTGCAAGTTGTCGCGCACGTGACGTTCACGTGACGATTTCCGACTCCTTTTCGGGTGGGTTGCAATGGTGACGCCATGATCCCAGTGTCGAGATTCAGGGACGTGCAGTCGGTGCCTCAAGCCGACAGCAGGAACCAGGTAGCAGGAGGCCCAGGGCCCAAGGCGTCGGTAAACCGCAAGAGACGCGATCGTGGAAGGGCGGAAAGCAAACACGAGAGCAATTGCCATCCCTGCTGCCGTGCTGCATTCTCGCTGAGGTGAGCTGCATCCATCGAGCGATGGCTCCTTTTCGTATGGAGCTGGACCACTTTTAAATTGGCATTTCTCGTCTCGTATGTAGTACGGGATACTTGGCCGGAGAGAGGCAATCATAGGAGCCGAAGCCACCTCATCCCACGTCACGTAGCACAGTCCACGATCTTCCATCCGCCAGCTTCCCTGTTTTCCCTCCCTCCCTGTCTCATCGTGTTCGCCACTATCCGAGAGGCCTCTTTCTCGCCGCCCGCCCAGTCCCAAGCAAAACCCCAGGTTTAGCAGGGATCTTGGCTCTCAGTCCAAACCGGAACCCGCCAGACCCGTTTTTTTTTTGGCGTCACTGGCCACGCTCACACGTTCTCTAATTAATTGCTGCTGCGCTCACTGAGTGACGGGCCGGACTTGACGGACTTCTCGACACGTACTTCCCTCGAGCATCTCAACCACCAGCTACAGCCGCCATGTCGTCGCCATCCGGATCCTCCCAAGGCGGGAAGCGCAAGAGAAGCTCCCTCAGCCAGGCCAATTCCTCCGCCGACCTGCTCGACAACGGCCTGCAGCCCTCATCGCGCGATGCTTCAGGCGAGGAGGGCGACACCACCGCCCCCGAGTCCAGTCGCCCTCACCATCGCAGCACCAATGGTGGCGGCCCGACCCCTAAGCGTCAGCGAGCCAACTCCGAACGGACCGTCGATGCCAAGTCCCACAACCTCGATCCCGGCGAGCCCAGCGATACCACCGAGGCCAGCATCGACATCGCCGCGCGTGTGGGCCGGAAAGGCCGCAAGCTCTCTATCAAGGAGCCGGAGGAGGAGGACATGACGGAGGCCATGCCGCCACCGCCCATTGGCAAGTTGACGCATCCCGTCGGCTTCACCACGAACCAGCCTCCCGTTGGGCGCCCCGTCCGGGTGTACGCTGACGGAGTCTTCGATCTCTTCCATCTTGGGTAAGTCTACTCCGTCTTCCGGGCCCGGGAGCCGGGAACCGGGAGCCTGTGTGACAGCGCACGCTCCCAAGGGATCTATTGCTAACAAGTCGCACAGTCACATGCGACAGCTCGAGCAAGCCAAGAAGGCATTCCCCGACACCACGCTCGTCGTCGGTGTCACGGGCGATTCGGAGACACACAAGCGGAAGGGCCTGACCGTCATGTCCCACCAGGAACGTGCTGAGACACTCCGGCACTGCAAGTGGGTTGATGAGGTTATTGAGGACTGCCCTTGGATTGTCACTCCCGAATTTCTCGAGAAGCACAAGCTCGACTACGTCGCGCACGACGACCTCCCCTACGGCGCTGACGAGGGCGACGACATCTACCAGCCTATTAAGCGGGAGGGCAAGTTCCTTGTCACCCAGCGAACAGAGGGCGTTAGCACAACGGGTCTTATCACAAGGTGAGCAAATCCCCCATGACACTGGGCCACTCTCAGGCACGGTAGCTGACTTGCAACGTAGAATCGTCCGCGACTACGAGAAATACATTGCCCGACAGTTCAGGCGAGGCACCTCCCGCCAGGAGCTCAACGTCAGCTGGCTCAAGAAGAACGAGATGGACCTCAGGCGCCATGTCCAGGATCTACGCGAGAACATCACGACCAATTGGTCCTCTACTGGCCAGGAGCTCAGCCGTGAGCTCCGGCAGTTCTGGCCCGCCAGCCGGCCTCCCAGCCGACCCGCAAGCCCCGCCCGGTTTAACAGCGCCGGGAGCGCCGACCTTTTGCGGTCCCCCACCACGCCGGGCGGCTCCAACACCAACTCCAAGGAGTTTATCGCTGGTTACGCCATGGGTCTTGTTGGTGGCGTGCGATCATGGGTATGCCTTTCCCCCATCCTCATGAACTCTAACCTTGGCTAACGGAAATGTCCAGATGACCAAGAGCCGAAGGACCGCCCAGGACAGCAGCCCCCCCAGCGACGATGATTCGGATGAGAGCGACGGCAACAGGAAGTCGTCAGAGGCTACACCAGCCGCGCCGACTCCTACCAAGGCATAGATAGACGGGGCTGAGAAGGCAAAATGGGGATGAAGAGAAAACCGGGGGGTCTCTCAAAAAGGAGGGAAATTGTCTTGGACTCGCAACGGATTTGGATTACATTGTTACGTGTTAACTGTGCTTTTTAATACATGGTCGGCCACAAGGCGTTACGGCTTTATCGGGGATGTGGTGCATGCTCTCGTCGAGCAAACTAACAATGAGCATGGCATCCACTCACAACTTGGAAGTATTTGTCTGGCGTCTAACGGTCAACTACTGCTTTGACCTCATACTAATCATGACACCCATCTCTTCCGTTTACTTGCACGTTGGTTGATTCGTTATTTTTAAGTGAAGTCAAAGCCGCAACCGCAGCATCAAGATGACCTGCCACAGGCTGGGGCTGCACCCTCCCGTTGCGACACGCGGAAGCGGAGATGCGGAGATTCGCAACTTGACATTCTGAGCGTCATGTTTGCGATTATGTCCAGCACGGCCGAGATCCGAGGCTTAGGAACGAATCAGTGACCACGTACCAAACCTAAAATTGTCCATCTCCGCTCCTTAGCATCAACGTGACACCTCAGGATGTCGTATTTGGTGGTGGAAGGATCAACAGTAACGGGCGGCGTGGAAGCTTTGGTGAGCTGACGTTACCATCTTAGCCTGGAAGTGTGCCTTGGGCTTAACCACGGTTTCACATATAGGCTCGCCACACCCCACACCAGCAGACAAGGCCGATTTCTCAGCTATTTTCCGCTTCCTGTCCGGTCGCATCGGATGCCACATGTCCCGGGAGGCGGGGGCTTAGACGATGCCATCGCCGCTGCCCTGGACTAGAACCGTCTGGAAAGGGAAGAAAAATGAACAAGATTTCCCCGGCCCCCACGATGCAGCCACGTGTGGCACAGGCTGACGAGCCACCGCGGCTTGGCGGACTTCCGTCGTGTGAACAGCCACCGGTGGAGGCTGGTTGCGCGTCTCCGGGCGGTTAGGCGGCTAGATGGGGATGTTGCGGAGGAGAGGAGATGGGTTGATTGCATTTGAATGTGGCGTGGACTGCTCCGCAGGCGGCATCGTAACTTTGGGCTATGCCGCGTCTAATTGCGAGTTGATGCGGAGTGCGCTTCACTGGCGGATTTGTAGAGTGACAGTTGGCTGAGAGAAGCCTTGTCCACGACCCTCCCAGCCACCAAGCCGGCCGCAAAGTCTCTACGATGCTAACTGGGGTTACAATACGATGATGATGTTTAGTCAATCCTCAATATTCTATTCTTGTAATTTTCTTATCCAGATTGTGTAGATGATTAGGCTGAGAGTTCCAAGGCGTGACCGAAGTTTTACGCCACAAGGTGGTAGAGCATCGTTGTCGTGTCAAGATTTGTAGACATGCATTATCCTTACGCCATTTGGAAACGAGAGTTACGCGGACTCATGCTTTCAGCACGGCATCTCCACAATATCCCGATCGCCAAATGCAAGAGGAACCAACAGCTCCAGCTGGCATGCGGCATCCTTCAGCATCCTGACATAACCCCACAACCGATTAGATGATTTCGTAAGCTTGAGGCGGCAGGATGCCGTGTGCCATCTGGGCCTCTTTGAGACCGACATCCATGTCAGCTGGATCTGCAGGAGCCCAGCTCTGTGACCGATGGCACCCAAACGCTCAGGGAAGGGCCGCGGCCGGTGAAATGGCCAAGGCTGAACGGGGAGACTGCCAGAGACAGATACGAAATCCGGGACGGATATGCAGAGAGTTGCGTGTTGTAGGAAGGAAGACAATCCATGGTGTGTTGGCTGAGACTTTCTCAGCAGCAAGTCTCAGCTGCAGGTCTCAGCTGCACACCATATGGTGCTGTTTGTGTGCGAGTCCGAGTGCGTGAGTGTGTGGGAGATTACTATTCCGGACGGAATCTTCATTTGCTGTGTCGATCGCTTCCCAGGAGAGGCAGGCTATCGATGCAAACATGGTAATATCAGGCCAGGCCGCGGCCGCGTGGACCTGTCAGACGGGAAGGGGAAATGGAGCAGCAGACCTATTTCTGGCCGTGATGCTCCCTGGGGCAATCGATGCAGCTGCTGCCACACTGCCGGGACGCACGACAGACGCCATGTCGAATCTTGAACTGGATAGGCGAGCGGAGCGCCGGAATGGAACCTCCCAATTTGGAGGCGTGCCTGCTGTCGTGAGCAGAGGCAAGTCTGGGACGGAATGTACCGGGACGTGGGAGGATGTAAGGGGGATGGGGGTGAGAGTCAGCTAGGCCTTGTCATATGGCCGCATGGCAGAAGTCACGGGCTGGCATGTTGCAGGCGGCCGGGTTGGAAGGCCTCACGGCCGCAGCGAGCTGGTGGTTTAGGTTCTCTACTAAGGTTTTCCGTTTGTCAGTTGGACTGTTGGACTGTTGTCTCGTGGAGGTGGAGGTGATGGTGGAGATAGTGGTGGAGGTAGTGGTGGAGGTAGTGGTGGAGGTGGTGGAGGCTGGCGCCAAAAATAACCCATCATTAAGCGCTGATGCTGGTAACGGCTCGTTAGCGTGATGCGCCACGTCGTGGGAACCTATCCCAACCGTGATATCCCTGCAGGAGATGCACTCAATTGCAAATGTTTTCCACCAACAATGGCGTTGTGGGCGTTGTGGGCGTCGTGGGCGTGTTGTCTCCCCGCTCGTCGCAACTTGGAGCATCCCCACGCTGGGCCTGGTTGCGGTGGGACAATGGGCACGGAAGCCGGGCGTGCGAAATGTCGGCCCCGACAGCTGAGACACGTCCTAAGATGGATGCGGGAGGAGGGGAGGGTGTGGCGGCCGCGCGCGCAGGGATGGGCATGTTCAACATTGATACATGCGGGTTGCTTGCTTGCTTGTGCGTCGCAGTTGCAGTTGCATTTGCAGTTCAGCATCGACGCAGTACCGTATCCAGAAGGTCTTGGTAGTTGAACTGTTCCAGCCGCACGAGGCAGCGTCAAACAAAGATTCCAACCCGCGGGCGTCGCTGTATTTGTCAATGCATGTTGAGTGAGCGAGAGAGAGAGAGAGAGTGTGTGTGTGTGCATGGTGTGAGTGCGTTGGTGTGCGTAGCCCGTCCCGTGTCTTGTGTGTCCATGTGTCCATATGTTCTCTCCATCCATCCAGCCATCAAAAACGCGAATTTCCGTTTCGGGCCAAAGCGGGGCGTCTCCCAGGACCTAAATCAGGACCCAAACCATGGGACGGTCCGCCGTCCGGTGTGTCGGCTACCCACTCACGACAGGACAATGCGCCCTCAAGCGCTCCCGAGTCCACGGTCCAAGGGTCACTGGCCCCCAAGCCCGAGCGGCTGCAGAGGCGGGTTCGGCAAGGCATCATGGACATGGACATGGAGTCTCCAGCACCCCGGGGCCAGTATCGAAGTAGAGAGCCCCCCTCGTTGCGTCTTCTGGGACTGCACGCTGTTGGTTCTTGGTTCTGCGAAACCCCGTGAGACGGTTTGCCGAGCCTGCAGCGATCGATGACGGGCTGATGACCGAGCCCTGGGACCGTCAAGTCACTTGGTTCAAGCGGAAATCAGATGGCCTGGCCAAGCACCAACGAATGATAGTAAAAATAGGACGGGAGGGTCAGCACAGCCAATGGAAGGCTTGGAGGCGCCTCTGGAGACTCAGCCCCAATCTCCCCCACTATCTTACTCTGTCTTAGCCTCCAAGCCCTAGCGGCTAACGGTACCTAGCGGGAGGTTTCCCATGCGTGGACGCTGGGGGCACGCGCTGCGGCGCACCTCCTTGGGCTCTGGAGATCCTTGTCGTGGACGCTAGCAGTCCTCCCAACAGCACTGGAGACATCTTTTGGAGCCGTGATTGGCGTTGCTGGGCGGCTCTGGATGCAGTTGGGAATACCTCTGGAGTGCATACGTACAGCTTTTGATCCAGTATGGTGTTCCCGTCTCCCGTCCTGCAATGTCGGTCAGAATGGCCCTTGTCATTAGAAGATGCCACAATATGGAGACGCGATGGAGGATGGGCCTGGGTAGCATCCAGGCTCGCCTCACAGGGCACTCACAAGTGGAGAGTGGAGAGACAATGGGGACATGGATGTCTAAAGATGGACTCGACAGGGGCCATCCCTGAAGGATCGCGGCAAACGAGCACACGCCTCCGGAGCTGACTTACAGGCGCCGAGTGTGCTCCGAGCCGTGCTCCGTGGTGCAAGCAGAATTGCAGAATTGAACCCTCTCGCCGTTGAGCCAGACAGCGGACGCAGCACACTGTGCAACAGCGTAACAGTCAGACGCGGGGCACTTGCGGAAGACTAAGTCAAGGAAGACTAAGTCAAGGAGCACCTTAGCTCAAGGCACAGCGCATGGGACTCCTCGTTGTGGGCGAGGTCCCTAAGGTAGGAAATAAGCCTAGCATCGGCCGGGAGTCTTCATTCCCGTCTTGTCTACGGCTCCGCCACCCGTTGCAAGCCTCTTTGGCCATGGCCGCCCATACAACGGCCTAGACAATGCATCCTCGTCGCCATCACATCGCCATCACATCGCCGCCAAGATCGGCTCGGGAACAGCCACCAACAGACGCGCTGACGCCATACCCGCCGCGCTGTTACCGTCACCACCCTCCCCATCGTCGTCGTTCTCACACGCATCGTCAGTTCGACCACAGCAGCAGCAGCAGCAGCAGCAGCAGCCAGAGCCAGGGCGTGATCCCCACCGGCCCATTTGTCCAATGCCCACGCCCACGCTCACGCTCACGCTGCCGCCCTCTCGTCACCACCACCACCACCACAACCACTGACGTTGCGAGCCCGCCCTCCCACCAACAGCCAGCAGAGTCCCAACTCGGGGTGTCTTGCCTCGCGCTTGCGGCAATCAATGAGATCGTAGCGGCCCTTTGCTTTTTTGCACAAGACGACGGCGTTCTAATTATGGAGATGGATGCGTTTGGTTTGTCACAGTACAGGGTCGTCACTCATGGTCGTTCTCGCTGACAAGCCAGCCACCTTTGCGACGGTACGGAGTACACCACCCCGTGCTCCCTCTCCGGGCGGGCAATCACCCAGAGAGCAACGGGCAGTGATGAAGGCGCCTGTTTGCCACAGCCGAAGCCCATTCTTTGCCGCCCAGGCGCCCCGGACCAGGTACCGTTCCTTGGGGGCTTGGACGGCTGCGGCGTGGTGGTTCCCGCCTCTATTCCTGCGGGTGTGAGCGGATGTTCTAGCATCCGACAGGGGATGACGGCGCGCGCGCGCAAACCAAAAGGAGCCCCAGGAGCCCCAGGAGCCCCAGGAGTCCCAGCAGCTCGAGAGGACGAATAACCAGGTCGCTGACAATGGCACTGAACGGCCGCGCCAAGTACCTTGCATCTGGCACGGCCCATGCCCACACCACCCATGCAACCATCACCAGGCTGGCCGAATCCTCGCCTACACCCTGGGCGCGCTCCCTGGCCCAGTACCTGCGCCCCAGGCTCAGCTGGCAGGGTTGTCGGCGGCCCTGGGTTGGCTTGGGTTGGGTTGATGGGATGGGATGGACGCCATGGGCAAGGAACGGCATCTCTCCTCCCTTGCGCTCTCACGCCCTCACGCCCTCACGCCCTCGCGCATCCTCACGCGCGCCTTTGCAGTTTTTGCGGTTGCCGGCTTCTCGGCCGTCCTTGACCACCTCACCTCACCTCACCTCCTCCTCCTCCTCCTCCTCCTCCTCCTCCATGTACCTACCTACCTACCCAGCAATGCCTCCCTCGGCTGCCCTCTTTGCTCCTATCTCTGTAGCCCAAACATCCCTGGCCTAGCCCTATTCCGCTCTTGCAGATACATGCCCCGTCCCGCTTGCATCTCCCACCCACGTTTCGTTCGAGGAGGCTGAGATCGTCCAAGCTTCCCACTCCAGACCAGGCCCCCTCCAGATCCATCACCCGCCTCCCGCCTCCCGCCCAAGCCCACACCCACTCTCTCACTCACACTCCTCGCTTTCCGGGGTTCCCTTTCTACGCTGACTCCCCCCACTTGTTCTTCCGTTCCTCTTCCATCCTCTCATCGCCTGCCCTCATCTACATACATGATCTAAACTTGTCACTATCTGCCGAGGATCGTTCAGCCTCCTAGGGGGCTGTGTATTACTAAGTTTGGTTGTCTTCTTGCCTTTCTCATCCATCCAAGTTGCCTCTTTAACTAGCCCATCCGTTGTTCAAAACTCGGCCATGGCTAGCCTCAAGAATATCATGAACACTGAAGACGACCACGTCGACTCTCCATCTGGTCCAATACCTCACGACTCGGATCCAAGGCAACCCTTGCGCTCCGACTCATCGGCCTCCGCCTCGACATATCCCACCACCAGAGACCGGCCTGCATCTACCGCTTCATATAACAGCATGCTGGACCCGACTAGACACTCGAGATTCATCATCGCCGAAACCTCGTCGTCCTCCTCTTCAGCCGGCACCATCTCTGCTCGCCGCCGCAGCAACGCAAGCATCGACTCGACCGAATCGCCCTACGGTCCTGGCTACTCAATTCCACCCTCAAACTCTCCCATGAGGCCCTTCCCGACAAACATGGGCGGATCCGAGCCACGGGTCAAACTGACCCCCATCACCAGGAAGATTAGCAAGGCGAAGAAGGGTGTCCCTGTTCACAACTGCGACCAATGCCCCAAGGTATGATGCCTCTTTCCCGGCCGTCACCAACACACGTCCTGATAACCACCGCCGCAGACGTTTACTCGAGCAGAGCACTTACGGTTTGTTTCACTCCATGAAAGTATAACACGAAACCTCTAACCAACTCGATATAGGCGACATCAACTGAGTCATGCGGCGCCCGATCTCCGTTGCCACGTTCCCAACTGTGGCAAGACCTTCTTCCGCAAGGACTTGCTCGATCGTCATGTGCAGAGACAGTATGTTGGTCTCGATACAGAGGAATATTTTCTGGGCATGACAACCCCAAGGCTAACACGAACGACACAGTGAGCAGGATGACAACCCCAAGGACTCGAAATCTTCGTCGAGACGCCGCAGCTCCAAGGGCTCCAATCACCCATATCCCCCGTCAGGACTCCAGATGCCAGAAGCATTCGCAGGTCACCGGCCTAACCCTAGCGGCGACCTACCTGTGACGCCTGGCATGACCCCTGGAAACTGGCAGGCAATGGCCACTGTCCCCAACACGGGCCAGAACCACACCCCGTCTCCACATATAATGGATAGTAACGATGACTATCCTATGGGGAATGTTTCTAAGGACTATATTCTTGATACACCAATGTCCAACCTGCAAACGACAGCGGAAAGCTTCATGCCGGGACTCTATTCGCAACCGCGAGATATGCCGGAGCTCCCTCTGCTCTTCATCCCCGACAATGCACCGGCTGCCCCTTCCTGGCAGGACAACCAGACCATGCCATCATCCGCCTCCGAGAGCACCTACTCAACGCCTTCGGATAACTCACGCCGCCACCGATTCCCTGTCCGTACCTCGAGTGGTGACTGGAATACCCACGCACCGTACCAAGCCGCCACCAACGAGACTCGGAGCACCGGCTTGGATACCGGCGGATATCTCCCTTTTACATACTCCGCCTCGCCACCAATGTATCAACAACTCTATGGTGACAGTATGGGCCTTCCTTTGCCAGGGTATGAAGACAGCACCTTGATATTTGACCCTGATCAAATTCAAGTCACCACTGTTCGTAGCCTGTCCCCCCAAATGGCCGTGGCTCAATCATCTGAGACTTTAGTCACCTTTCCGTCTGCCCCGACATCAGACCACATCCTCAACGGTAACATATGCGGCCGTCCACCAGCAGAGGGGCTTGGTATTCTAGACGCCAGAGAAATGATGCCGGTGTCATTGACCCGCGACATACGAGACATGGTACCCACCTACCTCAACGTCTATTGGGACAAAGTTCATCCCTTGTATCCAATCGTCCACAAACCGTCGTTCGAAAACGTGTCCGGAGCCGCGGAAGAGCATGCGGACGTGCGTCGATGCGCCATGGCGGCCATAGCCACTCAATTTCTTGCTGACAAGGACCACCGCATGAAGGGAGCACAACTCCATGCATATGCGTGGTACAAGTCCAAGGTGGTGAGTTGATCCGTACTTCAACCTACATGCTCAGCGCTGAACATATTTTCCTAGTTCACCCAATTGGATGAGTGGTCCTTGCCCGTCAAGCAAACAGTTCTCTTATGCGAGTACTACGCTCGGTTTAGAGGGAGGAGAAAGGAATCCTACAAGCCATCGTCTCGATTTGGCTTACTCTACCAAAGGGTTAGTGGGCCGTGATCTCTCTTTTGTCATCTCGACTTCCGTTTCCTTTCTGTCTCTGTTCCTGTTGTCGACTTTTCTCTCCTCTCTCTTCTTCTTCTCTTCTCTTTCTTTCTCACCTTCTCTTTATTTTTACACTTTTTCTTTTCTTTATATTCTTCTTGTAAATATTGAGTGCGCCACCGAAGATTCCCCTGCTCAACTCCCTTACAGGTTTTCAACAGCCAGAATGCCTTTGTGCCGATCCCTGCAGAGCATGAAGCCATGCAGCAATGGGCTGTGTGGATCGACATGGAAACGCGACGGCGACTTCTGGCGGCCTGCTTTCTCCTGGATGTCCACTGCGCGCGCTATCACGAACAGCGGCATATGTCAGTGGCTGGGTTAGATTACTCGTTCCCCCGCAGGCTTCCCATACCATTGTCGTCCAGCACCGCACCACTCTGGGAGGCATCCACATTCCAGGATTGGAGTGTGCTTCGAACAACAAGCAATCCGACGATGCTAAGGGATCTAAACCTAGATGCATTGACTTCTTCGGATATTGCCTCGGCACCTCCCTTTGATGGGGCAATCTTGCTCTCGGCATATGTTCTGTATCTTCCTGGCCGTCACACCCTCACGCAGCCTGAGATTGTAGAAGATGCTGCTACGGCCCAAATAGAGGGCATTCTCGCCAGGCTCTTCCCTACCTCGGCAATTGCCAATACCTACATGGCCCTGCACTACACCCCTCTCCGCTATCTCCTGTCAGTATCTGGAGATAGCTGGGTGTTCAATGAGAAAGTCACCGAGGCGAAATCCTTTAGTCAACACCAGGATCGACTAGACCAGTGGCGGAAATCCGGCAGCGCGGCCATTGCGACTGTTTTCGCTGCTCGAGCTCTCAAGGCATTCCTCGGTCTGGACTCTGGGCCGGAGGGGTCAGGTGACGGGGTTGGCAAACCCCAACGGAGACAATGTGCATTTTGGAAGGACATCTCAGACTACTGGGGTGTTTATGTTTGTGCTCTGATCTGCTGGGCCTTTGGCGACATCGGAAAGCGGAGCCAGGCTACCGGACCGGCTGCTCAAAAGGCAGCCATGCAATGGATTATGACTGTTTCCGAGATGGATCCTCCTGAAGTTCAAAACCTGTCTGATAGACACGGAGCGTACGAGGTGGTGAGCCTCGCACGTGCAGAACTGGCAGCTGATTGTCTTGGAGGACGAAACATTTTGTTTGCTGATGCAGCGGGGGTGCTCGAAAAGTTGGAGCATGGAGACAATTGGAAATGGTTTTAGGATTTGGGGTTTTTATAGAGGAGGATATTTTTTTTCCTTTCTTCGTCTTTTCTTCTTCTCTTCTTCACAAAGACATGGGGGTTTGGTGGACAGCAGAATGCTGTTATTGGGACTGATTTATGGCATAGCATGGCATTGTTTTGGTATTGATTACGGCATCTGGGAGTTAAGGATTGACGATAAATGAGGATAACGAAGGGGGATTGCACGCATAGGGATTCTTGTTATACTGAGCAGGGTGTATAGTTTGCCATTTGACATTTTGGGCGGCGATAGACTTAGAGTCGCATCAAGCATAAGAAAAAGCGTGTTGATAAAGACGTCGATTATGGCAATGCGAGACATGTTCGAGATTAAGTGATCGGGTGGGGGGTTTACGAAGAGATAAGGCATGTCTGAGTTGGAACGGGAGGAGTGGCAGCGTCTGTTGTATGTCTCAGGAGGTGGCGGCACGCTCATAGTAGAGATGGTGTACTTGGTGGGCAGCTGACAGGTGCGTGATTAAATGATGCAGTCGCTTGGAGAAGGGCTTTTTGTTTCTCAATGAGACGGATTGACGCCACGGTTGCGTCAAGTCGATGAAGAGCTTGGTTGGATGGACTAGGTGGTATGTGGCGCTGTCTGAGGCGGGTAAGCAAAAGATGGGGTTTTTTGTCCATTCCAGGTGACGTCGGGGTGACCTTGTAGCGCGTGTTGTGGTTTTGACTGGACAGGTTGGAGCGCTGGCTGTATGAATAGTGTACTGTGTACTCCTTGGTTGAGTTGTGGTGAATCTGAGGCTACTTGTGGTGTGGTGGTGGGTGCTGCAGTTGGTCATGCATGCGTTGGTGATGTTTCACAGGTACGGTTCCTTATTGGAAGAACTCATGATGGTTGGGATGGCCAACAAAGGATCACTGGGTGTGTTTCAGTAGGTACCCAGGTAGGTAATTAGAGAGGAAGAATGGCGGCTTTGTGTTGGGTGTGTTGGTTGATGCCATGTACTTGGTTGGACCTGGGCGACAGCGGTGGGGAGTGGAAGACGGGAGGAAAATGAGAGGAAAATGAGAGGAAAATGAGAGGAAGAGCGGTGACGAAATAACGAGGGCGAATTCGCGACGAGAGACAGGCCAACGACAAATGACCCATGTTGAGATGGGATTTGCAGCCCACTCCGGTTCCCAACGTTGCGGGCCCCAAAGTCCCGTTTTGGTTCCCGGTGCTTCAACTCCCCGAAAGAGCCGAGTGGACAAAGACCGCTTAAAGACCGCTTGAAGACCGCTTGGGGGAGGCGGTTCCGGAGAAGCGGCACGGGATAAATGTGGGATCTTCATACTACGAGGGAAACCAGCGCCCGAACAGGCGCAGAAGCAGACGCTCAACTGTCCAAAGCGTGCGAGGATCCGGGGCAGAATTCCACGACGAGCAGAGGCTGGCACGGGGGCGGGGCTGCGGGTTATTATGCCTCAGCAGGGGGAGGGCCCCCCGTAGGTTCGCAGGTTCGTCACTGATAGGTACTTGTGTTCGTTTGCGTGGTATCGGCTCGGGGCTTTTCAGCGAGTAAACGAGTAAAGAATACATTTCCTCTACTCAGTTATGTGTTGCTTCTGCGTGTTTCTTTCACGTGAAGGAGGGGGGTTGGAGGATTTCGGTGCCCCGTGCGTGTCAGCTCAGGGCTCGGCGGCGTGTGAGTGGCATGCACCGGCCGTGAATTAGCATCAGCGCTGACGCGAGTGGCCTGCAGTCGCAGTGGACTCCCAGTGGTTCCAGTGGTTCCAGTGGTTCCAATGGTTCCCATTTGGTTCCAGTGGGCTTCAGCTGCAGAACCCCCAGAGCAGTAGCGCAGCCATCCAGCGTCCATCCCAACAGAGTATCCATGCCAGAACCAGCTAGGGCTCATAAAGGGCAATTTGCGGTTTGCAGCGAGACACGCATGAAGGCGAACAATGGGATTTCCAGGACCATGGCACGGCAAAGCCAGGCTCGTAAAAGACGACAAGACGCACCAGCGGCCAGAACCACCCAGCGGTCCATCGGCACACTGGTGAGGTGACCTACACGTGTTCAACCTGGCTAAGTCGGCACCTAAGTTACCTACCTACCTAGGTACCTACGCAGGCTGGGTCCCCGTCCGAGACAAAAAGAACGCGAGAGGGGGACACAGAGAAAGTTGCGGTGCCGAGACGAATTACGAGACATTTGGCGAGATACGCCATGCCAGGCAAGGACGCCAGGCCAGACAAGGACAGGACTAAAGAACCTGACCGCACGTCGAGTTGTCGTTGCGGTGGCCAGGCCGTCTTGGTACCAAATCCAGACCGACCCTAACCCTCGCCGCCGGGTTCCTCGTCTTGTTCCTCGTCTCCTTCCCTTTCCTCTCGCCTGCTGCGAATACATTGTACTTGCTACTTGCTTCTCCTTTCCACCCCCCCTGTCCCTCGCCTCTTCTTACTTCTCCCTCTCTCTCTCTCTCGCTTTCGCTCTTAAACCTCCATCTTCCTCTCTGGTTTTCATCTCAACAATATTCAATCCACCCAGACGCTACCTCCAGTACGATCGACCAACCAGCCGACCAACCGACCGGATACGGATTTCGTCCCACACGACCACGGGCTCTCACAGCGCTGTCATCCGGAGGCTTGGAAGCTTGGCCGTGGCTTGGCCTTACGACTACATTATTACGCCCGATCCAATAAGACCAACGACAGCCAGGCGAATACTCAGAGCCAACGCCCCATCGACCGGTGCGGGTATTTTTTATTTTTTTTCCCCTTCTTTACATGTGCTTAGGACCTCTGGGTTTTTTGGAAGCAAGCCTAATAAAGAGGTGGGAAGCTGAAGCTGAAGGCGGGCCTGGACCTGGGAAGCTTGGAGCTTAAGGTGGACAAAAAGGGAGACCGCTTGTGCTTCCCTTCCCCCCCTGGCTTGGCTGGCTTGGCTGGCTTGGCTGGCGAATGCAACACCTCCGGACGGACACGGATACTCACCCACTCGAAACAAGGCGAAACCACGGCGACGAGACATACAAGGCCATACAGGACAAATAACACTCAGCACCGGTCACACACACAAAGGTAAGCCCGTCGATCCTTCATCCTCTGCTGCAGCCGCGTGTGTTGACCTGAGGTGGTTGCAGGGCGGCCGCTACGTCACTCACCCGCTTTTGGATCCCCGCGCTGCGTTCGCTCCAATCGCACGGCGCGATCCCGCCCGCTACCCACCCGGGACGTGCGTCGTCGTGTGCTACGTACCCGAACGGAGAGGGACGACCAGACCTCCTCTAAATTACAGGGCACTCGTGGCGGTCCAGACTACCTGGAGAGCCTCGCCCGGCGTCTCGAGCTGACCTTCCCAGCGGCTGAGGAGCCCCCGCCTTTTCTTCTGGCTGGCAAACAGGGAACATCCGCCCATCTGCTAAGCCCCTCCAGGCCTCTGACGCTCCCCCAGGGGAATCCTCCAGGGCTCCATCCATTCCTCCCCAGGCGCCGCATCGCCCACACCACCCACTCACCCCCCCCCCCCCCCCCCCCCCCAAATCGCCCGTCGATCGATGCCCAGCTCGCTCGCCCCTCCACTCAGCGGGTGAGCTGAGTACTATTAGCCCGTCATGGTGCGCATCATTCCCACCCGCCTCAAGTCGTCGTCGTCGACTTCTTCCTCTTCCACCATCGCCAACAGCAGAACAAACAGCCCCATGCGCTCCTCCAAGTCCGATACCAGCCCTTCGCGGGATGCGGGCAACGGCCTCACCTTGAAGGTCTCCATCATCAAGGTACCTCGCTCGCCTGCTTGCCCTGCCTTCCTCGTGCATGCATCCTCCATCCCCGCGTAATCGCCGTCTCGACAATTGCTCCAATTCCAACAGCGCCTGTTGCCCTCCCGCTCGCTCGCTCGCTCGCGACAGTTCCGTTCTGTCTATCGACCCGTCCTGCTCCACACACTTGTCTACGAGAACTCTTGACTGACAAACCTCCTTCTTGCTCAACAGGCCAGAAACCTCGCTGCCAAAGATCGCAATGGCACTTCAGACCCAGTAAGTGCTTGCTGTCCTCCCCCTCCAAATCCATGCCCCATCCCGCCCACATCCACATGTGCTCCCTCTCCAATCCAACGAGCTTCTCCTGACAATATCTCTTCTCCTCCTTCTAGTACATCGTTCTCTCCCTCGGCGATGCCCGTGTCACTACCCACACCCAGCCGAAGACGCTCAACCCCGAATGGAATGTCTCCCAAGAAATTGCCATCACTTCCGTCCAAAACCTAGTCCTTGACGTCATATGCTGGGACAAGGACCGCTTTGGCAAGGATTACCTCGGCGAGTTCGACCTGGCCCTCGAAGAGATCTTCCAGAACGAGAAGGCTGAGCAGGAACCCACCTGGTTCCCGCTCAAGAGCAAGCGCCCGGGGAAGAAGACGAGTGTCGTCTCCGGCGAGGTACAGTTGCAGTTCTGCCTCATCGACAACACCAACCCTTCCGCTACCGCCGAACATATCCTGGACAAGTTCTACAGCCTCGTTGGTTCCGTCCCCGTTGGCTCCTCTCGGAACATCACACCCTCTATGACGCCCAGTCTGGCCCCGACCACCGTCCCGCCGACCTCAGCCCCCACCTCCCAGGATCCCACCGGAGACGAGGACGACGATGACGACGATGACGACCTCGACGACGAAGAAGAGGATCCCTCCAAGCCTGAGACTGCCGAGAAGCGTAGGCGCCGCCTGCGCATTAAGGGTCTCAAGAAGAGGCGCCGCCGCAACCCGTATGCGTTCATGGGAAATGGCTCTGACGTTGTCGGCATCATCTTTCTCGAGATCGCCAAAATCACAGACCTTCCCCCTGAGTCCAACCTCACCCGTACCAGCTTCGACATGGACCCGTTCGTCGTGGCCTCCTTGGGCAAGAAGACTTACCGAACCCAGCGAGTCCGTCACAACCTCAACCCCGTCTTCAACGAGAAGATGCTGTTCCACGTTCAGGGCCATGAGCAGCAGTACTCCTTTGCATTCACAGTTATCGACCACGACAAGTACTCGGGCAACGATTTTATCGCCTCGTGTAACCTGCCCGTTCAGGAGATAATTGAGAAAGCGCCCAAGGCGAACCTGGAGACTGGCCTGTACGAAGTGCGAGTCCCGAACCCATCCACTCCGAAATCCCAAGCTCGTTTCAAGAAGCTCGGACTATCCCGTTCATCGTCTACGTCGAGCCTCAGCAAGATCATCCGCCCCCCGATCAGCAAGAACTCCTCCGCTTTGAGCACATCGACCATCGATCCAGCCCAGGCCACTGCCGTCAACCGCGGTTTGTTGACGCCCGTTGATGCCGCTGCCAACACTGGCTCTGAGGAGCCATCGGAAACTGAAGACCCCGACTTCAATGCATATGTCGTACCCTTAAAAATGAAGAATCTAGACAAGTGGGAGGACAAGCACAATCCCACTCTCTACCTCCGCGCCAAGTACATGCCGTACCCCGCGCTCCGACAGCAGTTCTGGCGGGCCATGCTACGTCAGTACGACGCCGACGAGAGCGGCAAGATTAGCCGCATAGAACTGACGACCATGCTCGAATCGCTGGGGTCGACACTCAGCGAAACTACCATTGACGGTTTCTTCAAGCGCTTCCCACACCAGGACAGTGACAATGATGACGTTTGGGAGCTCACCATGGATGAAACGGTCACCTGTCTGGAAGACGAGCTGGAGTCCAAGGGCCGGTCCTCCTCGGGAACTGTCGCCGACAAGCTCAAGAACATTGTTCCGGATATGAAAAACCTTCTTCACGTCCCTGCCAAGGGTACCGACACTGGTCCTACCAGCTCGACCAGCTCTAGCGTTCTGGACCTAGCAGCGCCTCCTGGTCTCCAAACCTCAACCTCGGCGATTAATGTTCCCGAGCTCGGCACACCCGATGATGAGGAAAGCGACCCTCTCGCTAAGGAAGATGAAGAGGATCGAAGCGATGAGCACGTGGTAGAGATCCGAGAGTGTCCCATTTGCCACCAGCCTCGCATGAACAAGCGCAAGGATGCTGACATTATCACGCACATTGCCACTTGTGCAAGCCAAGATTGGCGGCAGGTGAACAATGTCCTGGTTGGCGGTTTCGTGACGGCCAGCCAGGCTCAGCGGAAGTGGTACTCCAAGGTTATCACCAAGATCTCGTACGGCGGCTACAAGCTGGGTGCCAACTCGGCCAATATCCTCGTCCAGGATCGAATGACGGGCCAGATCAACGAAGAGAAGATGAGCGTCTACGTGCGATTGGGCATTCGTCTCCTCTACAAGGGCCTCAAGTCGCGAGATATGGAGAACAAGCGAAGTAAGTCTGATGTATCCTGCCGAGTGTTGCAGAGTAGCTGACAGAGAACCAGTTCGGAAGCTGCTCAAGAGCTTGAGTATCAAGCAGGGCAAGAAGTTTGATGACCCCGCGTCCAAGGAAGAGATTGAGAAGTTTATCGAGTTCCACGGACTGGACATGTCGGAGGTGCTTCTGCCGCTGGACGAGTTCAAGAACTTCAACGAGTTCTTCTACCGTGCCCTGAAGCCTGGAGCCCGCCCTTGTTCTGCCCCCGACAAGCCCCGGATCATTGTGTCGCCTGCCGACTGTCGAAGCGTCGTCTTCAACTCAATCACGCAGGCGACAAAGATCTGGGTCAAGGGTCGCGAGTTCAACATGAAGCGACTGCTCGGCGATGCGTACCCGGAGGACGTGTCACGATTCGAAGGAGGAGCTCTCGGCATCTTCCGATTGGCGCCGCAGGACTACCATCGGTTCCACATCCCTGTGGACGGTATCATGGGCAAGCCCAAGACAATAGAGGGCGAGTACTACACAGTCAACCCCATGGCGATTCGGTCGGCGCTCGACGTGTACGGCGAGAACGTGAGAGTTCTGGTGCCCATCGACAGCGAACAGCATGGTCACGTCATGGTGATTTGCGTGGGTGCCATGATGGTGGGCAGCACCGTCATCACGCGCAACGAGGGCGATCATGTCCGACGTGCGGAGGAGTTGGGCTACTTCAAGTTTGGCGGTAGCACGATTCTGCTCTTGTTTGAGCCCGGAAGAATGACGTTTGACAACGACCTCGTGGATAATGGTATCGAGGCTCTCGAGACTCTGGTAAGTCATGCTTGGGGTGACGTATGGTTCAAGATGAGAAGTATGGAGACGGCTAACGCTGGATGCAGGTCCGAGTGGGTATGTCGATCGGACACTCGCCCGAGGAGTCGCAGTGGATGCCCGATACGCTCACCAGCGGACAGGAGCTTACAGAGGCGGAGAAACGGGATGCCAAGCGACGAATCCAGGGCAATGTGGCTTTGCAAGACTCGCCAGATGGTAGTGGCGATGACCAGCCGAAGGCCCGGCCGACCAGCCAGCCTACCATCAACACCATGGCCGCGTCGGCGATGTAGAGAAGACGCCGGCGAGAGCGGAGGTGCAGGTGGAGGTGGAAACGAGAGTGGAGACGAGAGTGGAGATTAGGTCGACGGAGAGGATATTCAACATTGGCGACGATAGATGACGGCGGATAGACGAACGGAGGGGATCACCCTTTTGGATCAACGAGGGAAAAGGGTTGAACGGGGTTTCACTGACCTCCTCACTTGAATGAAGTACAGGATACTGACTGACCGACGCGATGGACAACAACGACGATGACGAGAAGAATGACGTAAACCCAAACAACAAAAAAAGGGAGTAAAATAGGAGGCGGATCGAAGAGCAACAACAGTTATGATACAAATGTCCCATGTAGCAGAGTATGTAAGTAGGTTCGTCAGCAGTGTAGGTGGGTAAGAACAAAGAGAGAAACAATGCGAGAAGCGACGAAGGCTTGATTTCTATTCTCGTTGGGTCGTTCTGCGTGCCGTACATTAGACATTAGGCTATTATGCAGAGAGTGCTCTAGTTTGTGGTCGATCTTGACATGCATGAGAGGGCGGGAGTCACATCTTGGCGTACAAGGGTAGCTGCGAGAGGATGAAAGAGGGAAGACGGGGGAGTTGGGTTGAGATGGAAGCCGATGTAGGAGGAGCGTCAAGACGAACGAGCAGGTAGGAATCATGACAATCCGTTCTGTCATGTCTCGACAGCATCATAACCCCACGCAAATGCGGAGGCGAGATGGATGCCCCATAGGTTATGGGTGGATGATTCGGAATGACGGTGGTCATGGGCGAGTTGCCGTGGTGCGCGTTGTGTCTGGATATACCGAAACGGATGCAGCAAGCGTCGGCGGAAGTAGCCCATTGTTATGGTCTTGTAGGAGCCGGACGACTAACGGCCTTCGACTAATGGCCTTCGACACGTTCCGATGATGAATAATTGAGGTTGCATGGTGTACGGACCGAGTACCGGTTTGATCACGAGGGCATGAATAAGCCTACATGTTTAAGCTGATAAGGTTGTTTGATGGGGGCTTCCCGAGTGGGAGCCTTGCAGCCTGAGGAGGAGTCGATATGGCAGCCTGAGAAGTTAGGACGACTCGACTTCAGACCTTAAACCTTGGAGCCTGAGAACCTACACCAGGAAGGAACTTGGACTTAGCAATCCGGGGTTCTAGATTCCATCTTGGGTTTGAGGCCTCTCCGGAGCTGAACTGGTTCGTCATTCCCAAAGTCAGCAAAAGCATACCTACATCCGAGCTGGAATCTTGCAGCTTACATTTGCACATTGATCCCGCTTACTGGAAGCACAGCAATGCTTACAAGGGCAAAAAACATCCCGCCTGCACCCACCCACAGGGGGCCACAGCACACCCACAGCACACGCGCGCGCGCACGCACGCAACAAGCTCCCAGCCCAATGCACCAGCCACAGCAGGGGCCCCTTGCAGCGAATGAAGACGCTCCGCCGCCCTCCTCCATCTCCTTTGGGGCCCGTCGCGGCGGGGTCCGGCCCAGCCCTGGCGTCGATGGGGGAGGGGCAGGACGGGCAGGATGGGCAGATGGTCACGCCACCTGGAGCTGGCAACGCGTGGGTGTGGGGAATGCAAAATGCTACAATGCTACGGTACTTCAGTACTTCAGTACAACTGTTCCGATGTGGCAGCGAGGTACGTATCCGAACTGCCAGATGAGATGCCGGCTCTGGATCAGAGATCAGAGATCAGAAATCACGGACGCATCGTTCGTTTGCGTGAAATATGGGTTTGGATTTCGGGTATCTAGATGTTTCCAAACGAGCAAGAGGGCAATAACAAAAGGCTGAAAACAATAGCACCGCATCTCTCTCTCCAGATCCTGCCAAGCAACGGAATCCTCAAGGTGGACTCTCCTCCCATAATGCCCACAACCCAAAAGGAAAGACTCCAACTGCGCCGAGTTTGTCATCGCAGCCGTCAAACTCCCAGACCAGGGTTTAAAGTGGCGAGGTGGGGCCTCGACCGCCGTTCTGGCCTTATGCCACTTCACACCGCGATGCCGTGATGGGGGCCTGGGTTTTGCATGAACCCCCACAGGTGTCTGGTTTCCCGTCGTGTCGTGTTTCGCAGTCGTCGACGGAGCCCCGATGACGTGGTGATTCGCGTCTGTTTTCTTTCCCTGGTGTTTCGTCTTTCTCGGCCCCCCCTTTCAATTTGCTTTGGGGTCTATGTGTGCATATTTGCTGATCGTGTTGGTATTGTTGCGCAGTCGAGTCATCGGAGGAGATGTTGACGTTGCCGAGTGAAGCCATGGGTGCCAAACCCCAGTTCATAATGTTGGTTCGTCCAGGGACCGTGTCGATGGTGAACTGCATGCATCCCTCCCCGGAAAATAAACACAAAAGCGACAAGAAATAATAAGATCCCATCCCAGATCGTGTGTCCAGCAAGTCATGTATACGCCGAGGCCGTTCCGATCCCAATTCTGCCCATTTCGTTGTCCTGTTTACAGCCAGAGAAGTCGATTTCTCCTCTGTCCCTCAGCTTGGAATAAAAAGTAAAAATAATGATGATGGTGATGTAGGAATTAAGTGAATCTTCACAAGCCCGTCGCCCCTCGGACAACGGGTCGTGAGTCGATGTCCAGCGTCCTCAATTAACGACGGCCGCTAGCATTCCAATCATCAGATGCTGTAGAAGACCTTCGCTCGGAGCGCTGGGCAGGAGGAGACGGGGAGCGGGAGAAGGGTCGCAAGGGAGAAGGCGAGGGCAGCGAGGTGGGCAGGGCGGGCTCGGGAGAAGGCTGTCGGGTCTGACGCCACGAGGCGTAAATCTGCTTGCAGAGGTGGGCGGACATGGTGTATGTGGGCGACATTTTGGTGGTGAGGAGTTGTTTGTATTTAGGATATAAAGATGTGATTCAAGGTAGAGAGGTCGACGGAGTCACAAGAGGTTGTGAGGTTGTCCCGGGGATGGCAGAGTGGTGTAAGTTGAGTTGATGCGGGAGGCAGGTTTCCAACAGTCGAGATTGATGGAGGAGAAAACGAGAATAAAAATCTCCAGCGAGATGAGAAGTATAAATAAGGTGTAGAAGACGAGATATGCGATAGATGCAAGGTGTGTAGGTCGGTTCGGGGAGGGAGAGCGGCAGATGGGGGGAGGGCGCCGGTTGGTATTTATTCCAGCCGCACAACCTCAGCTTGTCTGTCTTGCTTCGTACAAGCAGGCACGGCCAGCACGACAGGGCAAGCTAAGCCAACAGGTGCCTGGCCCAAACGTAAGTATATTGCTCGAAGGGGAAACGCCTCGAGCAGAACGGGAACCTTGTGCGTGGCTGCATGCTGTACCACAAGTACCAGCCCCAACGTTCGGTCGTTCTGGCGGCCAGTTCAGTGTCAGTCAGGCCGCAGGCAGTGGGCAGGCAGTGAGCAGGCGGCGGATGAGCGCCCCATACATCTGGAGGTACTGACAGAATGTACCCATCGCGGAGTGTCCACAGGAAAGTCCCAGCTAGGCGATGCTAGTCAATCATCGTCACGGGGGCTCCGCCGTCAGGTCTGGTCCAGTCATGGAGCTCCTCCCACACCGTCCCAGCGTCCCACTCCTCTGGCTCCGCTGGCCTTTCAGCAAGTCAGAGCCCGCCGGTGCCTCCCATTCCTACAACAGCCCAGAGTCGTATGTCACGGCCCGCCCACTCACCGGCCGGCATCGCAACCCATCAGTCCCCAACGGCCCAGGGTCCTAGAGGTTCCAGAGGGCCCTTGGCAGGAGAACCCGAGGGGAGCTGCCGGGGTGGCCAAAGGAGAGGGAGGGACCTTGCCAGCACTTTCCCAGGGCCCCTTTGTGTCGCCTTCAAGAGCCAATCTTCGAGCTCCGATTGTAAGAACCGCCCGACGGTCAGCAGGTGTGGCGGTGCGAAATCGTATGACTTGGGTCTTCTTCCAGCGTCTGTGTGTCCGAGTCTTTGTGGCGCACGGGAGGGAGGACGCTCCTCTCCTTCGTACACACGTACGCATTCCATCCAGGCCACACACAACCTCGGATTGGCGCCCCGGTGGGTCGGTTCGGCTCGGTCACAGAGGGCCCAGTGTTACATACAAAGAGTTGCCGCGATCGTCACGGAGCCACTTGAAGGACGTACCTCCATTCACGGTACATCGAGGGCATTGGTGCCGTACCGCACCGTCACGGAGCGGAGCGGCTTGGCCCACTGGCCACTGTCCCTGGCAGAAACTGGATCGACGACAACTTGCGAGATGGGGCATTCATTCCGTGGGGGGTGGTGATCTGTGCGACTTGTTGGCTTGTTGGCCGCGTGCCCTCTTACGCTGAGCAGAGGCCGAGAACCGGTGCTGGCACTGTTGGGAACCCTGAACTGACGGTTTGGTTTGGCTGGTTTCGAGAGCTGCGCGGCGATGCGACAGCAGGCCTTGGCGGCGTGGGGAGTCTTCCATCCGTCATCCATCAGTCGTCCGTCGGTGACGCCATCGCCGCGATCCAGTCGTTTGACCCGGATCCATCATCGCTCGATTCCAATGCCGCTAAGGATTCTTGCGTCTTGAGCGTGTCTTTCGATTCAATGAGAGCAATAGAAAGAGAGGAAGTCAATTACCTGACTTGGGTACCTGCCCAGGCATCCATTGAGGCATCCATTGAGGCATGTACAGCACGTGATGGCTTCCTGCGGTTTCGCCATGTCATGTACGAATACGGCAACACATTTTTTACCTAGCTGTTGTCCACTTGAGCAGCCGCCAGTAGATGCTTCCCAAAAATAGCCCCAGCTTGCTTCGTCCTCAGCAACGTCCAAGATGAGGATATCTAACACAGGGGAGACACGAGCCAGGAATCACTAAACGTCATGGTTAAATCTCTCTTTCATTATTTCAACTTTTACCAAAATGTTGCTCTCCCTGAGAGTCTGGGTATATCAAAAAGCTATGCAAGTCCACAAATAAACACCAGTCCAACCCCTTTGTGCCTATTCCAGCACTCTGAAGGGGGTTCTTTTTATCCCATTGCTCGAAAACACCGTCTAACCTCCTCATCTCTATCGACTGCTTATGCATACGACCTCCCCACCAGAATATCTCCCACTGGTCGTGCCGAAAAGGTCGCGTGGCCGGCATACATTCCGATGCCCTCCCGGACGACTCCCCACCGCACAGCCAGCGCCTCTACGCCGTCCTCCTGCGGCACTCGATGACACCGGGAGCTGAGGACCGCCGAGCAGGATCCGCCGGGAAGTGTCAGTGGATTCCCAGCCGGGTCACCGCTGTCAATCGCACCGCGTGGATCCGCCTTTCGGAGTGAGAGACCCAGGACCAGCAGACCCAAAGTCACCAGCACAACAAGCAGAATGAGGAGGGGCAGCGGGCAAAAGCCAATACCATTATGAGTGGTCCCATTGTCGCGGTTGAGGGCCACAAGAACGACGCCCTGACTCAGCAGGAAAGCCATCGCGGCATGCAAGAAAAACAGCACCCAGGACAGAGCTCGGGGCAAGGTGAGGTAGAGAGACGTAGTTTGTGCGCCGATAGGCCGTCCTGAAGACACACGCAGCGGGATGAGTCGGCCAGGTGCGACAAACATCGACAACTCATGGGACAGAAAGAACAGAGTGAGCAGTGCGTTGGTCGAGAGGTATAGAACGCCGACGAAGACTTGCGGCAACGCAGTAACGATGGCCAGGCCGACTCTTGATCCGCTGGGGAGGCTATACACTGCCGTCGCGTCAGCGAACGAAGAAAACGGGCTCTTCGGGCTCGCCTTCATCGACATTGCCAAAGCAGCTGCCGTCAGGCCCAAGGGAGCCAGGAAGGTCAACAACCATACGCTCCATCGCAGGGGCGAGGGCGTAGAGATCCAGCGGAGCGGGGCCGCGGTCCAAAACTTTGCCTCGCGCTGGCCCCAGGTGCCATTCTTGACCTCAGCCTTGTTCATCAGACAAGCATCCTGGGTGGCTGGGTCCGGGTCCTCAAGAAACGAGACCAGCGCATCGCCCAGTGTGACAAGAGGTTTGAAGTCATTGCGGGTAATAGCAAGCAGGAGTGCAACAGAGAGGGCGAGAAGGAAGATTAGGTTGAAAAAGGCGATGACACCGAGGAGAGGTCCACTGAGATTGAGCGAAGACGTTGCATCATCCGCGGATTCGGCGAGGCAGTAGTCGATAGAATCGGTCTTCTTGTCGAGACCGTCGAAGAACTTGGATAGCTGGGTTCCGGACTTGGCCGTCTCAACGGTGAGACTGGACCCGGACTTGACGATAATCAGGACGCCGTCGTAATCGGTCTGGAATAGGTCGTTAAACGTAGAGATGCACTCCTCAGAGGTGAGTCGAATGAGGTCGTCGTCCTTCGCTTTCGTTTGCAAATTCACCAGTTCAGATCGGGACATGCCATTAAGGTCGATTTTGCTGCCAAGGGATCCAGATTGGATAAAGGATGTCGAGACGAGGGCCATGTTAGTAGCAGCGGCAGATTGGATGGTGAAGATTAAGGCATTATAGCTAGGAAGCTGGTCAGTCGCGCTTAACTCGCAAGTCTTGGGTATTCACTTACATTATTTGAGAGCCGACGGCGAGCACAAGGAGTGTCGCCGAGAGGGCAGCCCTGGTAGATGAGATCAGACGGAGGTTGCGCAGCGATGGAATTCCAATATCGACCCAGGTGAGCTTCTCGTGGGCAGTGTCCACCTCACAGCGAGTGGGGCTGCTGAGGACCTGAACAACGTAGTTGGCGGCTGCGACGAGGACGACGGCGAAGATGTCGACCAAGGCGTGAATTCCCAAGTTGGCGCCCCGGACCTCGCCAACATCGCCATCAACCACGGACGAGCCCCCTCCCGAGATCTTGCCCTTGGCCCCCGCGAAGGCAAGGCACACAATAGCGGCCACGAATACCAGGAAGGCCAGCAAGGCGTTAAGCGCAACACCGCCCCTCCAGCCGCTCGTCAGTTTCTTAAACGTGGTCGGCGGCTTTTGGTCCTGGAGCATCTTCTCCATCTCAGCCCGCGGTGTGGCCGCCCTGGATCCATCAGACATGAGAAAGTTGCCATTTCCGGGAGACTCGAAGTGGAAGTTTTGGTTAGGAAAGTTAGAGGTGTCGGGGCTTTCGGGAATTCGGTGCTTGCGGGCTAGGGACTCGGGAGTCTCGCCGCGGAGGAAGTGAACGACATAGTCGGGGATGACGTCGCTGCCGAGGATGCTAGAGACGGAGCGGCTGATGCTGCTGGCGGCGCGTTGTGGCAGAGAACCGCTGCGAGTGTGTCGGAGAGATGACGTGTATCGGATTGAGGATCGGGAATTGTTGAAGCTGTGGAAGGGCCATCTGACGGTGGGTCGACCCGATGAGTTTGTGAAGCCGCGGGTCCTTGGGCGTGATCCGGATCCGGACTCGGTCCCGGGCCCTGATTTACCTGGCTCTTCAGAGATGCTGTGAATATCTTCGTGTAAGCAGAGTCGTCTCTATGAGATGCGACACAGGTTGTCTCATGTGTCTCCAGTTGTATCTTCTTACCTCCCAATAGTTCTTCCCATACTCTGCTTGTCCCAGACATGTTTGTAGGACGCCTGGGACGGAGGAGGGCGTGTTGGAGGGAAGGTGCCTTCCATTGCGATGAATCGCTCAAGAGGTCAAGAGTGGTGGGTATGATTCGTTCAAAGAGTGGACGGGACGAAAGCCAGCAGAAATGAATGACACGAGCCAAAGGGCCGGAAAGCGGCAGCACTGCCTCACCAATACCAATACCAATAGGTAGGGGATGAACAGTTGTCACTACGAATAAGAAGTCATGAAAGAGAGACTTGAAAAGTAAGAGGAAGAGGGCTTGAATTAGAAGCACGCACGGCCAGCCTCGGACAAGGGGGGGAAAGAACGGAAGGGAAACGACTGGAAAAGAGCGGGAATGGGGGAAAAGAAAGAACGAAGCATCAAGCGCCAGCGGAAAGGCAGGAATGGGAACGAGGGGCGGCGAGCCCATGATAATGCTCGTCGTGGCCCAAGACGAGGGACCCCGGCCATGAGTTGGTTGTCCGAGCAAGCCTCCGCATGAAGCAGATCCAAGCACACAGGGACCGTTGGGGCCAATCACGGAGCGGACAGTGGACGGATATGCCGTGCAAGTGGGCGCGCCCCTGTTTCGGGATCAGCGCAGGCATCTGGGATATGACCAGCGAAATAGCGGCAGCCCAGTGCGGTTCTCTCGCGGAGGGTTCTCTCGCAGTGGCTGTCTTACGGGCTTGTGGACTCGTGGGGCTCGCCGTGAACGGACGAGAGAGGCGCGTTGACGATGCACGTAATTACACTCTTCGGCGGGGAGGGCACGCATTCTGGCGTCCGGACTCGGGAGCAATCTGCAACCTCAGCGAAGGATGTCTCGGGCAGTCTAGCGCAGCCACCCATGTCTTAACACGCCGTGATATTCAACGCTGGACGAAGGTGACAGGCGAAGAGTCACGGTGGGAGGAGCGGGGTGAAGCTAAACGCAGTGCCAACTCATCAATACGACCACAACCAGCGCGCATAGCCCTCACCGTCGGCCTGGAGGAAGCCTCGGAGCGGAGGACTGGTGATGGATTGATCGTGGCCGCGGTATGGGAAGTAAAAAGGCGCCGGGACGGATCGATGGGCCCGCCGCCAGCGTTTGGCACGTTTGGCCTGGCGCGAGTTGGGGCTCAACAGCTGGGGCGCAGAGTCCTTCGTCCATCTCATCTTCTCCATAGCTATCATCATCTCCCAGCGCGGGGGGGAGAGAAAGGAGGCGGTGCGGCGCGGCGCAGAATGGATCGAGCAGAAGAAGAAACCATTCCCCATGGAGCGCGTTTCACAATGGGATGAGCCTACTCAGCTGGTTGGATTGGTCCAGGGCGACGCCGCCCGTCACCCGCGCCTGCCAGCCCTGTCCGTGTGCGCCAGAAGAAGGACGAGAAAAGAGTCAAGGTCATGGTCATGGCCAAGTTGGGCCTCAGGGATCAAGGGTTGGGACATGGTGCGAGCAAAACGCGGCAGCGAAGAGGGAGAAAAACGGGTGAGGATATTTTTTGACAACTGAGAATGAAGCTGCCGAAGTTCGAGAAACATTCCAAAAAGAAGGGACCTGCGACAGCGCTTCGCTTCCCCGCTGTAGCGCCTAGCCCCAAACAGGCTACCGCCCGGGGCTCAGTGGCCCAGAGGGGCATAGCACGCGTTGCAGGTGCGTGTGATTGAGACTGGGGCTCTTTATTAAGGACGACGTCGACTGTCAGCCCAGCACCACCAACACCACCAACGGCCCAGCTGAGCCAGTTGGTCCCAGTTGGTCCCAGTCTGCTACTACTACGTAATCTCGAGCCCGTCAATCTCTTCTCCAGTCGCCTTCTTGAGTCCCATTCTCATTAAATGGCCTTCGTCACCCTAGGATCTTAACTTGGGTCAAACGCCTGTAAGCCAGTAGTATGAAGCAAAGCCTCCAAGGACCCTCAGGTCGCGACAACAAGGAACTAGCTAAACGGGCCCAACGGTCTACCGGCTGCCCTGCCAAGACCCAGCGGGCCTGCAATGACGATCTCATCCCATCCAGCAAGGGACGGAACGTACTAATCACTATCCAAGGCACCAAGAGTTAGAGAGGCGGCAGGCAGACGGATGGACAGGGGGGACATGTGGACCGCATGGGCACAATCATACTACGTAGTATATCCCACGCTCTCATATATTGCTTGCAGCAATTCAGCTTCTCTCCCTCCCACCAAAATAGAACAGCCACGCCTTCATTTAGGCGCATTAATTAGCTTCCGCATCTCACGGACCCCAAGAATCGGCGCACTAAAACGCTATATTTGAGGTTGCTAAATCTGGCTCAGCGAGGCTCCGAGTCGTCACTGATCAATCAATCCCCATGGGAAAACAATATATTCCCATCGCACTCAAGTCCTTGTCGCCGGACCCCGCTCTCCTCCCATTAAACTAATATCCCTGCTAAAAAGTAACGAGCGCCGTGGCTATGCGAATGTGGAAGTCCTGGTGTCCTTTTCAACCAAATATCCAGCCAGTCCAGTCATGTTGACGACAACGCCATGATGATACACTGCTAATTTCTGCTCTGACCCACTGGGTCGAGTCCCGCCATCCCACTCTTGAATATTGAGCTGACAACCCTCCTTCAGTCCGCGATGGCGCTCTCATCGGCCGGCTGTGACTCCGGGCTCTTAATGCCTGCTGGAACGGTAATGTTGGCCCGCGCCTTGTGCTGCGCTTCCGCAAACCGTTCCCAATGCTCTGGGTCGCTCGCCTCCATGTTTCTCCACGCAAGGTCGCCGTGCTCCTTAAAAGCTCGCACGGCGCCCTTCTCCTTCACCTTCTCCAAGAGTTCTCCACCAACATCCTCGGCCAGCTCAAAGAGCATTCGGACGTGCTTTGGATCCGATCCAATGTCGTCGATCGTGTTGAGCAAATCGATTTGCTCCTGCTTGAAAAAGCCCACCCGGAACCGGTGACCCGCACGCAAAATTCGTCCTTCTTCCTCGTCGAGCGTCTTAGACAGTAGCATTGAGTTCGATCTTGACAGTGGCTTAGCCACATTGAGTTCAGACTCGTCCTCGTTGTCTGACAGTGCCATACTCGGATCCTCCACCGGGGGCAGCGCTATGGGAAGCTCCTCCACCCTTCCTTTAACAGCCGCAAGCACAGGCGGTTCGTGCACCGGCTCTCGTGTATCCGGGTACTCGTCTTCGAAGCGCTTGATAATACCCTGCAGCGTGTCGTCCAGGAACATAAGTTTGCGAAGGTTTTGCTCGTCCCCGGGGTTAGCCCTGGCCTTGTTCAGCGCCGGCTGCAGTCGCAGGCGAATCTTGCGAGCACCCGCCAGGAGATGCTTCGACATGTCCTTCGCCTTTCCTCCAGTAGTCAGTGTGGCTCCTTGATTAGCCACGCCATTCTCCACGTCTCGGATAAACTCGCCCGACTGCCTGCGAGACTCATCGCCGCGATTCTTCAAACAACACGTCAGAGCCTTGACTACTCCAGTACCTCCAATCACATAATCCTCGTCTGGCGCAGAGCTTGCGTCATCGGGCAACTCATCATCGTCCAAGACATCATGGCCAACCAGGTGAGCGAGGACGTCGGGGTAGGGTGGCGACCTAGACTCCGATCCGTCGACGTGGTTTTCTGCCAGTGCAGCAGCAACAGCAGCGCTCACATCGGCGTCTTGAATGCGTTCCATATTGCGCAGACAGTACGCCACGACTTGTTTGGCCATGGCTTTGACAATCTCGCCGGACCGATCACCAGGTACTTCAATGTCCACGCAGATAAGGCTCTTAGATACACGTGCGGCTGCAAGAAGAGACGCGTACAAGGCACATGCTTCCTCTTGGGCTTCCTCCGTCCGCGCATTAGCCAGCTTCATCAATTCATCGTTTCCAAGGAGATTGATATGGGCGAGTTGGTGGACCTCAGGGAGGACCTCGACCAGCGCGATGGCTTGTTCTGATGTCATCTCAACACTTTCAAGATGTATTCGCTTCAAAGCAGCCATCTTCGGCAGGTATCTGGAAATTGTCAGCGCGGAATCCTTTCAGATAAGGGTTGATATAAAGACGTACCTCCTCAGCAGACCAACTGCGCTCGGGGTAGACCGGAAAAGTGCCGTGTTCTGTGATAGATCGATAAACCGGAAGTTCTTGAGCTTGACAAGTGTTGGTAGGATTTTGCAGAGTGACGAAGGTGTCAGGTTGCAGCCAGCCAGGCCCATCGCCCACAATGACGAATCCTCCTGAATTGCCGAGGCCAGCGCTTCCATATGATCCCCGAGATCGTTGCCATTTAAATCAAGGCCCTCACACTTGCCAGCAGCAATATATTTTACCACATGCTGTACGCCTTCATCGTCGATTTGGTTGTGTGCGAGACCCAGCCTGCCCACGCCACACTTTATTAGTCCATCGATGATAGCACCCAGTTGCTCCATGCTCGGTCCCGTCTCGCCGAGATTAACCAGTTCAAGCGTAGACCCTCCTAGTCGTTCCCCGAGGGCCTTGGAAAATATATCTGAGATGCCACGCGGTATTTGGACTCCATTGGGGAGTGCGCCGTTCTGCTTAACTTGTGATTGACGGGGGAATTGAATCTGGGAAACGTCGAGAAACTTGAGGGATCGGCATAAGTAAATGAAAAGGGACAAGTGCTTCCATCCATCGGGGCCAAGCTTGTTGTTCTTGAGCACCAATCGCTCAACCACGCTAGCATATTCCTCATCCTCATGCTTGGGCTTGCGTCTCTTTGAGGGGGGCCGTTTTGCTGCCAGGAGTCCAGCCAAGATTACCCGCAATCCCTCGTCGGTCAGGCCAATGTTTTCCAGAAGAACTTCTCTTACGGGAACAACGGCGAGATAATCACCCAAGGTGACGAGATCGGGCAGCTGCAGCCAGTAATCGGTCAAGTCCAACTTGTTTACCATGCCAGTCGAAGAAGAATAATTGGCCGTAGCGGTGAGTTGCTCGGTGATCTTCTTAAGGATCGGCGTTTCGCGCAGCTGGCAACACCTTCGATAAATTCGTACTGGGTTCGTGGTTGGATAAGATGTCGTCTTTGGAGTAGAAGCGCCTGGGGGCGTTTGGCACGACGAATCACTGCTGTCGTAATGGATCTCCATCGGGATAGAACCGTTAGCCTCGGCGAGTTTGCGCTTCTTTTCTTTCCTGGCTTTGCGCTCCTCCTCACTCTTCTTCTTTTTCTCCTTCTTTTTTGTGTTGTCCTTTTCTGCGGCTAGGGCTGGGGTTGCAGTGCCGTTTGTACTCGGGTCCTTGCTCGGGGGAGCGATGTCGAGTCCATTCTTCTCAATTTCCTTTGGTAGAGATTCGCCATTGCTCTGGATTGCGTCCTTCGTCTCTTTCTCGTCCTCAGCAGGTTTGGGGTTTTTGAGGGCATCGCCTTCACCCTTTTCCGTCATTTTCTTCTTCTGGGTTATGTCAATTGGCTTCGGGGGATGTGCGGTGTCGACTTCGCCATATTTGGGCATTGGCGCGATCTCGACGTCTACACAAAAGGCAACTCGCTTCAACTTGGCACCCTGCAGCTCTGAGATGGGACATCTCTCCCTTTTTTGGTCTACATTCAAAACCACGCGGTCTACCAAGCCGTGACCTAGCTTGCCAGCGGGTCCAAGGGCACCCGACGATGATGATAGTCGGCGGAAAACGCCCAGGAAGCCAGCCTGGGTGCTCCTGGGGGGGGCCGGGGTATAGGGGCCGTTGCCCTCAGGCTTGGCAGCGTGTTGCAGGACGGCATTCTTGGTAGGCGTGATCTTGGGGGGTTGAGGATCTTCTGGGACCGTGGGCGATGGCAACGGCTGGGCTGGCGAAGGTGAATTGGTGGGGGGCGAGCTGGAGGAGAACTTGGCCGAGATATTGGAGAACCACGAGTTACGGCGCTGGGTTGGAGTGCCGTTCGGACTCGGTTTTTCTATGGAACCGGATCGCGAAGGTCGTCTTTGCGCATTCGAGCCGTTGGGAGGCGTGGACTGGCCGTTCGTGGAGTGGTCTATTGAGGCCGACGCCGGCGCCCTGGCCGATGCGCCGGGGATCTGTCGAGGGAGGGCGGGCACTGGTGCTTTCGTTGGGGGTGAATTCTTTGGCGCTTTTTCTGGGGAAGAGTCAGTTGAGGGCTCTCGAGAAGGGATGGGATGTGCATCTCGCGATGCGGCGGGCGGGTGGCGAGTTGCAAAGGACATGCCTTTGGGGGCACCATGGGTCATCCAGCTGACGTCGACGCCGTGGACGTGCTCCATGGTGGGATCTGGTGGGATGGAGACGACGGCGACAGGGATGGCGGCAACGAGAAACAGGTGATTGAGGGGATGACGATGGTATGGCGTCGTGGTCTAATCGTATACGGTGGAAGATGGAAGGAGGGCGAGGAGCGATAGATGGAGATTGAGGAGGGTGGCCGACAAAGCCGTGGTACGGTTGCGTTGGGTTTAGGATAGGGACAGGCTTGATCCGGGAACGGGGTGGGCGCGACTGGGACTCCGGTACTGGGTACGGTATCGGTATCGACATGAGGCGTCCTAGTGGGCGAGCGGGCAGTCCAAGTACCACTCAGCAGCTGGTCTCAGCCCGGGCCAAGGTGGAGGACGACGACGGTAGGTTCATTTTAGCAGCGGGGTAGTTTAAACTTGAGAGCCGGGATGAATGATGGATGGTGGATGGTGAAGTCAGGGCCGCAGGTACAGTAGTACTGCGTAGGGACTGGACGAGCGGTGCGTGTGAGTGGAGGTCGGTTCGGTCTTGGGTGTGGTTGAAAAGGATTGCGGCCGGGCGTTTGTGCTGACCAAGGAAACGATTGATGATGATGAAGCTGGGTTAGATTTGTGGACGGGCTGAGGGCGGCGGGACGGCATGAACATGGGGATGAACATGGGGGAGGGATAGCAATAATTCGGAATTGACGGAAAAGCGACACCCTAGGGGGGCGTGTCACGTTCCAAGTTACGCATTACTACATAGTATGTAGGTCCTCGCGATGCTACCACCGACTGGGCTGATGCCAAATGCTGGCGATGTTGCTCCGGGTAAAAGAGGCTTCATGCGGCCGTTGTCCTCGGGGCCTTGGTACATCCCTCAAAGCTGCGCTGTCGGCTAGACCAGGTAGGATGTACATGTATAGCAATGGGATCCTGGCCCGCGCGGGCGGCATTGAGGCGAAAGTGAGGCTTTGTCATCGCCGCTATCCAAACCAAACTTCAGCTAAATCCTTCGTCGTCCTCACCACCCACCTCTTCGATGATCGAACCTCCCCGAACCAGGTTGCGAAAGTACCCGGGCATGTCCGCAACGATTCTCCAGCTTTCCAACCACATGTTGCGCACAGGTATCCCGTCGAGGATCGCCGCCATGTTCAGTCTGCCTGGCCCGCGTAAACCAGCCCACTGCCACACCCGCCCTACCCACAATGCCAACGTCACACACTTCGCCAGTGACCAAATGGGTACCGTAGTACCAACTTGGCACAGCTCGAAATGCGCGTGTGCCCCAGAACAGGTCGGCGATGTCATCATCAGCAGGGTCCCCAGGCGTCACACAGCTCTGATCAGTCTGATGTCCCCTTTTTTGTGTCCCACCACCCTGTCACTGTGTCCCTTGGCAATCGCCAGTTCACAACGACAGCCCTACATAGTGCCATGCATTCTTGCTCGATAATCGCAGTGCATCAAGTACCTATGTACGCCGAGGTCTAGACGCCTCTGGCGAGTTAGGTTGTACTCTCTCGCCGCCCCATTGCTGACCTATCTGTGCTCTCTCTCCACGCCGCCGGCTGTCTTCCGCCTTATTCGTGCCATCAGACGGTCCAGACCATTCTCTAGGTTTCGACGAACGGCTCTCCAGGCGCATCCGCCACTGACCGCCCACCCACAACAACGCACGACGAAGAACTACACCAGCCATGGGGCCTAGTCGCGTCCCCGTCGTCCTCTCCATCCATGACTGGGTGGGTTACCAGTCCGCCTACTCCCCTGCACGCTCCATCCCCAAGAATATCGTCACTACACCCAGACATTGTATGATCCGGGCGCCGTTCCGTGGGCCGAGCTGCGCGGTCCCGGACTGCCCAAACGTTATCCGCCACCCGCCACCCGAGGGACGAGCAGAGATTGGGATGGGGTTAAGTAACCGAATTCCGATTCCCCGACAAGAGAGACAAAACACCAGAATCCGTCTCGTCCCTCTTCAATCTCCATCGTGACGGCTTCGCACACATAACACAGCATCACAACCAAAGGGTAGGTAGGTATCGAGGGCTCCGTCTCGAAAGGTCACCCGCACTCCATCACGCGCGCTTTACACATCACATTAAGTAACTCCATCTCGGTCCGCCGCCCGTTTCGAAATCCCTTAGTCAAATGCCGAAGGCCAATTCCGCATGTCGAAATCAGCATATCCCGCCCCTCGTTATTATGCCTTGCTCTATACATTTTCCGATTCCAGGATGCCGGGGTTCGACGCATCACTACCAGCCTGCCAGGTGCACCAGCCGCCCAATACAAGGAAAACCATTTCCATCTAATTCCCGCACGTGCCCTCTCCCACCAGCTCCCGCCAAGTCCGCACAAAACGAAATGTCCTCGCGCTGTATTCATTGCCGTATTTCTGCACCGACGGGAACCCCGGTGGATTGATTGTCCAGGGGTGTCCTCCTCAAAACCTCGGACCACCAAGTCTCAGGCGGCCTCGGCCCGCATGACGGCACTTGATAATTAGCGTCTTCTTCTCGGTGGCATGTTTTCATGCAATTTATCCTACGACTTACATGTTTCAACATGATACCTGCATGCACACAACTAAGGCCCACTCAGGAGGGACCTGCCTACAAGTCGAGTCACCGTCGGACCGGTTTGAAGTACAATGAGACAGCCGTTCACCACAGCTATGGAATTTGGCTGGAAGGTATCTTTTTCTTTTCATTCGTGTGACCCTGAGTACGGACCTTTCCTTACGGACCTTTCCTCGAAACTCCAAACCCAATGCCAAGGTAAAAATCCTCACAAGTCCATGTCCACAACCAGACAAACATTTTACTCGTCCGCCAGGAGGGCCTGGATGCGCTCTTGGACGCGGGCCTCCTTCTCGGCCTTGGTCAACTTGGCGGTACGGAAAGTCTTGGAGATGGCCTTCCACTCCTCCTTGGTCTTCTGGGGAGCCTCGCTCTCGTACTTCTTGAAGGGGTCCTCACGGATAGCCTTGTGGGCCTCGGTGTAGAGGTCCTCAAGACCATCAGCCTCAACGTCGTCATCGACGTACTTCTGGAACTGGCTGCGGAAGCGCTCCTCATCATCGTCGGCAAGAGTCTCCATGTACTCAGCGACGTGGCCACCGTAGATGTAGTTGCGGAGGACATCAGCGTCGAGCTCCTTGGTCTCCATATCGAAACCGGGGAATCGCTTCTCGGAGTGGGGGACCAGGATGCCACCGTCAGAGGCACCCTTCATGGCACCGAAGACACGGGCACCGGTGGAGGTGCGGGCAAGACCAACATCAAGGAAGGCCTTGAAGGGACGGCGCTCGCCATCATCGGTCTCGGCGGCCTCGGTGAGAGTGAACTCACCGTCAGCCTCCTCGACACCAGCGAAGTCCTCATCGAGACCGAGCTTCTTCAGGGCACGGCGGGCGATAAGGAGACCGGTAGCGTAAGCAGCGGCCCAGTTGGTAAGACCGTGCTCGATGCCGTAGGCCTTGAGCTCGTGAGCGTAGGCAGAGACGAAGACCTTGTCGCCAGAGATCTCAGAGGTCACGATCTGGCAGATGATGTCCCGGTTGGTGAAGCGGACGACGAGGCGGTACTTGGGCGCATTGTACTTGTTCTTGGCCTGGGTGATGAGGCGCTTGCGGGCGTAGTAATCGGTCTTGCCTTGGCGTCTGCGCTTGTACTTGGTCTGGTAGCGGCTGCGATTCTCGTCAGCATCGTCGAGTAAATCATGTCATTGCGATGGGGGTTTGACTTACCTGTAGTACGCGCTGTTCTTCACCAACTTGTGGAAAACCTGTTGCACGTCCCCGAGTCAGCAATTTGCGCTTCAGATTTGCTCGTCCACCGTCCGAAGCATCTTGCTATGACTCCCACGAGCAATTGACATTTCTGTCAAGAATAAGATGTCAAAGGAGTTCCAGAGGAACTCCTTTGCGATAGGCCTCAACTTACCATTTTGACGGTATTGGCCAACGGCTGATTGTTGGTGTTTGAAAGTTGGTGATGGAAGGAATGTGCAACGAAATCTGGTGGGGGATATTAACAAAGCCCTAACAGCCCCATCTACAAAAATCGCTTAGCTTCAGTGGCTTGCACCTGGGTTGGTGACGAGTCACATGACTGTGCATATTTTGTGCGTGTGTATCTTATCGATAGTCAGGTATCTTATCTTATCTGCGAGCATTGATCTGGGAAGTCCCCCACGATGGGAAGACTGCCGAGGTCCCTCGGGTCGGTTCCCGCTGGCATAGCGGGAGTGGGGCACTCCGGGATTCCAGGTGTTCGTTGACTTAATTCCATCTCTCTCTCCATCAACTTAAGGTCTCCATGAGGACCATTTTGGCTCTCATTATCATTTGATTCAACTCCTAATCTCATTCAGATCTGAAATGTCAGATAATATGAAGCCCAAGGTTCTCTTATTCGACATCGGCGGTGTCTGTGTAAGTAACACACTATTACAAAGCTGTGTTGCATATGTTGATGCAAAACCCATGTCGGCGCAATGAGAACATGGTGTTTTGTCTTTCACTTGGAAATAATGGCTGTGGTCACACACATGCTAATCTTTCCCAGGTCAGATCTCCCTTTCAAGCCATCCTCGACTACGAACTCGGCCTCGGAATTCCACCGGGATGGGTCAACTACTCCATCTCCAAAACCTCGCCCAATGGGTACTGGCATCAGATTGAAAGAGGCGAGATCCCAATGGATGACTCCTTCTTTGATGGCTTCGGGAAAGACCTTCACAACTCCATCCGCTGGGAGGCATTCTACAAACAGGAGCGGACCAAGAACCCTAATCTACCCCAGAAAACGCCGCCGCTTCCATCCGTCGATGGGAAGTGGCTCTTTAATGAGATGATGACGTCTTCTGACCATCCTGATCCTTGGATGTTTCCGGCATTGGAGAAGCTCAAGGAAAATGGAAACTACATTCTGGCCGCTCTGAGTAACACCGTCATCTTCCCTCCTGGTCACAAGCTTCATATCAAGGATTTTGGCGACAATCACGTGCGGAGGGTGTTTGATGTTTTTATTTCCTCTGCTCACGTTGGCATTCGAAAACCTGATCCGAAGATGTATCAGTTTGCGCTTACCCAGATCGACAAGTATGCAAGGGACAATGCGAACAGTCCGCGGGGTCAGCAATTGGGTTGGAGTGAGGGCGTGCAGACGCAAGATATACTCTTCTTGGACGATATCGGCGAAAATCTAAAAGAAGCCCGAAATCAAGGCTTTGGGACGGTGAAGGTGAATCTAGGGAGGGCGTTTGAGGCGGTAGACGAGCTAGAACGAGTGACGGGCTTGAAGCTTGCGGGGAACCATCCTCGGGTGCCCATAAAGCCCAACTACCGAGGTTCGAAAGCAAAGATATAGACAAGAATGCGAGTGGGTGGACAAATCGCAGTATTAGTTATTTCAATCTCTCTTGGAAATATCAGCATAGAGAAGAACCCCAGGAAGCTTTACTTCGGCATCCACTGCAGCTCACTTCCTCCTCTCCGCATGTAAGCATATGACCAGGTCAATAACATCATACTGAACAAGCCGGCTGAGATGAAGTCGGTATCGATATTTGTCCTCGCCTCTGACGTTATAGTGGCGGTTACATCATTACTGACGTTTGTCGCGATAACTTCTTCGAGGCTAATGCTACCTGCAAGATCCAGGGTACGATCCCCAGAATAATGGACACCAGGCTCAGGGAGCACCTGGCGTAATCCAGTTACCACAAATGGTCGTAGTCAATAGCTCTAGCCCATTCATGCGATGAGTCAAGTCTTGTGGCTTTCATGTAGACACGTCAGCAATTACTGTTGGGACCTTGTGGTATGAAAGAGTTAGACTGGTGATAGATCCACCAGTCAAGGTCACTACATTTCTGACCACAATTCAACATCAAATCCCGTTGTACGATTATGTACTGAATACATGCGGTATCACATAATTGTACAGTCTGGTTCAGGTAGGAGGAAACTTTGCCTATTCCTCGCGCTCTCTTGGGTAGTTTTCCAGATGTTGTCTGCGTAGATTAGGCTTCGGCACACTCGGGCGGAGATGCATGCGAAACTGGAAAACCGCTCGATAAGCAATCCTAGTACTCAAGGAACCATACCTGGGGTTGTTGGGTCTGTGATTCCATACCTGCGCCGTACACGGAGCCTTATTTTCAAGAACCGGTGACAGCTTCCACCAACTCTTTCAGTCCGTGGTGCCAACCGTCACGCCAAGTTAGCGCAATTTTCCGACCAAGGACAATGGTCAAGAAAGCCTGGCGAGTCTCATAAAAGCCTCAAGCCCGCAGCTCGATGCGAGCGTGCGGCCCGGTTGGGGCTGAGCCGCCCTTGACCAACAAACTGCGGACCAACACTGAAACCAACAGACCAGGCCACGGTAGACCGGGCGGTTATGGCTTCCACCGCGGCGGCCACCACCACGCTTGAGAATAATGGCAAAATTCCCAGATCCAGAGAGTTTAGGTGGCTTTATGTCCCAAAAAACGCTCCTTCGTGGTGTCCCTACAAAGCGTACGCTTGTCGCTCTCACACAGTCGTTGTCGCATGTCGGACTTATGCGACGACTGCCTGCATACATCGTGAGGGGTTCCACCCAGCTGACCCCCCGGGGCCAGAAAAGCGGCCAGGAATAGGATCAAAATGGCCGGGGTCGTAACCAACGCCCGCCCGGCTGTGCAAGAGGGTGTCGAAGCAGGTCTAAGAGAGGGGTTGCCTCACTCGGCGCTTCGCTGTCCTGAGCAGAATGTTAAATATGTCCTATCCATTCGTCCCTTGAGGGTTGTTGGCATAGAAACCGCCAAGGGCTTCTCTCTAGTACCATTTCACATAGGTCATCTTGTTCGATCTTCTCATAATGGCGTTACCGGCTGTTTTCCCCCCCGCGCTCCCGGTCTGGCCCACCACATCCTCCACACTCGGCGAACTCCTTGGCTTTGACTCCGGCCCAAAATTTCAATGCCTTGGCCAGACCAAAGACGTCAAACGGTGTGAGAACCGTACGAGTAAAGCCAACTCTACTCTCGTGTCTGGCCTCCTGACTCAGATCGTGAGAAGTGGAAGTTTCACTACCGCCAAATCACTTCTCACTCAAGTCATTGATGTGGTTCTGTGCCGACACCACAAGAACCAAAGTCCATCTTGTCTCGATTCGTGGAAAAAGAATTTCGATTCCTCCAAGACCCGTGGCGTCAAGATTGAGGGAAAGGATGACAAGTCCATGTTGACAGGACTACAAGCCAAAAGCCCCAGATCCCCGCGAGTGTCTAAGCTATCGCCGGAGCCGCCAGTCAAGATCGAGAAAGAAGCTCCGAAAAAGCCATACTTGGCGGATCCGAAGTCTCCTTCAAGCGGGCATTCATCTCCCAAATCTCCCAAATCGAAATCGTCGAAGCCGAACCCTGCGAAACCAACTACCCAAGTCCACAAGTTCGAGCCCTTCGGCAAGCCATTATCACCTTTCGAGCTCAACAAGGCCATAAAGAAACTCATCTTGCGTCCATTGATATCGAAGGAGAAGACAACCAAAGGATGCATCTATATCTATACCTTCCCTGACAACTACCGCGATGTCTCTCCATACCTCAAGATCGGTTATGCCAGTGACCTCGAGAGTCGCATGGCCGCATGGAAGAGCAAGTGCCGCTACACGCCTCAGGTGTTAGGAAGTTTCCCCTGCGAGCTGAGCGTCAAAGTCGAAAAGCTTGTACATGCCGAACTGAAGAACGAGCGTAAGTGTGAGGCAGGCGGGTGCCCAGCCTGTGGTGTAAAGCACCACGAGTGGTTCGATGTGAGGAGCTCCAAGGCTGCGGGAACTGTAGGCCTCTGGACCGACTGGACCAGATTGGATCCGTATGATGAGGAAGGAAATCTGAAAAACGAGTGGAGGGCGCGTGTTGAGCGCGTGGACTTGAGCGACCCTGGCTGCTGGAACGAGTTTGTGAATGGTAAGCACGATGAGGATGATGAAACATCCGATGAGGACGAATCCGACTATGACGAGGATATTGAGTCCGGGTTCTCCGAAGATGATAACTCGAACTATTCCAGTGGGAACGAGTATGATTCTTTTAGCTCTGGTGATGAGGACGATGAGTAACGAGCGGGGTGATGGTGGTGAGATGACACTGATGAGATGACGAATTGTTCCCATGATTGTATCACTAACGCGGCGCTCTTTGGTTTGGATTGGTATTTTTATTTATGCCCCTTGTAGCTCTCTGTTTGGGACTTGCTTAGATACCCACGAATGTTTATGAATCTCAGCCCACGAAACAACCTCACTCTATGGTCCCATGAGGAAATCACACATTTAGAGAGTCAAAGTTCCATGCAGCATCCCCCAACAGCCCTCCAGACCACGATAGTTCTATGCTCCCATCACCAGCTTCCCTTGTCGTCACTCCCATTCCATCCACTCCAATCGGCCACTGCTCCTGAATCGACTGACCCTGAAGCCTTGCCTCAAAGCACTCCCGCAGCCACCTCGTCTTCCGTGCAACTTCCGCCAGCCTACTCTCCAACTTTCGCTCCTCGCCAGTTAATAATTCACCTGTCTCAGAGGCAAACTCCTCTACGGCCTTCGTGCGCAGTGCTTCAGTCTCGGTGATGCGTGCGATTATCTGGTTCAGGATAGTTCGCAAGTCGAGCGTCTGCCGTGCGAGCGTGACGTCCCAATCTGGCGCATCGATGAGGAGAAGCCGTGCTGCCATCAACAGAACAAAGGCGGCTTGGTCCGTGGTCAGGATAGAGCGGTGCGAGAATGCGTCGATAGGTTGCGCGAGGAGGGTGTCCAGGAACTCTTTTGCAGCGCCAAAGCAGTTGCGCAGACACAGCGAGCGGTACATGGATGGTGGAACACCCTCTTCCGGCCTGTCGGCTATAGTAACAGCAGGCTCATACAACCGCACAATGAGGCACTGGTGGTAGAGTTCGAATAGCGGCCGATGCTCTGCTAGGTCTGGATGCGCAGTGTTCTCGGTCAGGCGATCCAGCTCTGTGCGGAATCGGCGTCCGCTGCCTTCGAGAAGAAAGGCGTAGGAACGGGCCTGGTCGCGATCGTGAGGCTCACCGAATCCCTGCGAGAGCTTTTCGCCCATTTGGGCCATGCGAACTATTCGGTCAAGGAGGAGGTCGGTCCGGGACGTACTCATATCAGAAAGGGCGTCGCGAGACAGGTCAACATATGGTCCGCCAAGGGGATTCCTCCTCGAAGCTTGAAACGATGTGCTAGTACAGTAGATTAAACACTGATTAAGAATCAAACTGTCGTGCGCTGCCAACTTACACCGAGAGCACACAGAAACAGCCCAGGAAAGCTCGCTGCTCCTCTAGGGAATGAGTTCTCTCAATAGTGTCGGCATTCGCCGTCTTCGCCGTTTCTCTAGGGGCGTCGTTCGAGTCAGCTTTCCTGGGAGTTGGGGGCAGAATCTTCGTGATTCCAAGATTGTGTGCATATCCCAAAGCTAAATGCGTCAAGTTTGTAAGTTGGTCGTCGCTGATCTGACAAGTATGACCCCTACACATCACACCAAATCAGTATTTAGGTCATGTATTAAAATACAATGTCCTTACCAAGCAATACAAACTAAGAGACCTTGTAGCAAATCTAGCGTCCGCTTTTCCTCGACGAAAATTTGCTGGCTAAGGTATGCAAGCACGTTGCGCTTCATCTTAACGATCCGGGGCACCGACAGAGGTGCAGCGACCAGCATCATGGCCCGGAATAGGAACGGTCTCTCAGTGTGAAGTTGCTGTGGCACGGCCGCGTCCTGGACGATAACAAAGGGAAAGACGGCCATGTAATGCTTCCGGAAGATGGCTAGGATTCGGGTTGCCTGATCCCATGAAAGTCCCAAAGGTGGAAGATTATTTGTATGGCCTGTTTGGGTTATCGCACCTCGGTCAATTCTGTGAGAATGCGCAACGTCTTGGCTACTCCTTGAAGAATTGTGAACATCCGGTATTTGGTTCCCGGCTGTTGGAGGAAATGCGACATTGTCATTATTAATCCGGGTGATCCCTTGGCGCTCCAAGGCAGCTCCTCTAGATAGAGAATTCAGCATGTGTCAACCATCTTTCGTCTATACCACAATACACTTACCCGGTTGCCAATTTAATCTGTCTAGTCTTTCTCAGACTCTTTGTTGTTTTCGCAGAACACTCAATGCCAAGCCTCTCACACCTATACCTCATCAGCTTGCCTTCGGCATTCCCTCCCAGGCCTCCTCCAGCAAGTCTTCTCACCTCTCGCAGAATTGCCGCCCAGCATCCTCCCCTTTGAAGCGACATCGCGCTTTGGCTCGGGTGCACGGCGCGCAAGCCCTAAGCCGGCGCGGGGGGCTGGGAGGTTGATCTGCCATAATGATTGGCAGATCGAGATGCTAATTGAGATGACAAAAAGGGTGGCTGGGAGGTTGATCTGCCATAATGATTGGCAGATCGAGATGCTAATTGAGATGACAAAAAGGGTGGCTGGGAGGTTGATCTGCCATAATGATTGGCAGATCGAGATGCTAATTGAGATGACAAAAAGGGTGGCTGGTCTGTATCGTGACAAGAATAGTCTCGCGGAAATACATATTTCGGGCTCGGGTTAATTATTAGTTCCTAATCCTGGGGGTCGGGATATAGAGTACTTCCAAACACGAACAAAATGGGTTGGGCTGTTTGTATTTTTGCTCACACTACCCGCCACGCTCATCCCGATACTAGCATTCTGCATCCAACTGGCTAATACCGCTGCCGGGTTGTAATCTCGTCACGGTCCATTCCTCAATTATTCAACAAACGACCCCCCAATCCAAAACAAGCGCAATACCATGATAGCAGGCAGAATCTGCTTACACATAGTTAGAATTACGTTCCTTTCACATATGCAAACAACCAAGAGTCACCAAACGACTACGACACAAGTAAAAGTTATAACGCGTCCTGTTTTTTTCTGCGTTATGCTCATTTCCCTGGAATACCTGTCCTCTCGACCTGCTATACTCCCTTGGTCTAGCCGAGATCGAGGCTCTTTTTGCACTGATTCTATCATGTAATTGATGCAAATGATGAGCGACAAGAAATGCAAGCCCGAACCCAAAGTCATTCTCTCGTCGTCCTCCAACGCCAGCCAAAGTAAAGCAAAGCAAGGCAAACTGTGGTGGTATCTGTTCTGAAAATCACAATATCCGTGGACCTCATATTAGGCCCCAATTCCTCCAAACGCCCTCTGATAAGCCCCACTCGACAGAGTCTCATCGTAGCTTCTCACCACTAAGACTCTCTCTAGTCCCGCTAATCGTCCAGTATTTCGATGACACTCGCTGTAGGTGTTGACTTTTTCTTTCCACCATCGCCATTTGTTACACGAGCTTGGATTGGTGCGGGTGTTTCGTCGTCCGAATCATCAGGCTCTTCAACCGCAGTCCACTTGCCGTCGGCGGCAACAGTGATTGCCTTGGTGTTCGTTTCGCCGCGAGCTACCAATTCATGACGGACTTGAACAAAGTAGTCGTCAATTCGGAGACTAATTGGACGAGCATCGAGGTCGCATATGGGACATTTCCAGACGTCGACCATGGACGGTTCTTCTCCTTTTTGGGATGATCCCCCTCCCTTCTGGGCGGGTTTGCTAGGTCGTGTCTGCAGCCATGTTTCCAGGTCGAAGCATTCGAGGTGTAGACAATCCACCCCTCGGACGGGGATTTCAACCATGCTCGCACTGAAGGGATCAGCCAAGGAGACCAAAAGGGTCTCATCCTCAACAATAATATCATCCGAGGCTGACGGGCGTAAACGTCTAATCAGCTTGTTCCTCGTCTCGTCCATAGAAGTGTGTTGGAAATTCTCAATCATAGCCCTAAGAGAACCATGACTGCGCGTCTCCACTAGCTCGATAGCAACGAAGTACTTGTGCCCTACCCTGGCATTATTCTCAGCAACCAAGGGCAAGCTGATCCTGATGGTATTCGGACCCAAGACCAATATATCCGTAAGCTCAAGGGGTAGATCCTTGTGGAAATGCTGCTTTCGACTCAATCCCATCACGTGGCCATTAACATCAATGAATACATGTTTAGGCCAGTAGCAGGCAGACACGGCCCAGTCCGCCGCCTCAACCTCTGTCTCCCAATCGGGTCGCATGCACAGGCGCAGACGATACCGATACGAGCCTTCGAAGTAGTGACAGAATGGTAGCCCTGCTGATTCTCTTTTCATGGTTAATCTCGGAATGTGATTTTCCGGGACGTCGAAGCGTAGTGTCCTCAACCCGATTTGTGGCTCAATCGCAACTGGCTGGATCTCAAGGTGCTTGACATACTGGTAGTAGCGAGTCTGCACTAGCTGCGCGTGAAGTCGTCGAGGGCTGCGCAGACCAACATGATGGAGTCCCATCTCAAGTGAGGGTTGTCCATATGGACTCACTGCGTATTCATTTGGGTGTATCTCCATCTCGCTCAGAGGCCTCACGAGCCCGGGGCTTTGAGGCACAGGATAAGGATAGGGTGCAGGCGGGTGACTGCTGGCTGGCTGGATAGGAGGGAGTGCTCTTTGTGTCTGGTGTTGGGGAGCTGTGGCCTGAGCAGCATAGCCACCATGTACTGGTGCGACTTGGGGCCATGAACGCGCTGCATTTGGGTACTGGGAAGGCCAACCTTGATTCGGCTGACCAGAATTAACTTGCCCCTGCGACATGGGTTGCATATTCGGTGGTTGCAGAACATATTGAGGGAACTGTAACCCTGACGTATGTCCATTGTGCGCTGTGGTACCTTGAGCAATTGGCCCGGCCTGTGTCGACTGTTGTTGAAACGAACTTGTTCGTCTTTGACTGTTCTGTGCCGGACCGTTCGAACTTACCACTCGAGACGGCGGTACACCCTGTGCCGCATATGATGCCGGGTACGGGTACGGTGGCATTGTACCGGCAGACCCCGGGGTTAAAGGCTGATGAATCTGGGACGGCGAGTTGACGAAATTCTGAGGAGCCTGATTCATCATGGATTCTGGCGTCCTTTGGGCCCAACTTGATGCGTTCTGCACGTGCGTATTCACTCGAGGAGCGGAGCTGCCTAAGACTGCCGGGCCTGAGGCTCTGCGACTAGCCATATGCGCTTCTGCTTGGGTGATAACAGGAGATGGAGCCCCAGAATTACTTGGAAGAGTAAAGTGGGGGTGGGATAAAATCGGAGATGGATGAGCAGACAAACGCGCACCATGTCGTTGGGCCGAAGGTGGGAAACTGGGCAGAGTGGGAGAGGGGGCAGCGTCTAGAGACAAACGGTTAGCAAAACAGAATCTCTAGAACAAGATAGTGAAACTCACTTTGGTTAGGCGGTTGTTGATACCGGAAGAGCTGCATGGTGTTTACATATGCAGTTGCGAAACCGCCTCTAATCTGGCGCACCTCTTCAGCGCTGCGCGGAGCAGCGGCTATTTGGGCTTCGCTAGCCCTGTCTTTGGCGAAGATCTCGTTAAGTGACGTCGCAAGCGGACCGTCCTCGACCCGAAGAGTCCTACGGCTTGTGGTGAAGAGTAAGGACTGCATTTGGGTAGACGTGCAACTCAGATTGTGGACCATCTCGGAGACAAGTAAGGGGAACTTTCTGGACTCGGCCAATGCCATCATTGGCTCCCAAGTAGCGGAGAGTTGGTGAAGGAATCGCGCAACCACGCTAACCAACATACACTGCGGAGAGGAGCGAGAAATCTCGGTCAGGGGTCCGGGGAAGTTTGTGAGCCATTCGAGGTGAGGGGGCGAAATCAACTGATTCTGCCTAAGAATGACCTGCATGTACCCAAACGCGTGGTCAACGGCCTCGAATGATATGTGAGAAGCGAGGAGGGAGTGGACGAAGGGCCTGTCGCGAGACCACCCGCAGAATAGCTGATGGAGTACAACGTAAAACACATCCGCATTCGCGCAGGCGTCTCGCAGGATCCGATACCTAGGGATCTCGACTGTTTCGTTGAGTAGTCTTGGACCGTTGAATTGTTCCATGTGAGTAGATAATATTCGCAGCCAGTCTTTCAATGCCTGCGTGACCGGATCATCTCGCCCGATGCGCATGCGTTTGCGTCGACGTTCGGCGGTCCCAGGATCTGGCGCTGTCCTCTGACTGGACTGGGGAGAGGATATGTGAACTCCGGCAGGCATTGAGGGCCCGGGGGCTGGTTCCTGCCGTGGAGAAGCATTGACGCCAGAGGCAGCGGCCATTGCCCGTTCTATTACTGTCTGTGGGATAGGTCCCGAGGGGGGTGCAGCATAGGTCTGTGACGACGGCCCTGCGGTGGGCATGGAGGTTGGGACCGTTGGGGCGGTATTTGGTGTGGGAGCCATGGAGACTCGCGAGTTGTATTCGGGGACAGCGCGTTGCGGGGGGATTGTATTGTCAGCATATCCGCTTAAGCCTTGGTTTGGGCTGTCGGTCTGGCTCGAGATGACTGGGCTTGGCTCGTCGGTTGGAGCTGGAGAGGGCAGGACAGCTTGGTTTCTACCATCAAAGGTTAGCGGAGTTGAGCAAAGACGCGGCTCGAGCAGATGTTCGTTTCATCCGCCTGGGGCACACGGCAACAGGCCACGGCCACCTCCAAGCTGTGCTCAAAGCAGCTGGCTTGGAATGACACGCACATGTGGGTATAGGAAGATTGGTGTAGTATTACCTCGAAGCATCCAACACTGCAGGCTGGTCCAATCTCGGGATTATTGGGGTATTCTCGCGTGGCCCAGTGTTGCCATCATTCGCAGATGGGGCACCCAGGGGTGCGTGTTCTTTTCTAGGCCGACCGCGCTTGCGAGGGACAACCTCAGATACCCGGATGAGGTTGGATGTCGTGGGTGCGGCATCTGTCATCCACGAGTGATGACGGCCACCGATGAAGGCGTTTACGGTCTGGTTGGAGGTAGCGATTTGCGAGGCTTCTTGCGAAGGATTGGCCCGTGACTGGGGCTGGTCGAGCGACTGTGGCATTTCACGGGTCGACAGCGTGGGGGGAGGTTCTAAGATTTGGCACTGTCAGGGACTTGAAGTTCTGGCGGGCCGACGAGCGCAGCCAGAGCAATAGAGGGGCATCAGTTGAGTGGGAAATGAGAGGTTACCATTTGGAATCCAGTGTTCATGCTCAGCGTCTCCTCTTTTTGAAGCCGAGTGCAAACTGGCTGGTCATGATTCGACACCTTGTTCTAGGAGGGGGAGCGACAGGCGGCAGCGTCTGTAGCGATCGCAGGTTTGTCAAACACGCAGACGACGAGAAGGCGACGGTTGTTGGAGGTCACGAGCCTAGGATGGAAAGGGATAGGGCCGAAAGCGGGATGCCGGGTGAAGGGCGACGAGCTGAAGCACACGACGATGATGGGGGAAGTCGGAAGCGTTTGCGCGATGGCGATGGCGATGGCGATGACGGCGGTAATGGCGGCGAAAATGGCAGGACGGCGGCGACGGTGACGGCTGCGAGGTTTTCAACCGGCAGTAATGACAGCAGCGACAACGACGATGGAAGCGACGATGATGGAGGGTCGTTGGGGGGGTTCTATCCGATCGGGAGCAAAAGGCGCAGCCGGTCCAACAGCGGACTGGCTACCGGCTTCAGAGTCCGACTAAAGAGGCTCTTTGCGTCGCCGTTGTTGGTTGCTCGCAGCCTCAGCCTGCTGGGTTCCCCGATGTGGTTGGTACGATGCTGCTGGGGTGCGCTGGTCTGGGGTGGATCCCTGGGGAAGGATAGCGCCTACAAGCCTAACAGGCCCCTACGGATAAAGCACTTACCTATCGTAAGCCCCTAAGCCGCTTACGGTCTAGGCACTACGGTGAGTCTAGGGTAGATGTCACAGTTAATGTAGCAGATCCCCTTGCTCCTGGCCGCCACGTTCTAGGCAATCCTATGTGAATTGATTCATCAGTACGAGATAGGAAGGTACGATGTTGGTGTTTGAAAATCTGCGAAATCGGGTGCAATTTAGGGCGGATAGGCACATTTGATGCACAGCTACGTTGGAGTCGGGTAGGTCGGTTGGGGGCGTTTTACCCGCAGCCGGGTAAGCATATCAAAGGTGACCACGTAATTCAACAAATGACTTATCAGCAAACAGAGCAAGTTTTCTTCACCAGCGACTCATATTCCACGCATTGCTTCTACAATGTACACCATCCCGCATTGTGCCAGTCGTTTATTGATTGCCCCCTTGCGTACGAAGCAATCGCCACAGGCATGTACGAAAACGTGGAGTGGTGGGGCTTACTGGACTTTGAGACAAATAATCAAAATGAAGACGGGCTTTTTTAATATATATTCCAGGCCGATAGATAGGAATGAAAGAAGAGGACCCGGCAATTCCCGACCTAGTCTATATCTTTAAATAACTGTACGCGCATCGTGAATTTTATTTTTACCGATACCCGCATACTTCGCGTCTCTTTTTTTAACATCTGCTTGCTCGCATGTCACTGATGATCAAACAAGGGTGGACCAGTGTAGTGGGGCAAAAGACGAATTGCACAACAGAAAAATAAATGCAAAGCGAAACATAACGGGGACGGATGATTGTTAAAGACAAGTTCGACAGCGACGACTTTGAGAGTGTCCAATCGCCGTCCAAGATTGGTGTGTTACAGTACCAATGCGTTTCTCATGATATAAACAATGCCGCTGCAAAATTTAGGTTGGTCCAGGCCGCATTGTCACTGTGTATTCCACCGGCGTATTGCTCCGTGCTCCTGGTTCTCCCTCTACCCATGAACGGCTTGGCAGGTTTTCAACGGTACTGTGGGCAATTGGTACGGGCGCCGCCATCATTCCCCACGCCCAACGGACGCCCCGGATCTGACGAGAACTGGTGTACGTAGCAGTAGGGTGAGCCTCAGGTCATGGTCGGGGCCAGGTGGGAACCCCTCGACAATTACGATGTACGTATCTCTCGGAGCGTTGGGGAGAGTTTGAGTTATGCCGGCGGCTTGGTCGACCTTTCCCACCTGGGATGCACTACGGAGGAAGGAAGGCCAGCACGAGGGTTTTTCTGCATTTTATTACGCCCCATGGCATTCGACAGGCACCCGTGAGCGCCACCTGCCCTTTGGTTGATGGTGGCTTGTACCTTGCCTACCTCAAGGTACCATTGTCGGGAAGACGGGGGAGACGGACAAGAGAAGCCACGGTGATGATTTGATGATGCACGTCCTTCATTCCTTAAAATTGTTGGTCCATTCACACATAACTAGGTATTTTATCTCCTGCTAGTCTAGGTTTTCTTTCCCCTGTCCCGTGATCTCCATGATCTCCATGATCTCCATGATTTCCTCGGTGCCCCTCAGCCGTTTCTTCTTCTTCTTGGATAGGTACACTTCGCTACTCCAGTATTACATCTCTCTGGAAAATGGTTGTAGGACGATAGTGACCCTATGGGATTGCCCCATGAGGCTTGTTTGCACATCCCTTGGAACTTTCCCGTTTCCCTTTTCTAACCTTGTGGAAATAAACCCCATCGCCCTCGGCCCACAGACGGATGTCCCTGGCCATAGGCGGCCCACCATCCGTCGTCTGGGTGTCTTACAACAACAACAACAACTACCGATGTCGACGCTGGCGTGTGCTGCCCTCATCTCACCCTTGCCCTTCCTTTTGCAAACCCTGGCCAACTGAGCTGAGCTGGCACCGCACCCGAAAATAGCACATCGAGGTTGGGCGCATCAACATCCAATCCCAACACAGGTTGGAGCGGTACCCGTGCAGCGCAGGACTGTAGTCAGCTTCATTATAACGCCTCCTCCTGAAACCGTTAAAACCTTGAAAGGCCTTTGTTCTCGAACAAGCGTCTTATACACAGGCGCCAAGTACAGTCGAAAAACCATGACCTCTGCCGACGACAGGTGGCTCGTAAAATTGTTCCTCACGTTGCTGCGGCCCATTCCCAGACGACGCCTCATATCTGAGCGCCCATCGACCTGTTCTAGAGCCAGGGAGCATCGTCGCACCAATCGCAGCCGTCCACGCCGGGCCCTCATTCGCTGTCGCCAGGGACCAGACCACCCCTCTCGTACCTCGTGCCTCGTGCTTTGTGCCTCGTCCCAATCCCACTCCCGCTCCGGTCCAGCGCTGCAGGGTGCCTGCGGCCACAGGCCGGTAGTGCATGTACCAGTCCACACAACGCACCACCGCATTCGCACAGCGCACCAAGAGCACGCCAGAAGTACCAGTTGCACCAGTTGCACCAAGTTGCATCAAAGTTGCACCAGGAAGCCTCTGCGCCGAGACCAGCACCGAGAGCTTACCCACCTCCAGGTACCTAAGGTACTCCCGCGCCTAGGTAAGGTACCCAAGGGAGGTACGTTAGTAGTTACCTACCTAGGTACCTACGTCCACACCCTCCGCCAGTGGCCGAAGCTCAGAGGCTCAAAGCACCACCGCCATCTCCACCGTTGCCGCACCTGGCATCTTCAGCACTTGTCTGCGCGACTCCATCCATCCATCTCTCTCCCGCCATCCCGTCGTCGAAATCGTCGAAACTGTCGAAATCCCCGAAACCTGCTCCAACTACACCGAGCGGAGCCTTGCCACGAGGGCCTGGCAGATGGCCGTCGCTACGATTGTATTCCAGCTTCACTTCACCATCCCTCGCTCTAGCGTCCTTCGCCCTTGACGTTCCCCCGTCATCGCCCATCACCCATCGCCCGGCGCCCGTCCAACCCACCTGCGCCGCCGCCGCCCCTCTGCCATCCCTTCAACCAGTGCCGCCGCCCTTGGCCTCCACTGTCTTTTTCCGTTCCTCGCCCAGTCCCTTGTCTCAACCGCCAACATCCAACATCTAGTCCCCTTCTATCCTCAACTCCCAGCGGCTCCTGGCACCATCCAACCATGGCCGCAAGAGGCCCAAACGATGGCCAGGTCCGCCCCATGGCAGGCGACCTTTTGCTCGTAATACGTGAGTCTTCTTCATTGAGCCTCTCCATGCCTCCATGCCCTCTCCCCTCTCTCCAATCTTGCGACACCATATCGCGCCACTCTTCTGACTCGTGGCCTCTTCGCATGTAGACGACTTCCAAGCCCGGAGTTCCGACGAATTGAGCCTGGCAAAGGGCGACCGAGTCGAACTAATCGAACGGGACGACGAGTTCGGCGACGGATGGTTTCTGGGTCGCCACCTCGTCAACAGCAACACTGGTCTCTTCCCCGAAGGTTTGTCTGTCCCGCGCTGGCACCACATCCCCGCCGAAACGACTAACATTTGTCAGTCTACACTCGGCCGGCCCCCAAGAATATTCCTACCAGCTCGTTTGCTTCAAAACCCAACAGTCCCCAGCCAGCACAAGAGCCTAGAGTGATAGGCACGGCCGATGCGACCCTGAAGGATGATCATGCTCCCACGCCACAGCCCGCGGCACTGTCGCAACCAATCGACCATCCAGTTACCCTGCCGCTCAACTCGGTCAAGCCTGATAGCGTTCTCGCTCCGACAGAACCCCCCTCGATGTCTCTCCTTGCTCAACTCGCAAACCCATCGCAGGACAGCCCCGTGCTGCACGAGACCTTGACCGTTATCAACGAGCATATTACAGACCTCCGGTCGCCCTCGAGCAATGGCGGACTCCGGACCAACGGGAACGATTCTGGAAGCGAATACAGCAGCAACCACCTCGACCATCGAACGTCCTATATTCATGGAGAGGAAACCGACGAAGAGGAAGACGGACTTCACACCACCCGTGCGGAAGTCGAAGCGTGGTCTGCTGACGCTGTTGCTGAGTATCTCTTTACCTCGGGCGTGGAGAAGCATCACTGCGAGGTCTTCAGAGACCAAGAAATCTCGGGAGAGGTACTCTTGGGCATGGACCAAAGCTCACTGTTCATCAAGGCGTTTGATCTAGGCTCGGTCGGTCGGCGACTCAAGACGTGGCACAAGATCAAGGCCCTCCAAGACGAAGTCAGTGGCTCGGGACTTGAAACGCGACGGTCAACGCAAACATACGGAAGCGAGGCTGGAGGTGAGGAAGGCCGACGGACTAGAAGTCGCACAAACACTTTGACAAACCGACCTACTTCTATTCAGACAAGACGGCTTTCCCTGTCACACACCCCTAAAGCTTCTCCGACGACACTCACGCCGTTAGCTCAAGACGGTTCGTCCCGCGCAAGCCATGTTAAGAGACCGTCCGCTGCGTCTATTAGGGAATTGCACCAGTCGCGTCGCCATTCATCCACCGAGTTCCACCTCCCTGGGACGGCGGTCACGACTGGAGCTTCCCCTATTCCCAAAATCGCCCACCTCGGTACGTTCCCCACAGATGGGTCGCATAAGAAGCAACCATCATTTGACCGGAATTGGACTTTAGGAGGCGCCACACCAAGGCCCTTGTCCTCGACTGGCCTCCAAGATCTCTTGAGCCCGCCGAGTGGCGCAGATCTACAAGATTCAGCCGTCGAGTTAGACCGGGGATATTTCTCTGGGACAGAGGTGGATGGGAGAAAGCGGAACCTACTGCGAAAGCGTGACAGCGGCGCTGAATCTAGGAAGTCAAGCTATGCGGAGGAGCAGAGGGTTCGAAGCGCCACGGCCATCACGAGGCAGTCGAGATTTGGAAGCATGGGCTCATTGACCGAAGGTGGCCTGTCTTCCGCCGCCCATAAATATTATGGCCTCCAGACAGGGGCTCATAGGAGAACCGCATCGAGCACCACCACCGAGTCCATCAGGAACATGCCTTCAGCTGGCGAGGCACCGTCACCCACCGTGACGAAACTTGACACCTCGGTTGGAACGAGTCGCTCATCGACGTCAGGATCGACATCGAAAATTCCAGGATTCAATTCTGACTGGCTCTCCGCTGTGGTCAACAAGCCCATGTCTCTAGCTGGAAGCATGGGCAAGCGTGCCATCTCAGATAACCAGGGCAGTGACCGCTCCAAGTCCGGGACGCCAATTGAGTCTCCCAGCAAGGAAATGATGGTTGAGTCGCCGGCGCGTACTGGATCGACCACACCCTCCGGAGGTCCCAGCTTTGACCTCGAGTCTACTGACACAGCAAAGAGCCCCAGCGCTTCAACCACCCAAGTCAGCAAGAATAACCGCAAGAAGAATAAAAAGGAGACCAGCGCATATACTCGCGGTCTCTTAAAGATACCACCCAAGGAGGCGATCAAGGATGCGGACTATAGTGGTTGGATGAGGAAGAAGAGCTCCAACCTCATGACGACATGGAAACCGCGGCTGTTCGTCCTCAAGGGCCGACGGTTGGCTTATTATTATTCCGAGGATGATGACCACGAGAAAGGCTTGATTGACATCTCCTTCCACAGGGTTCTCCCTGCCGATAACGAGAAGTTGACAGGCCTCCATGCCACCATCACCGGCGTTGTGGGTGGTCAGGCGATGCCGACTAATCAGAATGATTCCGAGGAATTGGCCAAAGGAGATGATGCCATCTTTATTTTCAAGCTCGTACCACCACGAGCTGGCCTGTCGAGAGCTGTCAACTTTACCAAACCAACCGTCCACTATTTTGCGGTGCCCAACTTGAAACAAGGCCGGCTGTGGATGGCAGCACTGATGAAGGCCACGATTGACCGAGACGACACCAAGCCCATCACTACCACCTATCAACAGAAGACCATCTCACTTGCCAAAGCAAAGCAAATGCGCCATCGCCCTCCTGCCCTGATGAATCTCGAGGAAGGCGCTGAGAATGGATCTGGCGTGGAGAAGAAGGATTCGAATGGTCTCGGCATCTCATACGACGAGGCGGACAGCGGTGTTTCTGGTGTGGATAAACTAAAGGCCGAGGACACCAAGGCCAGCAGCGAGTCCGGAGAGAAGGATAGTACTCTCACCGCATAGAGTACCCGAGGAGCTCAGTGTGTTTGTTTCTTTGCTAGGAATCCAATGACGAGGAATGATTACCGAGTCGTTGAAGGGCGATGGCGCTGGGGAGGAACCATGGTTTCTCTGAGCAACTGGCGCTTGGGATTTTTGTTGCTTTGTTTGATGTTGTTATTTTTTCGTTTTCCAACTTGTCATATACGATACCTACACCCGATTGGCTCGAGGAGGAAAGGGGCAAAGGGCGACCCGGCCTGGCGCGGGTCAGGGGAGGAACGCCGGAGCAAGCGTTCAGATGCAGTTTAAAACGAAACAATGACGTGACAAGACGATGAAGGAAGACGGGAGCTGTCGGTCCTTTCTAGTTTGGAGTGTTGAGGGGTATGATGGATGGGGGTTTGGTGGGCGGATACATATTAGCGTCTACAATTTTGGACTTTAATCTGATGAAAAATTTCTGTTGATGAGACTACAAGTAAAACGGGGATGTGTTTGACACGTTTACCAAGCCTGGGTTGTATAGTGGAGGGCGAGTGAATGGTTTGTATGAACATGGGAGACACAGTAGACAGACAAGAGGGCGCAATGTACGAAGTATCATACGTTGTTTTGGCTAGATGTCTGCTTGCTCTAGAGGTATATCGTAGAAGCCGAAAAGAAGTAGAATGAATTCCCCCAAGAGGTTCGCCCACCTCTATCGAGCTATAACTGCCGCATGGAAAACAAAAGCCCGGTGCTTGGTTCCCGTTCTAACAAGACAGGCCATTAAAAGCTACCTATCCAGCTCCAGTCATACTCATTAGACCGTTAAAAAACGCCCCCCAAAAAGCAGAATATCGTCAACTTGTCCCATTTCCATTCCATTCCATATCATCCGCTCATGTCAGATTCGCTTGGGTCCAGTCAGGATGCATTGGCTCTAGGCACCGACACCCTGAAGCTTTTGGTTCATACCCGTGAGAAGCTGGCGGATCGACTTAATGAGATGTTGCTCGACCCCCTCAAAGTTGCCAACAGAGGGCTCGCCTTCGGCGGGTGGGGGAACGATGCTGGCGTCGGCGAGGCCAAGAACACGGTCGATGGCTGAGAGGGTGACAGCCTCGGCCTTGGACTCGCCGAGTTTGGCCTTGAGCGCCTTGATGGAGACGTCCTTGAAGCCGGTGAGGGAGGCGAGGACCTTGGCTTCGAAGATGGGTGGCGCATCCGAAGATGATGGGCCGGCTCCAGGTGTTGGGCTCTTGGTTTTTGTAAATCCGTCAATGACCTGGCGGATACCCTTCATGCAGATAGTCTCCATCTTGTCGTTCTCAGTGGCCTCCTTCTTGAGCCCGATGCAGCGGTTGAGGGCTGACATGACGATGGCCTCGGCCTTGGGGTTGCGGGCCTTCTTGAGGTTTTCGACGAGGCCATTCTTAAGGCCGACAACTGCTGTGAGGAGACGGGGTTCGATGACGGGTCGAGCTGGGGTGGTGGGTGTCGGAGTCGCTGCGGGACGGCTTGGAGCGGCAGCGACAGGAGCGACAGGAGCAACAGGAGCAATAGGAGCAACGGCAGCAACGGCAGCAACAGGATGCTGTGATATTGATACAGGTCCAGGAACAGTCTTCGCTGCAATTGGCGCGGCCGCAGGCTGCTGAGCAGGCGGTACCGCTGCAGGGGCATGTCCGTCCTCATTCTTAATCGGCGGAGTCGCTGATGGGGGCGGCCTTGCATAAGGCGAGCTATAAGCACCCGGCTGAGGTGCTCCGAGTTGTGGCCGGGCGGGAGCCGGCGGAGGCCCATAGCCTGGCAACTGTGCTGGCGCTGGCAGTTGAGATGCCACGGGCAGAACTGGCTGACCCGGGGGTGATGCGGATGCCCCATATGGTTGCACCGGCCGTCCTGGCTGGCCTTGCTGCGCATTGTATGCGGGTACTTGGTACACTGGAGGCGCTTGGCTGGGGGGATGATAGCCGGGGGCGCCGGGAGGGATGTGCTGCGCAGCGTTGTATGGGTATGGATATTGACCATAGGCTTGAGCCGCCGCCAGCCCTCGATCTGGTGATGATGCCTTGCGCTTCTTTCCCGCGTCCAACTCGACGCCCGGAACACGCGACCAAAGATTCGTCGTCTCATCCTTCTTGAAGGCCTCGTTCCCAATGAGGTTATGTCGGACACTGCTCTCCCAGCCTTTGGTTTCGGTGTGGAAATAGAACCATGGATATCTCTGACAAATTCGCTTGTAAATTTGCTTGAGCGTGAGACCGTCTGGGCCCGCCGCGGTAAGGGTCTCGTCGATAAGCACACCGTAGTTCTTGTTGGGTTTCTGAAGTTGCTCTTCGGTGTAGTCCTCTATCTTGAGCTCCAGCGGAGGTGACTTGGGGCGAGCCTTCTTCTCTTTCTTCTCTCTGGCACGCCGCTCTGCGTCCGATCCTTCTGCGCCATCCTCGTTCTTCGGTTTCCGAGGTTTATACTTGCGCTTCTCTGGTCGTTCGCTTGAATTCTCCGGTAGCGGATGTTTCCTAGGTCGCCCGACCTTCCGCTTGATGGGAGGCTCAACCGGTGGTGCCTGGGGCAGCGTCTTCTTAGCCATCTCCTGCTGTTGCTTTTTCAATAGGCGCTGCTCTCGCTTCGACATAATTCCATTCTTCGGTGGCCTTCCGGGTCCTCGCTTCTTGGGCATCTGTGGCATTAGCGGATGTGGTTGGGGCATGAGTTCATGCTTGACCCTGCCTTCTGGGTCGAGGCTAGGCCTCTCAAGCTCTGCCTCGACCGTCTCGACGACGTCGGCCTCCTCGATCTCTTCTTCCTCCCCATCTCCATCTACATCCCCTTCGGCATCCACTTCAGCATCCTCTTCAGGGTCCCCTTCAGGGTCCCCTTCAGCATCTCCATCTGCATCTCCATCTCCAAAGTCGGACAGTTCGGGTGGGCTGGCCACTTCGGAAAGCTCATCACTCGTGTCACGTACTTCGCCATTGCCGTGTGAGGACTCGAAGTCAAAGCTCATCTCCTTTCCGCCATGAGTACGTTTCTTTGTTGTTGGAGTAATCTCCTCCACGTCTTCTTCCGCCCCAGTACAACCTCGCTCCACGCCGTTGATCAAGAAGCGGAAATCAATGTCCTTGATCTGAAGCCGGTCACCACATTTCAACACGACCTTTTCACTCTTGTAATGCACATCCTCGCAGAAGAAGCCATTCTTATGCAGAGGGATGGCCTCGAACACGCCTTCTTCTTGATTGTACGCAATCTTGAGATGCTCTCGTGAGATGGCCTTGGTTTTAGTCGCAATATTGGGACCCGGAGAGTGGATACCGATAAAGGGAACATGCCATGGGGAGGGCCTCAGTGAGGTCAAGTCTACAGCGGCGGCGCCGGGTGTGTGAGACACATATTGTCGATTCGAAATCATGTTCTCCTGGGCCTGTTGCGCTTCGTCGTTTTCATTTTGCGATGAGCCTTGAGTACTAGTCTTGCGTCGCTTCGCGGGCCGGCCATTCTCTCCATTGTCTGATTCAGGCCCTAGCATTCCACCTTCCTCACTGACATAGGACTTGCTAAATTTTCCCCGCTCGTACGCGATGGGCGAGGGTGGGGGAAGACCCCGATTGGCGTTGTCCTCGACGCGACGCCTGTGCTCATCCGCACGTTTCTCATCGCGACGGGCCTGCTCGAGAGCGCGCTGATCTCTGCCGATGATGACGGCGTAGGTGGTCATCTGGAAGACACTGTCGGCAAACTCAACCCGCGCAAAGGATTCGAGGGCCTTGTCGGCACCGGCCTGACGGATGGCGTTTGCGGGGGCGAGGCCGTGGAAGGCCTCATCCATGGGGTTAGGTAGGGTGACCTGGGAGGGAGTGACGGTTGGAGGCGGCGACATGGCGCTGGGGGCTCCGGACATGGACGCCAAGGCCATCATCATGTAGGCGTGCTGATCTAGACTAGGTATCGCAGCCGGGGTGAAGGGCGTGGAGGGAGCGAAGTGGTCGGGCGCGGCCATGGCTGTGTCGTGGTGGAGGTGCAGTTGCTGTTGTACGGGCGTTGCCTGAGGTTGAGGCTCAGCGGGCCGCGGTGTCGCGTCGAAGCCGTCGAGGGCAGGAGCATCCGGCATTGCGTGGTCGGCTGAGGGGGCGCCATCGGCAGTTGTTGATGCTGGCTGGGCATCGGAGGCCCCCGCTTGGTGGTCGGCGGCCATGGCGGCGACGGCAGAGCGGAACGGGGGCGGCGGCGTCGAAGGCGGAGGAGGATGGGCTGATGTTGATGGTGCTGATGTTGATGCCGCTGTCGATGCGGAAGCCGACGCGGATGTGGATGCGGGAGCGGTCGGGTTCGCGGTTTGTGATTCAGGCGCTGCGGCCGGGGCCGGGGCCGACGCGATTGGGGCAGTTGGAGGAGCAGTTGGAGGAGCAGAAGACGATGCTGGCGGATTCGACGGGTGCTGGCGATGCAGCGAGCCGGCAGCAGCTGTGCGGTGAGGGTGAGCAGAGTCTTCGGTGTGCGCTGAGGGAGCGGTCTCGGGCGCGGGCGCAGGCGTTGCGGGCTTGGGCGAATGCGCAGGCTGCGGGTGGTGCAGGCCAAAGCCATTGCGGCCAGCGGCGGCAGCGGCAGCGGCAGTGGACGAAGTCATCGCTGGTCCTGCTGACAGCTCCTTCGTCGCTCGCCCTCGGGGTCGGGGTCCGGGGCTTGGGGATTGGCGAGGAGTCGACGGGGCAGGCGCCGGATGGCCGTTGCTGAGGCTGTCCTGAAGGATGGGGCGGAAAATAAGAGGCAGAAGGAGCGACGACGAGGCTTTCGCTGTTTGGCCTTAGCCTAGGCTGGTCTTGAGCCGCGATGTCTGGGATGAGGAGAGGGGCTGCCGGTGCGCTGTGATTGGCCCGGTGCAGGGGGTCGTGCCTTCCTTGCAAAAGTGCAGAGCCCCCAGTGCAAGTCCGAGCCGGGTTCTCTCCAAACTTAACGTACGTCTGTCAACAAGGTATCACCGCGGCATCACCTTGGGGGTACTTTCTGTTGCACAGCTCGAGTGATTGCATGTTTTTGGTCGCAAGAAACGCAACAGGTCAACGATGAGTCAATGTCAGACGTTACTCACATTGGCGCCTATTCTACCGGCTGCTTCAATTCATGAAAGAGTTTAGAGACGGGTTTAGCTTTCCTTTGTTGCCTTGTTGACCCCAAATATCTACTATACGGTCATGCTGTTGTGTCTGGCTCATTTGGTAAACTCTCACTCATTTCGATTGGGAACCGCCAATGCGCCCCCATAATGGGAAAAATGAAAAACGCTACAACAACCACTTTTGTCACATCAAGGAACACACAAAATTCAGGCCATTCAGGTCATTCAAGGGATGGTATATGCCACCCTCCAGAGAGATCTATAGGATGTTAGGACCCTGGACGAATAGCCACTCAGGTATAGCTGGGCACCCAAGCTGGTTGCGAGATATTCCCAAGTCCTCCACGGCCGAAACGAGACCATGGGGACAAGGAGAGCCATTCTGTAGCATAGAACCTGAAACACCAAATCATGGACTTATCGAAATTTCATCGGAGGAGTGAGCTGCTCTCAGTTGGGAACCCTCCACGACGCGTCTTCCACTCCGCCAACCGCTCTGACAGCCGGTACGCTCCGTGGCACAACATGCCCGCCAGGAACCCCACGGCATCGTTTCGGAACGCAAGGAGGCCTGCTGTCGTGGTCAACATCACCGTCCACCTTTCCATGCGCTCGTCGTCTGACACGTCACGATGTCGACGGAGTCTCCCAATGGAGTGGCCGCTTTCTTGCTCAGCTGCCGTCTGCCATAAATCAGGTGCTCCCTGGTTGAGGCTTTGCCCAACCTTGGCAAGCTCCAAGCCAGCCGCTAGGACCATGATTCCAAGGAGACTCTTGGGGTAATGTGCTAGAAGGTCTACAATGGTCTCACCGAATATGAGACCAAGCAGCAGCTTGAAGGTACCCAGGACAATGACACTGGCCCCGCTTCGTGCACCGAATCGGTATTGGGCAGCGAGTCCACCAGCGCCATGGCACACGGGCATCCCTCCAAACCAGGTACTCGTCAGGTTCATCACACCTACACTGATACCGATGGAGCTGACCGAGGGGGTAGGGAGATTAGGGAGAAGATCGTGAGAGAAGGCGCTTACGGCGATGATGGAGTTGAGCGTGGTGAGAGGCAGTTGGCCAATAGCCATCCATAGAGCAGGTGAATCGTTGTGCCCGAACCATCGGGGCATGACGAAATGCGGATGCCAAATATGGAACCCCGGAAGGTTGTGATGAGAGCCAAGAACTTGGATAAAGGCCAGTAATAGAGCGAGGAGGAAGAAGAGCAAGGCGTATGGGAAGCGAGGTAGTTTCTGGGTGCCGATGAGAACGAGGAAGGCGGCAATGGCCCAGATACGGTTGTCGAGTGCCGGGTGAATCCAGTGCAAGGGTTGCAGCAACGACGTGCCAGCGCCGAGGATCAACGAGAGGCCAGCTCCGAGTTGGATGCCCTTGACGACGGGGATAGGGACGACGGACACGACCCATCGCAGGATACCTGTGACGCTCATGACCAGCACGGCAGCACCAACCCACTGACCAGCCGCGGTGACAACGCCCATGGCTGGATCACCACGCCCTGAGATGGCGGCGGCAGCGATAGCCTAAGAGGATGTACGTTAGTTTTCATGACAATATCGTTTGTGTAAGCCTCCCTGTCCGCAACAACCGGAAGCTGGGGATAATACTGACCTTCATGGGTTGGACGGGCAGCGGGATGCCATAGATGATACCAGTAAGGATATTGAAGATGCCTGAGAAGACTAGGGTAGTGCCGAGCTTGATAGAACCTTGGGCGGCTAGGGCAATCATGAGAGGGAGCAGGGTGCCTAAATCGCCGAGGGAACCCGATATCTCGGCCCATGGCGCTGATCGGAAAGTCTCGATGTTGTTGCGGTTGAGACGCTTGAGGTTATCTAGCCACGAGCGAGCCATGACTGGGGACGGGCGCGACGCTGCGACGCTGCGACGCTCGATGCTCTAGAGAACGAATGCAGTAGTATCCAGACGACGTTGGGTATAGTGTGGCGGCAGTAGATCGGTCGCTAAGGCCAGCTGCAGCTCAGAAGCACGGCTAAATTGCCCGATGACAATGGCAGCGACGACTTGATCCCGCCTATACAAGAGTCCAGGGCACTGATAGGGAGCATGAATAGCGCTCCAGCAGCTAAGTCGAGTTGGGGGACGCAAAAGGAAGCGCAGGCAGGCTTGCAGGCATATCCGATGCTGGCTAGGAATGCTAAAGATGGATGTCACAAATGGGGCGACTCCGCGAGCTGTATTCACAGTTTCGTAGATGCCTACGTCAGTGCTGGCGGAAGCTCCCAGCGTCAAGCCGCAGTTGTCAGTGGCACGAGCGTAGCCAGCGTCAACCACCAACTGGAAAAAGCCGCATGCACGGGACCACGAGCGCGTGGTATGGATACCTCACATGGGTAGGTACTTACTGTCTGGGCAAATATATTACTGCATGTAGGTTACCGTGGTCAGACATTGACTGATTGACGTCTTGTGCATCTCCGTTTCCCCCGGCGTCAGCAGCCAATCGCCTGGCTCGAGTTACCTGTTTCTGGTTCACCGACAAAATGTCTCGTGAACCTCCTGGTCGCGTGCCTCGTATGGCCTGTGAGCCAGCAAAGAGCCAAGAGCCAAGAGCCAAGAGCGCGCGACTTCTCAAGTGCAGTAGAGCCAAGGGAGTGAACAGTTGCGGCATGCTACGCCTTGAGTCGAGCTATAGGCCACCGCCAGACAAGTGCGCTTCACCGAGTAGCATGCGCACCTGGAACGGGATAGCATCGCACTTATTGAGCTTGGCTCAAGACAAACACCGAACGGTGACAGGGCAGCCGAGGCGTGGGGCTTCGGGGATGCGCCCTGGAAAACCTCAGCTGGAAATGACTACAATCCACTCTCTCATTGCCAGTGCTGGGCAACCGAGCAGGACCGGTCAAACATGCCGCATCCTCTACAGACGAGCAGAGGGACGTGCTGCTGCACGAACACAGAGCAGGTGGATTCCCTCTTGGCTTTGGGGAGGAGGGTCGCAGAATGCCTCACAGCGAGCACGATTGGCGACTCTTGGCCTCACTAACCAAGTACCCCATACTCTGCCGCTGCCCCGTCCCTAGCTTGCTTGGCCTGTTCTGGAAACCCACTGGCGACGGATGGGACGGCATCCCACTTACAAGCTACTGGACCGCAAAATTGACGGGGCGGGTGCATGGAGAGCGTAATATTTGTCCCTCATCCCAGCCACAGGAAGAGTCTTCGGGAGCGTCGTCAACCGCTCCAGGCGATGGCTGAATCAATGGGTCCAATGCACAAGAGTCAGTTGAGGTCGCCTCTGGCTTTGACCGTGGAACCAGCCAGTCCAGGACCAGCTAGGAACACCGTTTGGCGGCCATCCATCGGCCAAGGCGAAACCAGGAGGAAAAAAAGTCCGCGGATCGGGGGTTGAATGGGAATAGCCGGACAGGACAAGGACAGTAAGTTAGCTGGACCGGGAGGCTTTTTTCGGGAGGGCCCTATGAGGTCATTGGAAGCGGCTGTCGCGGAGGCTGGCGAGGACTCGAGGCTGGTCAGGCCGGGGTTGACTCAGGGAGTGCGGATGCGATAAGCAAAAAGGCGAGCGTCTCACGGGGACAAGTCGGCATCGGAGGAGCTTTGCCCAAAATGACCGTGTATCAATCTCGTTGAGCTTTGTTTGTCCCTAAGTTTCCAGGGCCTCGCCTGGGATGATGATACTGCAGAGTGGATGAGGCGCCTTCAATTGGGCCAATGCTACTAGGTTAGGCGTTCCTGTGACCCTGAAAACGCTTCCGACAGAAAATAACCGCATCGAATTCCTTAATAATTTCATCGGCCAATTTCTTCAGGTCATGTTCCCGAAACCCTCCTTCACGATCTTGAATCTCTCTTTCGGTGGCGTGAATGTGGCGATCGATAACCCAAAGCGTACTGCCAAGCCGCCAGAGAATGCATGCTCCGATGAAGCCTGCCATGATTGCGATGGAGATAAATGCGGAGTAGTTCTGAGTCGTGAATGTTTCGTATAGGCTTCCAAAAAACAGAATTAGGCTGAGGCTGAGAAGTAGGATTGAAATAATGCTGATTCTTTCTCTAACGTTGAATCTCCAGGGGCCAGTCTCTCTAAGCTGTTTCCGAAAATACTGGAGATTGCTGAGTTCTGGATGTCGCCTGAAAACATTAATTTATGAATATGAAATTCATGGGAAAGAAACATAACGTGGCGTTTCGCCAAGACGCGCTTCGTCAAGACGCGGTGGAATGAAAGGTACAAGCGACATAATCGTTTGGTGTAATGGACAATTAATGGAGGACCACTTTATTTGATGAAAATGCCAGGATTTATTGGTGTGGTGATGAAGAATGGTGGGGTGATGAAGAAGGAAAGGTGAGAAAAAAATGGTGGGGTGGAGCTGCAAAGGACTACTAGTCCAATCGAATTGGATTATGTCATCAACCTTGAGTCGCGGTCAGCTTCGAGTCGACGTTTCCCCCAGGTCCCGCGAGTCTTGGAGCCACATGGATGCAGGCAAGTTGCAGCAGGTCCGAATCGCAAGGGCCGCTGCGTGGCTTGAGCTTTGGCAGTGAGGCCTTTGTTGTTCATGACGACGGATGCGCTCGTCTCGCGCTCGCTCTCGTGCCTCGGCGGGCCCGGGGATGCGCAGGCCGGAAACAGATGAGGCGCGCTTCTTCCCGGCATTGGTTTCGCCTAGGCGTGGGTGTGTGCTGGATGCGAGAGGGCGTGTGTATTGTCGGTCTCGGACGTCGCACGCTGTACGACGCTGGATGCACAGTGTCACGCCGGACTGTAGAGGTTTCGGGGGAAAGTGGAGGCTGGATGGAGTCGACCGGCCGAACTCGTTGATAGCAAATGAAGAAAGGAAAAGAAAAAAGAAAAAAAAATGAGAAGCTGGTTCTGGTCATCTGTATTGCTCACTATGCTTGCGTAGGCACCGTGTAATGGACGTGACGAGAGCTATATGATTGTCAATTGGTACACGCAACATCTAGCATACGGCTCCAAGTTGTAATTGTAGGTAGTTCTCAAGTAAACCGGCAATGAACCTTCCCGGTATTCCACATAGAAAGTAGTAAAGATAACGGTGTGGAATTGGACGAAAACAACAAACGAGGAAATGATGGAGTGAAGCCGACACCCACAGCGACATGGCGACACGACAACAAGACGGCGGTCCCCTCCCGCTGCCCCTACCGTAATCTCTCACTCGCGGCCGTCCATTCGCGACACTTCTTCTTATTACTCGCGTGCTTTGGTTGCGGCCAATGGGCCCAAAATTCGCGCAACGGCCGGGCTGGCACCGTAGCATGTCACAGACAGACCCAGTCCAGACCGGCCAGCTGTACATCCGCAGGACACACAAGCTGCCGCGCAGTACAGTGTACCGGCTGCAGTCCGCACACATGGGAGGGATGATGAAAGAGCCCCCCGTGGACCGTGGGACTTGGTGGGACCTCCGATGATTGTGGGAGGGGAGGCATGGGATGGACTCTCCCGGTGGCTGCTCAATCGGCAAGGCTTCCCCACATGGGTCATCTCACCGCACCGCGTCCACTGCCGTCTTCCGAGTTTCGATTGTCAGTGCACTACTGTAGGTACTGTACCTGGCAATCAGTGAGTGGGATGTCTAGCCCCAGCGTCCAGCTCTGTCAGGGTGGGAGGCATGGCAGCTTGCTTGGCAGCTTGGCAGCGGCGGCTCGGCGATCGTAGCTTCAAGTACAGCCCGGTACATCTCCATAAGCCGTCTTGGCGGGATAGCTCAGGTCACTTTGATACTGAGAGCATGTAATGGAAAGACATTGTTTCCTACCAGGTACCATTGAGTGAGCGATTACGCCCATTGGATACAAGGCCTTCTCCTGCTGGGTGCGGCGTTTGCCTGCGGTGCCTTGCCTATCCTGGGGTGCGTGTTTCGCTTCCTGGGGGGTCCCGTCTGTTTTGCCATCCGGTCGGTGGTCGCCTGGGTCGTAGCAACAATTCCCTCGCGCCAACACACAGACACACGCCCAGACGGACGACAGACCCGATAGCTGAATTTCGCTTGTCTTGCTCTTGTCCGTTTGCGTCTTGTTCGTTCTTCGTGTACGTTCAGCACGATACGTAGCGAGGCCGTGACACTTCAATTGACCTCGCGTCCACTCCAGTCCTCCACCTGTAAGTGTGTATTTCTGCGTTTGGCGCATCAACAATAGCATCATCATCAATCATCAACAACAAATCCACTCATCAGTGTCTCTGATCCCGCGGCTACTGCTACGTACATACATAGTACATGATTAGTACAGTACCTGTTTATCCCGCCACCCTTCTGTAATCGTACCACCCCCTCCCCTCCACCACCAGGACAGACCCTTGCCTACAGCGATGGTACAGTACGGCTTGATTGCTTGCTGCTGCTTGCTGGCTCGCCTTGGCCTAGCCCAATGCCCAGCTGGATCCTCGTCCAAACAGGCCCCAAGCTTTTTCGGGGCGTGACGCTTGTCGGTTCCACTTTTGGTGGTGCCTCTGGTGCCGGCGAGCTGATCAACAAAACCACGGCCGAGCCCGCCTTCGCGACGAGAGTCATTTTGCTTCTCCATCACCCTCCCAGCTTCCAAAGGTAAGGCAAACCAGTGCGTTCCCCTTGCCATCGCCGTCCCCTTCCCAAATCCCCAATGGATTGAATCCGAGGCCGTCCCGCCGTCAATCGTTGCTGCGACTCCTCGACGAACTGCCGGAACTTGCCCTGCTTCTCCCGGCGATCACCTGCTCTGTGACTCTCAGCCTCATCAGGTGCGCTGTGGCTCGCCGCTCGCAGCCTTGATGCAGCGGCCCCTTCCGGTACCCGGCATCGCCGTCCGCTCATGATGCAAGCCAAGCGCAGCCTTATCTCGCATTTGCTTCGGTTCAATCACCTCTCGGTCGCCTCGTCATCGCCCTGGAATCAATCGCGTTCCTCCGAGCCGTCCAATTGATCTCCCGGCGACCTGGCGACCTCATCAATCATCAATTCCACCTTCACTCTCGCATCCGTCTTGCTCAACTCTGCAGCTGGCTGACTTCAGACTCTACAGCAATCTCCACTCCCGTCACAATGGCCGCCATCAACTCCCTCATCACCCGCGAGGCTGTCCACCAGCTTGTCAGGCGCAAGAACTGGCCCGCTAAGAACGTCGGTGTTATGGTCGTCTTCTGTATTGTCGCAGTTGGTAAGTCACCCAGCACCCCCTAGCATCTGCGCCATCACCTCCCCATGTCCCCATACATACCAATTGAACTCGCCTCTAACACTCGTCGATAGTCGCCATCTTCCTCATCGGCCTTTGGATCTCCAAGGTCAGGGCCAGGCGCCAGGCTGCTAAGCCCTCTGAGGTCTAGACGATGAGGTCGGGCTGCCAGTGGTCGAAGGAGAGGAGGGTGACCCAGGGCATGGTCAATTGACGAAAGCGACTGTGTGCCTCGGGTGATGTGGTGTTATGACAAGGTGCCTTCTACGACACGCCGGGTGACCGACTGTGCTCCCGAATTCCAGTCATATCGACTTTGTCCCCGCCATCAACTCAACGCTTGCTTCCCCGCCAACTCACAACGGGGCGTGTCAAGCATCGCGCTGTACATACCTGGATCTCATGGGCAATGTGCTGGAGGACGGGCTCTCGTCGACGTGTTCGTGGTCAGGTGGCTGTATTTTATATTCTAATACTACTGATACCTACCTGTTTGAAGCAAGCTATGGATTCCCATAATCTGTCTGTCTTACTGTGCACATGAAATTTATTTCCACCGGTGAACACTTCGTGACAACTTGTCTCACATGACTCGGATGTTTTATTGGAACCTCAATGCACGATCCATTCTTCTTCGTGTTGTTTTGAGACATTTCGAGATCCCAATGCCTGCAAGGTCTCTCTCACAAGTGCTCACGTCCATTGAGAGCTCATGTAGTCAGGGCAGCCACTCAAGTGAAAATCGCCTTTAATTTCAATAAGTCTATCATAATACTTAACACACATCGTACACTAAATTCCTCACACCTCTATCCGTCTATCTATAAGCCCTCCTTTGCCAACATATCCGCCATGTCCAGGTAAAATGCAATCGCATTGAAGGTCCTTTTCATCCCCATCCACTCCCGCACTGTCCATCCCATTCGGTTCGACCAGTTGATCAAATCCAGGTGGCTCACCCCTAGCAACGTCCCTTTGTACGTCCCCCACCGACTGCTCTCCACACTCACTAGGCCGTCATTGGGGCCCTCAACCGTGGCTAGCACCCCGTGGGGATAGCGGAACGGGCTCAGCAGTGGCGGCGTTTTCACGAAGGCCGCTCCGTATGAGAAGTACCGCACGTCCGGGCTGTCGGGCGTCGCCGGGTTAAACTCGGACTGCATATACCGTCGCGTCAGCTGCGCAAACGCCGCCGTGCCAAAGCCCGCGCGCTCGATCGCCCCGTAGAGCCTGGGCAGGTGGATGGGCGCTTCGCCGCCTTCCTCCAGGAGGTAGTCAGCGAAAGCGCTTCCGCGGTGCGGCGTCGCAACTGTGACGAGGGAAGCGACGCGGACGGGCGGAGGAGACATGTGCGCAAGCATGTACCGTACGTCAAGACCGCCCATGCTGTGGGCGATGATGTTGACAGCATCGGGTGCTGGCGCACATTCAGCGAGTGCCGCGTGCAAGGCCGCGGCGCGGTCGGCGATGGAGCTCGAGGGGGGGACGGTCGGCGTGATGACAATTGCGCCCTGTGCAGTAAGAGCTTCTTTGATTCCATGCCAGTACTGGACCGAGGGGAGGTATGAACTGAGTTGAAGCTCAGAGAACCCGAGGAGGCCGTGGGCGAGGACAATGGGATATTTGGGTGTATCTTAGGGAAGCGTCAGTCGACGGCACATACGACAGCCGGCGAGGAGATGGATGAGCGCAACGTACCGTATGTATCCCTAATCGTCGCATAGTCATCAGAAATCTGCCTCCCGAGAGGACGAATCCGGGGATCTCCATCCCGTCGCAACGGGCGACCCGTCGTCAAGCTCCGGGAGTGTCTGTCGCGCAGGAGACATTGCGCGCGAGTCACGCCGAGGTACGTCGTTGGATTGGTGACTGCAATCGCGGACGGTTTACACTGGACGATCCATCTACTCATTGCTTCAAGGTTGCATGGGTGTACGTGACGGATGGCTGATCAATTGGATTTTGCGATGCGAGGGCTCAGCATCTGGTGCGCGGTTGTTATGTGACGTCACGGTTTTTTTTATAGCTGCACACCAAACTTGTAGGGTCCGTACGTATGTAATCGGCCTCTTCCTTCAAGTTCCTACGACAAGTTGGGAATCGGGATTTTTGTACGAATCTCATGGCTACAGTTTAAATGCACCGGGCTGAGTTGTTTCTTAATTGTATCTCAGGAGTCATTTATTATTGTTGTTTGACTTGCATTATCGTGAACCCATTGTCGGAATAAAGTCGTTAACAAGCGAGCGTGTTTCTCTTCATCCATTACATGCCATTCAATTAATCCTCCAATCTAACACTAAAATTTTGCGTCTCACACCAATCATGATGAAATCTACCAGCAATCTAGTCCCAAGATAACATATGCTATCTCACACCCAAGTTTTAAAGACTTGCCACCCCAGAAACTCCTTCGAAACCGCAGGTTCTCATCAAGTCATTGGAATCTCATGTAACGCTGGCCATGACCAACTGGGCGCTTATATGCCACTTCTACTCTCTGACACCTTGCCTGATGTTGACCCTCTCGTGCGCCCTTGAACAGCCATATCGTCGACATACATGTCCACAGAAGCAGAAGAAGAGTAGTATTAGCTTTTCTCTGGGGGCATGGAACTCGGCGCGTTCTCGTTCGTAACGCCACTGTACGCCGGCCGGGGACGCATTCCGTCAACAGGCACAGACACATCATCCGCCATGGCCTCGTCGTAACTGGGCGGTGCGTCATCGTATGGAGGAACAGTCTGGCCAGGGGCAAGCTGGGGCGGGTACAATGGGTCGTGCGGCGGTTGGGGAGGAACTGCGTGTTGCTGTTGCTGTTGCGGCGGGGCATGATGTGGCTGCTGAGAAGGTGGCCCAGACGTTGAAGCACCTGAGAAAGATTGTCTAGGCGGTAGTCGGGGTGGTGTATTATTAAAGGTTGCGCGCCCAGGCTGGTTAGACCTGGCGGCCTTCAGAAGCTCAGCCGGAGGGGTGATTCCAGAATAGACGTCGATCTGGGAGAAATGAAGTGGCAGGTAGATGACCTGAGGTTGCCTGGAGCCCTTGTTGGGCTTTCCCCATGCAACACCAAGCTTCACCTCCAACTCATACCTGCGAGCAAGATTGCAGGTGACGAACGACGGCGCCACCGTGTTGGGTAGGGGCATGTTCTTCCACACGTCGTCGGGAACGACAAGTTCACTTCCTACTTCATCCGTCGGCGAAGATGTGAGCGGGATGCAGATGTTGGGGTTTGAGGCTACGACCCAGCGGTTCAGCTTCTTGTTGTGAAGAGTCTGGGCTCTGACGTCGGTATGGCCTATCAAATCCATCTGAAACGACACCAAATAGACGTCCTCAGGGCTGTTGGCCATCTTCTTTGCGATCAGCCGGAGCGGAATGGGTTGATTACAAGTGAGGACTGTGGGGTGGGGAAGCCGGGCCGACATCTCCACTGACGGGGCCGGGTCGAAGTCTGCGGCCGGGTCCGCGGTGGAACCAGGCTTGGATGAGTCTTCGTTTCTCATACCGAAGAACGAACTTCGCTTCCTCTCTGGATGTGGGCTGCGGAGTTGAAAGGCGAACGGTCGACGGGCAAAGGCCTCCTGGGGCGTCTTCTTGGGACGCGGAGGTTCGATGGGCAAAAACTTGAGGCCGATTTGGTAGCGCCAGTTCTCCTTGAGGAAGCCTGGGCGTTGAATGGTGACCTTAAGGTAGTAGCGAATCTCGGCTTCCATGGGGTACCCAGTCAGTGAAGGGGGCAGCGTCTTAGTGACGTGACGGAGATAAAGTTGCTTGCTCCCGTCCATGACTCTCACGCCGCCGAACCCGAAGAGTCCGCCGCCGCCAAAGCCCCCGGCGTTTGCGACGCCCCCGATTTGGGACATGGCCATGGGGTCGCTGCAAGCATTGTTTATGGGTAATTTGAACTTGAAAGGGAACTCATGCTCGCCGGGACCAAGGGGATAGGCGCCGTAGGGGTTGGAGGAACTGGCGTAGTAGTCGTCGGGGAAGACCTGTTGTAGCTTGTACAAGATCTTGTGGTTCTCACTTGCGATAGCGCCGGGGGCTCGCTGGACTGAACTGGGTTTGGCTCCGTATTCGGGCTCGAAGGCATTGAGGACCTGCAGAGCAGTGGCCGACTCACCCTCGAGCTTGACAACGATGCTGCCAATCTGTTCGGCACGGTTGAGGCCGAGGATGACGCGGCCCTGAATGAGGTCGAGGTTTGTGTAGAACTCGGGCTGATTGTCCAGCGCTATGCGGAGGGACATGGTGGGTGAGCAGCAGTGAACGGGGTCACAGCAGCCCAGGGGATAGAGATGCAAAACGATGAAGACGGTCTGCTCGGTGGGGGTGCGGCAATAATCGATGGGTTAGGCTCGTGTTGGGTGTTGGTCGAGTTCTTGTTTTATTAGGCGGGGTTCCCAGGTCGATATATTCTGGTGGGAAGCTCCAAAGGCAGTGAGAGTTCGCTCCGCCCGTCTTGCAACTCGTTTTCGCTCTGCTGCTTGAGAGTCGGATGCCCGGTGACTGAAGTTGCGTCACCTCACTGCTCAGCCTCGATCCAAGCCCTGGTGTGGCGGTTCAGCAGACGTGGGGTGAGGCGTCGAGTTGATGTCATGACAGCTGGTGAGGGGCCATCAGTGGCTGGTTATCAGTAAGCTTAATCGGGTGTGGCTGGTGATTTGCACAGCATCGGCAAGTCGGAGAAATCCGGCGCCGATGGGCGACTTTAGTTGATGGGAAACATCGATGGTGATACCATTTACTTCTTGCATGCCGCTTTGCTCATCCGTTCCCGATTCATTCATTCTCGGTCTGCTCAATTCCCACCTGGTTCCTCTTCCGGCGACGGAATTTGTCTCGTCTTCCCCGACACGGCAAGTTCCGCGGTTGGTTGTGATTTCAACCCCGGACTTGGTGTGCTCGACGGGCGGCTCGCCACCTCGCCCACCGTTCGACAGGCCCACACCGAGTCCACATGCTGGTACTGACTGCCTGCGAGTCTCCGACAAACGTCCTTTGACATGTGTGTCGGCTCTTAAGAACCGAGCGGCATGCGCCCGTCGCGGGCCCTCTGCAGGTGCCGAGACGAAGTGTTGGTGATAGCGAGTTTGACAGTGGACACCTGCTCGATCAAGGATTTGAGGAATCCTATTCTCCACTCCCCGGCCGAGAGGAGTCAACCAACAGCCCCCAACCCGGGGTCGGTACTGGCTTGGTGCCTTGGGCGGACCAGACCGGATCGGCATTAAGCCAGTCAAGGCACCATAGCCCGAGATCGACGCTCCCGGACCCGCCCCCGGTCGCTTTGACTCCCACATGGTGTGCTGAACGTTGAACCAACTGCATATCTACGCCTTCGAGCCACCGCGAGATGGCAAACAAGGTTCTAGCAAGGGCCCTTTTGCCGAATCCCTTGTCACAATGGCGCCTCTTTTGAGTCCAGGCTCCAGACGCACTTCGCGCACTCGCGCCAACCGGAGGCGCGGATCATGCCATGGCTTCAGAATCATGGACACGACTCTCCTCGGCCAGCCAGTCACAGCATCGCTTTGAGGAGGGGCATGTGTGTCTCTGCCGACTCTGGCATCAACCCCTTCACCACCCTCTTTTCCCCTCGCGCTCGTCAACCAACCAGATCTGGCCATTGCGGCCGCCTCGCGGCCCGCGGCCTTCTGTTTACGCGGCACCCGCTGCCGCCACGCCAGCCGACGTCTTCATGATTGGTAGCCGCGGCCCCCAACTCCGCCACCTACTGTCCGGATGTTGAGAGATTGTCTTTCCCGCCCTTCCCTGCTGCGGACCCTGGCCCACGCCATGCCGAAAGTTCCCTGTCGAGGGACCTGCGCCCATTCAGCCTGTCACCAGTCACCAACAGCAATCCACCCTCCTCATCTTCGGTTGAGCCAGGATATTGGATCAAGCACCTCCTCTTCTTGTCTAGACTGGCCGCCACTCCCGCACAGTATCTTCTCAGCTGATGCCCACCGCCGATTCAGCGTGTCGCGATTGTGCGATTCACGCTGGTGGTTCGCGAGTGAGATTGTAGCAAACGGTCTTTGAGGCCTCTTAGATGTCATTGATGGTTGCTAAGTTTCATCCTCAGCCCTATGCTTCAATGGCCCCCAAGAACGGCATTCGACGAACGAGTCTCCATCCTGCATGGGTGGTGATGGGCCTGGAGTAGCACTGCATCGATGATCCCTCCCGCTCAGTCCATTTCTTTCAAGCGCCTCGTAGCTGCAGAGCCGCACATGCAGGTCTGGGTGCAGACACACGCTGGCATGCCTGCTTGCCCATATGTGCTCCGTAGCCTAGTGTATATGTAGGGGGCCAAGCCAGCCTTCCCCAGGCTGATCTGTCTTCTTGATTTGAGTGCTTAGGCTGCCATGACAACGTGTTTGCCATAATTCGCCGACAACCCACGATGGCAGGTGACTGTGGTTCGACCTGCCCAGCCGCAGATAACTTCTACTCCTACGACCCGAGTGTAGGCGGAAATGCCGTCTTACTAGCAGCCTTTGCTATTCTCTCTCTCGTGGTGCCATACCTTGGCTTTCGGTCATGGACGCCCCTGTTCTCCGCAACTCTGACCACAGGCCTCCTGGCTGAGGTGTTGGGGTTTGTCGGCAGAGTCCTCCTTCACTCGACAAGGAACAGCCGGACCTACTTCTTCCTCTTCTTGTTCGGCACCGTTTTAGGACCGACCTTCATCAGTGCCTCCATTTTTATTGTCCTACCGCATATACTCGGCATCTACGGAGAACCCATCAGCCCTTTCCGACCTCTAGTGGCTGGCTTGGTATTCTTCAGCCTTATCGCCGTGGCTCTGATTGTGGAGCTCGTCGGTATCATTTTTGTCGCGTACGAGTTTAACAACGTCAGCGTAAGTCGGCCTGGGAACGAAGAGGAGAAGGGTCTCTTCAGCTGACAGAGAGAAAAGCAAAGCTCAGGGGCCAAGATCACGGCCGCCGGGCTGGGCATCCAGGCTGCCATGTTGTTCGCATGCAGTGGATTGCATTTCTGGTTTACTCTGGGAGTAAGCACCCAGGCTGAGAACCTTGATGCTAGCCACTCCCAGATCTACAACTCCTCTCGATTCAAGAGGTTTCTCATGGGTAAGGCAGTATGCCTGCACATGACATCATTCAAAGTTGACAAAAATATTAGGAATGCAGGTGGCGAGCGCTCTTCTCATCGTCTACTCCATTTACTGCATCGTCGAATTCGCCGGCGGTGTGACTGGAACACTCTCCCAGAACCAAACCGCTTTCATGATAATTGGCGGCGCCATCCCTCTGATTGCTTGCATTATCCTAACAATTTTCCACCCGGGAACTGCCTTTGGAGATGCCTGGGCAGCGACGTCGCCTGGCAGAATCAAGAAGCGTAGTCGACCACCTCCTATTCAACCCCCACCCGCAGCTATCCACGCTACGCACCACCGATACGATCCAGACATTCGCAAACAATTCTCACCCATGTCTGAGAAGGGGCTGAGGAACTCCGTCGGCCCTCCTGAGCTTCCTGCTGGATCTCCCGGCCTCCCGGCAAACCCTCGACCCCTGTCTAAACCATCGAGCCCACGAAGTCCAGCACACACAGTGGCTCTCTCAGAGGTTGCGGAGAGACGAATTAGTACACGATCGGAACGCATGAGCCAAACACAGAGAGAGTTGGTGAATAGGGAGGAGTTGTGGTGAGAGTGCTTGGAGGATGTTGCGGATAAGACAACTGGGCGGAGAGAAGCGGCGTTGGCCGAGTCAGAAGACTCTGGGAATTGATACCTCGACCTGCTGCTGGATAGCTGTATCTGTTCTCGTATATCTTCTCACTCATGAGGTAGGACTTTTCGCTGCATCGTTTTGATTCATTCCCCACGGGGATTACTTTGGCTTACAGCTTGATGCATAGTTCACTTGTCTATGTCATGTCGGATACTTGAGCACCCCTTGTGGTGCATGTTTACGGTGCTGGGTATCGTAATTAACTATTTAACTGGTAGTCTATCATTAATTCTGGACATGACATTATAAAGCTTTAAGGAGACTGTCGTACGGAGTGTCAACTCCCACAGCACATTAAATACAGAGTAAAACCCATCGCATGGTAGTGTCCACATACCGAAAACACCGTATCATACAGCATTCCACGTCGTCTTCACATCCTTGACTTGTACACCCTCTTCCACCCGCACTTGCACCTCAGTCCGCATTCTGATGCCCTTTTCTGAACCCTTGACCATGTCGTTCATTTCCACGATTTCGGTCGTTGAATCGCCGGCCGTGACAAAGACTCTGGCACTTGCGCCATCCTGAACCCTTGACCATGTCGTTCATTTCCACGATTTCGGTCGTTGAATCGCCGGCCGTGACAAAGACTCTGGCACTTGCGCCATCGCTCTCTCTGTCGATATGACTGCCCTGCTTGATATAACCACTGGCACCGGGCCAGTCGCGGGCTCGGGAGTGCGCTGTGGTTCCGGTTCGTGAAGACTTTTTGTTGGTGCTGTCGAGGCGGCTGCGGAGCCCGAGCTTGTAGGAGACGAGGCGGAGGAAGGGTTGGAGGGCAGGGAAGCATCCGCACCAGAGGCCAAGGTGGACTTCGAGGACGGTCCAGGGACTGACGCGAGCCATTTTGTAAGTACTGAAGAGGAAGAGTTAGTTGGCTGTGAGACTACATGGCGGGAGGTGGACGGGACGAACGTATTAGTGGAGAAGTCAGTGGTGACAATGAAGCCGAAGCGAACAACTCCCATAACAATGGCGATGAGACCAACGCAAAACACGAGGATGACCTTGACAGCCTTGGAGCCGAATGTCATCTTGCGGTGGATGACCCAGATGGGAAGGCTGAAGAGAGCAATATCCGCAACGATGCTGATGATGGAGTGCGACCACATCATGTGAGCTTCGGTGTCCTTGCTGATGCACTTACGGTCTGGCTTGCCCGCGTCAAAGAGATCGCTGTTCTCATGTTAGAATAATTCGCGAGTAGGCGTCAACATGTCAGGAGCCTATCGTACCCAATAGGTTTGCATTCTGTGAGGAAGAAGAAGAATGCGGCGAGGGTGATGGTGACGATAACAGCACCCGTTGCCCAGACATAGCGCATGAAGATGCCTAAGATGGATTTGTTAGTCGTGCGTCACTACTATTCCATCAAGGCACCAAAACATACGGTCTTTACTTAGGCGGGGTAGGAAGGCCAGAATAGAGATTCGAACCATGCCGCAAGCCAAGAAGAAAAGGAGCTGGTTAATGGGCAGCGTCTAGGCCGGTGTCTCAGTCAGTAATTGTCAATGCATCAGGGCAGCCAGGCGGGCGTAATACCGAAAGGAACTTGACGATCTGTTCGTCTGAAAGGTCGTCCATCGGCGCACCAGATCCGTAGTTCACCAGCACTATTTCCATGGCTGACAAGGCCATCGCGAGGAGCTGGCGATGGGGGCAGAACGGTCAGCTATGCAAGTCCGAGACATGGCGTTCTTGGCGAGCATACTCACATAAGCAACAACGGCCAAGGCGTCGTCGATACCGAGGGCCTTGGTCATGAAGGCGCGGACCTTGATGCGGGCGAGTAGAATAATCGAGGTGATGACCATGAGGGCGATGTTGAGGCTGCGAAGCATGCCGCTCTGGGACTTCAGCCCATCGTCAGGATTGGGATCCATCTTGGCTGATGGTTGTCGCTTTGCAACACCCGTTGCACAGAAGCAAAAGCAAGTCCAAGTGGATTATTCTCCGCCCCTGCGTAGAAAGAATGAACTGAAGCAAGTCACCTGCATATGTATGAAGCACGCAAAATCTCCACACAAGAACTCGAACGACACCTTCACTCGTACAAGGGGGGGGCATGGAAGGTTATTATGGAGAGGAGCCACGAATGGTTCCAGCCACGCAGCGTCTCTGCAGCTCCAGGCCGCAAGCAGAAGATCTGTTTTAAGACAAGCACCCCAGTGGCGCACGCCAGCAGGGCTGGAGTTCTCTAGGACGGCGCCGAGTCCAACGATACGCGTGTGGCATTGGTGACATTGGTTTTGTCTTGCCAGGGAGCCGGGCTGGCTAGTGTAGTGGTCCCAGACGACTACGACACTTTAGTCGTTCGGCAGGATTTCTGACATTCCGCGGGACCGACCCGACGGTGCCGCGATTGGTATGCGGACGGTATGTGGACGGTTTACGGATGGTAGCCGAATTGCTGGGTCCCGACTAAGGATGAGGAGTATTAACGTCGATAGTCGAGACGGGTAGCGTCTTGGTCAGGTCAGGCCATGCACATGGTCATTGTCATGCATGTTCCTGGGTCCTTTTCGAGGGCAATGGCCTCCTCTCGCTCCGAGTCGGGCTTTGGTAGAGAACCAGACCTGTCTCCGGCCGTAATCAGGACGTAACCGAGACGATCCAGTGGGTTGGGTACCGGGACTCGGGTACATCACAGCGCAATCCTCCGTAGCACGTCCGTTATTGCAAGGGGATCTTGTGAGGAGGCCACACGTGGGCTAGGAGATTGTGACCAAGTGCTGAGCAAGCCTCGCGATGCAAAGGTCTGACTCGCAAAATGAGGGCGGCCTGTAGCCACATGGTGACTTACAGGGGGGGGGGGGGTGGCGGTGGTCAACGCAGGAGTTCTGGTTCGAGGGAAAAATCCTTCCAGGGGGACATTGGAAAAAGGCACCGTAGGGTGAGCAAATCAATACCAGATGACACCAGTTGCTGCATATTTGCAGAATGTTGAGATGCCGTCGAAGTTGCATCGAAATCTCGATGTGGTGGAGGTGGCGATCTTGATTGGCGCTGCAGAGAGATTCGCGGGGGGGAGTTGAGCCAGTCCAAGGCGGTTTTGTGCATGGCGGCCAGTGCGACGAGCGGACCGACGGTAAAATGAGTTAAATCCTTAGTTGACGTCCGGCCTGATCGGAACAGGGTAAGGTATGGATTGGCCATCCAGAGCAGCGTCTCATCTGTTGGCTTCAGACTTGGCGTGTAAATAGGGTTGCAAGGAGGAGATGCAAGGTGGAGTTGCAAGGAAGACTCGGGTTTGGCGGGGGAGTGGCCCGGGTGGCGCCCACATTACGCACTCCTAACCGCATGCCGTGACTTGTTGAGATGCAACTTGACTGACCTCGTATGGAAGAGCTTGGCTGGACTTGTTCCTGGAACGGAACATAATAGTCGACGGACTGATGGACTAAGCACATCATGTGGGGATTAATACAGTAAAGCCTGTCGCTCTAAACCTGTAGAAGTGCCCAGACGAGGAGGTGTGCCTGGTCATGGCGGCATGTCACTTGGAAACTCCATGTCAACGATGGTGAAATGCATCGTAGCTAGCGACTGAGTGGCTAGCGACTGAGTGGTTTCTGAACGAGCCTGGCTAGAGTGGAGCGCTTGCGGTTGGCCGGCAACATCAGCCCTCTTGACCCTGGTTGACAATGACTTATCGTGATGCATCCTGTATCCCGCATCCCGAAGCCCGCATTCGGAATTTCGTATCCCGCATCCCGCTACCACAACCCGCAACCCGCATCCCGCATCTCGTATCCCGCATTCCGCAGTGTACTCCAGTCCACAGACGTGCTGTAGGGCATCACACATAAGCACTGAGGCAGGGGTTGCGCATCTAGGTAAGAAGGGGTTGTAGCCGGTGCTCTGTACCGTAGTTTGGATACCGGCTCCTTCATAAAAGTCATCAAAGGTGAATCATAAGCTCATGCTCGACGTGTGATGTAACAGTCACGGAGAGAGGAAGGAAGAATCGTTTATGGCATCCTCGCCTCCATCATCTGTAGCACCCCTACCTAATACATGTAATTAATTCCCTGTCTGTTTAGTCCTGCTCGGACACAAACACACACACTCACGGCGATTTTACGGCGATTCGGCCTAACAACGGAGATGTGCTTCTGCAAGCCCTCCTGCAGCCAACAACCAGGAGACAAGCCACGAAAAACTTGGTTGATCAACCGGGGCTTCGGTTCGGTTTGTGGCGGTCTTGTGCCTTGTGGTGCCTCGGGAGCGTTCAGGGACGCCATGTGCTGCTCGCCGGATCGACAACGAGCCAAACCGTTATTGAGTGGATCTACGCTGATCTTCTAAAAAAGATCGGGGGAAAAAGATGATGGGTCGAGCCCAAGGCGTCCGCCCGCACATCGTGTGTACTGTAAACCGACAAGGGCTAGATTCAGAGGCTACACGGTCAGGCCAATAGGGGACCCAAGCACAGCCTCTGTGACTCTGCCGAGATCGCGACGACAAGTCCAGGGGATCAGGGTGCTGTAGCCAACCAGGCAAGGCGCCGTCGCTGTTAATGCGTTCCAGATTGCCTGCGGCTCTTATTTAAGTTAGCTACCAAGGGGTCCCTTTGAAGGGGATTCCCTGTTGGGGACCTGGCTCGAGCACGAATCGCATGGGGATGTTGGCTTTATCTTGAACAAAAGATATGGGGGACATCAGGCCATTTCAGATTTCAGTCTGACTGCCGGCTTCTCCCACAACCCGCACGCGAGGAGGCACAGCAGATTGAATATCTTTGATGCCCTCCCGCATAGCAGATGCTCCATCGTCGTCTGTAGTACGGAGTAGAAGTAGGTACCGCAAGTTCAGATGAATTACCTTAATAAGCGGACCTTGAGATGCTGGAGCTAGAATGTCTGACGCCACGAACGACGAGACGGCTTTCTTCAAAGTTCAGTGACGGCAGGCTAGTGACATTTCCAGTGACACGAGCTGGGAAACAAAAGAGCGAGAGTGTACGAAGTAGCCAAGCACATCCGCGTTGATGTAAACCCTTGCTAGCCCTCAGCCTGGCCTGACTCTCAACGCCACACCGCTTAGTGCACAACCCTCCGCAAATCGCGCTGCGGATCATCTCGAGCTTTGCTTTTTTTGCCCTGCCGGGGACAAGTGCTGCTGCATTCCTGGGGCAATTCGGCGCGGTGGATAGTGAAAGACCCCTGACCCACGCGCACGCTCGTTGCTTCGCCCTCCACCAGCCAGTCACGACTTGAGGATCCGGTGCTTAGAGCTTCGGGCCAGAGATTGGATCTTGGTGCTTACGGGAGAGTAACCGCTGCGGCGTGTATCATCCTTGAAGCTGCAGCTCTCTCGACCCCAGAGCCTGGCTTATCACTGTGCATGTTGGCTCTCGGTCGGTAGGGCTAGCAATCTCGGTTCCGCCGGGTGTCAAGTTTGGGCGAGTACGGCTCCGGAGATGATCGAGTTGCTGCGATTGAGGGAAAATAAACAAAATCCCAATGTCACCATGCGTGGGCCAGTTCGCCTTGTACTATCGCGGACGTGTACGGAATATTGATATGGTAATAATACAACAGGGACATGGTTCCGCCCTGGCCGCCGCCATGCTTCGGTTGGCCGGAACGTGTAGCGCCTTAATAATTGTCTGACTAGGTACCTAGGTACGTAGCAGTGAGGGGTTCTAGAAAAGCACGCTGCGAGAGTGGCGACAAACAGAGCCGCCGGGCCTGGGCGAACCCGAAAGAAGCAACGATCTTCCAAGATATGGAATTTCCAAGACATGGAATTTTCCAGGGCTACGAAAGCCTTCAAAAAAAAAGGCCCCGAAGAGGAACCCTCAAAAAGCACCCAAAAAGCCCCGTCATCGTTGTGTGGAACAGGCAAAGCGACCGAAGCTCCCAGGAACTCGGCATGGGGCCCGGTGTAAGAGGTTAACATTATGCCTCAAGCCACCAACAACATCACCATCATCCACGCCGCCTTCTTTCGTCTTGCGCCAAGGAACAAGGGCGGCTTCGCCTCACGGATCTGGTCAACGGAGTGGATTCCGTGTTGTTTCTTTAGGGATGTGGCTTGCTTCGACTGACTCTCACTGGCTCTCACAGCCTCCAATGGACCCCAAACGGCTCCGGTTCGTTGCATCCGCTATATGAAGGTTCCCAGCCGCCCACAATCCCGTTCCGCCGCCAGGGTTGTCCCATGCTCCAGCCTGTCTAGCGTTGCTCTAAGCCCTCCGTAAGCCATCAGCGTTGCCTTGCTGGCGCCCATGGCCGATGCTTCTTCCCCTGAATATCCAATTCCTGACATATCCATGCCGTGGTCGGGGTGGTTTTCTTGCGAGCGTTGGTGGAACAGTCTAATCATCCCGTGTGGGGGTCGACGGAACGCACTTAGACCCTGTCGTCGTTTGGTTGAGCCCGGTATGCAGGATCAGAGAAGACCGAATGCAAAGAAGATGCATGGCGGACAAATATCTATACCTTGAGCCCGTCCTCGGGTTGTGGCTTCTCTCTGATCCGCACGCCTCGTCGACATCCCGTCTTTCGGTTATACTTCCGACACGTCAAGCATTGCTTCCGTGATCGCCCTTCTAGGCTGACATCTTCTGGCACCATTCAATTCGTTGCCAATCCATTGCCAATCTCTCGTCAACATGCGTCTGTCCAGTCTTCTTGCAGTGGCTGCTTTTGCCGTCAAGGCTACCGTTGGTAGCTCGGAATGTGGCTGCACTAAGCCTCTCGTCCGCAAGGAATGGTTGGTGATACCCTCTCTATTCTTCCATTTCTTACCTGCCTTTAAATTGGCACTCAATGGCATAGTAAACGGAGATACTAACTCGAATTTTCACACAGGCGAACCCTGAGCACCAAGCAGAAGGGCGAGTATATCAAGGCCGTCAAGTGCTTGGCTAGCAAGCCTTCCCAGACTGGAGGAATCTACCCAGGTGCCAAGTCTCGTTACGACGACTTCGTGGCTACTCACGTCGTCAATACCGACCTTATCCACTTTGTTGTAAGTCTCCAATCTCATCCCACCACTCGTTTGACGCACAACTGACCCAACCAGGGATTCTTCCAAGCGTAAGTGTACTATGAGACTCGACCGACATTGTCCATAACTAACACACTGAATAGATGGCACCGTGTGTTTGTCAACCAGTATGAACAAGACCTTCGAAACCTGTGCGGCTACACTGGCGCACAGCCGTACTGGAGTAAGTCAGCTTACCCCTTTATCCACTCTTCAGGACTGACAGACAACTAGACTGGTCCCTCGACTCGGAGTCGGTCGAAGACTTCCTCGGCTCGCCCGTATTTGATCCCACAACTGGATTTGGAGGTTCGTGACGGAACTGATATCGCTTGTCGGACACAATACTTACACATGGGATAGGCAATGGCCCATTTGTCAACAGCACTGGCTGGACCAACATTACCCGACAGATCCCTGACAAGCTGGGCGGAGGTGAGTTCATTATTTGCTGGTGTCCCAAATTTTCTGACTTTACATATAGGCTGCGTTGTTGACGGCCCCTTTGTCGAAAAGAATTGGAAGTGCAACATGGGCCCCGAGAAGAACACTGCGTACAACCCGCGCTGCATGCGCCGCGACATTGCCCCGTCCTTTGCCATCTCCAAGCTGAACCAGTCGAGGGTCGACTGGACCCTCGAGGCCGACAGCTACTACGAGTTTGACATCCGTGTTGAGGGTGGCATCACGGTCCCCACTCACGGCTACCACGGTGGTGGCCACTTGGGCGTTGGCGGTGACTTGGGCGAGGTTGGCGATGTCTACACTTCCCCTGGCGACCCTCTCTTCTACATGCACCACGCCAACATGGACCGTCTTTGGAACAAGTGGCAGCACAAGGATTGGCCAGCTCGCATGAAGGACATTAGCGGCCCCGACACCCAGTTTGCCTATCCCTTTGATTTCTTCGGCGACGTTGCTTACAAGAACATCACGCTTGACTACGTCATGAACTTTGACAACCTGGTCCCCAACCGCCAATACTTCGCCGTCAAGGACGTCATGGATATTCAGGGCGGTACTCTTTGCTACAAGTACCAAGAGTAACTGTTGGCGTATCGCTCATGATGTAGAGAAAAATGGACGTGACTGAGATGGAACACATAGATTAATACCCTCGTACTGAAGCATTCAAGTCAGCGAGTAATTTAAGATACAGCAAATTAAGCTAATACCCATTTGAGAAATAATTGTAACGTCGTGAGCCACATGTTTACTTGTGAGATATGGTCGTATACATGACGGCTCCAAGGGACACCTATACACCACCTTCTTCTGTGATCGACTACTCACACGAAGCACAAAGCCGAATCAACCGTGTCACTGCTCTATCCAGACGCATTCCCCATGGAACAAGCCTAACACAATAGCCACCATCTTCCACGTTCTTCCCCACTTCAGCACCACCTGACACCCAGCCATCCGGAACAAAGAGCCTGGAGGCGTAAATGGGCGCTCGAACGAAGGTCTCACCCGCCGCTACACCGCTAAAAAAAAGTAAAAAGGGACACAGGTCTGAAGCTGGTCCTGTAGCGGCGTATTGTCATGGTGATATCCGCGTACGAGATCTGTTGGTTGGGAGTACGGTAGCGATCTCCGATTGGGGGGAGCGCAGAGGTTCAGCAGATTCACCCTCGTTAGACTTTTGTGGTCTTGATCGAGTGCAGCCAACATGACGAACAAAGAGACGCTTGGATCAGGAAATGGAATACCCTTCCCAGCCGAGCTCGGATATGAAAGTTCAGAACCTCGAGCATAATTGCAAACACGAATGGTGATCATGTGCCAGATTTTGGAAAAGGCTATCTGGTGACAGTTAACATGAACACCGCGCCTGGCTTAAATGACTCAGGGTAACTGGAATTTAGGAACTATGGAACTTCGCTCGCCGGCAAGTCTTGTGATCCTACTCTGTCAGTGAGCCTAATCCACTTTCGACTACCCAGTCGATATGGACTAGACAAAGAACAGGTCTAATTATTTACTAGATTAGTGTACTGAAGATGTGTGGTGGGCACACAGAAGCCATTGGCTCCAAACACGGTTTCTTTGTTCACAGAGCAGGTGGCGTTTGTTGATATGGACACTAAAAGAGACAGCTGAACAGGGGGATGGCGGTCGAATTATAGGTATACTTAACCACGAACCTAAGACCTATCCTTGGCCGATTTCATTACATTCCCAATACCACCTGAATACTCGTATTGGCATAAAACCTCTTTGAAATCACAATCTCACACATCAGCCTTGTAGCAATGGCGTCCGAATCCAATGAAGCCGGAGGCTCCATCCCTCATGATACAGGCAACGGCCAGTCCTCGAATCCCACTCCCGAGACTGATCTCTCAGCTCAGACACCGCGGGCAGCTGATCAAATGCTGAAGCATAAACACGACCGTGAAGTCCACGACAAAAAATGGTGGGGAGACAGACACACTCTTCCCGCTCCCGAAGACCCTGACCGGAAGTTCGTATTTGCAACCACGTCAAACGCTACCATCACCGACGACGAAGTTACCGCGGAGGTGAGAAATTGGAAAAAGAAGATGACAAACCCGACGACTGGAGAAGTTGAACCAATGGGTCTGCATCTTCGACAAAGCAGCCCCCCAGTTGGGAGGGCGGAGCGGGCTCGCGACAAGCTCATTGAGCAAAACATCGAAGTTTCCGACGAGATGTACAAGACCATCTTCGATCAGTACACCCAAAACTCGGGCCTAGATGCCTCTATGTTGGAGTTCTTTCGGGACAAGAAAGAAGTGCCCGTCGAGTATGTCAACGAACTCCGGCGCCGGATTGACCGGCTGAAGATGGAGATGGGCAAGCAGCTCGCTAAAAGAGACGGGGAGTTTCACAAGCTGGAAACCGACTTTGATGACTTCAAGAAAGACAGCGAGAAAGAGAAACTGGAGTTGGCGAAAGAAGTACAAAGGTTGCGAGATTCTCCCAATGTGGGTAATGATGCAACCAGAGAGACTTCCGGGGCCAATGCGGAGGACGACAATACTTGGATTGGGGATGGTCCTCAAGAAAACGAGAGGGAGATTGAGATTCTAAGAGACGCAAATGTTTTTATGTCGACCGAGCTTGAGAACCAGAAGAGTAAGAATACGTGGTTGGAAGCTGAAAATGGACGCCTTGAATCGGACCTGAAGGCACTTGAGGATGGAGTGAAGAAACTGACCCAAGGGTTTTACAACGTTCAGGGCGACTTGTTGAGCACGACCCCGGAGCTTACTGCGGAACCGGAGGCGATGAGCCTTGATACCGGGCTGGATAACCGCTCTGACGGCAAGAACCCTCTCCATCCTGCCGATTCATCTTCCTCGAACGATCTCGGCGGAGAAGGACGAAACTTCGGAACTATCGTCAACCAGCTCGAGGATGAAATAGACTCGGTGAAAGCAAAGCATTCCGCTTGCGCAGAAGAGAATGACAAGCTCAAAGCATTCTTTGGTAAAATGCACTCCGAGGTCCAGACGACGCGATCTGGCTGGAGTTTGTTTATCAAACAGGTCTCAGAGATGCCGGATGAGGAGCAGGAGTTGTCTGCGGAAACTCGGCTTCTCATTACGAAGATGTACGAGGGTTGGGCAGACTTGGAGCGGAAGTTCCTCACAGGTTGGCCGGGAGCTCAGTCCTCACTGAAGGATGGACAACTCCGACGGGATGTTCTCACGCATGCCGCTTTGGACAAGGCAGTAATCTCACTGCAGCAGAGTAAGTTACTTTTACAGATTGGCGAGTTGATTTTGAGAAGGGAATGCTAACTGGATATAGAATTCGAGCATGTAGTAGAGCTCACTCTCGCGCTTAATGAGAAAGAGAAGGAATACGTTGCGACGCTCAACAGGCAGGACATTATGCGAACGAATGACAGTGAGCTCAGGCAAGAACACGGCGAGGCACTTAACAACGACGGAAACGATACAAACCCACTTCCACAGGCATGGGAGGATTCTGAAAATCGAGGCACTGAGGGTGTTGTTGACGCAGCTGGAGTAATTTGGTGAAGATAAGAGAGCTGGGGTTGGAGGCAGAGAAAGAGCTAGCTACTATCTAGTCTCAACACAGGTTAACGTCTAGGGAAAAGACGAAGACTAAATTTTGAGCCTGGAATCGTAGAGTTGATCGAATTCTGATTAATTTGTATTTCGTTGCACGTTTTCTCGTTCAATAGCAAATAATTCTATCGTCGTAACTCTAACCTGTCTCGTTATTGCCCCTGGTAAGCTCATATATATCATGATGGCGTTTTTCTATCGCGCGTATGCACCCTCTATACAATGTGAGACATGTGCACTGTAAATCGGTGACTTTTGCCAGTCCGGCATTCAAGGGGCAGAGTAGCCACCGTCAACAACGAAGTTGGCTCCGGTAGCGTAGGTGGAAGCATCAGAGGCCAAGTAGACGTAGGCACCCTGAAGCTCGTGAGGCTCGCCCTCGCGACTGGGTCGTGTGTTAGTCCAGCAGGTTCAGGAGTAATGAGGCGCCGGTAATGCTTACCCCAGAGGAATCTTGTCATGCCACATCTCCTTGGTCTCTTGAGGGACGAAGTTGGAGATCTCGGTCATGATGTAACCAGGGGAGATGGCGTTGGCGCGGGCGAACTGGGCCCACTCGATAGCCAAGCTCTTGACGAGATGGATAACACCAGCCTTGGCGGCATTGTAAGCACTGTAGATAATTCGTGTCAGTAATATCTCTACTTTGGAGCTCAGGGGATGGATTTATCTGAGCACTTACGCCTGGAGCTGGGGAATGTTGACGATGCCGCCGCTCATGGAGGCAGTGGCGACGAAGCTTCCAGAGGTGTAGCTTGTCAAGGGCTCGCCAGAGAGAGTGGTGCCCTCGTTCTTCTGACGGCGCCAGTGCTTGGCCGCGACCTTGGCGCAGTAGTAGGTGCCGTCGAGGTCGGTCTGGACGACATCACGGTAGTGGTCGAGAGGGCCGTCAACCATGGCGCCCTTGGTCCAGGGAATGCCGGCGTTGGCGACAAAGATGTCGAGGCGACCGTTGAGGTCCTGGACGGCCTGGTCAACAGTCTTTTCGACGGCCTCGGCATCTCGCACGTCGACCTGGTAGGCTTTGCCTAAGGAATTGGGTTAGTGGGAAAGATGATGGTCGCTGATAGAGCGAGCGTAGACGAGCCAGCTTACACTGAATGCTGTACTGCTTGGCCAGACCCTCGGCGCGCTCAGGAGTCTTGGTGTTGGTGAAATAGAAAAGAGCCAAGTTACACCCGAGCTCTGCGTAAGCTTGCGCCACGGCATAACCGATTCCGGCACCGGCGCCGGTGATGATGGCGGTCTTGCCGGCGAGGGAGAAGCGCTTCAGGATGGAACCGCCATCGACCCAGCGCTGGTTGTTGTGGACGAAGTTGCCGCCGCTGAGGGGGTTGAGGTCAGACATGATGATGGGGTTTTTTTTTGGTATGGAAGAGTATAAGGGAAACTGGAACTGTAGAGAGGAAATAGAGAATAAGAAAAGGAAGATGATGTTGGTCAAGAATGGGTGGGAGGTGAGGGAAGAAGCTGACCGAGTCAATCCCCGTATTATTTGTGTCCTCTCTCTGGCTCTCTCCCTGGCCGTTGTCTCCGCCCCTGGGCAGATCTACCTAAACACACACCCCTCATTCACCTTTGTGTCTTCCTTCTCCTTGCCTGATGCCATCTCCCATTCCGCCTGTCCGAGTTGGGTAGTTCCGCGGCCAGCAAAGGACGAAGGACAGACACCGCACTTTGAGAGGCCCCGCTCTAGCTCCAGGCAGCCCGGGATTCGGCCTCTGACGAGTTGAACTAGCCGCTGTACGGGGGAGCGTAGCTGGCATGTGTCGGGCCTGGAGTGGTGCGCCAGCGGGACGCGGGCTGGTCGCGGAAGCAGAGCGGTTGCATATCATTGCATGTTGTGGTGGAGAACTGGAGTCATGGGTGATGATGGGGTCATGGCATCTCGTTGTTGAAGGGCCCTGTTCGCGAGAGACCGCCGTTTCGTCCGGTGATGCGATGCGGCTCCGATGGGCTTCCGGGGCATTGGGGACATCAATTCACCAATGCCTCGCCTTTCCAAGGCACCATCAACTCAGTGATTGTCATGCAACCTCAGATCCTGTTGTTCTCGGGCTCCAGAGGGTTGCCAAGTGCCGAAGGTAAACTTAGGTACTACCTAACTTAGCGGGCCGCCATTCAGGGCCGTTTCCGCCACCTTACAGGCTTACAGTGCCATCGTGAGGCCCTGAGCGCTGCGCCGGCCCCTGGAAACGCCGCCCCCGCGCGTCAACCGCTGATAAGGGAGGGGGAATGGGCGTTATCGCGGGGCAGACGACGTCACTCGTGGTGGGGTCGCCTCGAGTTGATGGTGGTTGCCCCCCACTGGAGCTGTGCTAGTTCAGGGCATCCATGGCGATGGCGATGGGCGGGACATTCACAGGTTGCAACAACTCGCCACAGGGAGACAAGACGCCCAACGTCGACACAAGACGCTCAACATCGACACCAACTTTCGATTTTCCAGCGGCGGTGTGTCGCTAATCCAGCTTCTGTAGGGAACGTGCCACCCTCCTGTCGCCTCGTCAGACCATCCCATCGCCATCGTGGCAGACCATCTCGCCTGCTGCAGACCGCAACACCACCTCCAAGTCACCAGAACGTGGGGGGTTTCTATCAGAAACAAACTCGCCCCTTTGCCCTTTGCCTCCATCATGGCAACACCCTATGCTCGACCCTACGAATCCAAGCTCGGCATTGTGACCGGCGGCTCAAGAGGTCCGTCTACGCCCTGACTCTGTCGTGACAGGATCTCGCCCCGATTCTAACCTTTCTCGCCGTCAAGGAATTGGCGCTGCCGTCGCTGCCCGACTGGCCGCAAAAGGATGCCATTTGCTTCTCATATACACCTCGGACTCTTCTACGCAGACAACGAAACAGCTTTGCAAAGATCTTTCCTCCACCCACAACATCCAATGCTCCTATGTACAGGCCGACCTGGGCAACCCCGCCGACGCTGCGACCAAGATTGTCGCCGCCGCCCGCACCTTCTTCGCTAGCTACAACCAGACGGGCAAGTTCCAGGTCGACATTCTCATTAACAATGCCGGCGTTGCCTCAAACCAACACTTGAACGATGTAGAGCAGGGCCCTATTTTGGAAGCCGAGTTCAACCGCGTTTACGCCGTCAATGTCCTGGCTCCCCTGCTCGTCACTCAGGCCGTGGCACCGTACCTCCCCACTGATCGCTCCGGTCGAATTGTCAGCGTATCCAGTGTCTCTTCATCCATCGGCTACCAAGGTCAGTCCGTATACGCCGGCAGCAAGGCTGCCCTCGAGGCCATGACGCGAACCTGGAGCCGCGAGCTCGCCAGTCGCGCCACCGTAAACGCCGTCAACCCGGGCCCTGCCTGGGGCGACATGTACGCCGCCGTGGGGAAGAGCTTCTGGGACATCAACCAACCCTATGTCGACGCCTCGCCGCTCGCCGAATACCACGGCGAGCCTGAGACGCTGGCCAAGGCCGGATCCGACGCGGAACGCTTCGACAAGATTGTCCGGGAATCGATGGGCGGGCGACGGCCGGGATTTACGAGTGAGATTGCCGGGACCATTGACATGCTGTGCTCCGAGGAGAGCGGGTGGACAACTGGCAGCGTTATCTGCGCTAATGGAGGCATGAAGATGTCGATTGCGTAACTAAAGTCCTTCACTAGGAGGAGGAGGAGCTTACAGGCTGCCCCGACATGCATGGTAGACAGACTCGAGAGGACTCGGCGCATCGGTGCCAGTTGAGACGGCTCGCTGCATCACGAAACCGAGAGACAAGAAATCCACCATGTCGCAAGTGAATCAAAATTGTTGGAAAGCCAAAAGTTTTCTCCCTCACGTGCACTATAGACGAGACAACATCGGCTAGAGTTCCACTGTGGCATCCCCATGGCAGTGCCATACTCTCAGTACACCGTCCGAGACAGCCACAATGTCTCGCCATATTCATACCGCAGCACATCCTAATTGGATCCCGACTCGATCTAGACTCGCCGAAGAAATACACGAGTCCGACCAGGCACTCGTCTCATAAACCAAAGTCTTGCTTACCCCGCCGGGTGCCCGCCGAGGCCGAGGCCCTCCGTCTCTCCGCGGCAGCGGGCGAGGCCGTTTCACATGTCTCGCCGAGAGACGCTGTGCGACAACCGGCGCAAACAAGAGACCAATGTCAATGTCACAGACAGTTCCAGGTGATGGGTTCTTGCCGTCGCGAGGCAATGAGAGAAATCGTCACGGATGCTTGACGCCGACTCCGGTACGCGAATATATATCATGCCGACTCCCGACCATGTGCAAATTAGGCATCACACCCGTAATGGCTGGTTCAGCCAAGGCTCTCAGAAGCGATTTGTTTAACCCATTGCTGCAGGTTGGCGGGTTCGTCAGCTTGACAAAGCAGAGCTGAGTTGAGTCTTCAATGCCCTCACGCGAACAAGATACACAACAACACACTCAAGGTTGAAACAGAGTGGTGCTGCCACTGTTTGGCATCGTACCGATGGTTTGGTATATGCCAAACTTCAGTCTATCGGGACTGACTCTTCACATCACCGACCTTGAACATCACTGGCAATTGTTGGAAATGATATTTCTACGCCAAAATGACATTCATTCCGAACGAACATCGCTAACTCGTTAGTTTGACCCGTGGTACTTTGACATAGGTATCTTTCCAGTGACTACAGCTCTGTCAGGATGACACCGTGCATCGAGTTTGTCCTGTGTTTGTGTCTCCCGTGTAAGGGACAGATTGAGTTACACGACATCGAATTCCTACGCTTCTCCTTGCCAAGCCCCCCGATGACAAGGCGCCACCGCAGTTACTATTCACATTCTGAAACCCTGCTGGCCAGCACAACTCGCATTGCCACCGGGTAGAAGCATGGACAAATAGGAAGGTTGTTCCCTCGACTCCAGCCGAGAGATTTTTCTTTGCATCTAGCGAGCCCGGCCCCCGTGGCCCGGCACGATGAGGACAGCAGAACCCTGTCCAGTACGTCGAGGGTATATTCACCATCCGCTCGTGGACGTTCTGGAAATTACCACTCAGCGGTTCGAGACCACCTGTGGACCGGGTACTTGCTCAACCACCCGAGAAACAACTCCTCGATTCCTACACACATGACCAAGCCCCCGCATCGTGCGTGTCCCCTCCACACACGTCACCTAGCCACGACTGAGCTTCGTGAGCATGTCTCAACTTTGCAGTTAGCTGCCAAGACATGTCTGGCCAACTGAGCAGTGGTGTCTTAATCACTCATCGTCATGTCGAATATTCATCCCAGTCGACTGCTAGTTTGTGATGTGATGCATCATCTCTCGTTCACACGCCGTTATCAACCAACAAACAATTCTCATGTAGCTTCCCGAACCCCGCGTCTCCGACCATACACATTCATCTTCGCTTCAACTGGGTTAATTTTCTTCTCGTCTGCTTGCATGTCTGAACGTCGGCCGACGTCCCCCATTCGACCGATTCTCTCAAAACTCCTCTCCCGGACAGAAGCTTGCCTGCATGCGAACACCACGCTCGGCAAACGACAGAGCCGCGCCTCTCGTTTCAAACTTTCCGATGGCCTTGAAAAAAGCCTGCTATGATGGCTGATTCTACCACTCTTCTCAAGCGATTGATTGTGTCCCCCGAGGCTCATGCCCGATGACTCTTTCACCCAGATGACCAAACTAATAAATACCTCCGAATTGCTTTCTGAGCTCAATGTCATCATTGCATCACAAGCACTTGGTATTGTCCTACACTCGATGTCGAATCTCTGATCATGTCTGGATAGCACCTTCACACTCGTGTATCTTGTGCTCTTGCGTACGACTCAAAGTCCCACGCTCAAAACCTGCCTGCCATTCTCCCATTTTTCTCCTCGTCCATCCCTCTCTCCTCACCCCAATAACCTCGCTGCCCATCTAACCTCCCACTACGAGCCCCGCGGCATCTAATTCGTGGTCGCCATGGCAGGCGCCTCTCATATGGACGCGGCCTTCGCTGCGAAGCTTGCGCGGCGATCACAGCTAAACCATGAGGCCATGACGGCTTTTGCAGGCATGATATCTGGCCTTGTCGGTCTGATTATCGCCCTTGACCTTCTACGTCGGTTTGGGGCACGAAAACGGGGGGTTTATGGGAGGTTCACTCCCAGTGTTGTCATTTCGCGGTACGTTGACCACTCGACCCAACGCCATACCGCTAATCTAACAAACGCGACTTAGAGGAATCAGGAGCATTCTGCTTCACAAGATACCTGGCTTCCCCTCGACGGGCCATCTCTTTGTCGTAGTCATGTACTCGGGCATCAACATCATCGCAATGTTCATCAAACTCGACAATAGCAACATGCCTCTCCTCTCCAACGTGGCTTCGCGAGCTGGTTGGCAAGTGTTCCCATCCACTTGGCAACACCCCCCTGCTAATCTTTCACCAGGATGGCCATTTCAAACACCCTTATCGTCATCATCTTAGCACTGAAGAACACGCCTCTTGATGCTATTACCATTTGGTCTCACGAGCGCCTCAACATCCTTCACCGCGTGGCGGGCTTCGCTACTATCATGTTTGTCATAGTACACGGATGCTCGTATGCCGCAGTCTTTGGCCTGCAGGGCCGCCTCAGTCGTCTTACTGAACTAGATGAGATCTTTGGCATCATAGCGGGTTTCTCCTTTCTCTGTGTTGGGTTTGCAGGCGCTATCGTTCGAAACTGGTGGTATGAGATGTTCTACTACATCCACATCACATTCTGGATGCTTGGCATTGTCATGGTTGGTTTGCATCAACCTGAGCCTAGCAGGAAGATTCTTCTTTTAACGTGTACTGCGGCTGGAATATGGGGACTGGATCGTTTAATCCGCCTTTTTCGCCTCGTCATCAACGGCGCTAATAACACAGTGACACTTACACCACTTCCTCATGGCGGCACCCGCCTCGTTTTCTCAAAACCTCCATATGGGGCCGCCCTGGCCAAGCACAGTTTCATCTGGATCCCTTCGATACGTGCCCTACAGACACACCCATTCACCATCGTCGCCACCAATCCCGTTGAGTTTGTCGTCGCCGCGCACGACGGTTTCACTCGTGCCCTCTACGACACTGCGCTGCAGAACCCAGGAGTCTCGCTGAGAGCATCCGTTGAGGGCCCGTACGGCACCTTTCCCAATCCAAGAGAGCACGACAAAGTCATTCTCGTCGCTGGAGGCAGCGGGGCGAGCTTCACCGTTGGCGTCGCACTGAGTGTACTTGAGCAGAGTCGAAACAATGACAACAAGTCCATTGTGTTCATATGGATGATTAAGCATCAGTGTAAGTCTTGGCAGTGGCAGAGCAATTGAGTTGATACTAAAAAAGGCGCAGCATATCTCACATGGTTCTCTGAGCATCTTGAGACTCTGAAGAGCGACCCGCGCGTATCCATTCATGTCTACATCACGAGACCACCGGCGCCCGAAACCCTCACCAAGGAACTCTCAACAGCATCCGAATCCTCCTCTCGAAGCACATCGACGACATCTGATCCCGAGAAGGCCCCTGTGTCAAGACTGGTTGTTCCCCTGCCTACACTGACTACAGACATGGAGAAGACAGGGCTCTCGACCCTTGTTGAGTCCCCAGTTTCGCCTCTCGATGTGGCGGAACCGAGTGACGATTTCTCCATCACCTACCGGCGACCCGATGTCGCAGCTCTTATTAAAGCTGGGGTTGAGGGAGTTCCGTCAAACCAGCGCGTGTTGGTTATGGGCTGTGGGCCGCAAACGTTGACCACGACGGTGCGAAATGCCACATCAGAGTGTATTCGAATGGAAGGACCTGCAATCGAACTCCATTGCGAGCAGTTTGGATGGTAGACTTTGACGATTGCCAGGGTTATCTGAAAGTTGTTATCCACATCATACATCTGATATTATGTACGCCAGCCACACCATCGTAACGCCATGTTCTTCTGTAGTGAATCACGTCTCATATTTGTGTGTTTTGAAATGGTTCGCCTTATCGGCTTCTTGTGGTATTAACTATATCAGGTCATGTATGTCCGTGAGATTTTATGTACCGATGTCTTCTCATGTAGACATCTTGGGTATATTGTCCCCCAAAAACCGTCCTCCGTCCCAAACCGAAGTGACGCCCTTTCGCCGTATATATCCGGGAGCGAATAAACTAAAATAAAAGAAACCGAGGAGTCATAAACGTTATATCCGTGGCGAGCCACCGGAATTATTCTCATTATGTTGGATTGAGGGCTGGGATGATCGACGACGCGAGCCCAATAGTTTAGCGCCGACCCCCCTTGACACTTTGTCAAAAAATCCTTGGGATTTCTCCTTGGGGGCGCTTTGGCGAAGTCGTCGCTGCGCGATAGCTGCCTCTATTGGGGACTGCTCAATATCTGCTGGGGCATCTCTAAGGACCGGACATGGATCCACCAAAATTTTAGCATCAGTGACAAACTCCAAGAAGATGGGATACCCCAGTGTCAGGGCGTGGAGAGCAATGACAACGGAGAAAGCGATCTTGACCGTTCCACCATTCGTAATGATGCCGTACATGACAAAGGGGAAGAATGCCGGGCCAGAGGCACCCATAGTGATGAAAGCAGCAGAGCGCTTTGTCCGTCTGCCTTGACCTCGAAGGCCAATTGCAAAAATCAGCGGCCAGATAGGTCCTTCGAAGAAAAAGAACAGGACGATGGGCAGAACGAGTAGGTTGGGGTTTGGCGGTGTGAGCACAACTGGAAGAAGAGCCAGGAGAAAGCACAAGGTGATGCAGACGGTGAGGACAGTGCGAGGCTGTGGGAGACGGGAGCGGCCGACGGAGATGTAGGTAAATCCTGCGGCTAGAAATCGAGAAACAGCAAAGGCAGTGTGCGCAATGAGCAGGTAGTCGGGGATCGAGAGGGCGATGCCCGGCGGTTTATCAGGGTTAGACGCCCGACTGGTTCCACTGGCGGCGTCTTCGCCTGTATTCGCGTGGGAAGGGAGGATGGAGATCATCAAGCTGCGGAAGAAGATGCTGCTGCATTCCTGCGCAGCGACATACGTGTACTGCCCCAGAATAGCGAGGATCAGGCTCCAGGTGCGCAGCTGCAAGCCGTTATTCTTCTTCTGGGGGTCGATTGGCAACCGCTTAGCCGACTCTTCAAGCTCACTATCGCTAACCTCGGGGAGTGGCATGTAATAGAAGAAGAGAGCTAGGATGACGCAGAGCAGGGTGATGCCGAGGTACGTCCATTGGACGTTGATGAGCGTCATGCTCGTGGTAGTTTCCACGTCGGCAATGCCCTTGAAGAAAACCTTCTGCGCTAGGAGGCCGCTGAGCACACTACCCACTGCTTGCACGCCTTGGGCTAAGAGCAGACGAGTCTCGCCATACTCTGCGGGTCCACAGAGGATCAAGAAGGCATTGGCGCCGACCTCCAGGACAGAGAGGCCAAAGCCAACGACGAAATTGCTGAGCATGAAGCCTCCATAAGACTTCATGACGGCTGAAGGCCAGAAGATGACGGTCCCGACGCCGTAAAAACAGAGTCCCACGATAAAGGTGACTTTGAACCCGCCCACGGCGTCGTTGCCGCCTCGCTTGTGGCGCCTCGATCGGTTATGTTCGTCTCGTCGGAGGATCCATTCGCCTACCAACAAGGGACCAAAAAAGTACCCACCGCCAAAATACACGCTTGTCATGCCGAGGGTTTCAGCCGTCGACATGTTGTTTACGGACGCAATGACGTTGTTGAGAGTATTCAATAGACCGTATGATATACCCCATAGGAGGAAGAGGATCGAGACGATGGTACAGTACTTGAAAGACTCTCTTGCGTTGCACTTCAACATACTCTTGGGCCTAGACATGTTGACGAATCCAAAATAGATGCCTTGCTCCTGGGATCCTGTGGAGGAGGTCAAGGTGGTATCGGCGTGAATAGGAGGACTTCTATGCTGGGAAGCTTCGTGTGGAGATTCCATGAAGGGGGTCGTCAAGAACTCCATGGCACTCATCGGGGCGGTGGAGTCGTTGAGGGGTTGTTGCATACCGGGAAATGCGACGGGGGGTGGGGGTTGCATGCTGGCGCGGTTACCCGTGGATGGCGTATCCGAATCGTTAGGGCCTTTAGATGTGCTACTCCTGCTTCCATTGGCATCGTATAACATGGACGGGAGAAGCTTCAGGACGAGGGGTTTGAGAGTAGGAACACAAGCACAAGTCATGCCGACATTAACCTCGACAGCACTCCACATGAGGGACATGGAGGCATTCCAAGCAAAGTCGGTCTGGCCGCCGAATCTGGATTGAGAATCACTGGAGCTGCCAGTGGGCGTTTCGGCAATGGCTTGCTGAAGGTAGTAGATGCGAACAACATCGACAACGGTAACGAAAATGCCGACGGTGAAGGTGAGGACGAGAATGGTTTTTTGTCGCGAAGGTAGGCGCATGCCGGTGAGAACAGGGATCGGCAGAGCGAGGATGGCCAAGTCGGTGACGATGTTGACAGGCGAGGAGCAAATGAATTCGGTGAGGAGCGGGATGCATTTGGTGTTGTCGTCGTAGCTGGCGTCCCAGGCGCCTTGAGTGGGGCTGCACTGAAAGACGTTCATGAAGGTGAGGATGATGCCTGCAGTATTAACAATGCCAAGGGTAAGCCATGATGCAAAGCGGAGGACCCTTTGGGTATTTTTGGCGAGGCGCAAGTAAAAGATGAGGACGGAGGTTTTGGTCGCCATCAGAGCAGGATTCTGTATATATTGGTTAGCAAGCGACGAACGGCACGCATGGCGCATTGGGGGGAATGTCGCACATAGAGGATGGAGAAGACGTATTCGCAGCGGCGGAGGGCCGGTCGCTTATGATCGGGGATGTTGATGTCATGTCTACCGAGGCCATTGCGGGCGCCAAAGCAGATGGTGAAGGAGAGGAAGAATGCGAACAGCCATGCAAGCATCATGACGCGGTCGTCCCATGTGAGGTTGCGGACGATGAAGGTCCGGCAGAACATGCGAGCGGCGACGAAGACGGTGGCGAGGACCAGAGTGGCCGCGGTGACGGCGAAGACGGCGGGCCCGCGATCAGGGAAGCCCCCATCGCCCAGTGAGGACGAAGCCGAGTCGGACATGTCGAGATCGGAGACATGGGCTTGTCAGATGCTGGGGGGAAGCAAGAGGCTTGGGGAGGTGGATTGGCGGATGGATGCGCGTGCCATTTCCTCGGGGGGGTCGTGAGGCTCGAGATTGGCGACGACGAGCGTGGTATACTCGAGGAGGTGAGAAGAAGGTTTTTGGGGAGACCTTGATGAGGTGACGACTGGTGTTGTGCGAAGGTCGAATTGCCGCCAATACAGACGAGGACGAAAAGGTAGACGAGGATGCGAGCGGGAGCACACGACGAGACAATGTTTCGGGTCGGAGAAAAGAGATTCGGGAAAAAAGCAACGAGCAAAACCAGAAGAAGCCAGGAGCCGGGGCCCAAGGATCTGGGGGTGGAAACTGTCGACAGTCTAGTTTCGTGGTGTCGTTGGAGAGGAGAAAGAGTCGGAAAGAGCCTCGACTGAGGACTCGACTGGGGACTCGGGCCGGCAGAAGGAACGACGAGACGTCGACAAGGCGGGACACGGAAAAGTGGATGGCAGAGTGAAAATGGGGTATTGGAAGGGTATTCGCCGGGTGCAGGCTTGCAGGCTTGCACGCCAGCAAGACGCCAGCAAGCCACCGACATGCAGCGAGCAGAGACTAGGTAATGGCTAATGGCTCATGGCCCAGCTCGAGGTGGAGCAGTCGCACAACGGCATGGCGTCAGAAAAGCAAGTACAGCAACTAGCAATTGGTGGTGGCTTGGAGCGGCGAGGGAGAACTTGGGCGGCAAACCAGCGAAAACCGGGTCCCCATAAACGGGCAACCAGGAGGCGCGGGATTTGGTGGAGAAGGAAGTGGAGGAGAAAGTGGAGGAGTGGAGGAGTGGAGGAGCTTTTGCTAATGACAATAAGGTTGGGCGGTTGATATTTTGATGAGGCTTGGTTGATCAGGTGTGATGAGATGGCCGCCGCCTTGCCAGCGAATCTTGAAGCCCAGGATCCCACTCGTCGGTGAGCCGTATGAGCGTATAAGCTGGGTGTTTGATACGCCCTCGCGTCGGGCGGTAAACGTGGCCACCAGATGGATTCCTGCAAACCCCGGACGATAATTAGACAGTATTTATTAACACAGCTGCGGTGTACTGGCGGTATGTAGTGTTGGGCGTTGGGTCCTGGGTCCTGGGCCCTGGGTCCTGGGATGCCGGTGCTGCAAAAAACGGGACTGTACAATCGTCGGTCCTTTTGATCCTCAACTGGAGAACCCCTCTACTAGCGAACAATTGGGGAGTCGAGCTCTGGGAAAATTTCAGTCTCCGGCCGGCTGGGATTGGACGGGCTCCGTCATTGACTGGGGAGTCCGGCAACATGGGCTGCCAAGGCGGACATGGATGCGCCGTCGTCGTTACGTACATTACATACATTGTTACCCTTCGAGTTCCCTGAGCCCTCAGCGGCTACACACCACCACGGACCCGACGGCGGGTTATTCCCTGACTGACGGGTACGGGTACGCCTGACGACGTTACATTTTACCCGGCCTAGTAGGTGAACCACATAATGACGACGGAGAGAGGAGGGAATTAAAAAATAAAAATTCAATCACAAGGGTGAAAATGCCTCGTCATCATGTTGTTGTTGTTGTATTTTCGCAATTACTGCATCCCTCTCAATATGGACGAATGCCACATTGGGAATTCATGTTAGGAGACCCAACTCTTCGCCGGCTGGGCGGCAACCTGGCCGGCAATCCCTACTTCATCAGTCCCTTCGGTCGCTAAAAGTAGCTCCAATCCACCCAGCGCCGGCCATCATCAACACGTCAATGACGTGCCAGTCGTACAACTCGCCCAACTCGCCGTCAACCCCCGGAACTCATTCCCCCATCCCCCATCCGTGCCGCTTGTACAGTGCCATCTATGTACCACCATGTATGCACAAATCTCACAGTCGTTGCAGTAAGCAGCCTGCACCTCGGGCGGCGGCGCCGTTATTCACGCTTTTGGCTCATGCACGCTTGATTGATTGACAGTCTGTGTGCCCGTGCCCAGGCCCCGTGGCGGCGCCGGTGCGACCATGGATCGTGTGACGGACGTGGGGAAAAAGCAGGCCGGGAAGCGCTGTACTACTGCAAGGAAATCTCGGTCTCTGCTCAAGTACTCCGTAGGGCCAAGACTCATGATCCTGTCCATCAGAGTCACCGTGACTGATGAGCTCCATCGGGAAACGGTCGCTTTGCCAGCCACAGCGGCTCTTTTCTCGGACTCTCCCCCCCCCGCCGTTAGTCAATCAATTGACCAGTTTCCCCTCTCGCTTCGGTGTTTCTCCCAGCGGGATGCCACACAACTCGACGTCATACCCGCTCCCAAAGGACACTGATTCTAGACGAGGACCTCCATATTAGTTGGCATCCCGGCTTATCTCTGTGCCTCTGCCACGGCCAAACTACAACCAACACACCCAGTAGTTGCCGTGTGGCGTGCGCTCGGTTGCAGTATTTGTCGATAATTGCCGACGCTGTAGATAGGGTCGACAGTTCCATCCATTCATCCATCCCCCCATCCCTCCCTCTCGCTGTTTATTCATCAAACCAATTCCACACCGTCGCTTTTGGCGGGAAGTCAAAACATGCCCCTCTCCGACTCTTCGCCTCCGCCTCTCTGCTGCTCCCCCTCATCACACCGCAACTGCGGAAAAGAACCACACGGCCGCCTGCAGCCAACTGGGCCGGCTACAGGCCGTGTCGCGTTAAAGCCTGCCAGCAATCTTGGTGCGGTGGCGCTCATCTGTTTCCCTCCGCCTCTCGATTCGTACCCGTATTTTCCCCCGCTCGCTGGAGGTGCTGTCACTGCTGTCACTGATGTGCTATTTGACAGCTGTGGCCCCCCCCCTGGTCACTCGCTTCAAGCCGCCGCCATCACCACTGGGCTAGGCAAGCCATGTCTCTGATTGCGCATTTCGCTACAGCCCGATGTGCTGTACCTGCTTGCGACTCTGCCCATCCCTCCTCGCATTCGCTATTGCCTACATCCAGTAGTCGCTCTCCCCGTCTGCCACACACATTCAGCCGAATACAAGCGTTGTTTGATCCGTTCCCTCGGGTGTCTCCCGCCTCCCAAATGTCGCCCGGCGCCAACCATTGGGCTACCCAAAGCCCCAGCCCGCTTGGCTTCAAGCCATTACCCCCTTACAACCGTAGTTGTAGCTAGCTCACGCCGCCATCATGACCAAGACACACTAGGTCTCGTGGCCAAGAGCTGTTCCCACGAGGTCGATTCCACATAACACGTTGTAGCCCACAAAGCGCGGCCGTTCAGACAGAGAGGAATGGACCGTCTCTCCGGGCCCGGACCCGGGCCCGGACCCGGACCCGGCCAAATCGGCCTTCGCATCCGGAACCTTCGGCCTTCGGTCTCCGCCCACGGCCGCCTATCTATCTGGATTACCAATCACGTTGCGACCGCGACATCAATTACCACCATATCGTATTAACACGTCAACAAACATACCCAACTCAGCTCATTCATTTCAATCCCCAATCTACCACCTCAATTTCAACTATGAAGTACTTCGTAGTCTGAATTGATCCGTCATTTGCTAGTCTCCTCTTAACTCATTATCGTGCCATCCGCCAAAACCCGCCGTCTATCTGCGATCCTCCACCATCATGGGCTCCGGCCCGATACCTCCGACCATAGGCCCCGATGCCGTCCCCACCGCCGTGATTTCACCCGAAGCTGAAGCTCCTTTCCGTGACGATGTGACGGCTACAGAGGAGACGCCTCTGTTGCGGTCCGGGTCCAGCTCCAGCTCCGGGACAAGCTCCAGCTCCGAGACATTCGGGGGTGAGGCTAACCTCGCGGAGGCTACCGACACCAACCACCATCGCAACGGCACCAAAGATGCGGCCTTCACTCACCGGGTCGGCCCGTCAAGAGCCATCTGCATCGCTCTGAGTCTGTGGCTGCTTATCTTCCTGCAAGGTACGCCCACCGCGCGCATACCCGGCGCGCTCCTCCTCAGTTCCATAGTTTATGCACCTCGTATGTACGCTGACACTCCACCGAAATAGCCTCCAGCATGTCCGGCATGACCCTGATCCAGGGCGCCATTGCCGCGGAGCTGGAAACCTACGACTCCGCCGCCATGTGGTTTAGCAGCGCCTATCTCATCCCCATGTCGTCTCTCGCCCCCGTCGCCGGTCGCTTGGCCACCATCTTCCCGCCACGCAACCTCATCCTCCCAGTCGCCGCACTCCTCTCCGCCGGCAGCTTGCTATGTGCTTCTGCCGGCTCCTTTGGATTCTTCGTCGCCGGGCGGGTTGTCGCTGGAGTAGGCGGCGCTGGCGTACTCACGCTGGCTATTATCCTCGGGCTTGAGCTGACGAGCGAGCGGACACGCGGTGTAGTTATGGGAGGTATCAACGCGGGTTTCACGGCGGGCGTGTCATTTGGAGCCATTGTGTACGGCGGGTTGATGCCGGTCATCGGATGGGTAAGTCTGGATCATTCCTATGCAAATGATCCTGGATAATTGCTGACAACGCAAAGCGGCCGCTGTTCTGGATTCAGGTCCCTGTCGCCTTGATTGCAGGCCTTGCCGTCTACCTGAGCCTTCCCAGTGCCGTGGAATCGGGAACTGCAGACCGGGGTTCCTGGAAACAGAAGCTTGTCCGCATCGACTACCTTGGAGCATCCCTTCTTGTAAGTCCATTCCATGTTTGCTTTATGGTTATACACAGTAATCTAACGTCATGAATCGTCTAGGCTCTCACCATTGTGCTCTTCCTCTATGGCCTCGTTGGCGATATCCAGCCCTTGCCCATATTGCTCTCCGTTGTCAGCCTCCTCCTCTTCCTCACTGTCGAGTATCGCGTCGCCGCTGAGCCCATCATCCCCATCAAGGTGCTCTCATCCCGAGGCGTCCTTCTCTCATGCCTTGCCCAGCTCGGCCTCATGTCCGCTCGTTGGACCGTTCTGTTCTACGCCCCAGTTTTCATGCTCGCGGTTCGCGGCGCCGCACCCACGACGGCCGGGTCCATCCTCATTCCCACCAACCTGGGCTTCGGTCTCGGCGGTATCATCGTTGGCTGGCTGCATGTTCGCCGCAGCGGTGCTTTCTGGCTCCCGTCGGTCGTCTCTTTGATCTTCTTCAGTGTCAGCTTGTATGCCCTCTCGTTGGTTGCCACGCCCGATCTCCCAGTGGCGCTGTTCATCGTGGTCGTTCTCGTCAACGGACTGGCGACTGGTGCTGGGCTCAACTACACCCTCGCACACATCCTTCATCTCAGCCACAAGGACACGCGGTACATTACGACAAGCTTGCTAGGCACGTTCCGAGGCTTCGGAGGTAGCTTCGGCACGGCCATTGGCGGTGGCATCTTCTACCGGCTATTGCGCAGCAATCTGACATCCGGATTCCTCGAGCTCGATGGAGGAAACCTCCGCAAAGGCCGACGAGACCTAATATCCAAACTCCTAGGGACGCCGGGGCTAGTCTTCGGCGGAGACCTGGACGACGCCGCGCGGCATGTTGCAGTTGACGGATACGCCGGTGCGTCAAGGGGAGTTTGGCAAGCGGCCGCAGCTTTAGGCATTGTCATGATTGCGATTCAGGCAGCGACAGGATGGACGGCGCCACAAGAGGAGGGGTGTGAGGAGATTGATGAAGATGAGGCCAGAGCCCTCATTACTGAGAATGAGGGCGTGGGCGAGGCTTAGGCAACACTTGGACAACTGCCTAGATCTGATGATGGCTAGTTCTTCAATATCAAACCCGCTATGAGTACGGCGACTCCACATGAATACGGCGCCTCCATATGAATACGGCGACTCCATCGCCATAATCGTTTTTAGAAGCAGAAACCGCGTAAAAATAAACTTATCAACAGGTTGTTTCAACTGACTCGTTGGTGCAAGCGAACGCGAAAGCGAAGAGCGCCAACTCCCAAGGCGACGCCGAACGTGGCGTCCCAAGTTTCCAACGCTCCGCCTCAAGCTGGTCCCAGCTCGAAGCCGTCGTCTCTAGTAGATCAGTAGATCCGTCATGCGCAGTTGGTATTCCCCGAGGCCGTTCGGACTATCGGTGAAAAGCTCGTATCCATCTCCCCCACCTCACCAAGGACCGTCCAGTGTCTCGAAATGGCCCGCTCCTGCATCATGGCAAGTCAGAGAACTCAAGTTGCCGCGGCGCGAACCGCACAGACAGGGAAACGAGTGTTTTGCGTAGGCGGGCACCATGGCAGCAACGTACGACACGCCCTCGACGCGATTCTGAGCGGTCAATTGCTACTCCTGGTGTCGTCAGATGGCCGTTGCATGTCTCACAAAGCCGCAATATAAATTCCGCGACGTCGTTCCGCGACATGACGGCGACGTGCATTCCCGATTGCCTCAAGCCGGGCCCCGCTCCGTGCTCCGTGCCAATCTCACTCCGCTCACTCCGCTCACCCCACCCTCCTCGAGGCGTCATGGACGGTAGCGGCCCGCAGTCCCGAATACCCATGCGCGCCCTGTCTAGACTCCTCCCCGGCTGGTTGGTTGCGCCGGAGTCCTTGGCACGTTGCCGCGCGCGCTGCGACTTCATCATGGAGGGTCATCATGAGAGCACAGGGCCCAGGACCCAGGAGGGGACACCCCCGGACCCAAGCAAGCTGCAACCCCAGACCCTGAGAAGCCGTTGATCTGTGATGTGCCCGGGGTCTCGGTAGTCGGATTGCGTGGACAGTGCGTCTTCCGAGGTACGGATGCAGCAGTCCATGATTCATCCATCTCACCATCTCAATCCAGTAAGTCGTCTGCTCCATGTTCGAGTTTCTTCAACCAACCAGGGTCTCGATTCGCTACCAGACTGCTGCAAATAGAGCATATTAAACACAAAAACATTATCGTTATTTTGATGCTGACCACCGCTCTCTTCGCTGTTGTTACATAGGCATATATGCTCCCGTCCCGTCTTCCTAAAAGAATTCCCCTGACTGTAAAGCACAATGCAATTCCAAACTCCCAAATCTTTCCAGCAAAATTCCGCGTTTTTTTCCTGTAAATGCTGTTACAAATATTGCGCCTGAATATGGAACGCAACCGACTCTGCCCAGAGCATGCGCGCGTCCTGTTAGCCTTTCGTGCATCGTTATTCACAAAGAACCTCCCCCCGTATGTTCCCCATATCCACCATCGGTGTTTCCGTTGTGAAACAATTGTGTCTTCCTAAAAAAAGCATGTTTTGAAACGAGAATGTAAGAGAAGAGAATTTTCAATGCAACCCCTCAGGAGTTCGCGACCGGGCCACCCAGGAAAAAGTCGAGGTCGCTGCCGTGACCATTCTGCGACCGTTGCTCATTTTCCGCCAGCTGCTCAAGAAGCGTCAGGAACGGATCCTTTTCCTCTCCTTGGCCCGTGCCGATACTCCCATTGTTGCTCCTGTTTCCGGGACTTTGCGCAGTCGCCATAGTCGGGGTGTGATTGAGTTTGGCGTGGTGATGCTGGTGCTCCTCAGTGTGCCAAGCGGCGGGGCTGCTGAAGGCGTTTGTCGGAAGTGTTCCAAACATAGCATCGTAGCCACCATTCGCCTCGTTGATCACCGTAGCGCCATTGTGGTTTGCACTAGAACCAGACGCATAGCTGTAAGGAGGGCTGAACGGTGCGCCTCCCATGGCAGGCATACCCTGGCCAGGGGCGTGGTGTGTTGTGGGTGACATCCCAAAACCTGCCGCTGCTGCTGCTGCAACCGCAGCACTGTTGGCAGATGTTTCATCGAGATGATCCTGCAAGCCGTTGATTTGTGCCTCGTTTTCGTGTGTCTCTGGGTGGTGTGGCAGCGATGTTGGGGTTGCGAGCAGTCCAGGGGACGATTGTGGGACCATCCCACTAGTGTAGGAGAAGGATCGTTGGGGGTTTCCTGGAGTTGGGAGTCCGGAAGCCGAAGTAGTTAGGCTGGCAATGACTTTCACTTCGGGTCGCTTTCGGGTCATCTGAGTTGTGTTCTTGCGCTTGAGGCTAGGTCGATCAGGCCCGTCGGCGACTCGAGTGGTGTAAAGCTCGTGCCCGGTGTACGAGTCTGCTGTGAAGTCGACAACCACGTCTGATAGACTCAAGTTCGCTGCGTCGAAACTGAAGGACTGGCCACCTGGGCCACCAATATTGGAGTAGCGATCGAAGAAATCCTCACTGTGGAAGCTGGGGGTATATCGCATCGAGTTTCGTGCCAAGGTCTTGACCAATTCCCCATGGGCGTTGTAGATGCCCTGCAAGGTCTCCCGTTGGTGTTGGACGCAGGCCCATGCATACCGAAGTTCGCTCAGCTGTTGCATCTCCCGAGACAGGAAGTCCGCTGATGAGGTAAAGACGTTGACCTCGCCGTTGCCGCCTTGCTTGCTGTAGTGTGCTCCATGAATGTGAACTGTCCCTGCTGTGCAGATGCAGTAACCGACAAATGCAGGCCATTCGATCGTACCTGTTTGCTTCCCAAATTCTATCAATTCAGCAATGGCGTTGGCATGGAGGAAGCACATGTTGGTAGCCTCGATTTGCCATGACTGGTGCTGCCCGATCTCTGCAAGCTCGGCCAAGTCGATAGGTAAGAATGGTCGATAGATGAGGCAGTGGATGAGATGGTAGATGAGCTTGCTGAGGACAAGAACTGTCGAGTCCGCCTGGCCGAAGAGAGTGTTAAGACTAGAGAAGACATCTTCAGTACCCGATGCCCAGATGTCAAGATCGTGTCGAATCTTGGACAAGCTAGAAAGGGAGTGCCAAGGGAAATGGGAATCTCCCTTCACGCCACCCGCAGCCAGATATCGGTTCGTAGTTCCGAGGATCCGTGTGATGTCGATGAGCATTCCTGTGCTTCCTTGTGGCTTCTTACCACTGCCCTGAAAGTACTGGAGGTTGGAGCCAGCCTGGAAGAACTCCCCCTCAACCGGTAGTGACGATGAGTTGGGTGACCAACATGGAAGACGGAGGAGGATGGTGTTGTCGCTAATCAGGCAGGGTCTTTTCGAGCCCGTGGTCTGGAATCGATCGAGCAAGTAGCAAGTCCAGAAGAGTCGTCTCCGCATCTCTCGCTCGACAGGTGTCATTCGGGCCTGCGAGTCCATTTCTCGGTGGATTTCTAGCGCCATCGCCATTCCGGTTGCGCTCGCTAGACTTTGTCAGTAAGGCGAACAAGCAAAGTCTGAGGGCAGGGCAGTGTTACTCATTAACATGTATGCCTTCCTTCCCTTCCCAGATGCAGTGAAGGCGCTCACGAGGAGCAGGAGCGCCTGAAGAGCATCAATGGATGGATCATCAGTACTGATTTCTCTTCTTGCACGAGTGGCAAAGTCTTCGCTAAGCTTGATAGCTGCTTGATATCCACTTGGGTGAGGAGTGTATCTAGATGAATCAGTCAGGAGACGGTCTTGGGTGCTTTGGATGGTACATACCTCGCGGCAACAGCCGAAATGGCGTTGGAGAGATATTTAGGAAGTTGGTTCAACTGAAGCCGTTGCCTGATGGAGGATTCGTCGAGAATGTAATATGGCTTGCCGTGAAATCGGGTGAAGTAAGTGTCAAGAAGAGTGTCTGTCTGGGCGGCATTTGGAGATAGTTCGCTGCATGATAGTTAGATTCGGGATTCCAGGAACCAAAGGATTGTCTGGGATCGGACCTGTGGATGGGTGTTTGTGGAGAAAGCATTGTCAAGTCTGTATCGCAAGGAGACGCCCGCGCTTCAATTGCGATGCGCTTGGGGGCCGGCTCTCCCCCTTCTCCGCCCTGAGAGGCAGACACGGAGGTATCGGCCTTCCCCAACATTGGCGCATTCGCAATGGTCGGCGACGCATCATCGTCATTCTTTTCACGAAGCTTTGCTTCCAGCCCATCCACTCTCTTCAAGAGTGCTTCTAGCACATCCGTCTTCGGCCCACGTTTCTTTGGCACAGCGTCTATTTAGGCGCAGATTTTGGTTAGCATATTGATATGAGGCAGTGAAACTCCAATCAATGGACTGAATAGGTCACATTTATCAGCAAGGTGGAAGAGGCTTACCATATACACATGGGCATTGGAAGACCTGGCAAGCTTCGCAAGAGGGTCTAAGTCGGTTGCATTTAATCTGGGAGTCCGGAGTTAGGAGGACTCGAGTCAGTGGGTACAGAGTGAGGAATTGCTCACCTTTCGCTTTCGGCATGACTTGCAATTCATCGACTCCCGAGGTTCGTTGCTCATGCGCCGCGTGGGGAGACGCTCAATGCCAACCTGTGGCCGGGGAATGGCCACAGGTTGGGCTCTAGGCATGTGAGGAATGTTCATTGGGTCGTAGACGGATACGGTCATTTCTTGACCTGGCCGGGTAGAAGTGGTTGGTGGCAGCGATGGGGACGGCTGCGCATGCAATTTGATGGATATAGAGGGCGGTACCGGAGGTGATGGCAGAGCAGCCAACAGATGTCGCGGAAGGCGGAGGAGGACAAGACAGTGAGGGCCGGCTAGTGCTGTCTTGTTAAGGACTTTGGGGCATTCCAGGCGATGGGCGTGTCCGGATGTCTGGTAATGTCTGGTGGTGGGTGATGGTGAGCGCAAAGGCTGGTGGTGAGGGCCGGAGGTTGAATTGGCAAGTAGTGATGGAGGAGTGTCGACAGCTAGCAGCTAGGGGGGGCAACCAAATAAAGGAAGCAAGCTTGAGGGCAGAGTCCAGAAGCGGGAAGACGCCTCGGCAGTGGGACTTGGATGAGGAGCAGACACGGGAGACGGAGGACGGGAGACGGGGAGACGGGACGGACGAGATGGGGTTGATGACCAGAAGTACTGCGTACAGAAGTAGGGTGAGTGAGTCGTGCGCAGTGGTGCCCGCTGCCCAGTGCTCAAAAGATGGATGGTAAAACAGGGTCGACCGGTTGACCAGCCCCGGAGGCCAAAATTGTACGACTGACCCGAACCCCAGTAGACGGTCTCATTTTCGAGGTTGCTGGTGTGGAGGTGGCTAGTGACAGCGACAGGGGGGGGAGACGATGAGGGTGGTGTCGATGGATAGTGGGATAGTGGGGACGCCGAGTTCCTCTCGGACTGGCCTACTACGTCGTAGCATGGCCGGTCCCCGGCGCTGGTCCTGGGGCTTGCTTGCTCAGTGTTGGAGCTTGTACCGAGTCGTCAGGGCCTACAGCGGCGGACCGTGGTCGACCGTGGCCCTCCAGTTCCAGTCCGTCGTGCTACGTACATACTACACCGAGTTGGCGCCTCGGCCGGCCTGGCGATTGGAGCGCACCCCAGGATGCACTTATGAAGAGGAGAAGGCCACGAGGATCATAGGATGCCCCCAAACCCAAACCTCCGCCCCCAACGGCTACACTAAGGTACACACGCCCCCAAAGCACCAATCCGGGGAACGGGAGCCCTGGCGCCGGCCTCTTCATCCGCCGACCGCACCTATTGACAATGCTCGGATTTGAAAGGGTCGACATGGGCATTTACTTCGAGGTCCTCGCGTTCGGTCGAGTGGCGAGCGAAAGGGAGGGGATGAGCAAGGCTCCGTGGCCGGATGGTTCCCTGCCCCGAACTGGGGCCATGCTTTGCGTCGCCCCAGGTAGACTAGGGATGATTGAGGTTGGAGGCGGGAGATAGGGCCAGGCCTGTCCAGGTAGGTGCTTGGGTCGTGACCCCGTTTGGACGTGCCATCATCGACGTAGCATGCCGAAAGCTCACACCTGGAACAAGGGCCCCGCCCGCGCGCCGCACGGGCAGAGAGCATGGAGATGGAGATGGAGATGGCCATGGAGACTGAGACTCCTGCCATGCAGATGGAAGTGCTAAGGGACGCCAGGCCACGCGAGGTCCAAGACAAAAGACCAGGAAGCCGGGCTCTAGCAGGGGCAAGGCTAGCCATATCGGTGGAGAGAGAGCTCAGAGTCCCGGTGGTTTGTCAGAACCCGTTCCGCCGTTGTTGGCTTGTGTCGTGGCTGCAAGGGCCAGTCTCCGTCGTCCTGATACGTGCGTCCCCATCCCCTTACTTTGCCGGGTATAGGTAGACGGCGAACTGGATCTAGCAGAGAGAAATAGGGCCCAGTCTAGGTAGATGCTGGCATCGAAGTGAAGCAAGGCTAAACTAAACGCCCAGGTCCCAGTCAGTGCCGGGCCCAGGGCAACGGATGCGTGGGCAAGCGTATTTCTGCACAGGGCGTGTTTGAACAATTGCTCTACACCGTATGTGGTCCGCGTACGTGGGTAGTGGGTTAGGTAGGTAGGGTAGGTAGGTAGTTGTTTATAGCATGTCATCAGATGGAAACTCGACGTTTGACTCTTGAGACGCGGTTACGAACCTAATTACATAGGTAGGTACCTAGATAGGTAAGGTAGGTAAATAGGTAGGTACCTAGGTGGGAGGACAAGCTCACCCGTGCCTGCCGTTTCCCTAACATTGTATTGCCTTGCGCGTATCCGTACTTGAACGGCTTTTACACGGCCTTTGCACGGCCTTGAACTCAATCTTCCGTTTTGATGGCGTGCAGTCATGGCGCGTGCCTGCCCATGCCTGAGATATACGTCTTCTTCAACAGCAAGTGCGTCCAGTTGAGTTTCCGTTGTGCCTGCCTGCCTGCCTGCCTGCCTGCCCACTTTACCATCCGCTACCTGCCGTGGCGCCTGCCAGCCGGGGTCTGTGGCACCTCGCTTATGAGAAGGCGGGGCGCGGCGCTGTTTGGGGCCCTGAGACAACAGATGCGATAGGCTGCTTGAGGACTTCCGACAGCCTGAAACCCAGTGGGCACGACCCAGAAAAGGCATCGTCACTTCACAAATGCCCTCCAGCATCTGGCGTCCAGCTTCGAGCTTCTAGCTCGAGCTTTCAACGTCCTCGGCAGAAATGACCCCTTGGCACGTCGAATCACACCGGCTTAGCCCGTCACACCTCAAGATCCATCCCGGCACTCGCTCACGCTTGCACGTATTCCATGCCATCTGACGCCGCCCGAGTCGACCTTCACTAGCCCCCTGGACCCACGGTCTGGCATCCACTCTATCTATCCAACCCTTGACCTGCGACATTCCAGACTCTTTCCATCGGCTCGCCGCTACAGCTGGATATCACACAGGGCCAGGCTAATCTTGTCGTCCTTCGTTCATCCCAGCTCCCGTAGATGGGGATGAGATCTCACCCTCCCTGCCCAGCATGTGGACCATTTGACAGGGCCAGGGCAACTCTCTAAAATGCCTCTACCCTCTCCTTCTGCTACCCTGATCCCTCCCGCTCGTGTCTCGGGATTGCCATGGAACCATGGTCGCGCTCCGCCGGCGTGTGGCGGTCTACCACCGAGTTCGATCAGCAACCGGCCGAGTGGCCACCGTCATCGACCACGGACTTCAACTGCAAGCGCCGCTGCTGGGCCGGGACCAGACCTGGCGTCGTTGAATCCGCATGGCGCGCGGGTGCTACCAACAACCTGGCCTACATGAGGCCGGCCGCCTCGGATTGTGACCGCCTCTCTAAGAACCGCCCACCATTTGCTCCTCATCCGCATGCTCAGACATCTCGTACAGGGGACCAAGATGAAGGGTGACACGACCATATCCACGTACACATATCCCACCCTAGGCCGGAGCTCTCTCAGGTGAAGATCAGATTCACCCCTCACGACTTCTCAACAAAATCGATCGCCATCCTCTTCTAATCAATCAACCCCTTTCTGGAATATGACTCTCCAGCTAGCAAGGGTGAAGCCTTGCCTTGGTGTTGCATCATTGTTCAAAACGTCCAGTCCAGACGAATACCACCGTTCGAACATACATACGCACGCGGGTTTCCGGCCCCTTGCCTCGTAGGGCTTGCATTGGGAGGAACTGGCAGTGAGGGGCATGCTCGCCGCATGGCGTCTTCGTCACCGAGGCCACCCCCCTGATATTCATGATTTGCATCCACCCGACTCCCCGACGAGGTATGTGCCTCCTTCAAGCCCTGTCCCGTGTTAGCCACACTCTCGGTCCACTTCGTTGGCCAAAAGGGTCCTTGTCAATCCAAGCTAGCGTCGCCCGCTGGCGTGTGCTCATCTGCCTCTCGTAGTCGGCATGCTCCCCCGATTTGGACCTTGGGTCCGGCCGGGACCCTCGACAGTTACCCACTGGCTGCCGAGCATCCTTGTCTAGGCTATCGTGTTGGAAACCTAACGCTCGCCTCATAGTTCTGAACTCAATCCTGTCACCAAGCAGCAAAGGGTCAGTGCAAGAATAGCGGCTGCGCCGTTGCATGAAGGCCGGTGTCGTCACTGACACACCGAAACCCTTGGATAATGCAGGAGATGCAAGAGCTGTGCAATGCTCGTTCGAGCTTGGATTAACATGGAGTCGATGCGTTCATCGGCAGAACGCCGAGGGGTAATCATTCGTCCAGAGAGCTGGTGTGGTGTATCAAACACGGGCCTTCTGGAAGCAGATCATTGCATGCCCTGCAATACCGGCCTCCCTGCCCATTTGGACTCCCAGCTCAGCAGGTACACCGCGCCGCCTCCGCCTTACCCCAGGTGCCTAATCCGTGCCCATCTCGGATAGGCTTAGACACTTGGCCCGTCGAACCATTGTCACGCCGCCCCCAAGCATCCAGGACCTTTCTTTGCTGAGCCGCCACTTGTCAGCCTCTTGCCTAAAACTGAAACTCGCCGCGTCGATGGGATTCGACCCGAAATCGAGGAAGCCTCTAGACACGCCAACGACCCTGCCTAGGTCTTGATCAGATTCTTCCTCTACTACGTACTCAAAGTCCCTCAATTCGAGGCAAGACGCATGGCCCCCATGCCAGGCACCTTGAGCCGCGTGATGGTCTACGATGACGGCCAAGATGCCCTGCGCCCTCAACTCTGCGCTGCCAGGCTCATGAGACAGCTTCGTCATCACCATTCACCATTCAGGCTCTGAAAACCCCCTTTTTAGGGATTCTGGCACAAACCCATGGGGGCGTGGCCGTTGGCAGCACGTACTCTTTACGTGGGAGAATCAACAAAGCGGCGTGCACCTCAGTGTGGGGGATTTATCATCCTTAGCACTCGCGGATGCGTTTGAATCCCATTACCAAAGCCTAAATGACCCTACGGATAATCGTCTTGATGGTTGTCAAACTCAACTCTCGGAGGATCACGCCAGTCCGAGAGTTAATTCTAATGCTAATTCTGAGGTCCCCTATTTTAATTTACGAAGCACTTTATATGCCTTCTTTGGGAACTTGGCCAAAAGTCCTAGTATTCGGGCCTACCGAGCCATTCTATCAGAGTTTCCGGGAGGCGGAGTTCTTGGAAGGCGGTCAGGCGTTGTTCACCGTCGACCGTTCTCCATTTTCCGTTCTCCGTTCTCCGTTCTCCGTTCTCCCGTTGCTCGCCTCAGCTTCAGCCCTTCGCATATTGGTTTCCCCTGGTGTCCTGAACAGCTAGTCTGCGTCACCGAACGCCACCAAGACTCAATCCTCGTCGGCAAAAAGCTTCAGGTACCGTACCCAGCTTTTCCGATAAACACCAGCCGAGCCGTTGTCCAGTCGCACCATCTTCGGTAGTCTCGGGCCCCACAGCCACGGTGAAGACATATTCGCAACCCTCTTCTGGCGCTCACAGCTTCCCGTCTGGCTCATTGATACACGTGGGCCAAATAGAGCGCTGTAAGTGTGGCCAAGTCGCTTCCTGCACAGTCGAACTTTTCCGGGACCAAACGAGAAAGGAACCACCACCCAAAAGAACTGCCCCATTTTATCGTATCAAGAAGATTAGCTTCGTCTCGCCTGTCTTGTCTTGGGGCGCGGTCGATGTAGTCGGATTGCCTAGGTATACACCCCATTCGCCACCCGTTGTGTTGCTCTGCTCGTCGTTCATGGGACGCGAACACAAGCTAGCAGAAGTTGCATATTCAGATCTAGGACAGGAGCCAACATGTCCATCAGCATGGCTCCCCTGGTTGCATACCAGGTCAAATCTGCAAGCGCTAGATCTACCTAACTCATTGCTCAGCTATACAGCAGGAGCGAATGTGTTGGAGTCGGTTTGGTAGACACCGCCTCAACTACTCGCGATGCCTCCTCTAGACAAGGCCCTCGGCGTCAACTCTCGAGCGCCAATGGGGCTGTGCAGCTTGGATAAAGTCTCTGCTGGTTCAATTCATCTAAAATCGCCATCTCTCGGCTTTCACGGCACTTGGCGGCAGCTCTCGAAAGAACCTCTTGAAGTTGATAGTGGCACGACCAAGATCCTCCGGAACCCCGGACAGTCCTCCCTGTCCAATGTTCCTGTCATACCCGGCGGTTAGGTACCTACTTTACCTTGTCACTTCGCTTTTCCGCTTTTCCACATCTCCTCCTCGTCCCCTTGAACGGCATATTCCCTATCACATCCCCACAGGCCCCCTAGTGCATTCTTCTTCAAGCTCTCAGTGGGTTGTCAGCACCCGATGCAGCCACTCATTTTCTCCCAGTGAGAGTAGATCCCTGGATGCCGACGATGTGCAGGTCTCTACTTGAAACCTGATACATTTACAGTCTCGGTTCTTCCAAGAACGGCATTTTGGTCATCTCCGATGCCATTAAACACGTCACTACTCAATGTCAAGGCGGTCACGTTTCTTCTTGCGCGTTTCGCCCAGTCTCGTGGTGGATGTTCCCCATCCCCTTCGTTATTTACTTCGTGTGTGGGCTGGTGGTGGGTCGAGATGTGAGAGGGAGACTGCGTTAACGCCTTCGCACAGGTCCTGCATGTCCCACATCGCGGCATAAGCATAACTTTGCAAGGCTTCAAGGGGACGCCGAGTCCTCCCCCGTCTCGTTTAACGGCGAACTGTCCATCCCAGCGTCTATTCCGGCAGTGGCGATGGCGTCTTGACGGCGGGTATCCATCCCATCAAGAGAGAGCAACGGGTTGGCCGGTGCCCCTGTCCCGGCGATCGAGGATCCTCTTCATCCGAACTCTTTGGCTAGCTCCGAGAGGTGCATGGTCTTGTCTGTGGTATCCGCCCTTTTCATCTCCTCCGCATACCGCCACTCTTGACCTTGCCTGTTGCCGCCACACATCCCTCCTCTATCTCCACGCCCTGGGTCGCATCGTACCAGCCGATCCAGACGTGGCCAGAGGCAGATCAAGCTCTCCGGCGATCCCATCATGAGGTCTCCGTGACAGACCTTCTCAGACCTTCCCCATTCGCCTTCGGTACTCATTCGACCGATAGCTTGGCTTTCCGTCTTGCCCTCGAGGAAGCACCACATCCTGCACCCTTTTGCCGGCTCGTTTGGGCTCTGCCGGCGCCATCTTGTTCCTCTGGACCGGGTTTTCCTTCCCTCTTCAGATGAATTCCCTCTAAAACCTGCGGGCCCTCGCTCGGTGACGCCTACGAACCCTTGGACGGCGTGGCGCGCTCGTTCACTTGGCCCGCTTGGATGCATTAAACTTGCTCTTTATCCATCATCCCATCATTGTTTCGTCCCCATTCGATGTCAGGCGAGGTTTGCGGCGTCTTGTTTGAGACTATCTCCTGCAACTGCCCTCCACCTGCTGCTTCATTGTTTCGCAGTTCATGTCCAAAGGTGGGTTGCCAGACCTCACTCCAGGGGGGTGGCTCCCAGCAAGCGCCCTGAAACTCACACAGGCTATTAACCCCTCTTCAGAGAGTTGGTGAAATCGAGCGAGTGGGAATTAGCAAGGGTCGGCCATGACGTGTTGCGTGTCGGAGCCTGCTGAGTGCATCCGCTCACCCCCATTGTGCTGCTGTGCTGGACGTGGAGGATACCTGACATATGAGAGGATCAAAGTTGAGCATCTCAAGTGGCGTGGTTGAGGAAACAGGGAGTATTCTTTGACGTCTGTATGCATTTACCTCCGCTAGTTCTTCCTATGATATCAACTGTCTCTTGCCCAGGTTTCAAAGCTCATCGTGTCCAATAAAACCACATTGCAATATGCTCAATATACCAGTGTATACGTAGTACGGTTTATAGAAGATACGTCCTGCTCTTTAAAAATCCAACCTCTCGTCGTTGGGGCCGAGGCCGTTCTAGGCCATCCAAATGCCACATACGGCAAGGTTGCAACCACACCCTCTGAGCCCCAACTCTATGGATCAAAGTCTGGGCCCCATGGACGAGAGCCACTCGCTTCCGGCCTGGTTTGTGAATTCCTCGCTTTTCCTATGCTAGACCGGGGGGAAGCCCCGCCTCGGGCCTGAAATATTGGAGAGCTCGGCTTCGATGTCCAGGGGTCTCTTTGACGTCAAGACCGGCGCTGACGGTGAGAGACAGCGCTTGGCATGGGGCTGCCGTTGGTGCGCTTGCGAAGGCAAGCATATTCCCTTGCTCCCATCCATCTCGTCAGCGCTTCGTCTTTGAATCGATGTCATTTGCCCCTGAGGCCGGATGAGTTGCCCGAATCTCCATCCCGGATCATTCCTCGATCGGGTCATCCGCACAAAGCGCCGACGTCAATCTCGGCTCCCGGGCAGTCTATCCAGACCATTGATCGCTTTGTCCGATCCACGAAATAAGTGAGTGTCGAGTCTACTCCAGTTCTGCTCAGTAAAGGTTGCTGCCGCTGGCTAGTCGGACGAAGCTATACGGAACGTTCTGCCCGACTAGCAGCCGCAGACTCTCCACAGCGGTGAAGGCCGCCACATCAACCGCTCCGTACGCGGCAAAACCACTCTTTTCTGCGATCAGACTTGGATCGGAACTCCTTCGGGAGGATCCTTCCGCCAGGTCAAGGAAGACCTTCTTCGACATCGACGAGCCTCTCGAACCAGCGCCTCCGAATGCCCGAAGCAACATTCCGACTAGGTTACTCTTCTCTGGGCGCAGCGCCGAGACGATGACGAACGGGGAGCTTTCATCGTCCACAGACCGGGCGCGTTGCAGGCTCTCGAGGCTGATGAAAGGTTCGATCGGGGGTGCGTTTCGGGCGAGGGCAGACGGCGTCCGAAATCCCACGGTATATATTTTAGCAATCTTGAGGGCTCTCATGGCAAATATAACAGGTGCAGCATCATCGGAAGAAGATGCCATCAACACAGCCGAACGTCCAAAGTATGCGGAAGGGGCGAGGTCCCGGGTGAGCGTGCTCAGTATGCCTTTCCAGCCCGCGTTATCAAAAACAAGGGTGGAGTTAAGTGGTAAGCCCGACAAGATAATGGGTTCGAGAGAGTCGCTCTGACGATGACGAGGGCTTGACGGGATCGAATGGGGCGACGATGATGTTGACGAAGATCCAGACCTAACAACGATTGTGTCCACTATTCCGATAACACGAGCGGCCTCCGTCAATATGGGCCCGGTGCCCGCATTGAGACTCGTGAAGAATGAACTGTTCTTGGTTATGGTTTGATGCGGTAATCCTGGATTGAGGTATGCGCCTCCAAAGTGCTTTTGGTTACACCATGCCTCCATGCTTCCTGGATTGCTGGGATGTCTGTCAACAACTGCGAAGTGGTGAGGTAGTCCAAGTTCATTGAAACACTTCTCATAGAATGGTGCTTGTGGTGTGGCGCTCCGTGATGCCGTGCTGCTGATACCATATATGGACTTCCTAGGGAGCTGGCCCAACAATGACAAAGCCGCATTGATTTCTGCGGCGCTCATCTGGCCGGGAGCAGCGATTATGGGGAGAAGCGGGTGAGTGATAGGAGTGAAGACGGGATTCAGTGTCCTCGAGAATTGACCAGTTTCGCCCATGTTAACGGCAGAGAATGGAGGGGCATCGGGGTATTCGGATCGCATTTTGGAGCGGAAGTATTCCAACTCAAAGTTCTCGTTGTGTTCGTTGATAATGGCAATCATCTTTATAATGTCCGCGTACCGTTGGGATTGTTGGAACACCTCCTGAGCGTACTTGGACGGCCACCGAAAGGTCCCAGAAAAGTCATGGAAGGCCGACATGATACGGGAGTTTCCCCGCTTCTCGTACAATTTCCGCCTAATGGTTTCTGGTAACCAGAGCTCCACGTCAATATACTCTACTCCCCATTGGATTGCACGGTACAGGTATTCATAGTATATGTCCGGGTTGTCCATGGGGAACCTTCCATTTTCGCGGGTACATCGAGTAGTAAAGATGATGGGGAGTTCTGTGCGCTGGCGGAGAAGCATGACTTGCTCACCCACATAACTCAAACTAGGAATCTCTGAAAAGGATCCGTCCCCAAGCGGCTCCTGTAACAGGTCGACGCGGATTTCGACAGCATCGGCGCCCACAGTCAGAATATCAATGTTGGGCAAGGCGGCGTGGACGTCGGGAAAGGTGGTGGAGATGAAGTAAGTCCTCGGTTTTGCCATCAGAGCTGCATGGTGACTGATCTGGCCGAGAGTAAAAGACGTGAACCTTGCCAAATCGCGGCGGATGAAATGAGATTCGGTATAAAGGAATTCGTAATCGCATTGGGCTGACAGGTGGAGGTCCGGAGGCATTCCTAGGTTGACACAGTGAGCATTGATGGCGACCATAAGCTCCTGATTGCGCGCAGCAACGTCGTCCTTTGCTTGGGAGGCGGCAATTCCGACGACGAAGCCACGGTCATCGGCTGTTACTTGGCTAAAACCACCTCTTATCCTGAAGGGAGCGCCCAGCACCTCGGCGAACACGGACACAATCCGATCCTGTGCGTGTCCAAAGATAATGACGACGATCCTGGTATCTCCAGTCGCTGGTGTGCCGCCAAAAGAACTTTCGTCGAGAACAGGGCTTTGGCTATGTCGATTCACGTCGGCGCTCATGGGACTTGACGAAGACCCGTTCAAGGCGGCATCAAGAGCCGGACCATGAGGCCGGTCGGCCATCATTTGCTCAACAGCAGCCATTTCGTTTTGACTGAACTGGCGAGCCAGGCCCACCTCTTCAGCTTCCTGTCACGACAGTCCTAACGTTGCAAGTTCTCGGTATCCCAAATCCACGAAACAGGGCAAGTCGCATTCCAATCGGGGCCGGTATTTCCCCATGCACCAGCGATTGAGGTGAGGGAGGGCTCGGCGGATAGATATCGGGTCAGTCGAATGCGGCCCGTTGCAACGGCGTGGCGACGTTGCGATCAGGTTGAGGTTCGAGATTGGATCGTGGATTCGGGCTCGGGTTCGGGTTCGGGTGGTTCTCAACGAGGCAGCGGACAAGGTGGAAAGGCGAGATGGCGACGATGGCAGCGACGGAAGAACGGGCTTCGGAATATTGTTGGGAGATGTTGAGCGCAAAGGGTTTGTCGCAAGTGAGGTGTCGGACGCGGCTATGTGTGGGTGCGGGTTTGAATGCGGACCCCTGTGGGGGCTGGCAGACTATGGGGTACGTCAGTGGTGGTGGTGAGAGCGACTGGAGCTCGTGAGCGTGTGTGGGATGGTGAGAGAGAAATGAAGCGGCGAAGCGGTCGAGAAATGGCAGAACATGAGGCACGCAGCCAATAGGCCCCGAAGGGGATCCGTACCTTGGGAGTACTTATGAGAGGGAAAAGTGGGAAGAGCCAGTAGGAGAGTTGAGGGTTAACAGCGCGCAACGTGGAGAGGACGAAGATATCGTATGCGGCGAGGGATGAAGTCGCTAAGGCGCCAAGCGAGGAATATTTGGCCGATGGGGCGTTTGAGCCGGCCAGATAGGGCGTGGTCGGGGCGAAACAAGGGAGAGTATCCCTGACCCGGGGGTGGACTCGAGAGGATCAGAGCAAGCGACCGGGGGGCAGGACCATGGCCAGGCAAAACTCGAGGGCTGTCGTTGGTGGAAGGGAGTCGGGCAAGCGAGCGGCGAGGGTGTCGAATTGTTCCACCACAGGCGCTCGTCATTGACGTGAGCGATGCAGACGAGACAAGCAGGAAAGACGAGTAACAGAGACCCGATCTGGAGGCAGCAACTTGAAGGACGGCTTTGGGTGGTCGCCAGGGCCTTTTCGTTCTGTCTTGCAGTGGGGGGTGCTGCTCTCTGTTGATGTGGGACGTGGTGGGATATAGTGGGATGTGGGATACGCGAAGTTCCCGGGTGAGGTGCGTGTAAATAATGCAAGAGAGAGAGAAGAGGTGCGTTTCTGCCACGAAGGAATCAGATGAGATGGATGTCGATCGTCATGCAAATTTAAACGGAGTTTGGACTAGCAGTGGCGGGCTTGCTTGCATACCTACCTACGCACTTTTGCCTCGGACGAGGTAAGGATGTAGGGAGGACGATGGTAAGTGAGGAAGGGTTGAAGGCATTGGAGGCCTTGCACGGGTTAGATACCTTACTACGTAGAAGGATGAGGATTGGAAATGGCTGGGTGTACGGCAAGCAACTACCCGATCCCAAGTACCTTCCAAAGTCCAACTCCACGGTTCCCCGAGGTTGACTGGTACTTTGCTGAGACAAGAAGGTTGTACCAACTAGCCCACGACTACGGAGTACTACGGAGTACTACGGTACCTACCTTAGTAGTACTTGCTCGATAATGTACAGGGGCCGTGGGGGCAATAGCGGGAGCAATTGGCAAACGGGACGGAGCGAGTGAAAAGAGAATGGGACATGGGACGGAGAAGACGGGGATGGATGGGAAGGATGGGAAGGATGGGACGGGTATGGGGAAGGGACGACGAGGCGCCTTCGATGCTTCCCTGAAGGTCCCCGGATAGGCTGTGAGCGAGCCGCCTAGTCGCCTAATCGCCTAATAAACGGACGACGGCTGAAGGCTCGCAGAGAAACCCGCTCCTCCATAATTACCCCCAATTTACTCGTTCGTTCTATCTTACCCCGAGTCTCGTCCAGAGCGCTCTGTCATGGTCAAGGCGGCATTGGAAGCATTGGAAGAGCAGATGACATGCACCCACCTCCGGTTGCATTGTGCAGATGCCGGGCCGTGTAAGTTATCTAGCTCGCAAGCTGGAACAACCAGCGGCCGATCCTCGCACCGATCGAGTAAGAACCGAAGCCTCGCTGCTGTCGGCCGTTGAACGAACAAGTACGAAGTATAGGCAGGGGAACCGCCCCGAGAGGCCTCAATGCCGCCGCTCAGGCAGCCAATGTGTCCGTTCCGCAAGTGACACGGCCTTTGGATGCCTCGAAACGGGCACGCGGGATGCCACAATGATACAAGATGGCAGCGCCAACAGTGGGAACAACAGTGGAGAGGGGCGCCACTTGGGGGTGGGGACGAAAGGGGACCGGGGGGAAGAGGGGCGGAGGGGGGCACCAAGATGGCGCTGGAAGGCCAATTCTCCAGGCGCTGTGATAGCTGGACTTTGGGGGTCGTCGATTCTCCACCAATCCGTGGCGCGCGTCCCCGCAAATGCTGTTAATGCTTCACTGCGAACCCTTGGGTTGCTCGGGTTGCTTGGGGGTCTGTTTCGACGGGGCTCCTGCCTTTCCCCCGGTCTTTGTTTCATGGCCATGCGACCCGCGAGAGTAAAAGAAAATTCCGTAGTTGCGATGGCGATGGTGATGTCGACGTTGGCCTCGGCCTCGTCCAGGGCAGGAAAAGGACGCCGTAGGGGAAAAAGTCTGTCAAGGGCAACATGGCGCGATTGTTGCGTCTGCCCGGACCCCGTTCCCTCCAAGCTCCCCGGTCTAAGCCTCCTCTCGTTCGTCCATCTTGTTTCGGCTTGTCTAACTGAGACGGGATGTGCCCAAGGAACAGCGGCTTCATTCACCTAAACGGCTCCAGCACACAATGCTAACAAACCTTCTGGCGGACCAAATGTCTACATAGTATGTGGTGTTGTTTTCCCGTTGTTTTTCTTGGTCCTTTTTTGGATATTGGTCCGTTGACAAGTTTCCTCTTCCCCAAGGGTTCATCCCAGGATCAATCAATCTCTGGGTAAATCCATCCTATCATCCCCATCATACGTAGTACGGAGGACGCAGTATACCAGAGTTGCAGGCCTCCGGACCTACCTAATCCCTCCTCGGTTTCAATATTCCAAGGTTCAAAGCTCCTAAGCCCCAAGCTCTCAAGCTCCTCTTCAGCTGCGTCAATAGAACGGTCGCTTGCGGCTTGCCTGTCCAGCCGCCCTTCCCCGGCGGCGTCATCCCATGTGGATACTACGTAGCAATCGCCAATCCCAATAATTAACATACATCATGATATACACCTGAAATGCACGACGGCTGTTGGTCCAGTCACCCAAGCCTCGTGTAATTAGTCATTCCCCCGATAACCAGGCACGCGGGGGGGAAGGATGTGCACATCCATCCACGCGCATGCACGTTGCGGCGTCGCATAATCACGGCCTTTCCGAACTCCGAGTCCCTCAGCAATCGCCTGCGAGACTAGCATCCTCGTCTGGCTCCCGACTTGTGTCATAATGCAATTCCACGGTGCTTCCTGTCTCGGCAAGCCGGCTCGCCCATGGCCCGATTCTCAGAATGGTGAATGCGGGGCCGGGCCTGTCAGTTGGCCAGTGCATCGATATAACAACTATACTCCGTAGAGGTAATTATTGTCCATTGCCAATGCAATGTACTTCGTGCGTACCTCCGTAGCTGAAAGCCCATCTCCATCCTACGTTGTATAGCGTAGCTCCAATCCCTGCTCGCTTGGAAGCACCGGCCGCAGGTCGCATGTCGCATGTCGCACCTCGCGTATAGCCATTCGGCTGGGTCGAGGTTTGATTAATCTCCATCCTCTGGCGCCTTGGTCAAAGCCGGCTGTGGAATAGCTGGAGGCTATTCCTATGCCCGTCGTCCGTTGAGGCCCGGTCGTGTCTCCGGCGTCTCGGGCCCATGCCCCGCCAACCGCAAGACCACCGGCCACGAATCTCTCCGGAGCTGGCCCACAAGATCCACGACCAACTATTTCCCACGAATGAAACGTGCTCCGTCTGGGTCCCTGGGGATCTGGGACCAAATTCTCTTGGGACGGAACAATGAGAGGCTGATGATCCTCGGCGTATCATCGACAGTCTGGTATCGGTTTCTGGTGAGTCGACAATCATGTCCGCCTGATGCACTGCAGGTAGGTGAGAGAACACGACGGGCTGCAGGCCCCTGGAATTCTGCACCTATCTCGACGTCGACCAGAAGATGATGCAATGAGACAAATACGAGACAAGGATGGACACGACCCGGCATCAGGTTGCGATGGCCAAGGAAGACGTGATTGACATTGAAAGACGCCCACTAGGTAAGGAAGGACTGGACTGCATTGCATCTATCACACACACATACATCCACACGCGCACTCTCGAGCCCAAACACAACTTGCCCGGATGCTACTCTGCACGGAAAGCTTAGATTCGCGCTTATTTCTGAGACCACGTCCCGATCATGTTACCCTCCGAGTCGATGAGCCTGGAAAAGAAGCCCATCCCGCCTCCGATCTCCGTCTTGGGGCTGTGGACAAGTTAGCCTTTCCGTCAACATGCCCGGGCACCGGCAGGATCCGGTTTCACTCACATGGCAGTCTTCCCGCCAAGCTCGACGGCCTTCTCAAGCGTCTCGGCGCAGTCGACGACGCACAGGGTCGGCAAAACTGGACACGGCCCCGGGTTGCCGGGGATGTGGTTGATGACCTGGTTCTTCCCGTCCACATGCAAGAGAGCTCCGTGGAGGGTCTTGCCCTTGGAGAAGAAGTGCATGCCCTTGACACAGTCGCCAACGGCTTGGCGGGGCTCGTCGGAAAATTCCCATCCGAAGAGCTCCGTGTAGAACTTCTTGGCGCGAGAGACATCAAGGACAGGCACTTCCAACCAGCACATCTGGCCAAGGGCTTCCTGTGGTGGTTGTTAGCAACGCTGCTTCAGTCTTGGAAGAGGGACGACGCAATACTTGAACAAGGGACTCGTCCATGTTGTCAATGTTGGAGAGGGAATTGATCAAATTGGTATTGTACGAGTGTCGGTGTGGTTATCAGGCCCGAAGAGACTCTTTTGATCTTGAGTTGTCGAATGGCTACAAAATTCTATCGAGGTGGTGTCTCGTCCTCGCCACTTTATACCCAGAGCTTGACGCTCGATGCTCACACTAACTCAACAGCAAGGTTCAACCACCGTTCAGTTATCCCATCCTCATTCCTTTGTCTAGCAAGCCCGCTACTCGAAAACTCCGTCAGAGGCGTTGCTGCCTGACCATGGCTTGCCGTCAGGCCAATAATGATGCACGCAAAAGCAACGAGGAGAGGGGTCGGCAGGGGGCACATGACTTCGTGTCTGAGTCGCGCTCAATACGGCTGGGATGCGACGCATACGACGCGCCAATTCGCGCCGTGGCTGCGATTAGGGATCGTGAGAGGACGCCCCGCGCGGGGTTGAGACTCACCGACTGACACCAAGTTTGCGTCCGTTACGCCTCTAGCGTGAGACGAGATTACAACCGAACAACTTCACGACAACATTACGACGCAATCCACGGGCGTGAAGTCATGGGTATATGACGGCTGAGGATGCTCACGCAGCGCATCTGTTGTCGCCGAATGTGGTGACTAGGCGTTTCCACCCAACGCACCGGTGTCAAGTGCGACAACCCTCTCATTCAGACGCAAATTTCTCTCGCATGGCATTTCCTTGTCTTTCTACTTTCTCATCATCTAACCCTTCTCCTGCTGAAACCCTAGCGACGACGGATCTCTTCTCATCATAATTTCGAGCATGCCGACCTTCCGATCAGCCGCATTACCATTCCAATCATTTATACCTGGTGGTGTGGGACCTGTATCCCTTGCAACACCGACAATTATAGATTTGAGGTCCAGGAAATCAACAGGTAGTGGGTCTCTCCACATCTTGGTTCTGATCGCCTCGATCATAGGTCGCAATAAGTATCGCAATAGTCATGCCAGAGGCCGCATATGCAATTTTCGAATTACCAAATCGCACGACTTCCGGGATCATTACAGTATCCACCTGCTTCGTTCCATTCTGCAGCATCACTTGCCCTGCTCCGCTACTACCGAGGAAATGGTCAAGTAGCAACTCGAGTCTTCTTCGATACCAGCAATAGCATCTGGAGCAATGCCATCCGTGTGGCATTGCACTTCTAATCATTTTTTACCATATTCCGGAGGAACGAGTCCCCAAGGGCAGAAGTGTATAGTGTTGTCAGGGTTCGTGATGGAAAGCTGACACCATGAAATGAGACATTGACCAACCCTCGAGTGAAATCTATGTCATGTTGCCGTTGTGCATCTCCGCGAACCCTTGTGACCGAGATATTATTAGCAATCATGTCACCCGTGACATTGAATTTGACTGGCGTAAACGTTACCTCGCGCTGAAACGCGCTGTAGCTCTTTCCAGTCACGAATTCACACATGTACTGAGATGGACTTCTAACAGCCGCCAGTACAGTAACAAAATCGCTATTTAGAACTCCCCAGGTTGGAAATCCCGCCCATTCGCCATTCGGGAGCGACCCCTGGGCCCAGAACCCAGGTGGGGCGTAGATGCCACCAGGTGTGGTGACTGTATCTGTTGTATTAAAGGCAAGTCGGCTCGGTTCGTTGTATGAACATGACACCCCTGAGGAGTATTCATTTTCGAGGAATGTGTAGTTGAAAACGGTCGCTTTGGTGGTCGCATCTGAGCGCTCGGGCTCTACCAGGCCAATGGTTGAGGCAACGCCGTAGGACTGACCATGTTAAATAAGTGCAGTGTCGTGGAATAGATGTGTCGCATAAGAGGCCTGCTCCACTGAATCGATAAGTGACCATGACAACTAGTGAAAATTTGAAGTTGAAATAAAACAGAACCAAAAACTTGAATGGCGTTCATTGCTTCGAATAGCCTAGGAGAATTATGATATCAAAACATCCAAGTCAACTGGTTTGCGATGATATCACCATGGCTCAGGATCCATGCTGTAGGGTAGGTCTGGACGTAATCCTGTTGGTAGGTAGAACTCCGCAAACGAAGCTTGGCAATTCAACAGCTGTTGAGCTAAGCCTGGAGCAGCTCTTAAGCTGTGCCCCACTACGCGTTTCTAGGCCAATCATGCGCGCAATAATGTACCTAAGAAGCCGATCCTGAAGCGCGTCATACCACCTGCGTTTTGCCTTCAGCGTGTCGCAAACTAACTTTCGTGCTGTCGCATTTTTACATCTTCCACGCCGACAACCAACCTTCATTCCCCTGGACATTAAATACATCCCACAATTCATCGCCATCTCCAATTGTTTCATCTTCCCCATTTTCCGACCAAGTTTCATCATGGCCGAGCCCACTGAGCAAACCGCACCCGTCGTTGACGAGGTCGCAAAGCCCGTTGTCGAGGAGACGAACCAGCCTGAGGTTGACGAAGCCATCAAGCCCGCCGACAAGGACGACTCCGAAGCTGCGCCTTCGGCACCCGCTGCGCCCGATGCCGTCGAAAATGCTACCGATATAGATGCCGCCGATGACGATGTCAAGTCCAGGAAAGTTACTCTCGCCGACCTCTGTGCTAAGGGCACTACCCTCTACGCCCAGAGGAGCTACGAGGAGGCCACCGAGATCTTCTCCCGGGCCAGTGTCCTGCAAGCCGAGATTAACGGCGAAACCGCACCCGAGAATGCTGAGATCCTCTTCCACTACGGCCGCAGCCTGTTCAGGGTCGGCCAGAGCAAGAGCGACGTCCTCGGTGGCCCCGCCGCCTCCGACAACAAGAAGAAGGCCAATGGCGACTCAAAGCCCAAGAAGCCCGAGGCTGCAAAGGCAAAGCAGGATGGCGCTGCCGAGGACAAGGAAGAGGCGCCCAAGAGCGATGTCGATGCTAAGAAGCCATTGTTCCAGTTTACCGGCGATGAGAACTTTGACGAATCGGACGAGGATGAGGTGAGTGGACACGAACATCTGCTCATGCCTGGGAGATGCTAACATGGTCTCTAGGGTGCCGATGGCGACGAAGAAGAGGAAGAGGATGACGACTTGGCTACTGCATTCGAGATCCTTGACCTTGCTCGTGTGTGCTACCTGAAGCGCCTTGAGCAGCTGGACCAGGAAGAGCAGGCCGACAAGGGCAAGGAGGTTTCCGAGGGTGATTCCCCCACCGCCAAGCACATCAAGGAACGTCTTGCAGACACTCACGATGCGCTTTCCGAGATTTCCCTCGAGAACGAACGGTGCGGACATAAACCCCCGACCTCTACCCGGCTTGTCTAACGCCTCATTCTCACTAGATACCCCAACGCTATCGAGGATGGCCGCATATCCCTCAAGTACAAGCTGGAGCTCTACCCAGAAGAGTCAGAGATCATTGCCGAAGCGCACTTTAAGCTCTCACTGGCCCTTGAGTTCGCCTCCGTCACCACAGCCGGCGACGACGGCTCCAATGCGAAGCGCGAGGAGATGGATCAGAGCCTCCGTGATGAGGCCGTCACGGAGATGGAGCTTGCTATCAAGAGCTCTAAGCTCAAGCTGCAGAACAAGGAGGTCGAGCTCGCAACTATGGCATCCCCCGAGGACAATGAGTTTGCCCGCAAGTCTATCCTTGAGATGAAGGAAGTTATCGGTGATATGGAGCAGCGTGTATGTCTTTCTCGCCTTTTAAACCCCACCAAATCCTTGAATGTGCCTTGCTAATAGTAATCCTAGCTCGTTGACTTGCGCAACGACCCCATTGACACTAAGGGTCTCTTGGGTGATGATGCCAACCCCCTCGGAGGCATCTTCGGTGCCGCGGTCGGCCAGTCTGCTACCGAGACCAAGGCCCGCGTCGAGGAGGCCAAGAAGACTGCTACTGACCTGTCAGGCCTCGTCCGCAAGAAGAACAAGGAAGGCACCCCTGTACCGGCCCCGGCTGCCGCGGGGTCGGAAACCAACGGCAAGCGCAAAGCTGAGGATTCTGCCGAGGACTCCGCAGCCAAGAAGACCAAGGTTGAGGCATGAAATGCTCAGCCAGAACAAAACGAGAGAGCACAAGAAACCCGATGCAATGGTGTGTGCAGCCGGCAGATGGCTAGTTGAATCTTTTGCTGAAAATCGGAGTTGGGAGCCTTTGAAAGATGATTAAACGGATGGGATGACACGGGATGGGATGGGATGGGATGCAAAGCCGAAGCCGTGGCCGGGCGATGTGCTTGGGGTGATGCTGTACGAGGTCGAGGAAAAGGGACTTGATATCGCGAGTCACGGAATCTGTTTTGAGTAATGTACAATAATGATTTTTTTCTTGCTCTCGGTAACTGAGGTGCCCGCATGACGCCGAAATAAATCGCCAACAAGAATCATAGCCGTGGCAAACTCGTGGTCCATGATGATGCTGAACAAGGGGATGAAGCCAGTATAGATTGTGTGATGAAACATATATATCGAAAGGCGAAGACAAAGATTCTTTGTATTATAAATCGCTCCTAAACGCCGTCCTTCCGGTCCATCTACAGCTTGAAGTTGCCACTCGAAACGGCCTTGGGCGCCTTGGCCTTCTTGCCGTCGACGTCAGTGATCTCGCCCTTGCGGTTGATGACCTTGACGCCGCCCTTCTTGAGCTCGGCGATGGTGTCGCGCTTCATCTGGGCGCGGCGGCTGATGACCTTGTTGCCGTCGACGCCGCCGGCCTTGCGCACGCGCTCCTTCTCACGGCGGCGGCGGGCCGCCTTGTCCTCGCGCGACATCTCCTGGCGTGCCACGGGCAGGCCGCTCTTGGAGACGATCTCGCCCTTAGCTGCCGTGTCGGCGCCGGCCTTGTACACCTCTTGGGGCGCCATACGGCTGCTCTCGCCGGCCACGCCCTGGGCCGTTGTGGGTTGGGCATCCTCCATGGCCACGGTGGCGACGTCAGCAACGACGGAGAGCGTCGGCGCAGCGGGCTTGGGTTTGTAGTGCCAGCTGCTAAGGGAGTCGAGGCGGGCGCTGACATCCTTCCACATGGCTTCGACCTCCTTCTCCTCGCGCTGCAGCCTCTCATCCGACTGGCTGACGTAGTTGTCTGGGTCGGTGTTCTTGATGTGCTCCTCCTCGTAGAGCTCGGCCAGGCCCTTGGTGGCCTTGCTGTCGTCGAGTTCTACCAGTCCACGGCGGGTACCCGCGGGCACACCCTCAATGTCGGGTCGGCGGCGGATGACCTCATCGAACTCCTGGGCGAGAATGCGTCGCTTGATGAGATCCTCGATGCCCTCGGTGACCTCAGGGGTAATGACAGGCACGGGCTTGCCGATGTGCTCGAAATCCAGGTCTTCTTCCAGGAGGGAGTTCATTGGTCGATCGACCGCAGCTGCCTCACCGGACATTGCCCACTCCCGTTTGGCGACGGATGCAGCCTCGAGCTTGCGGATCTCCTCGGCAAGCTTGGCTTGTCGGCGCTCGTGGGCAGAGCGGCGCGACTTGGGGTCTCCCGCAGACACATCGGACAAGGCATCATCGGAATCCTCTTGTTCTGATTCGTCATCAAAGAGATCTCTGCGGACGTCGTCAATTGCCCTCTGGACATCGGTCTCATCTGGTTGCTTGGGCTTAAAGTGAACAGCCTTCCTGGGCTTGTCGCCCTTGTACTTCTTAGAGGGTGGTGCAAAGAAGTCTTTGTAGTAAACCTCATTGGCATTGAAGTCCATGCCTTCATCTTCCAGGGCATCATCCATGTCCTCGTCTTCGCTATCGCCTTCTGGGGCGTCGAGAGCCATATCTCCAAACGTAGGTCCAGCCTCGTCGTCATCGTCGTCCTCTGCATCTGATGTTGGGTCGGCATCTGCAGTTTTTTTCGAGGCTTTGGGATTTTTCTTCGAGGGGGCCATGGGATCAGCTTCCCAATCCACCTCTTCATCATCGCTAGCTTGGTCGGTGTTGGGATCTCCCCTTGCGTCCTGGTCCTCGAACCACTGTGTTTGCTTGTTGAAGTCGTCGATGGAGAAGAAACCGTCGTTGAGACCATTAAGATCTTCGGTATACTCATCAGCAGGCTCATCGACGTCATCGCCATCTTCGTTATCGTCGTCCTGCTCCTGTCCCTCAACTTCCTCTTCGTCTTCCCAGTCGTCCTCCTGGCCATCCTCCAATTCCTTGCCTGATATTTGATTCTCGCCATCCTCGGCCTCCTCATCGGACTCACCCGATCCACTCTCCACGTCCTCATCGTCTGATCCGACCTCGAAGCCATCCTCTCCAAATTCGAGCATCTTGGAGTCGGATCCGTTCACACCATTCATCACAACCTCGTCTCGCTCCTCCAGTTCGGACAGAGCCTCCTCCGAGTACTTCAAGACACCACCGATGATCCTTTTGGCCTGCTGCCACACTTGGCCCGTCTCAAACCCATCGATGTAAACCTTGCGCATCTTCAGCACGTCATCGGCGTTGGCGGCCCTCTTTCGCTTCCGGTTTTCCTTGAGTCTCTCCTGTTGTTCGTCTCCGACCTGTGATGCAAAACCCTCTAGCATATTCTTGACGAGGTTGAGGGAGTCAGTCGGAATTGCGGCCGTGGGCTGGAGGAAGGCATGGCGGTTGCCCTCGCGAAGGCTGTCGAGCAGGGCCAGGACATGGCCGTTGGCCAGAGAGTCGGGAGGCGCCATGATGGACGTGGCAGTCAGCGTGTGCGACGTCGAAGTGAGAGAGGGCGATGTCTCGATGGCCATGCTCTGCTCTGCTGTCGGGCGAGCCGCGTCGTGTTGTCGCTGAAATTTGCAGCTTGGAATAGAGCAGCTGGAAGCCGAGAAAGTCGAACGCCGCTGCGCGATGCGTGCGATAGGGAAAATTTTTGGGAATGGGCGGCTTGGCCCCGCAGCGAGGGTCAGAGGACTGCCCCGCGATTGGTCAATCAAACCCTGGGCGACCTGCGATAAGACGACAGAGTCCGATAAGGAGAACATTTCCGGCCTTATTGACGTGAAGTGTCGAGCAGGGCAAAACGCAAGGCTCCCGATTATATTGAGATAGAAAAGATAGCTGTAAATATCAATTATAGGGCCTCTAAGACCCTTGATAAATGTGGAATTAGCTTTCTATTGAACGAACGCTTAAACGACTGAGAGTACTCCGATTCCGAACCCATTTGAAGTGCAAGTCTTGTTCCAACTCCGAGGCGATTCACCGTCTAGGTACTATCCAGAGAGAAAGACGTCTTCAAACTCGATACCCAACAGTCTCAGTTCCCCCTTCGACCACCGGTGGTCATCAGTGTAATCTTCTGTTTCTTCTTCTTCTTACCGCCACCTCCGCCACTCCCGCCAACTCCGATGTTACCACCACCGGCGCTGCCACTGCCACCACTGGTGGTCTGGCTGGTTGCGTGGCTCTTCTCTGCCGCCTCCATGGCCTGAATCTGCATGACTAGCTCCTCAGTCCCAAATAAGTCTTCATCCTTTAACCAACCGTCGTTGGCATTTGCATTACGGACTGGCCCCAATTCTGGTGATCCATTGATCACACGTGTACCCCAAACCGTCCTTTGAGTCGACGGGCTTGTTGACATCGAGGCCAGAGTCTCAAATCCTGGTCGGGGATCTGGAGGCGTAGCGTTTGGGTGACCGGCTAGAGGCTGAAACTCCGACAGGTCCATTGGAGGCACATTGTCGTCTCGGAGAGGCTCGGCAGTCCTCGGGAAGCCTGCCGAAGTCCGCATGGCTGCCGCTTCAAGGCGCTCCGCTTGGAGACGTTCCCGTTCCTCCTGAGTCTCCTTGTCGCGATTCCGTTTCCGTCGACGCTCAATCTCGCCTGAAAATGAGGCCAGCGTCTCCGCTGGTACAATATCAGTCCAGTCGCATTCCAAGAAGCTGACAACACATCCACGAGGCAGATGGCCCAGATACTTGGCCCGTTTGCGCATTGCATCATCAACCACATGACCCGTGGAGATATGCTCGACACGGGGCAATAGAGTTGACGGGAATGACGAAAACGAACCGTACTTGGTTTTCAGGATCCGAATATCGAGGGGGGAGAGGTATAGATGTGGCGGCGAGCTGTAGAAATAAAAGTCGGAGTCTGATGATGGCTTTGCCGGATTTGACTGCTGTACGACTGTTGACATTTCAGCGATGGTGAGGTCTGTCAACTTCTCCTTTGCGGTCGTGATTAATCGGATCGCCTTCTGGGTCCATTCTCCATCTTGTCCGAACAGTGTCTCATCCTCTTTCGCTTGTTGCTCTAAAGCCGAAATCTCCTCCTCGAATTGGGCAGCCATGTACTCCACGGAGCCCTTCAAGATGCGCGCGTAGTCCAAGACATTGGCGGCAAAATGCCACGGGATATCCTCCCCAGAGTTCAACACGTCTGCACCGCCTTCTCTCGGCAGGGCCAACGTAGAATTGACATTCCTGGCCATTAGACGCAGCACTACGTCGTCACCAACACGAGGCAGTGGGCTTTCCTGGCCCGCATAGAACCGTACCGGCCGCACATCCTGCAAGTAAATGCTGTCCTCGCAGATAGGGCACTTCTTCCACCGGACTGCCTTTACGGACTTGCCATCACCTTCACCGGAGCTAGAGTTCATGAATCGGATCAAACAAGGCAAGCAGAAGATATGACCGCATTTCGCCATCCGGGGCGCCACCGGTTCCGAGAGGCAAATCGGACATGATGAAGTCTGTGACTCGCTTGAAGCCACGACCTGCATCACTAAAGTCCAATCTAGAAGCATGTCGGGGTCTGATGCATTCTTCGTGTATGCGCCTTCTGGAGAAACAATGAAGCGATAGTTGGCGTGGACATACCGTGCCTTGTCAGCAGCATGGTATCCAGACCCAGGCCCCCATGTCGGATTCCGACGATACGATCTCGCATGAAAACTGTGGTCCTGGATCGGCCGAGGAGTCGAGTAGTCTAGAAGATGTGTAATGGAAGTCTGGCCCCGCCTGCTCGAAGGATTTCTCATTGCCCTGAGCTCGGCCATGGCATCGTATTCGTCCAGTGTGGTATTTGCCCTCTCTCCGGGCCCGGGTCGGCGCTGGCTTCTATGCTGTTTCCGGGAACCTTGAGTCTTCCGCGGGATAGACTGAGAGAATGAAGAACCGGCTTGACTTGGTCGACGAGAGGATTCGAAGCTCGAGGTCGTTGGTCCGGCTTGGGCGGTTGGAGGGTTCGATGGTACTGGAAGGGACTTGCCCACAATCGAGTTCACTGGGTTCATGATCAGACCGTTTAGGAGTAGATATCTCGACCTCTCCTGCGATGAAAACGAAGGCTTGTTCAATCGCTCGATCGACTCGGAATCATGCCAAGCGGAGATAAAGCGAGTGCCGACTCGGTTGCCCCAACTGTGGCCAGGGCGCGTTCGAACAACGGGGTTTGGTAGGAAAGGGTTTCCGGGTAGATATGATTGGAGAAAGGATATAGGTTGATTTGAGGAGGTTGTTGAAGATGAGAGTCTCAAAGGGTCCAACTGGGACGGACCCCGAGGATGGGTGGAGGTGGATCGAGCGAGTCACCCGGCGGGGCAAATCGTGATGCAGTCGGGACGGCGGCATCAGGGGCATGGCGTTACTACTTAGTCATCACAAGGACAAATCACGTGACATATCGCGTGATATTCTAATTATGACTGCCTCGGAAGTGCAGTTGAGGTATCGTGACGTAGGTAATTCAACACCTCAATTCTCAAGTCCAACATGCAAGATTTTTTTTTTCAAGATGAGAGATACTATGATACAGAGATTCCGATATCATCAAAGCACGCGCACAAAAATGACAATGAATTAGGTATATGACGGTGATCCAGGGCCTCGGTGATCTCAACCACTCGCTTCTCATCTCAATCGGATCCAGGGGAATCATTGACAAATGAAGACACCAACCCCAAAAAACAAAAACAAAGTGTTGCTGAAACGAAAGCGTCACGACGTTAGCTCATCTTGGTTCGTTCCTACTTCGCGAATTAGGCGAACTTTTGCTTGAGCTTGTGGAACATGCTGCTCAGTCGATGGTGCTTCTTCTTGGTTTCGGTCTTAGACGTCGAGCCATTGGCCGCGGGCTCGTCGGCCTTGGAGCCATTCTCAGCGGCCTTGGAGCCGTTCTCAGCCTTAGATCCGTTCTCGGCAGCCTTGGAGCCGTTCTCAGTGGCGGTAGTGCCATTCTCGGTGCTCACCACAGGAGTCTCAGTCTTGACTTCCTCAGGCTTGACCTCTTCAGTCTTGACCTCCTCGGGCTTTGCTTCGGTCTCGGCGGGGACAGGCTTGACCTCCTTCAGGAGCTCAGTCTCAACAGCCTTCTTATCCTCAACAGCCTCAGTTTTAGCGGCTGCTTCGGGGCTCTTTTCAGCCTCAACGATCGACTCCTTGACTTCGGCGGGTACCTCGGGGGCTACCTCCTCAGGCTTCGTCTCAGCCTCGGCGGGGACAGGCTTGACCTCCTTCAGGAGCTCAGTCTCAACAGCCTTCTTGTCCACAACAGCCTCTGTGTTGGCAGCTGCCTCAGGGCTCGTTTCGGCCTCAATGATAGACTCCTTGACCTCGGCAGGTACCTCGGGGGACACCTCCTTGGTCTCAGTAACCAAGGCCTCTTGGACGGGAGCAGGAAGACTCTCCTTCACGGGCTCGGGGAGATCCTTGGCAACAGAAGTAGCCTCGTCGACAACCGGGGCGGTCTTCTCTTCCACAACCTCCTTGGCCACGAGGGAGGCGGCGATGACAGCACCACCAGCGGTGGCGGCAATGGCAGCAAGGTCAGAATCAGACGCGGCCTCCTTCTTCTCAGCGCCATCGGAAGTGACAGCAGCCTCGGGAACCTTCTCCTTAAGCTCCGCCTCGACCTCAGCCTTCTCCTTGACCTCCTCAGTCTCGGTGCTGGCCTCGGGAGCGACATTAGCCTTCTCTTGACTCTCCTTGACAATCTCAGGAACCTCAGGAGCCTTGGGCTCAAGAGGAACCTCGGCAGCGAGCGCAACGGTGGTGGCGGTCGGGGCGACAGTGGAGATGGTAACGTCGTTGACATCGGCGATAGGGAGACTGGACTCGGGAATCATGTTGCCTGAAACCGGGGGGAGCTCGGTCTCGACACCGGGCAGAGCATCGCTCTTCTCATACGACTCCTTGTCAAGCTTGACGTACTTGTCAGTGCTCTCGGCAGCGATTGTCTCGGGGATCTTCTCTCCTGGCTGCAGAGTGATAGGGTTCACGCCGCCTTCGGAAGCAGGCAGAGGGCTGATGCCAATAGGCTTGTCGAGCTCGGTGGCGGGAGTGACAGGGAAACCACCAGGGATTTCAGTGGGGGTTGGCTTGGGCTCAACGTCAGGAATGACGGCAGCCTGTACAGGCTTCTCCTCCTCGACGGGTTTGGTCTCGGCAACCTTCTCGTTAACGACCTCCTCCTCTACAGGCTTGGTCTCGGCAGGAGTCTCAACAACCTTCTCATCGATCGCCTTGGTGTCGGCTTCGACGGCCTTGGTCTCAATGGGTTGCTCGCTAGCCATCGCAGCGGTGGTAGAAGCAGGGGTTACTGAGTTGATAACGGCAGCGGCGGGGGCTGCTTGAGTGATCTGGTCGGGGTTGAGGAAGTTGTTGATGTTGCCCTCGTGATCAGGCTCCTTGGGGGCAGACTCGTTGATGACCCAGTTGTTGTCGACGACGAACTATTATATAGATATGAGCGATGGCCTTGGGAACAATTGTGCAGAGATTCAGGAGGCGCAAGAGCAGCAATTAAGTGGAGGGGGAGGGGGATGGTCGATGATGGGGGCTGGGACTGAGAACTGGAGGGGCGGGTGGCCGCGTGATTGTTTAAGGGACGACGCAGGCACACTAGCGCCAGCGCCCCTCCCCCTCGCGATATGGCTAGGCGCCGCGCCGCCGAAAGATACACTTCACTTTGGTCTGGCCTGTCTGACCTGGGGAAAACCTTGGCCATGGGCTGAGGAGCCAACAGCTTCTCACCGCTTCGCGCGACTCGCGCATTCCAGCGCTGCCTTGGTGTGGCCCGTTTGCGTCATCCCGACCCTGAGGAGCCGCGGCGCTACGGATTGCGCACCGTGGGCAGAAAATCGCGGCGGGTCATGACATGACGGACAGGGCAAAACTAGGCCATGGCAGGGTCTGGGTAGTTGCGCAATCCTGGCAGCTGCTCGAAATGAGGCAAGCGGGGCAGGCTGGGATGATGAGCGGACACCGCCATTGCGCAAGAACAGCTTAGGCTTAAGAGGAGCCCTGCAGGATGCGAGATGGGGATGGGGATGGGCGCAACGTGGAGCACGGATGCGGCAGCGGCGCCAGCATCGTCCGTCAATCAATGATCGAGCACGAGTGATGCAAGTGATTGCAGCGGCGGCACAAGCGCCCAACGATGCATGGATGTGCATTCATTTTTGTTTTTGGGGCGCGGCCGAGGGGCAGCAACAGCACAAGAAGCAACGGCACGACAGCAGGAGCTTGCTTGAACCATGGGGGCGCCAAAGGAAACCGACAGGGTTGCAGGGAAAGGGGCATCATCATGGATGGGTGTTTGGGCATGGGGAACGATCGGGCAAAAAAAAAAATTGATCCTAAGCAGAGACGTAGTCTCCGGACCTCAGCACAACGCACCTTGTAGTAGATCTTTTCTGAGGCATCCTCCAGCTCGACCGACTTCTGGAACACGTCACCCTCCTTTTCGAGCTTGACGCTCTTGGTCCAGCTATCGAATGTGCCGGTCACGTAGACCTCCTCGGCGGGATGCTCCCTAGATGAAGCTCGGAGTCAGCTTGGACGTGTCTCGGACAAGGTCGGAGTGCCGCCATTGTCGGGTGGGACGCAGGGCGGCAGTCGTGATGGATGGGATGGAGTGTCGGAGCTTGAGACAGATTGCTCGCGTGAACGGGTTTGGCGTGCGTGCGACCGGGAGCTCCTCCGTGTAGAGGCCGATGCAGAGGAAATTGGAACATACCACTTGAATGTGAAGCTGCCCATGGCTGCGATTAGGTATTAGGTTCGGGTGTGTGTTCTGAGCAGAGCGATGGAAAGCGAAGGTTCGAGGATCAGGGAGCGACGAGGTTGACGAGTTTTGTGGTTGAGACGGATAAGATGGAGGGTTGGGAGGAAATCAGAACGCGAGGGCTGGTCTGGTTCAGGGCCTGGTCTGGCGTTCGGTCGCTTGGTCGGTCTGGCTGCTGGGGGGGAACCCGAAATTAAAGATGGCCCTCTGGCAGGATGGAGCAAAACAACACCACCACAACCACTACCGCCGACAGCCGGATCGCCGGGTCTGATGAGAAATCGGATGTGTAATGGTCGATAAAGCGGTGCGCGACGAGGTCGGTGAAAAATTTAGGTCCAAGGTGGCGAGAGACTGTGAGGATGAGGGAGCGAGCAGAAGAAGAAGAGGATGGTTGGCCGGTGCAAGGGTGGGGACGGGAGCGTTGACGGTGTACAACTACACGGAGTACGGATAACTACTGTGCAAAATGTATGCGTCCTGCAGCAGGTACTGCGGTACTGCAGGATGTAGTAGTAGATAAGCTACCAATGGGTGATTTGTTGCAGTGACGGCTAACACCCAGAGCAGCGGCAACAGTCGAAGCACAAAACAACACACAGCGAGAGCAACCATCAGGATTCGACCGCATTCGACGGCAACGGAGCCGACAACGATTCCGTTTCCCCAACGTCCACCACCTCGACGGCACACAGATGACGCGAATGCCACGTACCATGTACCTCGCATTGTGCGGACTACTACTCCGCATGTATGTGTGTATGTGTGTATAAACGTGCGTGTGTCGGACGCGACATGCTATCAGCAGCCAGCTCCCTTGTCCCTCGCCGCCTACCTATTCCGTCTCGTCGTCTTTGCTCGTGTCGAGATGGAGATGGATCATGGACCCGGGCTGGTCTGATTGCGGCATCCACAGCACCCAACCCGCAATCAGCGACTGATGGGCAAAAGAGGGAAATGGGCAAATGTTGGTCGGCGCTAGCAGCCAGCGAGCAGCACAGCTCCAAGCCTCCCGACGGGGGGGAGACCCATGGCGGGCAAGGCTCTGTGGCCTGGCCTTCTGGCGGTTCTGGCTCGCTGCAGTTCCTGCGACCAGCCCACAAGTGGACCTTTTTTTCGACCTGGTTCTAGAGGTCTCTGACGACATGACATGGGCCATCTGACGGCGCTGTGTGTGTGGTGTCGTGGCTTGCAAGAGTTGGTCCGCATCCGGGGCGGCCGGCTTCTCGCAGTCCAGCCAGGACCAGCCCCAAGCCGTCAACCAGCACCAGCACCGCCAGCACCACCAGTGGCCAGACGTGGGTTGATCGGTGGCTGGAGGGTTGAAGGCGGTGGCATTCTATCCCCAATCTTCCAAAAACTTTCTTTGCCTCAACAACCCGCACGCGCAATGGACGTTGAGACCCATGAATGACGGGAAAAACTCTCTCGGCGGCACCACAGCTCGGCACTACCAAACCACCTAGCTTGCCCGGTACGGAGTAGCTAATGAGGCAGCTTCGCGGCTAGGCAGCTGGGCGGCTAGCGTACCGTATTGTCAATCGAGGCACGTTGCAGCCTGGGGAGCAGCTGGGCTAGCAATTAAGCTGATTATATGATGGCGGTGATTCATTGTTGCTATGTTGTTCCGTGGTCCTGATGGCGCCGACGGTGCTGATGCATTTTATCCAGGCTAAATTGATCGATGGCGCTGGAGATGCTGCGTTGGGCCTAGCTTCAATTGACTGTCTCACTCAACCCGGAGCTAGGTACCCGCTAGTCAGGTCACGGTGCTCGCAGGGCCAGGGTTGAGACAACTGGTTCAGGTGCAAACGTTGATGGACAAGCTCGAAATCTTGTCGTCAGCTGATCCATCCCCACGGCGAGCCGGCTCTATTCACGCCGAACGTCTACACGCTCCGTCATTTTGTCGTTGAACCACCATCTGATCCGTCCCTCGATGGGCTTCGTTAGCCAACGCTGCGGGTCAATGTCGACACGTCCGGTAGCCGAAGAGCATTGGACCACCACGCCCTGGGGGGACGGTCTGAAATGTATTGCTGTGGGAGCCATGACGATTTCCGAAGCGGAATAGTCGTGACATACACCAAGCGCCTCGAGACCGCCATCTTGATATTCGATTAATATGCCGAGGCACGTCCTTGGTTCAGGCGTCCTAGGAACCCAACGATGAAATACCGTAAACTTCTTGACGTTGTCCAGGGACGCCAGCGAAAGATAGTAGAGATCATTCAGCCTAGGCGGGTTGTAGCCATTAAAAACGCCCCGGACGTCAATATCGGCGCTGCCTGTTGGCCTCAATGGTGTACCAATATTCGGGATCAATCCTGCAGGATCCGGGTCGGGCAACAACAAGTGGCTTAGAGTCGAGCCCAGGAATCGGGTTTGTGTTCCTGGCTCGCTTGGGTTGTTGTAGCCGCCCAGAGTCTGAAACCGTCCAAAGCTGGTGCCAACCTGATACATTTCATTGTCAGTCCGAGTTACAGGCTGGGTGCATGGTGGAAGCTTCTTACCACAAGAGCCGCATCGCGTGACCACTCGGAGTCTGTCAACCGGAGCCATAGTCCGACAATCTTCTCTCCATTTGCAAGCGGGAAGAAGAGGCGAACATAGCTCCGACGTTCAGTCGGATGAGCCGTATCCTCGGGAGGGCCACGGGCCTCCTCAAAGCGATAACGATGAGGATGGATCCATTGTAAGACGCCTTTCGAGCAGAACGCGGTAAGCCCTGTTATTCCTTCCAGGTTGACACAGCGTATTCGCTTTGGCATACGATCTCGATCATACCAAAAGAATGGCGGGCGAGGCGGATTCGGCGTGTCCCAGAGTTGAAGAGCTTGCGCAGACTTGATACGCAGGAATTGACCCTGTAGCTGTCAGTTTGGTCCGAGTTGGAGGAAAGGACTGAACAGATCCGACTACCTTGATTTCAACCTGTACTCCACGTAGGTCGTTGATTTCTTCTACCGCATACCAAAAATCTCCGCCGTCCTTACTGCGTGTCGAGGTATCCTGGTCGTCAAAGAGTTCCAGCTTCCTGATACCTAAACTATCTAGGCAGATTCTGATGCGACTTGATTGACTTGGTCCTATTACCAATCCTTTGACGCGGTCCCAACTCTGGATCGAAGTGAGTGACAGCTCTTGTCCGACACTTTCCACATCTATCAAAGAGCGATAGAGACGGCTCCTATATAGTGCCGACAGAAATCTGCACCAGGGGGAGTCTTGGCAGTGGCGGAAGATCATCTCGCTCAGTTCTTGAGGCAAACGGCGTAAAGAGGACGAGAGGCTATCCACACGACCTGTCGGTATACCTAAAGCCATGGCAGACCGTTCTGGCCTGGCTTGATAGCGTGAATTGGGGAATGGCTGTATCCATACGCCAATTCTCCAAATGCTTTTGAGAGTCAATTGAGTGCCATGCTGCCTGACCATATGGTAGCAGTCAACATGGTAAATAAAGGCGTCTTGGCGGCTAACGCGACACTCGCGACAGGCTACGCGCCGGCAAAGCCCCCACCATGACGAACGATTCCTCTCGTACACTGTTTCATAGCGGAATGCAGGCTCATGTGGAGGAATCACGAAACCGAGTGTGAAGGCTGAGAATGTCGACGATTCCCAGTCGCCAATGACTGTATGGAGTTGTCAGCTGGGTGCGTCTGGCTGAAGGGTATGTGAAGCGGGTTTAGGCGTGTACCTGCAGCTACTTTCTCGCCCAAGAAGACGGGGATGCGACAAAGAACACAGTAGGCCTTCTGCAATGGGATATGGCAGAGGGGGTCAGAATGCCCAAGATGCACAAGGCCCGTCGACTGACTCGTTGATTGCTGCATGGTCGAGGCGTACGCCAGGGAGTTCGAATGCCTGACTCTGTCTCCTCAAGAGAGACAGAGAAGCTAGCGACGCACGGGAGTCCAAGCCTCCGAGTGGTTATGAGGGATTCATGGCCCCCGTGATTTGATTCGTTATCGGAGGAGGCTCATTTACGTGTTGGTTGTAAGTTCGGCTTTTGTTTTGGCTTCGCTGTTTATGCTTGTTTCTAGCACCCATCACTTCCCCGTCCGTGCTCAAACCCCCCACATCAACAAGCCTGTTTCCCTCGTCGAACTGGTTCCCCTCCCTCTGATTATCCGTCGTCGTTACCATCTCAATCACTCTGAATCAGTCGCTCGTGGGATTCGGTATCGGAAAAGCAGTACGTAGCAATAGGCCATACCCATGCATTTTACATCTGAGATGCACCCGACATTGCCGGCTACAACTAGTAAGGTTTGACCCAAGCACAGACGTGGCACTGGTCCAACCAACAGATACCTGCTGCGTGATGACTTGAGGCGGTGTGCAGATATCGGCATCGTTCGATGTCATCGGCCGAGATGCTCGGCGTCTAGTATGCAGGCAGCGGGTTGTCTGTTCATGCAATGCGCTCTTGGAATGCTCACACTCGTCACACAGAGAACCACCGGCTAAAGTGTGAAGAAGAATCAAGAGCCAAGCAGCTAGAACGCGTCAAAAGCACTACCTATTCGTTGATGGAGGACGTCAAGCTACGAGACACGCAGTAAGACATAAGCATAAGTGCACTCGATTCGGTCATCAGCGAGTCATGCAGGTAATCATGTCGCACATACCCCGGGTTTCAATGTCCTCTTCTTTTGTATGCGTTGTAAATGTACTTCCGTTGTCGACATGCACTTACTCATTCTTTCGGTTATCTGAAGGACGGCGCACTAACATCGCCACCACACAGATTCGATACTAGTATAATAAATGATCATAATTCAACAGCACTTAACTGAACGGTCATTTAGGCCTCATTAGAGCGACGCATATTGACAATGTCGAGGAGCATTATGATTTAGTCACTCTCTGGAGACTAGAGCTCGTCTCTAGACGCCGTCTTCTCCTCCTTATCTTCTGCCTCCTTGCTCTCTTTAGCATCCTTGTCCTCTACCGCCTTGGCCTTTAGAGAATTCGCCTTGATTTCAATTTTTATCGTCTTCTTTTCATCGGGCTGGGTGTGCTTCACCCAGGCAACAACACCGTTGTCCTCTGGCGTGGCCTTGTACTTGCCCAGGTCGGAGAGAACGTCTAAGGCAACTTCATGAGCAAAACGTGTGATTCGATTGGGTTCCTTTATGATCAACTTACCCTTGCAATCACTAGTGCCGGCGGCCCACAGCGGTAGAATGCCATATAGAGCACCTGGAGCGAAGATGGCGACTCGTTGCCCATCTTGGGATCGATCAATCTTGTCAGCCGACGGGAACTCAACAACTGATTCCACTTCGTCGTCCTCCTGCTTAGGTTTATCAAATATGGCAAACAGGGCCTTGCCCTTGCCGTCCGTTCGCTCCTCTTCCTCGATCCACTCACGAACCAGGAGTGGCAGTTTGTCATAGTCCATCAACAGAATGTTTCGGTTGTGAAGATGGGCATCTATTCCAACCCACCCGCCCGGATACTCCCTTCCGGAAAAGACTGTCTTAAGACCATTGCCCCAAGGCTTGAGACCGTTGGGCGGTAGCGTCATCAGATCATGGAGGGTATACTCAAAGGCGTGGAAGTTGGCCGTGGACTCGCAGGCCGACTCGAAGGATGAAATTGCCTTCGAGGAGAATGGGTTATTCCACTCGAAGCCGTCAACCTTGCTGGGTGGAGGTGGTGCCGGCTTGTGAAAATTAAAGGCCTGGGCCGTGCCAGTAAATAGCACGGCTAGGATTAGAGTCGAGTTGAGCTTCATAGTTGTGTAGTTGATGGCGATGCCGTCCTTGCAAGTCAGGCTATATCAAGATGCAGCTCAGAGCGCGTCAAGTGCTTGATGATAGGAAACACAACCGATTCCAACAACAACTCGGCCCATTCTTAATAGTTCGTCGTGTGAAGCCAGCCTGGCAAGAAGGAGAATTGTGTTGCTGTCCTCATCGGACGGTTGAAGCTCCGAATTTCCTCTTTGGGACTCTATGAGTATTGGCGACGGGTTGTTCGGCTAAGAAGCCAGAGGGGGAGGGGAAGTCATGTGTTCTGGGTTTCATGTCCAGGGCGAGGCGAGATCTGGCCATGATGACACCACTCTCTAAGGGGGTGTCAGATGTTGTTTTCTCGGCATCGCTTCAGGGCTGAAAATTTGTGAAGTGAAGTTATGGTCAAGTCTAGGGTGCTCGCATTGCAGGTGGATGGTTACAATATGATGTTTATGATTTATTATGGTCACCGAAGTGGAAGCGAAGAGTCCCACTTTCTGGGACCGAATTTATCGGTAATTTTAATCTGAGATTTCGCATCTTGCATTCACCACTGTCAAAAGGATACGAGTTTGTTCACTTATGGGGATTTTGGGGAGGGTGTCTTTCTTTGGGTGGACTTTACAGTGGGAGGCCTGTTGACATTCCGGCATTTTACCATTTTGCCATTTTAGCTCCAAGCTCGCGACTCGTCGGAGAACAAAGGTGATGCAGATGCAGATGCGGATGCAACTCGGGTTGGCGGGCCGCAAAGACGGAGGTTTACAACGGATGATGATGTAGGGTAGATGCAACGCAGTCCAGTCCATGCTCATCCTCGTCCTCTTCCTGGCCCTGAATACGAGCATATATGCATAAAGCCTGCCGGAGTGGAGTTGCGCAGATTTGGTTGAAATTGTTTCCAGATGCCGCCCTCCGTATTCCCCTTGGAGAGCCTGAGAGTGGATTCGCTGTACGGCGTGCCCAGCTTCCGTGCCCTGTGCCCAGGCTTGCCCAGACCTGCTCGGCGCAAAATTGATGCCGACATAGCCGCAACCCACTCGGTGATGGGAGGCCTGGTGGTGGGCTTGGCGATAAACGTGATGGGCTGCGACCAACCGGCGCGACTCCAGCTGCCTCCGGACGAGCGAGGACGCCGCGGTCATGCGTCGATTATACTACGTAGCAGTTATAGGTAGTCAGAAGTAGTCAGTCATCTGCAGGAGTCCCAACAGGGTCGGGGCGCACGAAATCGATCGACGCCATCCATCGCCTGCTGGGCTTTAATTTTTTTTAATTACTGCTACTACTACTACCCGACTGTCTGTCGATTGTCTAACTTACTTGTTTAGGGGCGATCGCTTGTGTCGACACACCCGATCTCGCCGGTCGGACGGTCCCGTACTTAGACGTCTCAGCGCAGCCAGCACCCGATTCAGGATCCATTCAGGGCCCCTGGCGCTGTTCTAGACTCGCCCACCGTGCGATCTTGGCACCCGCTGAACCTGAAATAGGCGCCGCCGGGCTGTAATTAATATAGAACTCTCGCAGCGCTGGAGCAATGGCGAGGCCGCATTATTCCCTGCAGGGCTAGGCGCTCTCTCCACCTGATTCAGTTGAAGCAGCCCCCGCAGCCCCCTGGGCCCCCGGCCCTTTTGCTGGCACGCTGACACGCTGCTACGCTGCCGCTGCTGGCTCGTTGGCTCGTTGGCACGCTGGCTCGCTGCGCCGCTTCCCCCGTGGCCTGCATCACGAGTTTCTAGGCCCGATCCATCATTCTGGTCGACCGGGGCTGCCGGAGGCCGGAGGCTAGCTAACATTCATTATTCGTCGTGAGGTAAAAGCCCTTGGCCTTCGGGGAATATTATTATAGCATCGGCACTGCCAGCCCCATCAGCCGACCTTAATTGTTCAGTTTGTTTCGATCCAGCAACTCCTTCCACGTTCTTACACTCTTTCCTGCCTTGCCGCACCCCATCTTCCTTTGTCTTGTTTCTTTTCTCTTCGTGTGTCCCCGTATTCACAATCACATCATTTCACCCTCACTCGCTTAAGACACCACCCGACGAGCGAGCCCGTTCAGGGACAAATCCTTCAGGGACAAATCCTTCAGGGACAAATCTTTCAGGGACAAATCGGACCATGTCGACGACAGAAGTTGGCAGCACGACTGGAGTCATGGCTGAGAGCAAGCCCATCCCCCCCGCCAAGGCCGGCTGGCCTCTGTGGAAGAAGCTCACCATCGTCGCCGTGGCCCTCATCGTCGCTATTGCCCTCGGTGTTGGACTCGGCGTCGGCCTGACGCGCGACAACGGCGACGACAGCGACGATAGCGGAGACAACAGCGGCAATGACGGAGACAACGGCGACAACAACAACGACAACAACAACACCGGCATCTGGCAGCCCGACGTCGGTGCCTCGTGGCAGATCATCCTCAAGTACCCCATCAAGCTCGAGGACGACAGCACCGACGGCCTCGCACCCAACGTCTCCATCTGGGACCTCGACGTGTACGACAACGACATCACCATCTTCCAGGCCCTGACCGCTGCCGACAAGAAGATCATCTGCTACTTCAGCGCCGGCTCGTGGGAGGACTGGCGCGACGACGCCGACGACTTCGACAAGGCTGACCTCGGCAAGGGCCTCGACGGTTGGGCCGGCGAGAAGTGGCTCAACGTATCTAGCCCTGCTGTGCGCAAGATCATGCAGAAGCGCATCAAGTACGCCGCTGACAAGGGCTGCAACGCTATTGATCCCGACAACGTTGACGGTTACGTGAGTTCTCCCTTCACCCTCGTCTCTCATCTCGCTTCCGCCTCAAAGGACGAGCAGATGATTTTATACTCGAATCCATTTGACTGACCTTGACCAGCAAAACGACAATGGCCTGAACCTCACCGAGGCAGACACCGTTTCTTTTGTCAAGTTCCTCTCCGAAGAGGCCGCCCAGTACAACATGTCAACCGGCCTCAAGAACGCCGGCGGCATCATCGACAAGGTCATCGACTACGTCCACTTCTCCGTGAACGAGCAGTGCATCGAGTACAGCGAGTGCGAGACCTTTTCCAAATTCATCGACGCTAACAAGCCCGTCTTCAACATCGAGTACCCCTCCAAGGCCCCCAAGGTCTCCTCTTCCGCCAAGTCCACCATCTGTGCCACGTCCGGCGATGCCAAGGGCTCTAACAAGTTCAGCAAAGTCATCAAGAAGATGATCCTCGATGGATGGGTCGAGTACTGTGGCGAAACCGAGACGTTTACCACCGAGGTGGACAAGTCCTAGAACATGGACGACTGGATTACTCAACCTCATACAGCCTGCAAGACCTTGATTTGGATTAAGAGCGCCGGTGCCGGCCTCAAAACATAGACATGGATGGGTGGATTTTTTTTGGGAAAATGATGTGAATGAGACATAAGTCAGGGCTCGCCTCGAAGCGCTTAGGGATCGGCCAGAAGGCCTGGCCCGCAGTATATATCTTGGAGGATCCCTGTCATGCCTCATTGAGGTGTACATACGAGTGAGACTATTTCCTCATTTACTATACAGACACGGCCGATAATAATCATAATACTCTTCATTGATTGGCCATTTTCATTTCATCCGAGATTTCTTTTTGAACCAACAACTCCTGTTGTCGTTGACCAAGTATGCAGCATTGTCGTCAAGTCCGTAGTTGCCTTTGTCTCAACCTGGGTCTAAGCCTCAAGTATCGAATGGCAGCAACTCAGGCTGCTAACACACGCCATCGACGTCAATATCATATCCCCTCCCACGTATGCGTATTATACAATATAATTCCCGTGAACACGGGCATTTTGTACCCCAAAACGCCAAAAGCCAACAATCAGTGGCGCAACTGTTTTGGGTATCCTAAGAGAAGCGTTCCCACCATATTTCCACCCGCATTTCAATAATACAACAAACCGCCAACCAGTCATGGGTCTTCGTAAAGGGAAGACAAGATCTCAACAGCTTCCACAACAAGCCCCTAATTAGATGCCATGAATTTTGACCCTCCTTCTTGCTTAAAAAGCCAGTCACTGTTGGCGTCGACCATGTAGTTGGTAATGTTGAACTCGTTGGGAACCGCCAACTCCGAGCCGTTGCCATTTGTCATGTCCATGTCATTGCCCGACGGCCCTTGAGCGTGGTTGGCCATGTTCTCACCACCCACTGGCAGGCGAGGGACGTTGAAAAAGTCAAATACGTCAAGATACTCCAGCTCGTTGGGCGCTGGAGTCCTCGCAGGCGTGATGCTGGGTAACCTGCTGAGTGCAGACCCTCCATGCTGTGGCTGCCGAGAGATGAGAAAGTCGAGGTCGAATGCTGTGCGTCGCATATCCGACAGGATTTTGACGGAGCTTGGGGTCACCCCGTCGCCCTGGCGTTCGCTGTCGCGATGCTCATCGAGCACCCTTTGCAGCAATTGGCAATATCTTGCAGCAACGGGCCAGAAGCGGCCCATCTCCCGCAGCGTTTCAACGAAAAATGAGATCTGGGGGGACAGCTTATGTTCGACGGTCGAGCCGTGAACCAGGAGAAGTCGCGCAGACACCCAGAGAGTAAAGGCGAATGGCGGACCAAGCTTCTCTAGCATACCATTATTGACCACAAACTCGCCGAGCGCAGCGACATTCTCGACCGCGCTGTGACACCGTTGAGATGCACTGTAAGACGGGGTAAAGATGGGTGATCGCGTCGTTGGGTATGCTGCAGATGAGTGCAGGCGGATGACCGCGGTGTGGTAGGTGGCATGAAGCATGACCCAGGCGCAGTTGATGTTCTTGCTCCCAGGTTGAAAAAGCTTGGCCATGTTGCCAAACTCACCAGGCAGGCCAAATTTCCAAGATGTGAGCATGTTGTCAAGCTCCTTGTATTGCATCTGCCACTGCTCCACGTCGCTCAGGGCACTGATATCGACTGGTTGCTTGAGGAACTTGTGAACCTTGGATAGTATGCCTAGGATCTCAATGTAGTGGGCAAATGCGCCGAGGTTCTCAGGGCGGTCGGGCTCATGCTCTGGGGACTCATCGTGATGACCCTCTGTCCTGAACCACCGAGTTTCGACCTTCTGGTTCTTGATCCACAGATCATCTCGGCACGGTAGTGAGCGGTCGATCTCCTTGTCGTCAAGAGCGAATTCAAAGGCCGTGGCAATAGTCGCATATCTGTCGAGCAGGTAAATCATCCAGAAGAGTCGCCGTCGAGCCTCTTCTTCGATAAAATCTTTCGGCTCGGACAGAGTGATGGCCCGGAGGGTATAGATGGACATGTAATGGGGAGAGACGGTGGAGGATGTAGCCTCAACGGCCAATCCCAATTGTACGACAGAGCGTGTGATTAGAGCCATAATGTTCCAGCCTGGGGGGCCATTGCTACTGCCGCAGAGGTCAAGGGCAAGGATGACCAGAGCTTGTAAGGACTTGACGGATGAGTTCTCCATACCGTACAGTAGCACGCGCTCCTTAGAAACTTTGTGGTAGTGCTCTCTCCGCTCCTCGGTGAGCCTGGGGTCGTTGGAATAGCGCATTGTGGTAGCGACAATGGCGTGAAGCAGGACCCGGTCGGTCTCATCAAGTGCAGAGGGGCCGAAAAGAGAATCGAGAGTGGTTTTGCGGTGGAGAATGGGGCACCAGGTGTTGATGTGCTTGAAGTATAGATCCACCAGAGCATAGAGCAGGTCATAGGGTGGCGTGTCCCGATCCGGGGTTGTCGTTCCTGGCGCCGAGGACATGGGCGCAGTGGGAGAGTGACTGGAGCCATAGTAGTCCTGAGCAGCGGCGCTGGGCTGCATGGCCGGCATATGGGGAGGTGCTGACATTGCGGACAGCGGTCCCTGGTTATGATACCCATCGTTGATGCCGGGGGTGTGAGGAACGCCAAAGTCCATGTTCTGAGAACCAGGTGGGAAGTTGGAGCCAGAGGATTTCTGAAGGAAGAGAGCTGTATCGGCCTGGGGCGTCCGAATGGGCTCCGAGGCGCGGAAGAGGTTCGTCGGGACATCTCGCGGGGTGCTGCCCTGCTCGCTGGGGAGGCTTGGGTTGCTATTACGAATGCTGGCAGCAATAACGGAGTTCGCGTTGGCGGCGAGCGAGACCTGGAGGATCTCGGAGTGGGAGCGCAATATCTCCTCGAGCTTGTCTAGGCGCTGCTCTAGCTCGCGACCGTAGCCAGCTCGAAGGCCAGGCTTCTTTCGCTCCTTGTACTCGCAAATTGCACCATTACGAGTGCACCAGCCACATGCCGGTTGACCACGATCGCATTTGACCTAAGAGAAGAGGTCAAGTTAGCAAGTTTTTGGCTTGGAGGAAGAATAAGAGGTTCTGAGGGGTGTCATGAAGCTCACCTTTCTCTGCTTGCACAGCTCACACCTGGGAGTGACGTTGTTAGTTTGCAGCTGGGAGGCGGATATGTTTTGTATGAGAGGAAGAGAAAGCTGGCGAGGGGATTCGGGCTTGAGGTTGGTCTCGTGCTCCAGCTCGAGCTCAACTTCTTCTGAGGGCGAGGCGGGTGATGGGGGAGAAGACGAAGCCTCAGAGGGCGGCATGGCGGGTTGGTGAAGAAGGTTGGAGATAGACAGTGGGGTAAGACAACAATCGCGTCGGCGACGGTCAAGATGACGACGACGGCGGCGGCGATGAAGCGCAGACGACGATGACGCGCCAAGATGCGACGCCGGGAGAAGTTGGGCAACGGAGCGAGGAGAAGTGGTAGAAGCAAAATGATAAGGAGAATAACGAGGATAATGGCACGGAGCGGCCGCAGGTGCAGCCGGCATAGAAGGTTGAGGAGACGGCGACTTACGAAACCGAGACAGGCCGCTTGCGCTTCCCATTGTGACAGAGGGTATCTTGGTCGCCATGATCGTCGTCGTCACTGGCAAACGTGTTGGCCTCGTCGCTGTCGAGGTCGGAACGGGACGGGAGACGCTCTCCCGAGGGAGGGCCCGTAGGCTTCCCGACCCCGTTGATCATGGCGAGCGAAGGCAACGTGCCTGAAGGTGGACGGAACGGGGCGCTGCAGGCCCTCGCTCCAGCCCTAGGCGTGTTGGACGACTGGACGGCAGGCAGGCTGGGGCCCTTGGGACCTGGGGAGGGGCGTGTGCGAGTCGGCGAGATGAAGCAGCGAGCAGCGAGGTCTCGCACTGACGAGGGCAGGTGGACAGGAGGTGGACAGAGGTTGGAAGCCCGAGAGGGAGCGAAGAGACGCCGACGAGTGGTAGTCTGGCAGATGCGGCGGCGGCGATGCAGGGAACCGCCAGGGAACAGCCTCGCTGATCCGGGGCAATGGGTCGCGGGAGCAGGAGAAAGGAACCCCGAGCCCGAGCTTGAGCCTGGATGGAGACTGGAGCCAAAGCCTGAGCCGGAGCGGAGGGGAAGGAAGGAAGATGCACTTGAAGGGGGGGGAAGGATGATGCGCTTAGCTGCACAGTTCGAAGCTACAATACAGTACCTCAGGCGCGTGTGTTTGTTGATCCTTGGTCACTAATATTCGGAATCGGAACCTGCTTGTCGCTCGCAGCTCAGACAGGCCACTCTTCCCTTTTCCCTTTGTCTGAAGCTTGGTTCCCTGAGGTCAACCGTCCGCAGCTGCCATGCCCATGTCCCACTCTCCGGTACCTCGGACAGACGGGCCAGTGACCACCAAGCGCAAAGCGCAATTGGCTGGATCCCACATGGAACTGGGGTTCGGCCGAGGCGGGCGGAAGGTGGGTGGGTTCCAGCGCCGGACCAAGGGCAGAGGAAAAGGGACCGACCCAAAGAAAAAAAAAAGGTGTCAAAACGGGGCTAAATAGGGCGATTACGAGGGTTCCCCGGTCTATGTACTACCTACCCAGGTACCTACCTAAGGACGGAAGTGCGCCGTGTAATTAGTGTAACCGTCGTTGACGCTGAGCTGAACCGGGACATTCCCAGAGTCCAGAGATGATGGTGACAATGGGAAAATGGGAAAATGGGAAAATGCAAAGTGGTCACGCATGCATCCATCACCCCGGCTTGCGACATGGGATGCAGCTTTGCGCTCGGGGTACGTACCTCACCAGGCTTCACCTTTTTCCTTCTTGGTGCCCCGGAAAGGGCTTTTACATGGGGGCGGGAGCGGAGAGCGGGGAAGGCTGCGGCCGCTGTGATTGGAAGACGCCGCGATGGCGCCAAAACCAGAGAGATCAAGTTGCGGTCGGTCGCGCCTGAATGGTCTCAGCGGCTTCGATGGATGCGGTGGGCTGACACCACCTCAGACCTGGTTTCTGGTCTTTTTTCTTCTCGTTGTCTCGGTCTCGGTCTCAAAGTCTCTTTCGTCTCGGTCTTTTTCGTCTCATGGGTCGGTTTGTCGGGACTATTTTCTGGTCTCTGCCACCGTCGCTTTGGTCGCTGTGGTCGGTTCCTCTCTTAGCCCCGGCCGCCGGGGGAATGGAGCTGGCAATTCTGTCCAAGGAAATGGGAAAAAGGGCCGGGCAATGATGCCACCCGCCACTGTGGACCGCACCGTGGACCGCACCGTATGTTGTACCGCGTAGTACTTCGCAGACAGACACAGCGCATTCCACCTCGAATTGGGAATAATTAGCATGCACCTACCTCACTGTAGAAAAGGTTCCACCTACCTGGAAACATGTCCACCGCCATTCGTGTCACTGTGGCGGGTAATGGCTCAACCGCATCGAGTTGGACACGTTGGAGAGGACGACGGTCGATTCCATTGTCGCCGCCACTGTCCGTACGTATGGATGGATGGCTTCTTTTTCCACAGGACAAACAGGGCTCGCTTCGCTTCTTATACCGGTAATCTGTACGATATCCAAGTTGAACCCCCAGTCTCTCCCCCATCATCTCCCCCAATTCCTTTCACCCCGCAATCTCGCCCTCAATGTCCCTCCCTAGCGACCTGGCCCTCGTCGACGGCCACAGTCCACACATGTCCACCCATTTGTCCACCTGCGCCCTCGTCCTCCCGTTAACCAGTCCATTCGTCGAGAGCTGCTCTGCGCCCCAGATCGCTCGCGCCCGACTCGGTCGATAACCACCGAAACATGCCCCCACGACCCACGCCGCGTGACCACTATCCATCAGACCTTCACAGCTCAATGCAACAAGACGCTCCACCCAGCTCGCCTCGTTACCCTGTCCGGTCCACCTAATTCAACAGCAGCCTCCTCCCGGTCTCTTCCTCTTATATCTGAGACCGAGAGTGCAATGGAGGTAGCGACCGCGACGGAGCCGCTCCCGACTGCTACCCCCTCTCTTAAGCCTCAAGTGGCCCCGGCATGTCTGATGCGGGAAACATTCGCCCCTCGCCGGATCCAAGTGGAGACCGGACCGGTTGAAGATGTTCCATCCAATGTCGGTGGCCTCGGGATATCTGCACCCGACAATGCTCTAGACGGCATGCCGGTCCAAATTCACCCCCACAGCCGCCCATTGGAACGCCTCTCATAGGCACTGGACCAATAGTCACCATCTGATCACGAGGATATTAATAACTGTACAACCTGGCAACGTGGTCGTCGTAGATTCATTCATATTGTCCTTCTTTCCACGTTCCTGGTTTCTCTTGTGAATCCAACCAATCCTTCTCGCCAACACCTTCCACCGCCCCTCGCAACATCACCAAGATTCCCTCACTTCAATCTCTCCTCCCCCCCCCAAACAAAAAAGGATAGACCTCAACATGGCTGCCAGAGACTTCCCGACCATCAAGGCCGTGAGGTCCTTTGTCATTGGCGGCGTTGGATCAGGCGGCGATTATCACAATGTCAAGGGTGGCCACTGGTATGTTTCTGAATCTCCAATCCCAATGGCACGTTCTGTTCTGGCTCAAGACTAACCAATCCTCAAAGGCTCATCGACAGCGACATCTCGACTCCCTGCTCGAGATGGGACCAATACAAGAAGTCCCGAACCAGCTGGGGCATCAACGTCCTGGGATCCTTCCTGGTAGAGATTGAGTCGTCCGACGGCACGATTGGCTTTGCCACGGGCTTTGGAGGTGAGCACCAGCGCAGAAAGCGTCAATCCCCATGGCCATGTTACCACTGCCACCCCCATCCATACCCGGGGACTTCAATTCATCCGCGTGGGGGCATGTAGACGGTAGACTGACAGCGCATTCCCAGGCCCTCCCGCATGCTGGCTCGTCCACCAGCACTTCGAGCGATTCCTACTGGGCGCCGACCCCCGCAACACCAACCTGCTCTTCGAGCAGATGTACCGGGCGTCCATGTTCTACGGCCGCAAGGGTCTGGCCACGGCCGTCATCTCCGTCATCGACCTGGCTCTCTGGGATCTCCTGGGCAAGATCCGCAACGAGCCCGTCTACCGCCTCATCGGCGGCGCCACCAAGGAGCGCCTCGACTTCTACTGCACCGGCCCCGAGCCCACAGCTGCCAAGTCCATGGGCTTCTGGGGAGGCAAGGTGCCGCTGCCCTTCTGCCCGGATGATGGCCACGAGGGTCTCAGGAAGAACGTCGAGTTCCTGCGAAAGCACCGCGAGGCCGTTGGCCCCGACTTTCCTCTGATGGTCGACTGCTACATGAGCTTGAACGTGCCTTACACCATTGAGATTGTCAAGGCCACTCTCGACCTCAACATCAACTGGTGGGAGGAGTGCTTGTCCCCGGATGACACCGACGGTTTCGAGCAGATTAAGCGCGCCCACCCTTCCGTCAAGTTCACGACTGGCGAGCACGAGTACTCCCGCTACGGTTTCCGCAAGCTCATCGAGGGCCGCAACCTCGACATTATCCAACCCGACGTCATGTGGCTCGGCGGTCTGACGGAGCTGCTCCGCGTGTCGGCCATGGCCGCCGCCTACGATATCCCCGTTGTGCCCCATGCCAGCGGCCCTTACAGCTACCACTTTGTCATTTCGCAGCCCAACACCCCCTTCCAGGAGTACCTGGCCAACTCGCCCGATGGCAAGAGTGTGCTCCCCGTCTTTGGCGACCTGTTCATCGACGAGCCCATCCCTACCAAGGGTTACCTGACCACGGCTGACCTCGACAAGCCTGGTTTCGGTCTGACCATCAACCCGGCTGCCCGTGCTAAGCTGATTCCCAGCGACTACCTGTTCAAGATGCCTGCGGTGCCAACCCTGGCTCCCCCTAGCCCTCCCAACGAGAGCGAGGAGGCCCCCAAGGAGGTCGCCACTGCTACTTCCGAGTCCAACGGAGTGGTTGAGCAGCTGGCCGCCAAGGTCGAGAGCCTTACCACCACAGAAACCACCGCCTAAGCTGCTTTGGCACATGGCACGTATTCCGGATTTATAGACGGATATACCTACCTGGATCGTACTACGCTACGAGCTAGGTGATGAGAAAAGCAGCACTGAATATTTTCAACTTTTGCATCATAAAGGCATGGATGAGAGTTGAATGGAATTTCGGATGTTTGGGTCCTTGCTTAGACCCTTCCACGGATAGGTGGACAATGCATTCATTCCCTTGATTGGATCTCGCTGCATCGCTTGGCATGGATATATCTTGGGTATATCCCAGATGATTGTTTTTTATCTTTCACGTTATGTATGACCTCATGTAGACGACCGCAACAAGACCGCAACAAAGAGACAAGTTTACAAACACGTACAAACGATACGTTCCAGGCCCTTAAAAGACATGTGAGCAATCCTAGCACTGTGAGACTGACAAGATCGTGTAAATGAAGAAAAGCGCGGATCGAACAACCATCCACATAATTTTGTGTGGTACCTCGGGTACAACTCATGTATTAAACCACCTGTTTGTCAGGACCCACGATCGTGGGTGGACCACGCGGGCGGTTTCGTGCGTGCACACCCCGTCCCACCCTTGCCACCTTGTCTGTGGGATAGGCGCGACGGTCGGAACATCGTGAGTTTTTTTCGCTGGGGAGGCGGCCGCTTGCAAACGGTGACCGTCACACCAGCGACACCCCAGCGTTTTTCGCCCCCGTCACCCGATCTCACGATGCTTGTCTGATAGCCTGCAAGCAAATCACACACCCCAGTCTGTCTGGCCTGGTCCGAGCAACGACCATTTTCTTTTTTTGGGAGGAACAGGCGGGGGAGAGGACGCTGTCACGAATTTACAGTCCGAGTGTCTGGAATCTGCGGAAAACTTCTTTTAGCCGGTTGAACACTTGCCAAGACTGCGTATTAGCACACATCACTTAGTGAGCAGGACGGACACGCCGGCCGTTTGGTGGCATTTCGCAATTTCGACCTTTTCCCCGCGCCGGCATCTCGCTACAAAGCACCCCGAGCGGCGAAATGGACTCGGCCAGGACCCCTCCCGGGACCTTAATGCCGCCATATCGCGAGGCTTCGGCGCGGGGCTGGCCACATGGCAATTCTCGTGAGTGTGCGCGTGCCCTCTGGTTGTCTCGGCTTGCCACCAATGTTGAGTCTCCCCTGCCCTTTGCGTAGTTTGAGGTTTGGCTTTGGGCCGGAGGGAACTTGTCGATTCATACCTCTGGGTTTGGGATACTTGACTTAAGGGCTGCAGCTTGCTGGTGTTGGTGAACACAAAAAGAAACCCCAACTCCAACTTTCCCTCTCCTCTCTCAATCGTCTCCCTCCCCCAATCCTTATAATATCTCATCTTGTTCCACCGTATCCACTGAATTGGCCACGCGGGACTTGATTGTCATCTGCCTGGTTGCTTTCGGACCTGCAATCCACCGACATATCCGTTCGCTGCATCTCGACCACGACCGATCCCCCACCCGTTCGAACCCCTCTTCACGACGGAGCCGCTCGTTCGAGATTAAAAACTTCGGCGTAGTAGGGAAATAGCCACAGGAAGGACACCGAACTAAAACAACCACCTACGTTTACATAATATCTCACCTCGTACACAACTTCATCATCATGGGTCGATTGACAGGAATCCTCGCCGGCAAGAGTGCCATCATCACCGGCGGCACTACCGGCATCGGCCGTGCCATCTGCCTCGAGTACCTGCGACAGGGCGCCGACGTCGTTGTCAACCACCTGGGCCTGGAGAACGACCTGAAGCACCTGGACTCGCTCATTGCCGAGGCCGAAGCCATACGCAAGGAGGTGCCCACTGCTGGCCACTTGGCCCACGAAAAGGGCGATGTCCGCAGCCCCGAGACGGCCGCCAAGCTGGTCGCCGCCGCCGTCGAGCACTCTAAAGCGAAGCGCCTGGACGTGTGCGTGTCCAACGCTGGTGTCTGCACCTTCGCCGACTTTTTGACGCTGTCACCGAACCTGCTGGAGACCACTGTGCGGACCAACCTCGACGGCGCCTTCTACGTGGTGCAGGCCGCGGCCCAGCAGATGGCCCTCCGCCAGACTCCCAAGGGCGGTAGCATCATCGGCCTGTCGTCCATCTCGGCGCTCGTGGGCGGTGGCCTGCAGACACACTACACGCCGACCAAGGCGGGCGTCCTGAGCTTGATGCAGAGCACGGCCGTGGCCCTCGGCGAGCACAAGATTCGCTGCAACGCGCTGCTGCCGGGCACGATCCGCACTCAGCTCAACGACGCCGACCTGGCTGACGACACGAAGCGCGAGTACATGGAGGGCCGCATCCCGCTGGGTCGCACGGGCGAGCCGGCCGACATGGCTGGGCCGGCCGTGTTCCTGGCCTGCGAGGAGTTGAGCGGTTACGTGACGGGCGCACAGCTGTTGGTGGATGGCGGTCTGTTTGTCAACCTGCAGTGAGAGGGGTGATGGAGAAGGCCGGAGACGGGCATGGCCGCGTATCCCCAAGGGAGAGGGATCAAGGCATCGAGGGAGACATCGAGAGCAAAATTGGGCGAACCGGTGAAGGGACGGACGGACAAGGATATGCGGGTTGGGCTTGACCGCCTAGCCACCACATCGCTACCATGGGAACGCGTGTTGGGTTGTGGAAGATTTGTCTCTTGGCCACATGTGAAAATAGGTCGATCGTCTCCCTGATGAGAGATGCCGTCTTACTCAGGGAAGCCGCATCTGCGCGTGGAACACCACCAGGAAAAAAAAACGATGGATGGCGAGGGTCAAGAAACCTAGCCGGGTCAGAGCGTGGAATTGCCGAGATTGGCAGGGCAGACAGTGACGATCTCGCCCATCACTCCGTCACTGCGGCCATTCCTGTGGTCTGCGTCAATCCTTTCCCGCCTGGCCTCCATGGAGAGAGCCAAATCACTCTCATCTAATTCATGAGAGGAAGGCCATGTTGGAGGGGCGGGAGGAGGACGGGATTCGACCGAGGAGTACCTGAGCAAGTACACTACCCCTTACTTGCCTAGACGAGGTACCCCACGGGCAAGTGTGAGTGGACTTTGGAGACGTAGCTTTGTTTGATGTAGGATGAGGCTAGGATGAAGGACTGGGATGACGGCGAAGTGCACATATTCGCTCAGATTGTCAGCTAGACATGGACTATTATTAAACGCACAGAAGACAATTAAGGCCGAGGTGGTCTAGAACATTGGAATCCATCTTCAAGATCCTTCAAGATCCGCCTCAAGCGCGCTGGAAGTCTGCGCGAAGCACCAAACTCCATGTATCCCTGTGCTGACCGTCTCGACTCGACGACAAGTCGACATGCTGTACGGCATGGCGTCGCGCGGCAGCGCACCCGCACCCGCACTGTAATGGTGGTTAATGCCGCCCCTCCCCCACTCGTGCCCCTCGCGCCGTCCATCTCGATTCTTGCAATACATGTTGGCTAGGGACAGGGATGTCTGACGTCGGGGTTTTCAGCCATGCGAGCGCAGGATGCCCATTGAAACAAGACAGCCCAGGGGCAGACGGGGGCCACCAGAAGCATCGCCACGGAGCCAATGGGACGAGTCATTGCGCACCGTAGGTAAGCGACCACGGGCAGAGACCGAGCGGTACGGTTGCGTAGCGCGTAGTGCGTAAAGGGCGGCGATACATGCCAAAAGGGCGGAGCTGAGCGGACTGGGAGGGTTGGCTGGTTGGTTGGTTTGAGCTGAGATAGGAGCTACTTTGTCGGTTTGCCTGCCTCCCTGTCTACCTGCGGTATTAGACGTAGCCCTCCTTCTTTCTAGATGTTACGTCAAATCCCTTCCAATTCAGGCGTGCTGTGCAGAGAAGATATCAGGGGCCAAGGGCAAGCCAATCTCTGAAATCTGTCCAACGTCGTCTTCTGATATGCTCTCCTCCGAAGCTTAAGAGGCTCCGACTGGAGAACTGGAAGATAGATAACTCCCCATCTCACGTAAAGACGCTGTGCGCCCACCAGGCTTCCATCTCGGACGAACCGCCCGGTACCTGACTTTTGGCCACATTTCCTGTCAGTACGTAGTCCAGCAATCAGTCGCCGATAGCGCCAGCGCCGCCAGGCCCCGAATGTTCCCGGACGCACAAGGCCCAGGACCCCGTGCGTGGGGCCGGTCGGCGCGGCTGATAGGTGTAGGGCTTTCGGACCGGCGGGCGGGGCACTGTTGGCGGGGGCCCTGGCGGTGGAGAAGGGCCTGACGTCACAGTGGATTTTCTGCCTTGTCTGGCGCTGGCCGGCTGCGGGCTTCTGCGGCTGTTGGCTTCTGCGTCGTGCAGAAAATGGCGGCCAGATGGCGCCCAAGATTTTGGGATCCAGGGCGCTGGTTGGAGACGGGGGGCTTGGCCGTTTCCACCGTCTCCAGACCGACTGGCCGGGCGACCGTATCTCGCTGGAGCATCCCGAAGCTCTCCCTGTTTGGTTGGACGGTGTGGTGGACCTCCCCTCCCTACCGTACTGTACGATCCTTGACGGTGCGTTGGTTTGGGTCGTGTTCCTCACCCCCGTAATCACCGTCTGTCCCTTGTTGGCCGGTCCCTGCAACGCTGAGTCGTCGGTCCTTCAGGGCGTCGAGACGGGCGAGGATGGCTCCGGCTGACACGGTGATTGGCCTCAACCCGCTCGCTGAGCCTCAGGGTCCACAGCTGCCATGCAGCACGTCGCTCTACGGCTCTTTTTGACGTCTTGGTGCTGCGTACTTTGCATGTACGCACATACAAGCAGGCACAAGGGCCGCCGCGGCCAAAGGAACCATGACGGTATGTACTCCGTACTGTAAACGAACCGTGGCAGGCCATGACATCGTCCGGGGACCGTGGGCCCTCCGTCTCGACAGGCCGTCTGGACGCTGACTGGATGACGGCGGTTCCTTGCTGGGTTCCTCGCGCTCTGGCAAGGGTAATTGACGTATGTACCCACTTGGGACGGGCGTTGTCGTTGTCCGTCAGTTACGAAAGGACATGGCCCTTCCATGGATGCGTCATGTACATTGGTATCGACCGTGTACGTCACAGAGGTACATTGAACTGTAGCGTGTATGAGCGACCAGGGGCTGCGCGCGCCATGCCATGCCATGCCATGCCCATGTGCTGCTGGTGCGGCGGCGGCGTTTGTGCGAATTAATCGACCGCCGGTGCCGCCGTGTTTGACGGAGGCCTACCAGCGATGATGGTACAGGCTACCTTCTATGACGAGTGCTCCGTGGCAACATTTGGGTACCTAGTACTGGATTCGGGAACCTGGCCAGGTACCAGCAGCACAAAATCAGCCGCACAAAAAACACTCCGGCGTCATCCCTATCGACCTCGATCCATCCAACCACCAACCATCCAACCATCCATCCCTTACCTCATACCTCGAGAGTTTTGCAACACACCCGAGTAAGAAAACTTCCATTGTGGAACCCGGTCGCCGCCTGGTGGATAAGGGGAAATCCTCGCCTTCGCCACGGTTCCAGGCAATGACTCGGATTGGAGGCCCGCTCTCATCGCCGCAGCAGGAAGGTATCCGAGCAAAGGTACCTCTCCGTCTGCTCTTGCGACTGTGGAGTTGTGGATAATGGATTGTGGGATTGTGGGATTGTGACAAGAGAGAGGCATGACGGCGTAACGAACCCACAATTATCTCATTATCTGGGCCTCCGCCTCTTCCTCCTGTTTGATGTACCTGAGGGAGTCGGAGCAAAAGATAATCGAGAGAGAGGGCCAAATCTATAAAGCCCCAGATATCTCCCACCGTTCTTCACGGTACTACTAAATTCTTCCTATCCACCTCTCCACAACTCCACAGCTCCATTTCCCCATCTTACTCTCATAAACCAATTCATCATAGCAACGCTCGAGTTGTTAGACTGACTTCGTCTTGTCCTATTCCCCTGGCCTCGATCTCCATCTTCTCTCTAAACCCGTGCGCCCTTTCCTGAGCGCGCAGTTGGAGCCGGTCTCCCCATCTTCTCAATATCACAAAAAACAACCACCCAACATGGCTCTTCAACAACAGTCCGACTTTTACCAGTCAGACGACGGAATGGACTCCTCCTCGTCTGTCCCCAGCTCCCCTGAGCTCGCCTCCAGCAGTTCCAGCGCCAGCATCTCCAGCCTCCAGTCGCTGGCCTCGCCCATGTCTCCTCCCGCCGACCTCGTGGCTGACGAGTTCGTCTTTGCCTTTGACATTGACGGCGTGCTCGTTCGCGGTGGACGGGCCATTCCTGAAGCCATTGAGGCTATGAGGGTCCTCAACGGGGAGAACGAATATGGCATTAAAGTGTAAGTTCCCCTCGTCGTCTCCCGACCCCATGCGTTCCTCGCTGTTGGTCCACCAAACCCCGGATTTATGATGGGGCGGTCCACAAAACTAAACTATCGTGACTTCTTATGCAAAGATGACAGAGCACTAACACATCAACAATAGGCCTCACATCTTCCTGACCAACGGCGGTGGCAAGACCGAGGAGGAGCGCTGCGGAGACCTCTCTAAGCAACTCCTTTGTGATATCAAGCCTGGCCAGTTCATCTGCGGCCATACGCCTATGCGTGAAATGTCCGAAAAGTACGGCACCGTCCTGGTGGTTGGCGGCGAGGGCGAGACCTGCCGCCTGGTGGCCGAGGGTTACGGCTTCAAGGACGTTGTCACCCCGGGAGACATCATCAAGCATGACTCTGCTACTACGCCCTTCCGCAAGCTCACTGCCGAGGAGCACGCCAACTCGCGTGAGCGAGACTTCTCCGACGTCACCATTGACGCTGTCTTCGTCTTCGCCGACTCGCGAGACTGGGCCGGCGATATCCAGATCATGCTCGACCTAGCCATGTCCAAGGGTGGCCGTCTGGGCACGCGCAGCGAAACCTTTGACGATGGTCCCCCTTTCTACTTCTCCCACAACGACGTCGTCTGGTCTGCTGCTCACGAGCATGTCCGCCTCGGCATGGGCGCTCTCCGCCGCATGTTCGAGGTCACCTTCAAGGACCTCACCAACGGTTCTGGCGTCCTGCACACGCACGCCTTCGGCAAGCCCCAGGTCTCGACCTTTGAGTTCGCCTCTCGCCTCATGGGTCAATGGCGCAACACCGAGCACGGCCTCGTCGCGCCCCCTGAGACGGTCTACTTCGTCGGCGACACCCCTGAGAGCGACATCCGCGGCACCAACGCCGTCAACGAGAAGGCAGACAACGACTGGTACAGCATCCTCGTTGAGACGGGTGTCTACGAGGAGGGTACTGAGCCTGCCTACAAGCCCCGCGCCACTGTCGTCAACGTCCTCGACGCTGTCAACCACGGCATTAGGCGCGAGATGGCCAAGAAGGCCGCCGCAGCCAGCACTCTCAAGCCTGATGTTCTGGCTGAGTCTGTCTGCAACAATGGCCCTGCCATTGTGGACATGGATGGTCTCACCATTTGAGTTAGACAGCTGGTACTTGTCTGTGTTTAGCGTCTCCTCTTCGTGTCTGCCACCTTTGGGAACATCTTTTTTTTTTCTTTTCTCAGGAAGCACTGCTCGGTTTCAGTGCATTTTGCTGTGTCTTTTTTCGGGGTTTGGCATTTTCTTTCGTAAAAGGACGCGAAACCGACCTTTCTCTCTGCATTCACGACTCTTTGCAGATGATGAACGACATACAGCGGCAGCCATGGCGCTGTTTAGAGCATAGACCACGATAGAGTCTTATGTTTCTGGATGAAGAGCGCTTCTCTCGCATTGCCATGATGCAACGCAACACCCTTATACCCTGATGAGCATCACATCACATCAATTTAGAATAAACAAAATAAAAAACAAGAGCCTTTTTCCATCAATCCACATTTCTCCTGCTGTGAAAGAAAAACAAATTGGTGATTATGCGGAGTAACTGCTAAGAGTGAGTCTTATTAGGTGCAGTTTTGCTGGTATTCTTGAAAATTGAGGCATGGAATTGTGTGAGAGAAAAGCGATTTTCATGCATCTAACTCTCGTATTGCCCACCATAACACATTGACTCACTTCCGGCTAATGTTGCGGGCGCAGTACTATATTCGGGGGTTCTTAGACACCATGGCAAGCCCTTTCTGGAGTGACTTGTCGAGCAACTTGACAATGCCGACCCCCATCCCTCGATGTGTCAACTTTGTCTGCTCTTCTCCACAGGACAGCGGTAAGCCTAATCCATACATCCGAGCGAGAATTGTACCGAGTGTGGCTTATCTGGCGGGTATATGCCTGCAGTTCGCGTTCTTGTTACACACCCTCTTCATATTCGACGCCCAGCCAAGGCAGATTGCCCCTACTTACCCCCAGTTTCTCCATGTCAAGCCCTGTGGGCTGGGAGCCACATGGATACTCGCCGGTCGACGATTGGACCCAGGTCTTTTGCTATTCGCTGGGATGCCGAAGCCAATGTGAGACTAAGGATGTACGTCTTATGTGATACAAGAGATACAGGGGGATCTTGTCAAGTATTCTTCTCTACATGTACATGCCCTTGTTAGTCGTCTCTGGACGGCCCGGTTGTAACTTTTATACCTCCTTTATACTAATCCCCTTCCTGAAGTTAAATTTATAACAAAAAGGTCATGCATGTCTACTTGAGTGAATTAAAGAAGTTCGGAAGAACACGAACTCCTACGTCAACCATGCAGAACATTTTTCGGGGAAGTAGCTTAGCTTGGCTTGCAAAAGTTCATACTCGGCTCTCTTCTTCGTCTGCATGACTCTCGTCGTCTTCGTCCCGGCCGCCGATCTCCTTGAAGGAGAAGCCTCCCCATTCTGACGTAGCCGCCCATCCCGCTCCATCCACGGCATCTTGGCGCCGGCCCCGCTGTTCCATGGCCTCCTCCGCACTGATGCCGATTGTGAAGCCGCGGATGTGCTCGCGGTCCACCCGTAGCCATCCCTTCCAGCCTGCCGCGATATCCCCAGCGCCAAGGCCTCCCACAACGACGGTACCCCACCACTGGCGGGCAGTACTCGCGTGGGCGCCGTTGCCGTAGAGCATGAAGCCCTCGGCTTCGGCCACCACCGCGCGGAGACGTTCCGTGTTGCTGCGAGCGGGCCGCTGGACGTAGACATGACGCAGATTGGATTCGACGCAGGTGAGACGGGTCGTATCAAAACGCCCATCCAAGTCAATGACGAGCAGGGCATGTAGGTGCGGAGGGGAAACAAGGGTTGAGATGAGTTTGTAGAGTAGCGGTAAATGGCGCCCAGATAGACTCACACCTGCGGCCTTTGTGGCCTGGAAACGACGAGCTGCAAGTTGATCCAACGGCTGCATGTGCGTGGACTTGGCTGCCTGGATATGACCTTGGGTTGATGCTCTATTACCGGGGGATGTTGGTTCCAGGGCAAGAGTCAGGGCTGAACGCACGCCCTGGAGCATCTGTAGCAGCATTTCAGCATCCATCCGCCGTGAGCGACCAGCAATCCATGACGGTAGAAGTAGCGATGACAACAACAGATCTACTCTCGGAAACGGGGGATCCTTCGGCCGACTGCTTAGAGAGTTTCCCGCTGTAGATGCGTTGACGGCCAACCTTGCTCCTACATCACTCGGTTGGATGATAGCCTCGATGATGTGAGTGGAGGGTAACAAAGTCACTCGACTTGTCCTTACCAAACCTTCTCTACCCACTCGAGTAGAAAATGAGGTGTCTTGTGTTTGTCCAGGAAATTATTGTGAAGCTGATTGATTGATTGCGATGTTGAGACCAAAGTCGATATTGACTATGGTTATGTTGTGGTGTTGTGACGTCCAGAAAAAGGAAAAAGCTCAGGCCCGCCAAAGCAGCTCCCAGAAACTCACCTCCTCCAGACTTGCTTCCTCAACCTCGCCCAACAGTCGCGCGCCCGTCGCCGCCTCCATCGTCGTCATCCACCAATAACTTCATAAAACGACTGCGCCGCAATGGGGTACCCGTGCCAGGTCTTCCACGCCTCCGAGCTGCCCGATCGTGTGCAGGCCGACCTGAAGGGCCGCAAGCGCAAGCTCGAGGCTGGTGAGCGCAACGTCGACCTTAAGAGCTGCGAGCTCCTCGAGATGCTGCAGTACAAGTGCGAAATCAAGGAACCTGTCACGTGGGACAGTGCCGTGCAGTGCTACGCTGTTGACCGGCTGTTCCGCAAGTGAGTTGTCTTCGGTTGCGCTGTCTCCGCGTTCGTCATGCGTGGTCTGGTTTGCTGATGTTGCGTGATGAAGGTGCAAAGACAGAAAGGGCACTTTTATGGTTGAGACTACGGCGTGGGAGGGGAAGGATTATTCGGCCGCCGCTGAAAAAGGCGGCAGCAGCAAAAACAGCGGCAGCACTGAAGAGAAGCCTCCCCAACACTACCACTGGTCGTCAAGCTGGAGCTCACCCGATTCAGCTCGGTGATCACTTCATCATCTGTGCCATTCTCACGGAGCGACTTATTCTTGAGGTTAACCTCTCAAGACTGGGCAATGCGCAGCCCGGCTGGCGTGCCTGCTGCCTATTGATGGATTGCGGAGATAAGCTACCATGCTCACTTTTATGCCATGGGAGTATTGGAGTAGACTAAATACGGCGTTTTCGCGGCTTTGAATATTGGCGTTGGTGTACTCTCTAGGATCTTGTCATCTTCGGTGGATCCTGACTCATCAGGACTCATCAGGGAGGAATTGATTGTCCCGAGGTGGTATCGGCAAGAACCGCCTTCTTTGGCTGCGGGTCACTGGGACCTCTCTACGCAGTGCAGACGAGCTATGTCACGATTGAAGTTGGAGAGGCTTGGTGTGAATATTATTCAGAAACAATCGGAGGAGTCAACCTTAATCAGGCGGGGTGTCACGTCATGGATGGAGAGCTCCGCATCTGCAGAGATACAATACTACGAGGACACAACGCAGCGCCATTGAACCTCCCGGTATCAATAAAAACATAACACATGTCAATGGCGCAGCGGGTGCTGATCAAAGCACACATCGACTTGGTTGCCCTTGCCTATTGTACAGATTGTCAAGCACCGTCTCAGATGAAGCCTTGATAATTTGTTCTTCTATCCAGCGACAAGACAAACGAAACATTGAGAAGCTTCACCCCTCGACAGTCTAGGTCCTGCTCATCCCCCTTGCCTCTTTGCAATTACGAATGCCATTGGGTCATCCGTTACTCGGCCTTGGCGGCAGCACGCTCAGCCTCCAACTTGATGTAGTGGTTGTCGCGGGCGTTGGTTCGGGGCATGTGGAAGCCGTACCTGCCACGCCGATTAGTTCTCTTGTACGTTGCATAGCTGCATTTTCTCGTCAAATATCCACGTACCAGAAGACGTTGGCCATGGCGAAGCCGGATCCTATGATGCTGATCAGCCCATTATTCCCACCAACCAACCACATTGCCCGAATTGTCAGCGTCTCTGAAGCATCCTCCTCTAAGTGTACTGCGATACGACAACCCGGGACGTGTTCAATTCGGTCGATTGAGGGGATCTGGCGACATACCAAGAGCGATGCCGAGGTCCAGGACGAGGTTTCGTCGGAGCATCTACAACAACAACAAAGTCAGTCCACGAAAAGCTCTCCCAAGGTTCCTCTGGCCCGGTCGGGGCGGCGCGCTCCCGAGCCATTGAGTCGTAGAAGACATACACCAGTGACGGGTCGGACGGCCATTTTGATTATAATCCTTTTGCGATGCGGTTCGGGAGAAGGAGAGGGAAGCTGTGAGGCTGATTCGAGTTGATGCGGTCGTGAGGTTGTGAGTTCATCCCGAGGATGGTCTGATGTTAATCGCGCTAAGGATGCAAGTCACGTGCAACCCGGGAACTCACGCCGGCTCAACCCCGGGCACGCTGGAAAAGAATCTCGACAGGTGAGGCGGTACTCGTGCTTGCTTGACAACTGCGAGAGTGAGAGCGACAGCACGAGACTTGGGCTTTAGCACGCCACAACCATACTTGCTGCCATGAGTCTCCGCATAGCCGCCCGGCGGTTGGCGCTGTCAGGTACGTTGATCTTTTCTGGTTCAGCAGAGCTCAATTGGCTCGTGTATTCGACCTTTGGCTGACAATATTTCCCCTCGTACAGCAAGGGCCCCGAACCATCTTCCAAGCTCCCAAACACATGTCTGGTCCACCGGCCTCGGATCCTCGGTACAGCGACGACACAAATGGTCCACCAATATCTTCAAGGGATGGGGCAAGCCTCGCACAAAGGACAATTTGGCGGCCACGGGCGATCCCGTGACCGGGCAGCTCGACGACCCCAAGAACCGCGAGCAGTTCCTCGAGCGCAGCATGTACAGCGGTGTTGAGGACAACATCTTCCAGGACGAGATCGAAGCACCTCAGAAGGGCCCGTCGACCGAGGCGACCCCGGGAGCGGGCGAGATGGAGCAGAAGACGAAGGAGAACATGGCTATGGTTGTGGACCCCGACCCTCGGAGTCGTATCCGCTGGCAGCGCAAGAAGGTCATTCAGATGGTCCGCCGCAACGGTCGCCTGACTAAGGAGGAGCGCATCAAGATGTCAGAGCGTGAGCTGCTGCACAAGAGCGAGTTCATGCCTACGAGTGTCAAGAAGCTTGTCATGCTTGCCCGCCAGATCGCCGGCAAGCCCGTCGACGACGCCATCACCCAAATGTCATGGTCCAAGAAGAAGTTTGCTGCTGAGGTGCGGTACTACCTCGAAGAAGCCCGCGACTTGGCAATTGCTCAGCGCGGCATGGGTCTGGGTCAGGCCAACGGCGAGACATTCGCCAAACCTCGCAAGATCCAGACCAAGGAGGGCAAGTGGATCGAGATCACTGACCCGACACGTATGTATATTGCTCAGTCGTGGGTGGGCCGGGGCACCTGGCGGGGAAAGAAAATCGACTACAAGGGCCGTGGCAGGATGGGTATTATCCGACATCCTAGCACGAGTACGTATCAATTTTTCAGAAATCATTATTTGACTGATGCTAACTTTTGCGTTACACAGGCTTGACCATCCTGCTCAAGGAGGAAAAGTCCAGAATCCGAGAGTATGAGGACCGCGAGGCCCAGAAAGCCAAGAAGGGACCCTGGGTGCATCTACCCAACCGACCCGTCTACGGACAACGGCCGTACTACTCGTGGTAAAGTTTACATCCACGTTATTTGTGTTGGCAGGACAAAAGAATTGGAGAGCCTAGGCATTGGCGGGGTTTGCATGTAATCCCTCTTAGACACCTGTAAGATATGTACACAAGGGAATAGTTGTACAATTGAGCAAAAAAAAGAAAGGCTAGTGCCATGGAATCTGCCTTTCAATTCCAGATTAACATATTCCTCCCCTTCTCCGATGAGAAATGACACCTGCATCAGTCATCTCCGAAAAAAGAACTTGCTGGCTCGCTCGATATAAGGGCGTTCGAGGAATATCACGAAAAAGGAAACGAAATACAAATTTGGCAACGCCAGCCGGCACAAGTTGAGGGGTAGATCAAGCAGTAATCCTAATTTCCCTTGGCCGAGTCAATGAACTCCTGATTCTTAAAAACCATGGCCAGCCCGGTTGCATAAGATGGGGAACGTATAACATCAAAATGCCTTGGGACCAGAATCGGTCAACATGTGGGTTTTCTCCGCTCCCAAACTCCTAGTTTCAAATTTTGCCCGTCACTGTAGTTATCATACCATAGTTCGAGGCGTTGTCCGTGGCACCATATCCTCGTAGCGGTTGGCAACCATCTCCAGGTCATATGTATCCTTCTCGCGGATAGATCCATGGTCGCCTGAGGCATATGCCCTTCCGCCGCCGGGGAGAGGTTGAGAAATTGCAAGGGGGGGTCCTCGCTGCCGTTGCTGCTCCTGCTTGCGTCTGCGTGATTTCAGGAGGAAGCAGATGGCAACACCGATCAGGGCGACGGCGACGGCACCAACACCAACACTGATACCGATTTTAGCCGAGGAGGATAGTCCAGAGTCAGAGGAATCCTGGTCTTTCTCGGAATTATTCTTGTCCGCAGCAGAGGTTGCTGATGCGCCGGCATTGGCAATATCAGTAGTACCGGACGCAGTGGCAGCAGTTTTGGAGGCAGATTCAGTAGCCTGGGAATGATATTAGTGGTGTGTTTAGGGGTTGTCCATGTTGTCATGCTTACAGTCGCCTCGGCAGTCTCAGAGGCCTGGGTCGATTCAGGTAGACTAGAGGTCGACGGTGATTCCTCGGAAGACGAGCTAGCTTCCGTACTGGCAGGAGCTTCGGTGCTAGCAGGAGCTTCGGTGCTAGCAGGAGCTTCGGTGGATGACACGACTTCGGTGGTTGACGCCACTTCAGTAGATGCGGCAGCCGTGGAAGAAGCAACCTCAGCGGTAGACACGGCAGATGCGGAAGCAGAAGCCGATGGCAACGCAACGCCTTGGGAAGTCAGTCTTCTAGCTCACGAACAACAGGCTTGTTGGCTTACCCGCGCAAAATTGGGAATTAAGATACTCGTCTGTTTCGGTGTCTAGAGCTTGACAACGGCCAGTCGAGCATTCTCGAATGCCGGTCACGAAAGAAGGGTTCACACAGAGGCAAGCACCATCTTCGGCGCTGGTACAGCTGAAAGTGGTGAACTGGTCTCTGAGTTCATTGGTACATGCACCCTGGAAACGATACCAGTAAGCATGGATGTGAGTGGGAGCGCGCGGTTGACTCCTTCTGTGTGGAGCTTGGATGGACTTACGATGCAGTCAGTGGCTGCCGACACGCCGAGAACATGCAGGGCGCCCAGCGCACCTAGAGCAGAGAGCAAAAAGCGCATCTTAACGGGCGGCAGAATGGATCGAGGTGGATATAGATGGCGATGCGAACGCCGTAGGATATCGGCGGGTAAAACGAATGTCTGTGGGTTTAAACGAGGGACGGGCGGGCCAGAGCCAAAGCCAGGACGAGTCCGGACAAGTCGATGGAGCGACAGGAACGACGAAGACCAGAGACGACCAGCTGGATCCCAGGTTGGGGAGGTCAAATAGAAAGCGAAAAATGAGAATCGGTAATGGTGGGACAAGAGCGGTCCAACGTGGCACACGATCCGTGCAGCAGGTGATGCAGGCGATGCAGTCGATCCCGGGTCGAATACGAAGAAATAGAGGCTGAAGAAGGGCCGGGATAGGTCGGCCAACAGAGTTCAAGGAATGACGAGGTAAGCTGAAGGAGGATTCGGAACGGCGAGTGAATAAAAGAATCGAATCGGTGACGTGGTAGGATTGAACAGGAACCCGGGACACCGAAGAGAGTGGCGGAAGTCCCAAGACGCGATCACCGAACCGGGAAGGAAGAAGAAGGAGAGGAAGAAGACGAAAGGAGCGTAGAAGAGGTTGAACAAGACGGCTGTAGAACGAATGGAGCCCAAGCGTGACCAGTGGGTTCGTGATGACGAGGATCACAAGAGAAAGACGTCGCAACAAAGGGAGGTGAGGAATGAAGAAGAGACAGACTGGGTCAACGAGATCTTGGGGGGGATGTGGAATTGAAGGGAATGGTGATATTGTCCAGGGCTCCCTGGCGCTAGGTCCCTTGGTAGGTCACTCTTAGCGGGTTTTCGCGTTGGATCCGCCAGGTAAGTAGGTACCCGGGGAGGCAAGTGCCTCCTGTAGGTGCGGGCTCGGTACATAGGTAGGAGAATTCCAGCCAGGGCGACCCGGCGGGGTGGGAGGGCTTGAGGGCTTGGATTGGATAGCGCTGGCGGCATATACAGCACGCGACGGCCAGGGGAGGCCTGAATGGAAGCCCTGGAAGCCCTGGAACCGTGGGAGGCCTAGGCTTGAATTTGGGTGCCCTAGAAACGGCCCCTGTCCTCGCGCTGAGAGTCCCGGGAAGCCTCCGGTTTCCATTTTCCAAGGGCAGGAGGCATGCACAGTGCATAATCATCCGGGATGGAGTAAACCTGACCACCCATGCATCGTATTTCACTAAATGACCGTCAGGCTGCGCAAGCCCAGGATCCGGAAGTCTGACGTGAATAGGGGCAGAAGCCAATAGTTGGCGGGTCCCAACCCCCTGACGCCGTGTAGAACGCCCCCGCAACACCATCGGACACAGTGCCACCCATCTACCGACTCGGGTCTTGGTGCCGCCCATGTTCTTCTGTAGGCGCCTGTCACCCACAGATCGTCCCTATGGGCACACACACTCGGGGTTTCATCATTGCCTCGCTACTTCATCGCCCAATTGCGCCTGTGATAACTGTCGGGCACAGGTGGCGCAGTGCCTTGGGATATATCGGGAGGCCAATACTACGTAGTGAGTGGGATGGCTCTCGGGTACGAGGTAGTATCCAGTCCCTTTGTGCAGATAGCGGCAAGACGTGTCCCTGCCGTCTGCTAGTTAATTTACTCCAGGCGATGCAGGTCAGATGGCGCTGCCCCGATGCCCGAGGCAGACCGACTGACCGAATAGTCGGTGTTGGCAGCTGCAGCGACGAAACACTCGGTCATGCGTTATTCTAGCAGCAGTTGTATTATGATGGACACTGAAGAAGACCCCAGCTAATTATAACCCCAGTGCGCGTCCTGGGATCCGGGGCTGCAGCCTATCAGCGGTGGGTGCGTCCCCAGAACGAGACAGGGTGGGCAGATGAAAATCCTAGGCCTGGTCGCCAGCCGCAATCCTTCGTCACTTCGCAGGTGGAGCATAATAAGTCTGTTCAGCTGCCAGATGGGAGTTCCATGTCGGCGGGAGAATGAAGGATGCCCATGCTCTGCCTCATCATCTCTCTCACGGACGTCGCCGGACCGGGTAGCACGTAGGGAACCGGACAGGGCTCGGGCTCCCTTTGACCCTCCTAGGGCACTACTACGCGTTGAGTGTAAAGCCTCACGCAATCTCCCTCCGACGTCTAGTAGTTCCCATCAGGTCAGGTTTGGGGCGCTGGCGGTCAAACCAACAGGTGGTTTCGGAGGGAAAGGCGCGGACAGCGCAGCACGTATCATGTGCATGCAAAGATAGCTCCGTGTATGCACCCGCCGGCAGTGATCGCCCTCCTTTCCCTTGCGTCTAAAACATGAGATCTAAGTCGACCGTTGACTTGCGCCATGGGTTTGCATGTGGAGCGTTCCGGATCGGCATCAGGGATCATCCCGTCGAGTAATGCACGTTGGCAGGAGAAAGGAAACAAAAAATATTTATACGATGTCGGGTCGACGAGAGAGCCCTAGTCAGTCCTGCTCGATAAAAGCTCGATAAAAGCCCGAATAGGTCGGTGTCACATTGCTGGAATGCCGAAAAGGAGATGCGCAGAGACCTAAGCAACCAGTACGGAGTACTTCGTACGAGGTCACAGAGTCATTTGGCCGCAGTAACCTCCATCATTTTCCGTTTCATGTGTGTCTTGACGATGTTGGTGCGGATCAATACAGAACCAACCCAGGCGCGCAAAACGGCCGCTAAGTCTAGCGTGAAACAATAGCCCGGCACCTTGCATCTTCCCCGCTACCGGGACGGCGATACGCTGGGATCACTCATAGTGAGTGGGCTGTGCGATCAGGCAGCGGGGGCTTCAAAGGCGGCCTCTGTCTGGTCTTGATCAATTGCATCTCGCTTCGTCTCATCTGGAGTGGTCGCTCGAGGTTGGTATTCTAGACTCTACATCCACAGTTGCAGTCCCAGATCTACATCGCATGTTGAAGAATGCCATGGTTGCTGCGCTGGTTCTGCCAAAGCGCTGAGAGAAGGAGCAGGAGAGGATGTTGGGGCGCAAAGCGGGTTCCACCACCAGCCTGAGATTATCGATAGCAAGGAGCGTCGCATACGAAGTACATCTCATTGGACTCTTGGCAGAGAAACCCAACCAGCGACCCGACCGCTTTCGTGTCAGGATCCCAATCAGAATGTCGACTTCCACGTTCCCTAATCTCATTTCCTAACATACGTAAACAGCGCATCGACATCCTGACGTATTACCAGATGGACCCTCATCGAAAGGATCTCTACTTCTTAGAGCTGAGAAACTGATCCCGGGTTGACTCAAGACAACCTGGTCACTATCGGGATAATTTCCAGAAAATCGCTCACCAAGACACAGCCCGAGCGAAACTCATCAGCCAAGAATCTTTACCATCCAACTTCACCATGCATTATATCAAATTTCGATCTTTCCCAGGAGAAGGGTTCTTCCCGCTGGTCGCGTCGCAGAACAAGCCCCTACGTCTCCGATCTGATGAACCCCCCTGCCTTTCGCGTGAATGGTCTTAAGACAGGGTTATGAATACTACGGAGTACAATGACATCCAGATCTCGGAACGAAGCGATTCCGATGGCACCAATGAACCCAATATCTCCCTGACATACTTGATGCTCAGATTCGGATTGCTAAATAGCTTGGTCGGACCTTAACTTGGGGGCATTGTCCGCTTTTGCGCCACGAGATTCAATAGGCGTCATCCAGAGCTGGTCCCGTTATTGCGTCAGTCGGTCCGCTGCAACCGACCTATTAATTCAGTATGGCAGGGATGATATTGACGCGACTCCCAATGGCCCAGGAGTGACAAAATCGAGATACTTGGTGGGAAAACAGGAGTGCTTGATACGAATTTTCCAGACAGACGCGGGCCTCAGCTCGCGGACGACTCCATGTAGGTCTAAAATGTTGTGCCCGTTTAGATGCGCCCGTCAAGCAACCTTGGTAGCTGGTGGCCGTGTGTTGGCTAAGCAATGTTTTATATTGGCTTGCGCATCTCTCCTCCTCTTTCAACATGCAACCATCCTCTAAGGCTCGTCGGGTCTCGCCAGAGCAACATAGTCCAGACGGGGTGGCATCCCTAGGTCGTCTACATAAATGCTTACATATTGGTGCACCAGACGTGACATTCTCACACCACAAGGCTAACAACCAAAGGCCCAGGAGTCACTGGATCGTTAGATCCATATCTGGTCTAACCCCTCCAGGTGATGGGAATAACAGCTCGGGGATAATTGGCCCTCGCACCAGTTGCACCAAAGAAAACACCATTCAGCATTGGACAGCCTAGCTTGGGTCTAGACCGTCCGCTGACCCATCCTGTTAGAGAAATGATCGGCAGTCGTATCACTGTCCTCGCGAAGCGAAGAACCAAGGCCCAATTTTGGGCCCGGACCAGGGAGCCGGAGTCCGAATAGGGTGCTGATCAATGAGAGATGAGCAATCCAGAAGCAGGGAGTTGGCAATCAAGGAAGTACATAACGCTCTTGGGAAGGCCAGAGCATCCATATTTTCGGGTTGAAGAGATAAAAAAAAATTAAAAAAAAAAAAAAGTAACGTCGCGAAGGGGCGAGCAGACAAAATAAACATAGAAGAGCCCGTGCGGATTGTTCTAGGCCTTGAGAGACTGCACCGTTGGCGCTCGGCATTACATCATATGACGCGCTCCGGAAAATGAAAGATGGCGGGGGCTGGCGCCGCTGACACACATTCACTGTTGACCAAGCTCTACAATGTGCTAATTGGAAGGGGTTATTGAACCGTCCCGACAGCTGTTATAGAGACCACGACAAAAAAGAACATTAATAATTCCTTCTTCCTACCGAGGCGTCTATGTCTACTTACGGCCCTCCGCCATTGTACCTAATGTACGGTATATGAGGCCCCCACTCGATGGTCTAAGGCACGAATGTATGCCATGCGAGTCAAGTGCGCGCATATTTGAAAGACATTGAAATAATCGTCTACTAAGAGCCGCGCCTTGGTGTTCTTCTAGATTTATAAGGTTGAGTAACGAAGCAAGCAAGATGTTTGTGGCCTGGAGTGGCACGTCAAGGTACCTTGTACTATAAGACACGACACCAGCGCAGCGTAATGTGGAGCGCGTGCTCCTTCCACTGCCTGTTCAACGTCGATCCTTATTTTTTTTTCTGGGTTGAACACCCGCTCTCGCACTTCGCCCACACACCCACACCAACAGATGAACGCACTTTGTGTTCACCAGCTCTATTGCACACACATCAGAGCCTTGCAGCCAGTCCCGGAGACAGGCGCTAACTATCCGGCGTCGTTTACTGGCTGTTGAACACTCAAACAAATAGGCCCTCGCGCCAACCACATCGGGTGGAGTCTCGTCCTCTGACTCCAACTTCCTCTGTCGCAACAACGATCTTTCTCCAATTTGGGATACCCTCAATATCGCGACCGTCGCCTGTCTGCGAAGCAACCCCGTCTGACATCCGCCGTCCGCGGGCCCCCGTTCTCTACCCGCTATCCAGCAATCCGTATCCAACTCTCGCCCCTGTCGTATGGCCATGGCAAACATGGCCAACATGGCCAAGCCCGTCGGCGAAGACGGTTGGCTCGCATACCTCGAAGAGACCATCCGAAACGCCTCCGACCTCGAAAATCGCGTCCATACCGTTGAGCAATATAAACGCGCCGTTGCCGCCGAGCCCGGCAGCTTGCGCATCTGGCTCTCTTACTGCGACTACTTCTGGTCACTCTGGGAGGCTACCCAGGCCCTTGCCAGTGATGGCTGGACCGATGAGGAGCGCATGATGGGTCGCGAGCTGTTCTCCTTTGGCGCTGCTCTTGATCTGTGGCAGCAAGGCTACGAGGCTATTCAATACCGCCTCAACGACAGCCACCTGCTCTGGGATCGCTGGGTCTCTCTCGAAATGGAGCTGCTCTCCACGACGCGCACTCCCGAGGGCATCAAGCGCATCACCCATCTCTACTGCGATCGCTTACAGACACCCCACCTGACCTGGGAAGAGACCTCTCAAAACTACTCCAACTTCCTATCAAATTATAACCCTGACGCCTGGTTAGACTCAATGAAAGATGTCACCAACAATGCCCAGGAGGTCAAACGTCTCATCGCTGCTCGCGATCCCTTTGAGCTCAAACTCAAGAAAGGATTTTCTGACGGTGATGTCGAAGCTCAGAAGGATGCCATGACAGAATATCTGGACTGGGAAATGCTTCAGAGCAGGCGCAGTAATGACTACCCCAAAATTGGCATCGACATATGTCGCGGCCTCTACGCCCGAGCCCTCACTGGTGTTCTCGCCACCGACCAGGCCACCTGGTACAGGTATATCGTCTTTCTTTCGTCCTCCAACTCCGACTTGCAGGCCCCCGGTAACTTGCTCGATGTTCTTCGCAGAGCGGTTCAACGCTGTCCTTGGTCAGGGCGTTTGTGGAACAGGTATATCCTTTGCGCTGAGGAAACCAAGCTGCCCTTCGCCGAGATCGAATCCATCAAGCACACTGCGACCAATGAGAGTCAGATTCTCAGGGACGGAATGGAGGGCATGATCGGAATGTATGAGGCCTGGTGCGGTTTTCTGAAGCGGACAGCCATGGATGTCACTGCCACGGATGAATCCGTCGATCTCGCCGATGTTGGCTTGAGTGCGGCGCTGGAGGACGTCACTATCATTGGTCGAAGACTTTACGGGAAAGACTTTCAAGGCGACCCCAAGTTTCGGCTCGAACGTATATACATCCAGTACCTGACTGAAAAGAAGGGCGCCATCGATGAGGCCAGAGCTCAGTGGAACAAGTTGGCCGCGGTCCAGATCCATGCCAACAGCAACGACTTTTGGTTCAGATATTACATGTGGGAGATGCTGATCTTCTCATCAACGAGCGTCCAAGAAACTCGGAGCCCGACGCCCTCGTCTGTCAACGCCAGTTTCCGGACCCCGTCATTGGCAACCGCCGTTCTCGTCCGGGCTGTCTCGCGGAAAACCATCGACTGGCCAGAAAAGGTTTTAGAAGTTTATATGCAACATTGCAATGATTATGAACCACCACTCTCGGTTCGGAAAGCGGCTGATCGAGCGCACAAAACCGAGGAGGCACTCAACAAGCGCCGGGCCCACGAAGAAAAGGAGAAGGCTGCCCAGTATGCGGCATATTACCGTGCGCAGGAAGCGCAGGTCTCAACTGAGGAGGCAGACCCCCATCAGGGCTCCAAGCGGAAACGTGAATCCGTTCCGCCTACCCAGGACGAGAATACCAGTACCAGCAAGCGGCAGAAGAGTGACGTTGACGACACTGCATCCCAGACTTCTGCAACACAGGATCTCAAGAGGGACCGGGAAAACTCGACCATCATCGTGACCAATCTCCCTAGCGATGTTGCTCAGACCAAGGTCCGTCAATACTTCAAGGACTATGGACACATCAAGAACGTCACAGCTCTGGTGCAGGACAGCGACGGTAGATCTTCAACGGCCCTTATTGAGTTCTCCACACCCGAGGAAGCCCAATCTGCGCTGCTCCGAGATGGCAAATACTTCGAGCAATCGCAGCTCAGTGTCAAGTCGGGACATGACCTGACTGTCTACGTCGCCAACTACCCGCCAGCGGCGGATGCAAAATACATTCGTCAACTATTCAAGGATTGTGGAGAAATCCTCAGCATCCGCTGGCCGAATCTGCAGGCCAATACCCGTCGTCGGTTTTGCTACATTTCGTTCCGTGATCGGGAAGCTTCAGGCAAGGCCGTCAAGAAAGAGGGCACCGTCCTCGACGGCCAGTACAAGCTGTTAGCCAAGTACTCGGACCCGAGTCACAAGAAGTCACGCGATGGGGCGCTTGCAGCAGGCCGAGAAATTCACATTAACAACCTCGACCGAGCCGTTTCCGAGTCCGACTTGAGACAAGTCTTTTCCCAGTATGGCAAGATCACTAGGGTCAACGTGCCACAGACTTTGGCAGGCAATAACCGAGGCTTCGCTTTTATTGACTTCTCGACCAAGGAAGAGGCGGAGAAGGCGGTTGCAGAGACGAACAACACCAAATTCCGCAGGAACTTTCTTGAGGTCGCGTTGTCGAAAGAGACCAAGTTCAAGCCGACTGCCAGAACCGTTACCGCCGGGCGCGAATCAGCCTCTCCCGCACCTACCTCTACTCGCGATGATGAGGGAGATGAAATAATTCTTGATGCCCCAAGTGACAACCAGAACAAGCCTACGGCTGCTGAGATCTTAAGCCGTACGATTGCACTAATGGGCCTTCCCGATACGGTCAATGATGCGCGTGTCCAAGCCCTTGTTGAACCCATGGGTGATATTGTCCAGCTTATTCTACAGCCAGCCCACGGTGGCGCCAAGATTGAATTTTCAGACGCTGCCAACGCCGGGAAAGCGGCCCTCCAACTCAATGGCATGGAATATGAGGGTTCCAAGTTGCGCACCGGTTCCGTCGATGAGCTGCGACATGCCAAGGCCGAGCGCCGTTTAGACAGCATTGTCTACGGGTCCAAGGGGTCCACCTCCAAGGGCACCAACTCCAAGGAGACCACCTCCAAGGATGCCGCCACCAAGAGCATCGTGTCCATGGGCATGATGCCTCCGCCAACAACCATTCGCCGACCGGTTGCGGGTCAGGCTCGTCCCCGGCGTGGCCTAGGGTTCGCTAGACCTGCAGCTTCCGCAGCATCCAACAATGGCACAGAAACCAACGGGGCCCCGGTGGCGAAGAAAAGCAATGCTGATTTCAGAGCCTTGTTTGTTCCTGCTGTGAAGGGTGGTGCCAGGGAGCAAAACAAGGACCAACCCGAGGATCAAACCAAGAACCAAACTGAGAGCCAGACCGAGGAGAAGACCAAGAACCAGGTTGTGGAGCCGAGCAAGGATGAGAAAAAGTAATGTGTCCGTGATCTCTGTTCATTTTGCAGAGTCATATCGTGTAGCATAATTGGCGTATCACGAGGCTGCAATATCCGGGAAGAGGGAAAGGCATGTGCATGTACTATTAGAAGCGGTTCGGGGAGTCTAGTTTTTCTTTCAGCCTCCATTCTCGGTCTTTGCTTGATTGTATGATGTCTAGCAAATTGAAGGTTGCATTTACAGGTGGAAAGGTCGATGACACTTCGGTCACCGGTTAAGTGAATGCTTGCTTGAGTGGTTGAATGGCATTGGCTCTTGACCACAGTAAGGGATACCTATATATGTAAATGGATTGATTTATCCTCGCAAAACGATCCTGTCAGCGAGGAGAGCAACTGTTTGGGTCTTAAGGGACTTCATGTCCACCGCATCGAAGGCCTCAAACTTCAGTGAACCTTCAAGCCGATATCCCAGGGAACTAGTCTTCTTTATGACCAAGTCTGCACAGTTAACGAGCAATCAAGGAGAGGTTTAAGCTGGTATGCGCTTCTACTCTTAGCACATTCATCCCTATTCCAGACACGAACCAGCAACAAAGTTGTCGTCTGGATTGTCCGGCTTACATATACTGGCCCCCTGCCAGTTCCTATTCTATGCGATAAGTTGTATGGAAGACCCTGCCGTGCTATGATTAAACCTCAGCCTACCATGTGCAAAAGTGTACAATGTATCCTCCGTGGTACGAGCCACCCCGTCTATCTATCCATGTATGCTCCGAGATGCTCCGGTGATATTGGTGTCGTCCAGCAAATAACGCAGCCAGTTGATCACACCATGTCCCTCATGCCTTGCTCACCATCCCGGTTGTCTGCCTATCCTCTCCAAAGTCTTGCGTGAATAGCTTCTGCCACACATCGAGCCACTTCTCTTGCTGTGCCGTTGGCAGTTTTCCTGGCTGCTTGAAGGACCGCGTCAATAGTTCCCGGAGTCGTGTCCGAAGCACTTTGATGACCAGCATAGTCTTCCAGTCTGGCACGGAAAAGCGACCTCGGTTTCCATCCAGAGCGATCACGCCGGAGAACATCTATGAAAGCGATGGATTAGAAACGGATCTCTGAGATTGCAACGAAATGGAGTGAAAGAACTTACATCACAGCGGACGTCGCCACAGAGCAGGGCAATGGCAAAGGGGTCCGTTGCGGTGGCCTCGTGAGCGTGGTAGACCCTGTATTTAATCATTAACACAAAACCTAGTAGTCCTGCCGGCGGTAAGAACTTACGTTTTCGACTGCATGATATGGTAGTAAGACAACCACTTCATATCGCGAGTGTTTCGGTTGACTGAGGATGGGTGAAGACTGATTGACTGGTTGGTGCCAATATTCCGCAGCCCTTTGCTCCCTGGAGTATCCCGCACAAGAATCTTCGGATAGAAACTCCAGGCTATAACCGAAGCTGAAATAATGTCATTGTCGCTGTTCAAATTGACTCTGCTGGGCATCTCAAAGAACTGCTGTTGCCTACGCCCGCGGCCAGACGAAAACCGGAGTCGCGACAGGGTCCGTCGCTCCTCTTCAGTCAAGGAAAGGAAGCCAGAATCGGCCAAGGATGTAAGAAGTTGACCTTTGAGGTCTTCAATGTTGGCCAGCGTCTGCTGGCTCAGGAAGTTCTTGCGGCAAAACTGGAATTCCTTTCCAGCGCCACCCGTAGATTGGCATACTCGCTTCCAAGCAAGGTAGGCGTTGTAGATGGTCAGTAAATCCGAGTCTCCTCGGCGGAACAACATGCGAGCGTTGTCGGCTTGTGCTCGCTGCCCAAATGGCGCGGAAAATGGCGACTTGGAGGACAAGATCGCAGCAACAGTAATTGCCATGTCCAAGCACTTAAACACCACACCAAGCAGAATCAGCTTTCCCAAGAAAACATCCAAGGGCAGCCTAGCTAGCTGGTGTCCGAGGGGTGTCAGCTCCTCAGCAGCTGTCAAGGCGCGAACGTCTACCAGTGCGTCAATAGCACGGCGCATGTTCTTTGCGGACGGTGGGTCTAAGGCACTGCCAAGAGTCTCTTCAATCCCCCCAATCTTGCAAATCTTAACTCGGATGGCCAAATCCTGCAGCGAGAGGCGAAGCATTTCAGGGGTCTGTTGATCACTCATCAGAGTGTCATGTCGGTACTTGGTGAACATGTGGAAGCAGAGACCCTCTTGGACTCGACCAGCTCGCCCTCGCCGCTGCTTCGCATTCGCCCGGGAGATGAAGGTATCAATAAGACGTGAGAGTTGGCGTCGCTCGTCGAATCGCATCTCTCGATGTTTGCCGGTATCAATGACGCAGGTAACATCAGGAATAGTAATACCTGTCTCAGCGATGTTGGTGGCAAGGACGATCTTTCGCATTCCAGGAGGGGGAATCAAGAAGGCTGACTCCTGGTCCTCTGTTGCAATGGTTGAGTGAAGAGGATATACCAACCACTCTTTGGAGAATCGAGGATCTCCGAGGAGAGCGTCATTTAGTGTGCGGATTTCAGCAATTCCTGGCAAAAATATCAAGATTGCTTTGCTGTATGGTTGTAGATCATCACTCGTAGCAATACGGGCAATCAGCTGCACAATCAAATCAAAATCAATGCGGTACTCGTCGAATTGAGCGAGTGACGCGCGGGTCTTTGCCGAGTATCCCGCAAGACTCTTCGAGATATCGCTCTTGGGGCCTTCTGTTTCACTTTCGGCCAGGTCGTCATCGAGGTCAATCATCTTATCATTCTGCGAGTTACCGGCTGCGTATCCGGTAAGCTCAATTGCATCTTCGAGATATCGAACCTGTACCGGAAAAGTTCGCCCAGGAACGTTGAGAACAGGGGCACCTCCAAGATAGGCCGAAAAGCGCTCAGCGTCGACCGTAGCAGACATAAGGACGACTTTGAGGTCTCGGCGCCGCTTCATCAAGTTCTTCAGCACAATCAAAAGGAAGTCGCTATCGATGGATCGCTCGTGGACCTCGTCGAGAACTAAGTGCGTCACCTCCTGGAGGTCATTGGACCCCTCAAGCATCCGCATTACAATACCAGTTGTTGCGAACACAAGCTTGGTCTCTCGGGAAGTGTTGGCTTCTAGTCGAATAGAATAGCCCACGAGTGATCTGTTGGTTCCTAGGTCATTCCTGTTCTCTCCAAGCTCTTCGCTTACTCGGCGAGCTAGGGAAATGGCAGAGATACGCCGAGGCTCGGTGCAATACACCTTGCAAGCCTTGCCTTGGGAAAGCTGGTGCTCCAACAGAAAGGATGGTACTTGAGTACTCTTTCCACTGTGGTATTGTGAGTCTTTATTCCAAGGAGGGGAGGTAGCCAGAATCATACCATCCAGTCTCACCGCAAACAATGACGACTTGGTTCTCGTCAACAGCGCTCAGAACTTGCTGTCTGAAGTTCCACATGGGCAGTTGCATCCGTGATTGCTAGCAGCGTGTCAGTTTACTCGCCAGCACCCGTGGTTATCGTGCACATACTAGCATGATTTGAAATTTGCGCGAGCTGGACTTGTCTGCCCAGACCTTTTGGTAGTACTCGGAATTTGATGCACTTTGTCGAGCACGGTCTTGACTACCGTCCTCGCCAGCGTCGTGTAGGTTTTTGGCCGCACCGCGGCCCCTGAATGCTCCCTGGAGGATAACGCCATCCTCGAGCTCTTGGTCGTGTCTTTCACGAACTAAAGCCCTCAAATCCTTAACCACAGTTCGGTCTTGAGCATCAATCTGGTTCTTTCTTGCTTCTGCAAGTTCAGACCAGAGGTCCCGCCAGACTGCGGGTAGCCTGATGCCAACCTTTTCTTCCTTAGGATTGCCACTGAATGTGTAGTACAGAGCTGCAGTCGCGATGTAGGCCTCCGATTGCTTCGTATCAGGCGTGGCTATCCCATTCATGGTGAAGGTGAAGTGGTAGGGGTCGGTGATGATTTCAACATCGGGAAGCGTGACGGGGGGTGGCTGTTCTTGGGGCTTTGACCAAAAGATATCGACGGAGTGGCGATTGGCAAAGGTAGCTTCTGATACAATGATAAAGGATACCTTTGCAGATGCATCTCTAAATATCTTGGTGAGCGACTCGAGTTTCGCGTCAATAAAAAGGAAGCCAAAGTCTTACCTTGAGCGACAGGCCTCCTCCAAAGCCCTCCTGGGACTAAACCCTGTCCACTTTCCAAAATCCCGAACTACAATTTTGGTGCCATCAACCGAATTGATTACGGTTCTAGTCTCTCCTGTGGTGGCGTCAACTTCGTTTTGCGGCAAAGATGCGAAAAGCCCGCCGATATCATCTTCGTCATCGTCGGCGTCGGCCAGTATCTCGGCTGCGATCCGTTCCGCTTCATCATTGATACCGTCGCCTGTCGTCTTCTCCGGAATAGGCTCTTCAGGCGGGGGCGATGAGTCTTCAATGTTACTCTGAGCCTCCTTCTTCGCTGTAGCAAACTGCTTCTCCAGGGCGATCCTTTCAGGTCTCCATTTTTGCTCGGCCACGAACTTGTCAAAGAGGACGTCGCTCTCAATCTTCTTGATTTTAGCCTCAAGTTTAGCAACGGCGAGCTCATCATCGGCATTGGCTGCTTTTAATTTCCCGGGCTCTGAACCTCCGCGTTCGAGTTCCAGGAGCTTCGCCTTTGTTGCCAAATATTGTGGCTCAAGTTCGTCCGGTTCGATATCGCTGTCGCACGTAACCACAAGTTTCTTGGTTGGAGATGGCGTCTTGGGCCCCCCTGCCTTGTTCTTGCGACCATTGCGAGATTCAAAGTGACGAGGAGTGTTTGAACGGGTCGGAACCGGCGATTCTTGGGGAGTTTCTGGCGCACATAGTTAGCACAGCATATGTTTATGATGAAAGGGGTGAAGCGAACCGGTCGTGCTTTTGGACATTGGCTTAGGCTTGCTCTCGTAGGCGGGAAGCTCCTCGAGGGGGCATTCCCGAGCCAGCCAGTCCAACGCCTCCTCAAGACCCCAAATAGAGTCCCTGCCGATAGACGATATGTTGGGAGAAATATCCAAAATGTACCGGATAACAGCTTCAACGCGCTCTTGGGGAAAATCGGCGGCGGAAAGTGTTTGCTGCAAGGTCCATAGCCTCGTAATCATCTCCTCCTCGGGGGCCATCTTGCCGGCGCCAGAACTGTCTGAGGAAGCCAAACTTGAAGCGGCAAACCGGGTTTCGGCCTGAATCAGGTTGAGGACATGGTCCATGAGCTCTTGCGGCAGCCATTTGTAGCTGTTGACCGAGTCAGCCTGGCCGCGAAGCAGGCGACGGTCAGTTTCGAGTCTCGATCGCTGGCGTTGAGCATCTCGTTTGACCTTCTGTGCATGTTTCTCGACTAGGAGCTGCAGTTCAGACTCTTCAAGCTGCTTCTCAAACTCCTCCGGGGTCAATTCCTTGTGCTTGGAAGCGGATTTGGCGTTGGCATCGCCAGGCGCGGCAGTCGAGAGTGGGGCGTTCTGCGACGATGGAGGGGCACCTTGACCCTTGGCAACGGTTGACGAGGGATTCGATTCAGGTTCAACAACCTCGGGCCTGGGCTTCGAGGCGATGGATGTGGTTGCAAAGCCTCGGGCCGGGTTTGCGGCGGGCTTCTTCTTTTTCTTTGCGCCAGCCATGGGCGGCGGGTGTAGGTGGCGGGTGTAGGTTGCGGGCGTAGGTGGCGGGGCGGGAGCGGAAAGGGCAGTGATGATGTTTGTTGTTGGAGGCAACGGTTAGCGAGCAATTTAGGTACCTTGTCTCGTGCGGTGGGCGGCGAGATACGCTGTGGGCCAACAATTGGCAGCGGAGGATGTGAGAGAGAGTGGATGCTGTGACGCAAACAGCGGGTAGGGCGCGTTGATCCGCTCAGGTCATGAATGGGGGGAGCAGGTGTTTGCTAGAACTGAGTCAGACCGAACAGCCCGGCAAGCCTTGATAAGTTTGGCCGGATGGGAGGTGGATCGAGTTATACGAGGGAATCCATGCTTCCATGTAATTAGGGGAGAGCGAGAGGGAGGGAGGGAGGCTTTGAAAGAATGGCATTGAGGTGTGCGAACCGCCAAACCATTTAGTTGGTACGGATTATCGAAGGATGAATAAGGTAGGCATGCAGGTCGGTCTTGATATCAAGTGTTGTTTTGTTTGTTTTGAATAATTGGTGGTTCATTGGTTTTATTACGTCTCAGCATTTTATGACATTTGATCATATTCATATCTACCTACTAATCCACCAAACCATTGAATAATATGTACTGTCGGCCCCCAGCCCTGAAGCTACCACTGCCGCGAGCGGTGACACGGGATCAAAATCCGCCGTGGCCGTGGGGAGCGCACCAACCGAAGCCCCGCCGTGACGGGGCAGTTTCGTGCATCTGGGACGTGGGGTCAGTCCATCTTGACATTTCACTCCATCTCGACAGAAATATCCACGACTTTTGGTGCCCAAAAACCACCATCGTCAACCACCACCAACCACCCCGCCGCGCGCCGATATTCCCCTCGGCCAACCACGCCCCAACCGACAATCTGCGCCCACCGCCAGGCGTTTGCGAGCTCTGGTAGCCCCAGATGATTCCTTCACCACAAGCTCCCGCGTCCGATCCCCAAAATGTCTGAAGTCGAGGCCAATGCCAACGGCGCCTCCGCCAACCTCGACCTGGTCGCCACCCGAAAGGCCCTGGCCTCATCCTCGACCGTCGTGCGAATAGCTCAACTCCGCACAATCGACGAGAAAATAGCCCAGAAATGTGCGCCAACCCAGAGCTTCCCCCCATCCAGCTTCCAGCTTCCCACATCCCACTAACGCTTCTCCCAAGCCCTTGACAATGCCGAGCTGCTCCGCATCATCCAGCTCCTCTTTGGCACCCACGCCTTCTATATAGATCGAGAGTCCCGCCTTGCTGCCCAGAAGTGTTTGGTTACCTTGATATCCACTGGAGTCGACCCAAAGATCCTCGCTCCCCTCGTCGCCGCCCTACGAAAGGAAACACAGAAGCATGGCATTGCTCCCACGAGCGCATTCGTCCTCGTTGAGTGGTGCGCGCTTCTCATGCAGCACCTCGCAGACAGCGCGCTCTGGGGTACCTTTGCCAAAGATATTCTGCTTGCTGATGCTGACGCCCTAGAGAAGTGCCTCCAACCCGTCTCGAGGAAGTCAGTCGCCCACTCTGCCCTAGTTGTCACGAGGAGGGGAATGCGGAAGTTGTTCTCCAATGCCGAATCTGGCGAAAAGCGCGTGTCTGAAGCTATCAATATCCTCACAGCCAAGGGTACCCAGTCTACGGCCAAGAACGCCGTCCTCTTAGGCGTCATTGCTGGCGTCTCCGCCAGAAAAGCTCCTCTCAAACCCATTGTCGAGGCATCCAAGCCCAAGTTCTATGAATTCTTCGCCAGAGAGCTCGTTAGCTCTCGCTCCGCAATCCCAGAGCACTTGGTCCTGGGCCTCGAAGATTTCTTTTCCTCCTTTGCTACCCTGGACGAGGTTTCCAAAGACCTGGTCCCTGCCCTCGAGAAGGGTCTATTGCGAGCTCCTGAGGTCATCCTTAGTGGTGTCCTCACCCCTCTAGTCAAGTCTTTACCCGACACCTTCGACCTTTCCCAAGTGCTTGACCAAAAGCTTCTCAAGCCCCTTTTGTCGAATGTCAAATCGACAAATGCCACCATTCGCACTGGGGCTATCGCAGCTTTCAGCTCCATTGTGACTCGATGCCACGATGTAGACTCGGTGGATCACATCATTAACGAGATCGCAACTCCATTAAAGGCTGGCAAGCTTTCTACTGCTGATCACCGAGTCCTGCATGCCCAGATGCTCGAAGCTACTCCACTGTCCAAGTCGAGCGCTGACACGGTTGCCAATGCGCTAGCCGTCGTCGCTAGCAAGGAGGGCAATGAAGCTGCTCTAGTAGCTGAGACCTCTGCTCTAGCCATGGCCGTTGCGTTCCTTCTCGAGAACAATTGTGAGATCGCTAAGCCTGTTTTGGAAGCATTCGCCAAGGGGCTCGCGGACAAGAAGCCTCCTTCTCGCAAGGCTTGGTTGCTGCGTGTGGGGTATATCCTCCAGACTTTCAAAGATGCCGGATCAGTATCCCCGGTGATGTCTGCCTTTGCTGAGGCTGTCGTACCTAAGATCATCACTACTTTTACAGAAGTCGTTGCAAATGCCGCTACAGCAGTTCAGAACGGCCTGATCGTCGGTGCTTATATTCTGGCTGCTGTATCCCCAGTCATCCATGACCGATTCCCAGGCTCATCCGCGGATACTGCCTTGTCCAAAGCAGCTGTTCCCAAGCACTGCCTCTCTGTGGACCCGAAGCCCTCATTCCTCCTGAACCATCGCATTTACTCCAAAGTGACGGGAGAGGAGGACCTGAGATGGTTCGCCCGAGCTCTAACTTCAATCTTTGGAGATCTGGGGCGCCAACCGGAGACTCCGACGGCCTTGGCCTGGTCAGAGGGATTTATCCATCTGATTACTTCTCATGGTGTTCCTGCCAAGGTCCAACAAGAAACATCAAAGGATTTATCCCAACTCTACGCACAGAACCCAAGCTTAACATCGGAATTTATTATCAGTGGACTTTGGGATTACCTGGATCAAGCTAAGGCCCATGACAAAGATCGAAAAGCAGATGCTCTCAACCTCATTCAAGTTGTCAGGTCCATTTGCCTTCCTTCTAAAGAGGTAGAAAAGGCCGGCTACAGCATCACCAAGGAAGATCAAGAACTCCAGGCATGTTCGCTCTTAGTGCTGGCCCGTCCAGAGTTGATCCCAAGGGCAAACTGGATTGATCTCTGCCTCCGGATGGAGCTTGACCCAGGTGACTTGGTGCGCAAGCACCAAGGCGATCTTCTCGAGGAGATTAGAAATAAAACTTCTCTTGACCAGAAGGTATGGTTCATGGTTGAGTTCAATAAGATAAAAATGACTAACGAATTCCTAACAGGCTGACGCGGTGAAGAACGCGGCATACAATGCCGCTGCCGATTTGGCTTTTGTCGCTCCCGATACTACCATTCCTCCGCTAATGGAATTAATTGGTCGTGACCTCGACGTTGAACAGCTCCAAGACATTGGCCCTGTAGAAGCCGCCATCTTCAGAACCCCAGAGGGCACTTGTTTCGTTGATGTGCTGGCAAAGAAGGCGCAACAAACAGTAGACAAAAACAAGAAGGATTATGACATCTTGAAATGGGAAGAAGAACTCAGAAGTCAGCTGGAGAAGAAGAAGGGCCAGCAGCGAAAACTCACTGCTGATGAGACTGCCAAGGTGCACGCTCAGCTAAAGAAGGAAAGCCATATCAGAAAAAATATCCGAGAGCTCGAGGCTCGGCTCCTCCGAGGCATCGGCATTATTAAAAGCCTAGCGACTGGCCCACCTACAGATGCTGCGCAATGGCTAGGCACAGCTGTTTCGCTTCTGTTGAGTGTCATGGACGCAGGTGCCAACCTGATCACAGGCGAAGCGGCACCCTTGGCCTACATTGTTTGCTCTGAGAAGGTTTCGTCTCGGTTAGGCTCCATGAGACCCTTCATCGGAGTTGCCACCCTCCGACTCCGAGGAACATCACTCCCAGATAATTACAACGAAGAGCCACTTGAGGATCTCGTCACCAGAGTGTTGTATCGCCTGAGATTTGCTGGCGAACAGCGACCATTCGACTCGGTCTCTCTAATTTACCTTCTGCCGCTAATGCTTGATGTTCTCCGCAAGGGTGGAATTGGAGACACGGCCGATGATGGAGACGCTCAGCTCGTCTTGGCTATAGAAATTCTCTCCTTCCACACCGACGTCTGCGCAGATGAAGCTGTGCCTCGGGCTGAGGTTCTGTCAGTTCTCATCAGCTCTATGCAAAGCTACGCTCAGCATTACAAGCTCATCAAGGACTGCTTTGCCGATATGTGCCGCTGCATAGCACCCAATATGAACCAGGAGGAGATGGTTGTCTTGGCAAAGGGTGCTTTAGTGCCAGAAACCCGAGTCAGGTCATCCGTTCTGCAATCAATCAGCGCCGAAGTCGACATGGCTGATCTCGGCTACTCTGATGAAATCTGGGTGGCCTCTCACGATGACGAGGAAGAAAACGTTGAGCTTGGTCAAGAGATCTGGGAAGAGAGCAGGTTCGAAGTCAGTACCGAGGTACCTTTGAGAATGCTTCCTTTCCTTCAGAGTAAGGATGGTCAGCTTCGGCGTGCTGCAGCAAGGTCCCTCGCTGAGGCCGCCAAAATGCATAACGAGACTTTGGACAGCGTCCTCGCACAGTTAAACTCAACCTACGTAGAGCTTGCAAAGCCACGAGTTCAACTGCTTGACGAATTCGGCATGCCCAAGAAGATGGACCTCTCTGATCCTTGGGAAGCCAGGCAGGGAATTGCCACAGCGTTCAAGGAACTTGCCCCCATCATCAAGACGACTCAGCTAGATGCATTCTTCGACTTCTTGATCGATTCCGGCCCATTGGGAGACAAAAACGGCGCAGTTCGAGGTGAAATGCTCGATGCGTCTATCCGGACCATTGAGATCCGCGGTAAAACCATCCTCGATCGGCTGATGAAGAAGTTCGAGCGGACTTTGGAGCAACCAGACAAGGGTAGTGAGGCGGCTGATCGTGTCAATGAGGCCGTAATCATTATGTACGGTGCTCTGGCTCGTCATCTCAACCCTGGCGACCCCAAAATCCCCATCGTTGTTGATCGGCTCGTGGCCACCTTGAGCACTCCATCGGAGACTGTGCAGTACGCCATTGCCGAATGCCTCCCTCCCCTTATTCGGGCCTGCCGTGATAAGTCATCAAAATACTTTGGACAAGTCATGGAGGAGTTGCTCTCATCAAAGAAATATGCCATCCAACGGGGTTCGGCATACGGATTGGCCGGCCTCGTGATCGGCAGGGGTATCTCGGCACTCCGGGAGTATCGCATCATCTCAACTCTGAGGGGCGCAATGGAGAATAAGAAGGAACACCACCAACGCGAGGCTGCGCTGATTGCGTATGAGCTCCTCTCAACCATGCTTGGGCGGCTCTTTGAACCCTATGTCATCCAGGTCGTTCCTCAGCTGTTGACGGGCTTCGGCGACGCCAACGCCGACGTTCGAGACGCTTGTCTTGCTGCTGCAAAGGCATGCTTCGGAAAGTTGAGTTCTTACGGTGTGAAGCAAATCATGCCGACGCTCCTGGGAGGACTCGAGGACCAGCAATGGCGCAGCAAGAAGGGTGCATGTGACCTTCTCGGTGCCATGGCGTATCTCGATCCGCAACAGCTGGCGAACAGTCTGCCTGATATTATTCCACCCCTGACTGGCGTTCTGAACGACAGTCACAAGGAGGTCAGGGGAGCCGCAAACCGAAGCTTGAAGAGATTTGGTGAAGTCATCAACAACCCTGAAATCAAGAACCTGGTGGGCATCATTCTCAAAGCTCTCAGCGACCCTACCAAGTATACAGATGAGGCTTTGGATGCCCTCATCAAGGTTCAGTTCGTGCATTATCTCGATGCACCATCCCTGGCGTTGGTCACTCGTATCTTGCAGCGCGGCTTGAGTGATCGATCCAACACAAAGCGTAAGGCAGCCCAGGTTATCGGCAGTCTGGCTCATTTGACTGAGAAGAGGGATATCATTATGCATCTACCTATTCTTGTGACTGGCCTGAAGATTGCCGTGGTTGACCCTGTACCAACTACGCGAGCAACAGCGTCCAGGGCTCTGGGTTCCTTGGTCGAGAAGCTAGGCGAAGATACTCTACCTGACCTGATCCCTGGTCTTATGCAAACTCTCAAGTCGGATACCGGAGCAGGCGACCGATTGGGATCTGCCCAGGCGCTCAGCGAGGTGCTTGCGGGATTGGGCACGACCAGACTCGAAGAGACACTTCCAACGATTCTTCAAAATGTGGAGTCCTCGAAGCCCGCCGTCCGCGAAGGTTTCATGTCCCTCTTCATCTTCCTTCCCGTATGCTTCGGAAATGGCTTTGCCAATTATCTTGGCCGGATTGTCCCACCTATTCTTGCTGGTCTTGCTGATGACATCGAGTCTATCCGAGAGACCGCTCTTCGTGCGGGACGCTTGTTGGTCAAGAACTTCGCTGTTCGAGCCGTCGATCTCCTCCTCCCAGAACTCGAGCGTGGTCTTGCGGATGATAGCTACCGTATTCGCCTAAGTTCGGTCGAGCTTGTGGGCGACCTTCTATTCAACCTCACCGGAATCAAAGCAAATGCCGATCCCGACGACGATGATGAGAACATCAAGGAAGCCGGCGCTTCCCTCAAAGAGGTTCTTGGAGAAGAAAAACGCAACAAGATTCTCTCTGCTCTTTATGTGTGTCGTTGTGACACGGCTGGAGCCGTGCGGTCAGCTGCCATTGCGGTTTGGAAGGTTCTGGTTCACAGTCCTAGAACCCTCAAGGAGCTTGTGCCAACCCTCACACAACTTCTTATCCGGCGCTTGGGAAGTTCCAACATGGAGCACAAGGTCATTGCTAGCAATGCTCTAGGAGAGCTTATCCGAAAGGCTGGTGATGGTGTACTTTCAAGCCTCCTCCCTACCCTTGAAGAAGGCTTGCAGACGTCGACCGACACGGATGCCAAGCAGGGCATCTGCCTCGCTCTTCGGGAGCTCATCGCTTCTGCCTCCCCTGAAGCATTGGAGGACCATGAGAAGACGCTCATTTCGGTTGTGCGCACCGCCCTCACAGACTCAGATGAGGATGTCCGGGAAGCTGCTGCCGAAGCCTTTGACTCTCTGCAACAAATTCTTGGCAAGCGAGCGGTTGACCAAGTGCTTCCCTTCCTGCTTAACCTGCTTCGGTCCGAAGACGAAGCAGACAATGCCCTGTCCGCTCTTCTCACTCTGCTCACAGAGACAACCCGATCGAACATTATTCTACCCAACCTCATCCCAACCCTCACGACTCCTCCCATCTCTGCTTTCGACGCCAAGGCTTTGGCCTCCTTGTCCAAGGTGGCCGGTCCTGCCATGAACAGGCGCTTGCCTAACATTGTCAACTCGCTCATGGACAATGAGATCAACTGCAAGGATGATGATCTACGCGAAGAGTTGGAGATTTCCTTCGACACGGTTATTCAGTCTATCGACGAGTATGATGGCCTGAACACTGTCATGAACGTCCTTCTGCAGCTTTTGAAACACGAAGATCACCGTCGCAGAGCAGCTACCGCACGCCATCTGGGCAACTTCTTCTCAGCGTCGAGCGTGGATTATTCAAGGTATAACCAAGACATTATCAGATCGTTACTCAATTCCTTTGACGACCCCGACATGGACGTGGTGAGGGCATCTTGGGCAGCGCTCAGCGAGTTTACCAAGAAGCTGAAGAAGGAGGTAATGGAGTCCCTCGTCATCTCTACCAGACAGACACTCCAGCGTGTCGGCGTTGCTGGTGCCAACCTGCGCGGATTCGAACTCCCGAAGGGCATCAATGCCATCCTACCAATCTTTTTGCAGGGTTTGATGAACGGCACGGCAGACCAAAGAGTTCAGGCAGCCCTAGGTATCTCGGATATCATCGACCGTACCAGCGAGGCCTCTCTGAAGCCGTTCGTCACGCAAATCACAGGTCCCCTGATCCGAGTGGTTTCAGAGCGCGCTACGGAGGTCAAGTCTGCTATCCTTCTCACCCTCAACAACCTACTCGAAAAGATGCCGACTGCCCTCAAGCCATTCCTGCCTCAGCTTCAGCGTACCTTTGCCAAGTCCTTGGCTGATACATCAAGCGAGGTCCTAAGGACAAGGGCGGCAAAGGCTTTGGGCACCTTGATCAAGTATACCCCTCGTATCGACCCTCTGGTTGCCGAGCTGGTCACTGGATCCAAGACGGTGGATCCCGGTGTCAGGACGGCCATGCTCAAGGCACTGTACGAGGTTATCAGCAAGGCAGGCGCCAACATGGGAGAGGCGTCACGGGCTTCTGTTCTGTCTTTAATTGACATGGACACCGATGAGAGAGACGAGGCCATGACGGTAACGAACGCAAAGCTCCTAGGCGCATTGATCAGCAACGTCCCCGAGGACGCCGCAAGTGGCTTGTTGAAGAACCGGGTAGTTACATCCCAGTTCAGCAACTCGTCGGTACTCGCTCTCAATGCTGTGATGGTTGAGTCCCGGGATACATTGCTACAGGGCCCCTTAGCTGATGAGCTGCCCGAACTCCTTTGCCAGGGCGTCACAAGCAAGAGTGTAAGTTAGATGTGATATTTCTGGAAATATTTATAGGTGAGCTAACTTTGATGGGTAGGTATTTGTGGCTGACAATTGCATTCTGGCCACTGGCAAGTTCCTATTGTCTCCTCCGGCCAAGAGCTTCGAATCCACCAAGGGTATCTTTGAGGCATTGGCGACGGTTATCCAACCCGGCAACCCCACAGACTCGCGTCGACTCGCTTTGGTCGTCGTGCGCACGCTGAGCCGAAACGACATGGACATGGTTCGGCCTCATCTGCCGCTACTGGCGCAGCCCATCTTTGCCAGTGTGAGAGACCCAGTGATCCCCGTCAAGTTAGCAGCCGAGGCGGCGTTTGTCGAGCTGTTCAGCGTAGCGGACGAGGAGAGCCGCATATTCGACAAGTTTATGGCCGGCCCTGGGGCAGACCTTCCGGCCAACACGAAGAGGAGCATGGGAGACTACTTCAAGCGAGTGGCGGTGAGACTAGGTAACCAGGCACGCGAAAGGCGTGATGCAGAGGGAGGCCAAGGTGGATTAGGCCTTTCCAACGATGAAGCGGAGGACGAACGAGAGATCTGGAGCGTGGGAAAAGTGGATGTTGGAACCGATGTGTTTGCTTGAACGCTTGGACGATCAAGAATGATGGCACTTGTGTAGACATGTTCCAACATTGTGGTTTTACTAGGTAAACATACCAAAAGGAAATGACATTTATTATGAGTTGCTTGCTTCGGGCGGACCACCAGCCGTTGTGTAAATGTGTGGTGTTGTTAGCCTGGCCCAAAGCGCCACACATCGAACACTCCCAGCTACCAGCTCTCTACGCAATGGACAGTGTATCAATGCGTAGCTCGGTGATGCAGAAGGAAAATTAGTCGGAAGGGTCCCGCTCGCTTCGAGGTGCAAGTCAAGGGCCGAAGATACCTTAGGGCAATGATCCATGGTTGTTAAGTAACCCAGGGCAAAGACAAAAACGGGGAGGGTACGTACCTCAGTGACCCAATCCGAATGGTGGGGTTCGATGGAGGGAAAGAGGTTGTGTGGCTCAATAGGGTCACGTGAAGTCACGGCGGTGACTCCATCGCCCTCGCTTAGGGCAGCCCATAGGTCCTAGTGCACGTGAAACCCACAAACCCCGAGACGAATGTGCGTGACCGAGAAATTCTAGCCTCGCAAACCCCTCTCAGACTTCATCCATCATCCATCGAGGACCGGCCATCACCACAAACGATAATCAAGATGTAAGTCACCCGAGACGACCCACGAGCAAGCGATACAACATCCCCGTGCTGGACGCAATGAGATTGATGGTCCTGCCATCGATTCGGAGCCGGGGAGCACGTCGTTGATAAGAGAGAGCTGGTGGCTAACGGTCATCTTTTTTCTCGCTATACAGGGTCAATCTGCGAACTCAGAAGCGTCTCGCCTCAGCCGTCATTGGCTGTGGTGAGCGCAAGATCTGGCTCGACCCCAACGAGGCCAGCGAGATCTCCAACGCCAACTCGCGCCAGACGATCCGAAAGCTCATCGCCGATGGTCTCATCATCCGAAAGCCCGTGACCCAGCACTCCCGATCTCGTGCCCGCGAGCTCAACCTTGCCCGAAGGGAGGGACGACACCGTGGCCAGGGTAAGCGCAAGGGTACTGCCGATGCTCGTATGCCCAGCCAGGTTCTCTGGATGCGCCGCCTCCGAGTCCTCCGCCGTCTCCTCGTCAAGTACCGTGCCAGCGGCAAGATCGACAAGCACCTCTACCACGAGCTGTACCACAGCAGCAAGGGTAACACCTTCAAGCACAAGCGTGCCCTCGTTGAGCACGTACGTGATATCACTCACAAGCCAGATGGCCTTGACAGACTAGGGCGCCTGCTGACATGGAAACGAACAGATCCACCGAGCCAAGGCCGAGAAGCAGCGCGAGCGTGCCCTCCAGGAGGAGATGGACGCCAAGCGTGCCAAGAACAAGGCTGCCCGCGAGCGCAAGCAGGAGAGAGTGACGGCGAAGCGAAATGCTCTCCTTCAGGAGGAGTAGACCACGTTGACGACGATGACATTTCGGTCTTGAGAGGAGGCTGCATTCGGAGTCTACGGGTTGGGTCTTTTTTTACGCCCTTCTGGTTTCTACAGTCGTACCGGCGGGGGTTCTGGCATGTAGCATTCAAAAATGGAATCGATGATGCTCGGATACAGGGTTATTTTCCCAAATGCAAGCCATTGTGTGTGTATGTGTGTATTTGTGAGGGACAGAAGAGCGTCCACTCGTTGCCTGCTTGCACATTGTACACTACTCGGGGCAACCTTGCATTACAACTACCAGGCTGCTTGGATGGACAAAGGTAGCATATCGTCCAAGGTCCTCGCTCCAAGGCTTGTGTCAATCTTTCCCCTCATCGATTTCGATATCTACAACTTCCGATGCTGGGTGTAAATATGACTTGCCTGGGACGAGGTGCATGAATCACCAGATAGCGTCATGACATGGAGAAAAAAAAGTTTAAAAAGTTGTCGTCCTTCTTTGTGATGTGGATGCCCTGCCAGCACGCAGTCGGAACCAGCAAAGCAACCAAGATGTTAATTACAGTGTGTACTTGGGTGAATTATCCTGAATATAGAGCTGCTGTCGTTTGAGCGGTCGTCGGATCGTATGAATAAATGTACGGATAGTGGGAGGGCGAACAGGGATGGTCAGATGAGGGCTGTGGCGCATGGACTGACTGGCATCCCTGGGAGATCCAAGAGCTCCAGGGCTCCGGAGGTGCTGAATTGGTGCACGGGATTGTACTTAGTCCAACCCCAAAAGGGCTCCACTGAAGCGAGGAGTCCAGGCTATCTCTCAGCCTTCCCCTCCCCGCCAGTGCTACCGCGCCCACTAATTGACAATTGGACCTAGAACTCATCCACCTTGATCTCCGCCAACCATCTCCTCCTCCTCCGCTAACTTAGTCCGCCCACCCATCTCGTCCGTCAATGACGTCCTGAGTGAGCTGGTCCTGCTGCACGCACAACTGTCGCCTCTCCATTGCTTCGCTTCCGTCGTTTTCCTCGTTGTGATACCCTTTCTTCGTCTCCTTCGTTCCCCTAACCGCCGTATTCCCCGCTGCTCCCCTCCGTCAGTCCGGCCCATCCTCTCCACACCACGCCATGTCTCTCGCTGGCGTGCGAGGCACCTCGCGTGTGCTGCGCGGCCTTGCGAGGCCCGTTGCCGTCACCACCACGTGCGCGCGGGCCTCGTCCTCTTTGAGCCTCGATGGTCAGCAACAGGTCCGTTGTTGTCCAATTGATTCCAGTGCTGTCTTGTCCCTGTGAATCCCAGTCCTGACGTCGTCATTTTCTCTGTAGTTGCTCTCAGCCCACCTCGACAAGGCTGACCCCGCCGTCTTCGACATCATCGAAAAGGTCCGTCTTGGAGCCCCCCTCGAGCTCACCCACTCAGTAGCCGGGATCTGTGTCTGACCTCTGGTATAGGAGAAAAATCGCCAGAAACATTTCATCAACCTGATTCCCTCCGAAAACTTTACCTCCCAGGCTGTTCTAGATGCGCTTGGCAGTGTAATGCAGAGTGAGCCCGTAACCAGACATCAACCCACACAGCAACGGCTAACCTTTCCCTCAACCAGACAAGTACTCGGAGGGTTATCCAGGTGCCCGTTACTACGGCGGAAATGAGTTCATCGATCAAGCCGAGCTTCTCTGCCAACATCGCGCCCTCGAGGCCTTCAGCCTTGACTCCAAGGCCTGGGGCGTCAATGTCCAAGGTCAGTAGCCTTCCCACGCTTGCACGTCGCTGCTTGTCTATACACCCCCCATTCACTCAACGTAAGTGGCTAACGTAATACACCAGCTCTCTCCGGTGCCCCCGCGAACCTCTACGTCTACTCTGCCTTGTTGAACACCCACGACCGGCTAATGGGCCTCGACCTACCCCACGGCGGTCATCTTTCGCACGGATATCAGACCCCAACCAAGAAGATATCAGCAATCTCCAAATACTTCGAGACGGTGCCCTACCGCCTAGACGAGTCTACCGGTTACATCGACTACAATAAGCTCGAGGAGATGGCCACCATCTACAGGCCAAAGATCATCGTCGCCGGCGCCAGTGCCTACAGTCGCCTTATCGACTATCAACGCATGCGAGAAATTTGCGACAAGGTCAATGCCTACCTCCTTGCAGACATTGCCCATATATCAGGCATGGTGGCCGCCAAGGTCCTTCCTGGCCCCTTTGCCTTTGCCGACATCGTCACAACCACAAGCCACAAGAGCTTACGAGGTCCCCGGGGGGCCATGATCTTCTACCGAAAAGGCGTCCGGAAACAAAACCCCAAGACGAAAGAGGATGAACTCTACAACCTCGAGGGGCCAATCAATAGCTCCGTCTTCCCCGGCCACCAGGGCGGTCCTCACAACCACACTATCACTGCCCTCGCTGTTGCGTTGAAACAAACCCAAAGCCCTGATTTCCACGCCTATCAATCCAAGGTTCTAGCCAATGCAAAGGCATTTGCTAAAAGGCTGAGCGAGCCCAAGGGCAAGGGCGGCCTCGGATATCAGCTCGTCAGCGGTGGCACTGACAACCATCTAGTCTTGGCCGACCTCAAACCACAAGGCATTGATGGAAGCCGAGTTGAGCGTGTGCTAGAGCTGGTCGGGGTCGCTGCGAACAAGAACACCGTCCCTGGAGACCGCTCGGCCCTTGTCCCTGGTGGTCTTCGCATGGGAACTCCAGCTATGACCACCAGAGGCTTTAACGAGGACGACTTTGTCCGCGTCGCGGATGTCGTAGACCGGGCCGTGACCATTACCACCCGTATCGACAAGGCTGCTCGGAAAGCGGCGGAGGAGAAGGGCGAGAAGAACCCCGGCAGGCTCAAGCTATTTATGGAGCATCTCGGTAACGGCGAGTCGGAGCCAGAGATTGTACAGCTGAGGAGCGAGGTCGAGGACTGGGTTGGCACATACCCTTTGCCGTGGGATACTTCACGTTGAGGCGTATTGTGAGCTCGATTCATTTCGACGGAACAATGAGAACGATAAGCCTGCGAGCAGGCCATCGAATTATGTGATTAATTGAGCCTAGGGTATGGGGAGCTGCGGGATATGAAGGCCCCATCAGGATCCCCTCCAATGGTTTGCCTTTGATATATATGATCTTGGCTTGGTTGTAAATGAAGGAAGGTCGCAGTTTACCGCACAATTCCCCATGAAAAATAGCCCCGGGTCGTTTACATGTATATTTGCTTATTGTATTTAAGCGCCAATCCCATTCATTGCCAAAAAGCCGATCAGACTCAATCATGGTATATGATCATCTAGTCGGCAGTGGTATCGCTAATGCGCCCAAGGCAAATAACCCAACAGACATCGTAAATGCAACAGATCCACCATCAACCGCTACTCGCTGTCTGCTCAGTGGACTGGGTCTTCGGCTCCTTTCCCAAGATCTTGCATGTACTTGGCCTCTCCACCAGCTTTTCGTAGTATTTCTTCAGGCTGCGAAGGCTGTCTAAGACCTCGATCCCCGACTTCTCACACAGGGCGTGCAGGACTGGCCAAACAACATAGTCTACCAGCGACAGCTCCAGACCAGCGAGGAAACCCTCTTCAACTTCGTCGGCGAAATTGTCCCATATGGAAAGTTCTTGCATCAGGGGTTTTAGATCAACCATATCTATACTCTGTTTATCTGAGCTTTCATCGTCTGAAAGTGGGCGGGAAAACGAGTGCCACTTGTCCAGCAAGCCAAGGCCTTGTTGGAAGCGGGTGAACTGGGTTGCCAGTTCGGTGGCACTCCGTGGGGCGGTTCCGGGTTTGCTGGCGCCATAGCGTGCATCGAGGTACAACATGATTGCGAGGTCACCTTGGACAACTGACGAGTCCTTGTCGACGAATTTGATTGAGGGGCCAGGTGAGTTGACAGTTCCTTTTGCATAGTTGATGCCAAACTCGGCCATCATGAGGGCGATGCGGTTGTTGACGAGAGTATCATTAGAAAAGAAGAGACGAGGTGCGTTGCTCATATGCAGCACGTCGAAACCCTTGCCGTAATGGGCGTCCCAGTCAAACTCGGTTGCATGATTCTCCGTGCCAAATGCCTTGAGCATCTCGACCGCCTCGGGGGTCTGGCCATTGATAACGGCATGGCCCTCCTCACGGGTCTTGCCAGTGGCACCCTGGCCCCAGATGAGGGACCCATCGCGATCTAGGAAGGTTCCTATCTGGCGGAAGGTTAGAGAGATGCGGCCGGTGTCGTACGCCAGCTCAGCGGCCGACTTTTCCTTCGAGGAACGCTTGTCTTGGCGTATGGCGTGCAGCCACTTCATGTTGCTCTTCAGTCCCAGTCGACACAGAGAGTTATGTGGCAGTTGAGCACGCTGGCTCTGGCGCTTCGACTCGGGTGCTGGAGGGTCGGTCCTTGAGGGGTCCTTATCGAGCCTCTTGGTCCTAAATACCATGGTGCGCTCGGCGCCGAGACTGACATTGGCAATGTATGAGCCCTTGACGATATCCAGGGTTTTGTCGCTATGTTCAGAAATGTAGTCGGTGCCATCGCGGTAAAACTGTATCAGGACATGATTCAGTGGGTGACCAAGGTGCTTCTCCGTAGCGGTTTTGATGGCAAGGACGGTCGGAGAGAATGGCATCAGTGGAGGAGACGCGTCGCTTGGATGGCGGTAGACTGGCATGCTGCCGTCGTCTGCAACCTGGCCCTGGACGGCGACCAGTCGTGGAACTTCGCCGCCCTGATGCATCATGTGGCGCCATTGGACTTCGTCTTTCAACTTGGAAAAGAAGCTGTCGGCCAGAGTATCTGGCAGGACATCCTTGATGATATGGGTGTCGCCCTCACAAAGACCCTTTTGCAGGAAATGGCCGTCGTCGGGTTGTGGTTCAACTTTAGTTGCGTCCATGTCCGCTTTCTCTATGGAGGGAGACTCTAGAGTTGGGTTTGGTGTAGATGCTGGTGTAGGGCCAGGATTTGGACTTGATGTAGATTCTGGAGTTGGCGCCTTGTCTTTACAGGGAGATTGGTGAGACGAGTGCTCTTCATTGTGCTCGGAAACATGGACGGCGACGGCGACGGCATCTTTAATAACTGCGGCATCCTTAACGACAACAGCAGCATCGCCGGTATTCAAGGTCTGTGCTGCGTCTGTGGCTTTTGACGTGTCGGTGCCAGTGTCTTCTTCGGTCTTCGATTCTGCCTCAAGGGCGGGCTCATGACTCTCAACCTCCTCTGGTGGCTTGGTGGTAGACGCAACTGTGCATGTCGTCGACGCCTTTGACTGGGGCTGAGTCGCCTTGTTAGCGGGGCTGGGCGAATCCGAAGCCAGTCGCAGGCCTGTCATATTCTTGACAATTTCAGGCGTCAGACTCTTCTTGCGACGGGCGTCTTGGTCTGCGCTTGCGCCTCGCGGAGGTTCTAGGCGCTTCGATGACGGCCTTCCGTCCGACTTGTCTGACTCCTTTGCAGCCTTGGATCCGGGCTGCATAGTTTCCATGACCTCCTCGTAAGACGCAATCTCACACCCCGTGAGCTCAATCAGCGAATTGATGGCCTTGGCCTGCCTTACTTCGCTGCGGAACCCAGAGCAGTCGTGGACAACGGTGATGGCCATGCCGTGGCCTGCAGCATCCAGCGCGGTTGCATAGACGCCCACGTTGGTGAGGGAGCCGCAGATGAAGACTTCCATGACCATCTTGGCACGGAGGACACGCAGCAGCTGTGTCGATTGAAAGGCCGAGTAGTGCGTCTTGTTGAGTCTCAAATCCGTCTTCTGGGACGCTTCGTCGATGGCCGGGGCCATGTCGCAACCCGGAGACCCGGGCTTGACGCACGCGGGCTCCTCGTGGCTAAGAAAGGCCTCCGGGTCCGGTGGACCAGGTTCCTCAACAATCTCAATCTGCGGCACCTTACGCCGGCCCCGGGATGACGGCCGGACCTGGGGAGGACTGTTGTCGGTGGCGATAATCATTTCCGTGTCCGCAGGCTGGGGCGTGTCAAACTGTGACTGAACCCAGACGACGTCGCCGACAGCCCTAAAGGCGGTTGCCAGCTTGGCCGCACGGTCGACGAAGCCATCTGGCTCCAGCACCGGCAGAGCACCATCCTTTGAGATGAAGTCGTTCTGAAAGTCGACTCCAATAAAGGCCTTGCGGGTGGTGAGCTGGGGAAGAGCGGCGTGGTCAAAGGGAAACATGGTGACGTAGAAGGGGAGGTCAACAGGTTCAAATGGGCATCGGGGCCTTCTGTGAGATGAGAGGCTTAATCAGCAAGCGCCTTAGGGCTGAGAATGAGCTACGCTGAGATCGTGGTTGGGCAAAAATGCATCGTGATGCAGATCAGAGTCTGCGGTGTGCGTGTGTGCGCGCGTGTAGGGTAGACGGGGAATTCCGTGGATATTTGATGCGGAGGCGAACCGAAACTGGTGTGTCTATTGCAGCCAAATACTGTTGAAGAGTGTAGCGCTCAAGGTACTATTCTCAGGGCCTAGTGAGGACGGGAGCATAATAAAGACAAAGGCGGTGGGCCCAGATGGAGGGGAGAGGAGAGGAGGGGAAAGGAAGGGAGAGGAGGCCAGATGAGATCAACAAGCGTGACGGTGGGAAATAAAGAGAGGCAGAGCGTGTACTCAGAGTGGCTTCATGGGCTTCCCAAACTTGGGGCTGTTCTGCTGTGGGGAGACGAGGGCCAACAGCGAAGCCTATTCCCTGCAAATAGTTACATAGGTACACATGCTTCGTGCCCGATGAGGGCGTATTGACCCGTCTATATAGGCCGAGCACGTATATTCTCAGGGTATCGACTAGGTCTAGGTGACGCCTCATCACCATCCTTCGCCGGCGGCAGCATGCAGGAGAGCATGCCGACGCAGGACGACTGGTTGGATGTGATGCTAATGGTGGATCCTATGATTTCTCACACGCCGCCATGAACGGAGGTATGCCGCCCCCCCCCCCGAACGAGACCACGGAATTACAGATACGGGAGCAAGGTTCAGATGGGAAGCGAGTATGGTGGCGGCGTCAAAGCCACGGGAGCACCGTACTACTGCTCTAGACTATCGATGAGAAGGCCCATCTGTTCCATTTCAGGCCTGGCGACTCCGCAGTCACAGCTTTCGAAAGCATGTGATGAACTCACTCCGCAGTCTGCTGCCAGACGCCTCCAGATTGCAGTGACATATGCACACTAACTTGCCCTAATCGACGATATTCATTTCGGTAGTTGGGCATTGGGGCTGGAATTGCGACCAGGGCCGATGTTTCTCATTCGCCACAAGGTGCAAGGCCCAACCAACAACACCTTGGCTGTCTCGCCTCGGCGGTCCGGTTCCTGGCTAATAGTCAAGGCAGCATGGGAGTCACCGCTTTTTAGCCTGCTTCATGTTCAGGAGGGGACATTCAACCTCTGCTTCAGCCTGGCTATAACGACGGTACATGCACGTAGTAGGTAGTATTATGTTCAGTATTTATTTATTTGCCTGCCGGGATGTTGCTGACGATAGCTCGAGCTAGTTAGATCTGGTCGGCAGGACCTTCCCGTAACGCCAGGGGGTAAATTCTTTTGGATTCGGATTTGGCCTAGGGGTCTCCCCTCCCTCCTCCTTTCCCCATAGCCTATCGCAAACGAAAGCGCATGCAGTTGGTGGTACGTAGCAATTTCCTCCCTGCAGCATTGTCGATCATTTGATCTAGACTGGTCCGATCAATCTTTCTCTCACTAAACTTTGCTGATCTGTTGCAGATCACTCCGCCCTACCCTGAACCTCTGGTGCACATACGCGATAAGTCCCTTCCCTTTGGCACAAAGCTATTATGGGCTCGTGACTGTTCATACATGCGGGGTGATTATGTCTTAGCAATTCCATACTTCTTCAAGAACATATCTGGTGCTGATTGTTACATGTTTCTGAATCGCAAGTCTAATCTTTGGACGTTTTTTGGTATCTCCACAAGTGAAGACTTGCGGACGCTTTCCAAATGATCGCTGAACTACAAGTGAAAGGAGCGCCAATCCATGAACATCTACTACCCCGGGCATCAGCCGAAGTATAAATAGAGTACATCATTAATGTACGTGTTTAAAAATGACGTGTTTATGATGTTTTTTCATGTAGGACATTTTCCTGGCGAGGACCATACCCCAACCGACGAATACTTTGACACACTCATAGTGTACTCCAGGCAGCCAATAACTAATCAACCAAGCGACAATATCGACCCGTAATATCCGAGGTGATAAACACTACAATATGGAGATGTCATATTGCGTGCCATCGCATCGCTTTATGGATTAAACTTATTGAACAACAAGTGCGTCAGTGGAGCCGAAAGGCGCTGGTCCGCCCAAGCCCACTAGCCGAGGTTTTCCCACGTCATGCAACTTGACGCGCGCACTCGTCCTTCGCCATCAAGCAGCGTCAAGCAACCACATCTCACATCGCGATGCCATCTTGAAATCGCAACTCAACAGGCGCCACAGTGGACAAAACCCCGGATGCAGCTCCGTTGTCCCAGAACGACCACACTCGGATCCACACAACCCCCGCCAACACATCATTACCATGACGCCCAAACGAAGCCTCTCTCCAGCTGAGGATGTGCAGCCGAATCCGAAGCGCTCGCGGGTGGACTTTGACGTTTCGGAGATGGAAGATTTATTAGACGATGATTCAAGGGCAATCGAGTCGCTCGCTCCGACGCAACAATTCCAAGCTAGGTCCGGCATCCAGCGTTCAATCGCCATGGTCCTGAAGCACGACGGGTTCGAGTCCGCGAGTCCCGAAGCGCTGGAGAGCTTTACCGGGATGGTGGAAACATGTGAGTTCATGTTTGGCATTCTATTGACTGGCTAGTCTTTGACAATTTCATCATTCTAGACCTCGAAGGTATGATATCGGAAGCCAAAACTCTCGCTCTCGCTGCTCGCCGCGAACACCCCATTCCTTCCGATTTTGAACACATGCTACGGCGACATAACATCCGTCCATCTTCTCTGAAGCCCCATCTAAAGCACCCCATTCCGAAGGCGGACCTTACTCCCAAGTATGCCGATGCTTATCTGGAGGACGAGGACGCGTATACCACGCTGCCCCTCCTGGGCGAGGAACTCAGTGGACAGGCCGACAAGGACGAAAAGGAATTCATCCCGACATCGTTCCCCGACTTCCCTAGCAAGCACACATACAAGTTCACACCACAGGAGGACACCAATACCCGAGATTCCAAGAAGATCCGCGAGGAGGCTGCAAGGACCGCACAGCAGGGTGAAGATGCTCTCCGACGGCTAGTTCGAGCCTCTAAAATGCGCAAACAGAAGGAGGCTAAATTATTGGTTGAGCGCGACATCCATGGCAAGGAACGCTTCCGTCTATGGGAGTCAACCATGAAGCGCTTCATGGGCGTCGAGGGCCGAGGCGAGCACACCGACCTAGTGGAGATTGCAGACCACAGCATGATTGTCAATGGCGACATTCTCTTCCTGCGCAAAGAAGTCCCGCGCCTGGGCAAGAGATCCGCTGTTCTGGCGGGCAAGAAGTCCTTATGAGAGACTCCGTATCGTGGCAGGGATATCGGGACCAGCGGGACTGACCAACGACAAGTTTTGGATTTGGCGAAACTAAAGAACTGCCTTGTCGTTGGAAGCTAATCAATCTCATTACCAAGGAGAATCTGGGCATTGGGTTATTCGAGCTTAAGTTGCGATGTTTGGTAATGGCACAGCACCGGAGGGGGCAGAGAACACCATTCATGATACCCATGGAAATAGGCAATTGGGACTTACCCGGCGCATGGAGTATGGGCGTTTGTTTTTCAGCATGTTACCTCAGTAGACAAGGTCAGGACATGAGCATTACTTAAATGCAGAACTATTTGGCGTTTAGATCACAGGCAGGAGAGGCAAGGCGCGTGACGTTGTGGCATCTTCCTTGAATAAGCTCTGACTGGCTGCGGGCAGGCTCCTCAAATTCACCAACCTGCGTGAAGTTTAGAACTTACCTTTCTACCTATCCAAAGGCAGATGCATCTTCCTAGTACCTAACCACTTGGCTTCTCTCTCGCAACTCGGGAGGCTGAGGCGGAGTAACAAACGTACCCACTCACTATTTTCTGTGTGGCTGGTTCGCACGAGGCTGAGGAACCCGGAATAACTGGCTGGTACGTACCTCGCCTCTCACGAAAGCGGAGCCTAGATGCGAGGCCCTAATTTTTAACCCACACAAAAAATCCCAATTTCTATCGGCGAAGCTTCCAAGATCCGACCGGGCCTAGGTTTTGCAGGACAGCCCTTGACTCTAATATTTTCCTTTCCTCACGCACCTTGAACCTCTGCATCACCTCGTCACCGTTGCAATGGCCGAACAATTGATCCTCAAGGGCACTCTCGAGGGCCACGTACGTTGACCCCTTCCTTCCGTCTCGTCGCCGTCGGCGGGGGCATGGGCGTGCTCATGGGCACGTCGATGCCCCCCTCACGCGCACCGAAATGGAATCCTGATCTTGTGGACTGGATGCTGACGAATGTTTGCAGAATGGCTGGGTCACCAGCCTGGCCACCTCGATGGAGAAGTACGTCGAGCACCGCCATGCCTCGGTTCGAAATACATCGTGAACTCACTGACTGACTCACTGTAGCCCCAACATGCTCCTCTCTGCCAGCCGAGACAAGACTCTGATCATCTGGAACCTCACCCGCGATGAGACCCAGTACGGCTACCCCAAGCGATCGCTCAAGGGTCACTCCCACATCGTCTCCGACTGTGTACGTTTTCCCCAGCGCCCTGGGCGTGGAACAGGACGAATTTGGAAGAGAACAAGCGCTGATATGTTTTTGCTGGATACAGGTCATCTCCTCTGATGGTGCCTACGCTCTGTCCGCTTCTTGGGACAAGACCCTGCGCCTCTGGGAGCTCGCCACTGGCACCACCACTCGACGATTTGTCGGCCACACCAACGACGTCCTCTCCGTCTCCTTCTCTGCCGACAACCGACAGATCGTCTCTGGCTCTCGCGACCGAACAATCAAGCTGTGGAACACCCTCGGTGACTGCAAGTACACCATCAGCGAGAAGGGCCACACCGAGTGGGTCTCTTGCGTCCGATTCAGTCCCAACCCCCAGAACCCCGTCATTGTCTCCAGCGGCTGGGACAAGCTCGTCAAGGTATGTAAAACACGGAGCAATCCAAAACCAAATATTCGCTCCCCAGCCCTGTATGATGTTTGCAACCCAAGTATTTGCTACTTCAGAGCCTGTTTTGACAGGCCATGAGACCACCATTCACCATTGCCCTGACTCAGACCCCAATCACACATTCATTTCCCCAAAACATACTGTATCGTGGCAAACGATCTAACTGGAAATCTATAGGTTTGGGAGCTCTCGACTTGCAAGCTCCAGACTGACCACATCGGTCACACCGGATACATCAACACTGTCACCATCTCCCCTGACGGTTCTCTCTGCGCCTCCGGTGGCAAGGACGGTACCACCATGCTCTGGGATCTCAACGAGTCCAAGCACCTCTACTCCCTCAACGCCAACGATGAGATCCACGCTCTCGTCTTCTCCCCCAACCGATACTGGCTTTGCGCTGCTACTGCCAGCAGCATCATCATCTTCGACCTCGAGAAGAAGAGCAAGGTTGACGAGCTCAAGCCTGAGTTCACCTCTGTCGGCAAGAAGAGCCGGGAGCCCGAGTGTGTCAGCTTGGCCTGGTCCGCTGATGGCCAGACTCTGTTCGCTGGTTACACTGACAACGTCATCCGTGCCTGGGGTGTTATGTCCAGGGCGTAAATGCTCTCCACCTAAAAAAAAAGGTAGTGGTGACGGGGATGAAGGCGAGCGGATGAAGGTAGATCATTGGTGGGGCGTCAAATGGCTGGCTTCCTCGTTTGGTCTTTATTGATGCAAAGGAAGGGGGGGCGACTGAGATCTGACGAGGGCATGACGCATTTGCTGGCTAAGGCAGCCCCTGAAGGCACCGGGCATCATCCTTTTGTTCTCCAATAAAGAACTCGAGCTTTAAAATCCCGGCGGCGCTTCCGTGATCTGTTGTACCTGTCCCGTCCTTGCGTCCGTATCCAGGCATGACTGCATGTGAACGTAGTTTTTGTGATCTACACCCACTCTCATCAAGGGCAGTCATCTCTCTCTCAGACGGAACTGGCCGAGGTATCATGCCCCGGCAGCTACCGTGGCGCTTACGAATATTCCATCTCAAGGTATATAGTGTTTCTGGAAGGCCTCAGTCATTGGGCTTGTTTTTGGACAAGTCGGACGTGTCGCTGAGATTATATTAAGCAAAGACACAAGAGGAGGGCATCCTGGAGACATTCCCCTTTTTGTGAGGTGGAAATGGACTATTTGCGATCCATGGTTGAATCTCAAGCAGGACAGCTTTACTTTTGATGAACAACTTATCTTTCTCCAAGATCAAATTCTATCGTTGTATGTGCACGTCTAGAAATGCAGGCTTTTTTAAGCTGACGTGAGAGCGAAGCTGCTTTGCTTACTGAGCCAAAGTCTGTCCGTCCCAGTGTTGCGGTCAAACTTTTAAAAGAGTCATCCCAGTGAATATTGTACATGTGCGTCCTAGTTGTCGACTGACAACTGGCCCCCCTTCCACCGACCACCTGGTGCCACTTTGCTAAAACCGCGTTCATCCCGGTGGCTAAATGCCAGTCTTCCTCGCTACTGCCCACAAAAACTTGGCGTCTTTCTCATGCCTTTACATGAAAGGTGGCAGAGAGAATGGGTACCCACCATTCTTAATTCGGAAGACGCTGAGAAGGAAGCTGTAAACGAGAAAGAGGACACCGCCCCAAGCAATCACGGCGACTTGCTGCGTCTTCGAATCGGCGATACGAGGTACCTTGACTGCTAGTGAGATGGCACAGAAGGATAGGATACCATCTGGAAAAATGTTAGCCAAAGAGGGTGAGAAAGGAACCGGAGAATGCCGTACAAAGAGCAGCTACGATCTGCGTCTCCAAGCCGAACTGGCTCTGGAAGCCAGAGGCAACGTAGCTCACCCCACCACGTCCGTCGCCAGCGACATAGGGCACCTTGCGAATGTGGTTAAACATGTGTCCACTGGTGAAGAGAAGGATCGAGATCAGGCTGATGGAAGCCCAGATGTTGCGGTTCTGAATAATGGGCAGAACATAGGGTGACGCGGTCACCAGGGCAGTGCCGAGGCCGAGGACAATGGTGGTGGTGGTGATCCATCGCATCCAGTTGATCGGGCGCCTGACGGGTGGATGGGGTCGGTCGGGGAGGTGACGGGAGACCCAGGCATGGATCTGTTCGGCGGTAGGAGGGCTAATCATGGTTAGAGTCCCTGGTTGTGCGAGATGGGGTTGCTTTGGCACTCACCCGCTGGTAAAGTCAAATCGAAGGGGTTCTTGCACAGCGACGGCGTGGGGCCCGGCCGTCGGCTGGAAGAATAGGAGGACTGGGGCAGTTTGGAGGCCGAGCTGTGCAATGTCAGGACTACTTGTTTATGCACCAAAGCCGGTCCATCCTAGCTTCATGAAACTTACCGACAAGAATACATCTCTGCCATCAGTGAAATCCAAAGTCCCAAATATCATTCGCGAATCTCCGGACTTGTCGCCCTTGGACCAGCTCTTGCTGATGAGATCCCATTCCGGTTGGAACTCACGGCATAGCTGGCATCCGAACCTATTGTCTAAGGCAGTCAAAAGCACAGCGACGCTGTAATCGCGCGGCGCGCCGGTCAAGGACTTGTACGACGCATCGTTGAGCTTCACGGGCGAGGTGCTCTGCGCCTTGGCGTGGAATTCATCGAATCGTTCGGTGGCCGACTTCTTGGAGGCTACAGCGCCTGCGGTGAGCAGGACCAAAGAAAAGAGTGACGAGAAGATACGCATCGTAAGAGAGCACGAGCTGGTTGTGGGTTGGTAAAAGAGTAAGGGAAGTTGGCCAATTGGCCTCCAAGTTACTGCGTTGAGGTTGCCGGGAGCTAGTAATGGAGCTTCGCGTAAAGCTGAGGTGGCCTCTGAATCTGGAAACGGCCACCTTGACTTACCTAAGCTTACCGCTAGGTCCGGAGGAGGCGTCATCGAGGATGGGATCTGTCACGTGATAACAAAGGGTAGCTATGAGCGGCGCTAACCCAAATCCAGCACCATGTTTACTTCGAGCCAAAACACGGCTACTCTTGGTCCTTTGACATTCGTCCCACCTCATCCTCTTATGCGGCAGCATCAACGGACCCCGCCCTGGCACTCTCGATTATTCGTCGAGCCCACATCATCTTATATTGTTCCTCTGGGAGCTGGATCTTGGACTACTCTATTTACTCTTCTCAAATCTGGGTAGCATCTGACGACATGGGTGCGAAATCGGTCGAGGTAGGGGCATCTGATTTCCAACGGCAAGATGGTTACCACGGCCATGCTAATTTGACTCGCATAGCGTATGGCTCGGATTAGCGACCTCTCAATGGCCCACCAAGACAACATTCACCAGATTGATCTGGTCAACCGAGACGAGGAGGCCCGTCGCCTCAAGCTACGCCTCCTGTCTTTGCGGGATGAGAATGCCCTGTTGAAGGACAAAGTGTCTCAAAGAGACTCTCGTCTCAAACTCCTGGTCAGACAAGGAGATGATGTGCAGGCTGAGCTGGAAGAAGCAAGGGAGAACGCCAAGCTCCAGGATGCCAGGCTCAAGAAACAAACCAACGAATTGACAGCCCTCAAGGTAAACCAAGAGATGTCTGGCCACAATTGATAGACTAACTGGTAATCAGACCGAACTTGGCTCGCTAAATGGGTCCATGCAAGACTCCAGCAAAACCCTCCAGGAAAAGTTTGCCCTCGACCGAGAACTGAACCGAATTCGACCCGAGATCGAACATCTGAAATCACAACTCGCAAGTCACCAGGCAGTAGTTGCCGAGAAGCAAGACCTTCAGAGACAACTGAACTCCCTCGAAGTTGAACTGCAAAACGAAAAGCGATCCAAACAACGCCTCCAACAGAAGAGCGATACTGATGCTAGCGAGGATTGGAAGACACGCTTAGCGGCAATTGAGAAGAAGCACGCATCTGAGAGGAAGGAATGGGAAAAGACCAAGAAAGAGCATGAGCGAGAACTTCGAGAGGCTCAGGGCCAAAGCGAACGGCTGGAGGAACGAGTGTCAACGGTCAAATCAAAGTTGAAGAGTGTGCAGTCCGAGCTGAAGGATGCTCGAGACGAGCTTGAAAGGAGTCGCGCGGAACTCGAAGCCATGCGGAAGGCATCTCGAAAGGCCAATGACCAGCCCAAGAAGACAGTCACCATGAAGACACAGCCTGCCCGCAAGCGCCGAGTCAATGAGCTGAGTATGGAAGATATTAGCATCGGGACGCCCGGCCCGGACGAGGCTACGCTCAAGCGTCCGTTGAAGAAGCGTGCAGCCGAGCTCGCTTTGGTCGGAGAGAAGTCAACATTTTCCATCACGCCGTTCCTGAGCAGGACCAAGAACCTTCCTGATGAGTCCATGGACCTGCCGTCTCCGACGAATAAGCCCGCGGGTGTCCCGGAAGCAGTGATCGAGGAGGAGGAAGAAGAAGAGGAGGAGGAGGAGGAGAGGGAAGAAAAGGAAGAACCGCATCCCAGGTCTGACTCACATGTGTCAGATGAGCCAACCCAGGATGTATCGGTGGACAGCAAGCAGGCCACAGATTCCAAGGCACCCAAGCCGCGAGGTAGGCCGCGGAAGGCGCTGGATGATGCGCCGACGTTGAAAAAGAATATGCCGAGCTCGTCGGTGCAGAAGATGCGGACGCTACAGGCTAGCAGCAAAGCCGAGAAGGTCTTGGAGGAGTCGGAAGGTCTGGAGCAGGAGAATGGAGCAGTGAAAAGGACCAAAAAGGGACTGGGGCTCAAGACTAAAGGTGTCGAGTCACGACCTGGCAATACGAGTGTCCTGGAAGCAGATGGAAAGAAGAAGAAGCGCAAGATCTTGGGCAACAGCAGCAAGACACTATTTGACGACGATGAGGGCGAGATAGCACCCCTGCCTGCAAAGCCACAGCTGCTCGCCAACCGAAGGCTTAAGGCGACTTTGGGCGGCGTACCGAATGCCTTTGGTGGACGAACATTCTCACCACTGAAGAGGGATAGGCGAGGAGTCAATGCAAGCTTCCTGGCATGAGTAACAGGAGGGATTGAGACGATGGTTGGCGATACGGTTATATGGTCATGGGTTACGGTTGCATGGTCGGCGTTTGGGATTGAGGTTTTGGAGTTATTTCTCTTGCAGGTTTGCATTTGAATTGAATTGAATTGAATTGAGAGAATCAAACAAAGAGTCTAATACGAGTCGTAATATGGCAGAATGTTTCCACAGTGCAACCGATTCAGTTGACAGACGTCTGTATCTTCCAGTGGACGTGATGTCAGAGCGGATGGCTGCCCGATGTTTTCCATTGTCGCCCTGCTACACACGCCACCAACTACAGCAAGGCCCATCCACCAATCTCAGAATGTAGGCAGACGAGTATGTAATGGCGTTTATATTGCGCCTGCTTGTTGAGTCCTGGCAGATTGCATCCAGTGGGTACGTTTTACAGTGGTACTTCGTATGGTATTGCATAGTCCCCAGCTTGTATCGGAAAAAAAGAAAAAAGTCCTAGCTTCCACCTCACGAACGTCAATCCGCGCGTATTTACTCAACGCCGAGGGCGAGGTGTCTTTTTTTTCATCTTTCCTTTCTGTATCTACCGCCGAAACGCAATCATATTGGGCCCGGGACTCTTCTCTTTGCCGGATATTGATTTTGCGTCATGATTCCCCGACCAGCCGCGCGCCTCACACGCCTCTTGCGCTCGTCCAGTCTTCCCGGTGCGTCAACGTACTCACCCGAGTTGCTAGCAGCATGGCATGCGCGCTCAGCCGCGTCAACGTCGCGCTGGAAGCAACGACAGGGGCGCGATTCGTTTGCCAGGGATGCAAAGGTGCAGGGGCTGAAAAGCCGGGCCGCGTTTAAGCTGCTGGAGGTATGTTGTGATGTTGGCGGTAGCGTTGACGCCAGTTGTTGCGCGCGCTGACGAGCTGGGAGATGGATGCCAAGTACAGAATCTTTAAGGGGAACGGGCAGACAGTAGTTGATTTGGTGAGTCTCGCTCGAACAGCAAGTATATGGAATCGCCGAGCTCATCTAGGCACAGGGCTACGCTCCAGGGAGTTGGTCTCAGGTACGGTGGCCTTGACTCTCGTGCACATGCGAGATGTCACTCGCTCCCCCCCTTTGTGGCGCATTCATTCATTCATCTGTTCTAGGTTGCAATGGAGAGAACGCGCCCTCATGGCCGTGTCATCGGTATCGATCTCATCCCGGCCCAGCCTCCACGCGGCGTCACCACCTTCCAGGGAGACTTCCTCTCTCCCAACGTGCAGGCCATGGTCAAGGCCTTCATCGTCGATTCATATCAACGCCAGCCGTTTCCACCAGACGACCAAGACTCTGAAAATTCGTCGGACGATGTCGACGGAGAAGACGTTGATCGGCCCAGCTACATTGATATGGAGCGTCATGCCGTCTCATCTCCGGATTCATCAGCGCCGACCTCAGATGCCTCTTCCAAGCGTCTTGTAGATGTTTGTCGACTCCCTCCCCCTCTGTTGTCGCCTGCCTAAATACAATTTCTAATTCGCTGCCCAGGTCGTCTTGAGTGACATGTCAGCACCCTGGGAGCAAACATCTGGTTTCAATGTGAACACCTTGAGTAATCCCTATCATAGGCTCATGAACACGAGTGGCAATACCTTCCGGGACCACGCTGGTAGCATGGTGAGTACAACCACAAACCCAAGCCTCTCTTTGCCCCATAAAACGAGCGTTCTGGGGTGACATCGGGCCATTTGTTGGATAGGATCTTTGCGCTGCGGCCCTGCAATTTGCGAGCGACACTCTGAAAGCTGGCGGGCACTTTGTTTGCAAATTCTATCAGGGATCCGAGGACAAACTTCTGGAGAAGAAGTTGAAATCCATGTTCGCCAAGGTGTATAGAGAGAAACCTGAGTCTTCGAGGAAGGTAAGAGTCCCACGATCGATTACTGGCCAGGAGCAACTGTGACTGACTTTCAACACTATATAGGAGAGCAAAGAGGCATTCTTTGTTGCACTGCGGAGGAAAGGCCACGCCACTGTACAATTAGACCCATAATGCTAATCGAAAAATAATTCGCACATTCGTTGAGAAATTGCAATGTCGAGGGTGTATGTCACGAACATCGTTCCAATCATGACGGCAGCAGTGCGCGAGAATTTCTTTGTAGAATTTTGTGATACCTAGCCACGCCAATTCCATGCAAGACCCATTTGCAAACCGAATGCCGGTATCAATTGCCTGATATACTGGCCGGAACTCCTCCCGAGGCCAATCATTTTCGTCACAACCTCCCTTAGACCTTGAAACCACGCGAGCGTCTTCGGCCACGGGCACGCTCGAACTTGCGGCCCTTGGACTCGACATAGGGTTTCTGCGAGGCAAGTCAGACGGCGTTAAAATCGCAAAATGGCAAAGGCCACGTACCTTGTTCGAGTGGGGACCGAAACCGAAGTGCTTGACAGCCTCACGGGCGTTCTTGGGACCACGGAGGATCAGGGTGTTGCTGCCAGTGGGGGCACGGAGAGCAAGCTGGTCCAGGGTGATGGCCTCACCACCGGCGGCGATGATGCGAGCACGGGCAGTGGCGGTGAATCGCAGGGCAGCGACGGTGGTCTTGGGGAACTGCAGGAGGCGGTTGTCGTCGGTGACGGTGGCGACAACGACGACGGTTCGCTTCTCGTCCTCCTTGTTAAGGTTGGCCACAATGCGGGACAACGAAACGGGAGGTCGGTTGATCTTGGACGTGAAAAGACGTCGGAGAACGACCTTGTTGAAGGAAGAGTCGGTTCGGCCTAGAATTTGCACAACAATGTTAATTGGCTGTCGGCGGCTCGATGGGTACGCCTGGGACGGAACGTACGGGCCAGGAAGCGGTAGAGCTTCACCAAGAGCTTAAGGTAGACATTGTCGCTCTTGGGGGCAGTGCGGTGCGTGCCCTTGACGTGGTGGCGGTCGAGATCGATACCTGTAGGGTGAAGCCTTCGTCAGCCATTTGATTCAAGCATGCTCAAGAGCGGCAACGCTGTCTTGCGGGAACAAGATGGTGCCTTAATCGCAGAGAGAAGCCTGGGGCTTCTCTCTACTCGCATACAGAGTCTGAGCTGAAAAACTTCACGTACCCATGGCGGCGGTTGTCGCTGTGAAATTTGGCGATGATGGGGTGGTGTTGCGGCTGGCCTTCCTTCACCTTTTCGAAAAAAATCAAGGGCGTGAGGTGAGTGGGACCTGCCTACCACAGGACCGGGCAGTTCCTAGAGCGGTCAGCTGCGGCAATTAGGGCATAGCATCAACCCAACTATATTGGGACTAGTCACATTTCGACTTGGAATGGAAGGACGCTGATCACCTGACTACCGGCTAAATAGGTACCTTACCTAGGTGGGTCAGGAAGGTGCCCAGGCCACCGAGCCACACCGGGTACACCGAAATCGACCATCCCGTCGCGGTTCAACCCACCAGTCTGTACATCGAGGAAGAGTGGACTTGTCAACAAGGGTGGGGTTCCCACGAAGAAGAAATCTTGAGGAATGTATTCAACATATTCTTCGAAGGCATGCCCATCGGCGCCTTCGACATTGTGATTCTTGAATCTTGATACTTCTGTGATGTCCGCGATTCTGTTGGTGGTATTGTCCTCTAACAAAATACTAGGAACGACCAAAATGATGATATAGCGCTGGCAACGATGCTCATCTATTGTTAAAAGATACCTATATATCCATCATATCGCGCCGGAATAGAGTTGCCATGTCTTCTCTTGAATAGTGCGTAACCTTGTTAACCACGTCTGCGCTTCCTGCGCCGATCTAACATCCCACTGTTGTAGTCCCCCGTCGTTGTAGACCTTCATTGTTGTAACTTCACACCGTCGCTCTTGTCCCAGATTTCCTTTTGTCGAGTAGCCAATTCTTCCCATGCCCAGCCTAGCGCACCGTCCAATATGCTATTGTCACAAACTCATACATGTCACAGGGAGTGAGGTTCGGCGTCCGGTCTCAAGTTGACCAGGAAGTCGCGAGTCATTTCGAAACTCAGCCAACTTGACGCCATGCTGGGGGCGACTTTGAGAAGGTTAGGAACGATGCCTTTGTAGAGACCCTTTATTCCCTCATTAAGCACAATCACACGGATGGCATCTGGTACAGATTTGTACTGATAGCCCATGCCTGACATGGTGTTGATCTGAAATCGTCGACGAAGCACATCACTATGATTGCCGTTAGAAAGGCTTCGCAGTAGTCATGCTATTACTCACAAAGGGTATGTGCAAGTTTGCGCCACCGCACCGGAAATGGCACCAGCGAGCAGTTTTCGGGTGGCATTGGGATTCTGCTCTCCCTCTGGAGTCAAGTACTTTCGAACCGACTCATACACCATGAAATTGAGGCCAACCTGAGTTCTTGTGTCAATGGCGAAAGTGACAGGCGTAAGGGTGTACGTGACTTACATAGGGCGCGACACCAGCTACGGTTGGGATGATGCCTCTGTATAGTGCAGTCACACCACCTTCAGTCTTATACATGCGTACCAGGGTGGTCCACATGCCAGGTAGTTTGTCAGGTCTGTCCCCTAGCTCGGCAAAACTCGCTGACTGGATGGAGAGTCGAGTCCGTACAATGTCTAGGGGATATGTGAGGAAGACAGAGGTAATTCCCGCGATGCCGCCGCATATAAGGCGCTTGAAAGGTGATAAATCAGCACCCGGGGATATTTCAAAGAAGGTCTGCCAAAATATTAGTAGAGACGGTGTGCGGGAGGGGCATGTGTACATGCCCGTTTATAGAAGTTGTAGCTGCTGAACTGAACGGCCGAGTATGGGACAATGCGGATGCAGTTGGTGCCATTGCCGCGCATAAAGCCCCTCCAGCCCTCCTCTCTCCACATCTTAGCGAGGGCCTGTCCGACGGAAAGTTTGTAGGCATCTCGTCCGACGCTCTGTATCTGCATGAGAATTTTGAGGCGCTCCAGAGGCGAGACGACAGTTCGGGACACGGCACCCGCGATGCCGCCGGCGCAGAATGCGGCAACGACGGGTTGGGAGACGCCGTCTCGGAGCTGTTCGAGGCGCCTTTCGGTCGCGGTTGGTGGTGAATTGACCATCTCTGGCTCCGACTGTCGAATGTCAATGGTGTTGTCTGGGGTGGGAGACAAACAAGGGCGAGCGGGAGCAGGGGCGAGCGTAGCATTAAGGGGTTGGACGTACGGCAGACATAGTGGCAGATGGGGATATCGCGTCGTGTCCTAGGACTCAATTGGATCCGAACAAGGCTGCTGCACCGAGTATATGACCTTGATTCCTGGTCGGTCCTGGACTTGTCGCATCAAGGAAGCGGCCAGGACTGCCGGGAAGGTCGAGCGGCGGCCGGCGAGCTCGAGGGGTCCGCTGCTCCTAAGTGTTCTCAATCGTCCTACGGTGACTCGGCGAGGCGTGGTGACTTCGAAGAGGGCGATGATATGCCGGGACTAGGAGACAGGAGGCAGTCGGCAACCATCGGGGGAGAACCGGGATGCTTCTGCGCCGGAGCTGACGACGATGGTGCGCGGGCGTGCGGCGGCTGGCTGGCCGATTCGCGACGTCGACAGCAGCGGTCGCCTTTAATGGTGCTCGTGGAAGTGTTGGAGAGGTAGACGGCCCATGGAGACGGTGCGGTGTGGTTAGTAAAGGAGCGGGATGGAGCGCGTGGACCGGCGATGCGGATGACTTCGGGGCGCGCGTGGTCCCGGTATTCCCTCGCTTCGGAGATGGCTTTGGTGGGGTCGTGGCTTGGACGATCTGAGCCGACCGTCTCAGCTTCTCAGACGAGTGGTGGCGGCCGACTGCTGGTCAAACAAAGCAGTACAGTAGATGCAATAAGTACACGGCGTACTTAGAGCTGTGACTGAAGCATCATATCCTCATTGCGAAGGCATGGAAGCGGTGTTTCTGTGGATCGAATACCGGAAGCTTTTCAGCGCTGTCGATGGTTTCGGCTACCATACCTTGGGTGAGCTCAAAGCTGGAGGTGGCTGTGCTAGGTGCTAGGGGCGAACGGTACGTACTTTTTACATGGGTTCCTGGGTTCCTGGGTTTCTGGGTTTATGGGGTACCCAGGTGGCTAAAACTCGATGCTGTACATCGTACCTACAGTGGTGGGCCATCTGTGGCGTCAGGTCAGTGTGCAAGGCTGAAGCTTCATCTGTTCTAGGCCAGGCTCGTCTGACAGGACACCAAGATCATATATCATGATGTGGCAACAATTCTGTTGGTTCTGATGATTAGACGCGGTGCGAAATGACCTCGTGCCAATGGCCTCGTTGCCAGCTGTGCAAGGTACCGGACCAGAGGAAAGGGCCTACTTATCGGGTCACGGAGCTTCGGTACCTTTCATAGCGCGCATTCACTAGAGGTCATGTTGGTTGGCTTGGAAGTCCAACATCACACCACCACCGCCGTACCAAATCCCCATCGTGACCTCCCGCACGCACGACAGCGAGAAATGTGAGGGAGCCGTACAATTCGCACTCGCCTCATGGGATGGACAAATTATCACGGTAGAAGCGCAGCAACAAGAGTATTAAGAACCAGAGCGTCGTCGATTTATCATCCTTGTGACACCTTTTACGATCAACTGTCTAAACTACCCGTGAAATGTGTACTTCCATATGAAACACGTCCCGCCAAATACCATCAATCTCGCAAAGAAAAAAGGGCACCACGACCGACCTCGCGACTCCTGGGTAATTCTACGTGGCCACACATCTGGTCGGGCCATCAAGTCGGTGCTAGAGATATTGCGCATGTTAAGAGAGAGGAAAAAAAGCCACGTCCGAGTCAGAAAGCAGAAACTTTTCCTTAAAACTTGGCCTACGACCGATGGACGTTTCCAGCCTTGCGAATAATGAACCTGGATCATTCGGCAACGTCGAGATCATCGTGAGCTGGAGGAGGAGGGCTGTCTTGGGCTGCGTTCTGGTTAGCAATGGCGAACCGCGTGATGCCCGAATAAATACGATACGTACGCTTTCGCTCTTCACCGTTGGTTCCATTCTCCCTTCGCTCGCGGTCATCACGGTCATCCTTAGAATCACGCTCGCGATCGCTGGGCAAGATATTAGAACTATGGCCAGGATGACGAGTGTGGGAATGTACATACCGATGGTCAGGGCTACGAGAACGATCCCGGTCACGACGGCCGCCTTCGCGATCATAGTCGCGATCGCGGTCCCGGCGCTCATCCTTGCGCGGTGAGTACTCGCGGGTGCTGCGACGGGGAGATGGGGAGCGTCCACGCCGGGGAGAGCGGGCACCACGGCGATCACGGTCCCGGCCAGACTCAAATCGCCACGAGGCAGAAGGAGGCGTGCGGGCCCACTGGTTTCGATGTTAGTCTGCTGTTGGTGTAGAGACGTCGGCACTACTGTACCTCAATCTTTAGAATGTCATCACGGCCAATGCGTTTATTGTGCATCTCATGGTAGGCATCGTCGGCATCGCGTCGATCCTCGTATTCGACAAAGGCAAAGCTGATGGGAAGACACGTCAGCAAGAGGGCTTGGGGGAAGGAACTGGGTAGATGTTACTCACAGTCGGCTAGAGGTTGACCTTGGTGCAGGGATGTCACAGCGGACAAGACGTCCGTAGCTATAAGAGACATGGTTAGCATGTGGCAGAAGCACAATCACCCAACAAATCGCCAATGGGGCCCCCTTTTCAGCATGGCATAGCATGCGCAGTCTCGCGCCGATGCTTGAGAGCTAGTGGTCGACTCGAACGAAAAGCGGTTGCGAAGCGAACGAGCGGACTCATCGACAGACGGGAGAAGGTAAGGGGGAGGCAAGGCTGGGGGGCGTGGGCGCGTGCGAGTGCGGAAACGAGAACGAGGACGGGCGAGGGCGAGTGCGACGAAGACGGCGAGGTGTAAAGCTAAGGGCTCGAGGTCTCCGGGGTTCTCTCGCCGTGGACGCGATGTGGACGTGGGCGCGGGCGAGGACGAGGGCGTGGACGAGGGCGAGGGCGAGGGCGTGGGCGTGGACGAGGTTGACATACCGTTCGAACTCGTAGGCGAGGTCGCGAGCGCGGGTGCCGTGGCTGAAGCCGGTCACGTAGAGGGTTTGGCCACCGCGAGACATGGTGGCAGTGCTCGGGACAGTGTTATGGGGCGATTGAAAGAGGAGAGAACTGATGCAGCAATTCCGAAAAGCTTGATAGGGAAAGGGTAGAGTGATGGGGCGATGATGGGTAGGCGGTAGTTAGTCGCAAAGTTGATCGTGAGGTCACGGGCAGGCATGGGAAAGTTTTGACCCGGCGCCGAATTGCTGACATAATACATTTCGCGCCTTGACCACCATGGCCCTGCCCCTGCCCATTGCGAAACCAAGCCCACCATTGTTTCGACTGTGTTAGCGAGAGATCAAAGAATGAATGAGAATCAGGTATAATGATTATGGCGTGGATAATTATCCTCCTCCTGAATCAGGCCACTAGAGCCTGCGACACCGTAATATAATCCGCTGAGCGCGTCGTGTTTAAATAGAGCATCGCTGTTTTCAAATTTCCTGCCATCAGTCGTGCTTTCGCGCATAACCACCCTCCTTCCCCAGGCTATGAATCCTACCTTACGATTAAATACGCACGTTCTTGGCAATCTCCTTTACTTACGACTTTCTTTTTTATTACGAACGCAGCTTTCGATTGGAAGAATACTTAGATATACTACTTCGACAATATGGAAGGTATTGGCACCTAAGCTCGAATAGTAGTAATACTGCAAACGCGGGTGTAGGACTACATCGTTGGTACCGCGACCTCAAACTCGATTCACAGGCGAGTTTATAACGTTAATAATTTAAGTAGATAGTCACGGGATATCCGTGGATCCTTTGATTGCCCGCTTTTCGAAGGCGAACCCCTTCCCTCGGGCGGCCCCGGCGCGCGCGCGCATTCGGGCGTAACGACAGATCCGGGGCTCATGACTTATCGGAGCGCTCGGAAACATCGGTATGACGGTGTGGGGCGTGCTGGCCACAGAGGTATGATTCAATGCATGAGGTCACTGGATTTGATTGTCGACTAACTCGAAGAGCATCGGTCCCGCAGTTCTTTATCTTCCCGGTCTTGTCAGCCATCATCATTTTGTCAGCGCCTCTACACATGAATGCTGTGGGATAGTACACTATGAAGCTTACGGGACACGCTGCGGCCTCAAACAAAGTCTTGGCGGCAGCTTTAGGACAGAGATGCATGGGCTGACAATGATGACAATGATGACGATGGCGATAATGATAGATGATAAAGAACAGTGCTACTAGGTGAGGCTGCTCTCTGTCTTCCGGGCTGCCCGGTCCCCGCAAACTGGGTTCAAGGTCCAAGGCACGGCATCCTCGGTCACTGTATGGTTTCTTAATACTCCGTGGTCCTTAGGTATCTAGAGCTGACCACATGCTTCGACGCCTATCGTTCCGCCTGGACCGAGCAAGGCCGGTGATGTAAGAGAAGCGGCACATATTTTAACGCCCTCGTCTCCTCTGCCGGTTGCCCTCATCAAGGCCCTGTCACTTCTCGTTCTGCTATTACCTCAACTTCCAGCCCCGCCTAATAAGCATACCGGCAGCTTACTTATTCTGTTCTTCTTACACTACCGCGACTGAGGAAACCGCACCCTTTCAATTGGGAGCCGACCTATCTATCCCGTTGACAACCAGATAGTTCTCCTAGCCCCCCACGGCAATGGCCTCTTCTCGCAAGCCCGGGACTGCCCCGCTTTCCGGCTCCGGCGGGACTGGCTCCGGACCTGCCCCGCCGCCGGCCCGTCACCCGGGGGGTAGGTCCCTTGCGGACGCCCTGCGCGCTGCTGGAATGAGCCTTGACGGCCCGAGAGCGGGTTCCGAGACGGCCAGCGAGGAAGACTATGAAGAGAACGTGCGCCCGAAGCTTGTAGAGCCACAAGTTCTGCGGCGTCGCCGAGGTCACTCTACCAAGGTGCTGGCACCAGCTGAGGCATCATCTGCCCTAGCCAGCGACTCCACCTCGAAGCCTCCTTTTCGCATTATCCGCCGCGACTCGGGAGTTCATATTGTCCCAGATGAAGACAAAAGCCTGCAACAACTCTTGCAGGCCAGCTCTCAACGGGCACGAGACCCCTCACCTCGCCGCCCAGGCAAGTTCGCCGACCTTGTCTTTACAAGACAATTCTCGGCGTTTGATCGCCAAAACACATCATCTGTGAACAGTCCATTCCACGGATTCTATACTCTATTCTGGCTTGCAGTCGCGCTGTATGTCTTCAAGATCTCGGCTAACAACTGGAGGGTGTATGGAAACCCCTTCGGGACGAGCGACATCATGAAAACCATGTTTCGTCGTGACGGTGCGTGCATCATAAACTTGTGCACATACATCAACTCTCTAACCGATTTCTAGTGATTGTTCTGCTTTTATCAGATGGTATCATGTGTGGCCTTACTGGAGTCAGCTGGCTGATCCAGAAACTCGTCTTCAACGGTCATCTTGATTGGGATCGAGCCGGATGGGTTATCCAACATGTAAGCAGTCACATATTGAACCGCTCTGGAAGCATTCTGACCAAATTCCTGTAGATGTGGCAGACTATTTACATTGCTGCCGTGGTAGGCTTGACTCTCTGGCGAGACTGGCCATGGACACACACAGTCTTCTTCGTCCTCCACGGCATTGTCATGCTAATGAAACAACACTCTTACGCCTTCTACAACGGCCATCTCTCAACTGTATTAAAAAAACGGACCGCCTTATTGACTAAACTCAAGCAACTTGACCTCGTCCTTCCAGCAACCGGGCCTTCACAGACTGACCCTCCCGTCTCCGACATTTCTACACAACACCTCGAGATCCCGCCATCTGCCGAGCAGCGTCGAAGGTCCATTTCTCAACTTCCTAACGACGAGGATAGCGATGTGGACAGAATATCCCGCGCTATTGCTTCACGGCGGCCATTGGACAACCAGCAGATCCGTCTCTTTGAGCGAATCATAAAATGGGAAGTCGATGCTCTGGCGGATGAGCTGAAAGGAACTTCAAATCACCCATCTCGGGTGTATCCAAACAACCTCACATTTTTAAACCACTACAAATGGATTCCTCTCCCGACTCTCGTGTATGAGTTAGAGTATCCCCAGTCCGATTCCATCAGCTGGTCGTATGTTGCCGAGAAGCTCGTCGCTATGGTCGGAGTCCTCTTCGTTATGGTTCAGGTGTCGCAGTACTCAATCTGTGAGCCTCACTTAGATTCCAACTCCACCCAAAAGCGTACTGACCGAGTGTTGCAGACCCAGTGGTAATGGAGGCGTTAGAGATGAAACATGCTGGCGTCCCCCTTACCGCCCGATTCCAGCAATTCCCTTGGCTCCTCAGCGAGTTGATCTTTCCATTCATGATGGAATACTTGGTGAGTATGCCCAGTCCATCGCTGGGAGGTAGGGGCTGACCATGACCAGCTTGTCTGGTATCTCATCTGGGAGACAATCCTTAACATACTAGCCGAGCTTACCTACTTTGCCGATCGAAGTTTCTACGATGCCTGGTGGAATAGTGGTAAGATCCTCATTCATAGTACCTCCACAAGGCTAACAGTGGCATGATAGTCTCGTGGGACCAGTTTGCCCGTGACTGGAACCGACCTGTCCACATCTTTCTCCTCAGGCACGTTTATCACAGCTCCATCTCATCATTGAAAGTCAAGAAACATACCGCCACACTTATAACATTCTTCCTCTCCGCATGTGTGCATGAGTTAGTGATGTGGTGTTTGTTCAAGAAGCTGAGGGGCTATCTTCTGGTTCTGCAAATGTGTCAACTACCGGTAGGTTCTGATCCCCCCTGCTTCTCGTCGACGTCTTTCAAGTGAGTGCTAATCGTACGCCCTTAGCTGGTGAGACTCAGTCGCACAAAGTGGCTTAGCGGGCGGAAAACGTTGGGAAACCTCATATTCTGGTTAGGCATATTCACGGGACCGAGTCTTCTCTGTAGCCTCTACCTGATCCTTTAGATGGGCTGCGATGGATTTTGAACTGGACAACTCCTGCACTACGAGATGTGATTCCATTTTGCCGGTTCGGGTTAACAAAAATGCAAGATTTCGGAGTGACCGACTATAAGTTGACTTTTTATTCATGTCTCGCAAACACAGCACCCCAAGGCCATACAACCAAACCGCCCAAAATGCACTAGACCCTAAATCTACATCTTCTCATGGGTTGCCATAAGGGAACCTGGTGAATGAAGTTAGAATGATGATACAGAAATACAGCTGGAACGGTGGCTGTGGGAGTGGGATTGTTCTTACCGATGAAGGTGGTGACGAGGCGACTGCGAACTTGGCAAATATCCTCGGGCACCAACCAAATCGTCGCACCAAGCTTTCGGGCGATGCTAATGCTCAGTTTGGCATTCATGTAGGCATCCTCATCGGTCTGGCCAGATGTCACAAGGTCATAGTCGACGTAGCTGCTCTTCATTCCGTTCAAAACATCAAGGAGGAAGATACCTGAGCCAATGGACGGGTCCTTGAATGATCGAATTGCCGAGTTCCTGCCACCCTTCTTCGACATATCGTTGGCCCACCTCACCATTTCGGAGTCGGTGATTTCTCGCTTACCCAACTTCTGGGCTAGCGAAGACAGTGTCACGGTGATGTCCTTACGCATAAGCTGCCAGACCAAGCCGAGCGTGAGGGTTCTTTGACCGTCTGTAATATCAGCGCCCTGGATGCCAACAAGTGAGAAGCCAATCTGCTTCCCCAGCTCAATGGCGTAGTTGGTATTTTCAACGGCTTTGAACCTTGACATCTCTCCTCCATGTGCTGGTAGCTTGTTGACGTGGCGCAAGTTGACAGACCCCGGAATAACTTTCTCATACGCCTGGAGAAGGATGCTACCATCCCGTAGATCATCAAAGAAGGACACAACAGCGGGCTGGACGTCTAAGCTGTTGAGCCAGAGCGTAAAAACTCTTGCCTCTCGCTCGCCTTCGGCATCGAAGTCCTCCACCTCGAGCTTCTCTTCCTCGGTGATGGGATCGAGCGCTGGGTGGTTGTTGAACAGATTGGCAACAAACGCTAGATTGAGCTTGGGGTTTCCGGCAACAAGAGACTTGGGGGTCAGGAACTTGCGACAACCGAGTTTGTCGGCCTCCTGAAGAACCCCTTCTGCCCTCTCAAGAAGGTCCCGTGTTTGTAGCGGCGCACGGGTGCATCCATACTCAGGACCAATCTGCGACATCAACACAGCATAGTTCTCTCCATCCTTGACATCGGTCGAGAAGTTGGCCACTCTGCGCTGGGGCGTTAGTCAAGGCTACGGCATTGGTGGAGTGAGCGTACCTTCGAGGCCAGTTGGCTGCCTTGAGATGGTAGTTGACCCATCGGAGTAGGATTTGCTCCGGGGGCAACCGCAGGAACTGCTCCAGGGTTTCATCCTCGTCCAGCAATCGATAGAGCTCGGGGTGAAGCTTGATGTCAATCTTGCCCAAGAGTCCGCGACGGATAACCTGCCAGATGAGACCGAGGATGAGATGTTCTCTGACCTCAATGATATCTCCAGCGCCAATGTTGACGACGGAGCAACCAATTCCCTTTGCGGACTCAATGACAATGTTGTTGTTCTCGCTCATCTGGAAGGCGTTGAGATTTTTGGTCTTCTTGCCAGGTATGTTGAGAACTCGTTCGTCGATTGTGTCGGGCACGCTGTCGTTGATGAGCTTGGCCAGCACCAGACCATCCTTGCACTCGTCAAACATCTCAAAGGTATCGGTAGGGAAAGGCAGGCGGCTCGCAATATCAGTATCACCAGCTAAGACGGCATTGATGTGGCGAGTGAACTCGGTCCGCTCGTCCTCGTTGATGGTGTGGGTAATGTTGGCGTTGGAGCCCTGGACGTGGATCTTGCCGCTCACACTGCCTTTGGAGGCATGGCCGCCGGTACGTTGAGAGACGACACCACCACCAGCTGAAGGCGTCGGCCCCGTAGACATGCGCTTCTGGGCAGGAGAGGAATCGCGGAGTTTGGCGATGAGCTAGAGCATGGCGGGGTCAGCAGTCGTGGCGACAGGGAAGCTGGCGGACGGGCTTACTCCGACATAATCCTCGAGCTCAACACGTCGTGAGGAATCAAGCTCGACCTCCTTGAGGGCTTGACGAACGACGTCATAGGGCTGGTTCTCGCTCTGCTGAGTGGCCTTGATGGCTGTCGCCTCGTCGAGATAGCCCTTGTCGTCGACGTCTAGTCGCTGGAAGGCATCCGACAGGGAGAAGATCTCATTTTGAGGGAACTGAGGAAACTTCCTGTGAAGGCGCTCAAAGTCAGCAGAGGAAGCTCGAGAGAACCCGGGGCGACCGACCTCTGAAGCTTCAGGACATTCATGGTGGGGAGAAGGGCGCGAAGTCGCGGTAAGGAGGCGCGGCGAGGGGAGCTGGGTTGTGGCAGTAGTGTTAGCTCGGAGAGGGAGCGGGAAAGAAGTAGGACGTAAGCGGAGAGCAAAAGGCGGGCGCTGCGAGAAGGCCCCGAGGGATCGTCGAGCTGGTGCCTGGGACGACAATGAGGGCAATGATGCGAGAATTGAACACCTGTAGCCTCTCGCCACCTGGGGGGAAGTAGATGGGCCTATGTAGGCAAGCGGTGGGTAGACACTCAGCGCTGAGCAGTGGTGGGGAGGAGCGGGGGCGGGGTGCTAACAGGGCACAGGGCACAGGGGAGGTAGGGGAGGTAAGGGAGGTAAGGGAGGTACTTTGCTGGCTGCTACGGGAGCTGGGATAGATCAAGTACCCCTCTTTGCTTTGCTCTGTCGAATGGTGGAGGGGAGCTGTCCTTTATGAAGCGACGCGAGAACGAGACCTCCGCTGGAGCCGGCAATGATGTAATACCAGCACAGCCGCGCAACCCACTCTAGCATGTCCGCTTTTAGAATAGAATGCCAGAGAACGAAACCGGGAAACCGACGGCCAACCAACTATCCAGGGAATTGTGCCTAAAGCACAGGGGCCTGTCCTGGACCTGGAAGTAAGTGGAAGAAAAGGAATGAATTAATTACTCTGCCACCTGGGTTGGCTAATTAGGCCGCTACCAAACATGGGTAGCTCATCGATGACTGCCTAAGTTACACGCCCCATGGATAGACCTTAATTTACGTAGGAGCTTGGTGCCAGTGCAGTCAGTGCAAGGCGGCTGGCGATGAATGATGGTCGACTAGTTCGACAACTTGACGTCCCCGCCCGCCGTACTTGACGAAACCTCCCACCTAGCCAAGCCCCGCCGACTTGCGTAAGGCTCCATCGCGACTTTTTTTTTTTGCCTCCACGCGTAGGTAGCCCCCGTGTCGACGCATGCACACCACGAGACGCAATTCCTACCCAGCGCCCTCCAGGCATCGATCAATTCTAGCCAACTCGTCTGTCCGGTCTTCACTGGTCTTGTTTCATCTGATCTTGGCACCCCGCCCGCAGGCACCTACAAAACCTACCCGAGCATCAACATGTCGCTCTGCAAAGCCTGCGAGGAGCCGCTTGTGCTATCCCTGGATCCAGATGAAAAGGCCGACGTCCCTGGGACCGAGACTATCCCCGATGACCTTGGGCTTTCATGTGGCTGTCATTTTCACTGGTACGCTTGCTTTCCCTAGTCAACTGCGAACCCCCTGCAACTAATAAACCTCCACCAGGCAGTGTTTGTTGGACCAGTCCTCTGAAATAGTCCTCTCCCTCAAGTGTCCTAGTTGCGCCACTTACTTGCCCGTTAATGAAGCCGGGCCCTCTGCTACGAACCCATTCATGCCCACCCCAGCTGGAACCTCGATCCTTGCAAAATACATCAACGAGGGCGGCGTCCAAGATAACCTCGATATCCTGCCATCCATCACCGAAGAGGCCTATCTTGAGACTCACCCTGAGACACGTCCCGCGCGCGCCCTCCACCTCATGTGCACCGGGGGCGATGTCAGCGGTATTGTTGAACTGCTACGCGATGCGAGCGACGAAGTCGACGACATGGGAGCTCTCATCCGGTACCAGGACCCCCTCGACGATATGAAAAGCGGTCTCCATCATGCGATTGAGCACATGCAAGACGAGGTTGTTTGGTTGCTGCTCTGGCTGTCCTCCACAGTTTCGAATGAATCATTCCCAGACTCGGCTCGGCTAGCTGCAGAGTCGTTCGGTATTGGCCGTCTGCAAGTGACTACGGATGGTGATATTCGCGGCCTTCAAGATGCCGAAGGGCAGACGGCCGGCGCCCTTGCTCAGCAGCTCCAGGGACCATGGACTGCTATGCTCGAGGCCGGTCTCCTCTAGATATGAGGAGCGAATATTCATGTAGACTTCATGACCTTGACGAGCTCAGTTGATAAAAGTAATTCTTCCATGCCATCATGTACACAGGTTAGGTTAAGCCATGGCTCTTCCAAGCTGGAGCGAAAGTGGTGGCTGAGCGTGGTTCGCATTTCGCTTTGCCTCAAACGGCCCCATAATTAAATACCTACCCTTGGCTTGCTGTCGCTGGTGGCTGACCGCATGCATGACCCCTAGTGCAGTGTCGTCACCGCTGTACCTGCTTTTGAATGTCCGTGATTGAGATGCGTCCGTCCAATATCTGTCCTCATTGATTTCATGCAAAGTCGACGATAACAACATCTTAACACAATAACGCTCATTCCCATCTGCAGCGCCCATATTCAACATTGTGTTGTTTTAATCACAATTCGTGCCCACACCTCTCTCCGGTCTGCCGCCGCCGTTGCGGTTGTTTCTTCTCAAGATCAAAAGGTGCAGACCAACACATCTCGCACCCAGACTCCCGCTGAGGGGCGCTCTCCAGCGGAGAGAACCGTATCAAGTTGGCGTTAGCTCTCTCGCGGACCCGTTCGTCAGTTTCCCAATTACCCTCACTGTGGCCATCTCTTGGGCGCGCTGGCACGGTTCGTCGTGCTGCATGGCCACACGCGTCTCTCTCGACCATGGCACCGGGGCAGTCCGAGAAGAAGGTGGAACAGTCATACTTGAGCTCTGCTGTCAATTCTATCAACCCTTGGGCAAGCAGTCGCAGTACAACCCCGACTCAGCCCAATAAGCCAGAACAGAGTCACCCTGCGGCTTCCGCAAACCCCGACGACCACAGCACTACACACCTTTACGGCCAAAGTTTCAAAACGTACCCCCCAGACTGTCCGCCTCTCAAAGTCCAGTGGTTTCATGCTGTCGATGTTTGAATCCCCCTCTTCTCGACCGGAGCCTGGCTAACCTGGTTGATAGGTTCCTAAACGGAAACCTCAGCTTGGCTCCTCAAGCCGGTCGCCTGCTCAACCCCCTCAACCCCCGACTCAGCCAAAGAAATTCTCTCCATTCTCAGTCTCTGACTCGAGAACACTTGAGAGTGAATACCAGGGGCTCCTAGAGGCAACAGAAAACACTCAGCCCACCGGTACTGGGGATACTCGTCTCCCCTCCCGGAAAAGAAAGGTTGACGCGTATAGTTTGAGCTCTGGATCATCTCCCACTGCCACTATTCCATCCAAAACTGTACATGTGCCGGTGAACGAGGATTTCCTTTTTGACGTTGAAATTGGGGGCCGAGAATTGGCTCCTGTGTACTGGCTTGGGCCAGTCTATGAAGGTTCAACACCAGCTCCTTCTATTTCAACAACTAGGCTGACACCATTTAGTCCGACGTGGAACCTGGTTCTACCAGGATGGATCGAACCTCCGCCCATGTGAAGAGAACCTTGCCGCACAGCTCGAGGAGGTTTGTGTTCGCTCGCCTCCTTTGATATTAAGCTAACCTGTTGTGAAGGGTTATCTCAAGATGAAGCCATGGCTGTATCCAGGTAATGAACGAGACCGTCCGCCTACGCGAATAGGGACTAAGTGGATACACAGTAAGAGATCGCAGTCCATCAGGTGCGAAAAAGGTTACTCCGAAAGGTTCCCGGGAAAACTTCAGGGCAACAATTACATCTTCATCCGCAGTCACATTCAATCCAATCACCTCGTCTACCACGACGGCTCAAAACCAGGCTCCCTTGCAGCCCCAAACACATCGGCTCTTCGGGACTTACATGAACAGTGTTGCTACTTACCAGGATTCAACCACTGCATGGCTAACATCCGACAGTATGCTCTCTTGGGTGACGTCTTCCGTATATGAAAGATTTGCCGGCGGAGGCTACATGAGCGGAGTGAAGCTTATCCGAGGATACGCGGAGCCGAGCAAGAACAAAGAAAAGGAAAAGGACAAAGAAGATGATGGCAAAGCTCCCTCGACTACATCTGAGGATGGCAACGGCCTTGATGAAAGGCAGCAGAGAATGTTAAAGCGCAGATCTGCACCACCGACAACTCGACCGTCTCATGACGGATCCTCCCAGACTAGCCAGTCAGTAGCAGGCGACAGCGATCCCCGAGAGCTCAAGCTTCAACGACAACTTTCATCCCTCATTGAGAGCGATGGGATGAGCAAAGCTAGGACGGAGGAAGAGATCCGAAGGCGAGAAGAACAAGAAATACAGGACGATTATAATGCTCAAGCGGGCGAGACACAGGGTCGCGAAATAGAACATCTTGTGTTGGTAACGCACGGGATTGGCCAGCTGCTTAGTCTTCGGTATGTTGATGCCTCTTTTTTTTTCTCACGGCATCGGACTAAGGTATATTTAGCATGGAAAGTGTCAATTTTGTCCACGACGTCAACGTCCTCCGCAAAACGATCAAATCTGTTTATACAAATTCGGCGGATTTGAAGGCACTAAACTCTGAGCTGGGCACTGGTCCAGGCAACTGTCGAGTGCAGGTGTTGCCTGTTTGTTGGCGACATTTGTTGGACTTTCCTAAGAAAAGAGAAAAGAGGGGAGAGCATGACCTGGGCGAGGTTGTCGGAGATGAAGATGACTGTGAGTAATCTAGAACTGACCTTAGGCCGCCATATTATTGTGTAGTTGACGACGAAACAGATCCTTCGTTAGAGGATATCACTATTGAAGGGATGGCCTTTGCTCGATCACTCATATCGGACCTGGCTCTAGATGTCCTTCTCTACCAAAGCTCTTACCGTGAGCAAATTTCGAAAATTGTTCTAAAGGAGTGCAATAGGATTTTCAAGCTGTTCAAAGAGAGAAACCCCGAGTTCAAGGGAAAGGTCCACCTTCTGGGTCACTCCTTGGGCTCTGCCATCCTTTTTGATGTTCTTTGCCAGCAAAAAGAGCGTGTGGACGAACAAAAGGCGACATCGCGTTTCTGGTCACCTCAGGAGCGACACGAAGCATCCGCGAAAAACGCAGAGCTGGATCTCGATTTTGACGTTGGAGATTTCTTCTGCCTGGGATCTCCAGTAGGATTATTCCAGATGCTGAAGGGCCGGTACGCCACTTACCCTCGCCCACTCCTCTAATGGTGCTCATAGATTGGTCCATACAGAACTAACAGCAGCGATCAGGACCATTGCTGCACGGCAGCCTCTTCAAGCAGCCCGGTTCGAGGAACTCTTAAATGCAGAACCTGTCGAGGATGCATTTCGTTCATCTGCTCTCGCCCCAGGGGATAGCCAGGTCTCTCCGGTTACTGGCCTATCCACTTCGATATCTTCCCCGAAGGTCGAACAGTTGTTTAACATCTTCCACCCATCAGACCCCATCAGCTACCGCTTGGAGCCACTGATCTCGCCATCAATGTCGACATTGAAGCCGCAATTGCTGCCCTACACCAAGAAAGGGATTTTTGGCAATGTAGCGCCGCAAGGCTTGACTGGCATTGGAGCGAAGGTTGGGCAGAGCGTCAGCGGGCTATGGTCAAGCTTAAGTGCGGGTATTGCCAGCAACATATTAAACCGTAGCTTAGGGCTTAGCAGCGATGAGGTGGCTCGAATCACGGCCAACGCGGCGCACGGTGATTCAACGGATCCGGCGAATCCAGGGGGCGACGTGGCAGCTGATGTCTCGAAGCTGGGAGAGAAGGCAGATGCTCGAAAGAAGCAGCTCGCAGACTCCGCGACCCTTGAATCAGGCTCTGGAGCTAGTGGACACAGTCCGACGCTGATAGACGACGAACTGGAGACGCTTTTCTCCAGGTTCCAGCAGAGGCGAGCCGACATAGGCAAAGACGGCGAAACGCCGAGGACGCAGGAGGAGGATCGCAAGGCCCGGAAACTGCGCGCGGAGGAGAACAAAGTTCGTGCGCTGAATCGCAATGGACGGGTAGATTATAGCATTCAAGAGTGAGTCGGACATGGGTGGCGCCCAGAGCAAGCTGGCGGGACTAACGTGATATTAGAAGCGTTCTCGACTTCAACCCCATCAATACGATCGCATCACACATGGGATACTGGGCCGATGAGGACGTCAACCACTTTATGCTTTCTCAGCTGCTATCATACCGGTCGGGGCGGAGGAAGGAGACTTAAAGAAGCAACTGATTACTTGGCCTCAACGTGTGAAAACACCAAGGCCTGTCGTTACAGAATGGAGTTGATAGACTATAAAACCAGGCGAAGCAATCTCGAGGGCTATTCTAGTTGGGAGATGAGCAAATACCAACTTCACTTAGCGAATTGGGTAGAGTTCCTTCCGCCGCCTTTTCAAGACAGTCCGTGATGGTGTTTGTCTGGGAAAGTCTGTAAGGCCACAGGCCAGCCACCGTGCAACTGTATTCGCGGCCATGCTTTGTTTATCAGAACCTAGCAGTGAATATCTAACATTCCCCCTTAGATACGCAGATACAATGCAGATCAATTTCCCTAGTAGACTCCCTTGGGTGGCTCATTGTCGTAGGTTCTATAACAGACGACCAAGCGATAGGTAGTTGAGGCTGCATTCGTACCCTACCTCAATAGTCACCCCCGACAATTCTTGCAGTCCCAATCCGTTTGTGGCGCCAGGCCTGAGCTGTCGCTGCTTTAACCTGAGCAGAAGGTGACCCGGCGGGTGAGCAGGGTGATCAGCCTGAGCCAAGGGCGCTCCAGTCTCCAGGCTCCAGGCATACAGCATCGATTGATACTACTGCCTGTTCTCTGGGCTGATGGCTAGGGGCTTAAGAATGAAAAGAATATTTTATTATAGTGGGCATATTCAAATTGTAGCTATTCCTATAGATCATCCTAAGGCAGTACTATTATTAATTGCATTTAGAATCTTACTATTAGGTCTATTGCATAAGAAGATCTAAAAAGGTAATATTATTATTCAAGTTAATAGAGAATATATTACTCACTTACTTTGCCTCAGAGAGATCTTGGATCGCAGTATTAATAAGACTAAGATTCCAGCTACAATATAGCACCAGTAATACCAAGGTAGATGTACACATAGGCAATCTCTATGACATTACCCTAAATCGACTTGTTTATATATGGGGTGCTAACTTTCACACTGCATCATACCAACAGGCGATGCAAAACACCCTCCCGGTGTCTAGAGTGTATTGCGCCAGCCTGACCGGGTCCTGGGCATTTAAACGATTTGAACGTAACAACTGCATCATTGATTCTGTCGACCATAGGCCGACCCCTGATCTCGATACCTTCATTAAGGTGATCAAGGAGATTCCAGATGGCGCACGGGTCACAGTCGGTCATAAACGGTTTAACCTGCCGGGGTGTGTGGTACGCCGTTATAAGAGTGAACCGCGAACTGTACCCAAGCGTCAGGGAGGTCATCAGGAATGACAAGACGGGAGTGTGGGATTAACATCACTGGCGTAGGTTTCTATCTGGTTAGGTCTGACTGAGTCGTAGACAAGAGACTGGCTGTTGAGCATTGGATTTGCTTCCGCGACCAAGACCACCTGACACGTCATAGACTCGGAGGGATGGCTGCAATGCAAGGGGTGACTCTTGAGGCGCTTTCGGCCAGTTCCTCGACCAATCAACGTGGGGGCATCGTAGGATAGAACGTGCTGAGGATAAAGCTACAGGTGAACTAGCAAGAGCGAGGGGCGGCACGGGCATCGCGGGGTCTATTTCAGGCAGAGCGAAGCGCATCTAACAACAACAGTAAGAGAACAGAATGCATTCAAGAATCGTCCATCTCCATGTAGTCGTTATACGGATCAAGCCTAATGCTCATATTTGGACTTCTAGTCCTGCTCCTCACTTGCTCTTAGAGGGTAGAGTCCAAAGATATCGATGCAGCGGATGAAGCCGAACTTGTTAAGCCAATGGAGAGACTACCGGCTTACAGAGCAACTGGTAGCCTGACATACAGCCGGCCTCAGCTACATCCATCCGTCCGTCGCCTTGGGTAGGATGAGAACAAATCTGACGCAAGGAGGCCGCTTCTAATGGTTTGATGAGAGGTTAAAAAGAGAATTCCTTGCCTATCTGTGTTTACTACCTGGTCTCAAAGAAACCTACGAGTGTTCGCATCATGTGGTTAAGTTTACGGAGTCCTGAGGTCAAAAACTTGGGGGAAAAACCTGTATTTTTTGCCATTGTGCCAGCAACTCATCCTTGAAGGAGCGGACCGCTACTAGGATAGAATCTATTCGAGGATCAGTGCTTACTTGAATTGCCATGATATTAGCGAAGCTCAGCTATACTTTTTCCCTCCCGTCAAACGTGGGATTGAAGCGTGTACAATGTAATCCTCATACAGGTTGTCATCAACTCTCCCAATGCCCGGATCCTCAGGGTCTCTTAGAACCATCTCCAAATGCCCATCTTCACCCATTCCCTTCATGAACACCCTCATCTTCCATACCTGAGAGCTTGCGACGCCCCCGCCGACGTTGTTCAGGTTCTGCGCAGACCTGGACCGAAGCGCGAGCGCCACAAGCTATACTAAGGGTGTCCTGACAAGGCGATGAAAAGTGTGTGTAGTATGGCGATGAAGGCGTGGAGCAGTAGGACGGCAAACGTCAGAGTCGTGGTGATTCTACCCTTGAAACTGTAGACGTACTGATGCTGATGGTACGTGTGCTTGATGATTGTATAGTTGGGCGTGAAAAAAGGGACGTAGGAATTGTAGTAATCCATTGGCGCTTCAGAAGCCAAGCCATCTGTGAGATGGAGGGCAACGAAGGCCGGGAAGCAATAGATAGAGTGCTCATAGCAAAAGCTCCACGCCTTGCCATATGTTGTAATGAAATTCGATTTCCTTGCGCCACCCTCAACAGCTGTCGTTGCCGCACCGTGTAACTCCGTGTTGTCCATTTTTATGACGTTGTTGGCAGTTGATTACTGATTATACGAAGTAAGCGACCCGTTTCGCGACTTGTGAACCCTATTGCCTAGGTCGCTGTGAAAATTCTTTTGTCGCTTTGGAGGGTGAGGGGCCCTTGTCTCAGCATGGTCTTCGTGCTAAGGCCGTCTCCCATCTATCGCCGCGAGATGTCGATCTGGTTATGATTTACAGGCGCGACTTTGCTTGGGGTGTAAGAGTTGGTAGGGGTAGAGGTAGAAAAGGCGGAATGACTTACTGAAAGGCGTCTGATGAAGGGTGATTATCGCAACTTACTGTTTCTCTGCCGATTTGTCTTTGGGTCTGTAAGGAAGAAGGGTAGAGACGATCAAGAGTGTATTAGGCAGCTAGAGATGGTGTCGTCCCAGGCCTATACATATACTACCACTACCAGTTAGCGCTGCTACCGCCACCTCAACAGCCTCACCAAAGAAAGCTCATCAGAACCTCAGAGTGTGGGCTCTCTTATGCTCTGCCTTGGTATGCCTCTCCAAACCACCAGCTTGAGCGTCCGGTGGGTCTGCAGTTATTTGATGAGCACAGTGCGGTTGACTTGATAGTTCAGTATTGAGGCCAGGAAGGCTCGCTGTTACCTACTACCCAAACATTGCGCAGTGAACTGAAGGCGCAGTCAACTAGCTAGCAAAGGCCGACTTTTGCTGTAGCTGACCTTGTGCCCCTAACTATGGAAAGTAAGCCACACTTAGCTGCAACTGCATCCAAATTACCAAGGCGTCCCATGGTAAGAAAAACTAGAACGTGTACTCTCATCAATGCCAATTGCGTGTAGCCACAGGTGCTTAGTGGGCAAGCCCAGTAGGCAGGCGAGCGTCGGCTCGGATGTCTGGCCGTCTGAATCGGTCGCAGATGCAACCGATGGCTCCTTCGTATCGCTGTCACTATCGGATGCAGGATTGAAAGCATTGCCTTCTCAGACGCGTTATCAAAACAATCCACAGAGAGATGAGAAATCCAGCCGCATACTGGTACTGGCAACACTGCTGGATTCGACATTGTGCTTATAGATGGAAGAAGCTTCTCAATTAGTGGGGAAGAAGTATCTCATCGGCCGTCGTCGAGATCACCGCAAATTGAATTCGCTGTCACTAGAGATCAGGACTACCTCAGCAGTAAGGACTCTATTCGACCGTGTCAATTATAGTGTACATCTCGCTGTAGTTTTTTTTAGTTTTATTTTCTTGTGCTTACCTCCAAAAGAGACGACAGAAGGGCCGCCGTTCTGAGGCGAACAATTTAGGCTCGTGGGCTCTCCACCTGCCACTGAAGTGGGGTTGAAAAAGTTTTGGGGATGAAGGGAGATCTGTGCCATCGTGTTGCGGACCCCAGGGCAGTCTAATCGTGGCGACCAACGACTTCTGATGCATTCAGAGGAGCGTTTGGCGTGAAGTAAAGCGTCTTCTATGCGGTAGGCGCGGGGGGAGGCCGAAATTTATGTGCGTGGAAGGAGCGAATGGACAGGTTTGGCCGCTGCACCAGCGAAGGGCTCGTCACCGTTTGCCGCTGGCCCGTTCATTACATCCATCCTCATTCCTCATATTTACATAAAGCAGTATATCTAAAAATCATCATTATAAAAATTATCCAGATATCTCTTACATACAACCATAAGTTGAATCCTATCAGAATTTAAAAAAAAGTACTCCCTATCTTCTAGTGGAGGCCCATAGACCGACTCCACGTCAACTAATACAGCCCGATCCTGAACGAGAATTATATTATCCGATTTTATGTCGTCGTAAACGAGGCCGAATGCGTTAAGTGCCCGGAACGCGACCTCAACAAGCTCCTTGAACTTATCAACCAGGAAGAGGCGGCAACTTCTGCTCCCACGGTATGATGCCGACCACCTCAGACAGGACGAGAGCGCGAGTTCCCTCAAATTTCGCCTCGCCGTATAACCCAGGTATCACGTAGCCTTGGAGACCTTGGAGTCTTTCATACATAGACTTCTCGTTGTCAAACTCCTCAAGCTAGCCTGGCTTCATCTTCTTACACTCATTGTAGTTATTTCAACAGCAATGCTTAGATAGTGGGGTCTGGCGAAGCACCTCGGATCAATACTAATCCGTGGGGCCCGTTGGATTTCCCGTTTTTCTCTCCTTAACCTCCATTTCCACTTGCTTGGCAGCAACAGCCGTTCCCAATGCGCACATGGTTTGAGGCTCCCTCAAGTCTTTTGACCCGTTGTTTCGCGGCCTCTTGCCTACAGTCTCCACCCAGCTAGCTTGCTCCTGTTATCTTGGTGTCTCTATATTTTAACAACTTCTGTAAACGAGAATGAGGCAGTGCAGACTGTTACTGAGATACGGGATCGAAACCGTAATTTCGCTTGTCGCCTAAGCGAGTAACAGAAAACATGACAGGTCGCCGGTTCAGGGTTTGGTGCGCCATGTTTCAGTCGCCTGCTTGCCGCCGCTCGCTCGAAAGCCGGCTAAGGTTCTGGGTGTGAATGTAGCACAGCCTGATCTGCCACAAGCCTGATCTGCCACAAGCCTGATCCGACACAGCCTGATCTGATCAATACATAGTTCACGGCACACTTCCGCTGATTGACCAATGTTCGTCCAGCCAAAGAATCCCAGTGAAATCTTCAAACCTATCATATTGGATGCGCAACCATGGACGACGACACTGATTCCCAAAGCCTGCTGCAGTCCGTGCTTGGATTATTCGCTCGAAAACGACCTCAAAGGTCGGCAAAGCCGGCGTCACTGAGATCTCGGAAACGCGAGGCCTGGCTACGGACGGACGCATTTCTGCAGCGCGATGATCTTGGCGAAGCTGAACCAGAGAGCGTTGCAAGGACTCTGCGCGCATTTGAACATCTTGTTCAAGACGACTCTGATCGAGAGATAGATTTCGTACGTATTCTTGATACACAGCAAACTCCAGTCTTTTGGTCTGTTGGTCTCTCAATTCCTGCCTACTAACGACAATTCGCGGAGCAGAGCTTCCAACAACCTGGACCTGAGAGTATCCGAAGCTTCGCCGCATGATCGAGAATCCGAGTCGCGAACCGCATGCAGACCTAGACACTGTCATTCGCGTTAGTAAACGGAGACGAGAATGCGATGTTGCCATTCAGGAACTTTCGCATTTGGAACAGGAGAGAAAGAAGCGCCGAGTTCTGCCTCGTGAAGAGTCAACTCATGGGTCCAATCTCGAAGACCCCGATGCCGACTTCGCCGTGCTGATGAGGGGACATTTGGTGTCCTTGGACAATGCGTTGCGAAGACACTGGGTTTGCGTTTGCCAGAAGTGCTCAGGGTTGAGCGTGAGACTGTCGCTGCCACAACACAAAAATGATCTCGAGGCTGAGGCGAGTTTCGAAGTATTCTTCGGCGTGCGGTCTGTACCTGCAACTGCATTGCAAGAAGCTAAAATCACGGTCAAGTAAGCTCTCGTAGCTTTGTGTGATGACTTCTATTCGCTAACACTGTCGGTGCAGAGACCTACACGAGAGCACATTAAGGCGCTCATCTGAGCCTATAATTAGTAGCCAACCCGACATTGCCCACATATGCCAAAGCATCACAGAGTCCCTCGGTCAACAAAATTGCTTGCATTTCGCTCTCGAGGATGGGATATTTCAGAGGCTTCGCCCGCAACCAAAGACATTTGGTAGTGACCGAATGTCTCAGTCAGTATCCTTGTCGGATTTGTTCAATCGCCAGCAAGAATTACTTCGTGGTGAATCGGTACTGCCACTCAAGGGGAAGCGAGTCTTGGCTGTTACACTGGCTTCAGCACTCCTTCCCTTCTTGGAGACACCGTGGCTACAGTTTTTCTTCAATCACTCAAAGATCCAGTTTTTTGAGCCACGGCAGGATGGAGAACTCCCCGTCATCACGAAACCTTTCCTGGCTCTGGAGCACGTTCCAATCATCTCAGCCCACAGTACAGACAACGGAGACAGTTCTGGCGCCTCGAAACACATGGTTCATCCCAACGCCAGTGTGCTAGCGCTAGGCATACTCTTGTGCGAGCTTCACTATTGCACACCTGTGGAGCTGATGGCAAAGGGCCCGCATGTTGTCAGGAACGTCAATGCTGATTATTATACCTGTCTCGATAAGCTTCAGACTCTGGAAGACGACGCTGGCGTGGATTACTATCTCGCTACGAAGGCATGTCTCACTGAGAAGTACTATCCCCTTGGACAGCACGCTGACTTCGAGGATGTCAGTGTTCAGCGGTTTTTCTACCAACACGTCGTCAAACGACTTGAGGCTGTGATATTCAAGGCATGGGGCATTCGATTAGAGAACTTGGGTTCATTCGATTCTCGACAGAATGAATCATGCTGGGGCTCTAGCGGTCGACAAGTTGTCCGCCTCCATACAGGCAAGATCGATTCCTCCAATGCACACAATACAGTAAGGGCAAGTCCGCATCGTTCAATGTCTGACACCGCGCCCGTGAACTACGCATCCCTCCACTCAGATATCGTGCTACGGGTATCGGCACAACCTTCTTCGGGATCGCAAGCCCACAGACACCTCGCCGAGCCTTCAGAGAAGAGCTTGTACTTTTTGATGCAAGCCACCAGACGGGTCCTGGTGGTGGATGTATGAAATCGGATGTCGGACACAGAAAATATGTCTTGGTAAAGGACATGGTTTCAAGATTCAGATTCAGATACCGGGCTTTCCTTAGGACCGAGCGAAATGATCGAAGGAGCAGAAGAAGAAGAGTGTGTTGAGAGAGGCTCGGTTTCTATAGGCACGGGCCCGATTACTCGAGTGCCCCTGGGTCGAAATCCCCCACAGGTCCTGTCTTCTGTCATACTGCCAGACCGGCCAAGCTCACAGGCCAATGAAGTCGTGCATGTTGATCTGGCCAGGTACAGCAGCCAAGCCGAGCCGCTGATCGCCAGCGGTTAGCGCGCGTTGTACTTGTACCTCATGCACCGCTACTTCTATCCGTCACCCATTGGGAGAAGGGTGAGGCGGGGCATTAACTCGTAGCTCGGCAGCACCCAAGACACATGCTGCTTTCACATTATCTGAGTTTATGCGATAATTTCATAGCCTCAGTCGCGATTTGCTTACCCACGACCTTTGGAACGTCCTTTCCATGCAGAGACCAGGATCGGGTTCCTGGATCTTTGCCGCACTCAGAAGGACCCGCGACCGCCCGCACCGCGCCCTCTCACCATGAAAAGCCTCGAGCGCGCCGGAGACGAGTCTATGGAAGATGTCTTCCTCCAAGATGATCTTAGCCCGACCATCGCAGAGCATGCGGCACAATGCCAGTCTCTTTTCCACAAGTACATGATCATGCCGGAAATCATGCCAGACCCTACTATCATAGACGACCAGCTGGCACGCTTTTCTCTGTGAGCATCAAACATGGATGTTTACGGGCCGCTCAATGTCTCGCTGGACTACAGACTCTGATTCAGTCCCACAGCCGCGGATATCATACATCAGCTCCTGGATATTATTTGCGATACCTTGCTGTCTTGTGAGTGCTTTCCGTACCACATTCGGATGGATTGAAGATCAAGCCTAATGGGAGTCTCGACAACAGTGAAGCCAATCGACGACCGACCACCACAAGTTTCCAGCAGGAAGAGACAACGCATTTCAGTACATGGCAATTCGGGATTCACGAGGAGAGCCGACGACGACGCAAGCGATTCAGAGAGCGATATCGATCCAGCAGAAGAGAACATTTTGAAGATTACCGAGACAATCGGCGGAACATTGACGCGGCTCGTCCGTCTATCCAACGCCGTTCGAAAGTCCGCCAAAGCCAACCGGGCTCGCAAGATCGAAAGGTACAGAGACGACGAAGAGGCAAACAAGGCCATAGACGAGTTGCGTCTCTACACCGAATGCTATATTAAGTTCCGATTCCCGGAGGCGCCGGAGGCGCTCCGCTCGGCATTGGTCGAAGCCAACGCGCTGCGACTTCGACGGCCGTATTATCAGCGCTCCCATCGAAGGCGCATTGATCTGAGTATTCAGAGCCCGGAAACGACTCCGGCCGTTGTGCATCTCCCCAAAACGACGGGGAGTGCGCCGGCTGTACGGTTTACGCCGAGCGCGCTGCCAAAGCCTGCGACGACGAACAATATGTCGGCCCCTTCGCCAGCGCCAGCAACGAATGCGACTACTGCTCGACAAACTGCCGTTGCGGCCTTCTACGCCAAATCCACAACCGAGGTTCCCCGGGCTAAATCTGTTCTCGTGAACAACAAGTTGTCGTTCCCTTCCATACCGCCGACGCAGCAGTGTCCATACTGCGGCGTCATTGTTGAGTTCAAGAACACTTCAAGGTTATTGCTGTGGCAGTAAGCAGATCATTCCTGTCGTTCCATGGGAACATGTGGCTAATATGCACCAGAAATCATGTCATCGGAGACCTAGAGCCTTTTATTTGTGCTTTTTCACACTGCCTAGAACGAGGTCACCACGACCACGGAACCGGTCCGCTCACATTCGAAACGTCGAAAGCCTGGTCCAGCCACATGCAGACTACTCACGGGCATTCATGGGAGTGCAGGGCCCCCTCTCACGATCCAATCGTCTTTGACCAAGAGATCAAGTACCAGGAGCATTCCATCAAGGAGCCCGGCGTGCCTGAAGCGCACGCCGGGACCCTCAGCAACGCTGCACGGAGGCCAGTCCTCGATAAGGTTCTGGAGTGTCCATTTGGCGACGATTTTCAACCCTCAGGAAAGGTCGAATCCAGCACTGTCTTCTCGAGTGAAGCTCTTCAGTTACACGTCGCCGGTCATATGAAGGAAATTGCTCTGCTTACACTGCAAAAACTTCCCAGCAATGATGACGAGAACGCGGAGAACGTCGACAGCGACCAACCGTTAGAAGACGATGGGCCGGTCGGGGCTTTTGGAATTACACGTGCATCCATGTACAGCGTACTGGACGACGAGCACCTGGATTTCCAAGACGATGACGCTGAGGCTGCAGATGGCAATGTGGGACACGGCGGAGAGGACATTAGTGCACGGGTGTCAGTACTCGACCTAGAGGACAAAGACGACTTAGGGATGACGAAGCTTCACCATGCGGTGCAGGCCGGCGATCTGGGCTTGGTTGAGTCCTTGATCCAGAGCGGCGCAAGTGTAAATTTTGGGGACGAAAATGGCCAAACACCCCTACATTACACTACGGGGAGGGGCTTCATCGAGTGCATGGAAGTCTTGGTCAAGCACGGTGCGGATTTACATATCATGGACAACTCTGGATTTTCCCCGTTCCTCTGGGCTGTGGTTGCCGGGCAAGAAGGCGCCACTGCGGGACCGTTGTTCATGGACGCTGATGCCAATTCATCCAGCGCGGATGGAAAGTCTGCGCTCTCTTGGGCAGCCAGTCTGGGATGGTCTCCAATTGCTAAACTGCTTGTTGAACACAGTGCCAGCATATCTGATACCCGAAACACGCAGCAGACTCTGCCTTTAGAAGAAGCGGCAGCTTCTGGCAACCTTGCCACAGTTCGATTGCTCCTCGAATGTGGTGAGGATCCGAACCGTCGCGATCACGATGGTTGGTCCGCGATACATTGGGCAGCAGAGGAGGGCCATCTGGAGATCGTGCGTTTGTTGCTGAACGCTGGGGCCAACCCCAATGCTGTCAGCTCTTACGGCACGTCACCATTGCACTGCGCTGCAAACGGAGGGCATCTTTCCATTGTGAGCTTGCTCCTCCTACAGCGAGGCGACCCGCTCAGGTCAACATGCCACGGCTGGACTGCATTACACCACGCCGCCTTCATGGGGCACTCCCATGTCGTCCAGGGCCTCTTAGAAGACGACCGCATACGATCCACTGCCTCTCAGCAGGACAACCACGGCTGGTCCGTTCTTCATTTGGCCATCCACAGTCGAGATCTAGCCACCGTCCGTATCCTGCTCGACAAATCTGTCATTGCAGAGCCTCAGACCCTATTCGACGAAAGCGGCCTCACTGCAGAAGAATGGCTGGATCGCGGGCCAACGAGCCATTCCCAGAAAGCCACCGGCAACTTAGCGTTCAGCAAGTCGCGCTGTTGCCGGGCCGTCACAAGCCTTCGCCAAGCTGTTACCATAGGCAACGTCCCCATGATCAAACTTCTGTCCAACTTCGCAAGACACAAAAAACTACGAAGCAAAGAGGAAACACATTTCTTCGATTCCATTCTTACTCACTCTCAAATTCCGGCCTTCAGACATTACACATCACCAGGCGCGACAGTAAATGGCGTCCGCTCCCCGTCTCCGAGTTCCGCCCAAGGAGCCAGAGGCGCGCAAAGGGCGGGGAATGGAAGACGACGCATCCGGGTCCGGGTCCGGTGAGGCAGGACGCCCGGCTCTTCTCTCGTTCGATGAGATGCCGGAATGGTTTCAACACGACAACAACCAGTGGATTCTTCACGGTTACCGGCCCATATCGGGCTCGGTTCGCGCCTCGTTCCGCAGTTGGTGGTATCTCCACAACGAGACGGTCAACATCTATTCCCATCTCATTCCGGCTGTTGTCTTCCTCCTCGGCGAGTGGTATATCTTGCAGTATCTTGCTGGTAAATATTCCAGAGTTACTAGCACCGATTTTATTGTTTTCTCATTCTTTATGCTTACGGCGACTATTTGCTATGTATTTTTGGCTTTTTATCATACTTTAATGAACCACTCTTACACCGTAGACCATTTCTGCCACCGACTAGATATGCTTGGTATAGGGATCTTTATAGTCGGTGATATTATCTTGGGAGTATATATAATCTTTTGGTGTGAGACTACGCTACGCAATATTTATTGGTCTATGGTTAGTTGATCTCCATATGCTCGGCTTTTTCTGTCCCAGGACTGGTAATTGGATCTAACACCGTCTTCATCGGTCAATATATTGGGGTTTTCGGGGCATTAACCATCATCGCGAACATCCATCCCAAGCTCCAGAGCCACAAGTATCGCTCCATACGAACACTAGCATTCGTGGCGACTGGCATGTCCGTTGTGGCGCCCTTGATTCATGGGCTCGATATATTCGGGCTAGACCTGATGAACAAAAAAGCCTTCACCTATACTATGGTGGCAAAGATAGGTTGCCTTCTATCTGGAACCGCGCTTTATGCAGTGAGTCTCCCATTTTGCCCATACAGGAGAAAAATTGATCCTAATACACGTGATTCGAAAGATGAGGTTTCCCGAAAGTTGGTGGCCTGGAAAATTCGACATGTGCAGCTCCCACTCATTCATGCACATCCTGGTGGTCTGCGCCGCTGTTATCCAGATGATAGGGTATCTGGAAGCCTTCGTCTATGCTTACTCAAATATTACCTGCTCGGCCTCTTGAGTTACTACCTTTTGTAGAGCCTCTAACCACCGGGACGAGCGGCGACCTTCCAACCTAGGTAGCGCTGTTGGAGATTCTGGCAGCAAGGTGCTTTTGGGAGCCAGGAATGTTGACATTCATAACGAAGGAGAGAATATTCACTCCAGGGACCAAGGTTCGTCAGCAATGGTTGGGAACGCTTGGAATTGAGGGCGTGGCAGCGTGTCAGTGATCCGTTTTGTTGTTTTGACGTTATGGGGTTCTTTTCCGGGAGAGATCCAAGGAGATCAGCATGTGCCTTGCCGGCTGCTGGTGCCCTCCTAGCCTCCCCTCCTTTTGGCTCGAATATCCTGCCCTTAGTGTTCAATTTAACACTTCTTTCGTACCATGCCAGGTCATCTACCTAGCGAGCTACATCGTCGCGCGGGCGTTGCCTGGTGGATCATTGGATCAAGGTCACAGTATGTGAGGTAAAATGGGTATAATAATTGTTGGGTTCTTCTAGGCTAGCTAGGATCAAGGGCGCAGACCTTAGGGGGCCTGCGCGACGTTCACACTATAGAAGCCGAGCATTAGGCGCCGAAGTGTCGAGAGAATGAATGGTGCCAGAAGCTGGGCTCATAAGCCAACCAGCACTCATCACCGCGCCCCTGGCGGCGGTGACCGGATCTTCAATCATAGTGAAGGTCGCATAAAGTCGACGAGAGACGGGGCAAGTGCGAGGTGGTGTTAGCTGCGATGGACGGGTTCGCATGCATCCTGTCGGAGGGAGGGGGGTTAAGGTGATTAAAGTCTGAGCATCACGGAGCCAGGGTGATCAGAGCCTGAAGAAGATCGGCGTTGCTGACTAACCGGGCCAGGATGCGAGTTGCCAGAGTTTCGTAGATCACTACCTAGGTAGTCTACCACGAAAGCTTAGAGGCTATCAAACAAGCTCAACAACACAATGGCTATCAAATCGTCACGCAGTCAGGGAACCTGCGCTCAGGGAAACCCATATATCAGAGATATCGTTGCTTCCGATATGACGATCTCACTTCAGGTGGCGTACTATAGAATAAGATAGTTTAAATTTACTTAAAATTTAAACTTATAAATTAATTTTAAAAAGTTCTAGTAGTAATTTACTAGTATTTTTATAAGCTGTATAAAATTTAAAATAAAAGTTAGAATAGTAATTTTAATAATAAAATTTACAAGATAATATAGAAAGATTACTAGTTACTACTTTTAAAGAATTTAGTAATCTTTTGACTCTCTTTCTCCTTCACTCTATTTATGCTCCTTACCTGTGTTGGACTTATCTTGCGAGAAGCCTTACAACCAGGAGCATCACTTAACTTGTCGTTATTATTTGATACAGTTGATAGCTTTCGCTTTTTACCAGGCGATACATTGTCGGTGGGTGCCTCTGGAACCATTTTACTACAGGAATCAGCGAGAACTGGAAGCGACATTCTGGAATCGTTTGGTTCTGAGGTGTTCCTGAGCTCCTTGCGAGATGTGTCAGTCTTTTTGGAGGCGTTGGCAAATAGATTTGCGATATTGGACTTGTTATCCTTGCTGTCCAATGGGATTATGAAGGATGGTGAGTTATTGCCCACTTTCCCAACCTCCTTGGTGACGGGGTAGATGGTGAGTCTTCCATCAAACGGCTTGAGCAAGGATTGGAGTTCACGAGACCATTCTTGGCGAGATGGATCCAGCCACGCGCTTATAGCTTCAGATCCCGGCTTCAAAACAACCGGCATACGGTCGTGGAGAAATTTTAACTGTGTGTTGGAATCCGTTGTGATAATGGTGTAGGTGTAATTCTTGTCCTCTGAGCCTAGCCGGGTTAAGTACTTGCACGATTCTACGGCGGGAACACTTTTCTCACCTTCGTACTGCACGCAATCCCAGAGCCCGGCAAAGCACATGAGATGGCCATCTTCTCTCTTCGTGAAATAGGGCATCTTTTCCTTAGGGCCGATCTTAAGCCACTCAAAGAACCCTTGGGCGACGATGATGCATCGCTTTCGGGCTTTCATGGATGACCACATGCCTCCAGATGTGCTCAGGGAGTCATCCCTGCAGTTGATGGTCTTGAGAACTTTGGCATACTCCGGGTTTCGCTTGGTCCAGAAAGGAACCAACCCCCATTTCATGGATTGAAGCTTGTACTTGACAGTCTCCGAATTGGTAGCGCTCGACGCTGGAGGATTCATGGCGTTTGTTGCTTGATGGCTGGGCTGAGGCCCAGACCCCCAATCAGGCGTGTCTGCACGATAGACAATGCCATTATATCCGGGTGCAAAGTTGTAGCTATTTCGTGGCGCTCCATCACCTTCGTCTGCCGGGGCATCGTCTATTGACATGCCATCATCCTCGAGCATCTGACGAACCTGGGACGGGCGCTGTATGCCATGATGAATAATTAGGGGCATTGAGGAGAGCGTGACCACTTACCAGAGCCAAAGCGTACCGGCCGCACATGATGTTGCTTTATCTTTAACCCACGAAAGAATAGTCTTGGGAGTTGGAAATTGGGTAAGTTAGGGGGTGGTATGCGTCTCGCAAGATACGTTCGTCTGTTGCGACAGGAAGTGAAGCCCAATTTCGTCAGGCAACACCACCAGCTACTTAAGCCCGTCTCGCGGAGTGACACGAGTCACGTGTGGCTGACAGATCACAAGATGACGACAATGGCGCACTTACAACACTCTTTGCCTACAGCACATGATCTATTCTAGCCGATTGTGCTCTCGTCATGCTCTTGCCAGGCGGGAAAGATAGGCAGCGAGCTGAGGCTACCGGCTATCGAGTCTTTACTTGAAAGGTCGAACCTGATTACGGACCCAGAAGCACGAATCGCACGATACATCTCGCAAATAAATACATTTAACTTCGAGTCATGGGCGGAGAACAATTCTATGTGCTTGGCATGGTATCTCTGCATTACTATTGGTTGAATGGGCAGGCTTTCGCAACCTCCGCCTCCCCCTGCACCCGTTCCGCTAGACCTTCCGACGGGCCTTTTGCTTCATCGGTAACTCTGCAGCCCATGCATCCTCAAATGCCGTCGGTCGCTGTTTGAGATCTCTTTGCTGGATGCCAAGGCGGCGGACAACTTGGAAGGCACCTGTCCCCACCGTCATTGTTTGACCCATAATAATGCATTCACTGACGCCTTCGATTTGGTCCGTTTTCATGCCAGCGGCGGCCTCGAAGAGGTGGTCCGGCGTTTTCTCGAATGAGGCCAGCTGGAGCACACTGTCTCTCATCTTGGATAAGCCGAACCGAGTAATCCCGAGCACCTCACCCTTGTAGGTCATCACGTCGGCGAGGAGCTGCATGTGTCGTGGATCTATACCCATATCGCCCATCACTTCGCCAATCTCGTCGGCGATGGTGGTTCGCGCCGCTTCGATGCCAAGGACATCCCGGCATTCCATCACACTGTTCGTCCGGGCCTTTGTGCCGATTACACCCTCTGTGGTCATACATGCTCGAAGCCCATAGCCTTCAACGAGGACCTTGTGGGTGCCTTGCTCGGACGTCTGGATGATTGCACGGGTGGCCTCTGGGTAGCCAGATATAGGAACCGAGGGAAGGGCTCGTCGGAGGAAGTTTGCTCTCAGTAACATGTCACCGCTCTCTTCCGCGGCGGACTTGCTTCGAGTGGTAGCTCTCTTTGCCGCTGTATCACTGACATCCCTCACCCGGACCACGATCCTCTCGCCATCGATGGACAAGTCCTCACGCTGGATCTTGAGCTTCCGTTGCTTGCAGATTGCTTCAGCGATATCATACGGCCCAATGCCCAGATGCATGTCTGCAAGGGCATCCGAATCGATTTGGAGGACAACGTTGCCTTCGGTTGTGCGCCACTCGTCCTCGACAAAGCGCAAGACATCGGACACAAATGTCTTCTCAATCCGCCCCTTAACCACTCTTGCAGCCTCGATTTGCTGATCGTTGAGGAGCGGGCATTTGATGACGGGTGTGCTGATGGCCTTGGAGGCATTGATGATTTCTTTGATTCGGGGCACACCTTGAGTAATACTCATACCTGCAACACCAGCAAAATGGAAAGTTTTCAGGGTCATCTGGGTACCTGGCTCGCCGATGGAATGAGCGCCAACAGCGCCCACGGCATGTCCGGGCTCAACATGGGCCTTCTTGTACTTCTCCAGACAGAGTTTGATGAAGAGGCCAAGGGTAGATACTGAAACCTTGGCGGTGCGATCAGCATGGTCTTGCGCGGTAGACCTGACCATCACATTTCCTTCAAAGCCCGCGAGCTTTCGTACCCGCTCTAGCTTGGACGCCAAGTCTTCAACATGACTCTCAATAGTTTTAAGAAAATTCCTTGCGCTTTCATGTTCGTCGATACCATAGTCGCTGCCATCCTCGTAATCAAGAAGCTCGTTGTGCAGGAGCCCACGTCTCACAAATCGACGTCGTTCATTTTCAAGAACGGAGTTGCAGAAGGACCTAATTTCATCCGGTGTCATTGACGCATCGTTGTTATCCCATGTCAAGCTTTCTGCATGAGTCCAGGTTCGTAAAAAGTGTACCGGCTTTGCAGATCCTTCCATGTCCACAGGGTCAAGCTTGTCCGCACCAAACTGAAATTGGACGATCCCGCCCCCGGACGTGCGAACCGTATCATCGTATTGAGTTGAGAGATCTTCAAGAGATTTCATCAACCGTCGAGACATGTATCCCGTTTCTGCAGTCTTAACTGCAGTATCGACCAGTCCCTCACGCCCAGACATTGCGTGGAATATAAATTCCGTGGGCAAGAGACCAGAGTAGAAGCTGTTCTTGACGAAACCCTTCGAAGGGGGTTGCCTGGCATTTTTGTGAAAATGAGGCAATGTTCGGTCTTGGAAACCGTCAGAGACACGCTCTCCGCCAATAATTTGCTGTCCGACCAAAGCAACCATCTGGGCGACGTTGATGTCCGAGCCCTTGGAGCCGGATTGAGCCATGATGAGAGGAGCATTGTTTCGACTCAAAGTATCGATACAATATGAGCCGGCTTGTTGTCGAACCTTGCTGAGAATTCCGGAGATGGAGTTTTCCAAAGTTTGTTCCATGTTGCAACCGGGTGCCTTTTCGAGCTTGCCTTGCTTGAACGTCTCGATCAGGTCATCGGATTGCTTGTATGCAACAGAAACAAGATTTTCCTTCTCCTCCTTGAGCTTTTCAGTCGGGAAAACATCACCGACACCGATAGAAAATCCACGATTAGCTAGCTGTCTGGCGCACAGCTTAGCGAGCCTGTTCATAGCCACAACAGCGTGATCTGGACCGAAGTCACGAAGGATGACATAGAAGATCGAGTCCTTCTTTCCCGATCCTACCGTAGATTTATCCATGCGGCCACACAAAACCTCCGAGTTACGGACAACAAGCCATCCGTCATTGGGATCCATATCAGGGAACTGACCCGGGCGAGCTTTGTACGCTCGGCACTTCGCATCCAAGTTGACCTTGACCGGTGATTCTTTATTAGGTCTCATGAGCATGCTGAACAGCTGCTTCCCTGTCCAGAGTGCCTGTGGCGCGATGATGGCTGGGGGAGGCATGTCCAGGTGCGTTTTGCCATCCATCATATGCATACACATATAGGTAAATGTCTTGCGGTCGAAGAATCTATCTTTGCTGCTGAGTAAGAAGGCTGCCGTGATAAAATCCTGGGTTGCTGCAATGATAGGTTCGCCGTTTTTGGGTGTCGCCAGATTATGCTTGATGCCCATCAAATTAATAGCCTCGGCGCGGGCCTCTTCCGTTTGCGGGACGTGGAGGTTCATCTCATCTCCATCGAAATCTGCGTTGTAGGGTCCGCAAACACATTCGTTGAGCCTGAAGGTCCTCCAAGGTCGTACCTTTACGAGATGGCTCATAATACTGAGTTTGTGAAGGGATGGCTGCCTGTTAAAAAGCACAACATCATTATCCTCCAGATGGCGCTCAACAACGTCGCCAGGATTAAGATCGCGAGCGACAAAGTCTCTGTTGCCGAATTTCAGGGATATTTTGTAGCCCCCTTCATCCTTCTTGATTACCTGCTGAGCTCCGGGCCAGACGTCCGGTCCGTTCTTGACACATTGTCGCAACTTCTCAATATTGTGGCGTTGAACTCTTTCTGGGTATGTGAGATTCTTGGCAACCAATTGAGGGACAGCAACTTGATCGATGCCAAGGTTGGGATCGGGGGAGATGACGGTTCGACCTGAGAAGTCGACACGTTTACCAGAGAGGTTACCACGGAAGCGTCCCTGCTTCCCCTTGAGCCGTTGACAGAAACCTCTCGTCGCTTTACCGAATCCGGGTTGCTGGAGACCAGGGACATCGCTGTTGACGTACATAGCAATCTGGGTTTGCAAATATTCCCACTGCTCCATGATAGTCTGGACCGGTGAGCCCTTCTGAAGAGCGGATCGGATCATGCCGCTGACCCATACGATGTCGGCAAGCTTTGTGGTGATATCATCTTCATTGCTAGCGTTATCCTGTGCAACTGAGGGTCGGATGCAGACAGGGGGGGCAGGCAAGAATTGCCATATGAACATTTCCGGGCGTCCCTCGGTGGGATCAAGGCCGAGAAGTTCACAGTCAGTTGGGCTGATCATCTTGAAGAGATTTAGAACTCTCAGAGGGTTAAGGTCCTCCATAGCTTTGCGCAAATGCTTCTCAAGCTCCGGATTCTCGCGCCTAGCTTCGGTGAAGGAGTTGTCAAACTTGACCTTGCTCTCTGGGGGTACCTTCTTGGCGGAAGTTGACTTGTTGTAGAATGAGAACTTGTCGTGCGCGAGCTTGAGGACGCCTATTTTCCGGATTTGGCCGTTGATTGAGCCGCAATAAGGGCATGTCTTGATTTTTCGACATTGCTCGTTAATTTTCTTGCAGATCTGGGTCCGACGAAGGTTGTCCAAGAATGGGCGTCTGAGTTCCTTTAGGAATTGCCGTCGTTCGGGCTCGTCAAGTAAGACTCGGCCGCAATCCTGAAATTTGTTAGCAGACTGGAGACGATGGGATTTCTGTCGCATGGGGGACGATACCTTGCAGATTTCCTGGAGGATGGACATTATGAAGCGAAGGTAGCCGATGTGGAAGGCCGGCAAGGGGAGCCGGACGTGACCGAAGTGGCCATTGCAGTTTTGCAGGGATTCTTGACAGGTGGAACATTTCCCTATCTTGCTTGATGTGCCCTAGAGGTACAACGTATGGATTAGAATCGCGAACAGGCGGCGAAGCGAAGGGGGCTCACCAGTCGTGAATCGAGGGGGCCATGGCGGTATGGAGCACGGTTGTTTTCAATGTCGTACAGAAGGCGGTCGGAGACCTCAAGCACGGCTTGGTTGGCAATATCTTGGTTGGACCTGGTAGCGGGAGTCGGTGATTAGAGAAGCGTGGTAATGGAGCATATGGAGTTGGGTGGGGTGGTTGGAGGCGGAAAGCAGAAGGCGGCTCACTGAATGCCAAACTTGATGCCCTTGAAGCGTTTGGGAAGCTTATCAACAAGCTGCTGCTTAACTGGGCTATCCGTTGACGCGGCTATAGCCATCGTTGGACAAGGCTCCTAGAATCGAGTGGGTAGACGAGGTGGGAAGGGCTGGGTTGATTCCTACAGGACCAAGCCGGACAGTTGGGTTAAATTGAGAGGACCTGGAAGGGCGGGGGGCCGTGATCACAATAGGCGCAGTGGGAAATGTGTTCGGAGTGACGATTGGACTGTGGAGGCGATAGACATGGCCAGAGGCTCGGGCGACAACGGCGAGGGGTGACGGATGGATGATGCGTGGGAGGATTTAGCTGCACGATCTGAAGACGAAGTCGCAAAATTTCCTCGACTGGGCGGCGCGAGTTACTAAGAAGGTTAGTGAGTGGAGGATTTGGAAAGATAAAGAAAGAGGTGGGGGTAGTGAGTGTATAGTGGAACCTTAAATAAATTTTATAAAGTATAATAATTAAAATTATAAAAGTATAAAATTATAAAATTATAAAAATATAAAAATATAAAAATATAAAAATATAAAAGTATAAAATTATAAAAATATAAAATTATAAAAATATAAAAATATAAAAGTATAAAATTATAAAAATATAAAATTATAAAAATATAACATTATAAAAATATAAAATTATAAAAATATAAAATTATAAAATTATAAAAATATAAAATTATAAAAATATAAAATTATAAAATTATAAAATTATAAAATTATAAAAATATAAAATTATAAAATTATAAAATTATAAAATTATAAAATTATAAAATTATAAATTATAAAATTATAAAATTATAAAATTATAAAATTAAATTTATATTAAAAATAAATTAAATTTAATATTTAGTTTTTTTTAACTTTACTTAATATTATTAAATAGATTAAAGCTATATAATAATCTTAAATAATAGAAATAAATAATAAGTACTATATCTAGTACTAGAAGAAATAGTAGCTAAATAATAAAATTATTACCTATTAATCTCTACTTAAAGCTTTTATTTAACTCTTCTAACTTTAATTCTACTATTTATAATTAATAACCTTAAAATAGTAATTTTATTTTAAGCTATAAAATATAAAAGAAACTAATTATTTTCTATTATTAAAAAACTAACTTCTCTTTTAATACTTATCCTATTATAACTAATTTTTAATATAATAAATTTTATTTAAATAGCTCTTTTTACGAATAATTTATTATATCTATATTATAAATTCTAATTTTAATATAATTTTAAATTCTCTTAGAATTGAAAAAATAAATTAAAAAAATAAAAGTTAAATTTCCTTTTAAGTTTTTTTTAAAAAAAAATCTATTTAAGCTATTACTATACTATTTATAATATCTAAATAAAAATAATAAATTATATTAGCTATTTTTAAATACTATTTACTTTTTAATAATAAAATTAAAGTTAATAAATAAGAAAATTAAATTTTTATTTATAATTTTATTCTATATATTTAAATAGAAATAGCTATATTTTATAACTTAGCTAAAATATTAATAATTTAATTTAAGGGGTTAAGTTTTTTTTAGAATATTACTAGGGCTTAATATAACTTTTAGTTTAAGAAGTTATTATATTATATCAGGCTAATATAAATACTAGCTATTTAGAATACTAGAGAGAGGGGATTTAAATAAGAATTTTAGGGGTGTTTTAGTTATAGATTAAGTTATAGGAATTATTAGTATATTTATTAAGGTTAAAATAGCTATAGCTTATTAAAAAAGTTAAATAGAATTTTAATAAAAAGAAAAAAACAGCTTAAAACTTAAATTTAGGCTTTAGTAACTGTAATATATATATAATAAAAATATAGTAAATTTAAATATTAAGTTTTCTTATTAAGGAAATTAAATTTAATATAAAATAAAAAATAATTTAATTTATAAAAGAATAATATATATATATATATTTTAAAAAAGTTCTTTAATAAAAAATTTAAAAAAAAAGTTTTTACTATAAATAAATTAAAAGATTAAATATATTTAGTTTTTTTTATAATCTTATTTAATATTATTAAATAAATTAAAGCTATATAATAATCTTAAATAGTAAAAATAAATAATAAGAGCTATATTTAATATTAAAGAAAATAGTAGCTAAATAATAAAATTATTATTTATTAATCTCTACTTAAAGCTTTTATTTAACTTCTTTAATTTTAATTTTATTATTTATAATTAATAATCTTACTATTTATAATTAATAATTTTAAGATAGTAATTTTATTTTAAGTAAAAAAATATAAAAGAAATATCTTCTCTTAATAAGAAAATCTAGTATTTAAATTTACTATATTTTTATTATATATATATTATAGTTATTAAGGCTTAAGTTTTAAGTTTTAAGCTACTTTTTTTTTTCTATTAAAATTCTATTTAACTTTTTTAATTCTAACTTTAATAAATATACTAAAAACTCTTATAACCTAACTTAATATCCTAAGATTTCTAATACCTATAATAATTTAAGTTATTTAAATCCCCCCTTTAGCTAGTATTTTATATAGCTAGTATCTATATTAACTTAATATAATATAATAGCTTTTAAAATTAGAAGTTATATTAAGCTTTAATAATATTTTAAAGAAAGATTTAACTTTTTAAATTAAAATTATTAATATTTTTAGCTAAATTATAAAATATAGCTATTTCTATTTAGATATATAAAATAAGATTATAAATAAAAGTTTAATTTTCTTATTTATTAATTTTAATTTTATTATTAAAAAGTAAATAATATTTAAAAATAGCTAATATAATCTATTAGCTTCTATTTAAATAATATAAATAATATAGTAATAGCTTAAATAGATTTTCTTTTTTAAGAAAGCTTAAAAAGAAATTTAGCTTTTATTTTTTTTAATTTATCTTTTAGATTTTAAAAAATTTAAAATTATATTAAAATTAAAATTTATAATATAAATATAATAAGTTATTTCTAAAAAAAGCTATTTAAGCAAGATTTTACTATATTAAAAATTAGTTATAATAAAATAAGTATTAAAAGGAAAGTTAATTTCTTAATAATAAAAGATATTAATAA